ATTTTTTTATCTTTTAGATTTTTTATAATAAAATCCTTAAATAAGATATAAGATATTTTTATTATTATTTCTAAGATAACTAAGAGTATATTTTTTAGTTTAATTAAAAAAATAAAATTTAAATAAATATTTTAAACTATTTTAGCTTTTAAAAATAATTAAATAAAAAAAAGAATTAGAATTATAATAATAAATAAATAGATTAGATATAAAAAATAAAATAATAAGAATTTTAGATTTAAATAAAGAATTAAAAATTATTTATAATTAGATAAAGATTAATTCTTATTACAATTAATTTAAAGATTTTTATTTTATTATATTATCTATAAATAATATATAGACTCTTATTTTTTATTAACTTATTTTTATTAAATATAATATTATCTTATTCTTTTTTATATTCTTTTATATCTTTTTTATTAAATTATAAATAAAATCTAATAATATAATATATTTTTAGAGTTTATTATAATTTTAAAAACTATTTTTTATATAATTAAATATTTTAATTTTTAAAAATTAATTAAATTAATCTAAAATTATACTAAAATTCTTTTTTTTAAAACTAAATTATTTTTATAAAATATCTAAAAATAATTATTAAATTAAAAAAAAAATTTAAAATCTTTTTTTAATTATAAAAATAATTATTATTTAAATAAGTTTTTTTTATTATTATAATTAATTTTATTAATAATTTATAAAAACTTTAAAAATATCTCTTAAGATTTTTATTTATAATTAAAATATATTTTAATAAAAATATAATAAATCTTTTTTAATAAATATTTAATAAATATAATATATAATTATATATAAGTATAATTATAATTAATAATATATTAAATAATAATAAAATAATTAAGAAGTTATTAATATATATAAATAATAATTAAGATTTAGGATTTTTTATAATTTAAAACTTATATTTTATATATATAATTTAATTTATATTTAATATTTTTTTAGATTAATTTAAGCTTATTCTTAATAATAAAAATATTAAAAAAAACTTAGTTAAATAAATATTAAGAAATATTTACTACTAAAATTTAGTAATTATTAATAAAAATATATTTATAATTCTTATTTATCTTAATTTTAATTTATTTTTTATTTATATAAGATTTAGATTTAATCTTTATTTTTATTAGATTTAAAAATTTATTATTTTTATCTAAATAAATATAAAATATTAAAAATAATTTCTTATTTTTTAATCTAATATTTATTATTTATTTTTTTTAATTTAAGATATTAGAATTTATTAAAATTTTATTTTTTTAATATTAGAATATATAAAATATTTTTAATTTATATATAATTTATATTATATTATATATAAATATAAATTATTTTATTTAAGTTTGAAAAAATAAAAATAAATAAATTTTTTTTTTAATTTTTTAATTATTTTTTAATTTTATTATTATAATCTTATTATTTAAAATAATTATAATTTATTTAATATTTAATCTTTATAATAATTTATTAAATAATTTAAATTAAAAATAATATCTTAGAAGTTTTTTATAAAAGATATTTTAATTAAAAAAAAAAGAAATTTTAAAAGTATTATAAAAAAATAAATAATAATTTATATTTTTTTTATATTTATATAATAATCTTAATCTTATCTTAGAAACTATAAATTTTTAAAATATTTATATAATAAAAAGATAAAAAATAAATATATAATTTATTAATAAAATAATCTTTTTTTATTTATAAGATATATAATTTAAATAAAAAATCTTTTAAATTAGCTTTTTTTTAATTCTTATTTATAAATTAAAAAAAATAATAAACTTATATATTATTATAATAATAAGAGATTATTATTCTTTAGTTATTTTATTATACTAAAAAATATAGATTAAATCTCTTATTAATAAAGATTTATTTTATAATAATATATATAAGTTAATAATAACTTCTTAGATAAGGAATACTAAATTCTTATCTAAGATCTTTATTATTATATCCTCTTTTACTAAGACTAAAATATAATTATATACTTATATAAGTTATATTTCCTAATTTTTAAGGCCTCTCTTAGGGCCTAAGACTTAATTATATCTCTTAATCTTAGTATAGTTTAGATTATATAGTTCTTATATATTACTTCTAAGATTATTAATATAAGCTAAGATAGGGCTTAGGATCCTATAGATTTATAATATTATATAGAATATCTTAATATAATCTAGTAATATTAGTTTTATATAGGGATTATAGAAGTTATATAATTAATAATTAATCTAATAATATTATAATATAAGCCTAAAATAGCTAGCTATATCTATATAGATTTATTATAAGGATTATAACTATATAACCTATAGCTTATATATCTTATTTAAGGATTCTAATCTAAATATAACTTCTTAAGCTATATCTTATCAATAAGACTTTCTATACCTAAGAGCTTCTTATCTAAATTAAATATATCTAAATATAACTAAATAAACCCTATTATCCTAGATCCTTATAGATTAACTCCTATTATACCTACCTAATCTTATATCCTAATAAGTAGTATAATTTATTAATATATTTAGTAACTATAATAATAATAATATATTAGAATAATAGATAGGTCTATATCCCTATATATACTAAGGATTAAATCTATAATCTTCTAGGATCTTATTAATAAAAGATTTATTATAATAATAAGAGATTACTACCCTTCAGTTATTCTATTATACTAAAAAATATAGATTAAATCTTTTATTAATAAAGATTTATTCTATAATAATATATATAAGCTAATAATAATTTCTTAGATAAGAAATACTAAGTTCTTATCTAAGATCTTTATTATTATATTATTTTTAAAATAAGATTATTAAAAATAAATTATATAATTAATAATAAAATTATTATAATAAATATTTAATCTTAGCTTAAATTATTTATAATATATTTTATATCTTAGTATTTAAAATAAATATTAAATAAATATTTAATTATATTTAGGATATTTATTATTATTAATAAGATACTCTAAAACTAAAAATAATTAAAGATCTAATATTATATATATATTTAATAAAGTTTAAAATAAAAAATAATTAGATATAATTTATATAAAAATTAATATTAAAAAAATAAATTATAATTAGATCTTTTAATTATAAGATTAATATTAATTATTTAAGAAAAAAAATAAAAAAATAGTTTATTAAAGATTAATTTAATAATATTAATAAAAATAAGATAAAAAATAAAATAAAAAATAAAATAAAAAATAAAATAAAAAATAAAATAAAAAATAAAATAAAAAATAAAATAAAAAATAAAATAAAAAATAAAATAAAAAATAAAATAAAAAATAAAATAAAAAATAAAATAAAAAGTAAAATAAAGATAATTAAAAAGATCTTAAATATAAGAGATTTAACTCTAAATTAAATTATTATTAAATCAAAAATATAATAAAAATAATTTAATAAGAAGATTATTAAATATAATAATATATTTAATATTTTTAATAAAGATAAAGATAAGTTACTCTTTTTATATATAAAATATATTAAGATAGCTTTTTTTTAGGCTCTTAGATTTTTTATTATATCTTAATTTATTTTCTATATTTTTAAATTTAATTTTTTTTCTTATTATATAAATTACCCTTAATATATATATAATATATCTATAATCTAGATCTATATTATCTTAAAATTATACTATTTTAATACTATATAACTTTTTTTATTATATAAAATCTATATATATCTTTTTTATATAAACCTATAAGATAGGTATAAGTAAGGGTCTTATCTATATCTTATAGGATAATAGCCTATAGAATAAATAGCCTATAGGGGTTTTAACTATAGATTAATATAGGTAGACCTATAGTTAAAATCTATAGGGAATATATATATCTAACTAGAATTAATTATTAATCTAGGGGATTTCTATTCTATTATTTTATTATAGGGATAGTATATAGACTCCTATCCCCTAATAACTTATCTTACTAAGTATAATATTAATCTTCTAGTTCCTATATTCCTTTATACTACTAACTAATAATTAGCCCTATAATCTATGGTCTACCTTAATAGAAAAAAAATTTAAAAATATATCAGAGTCTATCCTGATAAGGCTTAGTAGGTACTAGGTTATAAGGTATAATTAGTATATAGATGATATATATTTCTATTAAACTCCCATTTATATCTACTACCTATAATAATAGGAGTTATAGGATATAAGTTTTAATACCCCTTAATTATATAATTATTAATATTCTGCCAATCAAAAATCATCTAGGGTTTTTCTATCCACTATGAGATAATATAGCTTATAATAAGTTACAACTCTAATCATGATATTATATAACTTATCCTGCTTAGTGTGCCATATCTAGGCTCCAAGGCATTAGAAACCCTTATATAATGGTTGGAACACTTACTTTGGATATTTACTAAAAGCGGTGGGAAAGGCGGACTCCGGTTCTTTAGGGGGTGTTAAAACTTATGTCCTGTCACTATATACCCCAACTATTTACTTACTACCTTCTCCTTTGTCTTGAACAATCATAACCATATCTAGATCTACTATGCCTGATATGCCCGATCTAGACCTCATCCAGGTAGGTGTAGCTTCTTTCTCTTTCTTTCTTTATTTTCTATTATTTCCCCGAAGCCCATATCCTTAATATGACTCAAATTCATATATCCCTCTACCCTATTCTTATAATGGCAGGGTCACCTTTGACTGTTAAAGCTTCCATATACTAATTTTAATAGGCACTAACAGAAATCTCTAAGTATATTATCACGTTGTTGCTCCGCAAGCATCACAAAATCACCTAACATTTCATACTAGGGGCGAAATGACAGCAACTGCATTGGAAAACCACCTCACTGCTCTCGAATCCAAAATGGACGAGATCCTGGCAGCCTTTGATAGAGAGCCAGAGCCCATTTCGCAGGATACCGGAACAAGTGACTGTGGAGTTACAGATGACGAAGGCAGTCACATCAAGACCGAGAAAGAGAATCGTTGAACAGGCGGGCAAGGTCAAATTGGCCGGATGGGCTTTTTTCGACCACCCCGACCTCTGTGATGATCCCGTCTATCAAAGCCGCAGGGGTAATGTCGAATGCAGGATTCCAGACGCCAATGCCGGGTGCAGCGATACGAATGGTATCCAGCACCACACTATCTGCAGCCTCCACCCCGTCTCTAGGGCCCTTGATACTCGTTACCTCGAATTCCGGGCGCTGTTCAATAACAATATCACCACCAGAATGTGTCGCTAGATCGATGGTTGTGAGGGGTGCGGCGACTAGGAACTTAATACCATGATGTTTGGCCAAGACAGCCAATCCGTATGTGCCGATTTTATTAGCCGTATCTCCATTAGCTGCCACTCGGTCTGCTCCGACAACAATAGCACACACCCCCACATTTACATCCGCGAGCAGAGCAGCCGCCATAGAGTCAGTGATCAACGTGGCAGGAATATGATCGTGGACCAATTCGAAGGCGGTCAAGCGAGATCCTTGATTGTAAGGTCTCGTTTCTGTACAATAGGCATGTCGTAGCTCATTTCTGGACGACAGCGAACGGATAACCCCCAATGCGGTGCCGTAGCCTGATGTGGCCAGTGAGCTAATTCCTTGGTCGTTAGTGATATGATTGCAGGAGAAAAAGGTCCGAATAGCCTTACCCAGTATTGCAGTGGGTGAGAACTGAGACGGTGTCCGCTTTGGTTGCATTGGTCATAATCCACTCGGCCCCATGGTGTCCGATACGTTTGTTATCCTCCAAATCTTTGCCTAGCATTTCCTCGGCAGCTTGGATGAATGATGATACCAAGTTGAGACCTGTCATCCCGATTTCCGTTGCTTGGTTCGTCACAAGAGCTTCCAGCTTCCGAGCAGCGTCGCTCAAGTTGACTGCGGTAGGCCGACTTGTCACCAGATAGTCCAACTTCCTAACGACCAATTCCCGTGTCTCTTCAGGTGACTCGGGAATTTGATTCGCCGCACGAAGCGACCAAAGCTCCGAGGAGAGCGCAAGCATCGCCACGATGGCAATGGCGGGGGCACCTCGCACCTTCATCTCCTTAATGGCATGCCAGCCATCCTCTGCAGTCTGGATGGGGATGTATTTTTCCACAAATGGCAGCTGAAGCTGGTCGAGAATCGCCAAGACACCCTGGTTGTATTTGATTGCCTGCAACATTGTTCTTTCTTTCTGAATGTGGATGGTGTGGGGTTTGTTATTGAGGGGTTTTTTTTTTCTTATTCGCAAGATAACAACCTAAACCCGGTGATTATCTCATCTCAGCCGTACTTGAACAAGCCTACTGGTCACCCAATCCTAAAGACGTACTGTAGACGTCTCACTCAATAGTTTTCTCCCTCTTGAGAGCAAAACTTTTTAATTTGAATCATAAATCCAAGGTATCCCCTTTCATCCAATTGGCGCAAGGAATCTATCCTATTGTAGGACTATATATAGTAACATCCAAAAGAACCCAGGCATTTAGATATGATTCCCCTCGTATAAATTATGGGGGACGCGAAACGGCTTCCACGTAGATGATCAAGCTAGGAGTGTTCACACTATAAGCACAATAGCTTCCAGAGCCTTAGGCTTTCTATTGCATATCGTAGAGAGGTCATTAAAATACCGCCTGCAAGTTTCCTCATCGGGACCAGAAGGGTAAAGAGTCATGAAAATGTGGAGAAGTGAGGGATGATCAGAGAGGAATCATTGCCACGAGAAAAATCAGGCATGATCATGAAAGAGAGCGGGTTGGATAGCCTCATTTGCATACGTAGTGAATTGCAAGTGACAGAAGATCCGTTACTAGGATGAGAAGCGATCGATACTGGTATTTAGCAGAGAACCAGCCTCTTCCACGGACCCGGCGAGATTTCCGATCCGGCGTCAATTAACTCGCGGAGATGTAAAGCACTATTTATAGCTGTGAGACTGGAAACGTTAAAGGATCGGAGATGATGATCACTGACCATTGTTTCCTCGTACAAAAGCATCACCGTAGTTGCGCCGCAGTGTTCCGTTTACAAACTCCTCGGTCTTTTCAAGTGCGATGTTCATATAACCGTCCACAGACTGAAGTTCCCCTAAATAAATTGTTAGTAAAGACCCCTCCTTGCTAGAATGGAGAGCGGAAGCTGGTACGTACCCTTGTAAACTACACCGGAGTTGAGCTTTACGATCACTGGAGCTCCGATAATCTCGCTGAGGAAAGCCGACGGGTCTTTTCCTTCTGAGGTTGAACCGTTCTCCATGATGACTGTAGATTGAATGTTGCTCAAGGTATCGGCGAGGAGCTATGAAGAGTGAGTTGACGATCGACAAACCTAGTAGTCTAAAATATATGTATTGACACTCGGTAACTTGTCACAAAAGACCCGCGAAGGCGGTGAGGCGGCCCCTCTCACCCCACGCCCTTGCTTTTTGAACACTTTGAATCTATCACATCCACCACATTCATGCCTCTAATCCTTTTTACAAGGCCCTGAGGACGCTGACCTATTGACCAAGATGCGTTCTTTCTTCAATAAGCCAACGTGGGCAGCTAAAGAAGGGAATAGTCCGAATGAGTTCTACCGACGGTCTCAACAAACCTACTCCGATATTGTTGCGGCCAATCGAGAGGCGCATAAAAAACCCAAGAACCCCCCTGAAGCAAATGAAAGCAGCAGCAGCAGCATCTCCAATGAAGTGAGCAATGGATCTGAGTGCCTAGATGTTTTTGATGGACAGAACACGGCCCCATTGACTGCTCCTATTGTGTCACCCGACGAACAGGGCAATTTGAAGGAAAATCGTCCAATCACAACTCGCCTTGAACAAAGTCCCAATGCACCAGTGACACCGGAACTCACCAAAGGATATGAATACCCTGGAATAATCCCTCCTGGCGGATCGGGCTCCAGCTCAACGGACATGCCGTCAGTGGACCACGCGGATCATTTCGCAACGGCCAACTCGCCAGCAAACCCCTCAGCTCACCCTCCAGCTTACCCCCCAATCCGCCCAGAGGCCCAAGGACAAAGTGACGACAAAAATCGCCCAGCTCTATATTCACCCTCCCAGCCCTTCCAGCCAGCCGACCACCTTGTGGAAGACCCAGTTGTCCAGGTTCTCATCACTTCTGAAATACCAACCACTAAACCACTGGTTGTCCACCGAAAAATGTCCCAGAGCCTCGGAGAGGTGCGCTCGGAGTGGTGCAAACGCCAGGGATTCACAACGGGGACCCAGTCGTCTGTTTATCTAACGTGGAAAGGTCGACGGCTATTCGATGTGACAACATGCAGAAGCTTGGGGATCAAACCGAAAAAAGACACATGGGCGCTTTTGCATACGGACGATGATTTTGATAGAGGCGGGAAAGAATTGCAAATCCATATAGTGGCTGTTACAGACAATCCTCTCTTGTTAAACCAGCCTGGCTACTCTACAGAAGTGGAACCATTACCTACAACCCCGCCGATCCCCAGCAACCAACAGAATGAAGAGAATGAACCGATGAAGTTGACACTCCGAAGCCCTGGACTAGGTGACTTGAGGATCAAAGCAAGGCCCAAGACCCTGGTGTCCAAGCTTATATCCACATTTCGAGACAAACAGAATCTTTCGGCAGATCAAGAAGTCTCTCTTATATTTGACGGAGATCGCCTAGACCCCAGTACCTGTCTTGGTGATCATGATATTGCTGACCTTGACTTGGTGGACGTGCAGGTCAAGTCGTGTATCTGATATAGGGACCTTGAAATGACAAAATAACCTAGGTCCTAGATCTCTTGCACAGGGTATTCCCCTAGAGCAACTCCGTTCTTTTTTCCTTTCTTTCCTTGACTTTATATATCTACTACACGCATCATGTATTTATTTCCAGGAAGTGAAACATATCACACCGAAACCTTACTAATCATTTTCTTCCCCCTTTTTCTTTGTATGTTTATAAGCTTTACGAAATGATAACATAATAGCAGATTGAATATGGGAAACTAACGATCAGCTTTAAACGGTACTGCGGTGGGGGTGTTTGTGTTATCGATAAGATCACCTGACCGATGAGGGGGCGGGTTTTTTTTTTTTATGCTTCAACAATTGATACCCCCACAACTGCCATTATAATAAGCTCCAATCAGTGGCTTCATCTACCACCTATCAATATTCGATAGTATCAAATCAAATATTTCTCTAGCGCTGTCGACCTCCTCGAGGCATACGCTGATTGTACGACGAAATCATGAAGGTCATCACCGCCAACTTTGTGACATGTGCAGTGAAGGAGTGCAAAACATCCCCGGCGTCATTTCCTTTACACTTCCACGACGCTGAACTTGAGATGCAGGAGCTTGATTTCCAGCCAGAGTTCATTCAAAATGTCATCCCACGTATTGATTGGGAGGGGCTCCGAGTGACTGCGAATGAGGTACTAGATTCATATATTAAGATATGCTTGGAGGTTATGTTGGCTGACATTTTCATTACAGCTTGGATTCCCCAGTCTACCAGAATCTAAACCGGAAGGCGAAGCACTCAATGATGAACAAACCCTGAAAGACCTGCACCGAATTTTGTTAGAAACCCAAGTCATCGAGGGCAAGCTGATCTGTGGGAACTGTGGACATGAATATGTGATCAAGGAGGGAATTGCCAATTTCCTTCTCCCAAGCCACCTAGGTATGGCCCTTCTTCCTTTCAACTATACTGTAAATAGTACTGACCGGTTTATGCAGTCTGAGGCTTGATGCGACTTATGGCCACTTCACCTGCCGATATTTCGATACACTACCCAGAAGCAAGCAAGGCAAAGACACAACCCGTCGCCTAAGCTTGCTATCGCTTACAATTAATTTATATTGATACCCTGAAAGAGTTCACAACCCGCAGAGGCCATAACCAGAAGTCATTGAAACATCACTGGCCTGGGCTTCGCAGGAAGAACCGAAGGGTCTGATATTGAGTATCCAAAGCCATCAAATCTTCTTGAAAATTGGGGAATAAAGTATGAATTCCATGTGGAATTCCTGAGGTTTTACAAATATTGTTGTACATGAGGGTTAGTGATAGCGCTTTAAATGATGAAATGCTCTCTGTCCGAATGCTCCATCTTTCCCCCTTTCAAACGCCAACCCAAACCGACCAACGCCGTAAAAGAAGACCAGAAAGACTTAGGTTGGATGTCGTAGTAGGTCCCCTAATTGAGGAATCCTTTGCAGCCAGTTGAGCCACAGAGACAAGGAATACGGTCGTCACTGCCCCATTCTCGTTCAAACTTGTAGTCGTACGTGAGTTCCTCATCTGGACAAATTATTAGTGAGGTTTCTTTTCTTTCTTGACCCCCCCCTCCAATGCCCAAGGCAGAGGAAGGAAGAAGCTGTCGCTATAAACATACCTCGTTCAATATCTCGCAGCGCATAAATCACAATCCGCTTACTCCCATCAACCTTGATGATCTTAGCAGTGCAATTGGGTGTACAGCTATGGTTGATGAAACGCGCGATTCCACCTCGCTTGGTGGCGTCTATGACAGTGTTCTCATCAATTCGGAAGAGATAACTGCTTCCGATTCCGCTTTTGAGATATCGCCTTTCTCTCATGTCAGCGACCTGCTGCCGAACCTTTTCACCAACATATTCGATGATCATGTCGTTCGCTGAGATGTTCTCTTCGGCATACAAGCCCCAGTTGTGAATGGCGGATCGAGCAAAGCGGACTGGCTTTTTGCGTTTCTTAAGCTGGTTAAATCGGAGAACATCACCCTCCCCACTCGATGTTGGAAGAGCTTGTTTCTGTGCATTGATATCGGCGATGAGCCGGCGATTGTTGACACGGGTTGACCGTGAGCTTGATTTGGAGATGGTCTTTGCAGCAGCAATCCGGGCTGCTTCAGCAGCTGCAGCTTGGGGATCAGCCTTGGCTTTCGCCTCGCGTTCCTCACGGGCTTTCTGAACCTTGATCCGATGTGGCAGATATTTGGATTTTTCAGACTCAAGGATTCTCTTTCGACCCTGAGTCCGAGCAGCGCCTGTCGAGTTTGAAATGTAATGCCCACTGATGCCAATCACATCGTGGGTTGGCCCTCTGGGTTCTTGCTGGTTCAGAGCCTTGATCTCCTTTTGCCGCCATGCCCATGCTGCCAGATTATCGACGTTGGAGGATGCAATCTGATCGAGCAACATTTCATGCAGGAACCGCATGTCTTCTTCGTCTTTGATTAAGTGTTGCCAACCATCCAGATCCAGAATGATAGCTTCATCGTCTTCCACTGTCGCCCGTGGTTCATGCTTGGATACTCCCCATTTGATCTCAGCTCCGGGTTCATCAATGCCTTTCGCTCCCCAAGCATCTTCATCATCGGACGTATCGTTAGTGGTAGCTTTTTCTAAAGCAATTTCGACGTCTTGTTCTTTGATCGACTTATCGTGCATTGGCAATGGAGCACGAGAATCAGGAGCAATTGCAGCAGAAACACCCGGAGTATCACCAATAGTCACCTCCAGTGGCTGAATTTTGGAGAGCTCCTCGTCTGGTCGTTGACGTTTGCGTACATCGGTCTCTCCGGGAATTCGCTTTCTTTTGAGCGTAGAAGAAGTCAGTACTTCCGAGCCCTGGACAGACCCATCACTCCTCTTGTCTGTCTCGTCTGCCTCGTCTGCCTCGTCTGTTTCATCAGCCACTTGGGTATTACTATCGACAAAAGAAGCCACTGCATCTGATTGATATGGTTCATCCTGTTCGGATTCAGATGCCGAGCTTGCCCGACTCGCAGGACGACTGCTTCTCTCTTCGGTATCTCGGGTGAGTGGTGTACGTTGCTCGTCGTCCGAATCTTCGTCGTCGTGCAATTCCTGCAGGCGATGGTACAGAGGCCGAACTTCTCTCTTCCGAAGGGGTTTTCGGCGTCGCTCATCCACAAACGCAGCTCCGGCTCGATCAGACCCGTGGGCCTTGCGGATGCGCGGAAGGGCCAGTACACTGAGGTTCGTAGACCGAAGTGAATCCTGGCCATTCGCCAGTTCAGACCGAGAGTCTGTAGGCCCGAGATTACTGCCCGCGCCGATTCGGAAAGCAAGATGTTTCGTGCCTTCTGGAGCAGAGATCCCCAGTCTTTCCCTCCTAGCAGCATGTTTGCCGGGATCGAGATAGTCATACAAAGCCGGGGCAGCAACGCGTGACTTGACATCTTCAAGAAGCTTGTCTCTTAGATTCCGAATGATGATGGACAGAACTTCTCGGCAAGGATCCAAGTTGGCAGCACGCTGTTTCTTTTCCTCTTCAATATCAAATTCAGCCTCTTTCTTGACTCTATCCTTCTGCGCCTTTTCTCGTTCCTCGGCTCTGAGACGTTCCGGACTTGGACTGCGAACGTGATTGGGGTTCCCGTAAGGCTGGCTTTCCATATTCATGATGTAAGTGAACAAGGGCTGCATGTGACAATATCGAAAGCAACGTTCCGTTTCCTCTTCGCCTCGCCGGGAATTCTCGAAGATAATGTAGTAGCCAGTCTTGTCACAGCGAATGGTCTTGTAGCTGAACAACTTCAGTCTTTTACTCAAATGTGGAAGAGTCGAGGTTAGAACTGGAACATAGCAATGTGCAATGAAGATGTAAGGGTCACGTTTGATTTGATCCAACACCAGTGTCTCTTCAACCAGAGACTGTACCCCGACGGGCCCCAGGGGAGTATTTGGTCCTCGTGGGATTGAGATTCCGGGGCGAAGGGCCGACCGTCCAGAGGGACCTTTCGGTGCTGTCGGAGGGGGTTCATTTTTCTTGAGATCCGGCTTGCTTGGCTGGGCAAGAATAGGCTGGGAAGCCAAGCGCTGTGATTCAATTGCTCTTGCGGCCATTCGTTCGGACGCGGCTCCTTCCCGGTCCATCTCCACTCGAATCCTTCGAATCCCAATGCGTTGTTCCTTTTTGCATTCAAAATATGCACGCCGTGCTGCACTGGATGCCGAGACCGGGCTACCTCCACGGAATGCCGGGCTATCTTTGTATTTGATGGAGCAGATGCCAAGGAAACGGCCTGTGGTGGGGTTGGTGCGGTTGTTCATTTCTGCAATCTCACCAAAGCTCGAGAAGAGGGCACTGATGAGAGTGACCGGCGACAATGGATCAAAGCCCATCACCAACACTTGGACCGGAGGACCTGGTCCAACACTGGTTGTTGCATCGTACGGCCATGGTTTCAAGGTATACGGGGCAGTTTGATATCTGTGTTTCGGCCCGCAAGCCGATCCTCGGGTGTAGTTGGTGATCGCCAGGCGAGGATCGGAAGGAGTGACTTGATGATTAGCAAATATTTCCGCATACTGGAGTTTCCGTCGCTTCTCTTTGGAAGAAGTCTCTTTAGACGAGCGCTTGTCCAGTTCGGGGTCGTAGATCACCCGGTAGCCTTTGACCACATTTTCCGAGCGAGTTTTTGATTGAAGATGGGGAGGATGCGTAGAGGTGACGGAGGCTTTGATCGGGTCCTCGCTAGGTCCAGTAGTGCTCCTTGAGAGATTTTCTTCTGCTATCTTCGGCTGCGGACTCGTCGCCTTACACGGCGTAGATGATTCCGTGTTGATAAGGGATGCTGAGGTATGAATAGGCGGGCAAGTAGCGTCAACCGATGAAGGTAATATTCCATTTGCCTCTCCTGGTGCATGGGATTCACCCCCCTGGAGGTCAGAGGAGGGCGGTTGAATGGAGCATGGCTCCGCAGCCGGCATATCAGATGCCCCACCGGGAGGCACGGAGGAGACTGTGAAAGAGGCAGTCACCTCGGGAACATCTGGAACTCTTCTTCGACGGTCTCCTGATTTGAAGCGCTTCTGCTGGAGGACCGACGGGGCCGTGGGGAAAAAGTCCGCAAAGCCGGCCGAGGCGCGTGACATGATGAGGTGGCTACACGCGGGAGAAAACCGCGCGATCACCAAGCAGCATCCTTGAAGATGAAAGGGATCAGAGTAAGCGAGGAAAGATGCTGCAGAGGGACAAAGGGAAAATAAAGACCAAGGAGCGGATTTGGTAGGGCAACAAGACGTCCTTAAGTCGAAAGGCGCGAGTTGGTTTTGCAAGGAGCAGACGCGACCAAATGGGGAGGCGGTCAGTGAATGGGGATGGTATCATATACAGAGGACGGAGTAAAAAATGTGGGCTATAGAAGGCGGTGACGGAGATGTTGATATAATTGGGTGATTATATTAGGCGGTGGCAGAACAACCGGACAAATAGAAAGTCAGGTGATACTAGTTGCATGGATGCTGGAATCTCCTATGTAGCGTAGTGCAACTTTCGTTATGTATACGAGATAGTTGGCTATTAATCTACCATTAATCTACTTTACCCTGTACCATAAATATTTCTTTGATAAAGATTACTCTTGATTATGATCGTATCAATCACCAGTCATCTGAAAATACTCAACTCCTACTGATAATGAAAAACTTTTTTCTTTTCTTATTATCACGTTTAAGTCATAGATCATGATACTAGATATCTAAGCTCAGTAAGAAGATTAATCTTACCACTAGACTATAACTATAGTATCTATGTGTAGTATCTATGTGTAGTAGCTCTGTATAGATTATAGATATACAGGGGTAGAGTGTAAATAGCGTGAAAAACGGTATTTTATTTTACCATGACCTCAGAGCTTCTAATCTTGGCTAAGAATTATATTAAGTATATCTCTAGGTATTATATTGTGAACGGGGTTTTGTGGGTAAAATAATTAGGTGCCGGTTATAAAATAAGACCGTCATTCTAATGAACACCAGATTATCAAACCCAGTGAATCACATACCTGACTAATAAATTTTTGAGGTACATAGTAAACATCTTGATTATTCAAAAAGGTCAATGTAAGATATAACTACTTTGTAAGACTCAAGTATTAGGTATATCATAATCATGTAATTACAACACCCCCTTACTTTGGGCATTTAATACAGAGATATTTTCTAAACATTTAGCATTTACAGGTAAATAGTATTAGTAGGTCGTGTCAACATATAGCCCTAGAGAGTTATTAGCCTATCTTCGGTCTAGCATTTAGAGATAAGAGATAGAAGGACAAGAAGCGAAATCAAAATCAAAATCAAAATCAAAATATCCAAAAAAAAAAAATATCAAAAGCCAAAGAATTTCCCGAAGCATACGCCACCATTAGTGGCGATGGGGCTCAGCATCGAATGTAAAAATAGTATCGTTCTTACCGGGTAGCTCTGAGACCTTGGCATCCCCGCTATGTACGCTATGTATGGTATTTTTAGGGGATCTTGACAATATACATGTTTTGGTGTATGATCCACAAGAATTTAGTTTATTGAAAAATGGCCCAAGTAAGTATCTTATGATGTATTCATTAATCATGATGATCCTTGAATTTTTTTTTTTTTTTTTAAAAAAAAATTCAATTCTAACAAGTCCCCTGCCATTTGAGATTGGTATATAGAGAAGGGAATGTTGATGACCCCCGTAACTGGAGAAGCTATAAGGTATTCATGCACTAGTAAAGTACTCCATACGATCAAGGTGGGTTGTGTTGTGGTGTTGCCCCGGAGAAAACCGATTGCCGAAGCATCATAAAGAAGAAAATTGATCTATTCAAAAGAATAAATTATAAGAAACTAGAAAAGGGGAAAAGAAAAGAAGAAGAAGAAGAAAAAGGGGGACTCGATCAATTCTTCATGAAATTCTTCATGAAACAGTAACCAGGTTTCTGCTTCCCCCCCCCCCCTGATATATGGTAAACAAGAAGTGGAGCAAGAAGGCGATTTCCAGAGAAAAAAGGGCTTGAGTGAGACATGGAGCGCATTGGCCCCGGTAGCTTCCCTGGTGGAGTAAATAAGAGAAAAAAAATAAATAAAAAGGAAAAATAAGGGAAAATCATAGCTAATAATAATCCTACCGCCCCTCCCTTCCCCTCTATAAATACAAATTTCCAGCTTTGCCTTTCCCAATTCTATTTCTTCCCTACAAACCTTACCCATACCCATACATCCTTTCTTAATTTTGTTTCTCCTCATTCGCTCACACAAATTCGCCCATCATGTGGTATGTATCGAAGCAACCCATCTAGGATCATCATGCTCACAACCCTGCAGTGGAATCTTTGGCTACATTAACTACCTCGTCGACCGGGATCGTGAGTTCATTATCAATACTCTTCTCAATGGTGAGTGATGCCAATTTGATGCAATTACCTTCGAATTCCCCCCCCCCCCCCCCCTTGCCTAGCGCTAATAAATCTTTGAAGGACTATCCCGTTTGGAGTACCGGGGTTACGATTCCGCCGGTATGGCCGTTGATGGTGACAAGAAGAATGAGGTTTGCGCTTTCAAGGAGGTAGGAAAGGTCGCTAAATTGCGTGAGCTCATTGCCGAGAGCAAGCCCGACATGACCAAGACCTTTGAATCGCACGCTGGTATTTCTCACACCCGTTGGGCCACCCACGGCACCCCCTCTCGCCAGAACTGCCACCCCCACCGGTAAGTTTTTTTTTTAAAAAAAATTTGAGAACCAAAAAAAAGAGAGAGAGAGAGAGAGAGAGAGAAAGATAGATGGAGAGAGAGAAACTCTCTCGTGCCTTTCGAAAGCACGCTTCTCTTCAATCCCAATCCCAACCCCACACCAACCCCTTAGCCTTTTCATGTGGGTGACGTTGGCTAATGTTGTCCTTTTTGGGTGGGGTAAACAGATCCGATCAGAACTGGGAATTCGCCGTGGTCCACAATGGTATTATTACCAACTACAAGGAATTAAAGGCCCTGCTGGAGAGCAAGGGCTTCCGATTCGAGACTGAGACTGATACCGAATGTATTGCCAAGCTCGCCAAATACCTTTATGACCAACACCCCGATATCGACTTCACTGTTCTGGCCAAGGCCGTCATCAAGGAGCTGGAAGGTGCTTTCGGTCTGTTACTCAAGTCCGTCCACTACCCCCATGAGGTGATTGCCGCCCGCAAGGGTTCCCCCTTGGTGATTGGTGTGAGAACCTCGAAGAAGATGAAGGTGGACTTTGTGGATGTGGAATTCTCGGAAGATGGTGCTCTTCCCGCGGAGCAGGCCTCCCAGAATGCTGCCATCAAGAAGTCTGCTACCAGCCTCCTGGCCCCGCCTGACAAGTCCCTCCTGCACCGCTCCCAGTCACGGGCATTCCTATCCGACGACGGCATCCCCCAGCCTGCCGAATTCTTCTTGTCGTCGGACCCATCCGCTATCGTGGAGCATACTAAGAAGGTGCTGTACTTGGAGGATGATGACATTGCCCACATCCACGAAGGCCAACTGAACATCCACCGCATGAGCAAGAATGACGGCACTTCCAATGTCCGCGCCATTCAGACCATTGAGCTAGAACTGCAGGAGATCATGAAGGGTAAATTTGACCACTTCATGCAGAAGGAGATCTTCGAACAGCCCGAGTCCGTGGTCAACACCATGCGTGGCCGTTTGGATGCCGTTAACAAGAAGGTCACGCTGGGCGGCCTCCGCCAGTACATTTCTACCATCCGTCGCTGCCGCCGTCTCATTTTCATTGCGTGTGGTACCAGCTACCACTCCTGTATGGCCGTACGTGGAGTTTTTGAGGAATTGACGGAGATTCCTATTGCCGTCGAATTGGCCTCCGATTTCCTTGATCGCCAAGCCCCGGTCTTCCGTGATGATACTTGTGTGTTTGTTTCCCAGTCCGGTGAGACCGCAGACTCCCTGATGGCCCTCCGTTACTGTCTCGAGAGGGGTGCCCTGACTGTTGGCATTGTGAACGTGGTTGGATCCTCCATCTCTCTTCTCACCCACTGTGGTGTTCACATTAACGCTGGCCCTGAGATTGGTGTTGCTTCCACCAAGGCCTACACTTCTCAATTCGTTGCCATGGTCATGTTTGCCCTGTCCCTTAGTGAAGACCGTGCCTCAAAGCAAAAGCGGCGGGAGGAGATTGTTGAAGGTCTTGGCAAGATTTCGGAACAGTTCCGAGAGATCTTGAAGCTCGACCAGCCAATTAAGGAGATGTGCGCCAAGTTCTTCAAAGACCAAAAGAGCTTGCTCTTGTTGGGTCGTGGTGCCCAGTTCCCTACTGCCCTTGAGGGTGAGTGCTACTCTTCTTTGAATTTCCTTCTCATCCTTTTCCTTCTTGTCTTTTTTTTTCGTCTCTTCTAACTCATTCCTTCTAGGTGCGCTCAAGATCAAGGAAATCTCTTATCTCCACTGTGAGGCTGTCATGTCTGGTGAACTTAAGCACGGTGTCTTGGCCCTGGTGGACGAGAACCTGCCTATTATTATGATCCTTACTCGTGACAATCTGTTCACCAAGTCTCTGAATGCCTATCAACAGGGTGAGTGACAACTGCCGCCATTCTTTCTTTTATTATCGATTCAAGCCCCTAACACGAATCTCTCCCTAGTCATTGCCCGTGGTGGTCGTCCCATTGTGATTTGCAACCAGAACGACTCTGAGTTCTCAGACGCACTGACCGAGAAGATTGTTGTTCCTAAGACTGTGGATTGTCTTCAGGGTCTTTTGAACGTGATTCCTTTGCAGCTGATCTCGTACTGGCTGGCTGTTGGTGAGGGATTGAACGTGGATTTCCCCCGCAACTTGGCCAAGTCGGTCACCGTTGAGTAAACTAAATCAAAGGAGAGAGAATAGGCTCGGGGATGGTATTTCCCCCTTTTTCCCCCGGTTTTTTGCACCCTCTCTGTGTCTCTCAAAGGAGGGTTTTAGAGTAAGATGACGATCATGATCTTGATACTGTATTTTCTTTTAGGGTGTTTTGTCTGTCATCACTATCCTGTCTTTTACTTTTTTTTTTTTTTTTAATGGGTGCTCTTTTTAGCTTAAGGAGAATGGAATTCATACCTTATTATATGTTAATCTTTCTTGGTGTCTATTCAGTACTAATGTGCAGTACTGTATCCGGTAGCATATTCCGCCTTTCCCGTCAGGAATGCGGGACCAGAGCAAATGCGGGACCAACTGGGCTGCGTCGCGAAACCTCGAAACCTCGAAACCCCAAAACCTTCCAACTCTCGTAACTCTTCCATAACAACTCCAGACTGATTTCTCGCCTGCACTCCCCCACCCCCTCATCTTACCCAATTCGTGCAATATTTCTGTCTCCTTTACCGATGTCTTCCATTAAGGGTCCCGGAGCTGCCCAGAGCCATGACGGTATGGAATCCACCCCCACCTTCAGTGACACATGACCCATTCCTAACCATTTGATTTAGGCTCTGGACTGCGTGTCGCCATTATTCATGCGCGATGGAATGCAACCATTATTGATCAGCTCGTAGCTGGAGCCAAGAAGAGTTTGCTGGCTGGCGGCGTGACCGAGGATAACATCACCGTTCAGACCGTTCCCGGTAGCTACGAATTGCCTCTGGGTGTGCAACGGTAAGACCATATCATCTCCAGGCCCTGATCTCTGTCATTTTTAGATCTGCTATCTCATGCACCTTTTGCTTTCACAGGTTGTACGCCGCCTCCCAGGTTCAAGCGAGCTCCTCCGGCGAGGGCATCAGTGCCACTGACCTCTTGTCAGCCTCCACCTCTGATTTGAACAAATCAGCCACCACTTCGCCCAAGAAACCCTTTGATGCAATCATCGCGATTGGTGTCCTGATTAAAGGCGCTACCATGCATTTTGAATACATTGCAGATGCCGTCAGCCACGGACTGATGCGAGTCCAACTGGATTCCGGCATCCCGGTCATCTTCGGTCTGTTGACTGTTCTAACCGAGGAGCAAGGCTTGGAACGAGCAGGCTTGGGCAAGAGTGGGATGCATAACCACGGTGAGGATTGGGGCAGTGCCGCTGTTGAGCTGGGCGTAAAGAGACGTGACTGGTCGGAGGGCAAGATTGTGTAAAGAAATAAACGATTCATAAAATCCAAGGCCACGCTTGGGTTTTGATGGGCTTTCCTATATATGTTCTCATGTGATTGCAATCAAAAGGGTAAAAAGTGCCCGGGAAGCATCAAATTAAATATGCACTGCCAGATCTAATGCTGTTTCATTCCTCCATTTGTTCCTCTTCGTCCTCGCCTTCGAGTGCTCGCTTTGCAAACCTCTCTGCCTCCTCGCGAATTTCTTTAGGCACCTCCTCGTGGCGACCCTTGGTGGGACCATCGAACGAGCTAATCCATGACATCTCAAGCTCAAATTCCTTGTCCTTGCTATCTTCATGAGCGACGTAGATGATACGGGCAGCTTCCTTCACACCTTCCGAAAGCGACAGCGTGCCAGAAGTCAGATCTAATTTCTCCAGCTCTGCCTTAGCAGCTTGTCTGCCCTTGCCAGTGGCGGCACCATAATAGCCCTGTATTCGTTAGAGCTAAAGCCCGTTTGACGGAAAGATAGAGAGGCGGGGGTATCATGTTTGACATACCCAATAGAGTCCACTGGGTTCGATCATGTACAGACCGGGCCCACCAGCTGGGGCACCCTCGACCTTTCCACCGGAGCCTGACTTGGGGCCATTGCCCACCTGACCGTCGACCGCCTGCTCCGCTTCACTGTCCCATCCACCGACGATGGAAGTCACACCAAACGGCCGTACGCTGGAGTAGAGAGTGTACGCTTGTACATACCCACCCAGACGGTTCGCAAGCGCAGAGATTGGGATGGGGGCTTTGTATGTTCCTCTCCAGGAGGATGCTTCGTCTCGGGCTCTGGAAACAAAGTGACGACCATCTGGTACGAGTCCAGCCGATACCTAAGTTTCCAAACAGGTCATAAGTTAGATAACTTCAACCAAGAATAGTGCGTTCGAGCGGTGATGATTCCGGTTCCAGCAAGTGGTGGCCGGGCGAGGGGTGAAGCGCTTGGAAGAAGGGTGAGGGCAAGATTGAGCTTACAATGCCGACATGGCGATCCACTGTCGCGATCCTCTTATTGGCGCCGGGTTTTAGGAGCTTGCTAGTGATGATCTTCTCCACGGCTAGCACCACGCCATCTTTGCATCTGATGCCGATAGCTGTTCCTCCGTTCTCAACGGCCTTGACGGCATATTCCACCTGTGAAGGTTCGTCAGCTGTGATAGTTCTCTGCGGTTTTGATTGATCCTAGGACCTGGATCATATTCTGGGTGATACCTGGAAATTACGGCCATCTGGTGAAAAGACGGAGTTGGAGAGATCGTAGCCCGTGCCGATTGACGTCTACTCGGTTGTTAGCTCTCTGTGGATGACGGGAGATTATGTTGAAGAGGTTAGAGCAATTATATTACCATGATTTGTGTGTGATATTGCAAATGGGGGTGTTGTTTTCCAGAGGATAAGTTTCAAAGGAAACAAGAGGTTGGATGGAAGTGACGAGCTTACCCTGACATTGGCGACCTTCGCGTTCGGGGAAAGGTCCAGAGAGCTGCGTCACGGGAGTTGCCTGGATCACGTGACACGTACCTTGATTACGAAACTTGTGTTTTTATCTTACACCGTATTTGAGTGTTTGGAGTATATTTGTTCCGTTTCTGGGTATACTTTGGTATTTGGGGGTTTTGCAGCCCAAACTTCCTCACACTTGGGGTTTGGGCACCACAAAATCCCTCCGATATATTAGGTATATATGGTCTACAGCTGCGGGTGTGGTTTCTTCTTCCTTCTACTCCTCTTGTCAAAGTTTTTTTTTTTTACCATTCCTTTACTCTCTTCCTACTGATCTGATCCCTGATCCCTTTACCCCACATTGTCCTAGCCGATTTAAATGTTGGCTGCACTCCTTGAACTACACTGAATATAGTACATATACATTAGTATATATTCTTTTCTCCTTCGAACCTGTGGACTCAGACCATGTCTTCATCCATCCTCCATCAATGTCCATTCTGTGGCCATGTCTCTGATATATCCCTTTCCCTGGCTGCATTCATTGAGAACCCACATTGTATTCAGGTATCTACTATGAAAATCTATGTAGTTTTCCCACCATTGTGTTCCACCCTGACATGCGGGGATTTTCTTTTCTCGTGTCTTTAGTGCGGCCTCTCGGTGTCCGAAAGCAACGGGAAGTTGCAAGACGAGCTAGCGGCCTTATTCGATCGACAAATGGCAATAGAGTCTCAACCCGATCCCAACCCCATTTCCTACAGCATCTCGCAGCACTATCACCATTCCACCCACATAGTCTCCTGCCCGAACCCTCAACCTCAGGCCATCGCAGATCCGACTCCAATAGAAATCCTACAGCAGCATGGTCTTGATCCTAGCACCATGTCACCCCGCCAACTAGATCTATTCAAAAATGCAGACGTTGAGCAAAGACATCGCTTAATTCAAACATGGCAGCTCTACGCCAGATCTGCCGAAGGCTCGATGGATCCGACCTCAATTTCCCCTGAAGACATCCAAATGCATGACTCCAAGACACAAGCAGAGCCTTATATGATGTCTGGTTACCAGATGCATTCAGAGCCCACTGAGTCCACCGCAGGACAGTCGTATAAATCGGCAACAGACCCGGCTTACAAAACTCAGCACTGGTGGGAAATGGCTCCGCAGACAGAGCCTATGGAGTCACAATACGGGGCATTTCAAGAGAGGAGCCGATATGATACAGGAAGTGAATTCGTCCAGTCATCCTTGTTTCATTAAGTCTTAATTTCGAACCATAATCAAAGGAACCTACTTTCTTTAGATTAACGTTAGAACAGTCAACTGGTCCGTAAAAGATATACAGTCACGTAAGTAAGATGGAATATAGGACGATCTTTCGAGGCTGTTGCATTGCTATCTAAGCGCTGTCATAAGATTTTTTTTTCCCTTCTGATTTTCTATTTCTCTTCAAGCCCCATGATTCGAAGCAACAAAAAAAAAAAGTAAGCAAACTTCATGGCCAAGATAAAAAACGAGTGTGCGCCATGGGATTCTTGCGTCCATCCCTATCAGTCAAGTTCCTCCGAGTGGCATAGCCAGGTTGATTCCATAATGTAGTCGAAGGTAGCACAAAACAACATTGGAAACATAGACATGCAAGGCTAGACATCATCGGGAGTATGTGAAGCATATGAGGCACTGCCGACACAATTTGATCAGTAAGAAAACAAACCTCAGAAATAGAAAATCAAGAGGGGAATCAGCTTACTTACATTTACTCCTCATCAAGAGCAGCCATAGCCTCAGCCAGGGCATCAGCAGAGCGCTTGACCTCATCAACGGCATCGGCGGCACGCTTGACCTTGAAGCAGGGCTGACCGGGGTGATCGCACCAACGGACCATGGCCTCGGGCTGAGCCTCAGCCATAGCCTCAGCAAGGGCCTCGGCAGAGCGCTTGACTTCGGTGGAGATATCGGCTGTGCGCTTCATCTTGTAGCAGGGCTGGCCAGGGTGGTCACACCAGCGGACCATGGCAGCAGCCGGAGCAGCCGAAGCGGCGAGCAAGGCAAGGGTAACGGCAAGAACCTTCATGATGAAGAATGAATGGATTCAAAAAAGGAATCGGAGATTGGAAGAGATTGAAATGGTAGTCAGATGTCAAGAGAATGAGATGAAGAGGATGGAGAAGAGCAAAAAAGTCGAGGTAAGTACGTTGACTTTATACCCAAAAGCTCGAGGCAACTACTCCATCCAGAGTATTGAGCCTTTCCCTCCCTGAATAAGGGCCATTCAAAGAATCTATTGAGATCCCAATTGGGAGTTGGAGTGCATTGAACGGAGCCGCTTCATTTGCCCCATGGAGAGCCTCGGGTTGGGCACTTCAGAGACCTTTTCTTTCATTCATATTGATCATAGAGAGATATGCGCAGCGCAGGCTTCGTTAGGGTAACCCTCATCAAGAGAATTGGTGATTGGCATAACCAATCAGGGTAATCAGGTGGGTAAACGAACGAGGCATTTGGTGGGGAATCAAGTTGAATAGAGGAAAGAGAAGGGGAATGAATAACCCAAAGAGTAGTTGAATAGAAGTTGGATGAAAGAGAGACAAGTCAGATGGGATGACCGAATTTGGGGGTCAATAGGCCAAGTACGTAAACATGGCTGACAGAGAGTAAAGTTGAAGGTACATGACTTTCTCATAGTAGTAGTATGGGGATAAGAAGTACTACTGATAAGATCGGGCCGGGGTTGCTCAGTGTCGCGCGATGCCGAGCCCATCCGGGCCCTTTTTTTCCGTTCCTTTCTTTCTTCTTTTCCACCTCCAACCGCCCTTCCCTTTCCCCACTCCATACTTGTTCACCGAGACATTTTTTGAAAAGGGTGAAAAATTTCATATTTCCTCTCCCAAAGGAAATTCCCTATCACAATCATGTTCTCCCGATCGGCTCAACCTGCCCGGGTTAGTCTTCAACGCCCTTTTCCCTCTCCCCCCTGGCGCGCAAATCCGAGCTAACGTCTAAATGCAGACCCTGCTTCGCAGCGCCTCCGTGGCTCCCTCTGTCGCTCGCTCAATCCCTACCCGATGTACGCTATAATCCCAGCCCCCTATATCCACATCTGTTACAGACATAAAAAAAAAAAAGAGAGAGAGAGAGAGAGAGAGAATACAGGAGTGGGAAAAAAAACAACTGTTACTTTTGCGCGACGAGCTGTGCGTGCAACCTTATGGGTGGATCGTTAACTAACTTCCGCATCTAGCCTTCGCCAGCATTCAGTCTGACATCTTCAAGCCCACCAAGTACGGTGGAAAGTACACCGTCACTCTTATTCCCGGTATGCTTGATCGCCTTCGGTTTGTCTTGCGGCTTGCGCCTGAAATTTGGTCGCTAATGGATCGCCAGGTGACGGAATTGGTGCCGAGGTCGCCGAGTCGGTCAAGACAATCTTCAAGGCCGACAATGTTCCCATTGAGTGGGAACAAGTTGACGTAAGCGGTGTGGACACCGGAAACAAGCATTCAGAGGAGCTGTTCAAGGAATCTCTGGCCTCTCTCCGACGTAACAAGCTGGGTCTGAAGGGTATTCTCCACACCCCGGTGGAGCGCTCTGGTCACCAGTCCTTCAACGTTGCTCTCCGTCAGGAACTTGACATCTACGCCTCGATCTCTCTGATCAAGAACATCCCCGGATACCAGACTCGCCACAAGGATGTTGATCTCTGCATCATCCGTGAGAACACTGAGGGTGAGTACTCCGGCTTGGAGCACCAGTCCGTCCAGGGTGTGGTTGAGTCCCTCAAGATCATCACTCGGGCCAAGTCCGAGCGCATCGCCAAGTTTGCCTTCAGCTTCGCTCTTGCCAACAACCGTAAGAAGGTGACCTGCATTCACAAGGCCAACATCATGAAGCTCGCCGATGGTCTCTTCCGCAGCACCTTCCACAAGGTCGCAGAGAACTACCCCACCCTGGAGGTCAATGACATGATTGTGGACAACGCCTCCATGCAGGCTGTCTCGCGCCCCCAGCAGTTCGACGTCATGGTTATGCCTAACCTGTACGGTGGTATCCTCTCCAACGTCGGTGCTGCCCTCGTTGGTGGCCCCGGTGTTGTCCCTGGCTGCAACATGGGCCGTGATGTCGCCGTCTTCGAACCTGGTTGCCGTCACGTTGGTCTTGACATCAAGGGTAAGGACCAGGCCAACCCCAGCGCCATGATTCTGTCTGGCTCCATGCTCCTCCGCCACCTTGGTCTCGATGACCATGCCAACCGCATCTCCAAGGCTGTTTACGATGTGATCGGTGAGGGCCAGACCCTTACTCGCGACCTGGGTGGTCGGGCTACTACCCACGAGTTCACCCGGGCTGTTCTGGACAAGATGGAGGCAGCTCTGTAAATATTCTTTGTTTGGAAAATTACCGCACTCCATGATCCCCCCGCCGCTACGCTACGACTGGGGATGAATCTTACTTGACTGGATCCGATTACCAGCCAGCTGAAGAACCATCCTCCATTATGTATTATCTTTCCTTCTATTTAGCTCGCCATTTCCCCGCAAGTTATAAGCAATAGACCCTTTTTTTTGGATTCCAAAGGATATTTCTAGATTGAAAATGGTTTTAGAGACATATTTTGGCCGTACTAGCCAACTCTGTTTGTGCACATGGTACCTCTCAGGTTAATGATAAGAGGCAATTGGTCTGATGCACCAACGGTGTCAACCGAGAGAAGAAGAAAAAACCCCAGAAGAATAATACCTCCAGAGAATGATGGATATCGAAGGTTCGGAAGGTGTTAGGGGCAGGAGGGTATCAAAAGAGAAAAGGAAAAAAAGGAAGAAAAAAGAGAGAGAGAGACAGATGAACTTTTTGAGCATGCCAATGACTGGTCTGCTCCGGCGGCATGAAAAAGTGTTCCAAAAGAAACCATCCAGATGACAATTAGAAGGCCGTACGTCGCTTGCGGCCGGTGTACTTGGAGTTATGCTTCACCACCTTACCCTTCTTCTCCATCTGTTCTTTCTTCCTCATGATCCATGCCCGGTCACCTTTTCGGGAGGGACGGGCGTTGTTCACCTCCATGGCCTTGCGTCTGGCATCCAACACACTGACATCATCCATTCCATTCACAACACCTCTGATATCTCCTTGAAGACCACCACCGCCCACAGTGAGGACCAAGTACAACTTGCCATTTTTGGTACCCGGATCATCTTCGAGCATTCCGGCTCCGAAGCCTGCCTTGATGGCAGCCCCACTAATCATGGTCCGCTGAACATCATTCTTGGGATAGAATTGACAGACTGCTCGTCCACCACGACGGAGACTGGCATAGAGACCCTCGAAAAATCGCTTCAAGCGGCCTTCAGGACTGACGTCGCTAGATTCTGCGTTGCACAGCCACTGGATGGCACTGATACTGATTGCGGCATCGAAAGAGCCTGGCCGAAAAGGTATCCCCTGGCCAATATCGGCAAGAAAGAGATCACCTTCGACCTCGCGTTGCAGAGCCACATCCAGCATGCTCGGTGAAATATCCATGCCCACCCACGTATGTGGCCCACCATCCTCCGGGGACTCTTGCGACAGAATCTCACCCGACAACCCGGAACCACATCCAACATCAAGGATCATGGAAGGAGACTTGAGGTCCAGGAGTTCCAAGGCTCGGTTTGTCATGTCGGCCTGGATATTCCGAATGCGAGAGGATGTTGTGTACTTGCGGGATTCATTATCGTTGTAGAAGAGGTCCGGCGGGCTATTGCGGCACAGAGGCTCTGTTGTTAGTTTTCATGCAAGAGAGAGATAGAGAGAGAAGAAAAAAAAGCAATAAGGAAAAAGGCGAAGTAATTTCGGGGACCTACAGAATATCCTCGGGACGCGACATGATGGGAACTGTGAATGAAGACTCGCGTGAAACAGTTCTGTCAGTTATGTATATGAACGGTATAATTTTTACTTGCAATTTATTTTTAATCCGGAGTGGGGTGTCGGCCTGAGGCATCCAGTTGTCGATCACGTTCGCTTTCAATTGATCGCGTTCGTCTTCCTTTCTTCCACTCTTGATTGTGCCAATTATCATCCCTCTTCAAGTGCCTCATTATGTGGATTCTCTCTCTCGTCGGGTACTTAGGGGTGATCATTGGGTTCGCCTTTCTCACTCTAGCTATCGGTAAGCCTAAGCTTATTTCCTGCCCCCAGTTAGCTCTCATATTGACACGCAAACTAGCTTCGGGACTTTACTATCTGTCCGAGTTGGTCGAAGAGCATACTGTTCTAGCACGCAAGCTCCTAAGCCGCCTCATATACAGTATTATAGTCATCCAGGTTCTACTGGTGATCTTTGACCAATTTCCCGTATGGATCTCCCTACTCAGCATCCTCTCCCACCTGGTCTACGCTAGCAATCTGCGCCGCTTCCCCATCGTCAAACTGTCCGATCCACTCTTTATCCTCTCCTGCGCTCTGGTTCTATTGAATCATTGGTTATGGTTCCGCCACTTTTCGAAGCCGCCCTCGCCATCCCGCCAAGCCGATAACAACTGGCGTCAGCCGTACCAGGTGAATTATGACGATATGCCTTCATTCTCTGAGGTTGCCTCCTATTTTGGGTTGTGTGTCTGGCTGGTTCCATTTGCTCTGTTTGTTAGTCTAAGTGCTGGTGAGAATGTGCTGCCTAGTATGGGATCGGAGTACGCAACTGGTGATCGTGCCTCCAGTGGATTAGGCCATAGACGGGGCACCTCAGATGGCAAGTCTAAAAATAAAGGAATGGCAAAGGCTTTGGTAGATAGTGTGCGGGATTGGGCTCGGGAAAACGGGGAGCTCATGGGCCTATCGCGGGGCGAGCGAACCCAGCGTTTTTGATTTCTGCTTCTCCTTTTTAAGATTGATATATAATGAACTCACGTGAACTTTGCTTCTGCATTTTCGTTCAAAGATTTGGATAAAGACCTTGCAATATATCAGAGAATTATAATGCAGTGATACCAATGTAGATACAAGATATCTTGAGTGCGCTGGGAAATTGGGCATGGAAAGTTGACAAAGAGCCGCGAGCAAGGTATAACGAAAGACCAGGAGTCGAGAAGAAAAGAAATAAATATAAATGGCAAATGGGAGGACGGAAGAAGGGGAAGATGAAAGAGGGAAAGCATGAAAGCAGAAGAAAATTGGGGGTATAACGATAGATCAAGAAAAATGGATCTCAAAGACAGCCCTGGGCTTGTGCCTCATTACTGCGACCTCGTCCCAATTACCATTATCATTAAACATTCCCGTGCGACTCCGCTGGTGCCAATTGGGTAAAGTCGTCATTCTGCGTGCAAATCGTGGTTGGTAAAGAGGCAAAAAAGAAAAAGAAAAGTGGAAGAAAAAAAAATGGGAGAGGAGGAGAGGAGGGGAAAATCATCGATAGTGGAAGAAAGATGGTGGTAAGATCAAGACAGCAGCAGCATATAAATTTAGAATGACTGCTTGGATGATTTGATTATTTATCCTGGTAGAATGAAAGATCTCCCGGGTCTGGATAAAGAGTTAGAGGCATGCCCGCATGGCGGTTCAACTGAAGATACATACTGGATTCCATAAATAGCATTGAGCTCTCTCGCCTCTTTGTCTTAGCTGAGCGAGTGTCATCTGAGCTGGGAGATAACATCCCATTCAATGAACCATAGGAGGCTGAGGGGCCTTGATGTTGACTACTATATGCGTCACTCCTGTAGGCTGGCTGGTCATAGCTGGGTTGTATAGGAGCAAAGCCCGTGTCATGTACGGCTCGGGGATGATCTGAAGGCCCACTGGGTACGTCCCCTGGGCCTCGGAATGACGTCTGGGCGTACGATGGGGTCGGTATATCCGAGAACATCTGATGACGAGGGGAGCGGACGTCATCGGGGGATAGACTATGATCCACCGTTGTTAATTCAACAGTTGGGCCGGGGCCGGAACCAATATCCCCAAAAATGCTATCGAAATCCGTGAGGAACATTGAGAACACCGGTGCTGGAATGTTAAGAGTTGGTGCAAAAACAATGCCAACATTCCGAACGGTCATTTTGTTTACATCGGAGTTGTTGACGATTTCAATCAGGAACAGTGATAGGGCCCGCAGTAGCAAAAGGTTCGGCCTTGGTAGCCGGCTAACCAGAGAGTTAAAGGCCGTGACTTTCTTTTCGCGGTCGTCGAGCTCTATTTAAAGAAGAAAATAAATAAGATAAGCATTTGTCGTAATTTTGGCCATGAGGACTGTCAAGGGGCGAGGGAAAACATACCAAGAACCCGAAGAAAATCTAAATGAAGCTCCCGAGTTAGCACCGTCGTTGGGAGCTCCCGAAGATATTGCTTGAAGAGAGAGGCAACGGCGTGAACATCATAATACTGATCTCCACCAACGAAATCCACGTCACCCTCATTGTTGAAACGCTCTTTTAATGCCTTGATCACAACATTGGAGCCGCTCAAGCGGAAGATTCCTTCTTCCAACGCTGCGCCCTTGGAATGTAGATATTCGATGCAGCGATATACGACAGCCGGTAACTCCACATCCACTCCGAGTGGAGCACAGTACTGGACAGCCTCTGCCAACGGAATGCCGAATACAGGCCTGATAGGATCCTTGCGTTCTGCTTGAACAGCATTATTTGCCGCAGCCAGATCATTGACAGTTGGGGCCTGTGATGACAGATCAAAGGAAGACCGGGTGCGGAAACCCCAAATACTGCGTTTCTTTTCCTTGGTTGACATCGTAGTTTTGTTACCCCAGGCCCCAACATCCTGGATCACAGTTCCATTGGTAGGTCCCGAGATGGTCTTAGGTGATTGCAACGGTGGCTCGGTGGGGGATTGGCTTAGGTCCCGGAATTCAGTCGAGAGTGCAGCCGGCATACGCGGTGATCTAGGGGCGTGTTCAATAGAGGAACCAAGAATCGGAGGCTCTGCAGCAATGGTGTCATCGAAGCTGAATCCTTGAACCGAGGCCGCAACTTCCTGGTCGGGGCTTTCAACACCCCTAGTCAACTTTCTGCTCGTGCTGTTGGGTAACGACTTAGTTTTGCTGCCATTCCCTGAAGGTTGTTGCTGTCTCCCCTGGGTCTGGTGCTGGCTCTTGGTGGATGGACTTCCTCGACTATCGTTGTCCGAGGAGGCGCTCTCAACATACTCCATCAAAGCCTCAACCCATTTGTCCCGCTCATCATCGCTCTCAGCGCAAAGCACATGTCTGACGAGGGCTGATGAGTCTTTCCTCTTCGGCTCCAAAACGAGAAAGGCGTGGCGATATTGATTATCGGCATCCTCGTCAGTTCCTGGAGGAGAACTGCTCTGGCTGCTAGAGTTCTGTGATTGCTTGCCGATTTGAGCATGGTGCAGCTTGATAGTACCCATATGAGGGCCGCCGGGCGACTCAAAGTATTTCAGCTCCGGTCCATGCAGAATGAAGTACCGCGCCTTCCAGCCGCCAAAGTTCTTGCCTCTTTTCGTCAGGTAGCCCTCTTTTCGGGGCCTTCCATCAGAATCTTGAGGCATATCAAGCTGCGCCGAGCCATTGCTTTTGAGCAAGCTAGTCTCATCATCACGGGGTTCGATTGAGTCGTTGGTGAGAAATTGACAGATGACCAAGGCGGCCTTTTCGTCCATGGGTGTATTCAGCAAGCTGTCAAAGTATGAATTCAACGCAGCACGTCGGGCGTCTACTTTGGCAGGAGAATGCCCGCTGAAAATGCTGCGGTCCGGTAATTTTCCCGAAAAGGCAGCTAGCTGGTGAATTTGGTAGTCTAGCTGAGGTAAAGATGCAATGACCTTTTCAACTCGCCAGAGTTCTGACATCTCAGCACGGGATATCACGCTAAGTGTAAAAACAGGCTCCTCCTCAAGGGGTTTTGAAGCCATATAACTATTCCTGGAGGGGCGAAGTCGAGAAGAAGAAACTTGGACTTGAATCACAGGAAGAGCATTGGGGGGTAGCAGTAACCCCGGGTAGTCGTCTGAAACCAAGCCCTGGTAGATACTAGGCCCCAGAGATCGCAGAGATCTTGGGCTGTCTATCTTTACGGCAGGATCAATTGTCGGTATTGGAGCAAACTGAGCTGGGTAATTTCCAGCTCGCGGGGACAGAGGTAAACCAGGTAGATTCGTGCCTGCGGTGATGGACTGGTTTGTCATGGAGTTGATGTCTCGAGGCATACGGGGTAAAGGTGAACCGAGGGGTCGATCCTCTGGCCTTGGGCTCAATGGGAGACCGGGGCTTTTGGGGTTAGGGAAGCTCGGACGTCCATTCAGAAACGAAGAATTGGCTCGGGGGTTGAGAATGGAACCGAGGGAGCCAGTTGCGCCTACAGTTGGAGGCGATCTCGTGGCAAGCTCACGGGGAACAGTTGCCGGGCTAGCAGACGTAGCCGTGTCCCGGGAGGAATGAGAGGATCCGAACTTGGCTGTGCTTATGGAACCCTGGGGATCTATCTCTTTTTGGGTGGTCACTTCCCGGTCTCGATCATCTTCCTCTCGAGTCTTTCTTCTTCCGCGATCTAAGCTTGATCTTTCATCCTGGGAATCACCATAATCAGATTCCGAGTCCAGGTCCCCGTGCACTCTGTGAACATTATCATTTGGTAACCGTAAGTCTAGAGGCGCCGGTGGAGGCTTGCGACTCGGGTGCGGGTGTTTCTTCCCATCAGTTTCAACCGCAGACGACACATCGCCGGTGGGATTCAGACCAGTGCTTTTAAGAGGCATTCGAGACGCAACTTGAGCTGGCACGCTAGTTTGTTGTGAGACATGTCTATGCTCGACAGTTGGTCCGGGTAGAGTTTGCTGAGTATGCACCGCTCCAGCTGATCCAGCCAGTGGATTTGTGGGATCCGTGGTTGGTATTGGAGGTGGAGAGTCCTGAAGCTCTTTCAATTTCTTCTTATACTTTTCCTTTTCGTTGAAGGCACGCTCGAGGTCCTTATTCAGACCCAAGATAAGAGTCCTTTGTTTGTCGACTAGTTTCCAAAGTTGCGAATTCTGGGAGGCTGCTTGGTGCTTCTCCCTCAGGAGGTGTACAATGACGGCCTCCGCCGAACCGGCTGCATTGATGAGATTGCTAATATCCGTTGGACTCAACGCATTGGCGTCAAATGCAGATTTCTGAGATGCCGATGACAAGGAAGATATCGCAGAATCAATCGACGACGTACGGGGCATGATGCGGTGTGTTGGGCGATCTCCGGGAGCCGACAGTATAGAGCTCACAGACGAGGAAGCGGAACGATCAGGGTCAGTCGCACCAGGCGGTTTTGAAATACTGCCATCGCCGGAGCTTGGAGCATTGCCCGGCTCCATACCCATCATGTCTCGCGACTGGGGGAAATTTTGGGCAAAGTTCGAGGGTGGCGCCGGAAATGGTGCATTAGCTATACGAGAAATGGGCGACCGGTTCTGGGATGGGGAAGGATTGGCGCTGGACCGTGGTGACAGTGGACTCTGTGACGAGGGAGAATCCTGCATGCGTGCCTTTGGGAGAGAAGTGGTGTGCAATGGTGATGGTGAAATATGCCGAGAGCCAGGAGCGCCGGGGCGCGAAGCCACCTCGGATCGCGCGCCTAGGTAGTCGCGGGGAATAAGGCCGTTGGAAGGCGGGTATTGGGAAGGTTGGCTCTTGCTGAAACCTGGCGCGTCGTCCTCACTGCCTCGCCACTGGGACATCGTTTCACACAGGGATCAGCATCAGGGGGGGTGGGGGGGAGGGTTGGGCAAAGACCCGAGGGGAGTTGGAAGGAGAGGGCGGGTCCCCGGGAAGCTGGGAAGCTTAATAAAAAAGCAAGAAAGGGGGTTCAACTGAGTGAGATCGACCTGGGATGAAAGGGCACAAAATCAAAAGAGATTATAATTATAGGACTTGATCATTGAAACCAGTTCTTGTTTTTTTTCCCCCCTCCATTAACTTGTTTCTTTTCCTTTCAAAGGGTTAAGAAGAGTAGAAGGCAAAAAAAAAAAAAAAAAAAAAAACCCTGGAATAGGGAAATTAGTAGAGGAAAAGGGGGAAAGAGAAAGGCTCAATTGCTTATGGTTATTGCTGGTGTTTGGTGGAGCCCATGACGATCCCTCATGACAGCTGTAGAAACCCATTTTTATAAGACCTCGGGGTGATCTGTGATCTATTGAATTTAGGGCTTAATTTGACTCTTCCACTCTTAAATCTATAGATCTCTGAAGTAGATAAAATATAGATTGATATATCTAGGTATATGTATTGATATGTATTGATATGTATTGACATGTATACGTTTTTAGATATATACTACTAGTATATGTATTCACCTTTGCCCCCATGCAGAGCACGAACGTGCATACGTACCTACTAGTATGTATTTGCAAGCACGTTCCATACGTCTCTCAATACATAAGATTAAGATTTATGTAATGAGTCGCGATGGACAGGCCACTGGGTATCCAAATACCCTACAAAAGCACCTGAACAGTACAAGCACGGTGTAAGATAATCATAGTCTAGGTAGAGCTCAATGGTCCAAATGTCCAGGATAATTGGCCAAGCTCTGGAGGTTGTAGTTAGTAGTTTTTTTTTTTAAAAAAAAAAACTTCCAGAGTAGTGAAGGTGGACTTCCATATCCATGTATTAGAAGATAACAACCGCAATAACGAAACCCGTGGGAATGTCCCAGACTCCACATAATGCAACCCTAATGGCTATGATACATGGGGAAAAGAAGAAAAGGAGAAAAAAAAAAAAATCAAACAAAATGAAAGGAAAAGAAACAAAAGACCCCATTCCCAAGCGCCAGATGGTATCGATCTAAATTGAACGGCCATTCAAATTTACATAAAATCATGCGATATTGCCCGCCATTCCCATGAAGATGGCCTGTGCCGCCAGCTGGAGAGACCAAAACCCTACTTTCTTAAATCGTCGTTTGCGGGCTTCATCATCCACAACATCCCGAGCGAAGGCATCATAGGTCTAAAGGAGATAAGTCAGCTTGAAATTTTTTTTTTCGAGGGAAAGCTCGTTCTTTTCTTGGCTTTTCTTTTCTGGTATAAAAAAGAAAAATAAAAAGACCAGGGCAGACGGGGATCGGAGAGGTGGTTCAATGACTTACGGCAGCTGACAGGTCGTCCATCAACCCACTGTCAAATACGGTCCAACTACCATCGAAATCACATGCACGCTTGACAAGACGGCAATTGATCGGAATGAAGGTACGTTTTGAGTTGATATAAGCAACAATTGGGCGAATAAGGGCGTTGTTGATATAGGAGAGATCCCGAGTAAAAATGGGAACAGCGGCACGAACGTTGTTCATCTGAACTCGTAGGTCCATCATTAGGAATCGCTTATCAACCTCGGAAACAGTTTCGAGATCAACGTCAGCTTGCCGGCTCAGAGAGTCTGAATCATGGTTGGAAGTCATGGTGGCTTCGAGTCGATCATAGAAATCGGCCATCACCTTCGCTAGGCTCTCATCGTTTTCGGCAGGGAACATGATGTCGGATACAATGTCCACGGTGCCCTCATGGATCCAGGAGAACGGCCCCTGGACACCGCGATTCAGATGATCAACATTAAGCCCATCAACACGAATTCTGCTATGCTTTTTCCACGGATTGGGTTTGCCATCCTCCTCGGTACCATCATCCCACCGACCGCCTGTAAAGCCATTGGTTTGACGCGGGTGGATAGTGAACAGAGAATTATCAAAGGAGCCCGACATCATATTAGCGGACAAAAAGTCGTAGAATAGCCACTGCTTTCGCAGTTGGGGGAGGTCGCAAGAGAATATGCTGACAGAAAATGGTCGGAAGTTGTCAGGTTGATAGACAGTCACCAATACATCATGCATCTTGAACGAATCAATTTCAAAGTCACCGGGGTGGTGCTCGTGTCGGTAGGACTTGGGGTCAAGATCTTCTTCCGGCCAGAAAACATGCCGACGATCGATAATACCTCGGATTCCCTTGACTTCCACGTCGCGTAACGGACCTTTTCCATTCAACCACTTTGTGAAAGACAGTGTCACATTCACGGTTTCAAGTGATACGTCAAACTGGGTGTAATTGGTATCCTCTTCTTCAGACGCAAGTGAATCCTCAAGCCCGGGCTCGCCTCGGGCTGCGGCTGCGGCGGCTGCGGCGGCAGTCTTTGAGGAGCCTTTACTGACGTGACCGGTACCTTGACCTGGCCGCCTTGAAACAAAGACATTTTTGAATGTAATAACCCCATTCTTCCACTTGGGCACAATGGCGGACTCAAAGACAACCTGGACACCAGAGGACTTGGTCAGGTAGTTGCCTACCCATCCGGCCAAGGTTTCTGAAAACTGATTAGCACTGGGGGGGGGAGGGGTTGAATGATAGAAAACCAATCCACTCACCTTGAGCAAAGACAGTGTTGATTGCCAAGATCAAAAGGGAAAAGAAAGTTGTCGTTCCCACCACAACCCATACAATATGGCCTAGGAGAACCCAGGAGAAGAATGCTGTTATCTCATCGAGATTGAAGGGTCGTACGCTTCGTATCGAGAACCACTTAAATCGCACCTTGAGGCGCGACCAGAAGCCAGTCGCTGCTGCCAAAAGCTCCTCTTTTGTTGGTCGGTGTAAATGCGGTATATGAGGTAGGCGATCCATTAAATGGCGGTTGGAGGGACGTGCGAGATGCGGATCATGCGGTGGCAGCTTCGGAGGAGCATTTTGTGTAGTGGAGTTGGTGTCTTGGACACCTTGGGAAGAACCATCGCTTTTCGGGGTCTGATGACCATCGGAAGAGCTTGGAGTATGCTGACTATCTCTTGGTGTATGAAGGGCTCGCTTCCATAGATAGCTTGCTGATATCGTTTTGGAGGTTATGATGCACGCCGCACTAGTTTCTGCGGCAGCGGAACTGGGAGAGACGAGGACGAGGAAGCCACCGGAAGCAAATCGTCTAGTTAATTGGGTAGATTTCCCAGCTGGTGTGGAGAACCGCCGCGGACCAGCCACGAACGAGTCGAGAAGCTTCGCTGAGGATGCGTCGGCGGCGGATATGCGATTTGGTCGTATGCGGCCGAGAAATGGATGGGTCGATTCCCAAAATTGGGTGCAAAGCCGACGTCCGAAGTTGGCGGACATTTCTAAATTCACATCCTGTGAGGGGTTACAGGTAGTCGTAAGAAGGAGGAATGAAGCTCAAGCTTCGGTGACTTGGAGAACTCGAGAAACTGGAACTGGGAAAGATGAAATCATCCGCTGTTTGTGCTGTTTGCATAGGGAAAAATCGGGCCGCCCACAACTTCTTTTGGTAGAGGGGCGATTAAATTTTGCGATAACAGATTCACCTTTTTTTTTCTTTTCTTATTGATTTTACTTGCACGAACATTCACACACAATGCCTGCCCCAACTGCTGTTATTCAACCGGTGGAAGCTACAGGACTTCCAGTGGCTCAGTTTTCTGGTAATTTTTGTACTACCTAAGTAGCATAATTTGAGGTCTTTTTGACATGCGCTAACTCCATTGATAAGGCCAGGACGATGAAGTTTTAATTGATGCCCAGGCGGAGCTCGACGTGTCCAACCCCGTGGAAAACTCGCCCGAAGACAATGAAATGCGCATCGACGAAGAAGGCCGCCCTGTCTTCACCCCCGCAAAGGAAACCAGCGCCGCCTACCGAGTTGAAAGTCGCAAGGTACCGGTTCCACCTCACCGTATGACACCCCTCAAAGCGAACTGGACCAAGATCTGCCCTCCGATCGTCGAGCACCTGAAGTTGCAGGTGCGGATGAACGTCAAGAGCCGCGCTGTCGAGTTGCGAACCTCCAAATTTACGACCGATGTCGGTGCGTTACAGAAGGGTGCAGATTTCGTCAAGGCGTTCACTCTCGGCTTTGATATTGATGATGCGATCGCTCTTCTACGACTGGATGATCTCTATATCGAGACTTTTGAGATCAAGGATGTGAAGACGCTGACCGGAGAGCATCTGGGCCGTGCGATTGGCCGAATTGCTGGCAAGGACGGGAAGACTAAGTTTGCTATCGAAAATGCCAGCCGGACTCGCGTTGTCCTCGCCGATGCGAAAATTCACATTCTTGGTGGATTCAAGAACATTCATATAGCACGAGAGGCCATTGTTAGCCTGATCTTGGGTAGCCCTCCAGTAAGTTTACACCACGCAGGGCTTCACGAAGCAATTTTTCTAATCCCCAATTAGGGCAAGGTTTACGGCAACCTTCGAACGGTGGCTTCGCGCATGAAGGAGCGTTTCTAGTCACCTCCTCTTTAAAATTCTCCTTGGCATGGTATGGGCGTTTTGGTGCATTCAAGTGTGGGCTTTTTTAAAAAAGATACTGTATCCGAGTGACGATGTCTAAGAACACCATTTACAGAAAGTTATTTTATGTTACCTTGAGTACAAATGAACAAATTAGGGATATGTTTTCAAACAAAAAAAAGATTCCATAATTGTCATATGTAGGAGGTTGTCTTCGGTTAAGAAGGAAATCAAAAAACCGCTCTCTAATCCTTCTTCAATGGGTGGAAAACTTCCTGAATTCCTTCCCGGGTGATAATCATCATTTGAAGGTGATCACCGACCTCGATATGCCGCTCAACTGCGCTTGTGAATGCATCCCGCACCAATTGCTCGACGGTCGTCTGGGGCAAAGGTTCGGCCTTCTTTTGCTCCAATGCATGGCCCTCTCCGCTGCCAGGGATGTATTGATTCTTGAAGTTGACCTGGTTGTCCAGGAAGGGCATAATCAAACTTGCCGCTGCACCGGCCGCTCGGCATTGCTCCCGTTCGTATGAGCCCACAGGGTCATAGCTGTACAGAGCGCCCTTGCCTTCCTCGTCCAGACCGCTCAAGATGGCGGTTACGTAGTAAGGGAAGAACCGCTTCTGGTATAGGATTGTGGATAGTCGCTGTGCACAGGCAGAAACAGACATGGGTTTCCCATGCTGGTACTTGTACATCTTCACCACGGCATCCAGTCGTTCCTTTAGAGCATTGCCATCCGCAGCGAAGCCGACCACAGATAGAACAATGTGAGCTCCTTCGCCGGTCTCATCATCACCGCCGATCTTGAAAACCTTGGGAACCATCCGAGAGTTGATATTGTAGCCTGATGTAGAGCGGGTGTCGCCAGCAAGGATAGCGAAATCGGATCCAGTGATGCCTAGGGTCGAGCCGCCGTTGTCGGTATATCTAATATTATCATGAGCTTCAGACATTCAAATCAACCCAGTATAGGTATATTACTCACGGGTAGAATCCATGTTGCTTGACAGGGGCAGCTGTTGGTTGGGAGAAGGAGTAGCCGATACCCTCACCACCAGCCGGGTGACCCAGGAGCGACGTCATTTTGAAAGATGAGATGTATCAGGAATGAATATTTGCCGCAAAGGAGGATGTGGAGCTGACAGGAAGGAGAAAGAAATCAAGAATTAGTTGAGAGTTGGACTTGAGGAGGAGGAGAAAGCTAGGTTAATCTTCTACGCACGATGTCTGACGCGATGCGGTAGCTGCCTCTCGCTTATGTAATACTTTGTGCCAGGCGGTGTCAACCGCGGAAGCTTGACGTTGATCGGACTTGAATGCCAGCTCTCAAATTTACTCAAGGATAGTTTTACAAGAGAGTTTCTTCCTTTGATTAACATTTGCTTCTAATACTGCCATAGCGCCTTGATTTTAGGCAAGATAATCTTACCGACGAGAATTAAGCCCTAGACCACATCATGCTCGGTCTTAGTGCGTATGATAGCAGCAGCGAGGAAGAAGCTGAGACCAGACCTTCAGCACCTCAGGTACGATCTACCTGGAATTATGGGATATCGAAATGTGAAGCTAAGACGCGATTGTACAGCCAAGGAAACAATCCCCCGGGGCCTCGCAGGCTGACCAGATCAAAGGTGATACCTGCCACAAAGCATGAATCTGCAGCCAATTGGTCATTTTGAAGCTGATTTACATTCTTGACTTCAAACAGGCCACAATACAGCTGAGGTCCCTCTAAATCTACTTCAAACGGGTTCGAACACCACGGATGAAATCACAAGTGGCCCTGTCCTAGGCCCGGCTTCTATGAACACAGCCCCATCCCCGGAAGAGCAATCAGCAGGCGGCCGAACTTCTCCATTTTCAACATCGCGAGCTTTGATCCAGGACTTAACGCTACCCCCTGTACCCAATCTGGATATCCCTCCCTCCCCACCAGGATCCCCCGACCCTGCCGCAAATGCCAAATTCGAGCGCTTTCTTTCTCTTAAGAATCAAGGCGTTCACTTCAATACAAAACTGGCAAGCACAACGTCCTTAAAGAATCCGAGCTTGTTGATCAAAATGATGGAACATGCCGGGATTGATGAGCAGGCACAGTATGATACGTCCTTACCATTGGAACTCTGGAACACCTCCACTCTACCTCCTTGGGCGTTTAAGGAAGAGCTCCTCCGGGCCCAACAGGAAGCTCGGCAGAGGATGGAAGATAAGAAGTCATCTGGACAGAGATCCTCTATTGAGTTTGTCTCCGGGTCTCCTACAAACCGACCCGCTTCTAGCATGGAGGCAAAGAGAAAAGGCAACCCATGACCGAGCAAATTGACACTAGCTCTAAGACAATTTCCTTCGCAAAATCTAGCCCGAATTCTGTCTGGATAAATCTGCAGGCTAATGATGAGCCGGGGCTTAATGAATATGCTCGGGCTTTGTGGCTGTTGATACTACATCTTCTATCGCTCAATGCAGCAAATGTCATTCCCCAACAGCCAAGACTCTCTCTAGGGAGGCCCATCGAGAACATTATCTTGATGGCTTATTGGTCGGCTTTCACATTTCAAAAAAATGTCATGTTTTCAAATATGGCAATGCAAGAGCAGATTAATGGGTATTACACATAGTACATACATACTACACGCCACCATGGCGATTCTCTTGCATCCTCTTATGCCCCTCCGGCTGCGGCAGCAGCTTGCCGGTTACCACGCTCGAACTTCTCATATATGCTTATATAGGAAAGCAAGATCATTGTATCAAACCACTCCCCGTGCTCCTCCTTGATCTGCAATCTCCCACATTGGCCAATAGACCGCTTGTTGGTGAATACTGCAACCAGATCACCGCTTTTCTCATCGACCAGCTTGAAATTCCGAGAGCTCCATGATGGCTTTGCGTCACCGACTCCCACCGAGCGTGTTCGCTTCCAGAGAAAAGTGCGTCGATGATGCTCGTGGGCACCCTCATAACGATGTGGCACGTTCACTTCAAAGCGATAACTTTGGTGAATCCATGATACCCTCGTCATATCCTCCCATTGTACATTGTTCACATCATCAGGGTCTCCCAAGGCCAACTTGAAGTGACCGGAGAGTCTGCCAAGTCTGCTAGCTGCCACCACAGGTGCGTTGGCGCTGGCTCCTCGGTGTAAGGTGAGATCAGGCTTAGCGTGTATGAAATTGGACACCTCTCCGAAGTATAAGAGCTGGTTTGCGGTAGACTTGATTTCATAATGTCGTTTCCACCTTTTCCGATAGATAACGTAAACATGCGATGAATTCTGTTCGTCTAGTTCCGGATGGAGAGATTCACTCGACTCGGAACGAGTCAGCTCCAAGGCCATGTTGTTATGTGCAGATCGCAAAGGAAGAAGTTGGAAGTTTGAAGTGGATTCTTGCACCAGTACTTGAGGCCAAGAGGGGGGCCAAGGGCTCACATTTATGTCTACTACGGAGTTCCCTGATCAACTGGGATAATATTGAACGTGCGGATACGAAGCTTTGAACGAAGGCTGAGCATATATGTAGTTTTGTGGCTCTGCCAATAAGAGTGGCGCCTCGAGCACCAAGCGAATACGAATATGACCAGATTGGGTCAGATATCGCGAACGTCTAAAGAAAGGGATATTGTAGTATTTTATATGTACTAGTATTATGGTAACTGAGTAAAGCCACCTGGCGCAATTTGGAAAACCCCCCCCCAAAAAAGTGTTGATCAAAGACCACCTGACCCCTTCATACTAGAAAATATCGTCAATCTAATTCAATCATCTTCTTACCTGTTGGTTAGTAGTAGATTGAAAAAAGGTGAAATCAATCCAATTTGTGCTTAGTCACCCAGAGCTCCGTCAGCTTCGCCTGCCTAAGCTCCGTGCATCGTCATCGTTCAATCCCTACGTTACCACTCTCTTCATCTTCACTGCATTATCTTACTCTGTCCGCGGATTTATTGCTCTCGGATTATTCTCAGACTTTCTTGATTGATAATGGACCACTTCCCAGGAACTTGGGGTCGAGTAAGGACTTCCGGCCACAACCCATCCGCTTCGTTGCTAACAGCACATTGCAGCCCAGGAACGATGTTTACGGCGCCTACAACCCCGCATATCTTCAGACCACGGGTCCTAAGGCACACACTTCATCACCAGCAGTGACAGGAACGTCCGTCATTGGTGTGAAGTTTAACGGTGGTGTTGTTCTGGCTACCGACAACCTAGGTACGCGGACCCCCCCCCCAGCGTCCTGCCTCAGATCAAATCCCTAACCCTCTCCATTCACTTACACAGCTTCCTACGGATCCCTCGCACGCTTTACCGACGTCAAGCGCCTGCGTGTCTTTGGCGACAACGCTGTTGTCGGCTTCGGTGGAGATGTGTCCGACATGCAATACATTGACCGTTTGCTCGAATCCATCGATATCAGAGAGAACTACTCAACCCACGGCAACATGCTCAATGCCAAGAACCTGCACACTTATCTTGCCAAGGTCTTCTATAAGCGACGCTCTGAGTTCAACCCATTGTGGAATCATGTCCTTGTTGCCGGCTTCGACGCGGATGGTAAGCCATTCCTCAGCTCAGCCGATCTCCTGGGCACCACCTTCTCTGCTCCCCACCTGGCCACTGGATTTGGTGCTCATCTCGCCGTTCCAATTCTGCGACGACGGTTCCCCGAAGAGATGCCCATTGAAGATATCACCCGGGAGGAGGCAGTGTCGGCCTTGAAGGACTGCTTGAAGGTCCTCTTCTACCGTGATGCCCGTAGCATCGACAAATATTCGATAGCAGTCATTACTCAAGAGGGTATTGATCTGAAGGAGGATGAGCAGATCGAAGGACAGAGCTGGGCATTTGCAGAGAGGATTAAGGGATATGGTGCCCAGACAAACTAATGCCCGCTTTGGTTATGGGGTTTGTTCCACACTTGATAGTCACTCTCACATGAAAGAATTTGATGGATTTGAACGATTGCAAAACCAGTTGCCAGTTCTTTTGGCACACTTAAGCCACAGTAGGCCATGGTGGTAGATATCCAAATCTGTGGCACCTCTTTGAGACAGGTAGATTGGGTCCCCCATCTATCAATCTCTTCGCTTGTCACGTTTCAAGTTTAAACTGGCTCGGAATCCATGTTTCCTTCCTATAGGTTAAATCCTGCCCAGTCCCGCCTTGGATTCCAATGTATACGAATTAAATCACGACGGGAATCAAGGTCCACATGGTCTAAAACGATCACGGTGAAGCCGACCTACTTGAAAAGGTAATCTAGAAAAACGCGCCTGGGATACAGCATTGAACCTTACGCAAGCCATGGCCTAGCCTGAAGTGAGGGTGTTGAAAGCGGTTAATAAGCGGGTTCCATGTCTTTGAACTACATGTATATGTATGGGATGGATTCAAATGTTAGCTTGATCAGTTAGTATGTTACAAGCCCTGAAAAATTATCTTTACTTGTCTTGACTTATGTTTATATAAACCCAGACTTTCTCTTCAAAATTTGAAATCTTTGACCGAATATCTCCATTTTATCATTCTGGCAAGATATCCTCCAGAAATGAGATCATCACGCGATTGATGCCGGATTGATACCCTTTGGATTAATTATCATATTCAAAATGCTTACTCTTGCCTCCTACCACATTCTGCTAGGTATATGTACTAGGTATTTGGTAACTGTTTACCATATTGTTTGATGTCATATTCTACAGCCCTTTCCAAAGTCTTGTATCCTGACCCTGTTCCTCGCATGTGACATACCAACAGCTATGGGACTAGTAGACTCTCTCTCCCTTGCAGTTTGTCCCAACCACGCTAAACCACGCGGTGAAGAGGTTGCGCGCTGGCAACTTGAAGCTGCAGGTGTGGCCCACATGCACAATTCAAAAACAAATAAAATTTTTTTTTAAAAAAAAGATCCAAGAATCGATTATTTTGTCTTCATAAAAATCATCAACTGTCAAGGCAAATTGAACATTGAAATACACGCCCATATAAATTTCAACCAGAACACCCGTATATCGCCAAGAAAAGAAAAAAAAAAAGGAGAAGCGAATAAATAATCCAAAGAAAGTGTGGAATGACAAAATCAAACGAGGGTATATCCATTCCAATTCAACAGACTCCATCCAAAGCACCCATGAGATTCCAAATTCAACGCTTGACACCAACTTTTGTGAAAACAATTCCAAACAATAAAACTCCATTGAAATGAAAAGAGAAATGAATACCGCATATTAGGCAAGGAAAAATGGAGAAGTCGTCATATGAACAATGTGCTGTGGACGCGCTTTTGTAAGCTTGCGAGGGCGGTGGCCCTGGCTACGGCTGCGGGGCCGGCCTCGGGGCTCAGCAAGAGGAAATTCTTTGTCACGTTCGTCTTCATCTTGAACCTGATCCGGAGACAAGATTGTCGGCAGAGGTGGTACTCCAATACCAGGTCTTTGGCTCCACACTCGACCACTTCGTCGGCTTCGGGATCGAGAGTGTAAGTCGCATTTCTTGTTTCCACTGAGTTGCTGTTCGGAAGCAGATCGACGTATGTGAGACTGAACTTCTGCACTAAGCCTCTGTTGAGAGCCGTTTGTTGGCTCTGGTGTAGCCGATGATCGTGAGCTATATGAGGTCCCGAGGGTGGTAACGGAATAACGATCCGCGTGGAAATGCATTTTGCTGGAATCTTCTTGGGAAGCAACGGGAAATGTGGACTTGATCGTCTCCATCACAAGGTCCTTTTGGGTGGGATATTCTGTGGACCGAGGAGCACATAGTGTAGATCGGCGAGTCTTCGGCCCAGGTCGTAATTGCGCACTCGCACCATTGTTATCATACCAGCGATTTGAAGTAGGATGGGGCCGAGAGTAATTCCCAAGTCTGGTTTGAAGCTGGATCTTTTCATCTGCAGTGTAGGACACCGACGTTTGAGAGTCAAAGGACGTCCTGGTTCGACTCCCTGGATTCGAACGAAGTGAAGTCGCGGAACTGTAACCACTATCGGACTTGTTGAGTGATCGAGAGGTGCTTCGATCCAATTCAACTTGGGTAGGAAACTTCTCAAGCTGGCTTTCATCACACATGGCAATACCTTCATCTTCCAACTCCCTTGGCATGGTTTCCTCTCGCGGAGGGACGGTGATTGTAGGTGACTTCACGAAGGAAAATGGGCTCCCTGGGGTATCATCCGACTTCTTCATGTCAGATACCGAGCAAGGCTCCAGTATTGCTGGACTTGTTTGAATAGCTTCCAGGCCAAGGCCCGGGCCAACCATAGATCGCTTGAGGGGAACACGTTCGCTCGGGCATGGGGAGGCAGAGCCATTGACCACTCGCAGAGAGCCAAGCTTCAGTGCCCCAAGTTGAGTGTATCGAGCATCTGCGGGACTGGTGGGCCGTGCCGGAGGTGCTGACCCCAGTGGGGGCCTTTGCTGCGGTGGTAGGCGCCAGTTCAGCAGAGTGGATTCTGAATCATCCATCTCGGGTTCCCCAATAGGTGATGGCATGCGTCTAATCGCACCCGTGGTCCGTCGAGTTGCCACTCCAGGGCGTGTCAGTAAAGACCTCCGACGGGTTAATGAGAAACGTTGATTTCCCACCAAGAAATGCGTATTGGAGGAAGTTGCATCTTCCATTCCGTTGTCATATAGAACACTGGATTGTCGCTGGAGACTGACTTGGACCGAATTCGCCCGCCTGGGCCGTTCTGGGGCAGTTGAAGAGGAGAAAGTTGGCGATATCACTGTTAGGCTAGCTCGTTTCCCAGGCGAGGCAGATGATAGAGAGCTGGAGCGCGGTAGTAAGGAACCACAAGGCCAAACTGATGTCCGTGTCGTTGGTTCTGCTTCCACCAGTGTCGGAGGGATATGGCTCGCTTTTGAATGGGGAACGCTCTTCATCTCGGAGATAGTTGAGCCCACCCATGGATTCTGCCATCCAATCAACCCGGAGGTTAACTCTGGAGTTTCATATTCGGATCGTGAAGGATGCTGGGAAGCTAAATTGAACTTCTTGGTCAAAGGTTTAGGGAGGCGGTTAGAACGGCGATTGTCGTTCTTAGTCGAAGTGGATTGGAGATTGCCCATGGCTCTTCAGCGGTGGTTGCTAATATTCTTTCTTTCTTTTCCCCCAGACTTCTGCTTCTTAAAGGAGCCAGCACCACATGGGGGTGAGGATCAAAGTAATATACAGACTTGACCAGTGCGGGGAATGATCCACGAGACTGTGATGGACCTGCTATAGATCGGAGGAAGGGTGACGTCAAGCCACGCTCCGGTTGCTGAGGGATTGATCCGAGCCCCAGCTCGTACGCCCAGGTTGGATTGGGAATTGAACGTGCGATTGGCGGCTGAGAGATCTCCGCACGGAAATGATGGGAGCTAGACTGTTGTTTCAGATTGGATGAGCTCCACGATCGGTTGGCTCGGGAGGCACAAAGAAAATGCCAAAGGTTACGTCAAAAGGGCAACTCTTGTTTTTGTGAGGAAATGAGTGGGTTCTTTCTCTCTTTTGTCCCTTTGATTGTTCCCCTCTTTTTTTCGCTTGTTCTTTGGTTGTCGAGATCAACACTTTTTTTGCTCTTTTGCCGATGGGGATTCTTGTCGTATATTGCCTTTTGAGTGGTTTTTTTTTTGTTTTTGTTTTTTTTTGAGAGTTTCTTTTATGATAATTTTGGTTGCTACTTCCTGAAGAGATTCAATTGGGTGAATTGTGCCCCAATAAGTTGATAATGCCGGACAGGGGCCAAGATTTAGATGTATGTATAAAGGTGAAACAAGGCAATATGTAGAAATGAAGGAAGAAAGCAAATGAAAGGGATTATAAAAAGGTAAAGAACCAAAGACAACAGCCGAATGCGTTAAGAAACAAGGAACACGCATACTAAAGTACCATCAAGGTGAAATCAACTTGTCAACTGCAAGCGGAAAAAACAACAGAAAACGCCAAAAAAGAAATCATAAGAAATCGAATTAAAAACAAAAAAAGAAGAAGAAAAAGAAAAAGAAAAAAAAGAAAAAGAAAACAGATCAGATCAGCTGATTGGCCCGGCATTAGCCGCAAGCGGGTGGGCTCAGGTAATGGATACTTGGGATTACTAGTGGTTTACTATGCATCACAAAGTACCTGCGACTTGAATTGCCTCCCATTGACCCAATAATATCCCCGCCTTCATCCACGACCTGATGCAACGAAAAAAGAAAAAAGGGAGAAAAGAAAAAAAGGGGGAAAAAAGAAAAAAAAAGAGAAAAAAAGAAGAAGAAAGGGAAGCTTAACCTTCCAACAACTGCATTGTACCTTTTCCGTCTTCGGCATTTCCCCAATATACTCTGGAACTCATAGTAGACCTACAGGCTACTACTAGTATGTACCACGTAAGCCACCGAAATCATTTAACCTACTCCTGCTAACTCCTGCTACTACTTATTACTATACACTACTTGCACTCCGTCTCTAATAGACAAATCTCTCTCCACTTTTCCCTCCCCACATTCTCTTATCCTCCCTTTCCCCTCTTCCCAAAAAAAAAAAAAAAACCTGCAACCGGACGTGGTTAACAAGAAAGTGGGGTTTCAGAATGGCACTATCCGCCTTTCCATTTCTATTGCCGGCCGAATTCGAGAGCGCCTGTCGAGATCTGGCCGATCGCTGCACTTCAGCCCAAAGTACTGGGGGTTGGTTCATTCGACCCGTGTCACAGGTAAGCTCCCCATCTCCTCCCTTGCCTAGTACATGCATGTACCTGGTAAAATAAGAAAGAAAAACAGAAATCCTTCAATAACCAGAGCTTTTCTGGACGTATGATGGAAATTCGACATCTGATGTAGATAATATTGATCATGATTTGAACTAGACAAGCCCTAGCCTTCGCATAACACGATACATGGATGTCCAGACCGACTTCATTCCTGTCGATCCACATGAAGCTTACATGATACGGATAGAGGATGAAGATCCAGTGCGTGGCCCTTTCCCCCCTTTCCCCTCATCTCTAGCTTCCTCTTTTCTTTCCCTATCCATCTTTGATTTATTAACGAGGGGGAGAGAAATGAAAAAAAAAAAAAAAGAGGAGGGATGAAGGCTCAGGATTACAGGTCTAATGCTCTACAATTAGGAGACGCTCATTCGAACTGATCTGAACCCAAGATTACAGGTAGATTATGATATTGTGTTTTCCCCCACATATCAAGTCCCTGTTTTGTACTTTGCACTGCGTTGGCACCACTATAATGGCCCTGTGGGGCTGGATGCCATATATCGGTATGTGGTCCCGGAGCATTACCAAATGGAGTTGAAGAGCGTAGGAATCATGGGTGGGATCAGCTTTGGTGTAAGGTGCTCTTGCTTTTTTGTGAACACCGACCAGGAGCTCATGTCTTCGTAGTATCATCCAGACTCGGGCGCTCCGGCCTTCTTTGTTCACCCGTGCAACACAGCCGACGCTATGACGCAGGTAACAGACGCTCAGAGTGTCACTCCTGGGACGTATCTTCTCATCTGGCTCGGTCTCGTAGGTCATTGTGTGAACCTGCACATCCCACGCGAGCTAGTGGCCTCTGATAGTGCCGGACTATCCTGAGGCTCAATTCAAGAAATACAGGTTCAAAAAAAAAAAAGGTGGAGGGGGACAGGAGAGACAAAAAGAAAGCTTGAAAAAAAAAAAAAAAAACATGTCCGAATCTTAGGAAGTTTTTGGTCGCTCCCCACCGGCCCCAATTGAGCTCTTCCTGGACACTCGTTTAATCTTCTTCATCAGAAGAGGCTTCCATGGGCACGTCACTGTCTTCCTCCATTGGAGCTTCTTCTTCATCACTTTCATCCTCACGAGCTCGCTTGGTTCCGTGTGACTCTCCATTGACTTCAGTCGGCCGTGCAGGGACTGCACCCGGTGGGCCACTGAAGATGGATTTCTGAAGATCAGTCGATACTCCGCTAGGTCCGGCTCCCGTGGCAGGCGCAACGTATGTCCCACGAAGTCGGCCAATGACATCTGAGGTTCCTTTGCCATAAACAATTCTCTATTCGCCGTTAGCGCGAGGGGGCCAATCGTGATCTCATGGGACTCGGGTGTAACCAACCATTTCCTTGCCAAAGAATTCAAATCCCTGAAGAGCGCGCATCGCCTGTGTGCTAGCCTGGACATCCTTAAACACAATATGGGCCTGACCACGCATTTTGCTCGTATTCATGGCCACGACGTCGAGGATGGTGCCGTAGGTGGAGAATAGGGTGTAGAGTGACAACCGCAGGTCATATTTGCGAAGCTTGTCTGGTAAATTGGCGCAATAGAGTCTTGCGGTTTGATTAGCTCCAGACAATCAGGACAATTGTAACCAAAGGGTGAGCTCACGTTTGGTTGGGAGGTCCAACTGCCTTGGCGTCCAGACCTCGGGGAGCCGCCTTGGAAGCCATATTCAGCAAGTTTAGGAGATTCCAGCTATTATGCTACTAGCATGAAAATAGAATGGAGAGGCGAGAATAGCGCTCAAAAGAGAATGAAGCTCAATGGGGAGGAATAATAATGTGCCTGCGCTGTAAGAGTGGATACTCCAACCTGCGAGAAAACGAGCTCGGTCATGTGATATCTGACATAATCCACCCCCCTCCCCTGGGTGGATCCCCGCGCGCGGCGTCATTGCCAACTGTTGATTACCTCCACTCTACTTTGTACCCTATCTTATTTCTCCTTGATCGACGGTAGAGAGCTCCTCCTGTCGTAATCCTTGACAATGGCCTCCCCTCAGGTTCATCACCTTTTCCATGCTCCCATTGCAGACCACTCCTTTTCGTCCGACCGACAAACCCTTGCTGTCGCCCGCGAAAACAATGTGGAGCTGTATCAGACATCAGGCAGCAAGTTCGAACTGAGTGACGAACTCAAGGGCCACGAGAAGACTGTCACCAGTGTTGACATTGCTCCCAACAGTGGTCATATCGTGACCTGCTCACAAGGTATTTCGCAGATTTAGATTCAATGGACTCACTTTCACTTTTACAATGAAGACTGACCTGTTTCCTTAGACCGCAATGCCTATGTCTGGGAGAAGACCCCGACTGGCTGGAAGCCTACTTTGGTCCTTCTTCGGATCAATCGGGCGGCGACCTTTGTTAGATGGTCTCCCTCCGAGCAAAAATTCGCCGTCGGTTCCGGAGCTCGCGTCATCGCTGTTTGCTACTTTGAGGAGGAGAACGACTGGTGGATCTCAAAACATCTGAAGAAACCCATCCGCAGTACTATCACCACCTTGGCTTGGCACCCGAACTCGGTTCTCCTTGCTGCAGGTTCCACCGACTCGCACGCCCGAGTCTTTTCGAGCTTCATTAAGGGCATCGACAACCGCCCAGAGCCCAGCGCCTGGGGAGAGCGCTTGCCTTTCAACACAATCTGTGGTGAATACTTGAATGACTCTGCTGGTTGGATCCAGGGTGTAGCCTTTTCCCCGAGCGGAAATGCTCTCGCTTTTACTGGCCACGACAGCAGTGTCACGGTCGTGTACCCTAGCGCACCGGAGCAGCCACCTCGGGCAATGCTGAACATCTCCACCCGCCTTCTGCCTTTGAACAGTCTTATTTGGAATGGCGAGAATGAAATCCTTGCCGCTGGTCACGTAAGTCCCTCTGCTCTGTATGTGCGCGGATGAGCTGGCAACTAACACGCTTGATTTAGGATTGTGAGCCATTCCGCTTCCAAGGCGATGAAAATGGTTGGCAACTTGCTGGCTCTCTTGAAAAGCAGACTGGAACTGGTGCGGGCCCTCGCGAGGAGTCTGCGCTGAATATGTTCCGCCAAATGGATCTCAAGGGTCAGTCCCAAGTGGACACCAAGCTTAAATCAACCCACCAGAACACTGTGAACACCCTCCGTGCCTACGATGAGGCCAACGGAGAGGTGCGCTCTTTTAGCAGTAAGAAATCCCACCCTATTCACCGAATCGTTTTATCTTCAGATGTGATACTAACGCTGCACCTAGCGAGCGGAGTTGATGGCCGCGTTGTGGTCTGGTCCCTCTAAACATCATCCCTTAGCTACAAGTAAACCAGTCTATGGAGGAATAGAGGGAGATAACAATCAATAATTCCCACTGTTTGATTGCATATTCATATATACACATACAAATTTTGACATAGCTCTTTCAATCTGCATTTTGCCATTCGGTTAAGATGTCCCATTGTCAATTGACCAAGTATTTTCGAGGTACTAGTTACATAACTAGTTACGTAGATCGCTTACATAAGCGTGCAGCTCCCCCGGATTCTCCAGCCTGAACCTTGATTTTATTCACGAGACCTCTGTTCTGAGTTCTTCAACTCAAGAGAACATGTTTACCTGTTTAGTTCTTGCGCTCATACACCTAATATGGGTGACTTTTTGCATCGCAGCACCCAAAAATGAATCACGACGGGTTCCAAGTGAGCTATTCAACTCCCTCGAGGAGCTGTCTAGACTAGTAGACATCGCATACTGCGTGGGGACCACTGGGGTCCAAGAACCATTTCAGTGCCTTAGCCACTGTGCTGAATTCCCAGATCTAGAGTTAATTACTGTAAGTTACCTTGGGTCCTTTGATCGCGAGGGGAGGGGGTGGAATAAGAAAAAAAACCACCCAAACCAAACGAAGAAATCCTCACATGGCTTCTTAGACTTGGAACACCGGTATTCTTCTATCTGACTCATGCGGATACATGGCAATATCCCATACTCCGGGGATGAAACGTATTATTCTCGCGTTCCGAGGAACCTACTCGATCACCAACACCATCATCGATCTCTCAGCATATCCACAAGCCTACGTACCTTATACAGGTGAAGATCCCGAAAATCCATCTGCCTTGACCCAGAATACGAAATGCGAGAATTGCACTGTCCATGCTGGGTTCATGACGTCGTGGCTGAATACCCGCGAGACAGTGATGCCCCAACTATCGGCCGTTCGCAAGCAATACCCAGACTATGAGATAACATTAGTCGGTCATTCTCTCGGCGGGGCCGTGGCTGCGTTAGCAGGGCTAGAGATGCAAGTCAAAGGCTGGAACCCATCCGTCACGACCTTTGGAGAGCCGATGGTTGGAAATCAAGAATTTGTGGAATTCATCGACAAGCACTTCCACATGGGAAGGTACCACATCCCCGGAAGCGATCGAGTGAAGCGCGCATTCCGTCGAGTGACACACGTCAATGATCCTATCCCCCTTCTCCCACTCGAAGAATGGGGCTACGCCGCTCACGCTGGAGAAATCTATATCTCAAAGCCAGATCTCTCGCCTGGTATTGAAGATGTTGAAATATGCGAAGGGGACCGAGATTCAAGATGTATTGCCGGCGCAGAAACTGGCGCCCTTCTATTGGATATGTATCGGGATGTCAATATCCCCCTTGATGTTTTTAGTACCCGGTTGGATCCGTGTCCTTCATATACGGGGCCATCAGGCTCAGACCCAAGGCACCAATTTGTCCTAGGGACGCAGAGAGATCGGGTTGAATTAGGGGACTGTGCCTCTCATGATGCAACAGCTCCTCTCTATCCTCTTCATTGGGACTGGTCTCTTATACCGGCCCGATACCGCCTGTGGGAGCTCTTCCATGCACACCGGGACTACTTCTGGCGCATTGGCTTATGTGTTCCAGGGGGAGACCCAACCGGATAGGGGGTGTGATACCTGATTACGTATGTAATGTTCTTTACGCATAGCATGTATTTCCGGTTTCTATGGCTTTGTTGTTTATTTCTCATGATTATTACGATACGGTGGCGCATGTTGTCTGTTCTCTGTTCACCGACCCTTTTTTTTTTTTTTTTTACTCTTTTTAAAGAAAGAATTTTTTCTTCTTTTTTGGAAAGTTGACTCTCGTAACCACCAAGCTTCCATCGATGCCAAGAAGGCTTATCACTAGTAATCTTTACCCCTGTTCCACCAATTTTCTTAATTTAGTGGCGTTGGGCATGAACCTGTCCCTGTGGCTGGCTGGGGTGACGACTATCCGATGCGCCCTCATGCTCGGTCTCTACTACCTAAAATGTTAATAATAAACGACAAAAAAAAAGCACATATGTTACTCAAAGAAAAGAAACGACCGTAAATGGCTTGGGCGCTTACATAGAGGCGAGACGCTGATGCAAGTGACAAAAAACTCTATGCTATAAGCCACATGTATGATTGCACATGTGCTGTCGAAGCTGACTAAAAAAAAATACAATGTTAGTTCAATCAAATGTCAACTACAAGATTGGAGAGTTTAATAATGAAACAAGAATCAGAAAACTTTGGTAAAATCCCAAAACGTATATAGTGACATTAGATACATAAACATACATCGATCATCAATCATGCAAGAGAGAGAGAGAGAATACAGCGCAAAAGATACCAATCAACAAGTACAGTGCCCACCCTGGTATGCCCACAAGATTTGCGCCAGTTTCCCCCAAAAAAGACCTCAAAAAAAGAAAAGAAAAAGAAAACAGAGAGAGATAATACTAAAGGGTTCATCGGCCAGAACTTAAAAACCAAAGTTCACCATTTGTAGCCCTTCTTGAACCATCAGGTCCGCCCAGTCCACATCCAAAGTGTGCCCAACTCGCATGAGGCGCTCTAATTGTCGCTCGTAAACAGTTTGCAAGATAGCTCGGGTCGTAGCCGCATTACGACCCATGCCATCTTCCTCGTCCTCCATGCTGGTCATCAACTCCATAGCCATCATCTTGAGACCACTAGCAGATGCCGAGGCACCGGCAAGGAAAAGTGGGAAAACCAAGAAGTGTCGATCAGCACGGCGAGTATTCGTTGTCTGCTCCGCAATGCGCAAAATCTCCGAGGCATGGTGATCAATTTCTCCATCGGGGCTAAACTCCGATTCTAACCGTTGACCAGACCACATGCTGCTGTAAGAGAAAAGCTGGCAAACATGGAAAAGGGTAGCGGACTGCTGTAGGATTTCCTGAGATCGGCGCGGAAGGGTTTCTTGGCGCTGATGATACCAAGCCACGTCAGAGGCTTCCCAAAGGCGGCCAAATGACTGACGCAAGTTCCGGACTTCTTTTGTGCGCTGATCGAATTCGGAGATGGGCAAGGTTTGCTTTTCTCGACGGAGCTGGGCGGCGAGGAAACCCAGCTGGGTGGCTAGTCTGAATGTATCGGAGTAGAGGCGCATCATGACGGGTAAGCTGTCATGTTCGTCGGGGTAAATGACACTGAAGCCTTCTGCAACGGCAGGATAGAGGAGACACTCTGAGCCCGGAAGCATTTGGTGATCGATCATGGCCCGCACAAACTCTCCTTCTCCAGCCCCGCTTAACAAAGCGTACAGGTCGATGTGACAGATCCACCAGATGATGAATGGGTGAGGTTCTCGGCCAAAATGATTACGACGAAGAAAAGAGATGTGAAGTAAACGAGAAATGTGATGGGCCCAGAGGTTGGAGCCATGAGGCTCAGCGGCGGCCACCTGCAGAGGGGAAAAAAAAAGTCAATACATAATGTTCGGACCATTGAATAGCTGTATATATAAGAAAGGGTCATTTACCTCGTAGATCAAGAGTAAGAAATGAGTAAGGAAGAGCCCATCAGAGACGAGGTCATCGCTGTTGCGGAGGCTAGTCTGAAGAGAAGGAAAGGCTTGCTGGTAGTGGTGCAGCGCGTCGACATTCTGGCCAGTGCCACTGTGTGAGAGACTGAGAGCCGAGATGGCCATAATGGCATGGGAAAGCTGAAGAAGAGACCAATGTTAGCATACCAAACGATTAATGGAAGGAGAGGGGGAGAAGAAGAAGAAGAAGAAGAAGAAGAAGAAGAAGAAGAAGAAGAAGAAGAAGAAGAAGAAGAAAAAAAGAAAAAAGAAAAAAACTCACCGGTGGAAAGAGAGCAGCCTCCCGCTCAATATAATCCACACTTAATGTCATACCACTACTCTCGAGTCCAAATGAGTCGTCCTGTCCACGATCGTGTGGAAATAATTGCTTCCAAACAACATGGCGGAAATGCGAAAAGAGGGCGTTGTCTTGACTTTCTTGGTCCAGGTAGGCATCAAAAAAGGACAGTTTCTCATCTCCCAAAATCGGAGAAGGAAGAGAGCCAAGAATGGGGGACAAAGAGAGAGCACAGAAAGGATCTGAAATTTCCGAGGTGGGGGAAATCCTGGACATTCTCCCAGCCGAAGGAGATCGTCGGGCAACGTCCTCAAATGTCTTCAAGATAACCACATTGGGGTCTTGTGAATTTCTGGTTGGAACATGTCCCGTTGGACTACTGGCGACAGAGCTAGTGATTTCAGTACTGGTCACGATGGGCTTCTCTGTCAAGTCATCTGCATATTCTGGGAGGGTGGAGAAGCTGTCTGGAACCACGACCACATGGTAGGTACCCGGGCTGGACGCTTCAGCTTTCTTCTCTCGGTCCTCATCCGAGGTCAGTAAAGCAAAGGCGGGGAGAGAATCCCTTGGTGAAAAGTAATCGGATCGATTGTCCTCCATGGGGCTTGGTGATGAAACTACACATCGACCATTAGTCAGATGAGGGTTGGAGAAAAGCAATGTAGAGAAGGCTTACGATCCCAGATGTGATTGCCTTCAGTTTTCACATCGGCCATTCGGCCCATGATGCGGGGAGTATCATCGCGAAAGGCCAGGCGAGGCCGGTAGTCACAAATATGGCCAAGTCGAGTACATTGCTGAAGGAATCATTAGTTTAGCGGGGAGGGAAAGGAAAGGAAATTGGGCAGATCGAGCCGAGGAATGCCTACATTGCATTGTGGATGTCCCTCATCACATTTGACTGCAAAGGAATGTTAGCCATAATTCTTCAGGGAGATTTGAGGGAAGCCCTTACCTTTGCGACTCTGTAAAATGACCAAATTGTCTCATTAATTTGACTGATTTTTTTTTAATTTGAAGGAAAAAGAATTCCCAAGGTGACTCACCCGACATGTCCTGGAGAGATTTAGTTAGCGGGTTGGTACTTTTTTTTTTTTTTTTTTTTGTGTTGGGTACGATAGATTGTAGATCGCTGGAGCTTAAAGAGGAAAGAAACAAAAAAACATACCAACAACCGGTTCTTGATCGTGGAGGCAAACGTATGCGCGGGGGAGCAACCAAGCTCTTTTCGGGTTTTCCGATAATCTCTTCCTTGGGAGCAATTATGGGTAATCGGAGAGGTCTGTTCGAGGCATGGCCTCGACGGTTTTGCATGACCAGGCTTGTGACCGTCATAAGGCTGACTGAGAGGCCCTAGGCCAATTAGTTTATGTGGAAGCAGCAGCGGACGGGATTGCAACACATACGAGTGTAGATGGTGAAACGTAGGACGAATAGCGACGATCGCCAATTGCGGGGAAAGGAACACCAATTGGGAAGCTTCGGAAGTTGGAAGGAATTGGAAAATATAAATAGTTGGACAGAGAGAGATGTGAAGAGGAAAGGAAAGTGTCGAATAAAAAAAAAGAGGTGAAGTAAATTGATACTGGGGAAAGGAAGAGAAAAAAAGGCTTGGGGGGATGAAGGGTTATGTAGGTTCTCACATCACGAGGAAGAGGAACCGGTGGGTTGGTGCATCACGGACGCATTAGATGGCGCAGCCCTGTTCCTATCTGGCTTGACGGGTGGCGGGAACCTGTGGAATCTGCCTCTGCAAGTACCGAAAAGGAAAGGGGGAATGGGTTGGGAGAGAAGGGAATGGAATTTAGGAATTGGGGGTGAAGTAGGGCTTGGACGAAAAACCAAAATCATTAGAGAATTATAGAATTAGAGAATTAGAGAAATATAGAATTATAGAATTATAGAATTAAACAAAAATAGTAAAAAAAAAGAAAACATGTCACAGATCGGGGAAAAGGGCTAAGGGAATTACGATCCGGTTCGTCCGGGACAAAGTGCGAGCAAAATACAAAGGGTTAAATGTTAGGAGAGTAATCAAGAAAAAAAAAGAGGGAAAAAGAACAAAATGACCCAAAGTAGTCAAGATGGCATGCAGGTGCCAACCATGTGGGAAAAAAATAAAAAAGAAAACAAAAGAATCCAGTATATAAAAAAAAAATAAAAAAAAGGTAAGCTAGTGTTAGTGGTCCGGGATTTGAGAAGTTGGTATTTGAAATCTTTTGATTATATTATCTCTTTATTTCTCTAATTGAGGCTGGCTGAGGAACACGTCAAAACAAGAGAACCATGGGATTACCGATAATACCGGATCCGAGAGAAAAAGCTCCGGATGAAAACAAGAACAGTAATGGCGGGGAAGCGAGAAAATGAGGCTAAGAGCAAAAAGGGTAAGAACAACTGTAAAAAACTGTAAAAAAGACTAAAAAAGGGTAAAAAAGGGTATTCAAGGGTAAACATTGGTGTACATGAGAGGTATTGATACACACAAGAACCTAAAGAGTCTAGACCCGTCTAGACTCTCGGCCTCTGGGCTGAAGGGACAAGAAGGCCAGAGAAAAACAAAACAAAACAAAACAAAACCAGAGAGAGAAGAAAAAAACAGAGAAAAAAGGGAAAAAACTTCCCCCTTGCCCGTTCAGGGGTGGTATTCGTGGTATTGATGAAATATTCCCATCGGAATGTCCTGCTCCTTCTCTTAACCAAAATATGGGTTCCCGCCAATCAAGATCCGATCATAAGCATCACGATCCCGATATCGTATTAACATAATTAACATACGGATTCCAGATATGGGAAAGAACATGTTTGAAGAATCCGTTTGATCAAATAATCAGATTTCACTTTTAACTCAAATACTTTTTTTTCTTCTAAGATTACACAGCTTGTACGCATTTACGCATTTAATTCCATCGACTCCATTCTACAGCATTTTAACCGCCATTACCTGAATGATACACGAACTTCAAACATCAGCTGATCAGATCAGATGATAAGATGCCTAAACCTGGGGAGATCAGAAACGATTTAAACGAAAGCAAAAAAAAAATCCCCAAGATTCATTTTAGCTCATTTCTCATTACCTACTTCGTAGATTTTAACTTATATATAGAAATTTCTACCAGGAAAAAAGTGGTCCCTAGGAGAAAAAGATCGGCGGTTCAGTGGGATTTGCCAACGTCCAAACGTTTTCTTCCTTTACCCTGTCCATCCATCTCCCCTTTGAGCCTAGTGGTAATCCCTCTGCATCTGCAGCCTGCGGGCTTTAAAGCTTCCTGATCTTGCCACGGACATGCCCGAAGGTTAAGCGAGTGGCGTTCTCACTAGCTCCCCAGGTGCAGAAACATGATTCGCACTCTCCTTCTACTTTTTGACTGGGCCCCGCGATGTTATCGGAGGTAATGATCGAATCCGTCTGACCTTTTTCTTTCTCTTCTCCACTTTTCTTGCACATCGGATCGAATCCTTGGGTCTCGGATGTCGACGAAACCAAGATAACCCAGATATACTGACGTCCGTAAGAAATCCCCAAGTAAAAAAAAAAAAAAACCAAAAAAAAACAAGAATACTAGGGATCCACGGTCGATCCACCATTCACCACGTGGTTTTTTATTTTTATTTATTTTTTTCCTTTTTCTCTTCGCTTGGAGTTGAGAAGAAAGAGTTCTCCCTAAAAATAAAAAAATAAATGATTAAGTGATCACATCATCTCTTAACTATAGCTAAAAGAAAACACAAACCCAAATCCCCACTAACAAAATTTCTATACTCATGAAAACATCCCTAAAAGAAAGAAAAAAAAAACACAAAAAACAAAGCTAGTGGTTCCCTAGTTCTCCACCCATGGTACCCAAGGTTTCCAACAAAATGTAAACCAGATTGTCCGAAATATCTACGAGATGTGCGCCTGGGCCTCATCGAGTATGCGTTGGACCGTATTCGATCGTTCGCTTGTTCTCCACACCTGAAGCATGTCACCGAAATTGGCTGGCACGTCACGCACTACAGGTCGCAGTTTCAGGTACGCCAAAATGGCTTCTGCACGACCCTTGCGGACCACTTCAACTGCGTTCCGGTCTTGGGCAAGCAATTTTGCTAGATCGCTCATCGGGCCCGCCAACACCTGTTCACCGGGCCCCGTCCACCGATCAATTCGGAGAAAGAACGCTTGGAGCTCCTGGTAGACCGTGCTGACGACCTGTCGTCCCCCGTGGGTCAGGGCCTGGTCCAACGGACCGATCACCTGTTGTATGTATCCTCCCAGCACTGTGGTTAGGCTTAGCTGGGCCGACGCTAGGGGGTTCCCATAGGGCAACTGACCTTCGCCCGAACCGGCCGTAGCGGGGTTTAGACATTGCAGGAGGCACTGCACACACGCCGCAAGGGTGTCGTTCGAGTCTGGCCCATTCCCGGAATCTATCTCCATCCCGTCCTCGAATTCCTCAACCACGGGGGGTACAATCTGAAGCACTTGGGGCATAAAATCGCTGTCCCGAACCAAGGAAATCTCACCCAGCGCCCGTAACCCATGCGGCCGATACGCGGAGTTGGCTCGCTTCGCTTCGCGGATGGCTATGGTCTGACCTCCCCCAGTTTTTCGTTAGCTTCTTTTCTCCTTTTCTTTTTATTTAATTTTTTAATTTTTTCCTTTTTTTTTTTATTAAAAAAAAAAAAACGGAAAAGAAAAGAAAAAAGACTTATTTCTCACCTTCATCAGCTCGCCTTGGTCCGGCCGCTCCGTCCATAGCGCTTGTCCCTGACGGGCAAATTTAACCAGTGCTGTCAAAACCACTTCTTTCCCTTCCCAAGTCTTCCCCGCCAATGCCTTCTCTAGTACGGGCCAGACCAATTGTGCCGTTGGGAGATCAATCTCCACCTCTAGTGCAAGCACTGCCTGTGCCATGGCACGTGCTGCTGTATGCTTGATGGCCCACCGCGCCGAATCCAGGTTGTCGGATACGAGGCTGACGATCTCCCGAAGGTACAAGGCTACTGCGCGAGAGCCACCCACATTGTCTTGCCACGTCTTTTCAAACTCCTCTTTCACATGCTCGTCTGCATCATGCTTGCATACAAACACAAATGGGAGTGCAGCCGTAGCGAACGCCATGAAACGGTCGTTTGAAAGTTTGGACGAGGAATACAGAATTTCGGCAGCCACCGTTCGGCTGGTGGCATCATCTGCACCCAAATAGAGGGTCTTGGCGTATTCAATGGTCTTCAGGACCCGCTCGTCGGATGCGAGTCGCATAAGATAGCCGAGGGAGGTACAGTATGACGCGCTCACTGTTTCATTTCGATCCACCACGTACTTGCAAAGGACTTGAATAAATCGGTCGGCGTAGGGGCGGAAGAGAAGGGTCTTCATGCTCAGCAGGACTAGGACGCGGCTGCAACCCACTTTGGATGGAAGACCCACGGCAGAGCGGAGAACTTCTTCTAGTTTAGGGGCCAGATCCTGCAAATTGCTCTCATCCAAGTGGTCAATCAAGTATCGCTCGATGACTTCCATCATCGGCGATGTCCGAATACTCGAGAGGCGCATCTTGTCAATTTCTTGACCCGTAAGTCCATATTTGTCGGCGTTGAGATGAACGTAGTTAACGGCCTGTGGCTCAAGAGAACTGAGCGAGGTTAAGAATTTTTCAAGAATGCCGGGGACGTATGGATGGAGGTGTGTGCCAGAGCTCTTCTTAATAATCTGAACAAGAGCACCGATGGCATACCCCCGTACATCCTCCACACTAGAATCAAGCCCCTTGTCACTTAGAAGGAACGGAATGGCACTGCCGAGGAGCGCGCCTGCGCGCTTTTCCGTGCCGCTTGTCTCTAGCGTGCGGATCACGGAGTTGGTGATGGTCTGACAGAGCTTGAGGGCAGCAACTCGTACAGACTCCTTGATATCATCCAAAAGCTTGAATGCATTGCTGAAGATCTCGTCGAGATATTCAGCATACACTTCCGGACGGCGGCCTTGAATTAGATCCGCAACGGCGGCACAGCTTGCTTGTCGAACACGCCACTCGCGCCCTTGGAGCATGCTTTTTAGGAGATCCTTGACAATTGAATCAAAGTGAGTGTCGATCACAACGGTGGGGTCCTTGACAAGGGCTTGCCAGATGGTGTTCATAGACCGCTGTACATTTGGGTTAGGATCAAAGCGGTATCGGAAAAGTTTGGGGTAGATTTTAGGGTTTTGCGCCAGATAACCGTTGACACTGGAGTCGGAGAAGATGGTGCTGATTCCGAACCGACCGAAGGCTGCCCGATTTGTCCAAAGGGCATTATTGGAGGCCATTGACATGAATCGATATACAAGGGTAGGATCGCCCGCTTCGGCAGCCAGGCTCATAATGTCCTTGTAGGTATTGACAGATGAACCCTCGCCCGTTGGCAGAGCACCCGGCTCAAACAACTGAGTGTCCGCTGTGACATTGCCACCCCGGAGATTGGGGCCCGTTGCCGTGAATGAGTCCACAAGATCACGGACCAGATCATCTTTCAGAGCCTGGTCACCAATCTCGTAGACCAGACTCAGTCCATGTGCACCGGTCTCTTGTACTACTTCGTCCCGGTTCCCAAGAAGACTAGCGAATGTGGCTTGACATTTGCGTAGGCGTTCCTGCATCTCTGACAGGTGCCCGCAATTTTTGACGAGCGAAAGCAGCCAGATGGCGGACGCCTTCCGAAGAGATGGCTTGGGCGCCACGCAGTTGGTGATCACTTTGTCACACACGTCAGCAAACACCGTTCGCGGTACGTCGGACTCTGGGAACTCTGAATCCACATCAAATTCCTGTACCAGAGCCCGGGAAGCCCACCCGACCGCAACGTTACTTAACGCCTCGCCCACTGTAAATTGAACCTCCGAACTCTTGATTTCATGCAAACTATACAGCGAATCCAGATAATCACGAAGAAGCGAAGAAGCCGAGGGCTCTCGAGCAAATGTCAATGCCACAAGGCCCAGGGCACTGATGGGCGTATCATTTTCTGACTTGGCATCCTTTGAGAGTCTCTGTTGAACTTTCCTCCAGCCATCATCTGGCAGCGTTTGCACAGATAAGATACCCGACAAACCCAGCTTACCGAGAGACATCTCTGCGGTTCGCTGAAGAAGGGTATCACGCGAGACATCAACAATGTCCAGAACTGTTTCGATGAAATGTTTGACCTGATTTTCGGGGATCTTATTGAGAAGGCCACGATAGGCAAGGCGGCTTAGAAGATAAGACATTGCTACAACTGCTCCTCGGACTCGAAGAGCAGTTTGGCCGATAGCCGTGTTCCATGACTCGATAGTACTGGTCAATTGTGTCACAAACCCTCTCAGCTCTTCATCAGCAAGGGAAGGATGCGACGCAAGAATTCCGAACGAGCGAGCTGCTAGTTCCTGAATATCTTGATTGTTGCCGAAGATGGGCTTGATCAAAGACTTCGTCCGGGAAAGCAATTTTGCGACAACATCATTAGGGGTTAAAGAACAAATTTCCACAAAATGGACGCCGCATTGTCGTAGATTTGTTAGGTCCTCTCTGACAAGCCCATCAAGCATACCGGACAAAAACGTAAAGACGGGCTCTTTCGCACTACTGCGGATGTATTGTTGGACAGCAGATCGCGCATCTTCGCTGGTGGAGAGCTGAACCTCAAGCTTATAATCCCAATCCTCGTCCAGATCAGTCGCAATCCCGGCTGCCGAGAAAGCTTCACAGAGCAAGGCGTTGCGAAGAAATGAAAAAGCAGGCGCAAACGCATGTTTGTAGGGGCCCGTTAGAAGTTTTGGCGTAGAAAAAGCCTGGACAGCCACGGTGACATCCTGCTCTTCAGCGGCAAGCAGAAAACGAGTAGCTTCAGCAAAAGTTGGGAATTCAAACCAGGACTCATCTCGCTTCGGAGCGGTATTAGCGGCGGTCCATTTTTGATCTTTGGTTGGATTGAGGAGTCGGAACCAGTATGGATGAAGACCTTTCTTGCCTTCCTCCACAATCTCTTGTTGTCTTTCGGAGCCTCTCGCAATGGCCATCAAATCAACCCAACGAGCAATAACATCATTGAATGGCAGAAAACGATTCGCAAACCGTACAGCAGCATACTGCACGCCTCGGACAACCGTAAATCCGGTTTCGGGGTGAACGTCTCCAGGGTGTAAGCTCATCTGCTGGACAAGGAAAGGGCGCAATTGATTCTGGAAGCCTTGATCATGACTATTCAAGGAAGAGTTCAGGATACTTCCAAGTGCCTGGTCAATACTAACGAATATCTGTGGGCTCGAATCGTCCGCGCTGAGTGAAGTAAAGAGCCATCTGACCAAATCAAATTCAAAATTTTCGACAGCTTCACCTTGCATGTGAAAGTCCACCTTGGGAACAAGGATGCCAATGCTTTCGTAGGCAAGGCCTCGGAGGCTCAAATCCGTGGCAGGTAGTCTCTGTCCGCTGGCACTTGGGCTGGGCCATGTCTGGGACTGAATGAAATCCTTTAATCCAGCAATCAACTTTGGTGCAATTTGTTTAAGATCCGTTGGGGATCCCATGCGGACCACCCAAGTGGTAAATGTGAAAATTTGAGTTCTTAATTTTGACGCCTGGAGTCCTTGAGCGGACCTCGCAGCGTCTGAAAGGAGTCCGTCTTCAATGAGTTTATAGATCCGCTGGGTATCTTCAGTAGCTTTGATAGATTTGCCTAAAAACACCAAAGCTTTCACTTGAAGTGGAGCGCGCACAGGTGGTGCCCCCTGTGCACCAAAATACAGGTCATACAGTTGCTGGACGACCGTCGAATCTTCAAGATCGACAGCAAATCTCTTGAGAGTCTCGTCACCCAGATCAGCAAGGCGGGAGTTTGCGTCCGCCGAGGCGATCAGCGAAGGCAGGAAACGTTGAGAATCCGCAAACGCCCCACTTCCGAGGAAGCGGAGAGCGATAACTTTGGTCTCGGTCAGGTTCAAGCCTCCAGGGGTAGCAGGGTTCCATGTTTCTTCCGCAGTTGCGCCCTTGGTCAGAAAAGTATACTCTTCTGTGGAAAGTCCTGGGCATGTTGAAGCCCCTGAGATCGCGGGGGAAAGAATGAGGAGCTTCCCTAACCAGAAAGATAAGAACTGGGAATCTTGGTCTAATAGACCTAGGCGTTGTTTCAGCTTTTGGTCCTCATCGCTGCCCTTTGATGGTATCTTGAAAAGAGGTAAGAGCCGCAGTACCAGATTGAACACAATAGCACCCTGGGTAACTGATGTTCCGATCTCGGCAATTCCCTGTAGCAAGGGCAATAGGATCTCGACTCTAGCATCGGAGCCCAGTCGGTCGATTCCTTGTTGAGCATAAATCAGGTCAAAATGCCTAACCAATTGAGACTTTTGTTCTTTAAATTGCTTCAGTAGCGCTGCGACCGGAAGTTGAATGGTGGGGGCTTTCACCCGAGTGTTGACATGCTGGCACACGGCGATCACTTTGTTGCGAACCGCCACACTGTCAGATGACAATTTCAGTAGCAATGGCGGCAGGTAGATCTGGAGTAGCGATTGGAGCTTCTCATCGGTATCTGCCATGGCGATTCGAAATTCCACTTTGCCTATCAGACTCAACTCGCGAGCCTCGGGGCTCTGAGAGTCCGCCATGGTGAGAAAAAATCGAAGTTATGAAATGAAATAAGCTGGCATCGACTCTGGCCGAGTTGAACAAATTAATTTCACGAATATTTAATATTGTTTTCTTCCGGAACTTTCCACAGGCAACCATACACACGTCAACTGACTTGGCCTGGGCTGCTGGGGATAACACTTGTGACTTGGGGTTGGGATTAGTCAGAAATTAGAATGCACATGTAACGTAATCCACTGCTGAGTTGGACACCCTATAGCTAAGGCGGATTTGGATATTTTGACAACTACAATTCGATTCTAATTATTGGTTTTCTTTTCAAGACCACCCGGTTACTTCCAAGATTTGATGTGACATCCACGAGGATGTGAAGCTTGATTGGATTTCAAATGGAAAGAGAAGATCCTGAGTATTCTGAAACATATCGAAAGAGAGGCGAAAGAATTCTATCTATCACAAAGTCGGGCAGTTATTCACCGTCTTGTGAAATCAAGCTCAAAAACCACGCTTCCGCCGGAGCAAGGCAATGGCCCCAGGGGTTTCAAACCAGCAGTAGACATGGCACAGGAACAAATCTTTAGCTTGCGCCAGGCTATGGTTCGACAATTCTTGTTGCGTGGGTCTTTCAACAAGAGAGTTGTTAGGATTGTGCAAAGCCAACTTGTTCCAAAAACGCGGGTTTCGGTCGTTCACTTCAGCGAGCAAGAGGTCAACTTGGGCGGCTATCGTAGTAATCTCTGCTATGAGGTCTGTGCTGTTCATGATCCCACGATTGGTAGTAACCGTGCGGCTTTCTGGGATATTCAGAAGAACCATATCGAGGACTTCTCGTGGAAACTTGGAGCCCAGTGCCGTTCTTGCTACATCAAGGCGCATCAAATCGAGCAGCAACTTCACTTTGAAGAATGTCATGAGCACGAGCAAGTCGAGGATTCTGTGGTACCAAAAACTGTCGGTGGGCTGGATCATGAAATCGATAGATTCCAAGACATTCTCATGGTGAAAAGTTCCATCTATCATTTGGAAGATGCATAAAGCCTTGATAGAGTCGTAAAGCTCTTGATCTTGACCAAGTCTAGCAGTAGCTTCGAGGGCAGCACAATGAAAGTCCAGCGAGTTTGCGAAGAGTAAGGCGTTGCAGCGCTGGAAGTGCCCCTTTTGCGCTTGAACGGATTTGACAGTATTGATTCGTCGCAGAAACACGGTCAAAGAAGACTGATGATAGGCCTGGAAGAGTTGAAGCATAGCAGGATCCGGGAGTTGCATCAAGGGGAGCAAATTAGCTCCAGAGTGGAATCCTCTCGTATTTGTCGTATTTGCCTGTGCATGAGCTTCGGCAGATTGAAGAGCTAATTTCTCGTTTTTCACTGCATCACAGACAAATCGGTGTGTACGGCGATGGGCACGCTGGTGGTCTGGGCCGCAGTAAGAAACGACGTAACAAGCAGAGCATGTCCTAATGTTTTTCTCCTCGCCACAAACGGCACAGCCCGATTGAAGGCTATTTGCTACTTTCGGCAACGGAGCCCTGTCACCGATAGCCCAACGCTCCTCCAAAGTCAACATGATGGGCAAAGAGATATTTGACTTCCGTGGGTAGAGCAAGATTGAAGGGGAGAAAGGGACGGGGGAAGAGGAGTGGGGGAGAAGCTTGGGAAGTGTGAGAAGTGAAAAAGTAAGAAAGACAAGGGACGCGTTGGGCTGAGTGGGAAACCTGACAGTGTTTGCCTGCAGTACCTTATCCACCCTTGATGCGATTTCGAACAAAAAATCAACATTGAATTGGCCATAAACATCGCACATGCAGTTTTCAATTGTCGCGCTCAGACCAGAGGATAATTTGACAAGTGACAAGCGTACGCATACGCGTAGCATAATGGATCCATCGAATGCTATTCACTTCCAGCGGATATCCTCCTTGAAATTTCCTTTTCGAGGCAGTTGTGGCTTTATAACTCATGGATCAAAAACAGACATATACCTAAATCGCGAGAGATCTAAGTCTATCACCGGAGGATCATGAGTCTCGCCAAGATGGTCTACCTACCTTTTGAAGTATGTACATACACTATAGTATGAAGCTTCTGGACCTATTCTAATATAAATCGCATCCTTTTTGGTTATAGAATCCACGGGGAATCAATCAGGCATTTCGTGAGGTTATAGACTCGAGTTAGTTCGAAAAGCCATGTAAGTCCTGATTGAAAAAGGTGACATTGTCAGCGGATAGAAATATCAAAATTCTGGGATGTTGGACGTAAGTGTTGGAAACATTGCAGTAGAAGTGTTGGTCTAGCTCTATGTCCTTCGATTTCAAAGGCTTCCAAGTGCTCTTGGTAGATATAGAGGAAAACAAAAGAGAGAAACGAAAACAGTTCGAGTCGAGCTGGTGAGATTTGACAGTGTTTGTTGTGTTTGTTGTGTTTGCTTAATAGCCTTGCCAGTTACCTCAAGTGCTTCATTTTACCATGATTCACCGTCTTACAAGACTCATATGTGATGGGGAGAACAAATTCAAAATTACACCGAAAATCTTGTATCCAACTTCAATATTGTCAATATTTGTCGGGTTAAATCGCTGCTTCTCCTTACCGAAGAGGAAAGATAATAGTCAAGACATACATTTTCTGAGGTCGCGAGTGCCGATATGTACGCGACTACATACCACTGTATATGTATGTATTTGATACTTAAAGGCATTCGAACATTGATGCGAGCCACTGAGTGACACATGAAAAGCCCAGGTGCATAGTACTTCTGAAAAGATGCTACTAAATCAAATAATGTGATCCGGCATTTAAGTAGCTGGAAATGGAGATGCGATCCCTTGTGATATGGCGGGACCAAGTTACTAGGATGGGAATAGCGCGTGACTCTTCAAACGCGTTACGTGAATAAAAAGATCTAGTATAAACCTTTCGGTAGCACGGATCCCTTCAGATATTTCTTGTTACCCCCCACCGATGACTCCTCCGCATCTATTGACTCAAGCTGCTTCCGAAAAGTAAGATACTGGCAACCAAAACAAAATTCATGGTCACTATGATGGCTTCTTTCAACTTGAGTGAGCCGGGCCTAGATCTTGTCAAGGAGGAGCCATTCAACCCTACAGTAGGTATATTCTAGTTATGGCTTCCATTTCAGTTGAATCGACATATCTGTGCTAAAACCCCACCCTAAATAGATCCATATCAACTACGTGCCACCTGAAAAGAAAATCACGATGCAAGATTTGCTCTTGAGCAAAAGTGAAACCGCAACCCCTATTGCAGGAACAGTACCCTTCCCATTACTGTCACCACAAGGCGTGAGAGCCTATCGAAAGGCATTGTTTCAACAGAATGTGATTGAAAAGTGCGCAAGTTCGCCTTTTCCGGGTACACTGGTTCTTCGAGACGCAGTCAAACACTCTTCATTTATTAGAGATTTTTGGACTCACCCCGAGACAATGAGAATAGTATCTGACGCTTCTGGGGTGCCTTTAGAGGTGGTCATGCCCACGGAGATTGGACATACAAATATTCAGGCTGAGGGAGCCACGATTGCAGAGATGGTAAGCAACCTGAAAGTCGAGCCGTCAGTAGAGAAAGTGGAGTTGAGTCCGGCTGAACGGGCTTATGATCCTCTAAAAGATGAAACATCTATTATACCCTGGCAGTAAGTCTCTAAAATCCCCCCTCCCTCATCTATATGACTCAGAGAGACGGCACTGATGTTATACAAGCTATGACTCTTATCCTTATGTCTGTGTGCTCATGCTAAGCGAGACTAATGGCATGGTCGGTGGAGAAACTTACATCAAAAGAGGAGATGGCAAATCCCAAAAGGTATTCGTCCAAATCTCAGTTTCACTAGTAGAGGGGAAAAAAACAGTCAAATTGAATTTCATACAGGTCGAGGGTCCACAAATCGGACACGCAGTAATGCTGCAAGGAGGAGAAGTCCAGCACCTGGCAGCTCGAGCTAAGGGAGTCAAAGAACGTATTTCTACCATCACCTCCTATCGGTCAAAGATTCCAAACACATACGACTCAAGCTACATCACCAACATCCGGCCTTATGCAGATCTCGGATCGCTCTACCCCGAATGGACTCGCTATCGCCTGCGAAAGCTACGAGATGAAATTAGTTATTATCTCGACAAGGCCGAGAATGAATCAAGCTCTGCTTTTCAAAGAGAAGAATTGCAAAATATTATAAATCAGCAGATTGAGTATTTGCACCGAACTTCTCGCCAGATGGTCTCTCCGGAGTACAAAGAGCGGATCCTGAAGAAATACGGCAAAGCAGCCTATTATGATGTCTTTCGGATTTGGGAGACCGTTCAGGAATTGCCAGAGTTTGAGAGTCTCGCATCCTTGACGGATCAAGAGCGAGGTTGGATGCCGGAGAGTGTATATTGGATGGATCTTCAAAAGTCCATTGAGATCATTCGAATCAAGAATCCGCTACAGAGCACACTTGGTACTCATCTGTGGACTAAGCCACGGAAGTTTTACATGGGCGATGAGTTGCTGCGGCAGGGCTTGAACGAAGTATTTTTAGACTGGCTTGGAAGCTCCGGTCTGTGGGATATTTATTGCAGGTCTTGAATGTCAAACCTTTTTGTATTCTAGTATCAGCTTACATGCACTCAAGAGTAAAATCCACATAGTCTGGGAATAAACCATTCAATGTTGAATTAAATGAAGGTAACACGAGCAACATTTGAAGAAGTTCTCGATAGAAACAGCAAGGGAAAAAAACCCCCCCAAAAAAGAGAGAGACGAGCCATCAATTAAGCTCTTTGCATTGTCCATCCTTACACCCTTCACATAACCTGCTATTATGTGGACCCTTGCTCAACTTCCTCAACCGAGGTTTTGCCTCCATAGGCAATCCACTCCACTTCTTGATTCGATAAGCAACTCGGTCGGCGTAAGAGTCATCCAATTCCGGCCGACTGAGAAGCTCACAGCGCTTGCAGCGCTGATAATAAACCCTAGCGTTGTATCGTGACCCAGGGTAAAGTCGAATACTGATCGTAATCATTTTGCTCGACCAGCCATTTGAGGGACATGAGCTAGTCCTACACACAAACCGGCCCATGATGTTTGTATTGTAGGATTTTTCGCAAGCACCAGGGTCATCAGTTGGGTAGAATTCGAATTGCTGCAGATTGGCTTTTGTGAGAAGTCTGCAGACTTCTTCGTGTAGATCGGGATACAAAGAACATGTCTCTGTCTCGAATCTAGGCTTGTTGGATTTCTTTCAACGTGGCATTCTGTTGATCTTGGAGGGGATGTGGACCTTGAAATACGAATATATTGAGGCCTAGTTCATGCCAAAAGAACGAAGACTCGGGACATATGATTATAATTATGTACCAGTGTTGTCGGAAAGAGGGGGAATTCGAAAATACTTGTTTGCTATTCCAGAGAGCGTAGGTGTATTAATGTTGTGTAGTAGATATTCTTTTTGGCTAATGGCGCATGACCACTTGTAAGGGCTGATTTGCATGGGTTGGATTGGTGACAGCATCATTGACGTGTTCATACATGCGTAATTTGAAATACAAATACCGACATCCCTACTAATATTGAAGCCAATCAAATAACCCTCCAGTCCACCTACGATCAGTGAGAAAGACCAAACTACTCAAGAGCACGTGAGTGAATAAATGTACACTTGACTCATGTACGTAGTTCGGGCAAAAAATTGAGGATGGAATTTAAAGATGGTTACTCAACATTGAATACTGTGGGAAATAGCAATCCGCATTTGGCTAAATGGAAATAAATAGGTATAATAAATACATGTCGTCAAGATCGATCATAGTAAGTTCGTCTCGTCTCTTCTTTGATCGGCAGCCTCGCCTCGCAAGAACCTGCTGATTTTCCTCTCCGCATCAGCTGAATGTTGATTGCGATCCTCTTTGTGGATGGAGTTTCCAAAAAGACACTGCCATAGATCATCCTTCTTAACTAATTCTCCACCTGATGAACCATTTGTCATCAAATTTGTTGAACCTGCATCTTGAATTTCCATGGAATTGGCAGAGTCAATAGCCGTTTCCGTCAGATCATTAATCAAGGATTCGTCAAAGTCTCCAGAGATTGTTGAGCGAGAACTTGTCTGCTTTTTCTCCTTTTCAATGATATGGGCTAGTCGACGAGCAACAGAAAGCTCATAGATAGACTCTTCCACCGTACCGGAGACAAGATACATCCAAACGGTAGTGGAGCGATGTTGGCCGATTCGATGTACTCGAGCGATGGCTTGCAGTTCAATCGCAGTGTTGATCAGAGGTTCACACAAAAAGACATGAGTGGCATTAATCAATGTCAACCCTGATGACTGCGCTTTCCCGTGCAACAAGAAACATTCAACCTGCGGAGACCCGTCAGCCAGACTGGTTAGATTAGCACATATATCAGCATGGACTTACTGCAGGATCCTTTTTAAAGCTATCAATGCCACCAGGGCGGTCAATACTGCTGCTGACGATCTTGAAGCGATAGAGAGCCCTTTCTAAAACCTCCAAGAAGTTCTTGTACTGAGAAAAAATGATTGACTTAGCTCCAGGATCATGCTCTCGAAGCCATATGATATGCCGTGCAATAGTATCGATCTTGGTGCCGAATGAGCCATCTAGGTCGATATTCTTGATCTCATTTAAAAGACCAGAGCTGATGTCACTGTAGATCGCATTCTTTGAATGGCGTTCATGATCAAACTTGATGCTTGATTCTTCCTCTTGAGCGACCAATTCTTGTGGCTTGTAGGTAATCTGATGAAAGTCGCTGAGTTTTAAGGACTTTTTACAAGTCGGGCAGCTTCGATGATGTTGCCACCAGGTTCGCAAGCAGTCTGTGCAGTATTTGTGACCGCAAACAGTCAAGACACCTAGATGAAAAGTGGGCATTAATAAACCGGGGAGATTCTTAAGTTGTTAATAGATGATACATACCAATTTCGAAGCCTGATTGACAGATGATGCAGATTCTGTTCAACTCTTCAGAGCCGGACTCATCTCGAAGATGAATGAGGTATCGCCTCTTGGACTTCAAAGAAGATATTTTTGTTTCGAGCTTTTGTTCTTGGCTTAACTTGGAAGCAAAAAGTTCTTCATTCATAGGCTTCCCGGCACTCTCATCGTCATAAGGTGCAACTGTGTCCGAGATCTGCTGTAGGTGTCGGTAGTACTCCAACCTGACATTCATTGTGTCACGAAACATTTCAACTTCCCTCTCCATGCTGGCCGACACTTTGAGCTGCTCGGCAATCATCTGTCCAGCACTTTTCAAAATCTCGGTAACCAATTCGAGTTCAGCGCGAGCCCGTGTACTTCCTCCAGTCGCGTGCCAATCAAGAGAGGTCACCAGGCTGCGTAGTTCACTGACAATGCTACGAAGCGATCCTAATTCAGGATTGGGCATGATTTCACTGCGAGTATTCATTATGGAAAGAAACAGCTTTGGAGAAGGTCCTTCATCTTTCTGTGCTTGAATGATACCAGCCTTCGCCTCGTGAGCGATGAGAATGTTTGTCTGTCCGGTGAGGGCATCATGGCGATCAGCGTAGACTGTCCGCAGAGCTTCCATATAGACGTACATCTCATCTTGATGTTTGGTCGATCGCTCATACTCGTTGCCCTCAAGTTCGACATCCTCTTCTTGGTCAATAAGCGACTGAGAAACAAGCTTGATCATTACATCTCGCCATTCGATGTATTGTTTAGCATTTTTGTTCAAAGCCGTGCACAAGTCGTCGAATTTTTGGAGCAGCGGATATGTGTCGAGTTCCTTGTTGTACCGGTGGGGAGTTATCGTTTGAATTTGAACAAACTGTCTTTTGTGCGTTTTCACCCTGATCATTTTCAGATATCGTTCGACCTTTTGGGAAATTTCGGTCAACATCTCTTTGCGGATGATTTTAGCCGCCTCGTAGCCTTCCTCTTCTTTTTTCTCTAGCGATTGGAAGTCCACAGACTCGGGCTGGGTAAGATCGGGATCGCTTTTGATCTGGTAGTATGCGTTTGCAGTGAAAAAGACAGCGATATGCTGAACCTCGAGAGCAGCGCGCAGCCTCAGTCGACATTGGCCCATACGACTATTCTTATCTGCTTCTTCAATTTCCTCGTCGCTCAAATCTTCTGATGGATCTGCCGAGGTGCCTTTCAGGGCATCTTCTAGAAGTCGTAGCTGTTCTCTGCTATCTTCAACCAATCTGGTAGAATACTCCAAAGCTGCCTGCCAGAGAGCTAGGGCCTCCTTCCGACGCTTAGCGTTCTCTAAAAATTGTCCTCGGCGGAGCTGGGATAGGAGAAGATTTCGCTCTTCAGTGCGTATTGAGGTATCAGTATTCTCAATCATAACTTCAAGTACCTCATCAACGGTGCGAAGTGGTCCATTTCCAGCACCCAAAGCACGTCGATTGCTGCCACTGACTTCAGGATGAAGACAGGTCTGGCGGAGTCGTGTCAACCACGAACGGAGTCGTTCAACTGTGCCCGGGTCTTCTGGATTCCAGTCATTATCAAGCGGTGTTCCTGTTGCATTTAGCCCACACTGTTCACACATTTCCTCGAAGAGTTGGCCATAATGTTGTTCTTCAATAGCGGTAAACGGGGTGGTGATAACAATTCTCTTCTGTTGTGGCAAACGAAGTTCGTCCCGAACACGATCCTTAGTATGCCGAAGTGCAATTCTTTGAATGATATCCACCAAAATTGGCCCAAACCTGGAATACAACCGAGTCCACAATGTATTAGAGTTGCAGAATGGGTAATATCGAAGGAATAAGAGAAGACCAAACAGATCATCAATATTACGTCGAAGCGGCGTGCCCGTGACGGCCCAGGCATTGATCCTAGGAATCAAGCGGGCAACCTTGGCCGCATTACTGACTCCACTCTCAATCATTTGGGCTTCGTCAAGGCAAACCCGCCACCATGAGATCCGGACCAATGGTGATTTGCGGGGTTCAAATCTCTTCTGATGGCGCAGGTTTCGCTTTGGTGCTGTATCAGTGTAATAGACCTCCCGAGCAATGACGTTGTACGTGGTCAGCACAACATCAAATTCAGCAAGTTCTTCGATCGTTAAATCATCCGAGCCTTCTTGAACACGTTTGATTCCTGTATAGTGATGCACTCGTAGCTCTGGGGCATGTTGCTGGAACTCTTGTCTCCATTGCTCAAGGATTGCAGGCGGGGTGATGATCAATGTGGCCCCCGATTCTCTCAATCCGTCAGAATCAAGCTTTAGCTGAATGGAGCGTCTATTCAAGCTAACGAGAGCGATAATTTCGACAGTTTTCCCTAATCCCATCTCCTCTGCGAGAATACCACCTTTAATATGATCTGCTGCATCATCTCCCCATTGTGAGATATCCGTGGCAATGATCATAAAAAGATGGCTAAAGTAGCAGGTCCGTCCATCCGCATCTTCCATCTTCTGGAAGGATGCTGGAATGCCACCAGTGGAGGATGAGGGAACTATGGTGGGAGTGAGATCTCCATTTGACTGAAGCTCCATTCCTTCTCTCTGAAGGAGCCATCGAACAGCTCTCTTCTGGAAGGGAAACAGTTCACAGACCATATTCGGACATTTGATGTCTGTCGACGCTTTTTCGGTGTTTTGAGGCACGTGAACACTCTCGTAAAATCGTTGAGGGGACCAGGCCTGAGGAGGACCAAGTAACTTTTCACGAAGCGAACGTGTCGTGGAGACACTCCCAGGAAGTTCAAAGGCTTCACGTAGGGCATATTTTCCGAAGACATGCAAGACTGGATCTCGAAGGTGCACAATGTCTGGAATTTCCAAGGAGTCCCGCCAAAGTATTGTTACTTCCAAGCAGATAAAGTTTCTTTTGATTGATAATGTGGCTTGGTAACATGAGACCGAGGGGCCATTGACGTATTGGTTTGTGGAAGGAAGTCTACTTGCAAGGTCGAGCTGCTGGAATAAGTTGGATAGCTGTGGGTCGTCAAAAGTCTGCTGAAAAATGTTTGCTCCTCCTGCCCCGATATTTTTTAATTCGAGTATGTAGGAGCTGTCATTCGCCGAGGGGAGTTCTGAGGTCGATGATGAGATATTATCGATCGAATGTATTGGGGTAATGCCGAGGAGAACAGGAAGCCGGCCAGAAGACTCGCTTTGGATTCCATTGGCAATCAATTCAGTGGTGTCTGTGAATTTCTGAAAACAAAGGCAAGAAATTAGCCACTTTATTATGAGCAATGGTTCCACTTCACACTTACCATGCGCAGTTCCAGCCGAGCTAACGGAATGTATCCCAATGGTATGTCTTCCGGAGAAACACCCTGTTCCCAACCTAGACTGGATGGGACAGGTTTGCTGATCTTCCGCCGCTTAGTGGGTGGCGTGTTCCCATCGAAGGAATCGATTTGCTCAAGAGCGGAGAGCAGTGACCGGAGGACGGAGTCTTGATCGAAGACATGTTAGTGAGTTGCTTTGTGAAGATTGCAGTGCCTCAATTATCATACCAGGAATATGGGCCTCCTCGACGAGCCCAGCCATCATGAACCGCACCTCAAGATTGCTTTTTGGTTTCCATACAAGACGGAGAGAGAGAGGATTGAGGAAAAGCGCGTCTGCCTCCATAAGAATAGGCGCTATCGTACTATCTTATCGCTATCGCTATCGCTATCGTATCTTATGATCACGTGGAGATAGCGTATAGTTCTCCACTATGATGTTTTATGTGGAGTCTCACAATCCACTCCATGGCGAGCTTCAGGGTTCAACTAGTACCATCTCACCCTTTATACTACTCCGTACTGGGGTGCCTTTGATTTTTTCTTCATCATCATATGATATCCCCAGTTGGCAGCTGAAAAATGAATAATACGAAAGCACTAGTGAGTAGTGACTATGTACACTTCAAGATTGGATGCATCAAGGGCTACTCCCCAACTGGGAGCTAGAAACCTTCATCTAGAACTCTGTGCACATATGCGTGGCGTTCTTGTAGGCAGGACAGGGGAGGCTTTGTCATTCAAGGTTGGAATTTTTTTTTGGAAAAAAATTGCATAAAGTGTGAATGGGCTCACATGAAATCTAGTAGGACACAAGACTGCCTGGCCCTCTACCTAGCATACTTCTCACACTGCCTCTTCCAATAGTACCAGTGCTATGAGATGATGTTTTCTCTTGACTATCAGATTGGCTGTCAGAAACCACACTACCTCCACTGGCCTTGACAGTCCTTGAGTATTCTACTCCATTTGCTGTACTTTGAAAATCATCCAGTGTAGTGCCTGTGGAAGTTGTGTTTTCTCCGGAGACGGCTCCATAGTATGCTTTCCCAGACTGAGTTGTGGAAAGCTTAAAAGGCCCAGAGTTCATGGTAAATGTAGATATGCCTGGACCGCCAGTGGACTCGATTTCAAGACCTCGCTCCATCCAAGACTCAATGGTCTCAGAGTCAGATGTCAGACCGTAGGTTGCATTGACCAGCAAAGGATAGCTGAAGGTTGTCTCATTGGAGCTTGAGTTCTCGCCAAGTTTAGCAATGGTATTTTTACCTGACGTGAGCTGCTTGTTCACCTGGCTATACCCGGCTTGGTTGAGGTACCCATAGTTATAGAACGAGAGTGTCTGTGACCAGGCATACTTGGAGGAAGTGGACTTGAATGTCCTCTCAGCTACCACTGAGTATGACAAGCTCTCGTTTTGTACAAGGTCTCGAGTGATAGTAAACTTTGGCTCGGGTGCTTCCACGACTGGGGCGGTGGCTTGGCTCGCTTCTCTAGTGGTCACAGCAGATGTGCTTTTATCATCGCTATCGGTATAGAGGAAAATGTTTCCGGTAACCACCCAGTATGAGTTTACGGTATTGGCGAGAATAGCAGTGCCGTCACTGGAAACATTCAGACCGGTGACTCTGATCTCAAATGCATGCTCTTGGCCATCTTGAACCAGCGGCAAAAATGGCGAGATGTCAATTTCTGACTGCCGAAGATCGAAAGCATCAATGCCGACGATAGGATGCCAAAAACCAGGTGCCACACCGCCAGTGAAGATGATGGGGAAAGGCCAGACAACACCGGCAAGGATCCCGTCGATGTAGAGTTGGATCTCTCGGAAAGGAGAGTATCCATATTCTTCTCCCACGGTATCTTCAAAGTCCTCTGAATCCTCGGTGAAGACATTAGACCACCAGAATTCTTCCTCGGACTGCCCACATGCAGAGATTGAAACAACAGCACGCGATGCAGCATCTGGAATTGTGTATGAGACGGTTGTGTTATCAGCTGGCACGGTGAAGGCGCTAGATGAATTGGAAGATGCTTTCCTAGCCGACAGTGGAAGAATAATGTCGGCGGTTCTTGCATTGTTTTCGTATGAGAAATGTGCTGTCAAAGTCACATTGTATGGTCCAGTATAAACATCCGTGATAATGTTCCCCAGGTCAAAGATAAGCGTCTGTTGTTCGTGCCACAGAACATTATACTGAGACATTTCTTTAATATAAGACCACACAACGCCAGTTGACGTTGGCTCGGCGGTTGAGGTGCGGAAAACCTCGACGTCTCCCAGGTACATGAGGCCTAAACGGTCGTACTGAACACCACGAGAAGTGACCGTCATGTTTATATGGACGGTATCAAATCGACAGCTTGGGGGTATATAGCTTCCTGGGAAATCGTGTATCAGAATTGAAACTCATGAACAGAATACAGTGGGAACTTTGGAAGCACGATGGTGAACTTACCAACATATGGGACTCCATAGCTTTCGGCAAATTCGTAGTCCATCAACAGCACATCGACATCACAGCCAGTGGTTCCATGAGAGGTAGTTGATACCGGTTGATATACCTGAAGCACCTCTTGGAACCCCGTGGCATCGGCAGTATCTATAGAGGAGCGTTCTACCGGTCGGAACTGACTAGGAGACGATGATACTCGTGGGATCTGTCCCAGCAGAAGCAATGAAGATGATATCAATGGCCACATTTCTACTCAGGTCCTCGAGGCTCGCCAATGCCTACTATGGAGACGGGATTGAGAAGAGTTTTGAAGGACAAGAAAAGCCCTGACTTGATTGAAAGGAGAAAAAACCACAATAGTCCAACCAGTGCATGATAAGTAACTCCCCGGGCAGTCGGCGTTTTGAGTCTCCAGACATAATGACAATGAGGGGCAGGCACGCTAGTGTAAACTGGTTTATTGCAAAAGTGCAACAATGAGGAGAAACAGACGCTACTTCCTGGCTAGTGGAGAAGATTATGTCCGCATGAAGGATGCAATATCCACATCCACTAGTAGATCATGTAAAGGCCGCGTTTACCCCTGACGATAAGGGATGTCCATCGGAGTTCCGGATACTCATTTCACCATTGCCTCATTTTTCAAGAAATTGCACTTTGTGATTAACTATTCTCGAATCATAAAGCGATGACGATTCCGTCTCGGCTAATGATGATTATGAGAATCTAAGAAGAGAATTATCTCTGATGTTATCTTCGGCAACCTGGAGCCTTGGATTGGACTAAGACTGGCAAAGGAAAATGATAAGATTTAAATGAATGAAGACTGTTAGACTAATCCATACATGTAGACTATAGGTGTCTAAAAGGCAAAGGTCTTGCATCGCGATGATAAAATCCCTGATCTGCCATTACTGTTTTCTCCTTTATTGTGAACTAAGCAGGCAAGAAATGTAACAACCGGTATAGTAGTTAGTCGGTATGGGGGTTAGTAAGATGAAGTTCAGTGATCGAGTAGAATCGTTTTCAACATGCTAGTAATAAAGCCATGTTTCTATTAGGGAACTCCAGGGTATGTCGTCAATGTTATGGACTATTTTTGGAGTATGGAATGCGTGGTATCCATGTTGTGGTCCACGTCTGACGAATCAACCGTTGATGGCTTGGATAAAAGCCGGACGAGTAGAGAGAAACTTGTACATGACAAAAGGAAAGCCAGAGATCCCCCGATCTCGTTTATGATGAAGAAAGTAACCAAAAAAAAAAAAACACTCCGCAGCCATGCACCCACATTCAAACCTGATTTTTTTTTTACATAAACAGACGCCAAGCACCAAGAATCAAAGCGGCAGTACCAGTGCAGACACCCCTATAGAAGTCAGTAATAATCCATGAAGAGATAGAGAAGTTCGGGTGTCATACATAAGCCACTGGAGAGTGGAGAATTTGACAGCTTCAACTCGTTCCCTTAAACCTGCCACTTCCTGCTCAATCCGTGTTTCGGTCTCCTTGATCCTCATCTCTTGGCCGTTGGCCTCCTCGCGAATCCGGCCCTTTTCCAGATTCAGGTCTAGACGAACCGACGCTTGTGTTCGACCAATTTCATCTCGCAGGCGTGAGTTAAGCTTGGCCAGATCGGCAGAAATCTTCTCGTGGGATGAGCGAGTAAGCTGAGCTTCTGTTGAATCGGCGTTCACTAGTTCAGAGCGTAGTTTGGCGAAGTCGACCTTTTGGGTGTAGGTCGATCTCTCTGAATCTGTTGGGCCATTGTTAATAAGCGAGGAAATATGGGGAAACAGAAGAAATGACTAGCCTTCTCGAAGCACCATGGTCCTTGTCAAATTTTGAATGGACTCCTGAATAATATCGTTCAATACCCGCATCATGGCCACAGCCTGTTCCTCGCTGAACCCCTCGGCCTGTAGCCGCTTCACAAACTTCAAGGTATCAAAATGGTGATCACGAGGGCGGATCGGCGTCGCATGGAAAGCGCGCTGGGCAGGCTTGAATGTTGCGACATAGACTCCATTATGACGAATGGGGTTGCCGAGGGATTCAGGTGACGGGCGTGTCGCAACAGGGAAAGTTCGCTGAACAAGGGTAGAAGCAAAGCGAGAGTCTCGGATGGATGTAGAGTAGGCCCTTGGTGACTGGGATGATGCGGTTATCGAGGGGATCTGTTGATGAAGAGGACTCCAGGTCAAAAGATGTTGCTGCCGTTGCCTGGTCGCAAGCGCTGGTTGGTGGTGGTAGGAAACATGTGGTCGAGACGATGAGCTGTTCCATGTGAGGCGAGGTAGGATAGTCCGAGGCACCTCTGCGACATGTTTTTGAGGCGCCATATCGCATATGAGTTTCAAGATTATTGGAAAATCCTCTTGTGACAGACTACTAGAGTGACGCAGGGAAGAGAATTGAAGGGGGTGACTAAGGTGCCGGAAAGATCGACAACTTCCCCGGTGCGCCCCGCAATTCCTCGGGAAACACCAAATGATGTTCTTACTAGTAACTTCTTAGTAGTAGACCATATCTCATTTTCTTTTCTTTTATTGAATCTATCTTGATCTCTCGCATACAACCGTCAAACATGACTTCAGCCTCCAGATCCACATGCTCACCGTACGGACAGTCTCTTAAACAGGTAAGCTTATGACCCTATCTGACACTATTTAAAGGTCAAAAAGCTCCGTTAGCTGCTTCATGGTATCATCCGGGTTCTCAACCGAATGACCAATAGTTCGGGGGTCGGAGTAAATCTCATAATCATTGCCTCCAACAAAACACTTATCGCCGAAGAAGTGAATGTTCTTGTACTCAGTGCCTGTAATGTCCTTTTCGGCTGCAACATGCTGCAAGCAGTAAGTCTTGTCCCAGCCAGCAGGGAAGACATCGAAAGAGATTTGGCCGCCAATCGAAAATCTGTGTAACAAAAAGTATCAGATCACATATTCAAAGTAGGCATTTGTTTATATCTGTTTGTTTCAAGTACCGGACACCTGCAGGTGGGGACTTACGTGAGGCCATAGGCTGGGAACTGCTTTTTTAAGGCCTCCACCAAATCCTTTCGAATGTTGTGGATCTTATCATACCTGATATAACAACTTATCAGTCCATTTATTGTTTTTGGAAGAACATTTCAGTATAAACTCACGCCTCAAATTCATCTCTTTCCTCCACACTGGCGTTACGTCCAACTGGGCTGACATTGATCATACCATTGCGGAACTCAATAAAGGTACCACGCTTCCTAGGTAACTTGACCTTGGAGATATATGCTAGACAAAAATCTGCCAGCTCCTGATACTTCTCCTCTCCGAGCCATTGAATAAAGCTGTTGCTGGAGAGCAGCGTACCCAAGCGGTAGGCAACAAGACCATTCTCGGGGAAACAGAAATCAAATAGGGTAGTCACATCTACCGTGGCTGACCCCAACTGCTCCTGCTGCTTCGCAAAATTGGAGCCGCCAACCTAGAACATTTGAAGATAAAGTTAGGGAGACGAGTATGAGACGTTGAGGGAAAAGTACGGACATAACCAATAGCACACTTATGTCGCAGACGTGAGAGCAGCTCCAGCATTTCCGGGGTGACAGTCTAGAACAAAATGTACTTTAGTAAATGATTCACATCTAACCATTAGTCAGTGATTTATTCATACTCGTCTGGCCTTGGTCAAGGTCTCATCGACATCAAACAAAACGATAGTGTCCTTGAGCGGACGGGTCTCCAGTGGAGGGAAAACACTCGTGGCAGTGGGCATTTTGAGCAGCGAGGAGTATGAATCCGAAGAACTGAAAATATTGATCAGGAACAACGAGAATCCAAAGAAATAAATAAACTACAGTTGAACGGAGGGGCTCTTCTTTTTCTGACCGGAAGCGGTAGCATTGAAGTACTAAGTGGAGAATTGACGATCTAGTCTCAAAAGCTAGACCAAAGACATTTGATGCGGACACACTTTGCAGATTATGGTAAAGCTGAATCCTGAGATTGAGGTGTTCAAAATCAGAGGTTGACCCATGTAACGAGTTTGGGGTAGATGATATTCGGTCACTATGACCAGCATGTTATCGATAAGCGGTTTTAAGGTGGAAAAGCATCCTAGGAATATTCTACCCCGTGGGATTCAATAGATCAGATATTCCAGCATTATGTCCTATTTGTATTTATAGAGATACCGTGTAGCCTCTAAGAGGCACAAATGTTCGTGCCGAAAAGAGGTATCCCAGCTACATACTACTATGTACTATAAGTGCCGCCAAGGTTCCACATATTTCATCCTTCCCACCGGGGTCAATACCCCGCAAACAGCGGGCCTCGAATAACGCCAAAATCCTGGTCAGGGAAAAGAAGAAAAATCACAAGGAAAGAAAAATAAAAACGAAGGATATCAAGCTGTCGGCAAAAATGATTTTACTCAGTGCCCCATAGCGGATTGGAACACCTTCGCAGCAAGCTCACTCAAGAGTTGTGTCCGATTTGGCTGTGGAAGGTCCAGGAAAACCTCATAGACACTTTTGCCCTTGGCATCACGGACAGCGCCCAGGCGGTTACCCGCGACTGCGCCCGCCAAACCACCAGGAAAGTTACCTACGATGAAACCAAGAGCACCGCCACTTACACCACCAACCACGGCCCAAAACCGTGAGTTGGGACGGGACCTTTGGCCACCTTCGCCGTCTTCCGCCAGCCCCTCTTCGCGCAGCATCTCTTCAAACACCGAGCCAAACTGGTTGGAGTCGCGATCTCCATGGTCCTCACGACTACCGAAACCAAAGCTAGACCACGGGAACCCACCGGAGCCACCCTGGGGTATTTCCTCCTCAGCCTCGGCCTCGTATGCTCGGGTCGCGTCATATTCCCGTCGCCGCCCTGGATCCGATAGCGTATAGTAGGCATCGTTCACTTCCTGGAACTTGCGTGTCCGAGCGGGTCGTTCAGGAGAATCTGCGGGGACTCGATCGGGGTGGCATTTCAACGATTCTCTGTTGCCGAGTCAGCATGCGCTTCAACTTGGGGGCATTTCAAGTTCTCATTGTTTTTATTTTCTGTAAGGGACGGGGGAGGGATATAGACACGAACCTCTTGTATGCCGTGCGAATCTGCTGCTGAGTAGCATCGTGCGAAACGCCTAGAATTTTGTCTGTAGAGAAGTTAAGAGTCATATTCGTTTTATGTGGGGAACCACATCTTACAGTAATCAGGGCTTTCTGTAAAGGCGTTAGTTCATGTCAGTTGAATCTGAATCTCATCAGAAAATAAAGGCAACTTACTTGACATGGTGCTTTAAGTGATATGAATTATACTAAGTTGGATCCAAGAGAGCAATTTCAGACTAGAGATACATCATACTCATTATATTAAAACAAGCCTAATGTCAGTGACGTCGTTGTAGCCTGAGGCACGAACATGTGAATTGTCCCGATTTTAATGACACCTGAGATCTCAGGTGTCTGACACAAACCCCCTGAACACTAAAACCGACTAAAAACAAATGAGTTGCCGTGTTTCGCCCAGCCTCCTTGATTTTCACAGGGGGAAGATTTATCATACTCCTTTGCATGTACTCCGTATTGTTATTTACCACCTCTGAATCTCTTACAGTCTAACTTGGTCAATTGAATTGTCATATCTCTACGTTCTACAATCTGCACAGCAGATCGTGGGTGGAGTAGATATACGCAACAGTCGCGAAGCAGATTGCGCCTCCTGCAGCTCCTAGCGGCTGACCTGCATCTCGCTGAATTTTTCCCTTCACTCTTATTGCCACACAGGAGGCAAAACATCTTCAAAAAGGCCAGGAGGAATTCCTCATTGTCTTCATCCCAAGAGTATAGTACTGAGAAAAAGCTGTCTACGGGCTACATACCCTTGAGCCTTGCCCCGCAATCCAACCAAACCATCATTACGACAAGACATCTGTGATCTTCGCCAGCACGCGAAGCAAGGCTAGGTGACATCTGTCCCCATAATACGTAAAAATGGGTTGGTTCGATGGCCCTTCATCCAGGACCTCAACATCATCGAATGGCTACACACGCCGACGCGCGAGTTCCCCGTCCAACAAATCAAGCTACTCGACCTACCATAGAGGCCATTCAGCGCCATCGATCTTCAGCCTCGGTCGCGGAGGAGGAGGTGGTGGTCGTTCCAGCCCTTCTGTTTTCTCGACTTTTTCCTCCTCTTCGCGCCGAGCTCGACCTCGTGAGGGATTCGTGCAGCGTCTGGTCCGTTCAATCAAGAAGCTATTCCGGGATATCTACCGCTACGCCCGTGAACACCCATTGAAGGTGTTTATGCTCGTTGTTCTTCCCCTCCTCACGAGTGGCGTTTTGCCAAAGTTGTTGGCTATGATCGGCATTCGACTGCCTCACGGTGTTCTCAGTGCCCTTGGTGGTGGATCCTCGAATGCAGCCCGTGGAATGGGAGGCATGGAGGGTAAGGGATTGTCGGACAGCGTCAATTCGCTGGTGAGCTTGGCTAAGATGTTCGCCTAAGCCGACATGGACGCCCTAGGAAAAAACTTCTCTCCTGACCCTTAACGACCATGATGATATACTCGTCCCATTTCGATTTCCTTTGTGGCCATCAACTTCTTTCCCCTCGTGACGTGACCTAGTGACGATGTTGTACGTATTTGGGAGGCTTGCTGGCATTGCACGGAAATACCTTTTTCTTTCTTCTTTATCAAAATGAAATAACGATCGGGGTTTATAACGAAAACCACAAATTTGAAGACTCGAGAGAGCCGAAGTCGAAAAGGAGATAAGAAGTCTAGGAGGGGACATGTCCTCCCTTTTAAACACTGGAGTCGGTGAAGTGTTGGTACCCAAGGGTGGATAATGGCCCCGTTGGACTTCCCTACAATTGGACTAGAGCAACACTGTGGCCGACTCTGACTGGCAGCCCTGCAGGGTCAGGGTCAATAGTGGAGATCAGATCGCCGCGAATATGAACAGGTAACAGACTGCCCTTGGTCTCAAGTGAACAAGCAGTTGTTTTTGTTGCCTACCGGAATACGGTGTAGCGTATATTCTATTATTTCACCCACTTCATCTATTCAACAATGTTTTTTTAAAGAAGCAGCTGTAGCACGAAGGATCTATGACCACAAATTTTCCAGGCCATATATACCCTTTGAAACAATGCCCCTATGAATGCATCTCACTTATGATCGCTGAGTGCGCTTCCCACGCCGGCGGGTCGGCCGTCCATCCGAGGTCGCAGTGGTCTCGCTAGCCTCGACCAGGTCCTCGGTTTCCTCGATTTCCTCAACGATCTCCTCGTCGGCGGTAGAGCCCATCACTCGACCAATGGTCCTATGGAAACACCAAATAGGAAGTTTGCAGACAATGGTGTCTCGGAAAGAAGGCCGCTGGATTTCATCAACATCCAGCAGGAACTCCTGCCGCTCACCCTCCTCATTGACCTCTTCCAGGAAAACATTTCCAGTGGCCTCAACAATAAGAACCTTGCCATTCTCAGCCACGACCCGCTTGCGCTCTCCAGTCGACACCACAGGCTGCTCGGTAGGTGTGGAAGTACCCGAGCTGCGAACCGGGGCCTTTCCACCCTTCTTCTCCTTACGGTTCTCCTTGTCCATCATGCGCTTCTGGCGACGGTTAACCGACATGGGAGCAGGCTGCTCACTCTCGGAAGAAGGAGCTGGTGCAGACGAGCCAATCGAGTCGATGCCGGGGATGCCCCGAACGCCCATTTCATCTCCATATGCAGCTCGGCGCGCCTGGCGAATGTAGCGGTCCACAAACTCCCGTTGGCGTTTCCAGGCCAGAACCAGGGCTCCGTAGTGCGCGGCACCACCAAACACCAAGAACAGACCAGCCAGGACGGAGCCAAGACCGGGACGGAAGCGGGTATAGTAGTATCCAGTGCCTCTCCACAGGGGGAAACCATTCTTGAGGAAATGATCATAGCGTTCACGACCAGGACCACGGAGGACATTGGCCACGGTGTTCAGACGAGCGGAACGAGCATTGGCATCTTTGACGGCAGCTTCGATCTCACGCTTGGAGGGACCGGAGTTGACATGGACGCCGGGTTGAGTGGACTTGGACTTGGACTTGTCGATGGCATAATTGGCGACAAAGGAGCGCTTGACCTTGTCAGGATGGAGGGTACGCGTTTTCTGGCGGTGAGCCTTGGTGATTTGTTCATGATTGGCATTTGGGCGGATGCCGAGGAAGTCTGGATCGAGAGATTATGATTAGAGAAAGGGGTGACTCTTTTCTTCTTCTTCTTGAGCTGATAACATTTGCGCCCATGAGCAAGAACAAGGAAAGGGTCATTTACCGTAGAAGGTCACGTTTGCACCTTCACCTGTGGCGACCTCATCCCGTAGACGGAAGATCTCATAGTCTGTTTTTTGAGAGAGAAAAGAAACGATTAGCCATTGGAAGGGAATGAAGAGTAGAATTATTTACCTTCCTTAGTGAACGCAGCCACTAGGCCCACGAAGACCAGAAACAAGGAAAGAATGACAGGCTTCATGGTTGATGGGTGATGAAGCGGTCAACCCTGCGTTGGCCCCTAAACCGCTGAAATACTTCGGAAATAACGATTAGGTGGTCTCCTCTTGGAAACCCTGTGGTTTTCCCACATCAAAATTAACCACCTCAACGATATTTTGGTATTTGGGAGGTATCTTGAGGGTAATTTTGCTTTATTACTTGGGAAAGATGTGTAATATTATTTCTTCAATAGAATCGCCATGTCATATTTGCATATTTGTTCCCAATAAGTGGTGGAGTAAAAAAGCGTGCATTTTGGTTTTTTATTTTCTCGTTCCTGTACGTCGGACGTGGCCCAATCGACTGCATATGAGAGAGAAGAAAAAAAAGACTTGGAGTGACTCAAAGTGAGGGGAAAAATGTACTTGTCGATTCGATTTTATCTATTTATAAGATCCCCCCTCTCTTGTTCTTACATCTGACTTTCTTCCCTAAAGATATAAATCAGGGAGAACCAGAAAGTGAAAAAAAAGGTCATCTACTATGTGCTTTGTATACATTCGTGTATGGGGTTAAAAAGCCATGATGGATCAAATCCGGTGAATTTACTGGTCTCTTTTTCCGCGAACAGAATTCCTCCAAACTTGATATTAATTCCTCTTTTTTTTCTCCTCTTATTTTCAACTCTTCCAGTACTCTTCGATTGTACTATTCTTAGAGAAGAGAAAAAAAAAAAACAGGGGAGCCTAAAGGATAAAAAAAGAGACCAAAAAGTGCCTGCCTGACTGCCTGAGCCTTGTTGACCCCTTCCGCGACTTGGCATCTTCGACCGGGAAATTCATCAACCTGTCAACTTTCAACTTTCAACTTTCCACTATCCACCTAACCTTTACTCCTTTCTCTCTTTTCACTGCCATTCTCTCTTTTGGTTAATTTCTTCGTTATTGCGTCATTTTCTCCACAATGCCTATCCAAATTCCCATCGATATGATCACTTCACGCTTTGGTGATCGATTCAACAACATCCGCAGCCAATCCCTGACCACCCGCTTTGCGAACTTGCGCCCCGTCTCTGAATTCTTCGACGTCAAGCGCTTATCCAAGCCAGCCAACTTTGGCGAGATCCAGAGCCGTGTCAACTACAACCTCTCCTATTTCTCTAGCAACTATGCCGTCGTCTTTGTTATGCTCAGCATCTACAGTTTGTTGACCAACCCCGTACTGCTATTCGTCATCATCCTCGTCACCTGCAGTCTCTACGGTATTGGCAAGCTCGACGGTCGCGATCTAGATCTCGGTTTCCGCCGTTTCAACACTTCGCAGCTCTACACTGCATTGCTGTGTGTTGCCGTGCCCCTGGGTCTCTGGGCCTCGCCTTTCTCCACCGTCCTGTGGCTCATTGGCGCAACTGGTGTGACCGTCTTTGGTCACGCTGCATTCTTGGATAAACCCATCGAGAATGCTTTTTCCGAGGAGGCGGTCTAGGTGGTCGGCCGCGAGCTCCTTACGATATGCCCCGATGGGGAAGACCACCGGGGGCACGAATGGGGAGACACAACGGGGGACGAGCGCAGTGGGAGGAGGATACCCGAGTGAAGGAGATTATCACCGAAGAGGACGATGTGTTTGGACGGGAGTTGGTGCGCAATGGCCGCTACCCTTGGCAGCAGGAATATGGGGGTCGAGTGTCGCGTAGGCGGCTGGAGTATGAGGATCTGACTGACGAGGCGGAATCAGTGGTGGACGGGGGGGATTACGACCTGTATGAACATGGAGACAGTACGGTGGCTTATGCGGTTCAGCTGGCCATGCGTGATAAGGAGGATCAATTGGTGGATACGGCGCTGGAACGAATTCGCCGGGCCCAGATGTTGGGCAAAAAGAACGTTCGGCTCTCCAAACGGGAGCTGGCAGCATTGGAACGCAAGCGACAACAAACGGACAACATAAGCGCAGGCGCAAGTGGCACTCGGAAGCAGCGCAGTCGACAAGGGAGTGTGAGCAACTCACGGCCATCTTCCCGGCGAAATGGCCATACTGTACCCCCCGAGCCACCAGCAGGGGCCGCCTACCCACCTTTTGCGCCCGATGCGGGATGGAATCGAAATGCAGGCCCTCATGGCCGACCTACCAGTTCGTCATCGACTAATCGTCCACGCACCCCGACGATGCAGTCCTTGCGACCACAGCAGTCCAACTCCCCTCTCCGACCGCCCTACTCCCCTTTTGCGGAGCGAATCCCTCCTAATAATCGGCCCCAATCGATGCATCAACCTTCCCTGTATGCGCGACCATTGCCCGACGATCCGCAATGGGCACCACCATACTACAACCCTATGCCAATGAATCCGTATGCGTCGGAGCAGCCTCCCTTCCAACCTCAACTTCCTACCGACCTTCGCGTTGGACCTCAAAACCGTATGAGCTATCCGACAGGCATGCCCCCGACTCCAGCCCAACGGCGACAATCGGTCGATGAGCGCCCGTCGACAGCTACATCGCAGCCACCAACTTCTTCCCCGTCGGAAAGTGAGTCGGAGGCGTCCAGCGAGGAAGAAACAGGGAGTGGCGAAGATTCCGATGTCCAGATCATTGGAGTTGTTGAGCGTCAGCCCCAGATCCAACCCCAGCCTCAGCCGCCTGGTCTCCAAAGACGTCCTGTTGCTGGAGCAGGCCGAGGTCGTCAGCGAAGCAGTCGATAAGTTGGAAACCAAAAGTGATAACATGTCTTCCTTTACCGGGGTTTACCCTCTTTTTTGCCTTTTTTCCTCACATTCTTTGTTTCCTTTTTTTTCTGGTCTTATAAATATGTCTTTTTTGCAATGGCGTTTTGTTTTAGATCGAAAATGGGTCTTTAAATGAATCGATCCATATTATTTGAATTTTTCTGAGGCGTTATGTCTGTAGATCCCCGAATCTCCCGTGTGATCAGAGGTTTAGTCAACAAGATTCTCTGCCACATGTGACGTGCGAGCCGGTCCCCACGGTCTTTTATTTAAAAAAAAAAACTGTACATATTGGAGATTGCTCATAAGGATTTAATTTTAGTATCAGTCGATCACTCAAGCACTGAGTATCCAAATAAAACTTTGTATTTGAGTGGGGCATATATTAGTATGGATGAAATTACGCGTGGATCGTGGGAAAATGTAGTCATGGATGATGCCTTGGCAGACGATGACGTCGTTGTAGCTTAAATCCCTTTTACCTGAACTTGGAAATATAACCGATCAGTTCTCCCTTGATATTCTAATTTCTCCCTAGCTATTCCTCGCTTTTCTCTCTCAAGGTCTACTCTCCCCCCAAGTCCGTTTTGGTCAAGGTTCTTCTTTCTCGCGTTCCTGGATTCCACACCCGTGCGCCACAAGCCACAAACAAACCCCGTTGAAAATCCTAAAAGCTCGGTGGATCACTTTAGCGCGTGGAATGCGTGAGATTGGACCTTGTATCACCAGTGATTGATCTTGGATATACCTGTAAGTTCAATCAGATCAATCTTATATTTTTGTGAGCGAAAAAAAAAAAAAAAAAATCAAAAGCTCTGGGCTGTATTAGCGCGACATGTATATGTGCATGGATGTATGGCATCATGGCTAATACTCTTAAAACCTGATACAGATTCGAGTTCGCATTGTTACGCTCTTGACAACATTTGAAGGCCCGCATTCTGCTGTCGCGTCGAAGGCCTCGGCATCGGAAACTAAATCCCCATCCTTAATTAATTCTTTCCCTGTCTTTCCGCTCCTTCCGGCGCATTAGAATCAAAAAGAGATTCACGAATACATTGATCGTCAAGATGTGGATTGTCTCGTTCTGGGTGTTTCCGGTCATTTCGGCCTGCATGTGGGTTGGTAAGTGATATATCTTATTCTAGTTTCTTTTTCTTTGTTCTTGTTTTTCTATTTTCATAGTGGCGTCAGGATCTAATCAGATATCCGGTTCTAGCAATGTTGATTGCCATGCTCGTTACATGGGTCAGAGATGGCAAACCCATCTACCCGTGTATGCTTAACGCCGATGGCACCACGGACGGCCAAACTGTTGCGTATGGGTTCCCCCATTCTACATTCTCTCAATTCCAAAGCTAATCAGTTCAATAGATACATCTCTGACGTGGGTGCCTATGGAGCACAGCCTCTTTTCATTACCGGGAGTGTAATCACGGTTGTGTTCCTGGATTTGGCCTTGTTGTCAGAGCGCTGGCTGCGACACTCGGGTCAGCTTGTGCCAAACAAGGGCGTGTTCGACAAGCTCTGCTCTATCTCATCCATCTTCTTTGCCGTTGCTGGTGCACTTGGGTTAATCCTCTTGTCTATTTTCGACACAGCGCAATATCCGCATTTGCATGACGGGTTCCTGGTCATGTTCATGTAAGTTGATGACTTCTAATATACTCCGATAACTCGAGGGCCAGTTTGGCTAATGCAGTCGGATCTAGTGGTGGATACCTGATCAGCGCAATTCTGATTTGTGCCGAATATTTGCACATGGGACTCTTCTACCGACCTCAGCATCGCATTCTACTGGTCAGCTTCTTTATCAAGCTTAGCTTTGTGATCATTGAGATTGCCCTCGCCATCGCCTTTGGTGTCTGCATGGAGAGCAGCAACCGTGCAAACAAGAACCCCGGTGCTATCATTGAATGGGTGATTGCCTTTGTCTTCACTGGCTACGTTCTTTCGTTCATCATTGATTTGTTGCCATCGGTCCGCACCCGGAGACATCTGCCTCAGGGAGAGAAGCGGTCTGCTATGTCTGCTTCTCAAACCGATGACGATGTCCCGCAGGCCTCTTTAGAAGAGCCCCTGACTGTTGACTCGGCCAACTATTACCGTGGTCAGCGTGTCTAACTTTTCTTTTCTTTTTCTTTTTCTACAATCTATCCAGAAGGCCGGTGAAGTCTTCTTTCCTCATGTGTTTCCTATGATTTTCTGATTTTCTGTAACTTGATACCTGCCCACGAGTTCATCCGATTCAATGTCTTTCTATGTTTTATTCATTTTTTTCTTTTGAAAAAACGCAAGATGTATGCTTTGTCATATTTACTTACCTCTTATACTAGTCATATACTATACATACAAGCCTCGGTCGCCGCATATATGCGCAACGCAATGGATCAATATTTAAACACAAGCTTACATACATGCCGCTTAAACAGATCTACTTCAGTCTTCGACGATAGAATTAGGGATTCTTTCAATAACATTTGAAGTATGTTGCCTATCATCATTATCGTATCCATATCTACATAATATAAGTTTCATATGAATACAAAGAAAAGAAAAGAAAAACCCCCAACAAAATACGCCCATGCTCTCCCAAGTATCAAGCCGTCCGTATTAAGCGAGAATTTTTTGGCGTATATGTTCCTGCATTTGTGCATTAATCCCAATTCCATTCAAATAACCTTGAACGCCACCGTATTTTTGGAGATAATCTGTTGTCGCATCCACAAAATCGGGCGGACAACGTGTATATTCTTCACCAAGACCCAACGCCCGAATTTCGCGCATGCGCTCCTCAAATTCCGGGACAAGCTCTAACTCGGACCGGGTATAGTCGTCGATGACAGCAGCAGTGGACACAGTCTCGCCTGCCAGCAGCATCATCATTAAGATGATCAGACCCGTCCGATCCTTGCCCTGTGTGCAATGTACCAGAACGGGGTATGTGTCGTCTTGACCCAGGAGCTCGAAAATTGATCGTAATTCTGTCTTACTGGCGTCGAGTGTGTCTTGCGCAAGACCTGTTAATCCACGTTGTTGCATGACTTGCTCTCCAACCAGACGAATCGCGTCATTGCGGTAACCCGTTGCTGCCATAGTGATTGCTTTTCTAGATGATTGCAACTGATAAGCCTTTGGGGGTGATTCTTTGGGTGGATTGGAATGGGTAACATACATATAATTCGTCCAGTCTAGCTTCCACAATAATGTGCGCTCTAAGCCCTTGCCTGTCAAACTGATCAAGCAACGTTGAGAGTCTGGAATCTGCAATAAATGCTCATCTGCATTGACAGGCACTGGTGTTCCAGTCAAGTCAATATCCGCGGAACTTTCGCCTGAATTCGCATTTTCTGCACGTCGTTTTCGGGTCGCCATTTGATGTTCCGTTCTGTAGTATCGGTCGTTAACAAACATGATCAAAATTGTTAAGAGGACTTTCTCTTATGTTCGCGAAAGAACAAGCTTACGTTGATCGTAGATCAATGACTGTTGCAATGTGGAACTCGTCTGCCATGCGGCGCTTATCTCGTTCTGACGCATCATCCGGCTATAAGTAGAGAAAGAAGAAAAAGAAGGCCAGAGTTAGCCTTTGTTACTTTGATCGGTATTTCATATTCCTAGCATATATAGATGAAGGGATCTGATTTACCCTAGCACTGCGAAAGAGCACGCCTTCTTTCAAAATCCTAGTTTCTGACTGTCAGCAAAAAAAAGCTCCAAGGCGAGAAATGAAATACAAGGAGCGACACGTACTGTGTACCGCAGTATTGGTTGATTGTTCGGCCAACATCGCGAAAGTTGATGATATTGTCAAATGGCCGATCGGGCGAGTCTAAGTCAATACTTGAAGAGCGCGCCATTGTAACGAGAGAATCATTTACTGGGGGGAAAACAAGAGTCGAAAGGAAGGTGAAATGAGTTAAGTGTCAAGTTTTCCAAGAACGAAAAGACGCGGATTAGAATGAAGTGGAGACGCGTTGGTACTAAGTAAAATGGCGGTGGACGTAAACGTTGGGCAGGAAACCCACTCCGCCCTGTTTTCTGGCCTGAGCTCCTTGTTTCCCCGGGATCCACCTGAGCTCTGCAATCATTGATCGTCATTTGTTTACTTCTGGACTTCTGCACTTCTTGGCTTCCTTGATATCCTTAATACAGTCATATTTACCCCTCAATCATCGTTCATGCATGATCATGCATATTGACTCCGATCATTCTTCCACTTCGGCTGCAAGTACGACCAATCCTGGTTAAAGTTGAATCCCGTCCGATACGCTCCATATGCACTCAATTCCACCTGATTGAGTTGGGCGCCCTCCTCTGTCAAAGCCCAGAGGCTAATGGCCAAAGTATTTTCTCCACGATTATTGATAATTCCAGGTGGGAAGGGAAACAAGGTTTGTGGGCCCAGATAAGGCAGGTAATGGCCAAACTGGTACCCGTTCATGAAGATTTGCACCACGGCCGTGGTGTTGTCGGCCGCACCCAGTTGCAGACCAATAGGCACATCCAAGTCTGAATCCAGATCGAGATCAAAGGTCGTGCTGTACCAGCGGCCCTCGGCACCAGAGACGCCATCCAGGGGGCTCTCCGTGCCCGCAGTTTTGGGCGGTGTGTAACCGGGGAGATGCCAGCCTAGACGTTCTCCATATAGCCCACCTTCGTTCATTGGACCCCGAACGGGGTCAATATTGGATTCACCGCCAGCGTTGCCTTGGATACGCCAGGAGGTGAAATTGGCGCCTGAAAGTGTGGCCCCGAGAATACCACGGGGATTCTGTGGACCATCTGGGGAGACACTGGCCTCGTCGTGACCCGTATAATCCATCACTACCGTCAAAACATTATCGGTTTCCCGAAGATTTGACTGGTTGAAAGTTAGAACTGCGGAGGTCGCGGCGAGGGCTGGGCTGCCCAGAGCCCCACCCACGTAGGCCCCGTTCACCCACGCGGCCCAGCCAGACCCGGCCCCATTCTGCACCGTGACAGTGGAACTCGTCGCATTGACCCCATCAAATCGACCACGATAGATCTTCGTTCCAGCGTGATAACCATAATCACCGGAATAAAGCACGGGGAGTGTGAGAGGGACTATAGCATTGACTGTGGTGGTTTTATTGCAAACCACCCAGCGTGAGTCATCATAGTCGGCCTGAATCTCGGGGATAGTGTCTTGGGATTTCCAAGATTTGAGTGTTGGAAGTGAAATCTTAGTAGATCCAACTCCAGGCGCAGAACCTATGAGACTTCCATACGCGGTCTTTTTGGTCGTAATTGATTTTCCATTCCATTTGATTTTGGTCACTTTAGATTCACCAGTATATACTCTGCCGTGACCCGCGAGCGTTAGCGAATCGACATCTTCGTTTCCAAACAGAGAAAAGGGGAAAAGAGACTTACTCAATAGAGGTGGTATTTGCATTATCACCCACCAGGCTGACGGTTTCCCCAGAAATGCTAGCTTCACGAACCAGGTAAGGCCCGAGAGCCAATATGTGGTCGCTCGGGGAAACATTGGGGTTTGTCGTTGTTGGAACCGCAAAAAAGTTCCAAGCTGTTTCCGTCTCCAGGAGATAGATGAGAACACCATTGGAGAATTTGAGAGCTGTACTCCCATCTCCTTGAGTGTATGTGTACTCTGTCCTATTATTGACTGTCGCTGATGTCACATTCGAAGTACCGTATGTTTTGAATGTCAGATGCGTTGGTGGATCCACAAAGGCGAACACTGCCTTTTGTCCAGAAGTCATATAGAAAACTATCACATCTTCGTCCAAAGTGGCATAAGTCAACACCTCCGCCGATGAATAGAGTAAACTCGAAGCTTTGCCAACTTCGTAATCGGTAACAATGATTTTGCTCTGTCGTCCATTAAGCTCAATATCCGGGATAGTGATAGCACCTGCCGATACAGTTAGAAACATCGACCTGGTAGCTTTTAGTAAGTGCAAAACATACCAGCTGTAGTGGTGACATTCAAAGAAAAGGTGGTCACGTCGCGAGATGAACTGGTATCGTGCGCAACGACGTAGAAGCCAGCCTGGGTGTCCGGATTGCGCAGGGCCCAAGTATAGATGCTGTCATCGCTCGTATACCCAGTACCGTTGCCTTCCATGTCGGTTTTTAACAAACCAGATGAGACGCGGGTGAACAAGCCCAGCAACTTAGTTTGCTTGATCTTGTCACGAAGCTCGCGGGTCTCTCGCAAAGGTGCCGAATAATCGTAAGAAGTATAAACAACCGGCGCAGCAGTGTGACCCCAGTTGGTGCCACCAAAAGCCATATAAAGGCTTTGCAGCGTGATCTTTGAACCAATATTGTTCTTGTAGTAGACGTCAACAAACTCTGGAGACTGTTCTTCGGTGCATTGATCATAGAAGTATCCAGCCCAGGGCTGGAAATATCCCCCCTCAAACTCGGGAAAGTACTCGGGTTGCGTGTACGAGTAGTTCTGGAACCACTGGTAGTAGGTCCGGACGAGAGTGAATCCCGAGTTTGGATTGGTACAGGAAAGTCCACCAGGATAAGAGTCCAGCCCATACACATTAACTGCGCCACCAACATCTTCATAATCCGTCGACCAGCTCTCACTGCGCATACCCTTCTCGTTTGAAGTGCTGGGAACAACAATGCCAGCGGCACTAAAAGCGGCAGCAATTTGCTCCATGTATAGAACGAGAGTATTAGTTGCGGAGTGGGTGGTTTCCTGGAGTTCATTCTCATGTTGGTTCAAAATAACGGGTCCACCATTCGTGATCTGATTAGCTGCAATTATGGCGCCGACTTTCTCGATCCACGGATACCAGCGGTCATAGTAAGCAGTCGCGCTTGTACGCTCGCTTCCCATCTGACCGTTTGCTGCCCATAGTGCGAAGCCTCCAGCATTGCTTTCACCATTGATGTACGGACCCGGGCGAGTAATGACGTATAAACCAGCCTGCTTGGCGTAATCAAAGACACGCTGAATATCATGGGCGCCCGTCTCAAAGTCAAACGTACCCTCGGAAGCTGAATGGTAGCTCCAGAAGAAGTAAACTATTTGTGGAGATTAGCAAATGATGAACATCAAGCATCATGAAGCTGGTAGATTACTTACGAGAAACTGCATTAAATCCACTGGCTCGTAGCTTCTGGAAGACGTCCAACCACATTTCCGGAACTGGCAGGCGCAAATAGTGGAATTCACCGGAGAAGATGAACACCCTCTCGCCATTCACCAAGAGACTGTATTCGTCCCATGTCACGTCGGTCGTGTTGCCATCGCTAGTTGCATAGACAAGACTGGACACGGCCCAAAGAAAAAGCCAGAGAATCCGAAGAGCGCGCATGTTTCGTGAAATCGTTGGATACAATCCCACAATACGCTCCCATCATTGGCCCATAGCTAATATAAGCATGTTCCTGACAGCTCGGCGATCGTGGTAGTATTAACCCGACTGTAAAGTTGGGACTTTGGGATTGGTGGATGTTTTCGCGATCAACCGTGACGCTTTGGGCAATTCTCCTGCCCATGTGCGGGGGAAGGAGAATATTATAAACAAACATTATGATGATTTTTTAGATTAAAGTGATGTTACCTTCGGCTAAAGTCCAGTGCGGAGGTCGGACAATTTCATACATACTGGGCAGAATTGAGTAAGCGTGCAGATTTGAAGCGAGATTAATATACATTTGCAAAATTGAACATGAAGACCTCGGACGGCAATTTGGAATCGTTCAATCAAAGCGTCAAGCATCGTGTGCGGTAGATAATTATATATCAAGAATCAAAGCGAGAGTAAACAAACACATCACCGGTCATACATAAGTTCAGAGATTCCCAGATACGCCATAATCCCAACGTATATAAGACCCAGCCAGATCCAAGAACTCCCAGGTACAGTAGACTCCAAACAAACATAAATCACAAGAAATTGGTGACATAATTCCACATCATGACAGGTCTTCAGAGAATCTAGACTCGCGGTAGGCGCTGGAAGTCTCGCCAAGAATAGGCGGAATTGGAAGGCCCTGATCTGTGGCACTATTCCTCAAGCCTCGGATATCTGTGCCATGAACCTTCGTTTCAGGAACCGCCCCCGATCCATTGGTCTTTAGATCATTGCGTGCAATCCCCATGAAGAAGGTCTTTCTGAAGCGCTCTCTCTTACTTTTCGCTTGACCATTAGTGGCAGGCTCGCTTCCAGCTGAGCTGTCGCTGAATGCCGTCCCCTTGCCTACATCAAGGCTGCCATTGCGAGCGGGTTCACCCTGATCAAGGTCGTCTCCGGTGAAAGGGTGAGAACTAAGAGCCGCCCCGCGCGATTCAGGTCGAGCAGCTAGGGAAGCACCTCCCGAAAATCCAACATCACTGTGGCTATTGAAATCCGGACCAGGCTGGTGGGGGTAAACACGCACGGGCCCACTTGAACGACGGACCAATTGATCACGGAACCAGTTTCTCAGCTTTGAGTCGGCTCGAGGGCTTGTAATGGGTCGGATAACGTGCATCGGTGCTGGGCCAGCTCCAACTGCCGCGGCATCTCGTGGCGTAGTGTGGGCTCGCCCCACCATAGTGGGACGTCCAGCATACTCGGTAGGCTCGGTAATGGAGACTGGGGCTCCAACGTGAGCAGCAGTCACAAGAGTTGTCGCACCAGCTGGTTCAGGCGCTTCGGGTGCTTGAATTGCGGCGGGCTCTTCTTCGGGCTTTCGTTCAAGTTCTTGCACGGGTTCTTCCACGGGCTCTGGTGTAGGTTCTGGCGTGGGCTCTTGCACAGGTTCATGTTCAAGTTCTTTTTCAGGCTCTTCTTCAGGTCCTTCCTTAGTTGCATCTGTCAGTACGGCACCGGTAGCCGTTGCGATGGCCTCTGGCGCAGCTTCAGCCTCATCTTGAGCTACCGCCTCTTCGTTTGATTCTTCCTGCTTCGTGGTTTCCACAGCCTCCTCGGATGGATTCTTCTCGACGCGTGCCCGTTTGCTCTTCATTCTCCAAAGGAAGCTCATGACCTTGCTATTGCGCTTCTCCTTGTCAGAACCTATTGCGAAAAGAAAAGTTAGCTCACACTTCATGAGTGAAGTTCTTCTGCGCCACTGACTCTTGTTACGCGAGTCTACTACTCTAGACAAGCTAGCCTCGCGCTCCCTTTCTATTGCTGCATGTCTTTGTTGCTCCTCGGCATCAAGGCGCTCCTCCAGCTCTTTGGCTCTCTGCTGTTCCGCATTCTCGGTAATCTCATCCAACGTTGGCTGCAGGCGGGAGCGCGCAACTGCCTCCACATCAGCCATGTCCATGTATTGCTGTGATCCAATGTTGACACGGTTTCCCCGAGCGGAATTTGCTTCTGCAGCTTCGGCCTCCCGACGAACACGTTCGTGGGCAACCTCATCCCATTCTTTCTGAAGAGATGGTGGCGCTCGACCTGTATCGGCATACATTTTCGTTTCCATCTCGAGAAGAGTGGCATCGACATTGCGTCGTGCGGCTTCCATGAGCAACGCTCGGTCCCTAGTTCTCTTCTCGTCCACATGATCAACCTTTGTGCGCAGACTCCTCATTTGGTTTCGGATATATTTAGACTGCTCAGCATCCATTTGGGTTGAATCGGCATCACTAGCAGTTCTCTTTCGACGAGTAGTTAGGCGAGACCGTGCAGGTTGAGGGGTGGTCCCATAATAGTTCTGGAATTCAGCCTGTTCGTTGTGCATGAGGGCTAGTTTCTCTGCTGCCCGTTTCTGAGCAGCTTCCTGAAGGGTCATCGCGCGCCGCGCCGGGGATCCTTCTATTCCACTCACAGTCTTCGATCGAACTGGAACCTTGGGGTTGTTAGGATCATACATATCCCTGGCCATCGAAATGGCTGCTGCATGCAAGGAATTTTTTCGATTCCGCTCCTGCACTTCGCTCGAGATGGGCGGAGACGAGGTATAGAGTTTGGCGTTAGTGTTGGCGAGGTGGCGGATTCGACTCGCTTCCATTGCACTGTCCAAGTGATCGAGTGGTTCCTCCTCTTCGGTTTTATATCTACTATGCGTTGCGCCCGCGGCTGACAATGCGTATGGAGAGTCAGATGCAATGACCGGTTCACTTGGGGCCGAATCAGCTCGCTTCCGTCCTGTGGCATATGCTCCTGTCGCGGCCCGCAAGGCTTTGTCCTGCACATCGCGGGAATATTCTTTGTTCTGTTGTTCGCGAGTCGGCGACAGGTTTGAGTTCCTTTGCTCTCGAACGGCAAGAATGGCGGCACCCAGTCCCTCGGCGCTGTATTGGGTACTAGGTTTGGGGGTCTCCGGAGCCTTAAAGTCCTTGACACATAGGGCGGCTGTCTCGGCCTCGGTCAGTCGACCCGGGCGCCAAATTTCTACCGGTCTCCGATTCGCGTGAGCAATTGCAGCTCCAGCTGATGCAGCACTTAGTGTTGAGGCGCCCTTTGCTCCTTGATCTATGGCAACAGATATCCCAGGTCAGCCTTTTGCGTATATTCTCGCTTGTATAGAAAGCGGGATAGGTCCATATCTATCGCTTACTATGAGTATCAGATGTGGTCTTTTCGCGAACAGACGCCTTGCGTCGCGGCTGCACTGCATAAAGTGCAGCAGTAGCGGCTATTTCAGGCACAGAGAGTTAACGGATGTCGATCAGAGCGGAAGCGGTGGGGACGATCATCACTTACCATCATCAGCCAGTCGAGCCGACCGAGGGCCGGTCATTTGCGCGGTCGCCATCAGTGAAAAGCGTGTGGGGAATCGAATGAGTTTTCGGAAAGAAGGAAATATCAAGGGGATTTCAAGGGAATTTTAGTGGAATAGGCCGGAAGCTTTCCCTTGGACCCCGTGACGTCGATTGCAACGGAAGATCGAAGCTGATTGCATCATCGCGAACTCAATGAATCAACGATCAACGTGGGGGAGTTGGTGGCTTTTCCGCTTTCAGCCCTTTTTTCTTCTTCTTTTTTTCTAACGGATTTACTATTGGTGCTTTGCACCTGGAACTTTGTATTTCTTATTTCTCTCTCTACTCTCTCTTTTGATTTTTCCATTTTTTTCTGTTCTGTTGCATCGTGGACTTGGCTATTCCATGATTCATGCGATCGGTCCGATCTATCCCCCCTTGAGCTTTTTTTTTTTTACCACCGATCGGAGATAGTCACCGGTCATAATCTTAGAAGAGCTTCGGATGTGCTCATGTGGGAATAATTATGACGACTGAGGAGTTTCCATGAACTAGTAAGTTTGTAGCTCCAAATTTTGAAGCTCCCATGTGGATTAGTATCTTGGATTTCAAGCCACTTAACTCATGGTGGATTTATAGATCTACTTGGGCCCCACTCCACCCTATTAAAGCCTTAACTTTGAAGAATGCAGTCAATAGGTGAAGAAATTATACCAACAAGTATAAAGTACATAAATTAGAGCTGGTACATATAACCTTGGACCTTTTTTTATGAACTTTTATGAATTCTTGGCCAGTTGAGTGTGAATGTGGATTATGTAATCCTATGTTAAAACCAAGAACTTGGCCAGTTCCTAACCTTGGAAGATTCAACTTAAATATTGTTGGAAAACTGCTAATAATAGCTCTCACTATACTATATACTTTATGGAATTGGGGCTGTTGAGCAGAGCGGCTCAAAAGTCAAGTTCATTCAATATAAGCTCAAAAGATCAGCCTACCCGACCTAGATATCCGAGTTTTCTCTTCAGCGGCGTTCATCGGAACCTTCAATGTTAGGTATAGATCGCATACATACGCCCCTCTGGATCTAGTTTGATTTCTCCAGCGCATCTTCAAATGTTTGAAAAAGAGTAATCTTGACTTTGCTAGATACTGGGGGTGACCACCGGAGTCATTACTTACTATAACTGCCGCAGAACCGGATAGCTCCGTAGATGGGACCCCGAAAGGCAGAAGCCGAAAGACTTTCAAATTGAATACTCGACTGAAGAACATTTAGGAATTCGATCTCACTCGACTCCAACCCAGGATTTACTAAGCTTCCACAATTCTTCTTCCTTTGCCTGGTCAAATCCCCAACTGCCATATCCATATTCGAGCGCATCTCCGCCCGGTGGTGTCGGATGAATTGCTACCGATGCGCCTTCCAAATACAAGCCACCCCTGCCTTCCAGCTCGCTCGAAACAGCACCGTATATGCTAGTTGCGCAGGCCTGTTCGAGACTGGACAAGTATGCCATTGCGCGCTTGTCTTCCAAGACAGACTTCATTTCCTCCTGAGAATGTTTCTGGAGGTTGGGGCTTATAAAAGCCCCAGGGTGGACGCTGAAGCCATGAAGACCTTGAGCGCCATACAAGCGCTCGATTTGGGTGGTCATGTAGATATTGGCGGTCTTGCTAGCTCCGTAAGCAAGCCAGCCGTTGTAGTTTCCTTCCCAGTTAACGTTATCCAGAGGAATAGGGCTATAGCGATGGCCTGCTGAGGCAACACTAACCACACGAGAGGCGAAGTTAGAGGAGCGTGCAGTTTCCAAAAGGGTATCTTTTAGTAGATAGAAGAGGAGGAAGTGTGATAAGTGATTGGTTCCAAACTGAAGCTCAAAGCCATCTTTAGTATAGCTTTGAGGGGTATTCATCACCTTCATTTAATTAGCAAGGTCATGCTTTTATGTTGATATTAATAAACTCACAGCCGCATTGTTGATGATGATGTTAAGCTTAGAGCTCTGTTTGAGAAATTCTTCGGCACAGGCCCGAACACTCGAGAGATCTGTCTGATCCATAAAAAGAAGCTTCACACGCCCGGTATCAAGCAATGAGGAGCCTAAAGCCTCTTTTGCCTTTTCGATGTTTCGGGCTGTGCCAAAGATGGTCGCTCCAGTAGATGCCAAGACACGCACAGTCTCAACACCGATCCCAGATGAAACGCCGGTGATCAGGACAACTTTGTCTGCCCACTGGCCAACAAGACCTTCATCTTCGATAATTTGACTTCCGGTTACACGTGAGTCGCCTGGGCCGTTGAGAACCTCCCACCGATTGTGCTCGGCATACCGACCGGAGAGTTGAAAAGGGACTTGAGAAATCATCGACATGTTGGAGGTGATGACAATCGTGAAATGAAGGGTTGGAGCGGAAATAATCCGAGGCTGGTTTTACCAATGAAACCGAGATAGAAAACAAGACTTCACCATCGTGTGCGGCGACCGAGCTTTTAGTGGTTTTTTCAAACAAAGAATGGCGGGGTTCAGCTGATGTCCAATGATCAATCGGATTGAAATCGGCATAAATTGTTGGGCTTTGCTAACTACTACATACTACTAGGGAATAGACTAAACAAGTTTAGTTAGTGGAAATTGATCCTGGTATAAGTCTGGATCATGTTTATGATTGCTATTGGTGAACAAAATCTCAACAAAGGTGAGCTCACCTGGAGGCTGGGATCTGTAGGTCTCATAAAAAAGTGGGGCATATGTGCTCAAGAATGTCGTGATACAAATCAAAATTTGAACTTAAGGTAGAGCTATTTCAGTATTAATACTCTCTCTATGCTACATCCGCACCATCCGGGTGCTTTGGTTCATGCAATTTGTTCCATATCCCTAGTTCCCAGGATTTCCGGCCTCATGTCTCCGAATGGTCTATTAACTCCGATGTCAGTCCGGATATGTCAACACGCAGTCAAGCTTCATCGCGGTGCTTGGTTTTGTACTTTGCCAAGGCTTTGACTACCAAGCTGGCCATTGACAAGAGTCTTTCCTCTTCTCGGCTCTTCCCAATCAGCTGGATAGAAGCCGGAGCTCCATCGTGAACTTCTGGGTTATCTTGATTGAGATTGTTAGTGATAAGAACGGCCTAGGGGCTCCAGTTAAAGAAACAAAGATCGGTGAAGTTTACATGTCTTCATGTTTGCAGCATCTTCGTTGCTGAAGGGCTTGAAATTGGGATCCACCAAGTCAACATTCTTGTCGGCGAATGTTACAGGAATGACGACCGTTGCATAGTCAAGAACATTGACTGAGCTTATGTAGGCTAATACCAAAATCAGTTTATGTGGACCTCGGGAATCGAGTGTAGATGTTAGGGAACAGCGCGAAGGTTCATTCGACATACCAGAGTGTTTGAAATTTCCTGGTTCAATAGAAGCGTAAGGAGTAACTGGGGAGATAGTCGCTTCGACAGGACGATCTGAGCGAAATATTGGTGAGCTCACGTATTTTGGTCTTTATATTTCATGAGCACCTACCACCTGTAGCCTCAGCAGTAGACATCCAATACTTTAAGTCGTTTTCTCGCCAGGTCTTCATACGTCTGACGATTGCATTGAATTTTGGAAGGGAAATTGACGGACGTGGCTTTCCACCAGGGAACAAGTTCCGGATCTCAGGAACAGATGGCTCTCCGGAAAGTCGCACTGCTTCGTATACATCCCCACACCCATCACCTCTTGCGATAGGACCCTTTATTTTGTGAGTAAGATCTCATCGATTCAGGAATTGCAAATTGTAAGTGCTCTTACGCGAGTTCCGTTGCATTCTGTCTGTGATGGTCCCGCCCAATCAACCAACTTACATAATGTTAGCCAAGATCCAATGATTGCCGACAAAAAAGACATTGTCGTACCTGGTATCCTTCATCTTCCATTGCTTGCTTAACCATCCTCATTGCACGTGCAATAGGTGGATGTGGTGTTATCAAACCGTTGTCGAGCATCAATCCAAATGCGGGTTTGTACCCAGCATTGTTGTTTGGGTCAAATTGCGAACTCTCTCTCCATGGAATTGGCTGGACATAAGGGTCATGCTTCCATGGTTCTGTCGATAGAAGGGATTTGAAGACCAAGGTGAGAGCATCGATCGAGTGACCCATGATACCAACAACGGTTGGCATGACTTCTTGGCCGCGACCCTTATTCATGCAGTCTTAGCAATTGAGTCTTATCCCAATTTTGGGTCTGATTACTTACTGTGTTTGCCGCATCCTTAAATGAGATACGACCAGAGGAAGGTTTTATACTAAAAACACCCTGAAATGCGGCTGGCATTGATACCGAGCCTCCGATATCCGTACCGAATCCGATTGCGCTTCCTCGCAGCGCTTGAATAGCACCCTCTCCTACATGGACATCAGCATGTTGGCTATCAATAATTAAGGTATTCACAACCTCCTGATGAACCGCCCGTCGACAATTTTTGATTGTGCGGATTCCAAGCATAGCCCATGATATTATTATTAGTCTCAGGCGCCTAGTTTAACTGTCAGTTCAGTGCCATGAAACGGTATCCAGGCAGTAGAGCTCACCCATAGACTTTGCATCAAGGTTGTCTATTCTCCAAATTAAAATAGGGCAAAATTAAAGTATAGAGAGCGTGGAGTATGCGGAGTATGCTCTCACCTTTCCTATGGGTATAGCACCCAGAAGACGAAGTTCTCGAACAAGCTCGCTCTCGATAATTGATTCATTACCATCTTTCTTCTTCCCCTCAAATGTGCCGATCCATCCAATGTATCCCATTGTTGTCTCCATGCCCTGAACGTGAAATTGGTCTTTCAGAGTAACAGGAACACCATGTAAGGGCCCAATAAGCTGATCGTGCTCTTTGACATAGTTGTCTAGCTCCTGCGCTCTCGCTAAAGCCTGTTCAAACCCAATGTCAAGCAGGTAATTTCCCTATAGCTATCTCCATTAGCTTTTGTCGTGTAGCTCAAAATGGTAAATTGTAGTATCAAAAGACGAAGCCACGTGAAATATTGGATGAACGCACTAACTGATGTGAATATGCCGCTCGTTTACTGAAAGCCTTCACGACTTCAACAGCTGTCCAAGATTTACTGCGCATAGACTCGACAAGGTCTGTCACATCGAGGGAAGTGATTGAGCGCGTTTGGTCATCAAGCAGCTCCTCAAAGAAATCTCCTGCAATGCTCTGGCGCGATCGAGCCGCGTTAATAACTTTGGCATCCAAAAGCCATTCATTGGGGATTTTGGCAATAACTTCCTGCCTTTTTCTTGCTGCAATCGTCTTCCATGATTCATGGGGGGCAAAGGGGTTTGGTATGTTAAACATCGGTGCGGATGCTGTGGTAATCAACAGAAACACGAAGATAATGATAAAGTAGATTGCAGTACGACAGACGTTCTCGACCATAGCCGCACTCATAATCATCCAGCTGGTTCCTTGGTAGGCAGATAGACTGTATCCCCAAAAGACTAACTTACAGTGATTATAGAATTGTCGAGGAACCTTGGCCTTCCACGGAGATATAAGAGTGATTGTTGACATTTAGGTATGTCCGCCTGAGCGGGGCATTCAGTTCCAGATTTGGGATAGTGAATAATTCCAACCAATCATATTGGAATGTTAACTGGCTACACCGGTCGCTGTGAAGCACCAATCAATAGGTGGCAGTCTATGCACTGTGAGTCTGTGACCCACTTGCCAACAAGGACTGCATATTGATCTCGGGACGAACTAATAAAATTCATATTGCTTGCGCTCGAGTTTCCTTCTCCATCACCCGGGATTTGTTGTAGATCTTTCCAATCAAGAACTAGATTTTCACATGTGCAACCGCGCCCGGTTCTCCCAGCTGGACAGACGAGGATCGGGTAGCTCGACCAGGTGGCCAGCATCCCACATTATGTTCCGAGGTTTGATATAGCACTAGGGATTGTAGGTATATTCAAGGGGGGCCCATAACGCTCTTATCTCCATGCCGCCCGCATGTTGAGGATACGGTTGGATACAGCAGGTGCGACCGTATCTTAGGGCAGATATGGTATCTGGAACCATATTTTGCCTGCGATACCGTATTCTAGTAGTATCCTGAGTAGTATCTGGTATCTTCGCAGTATCCTACCAGAGGCACCCACCCTGCTCTATGCTATTGAGAACATAAAATTTCATAATATTCAATGTTTGAAATCTAAGGAATTTTTATATAGATTGAGGGTTCGTAACTGGGTGATCTCTCGGCGTTAATGTATTTTGCCGACGCGAGTGGAGTCACGCTCGAATTTTTGGCCGGACAATCAAAACCCCCCTAAAAATGATCATGTTCTATTATACACCACAACTTGGTACTGAAGAATACTGAATCAATTCAAATCAACACTGGATTCAAAAAATTGAACCTCAGATCATGTCAACCCCTCTAGCTGGGCTGGCTGCAAGAGTGCCTTTGGCATATGAATTACTAAGCCCAACAGCGGGTAAACAGGCCGTGAAACCGAATCAGAAGAAATCACCGATTCTTTTTCTGCATGGCTTCCTGGGATCAAAACGAGAAAACAGACATGTGAGCAGGTAAGCAAAGAGAGAGAAAAAAGATCTACAGGTTGATTTAAATTTTTATGGACATGACGCCTTCGAACCATCAATGTACTTACTAATGGTCGGGTTCGTGCCCACATCTTACATAGACTTCTTGCCAAAGACCTAACACGGGATGTCTATACCTTGGTAAATCCTCCTTCCTGCCGTTTACTATCATCAGTTGATGTGTGCCTATTATCCGCATGTGAGATGTTGACATCTAGATACAGGATCTACGAAATCATGGAGATTCTGGTCATCACCCTAAGCATAACTATACCGAGATGGCCTTGGACGTCAAATCCTTCATCCAAACTCATCAGCTACAATGTCCAACTGTCATTGGTCATTCCATGTAAGTTGAAAGAGAAGACTGGACATATGGAAGGGGGCGAACTTAAGACATCGAGTGCTAACATTAAGATCTTTTCAAGGGGCGCCAAAACTGCTATGGTACTTGCTCTGGGATCCCCAGAACTGGTGTCTGAGGTAGTCGCTGTTGATAATGGACCCATTGAACTCCCCCTTTCTCCAGACTTTCAAACATATCTTGAAGCCCTGGATCAGATCCAAAGCATGCGAGTGACTAATCACCGCGAAGCTGACAAGATTCTTCAGCATTCAGTGATGGTAACTCTCTCCAGATATCACAACTCACACCCTTTATACCTAGAAGATGCGTCGGCTGATCTTTAATCTAGTCTCCGTCGGTTCGATTGTGGCTCTTGAGCAATTTTATCAAGGAGAAAGATGCATCACATCTGAAGCTGCGTCTTTCTGTAGATATTCTGAAAAAAGCACTGGTTCCATTGGGGCAGTTCCCAGGATCTGGAACATTCTCAAAGCCGGTCTTATTTCTTCGGGGTCTACAGAGCCAATATATCCCCGAAACAACATTTCCCTTGATCTCGTCGCTATTTCCTCGCTCTGAGATAGTGAATATCGACTGTGGACATTGGGTAGTACAAGAAAAACCAGAGGAGTTCAGGCAAGGTATGTTTTGTTTTACTAATTCGTCTCACTTCCAAGGCCGTTCATATCGCTAATACTGGATCACATGCGTTTAGCTGTCGTTCGGTTCCTACAGAAAACCAGTTGAAGATCCTTAGAACACTTGGAGTGCACCGTTTCCTTTACAAACGCTTATGTATATTAGAAAGAGTCATGGCGATCTTCGCCGCACCTATTTATGTACCATTGATACCACCCTACCCGTGACTCTGCATTAGCAAGAGACCGTCCAATCAACTTCCTTAAAATGACGTGGGTGTTGAACCTGTTGATGCTTAACAAATTCAACGTCCGTGCATAAGCGGGTAAAGGTGGAGAAAAACACGAAGCTTGGCCGACAATCCCCAACTTTGCAACTTGAGCCAAGCAACACTGCATTTCACCTGTCACAGCCACAGTATCACAACACGACGAAAAAATGGTCCGAAATAAAGAATTTCGACCGGGTCGGGAACCCTTCCAGGGCCACCCCAGCCTAGAGCTCCGCCGAAGCCATATCACCGGTCCTATGCCGTTCTTGAATCCGACACGGGCGCGGTACGCACCCGCCCCAGGGAAAGATGTCTCAAATTCAACGGACCAGCCCACCTCACAAAGACCCACCACTCCCCCCGGCTCCAAACCCACACCCACACCCGCACCCACACCCGGGTTTGTGGAGCATGTATGGCGATCGCGCGACAATCGCAAGGGACGACATCCGCTGCAAGTGGACTACCAGGCAGCGCAGCAGGATGCCGCGAACGTGCCGCCCGAGCCCACGTCCACGATCAGGGAGGCTGGGAAGGGGATTGTGCGGATGGCTACATGCGTACCTTACTGGGATGTGTCGTACCTTGTCGCAGTGACATTTACGCTTGGGTCCGTGGTCTGGATCATCAACGCGTTCTTTGTGTGGCAGCCGCTTGTGGATCCGCAGACCGAGTTCTCTGGGGAGTCCACGGTGGGCGGTGGAGTAAGTGGATTCATCGGTGCTACGATATTCGAGGTTGGTAGTGTTTTATTACTTCTGGAGGCTGTCAATGCGCACCAGACGGGGTGTTTTGGGTGGGCGTTGGAGACGGAACTGAGGAAGGCCGAGGGCGACACGGTTCCGACGGTCACGGTGAAGCCGGTTGAGAACGATTGCCAGCATCACCATGCGAACAGGAAGAATCTGGTAGGAGCTGGCAAATCGACTCGACATTTCTCGCGTGAGATCGAGGAGGGTTATTCTACGTCGTCGCCGGATGGCAGATCGTTCCGATGGGTGCCATCGATGTCGGAGCTTCGGAGCCATTATCTCCACGAACTGGGGTTCTTGGCATCGCTAGTTCAGTTCTTTGCTGCTAGCATTTTCTGGATTGCAGGGTTAACGGGCTTACCCGGCATTCTTGACCATATGAGCCAAGGTCTAACTGATGGAATATACTGGGTACCACAGATGATTGGCGGTGCTGGATTCATTTTGAGCGGACTGCTCTTTACCCTTGAAACCCAGCAAAAATGGTACCAACCAGCACCTCGAGTTCTGGGCTGGCATATTGGAGTTTGGAATTTCATCGGTGGGATTGGATTCACTCTATGCGGTGCCTTGGGTCCTGCAACTAGTTCCTCTCGTGTGGAGTACCAAGCCACCCTTGCTACCTTCTGGGGATCATGGGCGTTTATGATCGGATCCACAATACAGTGGTATGAAAGTCTTCAGAAGTATCCCGTTGAAAAAGAAAAAAGCGGCGGTCTCAACACCCAGCCACAATAGTTGATTATGATGTACATGCAATACTATTATTATATCTGTTTATAACCCATATCGAAGTCCACTTTCAAATCATACTCGGGACAGTTGAGCTTTGAACTAAACCAATAGACTCGGGCTTAGCTACTGGAGATGCAACATCTCAAGAATGTCATGGCGGGCAAAGAACGAGCGATTCCACTTGCCAAAGACATCTGATAATGTGTCAGTAGAGAATAGCACTGGCTGGCTTCGCAGGTATAAACTTACACATGGGGATACTCAGGAGACAAATTCCTACTTGTATGCTGCCGATAATGATCATAGTGTGTTTGACGCCCCCATGAGCAAACCAATTGTAGGCAAAGAAAGTCAGGACAAAGCTAAACATGTTTTTGAACACCAGCAAGCAAGTAAATGCTTCCACGGCAATTTCCCCTATGACTTAATCAGTTTTGCTCGCCAAAAAGAGAAGGGGGGAAAAGCCGCATTTCACACGTACGATGTGCATCAACAATATAGAGAGAAGCAGCTACTGCACCCATGACCATTCCAATGATAAGGATTGCGAAGAAAACATCTGGTAGAAGCCAGTGATACTTTTCCACATCCGAGGCTGTCCAGCCAAATCCATAAAGTCCCATGGCACTGAAAATCAACTGGAAACCTACCAGCAAGATCCGGAATTCAGGCTCATATTTGCCTCGGTTGAGTCGGATCATTGCCTTATTTATAGAATCCGTGATAAGGCCAGCCAAAATAAGCCCTATTATAGCTCCGATGAAGGCACCCGTGTATAGATATCCTGTCTTGTCTTCTTCAAACCATAGAGGTGGTCCCAAGAATACGATCGCTAGGATCACGCCAATGAAGACGGCCCATCCAATAACGATCCCTTGAGTTAGACAAGCCTTCAGACTGGTTAATAATTTCTTTCAAAAAGTATTCAATTGATCAAGACGCTTACCCAGAATATTCCAGGATGGAAGAATAATGGAAAGGGACGGAGAAGAAGCTTGAAAAAGTTCTCATCTGTCTTTCGACCATTGAACAGCCTCATTGATCGCAAAAGTGAATCCTTTTCCAGCTTTACTGTGGCAGAAACCTCTGTCCGCGTACCGCTACCGGCCATGGTGCCTGATATGAACTCTTGGGTGTCTTTAGTGGAAGTATTATCCAGAGGCCAGTTCGACGATCCCGCCTGGCCACTTTTATGCTTGAAATCGGTATTCAAGTAGTCAGCTCGGCGGAATGCGGTTTCAGGCACGAACAGAACCATGAAAGGTAGCGCTGCGCCAAGAAAGATGGCAACAAAGTAAAAGGACCATTGCCAACCGATGGATTTGGTGATTTTGCCGACAAAAACGGGCGTCAAGAAAGCTGCACCAAACAGAGCAACATTTGATACGGCCATTCGCTTTCCTCGTTCCTTTGATTGAACTGTTTAGCCTCGGCAAAAAAAAAGTTGACAAAAGTTGTACTCACATGGACAAAGTAGAGATCACCAACACAGGCATTCACTAGCGCTTCGAATGGAGCTAACGCCACACCTTGGAAGATTCGTGCCCATAACAGACTCTTATGGTTATGCCCACTCACGCCCGCCCATATGCAGCTGATGATCATCAAGACATGTCCAATGATAAACAAATGGCGTTTACCCCAGACTCGCGCGGTTGGGACGATCAAGATCCCGGCTACTCCCACGCCACACAGATGGTATCCAGTGAGAAGCGCGGCTTCCACGAAGGTGATCATTTCGTACTCTGCGATTGTCACTGTATTTGCTGCCATTATGGAGCTCAGGGTCGTACAGAGGACCGTGACGAACGAGAGGATGACAAGGATGAGGTCGCGTCTCCATAGTGGCCAATTCTACGTAGAGGTAACAAAAAAAGGCATTAGTCCTCGTTATTCCATCTAGTGCGTCGACTCTGACGTAGGAAGCATCTGAACATACTAGTGGATCGTTGGGATCATCGCTTGGCTGGGGTACAAGAAGGGTAGGTTCTGTAGTCGACCGGTCGTATTTCAGACTTGTGGCGCCCGGGGTATTGTCGCTTGAAATCTCATCTACTCCATAGATGTTGGAGGTGCCTATCGCAACGACATCAGTATGCATTCGGCGACAATATAAACACGAGAAGTTGATCTTACCTGGGACTTGATCCAGCTTGTGATCTTCCAGCACTCCGAGACCCATAATTGCAGTACTTTCCGAGGACAAAGTGTGCGGAGGATAAGGAACGAAAAGAGAGGAAAATCAAGAGGGGTCACGGAGCTTCCTAATAGTGACAATCCTTTTGCTAGTCGCATTGGGCAACTACCACCGATAAAGGTCCAGACACAAACAAAATAGAGACCAAAAGCAGTTTTGAATCGCCATTCCAATCTTCTGCGACCAACAAGCGGAATATAGATAATTCCAAAGAGATTCAGGATTTGGAAGAAATTCCAAGTCTTTCCCCAAAATCACCAAAACCACCAGACCGAGGCTAGCAAATGCCAAATCCCAGCCCCAGACTTAACGGAAAGAAAAGCGCCACCATCTACCGGTTTCACCTGTACATAGATGACCCCCTGCAGCAACGAGTCTGTGATTACCACCAGGACTTGGGTCACTTCTCCGCGTTGTAATCAACTTCCCCGACAGGGAAGATCCACTGGTTCAAAGGACTCTAGAGTTGGTCAAACGAAAGATGATCAATGATATGATTGGAGGCGGAGCGACAATGGCGGGTTTTTAGGTTTCTGTGTGTTGTGTGTTGTGTTTTGTAACTTTTGTTTTTACTGGTAAGTTCTCGCTCGGCTTCTGCGACTGCAGAGGGGAATAATATTTTACATTCTCTAATTCTCTAATTATTGAGTGAAACAGTCATTTACCGTGTGAAACGAGCTGAACCCTGTATCCTGTACCCCAGACCCCGGACCCTGTTACCCTGAATCGTACTACTAATAACTTACGGGAATCCACATCACAGTGGAAAAATGACTTAAGTTCCATAACTGAGTCTGTGATTGGCCTTGTATTCACACTAGACTCTACTCAGCTCCACTAAACTAAAAGTAAGACTTCAGGCCTTAACTAGACTCGATTTGGAGGTACAAAGTAAACCATCGGGTATTTTTTGATTGTATTGGCCCTGGGCTCTCGTTTATGCCGTGTTGATACCATTACCCGGGCGTGGACATACTCAGAAATAATGTACCTCTATTCATCACGTCCTTAGGCCATGGCAAGATTATGACAGTGGCATGGATATACCTTTGACAGCCATTCGTCCTTTGTCCAGGGCGGAGCAGAGTATTCCAATGTTAATCCAAACCTTTGGATTTGGACCCCAAGTTTATCCATACGATCCCACGGATACACATATTCCCAGTCGGAATAGACCCCCTGTTTGAGGTTGGGATAAGGGCTCACGGGAGAGAATACGACCTCGATCTTTTCCAGCGGGGCCTTGCGCTCCCACGAGGCGTTCGCAAGCTGCCGGATCCATTCTTCTTCTTTGTGTCCCCAATTATTGATAAGACTTTGGCCCATGACTCCAAATACGAGCCCAAAGGTATGAAGACTGGGGCCCAATATCATATCGGCATAGATCGGATTCCATTCAAATTCTTGATTCCACGGATCTGCACATATCTGGGTCCTTGATAACCGAAGATCCTCAAGCGAAGGGAACTTGGATGCATCAAAAGATAGCCCATGGGGAAACCCCAAGAGGTCAATGTAGATGGTCTTGAGCGTCTCTTTATGGATCGAGAGACACATGCCAATGTCATGGAGGTTCATGCCTGGGACAAAGCTTCCCGACGTGTTGATGGCAAAGTGTACCAGCCCCTTGGGCCAGTGGATCAATGCCGCGATTGCCTCGGGGTAGTCCTTGCAGGCCTTGAGCTTTAAAGAGGTAAATGATGCAGAACGAGATGTCTATGAAGCAAAGAAAAAGAAAATCATCAGTATTTTATACGCTACAATGTATGGATCAATATAGTTACCTGTGGAAGAAGCATTTCTGAGAGAGCAGAGGAATTCGAAAGCCCAGCCGCTGACACCTCCAAGGTCTCGAGGGAAGAGGAGTTGATACACTTGACAGTTTCTGCCAGGGAGATACCCCCAGTCTCATCCCACATATCTCCTTCGATCTGTAAATGTCGAAGCTGTCCTAGCTTCTGAAAGTTCCGGATTAAAGATAACGTGTGTTCTCGGACCTCTGCTGGAGCTTTCGAGTAAAACCCGCCCACGAGTACCAAAGTTCGGAGCCGTGTGAACCACGAGATCAAATCATTCATAATTTCAAACTCTTCTTCGTTGACTCTTGCTGAATCATCATCGATATCGATGTACAGAGAAAGGCACAAGCCTCGCAGATATGGATTGTGCTGCAGCAATCGATGGAGCTTTCCTATTTTCTTCATCGGTGACGAAGACGCGGTACAACTTTCACATAGATGTGGGTGAATAAGTTTGATTTCTTCGAAAAGAAATGGCAACACCAATCGATGAAAACGGCGGCTCACCAGACATAGGGATTTAGTAATGCAAGAATCTCGGTTTCGAGGTTGCATTTGAGCTGTCTTATCGTTGAGCGTCGCCCAATCCAGGATATTAGCAAGTAGCTCGTCTGGCAGCATAGTCACCTGCATCATATTCGAACAATTGAACGCTTGAGAAAATGGAGAAAAAGAAAGACGTGAAGATTTGTCCTGCGAGAGAAGTTCAACTGCCTTCAATGTTCTATAAATAGTCCCTCAGTAAGGACCCTGGTGGATTGTAAGTACCATGATGGACAACCCTACCGCCCCACCTATTCAATGTTATATTGAATCGACAGAGATCAATTGTATGTAACATTGAATGTGTAAAAGTATAGCGGTACAAAAATTAGGCGCCGTGCATACGCGTGTCGTGATCAATGACATGGCATGTTATCCATGAATAAAAATGAGCGAGGGGAAATACATGCTTATCTCCTGGACAGGATTCAGCGGGGGCTTTGGACTTTGCACTTGCCTAGCTTTGATACCTTTAGTATACTCGTGATTCATTTAATCAGGAGGAAGAGAATACTAGTAGGTATAATACCCATGGATATAACATGTAGTTGTAAAGAGTATATAGGAAACATTGAAACCGAGGCATTGGGAGGTGATGAGTATACATGCTACGTACTTTACATTTGAATACTCGAGATGGGTACCAAGGACTTGAGTAGTACAGAACATCATGTCAAAACCTTCAACATTGAATGGCATTTCAAAGTGATCCTTTTTAAAAATTTGGGCCCCAATTTTTTGTAATGCCACAGGGTCACAAGATTCGGCAACATTAACACCCTTCGTAATACACATACCGTATACAAGCGCCCAGGCGTCCCCGTAACCCGTAAAGAGAGCTTGAACTTATACTAGTGCCAAGCCACCGACCAACAGCCATTGAGCACATAGAGAAGGCGCAGAGAAACAAGGGTATACACCTTGGTCCGTAACGTGTACTATGGAGATCCCTTGTAGCCCCCTCCCCCGGACACTGCAATTTCCAAAAGCTGGAGAGTTTCTTTTAAAACGGAGGTAATCAGCTCACTTCCTTCCTGCAACCATCCTTCCCTCTCCTCAATCTCTACATTCAAAATTGCCCAAATCTTCAATTTCACAATTATGAAGCTCACTCAGACTATTCTGGCTCTGGCCATTGTATCGGCAGCTAATGCCCAGCTGAGCTCTCTGCCCACTTGCGCGGTATGTATTTCCTACTGCAACACGAACCTGTTGGAGGTTCAACCTATAGTAAAACATGACCCTCATTGTCAATTCAACACAGCAAACTTGTGCCACCAACGCCATCCCCGCTAGCTGTGGTGTTGACGTCGCTTGTATCTGTGACAACACGAGCTTCTTGAGCGACATTGCCTGCTGCATTGTTGGCAAGTGTACTACTGAGGAGCAGGAAGGTTCGTCTCAATGCCCAATGGCTCCTTTAAATCATGGATTTTGCTAAACCTTGGCACTCGCACATCTTATAGAGACCCTCAAGGCAGCTAAGGGAATCTGCGCGGCCGGCGGCGTGACGAACCTGCCTAGTGTGGTCGCCTGCACCACTGGCGCATCCAGCAGCACCACTGCCTCAAGTGCATCGACAACTGGCTCAGACAGCACAACTACTGGCACCACTACTGTCACCACTACTCACACCAAGAGTGGAACTACGACTGCAAGTGGTTCCGAGACCACCATCAGTGGCACCGTATCTAAGACTGACACGACCAAGGCTTCCGAAACCACCAAGTCTTCTGGCACCACCGCGTCCGGTACAGTCACCACTTCCACCTCTGGCTCAGCTGCCGCTTCTTCAACTTCGGCAGCCGCCAAAACCGGCGGTGCTGTTCTCGGACAGAACAAGGACGCCTCTTTCATGGCAGCTGCCGGTGTTGCAGCAGCCTTTGCCATCCTCATTTAAACAATGAACGATGTCAGGTAGCGGGGGGAGGGGGGGCATTTCGGTCCCAGTCCAGTCATGTCCCAATGGATCGTCAAAGGAAAGCATATCGATAAGAACCAGAAAATGGTCTACCCAGGACACTATATGAAGGGGCCAAGGCATGTATTAATTGTGACAATTTTATAGCAAACCCAAACTGAGCATAGTTACTCTATAATAATACAATTTCTGGTTTCGAAATGGCTTAGCTTTCCGCAGCGTCTTCAAGCAGCTTGGTCATTCGCTCTTGTCGCTCCTGGCGGAGAGTAACGAAGATCTGTATTATGTTAGCCCAGCTTCCCGAAAGCCATCCCGACTAAATGTTAACTCACCCAGAACCACACCATCATCTCCAGGAACCCAAAAGTAAAGACCGCACGGTTCTTCAATCGATCAAAACTGGCCGCGGTCGCCGCAGAGGTATAAGTGGAGGCCACGAACGAGCCCTTGCTCGAGTAGATAAACACGGCAATGCTGGCATAGACGGCAACCCGAGCCATGGCCACGTTGACCCACACATTCCAATAGACCGTCAGGGACTTGGCGATATAATGCGGGAGCTTCTCCAAGGCACGGAGATCCTCAGAAGCAAGGTTGGGGTTGCGGAGGGGTCGGATATAAGGCGTGGCTTCGTCCAATGCATCGAAGGGCAGGCTGGCTAGAAGGAAGATGTCGACCAAGGCTTCGGTGAAGATGAAAATGGCACAGAACACGAAGGGGGAGGTCAGGGGACTTGTGGAAGGAGGGAAGTCCTACAATGGGTAGTTTGTCAGTAAATTAATCTTCAATCGCAAGTTTTAAAGTAACATAGCCAGGGATTTCGTACGACTCTCAAGGTTTCTCCCATCATAAACACGATGTTGGAGTCCGTGATCTTTTCTGGGCTTTTAATGAGATACCCGGCGATGACAACCATAAACACGGCATGCGCCTGAATGAGCGTTTTAGACGAAAGGAGAACCATTTTGAAGGTTCGGTCGGTGATCCTAGGGGGTGTTGGAGAAGAGACAAAGTGGTCTGCGGGAAGCAAGTTGCACAGCTTGTGTTGCGGGACTTTAAAAAAAGTAACATGTGGGGAACAGGCCAGCTCCGCCATTTGATTCCCCCCCACCGCCAACAGATAAGTCGCGGTGCTTTTTCTTGTTTCGCAATCGCAAACAACGCACAAAGACTGTGCGCATCGGCATACCACTGCGGAATAGGACGAGAAAAGAAACGATATCCGGGTCCTTAACGCTGGGAACAGTGCTTTAACCACGATGGCGGCACCCTTTACCACTGAACGCCATGTGAAATACTATCTGCGCTGTCTAAAGACCTTCCTACCTTCGGCCTATACCTCCAATGACTCAAATCGCATGCTCCTCGCCTACTTCAGTCTTTCTGGACTAGATGTCCTAGGCGTTCTGCAGGCCAAAACCACCCCGGAGGAAAGACAATCATACATCAACTGGCTCTACCACTGTCAGGTACCTTCTGGAGGATTTCGAGGATTCCCAGGGACAGACTTTGGAAAGGACAGACGCACAGCTGCCAATGCAGTCTGGGATCCGGCCAACGTACCGGCTACATTCTTTGCGCTAGTAAACCTGCTCATTCTGGGCGATGATCTATCTCGTGTCAAACGACGGGAATGCCTTCAATGGCTCCCTAATTTACAACGTGCCGATGGAAGCTTTGGAGAAGTTCTAGGGCCCGATGCAAGAATTGAGGGCGATCGCGACCTACGATATTGTATGTGTGCAGCTGGCATTCGGTATATGTTGAGGGGAAGTATGAGCAAAGGCGTTGAAGATGTAGATGATATCGATGTGCCCGGCTTCATGTCATTCATCCAAGCATGCCAGGTAAATTCCAAGCCATGATGTTTGGGTTGCTTTGTTTTTGACGAAGACAGTCATTATCAACTGATTTATTTACTAACTCATATTACCCGAACTAGGCTTACGATGGCGGAATGGCCGAATCCCCCTTCCGTGAACCTCACAGTCGGTATCTCCAGTGTTCCTTTTCTCCCATATCTTTCTGACAATAGCACCCAGGTGGACATACATATTGTGCAGTTGGATCTCTAGACTTTCTGCGTCGGGCAGGCACAGACACCCAAGCGGTTCCCATGCTGTCACCGGGCTCGGGGAAGTTTGATATGCTGCTTGCGTGGCTGGCATCGCGGCAAACGGGTGAACTCGGTGAGGAAGAGGAAGAGGAGGACGAAGGTGAGGACGAAAGGGAAGAAAGTGCAGCGGATATGCAGCCGACCGAGGTGACAAGATCACTGGAAGAAGAAATCACCGCATTGCCTGGTTTACCTGCATTGACAGCCGACTCAATACCATGCGCTGGATTTAATGGCCGGTGTAACAAACTTGCCGACACCTGCTATTCCTTTTGGAATGGGGCGACACTAATGGTGCGTACATGTATCGAGAGCGAGTTGATATAGTCACCCCTCTAACCTTTTCTTGACCATATCATATAGATGTTGGATCGATACTCAGTGATTGATGACGTGCGCAACCGGCGATATCTTCTTGAGAAAGTGCAACACTTGGTGGGTGGATTTGGAAAGACTGTTGGAGATCCTCCCGGTAAGGAAGAAATGCCCATCTGATCGCCTCCGAGTGGCAAATTTCCTGCTGACCAAACCACTTTTTTCCCCAGATCTCCTCCACTCTTACTTTGGCATGGTGTCATTAGCTTTTCAGGGAGAAGAAGGATTGGCGCGTGTTGACCCTGCACTGGTCACCACCGAGCGAGTTGTGCAGCATCTTGAATCTCTTTCGTGGCGGTCATAGGTCCGAATGTAGTATGATCCGCAAAGGGGCAATTACAGAACAATATGAGAGATTGATGACATGGGCCAATGGACGTCTGACATTTGGGTTTCTGGGGAAATATAGTACAATTTATTTTAAGTAGATGTACTTCCAAGATTGTCATCAAGGGGAGTCTCTGGGATCAAGGGGGGCAAAAAGAAAAGCACATACCTAAACCACTGGAGACAAGTCAGCATCAGCATCAGCCACTCCAACTTGCAAAAAAAGAAAAGAAAAAAAGTCTAAAACCAAGAAAATAATGTATACAAAAAATGTAAAAAATACAAGAATATTTAAAATTTTATATAGATATAAAAAGCCTTTATACATATGTATAATATTTTCCCATATTGAATTTGAAACGGGACAATTTCCACTTTTTTCCCGTTCAGGGGCTTGGATGATCCCGTTATGATGGAATGATCGTTTTTTTGGGGGATTCAATCATTTAGAGCGTTCGAGTCCAACCGAGACCTTTTTACTCCACACGTTTTCCCCGAAAACCGTTTGAGAGAAAAAAAAATCACTTTGTATGTGAACATTGAACATTTGTCAACAGGACTCCCCGCCGGAAGTACCCGCCTTTTCCATCTTGAATGGCAAACATTGCGCAACCCACTTCACCCCCTACCCATACGCGATACAGATCTCCGCGGCCTACCGCACACCTCGGGGATCGATCATAACACATGCCGCCCAGGACGAGAGCGGGGGTTCAAAGCCAGAAACAAAAAGAAAAGGTGCGTCAACTCCGAGTCTTGAATGCCAACCTCCGTTGGCTTTCATGATTTGCTTGGAGGCTTTCCCACTTGCGCAGAAACATCTGGCTAACTTGGAGGCCTGTTCTATTCTGGTCGCGCATCATAGCAGCTTGCGAACTCTTACAATGAACTACTCGAGTATGTTTCCTTTCGAAATTCAAACAGCAATCCCTGATCACTGACGTGCGGCCTGTGCAGAGAGTTCTCGTCCAAGGATCTTCGGAGCGTGGGAAATTACATTTTAGGGAGATTGATTGGAAAGGGATCTTTTGGAAAGGTGTACCTCGCGTCGCACAAGCTCACAAATGGCTCCAAGGTAAGGATGGCATGTCTTGGTTGATGAGGGAAATCAAGGCGTAACTAGTGCTAACACGACAGGCAGGTGGTTCTCAAGTCCTCTAGCAAAGAGGACACAAATTTGGCACGCGAGATCCATCATCATCGTCAATTCCTTCATCCCCATATCGCACGGCTCTACGAGGTGGTTGTGACGGAAAGTCTGGTGTGGCTGGTGCTGGAATATTGTCCTGGTATACTTGATCGGTCTTGGTGTGAGCGCATGATCATAAGCTGACGCAACAAAAAATTTCTACTTTTTAGGTGACGAACTTTACAATTACCTTCTGCACCACGGTCCATTACCAGTCGATAAAGTGAAACGGATATTCACACAGCTCGTCGGGGCGGTGGCTTACGTCCACAGCAAGTCTTGTGTACATCGGGATCTCAAACTGGAAAATATCTTGCTCGACAAACAGGAGAACGTCAAACTCTGTGACTTTGGATTTACGCGCGAATATGAGGGCAAATCGAGTTATCTACAAACTTTCTGTGGGACAATATGCTACAGTGCCCCGGAAATGCTAAAGGGAGAGAAATACGCCGGTGAAAAGGTGGATGTGTGGAGCTTGGGTATTATTCTCTATGCGCTACTTGCCGGCGAGCTACCCTACGATGACGACGATGATCAGGTCACCAAGAATCGTATTCTATCCGATGAACCTATCTATAACACCAAATTCCCCGAAGATGCCAAGGCACTTATCAACCTTCTTTTGTCAAAACGTCCATTGATCCGGCCCAGCCTCGAAGAGATCCTCGCCCATCCGTTCCTCGCAGAGCATGCTCCCGAGCAACTTGCCATTCTCAAGATCCCACGGCCCTCACCTTTCACGACCCCACTTGAAAAAACGACTTTACAGCGGATGAAAAGTGCCGGAGTCAACATCGATGAGATCATTGAGAATGTCCTGGCACAGCGATGCGATCCTTTGGCCGGATGGTGGGCATTATTGATCGAAAAGGAACAGCGGAAAGAACAAAAACGTGAGCGCAAGCGTCGCGAACGAGAAGCCGAGGCTAAGAATCTACGTCGTTTGAGTGCTGCTAGTAGCCGGTTTGAGAAACTTTCCTCAGCCTTGGTGGAGGTGGATGAAGAGGGTCAGGGTAATTCAGGAAGTCAGTTATCAGATCGAGGGCGTCGTGACAGACGGAGTCTACCTTCTCAGCTAGCTGTCCCGGAACTTCCGGCGCTGCCTGAACCACTACCTGTACAGACACCTGAACTAAAGAGTGCTCCTCCAACGCCTCTGGATAAAGATTCTATACATTCGTCGACCTCAACGCGACGACGTCCGGTTCCCCCACCAAAAGATAAAAGAAGATCTCGTCCCAGCATGCTGCACGTTAGTGCCTCACAACCGGAGCTGGCTCAGCACCATGGCCTCTTCCGTCGTCGCACCTCTGCCACTCGACGGCACAACCCAATTATTAGCCAGCTCGCTTCACTGAAGCACTGGTTTGTGGAATCGGCCAAAAGAGCGAAGTCGCCAAGTGCCAAATCAGCTGGTTCGCGCAAATTTACAGACAAGTTCAGCCCTGCGAAAAATCACGACAGTAGTAAAAAGACTACTTCACTCCCGGCCTCAGTTGAACCAACTGAAGAAGTGGTCACCCCGACTCAGATCAAACGAATTTCGAATGCTAGCAGTCTAGCTCCTAGTAGTGCTTCCTACCGCCAGAATAGGCATTCCTACCCTCGGCAGCCCCGAGCATTGAACACCGGCCATTCAAGTAATCGGAATTCGCTTTCACCATCACCAATCACTCCCCGTGGATCATATCGACGATCATCCGCCGGACTAAGGGGGCGCAAGTCAACGTCTTCATCCGTCTCCTCCATCCGCAGTATTCATCATACTCGTGCTCATTCCAAGGCTTCGTCGATCTCATCCAATAGCATTGACACGATTGCCACACCCACTGCCCGAATCGCCAAATCTCCTCACTCATCACTTAAAGTTTTGCCCACCACGCCTGGTCCCTCCGCTCGTTTCCCTAGCAATATTCGATTGGTCCGCGGCTCTGGTGGCCCGCCTAGAGAGTTCGGCGAGCATCTAGTCCCAGGAGCGTCGAGTTTCAATGAAATAGCGCCTGCGCCGTTACTCTACTCCCCCTCATCAAGCCTAGTCTTCGCGCGGCGAAAGAGGTCTGCTTTCAAGGGTCCCATGCTTCATACATCGAATCTCATGGGATCTGGTGGAATAATCCGCTCGCCAGCTCCTGGTCAGTCTGAGGTCCCAGGCGAACCAAGTCATGTCGCAGGCAGACCGGTCGCTCGCAAGAGTCAGATCATTGAAGAAGAAGATGATGAGGAAATCGAAGAAGTCGACGACTTTGATGGCCCAGAAGAGGAAACCGGTGAACCAACGCATTTAATTCACGAGGATGATCCTGATACAGATACTATCAAAGATTCCACCGATCAGGTCGAGGAGACTGGTTCTCCCGTATCAATCCGCAAGCCGGCTCTTGAACCTGCCCCGGAGTTGGAATCTAGTCCAATTATGCCCGAACGCTCATCTTCATTACGCTCACCACCACCGGAAGCCGCAGCAGCAATTGCTATGGTAACTGGTAGCGTTGACCTGTCACAATATGAGACTGTGACCATCGCGAACGCCGATGCCGCTGGCGACGCGGCTTCTCAGCATGTTGCGTCTCCTCCTCAATAATGCTGTCTCCCACTCCCTACTTTCCTTGGACATTGGTGTTTCCATTTCCCTTCCTACGATCTCATTACTTTGCCCCAAATCTGTTAGACGATAGACCTGTTTTGTGATTCCTTTTATACCCCTTGTGTTTGCCAATTTCATACACTATTCACTTTGCTTGCATTTCCTAATTCCCATTTGCGCCAGACATATCACCATTAACCAGCATACTCGCAGTATCGTTGATGTCCTCTCCTCTTTGTCCCTCCCTCTAATTTCCATTCGTCCTGTTCCGATCCTCTCTGCTTTATGAAGCGCCCTGCTCTCAATCGAGATTTCCTATGCCTTTCTCCTGCCTACATTACCACTTTACCTTTCAGATAACTTTCATCCTCTTTCCAGTCCGCATCTCTACATTGTTTCCTCAATAGACTACTGGCTCAATTTCGGCACCAGCGCCTGCATTGTGACATATTTAATATTGTCTCAGCATCACCAGCATAAAATAAAAAGCTGTATTGATCCCTTCCACAGCCACATCTGCTCTACTATCTAGGTACCTACCCACATGCATACATACGTATATACATACCTACTCTATGTATAAGCCTAAAGCCGATACATCTCCCTACCGGTCTGTTGATTCTTACGTATGTGTACATGTAGTACCTATTGATTTAAGTCCACCACCTAGGCGGCCCTACTGGAGATAGAAGCTTATGGAAAACTTGGGTTACACCCCCGGGAGTACTGCGTCCATAATTTGAAGGCTGTCATGTTACATGACGATTTAATATTCCAACATTTGAAGAGAACCTTGGAAGGGATTTAAAACAAGGAGTAAAAGAAGCTAAAAGGGGTGTGTGCTTAAATCTGTGTTTGTAACTAGGACCTCTGTCAGAATAATGGGACTCAGTACAAGCCTTGTCGTATGAACAGGCGCGACGGCTTCTGGAAAGGAAATAAAGAGAGAGAAAGAAGATAAGAAGGGGGAGGGGAAGGGGAACTTTGTACTCTGGGAAAGTGAGAGCCTGTCTAATCAAGAACGGCGAGGGGCCGAGGCAAGTCATTGTTGACAAGTCCCAACTCGGGAAAGTCTCAGTCGTCAATTGAAACATGAAGATCCGGTGCAGCAAGTTTTACAGATACTGACTGATGTCTAAACTTAAGTCTAGGTAGAGCAAGATGATGTGAAAATTCAAGATTACTAAGATTCCATAGGCCTTTCATCTATAAACGGCATGATATATGAGATCTAGGCAGCAGGAGCTTGTGTGCCATGCTCCATAACACATCTGTCTCTCTAATCAAAGCAAAAACTAGCCTCCGTGTTTTCTATATGCCACATCATCGGATCATCTCGTCATTTTTATTGCTTATGCGCGCTTGGGCTTGCCGGCGGCACCGTTCTGGGCGACGGCGGCATCAACAACATGGCTCGTGTCTAGACGACGCTCCACAAATTTGAGGATCTCATCGATCACACTACAAACAAATTAGTCACTGGACCTTCCACATAACAAGAGAACAAGATAAACTTACATCACAGGTGCACTGATCACCAGAACAGCTTGCCATTCCATCCAGTCGAGAGGGATGATGGCAAACAGACCCTGTAGGAAGGGAATATAGAGAATAGCAAAGTGGAGACCCATCGAAAGAGTGATGGCGTACACCAGCATCGGGTTGTTGTGCAGGAAGAAGGTGAACAAAGACTCGCTGGATGAAAGGGCGTTCATCGCGTTCAGCATCTCAATAACCACCAGGATGGAGAGAGACACAGTGGACGCAGACTTGGCCATATCATTGGTGAACATTTCGCAGCCAATCTCGGGGAATTGAGAAGAGCAACGGTGGAAGTGAGACTAGACATTGAGTTTGTTCTTAGTAAAAAATCAAACAAAAGATGAAATATGAAAAGACTTACCAGCTGGTAATACGAGATCTGGGGACCCTCGGGGTTGTACATGAACCACCAAACATAACCGAAAACGGTAGCAACACCCACATAGGTACCAATGACCATGTAGCGGAACAAAAGCCAACCACCAACGAGCGGCTCGTCACGGCGACGAGGACGACGTTTCATGACATCGTGGTCGGGGGGGTTGAAAGACAGAGCAGTAGCAGGCAGACCATCGGTGACAAGGTTGACCCACAACAATTGGACAGGAACGAGGGCTTCGGGCATACCAAGGGCGGCAGTGAGGAAAATAGAAACAACCTCACCAATGTTGGACGAGATCAGGTAGCGGATGAACTGCTGAGTGTTGCTGTAGATCGACCGACCTTCCTCGACGGCGACAGTGATCGTGGCAAAGTTGTCATCGGCGAGAACCATGTCGGCAGCAAGCTTGGCCACATCGGTACCAGTACCCATGGCAACACCAATATCGGACTTCTTGAGCGCGGGAGCATCATTTACACCGTCACCAGTCATGGCAACGACGTGGTTCATGGACTGAAGCAGATCGACCAACTTGGACTTGTGGGAAGGCTCGGTGCGGGAGAACAGGGATGCGGTCTCAACCACCTTCATCTGCTCACTCTCGCTCAGGTTGTCAAATTCACGGCCGGTGAAACTCTTGCCCGTGAGATCCTCATTGGGTCCAAAGATACCGATTTGGCGACAGATAGACTCGGCGGTGTTGGGGCTATCACCAGTAATGACAATGACACGAATACCAGCCTCTTTACATTTCTTGATTGCGCCCGCAACCTCGGGGCGCGGGGGATCCAACATGCCAACAAGACCAATCAGAGTCATGTTCTGCTCCAGTCTAGCGTAATCCTCAGTAGAAGTTGCGTTGTGTAGTAGTTTGTTGCCAGAAACGTCGCTCACGCTGGCGATAGCCATGACGCGGAGACCCTGATTACCGTATTCAACCACTTGTTCAGAAAGCAGTTTGGCGTGTTTCTTGGAAAGGGGGACCTCCGCTCCTTCGGATCCTTGCAAAATATGAGAGCAGCGTTCCAGGATTGATTCGGGGGCACCTTTGACCAGAAGCTTCTGCTCTTTACCCTTGCCAACAAGCACTGACATACTCTTGCGGTCACGAGAGAATTCGTAGGTAGCCTGGAGGGGAAGACGGGATTCGTAGTGGGAGCTGGCAAGGTGCAATCTCTCAGAAGACGGGAGGGAGGAAAGTTCCTTGTTCACGGCGGGATCATTGGTACCGATCTTCTCAGTCAAGGCACGGAGAGCTGCCTCGGTAGGCTCACCAATGTTCGAGAAAGTACGGCTCTTAGCATCATAAGACAGGGTAGCGGTGTTGCAAATGGCGGTAACTTCAGCAAGTTGGCGAATAGTAGACGAGGTCACTGCGAGGTTTCCAACCACTTTACCGTTGTGGGACAGCTGGCCCTCTGGGGCAAAGGTAGTACCCTCGACGTCAATCTCCTCGACGCCATTGCCAGAGCTAGCCAGGTAAACAATCTTCTCCACGCTCATCTGGTTGGTGGTCAAGGTTCCTGTCTTATCGGAGCAAATCACACTACAGCTACCCAGGGTTTCCACTGAGGGAAGGGACCGAACAACTGCGTTCTTCTGAGCCATCTTCCGAGTTCCAAGAGCCAAGCAAGTGGTAATAACCACGGCGAGACCTTCGGGAATAGCTGCCACGCCGAGAGACACCGCAATCTTCAAGTAATAGATAGCACCCTTGGTCCAAGATCCACCGAAGGAGGGGTCGTTGAAGTGTTCAATATTGATGAGCCAAACCAGGACGCAGATGACGGTAATCACCTTGGCGAGCATGTCACCAAAGTCATTCAGCTTCTGCTTCAATGGAGTTGGCTCCGAGATCTGGGAAGTAATGCTGTCGTGGATGTCACCAATGGCGGTCGATCCACCAGTCAAAACAACCAGGGCAGTGGCATGGCCATTGACCACGGTGGTACCCGAGAAAAGCATGTTAAGCTGCTCCTGCTTGACAGCCTGTTGATCCTTGATAGCGCCGGTTTCCTTGCCGACACTTTCACTTTCACCAGTCAAGATAGCCTGGTCAACCCGGAAGCTGTTGCTGTGGATGGAGATAAGACGGCAGTCGGCAGGGACTCGATCGCCGACAGCAATATGGATCACATCACCAGGTACGAGATCCTCAGCCTTGATACGCTGGGTTTTTCCACCGCGAACGACCTTGGCCTCGTTGGCCGAATATTCTTGGAGTGCCGCAATTGCCTTCTCGGCGCTGCTTTCCTGGGTAACACCCACAACCGCATTGAGAATCAAAATAGTAAGAATCTGTCACGAGAAGAGATCGAGTCAGCAACAAGGTCGGCGGAGAGGGGAGGGGTAGGGAGGGGCACGCACGACAGCCGGGTCTACGAAGGCAGTCCAGTCATCACTTTCTTCGAACAGGGCCAAAACAAAAGACACAGCAGCGGAGCCCAATAGGATAAGGACCAGCTGGTCCTTGAATTGCTCCAGGATCAATTCCCACAGGGGAGTCGGGGGTTCTTCAGCCAGGGCTAGAGGAATGTTAGTCTCTCACGACGTAATGAGGCGTGAAAAAAAAACGGAGTTACTGACCATTGGGTCCATACTTCAGTCTAGATTTGAGCACGGCATCTTGCGATAATCCTGCATGTTCTGAGACATTGAAGTGATCCAGCGCATCCGCTGGAGTGGAGAAAAGAGTTCTCCATTACGAGCTACTCGTACTGGATCACAGATAGGGTCCAGGGAGCACCGGGGTAGAGATGCGGAGAGTCTGGGGAACGACAGAAATAAGAGAAAAAAAAAGATTAAGGAAAAGAAGGGCGTATCAGACTTGATACATGAGTGTCGAGGCGGTGGCCAGTCAAAGGTCGAAATACTGCCCAAGATGCAGGGAAACAAGTATTAAGAACTGGGGGTTCCGTGCTCTCACAAAAAGCGCGACGTAAAAGTGGAGAGGCGGAGCAACAACGTGTTCTCATCCAGTTGATTCCATTTCCCGATCGGGGGTCTGCTGAATCAGCAACAGTCACAGGGCTGAACCTGATATCCGCTACTTTTTCTCCGATGTCTCCATCTCTCTCCACTCTTGCGGTTTAACGATTAACCCCAGCCCCATTTTATCCGGTTGTTATGTCTATTAACTGAGTGCTCATATTCCCCGGTTGTACTGGTCCATTTCTTGCTATATTCATCATGGGGGTTTGTTTTTTGCCTCAAAAATTCCCTGGAGGTGTGTGCATCAGGGATCTCCGGGATGTCTTCCGAAATGATGGGGGCTTTTGCTAGGCTGCATTTTTCTCAAGCGGCCAAGCGGCCCAAGCCTATCGGACCTCACTGGTGGAGCTCTCGTTTCCCTTTCAGTAAGAGATTGACTCAACCAAGTCACCGAATCCTGCAAAAGGTAGTGGATCTGGCCCTACATCCAGAAACTCTTTGGTGGATTTGTCTGGAGACTGCGGAACTCACATTGCTTCCTCACTGGTTCTTTGGGCCACTACCTTACGCAAGTCATCTTGGCTTTTTATCCTCAGGTGCTCCGTTTATCTTGTGTTTGCGATTAGCACGGTCACCATATGCGTCATAGCATCCAGGTGCCGTTAATGTAATTCAACAGGGTCCTGTGGATAAGAATAATTGGCTTATTCCGTGCAAAAGGCGGCAACTCGTATAGTGCATGCGATTTGTTCCCTTGCCTGTAGGGCTGAATCTAGCTCATCCACATTTGCAAGGGTCGTAAACACTTCCTGCGTTTCTCTAAAATGACTGGTGCAGGCACAATAGCTCTGTCAACTCCATGGATTTGGGATTATATCCCACAGAGGGACATACTATGTACCTAGCGATACCGGGTACATAAGGAGACAGTTATAGTTCCAACCCATTGATGATTCGGATGTATAGTGAAATGCGTACATGTGCATACTAAATCCTTGGATCTGTACACTATGAACCTCTTGGAGAACAATGTTCAAGTTGAATTGGCCAGTGGCCATCGTATGGGGCGTAATGTCCCGGATAGGAAATGAGCACCCGCAGTTCTGAGGGATCAGAAGTTGGTAGACACATCTCGGTACATGTACAGACCCCGTTCTAATTATGATTGGCTATTATAAATTGATACAAAACAATTCATAGTCGATAGATCAGAAATCCAGGCAGGTGTTCCGGGGATACTCAAGCTGCTCCCAACATTGAACCGGACAATATACAATTTGAAGCACCCGAAAATTAACACGATGCATATACTACTACACATGGACCAATAAAATTTAGAGGAAGAGAGAAAAGAACGTTCCAAGATTGGAACACAAATACATGAATAGCCCAAAACAAGACATTATCTACAAGCCTAGGACGCCGCGCATACGTTTGTTATAATAAGTTTAAAAGACTGTGGATGTTCAAGTTGTTCATGGATCTTCAGGTGATGAGCCGAGGGGTACATATGCTTACCTATGCAGGATCCATGGATTCAGAGAGATATTAGACTTCGTACTTGACTAGGATTAAAATACTTGGGGGAGAGCAGAATAGGTACTATCCCTTTGCTACGTGGGTAGCGAGTACTTGAGACGGGTACATACTCAATGCCTGGGATTGATGGATACTATGTACTGTACTCAACACTCAGTACATATCTACTATGTAGTAGTTGTATTTCGCGCGATACGTACGTTTCAACTACGATTGAGGGGGGATCATGTGACTCTTTTATTTTTGGCAGGCACCGGAGTAGTAGAGAGGGGGAATTGTATACGCTAGAGAAATCTTTTACATTAAAATAAAATTATACAGTGCTGATCAGCATCTTGTGACATGACATGGGGCCTTTCCGAGTACTGTAAAGGTTGTAGGCAGATCTGGATGTCGTGGGATCACTACATCATAGTTGGTTTCTTAATGCTGGAAGATTCTATGCGTTGCATCATCGTCATCTATCGATTGGATCAACTTCCCCATAATACTTCACTGGGGTTTCATCCCTTAGATCACAATGTTGTCGTATCTTACTAGTAATTTCTGGAGAAAAGATGAAAATAAATAGGAGTAAATCAGGCGGTAAAAAAAAGGAGAAAACAAACTAACAAGTTCACTATGGCCAGAAGAATCCAATAGGGTCCACAGCGCTTTCAACTGATCTTCCGTGTGACAGTACCAGAAAAGTCCCTGGTACGAGCAATACAGCGACTTTGGTGATGTGCAACACATACCTTGAATTAGGCCCTAGGAAGTACTTATCACTGACCCGGTGGATCTGTCAAGATCTGTCAAGATCTGTCAATTTCGGGAAAATCTCTACAAATGATCTTCAGCGAGGTTAATCATAAGTGACAGGGCCACTATATGGTGTAATGACAATACTGGGCAGTGACCTGAGTACCCGGGTACATGTCAACAGTAAGGATCACACAGTGTAAGGCCAGGTACCCGGTACGGAGTACAGTGTAATAGCGTATTGTTATGATTCTCCCCCCAAACTCCCAATCTCCCTCTCTCACTCTTCTCACCCCCACTTGGTCCTCCTCACCTTCTCCTTCTGCATCTCCGCCTCCATCCTCTCCAGTTTTTTTTTTTCTTTACTCCTCAAATATTCCCCCTCTTCAAGTTTACTCTATCCACATTTCACCATGGGTTCTGAGGTACGTTACAGTCTGTCCACTTTCCCCCACAACACCTAACCCCTCCACGGGGAGTCGTCACCGCCATCGCAATCCCACGCATGACCACTTTCCTGTCACTGTTGATTTTCTCAAACATCAGCTAACACGCGTTTTTCTATCATGCAGCGTGAGAAGTAAGCATAGTCTATCTCCATATTTACCATCTCTGTCTTCTGTATACTTACCCCCTCATCAGCAAGACATTCCTCGCGCGGCTCTGCGAGCAGGCTGAGCGTTACGATGGTAAGATCGACTTGGATATAGCCTGTTTATGGAGATTTGGGGACTAACAGATTTTGATCACGCTCAGAGATGGTCACCTACATGAAGGTTCGTCGCATCTACTCTAATCTTTGTTATGTTCTAGGCTAACCATCTCTTACAGGAAGTTGCCAACGTATGACAAGCCTCTGCTCCAAGTCGCATTGTGAGGGTGGAAACTGACCATATCTTAGATCGGCGGTGAGCTCACTGTTGATGAGCGTAACCTTCTTTCGGTCGCCTACAAGAACGTCGTTGGCACTCGCCGTGCTTCGTGGCGCATTATTTCCTCCATCGAGCAAAAGGAGGAGTCCAAGGGCTCTGATGAGCACGTTAACATCATCCACGAGTACCGCCAGAAGATTGAGACCGAGTTGGAGCGTGTCTGCGAAGATGTTCTCAATGTTCTCGATGAGGCTCTAATTCCCAAGGCTGAGACTGGCGAGTCCAGAGTCTTCTACTACAAGATGTGCGTATATCGTTCCACGTGGTGCGACCTGTGGTGTGGAGGCGCGGATGATTGACTTTTGATAATAGGAAGGGAGATTACCACCGCTACCTCGCCGAGTTCGCCTCTGGAGAGAAGCGCAAGGTTGCCGCTACCGCTGCCCACGAGGCCTACAAGGTAATGCTTTTTTGAACTACTTTTCTTTGTCATATCCATTGGCTAATTGTGCTTCCCAAACAGAACGCCACCGACGTTGCCCAGACCGACCTTACTCCTACTCACCCCATCCGCCTTGGTCTCGCCCTGAACTTCTCCGTCTTCTACTACGAGATCCTCAACTCTCCTGACCGTGCATGCCACCTCGCCAAGCAGGCCTTTGACGATGCTATTGCCGAGCTGGACTCCCTCTCCGAGGAGAGCTACCGCGACAGCACTCTCATCATGCAACTCCTGCGCGACAACTTGACTCTCTGGACTTCTTCGGATAGCGCTGACGCCGCCGAGGGTGCTGCTCCCAAGGAGGACAAGCCCGAGGAGGCCGCTGCCCCTGCTGCCGAGGAGCAGACTGAGGAGTCTAAGCCCGAGGAGACCGAGGAGTAAAGGGTTCCGACAAACCGATATTGTCAAGGGAGGCGTTCGCATTTCTTCCTGGAACGTGGTTAGCAAGTCGCTTTTGTTTTCACCGTAGCGTGACTGGGTTGGGACCGGCACTTAACCCCCTTGCACGTGTTCGTGACCGCGTGGGTCGGCCGGCGGAGTTGATATTCGGTTTGACGCGAGCGAAGAAAAAGGGGCTGAGTGGAATTTCTCTCTCTTTTACTGTCTCTATTCCCACTCCAGCACGATTCAATCTGTTTATTTTCCAATTCAACCTCTTTTGAATTTTTCAACTGCGTTCCTTTGTAGTTTTCGTACATGATAGTATAGAGGTTGTAGACAACTAGTTGCTTCCCCTGTCTGGAAAGAAAAAAACGGTTGATATACATAATCCAATACCTGTAAACCTGTAATCAATGTTGGGTCCTTGACTACTATGCCTCTGTATTGTGAGCGATCTTGAGATATACGGTATCCCAAACCTGCGTTCGCAGCATTATGTCCATATGTGTCGCCCCGGGGACATCTACAATTTCAGTCTTTACCCTAATCTCATTGGAAATCCTCTGCGCACTCTCCGGTCCAAAAAACATATCTCCATCCGTCGTGAACCATGTTATATCGACCGGGCAGTCCCGATACATACCAGTCAAGACTTCTCGAGTCACCCCCTCAACCCGCTCATATCCCATGCGATAATCAAGATCCACCCCTCTCTTTCCGAACATCATCCGGCAAATCATTCTTGATCTGCTCCAGCACCACCTTCTTTTTTTCGTTCGAGATCACAAAAATCTCATCATCACCTTTCCCATCGCCCGCCTTCTTCGCCATAAAACCAACAACCACATCTTCCAACCATTTCGGAGCCGCCCCCGAATCCAACTTGGTGACAAACTTGAACATATACTCCGGCATCGTACACATGGACTGCATAATCCTGGATCCCGTGTAAGCCGCGGGGATATGGGTACACATTGGAAAGACATGCTCCACTCTACCCGGTGGGGCACACCGAGCCAGATCAAACATCTGATAGGCACCCGCCGAGTGTGCGGCAATGCTGAAATGGCCGATGTTGAGGCTGTCCAGAAGTTCCAAGGTGATAGTACTGAGATCGGTGAAGATTGCAGGTCCCGCGCGGGCGGCGTCTTTGCCTTGGACCCATCGGTCAATGCAGAGCAGGGACAAGTCCGGATGGGCCTCTAGGAATAGGGCGAATTGGCCCATGCGGCGAGAATCATCACCTGCACCGTAGCAGTACAGCAGGGTGTGCGGGGCATCTTGGTTGAGATGGACGTAGGATACTGTTCGGTTTGGGTTTGTCTTTGAGTGGAAGGTTTCGACTTTCACCGTGGTCATAGTGCTGGTGGGTTCAAACGTGATTCAAATACCACAAGACTTGTTCAGATTACCGTCTCGTGTTTCATATGATCTTGAGAGTTGTTGGGGCCAAAGGAACATGGAACATTGAAAGGCCCCCATCGTCGTCTATGTCAGCTTGGGGGCGGCCCCACGTGGCCCAGGGTATCCATGTCTACAGTCCTTGATGGAAACCTTGGCCAAATCACTAGCACGGTTAGTCCTGATGTTGTAAATTCTGGAAGTTGACGGAAAATAAGTGGCTTTGAGTCAGAGTTTTGATTTAGCAAATAAGAATATACGTAGTAAGATATCTGCCTACCTAGGTGCCTGACAGATTGCGCTATTATAGGTCAACCATGGTGTTTAGTATACATCCATTTGGTTCTAACATTGAAAGTTGTTAAAATATCTAGTCGTAGGTAGAAAAGGACTTTGAGGCATTTAATGTCCCAAGATTCTCATAGGGATGGCCACTGCATCGGTCAACTGGTAGTCATCAAACTCTAGATTTCGAATCCTACATGCCTAGGGTAAATATCAATGACGGGCCATGGCCCCTTCTCAGCAATAGCTAGGGCACCCCAGTTGGGATATTGTAAGTTATACGGACGTCCGTTATTCTACCTATTAGTCAACTGGTACTTCCTCAACCAAACACCTAAAACCTTACTAGGGCTCGTAGAAGATAGATCAATTCCTTGTTTATATCGCGGATTATGCGCCAAAATACCCATGTGGCCTCGCTCATACCGAGATGCGTTATTATGCTTAACATTGGACGTTCTTTGAGGGGCATCATGTACCTTGGTCCTTGAGCTGAGGACATCAATTTGACAGACTATCTTTTTCTCCAAATTGGCTCTATACCTGAATAGACGTCCCATTTTTCATCAAGTGCTAGATATCAATGCCTGACTCAATCTGACTCAATCTCATCACCTTTTTCCATGCAACATACATCTAATATTGGAAGTATTCGAATCGACAGAGGCATCATGACTGCAAATTCCCGTCTCCCCGACCCTGCATGTACTAGTATGAGCTACGCCAAGTCCACATCGTACACTAACACCTCAACCCCAGTCCCACACTTCCAATCAAAAGCCCACCAACAAAGTCTTTACACGTCGAATCCCACAAAACAAGGATCACCCCTTCCAACAGAACCTTACCCGACAAACTTTCTCGGTCCCAACAGCCCGTCCCAGCCGACGGGGCGACAGACGAATCAAGCAAAGAAAGACTATGCTAGCGGCCCAGATGCTGACTGGAGCAAGGCCACTAGATATCACCAAACGAACCAACTTGAGTCCCGGGCAATTGCCGCGCGTCAAACATGACATATCGCAAAGCTCTCGGGGCTTTGACAGGTGGCCAGCGTGGCCGTGTGGCTTGGCCGTGTGCATAGCTCGTGGGTGTATCATGTACAAATTCTGGCCATTAAGAATATGATGCGTATCCAAGATATGTTGGTCGGGGTCTGAAGACCATAGGGAGGGGTTGTGGTATTGATTCCACCAGCCTCATTTGAGGGGTATTTGATTGTGATATGCTCCCGATCAACCTTGCGCGGAAGTGTTGGGTCCACAAATGTGCATATGTCAGTAGAATGTTTGATCTGAAGCTTACATACAGTTGATGTCTATATACATATTTCAAGGTTGCATAGGCGTACATCACAGGAATGTACAAACTTCGAAAGCCCTATTTCCCTGCACAGTTCATCAGCGACCATTTACCTATTGCTTTCCAGGGCTTACTTTGAAAATTGAACACCCCTAGGAATCATGGATTTGCAAAACGCAAGCTTCGAGGGAATTGATAGATACTTTTCTCAAGTGCTTCTTTTTCCTCGCCCATTAATTGAGTAGCTGCAACCTTGAAACCTTGGAAAATAGCTTGTTTTGTCCAAAAACGGGCAATTCCTGGACTTCTCACCAAGATGGAGATACCCAGCGAGTCTTGGGCATACGTCTAGTATTCTCAAGGGCACGACAAATTGCATCATCAATGCAACAAATCACTGATAGCCGCTCCTGACACTGTTGAATGATCCTGGCTTTGAAACTATAGCGCACCTGATAATAGAAGATGATGAGGTATTGATTTGGCCAGATACACGCAGTTACATTGGGTATTTAGATCCCACCCAAAGGAACCTTCAAAAAGCAGAAAACCGAGTAAAAGAAGCTAGCGTTCCTATTGACTTTTTAATCCCTGCTTTCTTATGTACCGGGGCCATGTTATCGGGTTTCGTTGGTGGTTCACTGAGAAGACACCGATAAATGGACCTCAACTAAGTAACCCTTAGATTCTGGTGTATAAATCAAAAGAAATACCCCGCATAGTTGAGTTCCAAAGTCAAGCTTTGGTTCTTTTCACTACCGTTCAGAGGTTTTCTGGGTCTTCATCGTTCTATATATCCGTTGGCCTTGATATCCAAGATTCTAATTCCAAAAAAGACCATATCCCTCTTAGCCTGTCAGATAAAAGCCACCACCTGGGCAGTTGAAATAAACGTTCCCATGGCCTCTTCTACTACTCCATTGGTCTTTGAGTCCAATGCATTGTACATCGCCATCCTTGACCGGGGAGATACATATCTCTTCCACTGGGAACTTTACCTTGCAAAGACAGCGACAGAAGGAATAGTCTTCCACGTCACCAATGACACGGATAAGACGACTTGGGAGTACAAGCAAACATCAACGAGCGAGATGCCCCAACTCCGCCGACTGCTACTGGCACTGAAGATCGGGTCGGTGGAGCCGGTCCTACACAACGCATTATCAAATCGACTCGCCTCGATTACACTCTCTCCATTTTCATCACGATTCAGTGAGCATCTGAACTGCCGGGTCTGGGTGAAGGAGGCATTGTTCGTCATGGATGATGAGGGGTATGTCAATTTGAGCAAAGGCCCGGGTGAGATTGAGGAGGAAGCGAGATATCTCGCTATGCTGAATAAGAGTAAATCCGAGCGCAAGGTGATTCGGAGTAAGATGTGCATGTCTTGATGGGAAGTTCTTAACGCAATGATTTTGATATAAGAAAGTATGGGAGTCTGTGGTGACCATGTATCTACTTGGATTAATGAAGTGGAGAAGGCATAATGATTCAAGATAGCAGGCCATGTCCAAAGACTTGTTCGTTCTATTGTTGTTCATGCAGCGTAGCCAGGGTGTAAGAGATGTACATTGTGCTGGTATTGGGGAAAAAAATTATGGGGAAAGGGGAAATGAGCCCCCGAAAAGCCCCCTGTCGCATATATTGGCAAGCGAGATGGAGACCGCCACCTAAAAAAGGTCAAGAAAATTGGAGAATGAGAAATCGTTTCTTTACATGAAGTCATCATCACCAAGGCCATCATCATCGTAGGCGTTGTTGTCAACCTGAGTATCGCGCTGCGCAACAAGGGAGACCTTGGTCTTGGCAGCCTTGGTCTTCTTGTTACCCTTGTCCGAAGACTTCTCCTCACGCATCTTCTCATTGCTGGCAGTGGTCAGGGCACTGGCAATCTTCTTGATCTCCGAGCTAGGCAACTCCTTCACCAGCCTGCGGGTGAATTCCTGCGCCCAGAGGGAGTAGTGGGCCTTCTTCGAGTGTGGTGTGATCAGAGGAATGAGGGTGTCGGTCAGGCGAGCGAACTGGTCCTTGGTGGTGGGCTTGAACAGGGGCATGGCGGACAAGTCGATGGATTTGGTGGGGTCGACGCTGTCGCTAATGACGATGGCCTTGGGGGCACCACGGTTACGCTTCAAGTCGACATCACCGAAGAGGTCGCTGGCGTGGGCAAGATCGGCGTCAATCTCCTGGCGGCGCAGGCGCTCACGCTTCTCGGCCTCGGTCTCATCATCAAAGTCGCTTTCCTCTTCACCCTCTCTCCTCCGCTGCTCTCGGTGCTCCTCCACCCGCTGGGCCTTGGTTTTCTTGTTAGCAAGAGCCTTGGCCTTGGCGGCGGCCAGAACTTCTTCAGCTTTCTTCGCCTTCTCGCGCTCTACCTCGGAGTCTTCGGCCGCGTCCCACGAGTCGAGAACCTAATGATCGGAAACGCATTAGTAATTTGTTGATTCCCACGAATGCATGAGGTGTTGCATTTGTTGGGTTCCAGCACGAAACTTGGAAGTCTTACATCTTCATCCTCCTCGTCGTCGAATCGGCGGCGGGGTGCGACGACGGGAGGCGCAACGCTCTCCTCCTCCTCCTCATCTGATGAAAAGACAAGGGGTTAGCGCCAGCGGAAAAGTAAAGGTTGAGTCATAGAACAAGTTGTACATGTTCCACATATCATATAACAGAGGAGGGGTGATCTTGATAGTCGCAAATGGATAAGAACATACCCCACTTTGATGGCGGCATTTTTAAATTTTTTTTTGGCTTGATGGAGAATGAAATGCGATCGCAATTACGACGCTGGAAATTATGGAGGACGACGACGAGCCTGCGATCGAAACCTTGAATCAACAAAGAGTGGAGGGGAAACAAATTTTATGTGGGACAACCAAGGGTATGGGATTCGAGTGGGATGTCCACGTGACCCCCGGGTTCCTTTGTGCCCGATGGGCGTGATTCTTGTTAGGTATGCGTTTAACAGTTGACGATATGCTATAGATGCCATTTTGTCTTCTTTTTTGTCTTTACTGGTTCCTTATTTTTCTTTCTCTTTCTTAAAATAGGACATTGAGTTAAAGTGAAATATCTCATTCAGAAGATGTTATTAAATTCATAATCATAATAGATGGCATTCCGCCAGGGGGTACTAGGCCATCAGAATTTTTCGCCTGCTGTCTTTCCCAAAAAAAAAGAGCCAGTCACAGTCACAATATAGCTAGCTGCATTTACAGGTTGACCGAGGTGCGGAAGTTCTTGCCAGCGTAGACAGCATTGGCACCAAGCTCCTCCTCGATACGGAGGATCTGGTTGAGCTTAGCCAAACGCTCGGAGCGGGCGGGGGCACCAGTCTTGATCTGGCCGGCGCGGAGACCGACAGCAATATCAGCGATGGTGACATCCTCGGTCTCACCGGAGCGGTGGGAGACCATGACACCCCAGCCGTCAGCGTAAGAGTCCTTGGCGGCCTGGATAGACTCGGTCAGGGTACCAATCTGGTTAACCTTGAGCAGAAGGGCGTTGCAAGACTTAAGCTCGATAGCCTTCTTGATGCGCAGGGGGTTGGTGACAGTCAGATCATCACCAACAATCTGGAAGTCGGAGGTCTTGTAGAAGTAGCTCCAGGCCTCCCAGTCATCCTCAGCGAAGGGATCCTCAATGCTGACGATGGGGTACTTAGCAGCCAGGGACTTGTACAGATCGGCCAGCTGCTCGTAAGTGAGCCACTTGGTAGGGTCACTGTCGGGGTTCTTGAAGTCAAGATCGTACTTCTTGGCATCAACCTTGTAGAACTCGCTAGAGGCAACATCCATGGCGATGTTGATCTGGCCAGTGTAACCGGCCTGCTCGATAGCCTCGGTGATCAGGTCAAGAGCCTCCTCGGCGGTCTGAATATCGGGAGCAACACCACCCTCGTCACCGACGTTACCAGCAGACTGGCCGTACTTCTTCTTGGCGAGAGACTTGAGCTTCTGGTAGACCTCAGCACCCTGGCGGAGACCCTCAGAGAAGGTAGGAGCGGAGCTATAGTGCAGCAGATTAGTTTTCTGATAATACTATAGCTTCAAGATTTTTGACAGGGACACTTACTCAGGGACAATCATGAACTCCTGGAAGGCCAAACGGCCACCGGCGTGGGATCCACCGTTGAGGACGTTCTGGAAGGGGACGGGGAGGACGTAGGGCTTCTTGGTTCCGGCAAGGTCGGAGACGTGGACGTAGAGAGGGACACCCTTCTCAGCGGCAGCGGCCTTGGCAACAGCCAGACTGACACCAAGGATGGCGTTGGCACCGAGGCTGGCCTTGTTGGGGGTACCGTCGAGCTTGTTAAGGAACTCGTCAACCTTGGCCTGGTCCTTGACGTCAATGTTCTCCTTGATGATGGCGGGGCCAATGATCTCGTTGACGTTCTTCACAGCCTTGAGGACACCTAGACACCAACCAATGTTAGTTTGGGAAGCTTTGCTTGAATTTGGCAGGAAAAATAAGTTTGTTTCTCACTTACCCTTGCCACCCCAGCGGGTCTTGTCACCATCACGGAGCTCAACGGCCTCGTGCTGGCCTATGATATCGTAGTCAGTATATATTTCTAATACTTCCAGTAAAGGATTTCAAAGAATAACATACCAGTGGAGGCACCGGAGGGGACAATGGCGCGGTGAAGGCCAGTCTCGGTGACAATGTCGACCTCGACGGTAGGGTTACCGCGAGAGTCGTACACGGAACGGGCGTGAACCTTAGCAATAGGCATTTTGAAAGATAATCTGATTGAGGGGAAATGAAAATCAGTTAATTTTGCAAGAAAGAAGAGAAATAAGAAGGACGATGGGGGTTTATGACAGAGCCAACGTGTGACTAACGGCGGGGGGGGCAGTGGGAGTTCACCGATGACCCAAAAAGATTGGGCGGCCACGGAGAGAGAATTGGGAAGAGGGGTTTGATTTGCTTGAGCTCAACAGGGTGCGATTGGCCACAGCAATGGACACCAGCCAGGTTCTGGTTGGATGCTTTACCTTTACTATCGTTGGTTTGGTGTCTCGGTGTGTTGGGGAAGGTAGAAGGGGAAATTTGAGGGGCAAAGTGAGGGATGGCGGGGTATATATGATGTTATGACACCGCAACTTACCTTGGGGGAATAGATGTAAACAGGTCTAGAAAACAAGAGCTAAATCAATTTCAAATCAATTTCCTAAAATACGGAAACACCCGATATCTTAAATACCTTTAGCCCAGTCTCATCCCCGGGAAAGGTCAAGCTGGAACCTCCGATTCTTTCCAATGCGGTGGTGGGGCTCCACGTCCTTCTCCAGCGCTTGCTGGTTGATCCCGACCGTCTGCGGGTGCTCCAGCTTGCGAGATCTTCCGTCCCTCGGGAATTTACATGTATGATGTTATCGTGGGGTCTCGGGTTCGGCCAAGTAGAAGCTCCTATGAAAACAATGACGGCATCCGAGAGCAATTTACGTCCAATTGATCTATCTACCCCTCTGTCGATATAGCTTCCAGTAGCAACATAGTGTAAGGAACCTGTAGAGCCGGAAATGCCCTAAAGAGGAACAAGGAAAGAAGAAAATTCTGCATGGCGCTATTCTATGGAATTCCATCCAGGGGAAAGTAAATCATTGGTTCAAGTCGTGTTTTTCTATGTTGCATTCAGCAAAAGGAAAGTCCGGCTTTGGATGTGTTTCCCAACGGCCCATGGATGACGAAACATGGGACTCCTGAGGTGTCCAAATCTTACGTTTCTATGTTTGTGGCCTTATGGCCTTATGGCCTTGCTGCCTAAACAACTTCGCTCACAGCCTTGATGCCTCAGGTGTGAAATCAAAGCTCATTACATAAGCAAAGCGATGATGAAAGTCACATGACGGAAAGACGCGCTGTCATGTGACCCTGTTGGCAGCTCCCTCGCCCGGTGATGAGATGCTTAGGAAGCTCCCCCCAGATCGCATCCGTTTCTTTACTCACTGAATTACCATTTTTTATCATCAAATCGCTGGAATCTTGATTTTATCTTGCTTCCAAATACACGCCTAACGAATTTCCGATTGTTCAACGCCCATCCCCCGTGTGAATCTCGTCCATTCGGTCATAATGGACGCCGGCGACCCTGAGCGGGACCAGGCCCTCGAAGACTATAAAAAGAGCTTGCTCGAGCTTCGAGAATGGGAGGCCAAGTTGAAGACCCTGCGCATGGGGATCAAGGATCTTCAACACGAGTTTGATGTCTCCGAAGACAACATCAAGGCACTACAAAGTGTTGGTCAGATCATCGGCGAGGTACTGAAACAGTTGGACGAAGAGCGATGTAAGTCGACAGCAACCCATCCCATCACAAGATTTTGGAAATACAGGTGTCTGACCAGCTCTAGTCATCGTCAAGGCATCATCGGGTCCGCGATATGTAGTTGGCTGTCGGTCAAAGGTTGACAAGGCCAAGATGAAGCAGGGAACCCGTGTGGCCCTAGATATGACAACACTCACCATCATGCGGATGCTACCTCGCGAGGTTGATCCCATGGTATACAACATGTCCTTGGAAGACCCTGGCCAGGTGAACTTTGCCGGTATCGGTGGTCTCAATGACCAGATCAGAGAGCTTCGAGAGGTCATTGAATTGCCATTGAAGAACCCAGAACTTTTCCTCAGAGTGGGAATCAAACCTCCCAAGGGTGTTTTGCTCTACGGTCCTCCGGGTACTGGTAAAACGCTGCTTGCCCGAGCGGTAGCTAGCTCGATCGAAACCAACTTTTTGAAAGGTATGGTCTTGTTCCCAATCCTTCCGCTCTCCCATATTCTCTAACCTTTCTTGTCTCATTACAGTGGTCTCCTCCGCCATCGTTGATAAATATATCGGTGAATCTGCTCGCCTGATTCGAGAGATGTTTGGTTACGCTAAGGAACACGAGCCATGTATCATCTTCATGGACGAGATTGACGCTATCGGCGGTCGACGATTCTCCGAGGGCACATCAGCAGATCGTGAAATTCAACGAACACTGATGGAACTGTTGAACCAGCTAGACGGATTCGATTACTTGGGCAAGACAAAGATCATCATGGCAACCAACCGACCGGATACCCTCGACCCGGCATTGTTGCGTGCTGGTCGTCTGGATCGCAAGATTGAGATTCCCCTTCCCAATGAGGTTGGCCGTCTCGAAATCTTGAAGATTCACACCAGCTCAGTTCAGATGGAAGGAGACATTGACTTTGAGAGCGTTGTCAAGATGAGTGATGGCCTTAACGGTGCCGATTTACGTAATGTGGTCACTGAGGCGTAAGTTCTTCCCTTCACTGGTACTATTTCACTTTGCCTTTCCCTGAAAAAATTGACTAACATTATTCAGTGGTCTGTTTACTATCAAGGATTATCGGGATGCCATCAACCAAGACGATTTCAACAAAGCAGTTCGGAAGGTTGCCGAGGCGAAGAAATTGGAGGGCAAACTGGAGTACCAGAAGCTGTAATTGTAGTTAGATTGTGGTTCTGGTTATGGTTCTGGAGCAGACCACCTCGGTGGATCCAGGCTGATTAGAAATCTGCTTGACGGAATACTATACATTCTATGAATCATTGAGTACTTTTTCCCCTTCTTAAATCGATCTAGATGTATGTAGCGTTGGGTGGGATCCGTTCGGATCTGTTTTGAAAGCATCTAGATAACCTTCAAATGTTGCAAAATAAAGCCAATCACAGGGATTATAGTACAAATATTCCCTCCGTGGTGTTGGCGGTTTTTTTCATATACCCACCTTGAAGAACTGATGTCTAGTATCAAGTCAAAAAGAAGAAAACAAACAGATATGACCACATGCTACGTTGGTGACATGCATGGATTCAAGTTAGTATATATTCGGGTTGGTCTCATTTTTGCACATGTGACCACGTACTGTTTAGTTAACCACTACCTACGTATTGGTCAGCCGATTCTTATAACTACTAACTAGTAACTATGCAACTGCTGGGCCCTTATTCTCATATGGAAAATGAAACTCATTGTCATCATTCGAATATCTATCCCTTGCAAGATTGCCACTGTGATGCCAGTGTGACTCGGTCTGGTATGTAATCAAAGAAATCAAAAATTGGGGATCATCGGGTCTCCACTTTCCCCGGCGCCTACAGCATCCTTGGTCATTTCAAGCTTATATTCTACAACCCTTTTAATTTGACTAAACCAACGGGGGGTTCCTTGAGCTTCCTTTACCCCTTCGCACAAACTTCCAACCTCGGGGATTGTTCGTGCCACCGAATACTCCTACAGCCCATAGCAGTTCGGCTACACCTTGTCAACCAGAATTTGGCCTTGACAAGGGTTCTCCCGTACCTTGGCTATATCGTTATTGACCAAAACACGAGAGAACAAAGCCACAGCGCTTTCACTCAAGGGCACTTGCACCAAACTTGCTCGAGAGCCCTCTCTTATTATCAAGGTAGGCTTTCCATCAATCGCTAAGAGTTTCAGTATTGCGATCGGCGCAATTGGTTACGCGTATCAATAATTAACTAACACCTGCATCGAACGCTGCACAGCAGCTCTAGTGACGAACCACCTACGGCCGCAACCTACCTGAAAATATCTCACGATAGGAAATAAGTTTTCCAAAAGGGCCGACCGGCGGAGTCCCTCGAATACGCTCCTATATATACTACCGAGTGGACTGTACATACCGATACAAACTTGCGGACACAACCAAGCGGGGATAACACCATGTCCTTCCAGGCTCCGCTCCCTTCAGATTCCCGTTCCCCCCGCGACCCTCAAAATCCACACGGTGGCCTTTCTGGACTCGGCTTTTCTTCAAACCCAGTTGGGGGCTTTTTTGAAACCGAGCGCACCCTACCAATGTATAAAGACAAACCCTACTTTACACCACGACGAACGGCTCCAAGGCGGCGATGGAAGCGCATTGCCAGTCTCCTCGCCCTGTGCGCTTTAATATTTTTTTGGTATAACAAGTCATCTATTCCATCTTTACAGGGGGCAGATGCAGGAGAAAGAGGAGCACGGCTCTGGAAGTGGGCACAGACACTGGAAGATGAAGTGTCCCCCAAACAGGTCGATTGGGATGCGCGTCGCGAGAAAGTGCGGGACACTTTCATCGTCAGCTTCGAAGGCTATGAACAAGATGCATGGGGTATGAAATTCTGGCGAAATAATTTTCTTTTGGCATTGCACGGCTAACCTTCCAATCTTAGGCTTTGACCAATACAGCCCGTCCTCTAGGAACAACAAGAACATGGTGGAAGGCGGTCTGGGCTGGATGATCGTCGACTCTTTAGACACCATGATTCTCATGAACCTGACATCTCAGGTTCGTCATGCCCGCCAGTGGATCTCCACTTCGCTGCGGTATGATCAAGACCATGATGTGAATACGTTTGAAACAACAATTCGCATGTTGGGTGGTCTGCTGTCTGCCCACTACTTGTCTAACCAGTACCCAAATCTTGCCCCGGTTGCGGATGACGATGTCGGTGCTGCCGGAGAAGATCTGTACATTGAAAAAGCTACCGATCTGGCGGATCGGCTGCTTGGAGCATTCGAATCAAATTCTGGAATTCCATTTTCCAGTATCAACCTCAATACGTCTCTTGGGATACGATCGCACTCTGATGGTGGTTCCGCATCCACAGCTGAAGCGACCACTGTGCAACTTGAGTTCAAGTATTTGGCGAAATTGACCGGAGAAGCCGAGTACTGGAAGGTTGTGGAAAAAGTAATGGAAGTTGTTGACGGACAAAACCCAGAAGATGGGCTAGTTCCTATATTCATTCATCCAGACTCTGGACAATTTAAAACGAAGAATATTCGCCTCGGAAGTCGAGGTGACTCATACTATGGTCCGTTTCTCCACCCGCTGGGTTTGCTGGATGGGTTCAAGCTAATTTTCATCTCTTATAGAATACCTTATTAAGCAATATCTTCAGACATCCGAACAGGAGCCTATTTATAAGGAAATGTGGGATGAGTCATTGCAGGGTATACGCAAGCACCTTCTTGCCTTCTCTAAAAATGCCCAGCTGATGGTATTGGGTGAACGACCTCGAGGCTTAGATAATAGCCTTACCCCGAAGATGGACCATCTCGTATGCTTCATGCCCGGGACAATTGCGCTAGGAGCTACTGGAGGCCAGCCGCTGTCCAAGGCTAGACAGTCCTCTGACTGGTCTCAACAGCGCGAGGAAGAGATTCTAATCTCCCGCGAGCTCATGAAGACCTGCTGGGCAACCTACCTAAATACTCGCACTGGCCTTGCTCCTGAGATTACTCATTTTGTTCTGGACGAATCACCAGTCATGATGGCAGATAAATATGCGGATCCTGCCAATTCTGCTACGGAAGCACCGTATGAATTGCAAGGCATCTCCCTTCCGCTAACCCTACAGGAAGACGGCCATGAGCCATGGAGAAAGGATATCGACATCCACGCAATGGACCGCCACAACCTTCAGCGTCCTGAGACAGTTGAATCACTCTTCTACATGTATCGCATTACAGGCGACGAAATATATCGGGAATGGGGATGGGATATGTTCAAGGCCTTTGTTCGACATACAGCGGTAGTTGAGACCGTGACTTCGACAATCGCTGGGCTAAGTTCACCGCCCTATGAGCGCATCAAGAGTTTCACTTCAGTGGGTAACGTCGAGGCGGTTCCTCCGGAAACGCGAGACCGAATGGAGAGTTTCTGGCTGGCAGAGACTCTTAAATATTTCTATCTCTTATTTTCGGATCGTGATTTCATCTCGCTTGAGGACCATGTCTTCAATACTGAAGCGCATCCATTCCCGCGGTTCAAGCCCAGTGGAGAGTTGAAGACTGGGTGGGAGCGGAAACACTGATCATTGTGTATAAGCATTCTTGGCGTTTACTCTCTTTGTCGCCTCATTCCGTACATTGTCATGTGCAAATAGCAAGCATATTGTCCCATAGTCTTGGCCACATTAAAATCATTTTGGATCATTCATTCCCCAAGCGCTTTCGATGATACCAACCTAATAGTAGTTAGGTAATACCTCAAAATTTCATAGAATGAGCATTTGATAGCCTGGACCCTGCTCCCTCATGAGTTGAATCCACGTAATGCTTCTATTCTGCCCCAAAGACCAAAACCGCCGCAAGAACGACAAGACCTTTCGTCGATCCAAAGTACCACTAATTGCCATAACGACTTCAATCTCATGAGCCACAATTTGCTGTTTCTCCCAGGACCCCCGACATTCCGTTCCCGCAATAAACAAAGGCCACACCAAATCGCAAGCAAAGGCGCGTTTATCAGGGAGAGCTGACAAGTGATCTAGGATTGAGTCTCTCAATTCTTGCAGCTTCGGCTTAATCAAAGGATCATCCGCCAGAGCATGGTAGATATATATCAAACTAGCGTGATGGAAGATGCAGACGAGATGCTGGAAGCTGACGCGTGCATCGTCTGTCTGAAATGGGAGTATGTGGCCAGACTGCGACATCCGATACCTCGCCTCATCGAGCTCTTTGATCATGGTTTTGAGTAAAGCTGGATTCCGTGCATAGCTTTGATTGCTATACTGTAGGCGCTCGGTCCGAGTGACTCGATTGATAATATTCACAAAATCGCCAAAGATGGCAGTACTATCGGCATATTGAATGGCCTTTTCCGGGTCATTCGGCGTTTCGAAAGTCGTAAGCCCCGCAAAGACACTCGCATAGTACTGCTCGTAAAGGAGGAAGGAATCAATTTCATTTCCATTCGAAAGAGAAAGATGGGGAAAGGCCTGCTCTTTCCATTGCAGAATTACCCTAGCCGCTTGAAGATGCATCCGCCATTTCAGCGACTCGGCTCCGAGCAACTCCACATTGTACAATATCAACGTCGAAGCTAGAGCGTATTGTGATTGAATGGAATCAAGCTCTGAATTAGAGCTCTCTTTTCTCATACCGCCGATTTGCTCAGCCAAAAAGACCAAAGCCTGGTTCCGCAGATTCCGAGAGATGCGTTGTAAATATTGGCGATGAGGATGGCTTATTTCGAATTTTGATGCCATATCTTCCGATGACAGGGCAAGGACGGCATGTAGAACTGTTTTTGACGCCCAAGCAAGTGGTATGATAACCTGTTTCCATGGATTTGTTGGGAGGTCTACCCAAGCAAGTTTCCCAGAAACGTTCTGATAGAAGTGGTGCATCAATTCCATCGTCATATGATCAGTATGGGAGCTTAGTCCGCGAGGGATTGACATGGCACAGAAATGTTCCCTCGGAGCCTGTAACCAATCATTTGGCTTCGAATTGTGTGAAAGAATAATGGCATCGGTGTTGCTAACGCTGGAACTTCGTACTGGTAGGTTCTTACCAGCCAATTTACCCCTGCTGGCAATACCTTGATGCCACCTCAGAACCACCCCATAGCCAGGGCATTCAAATCCTCTGGCAATGCATTTCCTGCATTTTGGAACAGTTCGATCACAACTGATCCGTCTTGCTCTGCACTTTGGGCAGTCTTGTATTCAAATGATAAATTAGCTTTCATTAAAAGAAAATGAGGTATATAGATGTTGGTACCTTTATCTGCACTTATGCTATCACGGAGACTTGTAGACATCCGAATTACCAAAAAGAGCAACAGTAGTTGTACTTGTGTATGAACCCATTAAACCAATAAAGCATGTGTTTCTTGCCAAAAACTCAGGGTATAAGAAGACAAGAAAGTTTTCGCTGTGGGAAGACGTCGCAGGAAATGATCGGTCGGCATCAATGATATGAACAACCTTGGAGTGGTGGGCTTTGTGATGACATCTGACAATGATGGATGGAGATGAAGGAAGAATCTTGGAAGTTGTCGTTGATAATGATAGACCATGGAGGTCACATGATACACCACTGGGACAACTTACAAGTAGCGTCATCCGCCGTGCTTCTGCTGTTTAGACTGCTCGTGGTTGCCGACCCCAGTGCTCTCTTGTGAATCACAGGTTTAATTAAGCGATTTTTATCCGAAAAGAAGGGAATTTTAGACTCGTTGATTGAGAAATGTCATTTTAGAATCGCTTCATCCCGATCCCTAAGGCCCCACACGAAACCTTATTTCCGCACTTTTCTTTCCTCATTGGGACTAGTGGGCTCCAGGGTGATTATGAAGCTGCCCAGCAGTCCAGGTGTGTGATCATCAATGCACGCCGTGCATTTAAAAATGAAGCTGTTCCCCTTCTCAGGTGCTCAAAAAGAAACATTGCAAGAAAAATCCTGACCTACATTTTGAACCATCCATGGATCCCTCACTGCAAATCGTTTCTCCCAAATCGCATAGCATATACTTCGATCTACAAGGAGAAAGTTATAGTCGACCGATTTGTGGGATCGTTGCTTTTCGACCAGACAAAAATGATAATTTTACGACTTTTACACAACTCAGAGTCCGACTGGTTCGCACCATCAAGTTCAATCCAAGCCCAGTCCCCACATGTCAGAGTCAAGGACTCTTGAAGTGTTTAAGCCTTCGCTTCACGAAGGCAAAGCCCACAGAGATCACCAAGAGCTGCTCCACAATAGAAGAGACACAACTGCCCATAGCCTCTCTCTCCGATAATCAAGTCAACTGTCCTTCAACAGACGGACAAGATGTCCGAATTCCATTCACAATTTCCATACCAGTCGATATACCAGGGTCTGTGACTACAAGCCTGGGCGAGATTTCATACGACTTGATTGCATCCATGATCACCGGAGATGAGACCATTGCAAATGCAAGGCAATCTATCTATCTCGACCGCCAAGTTATCTCACCCAAGCCTACCATCGAACATGCACGATCCTATCCGAACTCCAAGGTGGTTACGCAAATATGTCTCTCTCAACACCTGCATACGAAGTCGGAGTCGGATCTCTCATTCTCCATGAACATCAAACTACGAAGCCCAAGCGTTCCTGGAGAACGTCCATCGGAGTTCAAATGTACTATGATCCGGGGAATTAGATTCCGGGTAGAAGAAGTGACGAGGATATTTGCCAAATCCGATGACACGAATCATAGCATAGAAGGGCACAACCAGGAAGGGCAGCAGGTCAACGTGCGGGAGATATGCAATGGACGAGAAAAGAGCCATTGGGTGAAAATAATTGAGAACCCAGTCGAAATGCACCAGAACAACCGCCCGATCAACAGCTCTGTGGATGTCATGTTCGGGTGCACGATCTCGAAAAATATCAAGCCCGCGCAAAGGACTGATTTGGCATGCTATGCTTTTGAGCCAGCACAATTGGATCCTGGTTCATTGAATGGGGGCTTGAGTGAAAATTTTGTCTCTAATACAAGGGAAAACCTGGTCATGACGGTTGAGCATCGATTGAAGCTTGACTTGCTAACGGGTGAGGATACATTTGAACGAGGCACTTTGGTTCTCGTCGATCGTAAACCGGTACGCGTCGCTTTGAATGCTTCATTCCCGTTACTTGTGTCCGGATGCAATGATAAGGATATAGGGCCAGCGGCTCTGGAAAGATATCCCCCGCGGTACGAAGAGGTTCCTATAGCACCTCCGGGCTATGATCGGTTTGTTGAATCGTCTTTGTCAGTTAGTTAGATTGCTAGGAATTCAACTATACTGTCTTCTCGATTTACTATATTCACGATTAATTAGATCGAGCACTTGAGCTGAAGAACAACTAAATATTTGATGTATCCATGCAGCATAGTATAGTATATGTATTGAAGTTTCAATACCGCAGAAGATTATGGTATATAGAAATTATTTGATACCCCGAAATGTCCCGAAAGGGTCTCGATTATCTATAATGCAAGAGCTTGCCTTCTATTCCCGCTCCAAAGCAGCATCAATCAGCTTCTTATATCCAGTGACCGCATCGTGCATATCACGAACAGTCAAAGCCTCATTATCACCATGCGCGACGAAGATGCTCCCCGGTCCATACAAGTACCGCTTCACGCCCTCCTTGACCTTCAGATTAGGCAGATCGGTACCATAGTTGACCGGGATGATCTTAAAGCCAGGAACATCCGTATCAGCATCCTGAGGAGGATAAGATTCCGAGTGGCCGCTAAAGTCAACGACAACCTCGGCTTCAACATCCCGGGTAGCATCCGCAACAGCCCGACGAATAATTTCGCGAGCCTCCTCCGCAGTCCCAGCCGCAAGGCGCACCGCAACATCGGCCCTAGCCTCAGCCGGAACGACGTTAGTCGCAACACCCGCACGAATAGTGCCAATGTTAAGGGTAGTGCGGCCGTACTTAGGGGACGATGGAAGCCCGCCCTCGCTGACGGGGATATCGCCGAGTTTATCGACGCGTGCCAGCGCTGGGATAATAGCCGAGATGGCACTTTGGCCGAGCCAAGGGTAGCCCGAGTGGGCGGCCTTGCCGTGTGCGAGAATCTCGAAACCCAGCATACCCTTGTGGCCGGAGACGAGGGCAGCTTCGGTCGGCTCACCGAAGATGAGTGTGTGGTAGGCGCTGTTCTTATTCAGATCGGACTTGGAGAAGGCCTGCATGCCGTCTCCGCCGATTTCTTCGCCGACGACGAAGAGAAGGCCGACTTTCGCATCGGGGTTCTTGTGGAGGGTCTCAAGGGTAGCGAAGATCTGGGCTGCGACGCTGGCCTTTGCGTCGACGCTGCCGCGACCGGCAATGATGATATCTTCAAGGTTGGATCCAGTGTACTGCGCTTTGGGTTCGCTGGTGGAGTACGGGATGAATGGCGGGACGGTGTCTATGTGGCTGGTGAGGATGATGGAGGGCGGCTCCGAATGGGAGGATGGGTAGGCATAGATATTGTAGCGTGGCTTGGGGGTCGTTTTATCATCATCGGTCTGCTTTTGCTTCACGGGAGCGACCTCCTGCTTCACAACCGTGAAGTTCTTGGATTCGAGGAACTGGGTAACGAAGAGGCCAATATCGTGCTCGTTCCCGGAGATGGACTCAATTTGAATAAGATCTCTGTGCAACGAGAGAAGAGGTGAGCCACTGATGACATCCTCGATGGTGGGTAGCTCATTATCGTGGCTAGCGGGCTGGGCGACCGAGAGGGATGTCTCCTGTATTGGTTGTTGCCAGTGTGGGGGATGCGGAGAAGCTTGAGCGACGGTGACGGCTGTGGCGGCCGCCAGATACCAGGTGAGCTGCATTGGAGTAATTGGTGGAAATACAGAAGAGTATCAACAGGAGGGGAACGACCCGAAAGCTTAAGCGATCAATCGTCTCTCGTAAGCACAAGGTCTTCTTCTGGAGACTCGAGATGTTGATGTTAATGCTGTGATTTAAGTGGAGCTGTAGATACGACTCATACGAGCAGGTCCAATCATGACTAATCCAATTGATCTCCGATCGGCTACAAATTTACGTTGTTATCATAGATTCATAGTATAGTACATAGTTGATTTATTATTGTCTTCAAATATTGGCTAGTAGAAACACTTAAACTGATCAAGTTGGAACAGCAACATCAAAGAAGGAAAAAAAAAACCATCATGTCCTATGTCAACTCCGAAGCCCCGTTCAATGCAGTCAGAACTCCGGTGTCCGGACTCCGTGCCAACATGGATATGTCACATGTGGAGGAAATACGAACATATTATGTGGCGTCAATAGAGGCATGAGACATGTTACCTGTGCCATTATATAAATTGATGTAGTCAGAGTCTCATCTGATGTTACCTACTGTAGGTCAGACGTGTTCCGGATCTCGGCAACATTTGGAATGACGAAATGCCGAATTTCCGTTCTGGCGACGGTGCGATTTCATTTCTCCTGATACAGATGAGTGAATAATAAAACTGGAGAAGATCTGCATCTACAGTCATATCAGTCTTCACTTTTTCAGAAGGGAGATAATACAACAATAAGATGGTCGGGAGCTAAGCGGCTGAGAAAAGCCACAAGAGAAAAAAGCGGGACAAGCTTATTCCTTTAGATCTACCAACCATCGGAAAAGAGTTAAGATACTTACAAGTATTCCGGATTCAAATCTTCACAAATACAATAAAAACACCAATAAAAACAAGTAATGATGGTTTTCAGAGATTTATTCCGTACCGTTCCAAAAAATGGAAGAGTGCATTAGATCCTTATGACAACAAAATTAAGCATAAGAGGCCAAGTATAAGTGCACACCGACAGTGGATATCTGATTGTACCTTGAAAGTGGAGAATGACTAGGCTTCTTCTCTTGTCCAACCTTGGAACATTGAACCTTCCACGACATCCCATGCCGAATTATCCACAATGTTAACCTTGGAAAGGAAACATATGAGGAAAGACGCATTCCAAATCCCCGGTCTTACCTGCAGGGCGGCTGATCGGCATAATGTATACCTCCTTTGGATATGGACATATTGGTATTCTGATCCACCAGATGTCTGCACTTGACTATAAATCCACAGTAATCCCCGATGATCCATTGAATCCTCATCCAGACTTTCAGCTTCATTCTCTTTCATATAATAGTAACAACACCAACAGCACGAACAGCACCAAAAAGCACCTTGAAAAAAAAACCAAAAAACCGAATTTCGACTAGTATTTCAACCATGGCTCTACACAGAAGATTACTGGCCGAGAGTGTGGACCGGGCCGCTGAGCTTGATCCAGAGAGACTCTTCGCCGTCATCCCGAAAGGGTCGGAGCTTTCCGATGGCTTCCAAAATCTGACCATGGAGAGATTGTCCCAAGCTGTGAACTTCCTATGCCAGTGGATTGAAAACACTATTGGCACAGGTGGTCCACGGGAAACACTCGCATATATGGGAAATAATGATGTGCGGTATTGTATCTTTATTCTCGCTTGCCAAAAGACTGGGCATCAGGTACGTTAAGACAAATCCCGCTATAATACTACTACATCTACAGTAAAGTTGACAAAAGCCAATAGGCCTTTCTGCCCTCGGCACGGAATGCGGATGAAGCCCATATTTACCTGTTGAAGGCGACACATTGCACCAAGTTTTTCTTTGCCGAAGAGCGAAGTACACGGGTCCTGGAGTTGAAGGAACTCAATTCTGATCTAGGGATCTTTCAAGTTCCATCACTGAAATTGATGCTGGCTGATGAGAATGGCTTGACTTCTTACCCTATCAAAAAGTCATACAACGATGTCGAAGACACAGTAACGTGTATCATTCACAGTTCGGGAACTACTGGTAAGTTGGGTAGTATCAATCTATTATGTGACGAAACTTGAACTGATTCTTCCCCGTCTTCCAGGTATGCCAAAACCTGTTCCTCTTACCAACGGATTTTGGAGCGCATTTGACAACCTAGCCAATCTCAACTGGCCCAAAGCTCGTCAGCCATCCATCTTCTTCCGCATGGGCCAACAAGATCTTGCCTTGGCAACAACACCATTCTTTCATTTGATGGGACTGTTCTCTTTTGCACTTGCCATATTCCACGATGTTCCTGTTTTGATTGGACCCGACAAGCCCCTATCAGTGGAGTATCTCACTGAACTTTTGCAAATCACTCGTCCAACAACTGGGATGTTCCCGCCTTCTATCCTGGAGGACATGAGCCACTCCCCAGACGCCTTGGAATGTCTCAGAAACCTAAAGTCTGTTGAGTTTGGGGGTGCTCCACTGGCCCCGGAAACAGGTGACAGGCTTCGCCAGTATACCCAAGTCATTCCTGTTATTGGGACCAGCGAAATCGGCTGGATCCCCTCAATGGTACCCGAAGAAGGGGCTGACTGGAGCTACTTTGAGTGGAACGATAGCTATGGCGTTGATATGCAAAGTGTGGGTGACGGGCTCTACGAGATGGTTATTCAGCGCCATCCCGAATCACGGGCCCTACAGGGCATCTTCCACACCTTCCCCGACATCGAAGTCTATCGAACCAAGGATGTCTATACGCGACACCCCACAAAGAACTATCTCTGGAAGTTCGACGGCCGCATTGACGACGTCATTGTTCTAAGCAACGGCGAGAAGTTTAACCCGACCACCATGGAGACGATCATCGAGGGACACGAACTGATCGCCAAAGCGATTGTGATTGGCCAATCTCGATTCCAGGCTAGCTTGTTGGTCGAACCAAATGTTGGCATCACAGAGATGGATACAGGGACCTTCATTCAAGAAATATGGCCCACTGTCCAAGCAGCAAATCAAACGATCGCTGCTCATGGTCGCGTGATGAAGAGCCGGATTGGGATTGTTCCCAAGGGAAAGACTTTTGAAAGAACTCCAAAAGGAAGTGTAAAGCGACGATCCGTGCTTGAGAATTTTGAAAAGGAGATCAATGAAATCTACCAAGCTGGCCTCGAGGAGGACCTTGAGAACTCTCTCCCCGAGAGCCTAGACCGGGCCAACATCTTGAAGTACACTCGTGAAATCTTCTCACAGGTTTTGGAGAAGCCCGGAGTGGCCATCGACCAGGATCTCTACAGCATTGGACTCGACTCTCTGATGACTATGCAAGTGGCCAAGGTATTGGAACGAGGTATCCAGCATAGACAGCCAACCATGAAGCCAGGAATCATCAGTCCTCAAACCATCTACTCCAACCCGACCGTGAATCTTTTGGCGGGAGTGATATCCGACATTGTGGAGGGAAAATCACAGAAAATCATTCCCCGCGATGTGAAGATCAATAACATGGTCGAGAAGTACACAAGGGATCTCCCCGAAACCAGTTCCAAAGAGCTACAGCCATCAGCATCGCCAACAACAGTGATATTGACTGGATCGACTGGCTCCCTAGGGACATACCTTTTGCACGACTTGCTCAAGACGCCATCAGTTTCCAAGGTGTTCTGTTTGAACCGCTCAGACGCCGAACAAAGACAGAAAGATGGCTTGGAAGAAAAGGGCCTTCTCGTGGATACCAATGAATGGGCATCCAAAGTCGAGTTCTTGCAAGCATCATTTGGAGATGCTCACTTCGGACTGACCGAAGACAAATATAAGGAGCTCCTACAATCGGTTGATACCATCATTCATAATGCGTGGAAGGTTGACTTCAACCACTCGGTGGAGTCATTCGAAGACACTCACATCAAGGGAGTACGCAACTTTGTCGATTTCAGTCTGAAGAGCAAGTACAATGCCCACATCCATTTTGTCTCCTCCATCAGCACGGTCGGTGCTTGGACAACACAAATGGGACAATCGGTACCTGAAGTCCCCATGGAAGACAGTGCCGTTGTTCTTCCACAGGGATACGGCGAGTCCAAACACGTCGCAGAGAGAATCTGTCTGGAGGCATCGCGTCGCTCTCATGTTCCCACCACTGTCTACCGAGTTGGACAGATTGGAGGGCCAACAACCGTGAAAGGAAAATGGAACCCACAGGAGTGGCTTCCAACCATCATTGCCACATCAAAGGCAATGGGTAAAATTCCTGCCCGCCTTGGGTCAATGCCCGTGGATTGGATTCCAGTTGTAAGTTTTCCCACGGCACTTTGTATTCTTTGAGCCTTGCTAACCAGTACTAGGACACCCTATCTTCAATCATGACAGACATTGTCCACACAAGACATGGAGATCAAACCGAATTCCCCCACGCGGTCTTCCACCTCACGAACCCCGAAACAGCCTCTTGGTCCTCGCTCATTCCAGCCATTCAACAAAAATACAATGTTGAGCCAGTCGAGTTCGCCGCCTGGGTTGCAGAGCTTGAGAGCGTTGAAAGTCCGTCTAGTGCCGACGTGGCTGAGAAACCCGCCCTCAAGCTGCTCAGTTTCTACCGCGGTCTTGTTGATGACACCAACGCCGCAATGTCGGTGGCTTTGGACGTTCAGAAAACAAAGGAAGCCAGCAAGACAATGAACTCCCTTCAACCAATTTCTGCACCATTGATGGCAAACTGGTTGAAGCAGTGGCAGTTCTGAGTTATCTAAGTGGCCGTTGAATGGAGAACTTGTCGATGTGGACAAAGGATATATCATAGAATACGTGAACACGGTAATCTCGAAAAAAAAAAAAAAAAAGGGAGAGATAGAAGATGGAATATAGAGCATAGCGCATAGACTAGAAGAAATTAATTATTGATTTGAATATTGAATGCTTCATTGTCAGTGTCACAGTATCACGTGGATAAATCATTGCAAGGTTGGTCATAGGACCAAAATATACCGGATCGGCCGTGCATATTTAGCCTACTCCCCGCAGTTTCGTGAGGGGTCGGTGTGCCGAATCCCCGAACATCCATGAACTTTCAAGTATCTCTCAAGATAGCTTATCTTCCACCTCCCCCCTGATTGATCTCAACCAATCGAAGAAAAGCACCACAACCATGCCCAAAGCCGTGGCAGGTCGCCGAGGGGCCCGTTTCACCCCATTCGCGCGAACACCACGAACCCCCGTGATCGCTAATGAAGACACCATGCTTCCATCATTTGACAATTTCCCCACGTACTTAGTCGAGGTACGTTCACTCCAATTTTGAGGCTGAGTGATGTATATTTTGAACATTTGAAAGATAGCGTCGGGGTACTCAGGGGCTGAAGTTGACTTGTTTCCAGGGGGACTCCACATTCGCCCAAGACGATCATCACTCGATGGTATTGGCCAGCTTGTCGGAACTTGCCGAGCTCGGCGCAGGTTCCAATAATTTTTTAGATTTTGTCACAGGCCAGACATATGATGAAAGTCCAAGCTCGACTGCATCGCAACCGCGTGCTGCGGTGGCGCATCTCTTTATCAATAACAAGACGGTCATGTCCAGATCCAAGGAATGGACCAGCATTCTTGACCCAGTAAGGACAGCACAAAGTACAAAGAGGAGATGGCGAGGTTTGCCAAGGCCTTCTAGCTAACTTTCGCAAAGACCACCCAAGGCCTGCTTTCAAGGGTTCCTTGCTGCACTCATCAAGAGGTGCAGAATGCAGTAAATGCTGCGAATGATGCCCAAGAAGACTGGGAGGGGATAGGATTCCAGGCCCGCCGAGATTACATGCTGAGATTAATTGATGCTTTGCGAGATTTTTCTTCACTCATTGTAAGAACCAGGAAGTTAGAGGCTGTCTCGGAATTTGAACTAATCAAGTCTAGATTACTAGCCTTTGTCGGGAAGTAGGCAAGACAATAGAGGATGCAGAGTCGGAATTTAATCGAGGGCTAGATTGTATTCATGCTGCATGTTCAATTGGCCCTGAAATGGCAGGCATGTTTCTTGGGAACGACCCTACCATGCTACAAACATTTTATGAGCCAGTGGTAGGCAAAGAAACATCCCATGTCTACAGAAGCAAGGCTGACTGACTTCTTCAAGGGTGTTTGCACAACAATCACTCCATTTAGCTTCCCTTTTATGACTCCTCTTTGGTCTATTCCGTACGCGCTCATCACGGGAAACACAGTTGTTCTCAAGCCATCCGAAAGGGCTGTGTCAGTACCATCGATCATTGCCGATGCTGTTCTCAAGGCCGAGTTTCCGCCCGGAGTTTTCAACATCGTGCACGGCGGCCATTCAGTCTCCCAGATGCTCATCCTACAACCGTTAGTGAGAGCGATCAGCTTTGTAGGATCCGAGTCTGCTGCAAAGCAAGTTCACGATCTTGCCCGGAAAGCCGGAAAGCGCATCCAAGCAGAATGCAGCGGCAAAAACCATGGTGTCATTTTAGAAGATGCTGAAATGATGCCCACCCTCTTCGCTATCGCAGGAAGTGCCTTTGGAGCCGCAGGACAGCGATGTATGTCCCTTAGCGTCGCAATATTTGTGGGCAACACTGCACGTTGGATACCAAAACTCGTCGAAGTTGCCAAGTCAATGACCGTGGGCAATGGCAGTGATGAAGGAACGAAGATCGGACCATTGATAGACAAAGAGGCGAAGTCAAAAATTACAGGTCTTATCGATCGTTCCAGCGAAGAAGGTGCAGTTCTACTGTGCGATGGAAGGGACGTTCACGTCCCGAGATATCCCAACGGAAACTTCCTCGGACCAACAATTCTTTCCGGTGTCGAGACATATATGGAATGTTATCAAACAGAAATTTTTGGTCCTGTTCTTATTTGTATGCAAGTCGATACGATGGATGAAGCGATTGAGCTGATCAACCAAAATAAATGTGAGATCCCGTCAAATTCGCACGGCTAATTTGGATATTTTGGGCTAACGACTCTAGACGGGAACGGGTGCTCAATTTTCACTACGAGTGGAAAGCATGCGAAGACATTTCAGCGCCAGGTCAACGTGGGTCAGATTGGCATCAACATTCCGTTGATTGGTATGTTAAAAAACCCACTTATTTTCAAATGTGTTTCTAATGCGATGACCAGCGCCCTACGGTACTGCGGTGCGAACCAGCAACAAGGCTTCTTTCATGGGAGGTAAAAAACGAATTCAGAGGATTTACGATGAATTGAAGCATAGTTACTAACTTTATTCATTTGGAACAGACCGGCACTGCCCAGGGAAAACATACTGGCCGTTTTTCACTTCTACCAAAACTGTTTCCGCTCGGTGGGATCAATGATTAGGGGACAACCAACGAAATAGCGTTCTGGACACGGATTTCTGAAATTTGGCGTGCGAAACAAGCGGTGTATGGGTTAAGCCTTTGGAGTTAGGTTGTCTAGGGTTCAACATGGGTTTGTCATGCGATAAGGTCATTAAATCACGAGAATCAATGCGAGGAGCCTCACTACGGAAAACGGAGATGTTCCGGTTTCTTCAACGCACTTTAATAAACATCGAAGACGAGAAGTAAAGAAAAAAAAAAGGAAAAAAAAAAAGCTAAAATTCCCAGACCTCAAACCGAAAAATCCACAGAAAAGAAGGATCTGGCTTACTCTAAACCATACTAAGCTTGCTGATAAGTAGAAAAGTGGAGGCAAAAAGAGGGCAGCCAATCTGGTAAGGAAAGCCGATGAAGTGGAGTCCCCTGGAAAATCAGTATACCAGTATCTCAGCCGGTCAGTACACTCAATCCGTGATAGTCTCCGCCAAAGAACGGGCGCCGCGAATCCAGTGGATTCCGTGATCCTAAAATCCATGAGATTCATGAAAATACTACAGAGTAGTACTAAACATGAATCTTGCCTAAGAATTCCCCGGGATTATTTCCCCTCTTCCACCATTTCGGGTCGTGTGCCTTGGTGCATACACCGTCGAACTCTCCCCCATAAACCCTGTATCATGATTGGGTTCACCTTGTCAACCCCCCTGTACGTACTCCGGACTGCGGAGTACTACCTTGCCACCAAAAAAAAGGCCAAAAGGGCCAAAACTAATCCTTATCACCTATTAGCTCACCTCGACTCCACCCATATCAGCCACATTTACCCCATCCTAAAACTGGCTCCAATATCCGGAGATAAGCGGTCTCACTTGACCAGGATTTACATTCTGTGGCAAGAATGATTCAACCTGCTTCATTCCTTCTTATTTTTCCTGCACGCGGCTCAGAACCTTGGAATTCTTTTCGGGGCAGCCTTCCTTGTGCTCGTTCAAGATGTCGGCATATTTGAAATGGGCTCAGGAGAGCCTCAGATTGAAGGAGGTCGATGGGACGTTGGAGTACACGCGATGGGTGAATGAAGGTATTTAGCATGAGTTGGTTTGATCTTCATCAGCAGCTGAGTTGCTGACCTTGGATATTTGCCCAGATCTATTGCCTACACCACCTGAAAAACGAAGTGAGAATTGTATACCCCCTGTTTACTGGGCAATTTGACTAAATAAATATACTTAATCCATCCAGCCTGGCGATGGTGGAATTATGTGACATTTTACTGGTCTATTTCATTTACAAATTGGACGCTGGGATCGGTCAGTTACTCGAAAAGTCGCCCATGATCATTGATCTATTGACTTCAAAATTACGCCAACTAACATATTCAAAGACAATGATTGGAATTGGTCTGAATTGGTGGCAATCCATTATTGTAATTTTTGTATCACAGATGATCTCTTCCATTGCCATGGCCTTCAACTCCCGCGCGGCAAGTGTTTACCATATCGGCTTCCCTGTTGTCGCTCGCAGTGTCTTTGGAATGTGGGGCAGCTATTACTTCGTGGCAGCACGGGCTGTTCTGGCGGTGATTTGGTACTCTGTGCAAAGTAAGTTGTCAACCCAGGAAGTTGTTAGATCATGTAGCACTGGTTTTTTTTTTAAAAAAAAAGACGATACTAACATTTTCGAATTTCCTTCAGTGTACTATGGCGCTGAATACATGCACAATATGCTACGAGCCATATTCGGGCACAACTTCACAGACATTCCGAATAAACTTCCAGCCAGTGCGGGGATAACGACTTCTCTCATGCTTGCTTTCTTCCTCAGCTGGCTGGTCCATCTTCCATTTTGCTATTTCAGGCCATATCAGTTACGCAAATTCTTTTGGTTCAAAACTATCGTTTCGCTGCCATCTATGTTTGGCTTGTTTATTTGGGCCATGATTAACACAAACGCGAAAATCGGAAGCTTGTATGGGGTTTCCTCACGATCATCAAGTGCGACTGCTTGGTTGATTCTTTCTGGAATCAACAGTGGTATGGGGTATGTTGGGTTTCCATTTATCATTTATCAATTTTCATGATACTTCATACTGATCATAACTCAGAAATACCGCAACATTAATCACTAATCAACCGGATTATGCTCGCTGGGCTAAATCACGCGGCGCACCCATCTGGACCCAGCTTGTAAGCTGCCTTGACTCCGAAATCAAGGCTGAAGGATATTGTTGCTTACACTTTTCAGATTGTCAATCCCTTGGCAGTTACACTCTCAGCCTCCCTGGGAATCCTTGCCACTAGCGCTGTAAATGCCAAATATGGCACTGATATTTGGTATGCGCCTTCTTCAGATGTTTTATGCAACCTTTATCTAACTCAAATTAGGAACCAATGGGACATGATGAACCTGATCCTGGATCAATACTGGTCTTCAAAGACCAGATTCGCCATTTTCCTATGTGCATTTGCATGGTTTGTCCAGATTCTTGGAACGAACATCGCCGCAAATATGATGTCTTTTGGCGCCGACTCAGCCATGCTACTCCCATCTTTCCTCAATATTCGCCGAGGTCAATTTATTGTGCAATTCCTTGCTTGGGTCGCGTGTCCTTGGAAGATCATGACATCTGCTGCTAAGTTCCAGACTTTCCTTGGTGGATACGGTCTCTTCATGGTTTGTGTTCCAGACGAATGAGTTACCCTTTGTATTTACTGACTAGTATCTATAGGCAAGTGTGGTTGCGATCATGGTTTGCGACTGTGAGTTACTTTGAATGAGCCTCGCGTCACCAATAGACTAGCTAACATGTGGCTATACAGACTTCTGCCTTACACGTGGTAACATCACGACTGCCTCACTCTTTGTCCCAACAAAAGCCAATAAAAACTATTGGTATCATGGCGGAGTAAATATTCAAGCCGTGATAGCATATCTCATTGGCATTGCGCTCCCATTTCCCGGATTCTGTGGTGAACTTGGTGCCAAAGTCTCGACCTCGGCTGCACGTATCATGGACATCGCCTGGCTAACGGCATTTGCGGTATCCTTCGTATCTTACTATGTGATCTGCACTTTTTGGCCAACCTCTAGCATCCGCGATGCCAAGGAGAGAGGATTGACACGCGAACAACTGGGCAACGAAGAGGAAGAATACTATGGCTCTGCCATTTCCAAAGACGAAGAGTTTATGGCCGCTGCCGTTTCCTCGGGAAGGTTTTATGAGAAAGAGGGCCATGATGTCCCAAAAGCATTTTCGGGGCGGGCTTTTTCAGAATAAGGAATCTGATTCCACGAAGTGCACGAGAAATAACGGAATAAATGGTGGACAATCTGTTTATTCTCTTCTTACTACTCAACTAGCCTAGACTAGTTCCAAAAAGACGATCCCCGATATCCCCAAGTCCGGGCTTAACGTATCCCTTATCATCAAGCTCCTTATCGATAGCACCCACAAACACATCTGTACATTCAGGCCACACATTTGCAACCTTCTGCAAGCCGATTTCACTTCCAAGCAAAGCAAACAAAGTGATACGATCAACGCCCCAATCCCTAAAAAAACCCCGCAAAGTCAGCCTAGTCCCAAATTGAAACTTGGAGCTCTTTTGACATACCTCAAGATATCAATCGCAGCCTTGGCAGTTCCACCCGTTGCCACCAGAGGATCCAGAATATAAGCATGCTTAATCTTGGGACTCTTCGCAGGAAGTTTATTATAGTATTCAATCGGTCGCAACGACTCCTTTTCTCGGAACAGACCAAGATGGTATGTCACTGTATCCGCATCTTCGGGGAAAGCAGCCAAAAACGAGTCGGCCATGGCGAGACCAGATCGAAGGATCACAATTACTGCGATTCTTTCGTCGGCAGCTGGAGGTTTGATGACGCTTTTTGTCAGGTTTGCTGTCAGTTCGCTCACGAGTCGACGGACGGCCGCTGAGCTTATGGATTGGTCGCGAAGTTGAGAGAGGGTTTCGGACGCTTCTGCGTTTTCGATGAGGGTGATATTTGACGCCATATTGAGGTGTGGTTCAAGATCGGAGAGTAGGAGATTGGATACGAGGATAAAGGCAATGTTTTCAGGGTGAAAGGATTATTTGTATGATTGTTCGTACTAATGGCAGATCAGAAGACTTTTGAATGTAGATCAGGTACAATCACAGGATGCTTTATCGCTATCGAAATCCCGATAAGATTAGGATTAAGCTCTTATCGTCTAAGATCGATCCTTATCGAGTCTCCTATCATATACAATAATACGATATTGCTTATCGAGAATCTTATCGTTCTTTAGAAACTATGGGTTTCCCGCTTATCGCGATGCGGGGAATTGAAGCCCAAATCCCAAGGTTGTAACCAGATGGTCATAGTTACTTGCACGTACGTAACACAAACTCCCTTGGAAAGACGGTGAAGCTCCTATTTATTGTACTCGCTTTTTCTGCACATATTGTCAAACAAGAGAGAAACACATCCTTGATTACAGTAAAACCTGCCTCTATCTAATCTTATTCTTGACCGCAAACATCATGGCAGATATCGAGTATCTGAAAAGCCTGCAGGCTGTGCGTGAGCGCGCAAGCCTAGTCTTGAAGGCTGCCGAGCAAGACGAACTAACCCACTTTTCATATCACCCTGATAAGATGGGTGAAGTTGCAGAATACGTGACTAGCATTATTGTTGTATGTTCCGACGTGGCTTCAGTTCCAATTTGAAAACGGGAGCGATATCTAATGATATTTTTTTTTATTTTCGCAGAGAGACTTCGCCACGAACTTTGACGCCATCCCTCCCCATGGCCGGTGGCAGCATTTCGATATTGGTGGGGTCCCTCGAGTGGATCAACTCATCAAGTCGTGGCAGGAAGGAGGGTATGATAAAATTGAGATCACGCGTCGACTCATTGATCTCTTTTTCGTTGCCGTCCTACTGGATGCCGGAGCGGGTGATGTTTGGAAATTTACCGAGCCCGGAACGGGTGATGCATACGGACGGAGTGAAGGAATTGCCGTCGCTGCACTGTATATGTTCAAGGCTGGCTCTTTCGCGTCAGGAGGCGATAAAGAAGTGGTCGATGGTAAGTACTCCGCCAATAGAGGTGGTGGAATAGGTCAATTCAAGGCTGACATCGGCTTGCGTTAACAGGTCAGGGCCTTGCTACTCTCAATGTTGATACCTTTCGAAAGTACTTCCAGATCACTGCTGAAAATGAGATCATCGGAGATGTTTCACGCGTCAGTCTGCTGAACAGTGTTGGCAAGTCATTCTTGAGTCTGCCCGAAATCTTTGGTAAAGGTGGTCGACCTGGAAACCTTGTTGGTAAGTTTTAAGCTTTGCTCTTATGATGTTTATTTGCTGACAGATTATATGTACAGATTACCTACTTGCGCAGCAGAATGGTAACGAGCTGGAATACGAGGTATTGTGGAACGTGCTTCAAAAAACCCTGCTGCCCGCGTGGCCCAAGAACCGTACCCAGGTGGAAGGTGTCCCCATTGGCGATGCCTGGCCCCTAGAGGTTCTTGCAAAACTGAATAAGGGACAAAGTGAAAGCAGCACGGCGCACATCCAGCCATTCCACAAGCTAACGCAATGGCTTGCGTATTCTCTATCCGTACCTTTCATCCGAGTCCTGGGACTTGAGTGGAAAAATCTCAGCTTAGGGACGGGACTTCCAGAATATCGCAATGGTGGCCTATTTGTGGATATGGGAGTTCTTCAGCTCAAGGAAACCGTTCTCGCACAAGGCCGTGCGAACTCTCAGCAGGATACCCCAAGCTTTGACGCTACCAGCGACGTTATTGTCGAATGGCGAGCCATGACTGTGGCTTTGCTCGACAAGCTATTTGAGACTATTCGAGATCAATTTGCTCAGAACGGTGTCAAATTGAATATGGCACAGATGCTTGAGGCTGGTACTTGGAAAGGAGGTCGGGAACTTGCTGCAAAGTATCGCTCTTCGACCAAATCCAGTCCTATCGTCATTCAGGGCGATGGAACCTTATTCTAGTGAGCTAGTAAAAGCTATTACTTACATTATGTCAAGTGAACATTAACATCAAGTAGGATAGAGTCATTTTATTTGTGTATACTAAGATTAATTATAAAGTGCGCAAAAATGCCTATTTGACATCCTGCCAATCAAGTCCACTGTATATGCACCAATTAAGACTTTAGGTACTTTTTGTATGAGCCCTTGTCACTTTTAACTTAGTAGTTTATCACTGAGAGGGCTGTGAAGGGGAGATATAACGATGATGAAACTCAAATTCTGGCTTGAAACAGTAGAAGACGATTGACGGATTGAATGATATTGAATTTAGATGATAATGATAGTTAATGAGTTCCATAAAATCGATCACCGAAATCGCCTAGTCCCGGACTGATATGACTGCAACGTGTTAGCAAAGAACGTGCATTAGAATAAAACGGTAGAAGTATTGATCTTACTTCGATGGTGTAAGCTCGTTATCTATGGCCGCAGTAACCAGTCGAATGGAAGGAAATCGATCCAGCAATATCCTGATTCCACGCTGCGAAGCCAATATGTTAACAAAGACAATATTCTCTTCGGCGACGCCGTTCGCTTTAATTGTGTCGATAGCCACACATGCTGAGCCCCCGGTAGCTAGCATTGGTTCAAGAATCAAGACGGCTATTAAGAGATGAGTAAAAAGCTGGGAGGAGTCAAATGATAACGAGAGAAACTCGTGGAAATCATACTCTTAGAAGCAATTCCCGCGGGGAACTTGGAATAGTAAAGCGTCGGAAGACACGTCGACTCGTCTCTTTGAATTAAAACTTTCCCAAAACTCAGGGGACCACTGACAATGACGGAGGTCAGTCTCGAGTCTCGATTCCGGCGGCTTGCCAACGACACGAAGAACTTACGTGTATCCACGGCGCATGGAATTTTCCAGACTCGCGCCCGCTCGAAGAATGCTCACGCCACAGACTTCTCTGGTCTCTCGAGTTCCTTGATATTCGACTCCTGTGGGACTAACAACTTTCGTGACCTCGGACGGAAGTAAATCGAGTGCTATACCGCAGACCATTAGAAAACTTGAAACTATATCACTCCGTCTCTGAAGTAACAACGTCAAGATACACACCTGCACTGATGAGTTGATCACCAACTCTTTCCGTCACTTCTGCAAAATTGGCGACGTCTGTGTTCGAATCTCGAAGTATGGTCATTAGACTCAGTAGATGATTGCCTTGAGGCAAAAGAGTGACCCGGGGATCAGAAGCTCCCGAATGACTGGAGTCAGTCGCGAAAGAACCATTCTTGTCAGTGGCAGTCATGTTGTAGTTCTTGTGTTCGTGTAAGAGTTGTGTTAACGTAAGACTTTCAATGTTTGAATAGTTGGAGGTGGCAAAGGAACACTCTGCGAGCCAAACTGAGTCAAACGAACTGAGGCACGGCGACTACCTCTATAAAAACATCACGCGACCCAATTACTTGGTGACCCATCTCTATTTCCCCTCATTCTTTTGAGCATAGACTACAATGGAAAAACCCTGGTATTGCGGATCCCAGGGAATCTAATCACCAGATGCGATAGACTTGGAATGCATTCCGATATGCGATAAGATAGCCGATAAGAGCTTTGTTTTGGGGAGCGATAAGCAACAGCTTTGATAGGCGTCGAGGGTGGGTCACTGTGGGTACTTTGAAGTTGGGGGGAAGTTGGAGGAAGGAAAAGCGGGTGAGTTTACTTTGCCTCACCCGCTCTTGAATTGAAACTAGTGAACCTATATGTGCAGCTGGAGGATTATTTTAGTCACAGTATCTGCCCTGAGGATCAGCTTTGGGAAACAAAACTCATGAGCGAGAGAGAGAGAGAGAGAGAGAGAGAGAGAGAGAGATTAAGGAAGAGTGTGTATATAGCTGGTTGGTGTTAAGTTTACTTCCTGCCACATCGCCTGTCTTTGAATAGTGCTACACCCGGGTTTTGAAATTCGATGAGCCGACCCGCGCCTTAAAATTGGCCTACAACATAATGATTACATGTCCGTCACAGTGCGTGGCATTGAGACTGGAAGACGTTTGTTCAATTGATCCACGGCTTGTAAACCCGTCGTGTATACATTGAAAGAGACAAATAACACATGGTTGAACTATCGGACATTTGAATTGCCAAGTCTTGGAGATTTCATTGGTATCTACTAATTCCTGCCTGACTTAGACAGTCATCTGATCTTATTCAGCCAGCTCTCAGCTATGAGTAGGCATGGAAAGTGTAGCTTTGACAGGCTGGCTATCACGGCCTGCCCATTTCGAAGTAACAGTCTTCAACTGTGTATAAAAGTTGACACCTGGCCGTCCATAAAAGGTATTGGCACCCCCTCCAGCGACACTTTTCTTATTTCCGGTGAAAGAAAACATGGGGAGTGGCACAGGAATAGGGACATTAACACCCACTTGTCCAGCCTGAATATTCTTCCGGAATCGCTCAGCGGAAATGCCCGATGATGTGAAGATAGCCGTGCCATTACCGTAGGGGTTCTCATTAACAAGCTCAATAGCCTGATCAAGGGAATCAACCTGGAGACAAACCAAGACGGGACCAAAAACTTCCTCGGTGTAGCACTGCATGGATGGAGTGACCTCGCTGATAATAGTTGGAGCGACCCAGTTTCCATTCGGATATTTCGAGGGTTTGATTCCACGTCCGTCACAGAGGATCTTCGCCCCTTCAGTCTCCGCGCTGGCAACCAGACTTTCGATCCTAGTCTTACTTTGCGGTGTGACCACTGGACCGAGATCGGCTTCGGATTCAAATCCACCATTCATGTTCAGGGCCTTGGCCCGCTCAACCAGTTCAGGAAGCCAGGACTGTGTCTCTCCGACGAATACCACTGCAGATAGAGCCATGCAGCGCTGACCGGCAGCTCCAAATGCTGCAGCTATGATAGCATCCAGGGTAGAGTCTTTGTCCGAATCAGGCAACACCACGGCATGATTCTTTGCTCCAAGGTTTGCTTGCACTCGCTTGCCGTTCGCAGACCCCTTGGCAAATATATACTCGCCAGCCTTGTTACTTCCGACAAAGCTGATCGCCTTGACAGCAGGAGCATCAAGTAGGAAGTTCACGGTATCGTGTGCGCCATGGACCACATTGATGACTCCCTTGGGGAACCCCGCTTTTTCTGCCAGCTCCATAAGAATCATTGCTGCACCTGGTGCTCTCTCAGAGGGCTTTAACACGACTGTATTTCCGGTGATCGTGGCGATCGGAATGCACCATAGTGGGATCATAGCAGGGAAATCTACATAAAATGTTAGAAAAATTATTGGATCAATGAGAAGTATCACACTCACTGAATGGACAGATGACGGCAACTACGCCAAGCGGCTCCCGATACGTCCTGGTCTCCATATCTTTGGCGACTTCGAGAACTTCTCCCTTCATGTATTCTGGGCCTGCACAGGCAGCTTCTGCCACCTGCAAACCACGCAATACATCGCCCTTCGCATCAGCAACGGTCTTGCCTTGCTCGAGTGTAATCACGGCTGCAAGTCGGTCCCAATGCTCTCGAATAAGAGCAACATAGCGGAACATGACCTGCTGCCTGGCGATTGTAGACATATTTGACCACACTGGGAACGCATTCTCCGCAGCTGTGACCGTATCTTCTAGCTCGGTTGTGGTCATCTTCGGGACCCGGGACACCAGGTTGTTTGTCGCGGGATCGTGGACATCGATGAAATCCGTCGTGGTTGAAAACCGAAACTCATTTTCAACGAAGTACGGCGTATCCTTGGGCTCAGTTATCTTTTCGTGAGAATTGGGAAAGACGGTGGCAGATGTGCCTAGCACAATTTCTTTTGCGGGGGATTGAGCCATTTCTTCACTCTGTTGCTTTTGTCGGGGGTTTTTTTTGTCAATCCAAAGAGACCTCCAAATGTTCAAATGTCAAATAGCGGGGGATTATTTTTCAACAACGATCAGCTGACCATCTCCAAAAAGGAGCTTCTTCCCGAGAAAGCGGGGGGATCAGTGTTGGAGTGAATGACACCTGTACTACTTTACAGTGGAGCATCCCCGATTCCTCCCCTTTACTTAGTCTACACGATAACTGTATTGCCCAATCTTCGATATGGTTTCCCCACAGCTCCGATAACACGATAAGGTTGGGTTGGATGAGGATAAGGGCTTTATCTTATCGTCTGTTAGGTCTTTATCGTCTTATCGGGTTATCGGGTTATCGAACAAGTCCCATGATGCTTGTGAAGATTAAGTCTCCATCATCACCCCTGGAATACTGGAATACAATGAAGTCTATAAAACACCCGTGGAGCCAGTATGAAGAAGTCCCATCAATCCATTTCGTTCTATCCGTCATCCCTCCTTTGGCCGTCAATATTTTAAAAACGCCACAATGACTAAAGACTCTCGAGATGGCGAGCGTATTATTGTCAGTTCGGCACTGTTAAAACTTTGTTGTCTTGAATCCATTATCTAACAAGGTGAACAGTTAACAACATACCCCGGCCAAAGTGTGGTCAATCCCATCCCTTTAGAATGGGGCAAAATGAATCCCCAGGAACGAGGACCCGTTCTAGTTTCACGGAATAAGAAGACAATTACCCACCGAAATGCAATCGGAGCGCATGGTGGAAGTTACTCAATCTATAACGCATTGGCAATTGCCGCCGGCGATCTTCCTCCCGATTTCAAGCCGAGCTTTGAAAACACTGAGCCTATCTTCGATTTCCCACCCCAAGCCGCATGGGGAGATAAGAAAAAGATTGTCGCGATGGATCCATATGGCCATGACACCGTGAAGCATTTCAAGAAGCACTTGGATGATGGTCTAGATGTGCGCCCAACTATTGCCGTGACGCGAGCCACGATGCGCCTAGCCGAGATCACCGACTCTATCCGAGAAGGCCGATTGCAGGTTGATGGCGAGATCGTGATCAGCAAAGAAGGCGACGTACGCGTAACAAAAGCAGCAGTGGAGCCCGTATGGTATCTCCCAGGTGTGGCTGAGCGATTTGGAATCGATGAAGGGACTCTCCGTCGTACGCTGTTTGAGCAGTGCGGAGGAAGTTTCCCCGAATTAATCACTCGACCGGACATCAAGGTTTTCTTACCACCCATCGGCGGTCTGACTGTCTATATCTTTGGTGCCCCCGAGAAAGTATCCGACCCAAGTGTGAAACTTGCTCTCCGAATCCACGACGAGTGTAACGGATCGGATGTTTTCCAATCCGACATTTGCACATGCCGGCCTTACCTGGCCTTTGGAATTGAGGAAGCCATCAAGGAAGCTCAAAATGGCGGATCGGGTATCGCGATCTATTTCCGCAAGGAAGGTCGTGCCCTCGGTGAGGTTGTGAAGTATTTGGTTTATAATGCTCGCAAGCGTGGCGGTGATACTGCCGACAAGTACTTTGCTCGTACTGAGAACATCGCGGGTGTTAGAGATGTAAGTCAAATTTTTTTTTTTTTTTTCATTCGGAGAAAACCCAAGATCAAAAGACTAATGACTCAAAAGATGCGCTTCCAAGCTCTGATGCCTGATATTCTTCACTGGCTGGGCATCCAGAAGATCGACCGCATGCTTTCAATGTCGAACATGAAACATGATGCAATTGTGGAGTCAGGAATTCCCATATTGGAGAGAATTCCTATTCCGGATCGTAAGTCGATCTCAAATCCTCGGAACTGGTTTCATTTTCCTCCTTTCCTCTTTGCTGATTTATATGATAGATATGATTCCCTCGGATTCACGGGTCGAAATCGATGCAAAGATTAACGCTGGATATTTCACCACCGGGAAAAAGTACACTGATAGCGAACTTGCGCAGGTGAAGGGTCGGGGATGGCAAAACTGGGAAGATGTTGCTCACTGAATAGATATACATTGCCTAGCATTTTCTTAATAAACATTTCATAATTAGCGGAGCAAATCCTTGAACTTGGCTCTTTCCTAGGTACACATGTTTCCCATCCACGAATCCCAAGGTTGGTCAATATCGTAGCGACTCCAGAATTTGAGATCCACACCTGATCAATTCAAGCTTCAATGTTGGTCCGAGACCCCGACTACCAGGCAAGATCAGGTCTGCTTACACAACTGGCCGCTTCTAGCTTTGAACAAAACAGCTCCTCCTCGGCTAGTTTCGTACTCACTCCTTCAGGGAGCTTGGGGACAGCAGGCCAAATTTCCTGACCTCGGTTCTCTTCTTGTTTCCGATGCTCCATAACCATGTCCCGTACACTATTCTGAAAGTGGATTGGTCCCTGCAGCATGCCTGTCAGTTCCCAAAAAGAATCCATTTATTCTCAAATGTTCAAGTAGTCCGCACAAGGGCCTTACCTTTTCTTTGCTCGGATGAAGCTCGCCATTGATAAAAACCCCACCATTCAGATTATCCTGTGTCCCCTCACAAAGCTCCTTGTCTTCGTCCAAAACTTGTCTGTAAAACGCATTGATATTCTCGAACTCCTCATCCGTGGCATCTCGATGCCGATAGACTTCATTTTCGACTCTACTTGTCGTGGCAGTTAAAGGAACCATACGTTGAATGTAAAAGAATTTATCTCTATTTTCTGCTTCATTAGCTCTGAAATCCACAAATATCCAGGCGGCGCACTTACGTGACAGTAATCGACGTAGTTGGAAAAAAATAAGTAATGGCCCTCCGAAATTGGGTATCAATGTTCTCCTTATTAAAGATGTGGTGTTCCATATACCCAGCCTTAGGCTCAACACGATATCGAGGCAAGTCCGAGACGCCACTAATCAGTGGATGAGAGGTCGCACAGTGATAGCACTCGTTGTAATTCTCGATCAAGCCCTTCCAGTTGGCCTTGACATCCATCTCCCAGTAATGATCGAAAGTATATTCTCCCCCGAAATCAAAATCTTGCATCCTCGGTTGTTCGTCGATTTTCTGGAATTCCTCCTCCCACTTGACGTCGGTATCTCCAGCTTGTAGATTCACCCACAAAAATCCTGATTTATCTTTATGGACGTGTATGGGAAGGAGCCCCTGTTGACTTTTGTCGAATTCCGGAACGGTCTCGAATCGGGGAGCTTTTGCGAGATTCCCTTTAAGGCCGTAGGACCATCCGTGGTATTTGCAGCTTAATATCGAAGTAGACCCGGATTGAGTCTGTACAACGGGGAATGCACGATGTCGGCATATGTTGTGGAAGCCGTTGATGTTTCCATCGCGGTCTTGTATCAGGAAGAAAGATAGATTGGCGACCGTGAATGAGAGGAAGTCACCTGTTTTGGTGAAGCGGCTGGAATGAGTGAGTAGAATCCATCTTTTGGAGAAAATAGCCCGTCTCTCTAGTTGGTAAATTGCTTCCGAGCGATACCATGATGCGGGGAGGCCTCTGGGAGGCTGTTTCTCTGGGGCTTTTGAGGACCAGTTGAGCATTCGCCACATGTTGGAGTGTGATCAATTGTAGTCTTGCAAGCTCACTTCCTAATTGTTAGACCACATCGTTTTCTATTTTCCTTCATTCCGACAACTAGACATGTATATACCCTACCATCTATCGCAGGTGCGGGGAATCTATCCAACAGCTTGTTATCAAGAATGGGGAGCGGGGGAACTTGACAGATGGAAATTGATAAGCTTCCGTAAAGATTTCCGAGACTCGGATAGTTACCTAGCGCTGTCAAGAATGGGGGTATGATATGCGCCTGATTCATGCTTGATGTTCTTGAGCTAAAAAATAATATGCCGGGATATTAGCATGTTTTGATTTGATACTTGACATCCAAAGGCTCGATGGATTGAATCCATATGACCTGAGAAATTTAATCTAGCGAAATGATATGTCCAGTACAGTACATACTTGTAAGGATGCACATGTGTGGATTTACCTTTACTTGGCTTCATATATTGGACAGAATTCTTATTTATCTATACGTTGACGTAATCATGCAGGGCTTCTGATCAGCTCTCCGGAGATCTTCCAACTTCAAATGTTTGGATTATTCAAATGTTCAAAATGCCCCGAAGGGCTTACTAGGCTATAGGCGATGACTTTTCTTCCAAAAGCCAGAACTAGAAACTAGACCAGATCAATTCATTGGTTCCAGAAATAGATCTAATATATCTAATATAGCCTTCAGATCCCTGGCTTGGCCAAAACAGTGGTTCATGTGTAGTATTTTTTGCTGCTTGCATATCTAACGTTCTCAACCTTGGAAACTTTCCAAGACCCCAAATCCACATACTATCTACAGTCGAGACTCGAGTCTATCAGTGCTTGATGAATGGCTCCAATAGCGATCGACCTAGGTCTCACAATTAGCTCAATTCAAATAGTGGGATTAAAAGAAGAACTTACGTCTGCGATATGATCATATCCCAAAAGCTTTGGGGCAAGACCAGGATCTCTCCAAGCCAAAGCCTCTCCTTCTGGTGTCGGCGTCATCTGCATTTTGAAATCTCTCTCTTCTTGCTCTTTTCCATCGTGGAGGTGGTATAGATACTGCTGTAAATTACCTCGCTCGACCACCATTTTCGTTCGTTGCTTGCGGCATTCTTGAAAGACCTGCAAAGCGTGTCTCTTGGCCTGCAAGAACTCCGGGGAATTCTTCTTAATATGAGGGTTGTTGGGAAGTCGAGAGAGACATTCCCCGAGAACAGCACCGTCTTCGAAGGCCATGCCAGCTCTGCATCATTGTTAGCGAACATTCTTTGAAATGAGTAAGTAAACATACCCCGATGCTAAATATGGTAAGGTTGCATGAACTGCATCACCCAGCATCACCCATGCTCCAGATGTGTGAGCCCAGTTGAAGTCTCCGAAGCGAATACATAGGCGCCACTTTTGTACTGATTGACACAGCTTGAGCAGTTTTTGAATCCTGTTCAAGTTAGATCCGACTGTTTTTCAAAGAGATGATAATTAGCAGTACCAACCTTGGATCCCAACCCTCAAATAATGAGCACATCTCCTCCACATTTCCTTCAATTGTAGAGGCAAGAGACTCTTCAGGTATATCGTCTGGCACGAGAAGAACCATGTTGAAAAGATCACCCCCGCGAAGCACGTAATTCACTATAAAGTCAAAATTCAGTTCTTAAAATAGGGAAATGGGGGGATAACAGAGAGACATACCTGCATGAGCATCAGGACCAAGCCAATAATTAACTTGCGGATCATTCACAAAAGGAGCCAGCTCAGGATCCTTGCGCATCTCCTCTGTCGACAAAAGAAGACGATAAGCAAGATCGCCTGTCTTAACCGGAGGATCCTCCCGCCCAAGCAGCTCCTCAGTCAACTTCCCAAACACACCATCCGCCCCAAGCACCAGATCTCCCTCCCATTCCCTTCCATCCGCAGCAACAGCCGTAGCCACCGCACCATCATCCGCTACGCGAACATTTATGATCCGGGCACTGCAGGTCATTTTCACGCCCAACTCCAGCGCCCGATTTACAAGACACCGCTGCAAATCAGCGCGATGAAAATCCCGATACCAAGTTCCCGGATATCCCTTTTCCGATTCGTGAAAATCCAAAGCGGAAATATGGTTTCCTTTCCATCCGATAAAGTTGCACACGCGTGGAAATGTCATATGCGGTGTGAGGGCATTTTCCAAGCCCCAGTGTTGGAGGACCCGTGAGCTATTAGGGAGTACTTGGATCCCTGCACCGACTTCCTTGATCTCGCTGGTTGATTCGAGGATATGGACTTTGTGTCCAGCCAGGGCACAGCTAATGGCTGAGCCTAGTCCTGCGAGGCCTGCGCCCACTACCAGGATCTGTAGCTGACAGGACTCAGAACGGGTTTCTTGTTGCTTGATGTGAATGCGAGGAGCCATGATGAATATGAATGGTTATGATTATGGGCAGATATTCAATCTCGGAATGCTGATGTTTTTTGTTGTTTTTGTCTCAAAGTTTCCAATGTATAGATGGGGTATTTAAGATCCATCCTGTCCATTTGGGCTCCACGCGGAGCTTGCTGCGACAAAGATGGGGGTTAGATCCCTGTACACACACAGATATCCGATATCTACAGACCAATAGTATATTTGAGGGGTTCAAAAAAGACACAGCCCATTCAAATCCTCCTCATTCATTATTACGGAAATATTGAACTTCAATCATGTCAAAGGTAAGCTCTTATTACAATTTTCTTTGGTAACACATCTGACTATTCAGTTTTCTCTCCAAGGACGTACTGCACTAGTGACGGGAGGTGCTCGAGGGTGCGGCTTGGCTTTTGCGCGTGGACTGGCAGAAGCCGGCGCGAACATCGCAATCTTCGACGTTATCCCACCCGATGAAGAATTCGCCTTGATCGAAAAAGAACTCTCTGTGAAAACGGCTTATTACAAGTGAGTAACACCATACAGGAATTCAATCTACGTCATAGCTAATCTAAGAAGAGTGGACGTTTCCTCCGAGGAATCCCTTCAAAGTGGATTTGAGCAATTCCAAAGCGACTTTGATAACGCCCTCGATATTTGTGTTCCTTGCGCTGGGATTAATCGTCACCTCCCATTCCTCGAATTCACCTTCAAAGACCACCAAGACCTCCTGTCGATCAACGTACTCGGACTATACTTCACGGCTCAGTTGGCGGCCAGGCAAATGATCGCGAATGGGACAAAACATGGTAGCATTGTTCTGGTAGCCAGTATGGCGAGCCACATTGCCGTACGCAGCCAGTTGTGCAGTGCATACTGTGGTACAAAGGGCGCAGTTCGGTCCATGTGTCCCGCGATCGCGAAAGAGCTGGCCGAATACGTGAGTAGGATTAATGCTCATGAGAAACCAAATTGTCAGCTAATTCCATCCAGAATATTCGGGTGAACTCGATATCCCCAGGCTACGTACGAACTAAAATGACCGAATCTGTACGTCTTGACAATCTCCCAACCCCCCATCTTGAACTAAGCTAATCGCCATGGAACATTGAATAGTTCCCCCATCTTCTCGAGGGCTGGAAAACGGAAACGATGAACGGGCGGATCGCCGAGCCGGAGGATATAATGGGGGCGTGCGTGTTTCTGGCTAGTGACGCGAGTGCATACATGACGGGGCAGGATATCATTGTGGATGGGGGAGTGACCCGCTGGTAGCTAAGATATATGTCAAGAGTGGGGGGGGGGGGGGGGGGTGGGATTGTACCTTCTCCGCATTTCCAAAGCCGACTTATATTTCATAACCCCTAAAATGAAGAGAAGCTCAGTTCATGATCAATCAACTACCAAAAGACTCAAAAACATGGCTCCCGGTGCAGACCATGAAGGATACAGCTTTGGCGGACCAGTGGATACGGCTGCAGTTGTTGTAGTTGGCGCTGGGCCATCGGGCTTGATGCTCGCGTAGGTGACCTCGATTTCCAATGTCATTTTATGAATTATTGCTGATCTTTTTTTTCTCCTTCAAAGGTCCAATCTCGCTCGCTTTGGGATTGACGTCGTCATTCTCGATGATCGCCCCGACAAAACGTCCACAGGCAAGGCAGATGGCATGCAGCCAAAGACCATCGAGACTTTCAAACAGATGCGCCTGGCAGAGCCCCTGCTGAAAAATGCCGCGCGCGTATATGATATTTCATTCTGGGTGTGTCTCTCTTGATTGTATGTTTGATGGAACGACACAGTACGCTAATCAAGTTTTCAGCAATCCACAGCAGACGAGCCACTCCGGCGAACGGGTCGTCAAACACACTACCCCGAGCATCTTGTCGGAGCATCCGATCCTTATATTCTTTTGGCTCACCAAGGAATGATCGAAGAGATTTTGATAGATGATATGGAGATGAGGGATGTTTTCGTGACTCGAAATGCCCGCTTCTCATCTTGTTCGACAACAGGATCAGGACAGTTGGAGGTCACGTATGAAGATCTCTCAACTAACACCAACAAAACAATCCGCGCTGAATACCTGATCGGATGTGATGGCGCACGATCAAAAGTGCGATCTTTCATTCCCGACGCTGAGCTGGAGGGTGAAATGACCAACGCATCATGGGGTGTGCTAGACGGTGAGTTTGAATGAGAAATCTCGTTCGTCTTAGACATACTAAACATTTTGTAGGTGTCATCGATACCGACTTCCCTGATCTATGGAGCAAAGTAGCAGTCCGCTCCCATACTGCCGGGTCTATTCTCTGGATTCCGCGAGAGCGCAATATGACACGGCTATATGTTGAGCTAAGCGCGACCGATGGAGAGCGATTCGAAAAATCCAAAGCAACCAAAGAGTATGTTATGCAACGAGCAAAGGAGGCAATGCACCCTTTCAACCTTGAATGGAAGACAGTCGAATGGTTCGGGAATTATGTGGTCGGACAAAGAGTAGCGAAACACTTCATGGATCCTGAGGCCCGCATCTTTATTGCTGGAGATGTAAGAGGCCATCTAATTCACCCTGGGATTATAAAATACTGACAGCAAAAACCAGGCCGGCCATTGCCACTCAGCTTTAGCAGCCCAAGGAGCCAACACGAGCATGCACGACAGTTTCAACCTCGCATGGAAACTCAACCTTGTGATTCGTGGGCTAGCTAAGCCGTCTTTATTGTTTACCTACGAAGAAGAGCGACGCAAGATCGCCAATGATTTGATCGACTTTGACGCAGAGCATTGCAATGCATTCGAGCAAGGAGAAGTTGCGCTGGCGAAGAATTTCAACGATAATATTCGATTCATCTCTGGCGTGGGGGCTGAATACTCTACTGGTCCTTTAAGTCATGCTACGGGCAGTGCATCTTTTTCTCCTCTTCAGCCAGGGGGGCTACAGCTTCCGGCCCAGGTAACGCGTTATATCGATGCAAATCCGGTGGATATCCAACTTGATATCCCTTTGTTGGGTCAGTTCCGCATATACCTGTTTGTCCCTGATGTGAAGGCATCCTTGGGGTTCTTGAATCTTTTTTGCGGTATTTTGGCCAATCCAGATGGATTTGGAAAGCTGGCTCTGGGGGCCAGGCAGTCGTACATCAAGAGAAATCGCGGATTGGCCCCGGTAGATGAGTTCATCTCGCCTCAAAGATACACTACTGTGTCGGATATGTTTACATGTGCGATGGTGACTCAGGCGGCCAGGTCGGACTTTGAGATTGCAGACCTGCCACAGGTTTTGCAGGACAGTCGATGGACACTATACCTTGATAAGAATGCAAAAAATACGTGGTTTGGAAGCCTGGAAGGTGAAAAGGTTGGCATAGCTATTATACGTCCGGATGGATATTGTGGAAGCATTGAAAGATGGGGGCTTGAAGAGGCAGTTCAGGCAGGACAATCGGTAGAAGATTACTTCGCATTTATGTTGTAATTTGGAATAAAAAAAGAGCCGGTGCAAAGTCAATGTATTATGGATATTTAATAGTCGGCATGTAATGTCAAGCTTCCTCGAGCAAGACAGCACTGGGATCCCAACATAGAAGAACCGTTATTTTTGGGCGACAAAAAATGTAGATTCAACTCTCGCTTTTCAAAGCTAAGACTAGGCAAGTTCCCACGAAATTGATGACTGCATCAAATACTCTTCGAGTCACAGCGACGATTTTTGCCCTGTATAGAGCTCTAGAATGTTTCTGGTTGGTTCTTAGACTGTCTTAACGCCACCCAAACCTCATTATTCATACCATTTATACGTGGATGAAGACATGACAACCATTCAAATGTTCTACCAACTGGAAACCGGACTACGGATTATGAAGAAACCGATGAGCTACTCAGGGTATGCATGATGCTTTTTGGCGAATATTCTAGTTTCTTCCAAGATGACCTCAGTCTAAGCCAGCTTCATATGGCGAGAGTGGGGGCTTCAGTGATACAGCCCACTTAGAAGTTAGCGCTATGATGAATGGTGGGGGTTAACCACCAACCTTGGAATCGAGCACGATAATGCACGAGGCATGCACATCCCACTATTATCCCACTTTCGCGAATCGTCAATAATGGGATTCTAAGTGCCCCTCGATCAGATATTTAAAAGTATTTAATAGAAATGGCAATGCCTGCAATAGAACAAAGAAGAATCGAAATAAATAACAAAACACACAATGGGATCAGTCGACGTTATTGGACCTCTTTTCCAGCCCCTTCGCTTGGGGGCACTCTCTCTTCAACACCGTGTCGTTCAGGCCCCTTGTACTCGTATGCGAGCTACCAAGGAGTCTGATGGTGTGTTTGTCCCCAACGATCTGAATGTTGAGTACTATTCTCAGCGCGCATCTGCGGGCGGGTTAATGCTCACAGAGGCAACTCCAATTAGCCGACTTGTAAGCAAATATCTCTTCTTCTCCATAACATACGCTGATGGTTTGGGATTATCCAGGCTGCGGGTTATCCAGGCGTCCCGGGTATTTTCACCCCCTCGCAGATTGCCGGCTGGAAGAAAATCACCGATGCCGTGCACGCGAAAGGCGGCTTGATTCTGTGTCAGTTATGGCACGTCGGTCGTGCCACTGTTCCTTCCTTTCTAGATGGGGCACAGCCCGTGGGCGCGAGTGATATCCCGATCAGTGGCAACGCCATGGATGGGACGGAGTATGCGGCCTCGCCTCCACGGCCGATGACGGTAGAGGAGATCCAGGACGTCGTGAAAGAATATGGTGCAGCAGCGAAGAGAGCGATGGAAGCAGGATTCGATGGTGTGGAAATTCACGGTAAGATAAGAAAGACGAGAAATCGATTACAGAGTTTTCTAGCGATACTGACTGGTACTGCAAAGCCGCGAATGGGTATCTTCTAGACCAATTCCTCCACGATAACGTCAACAACCGTACGGATGATTACGGAGGATCCATTGAGAAGCGTTCCCGACTCATCATTGAGGTCATCAAGGAAGTTAGCTCTGCTATCGGGGCTGAGCGTGTCGGCATCCGGCTGTCGCCTTACAATTATTTCCAAGACACTCGTGATTCTAGTCCAAACGCAAACTGGTTTGCTCTTTGCTCCACAATCGCCAGTCTACCCGCTGAGTCAAAGCCAATCTATGTGCACATGGTTGAGCCTAGATTCGACGAGGTGTTAGATGAGAGTGCCAAGATTGAATCTTTGACTGAGGACAAGCCGTCTTTGGATGTATTCAGGCCGGTTTTGAAGAAGGGGAGTATCGCTTTTCTGGCAGCTGGAAACTTCAGTGTGGAGAATGCTGGTCCGAAAGTCTTGAATGACGGGGCAGATGCGGTGGTTTTTGGTCGGTACTTTATTTCCAACCCTGATCTGCCCAAGCGGTTGAAGGAGGGACTGCCATTGAATCCGTATGATCGGACTACCTTCTATGGGGCTGATCCTGCTGAAAAGGGCTATACCGACTATCCTTTCTACAGTAATTAGAGAGACATTGGGTATACAGCACTGTAAAGGTGACTCGGTATATAATTGATTTTGAGCTATACATAAAAACAAGCAATATTTAACAGGTACAATATCAGGACAAGTTCATCAAGACTTTCATTGCGTCATGCACTACTGCCCACCTAACAGTCGCCAACTGCTGTGCCATTGCCACTGCTAATGGCTTGGGGTCATATCTGCCCGATAAGGCGGCCAATTCTGTCTCGTTGGGACAATTGGTCATCATCACGATCAACGAAGACAGATCCGTGGTAATCCGGTGCTCAGAAGCCGACAAATCCATTCCACGATGGAAGATCCAGCAGTTCAGAGTAGCCAGATACAAGCACCACGGGAAATGGAAAGCATCAGTCTGATTCCAGTCATTAAGACTCAAGACAGCATCCTGGAGTAGGGTTGATGAATGACGCGCTGCATCCCACGATGCACTCGACTCCTCATGTAACCAGCGAAGAATACTCCTCTGAGATCGTGACTGATCCGCCGGAGTGACAGGGCGTCCTAAAATATTGGTCGCACCAGCAACAATCTGCAAGTCCAAGATTTCCACGTTCAAAGCAAGACAGGCAGCATGATAGAGGGCATGTGATGCCACTTTGAGCCCGGTGAAACGACGTTGATCGGCAGTCTGGGATAATTTCATTGCTAGACAATCTGCATCAAAGTCCACTTTCCATAGATCGTATGAGCGGCTCATACGTGGGACCCAGGCCCCCACTTTCTCAGGGGTTTCTGATCGCAGTGTAGTCTGGTCTCGGCGCTTTAGATCAGCCGATACTGACATCAATCCGTGAAGGATGACAGAGCGGGCAAAAACATTCAAATCGCGAGGACGAGGAACTGCTCCTGTAGTGATATACCCCTTAAGTACCGTCAGAAAGGGACGAGTTGTTTCACGAGCAGATAATTGGGCCCACTCGTGAGCCGAGGATGCTTCCCATGCAGCGCTACTGCAAGGCAGGGACGACCTAATCTCAAATGCGGACATGCACAGAGACTGGGAGAATAAAACCGCATGCTGGGTATCCCACATAAAACAATGCATTGCCAAGCGCTTCCTCTGCTCAAGATCCATTGCCTGTCGCCATGCGTGCTCCAAGTCTTCCGATTGAGCTAGCGGCGAATCTTGGATGCTGCAACAGGTACTGCGGCGAATGAGTTTAATCAATACACAGTGATAAAGTTGTGCATTCTCTCGCTGCTTTGGGCCAGCCCTCATTTTCCCAAAACAATCAATCAGAAGCATGCTTTGCAAGACCCATAAAGCAGGTTGAGGCGAAAATTCTGAATGTCCCAGAAGTTGAATTCGGAGCTTGTCATGAATTCCTACCGCCAGTTGGTGCGCTTCCCGCGTACTGTACGTAGCTCCCATGAATAGGATTGCTGCAAGAAGAACTGGATCGACGACGCTGGGGTTAAATGTCGGTTGATGAACAAGTGGATATGTGGCATTGAAGCGAGTGAAGAATAAGTCACAGTAGCTCTGCAGCGCGTTTAATGTCAGGAGTGGAGAATCTAGAGCCATTGGCTGCCCATCAATGCCCATGGGGTGTGTTTGAGCCACGATGGACAAAATCCCAGCTCTAGCGTCCTCGTTAACTCGTGGCAAGTGCTGAGGCGGATTTGACCCCAGATAGGATGCCCCAGACATCCAATCCATCTCCACGAGTTCCGGTGCAACCGAAGGCATTGTTTCTTGTAAACTTTGCATTCTATCCATCATTGAAGCAACCTCAAGCAATGCGGACGGGCCATCGTTTTTATTAATTTCCTGGGTATTCACTGATTCCATGCCGTCTGCGAAAGTCTCTGTTTCGAATCCTAATGGGAAGTCGAGATCATGAAAAGCGTCATCGAGAGAGGCGACATCGAACAACCAATTATAGTTGCAGGTGGCTGCAAATGGGAGATTGAAATCGGTTGCTGTATTAATTAGTTATGAGATCCAGAGTTCCAAGATCTGGCAACCAAGCTCATACCTGTGTCCATACCAAACAAATCACCCATTCCGTCGCCAACGTTGTATGACCCGTCCGCCGCGTCGAATTGGCCAGGAATAGGCTCAACATATGGCTCAAATGGACCTCCAGGCATCATGGGCGCTAGGAACTGATCATTCTCGTCCATAGAGAGCGAAGTCAGATCCGTCCCAGAACCGGGAGGTGAAAGAGGTGCATGATTCACGAAATCTTCTTCTTCCTCCGTCCACCCCCGATCGGAACTGGTCGTCGAGGTCGAAGATCTAACCGCCGATCGCATCTCTCGCTGCGACGGACGTACAACAATTGTCCCGTCGCCAGCTCTGCGGGTCCTTTTGCGGGTCTTCAGTACGCCTAGTCCGGGTCCCCCTGCCTCGGCGTCTCGTTTGCTATGTCGTTCCATATGCCGTTCTGAATGATTAGCAAGAGTTCCATGGAATACTCAAATCTAATCTCACCTAATAAGTCCGGTCGCTGAAAATGCACAGAGCAGCGATCACAGGTAAAACCAAGACGTGGTTGCTCATGATTAAGCGCATGTCGACGGAGATGTTCAGCGCGGGTGAAGCTTTTGCTGCAACTGGGATATTGACACGCATGAGCCTTCATAGTGAAGATAATTGCACAAATTGACGATAAAATCGTCGAGATCTCGACCTTGGAAGTGCTGGGGGGTAAATAATAATGTCGGAGTAAAGCCCGATGTCACTGATAAGGATGCGGGGGAAGCTAAGAATTAGAATGACTCTAGTGTATTTCTTTTCCTATCTTTTCGCATGACCAATACCCAATCACTTGATAATAATTCATGAAGGATCTAGTCCAATTGCGAGGAGGTACTTGGGTCACCTGATATGTATTGCATCAAAGTCTCCAGTGGGAATACCTCGGAAATGCAGTTGTAGCGGTGTATGAATCTTAACGTGAGGCGAGTAGATCACCTTTTGCATATAACATGTCAAATGTTTAGCTTGGGTATATGAAATCTCAAAAAAGAGAATACATTGATTTGAGTAAATCAACTAAAGGAAATATCGCCACTCCAAACTATGAACCCCATCTTGAAGCTGGCTTGTGTCAACTTCGTGCTCTCGTAGTCTAAGACCTTGTTCTCGATCACGACGGCGATTCTCAAATCGCATCCATAACCCTAATCCCGAGACAAAAACAATACAAACAGCATTACAACAGCAAGTAGCGATCAGAGTGGGTATATACCTGAGCAGAGTTAGCAATTGCGTGACTCTAGTCCACCTTCAACTGGTAATCTTCAATGATTGGTGAAACTCACTTGGGTGCATATTGGGTCCGAAACGTCGCTGCACTCAAAATCCCCGCCAAGTTGCCCAGCCCAACGAAGAAACCCGTGTTGGCCGCCCGAGAGTTCTCGTTGACATTATTGTTATTATGCCAAGCATGTACCAGGCATGATGGGATATAAGCGCCCGCAGCCATCAAGAAACAAGCAAAGTAAGCTACTCCCTTATTGTTAAGAACGTCGATCGCAGCCAGGATCACCATTCCGACCAGAGAAATGGTCAAGGAAAACACAATATGAACTGTTCTCTCTCGGAAGAAATCAGACGATTTGGCAACACATAGTAGCACCACTGCACCGACAAGGTTTGGTGCAACTGTCCACAGGTTGGTTTTGACGGTAGAGAATCCCAGGCGCTCAACAATCTGCAACAGTTCCAGTAATTAGTTGTTGATTAAACATGGATAGTCATGGGCGATGGTAGAGAGACTCACCAAAGGGAAAAAGTTCATGGCAGTCGCATAGGCAACGGGATAGGTAAACGTGATAACACACCAAACGGGGAACTGCCAGGTATTCCACGTTTGACAACAAGCCTTCCAGTCAAACCCCGTGGAAATCTCCGATGACGAATCACGAAGCGATCGAGCAATGGCTGCTTTTTTCTCCCGATCATCCAAAAACCAGGCTGTCTGTGGAGCATCTGGTAACAAGAAAAATCCAGTAATGCCAGCGATCAGGGTCATACTGCCCTCAATGATGAACAGCCACTGCCACCCCTTCACCGCCGAATTGTTGATTTGAAACACGCCAAACGAGATCAGACCACTGAAAGCAGAGGCTAGGACTGCAAACGATTGCATGATTGCCAGTCGAAATCCCATTTCTCCGCGGGTATAGAACAAGGTCATGTAAAAGGTGGCGCCTGCAAAGAACCCGGCTTCAAAGACGCCCAGAATGATTCGAATCGAAAGGAGGGAACCGAAATCTTTGGCTGCGCATTGACAGAGAGCGAGAATTCCCCAAACAACGGACACTTGGTGAGAAACATGGTCAGCAGGATTACCGTGGAGGTTACCACGACCTGATTTGGGGGGACTAACTGGACGAAAGCATCATTCGACCCGAGTAGCGTTTGATCAAGAGATTCCATGGGAGATTAAATAGGCCAAATGGAATATAGAATAGTAGAATGAGAAGGGAATAGTCGTTTCCTTTGAAATGTAGGTCTTCGTCCAGGCCATCAGTTTTAGCATTTGCTAGATTACTCTGGGGTCTATTAGCCTGGGATTCAAGATGGAAATGATTTACTTACTCGATCCATACAGTCGAAGAAGTACATCTGCAGATGGTCAGTTAATTCGATACCGAGTCTCGAAGTGGCAAAAGTAACCACGGTCTCTCTCACTCACCAAGCAAAGAAGAGGCAACACCCAGAAGTCAACTTTTTTACGATAAAGCCGTTCGGCCTCCTCATCCACATACACAGCACTCTCCCCCATATCGATTTTGATTTGCAATTCTTGAGGCTCGACCATCAATTCTGCTTTGGTTTTGTCGGCCATGTTGCCCAGGATCATTAATGCATGTGTCAGGACAGTTCAACGCTCTGTGGCCTGAGGTAACATATTTTATAGGCCCCCTTGCATACCTTAACTCAGAACAACACATTCTCGTTGAATTGTTCACTTTGTACATTGTCTACATTATGTTTATCGAGACTACAACCAATTCGATGTATGATCAGCTGTCAGCACGATAGCACTACAGACTCTTCTGGCCTTTTCCCGTTTTCCCCGCAGATCCTCTTATCACAGCTGATCCCCCATCTTTGAGATCCGAGCCCCCACTTTTGACAATTTGGCCTCGACTACAGATGGGCAAAATTCAATGATGGCAACAATTCGGCATTCTATCCGATCTGAGGATGTCCGGAAGCTGCCATTGGAGCTTGGCAGAAGATATATTCCAAGTCAACGATGTTCAAGCACGTTGAGACGCGAAAAACAGAAGCAAATCTCTGAATAACCACCATGTCGATTCCATCCGCTCCCCCAATCCTGGACTTTTCTCCAATTTACGGCGAAGATGGCGAAGCAAAGACCAGATTGGTCGAAGAAGTTCGCAAATGCTGTCACTACAACGGGTTTTTCCAAATCACCGGCCACCGCGTCCCATTGGAATTGCAACAGCGCGTAATGAATTGCTCCCGAAGATTCTTCGACTTGCCGTTAGAAGAGAAGCTCCAAATTGACAAAAGTGAGTCCAAAATTCCCCTCCCTATCTTCAAACTCTTTTTCATGTCCAATGTTCAAGATAATCTGACGGTCGAGCACAGATCTGAACTCATTCAATCGCGGCTACGAACTCCTCCGATCGCAAATGCTCGAAGTGGGCACCGGCCCCGAGCTCAAGGAAGGCCTCTACATCGGCGAAGAAATCCCCGAGGACCACCCATATTTCCTACAGAAGAAATTAAACAGCGGACCTAACCAGTGGCCGCGAACCGTCCCCGACACCGACGAATTCCAGAAGACAACAATGGAGTACTACCACGCGGTATACGAACTGGCCAAGGACGTCCTTGCCGTTCTGGCATTGACTCTGGGCGTGGAATCCAGCTACTTCGATCCTCTGACCGATGGCGCTGTCGCGACAATGCGCTACCTACACTATCCCGCACAACCCAAGGACGAAGACGAAAAATTGAATCGCGGGATCGGAGCGCACACGGATTTTGGCTGCGTCACTTTGCTCCTACAGGATGAGGTGGATGGTCTTCAAGTTTTGGATGCTCCGACAGGAGAATGGCTTGATGTGAGTTTTTCCGGTTTTTCCAGTTTCTCTTTTTTTTCCAAACTTTTCTTTTTCGGATAAATGCGCGGATTTTAATGACGGGATGTTTTAGGTTAAACCCGTTCCCGGTGCGTATGTCGTGAATCTGGGAAATCTGTTTATGCGCATGGCGAATGATAAATACAAATCAAATACCCATCGCGTGATCAACAAGTCTGGCAATGAGAGGTACTCGATTCCGTTCTTCTTCAGCGGAAATCCGGATTATCTTTGCGAGTGCTTGCCGAATTGTCGCGAGTCGGGCGAGGATGCAAAATATCCAGCTATTACTGTTCAGGATATGGTGACTGCATCGTATAAAGAGAGCTATGGGCGTGCGGAGAAGTACAAGAAAGAGATGGAGACGAAGGTGGTTCAGAAGATGCCTGCCGTGGCTACGGTTGGCGCAGTTGGGGCGTAGATTCGGGCGTTCTACAAGTCAAGCCAAGTCATTTTATGTACCTATTACTATTTTCTGTATCTACTTTGCACCGAACTGTGTACTGGCTGGTCAATTGAATATCATTCTTCCACTATCTCTACTCCCATGGTATTCGACTTACGAAGCTAGACGGAAAGTCTGCTTGTAGATTGACACAAACCTCCGCCTCTGGCGTCTACATTGAACACCCTTTGGTCCAAGCTCGCGAGTCCCGGCTGCTGGCCTCAAACTCCCTCACTCAAAACGCCAAAAGTGGGGGATCAGGCCATCATATCGCATCTCGCCCACCTTTGCTATCAATCTAAGCTGCCGCATTAGTCTGGTTTCTATTGGTCGATGCTAAATGTCAGCATGGCCTCCAGCCCTAACCCGTGCAGGCAAGGGGGTATATGAGCAGAGCTGGTTTAGCAGCAGAAGCCCTTCATCGTCAACTTTACAATGGACGAAATACATCATGAAAAGAAAAGCTCTGCTGGCCCGGATATTCATCCAGATGAAGATACGGGAAAGGTCATTGCTCTCGATGACTGCGAAGTCGAGCAGTTTTATGGCTCTTCTACTACACAGGCCTACCGGCTCAAATCGGAGCTGGTAGGTAAATGCATGGAAGAGATCGGCATGGGAAGGTAGGCTTCTGTCTACACGCAGTTATAGAGAAGATCTAACGAAATCAGATTCCAATGGAAGCTTTTCGTGGTGACTGGATTTGGTTGGATCGTGGACAACGTACGTGCTTCCATTAACACCATGAGAAATATTTCAACCTCATTTAACATCAATCTAACAAACCTCTTTTCCATCTAGTTTGCATCCCAAGGAATCGGCAGCGTCCAGCCCCCCATCGAGCAAGAATTCTCGGACATCACCAAAGTAAGCTACAGCTCCGTCGCTTATTACGTCGGTCTGATTCTCGGGGCCTCGTTCTGGGGTCTCTCGAGCGATCTGATCGGGCGTAAGCCTGCCTTCAACTGCACGCTTCTCATCGCCGGTATATTCCTGTGTGCCACTGCCGGAGCGACGAATTTCATCGCGTTCAGTGCGTTTTGGGCTGTTATAGGTACCGCGGCCGGAGGCAACGTGCCCGTGGATTCAATGATATTCTTGGAGTTCGTTCCAGGGAGTCACCAATACCTTCTCACGGCCCTTTCTGCATGGTGGAATCTCGGCCAGTTGATTGTCTCCTTACTGGCATGGGTTTTTCTGGCCAATTTTAGCTGTCCGACAGATGCAACTCCGGAGACATGCTCTCGTAGCGAAAATATGGGATGGTATGTGAAGATCTTTGAAATCTACCTTTCTCTTTGATCAGTCACGGTCTTAACTTTTACTACTTAGGAGATACACGATGATCACGCTCGGAGGTCTCTCCCTTGTTTTCACATTTGTCCGCATGTTCCTATTCAAACTCCCCGAGACACCCAGATACCTTCTCTCCCAGGGACGAGATAAAGATGCCGTAGATGCCGTGAACTACGTCGCAAGACAGAACGGCAAACCCGAGATACTAACCATCGGCATGTTCCGCGAGATCGATGCTCGACTGGGCATGGTAGTAACAATAAACGAAGAGGAGATCCACACAAAACTCTCCGCCAAAGAGATCATCTTCGAGAATATGGATGCGTTCAAAGGAAAGCATTATCGGGGTCTATTCGCAACACGCAAACTCGCGCGGCAGACCATCATCATCTGGGCCGTATGGCTGACTGTTGGTTAGTTTTCATTTCTATCACAAGCACTATTTTTCTAAACCATGAAGTTGACATACATTATTTCCAGGCATCGCATATCCACTATACTTCAACTTCCTGCCGTCGTATCTGGCTACAAAGTTCACTTCAGATTCGTCCCTCAGCTCGACATATCGTGACTACTGCATTGAATCAGCGGTGGGGATCATCGGACCTCTATCTGCAGCCGTATCCGTGAACACCCGTCTCGGGAGACGATGGATGATGGGTCTATCGGCAGTGGTGACAGCCGTATTCCTATTTGCCTATGTGGGCGTGAGCAATCCGACATCGAGCTTGGCATTTTCGTGTGTCACAGTCCTTCTGGCCAACTTTGGTGAGTTCATTTTCAGGAGAAAGAATACCTGAATGAAGTTCATTGACTAACAACTATCTACAGAGTACGCAATCATGTATGCCTTTACCCCAGAGTCATTCCCAGCTCCGCATCGTGGGACCGGAGTAGGTACTGCTGCTGCTTTGTTGCGATTTGGGGGTCTTGTGGCGAGTTTGATCTCGTCGCAAACTGGGTTTTCCAGTGCGCCTATCTATGTCAGTGCCTCGTTGTGGGTTCTTGTTGGTATCTACTGTCTGGGTATACCGTATGAAACCCATGGGCACGATGCGCTGTAAGGAGGATGGATTATGTATATACATATACGTGTTTCATGTCTACTAGTATGCATGAATTTTCTCAGTGGTTATGTGGAATTGACATCCGGATTGTAAATAATACTCAACATAATGCCTTTCTGTAACATGTCTCCAGGGCTGGGAGTAATTGAGTGACCTGTTTCCATCAACGATAGTTCTTATAATTTAAAATCGAAATTTGTAGGAAGATGAGGACAATTATTCCCACATAGTCCACTCGATCCCACTTGTACGCTCTCTACGATAAAATCTTGCTCCCACTCTTTCATTTGGAAGGTCATCTGATATCTATGAAGGGAAGCCGCGGTGATCCTAACGATTCGTATAGAAAACCCAGTATCGGACTCAATCTCAAGCCTAATCTTGATTCGCATTCCATGTGTTCAACTTAAATCTTCTGGTCCATAAGTCCGCCAAAAAACAGCACTGCGGTTATGCATGCACGCTGCACCAACCCCCACCCTTGATATAGCGACTCCAATCATGGGGGGAAAGCTCGATAGCCGACCTCGCAACCCCTCACCCCCTCTTTATCTTGAGTGACCCCGAATCGCATTATTAGAAAGCAATTGATCCTCAGAGAACTTTGTTTCCTATTTAATCTTACGATTGGACTGCAGAGCCACCATCGACTATATCTGACTACACTTCCTCTCCGATTGCAACCTCAACATCAGGTCAAAATGGGCAAAAAGCGCGTTCTCGTTGGATACGGCGTGGATATCGACGCAGTAGCTGGATGGCTGGGTTCTTACGGTGGTGAAGACAGCGTCAATGATATCAGCCGAGGTATATACACCCGATCCCCAACACTTCACCTCATTCCACTTATGTTCACTTTCACTTTCACTTTCACGATTACGAAAAGAAGAAAAAGAAAACCAGATGAAACCAATACTTGATCACTACTAACTAGCCCCCCACTAGGTCTCTGGGCCGGACACATCGGCACTCCGCGCCTCCTCAAGCTCTTCTCCAAATACAACATCAAAGCGACCTGGTTCATCCCCGGGCACTCGCTGGAGACATTCCCGGAAGAATGCGCCCAAGTGCGCGACCAAGGCCACGAGATCGGACTACACGGATATACGCACGAGAACCCGACCTGCATGAGCGAGGAACAGCAACGCGACATCCTCGACAAGACGTACAAACTACTGACTGATTTCTGCGGCAAGCCGCCGCGGGGCATTGTAGCGCCGTGGTGGGAAGCCAGTTCGGAGATGGTGGACCAGCTGCTGGCGTATGGGATTGAGTACGACCATTCGATGTCGCATGAGGATTGCCAGATGTATTGGTTGCGGACGGGAGATACTTGGACGAAGATTGATTACAGCCAGAAGGCGGAGACGTGGATGAAGCCGTTGGAGCGGGGGCAGACGACGGGATTAGTTGAGATTCCGGGGAGTTGGTACATTGATGATTTGCCGCCGATGATGTTTATTAAGAATTCGGCGAATAGTCATGGGTGGGTGAATCCGAGGGATGTGGAGGATATTTGGAAGGTGAGTTACATGGCGAGTTTTGATGGATTGTACTTTTTTGCTACTTTACTTGGTCGGGGTTGACTTGAGATACTTTTTTTTTTCTCTCACAGGATCATTTTGATTATTTCTACCGTGAGTATGATGAGTTTGTCTTCCCGATGACGATTCATCCGGATGTATCTGGCCGGCCGCATGTGTTACTTATGCACGAGAGGTAAGACGAGGGGCTTTCAAGAGTCTGGTGGGGTAGGGGGTACATGGATTAGAAGCTGACATCTGGACAGGATTATTGAACATATCAACAAGCATGAAGGGGTGGAATGGGTGACATTCGAACAGATGTGTGATGAGTTTAAGAGCAAGAATCAACCACCCGAGGGTGCGGTGATGCCGGCGGCGCCGGGGAGTATTCTTCAGAAAGAATGAGTTTAGTTACAAATTCATATTTTTGACTCGAGTGTATTTGTCTTCTTTAATTCAGGCTGAATCCCGATTGTGATGTGGACTAGAAAGTGAATCAGAGATGATTAGAAATGATTAGAAATGATTAGGGTTATATCAACTGCTAGTATACAGTATGCTTGAGAGGCTTTTTCATTGATAATTATTAATCAATGTGTTTTGTGTTTGTTCTGTTTGTTCTCTTTGTTTAACATGTGACTTTCTCCACTTGATTAGGTTTATTCTTTGAGAATCCTGTCTTCTGATTGGTCGGGGAAGCGATGACCAAGCCCTTTCCATGACCTGAAAATTTGGGTGATCGGCCCGTTTTGGCCCTTTTGACCCTGCTTTTCACGGGAATGATCGAGACTACTGGAATAAGGATCGAGGCTAACACAGAGAAGAAAACTGTTAGAGATGTGATAAATCAAAGTGAAAAAAAATAAAAAATAAAAACTCCCAAGTGACACCTGATGCGCCTTCTTTTTTCAAAGAACCGAGAGTGTTAACCGACCGGAGTACGACCGGACGGAAGCCACGGTACCAACAACCTTTGCCCCTTCGCCTCCCGCAAGGACCCAACAAAACAGGGCAGAGACTCTCCAATCAGAGATGATCGCAGTTGTTCCCCGAGTTTCCCGAAGCACAAATTGCAAAACCGTTTGTGGTTCTTTCCATGTGGACCTGACGTCGGCAGAACTGACCATGTTACTACTCTGTTACGGACCATGTTACCCCCAACTGAATTTCTATGGAGGTTTATACGGATTACAGGGATTCATCCAAAAGACAAAGATCATAATATAGATTATCATCGTATTGGGAGTATAATAGAGTACAAAGTCCGATCTAGACTTGTGTAAAGGCGAACCGTGCGACATTCAATTAATCTTCCAGTCCTTTTGTCCTGTCCTTGTCCCTAAGGTTCTGATGGTCTGGCAACGGTTGCTCAGCCCCTGTGTGTCCTCATTTGGGTTTTTGTTTCTTTCTTTTGACGGGAAGATGCTTTCCCTAGAGAGAAGTTCAGCCAAAAAAAATTAAAGAATAAAGAAAGTGAGTAGCTAAACAAAGTAGAGATCACCGTAGAAAAACAAGGGAGAAAGGAAGAAATGGATGGGTCAGATTGCATCATAAGCAGAAGGGACCCCACATGAATCCCCTCTCTCAAAGTTCCCTCCCCAGGCACTCCACCGGCCCTGGCATTTGGGATCTAGACACATGCCGATCTCGCACACATAGAAAACTTTGACTAAACTCCTCATTTCCGATTCAAACGGACTTTCGTTGAGTAGAATGTTATCGAAAAAAAAAATTATTAAAAAAAAATGGGGTAAAAAAGGGTTCGGGAGGGGCTTGGTCACACAGTAAATCCGTGTAATCCATTAGGGTTATAATTCAAAACTATTCAGAGTACACCCTGGAGTAAGGTACACAGTATAGTAAATACTTCAGTAGACAACTGGAGTAGAAAGAGAAAGATAGAATGGAAGTGGAATTCCATAGAAGACACTTGAACCATAGAAGAAAAAGCAGTAACCGTGGTTGAGCTTGCCTGTCAACCACCGGAACTGAGCGGAGTCGGTGTTTGGGTCTTTTTCTTTAACCAAAATCCCTGCGATTTATGACTGTTTGCCAATTTTTTTAGCGTCCTTTCTTAACTAACCTTGACCGTTGCCTCTTCGTACTCGCCCCCAACGCCTTTTTTCTTCTCTTAATCTATTTCTCACAGGGATTCTTTTTTTTTTTTTTAGAAAAATTTAGAAAAAAAAAAAGAAATCTCGGGCCATAGAGAGAAAAAAAAAAAATACGCAATACAACGAACGAAATACCTGGATATTTTTGGTCACACCAGGGTCGTTCCTTGTCAGGCGCATTATCACCCGCCCGTTTGCCGATAGCGAACCCCATTTCTGCCACTGCAGCGCCATTTCTGCCATTTCTGCCATTTCTGCCAGTTCCTGCCAGTTCTGCCAATTCCTGCCCAGCCAACTCACTTCGCTCTCTTCATTCCGGTTCCCCCGAACTCTCCATCACACCGCTTACCCTTGTCCCTTTACTCATATTGCGCCGGGTTTCCTGATGCTACGACAATCCACCGACATACCAACTACGCAATCTGTTGCGGATTCGCAATGCATAAACTGTCTCACTTCATCGACGCGCGAGATTCCTTCGACACCGTGGACTCCCGCCTCCCATCTCTGAGCAATACATCTGCTCCGGCCTCGCCGGCCTTTTCTTTGTTCTCTGCCACCGGTCACAATCGCGTCTCCAGTTCGGTCTCATCCTTGGTCCCCTCATTAGCCATGGACAGTCCCAGCCGAAATCCCCTCTCCGGTGTCAAAGAAGAAGATCTTGCTCGCGACTCGTTGGAAGATCAATATTTCCGTATGTCTTTCCTTTCCAATCCAACGTGGAGAAAACCTTTGCGCGCGCATCATGTATACGCGACAATGGCAAAGGTGACCGTTTTATCAAAAACCAATGTTTCACTCTTATTAACATCTGTTTTTTCCCCTGCTTAGAACATTTCGATTGTGGCATGTCCACAGAAGAACCCTCTTTCCCCATGGACCCCTCCGATGGCTACGACTTGAGTGATGCGGGTATGGACTTTGCGCCCTCACCGAAGAAGCGTCGATCAGATAGTCTATCTATGAAGGGTGTCTCTCGTATCAGCTCGCACATCTCCACCATGTCAACAAGATGGAAGTCCAAACGATCCTCAGGCAGTCCCGAACGAGACGTGTTCCCGGACGATCTACGCTCGCGTGCCAACTCAGCGGCCTCCTCCGCCCTGACAAGTCCAACAATGGGCCCAATCAACCGCATCGACTCCATTCCCCCATCCCCCGCTCGTACCATCTTCGAGGAGCGCATTAGCGATTCTGGAGCCCGCCCCATCGACATCACTCGCGCCAACAGCTTGAGCCAAGACGACAATGACGGCCAGGCCACCACTCCCCTCTTACCCCCATTCATGGGCGAAGATCCCACAAGCGCTATCGCCTCCCGCGTTCAATCCCCACTTCAATCCCCATCCGTCGCCGACGTGAGCGTGACAGATTTGCCAAAATACGTCATCTGCTCCGAGTCCCGGTTCGCTGGCATCCCGTCACCGCCACTATCATCCAGACCCTCCATCGCCTCTATGAGCCGTCCACGAGCCAGCACCACTTCCCGCATCGTCTCCGGTGAAGTCGCGCCCTTCATGCTATCGGATCCTAACGATGAATGGGCCAATAAGCTCGGCCACGCCAACTTCACCATCCAGCCGGAGCCCTACGAGCCATCGACTTGCAATCTGGACAATTTCCACCTGTTCCGCGCCGACTGGGATCTCGCCCGCTGTAACTTTGCCAAGCACCTCGTACGCACGGGCGAACACTACGGCACAACGTCCAACATCTTCAAGCTTACCGGCGAGAAATGGGAGTTCCTGAACCGCCAGTGGCGAATGCAGCATGATGCCTTGCTAAATCAGCTCGAGATGATCGACGGCGTCGCTCTCACATTGACCCAATCAAATCTCCACCGCTGCGAGCAGGAAGTCCGGATCCCACGCCTACATGATAACGACAAGTTTCCCGAAATGGGCGACGAGGATATCGTGGGCCCAATGTCCGTTGCCCCGGCTGCTGAGACTCGTGGATTCTGTCGAACGAAATCCCTCAAGAAGCGCAACTTCTTCAAGTTCTTCCAGGATCTCGTCTCGCGCCCATAAACTCGGCTTCAACACGAGCTTTTTTTTCACGGCCTCATTTCATTGCTTGACTCTTTTGACGCTTTATACTCCTGCTTTTTTCCTCGAGCGACATCGCCTACGATAATGACCCTATAGACTTACCCAGCGCGGCGCCCAGAAATATCCATTTTCGTGGATATTATTCTGGACGATCATGTCCGCCCATCATGACATAATGTCTCTCCATCTTGTTTTTTTCTTTGTTTTGTGATTTTCTCTTTGAAAATTTTTGGGATTTATTATTTGATGACTCACGACTTCACGATCCGGATAATGTGACTACTGATCTCGCACCGAATCATGCCTTTCCTTCGTCTTTCCATTTTGAGTCATGACTTTTGTTGTGCATGTGGATCTTTGTGGAGCCTTTTTTTCTCTCCCAATGCTTTTCCATTCCAACCCAGGGCTGCATTTTACGACCCGTCCGTTCCTTTTTTTACGATATACCCAGCCTTGCATTTCACGTGTATCGCATAGACTACTAGACTACTTCATTTCGAGACATCAAGCCAAAAGCGTGTCTTCTTTTCAATCGTTTGTATATACATATTTCTTTATCTCTTCGAGATGGGATGCATCTTGTACACAATACATCTTATCTCCTACAATACTTTGAACTCCCGCTTGAGTAGCGATTAGTCTATTGATGTAAATCAATGCCTATATGCAGTAGAATACAATTGGGTTCCAAGGTCCCTGCCACGTGCAAGGCAACCTTAAACCCAATACTGACCCCAAATCTTACGCTCCTCCTCCGTTCCCTCAAACCGAAACTCTACAGTGGTGATATCCTCGAATCCCTCTTCGAGACGTGGCTCCTTGTATCGGCGCTGAAAATCAAAAAACGCAATCACTGGAAGAGATGTGCGCGCCTCGGGGTTCTACCCAAAAAGAAATCAGTCAGACACGAAGACGGCACAGAATCAACACCGAAAGCAGGCAAAGAATGCCTTCGGTTCCAGTAAGGACAGCAAGTATAATAAAAAAAAGCAAATGCAAGGTAAGGTAATGTAAGGCAAGGCAACGCAACGCAAACGTACCATTTCTTTGTTGGCAGCTCGAACGGCATTGTTGTGCCTGCATAGTTCGGGCGGAGAGAGAAGGTGCACGCAACGAATCGGAACGGCCAATTCCTTTGCTAGCGTAATCCACACGAGTCTTGTCTCCAGGTCTGCGTTGGTGTTGTCTGCGTTGGAGCAATATTAGTGGAGGTGTTGGTAAGCATGGTTGGCGGTGATGAGCTTGGCGGTGACGATGAGCAATGTTGGTGCCCAACCAACTGGAGCTTGAGTGGAGACGCGCCGAACAGAACTGAACTGAACTGAACTGGCACGTTTGGCACGGCACATGTGCCGAGGAAGTATATGACTCACCGATAACGACGGATTTCTTTGCTTCGAGGTGTTCACGGGCTACTTTGACGCATTTTGGGCGCTAAGATGTGATGGGTTAGATGATTGGTTGGCTTTTTCCTTAGCGGTTTAAATTTAACCGGTGAAGGTGAAGGCGTGGACGCTGTAGTTAATATCATGTTTAACTTACCGACTTGAGGATGTCTTGATTGACTCGTTCGTAGCCCAATGGCTGTAGATTGTTCCGGTAGTAGGTCGATTTCCCTGATGCTGGGCTGCCACAGAAGATGACCAGTTCTTGGGGATATTTGCGAACAAAGGCCTGGGGGACTAGGTAGCAAGTGAGAGCTTGTCAGCAAGTTTGTGAAATGAATGACTCGTAGGTGCAGTATCACATACGAGGTGCGCTTGGTTCTGCCTTGGTGTATGTGGCGGGATTGAAAACCGTAACGGGGTTTTCAGGAAACCCTCGAAAGAATGCATCTGGCGTCTGGAAGGTCAAACCGAGATTTGCCGCAAACCCACTATACCAGAAATTAGACTTGTCCTGATAACAGTTGCAATTCGATGAAGCCTTACAAATCTGAGGCAGAGTGGTCTTTGGGACGTCCAGCAGCATCACCCACAAAGATGGAGTTCTCCTTGTCGATACCTACAACATCCAGATCCCAATCATCCACAAATTCCTCCCACATGCCTGTTCGAGGCTTCCGGTATTTATCATCCTCGGTAGCGGCATAGACGCTCATCGGGATTTTCAAAATGGACATGATTGCCGCAATTTTCTCCTTGAAAGCTGCTAGACTCTTTGATTCAGTCTTTCCGGCTTTGACATCCTTTTGTATGCTGATTTTCTTCTGGTTGGAAAAAATGACTAGTTGGTATCTAGACGATGTTAGAAATTTTGTCTTCTTAGTTGCCGATGAGAGGTGAATACCCTTGAGCATGCAATTTCCTGAGAATGACAGTGGTAGTGGCTTCCCACCATTTCCAGTCATCTGCAGATCGAGGAAAGACATTTCCCGACTTAGTCTTGATCAACGTTGAGTCCTGTCATCAAAATCAGCAAGACTCCTTCACTATCGAATGCCCTGTACGATCCGTCACAGTCCAAATTGAAGGCCACTGACGAGATCAAATGCCGCAATCTTTCGATTTTTCTCCGACCATGTACTGGGAACATCTTCGGGTGTATGCTTGCCGATGACGAGGCTAGTCCCAAGAATCCGCCATGTCATCGGTGCTGGCTTCCTTTGTGAGGCAGGGGTGAAAAAGGAAGAAGCGGACGGCTCTTGAGAAAAGATGATATGTCTATCAGTATCATGGAAGCTTGTTGAATCGGTCTAGATGCGCTCACTGCTGATATCCGACGCAACCTTGCGGCGGAGTGGAGGCGGGGAGATGCTCCGAGTGGGGGAAGCGGTTCGCTTGACTCCCCCTTCGGCCATCCTGAGAGCTTTTGAAAGGGACGTGGTGGAAGTAGCCCGGGCTGAGGGCGAGTGGTGGATGCTTAATAGTCAGGGTTTGTTTGAAGTTAAATGATGCTGGTTTTCAGATGATGTCAGGACATCTGGAGCCGACGCGTACAGCCGACGCGACCTTTCACGAAGTCACATGGTCGATCACCCGAAATGGCGAAATACATCAACTCCAGGTCAATTGTGAATGACTGCACTTTGGTTAATATTTATTTTGACAGACTCAGTCAAAAGCAGCCCAACATGTCTATTCTCTTCGATTCGTTCAGAGAATATGGCTGTCTGAATAAGCAACAAATTTCCTCTTGCCTCGATATGCGACCAGTTCACAACACTTGTCATACAAATTGCGTGGATTGCGGGTGAGACCAGACTGGAGAATCTTAAGACAATGCCGAGAGCAAAAAATACCATGGCCAGTATATGCATGATAGAGTCGTGGGACCAATGTGAGGGAAAATAGAAAACCCAGAGCACAAAGAAGAAGGAGGAGGAGGGGAGGCCTGGGAGAAGGAGAAGATATCGACAATGCCGGTGCACATATCATACCCGAGGTCCAGCGTATATCTTGATATACCAAGACACAGACATGTCCACCTGGGCAGGTATGGTAACAGAGGGGAGAGATCCCAGGACCGCTTAACAAGAAACAGAGTGGGAATTGATGAGAAAGTAGGTATTATACTCAAGATGTTATTTCAAATGTTGGGAAGAACATCTGGAGGTACCACAACATTGCATTATCTCAATGTTATACAGGGCATACAGGAAGTAATTGAGAAAGGGACATACTCAATACTCACTAGTAGGATGGGTATGTACCATGTACTCGAGGAGACATCTGGATTAGAAACCCAGAACTTATTGACAGCACAAAATTTAGTACAGGGTAAGATAGGCACTGCATTCTCAGTACCCACTAATAGTATTCGCCCTACACAGTCTGGAATCTCTCTGCCAGCTTCAAATGACTAGAATTTTATACAGATGGTCGGTTGGAATGTAACTCAAAACTTCAAATGTTCATTGGAGGCTGCCTCTCCGGGTATTTATGACAGCCGGGCCTAAATGCAACACCTTATAAGACTTTACTTGGCTCTAGTATCTAGTGATAGACGATCCGCCTGCTCCAGCTTCACAGCAGATTTGAGCTGTTCTCGCAGGCCGAACAAATGCTGGGAAGCCGTCTTCATGGTCTCCTGGTTGCTGCCATCTTGAACATTGATGGATGCCTGCAACACATAGCTCCCAGTCTGTTCCAGGGGTGCCATTTCTTTGAACTCGGGAAGCTGCTGCCGAGGCACACGGGACTCGTGGTCGGTAGCAGGGTAATGCAGCACCCGATGCAAGAAGATAGTGATGTCTTTGTGGATAAAGATATCGCCCTCGACCACATACTCGGTCACAAAGCTGCGTAGAATTGGATTAGCATCTGACAATCATAAGATCCACATTTATGAACTTTAATAATAAAAAGAAAGAAAGATCACGCCACGAAACGTACCTATAGCCCCACGCATTCATGGCGGGGACGATATCGCCCCGCGGCAGCGAGGCGCTGGCCATGACACGAGCCGTGACAGCAGATCGGGTTCCTGCTTCCGGAATATCTCGAAACTCCAGTTTCCAGGGTTGTTGGTCAAAATCATATGAAACTGGGTCGGTGGGTTTGGAAACATCCATGCCGGCCATTTGGGTGTCAGGATCCGGGGCCGGGGCGGCCCCAAAGGCGGAGTCTGAGACGGGGCCGATAACCTGGGTGTAGAACATGCCACCATTGAGCATCTTGTTGACGCGTTGCAAATCTCCTGACTGCAGGTCTTGGCTGCCCCCCGTGCGAACGGTGGCCAGACCTGGTTTCCGATAGGCCTTGAAGATCAGCCGACGCTCGAGGGCGTGGCGAGGCTGCATGGCCGTCAGCCCGGTGAGCTGCTGAAGGAGCTCATGATGCTGATGAACGGGGACCGAGGCGAACAACAATAGCTCATGCATTTTGATGAAGATTGGTGGAACGGGCGAAGTCGGGATGTGGTTAGTCAGGGTCCAAGCTTCGAGTGGCGGCGATCCGAGCTTATCAATTCCGATCACATAAACTCCAGTGAAGAATTGAGTAATGAGATTGTGCCCTTGCAGAGGAAAATCAAGAAAATAAATTGAACAGATATGATTTTCTTGTACTCTTGTTCTTTTTTTTGGTCTTCTCTCTTTTGAATATTTTACTCTCTTGGACAATTCCAAATAAATTATATCAATCAATTAGAATATTCAAGTGAGTAAAGATAGAGAGAAGAAAAAAAAAGTTATAGTAATGTCAACACAAGAACACCAGGTGGAGAACCAGAAGCAGAAGATCCAACGTTAAGTTCGCGGTAGAACGTCTCACGGGGAAAAATAATTGGCGCTTTGACTAGGTAGATCCTCGCAGGGACGGGGAAGCTTCACCGAAGAATCGAATTAGGCAAAGGATCGGATAATGGTGTCCGTAAGCACCAGGCAAATTGTATTATGTGCCAAATGTACCAAATAGCGTGCGGGGGAGAAGATGACAATCATATGAGAAATGCCGTTTTCCGTTCTCCGCGGCGCCGGCCACCAATAGTGTAGCCAATGGATCTGAATTGCGTGACTCCAAGAGAGCAAAAGAGATGCAAAAGATGCAAAACGAACCAAAAAAGCAGAAAAAAGCAGAAAAAACCGTCAACTCAAACTTCGGTTCCTCATCGGCTCCGAGCGGCTCATCCCAATGCGGTAGTCCATAGCCAAACCATAGATTTCTTACTTTTCCTTATCTTTTTCTCTTTTCCCCCTCCATTCACTCCTTCTCAAATATCCTAAAAGAAAAACACGATATCCCCATATTGTACGAGATCCAGATATCACATATTCCAACCTCCATACAAAAACTCACCAGTCCGCTACTACGCTACTCTTCGCGTCCCGGGCTAGTTCGGATACAACCGGGCCCCATTGATTTCGCACACTCTGTGAAATTGACCACCTTCCTTCACTACTACACACCTCTTACCACCGCCACCTCCACCCCCACACATCTATCAAAATGCGTGCCACTTTCGCCCTCAGCAGCGCCTTCCGCACTCCCTTGATCCGCTTCGTCGGCAAGCGTTCCGTCCCCAGTACGTGGCAATGCCCTCCCCACCTCCTAAACCCCCGGGAGGAGCTCCTCCCGAAGCTCTCCCAACCCTTCCGATAGCTATTGCCAACCCCCGAATTCCGCGCTAACATCAATCCTTTCTCCAGAGACCGTGGACCACACTCCTCGCGTGCACCCTGCTTCCCCCGAGCGTGCCCTGCCTGACTCCTTCGCTTCCTACCGCGCAAAGGCCCAGCAGCACGGTCCTCTTGGTCGCTCTCAGTTCAGCGGTGGCATTGGCGGCATGCCCGGTGCGGCCCTTGGCCCTGTCCAAGCTGAGGCTGGTACTTTCTTCGACCGTGCCGAGCTCCCCACTCGCTTCGGTCGCTTGCCTTGGACCGAGGCTGAGATCGAGGCCATTGAGACCGGTGGCGCGAGCATGTACGCGTAAATAAGATTACCCTGATCTTGTTTTCTTCTGCCGGCGGACATTTTTGTTTTGTTTACATATTATACCATGAAGCGATGGGGTACGGTACTTCTGTATGAAGTTGTGCGATGGAATATTGATACCTGCTGGTGATTGGGTGTCGCCATCGCGATTATTGGAGAGTTGCACTCGAGGCTTTGAGTTCTTGTGCATACACCATGTACAGGAATATCCAGCTCTCATCCTCGAGGATCATCTACTCTATGGTCTATCCTGCAAGTCTGAACTCTCCCTAGGCATTTGGAGACGTTGCTTGCCACTTTTTTTTTTCCCTTTTATTCTTAACTACGGTTCACTCCTGTTTTCTTTGAACCTGGCGCTGGTGGTCTTTGGGGTCTTCTTTTTTTTTATCTTCAGGCGACGGAACACAGAGCTTCTCGTCTTGCCATTGAAAAGCATCGAGTGTAGATGTTCGATTTTGGGTTCACTGTCACATATTCTGCTCTGAGAGCATTTGGTTTGGAACTTTCCAAATCCAATAAAACTATTTTTTTTATCTACCCATCTTCATGCATAGATCTCTCTTGTATACCGTATATGGCATTCTTCTATAGGTCGGAGAACGCGTGTTTCCCCGCACGTGCCCTCCCTAAGTCTGGGCTTCCGATTCGTGGCTCTTACATCCTTCGACATTGACACGACAAGATGGCATCTCAAGCCAACAACAGATTAGCCTTTCAAGAGACAGACGAGACAGACAGTCCAACCGCGACCTATGTCTTCTCCGAGCAAGATTCATCAAAAGGATCCCGAGCGCGGGTGGATGTTATGGTAGGTCTTCATTTCCATTGACCTGGATCATCATTGATATCTGGCTCAATTGCTGTCTCGATCATGTACATTATGAGTCGTTCCACACATACAGGGGATCATTATGGTCTCATAAAGGGGAAATCGGTCCTTGCTGGAGCCCAATGCGATCTCTGCCCTAGAATACCGTGGCATATATTCACCATGGGATTTATAGACTAACTATGTCACTGATCAGAGCTCGCCGCCTACTTCATCATGGTCCGCCAAGCCTCTCGTAACCACGCTGAGGGATATCTTTTTACCATCCGGATACCCTCAAAGTGTGAGCGACGACTATCTACCGTGAGTAGTACTTGCAAAATCCATGCTTATTCAATGTCCAACTGAAACGATTTCAACCATACTAACATTGTATCGTTAGATATCAAATTTTTGTGAGTTGCACGGTGTGATACATAGTAGCAACAACAAAAACAACCGAGGATCGGTGGACCGTCATCAGAGAGCTGAAGCTGATGAAACATCCTACATTGTCAATAGGATTCCCTGCAAGCATTCTGCAGCTCCATCGCCGGCCTTCTCTCCTCGCGAGCGGTATTACAAGGTCTGTCACGAACTCCAGTGAATCTAATAAATTTACAACTTTTGAATCCCCAGTTCAGCAGACTAACCATAAGCACCTCCAGGAGTCGGCGTGGGCAATGCCAGCGCTTCACCAACAAATGCTCTCCTTCTGCACATCCTGCAAGACTCCTCCGGGCGCGTCGCAACAATCCTGTTCGCGCACAGAGTCGGCACAGCGCTTGAGCCGGAATGCAAGACATACCGACTAGCAGCAGATGTGTTCAACGACATCGCCATGATCCTCGACTGTCTTTCGCCCATGGTGCCGGCCGGCGTAGCGCGAGTAACTGTCCTCAGCGCAGCCGGGATCCTACGAGCTCTATGCGGCGTAGCAGGCGGAAGTTCAAAAGCGAGCCTGAGTGCCCATTTCTCGCGATGGGGCAATCTGGCCGAGCTTAATGCGGTAAGTTCGCCGTCCTGACTTCTCCTAGCTGGCGATTACATACTAGTAGCTGTGGAAACCGAACTGATACATCCTGTTACTACTCCAATAGAAAGATTCCTCTCAGGAGACTGTGATATCCCTCCTAGGCATGCTTGTAAGAGCCCATCACACCATCACACCATCCTATCCTCCATGCATCAATCGCAGTCCGCTTTTCAGCCTTTTCAGCCGATGCTAACAATAACCACCAGGTCGGTTCGCTCGTCATATCACATATAACAGGCTTCAAAACCACCTGGGCTGCGCTCCTCGTCCTCCTCGCAGCCCACCTAAGCCTAAACTACGCCGCCGTGCGCGCCGTGCAAATGACCAGTCTAAACCGACAACGAGCAAACATCGTCTTCTCAGCCTTCCTCTCCTCACTCGACGACAGCCTCCTCACCACCAACCAGAGCACCAGCAAACAAGTCACCAGCAACAACAACAACAAGCAACCGACAATCCTCACCCCAGCCCAAGCCTCACACCAAGAACGCATCTTCCCCCGCGACGGCGTCCTAGAATGGACCCCGTCCCCCTCCACACCAAGCACCTACCTCGGCACAGCCGAAATAGGCGTATCGCTCCCCCAGTTCCTCACCACCACCCACTCCCATCCCCACTCCAGCACGACCACGAGCGGAGCATCCTTCCAAACAAGCATCCCAATGGAAAAACTCCACAAGCTCTTCGCAGACGAAGGACACATCCTCTTCCTCTTCCCGCGCGGCAGGGGGCAAGGCACGGCAAAGTCCACCTGGCACGCTTCCATGCTGCTGAAGAAAGGGTGTTCGGTGCAAGCGCAGCTGAAAGCGTGGATGCATGCGCTCTTGGCAGCGCGTGTTTTGTCCGAGTCTGAGGTGCCGACTGATGGGGGTGTAGAGGATGTTTTCTCGGCTGTGGAGCGGACGCTTGGGGTGTTGAATGCTGGTGCGAGTGAGCGGTGTTTTGCGGCGTTGGCTGGGGTGGGGTGGGTGCTTGATATTGGGGCGTTGGAGACGCGGGGTGGACGGCGGGTTGCTTGTGTTGAGTGAGGACTTGGGGCTTGGTAAATAGTGTGCATAGTATATCGTATAGTAAGTAGTATGGATTATGAGATATTATTCCATTCAAGCTGCAATCAATTGGTTTATTCATCACGCTGGAAGGACCAATCTGGTCTTGGTAGTGTACAGGTGCAAGCAATGCTTCGTGGGATAGTGAAGGGCAAACCACCTAGTGAAACTACTACGTAGTATGTAGTCCAGCTCTTGCTTAAGCACTGAGACAAACAACTGCCAATTTACAATGCTACGAAGAAGCAGGAGAAAAGGTTGAGAGGGGTATCAAGTCTATCAATTCCAAGAAGTATACCGCACCATGCTATCGTAGCAAGCTATAGACACAGATCCACCAGTGCCAGAGATGAGGAGAGCATAACAAAAACCAGCAAAACGCCCTCGCCCATCCAATCAGTCTATATATGAGATATGGGAAATTTTTCCAGGGTCGTAACATGGACAAAGAACAAAGAACAAAAAAAGCCAAAAAAAGCCAAAAAAAAAAAAAAGACGCAGACATAAATGCTCGCTGAACAACAGTTCGAACAAAGCAAACCATCCAAAAAAATGACACATAATGAAGTCGAAAAAGAAAAAGAAAAACGCCGTGTTCGTATGCTGATGCATCGTGATTCTCATACACCGCCAATGTAAACGCTAGCAAATCGGAGCATGTCGTGTGTTGATATGGTATAAAGGTCATGCTTGAGGGTCATGCAAATTGGACCCCCGAAGGGATCGTTGAAGAGAGGGGGAGGTGGGTCGTGGGAATTTTGAGACAGGGGTAAGAGGAGAGTAATCGTCATGTCGGAAGTGGGTATTGTGAGACAGGAGGGGGGGATAGCGTATATGATAAACAGGGTGGATGGATCCTAGTCGTCCAGGCCGAGGATTTTAGGATCACGAGAAGACGCACTCCCGGTAGAGCGCTTCTTGAAGCCCAGCTTCATGCCCATCTTCTTCCACGGATTCTCAGTGCGCAACTTGGGACTGTGCATGGGAAGATGAGGCTCGCTAGCGGGCGGGGTGGTAGGCGGGGTCATTGGTTCTTCTGCGGTCGGACTAGACTGAGGACTAGTCGAGTCGTCCGTGAGAGCCATGGCTATGGAGTCGCCGCTTGTACTGAGCAGAGCACCGGAGGAGCGTTTCCCGACAGCGTGGACGGCGCCGAGGGAGTGGTTGTTGTTGCTGCGGGTGTTGAGGGAGCCGGGGAGATCCTTGATGGAGGACTGAGGCGAGATGCGCTTTACCCTTGAGCGAACGCGGTTGACCAGGTGCTCTTCCAGACTGGTTGTGGACAGGTTGATGGAGTCGTCTGCGGCGAAGGGGGGTTCGGAGGGGTAGACTGAGGGGGAGGTAGTGTGGCTGTTGAGAAAGGGCAGGAAGATAGATTCCTCCATCAACTCGTGGATGTTCTTGACTGCGAAGTCGAGGGTGTCGGGGACCGGGGGGATGATTGCGTTTCGGTGATCGAGGAGGCCATCTCGGACTTCGCTGGAGAGGTTGATTTCTCGCGGGGCGCCGGGGAAGATGTAGGCCATCAGTAAGCGCTGCCAGAGCATGTGGAGATGTTGAGCCTCGGGGGTATCGGTTGTGACGGCGGTGAGACCCAATCGGTCGACCAAGGTGTGATATGTTTCCCGATAACGTTTGGCCTCGAGGGTGAATTCGAGGGTTTCCAGACAATGGTTTTGGGAGAGGTAGGCCATGAAGGCACTAAGGGTGTATGGTGGAGGGGCGGTGTTGGCCAGGACATCGTCGAGGGATGGTCGCATGGGACAAAAGGCTCCCGACGAAACGGCCAGACTAACGGGTCGGGAGCCGGACGAGTCCATATCCTCGTCGGAATCACTGTCCGACGAGGTAGGGGATAATTCGGGGGTGGTGGATGGAGAGAAGTTCCAAAAGAAGGCGGGCGCCAAGGTCTTCTTCTTCAGCATTGCGGAGAGTGTTCGGCGGGGTCCCTGAAACCGACGTTTTCTCACCGACCCTCCCCTATGTGATGGACGGGACTCCAGTTTTGTTTTATTTACACCGGAGTGGGAAGACGAGGGTTATTGGGAAGTGGTGAGTAGTTGAAGCATGTGAAGTGGTTTTTTTCACTTGGTTAACGTGTAAAAGGCGAAATGGGGGAAGGAATGTATGGGCGGATCAAGTTCTAGATAAGTTAGGGAAAATGCCAGAGAAAAAGAAAAATTGCAAAAATGCCAGAACAAGACAAGTCTCCACCCGCACTTCTGGAATGAATTTTGTTCGGTCGATCATGACGATACCCTATGTAATTCGTGTATTAACCTGGTTTGGGCCCAAGCAGAGTGGAGTCTCTATTTTTTTTTTTTTCTTCTTTTTTTGTGGCAAGCGTATTTCAAGTATTCGTATTTTTTTTGTTATACAGTTCTAACTAAACCTGGTAAACCTGGCCAAATCCCTTCAATTACTCAATTACCCCAATACCTCAAAAAACGCAAGGGGCTTTACCTTTTTTCCTTTCCTGCAGGGGGTAAAGGAAAAAAAAAAAGGAGAATTAATAAAAAAAAAAAAAAAGGAAAGAAATTCCAGAAGGTGCGTGTCAATGTCCCTGAGCGCGTGGCGATTTTCATACAGTACAAGGTCTCGAGAAATTCGAGAAACCCGAAAAATTCCAGAACAAGACATTCTCCTATCAGCTAAAATCAGCCAATCTGTGGGCTCGATGGCCCCACGATGTCCAACGCAACGAACGCTAAGCACGCCATTATCCGGTCTCGGAATGTCAATCGTGTTGACCCACGGTTCAGTATCGGGCGTTTGGCCAATCAGTGCCAATCCCTTGCATTTCCCTCCAGAATGCTTCCACGTCATTCCCAAGGTTATAAAGAACTGAACCAATGGAAATGAAATCAAGTGATTTCCCTTGCCCTGGCGATCTCTCTTGTTTCAAGCTTTCCATCGATTCATGATAATATAAGTAAATCTAATGTAGAAGTAAAAGTACTAACTCGTGCATCCAGGGGAACAGTGGCAAAGAGAGGCGCTCACTAGTCATGTAGGAGCTTTTCGAATACATATTTCAGTATACGCCGCGTTATACATGCTACCTTGTCAAATCCGTCAGACCCGATCTGTAGAATTCTAGAATTCTAGAATCCCCGCCGAAGCATCTTTCCTTATCCACGATCGCCACACCCGGTCGCCCCGAGACAACTTCTTTCTTTCTATTCCATAGTACACTGTACTATATGACACTTCAAATGGTGCCTGGATCTCCTTCTCTGCCTAATCTGCCTAAATCTGTAAGCGCAGGGATCGCTTCTAAATTTTTTTTTTTTTTTTTTTTCTGCTGACAATCGCCACTTCCTAAATCTTCCTTAAACGCCCTTCTTCCATTTGACCATCCTTGTCTTGACTCCGACACCACGCATGCCAAGCCAATAAATGTGACATGGGCATCGTGGTGGAGGCTTGTTCCTTTCTATTTTCCTTTCTCTTTTCTTTTCCAAGGTTCTCTCCCCCCCCCTATTTAACCCGATTCGGTCAATGGAGGTCTGAACCATTGTCCGGAGTAACTACCACTTTCCCGTCGGGATACTTTTCTCTCTCGGAGCCTGACCCCAAGGCCGAGAGAAACCGAGAAACTCTGAAAATCCGGGACCCGCAAGAGGATCTCAGGGACCTTGGCAATAAAAGATCCACTGAGTCACTGATAAGCAACTTTTTTTCTCTTTACGCCGACAGCGGAGAGTTTGATAAGATAAACTTATCTGTATAATGGGGTACTGGTTGACTCCAGGTTTTCAGAATGATAAGGTTAAGGTGAAGAAATCCATCTACGATAGAACCCAGTTCAAAGTTTGGCTTTCGTAGCGTGACATGCGACATGAACCTATCTGCAGCAACCCAGTCTACTGCAGTTTTAGCTGCAGGGATTTGAACCAATCCCCAATGACCGATAAACCTACAGAAGGGAAAAGAAGAAAAGAAGGGAGAAAAAAAGAAAAGAAAAAACCGGAAAAAATTGGGGTAATAAAACGAAATGAAATGAAATAAAAATAAAAGGTCGGAGCCAAACAGCTAGCATATCCCTTGCTCGAGCTTCCAACCTGCATATGGTCTAGAGCAGCACCTCTCCTGTACTCTCCTGCCGGACGGCACAGACCTTACAACCCTACATGAGCGCCGAGAGGGGAAAAGAAACGAAAAGAAAAGAAAAGAGCTCGAGCTCAGCTCGGCAAACCCAATCTCCCGCGCTCTTCTCTTTCCCTTCCCCCCTAAGCACTTTCAAAAATGAAAATACAAAAAAAGGGCTTGAGGGGGAAAACCCCAGAGAACCAATCCAACCCCGTTCCCCATGCACACTGCTACAAATATAAGCAGCCTCTCTTAGATTCGGAGTCCACCTACCATACACGATCTCTCATTTCCCTCTAGTCCAACCAAAACTCTACTTGGCACATTCCCAATCCACAATTTCCCCGACTCTAAGACCTCGGTAATCAGCAAGGATTCCCCACATCGTGCGCACGGGTTCACCACGCTTTCCCTTGCTGGTCAGTTTTGTGACTGGTAGGATCCTCTCACGCTTCTAGAATTACGCCAGGTCGGCTGGAAGCGACGTGTCCCAAGCCTTTCCTTGCAAGGGCGTATGGGGTACCTTAGTACGAATCGATAATACGGGGGAGCCACAGCGGGAACTCTCTTTTTTAGGTCTCGTGTCCTGTACTCTGTGGTGTTTATGGGGTATGCATGTGTGTGCATGTATGTATAATGCAGTACTAGTGCCTCCGTATGAGCTTCGTATAAAAGCGTGGGGAAATATTCAATGTTCAACCTGCGCGATTATTGGCTCGTCCATTTTGCTCTTTCGATCGCGTCTGGTTACACATAATTTACTCTTAGTGCCCTCATGATTGGATTTTTTTTTTTTTCAATTCCCAGCGGAGAATCACCCGCTGCGGGTTGTTAGGGGATTCAGTACTGGGGTGGGAAAATACCTCAACGTCTACAATCGTGCTCCATAGTAAGAAACTACACAGTACCTGAGGGAAAATCGGCACAATAGACGATCATACGGAGAATAGAACGTCATTCCCAACAAATCCGAGCTATCGTATCCAACCCCCAAAATGACGTGCAGCTAGGATGCATCGGTAATGAACTTTTCCGATCGGCCAGATCGTGAGATTCGAAACCGGGGGGCTGAAAAAAAAGGAGGAGAAAAAAAAAGAAAACAATCAACAACATCAGATCATCTCCTCCCCGAAATTCTGGAATATCAAAAGTTCCAGATTCCTTCGCCAAACAAACTCCACCAAGCACAGTCGATCAAACGGAACGGCAGAAGCCGCGAATGACCTCATGAGCCCCACCAATTGGCCAAAATCTTGATTTTCAACGAGACTAAGGAGAGAAAAACCTATCGAAATAAAATTAACAATATGCGAATCGAGCCTGAAGAGTTTCACGGATCTTCGCTTATGTCTCTCTCGGGTCGGGTCGAGTCGAGCATGCCAAACGAGAGAGATAGGGGCAAAATGACAATGACTAGTAAAGGCGACAGGCGAAAGCCGAATCGAATACTAGCGATAGACCACCACATACTTGTAGGCGCTACTTGAAACAACAGCTGAACACAGATCTCGATTTGGAATTCAACCTCGTGCCCTAATCGTAGGTACTGTTTTGCTCACGTGGATCCACACTCTTGAATTCAAAACCGAGATTCCAATTCCAGTCTAGCGAACACTATCTCCATCATATCCAACTATATCTTGGAAAAGAACAAAGACTTTACATAGGCAAAACGGCCAGAAAAGTGGAAACATATCAAGAACAAGAAGTAAAGTGGAGAGAGAAAAGACAGGGGAAAACATTTCCTTGATGCCAAAAAAAAAAAAAAAAAAAAAACTGGATGAAGATCTGCGCTAAGAAGAAGCTCCGTCTGGAGGAGTGTAATTGTGGGCGGCTGTATTTGATTTCAGGCCCATCCAATCCACAAATATCATGCTATCAGGATTTCTGTGTTTCAACGGCGACTTCCGAATCCTTCAGACGGATCCTTGTCCACCACGGTACCTACGCTAGTTGGGATTTAGTCTTAGTTCGTTAAAGAGAGAAAAAAAGAGAAAAAAATATTCCTTGCGCTGTGCGCAATCTAGCCCCCAACTTGATATAGCCGCTGGCCCTGATGATTTTTTCGTTTCAGGTTGATGAGTTTGGCAGTCTCCACGATCTGATGGAAGATCTAGACCTTACCGGGCATAGTAACGGAGGCTGAAATTTATACCTAATATCCACTGCGGCGGTTACCTGTTGCTGGATTTGGATTTTCAAGTCTTGTTCTGTACGTACCATTGAAATGTTTTCATTTTGTTGAGCTTTTGTGTTTACAATCATCAGTTCAAGACATAATGTAACTACATAACAGCGTAGCAACAGTAAAACCGTGCCTGCATATCGTCTTTTCTTCTGATTACTTGCAGTTGAATTCGTACATGCACGTCAACTACTGAAACATTTACATTCCATACTCAAATGTCCGAGTAAAAGTGTAGTAGTTATAACTTATAACACCAGGACCAACCTTGACATATCAACCGACATCTCACTCAAGTGCTACTTTTCTACACCCGATTTCCACCCATACTCATCAAGCTTGATCCGCCGACATACTCTTATTCTCTAAACACTGAAAGATAGGACTCGAGGTGCGAGGACTACTTACTCGCCCAATAACTAGCATCAAACCCATCCATCCACTCGGTGAATTCCTTTCCAGAAGCAACCCATCCCTTAATACCGCCCTCCAGAACGAGGCTCTTCAACCCGGTATCATGTTCTTGCTCAAGGTAATCCGCAAACCACGCGGCCGCGCGAGTCCCGCGTCCTCCGCTAGAGCCTATACATTACAATTTAGAAAGGTCAGAGAGGATCCATTGGAACGCCACCCGCTTAAGGGAAGTATAAACCAAGCGAAATAGGGCAATGGGAAAACAGAAGAGATGAACAAAGAAACCCATTGAAAAATTCAAAATCCACAATTTGAAAAAAAAAAATGAAAAAATTTAGAACTCACCGCAGTACCAAATCACTTGTTTGACCTTGCCACCCGAGATAGCGGAATGCAGACTAGGCAGAGAAGGGAATAGACTCTGGGCTGGGAGATTCAATGATCCACGGATAGTGCCACCCTAAGTCCAATGACCGAGTCAGCTAGATTAGTTCCTAAAATTGTACGTACATACTAAGCTATATACGGTATTCCGTACGGCACCTGGGAGCAACCAATCAATTGATTAGATTGGCCAAGATGCCGACTCGCATCATGTTCGAGTATCATCTTCCCATTCATACCTCAAAATCATTGCGTCGCAAGTCCACCAGAACAAAGTCTTTTCTCCCCTCCCTCAACCACTGCAACACCAGCTGTCTCTCAACACCCGGCGCAGTGGATTTGGGGGCCGGATAGGCCGCATGCCATGGCTGAGCCGTCGGCGTACCGCGGGTATTTTGATTGGATGAGGTCGTCATGGTATAAAATCGAATTGAGACGGGTACGGAATAGATTAATGTTTCCAGGCGAACACAAGGCAGAGAAAGTGAGAAAGAAAACTTGACTTAACCGGATTAGCACCGCTGGCATGAAAGAAAGTGTCAGGCACGGGGGAGTTTCCCTCGATTACTAGTGGCATTCGATGATTGGCTCGAATACAAAAGGTCCCGTTGTTTCCCCGGCAAGAGGTCACATGGACTTTCACTACTAGCGATCTGGACGTTTCAACTGGTTACATATGTATGGGAAAGTCTGTTTCCTTGAAGCTAAAAAAGTAACCGCTACCATGGGCTCTGTGTGAGTGGGTGAGATATACCGAGAACTCCGAGTACTCCGTGATTTCAAATCTCGGGGCTTGAATTCGGAATTAAACAACCTTGTGAAAGTGATGGCGTCAACTGCCTTATCTTACGCGAGTTTCTTTTTTTGGGCTTTTTAATTTTCTCTCTCTTTTAGCTGCTGGGTTTCATGTAGAGAGTTGAGTTTGTCAGGTCAGCCATTGAATCATTAGGGTCAAGCCAGAGTCAAGCCAGAGCTATGCATTCTGCGGGGTACATCGGATTAGCGTGCATTTCAGCCTGAATTGACAATAGGAGCTGCGAGTCGCGACAGTGAATACTAGCTGCAACAGATTGCTAGCTATCCCTCCCGAGGACCGAGGTCAATTGCTTTTCTCTCTTGCTGCCCAAGCACATTTAAAAGTGCTGTACAGAGTTGTATAAGCCCGCCTAACATACTAGTATACATACTCAAGCTCTAAATATCTAGTTAAATCCCCCAAAAATGTAGCTGGATCTCGATTAGGCCCTTCAAGCTCCAAGTAAGCCCTCAAACCTTCATCTTCATCCTACATGCTGTACATATCTTCAATCGGCCACTTGGGCACTAGATCGACAGCAGGCTAGTACAACCTTGGACATCAAGCCTAGTCCATCCTCCCTGAAACGATCTACCTCGTGAGGCCCGAGCAACATTGAAAAAATCCCGACACATTTGAAGGTTATCATTGATCCCCTCAAGCATCATCCCGTCCGGAAGCCCAAACACCACGCACCCAACATTGAAGTACATAGTCCCCTCCGTCCCAAAAAAGCATCCATCATAATGCACGCACGCACGCACGCACGACCCCATCCGGCCACAGTATTCCAGCCCATCAACGAAAACGACACCGAAACCCGATCGCTGCAGAAACCCCCGACTCCACACGACATACGACACACGACACAGCCACGACGATCCCCAATCAGCCCACGCCAACCAAGCCAAGTCAACACAAAGAAAAGAGAAAAAAAGGAAAATAAATAAATGTAAAGAGCCAAAAAGCCAAAAGCCCAAAAAAGAAAACTAAAATACCGTGGTTGCCTGGGGGTCTCAATCAAAACAGAGCAACGTGCAGCGCCAAGAGCCACCACAACATCCCAAATGCGGGGGTAAAGCAAGCTAAGTGGTCCACAGCCAAAGCCCAAACTCAATCACGGATACAGCTGAGGCAAGAGCCCATGAGGAGAGGGGAACTTCATGTGGACCATGACATGATTCAGGGTTTTTGAAAGTACTGTAGTACCGTACTGTTTACATATGGGGACCCGGGACATCTGGAAGGTGGCATGGCATGGCAGTTCGGAAGCCCACTGAATAACTGAGGTAACTATGACTAAAAAAAAAGAAACTGAAAAATGGGACCACCCACTCGGTACTTTCGTGCATGTATGGAGCCACATTTGAGGTCTGGGGGTGACCTAGCTTTCAAATTTAGCTTGAATGTTAGCTTCAATGTTGACTGGTGCGTGCCGCATCAGGAAGAGATATCCCATACATCCCTGTTCTGCGGCTTCCTCCCCGGGGAAGGGTACACATTAGCACATCCTGTTGAAGCGTTTATTGGACGTTTTCTTTTTACTGGGCTTTCCGTACCGGGGGGACATGGGGTTTGAGTTTTTCGAGTCTGTTGGACGGGATGTATAGTATCAGTATTGTAGTAATATTATATCAAGCGTACATACAGTATTCGATATTGACAAGGGTTCGTGGTGATGACATTTGGATATGATGTGTGAAAGTTTATGTCGATCGCGTGGTGTTTGTCTACATAACGTCAATGTACATACTTTGATACGCACCAGGGTCAAAGTTGAGATCCCTGTTCTGCAGTATGTCATTAATTCCCAAGGGCTTGCTTATTTGTGGCAAATGGATATAAGCTATAGGCAACATGTAAGGGTAGTACATACTATACTAGTTAGTAGTAGTAGTAGTAGTAGTAGTAGTAGTACATTACATATAACTTTACTAACGTGAAAGCTAAGCCGGGTGGCGCATCTTTCTCTGAGTGACATACTTCTTCTTTTTGAATGTGGCATGTCTCTGAAGTGGAGGGTGATTGGGTGACTTGTGCTTTTGCTGATTGGGTGGGACTGGGATTGAGTTATGTCCCTTGCAAATTCTTGTGATACTGGTGATCACCTCGCCACTCAACATAAGGGTATTCACGTCAACGGGTTTGCCTATTGGGTCTCTCGGCCTCCCTTGATACATAAAGCATGTGCAGAGGATGGCACGACATTGATAGATGGTGTGATGCAGAGACATGTTTTGGGGGCGTCGTGCTGAGAACATTTATCAACTACTATTACATAGTAAATATATACTAATGATATCATAGCCCTAGGTAATTACTCGTAGAAGATGAAGTAGCCGTTCCAAGCCATAGCAACTCGTTTCCTAGGAGCAACTGTGACGGGGTAATAGATTTCTTTGAGCCAGCAAGTAATTGAGTTGAGGCGAGTGGCTTCTGGAAACAGAAATTTGTTCACTGATGTCAGAGCCTGACAGGCCAGTGATCCCGAGTTTGCACAGCTGATCCTCATGATGAAACACAAATGGGGAAATGCTATGGCCATATGCACCAGGCCATCTCTTTCTATGCAGATGGCAGATTGATCAATTGAAAATGAGGTCCATCATAAACGAATGTCAGTCAGTATACGTAATTGATGTGCAGTGAACACGGCCTGAATCATCTGATGGGTCAACTTGATAGCGAGGGAACGCGCGCTTTTGACAATTTCAAAAGCGCGCGTTCCCTCACAAATCAGTCTCCCTCTACTTGACAATCAGAACCAATGCAATGCCGGCTAAATCTAGACTCTGCAGGGTATTCATTCTGTAGGACCTGATGTGGAGCTAAAACTTACCGTCCATGTGGACTAGCGCCGTGCGGTTTACATATGTATTTGGGTGGGTAACTCACATGTGCATACTGTTGGCCCTCTACATATACATAGGAAGTTGGCATCAAGCACTGGCTGTCTGTCTGTTCAGAGATATGGCTTCAGACAAGGTTGAACGACCTATTGCCCTAGTAAAATTGAAGATAGTACGTACATCTACGTTTCACTCTACAAGACCACTCGCAGATAAGCACGCAAATGTATTAGTCGCCTACTCCGAAAAAGCAGGAATTATGTACGCCGCTCGGACGCGTAAAGCTCCAGGCCAAGGCATCAGAATCAGAAAAAAAAAAAAAACACACGAACACAAAAAGAACAATGCTATCTTATGCCAAACACTACCAGAAAACAAAACAAAGAAAGACTCGCTTCTGAAACGGAGCAAGAGGTAAACAAGAGACAATTATAGACACGGACAGTAGATTCGACAGGGGGTGAAACAATTAAAAGGGCAATCCAACAAGAGATAAAGGGAATAAGACCAGGAAATATGTGCATGCGTCGTTCCGCCCGGTTTGGTAAGACGGGGTTAACATCGCCATGTAAGTTGCAAAACACGGCAAGTCCCCCGGGGGAGCAGGAGGAACGACAGGAGGTCATGAGGGATAGCCCAGAAAATAAGAGTCCAAAATAAACGAGGATATGCAGAAAGCCCATCCTGCACAGCGCCAGAATAAGATAGGACCAAAAGCTGATCCTATGAATCGTGGCAGAAAGTCCGAAATGTGGTCGACGAGTCGTCAACCGTCGTCCTCTGTACAGGGAGCCATCCATTACCCGGTTCGAACAAAGCAAGTAATAACTTGAAGTGTATGATGTTATAACCGGGGGCAGAAATGGACGGCCTGGCAAGATCCTCAATCTAAGATAGCACCTCCCAGAATAACAGTCCGCAAATGTGAAGAGCCAATTGAAAAATTGAGTCTCGAAATCCGCTCGTTACCATGAAATTTTGGGATTAGACGGTGAACGCCAAGTGTAGTGATGAGGATGCAAAAATAGACAACAAGACAAGAAAAAGAAATCTCTCAAAAAATTCGCCGTTCCCAGCCGTGGCACCGTGAAAAGAAAAAGAAAGGGGAAGGATGAAGACGTAAGCATCAATGAGAGAAAAATCGTTCTACCCACAGGCGATTTGTAGGCTCAAGCGTCGAATGGGAAGAAAGAGTGTCAGAAGGAAGAGGGTGGCCATGTATGGAACTGGTCATCACTTGGAGAGAGAAAAGAAAATATCCCAGTGATAACGAGTCACCTAGTCAAGATGGCCGAAACAAAAGAAACCAGACAGACAGTCCCATGCCGACTTTGTCGTTGTTATTCTTCGGCCGTATTCGAACATTGTGGGCAGAGCAGAGGAAAAAGAAGGCCGAGTCCAATTCAGTATACCGTGGCGTCGCGTCATTTAGTTCGAGTTCAACCTGGATCTCGAAAATGAGCGGGCCGCGGATGACTGAAGGAAGCCACAGCTAGATCACCTACCGCAGCAGAGAGCCTTCATGACTTTCTGTACGAAAGTGGGTGGCTGGTCGTTATTTCCTTGCACGCCGCCAACCTGTTGATTATTCAGTGCTTGGTTTCCGGGGCTGCCGTGGCGGGGGAGATGAGCGTTGGAGTTCTGGAACTGGGCTGTGGTCGACGCTGCCGGAGTGCCGGTCTCCATGCCTCCGCTGGCACGCTTCGGGGGAATGCCGCCGCCGCTTTGGCGCTCTCGGGGTACCTTGCCAGGTCCCTTGGCGGGAGAGGGAGGAGGAGGCTGCGCGGCGTTTAAACGATCGGCCGTCACTCCCGGTCGTTGTTGACTGTGGCGCAACTGGCTCGCGTGGAGATCGCGCCCCGACGAGCTCTGGTGCTGGTTTTGGAGATGAGCCTGGGACGAGTAAGACTTGTAGTCCCATCCACGGCCATTGTTCAGCTTCATCCAGTCGTACTCTCCATCTTCAACATCTCCACCGTTCTTCAGGGCCTGGGTCAGGATATCGCGGAGGTAGTCGTAGTCTGGGGTATCCTCGAAGCCAAGGTTGCGCACGTAGCTCAGGTACTTGTTGAATTCTTCGGGGTAACCATCGCACAGATCCTTGATGGCGGTGGTTTGCTTCTTCTCTCCAATCTTCTCGTACTTCTGCTTGTTGGTAGCAGCCTTCAATCCCTGCCAGGGAAGACCTCCTCTCAAGAAGTACATGAAAACGTGTCCAAGGGCCTCCAAGTCATCACGTCGGGACTGTTCACGACCGAGATGTGTGTTGATGGACATGTACCGGGCGGTTCCGGACAATGACTTGCGCTCTCGGTAGGGGATGTGCTGCTTGGTCTTGGGATCACGGTATTGCTTGGCCATACCGAAGTCGACAACATGGATGACGTTGGCGGCCTTGGTACCCGGGCGTCCAATGAGGAAGTTGTCAGGCTTGATATCCCGGTAAATGAGGTTCTTCTCGTGGATTGTTTGCACACGCGAGAGCTGCAGATCGTTAGCTGGTAGTTCTACCTCAATATGTGATTGTAAACGTACCATCTGCTTGGCGACCATAACTACGGTCTTAGTAGAGAATCTACGGTTGCAGTGGTCGAAGAGATCTTCCAGACTAGGGCCAAGAAGGTCGATCACAAGAATATTGTGCAAACCCTCTTGTCCAAAATAATAAACATTAGGAATACCGGCTGCGAGACGAAATTAGTCAAATGACGAAAACAACATTCTCACTCTCCGTAATCGGCACTTACGACATCCAACCAGGATCTTGTATGTCCGGTACTCATCACGAAGCTGGGGAGCATCGCTCTTGCGGGGTTCCTATTTTTGGTCAGTTCGGCAAATTCGAGTGATGTGTACAGGGAAAGGGGTGGACACGCACGAATTTGATAGCGACCTGCTGGTTGTTGAGGAGGTTGGTACCCTCAAAGATGACACCAAAAGATCCCTCTCCAATTTTCTTGCCCACACGGTAGTGGACGCCCACCACGTTCGATGAAGAGGACGACATTGATGCGGGTGTATGGGTTGCGATCAGAAACTAGAATTGTCAATCACGGGGGTGATCTGAGGGACGTAAACACGTGACGGGGCACAGTCTAAACCGCAGTGTCAGCACGACGTCAAAAGCAAAGGACGCTACGAGCACACGACAATAATGGTTCATGTAAACATACACTGTAAAGATATCCGATCGTCAACCGAAATGATCCCAGTCACTTCAATGGATGCACAGCTCGGTCGATGTCGCCGGTGCGCGCAGGGTTGTTGAGCCGAGGAACGTTGTCCGGGGAGTGCTGAGACGAAGGAATGTGTCGAAAACTTTCCAATTGAGATGGAAGTAGAATTGGTCGAGCCGGGACAGAAATTGGAGACCTGGTGATTGGAGAGCAATGGTACGGGGCAATGTCTGGGGGCGAATCCAGTCGGGGCCAAGCGCAGATGCGGACGGTGGCGAACACGAAAGGGGCACAACGCTGGAAAAACGAAGCGAACCAAGACGATACACGCACCGAGGGTACTCGACAACGAGTACGAGCCGCACTGGTTGGAAGAGAAGGGGAGGGGAGAGGGTGGTGGAAGGGGGTTTGTGGATGTGGAAGAAGAGAAGAGAGGGAGAAGTTGGAAGAAAGGGAGCGGAGGGTATTGAGAGTGTATTTGGTACAGGAGACACCGAAAGATGCAGGTGCAAGCGCCGAAGATTGGCGATCCCGGGTGGTAATGACCCGTAACACCGTAACAAACCTTTGGAGCGTTGGGGGAAAAAGACCGGAGTCTCCTCCTTCTACACACTAAACTACTAGCGGCTACGGCTTCTATCAGAAGGCCCATTTGGAAGAACCAACTCTCTAGTGGAAAGTAAACAGTTGTCTATCAATACATGGCACAATCTGGAGGTCATAATTCGACGCATGAGAAGAAGAAAAAAATATGTACAAAAATAAAAATAAAACGTTGCTTTACTTAGGGCTTCGTGAAACACCCAATGGAAAGACCAATGTGCCTTGATACCCTAGGCTAATGCTGGCGCTTCCCTGCGTCACAGATCCTGCAGGCACTGGGAAACCCGGGAAAGTCCTTAAAAAACTTGAACACATGCACAAGGTATGAGTCGGGTGGTCACGGAATAAAATAGATATTTACTGATCACTACTACATAGTGTGGACAACCCCCCCCCCCCCATTTTTTTTTAGCTTGGGTTTTTTTGTTTTTTTTTTCTTTTGATTTCTTTACCGCTCTCAGGGGAGGTTGTCTGGACTCGGTCTGGAATGCGCTTAAATCAAGCGGTAAGATTGCGGTCTTGGCATCCGGAGCTTCATCGGTTTATAGTTAGAATCTAGATATGAACTAGATTTCATTTTAAGAACATTATTGTATATGGTGTACATGTTGATTTGTATTTTTTCATTATTTTTTTTGCCAAGCCAACATAAGTCATAGCTTCAACTGACAGCTGCAAAGGTTACAGATTCAGGGTGAGAGATTAATCATACAGTATTTGTTGCATTTGACACGTCTGCGACCCACTGGGGGCGATCGCTCGGGCTAAGATACGGTGTGAATGCTAGTTGTTTCAACTCGATAGCAGTCAAGCCGATCTATTTGCCGGATTCAATTCCCTGGGAATTCGGATCGAACAAGAATCATGATATGTCCTTGAAGCACGTGCTAAGCTAACATCAGGGGCCAGGATGCTTAACCCGGTATTCGTCATCAGGAATGCCCTAGGCCTCATTTTCAGGTTTCTCAGTGATGAGATCTTCATCCCCATCTCCATCTTGTTCACCATCCTGTTCACCATCCTCTTCTTCCTCGTCGTCCTCGTCGTCGTCATCGTCATCGTCGCTGTCATCTTCGTCGGAGCCACTTCCTTCACTGTCGCCGTCAGTTCCGGGATCATAGTCTTCTTCATCCTCTTCCTCTTCATCTTCAAGCTCCCGTTGAGCTTTTTGTAGTTCACTCTCTTCTTCTTCAGCGCCGTTCTCGGCAGCAGATCCATCCTGGTTTTTGCCCGCATTGACATTATACACCTTCGCGCGTCGGGCATCGGCTAAGCTTGCATCCTGCAGGCCATGTCGCTTAATGTAGGTGTCGATCCCACTAAAGTCGGCCTGATCGATCATCTGGAATTCGATTTCCACCTGGTCTTCCTCTGTGCCATTGCGCGGACGGGCGAGGAAATTCAGATTAAAGGTTCGCTGGAGAACAGACGTATATGAAACTGATTCGATCGTGTCGAAGGAAAAGAATAAAAGTGGCTTCTTGAAAGCGAATAGAATTCCAGTTGACAAGAGGAAGAGGTATCCTAGTAAGAAATAGACGTCAGTATCAATGTAAACCAAAACAACTCCAAGCATCCCAAGTGCCTATCTCAAGGGATACATACCTTCTTTACTGCCCCGGAAGGCTTTGACATGGTAGGCCTTCTCGCCCTTGCGGTGGGCCTCGGGGGTGGCGCTCACAAATTGTCTCTCATCGGGACGCACGACATTTGTGTTTGGCATAGTATCATTCAGCATCTTGCGAATCAAGGATTCCGCGGTTTCGCCCTCGTTGTGACCAACTTGTTGTCCCGACCCAGAAAATGCAGCCTTAGCTGGGCCATCAGCCACTGTAAAAACCATACAATCTAAGCCAGGTATACCCTCGGGCGGTGGTGTAATTCCATCGGCATATTCGGGAATAATACAAAAGTTGTACTGTTTCTGTGTCTTCTCCGGCACAGGGAGGCACAAGGCATGACCTAAATTGCAAGGAAATCAGATTAGTTTCAATGTTTCGTTCAATCCGATCATGCAAGGTAAAGAAAAGAAGAGAGGAGAAAAGAGAAAGATTTTAAAACACTCACGAATTCGATCCATGGGGATACCAAATTCAATCTCTTTTGTAGCCTGGTTTCTTGCGCGAAGCCCACCACTGGTGGTTATCTCAAGCATGAGCTTCTTGCGCTGAGGTATAGCAAATGAAACATCCTGCACATAAAATTGCACAGGGGCTTCAGAGTCTTTCAAGTCAGCAGCCAATTGCACAGTCACTGGCGGCTGTCCATTCTCTATTTTGCGCTTTTTCGTAGCAGGGCCGTTGGTGGGTGGCGGCACGATTGGGAGGGTTGTGGTATGGGCGGTCCTGGCCAGCAGGGAAGAGGTATATCGTGCAAGGTCCTTAAATAAGGGTTCATGGTGAGGAGTAGAGCCTAGAGAATTGAAATTGATTACGGTCAGTTGGTGAGCGACAGGGTGATGGTCGTCGCCATCGAGTGAGTGTAGATGCGCCGTTGGCTACGCACCGATCGCGTCGTAGACTCGTTGTTTTAGAGAGGGTTCGGTCGCAAAGGCCTCTTCAATCTCAACAATAGGGCCAGCAGCCGCATTGACAGCTGCGAATGCCATATTTTCCTACAGCTGCCCGAAGGTTTGAAAGCTGTATGACAGGGAAGGGCCGGGAAGAAGTTGAATCAAGAAGAATGATTGCCCCATGCGCGGAACTTTCTATCTCCCCTGGCGGGCCCGCGGATCGTCATATGAAAACCCTACAAGCTACATCATCGATACAGGCTTTTCTCATTATACTATAAGCAGTGTCTGCATAAATGAAGCCCTTTGGGGATAATTAATATAAATAACACTGCGATCACTTCACTTGAACAATCAGATTCTCAAAATGTTGTGAATGAACTCGAAAAATAAAATTGATATGGGTGCAAATTTCCATGCTAGAATACATTTAGGTTTATACAAATCGCTATCTTTGCAAATGAAGGACAAGTCCAGCCTTAGCTACCCGGTAGCGTTCACTGCGCTCAAGCAGAAGGTTGAACCTTGGCAGACTTGGTGGGCTTTTTCGCATTCGCCCCCATGAAGCGGCTGATGAAGTCGTTGGTCTCCTGGTCCATGATCACATTGCCATCAGCATCCAGTTTCGCCAGCTTGGCTGCAACACTGGCATTTGCCGTCGCCTGCTTCTTCTCGCCCCTAGGGGTCAATAAAGTCTGGCTCTTCATGTATTCCTGGCGGTATTCCTCCAACACCTTCTTCTCGACATATTCGGGGTCGTGCCGTGTGCGGAATCTGGAGTATTTGTTGCGCAGCTCATCAATGACAGTGGATGGGAAAGGTGGCTCATCCATAGAGGGAACCCAGGACACATCAGTCACTTCACTTCCTCTTGTGTCGCACTCGGACACCTCGATTGAGGGTGCAGACTCCGAGGGCCATGGGATTTCAATGTCCAATCCGGAGACGTATCGAGTAAAGCGAGGGAGTTTGCTTTCGGCAGATCGTTCCAGGAAAGGAGGACCGGCATAAACATGCTGGATTATGTGATCTTTTGTCTCGTTCCCCATCTCGAGGGCAATAACGTGTCGGACATCATTCATGGACACGGGCAAGCTCTGAGTAACGGTATCGGACTGGATTCCCATGGAGATCTTGGCGAATTCAGGAACATTGATCTCGGCCTGGATGATAACGATTCGTTAGTGATACTCCTCACTGCCGATTGACAGGCTCTCAACGGGTTCTAGAACGCACCTGGTTGATGTTATTGATGATGACAGTTTCACTATCTTCATTGACCTGGGTGATATCATTGATCTTGCCCTTGTCCCGCCCCCCGAATGACACAGACTCGATCTCCTACGGCGAACAGGATCTGCTTTCGGCGGAGGTGCTTGGGGATGGCCGGGGGGTGCATCAAGGAGACTTCGACCGAACCGTATGTAGTTGCTTGGTTGCCGACATGTCGCATGGGAGCCAGGGGTCCCTTTTCCCAATCCTCCCAGCGGGTAGCCCGCGCTTCCTTCAAGCCCGAGACCAAAGCTTTGTTGTAATCTTTTCGTACCCGGAGAACATTCTGGCGGTCCGCGACCTGGAGGGCTTGCTTGGCCCGGAAAATCTTCTTCTGTGCCTGCTTCCGGGCTGATGTAGCCCTCTGAACAACTTTCTGCATCTTGACGGGTAAAGGGGTTCAGCAATGGCCGACCGTGTGCTGCTTGTCAATAAGTAGCAATGCGCGGACGGAAAATTGCGGCCAAATTCACGACACGTGATGTGAAGGGAGCTTCATTATGTAAGCGATTTACACCTTTCCAAAAACAATTCAATGAACACGATAAATCATAGCTGCAAATTCCTTCGTACAAACGTTTCTGGCTATTTAAAATGGATAGTATTGGTATACTTTGACCTTTTAAAAATTTCATTGCCTTGCTGATTCTCTCTGATTGTGAAAAGGTGGAATCAATTTTTGGAAATATGTTCTAGTAGTTACTAATAACTATCATATCCGAACGCTCCACAGGCGCCGGTAACAACTCGAAAGCCTTGGAGATATGTACTTGGAACCTATTGACTCTACCCGAGCAGATACCACATGTATGGACGATATTTTGTAGTCTGAAAGACGCAGCTGTTCTTTGATATTCAACGTTATCTATGTTTGAACACGACAAGAGTTGAAGAATGATATGAGCTGTTTACATCTGAGCACTTGAGTATATAGTACTAATTCAATGTTAGCCTCAGGAGCCCCCGAGTTCAGTTCGCAATTAATCGATTGATCAGATCGTGCTTAAGAGCGATCAAAAAAACTCAATGCTGAACCTTCTCAACTTCCAAGATTGAAGATTGCAACCAACATTTGAACTTGAAGACCATTAGAACTCGGACAATTGGAAGATTAACTGGAGAGACTCCAAGTCTATGTGCCTAGTAGCATTTGAGGTATAGGTAGTACGCACCTGGTCTGATCCATACATAAAACCTACAATGAACCTTGGAAACTCAAAATGTATTAGAATATATGTAAGATTTCAAACTTTGATACTTACATGTAAATTGATGCGACCAGTTGACATCTAGACTGAACATTTGAAGTCATAGTATCCATGGATCATGGCTCTCAATATTGAACAACAGGCCCCTCAACCCAACACATGTATAAATGTATTCAACTGGACACATGACGTGTACCTCCAGGGTATTATTGATTTTTAGGCCAAGTGATTGATAGGTATACGTAATCAATGTGCACGCCTCTTAATATCATACAGGTCTTATCAATACACCAGATGCCTAGGCATAATGATCCACTCACTCAGACGCCACCAAGTCCCTGAGAATTTCAGTGGCGTGACTATGTATAGTAAAGTGCGAGTCCCCCATGTATTCTTTCAAGATGGCGTGAGGTATCTGTTCAGCCATGTAGCGCCCCAACGTTACAGGGGTGTTATAGTCCTCCGTACCATACCACAAGCGAATATTCCTCAAGTGGATTTGGTCCAGCTCGAATCCCCAGTCCGACGTCAAGACTCGGCCTTCGTCCACTGTGGCATCTACACCATGTCGAAAGCTCTCTTTGAGGGATGCCTGCAGGAGATGTAAGCTTTCAGGTGTCTCACAGAACTCCCGATCAGCAGGCTTCATGCGCTTCGTGGCACCAACCACGACCTCCCTCATCTTGACTGGATCCGAGCCCTTGACCATCTCGCCAAATACGGCATTCAGCATAATGCGAGCTAGCCAGGGTGCATACGCAAGGCAATTGAGCAGAAGTCGCAGATCCAATGTCGCACCTGTGGTGCCCAACCGCCAAGGACCCATGCCCGACACAACTCCCACCCCCAGCAATTCTGTGTCTGGCAATTCACGAGCACAGGCAAGAGCATAGGGGCCGCCTGCAGAGACGCCGAGGATATAGTAGTGGGCCAGATTTAGGTGTTTGGCCAGTTGACGGGTGTCGGCGGGCCAGTCCAGAAGCTTACGATTCGGCTGTGGGGAGGATAGGCCGAGTCCCGGGCGATCGATGCCGATGACACGCACGTTCACCTCGCACGCGGCATGATGAAATGATGCAGACTCAAATCGAGATCCGGGAAGGCCATGAAAGCGAAAAGTGGAGTGGCATTCTCACTGGTTGAGCCAAATTCAGCGAAGCCCAGGGTACGACCGTCGAGGAGAGGAATGGATTGATGAAGCCGTGCCTGGAGCGATGGGTCCTCAAGTAGGGAGCCGCTAGCCATACTTGTCGATCGGGCTCGGTGGCTTTTCACTAGCGAGGACGAAAGTGGGATTCCAGTAACTTTGGTAGGAAAAACCGGGGCAAGCTCCAAATAATTGACTGTGATTTTCTGGTATCAATTGAGATTTGTGTGGAGCGATAACAAGCTACAGTTTTACGTGGAGCGTCAAAAACAACGCTAGACCATGTCGCTTCTAGGTGCTCCGTACCTGTGCTAGCCTTGTCTTAAGTGCCCCAACTTCCCGTGAGAAAATCCTAAGGCCACCAGAATTTTGAGTATCTCTCAGCCGCTATTGCGGTCTAACGCTATTTTTAGTCCGGTTGCTTTTTTTTCTTTTTCTTTTTCTTCTTGTTCTTTTTTTCTTATTTGATCGAGAGAAAAAAAAGGCCACGCAAGACTATTAGAAATTCTGAAAATTCCTGTCAATTTTTTCTTTTGGATCTTTCCCCTCGTTTGGAACCATTTGACGGTCAAAGTTCATGTTTGGCAAGTGGATTGAATTGACTCGGAAACCTATACGAAAGTCAATTGTGATTGGCTTTGGTAAAGGGGAGATGTGGTTCCAAACGTGGACAAATTGAAGGCCCCTGGATCTTACTTGGAGTGCTTCGTAATCATATTAGAACCGATCCTTGGATACTTGACATTTCTACTAAGAAATGATGCAGGAAACTATTGAACTGATCACGTCCTGGGATTTTTATCAAATAATTTTTTTTTGGATGGACCTAGATATTAATTACAGAGGTTTTTTTAAGTGTTTTTATGGAGTACAGTTGGTTAAATTTACCAGCTCTAATTTGTTGAGTCTACTCGGTAAGTTAGTAAATGCTAACGGGTTTAGGAAATAGGATTTGATACTTTCTATTAAGTGAAATTCATTACATATTGAGAAACAGTCCCTTGGCAAAAAGAAAAGGTCATTACTTTCTCCCGAGGTCTCTCTTTGACATTCATTCTGAAACTCACCTTCTCCTTTCCTTTCCTATGATATCACATACCATACCTGGTCTACAAGCCACGGTGGCTGTGTCCCGGGAATCATAATGTGGATCTTTTTTTTTTCAATGTGACGCGGATTGTAACTTTGCTCAGCCACTCATAACCTGCTAGGGCTGGTGGTGTAATTGTATTACCATCCCCCCCTAATCAAAGAAGCCTAGCCACACATGCAAATACTAGGCAACGGGATAGGAGAACATTGGACCCAGCAGAAACCCATACATTAATGTAACATTTGAATAGGTCAAGACTCAAGTCTGTAGATCAGGTACAGAGAGATCACCTGGATGTCATACTTTCAAAAGTTACATAGTCAAATATATACAAATACTCTGTGAATTAAAAGCAATTAGCAAAAGAATTAAAAGAATTGACCACAAGAAGGCGTACTTTTGGGATTTTAGGGGGGCATAATCCATGAGAGGAAAAAGGAGAGAGAGAAAAGAAGCCGGAGCATCAGTTATCCGTTTAGAGTAGACACAATACCTGAACGGGCTGTACCACAACAAATACCAATACCCTGGGAATACGGCCACCGCCCGGGCAAGTCTGGCCTCTATCTCTTCCTCCACCTCCAAGTCATCAAATATTCTTCTTCTCCATCCCAAATTCTATTTTCTCCATCCCTCCGTCCTTTTGCTGCGACGTGGGTTACTTGCTGTTCAGATTAACCACCCTCAAACGCTAGTTTTCTTGTTGTTGAGATTTAACAGTACGATTCACCCTTTCTCTTTTCTCAAAGACAACCCCCCCGAGACGACCTCACCTGGTCCCTTTCTCATCCCTCACTCCCCTTCTACCCCCTCTCCCACCCCACCCCCCGCGTGCTCCATATTCAACATACACCTCATCGCAAGAATCCAACTGCGTATCGTTACTTTGATCTGGGATCCGTGTTCGCTGACTTTGTCTCCCTGAAGATGGCTGAGATCCGTCGCAAGCTCGTTATCGTAGGCGATGGTGCCTGCGGTAAGACCTGTCTGCTCATGTAAGTCCCCTGATATCGGAATCGGTCCTTATCCATGATCCTACCTTGATTTGAATGCCTGAAATTAACCATCCGTCTTACAGCGTCTTCTCGAAGGGCACCTTCCCTGAGGTGAGCTCCTATCTGATCCCGATCCTGATCACATGTCCTATCTCGGATCTACCGATTAAGCCCAATGTCTCTCCGCCGAACCCTATCTGATACATATTTTTCTTTTCTCATTGCAGGTCTACGTTCCTACCGTCTTCGAGAACTACGTTGCCGATGTTGAGGTGGATGGCAAGCACGTCGAGCTTGCTCTTTGGGATACTGCTGGCCAGGAAGATTACGACCGTCTCCGTCCTTTGTCATACCCCGACTCCCACGTCATCTTGATCTGTTTCGCCGTTGACTCTCCCGATTCCCTTGACAACGTCCAGGAGAAGGTGCGTGCCTCGGCTCGATAAGCCCCAAACCTCCCCCCGGTGGATCATGAAATCCACCGAGGCAAATCCGAACCTATACTGACGTCGTTTGTAGTGGATTTCCGAGGTCCTTCACTTCTGCCAGGGTCTCCCTATCATCCTGGTTGGTTGCAAGAAGGATTTGCGTCACGACCCCAAGACCATTGAGGAGCTCAACAAGACCTCCCAGAGCCCCGTCAGCGCTGACCAGGTAAGTTCATATCGCCATTCCGTTGCAGATCTTGAATGGCCCACTGATTCCATGTAATACAGGGTGAGGAGGTTCGCAAGAAGATCGGTGCCTACAAGTACCTTGAGTGCTCTGCTCGCACAAGCGATGGTGTTAAGGAGGTCTTCGAGGCCGCCACCCGCGCGGCCTTGCTTAAGATCACCAAGGGCCGCAAGAAGGACAAGAAGAGCTGCTTGATCCTGTAAACTACTTACTGTCGTTGAGGTAATCCGTCCCCACCACACATCCGTCAGGACCCGGGCCGGTTTGGTTCTTGAAAAGGGGGGAGGTGCTGCTGGGCCTTGTTTCTTTTAAGAGATTCGTGGATAATATCTGACCCCGGGTGTCTGGGCTACAGAAACCCTCTTCTTCCCCCCTGCAGTTGGTCGACCTTGTGTTTCTCTTTTTTGCTTTTTATTTTGCAGAATTTGTCTAGGGAGGCGTTGTCTTCATCATAACCCTGTGGGCTTTTCTCTTTTTCTTCCCCCCGTCTCCTTTTTTCCCCATTTCGACTCTGTGGATCACAATGACAAATTTGCCCGATTTCGTGGGCAGTATAAAACATTAAGAAAACCAACCCAAAAAAAAAGTGTGTGGATGGGAGAAAGCCTTTGGACAGTAGCGCCGGTTGTGAATTTGGACATCGCCACGACGACTCATGGGCTCATGGTTGTCGCCCTGTGTGATGATAGATGATTCCCGTTTCTCCCTTCGGATATCTCCCCTTCCAGCGAAGAGCTTGACTCTTGTTTGTTTCTTATCTTACTATATTGATTTCTGTTAAAGCTAATGCATGGAACATCTGGTCTTGTGATGACTTGTGCTCCAGTTTATTTTCAATCGTATCTCTTGCGTAAATTTGGTGAGAAATTCGCAATATGCCATAGCACGTAATTTCTCACATATAGCATGTTTTCCCGAGCTTTCAATGTTTCAATAGTACTGCATAGCGTGTGCTCTGGAAAATAGTATAGGCATTAAATTACAACAATACCTGAACTCAGGAAGCTTCAACATAAAAGCTCCCAGGGTCGTATGCTAGATGGCCAGAAGACAAGGTAGTTCTGTACTCTGTACTAGCTTTCAAATAGATGGTTTCCATAAAGGCAAGTAGACATAATAGCAAAAATGCAACTAAACCAAAAATTACCTGTTAAACCGTAATAACCCCTCAACGTACCGACGAGCATCTAGCCCCAGCCCCTCTACCAGCTTTGACGGAGTAGTAGTATCAGCACCACGAGGAGCGTAAGAAGACGACCCACCCAAGTCACGGAAGAAGCGCGCACCGCTGCTCATCCGATCCTGATTTGCAGGGGAAACATAGTCACTCGCTTTGCGGACCAGGAAAGCTTCTTGTGGCTCAGGAAGATAATACGAGGAACGAGTATCCTCAGTATCCACCTCAGCCATGGACGATAAAGCCACAGATGATGATGCGGAGGAGAGGGCTTGAGGTGGAGGCGATGGGGCCGTGGGTGGGATGCGGACCCAGAGGATCCACCAGCCTCGGCTAGTTTTGCACGTACGCTCAAGTTCCTGGGGCCGGGAGCGGGTGTCGATGTATGTGGATAAAAGGCGGTGATGGATGGCGAGACTCTCTATGCGTGACCACGTTGGAGCAGTTGGCGGCTGGGTGGAAGGTGAGGGGGTGCGAGGAGAATGGGGTATTTTGGGTGAATGGGAGGGGGAGGTTGTGTTTAGACTTGGGATGTTGGGAATGGTGGATCGGATGGTCAGGTTGGATGGATCGTAGACCAGGTCATGGACTGGCTGGGTTCGGGAGGAAAAGCGTTTTTTAGGATCGGCATTGCTTTCGGATGCCCATATGCGCGAGGCAGCTGTTGATGGGGAAGTGGATGAGAGTAGTGATTTCTGGAGAGGGCCTAGCTGATGGTGAATGCTGGTATATAGAGATGGAGATGAGAGAGGTGTTGTATTCGCATCGAATAAAAAGGTGAACATGAATGGCTGGTGCTGTATTGCTTGTTAGCTAGTCGGGTTTTCTATCGGATAGCTTGAACACTTACCACATAAATCACAGCCTCAAGCTTTCGTGGATCACCCTCGCCCCCTAAACCATCTCCTAGTCTAACATGAAGAGTTCGATGCACAATTCGAGTCTTGGGTTTGTTTACATCTGATTCGGATACTGACACCGGGCTGCCTTCTTCCAGGTCGTCCAGGGTGTCCAAATCGTCACGAGGGCCTAGAACAAAACAGCCAGGGTCATCATTCTTGGATTCATGACGAGGTCTGTTGGACCCATTGGGCGGTGGAGTTTGCATCGGTTTGATGGATGGATCTGGTCGCCCTGCGATGCTTGTGGATGACCTCGGCACCTCGGGAGCAGGAGATCCTGCAGGTGTCGATGCAGACTTGGTAGAAAGACTCCATGAGGACCCATATCCAAGAGTCAAATACTTCATGACCGCTTCAGTTCCAAATGCTGATTTGTCGCTTTTTGGATCACTTCCCGGTTGGAGAGACTCATCTCGCTCGGGCATGATCTCACCCTGAGCTTCCGGAATAGAAGGTGGTGCAGCCATCACAAGCGGACGTGGTATACCAGGTGTATGAGCCCGTTCAGGAGTTGACGGATCTTGACGGCCAGCAGGGTTTCTACCACTAGAGCGGTTTCTTCCACCATGTCTCCGGGGTTTTCGTCGGCGCAGGGAATTTGGGTCTCGCCCAATGCCATATGTCGCATCCCCATACCGATAGATCCACTCCATCCAATGCGAAACATGAGAAACGGACCGGCGCGATATGGTATCGACACCCGAAAATATTACACCGTCAGTTGGTCGGGGATCGGTGTCCTGTCCTAGCCATGGCTTTTCACCACCGAGCTGAGATGGGGAGTCCCCGGAATGGCCCGACGAGTCGCCGAATCTCGAGACAACCAGATCTATCAACCCATCTGTTCTTCCAACAAAATCCTCAAGGACTTCCCTCTCTCCACTGCCCCATTCTTCCTCTCCGACGCCGATTCCTAACTCGCCGCCCGCAGAGAGTTTAATCCCATTATAGATATCAACGATTGGATTTCCGGTCAATAGGAGCTCCCAATTCCATGCGAATTTCTCCCAAAACCTTTCGAGGAACAGACAGAATGAAGAGCGTCCGGCACTTTTGTAAAGATCGCTCATACTGAAGTCATGCAGAAGGAGGAATATCGAATGGGCTCGGCGCAGTTGCTGGATGAGGAGCTGCGGGTGCCCCATCTCCCTTGCCGAATAATGAAACCTGGTACTAGCAGATGCATCGTTCGAGGAAGATTGGGTCGGCTCAGTGGGTAATCGCGTGAGGTCGATAGACTAGCTTTGGTTTTAGCTGACATGTTTGAGCTATCAATGCTGCTGGCATACTTACAGCAACCACCCACCAGTCTTTCTCTAATTCGAGGAGCACCACTCGTGCCTTTTCTGTTTCGATATAGTCAAGGGTCTTGCCAGACGAAAAATCGCTGTAAAATAGATATGAGTCTTATATTCATCTATGCGCTTTGAGCGAAAGGCATCCCACCTGGCGAAGTTCACCATTCCCTGCGCCAGACCTATCTGGCGCAACCTCTCATTTTTGCCATCTTCTGGAGGCTTGATGCCCTCCTCTTCGGTAGGCGATCCCTCTGTCCGATGTAGGTAGTCCGATCTTGAGGTGTAGAACACGATTTGGTCTTCGATCGTCTCGTCGGTGGGTCCGAGGGTTGGATTATAGATGGCGAGAAAGGAGAGTTGCGCGGGGATTACCGAGCCAGCGTCGCTTTCCGGCATGGCATCGCTAGCACTTGCAAGTCACACTTGGCGATTCCGGCTCAGTAATTGGGAGACAACGAGGGTCGTCGTTGGAGCTTCAAGAACGTGGGACCGATGATGTTGACATCACGTGGCGCTTATCGATAAGTTACGAGCCTCGGAGGAGTCGGAGCTTCGGCGATGTTAAACTTCATGATCCCCAGATTTCTAAATACCCAAGATGTGGATCGTGCGGGGACCAAGTGCTTTTGCTTCTTGCAGAAACATCTATGCTTCTCAACGCCCGAATTGTCGATTTCTCGCCACTCGGTCATATGAGCCTCTCCGGATCCTCTTCTGTGGCTCCGACGAATTTAGTATCGCTTCCTTGAAAGCTCTCCATGCCTACCATCTGAAGCAACCAAGTCGAATTGCCTCGATAGATGTTGTTTGTCGGCCCGGAAAACGGGTTGGTAGAGGCCTTAAGAAGATTCGCGAAGGTTAGTTTAGCATACATCATGAATTGAAGCTCCCGTGAGCTAACTTGGAGCTTTCACCAGTCCCTATCAAGGAGGTAGCATCGGCTCTCTCGCTACCAATTCATGAAATTGATACCTTTACAGGATGGACTGTAAGTTTTTTCTTGGGGAGTTCAAAGTGATTGTTTTACTCACTCGCATGTTAGCCCCCGGTCACATCTAATGGACCCGTCAACCTGATCATTGCCGTTTCCTTCGGGCTTTTTGTGCCTCCACGTATCCTGAATGCTGCCAGCTATGGAGGGTTGAACGTGCACCCTTCTTTACTTCCAGAGTATGCAGCCAAATGAGCCGGTCGGAAATTTGCGTAACAGAAGAGCTAATATGATTTTAGCTTCCGTGGCCCAGCGCCGTTGCACCATACTCTTTTAGCTGGTCGAAGCACCACCGGAGTAACTTTGCAAACGTTACATCACAAGAACTTCGATCATGGCACAATTCTCTCTCAGACTCCATCGCCTGGGTTTGAAATCCCCAGCTCCGGTTCTTGCACTGTCCCCGAGTTGGTGGGTCTAGTTGCACCCCAGGGAGCTGAAATACTGGTGAATGGCATTGAAAACGGCCTGTTCGTGCCGCCAGTTGAAAACGCCGGATGGCGTGCCTCTGAGGGCACCGATGATCTCATCCATGCTGGTAAAATCAAGCCAGAGGACCGACACATTGATTGGACGAATTGGTCACTTCTTGATATCAACCGACGCAACACAGTTCTTGAGTCTTTGTGGAGCAAAGCACTTATTCCTGTCAGCTCCACAGATGGACCTGTAACTTTCACCCACAAGCGTGTGATCTTGACTGAGATTGAAGAAGTCGAACCGCCCAAGGGAAGCGATTCTTTCTCGGTCGTTCCAGGGCTGCCATTTGCAAATGCTGCCCATCCCGTCGAACCGAAGAAGGGAAGAGCCCTGTATGTCTTTGCCAAAGATGGGAAGCTCCTACGCATCAACAAGATGAAAGTAGAGGGAGAGCCGTCAGCTGATGGGCTTCGTGCTGCGATTAAGGCGCGCATGTTTGGTGATCAGTCATTCCAATCGGGAGGCATGGACTTTACTCCTTTCCGCAATCCTCTTTCCTGAACAGAATGAATATGTACAATACTGTTTCTTATATTTGATCTATCAACAATATACCCTCTATAATGGTTTCCAGGTCCAACCCAAGCTGAACACTCTTCCATCTCCACCAATTATCGACATCTGTCTCTACCGAATCGCGAATCCACAATCTGAATGGTCAGCCGCATCCTAGCTTTAGAATATCAGGGTTCATACCGATTTGAACTGCTGCTCCAGTCATGGAAGAGTTTTTCGCAATTGACAAGTACATTTCCGCTGCATCCTCTACCTCGGGCTAGGGGAAACACAGTTAAAAAATCGAGTCGCAAACCAATGATCCAGATTACTTACCAGCTTATTCAGTGTCATTTTGTCTGTCATGGCTTTGATTTTCTCCTGGGTGAATTGCTGACCCTGCGATATTGTCAGAAATGTGATCCGGCTGTCTTCGAATACCAGGATACATACCCATTCGGTGAGCATGAGACCAGGGCACACAGCATTGACGCGGACCTTGGGACCCTGGGTCTGCGCAAGGCACTTCATTAGATGAATAACGGCTGCCTTAGTCACGGCATATGGCACGCTGCTGCCACTAGGAACGATACCCTGCATAAGGTGTTAGTTACACCTTCAATGATGATATGATCTGCATAGCTTACCGCAGTCGAAGCAGTGATAATAAATGCACCACCCTCGGGATTGGCATCAAAAGTCGGCTTGGCAGCCTTGAACAAATAGAAGCTGCTCTTGACATTGATATTCCAGCACTGTCTTGTTTAGCTGAAATTGCATATCTAGTAACGGAGAGAGTCACTGACCTTATCCCAATCATCATCATCCATAGCGTCCAGATCCCCGAAATTGGTCATCTTTGTCCAGCCCTTGAGAATATCCATCAGCAATCTCTAGGGACGAGAAGCGAGCCGCGGCGTGTTGGCTTCACTCACAGCGTTCGAAATCACGACATCCAGACCTCCAAGTTGTTCAATGGCTGATTTAACGGTGTTTGTAGCTTCGGATTGCTTTCCAGCGTCCTAGATGGTGGTCACGAATACCATGTCAGTACAAGATGACACCATACATAGCAACTTTAAGAAACACAAAGACCCTACCCCCTGAATCACGACCGTCTTCACATTGTACTTCCCAGCAAGATCCCCGGCAACTTTCTCGGCGGTTTCCTTGCTCGACATGTAATTGATCGCGACATTGCTTCCTTCGGCCGCAAACTTCTTAGCAATAATAGCACCGATTCCTCTTTCCAATGAATTCGCATTAGCTATATATTCCATGCCCTGTAAGAAAACATTGGTTCATGATGTACACACCGGGATCCACCGATGACCAGGACATTCCGGCCGGGAAGGGAGTATGGCATTGTGAATGGATATTGGAGTCGATGTCGAAATTGGTTCTTCCTGAGCCTAGGTAAACTTGCAAGGAGAATGAGAAGATGTGAAATGAATCTTTCAAAACTTTAGATGTCGGTATTCCTTATCCCCGCAATAGGGCGGTCCGATAGGATGCGGGGCGGTGCCGGGTATGACGGGACTATTCCGATGCTCCTCCACTCCGGATGCTCGCATGTGTAAGTGCTGTCTTGTATTCCAAGGTTGAGGATAAACTTGTGGACCAGAGACCTCTTAGATCACTGATGCAACTTTGTCTAGATTTCCCATCTACGCATGTGCACACTACCTTCATAATGTATTTGTTGAAATGACCGACGAACCATCTAAATATATGCATACAAACAGTCCTTGATCGATACAGCCTCAATATGTATGTATGTATACGTCTGTAAATCGACCCCGTCTGGTGCCAAGCAAGACTTGTACCAAGTTAAGAGAAGTAGAGCCAGTTTCCTGCAAGATTGTAATGTTCAAATGTTTGATTTTCCCCTATAGTCGGACCGTCCGAAGGTCTGGTATGCAAAGCGATAACGGCCGCGGTAGACGCCGATACGAAAGTCCCCACATCGGCATGTGGAGGGAGCCGCCAATTGACCATTTCAAAGTGAGGTTCGGGCCCCGTAGTATGTAGCTGTTGAGCTCCAAGATTCGAAATTGAAGCACAATTAAGTTGACCATCGAACAATACTTGCGATATAGGTAAGAGGCAATTGTTTCAAAATATTATGTGGTGTGGCCAGTGACATCAATCATGGTGATTTGAAGCTAATTTTGGGGCGCTGGCAACCTTAGAAAGAAGCCAGCCCGTCCACAAGGGAGTTTCTTCTACGATATATTCACGTGGAATTGGGAAAACTGGCATGCGTGACACCGACTCGAACGCGGCTCACCATAAGACATCCGGTATCAGACATCGGAAATTTTGAGTACCCTCGGCATTTAAGAATATGTCTGACATATAAGGAGGTTATCGAATAAGAACAAGACTCACAGCACAGTCCAGCCGGCGTATTGAGTCGGCTTCATCCCCCACCAGGCCCGGCGCCCTCCTAGGTCAGGCCATTGGACAAGAAACGCATCAGCCAGTGGAAGCAGCAAGACCCCCGAGGTGCTCAGAGTGGTAACTCGCGCCCATGATTCCACAAATAAAGTCCGAAGCCTTGAGATACCCTTCTCCTTGCCCTGGCCGGAGAGCAGGCGGGAGATGAAGATAAATAAGCGGAGAGTCTTTGCAGCGAGGACCATGCATACAGAGACAGCGGGACCATTGGTTAGTATGATATCTGGATATGCTGAGGTATATTGCGAGGGCAACTTCCGTTGATCGGGGTATTGTCCACACAGAACGAGGAAGCAGGCCCAGAAGGAGTGGAGTGTAGTGAAGGGAGCTGTCAAGTATGATTGATGTACCCGTCGCGCTCGTGGAATCGTGACTACATCAAATGAGCCTGTATCGGTCAGATTCTTGTTCTGGTCCAGTTGACGCGCAGTATGTTGAGCCTCAAATTGTGTGGCTTTTGCGGCGCTGAACTTGTCCCCCGAGCTCACAACATAAGTGCGATAGGTGTAAGTAGCTAGGTCGAGGTATTTCTCTAGCATGAATAACATTTCAGTGGTATGACCACCACTGCCAAGGACAATGAGGATGTGGACAGGTGTACCCCGACGACGGACTTTGGGAATCGGAGCATTGTGGGAATAAGTGAGCGCAAAGAGGATGATCTGCAAGGTTTCAATATTAGCTCTATTGAATCCTAGAATTGATGATCAACATGTAAAGACTTACAAGTGCTGCAAGGATCGCAATGGCTGCTGCGGGGAGGATAATCCACAGAATGAATTGGAGAAAGGCCATGATGTCACTTTTGGCTGTGCTGGATAATTTTAAAGATTCTGCAGTTGGAGAAAAGCTTTCATGATTGAGTCGAAAGTGGTCGAAATGAATAATTAAGAAAACTTAGAGATCATTCGTCTGTGGAGTTGAAATCGTGGAGAATCTTAAAACAAAGATCGACTTGCTTTTCTTTAGGTCGCGTCCACAACACGTGCCTCCCGTTGGTATCTCCGTCTTATTTTCCCGCCCAAACCTGCATTCACAGACGCACCCGTCAACAATAAACATACCTCTACCACAACAACTACCCCTACACACCGTTTCATTTGATATGCCACCATGGCGATGTTTTCAAAGCGCCTGAACTGCTTTTATTGCGGGACGCGCTCCTCCAAATCCATTCGAGACTCGATCGACAAATTTCACTGCGATTCCTGTGATGCCGACAACTTCCTCGACAAGGTGCGCCCCTTGATGCCAACCGATCTGACAAACACTAACTCAAGATTTTAGAATGGCGAAATAACCGATCCTCCTACTGAAATCACCAATTCCAAGGTCCAAGGTGACGGCGCATCGAGCCAGGGACTTAGGTCGAATGTCCACGAGTCCGGTGTATTTTGCTCCCAATGTCTTCGAAACCAGCATCTGTTTACCAGCTCCCTAGCTGGATTCGTTCCGGAAAATGACGATAAATTGGATCCTCAATTTGACTCGAACTACGAAAGTTATCGCCGAGAACTCGAGAATCTTTATCCTCAAGTCTGCGAAACCTGTGAACCTCGCGTGAAGCAGCGGATTCGAGAGGCCGGATACGAGGCGAAAGCAGACAACCTACGACGTATGATGGACCAAACCCGTGCCTTCAAGAACGAGCAACGATTGCGACGGCATAGCTGGCAGAGCCTTGTTGTTTATCTTGGTGCCCTGGCTTACTGGATCAGCATTCTTGGCCAACTTGCCTGGGACGCCCTTAGTGCCTTGACTGTTTACCCGGCGGAGGAAAATATTGATATTTCTATCGATGCCCCGGTCTCTTTCATGTCTGTGGTACCTTGTGTACGCAAAATGATTGAACTGCGGGGCATACCACAGGAATGGTCTTACAATTTGGCCCCTACCGCAGGCCTTGCGCTTATTGCAGGGTGCCTTTCTATATGGTGGAACCCGAAGATACGCATGAAGATATATGGAAGGCTTGGCAGATTCTATGGCCTCGGAGAGTACTACCAGTTGCAGCTACTATCTTTAGTGCTGCGGTGCGTATTCTGGTCCCTGTTCAAAGATCCATCTGCAAGTGGAATAGACTCTAAGGGATCATTTGTCGGGCATATTGTTATGGCCGGCATTACCATTGTCGTGAGTTCCATAATTCTTTCTCGTTTGACAAAACTAATGAAAAATAGTGTGTTATTGCTTCTCGTCATGTTGTCAAGTACGACCGTCGGACCGTGGTGGATTGGTCGGACAATTCCTGGGAAAATGCACCACTGTGTAGCCCTTCTTCATCCCCTCCTCCGGCTCAGCGTCGATCCCCGAACCCAGAATTGACACCGAGAGCAACCAATAATGGGATTCGTGAACCTTTTCCGATTTCCCGGTTGACTTCCCCCCAGTCTGCAGTGACAAAATCCTCTGCATTTCCTACTCCCCCTCCAGATGGATCCGACGACATGGACTGGACTCCTTCTCGATCTCATGATATCCGGCCAGAGGTCAGCCTTTACCAGCGGGACAAACCATCGGTTTTTGATGGCCCAACCCCATTTTATGGCAGCATCCCGACCGTGTCAAAACCCCCCTCGTGGGAGCTACGCACACGGCCCTCAAACAAACCTGTTGATCAGGTTGTACAAAGAAACCCATTTCACCGTAGCCCGACCAACTCGCCAACGTCATGGCAACACAAGTCTGCCACAACCACGCCGGTGTTCAAAGACCCAACGTTCTTCCCAACCACCGATCATGAATCCACTGGCTTAGAGACTCTATTTGATCGAGCTTTCACTATCGACCCGAACAACACCTCTCGAAGGAATGAAGAACACCAGCCACGTCATCGCACATCCCCTCCCTACCGCATACAGGGCCAGGCAATGTGGCAAGTACTCAGATTTCTCTTCCTTTTATCTTCTATTGTCGCGTGGTCCCTTTCTCAGAACCGCATATTCCTGATACACGGAAACTACATTGAAACTATTGCATTGGGAAGCGCAAGCCTTATAGCAGGGCTTGGTTTTCTTGAAGCCGTCAAGAGACCCATTGCCGAGTGGAGTGGGTTAGAACTCCTTGTTAATGTCACTGAACTCATTGTGGCTGTTCACCTCGGGGCACATATGCCCAAAACGTTCCGTGACCGTGAGTTGTTTGATCGATATGGCAAGCTTCTCTTGATTTTTATGGCCGTGCAAGAAGTCATGGGATTGCTAGCATTCTATCGCACCCAGGCAACTCCTGCTAAGTCTGCAGAAGAGACACAACCAAGCCCTGCTTCTCCGTTCGGGTCACCGCAGTACGAAAGACCTCAACTCGAGGCCCCTGTTTACTCCCCAACTAGCTCTACAACGGCACATTCCCCTACTCTATACTCTGCGCACAATCCTTTCAGATCACCCCCTCCTCTTTCATTTGGCACTACTGCTGGATCGGCCAGCTTCTCCAGTGCACTTCCATATTCATCGCTCTCGTCACAGGGCCTACGCTCCGCAAACCCAGTACACAGCCACAATCCCCACAGCTTCACCATGCAATCCCTCAAGGAAAACGAGCCCTCAGATTACGAGCAGGACTCTGACGGGGAAACCGTTGCCACCTCTGCCACGGGTTGGACAAACACTACCAACCAAAACATTCGTTATGGGCATCGTCCTGGCACTGCCCAAAGCAATGACATCTTCTTCTCTCCTCGCCGGAATCAGCTTACTCCCGGTCTTGGGGGTCTGAGTCTAGAAGACGGCCCAAATTCTCGCCGCATGACCCGCAGTCAGACCCAGCAGAGCCTCAATGCACGGGGCATTTCTTCTCGCGCTACCCCTACCCGATGGTAGATGTTTCTGCTATTTTTTCTTTCATTTTATCCGGCTCATCAAGCGTGCCTTTATCCTTCGTCTATTTTACACTGAACATAGCGGTAGCATTTTGATTTTTTGGGGGCGTTTTGATTTTTGATTTTTTGGTTTTTGTTTACGGCGACCTGGCTAGGTCTTTTTACCATTGCCCATTATTTGATGACATACAGAACGACTGATGAACAAGTGTACTATCCATACTGCCATACAAGAGCTAAATAAATGCTCCCTAATTTTTGGGGGACTCCATCTTTCCTTTTTTTTTTTTCTTGGCTCAATTCATTCCAATCGTACTATGCATGGTTGACGTGGTCAGTGAGAGTCATCAGTATACAGAAGACCACTTCAAATTCTATCTGGCAGATAGAGAAGATACCCAAGTAGCAGCGCGTCGATGCAAACGGCTGAGTAAACGATGGAGACTACTCTTGTTGGGTGTGTGCAAGTGTGTCCAGTATATCAAAGTCAATCTAGATTCTAATGGAGTTCGGTCAGAGAGCGACTTACGGACGTCATGGAAAGCACAAGAAATATGAGACTTGAAGTTTTATCAGTGGAGATGTAAATGATTGTGTAGATTTTCATTGCAATTGATCATAGAGCTTGGAAACATAACAAATGACAGCGAAGCTTAACGCGCAATGAAACAAACACAATATACAGATTGGCAGGCAACATGGATTTTTTTTTTCTTTTTTTTTTTCAGTGGCAAAACAACTTCTCACAGGACACGCAGGACACCGTCCTTCTTCCTTTTTTTTCTTTTTTCTTTTTTCTTTTTTGTTTGTGTGGCCTCCCCCGAGCCTGGGCAAATGACAATCGCAGACAAAGTCATGAAGAGTGGATGCAACAACATTTTGTTGTGCTGGCCCATCGAGCCACGAGAATTGGATGGCATGGCATATTGTTGTGCGTTGGTTGATGAGTGAAGACACCAAAGTTGGTTCGAGCGACAACAAGGGGAATATGGACGACGACATGGTCGTATTGGCGGATGATCCAGGTTATCCTGATCCTCGTCTTAACTGAATTTGTCCTGACACGCAGACTGGAAGTTCCAGCTGAGCGACGCCTGTTCAGAGAAGACTTAGACTAAACCAAAGGATGCAATCGCGAGGTTGATCGGACATTGTTGTCCATTTTGTTGAAGTGGCATCCCGGTTATCCTGATCCTCATCTCAACTGAATTTGTCCTGACACCCAGAATGAGTGACGCCTGTTCAGAGGAGACTTGGACTAAACCATGGGACGAAGTTGTGGGAGGAGGTTCGTTCGGACATTGTTCTTTTATCGGTGGATGATCCTGGCTATCATGATCCGCATCTCAACTGAATTTGTCCTGACACCCAGAATGGGTGATGCCTGTTCAGAGGGGACTTGGACTAAGCCGAGGACGAGGTCGAAGGTTGATCGGATTCGGTATCGGGATTTGGGATTCGGGTTCGGGAAGTTCGGTGGGGCGGAGTATCCTGGTTATCATGATCCGCATCTCAACTGAATTTGTCCTGACACCCAGAATGGGTGACGCCTGTTCAGAGGAGACTTGGACTAAACCGAAGGATGAGGTTGGAAGGTCGGTTCGATTTCGTCATTGGGAAGGTCGGTGGGTGATCCTGGTTATCCTGATCCGCATCTTAACTGAATTTGTCCTGACACCCAGACTGGAAGTTCCAGCTGAGTGACGCCTGTTCAGAGAAGACTTGGACTAAACCAAGGATGAGGTCGCGAGAGTGGGTTGTCGAAAGGTTGCATGTTGTTGCCGTTGACGTTGTTGTTGCCGTTGACGTTGTTGTTGCCAGTGATGTTGTTGCTGTAAGTCATGATGATGATGATGCCGATAAGGAAGATGGCAGCATTGTTGATAGACAGATGAGGCCATAAAAGTTGCATAGGACAGCAACATGTCATGAAGGTTGGAAGCAATAACAAGGCATCAAGGTTCATGAAGATTAGATAGGACAGCAACATATCATCAAGGTTGAATGAGATAACAACATGTCATGAAGGTTGATCAAGGTTGATGAAGGTTGGATAGGACAACAACATGTCAAGGTTGGATGAAGGTTGGACAAGACAACAACATGTCACGAAGGTTCATCAAGGTTGATGAAGGTTGTATGTGACAACAACATGTCAAGGTTGGATGAAGGTTGGACAAGACAACAACATATCATCAAGGTTGAATGAGACAACAACATGTCATGAAGGTTGATCAAGGTTGATGAAGGTTGTATGGGACAGCAACATGTCATGAAGGTTCATCAAGGTTGATGAAGGTTGGACAGGACAACAACATGTCAAGGTTGGATGAAGGTTGGACAAGACAACAACATGTCATCAAGGTGCATCAAGGTTGGATGGGACATGATCAAAAAAAATGTGGAGTGGGAGATCAAATGTGGAGAAGGTAGAAAGTTGGGGAAAATAGAAAAGAAGAATTGAAAGGGGGGGGGGACGGGGTATTTATACCCAAGACTTCTCGCTTAATTTTGGAGCTAGCCAATGGGATTGTGCGAAAGTAACAATGTATTCTTGAGCCATGAGCAGATTTTCTCGTGGGAGAATTTGTTAGTGATTTACTAATATTGATGTCCCAGATAAAACGTCTTCTGCGGTTCGACGGTACATCCCGGTACCCGGACCCACTTTAAAAACTTTAGCGCCAAATCTGACCAATAGAAGCACGGGAGACAACGCATGTTGAGCGGTGTGTACCTGAGAGCCTAACTTTAATTGCTCTTAATTTTTCTACAGCACAGCTTGGCTAGTGATCTTCCCGATCTACCTGGCTTGATATTTACACCAAGTAAAAAAATGGTGAGTCAAAATAGATGGTGCTTTGAAAATTGACTTGACTGTCACGCACGTATGTAGGACTTTTTCATACATGGACTAATTCCAATATCGAGAACATGCTATAAATATGTATCCGTAGGCTAGTGCGCAAATCACCAGCACACCATTTGCATGCCAGAACCCATAAATTAATAGTCGAAAGCAGGTCTGATGCATCGAGTCCACGGGTTTGCCGCATGTTTTCTGATGATGTAACCCAGCCTCATGCTACTCAAGCAGAATACCCCCCCACTGATCACGTATGTCCTGGTACCTTGTCTCATGCCACTCGTTCAACACGAGACTCCGTAGATTTGTCTGCTTGTTGGCTCGGACTGTGCTCGAGATCGTCCTTGTGCTGGAGTAATTCGGTAACACCAAAAAGGTCGTCCATCTTCTCAAGAGACATACCTGCAAAGAAGACTGAGTCAGCAAAGTCTGTAGACGAGAGCGGAATATTTCAAGTGTGTGAACGCACCTTTAGTCTCTGGAATGAAAAACCACACGAAGACAAACATTGAAAAGCAAAAGCAGGAAAAAATGATATACGTGCTATATGGTCAGCATTCTTCAGCAACAAAAACCAAATGGCCGATCAAATCAAATGAAGGAAGTATTTACCCATAACCATTAGCACCAACTGTGGCCAGCATGTTCGGAACAGCCCTAGCAACCACAAAATTGAACAGCCACTGAGTCGCTGCTCCAAATGCAACATTCAAAGATCGTAGCCGTGCGGTCGGGATCTCCGAGACGTAAATCCAGCATACAGGTCCCCAGCCGAACTGGAAAAATGCCGCGAAAAGGAAGATGCAGACTAGAGCAACGTATCCGGCTGGAATCACGGGAGCGCCTGCAACCGGGGGAGCGATTCTAATGTATAGTCCAATGTAGAGCATGGCGAGTCCTTGTGCGATTGATGTCCACAGTAGGGAGCGTCGGCGGCCGAGGGAATCGGCGACGAAAATGAGAAAGACACCGCAGCTGACCATCTTCACGATGCCATAGATGCCTGTTGCGAAGAGGTTTGTTGCGTTACCGGTTACCCCTAGCTGTAAACAAATACATCAGAGTTTATTTAGGGGAAGAGCATGCGGAGACTATGATCAGGACTCGTTCGGATGAACAAGGAACTCACATTTTTGACTGTAAGTTGTCAGTTCATGCTCCAAGGTCGAGGTGATGCATGGGCAGGAGGAGTAGGGTAGAAGGAAGAAGGGAATAAAAAGACTTACATATCTGCGGACTGTAATAATTGATAGCATTTGTTCCAGTCATCTGCTGGCAAATCATCAAGAAAACCGAGATCATGGCTCGCTTCCGATTGCCCGGGATAAGCCACATCTCTTTCATGAGATCCCAAAAGCCAGAACCACCGACCAAAGCCCGCTCTTGCTCCAGCTGCACTGCGATGGCCTGAAACTCCTCCTCCAGGTATGGATGATCCGCCGGCAGCGCACGCACCTTACTCAAAGTCGCGCGAGCCTCTTCCCATCTATCCTGCTTGGCCAGCCACCGCGGAGACTCATTGCAGAGCAGCATACCCACGAACAAGAGCACGGCTGGAAGTCCCTGCATTGCCAGTGGAACAAGGTACATTGCCGATCCTGTCAGATGAAGTAGAGCGCCGTAGTTGATCCAGAAAGCCAGCATGATACCCATTGTGATAAAAAATTGGTAGAGGCCTGTCAGTCCTCCGCGGATTGCGCGTGGTGCATTTTCGGAGACGTAAAGCGGATTGATCATCGAGGCGCCGCCAACCCCAAAGCCGGTGATGAGTCTGTAAATAAGATAGGTGTTAGCCAAGGCTTCTGCAAGATAGTTTCTGGGGACTGCTGATCAATTACCGCCCGATATACATGGCCTCTAAATGGCCACTTGCCGAGGCCTGCATTATGACACCAATGATTCCAATCAAAGCTGATCCTATCAGGGCGCTCCTTCTACCCCATTTCTCAGCCGCAGGGGAAGCAATGAGAGCTCCGAAAAAGCATCCTGCTTGGAGAGTAGAGACGATATTGGCAGACAGGTTGGCCTGAGCTACGGCATCGAGGTTCTTCAGGCCATATGTTCTGAGCCACGTAACAGTTGGTGTTAGGAGTGCGTTCGGTAATTGAAAAAAAGGAACCCCCAAAGCAAGACTCACTGCATGAAGGGAGGCATTGTCAGGACACCACCAATAATTCCAGAGTCCATACCGAATAACATTCCTCCGCAGCACGCCTGTGGATTCATCAGTATATACACCAGTACATGCCCGTACTACTGGTGGGAGGTAACGAGCTAGCACTTACCGAACAGGCAAGCAAGTAAACCCTCCACCCGTAAATCTCCTTGGGATCTGTTTTCATCGCCTCATTGTGGACGATTTTCTGCAAGAATCCCGACATCTTGAGGGAAAAGAGTATTGTGTAGCTCCTTGATAATGGTACATATACCAACAAAACAGAGAAAGGCAGTAAGCAAAAAAGGATATAGAGACAAAGCTGCAGCATATACAGCAGCGAGTGATGATTATAACTTCAAATCGAGGTTCAGTGTGTTGACATCCAAGCCCTTGGCCCTCAATCTCCACCTATCAGGAACCAGTCAAGAACCCAGACAAGAAGAGCAAACGAGGGAGAGAACTTCCACGAATACGAGGGCAGTCAGGCGCTACACAACAAGAATCGACTTCATTGGATGCTGAACAGGGTCTTGCCTGCATTGCCATGCTCTAGTTCGAGCTCTTTGAGCGGGGATGTGGGGGTTCGGTCTTTAAGTTCAACGTAACACGCCCATGTTGGCTGATCAGCCACACGGACGGGCCCAGATACTACATGACAATGGAAATAAATGCTACAGAAAGTCGCTTTATCCGGAGAAGAGTCGATCTTTACTGAGTCGGGGTATTGCGGGGAAGCTTAGGGTCTGTCTTGGCGAAATGATAAACATGGGGATTTTTTTTTTTTGAGAATTCATGGCGGTTCAAGAGTGGCCGATTACACTGGCATGTATGGGGGCGTGCAATGCATTTTCATCGTGATGTTGCTGAGTCCGACTATGGAAGAGCGATTGCAGCTAAACCCGTTTACCAGAATGAGTTGGTTCCCAATGGATTACAAGGTTGATTGGCCGATCACTATATATCGTCACCTTTTGTTTATACATTACAGAGGTTATTTATCTTACAGGATACCACAGGTATGGCATCAGCGCCCTCCTAGCAAGCCTCCAAGGTAACTTGCCAGCTCTTGCGAGACATCGTTCTCCCCATCAATCGGTCCAAGACCCTGACGTAATATTTCCGCCCAGCGCTCGACAGACAGCTCATGCAAGCGTTGTCCATTTAGAATGGTATGCACACCTGTAGCTTGATCAGAAGCAACGGAAGCATCTGAAGAGACAGAAATGTTGCTTTCAATGATTGCGCCGTATTTCACGCGAATGAAAACACGAGTCTGAGTGCAACGTCAGCAACTAACCTTTAAAACCCGAAACTCGAAGACAACTCACAGAAAGCGGTAGCGATGAAGGCAATGGTGGACGTTCACGGGGATCTTCCTCAATGGGGTGCGTCGAAAAGGTGAATCCTGGCGTTTGTGTATATTTCCATTCAAGAGACTATTGTCAAAAAATCAGCCGCGTTCATAAGCACCATAGTCAGAATACTCACTCTTAACTCTGCAATCCCCTTTCCAATATCTGGTTCCTGATCACCGTGTACGTCTCCCACCGTTCCTGAAACCCAATCGTCACCGGCGAATATTTCCGGCTCCATTGCAAGGGCTCGGCGCGCTCGACGGACGGCATCCGGCTGAACATTGTACAGCCTTGCAAACTCCTCCACGATGTTGTCCATTACGGCTTGCATGGAGAAGAACGAGTCTGCCAGCACACTCGAGACATTTCCCACAGGCGACCGAACGCTATCCACCCCCTTGGCCTTAATATACCCACGCGCTGGTGACCGCAAGAACTTGCCCAGATCATGAATGTTCGGCGAATCTAGCAAGCAGGTACCGTGGTGGAGTGCTCGATGCCGGGTCAGCTTGAACGCAGACCCGGAGACCTTCCTAAATGGCGGTTCATCACTGGCACGCTGCGCCAGGTCGTCCGGGGGTGTGATAACAATATCATGTCGATCATTGACGCTCGTGTTGACAGCCCCGACACGGTGCAGCGCGCGGACCACCATCTCGGCATGCTTGTCACGCGTAAAAGATGTCCGAGGAGAGATGACGCTGTAGTTGAGATTTCCCTCATCGTGGAAGACGGCGCCTCCGCCAGATCGCCTTCGAACAAAGACCGCAGCATCGTTTTCGGGGGAAGTCGCTCGGCGATCGTTGTATAACGCGTGGAGACCGGTCTCGAGCCATGGGTTCTGGTTGCGGCCAATTACCACGCACGGCTTGTTGATATAGAGGAAGAGGATGCTCGAGTCATCTGGCGCCTTTTCCAGGAGGAAATGCTCAATCGATAAATTGACGTAAGGGTCGGTCGATAATGACTGGTAGATCTGGTGCCGGGAAGTCGGACGACGGGCTAGCTCGGCGAATCGATTAACGGGGAAGGAGGAATTGTGGCGGACCCATTGCCTTGTGCTACTGCACCTTGTCGATAAAAGGCATCCCCGAAGCATTTGGAGCAAGGGAAGTTCTTTAAGTGATTGATTGTAATTTGATTATCGTTGCGGCGCATCTCTCTGGCCGATAGTCGGGTACGCTAGTCCCAGATAGGCAGGCCTGTATGAGTCGAATTTCTTGTGTTTCGATTTTTGGATTTTCTATGACTCTTCATTTCTCCAATTAATCTGCTTTTCTCTTCTGGTTGGGAACTAGCTCTTCTTCTCAACAACTGATCATTAAATATATTTTGAATTCTCCTTCCTTTTTCGAATTCCCCGCAACCTCGCGCCAGAAAAAAACCGATCATCATGTCTACGTGGGGTGATCATTTCCGTGTCACAACGTAAGTTGGGAGGCAATTCCACAACCACAAACCGCCATTTCTTACACAATCTTTCAGCTATGGCGAGTCGCACTGCCGTTCCGTCGGCTGCATCGTCGACGGTTGCCCTCCAGGCATGCAACTCACCGAGGCCGACATCCAGCCCCAGATGACCCGCCGTCGTCCCGGACAGAGCGCCCTGACTACCCCGCGTGACGAGAAGGACCGCGTCGAGATCCAGTCAGGTACCGAGTTTGGAGTGACTTTGGGTACCCCAATTGGCATGATCGTCCGCAACGAGGATCAGCGTCCCAAGGACTACGGTGGCAGCACCATGGACATGTACCCCCGCCCTAGCCATGCCGACTTCACCTACCTCGAGAAATACGGAGTCAAGGCCAGCAGTGGTGGTGGCCGCAGCAGTGCCCGCGAGACCATTGGTGAGCAAACCTAACAACAGGCAATACCAAGAGGCTATAGAACCCCTTTAAACTAACATCTTCTTTTCTCCAGGTCGTGTCGCCGCCGGCGCCATTGCTGAGAAGTACCTCCGTCTGTCGCACAACGTCGAAATTGTCTCCTTCGTCTCCTCCGTCGGCAACGAGCACCTCTTCCCCCCAACCGCCGAACACCCCACCGCTTCCACCGATCCCGAATACCTGAAGCTGCTGGAGACCATTGACCGCGAAACCGTCGACAAGTTCGCCCCCATCCGCTGCCCGAACACCGAGGCCGGCGCCCGCATGACCAAGGTCATTGAGAAGTTCCGTGATAACCACGACAGCATTGGTGGAACCGTGACATGTGTGATCCGCAACGTTCCCGTCGGCCTGGGTGAGCCCTGCTTCGACAAGCTCGAGGCCAAGCTCGCGCACGCCATGCTCAGCATCCCCGCCACCAAGGGCTTCGAGATCGGCTCCGGCTTCGGCGGCTGTGAGGTTCCCGGTTCCATTCACAACGATCCCTTCATGGTGACCCTCTCCGAGGACGGTACCCAGCGTCTCACCACCAAGACCAACAACTCTGGTGGTGTGCAGGGTGGTATCTCTAACGGCGCCAACATTTACTTCCGTGTCGCTTTCAAACCCGCCGCTACTATTGGCCAGGCCCAGAACACTGCTACCTACGCTTTCGAGGAGGGTATCCTTGAGGCTAAGGGCCGTCACGATCCTTGCGTTGTGCCTCGCGCTGTTCCTATTGTTGAGGCTATGTCCTCGCTCGTTATTATGGATGCCCTCATGGCTCAGTACGCCCGTGAGAGCGCGAAGAACCTGCTCCCGCCACTGCCTGCCACTATTCCCACCAAGCCGGCTACTGCCCCTAATGGTGCGTAATTTAGTGTGGTTTAAAAAGTAAAAAGAAGGAAGAGTATCACGGGGCCATGAAAATTTTCTATAGATATCATTTGTTTTGTTTCATTTTGTAAGTTCGTTTCTGTCTTGGTCTTGGGTTCTCTGCATGGAAATCTTCTTCGGCCTGTTATATATCCTCGCTATCTAGTTTCAGATACAAAAATTCAATGTTGTTGAATGGGATGCATGAGCTACGATTCCAATCGATAATGTTTATGATCCACATGCCTACCTTCAGTATTATCATTGATGGACATCTGGAACATTTATGTAACATCCAAACATTAAGTTTGAATGGACCTTCTTCAATTTTGTAGAGTAAGTAACGTATCTAGCTGAGTGCCAATCTTCACACCACATCAAGTCCACACGCTCAAAGCCCAAACAACTCATCAATGGGCACCAAATCGATAAGAGGGCAAAAACCAGCACCCTATGGATATCAAACGAATGAAAAATAGAAAAATAAGACAATCAGAATCCCGCTCCGAAAAACGATCGTGCATAATCATGGAAACATAAGCCGCGTCTTGTGTACAATCTTTCCCCATAAAAAAAGCCCGTCATAAGTACATGAGTGAAGTGGAAGAAGAAGAGAAAGAACAAAGCAAAAAAAAAAAACAATTCCGAGATCAAAGAGAATCTTATCCGCTTACATAGCGACGACCACTAAGAGTGCGAGTGACACTGCGCTCGGAGATATTATCAGCCGCAGAGGCATTGACAACACGCAGCTTTTCCCGAGGAACAGTGTACGTAACCTGTACACTGCGACCTTCAGCCGCACCCTCGACATCCCAATCTTCTTCTTCCTCCTCCTCCTCTTCCATAGTATCATCGTCACCGAGGTAGCCCGGTGCACCGATGAACAGATCGTCGCGTGTCGAGCGAGCCAGAGTATAATTCTCCGACATACGCTTCTGAGCATTCCAGTCCTTAGCACCCTGTTTACGCCGGAACAGCTCTGCCGAAGCCGAGACTGCACGACGGGGCGTGATAGCACTGCCATTGGACAGGTGTGGGCCGGGGCCGAGCACTGTACTGCGACGGTCAACGCCAGAGGCCAGCGGGGCAGTTTCGGTCTCGGATTTGAGTTGGTTTGTAGGGCTCCGCCGGGTAATTGTTAGAGCGCGGCGAACAGTCTGCATCATCCATTCTGATGGCCTGGGCTTCGAGTAAGGAGGGAGTTTGGAGGGTGAGGGTGCGGAGGAGGGGTCGGTGGAAATGCTCTGATCGGCGTCGAAGAGGAGGGATGTATTTTCAGCTTGGCGTTCGGCGATGGTGGTGCGCGCAGTCGAGTAGGAGTCGGCTGAGTATGACTTCTCTGATGGAGCGGTCATGCCGTCCACGTCGCTGTGGGCTGTCTCTCTGCTGTGTGTCGATGCCGCTACGCCTTCGATGGAGTGGCCGCCACTGCTGGCCCAGCTAAGAGGCCTGTCCCTGTCGACGTAAATGACCCGCGCTTGCGGGACTTGGCTAATTGGCTTTGTAGACTTGGTGGAAGAGAAGGAGAAAGCTGAAGAGTCGGAGAGGTTGGTAGATGTTCGATCACTCTTCGTTGGGGACACATTGCCGTCAACATCAGTAGCACCCATGTCCTTCCTGTGAGTATAGAAAGGACCAAGTCCCACACCGAAGATGGTGCTTCGGGGAGTGGCGAAAGGAGTATCTGAGAATGGGTCGTCGGAATCGTGAGTCTGGGGCCTTTGTTGCTCTTCTTTAGGGATTGTTGACATGAGGCGTTCTCGGAGGATCTCTTCGTCCTCCTCGCGCTCATCGATGGGGTGGATCTCGCCCGTAGCATCACTCCGACGCCAATCAGAGTACATGGACATTCTGTAAGGCTTAGCTCCGGTGAGTGCGGATGTGTTGATTGGGCGAGAATCTGGGCGAATATTCTTATCCGGACTGGGTACCTCCACAAGCAAATCATATCTTTCGTTTTGATCGTTGCCTTTCCAGATAGGCCGTGAGTTTGTACTGTGGTTTCCCGACCAGGGATAAGATGGATCCTTCTTCTCACTCATCTGAGAACTGCGGATGCTACTGGCTGCTAGTGGGTCACCACGTCCCCAAAAATGAGGGCGCTCAGCCCCTAGGGCAAGTTCACGGAGCTGCGAGTCACGGTGATTCAGGACCCTGCGTTTCTGGTAGTATCTCCATGCAATGACAATGGCGAAGATTGCGAGCGGGATTCCAAGTCCCAATCCAACTCCAAGTCCAATCTTTTGGGATGATGAGAGTCCGTGCTTGTGTGATGAAGACGTAGAGGTGGTAGTTTGAGCGGAGGGATTGGTGTACGTGGTGACCCAGCCACCAGATGTCGAATTGTAGAGATAGACCTTGGAGTTGTCTTCCGTAGATGACCGCTTTGTGGATTGTTTTGGAATGGTATACCCGCCGGCGATCATCAAGACGCCTCCTGGGAGCATTGCCACCGAGTGGCCGTATATCCCAGTCCCCTCAGTAATTCCAGCATCGCCAGTCGAAGAGGACGGAACGGACCATGTCCAGTCTCCAGACCCACCATAGCTTGCACCAACTTCCAAGACCGCAACTTGAGGGTCGGCCGGCGTCGAAATGTCACCAACCCAACCTCCAATGACAAATACTTTCGTACCATCCTCTGAAAGAACAGCAGCATGGCCCGATCGAGGTGTTACCAGAGGCTCATCTCGAATAGCTAACTCCGTCCTTGCTTGTTTCTGCGAGGAAACGGTGACAAAGCTCCAGCTTTCCTGCGGCAAAGAGAATATGGCCAGCTGGGACATGTTGAGAAAGGCCTGTCGGGTATGCCCACCAATCAACAAGAAGTCCTGCTGCGTCTCCGTTTTCGAGTATGCGGCAGGAAGAGATACAATAGCCATTCCGGCCTCTGCAATAGGAGGCGCTCGGGTTCCAATTGTTGTCGCATCGTATGTCGTCTTTTTTGAGTTCGGAGCTAGGGCAACCATCGATTGTGAGTAGTCGGCATCGGATGTCCAAGTTTGGTCCGTGCTATTTGCAAAGGGACACATTCCACCGAAGCTATACATGGAACTATCACTGCTGTTTGTCGCTGTAAAAGTAAACCCCGCGGCCAGGTAATTTGGTTTTGTCTCTTCCCCACCGGACTCGACCGATACCTGAGCCCATGTTCCATTGCCCGTGGTGCTATTTTTGTCGGAGTGAAATTGCCATACTTCTTGCTGATCAGATGAGTTATGGCAGCTCCCTGTGTAGACTGTGATCACGCCTCGGTCATCGATAACGGGAAGAAAGGTAGCTGTCTGGTCGGTACTTTGAAACGGTGTTTTCTCGAGGAGCTGGGTAAATGATGTGTTGCTGATATCAATACTGGAAGAGATATTGAGGGAGAGGAGCTGCGCTCCGCCCGCGCTCGAACTACTCGGCCGGAGGAGGTAGGCCAGTGAATCATTGTATTGCGGTGCGAGGAATATGGATGAGGGTGTGTATGGAATGGCAGCGGCTGACGAGGCGAGAAAGGCGAAGGTGCAAGACGAAAAGCCGAGTCGACGAGACTTTGAGTGGGAGCGGAGCCCCATGGTGCAGCGATTTGCAATCTGAGACACAAGGATCAAGGGAAGGGATGCATTCCAGAAGCGTTAAGCATGGCGCCACGCGGTTGACAGGGCTAGAAGCAATGTTTATTGCAACGCGGTAGACATGTCAAGCACGATAGAAAGCTCCGAGACACTAATTTCAACGTCGTGTAATTTCAACGGCTGCGTAGCAAGTGTAAAGAGAGAAAGAAATAAGTACGTAACGGCGGTGATGTTTAGATGCGATCTGCCGGGTTCTACAGCTAACAGTAAACACGGCCGATCGGGGCCGAGAAAGTCTGGATTTTTTGTCTCTTTTTCGTTATTCTCAGAGGGAACACCAATCAGAATAAATCTAGCTTCATTTGCATGATTTTTCCTTTACAATTGAGAGGCCCACTACAAAGAAATACAGGAGCCAAATAGATTGCCGAGAGGTTAGATCGGCATGCGATCAACACGGTTGCGCGGGCAACGAAAGTGACTGAATGATGTTTGGGGCCATGATTGCGTGGACTACGCACACTGCCCTCAACCACCGCCACCAATGTTGTCTTCAGCGAATCTGATCAGCAGAAAATCATACAGTGGATCTAGGGACTATCAGATGGCCTGCAGGACACTATAAAATTTCCCGGTTCTTGCTAGGCGTCTAGCCTCATCAATGTCGCCAAGCGGGGTGGGAAATTGCCGATATGGAATTTGCCTTGCTTCCTTCTCTCAACGGCTTGATTATGTCGTATTTTAATATAATCTTTAATATATAATGGGGGCATTTGAGAAGGAATATACTTGGTTCTTGGTGGACTAGTAGCCTGCCTAGTAGGTGCTCAGATGTTGAAGGAAAATGCCAACATTGAATATTAAACGGTCTCCCATGACGACGAGTCTACGGGTTTACACGTGCACATGTGAGCCTTCAACAACAAGGGCAATTGGATTCCACCTCAGATTATTCGTACTCGTACTCAAGCTCTGTGCCGTGTGAAGAAAAAAGGATTAGAAGATCGAACTATGATCAAAGCTTTGTTTTAGTCTCAAATGTGGAGTTATCAAAACAATCTAGAAAATATGGAATGCCAGACAACTCATCAACTCCTATTCCTTCGGAAATTTCTTCCCTTGAGCATTGAAGATAATGTATAGAAATCTCATGGCCAATTGATTCTTCAATATTCACCAAAAAAAGACCCAACACTTCCCATGTGATTAGATTGTTCTGCTCGTAGACTTTACAGCGGAAAAGCGGGAAAGAAGTTGGAATTTCCATTTTTACCCAACAATTGCTCTCAACACTGCCCAGGTGCCAAGTTCTTGTCTTTTTTTGTCCTCTACTCCGCCTTTATTACTGTTGCCTACTTTTGCACAGCATCATCATCCCCTCTTTTTGGAACTCTTCAAGTCATCGACTATACCGCATTCCTCTCAAGGTAACTTGGTGGGCCAATGGCTGACATCCAACCATGGATCAACCCCGCGGGAGCAGTGGGTTGGCACGCCAACCCCCGCCACGGGAAAGGTCTAGCCTCGAAAAGGTTGATGGGGATAAGGCCAAAATCAAAGATACCAAAGGATCCCAAAAGCCAGGCTCGTGTTGAATCTGTGTAGCCAGTTCGCAGAAATCCACAGATCAGATCCCAATGATACCGGCGCTTAGATGATTGATTCCCCTCTCCGTCTCAACCGAAATTGACAGATCAAATGCCCACACTTTGAATAAAGCGCATTACTTGCTGACAGTGAGCTTTTGACAAGCTGGGAATCAGGAAGACATCCGAAGAAGCAACATCTAGCTAGAAGGCCCAGAACTAATGAAGAAACAAACGCAAAGAAAAGAAGACAACGAAAAACAACAAAAACCGACATCGAACAAGAAAGATACTCTGTATCAGAGAAAAAGAAAATAAAAAGCTAATGCACACGACACAAGGCCGATTTCGGCATGCAGGCTCCGGCTCAGTTCCAATGGGAACTTGAGGAAATGTCCAACAATCAATTCGCTTTGACCAGGCCAATCGCTTTGGATAGTGCCATTGATACAGTTTTGGCCCCATGCACGTCGCGGCTTCGGTCAATGTACCTGTCCATCGCAGGCAAGGGTTATCTAGCCGGTTATGCATGGCAAATCGCAAATCCTCGGTCTACTAGCCGAATTGATCCTGGTGCTGGACGGCTGGCACCGGGTGGCCAAGCCAACTACACCCATGCTGACAAGGCTCTGTGCGTGGAGTAGCCTGTCAGGGGCCTTACATGTTCATGCACCGACATCTTTTTTCTCGCATGTTTGCTTTTTCTTCGCCTCAAGAAAGACTAATCAGAGCCTCCAAGGAGTTCACGGAGAACTTTATGCCGCTAGGTCATGTCAGCTTTTCCGGAGCTGAGAAAAAAAAAAAGCCTGAGCTTCTTGCGCCAGGGTTAACACAGCCACCCGCTGCGTCTTTGAAAGGCGTGCCGAATCTCTGATATAGGGGCAATGGACAAGGATTAGATGCATCTTCACGAAACAGTCTCGAGTGTTTTCTTTTAGGGGGTTTTAGTTTTTGGTTCGGACTGACATTGCTGCAGGTGCTCGGGCCGTTCCTCCAATTTAGCAATTTAGTGTGGGTATTTTTTGTTGTCTGATTGTATGACTTGCCACGGCTTGGCTTGACTCCTTGACCTTTGAAGTTTATTCATCGCCTCCACCAACCAGATGAGATTTGCCTTAATTATTCTTCTAGTCTAAGCCCTATTTCCAGTCTGTGCTTTGTATTCTTGCTTTGACTGAGGACTTATGTCAGACAGTGGAATCTGTTCTCTGTTCTGTTTTGTTCTGCTATTTGTTCAGACCGCAGCTACTAGTAGCAAAGACCTCTAGGGCTGGCATACGTACTAGTGCTATACGCGCACTTCGAATAAACCTTGCCTTATACGAATATGGCTCACTTACGGGAAAGAAGATTTTATTGTTTTATAATTTGAAAATGTCTGCTTCAGAAGCATGATGCACTCAAAAATGACCAATTCTGTATCGATCAGCATTTGGCTACACAAACATTGAACATATTGCCACCAAAGGGATAATCAATGCACGGCTATAACAAGCGACGGGGAATGTTCAAACCCTAATTTTCCTTGCCACCAGCTTCCACTAGTTGACTATAACACCGCTCTAACCCCAACACTTCCCCAAAAACCCAGATATGTAATTCCTCAACTAGCCTTACACGGTGAGCAATCCGTTCCTCATAAGGCATGAGCTTCTCAACGTGTATTCTTAGAACCTCGGACGAGCACAAAAACAGATGAAACGCTAGCATAGCACAAAAATAAAAGCGCCCTTGGCCATGTACACCACTCCACAACCGTAATCCGATACCGATCTCCGGATCAAAAATCCCGAGTCTTCCTCTTCAGTATAACCTGAAACCAATAAGGGAGGAGCCCGGATATCAAAAACAAAATAACACGGCAGCTAAGACTAGAAATGTACACCGGCAGCATGTGCGTGGCGCAAAACCCAGGGTACATACAGTATGCCTGATATCTGGATATAATATCCAGATACTTTCTTGCCAAGTACATGAGTACATCATGTACATCATCTATCTCAGGATGATCAGTGATGGAATCAGCAGTATGTACATTTGGTTCGAGTTTTCGGCGGCATCTTCTGGCCTTTGTCTCTTTTTACCCCTCTAAGCGATAGGTCCTGCCGCAAGGCACGGCGTACGGCTGTCTGATTAGAAATCGGGCTTTAAAGGGACGTTAGCACAGAGTAATAAGGGAGGTAGTACATAGGATGGGATGTTGCACGCGCCAGTGAACTGGGTCAAGGCGAGGGCGCGCGCCGCTTGTGTCACGTAGATGACGGACCAACGAGGAGTGGGCATGTAAGTTGCAGATCCCGGCGGTCGATCCGCTACGACCAAGCGATTCCACATGCTGCATGCATGTGCATCATTGATCATCTCTTTGCTTTTAGTTTTCCCCTCTCTTTTCCCAACCCACAAAGTCTTCTCTTTTTTAATTTGTATGTTTTGATTGTTACACATGAGGCGTGCAGAGGGTAGGACCCGAGGGAGCCCAAAGGAGAAAGTGTGGCGAGAGATGGACGCAGATCAGGATTGTGTGTACTCAAGAGTAGGGAGTTGTTGGGCTATTCTGAAGATGGAAATCGCGACTTAGCAATGGCATTATTTTTGGTTTTCTTTTTCTTTTTTTCCCCGCTGGAGAGTAGTAGGTACATGGGACATCTAGGGTAGATGCTACAGGGTTAGTGTTATGAATCGTGAATGGTTTAGCGTCCTGTCCAGACTCCAAAGCCCGATGATCCTGGACACTTGAAGTGGCGGAGTTGCGGAGGATTTTAATCCGTATTTCCCACGGAGCACCCGATGCACAATTCTACCTGGTCCTTGCATCGTGGGTAAATTACCCTAAATTATCAAGGATTTTGCAAGTACTACTGGTATGTTATTCTTTGTATAGAAAAGTCCGGTGTCGGTAACCCGCCCGAAGGTTTCAATGCGGGGTTGGGGGAAGGGAACTTGGAAGCTAAACTGAGAATAGTTTAGGCTGTGAGCCAAGTCAAACGCCAAGGGGGACGTGATGGCAAATCTGGCAGGCGAGAAGAAAAAGAAAAGGCTAGTATCTAGTAACTATACATAGGCTATTTCCTGTCCCGAGTGGGGCTTCCCTATGTTGGCTGCCGCCGCTTTTATGAGGGCGCTCAGTGTCAGGCAGCAGGCTCACTGGGTAGATCTCAGTCCGGGCTCAGATTGCTCAGTACAATCACGTGACTGACCACCAAACGAGCGCTCACTGAGTACTTACTGAGCATGATTGGCTAGCCATTCACTGATTACTTAATTGAGCTTTTTGGCCGCTCTCGCTCAGGGTACACTTGCATGAATCAGCATGACCCATCCATCAGCGCTCAACAAGACTCGCTGCAATCACTACCTTCATGTACGAAATTCTTGCGCTTAAATTACAAACTTTTAAAATTCCGGGTTGACACCCGTTGGTATCCATATAGTGTCCTGACTCCTGAGCAGAGTAAAAATGAAAAGCATTCAGATTCACAAGGATGAAACCAACAGAAAGAAGTAAGAACATGTAGCACCAAAAGCTCGAAGAACCTATTTGAAGTTCAAGCCACGGTAAAATAATGAGTTCCGCTTCCAACGACAACGGGTGCAGATGATCCATTGAAAGGGCTGGAGCCTATGCCAAGTATTCCCTCTGTGTCTTTGACAGGCAAGAACACATATCCTTTGGCATCAATAGGAACAGTGATGTTGTAATGAAACACATCATTTTCGAGCGTCCATGCAGCACTTGCCGTTCCTCGAGGAGTCAGGTGGCTCGCGGAGGCCGAAGTCAGGTTTCCTACCAATAGTGGATAGTAGTTGATTGACTCCCATGCAACACTAAAATTAACCTGTTGCAAGCCCGAGAGCTGGCCTAGCCAGACGTCACCATAGCCAAACATAAGGTGGTTAAGACTCGAGCCGGATGAGCTCGTTCCATCCCATGCTTCCCACAATGACGTGGCGCCATTGAGAACCTGATAGCCATATGATGGCGAAGTAGTTTGGCTCATCAAACTATACAAGAGCTCATCATACCCGTTTTCATGGAGAACCCGGAACAACGACGGCAATGCGATCTCTCCGACACTCCAATGGTATGTGTCGTTTATGATTGAGTCAATCAAATTCTCGAGAATTTGAGCAAAAATCTCTTCGGTCGGCGGCGCACCCATCTCAAGGGCAAGGGCTAATGCGCCCTGAGACCCACAGTCGTAGACCCCGGCTGAAGAGTTGAAGGACGCAGTATGCAAGGCCGTGGAGATTTGAATTGCCAAATCATCATACAATTTTTTATCGTCCGGGAAGGAAAGATAATGCGCAACTTGCGCCATCCCTTTCACTGCTTGCTGATATCCGAAAGTGGAAGGAATTAGCTTCCCTGTGCAATCATCAAGCGATTCCCAGTCACGCAGTCCATAATCGAGAGTGTAATTTGTGGTCAACGAGTTAAAGTAGGACAGATAGCTTTTCATCGCGGGGTAATATGTTGATAATATTCTGGCATCGCCATATTCTTTGTAGTGCTGTAACGGCAGGAGAATGATGGCCCCTCCCCAGTTCGGGTCGTCTCTGTACGGGTATGAAAAGACCGTGAACTCAGGAGCGATGTCAGGTATGAATCCTGGATGAGAAGGGACATCGCCAAATGAGGAAGCATTCTGCTGAGAATCCACCATATCCTGGACCGGAACCTGAAGCATCGCCTGCACATCATAGCTCCACATAACCGGCGATATCATGAGATGATCCTGTTCGAGCCAGCCGAGCTTTTCACGATGAGGACAGTCCGTCAGAGTGCTATGAAGGTTCGATTGAATCGATCGATCGATGATGGTATGTATACTGTTGAATAGCTCATTGCTTGAGCTCATCTCGCCAACTTTCTCTACTGCCTGACGAATCGAATGACCCACGGCGGAAGAGATTGTTGGTGACTGAGTAAGGTTCACTGAAAGATATCGCATTCCATGGTACATGAACTTCGGGGAATATGAATGTGTTGTTCCATTTGATGTGAATGCGTCGAAAATCGGCGATCCGGTCGTAGATTGACTTGCCCAGCCAGACTTCAGGAGCTCAGCCGACCTAACCAATGACAAGCGATATTGTAGCAGGAATCGGCTGTCGGTTATCCAAGAAGTACCTTCCATATACCGGCACTTTCCGTTGATCTGCAGGAACAAGAGCGGGGTTGAGTGGTGAGGGCTGCCCCGGGATTTGGACCTAACCTGTCGTAAATCTAGGGCACCAGTTGGCAATCTAATGGCACGTCATTGCTGGGAATATTCCAAGACCTGTTGATAAAAAAGACGTTTAGTCTTCTATCTCGGAATTTGATGGACCGAGCCTTTTGCTATGGCCCATGGGTCAACGACGCTCAACGTTGTATATAAAGTGAAATTTGATTGAGATTGTTTGTTTCAGCACTGTAAAGCGGAAATAGCTAAACTGCATAGTGAATTATACCTTCCTCTAGCTCAGGACCTGGACGGCGAGTTCTGCATTAGTCAACATTAGTCAATTTGACGAGCACCATCTCGCTTTCACCTGCTAAGTCTCCTAGGCCAGAAAAGCCAACACATGATGCCGACTACCCCTCATTCTCGATTGAATTCTGCTATATAGTAGATGATGCTGGAAATGATACGTAAGCGACACAGCCCATCTCGAGCACTTGAGTGCTTCATATATTAATCCCATTTTTCCGTGCCTGAAGGAATCCTAATCTATTCTATGCACATTTGAACGGAAGCCCATTCGATTCTATGATGTCAGATGTTGTGTCCAGCCAGCTGAGTCACTCTTACCTTGGTCCTGACTTTCTGCAGTCCTTCAGACAGTTTCCAGAGGGATCCAGCACTTGAGAATCGAGATACATTTTTGGTAAGAAAGATCAAGCACTCAAGGAATATCTTAAAAGAAACCGTGAAGTTTTTGACAAGTACCAGTTCTCAATTTTTTCAATGCCGTAAACATTTGAATGAGGCACTTTTCGATGTGGGTGATGGACTTGCCCAATGTGTTCTAAGACTATTAACTAGTATTATGTACTAGTAGTCTAGTACTAGGCTTTATTTTATTATTATAGCTTACTTAAGCCACTCACCCTAATTCAGTCATGCTCAGTGAGCAGATCAGGGGCCTTATGTAATGCTCACTGGTCGGCGCTCAGGGGCGTGCTCAGTTTTACTCAGTGAGCAAAAAAGAGGGCAAAAAGAGGGCAAAAAGAGGGCAAAAAGAGGGCAAAAAGCGGCAAGGGCTGCACACTAATGCGGAAGAGGGAAGCCAAGAATCGGGACAAGAAATCCACTACATACTAGGTAGTGGGCACAGTTCCCTTCCCTTTTCCCTGGAGCTTTTCCGTATCTCGGAGAATGGGAAGTTTTAGCCTTTAGTCTGGCTTCTGCCAGTGGTTGGACTTTATGACTAGTGCCTTTTTGGAGGTTTTGTCGGGTATCGGGCACTGTTTTTCAGTTTTTCAGTTTTTCGATTATTTTTATTTTGTCTTGTGTATTGGGCTCGGGCTTTGAATAGGACTTGTTTGGTCCCTGCGACGACCTGCGACCCATAAAGTGTGCTGTACTCGGCGGAGTCGGCGCTGTGCCTCTCTGCACATGTAATCGAGAATACTGTACAAATTCGAACATTCTCCGATGTGTAAATTCCATAAAACCCGGGTAATTTGGGGTCTTTCTTTTCCCTTATTTTTTTGAACTCACTTTTTCCATCAAAAACCAAAGATTTGCACGCCACAGAGTCACAGAGGTATACTGTATGATCCGTGACTCGTGAGTAATACAGTCAAGTGAAGAGAAAACTGGATTAGATAACCTATAGCGGGGCCCAGACCCTTGTATGATGTAATCGACGGATTCAATCCCGCACGGACCAGCGCTCGGGCGTTTGACGACTTAAAACAAGACAAAAGAGGACTCTTGCAGGGGAACTTTGCAATTTGAACATGAGTATATTTGCTGCAGCTTATATGTTCTATATGACTATATCCCTCATCTGCAACCCTCAATTATATAGCTGGATATAGCACTGGATAAAATATACCAGCAAAAAAAGTTACAAGGTTCCAAAGTATCTCTTTAGGTATCCCCACGAACCACATCCAGCGTTAGTGCGGTCGCAAGAGATATGCAGAGGGGCAAGTGTACCTAGAGCCAATCCCTGCTCCTTACCTGTACCTACAGCCTACAACCTACTTCCCCCCCCTGACTCGCCACAATCTCCCGGAATGTTGGGCGTAGTTTTGTTCCAGCCCATCAAAAGGCAGCGGCATCCATTGGAATTGTATCCACTTATCCACGGACCCGACAGGCGAAGGGGAACTTTTTTCTTTTAACTCCAGGTGCTCGGGTTGTCAGAAGTTAGTTTCATGACTCTTACCGAGTTGAGCCGTTGTTATGCCGTGGGGGAAGTGGTGCGATTGGCGGGAAGAGAAAGAGTGATATTGGGGAGGGGATTGGGGAATGAGAATGGCAGGCTCGTTCACCCAAGGATTACGGGTACCCGTAGATGGGGACCGGGGTTAAACGCTGAGGTCGGACTTTTTTTTTTTTTTTTTTTTTTTTCCTTTTCGTTGGCTGCTTGTAGACGAAACGGGAAGATGAGAGAGTCATACAATGCCCATTTGGAGAAGATCAAAACAGCCAGAAGAGGAATAAGCCCACGAGAGAAGAGAGGAAAGAAACATTGAGAAAGAAAAAAAACCCCAGAACGTCCTGACAAAGTACATGGTGATCCTCCACATGAGACTTGGCGGTGTAGATACTAATGAACATTTTGAAAAAGAAAAGAGAGAGAACATTACAAGAGCAACTAATTCCACCATGGTTGAAAGGGCATGATTTCAGCCAGTCTTATCCGCTTTCCCTTCAAGCTATATGAAAAGGGAATACGAGGAAAGTGAGAAGATTTTATATCAAGTTCAGTTTGGTAAAGACCCATTGGTATCTAAGCTAAGGAAAACGGGAATACGATCTGATTCGCGTTCCACCCAGTATCAAGTTCGAGTCCTCGACGTAATCTAACGTACATTAACGTATATCCCGTATGAGTACGGATAAAAAAGATAAAAAGATAAAAAAAAAAGAAGATAAAATGATAGTACGATATAGGTATAAAAAGATTCCATATTAAGATCGCCACAGGCCGGAGTGTCGGCCGAAGCTGTAAGCAGTGGCCACTAGTATTCTATACCAGATAGTATTTAACTAATTTAGGGACATGACAAGGCCCCACTGAAGTTAAGGTCTCTTTTTCTTTTTTTCTTGTAAATTTATCATATTTGAATCTTTAACTTTGAAACTATTTTGGTATCCAGTTTACTTTACCTTTGACTCTTTTTTTTAATTATTTTTTTCCCTTTTTTTTCTTCCCTTTTTTCCCAACTCTCGTGGGGCGAGTGCATCGTCATTGGTATTTGATTCTCTCTTTCCCTTGGCATCCGATCTTCGCTCTGCCCTATTACCCACTTCCAAACCCAACCTCCCTTTCCTTTCTCCCCTCGAGCTCTCCAACTCCCATCATCTTCTTCGAGGACCTCTTTTTCTACTTCCTCTCCTTTTTTCCTTATCTTGCCGTTCATTTGGACTCTCCTTCTCGAATTGTTCACCCATTAATCTCCCGCATCTCCCACCTATTACCCCCCTCTCCGACATCGTGGCCCTTTGAAATCCATTCCCGACACCGCCTATTTATACCTCGATCAACTGCGCTCCTTAATTTTCCCAAAACATCTGGTTGTCAAGATTTTGTCCATATCCGTGTTGCCTTCCACGTGTGTGGGATCGGCACGAATTCCCTCGTGCAGTAGCAGGCCTACGATCTTCCCCTCCCCCTTTGGCATCCCGCTGTCCGGTACACGGTCTTTCGCCCCAATCTGCCTTGAGTCGCAGAGTAATGATCCTGTCGTGTGTGTCATTTGAGCTTATCAGCTCGTGAAGGGAATTCCTGGTTCAATTAAAAAAAAAAAAGGCACACCATTGTGAGAAGGATGCTCAACTGGAACATTGGCACCGTTTGCCCCCACGTCTAAATTTATTCCGCTTCTTCGCACACGTATAATCCCAACGGAAGAATAAGAAGAAAAAATGACGGAACGCGGGTCCTCGGTCCTTGGTCTTGAGGAGTCGGAACAGGCGACTCGAAATGGCCATGGCGCGGACCCCAAGCCACCGATGCACCGGTCCGAAGAATCATTACATGCGCTGTCTCTATTAAATGACAAACCAGAGCCTCGACAGGCAGCACAAACTAGCACCAAGCAGGCTCCCAAAACTGCGGCCGTGGAGATCTCCGAAGCACAAGCAACCCTCCGACAAGCTTTCCCTCACGTCTATGCATCCGGCCGAGCACCATCCACCCGTTCGTCAACAAGTTCTTTACAGGCTCTTAACGAGGATATCGTGGTCGATGTTCGGTCGGAACAAGGTGGGGTTGGTCGCAGTCCTCGTAGGGCATCTCGACACTCCGAAAACACCCCCGAGTACCCAGTATACCCCGACCAGTCCTATGCCTCCCTCCAGTCCCAGATCCATCCAACCTACCAGCTCCCGCATCTCGGATCACGCAGCTCCTACCCGTCACAGACAGAGCCGGCGCCCCGCTTCCATCGCGCAGCTCGTACGGCCGGAAACACCCCCATGTCGAGTCCAGGTCTCTTCTCGATGAGAAGTCACCGACACACTGCATCTTTGGGATCCGATGATGGAAGTGTGATTACCGGTCCTTTACTTCACCCATCCCATCTGCAACCACCGAAGGAAACCCACACCGCTGAAGTGGATCGAGATCTGGTCACCGGGAACAAACTTATCAACCAGTATGAGATTTTGGAGGAATTGGGACGAGGAGAGCATGGCAAAGTGAAACTCGGTCGTCATATCACCACCAAACAACAGGTTGCCATCAAAATCGTTCAGCGATACTCAAAACGACGTCGACTTGGGAAGCTGGGCAATCCCGAAGACAAGGTGAAGAAGGAGGTCGCGATCTTGAAGAAGGCCCGCCATCCCAATGTTGTCAGCTTACTCGAGGTGATCGACGATCCCAACAGGCAAAAAGTTTACATTGTGTTGGAGTATGTTGAGAATGGAGAGATTGTCTGGCGGAAAAAGGGCTTGCGAGAGATTGTTCATGTCGACAAGCTACGTCTGGAGCGAGAGATTGCCGGCATACCTGATACACCGGCATTCGTAGAAGAGAGCCAGCAATTTATTCGAACGGCGCAACATCTGCGCCGTCAACGACAAAGGGCTAGGGAAAGGGTTGAAGCGCAGGCCGCAGATGCACAACAAGGACCCATTCCTGCCTGGAGTCTGGAGCATGGAGCAGACACCTCGGATGAAGAAGAAGACGAAGAAGGCCTCGGGCTGCCAATCAGGCGGCCATCCACTCGATCGGTTGCAGTCACAGATTCATCTCCCAGTCAATCCTCTGCCCACGACTCAGCCTTGTCCGCGGTCGAAGGTACCATGTACGGTGCTTACGCAGATTTTCCCTTTGAAAGACGCTTCAGCACAGCATCCAGTAGCCTCGGCTATGCTCCATCTGAGCCTGAATGGTCCGCCGATGCGGATGACTTGTCTTATGTCCCTTGCTTGACTATTCCCGAGACTCGCAACGCTTTCCGAGACTCGGTTCTTGGACTGGAATATCTCCATTTTCAGGGTATCATTCACCGTGATATTAAGCCTGCCAATCTATTAGTCACCAGCAGCTATCGCGTTAAAATTTCCGACTTTGGCGTTTCATACCTGGGACGGCCATTGCACGATGAGGAAGAGGAGCAACTGGGCGAAGGCGAGACCGACGCAACTGAGCTGGATGATGCCCGTGAGCTGTCCAAAACCGTCGGCACCCCTGCATTCTACGCCCCGGAGCTATGCTACACTGGCGATGACTTTTTGGAAGAAATTGGGTCGGTACCCAAGATCACGGGGGCCATCGATGTCTGGTCTCTGGGAGTCACCTTATACGGGATGGTCTTTGGCCGTCTTCCCTTTGTCTCTGATGACGAGTATAGCATGTTTCAGACGATTGTGAAGAAGGATGTATTCATTCCACGCAAGCGCCTCGTTCCTGTCATGGATGAAACATTAGACGTCGGTCAGAAATTCTGTCGTAATAGTGATGAACTTGTCTACGAAGACATCGACGATGAACTGTACGACTTGCTTCGCCGCCTGTTGACCAAAGATCCTTTCAAGCGCATTACTTTGAAAGAGATCAAACACCACCCTTGGACTCTACACGGTCTTCCCAATCCACGCGCATGGGTTGAAGAGAGCGACCCAGGCTATCAAAGTAAGGGGAAGAAAATTGAGGTCTCTAGTGAGGAAGTCACCAGCGCTGTCAGCAAAGTGCCATTCATTCAGCGTGTTCGATCCAACGTCGCAAAGTGGTTTGGCGGCCGATCCTCCAAGGATAAGGAGGCTCGCAAGCGATCGGGTAATAATTCTTCGGATACGTTGTCTTCGGCGGCCTCGAGCATGATGACATTTGCCAAAACTCCGTCTGGTAGTCGCCGGTCAAGTTTAAAAGGGGATGAGGACATCCGATCATCCAAGTTCATTCAAGGAGAACACCCATTGGCCCAGAGCGTCACAGCAAGTCCCGTGGAAGAATCTTCTTGGGGTAACTACTTTGATAATGCATCATTCCTCCCCGATATTAATAAGATTTCTGCTCTGTCGAGTGTGACACCTCGACCTGGCCCTCCTCGGCGCGCCAAGTCCTCAATGTCTACTGCGGAGTCAACAAAGACGGTCAAGCAGTCCAACTTCGACGCTACGCCGACAAACCGACCGCGGACCGGAACTCCCTCGATTATAGAAGCTTTGGGGACAACTGGCTTTGGTAGCTTGTTCACTGGTGCACATCGACGTGACTCGCGTGGCTCCTACGGCAGCCGGAGTCGTCGAACATCCCCCTCTGGAGATGCAATTTCTTTGGATGGAGATCGTCGGTCCGAGCCCAGCCTTGCCGTGAGCACTGCTTCTGCTGTGGGCCATCTACGAACAACAGGCTTATGGCACGCCGCAAGCCCTGCACCTTCCCGCGTCCCGGCTATGGCATCTGGGCACCGGCGTAATCGCTCTCATCAGCTTACCGCCAACTCCTCTGCGGACTCATTCCACCTCACCAAGGAGGCGCTTTTACGCCGCCGAAGGAGCGATATCGAGCCCAGCGCAGATAATGCACTTTCTACTCACATTGAGAGTGCAATGGTTTCTACCGACTCTCTCCACTTGCCGAATTTGGCTCCTCCCCGGGATACTCGATGTCCCGCTGATCCTCCTCGTCAACGCCTCTCTGCCTCCACTCCATCCGCTGCTACCATTTCCTCCTCTTCTGCCGACGATTTTACGAGTGGCATGTCTCAGAGTGCTTCTCATCCTAGTATCCCGTCTGTTGTTTCCGGTGCTTCGTCTCTTTCTGGCGATGGCTCTTACCTGCAATCCAAAGATAAAGATTCTAGTGACTCAACGACAGTGCCCTCTATTCTTCGAACAGGAGAGACAATCAAAGCACACGCTCAAGGCTCTCCTCGCCCATCTGAGGAGGATGAGTCTAGATACTACTGTGACGATGAAGACGAGGACGAAGAGTCGGAAGAAGAAATCCTTGTGATTGGAAAGAAGAAGCCATCTACCAAAGCCCCAATTCCTACTGGCAAGAAAGCCAGTGTCTAATACTCCTTATGTTGGGCAGAATCTCCCAAAAGAAATAACTCATCCCCCCCACCTTTCGCTTCGACACTTGTTCAATTTGGCGAAGTCGATGTACATCAATCGGTTGCTTTCTCGAGTCATTTTGGACCTATGTGGCATCCTAGAGCTTGTTGACATACATTTTCTACATGACTTGTACATATACACATTTCGCATCGGTGGCATATTCCCACCCGTCATGATGCGACGTCTCTTGCTTCTTGCTGTCCGGGACGTCGGTGCCAGTCAAGTGACTGGCGCGACGTCACCACGTTATCTCCATATTTTTTTCTTCTTTATTTCTTTCTGATGATCCGCTTGCTCTTTTGTATGAAAGCGCTCGGGTCTCTCTTTTTTGGATACTGATACTTGTATGTAATGTTGAACGTTGGGGGTGCTCTGCGATCTCTTTCGATTTTCCAGCTAAGGATGCCTGCATGATATATGAAGCTGAGAGGTGTGGGGACACCTGTTGCAATGACAATTGATGAAAATGATTAACGGAACTTTTGAAAGGGAACTTTGCGTATAACGTAAGAAACATCTACTTGTACCCCATACACATGCACACATCTATATTAATTTAATCTCACCCCTGTCCGGGAATAACTCCCGTATGTACAGGGCTAATGCACTCCAGATTTTATAACTCCGGCGGGGTTGACTATAATATCTCGGTAGTTTGACCCCCAAGTTTCTAAAGTGTACGTCAGTTCCCAACCTCGCTTATAGAGCCGATCAAAGCTATACAACGAATTCCACCAATAAATGCCATGCAATAATTTAGCCAAAGTGCAGTGGAGAACAAAGTTGAAGCTTGAGTGCTGCTTGGCCAACCTCCGAACCGGGATCGGCAAAAACCTCCAAGGGGAAAACAAGAAAACAAGCATGGACCTTCAGCCCACCGTTGCAAAGCCAAGTCCAGCTGACCTTTACTCTCCGAAGCGCCCAAGTACCTTTTCTGAAGAATTTTTCGTCATCACCACATCCGTCATGTTACTCATGTAGATTGAAAAACGGGGCAAGCCACCAGTCCCGACTCCCGACTCCCAAATAAAGTAATAAGGCCTCTCTTTCGAGTCTTCAGCCTGAATCCACCCCGCCCGCCGCACCATCAGACGGACGTTTCACCGCGCAAACTAGTCCCAAGCCGGATGTTTTCCGGACAATTTATCTCGACAGCTGCGGAAAGCCGATATGAAACCGAGCGCGATGGGGAAATTTCGGCCGCCTTGGCTTGCGTTTGAATCCGGGTTAAGGGAGGCACCGAGGCAGGGAGGAGAGAGAACACAGAGTATAGAAAGGAGACCGAATCTCGTGGAGTGAATGCTTTTTTTTTGTGTCTTGACTTAGGCTCAGCCCACTTTCCAAAGACAGATCAGACAAGACACACCCTGGAGTGTAGTAATTGCCCATCATGCTTTCTTTGGCCCTTCTCGCTACTCAGCTCCTTGTTCCGGCCGTGTTCGCTAAGCTCTCTCTCCGCGGCGCGGATATCTCCTCCTTGCTCGTCGAAGAGGAGGCCGGTTATACTTACAAAAATGCGGCTGGAACCACAGAGAAGCTGGAGGTGATTGCTGCCGGTGTGGGCATCAACTCTATTCGTCAGCGTATCTGGGTCGACCCCACTGATGGCACCTATGATCTTGCCTACAACATTGAGCTGGCAACCAGAGTCCAGGCGGCCGGTATGGGAACATACCTTGATCTCCATCTGAGTGATACATGGGCATCCCCCAGTGAGCAGGTAAGTAGACAGAGCAAGCCTATATACGGCAACTCCAGATAGAGACAGAAAGAACCAAAAAAAAACAAAGACATCTTTCTAACATCATTCTCCCCCAAAAACAGACAGTCCCCACTGGCTGGTCCACCACGGACATCGACACCCTGACATGGCAACTATACAACTACACCCTGCTAGTGTGCAACACGTTCGCCGAGAACGACCTAACAGTCGACATCATCTCGATCGGCAACGAAATCCGCGCCGGTCTCCTCTGGCCCCTCGGCGAAACCCCCAACTACGACAACATCGCCAGTCTCCTCCACTCCGGTGCCTGGGGTGTCAAGGACTCCAACCTCGCCACGACCCCCAAGATCATGATCCACCTCGACAACGGCTGGGACTGGGCCGAGCAAGAGTACTTCTACAACGAGGTGCTCGCCTCCACCACCGATCTCGTGTCCACCGACTTCGACTACATGGGTATCTCGTACTACCCCTTCTACAGCTCCTCAGCCACCCTCACCGCGCTGGAGACTAGTATGAAGGACATGTACGCGGCCTACGGCAAGGACATTGTTATTGTGGAGACCAACTGGCCTGTTTCTTGCCCCGACCCTGAATACGCTTTCCCGAGCGGTTTGACCTCGATTCCGTTCTCGGTTGCGGGACAGGAGACCTTCTTGACGGAGTTGGCTACTGTTGTTGAGGCTGTGACGGGTGGCTTGGGTATTTACTACTGGGAGCCGGCTTGGATTAACAATGCGGATTTGGGAAGTAGCTGTGCCAACAATTTGTTGGTTAGCACTTCTAATGATGAGATTTACGCTAGCTTTACTGCGCTTGGAGCGCTGTAGATCAACGGGTTTGATTCTATGCACATGTGGTGGTTTGTTTCATAGGGTGAGGATAGGATTGATAGTTTGTTGACAGATTATCGAGAATTCATCTGAAGGATTTCTTCCTTATATTTTTTTTTTCAAATGCTTCTCTCAGCCCACGGCCCCGATCAAAGTTGGATATTAAAATCAATTGGGATACTTGTTTTTAAGAAGTTCTGACTTCCAAGTTTGATCCTCAACCTTCAATGTTGTCAAGCCCTGTCATCTGCGTAGATCAATACACCCGTGTGCATGTGAGGTCTTCGCCACCAAAGCCGGGAAAAAGCCGACTTATCGCCGGGCTGCTGTACATCCCACAGTCATCAAGAATGCAGCATTCCGGCATAGACGAACGGCATTCCGTTATAGGTAAATGTGAAGACATTTTCATGTGAAGGAGCGGTCTACACATGAATTTATCTGCTAGGTATTTTTATCTTCGATGTCATAAAATTGCGCTACGCATGTAAAAGAACTCAAGAGGCAAATATAGACTAACTAATTAATCCTTGTATATACTAACACACTCGGCACTTACTTGTCGACTAATGCATACTAGTTTAGCATCAATTTCCACGTAAGCAGGTAGCACAGCATCTAATGTTTGAATGCACTTCAATACCAAAAAACCGAGATTTTCCCGTTTCCACCGAGAATCAACGACAGCAGATTACTGGTAGCGTCGTCCATTGAGGTTGATTCAAGATTAGCCAGCGCAGCAATTTTGGCCCTCCCAAAACCGTCTGCCCGCCATTATAGTATAGATCTGCAGCCACTTTCGGCTGCCGACATGCAGAACTGCGCGTCCAGCGCCAGGAGAATTAGGGTCACACAAAAGGGATGGGTGTGTCCCAGTATCGATTCCCAAGTACTAGCTCCATGCGCGAAATCGGTCGATCGTTCCAATCAGCGATTTGATTCATACACCATTATACCTGTGCTTTTTCGCCATATGAAAATCGGACATTCTTTAGGCATCCAAGGTCAGCTCATGATAAAAGCTGTATCTTAGACGATGTGTCGAATCATGTTAGCATGGAACTCTTCAAGGGGTTATTGGTGGTTGTACGGCAGGGACAGCAGGGATACATAGTATGTTGAATGTATGCAGGAGATAAACCAATGACCAGCCATGATAAGCCACCTTTACAAGATTTATTAGAACTGGACGAATGGTTGAAGAGATTGATACTATTTCTCCCGATATGGTAAACCTTATGGGAACGACTATATCGCCATTGGTGGTTTGCGTGATGGATGGAGATTATCACGAGTGATTGTTCCATGTCCGTTGCATGTGTGTGTGTGTGTGTGGGTGACTGTTTCTGGGGAGGGCCTTTCGGGCAAATTGACGCTCAAATGAAGTCTTGATTATTCATAACGTGGAATGTCCGATGATCGATGATCGATGATCGATCTAAGAGGCGAGTATTGGCAGATGATAACCCGGAATCCTCGCGATCGAGTAGGAGAAAACTTCCAAATGCCGGCCTGAAAAAACGGAGGCCTGAGGGTATAAGTATGAAGCTCAGCTCACCTCCCAGTATTTCCTACTTGTGTGCAAAGCAAATCATCTTCAATATCCAGAAATCACACATGCAAACTACATTCATATAAAACTCCCCGCAACAATGACAACCGTCCTCTCAATCCCAAAGACAAGAGTCTTCCAACTCCTCTGGGCCAAAGAAGAATCGCCAGCGCCCCTAATCGAACAATTCATCAAGTCCCACCCCCTAACCCGATCCCTCCAAGTAAACCCTCGACTCAACGAGTCAAGACCCCACCTCAACGTATTCGAAAGCCCGCGATCACAATCGCGCAATCTCCTCACGGGGGTCCTAGCCGGGCCTGAGAGAATAAGCGTGGCACCATACGTGTTCCAGGATCCCGGGAAAAGCATGATCATGCTAATGCACCTGGGCAACGAGATGTGCAGCCACGAGGGCATAATTCATGGCGGTCTTCTCGCTACCTTGCTTGACGAGTGTCTGGCGCGATGTTGCTGTCCGGTCTTTGAGAAAAAGGTGGCCGTGACTGCGAATTTGAATATTGATTATCGGAGCCCGGCGATGGCGGATTCTTATTTTGTTGTGCATGCAAAGGTTACTAAGGTGCTGGGTCGGAAGGCGTGGGTGGATGGTTGGGTTGAGACTTTGCCGAGTGAACGGGGAGAGTCGACGCTTATTGCGGAGGCGAAGAGTCTTTTTGTTGAGCCTAAACATGCAGCGGTAAGTTTGGTCAGACTGGGAGTTTTCATGATGAGCTTCAGGGGCTTTTACTGATGTTGATTTTTGGGCTTTAGGGATTGAAGGGGCTTTACAATTCATAAATAGAAGGATGAATGGAATTGTGCCAATCCTTAGTATAGAAGCTGAGATTTGCTTTCGTCTGGAGTCGATGGGATTTTACGTGATACATTATAGAGCTAAAGAAATTATCATCAATATTGTTACTTTGCAAAAATGGCGTACAGCCTCTTAATTTTGCAAAGCTCGAACTATGAGGATGTTTTCCCCTTAGTAAGGAATCTTCATAGAAAAACTGCATAGTAGAGTATAGTAAATAGTGAGTGCCTATTGTTCACTGGTCACATCCAAATACATATGGGCGCGCCTATTAGTATTTGTAAGGGAGCGCGCGGTTTAGAAAAGTCACAACGTTACGACGACTCATGAGTCACTGCCATGAATCGGTTTTTGGATCTTTCCTTTCTTCCATCTACTACTAGTGGCCTGCTTCTGATAAATTAGAGTTATTCCAAAGTTCTCATGTACAAATTCATGTATTCTCCAAAAGATGTGATTAGCTTGAACACGATATCTCTCTCTTGCCCACCACCCTAAATCTTGACACCATAAATCTCAAATGTCTGAACAGTATCACTCGGTATAGACAAGGAGATACTCTTGTTCTCAATAACCACCCCAGAGGCACTAGCATATAGACTGTCACCAGATGTATCCGTCAGCCAGCTACTAACCGCCGTGCCATCATCCGGAATCTCAGCAAAGGCCGAAAGATCAAAAGTGAACGTCTCTTCAGCATCCCAATTCGCCGCAACAATGACAAGTGTATCGTTATCCTGGTTAATAGCCGGTACAACATTGCTCGAAGTACTGTTCAGAAACTGCATTCCGGACCGAATATGACGACTGAACTGCGCCAGCATATAGTACTTTGTGGTCGCACCATCAAGAGTAGCAGTTGTGATATCGCCAGTAATCAATCCCCAGTCCGAGGAATCGACAGCCTGCCAATGTACCCAAGCATTGGGCTGCATCAAGATGATATCATCCATGATAACCTGCACGAGCGTAGCTCCAGTATCGTCGCTATCACCATACTCGCTATCCCAAAGCTCCTGTCCAGCGCTCGTAGCCGCAGCACGAAGATCAGAGCGCGGCCCACTAAGAGCTTCATAGCCGTGCGTATTAACCCGTCCAACATCCGCCTTCTCCGTAGCCTTAGTAATCGTATCCCACCCTTCCAGAGCCAACTCAAACGTATTCTCATCCGAGGAGGCAATAACAGTGCTATCCAAGCCGCGGGCCTTCATTTCCTCGTGAAGAATCGGGATCAAAGCAGCCTGAGAAGCAGCATCAAAGTGGCACCCCTCCTGCGTACCCGTCGAGACCCACCAGTCCGATGCAGGCTCATTGAACGCCTCGATCGACGTAAAGGTAATGCCCCAATTCTCCTGCGCGTACAGCGCAATCGTCGAAAGATAAATCGCATGATTTTGATACTGCGATGCAGGCAGGTTGCTCCCGCCACCCGAGGCACCGCTGGGATTCAAGTTACTGAGCTGCCACCACATGGGCGAGTTGGAGAAAAGCTCAAATGTATCTGCGCCTCGGGCCTGCGCATTCAGCATCATGGTGCGCTGGTTGGCATCCACCGTCCAGTTCCAGCTGGAGGAGCTGGGGTCTGTACTCAGGCCATCCAACCAGTATCCTTCCATCTGCTTGGAAGCGGGGATGTTTGCCGAGGGGACCATTTTGACGGTACTGTTGATGGTGTTCCATGAGCATGCACCTGCGTTGTAGCGCAGGATGTTCAGGCCCAGGCCTGGCAGCGTTACGCTTCCGGGGCTCCAGTATGTCGAGTCCAGCGAGAACACAACATCTGCTAGATCCTCGCGGTCTCCGAAGATGTTCGCCCACCACGCCAGGGATACTCCCCAGCCAGCCCAGATCTGGGGGTAAAGGTCGGTTGTGATGGTTGTTGTTTGGACAGCATGAGTGGAGGGGAGGTTGCTGAGCGCCCACAGGAAAACTGTGGGAGCTACTAGGCGAGAGAAGACGCCAGGCATTGTGTATCATAAAATGACTGTTTGATGTATTGTTTTTCTCCTGTAGCTATTCCTTGCCATATTTAAGCCCGTCGGACCCCTCTTATTTAATATCCATCGCGGAGAATCATTGAGAAACGGCAGGGATTCAAGGTTGAAAATGGTCATCGGGAGAATCAGCTCCGACCAATAATCCGGTGTCGGATAAATGGGGTTGATGCAACCTGAGGAATGACTATTTAGCTGCTGAGACAGGTACACGCAAGTCGTGAAGATCTCTTGAAGAAACCTTGTTTTTGGGTAAATGTCGGAGATAATGTGGGGTAAAGACGGGGTCATGTACATAGTACTAGTACGGAGTAAACATTGAATTAGGATCCATGTACCTACTAAAACTACCAGTAACATACAATTCTATGTATTGCTTTTCCCCCGCCTTTTTGAAGAATTCCAGCATCCATGGATCATTTTTGTCACCGGGCTTGAGTCCGTACTTGGATAGTAGGGTCACAAACATGGTCTAAGCACTCGGACTCGGAGAAGAACAGAGAACATACAACCTTGGAAACAGGAAAATGAAAAAAGCATGTGGTGAGAAGGGCTTTTCAGTAGATAGCCAAAGGTTGTTAATAAATTGCTAACATTTGAAAGAAAAGTGCATTTTATGTAGGAGGTTAGAGGATAAGAGAAGTATAGAGAAGATTACATACTTCCCAGGTTAGTTCAACTTGTGGGGATCATATCCTCAACACCATGTGTTTTCTTTACAGAAAAGAAGACAGCCATTTTCATCTGGGAATCTCGGATTGTCATTTCTGTGCTATTGAGCATGTGTTCTCCCCTAGGTGCTTATTTAAAAGTTACTACGTACGTATGAATTTAAGAGTATGCCTAAGGCGCAATTTTGAAACTTCACATGAAAATGACTAATCATGATTTAGATCATTCTGGAGGTAATAATGAGAGGGCCCGGTAGATAATGCTTGGGCTAGCCCAACCTAGGGGCTATTTTGAAGGATTGTTAGACATATGGTCGGGTACCAACGCTATGTGTCGCGCATTTAAGAATAAGCAGCTGTCAAGTCGAAACATGAAACGTCCCCATAATTCCGATGTAATTGGGAGAGGGGGGAAAAGGCTCATGTCAGCAAGAGTGCTGTAGGATAAGCAAAAAAGCATGACGGCTCTGGGCTCCAAGATATCCATAGAAAATAGAGTGATCTAAATATGTCGAAGGCAGACACGTTTATCAGATTATAGACAAGGCAGACAGTCGCAGACTTCACTACTAGTCTGCCTTGTAAAGTAGGTTTGACCCCCAAACTTGGCAAGTTCAACCCCCGATTCAGGTTAATTCAGGTTAATCCGAGTTAATCCTAATCAGGAAAGTTGTTAGCGGCTAATCCTGAATAGGTATCGATCGGGTCCAATCGCTACTAACCATGGATACCTTTCAGCTGCGTGGCTGTGCAAAGAACTAGGACTCCCTATGCATTAGCCGTACACTCCACCTGCACTTCTTCGGAAGAACACCTTCTAACTGAAGCTTTGCTGTAGAATTGAAGATTGACGGTGCCTACGGGAATTGTCATATCTTGGTCAATTAAGCCTTTTTTTATTTGGACTGATTTAAAAATAGTTGTCCTATCTGTTATCGGAGTGGGGAAAATAGTAGTCTGGAATCTCTCCAGTTATAGATGACGATCAACTTCTTCTCTCTTCAGCAAGCCGTACTCCGTACCCGTGAGGAGAAAAGAAAGATTATCTCGGTGAAACACAATTCCCCAGTTTCCTGGAAGTGGGCCAAAAGCCGCCAAACACACTTTAGGGCACCAATTTGCGAAATGGAAATACGCTTGATTTGACCCCCTCCAGACCGCCTTGAGCACGTGAAATCATAATCCATCACTTAATCCATCATTTCTCTCATATACTCCCTTGGATTAGGCTTTTTAAGGATGCCCTACCGTTGCTGACAGTGCGCGCGTGTGTTGGTCTTCATTCCTACCTCTATGCGAATGCTCCGCCATCTCCATCCCCGCTCCTCCTTGCGCTTCCTCCACGGCGCCCGCCTTTTAACCACGGCACACCGACTTCGCGCATCCTCTCCGCAAATCGCTTCTATATATCCCTCCTGCGCTTTATTCCCAGAGCTGGGCACCGCGTTCTCCCGATCAGTATGGCGTCTCATGACCAGAATCAAGGCGCCGGCGCGTCTCCCGGAGGCTCCAAACACCGCAGTGTGAGCCCGTCACCCCACTCGCAGCAGTATCTCGATCCCACGGGACTTGGCCTCGACCCCTCCATGGCATTCACCTCCAACCACGTCTTCAATAACGCGAATCACGATCAGGGGATGCCTGTTACGGACGCGTACGGCTATCCTTCATATCTCTCCCCACCAGCACAGGGCCTTGCTCCACCAGTTGATCAATCCTTTCCTCCGAACATCAACACTAGCAACATTCCCAACTCCCAGTCCTTCGAGGCAAGCCTAGTCAATCAGATGGAACACAATCCCGGGGGCTTTTGTCAACCGCAGTCAGAGGGCAACTATAATCTTCTCAACACTAGTACCGCAGACATGGACTTTTCCGCCTACCACAATCACAGTCCTAATAGTGTCTCTGCTCCGGATTATGACTCGTCGTCGCTGTTGATGGACCCTCAAATGCATCAACGACCGCAATCAGTTCACCAAGCTGTCAATCCTGCCGATTTAGTCAGCCCCATCTCCAATCCCTCCGCGTCGTCGCAAGACCAGCAGCAATCGTCACCCGGTCCCATGTCTCCTCCGGGCTCCACACCGGCCACTTTCTATACCCCTCAACATTCGCGTCATACCTCCTTAGACCCGGCCACTGCAGCCTTCATGGGCGCACAATCCAATCAAGACTGGCAATCAGTGGTGAACCATTCCTCTTTTAGGGGTCACCGTCGAGCACCATCCGAAGTATCAGAGGTGTCTTCAGCCAACCACTCCCCATATTTGTCTCAGCATGAGTATGATGGCATTGAGAACAATCCTTCTCCTTCGTTGGTACCACAGAATGACCCCGCTTTGTATGATAATGCGTTTGGGATCGAGTCTTTCACTCTCTCTGAGCAACAGCAACAGCAACAAGGATTCAGTCCGCTCCATAGTCCGTATATTTCGCCCCAACTTATGCCAAAGCAGGGGGGTGAGATGGTCCCACATGCACCTTATCTGTCTCCCAACCTCAACAACCAATTTCCTCCCGCGCCAACAGAGATGTACGGCATGTCAGATGAGATGATGAATGCGATGAATGGCTCCGATATTGGACAAGCATCTCAGATGGCTCCACCCTCAATCAATGTGGAATTTGCTCCACCGTCGCGAATTCCGAGTTTTGGTCCCTCCAAACCGGCTGCTGACTTTGACTCTTTGAGTCCTCCAGCAATGAGTAAGTTTTCGTGTATACTCGATTTTCAGCGTTTTCAATTTCTCATTCTAGTTTAGGATCTCGAGTGCGCAGCAAATCCGACCCTTACTCGCACCCGGCTTCTCGTTCACGATCTCCCGCTACCTCGGCCGCCAGTCTAGAGGCACAAGCCTCTACTTCGCCACGGTCGTTATCACCTCATTCACGAAGCAACCCTGGTTCACGCGATGCATCCCCCTCAAGATCAAACCGCCGTCTGTCAACATCTTCGATTGAAAGTCGCAACTACATTTTGGATTTAGCAGACCCCCAGCGCCCCGGTGCCATACCCGGCGATTCGAAACGCGTTCAGAAGCACCCCGCCACATTTCAATGTACTCTGTGTCCAAAGCGGTTCACCCGTGCATATAACCTGCGTTCCCATCTCCGGACACACACTGATGAGCGACCTTTCGTTTGTACGGTTTGCGGTAAAGCTTTTGCTAGACAGCATGATCGAAAACGCCACGAAGGACTCCATTCCGGTGAAAAGAAATTCGTCTGTCGAGGCGATCTTTCAAGGGGCGGCAACTGGGGCTGCGGTCGCCGATTCGCACGTGCAGATGCTTTAGGGCGTCATTTCCGATCCGAGGCAGGACGGGTCTGTATAAAGCCTCTGCTTGATGAGGAATCGATGGAGCGTGAAAGAGTGCTTCTCGAACATCAGCAACTACAACAGCAACAACAGCCATCCGGCCATCTACAACCCGTTCCTCAACCGCTAGTGATGCCTGGCGTGACCGGAATGGATGGGCAGACTTCCGGTAACTTTGTTTTGCCAGCAGCGTTGCTTGCCCAGTATCCAGCTCTTCAAACTCTACAGTGGGATCAAATTCCTGCTGCGGGTGATGACCCCAGTGACATTGGTGGCCATAGTAGCTATGATGCCAGCTCTGGGGGCGAGTTTGGCTTCGATGATGATGACTCGGGCATCAGCAATGGCATGGGTGGCTATACCAATAATCAACCCGGCATGTACGGAGTTGATCCTGGATACTCTGATCAAAAGTGGAGTTCATGATGACAGGAAACTCATCATCTATACCAATCCCATATATCAACTGTGAGAATAGCACCCCCGCTCGTGGGCATTCTCGCATCTTTTGACTTGTGCATTTTTTTTTATGATTGTCTGGTTTTCCTTCTTTGGCTTTTAGGCTTGAATAGAGAAGGGGTTGGCGTTGAGATATAGGATTTTTTGTTTTACTTTCCGCCATTGGCTGGCAAGGAGGGATTTGGCTTCTTTTCATTTGATACACCGACATTTATCGCCTCGAATGTCTTTTTTTTTCTCTCTCTTTCATTCTTCAGCTGCATGTTGGCTCGGGGCTTTTTTGTATCCTTTCAACTATACTGTGGCTCTTTGTTTTACTGCTTTCACAAAGTAGCTTCTTTGATGCGTTTGATGACATCTTTTCCCCTTATCATACCCGTCTGCCTTTTTTTTCTGGATCTTTTTCTTTTGGAATTTCCTCAATGAGGAATTATACCATACCAATATGATCAACTTACAAACAGTAAATTTTTGCGTCGTGGTGTGGAATTTACTTGATTCCTGCAATCCTGGAATAAGCCTTGGCTTCGGGCCCAGCCTGACAACTATAAAGCTAGGTTGAAAAGAGGGTATATTAGGCAAGCAAGCAGCATAGAATCAGGTGAATATTTACAAGATGATGACCAAGCGAAGGACATTGGGGATTGATCTATAGCAAAGAATAAAGGGCAGAAAACATGCAAGACATCTATCGCGACGCCTGAACCAACTTCTGCACCTGACGCAACCACTTCTTCGCAAACTCCTCCTCGGTAAATCGCAACGCAGACCGTCTCGCCCGCTGCCGCATCGCAATCTTCTCTTCAACGGGCAGCGCAAGCGCCGCTTCAAACGCACCCGCAAACTGTTCCTCCGTCTCAGCCCGGAATCCCGTCGCTCCGTCACCGAGATCAATCACAATGTCCTCCCGGGGCCCGCCCGAGTCGTGAGTCACACAGATCAGACCCGCGGCCTGGTACTCGACGACACAGATTCCGAAGTGCTCGTTCCACATGGCGTTCACGCCAACGGAAGCCGTGCCGAGGTGCGACAGCACCGCGGGCCAGCTAGCGTCGCAGAGGAAGGTGGTATGCTCGCGGATTTTCAGCTCGTGAGTTAGCAGACGCAGGTTATAGATGTGAGTTTCATCGGGGCTGTTGTGGCGCACTGAGCCGATCAGCACGAGCCGCGGGGGCGGGGTGTTTGCGAAAACAGGGTTCCGGGAGCGTTCTTGCAGGAAGCGGGCGAACGAACGCAGGACGAGCGGGTGGTTCTTTTCCGGCCGGAACTGCGCGATGTAGAGCAGGACTGGTTGGCGGGTTTTCTCGCTCTCAGCGTCGACGGTGATGGTTGATTGAAGCTCTGCGACTGCTGTTGGCGGGAAGACGACGGCTGGAGATGCGGGGGTTCCTTCGTCGTCGTTCTCGTTGGTGGTGTTCACGATGGGCTTGCTGGTGCCCCAGAGGGCGCGGATGTGGGCCGCTGTCCAGGATGAGTTGCACATGACGACGTCCACATGGCGGCCGACCCAGCCGTAGAGCTGGGCGAAAAGCTGCCAGTATCGGCGCTTGACAGTTCCCTTGAATCCTTTTCCGGCACCGGAGTTGATGCCCTGCACGCCGGTCTGGTCATCGAGAGAGGCGAGCATGTCGGTTGAGATGGTCGGGTAGTGGACGTATGCGCCAGTGGGAACGGTAGGGAAAAGCCACTTGCACAACGCCAATGTAAATGCGTATCCCATGGTATCCACGAAGACATCGGGAACCAAAAGGTTGAAAGCATCGTAGGCGACAATCAGTGATCCTAGGGATTGGCCGAGCAGTGTCATGTACGGGTATGAGCTGCTGACCACGTATTTTCTTGTCGTCAGGTAAAGTAGGACAACAGTCGGGGCGTGCAGGTGGATGTTGAATCTGTTCTCCACCCGCTCCAACATTGTCGTCTTATTAGCTTCATGGTCGCCAGTGTAGATAGCACAAACGGCCTTTGGCCAGCGTTTCTGTGTTGCGCGAACTGCTTCCCAAAGTACACGTTCTCCACCTCCGCCGGCGTTACTAACAACAAATAGTTAATAAACAAGCTCCTGTCTAAGCGATTTTGGTTTCGAATATCATACCAAAACGGGTGGAAGAATCCAATAATGCCATCCCATTCGTCAGAGCTAGTCCCCTCATTCTTTGAGCCCTCTCCGCTATCACTGCTGGTCGCAGTCTTTGCCCCACCGGAGCTATCAACTTTCTCCCAATCCTCATCTTCGACCTGGCTCCGAGCCAGAGCATGTGTTTTGGAGGTTTTGGGATGTGCTGCCCGGTATTCTTCTTCATCTGACCGCGCCCGCGCGATCACATAATCCCGACGAGATCGTGTTCGTCGGCGGATCAGCCAGCCCACGCTCCGAAATACTAGGCCAAGCAGCGTCCCCGCTAGCCGTGGAAGGAGGAAGACGGAGGTAACGAGGACCACAAGGGCGAGGATGGCGGTGGACAAAAAGGCCATGGTCGCAGTTTGATCACCAAGATCCGCGCATGCTACTAGGAAGTAGTAGTTTGTAGGATGGAAAGATCAAAGTGGTTTAGATCAACTCAAAGAAGTTGACGTGTTGCTAGAATGCGTAACTTACAATACGCGTCACATGATGTGGAGACTGTTTTTCCTTTCCGATTCAACATCGACGAACGTCTCATAATTTCAAAAAGAGCGATTGCGATTTGGTTTCTCGTGGACTGGGATCCAGTTCCTTGCCAATCATGAATACACTTCGCACTTCTTCCCGGATCTTCAGGGTATCGTCTCGAAAACCCTTGTCGCCGATAACACCATCGCATATTCGATACTTCCATCCTACCAAGCCAGCACCCAATCTCATCAATGTCGCATTAGACGCCTCCGCAGGTCTGATTCACGGTGTACACAATATTACATATCTCCCATGGGTCGCTTCCATTCCTCTTACGGCGGTCATCGTCCGAACAGTCGTCGGATTTCCACTACAATACTATACACGACTCCACGCACGTCGCGAACGAGATATAGCGCCCTTATCACATTCCTTCCAGAGGATCGCCATGTATACTACGAAGGATCCGTCACCAGCCAAAATAAGAAAGGAAATGGCTCGAGTCTCGGCGATGATGCGAAAAACATTTCATGTGAATCCCTGGTCCAAGTTCCTCGCCTTCGCTCAGATACCTGTCTGGATATCGCTTATGGAAAGTATCCGTGGGATGTGTGGCAATACAAACGGTTTAGTACCCTGGTTACTCTCGCTGGTCGAACCAACCCAGGATGCAGCAAAAGAGGCTGTTCAGTCTCTCCATTTGACCGTAGAGTCATCACTCGCCAATGAAGGCGCTCTCTGGTTCCCCGATCTCCTGGCCGGTGACCCGACCGGAGCATTGCCTGTCCTTCTCACGGCGTCTATTCTTTTGAATGTGAACATGGGATGGAAGTCTGTCTCCAGGTTCGATATGTCTGAGATGCCGAAGCTCCAGATGTATCAAACTATGTTCTTCAGCGGTCTGCGAGTGTTCATCCAGGTTCTTGCTGTCAATGTTGGATTCTCGGGCTGGTTCTATGATATGCCTACTGCGCTCTTGATCTACTGGATTACCAGTACCAATGTTGCGACTTTCCAGACTTGGTTGCTGGAAAAATACATGTTCTCAAGGCCTCCGATTCCAGCATACAAGCCTGTATTCACGAAATTCCAGAAGGGCGGAGATCCTTTCTCTTTGAATCTGAAGGTCCGCTGAGGTTTTGGACATTTTCCTTCTGCAGACACCTTGGACGCACATTGTCATGCGCTACCGTTCTTACAGACGGGGTGACTAGTTGACATCGTGAAAGTCCTGATGAGTTTAAGACACCGAACCGCTGTGGCTCATACACTATGTCTCGGATTCCCAATCAATGAGAAGCCAACAGGCCAGCAACACAGGTGACGAATCCACGGCACCTCTGGGGGTCATTTCAGGAAATAAATCACCCTCTTCTGCCTGTGTTCTAAGCGAGCAACACCGAAGGAAGAAAAACAGCTTGTATAATTTGTTGTATAATATTGTCTTTGCATGTATGCTATTGAATATTCCCAATGTTAGCGAAACGCTGTTCTTATGCAAATTCTCAGATCATAATCTTGGAAATTTGGTAAATACCTATATACAGTTCAGTCATAGGTACTAGAGTCCACGCATTTACTTCTAGGTAGTCAGCACAATATTTGCAAGAAAAGGTCAAATGCAATCAATTGATCGCAATAGATTCAACCATTCATTGAACTAAGAGAGGAAAGCATCTGTACAAGGCAGAGGATATCGGAATAACAAGAAATGATAAGAAAAAAAAAACCTCCAACTCAGCCATCATTCTTGTAAAACTCCAGTGATGCGAATGATAAACCATCTTTGAAATATCGAAATAAATGATTTCTATGTTTCGCAGCATCCCTGTAAGTCGTTTAACCATACTCAATGATGGCCGAGATCAGCGAATGCAAATAATGCTCCGTTTGCAATATGTAGTAGAGCATAGATAAGAAAAACCTAGAGCTTAGACTTGGGAGCCTTCTCAGCAGCACTGGCTTCCTCGTTGCGTTCAACGGTACGAGAGTCAGGACCCTGGCCGAAGAAGATGACCTCGACGGTGACATCGTCACTGGGAGAAAAAAAAATTAGCAATCTTGTGTGATATTAGCCCAAATGTGGCGGAAAAACAAAACATACCGGTACCGACGAGAGTAAGGACTGGGTAGGGTCAACAAGGCGCACAGCATATCCTTATCCTTGCCTCCCATGGCATTGCGCACAAGATGGGTGGCTGCGTTCTTATCCTCAACCACAAATCGGCTGTCTGCGCCGGAAATGTCGTACTGCTGCTGGCGAATCGGGCGGCGCTGGCCAGCGGTGGAGACGTCACCAGCTGCCTCAACAGGCAGGTGCTTTTGGCCGCCGAAAGAAAACCAGCCCTGGAGCCAAGCCTTGTTGGAGGAACCAGACTGCTGTTGCTCAATCCATTGACCAACCAAGCCCACAACTTCTTCGTTGCTCAACATCTCCCACAGGCCATCGGTGGCCATGACAACAAAGTCACCCTTGGAAGGATCAATCTTAGTGGTGGTAATGACAGGCTCGGCAGTGACATATGGGGGTGTCTTGAGGTGCGGAGAGGGGGTACGGCCAAAGAACTGTCCCTTGATCTTGTCTTGGATCTCTTTGCTCCATTTGTATACGGCATCACCGAAAGCACGGCTAGGTTCCAGCTGACCCAAGATCCGACCGTTGCGGGTCACATAGGGCTCTCCGGGGTGCTCTTCCTGCAAACGCTTGATTTCGGAGGGAGTTCCGCCAGTCAGATCCTCAGATAGCGCTGTGGCAGTCCATTTCCCACTGGAGCCACGGCGACCAAGAACGGCACGAGAGTCGCCCGCAACTGCAACCTTGAGGTTGTTGGATTGAGAATCGTAAAAGCTAAGCAGGGCACAAGATCCTGAAAGAGCAGGCGCAAGAAGTTCTGCGGCCATGCGCTTCGACTTGGCCTTGAGGACCTTTTCGACACTCTCATTCACAATATCGTGGTCGAGGCGAACAAATCCTTGTTTGATGGCAGCATCAATAGCCTCCGACGAAGGTGTCAAGATTGAAGGGTCAGTAGCGGCAGCCTTGTATGTGGCGTTAAGCTCCCTCGCAACGTATGAGATAAGTACGTTGCGGAGCTTGGCAGACGTGGTCCAGCCCCTACCATGGTGTCAGCACGTTTATTCCTACTGTAGATAAGTTCAAGTAGCCCTCACGAATGACCATCAAATACAGCCCAGAAAGACCAATCACTGCTTGCTTCCCCATTCTGATTAGCTGCCAATGTGGATGGCACTTCAACAATCAACTCGGCATGGTCATCCTCGATCGGCGAGTTGCTGGGAACCTGAGAAATATCGTATCGGACGACACCCTTGCCACGATTGACCAAATAAGATTCCTCGTGCTTCCTCAATTGCTCGGTAGCTTGTTCCGGTGTCAACATGTTCAACATGCGCCGTTCCGAATCGTCGGTCGTTTTCGATAGCGGTTGGTCTTCGGAGATCGTCGTGGTGTAGAATTGCTCGTTATTGACCAACAAGCCTCGGCGTGGTGGATTTGAAGGGCCCTCGGCGTGGGCAGATGCGATTGCGCTGGAGGCAAATCCTCGAACCTGTGTTGCTAATGACTGAGCGCCGTCACCCTGATACGCATACCATGCCCCGGAGGCGACTGCTGTCGAAATCACGGCGAGGGAAAACTTGCGGAAATGCATGGAGGACTGCAGAGCCACTGGGGTGTAGGATGGACGTCGACCGCCGGAGTATGGCCGTAGGCCTCGTACCTGGTTGTGGGTGAAAGAGAGCGGACTCGGCCGTCTACCGGCAACTTTGCATACTGGGGTGCGCCTAGCAGTACGCAAAGCTTGCACGATCGCCCGACGCATTGGTTCTGGCGAATATTTGAAAGCGTATTGAAACAGCAGCGGATTTTGACTGCTGTTTTTGAGAATACTCGGTAAAAACGTCCAGCTAAGTGACCAACTCCAGGGCGGAATGGAGGACAACAGGTGAACAGCGCTGATAGATGATAAGAGATGTCACGTGATCCAGGTACCACGCTAGGCTGAATGAGGAAGTGTCGTCATTGCCCGCGGAATTTAATCGCAATTTATCTTTTTGTCGCAAACCTTCCTTACTTGGTATCAGCTTGTCGAGTGCTTTCTTTCACTTTCAAATGTCCTCTCGTGCGATCCGAAAGCTCCTGCGGGAGCAAGAACTGCAAAAAGCCGAGCAGCAAAATGAGTCAAGCGACGAAGATACCCCGCGCCCCGCGAAACCCAAGTTCAACGCGTTCGATCTTCTGAATACCGGCGATGATGACAATGACGACAATGACGAGCCGGAGGAGGAGGTTGAAGAGCCAGTGATTCAAGTCTCGGAGCCTGAGCCTGAGCCAACAAAACCAAAGAGTGCAAGCAAGAAAAAGAAGAAGAAGAAGGCCAAGAAGGCCCCAGTAGAGCCGACACAGGATGAAGGCAAGAATGGCGCCGAACTAGATGAAATTGACCAGGCCTTGAAAGATCTAGCTGTTCAAGGACATTCAGTCGGGTCTCATCCATCGGCTGCTCTTGCCTCCAACCCAAATGCATCCTTCCCAAAAACCACCGACGAACTACTGTCGATCGAGTCCAAGTTCCTCAACCCAACAAACGAGATGCGCAAGCTGTTTGGAAATGTGGCGTTGGAAAACTTTGATGAGGATGCAGGCGCGGGCCGCCGTCGGGATCGTAATCGAGATGAAACCGTCGATCTGGGCCGCGCTTTGACAGGCCGATACAGTCCAGCCAGCAAAGGTCAGAGTCTTGGAGGTGTCACCTTGCGACGAAATGTTCTTATGCAAGGAAAGGATGAATGGCCTCGGGCTCCCAGTGGAGGTCTTGGCATGGAGATGGTGGAAAAACTCTCTTCGGGTGCCATACGTTATAAGATCCTACGTAATGCGGCGTACATGGACGTGCAACATCAGTTTGAGCTATGTGTTGAGTCCATGGATCCCCAGAGACTGATCCACCATCTTCAATACAACCCTTATCATATTTCCACTCTTCTCCAAGTGTCTGAGATTGCCAAGCATCAAAGCGACCATGCTGTCTCTGCCGATCTTTTAGAAAGAGCACTGTTCAATATTGGTCGCTCGGCCCACTCATCATTTGGTAGCCGGCTTAAGGAAGGGCAAGCCCGACTTGACTTTTTGCATGCGGAGAATCGTGAGTTGTGGCTTTTGGGATGGAGATACATTGCGAATCTAGGAATGAAGGGAACATGGCGAACGGCGTACGAATGGGCCAAGCTACTTCTTAGCTTGGATGATTCGGATCCCTATTGCATGAAGTTGATGATTGACTCTCTCGCTTTACGTGGTCGGGAGTATGCACAATTCGTGGAGCTATGCACCAAGACTCGCTTCCGTCGTGATTGGGCCGACCTTCCTAACATTCAGTGCTCATTGGTGATGGCATATATTCGTTTGAAGAAGCCTCAGGAATGTCGTCAGCAGCTTCACCACGCCATGTCTCGCTTCCCATGGATCTTTAACCGGCTGGCTCAAGAGCTGGATCTTCGACAGATCCCTAAGCAAATTTGGGGCAAAATGCCTCCCATTGGATCCCATGAGCTTCTCGCGGAACTATACATTGTTCGTTGCAAGGATCTTTGGAACACCCCTGAGGCAATATCCCTTATCATGGAAGTTGCCGATACTCTTTCTGGAGAACCAGAGCCCATCGAGCCCCCCGAGATCACCTTGGATATTGCCCGTCATGTAATCTTGTCGGACACTCCCAGCGTCACCACCCATCTGCCCAACCGCTTCGTGTCTGGTCGACTCTCTGCTTCGGATCCTCTACCTCCGTATGAGTCAGAAGCCTTCCGTGAACAGTCCGACTCTGTTCCTTCCTATATCTCACGAATCCCCGAGGGTGGACGGCCACAATGGCTCCGTGATATTATGAACCAGATGCAAAATGGCGCTGGTGTCCAGTTTCCCGGACTCCAGGCAGGTGAAGATGTCGAAGATGATGGCGCTGAAGATGGCGCCACCGATCACGCTGCAGGTACTCGGCCACGTGGGCTGGCGGGGGATCAACAGGTTCTCGAGCAGTGGCTCTTACAAGATGGTTTAGAGTCCCTACAGATGTTCCTGGTCCAACATGGCGTGGACCGGGGCAACTGGGGTGATGTGATGGATTATGCGCCATTGACGGATTATTTAGAAGCTTTGTCAGAAATTCAACCAGAAGAGTCTCGACAGCGGCTGCTGCATGGCGCCATTCAGGAAATCATTGGAGATTTCGCTGTCACCATGCTCGAGGATGAACTCGAGATGATGCAAGAGGAGATCTCCAATCCAAGCGATTTGGATTGAGAGACATAAAAATAGTTGTATCTTACCTAGGTATTCAATTACGACATGCATCATGAGACAACGAGAACGTGCTATATTAGTGTTTGTTAGGGCAAAGGCCAAATGGACATGACGTCACTGAATCAAATGACAAATCATCGAATGCTTCACAGGGAACTACATGTAGCACATAGTTGTGGACCTTAGTACTACTAGTACTATGTTTACAATGACTCGGAGACTTAAGAAACTATCCAGTTCTCACCTTCGGCTATACCCTAAGCATCACCCGGGCTCAATGGCCGATCGTCTAGTCTTGCCAATGTCACGAGCCCCGGGGGTTGGCAAATCAGGGCATTTGGCATAGCCTGGGTAAGCAGAAAAAAGCAAACAGACCAGAATACGAGCTGTGGCTCAATCTCTAAACGATTGGGTAGTTGATGGATCTCATCTTCACTTCCCGTGGCGACGACGTGCTTTTATTGGTCCATACGCTCGGCCGATCATGCAAGTCAGCCTTGCTCCTTCTTCTCCGTCAGCGAGCGGATGAATCTACAATTTCACAAAAAAAAAAAAAAAAAAAATCTCCCTCCAAGGGTCCAACATTGCCCTTCTGACTACTCCGTATTCACCCTGTTTATACGATTACCCCGCGTCAGCCAAAGAACGCCGTGGCGCTAATCTCTCAGAAATGAGGCATTCCAGCCACTGACATCGGGGGTCCGGACCTATCTGGCTGTTGGAGCCGAGCCCCAAAAGCCAGTTAGAGCAGTATGCTGCCTAGAATGATGGCGAGCTTAGCACACGATTTAAAGGTGTGCATTGCTTTTGGATTGGATTTCTCAACTGAGTTCAATCCGCTCTACTTCATCGGAGTTCTGTGCAGACACGAAGCAGAAGCAATCTAAGAGACGAAATGGCTGGGGAACGATATGGAATGGTAATGCTCCACCGGATACAGATTGTGCGCCAGTATTTGAGATTATCTAATTCGCTTTGTAGACGCTTTGGCATCCTGCTCCACCAGAGTCCGATGTTGATTGCCTTGTCGAGTATGTGATCCCATCCATGACTGTGGAATCGATGGTTTTGAACGCTCACAGCCCCTGTAGCATCGTATTTCTTCATGGACTCAACGGCGCCATCGGGAGTACGTTTACTCATACTTCTGGAAAAATCGGCCGTCGCAGGCACATAGTATGGCCCAGAGATCTACTAAAGGAGGACTTGACCGTTGATGGAAAATCACAAGCCCGAATAATGGGAGTAGGTTTGGATTTCTCAATTGATCATTCAATCACTTACCTAAGACCCATATAGTTTGAATTCGACGCAGATGTACTCAGCTTCTTTGGCCGGACGGGCCGCGAAACGATCGCAAGCATAGCAGATACGTTCTTGGCCGATTTGGCAAATATGAGGCGAGCCGACTATCAACGCGAACGCCCTTTGATATTATTTGGACACAGCTTGGGAGGGTTAATCATCAAGCGGGTAAGCTCGAGCTTGGCTCATATTGATGTGTGTACTATGATCAAATTGACTGATCTCTTTTTATAGGCCATGTCAAAGGCATGGGACGAAGATGACCCGACAAGTGCTGATGTTTTTCGACGAAGAAGACTCACAGCAACCAGCACCAAAGCAATTATCTTTGCAGGAACACCGCACCGTGGTTCCGCTCGCGCTGAAACAGCTGCGTGGGCCACCTCTTGGCTAGGAGCCTTTGGTGTTTCGACAACACCAGAAAATATCAGAGACGTACAAGAAGGATCTAATACAACTCAGATGCTTCGTGAAGAGTTTCTAGTATTCCGACGCAAAATACGGGACAGTCGAGCTAGGGCGATACCTCCAGAACCTGATATTACTACATATACATTTGCTGAAGGTCGTCCAATGCCAGTCATAGGAATGGTAAGTCAAATCTGTGCAATGGCGGTCGCTGGTTTTTTTCTTTCTTTTTTTTTGGTCTCTTTAGCCCCAGTGCCCTTTACTGACATCGGCGTATGGTTTCAGATTGTGACACTAAGTTCCGCAACCTTGGACATGCAAAACGAGATCGTATCCTCAGTAGCAGGATGTGATCACAGAACAATGGTGAAGTTCGCTAGTCGAGACGCAGCCGGCTATAAGCAGTATCTTGGTGCTATCCAAAATGTTATTGACGAAGTGCAGCGAGAACAGGGGGCAGCTCTACGTATGTGGGTCGAAGTCAGGTAGCTCTAGCTAATACAGCTATGACTCTCTATGAAATTTTGCCAGTATAAATACGGATATCCTGACGAGTGGTTTGATTTCATAGAACCTCATGTATCTCCACTTACCTCGTCTTCATTGAATGGCTCTCACTTTGGAACCATGCCTCGACGCCGCGAAATAGCCGGCGCGGGCACCTGGTCGCAATTCAACCAACGGAATAATGGGCAAACCCATATGAGGGAAATCTTATCTGGATCTCAAATGGCACACAATCGAATCGACTCCATAATGTCAGCTCGGCAGCCGATCTCGAACAACAACAACAACCAGAGCTACCAACCAACCCCTCACATCTACCCCCGACACTCCTCAGGCCAAGCAAGTCTTGCAAGTGAGCTTACATCCAGCATATCGCCCGGCACGGTGGGAACATACAATTCCCACGAGCTCCCACGCGATAGCGAACAACACCATACTCAAGACCTCTCATCCGCAACTCAAATGGCACCCAGTCACAACCGACCCGATTCCACTTTCGCACCACCTCCACAACCAGCCCCAAACAACAATACTCATAACCACCCACCAACCCTCCACACTTACCCTCGAAAGTCCCTAAGCGAAGCAAGCCAGTCGACCGACTCCACGCACAGCATATCTCCCGTCACCACCGGGTCCTACCATCCCCACGAGCTCCCACCAGCACGTCAAAACAGCGAAAGCGAGGACATAGAGGCGCTTATCTCAGAGGCAATCAAATGCCGCAAGGGCGCCACTCGCAGGAGCGCCACGAAGCAAGCCCTCGTGCTATTCAGCCACGCCCTTCGCAGATCCGAGCAATCGCGCAATCCCGAGCCCCGACACAAAGTACATGCCTACTTCGGCATAGCCGATTGCTACTGTGATCTGATCGAAAGCCCCCACGTCAGCGACCAGCAGAAGCCGGGTCATATCCAAGATTCCCGCGATGCGTGCCGAGTGGCTATGCAGATAGCTCAAGACGGTGGCAGCCATGGGCAGATGAGACGGGTTCGGATATATCAGGCGCGACTCGATGCGCAGGAGTTTATGCTGCGAGTTCGGAATCCGCCCGCGCTGGATGTTGATGTTTCGAGGCTCCAGGTGGATAAAGAGGTTATTGAGCATAGATTAAGGACGCTGCTGGCTGAGGTGGAATCGGATCCCGGGAGGAATGATCGGCTTTGGGATATTGTGCATCGGAAGATTATACAATTAGCAGAGATTCGGTTTGAGAGTGAATAGATCAAGCCTAGCAGATGCGTATTCCTTGTATACTGGTATTATATTTCAGACATTATGTACTGTTGCCATGTTTGCTATTTCCTATTTTCCCACTTTCGTGGATCGTTTATTCGTATTGGCTGACTTGGTCTGGATCAACTGCAGGGTCCGATCGAGGATCCGAGAAGACACTCGCTCCACTCGCTGTAATATTGCCAGGGCTATTGACCCGTGCGCTATGATCCAATCGCCTTGGCTCAGGTACATTGACCAGTACGTGCCCATCCAGTTGGCCATTGTCTCTGATCCTATGGCTGGACTTTCGGCGCGCAAGCCATGCCTGTATCTTTTTCCGACTCAAGAAAGCAGTCAAAAGAACTAAGAAGACGAAAGCGCCTCCTATTGAAATTCCAACGATTGCTCCAGTGCTCAAATGTGGCCCGTGACCAGGAGTCGGTGTATTTGTTCCAGTGGACGTAGCCGTTGTACTAGTTGTGGAAGAGCTCGTCGTAAATGTAGAGCCAGTGCCTGAGGTTCCCGAAGACTCATTCGTCGGCGTGTCAGACTGAGTTGTCGCATTGGTCGCTGTGTCCGATTGGGTAGTGGCGCCAGCCGTTGTGGTTTCGGCGGTAGTAGTGGCCTCGGTGGTACTGCTTTCGCCTTGAGTTGTGACCGTGGAGTAGACGATTTGAATGAACGAGGATTGCGCACAGCCATATCCATAGAGAAGTGGAGTGCCGACCCACTCCCGAGTATAGCAGGCCGTCAATCCGGAGTCGGGGTAGGTGCTAGACAACGGTAGGTCAGACTCCGTAGACTGTTTTTTAATCATGGGGATCCAGAGCCGCGGGTCATACCATTTCAATATAGAAGTGTTCTCTTGACAAGCCGAGTCGCAAAGACCGTCTGAAATAGCAGTCGCTGCGTAGCAGGCCGATGGCATAACGCAGCTATCGGGATCCACACAGCAAAAGTGAACACTGGCGGTCAAATCGGAGGCACATGTTGAGCCTGCTGCGCAGGTCGCAGGTGAGTCTGCTTTGTGTTAGCGATCAAGAGGCGGGAAGATTGCTTTTCTACTTAGCATCTAGTGTATTGCCGAACTCACCTGCATCTCCATCGACATACCCGCAAGTGACGGGACTTCCATACCCATTTACTTGACGCTGGAGAATATTGGCGACAAGAGCTGCATCGGGAGCTGGAGTAATTAGTGGGGAATGCATTGTTGTCGTCTTCCATACGGATTCCATGATGAAAGCATTTAATAGGGACCCAGAGAAAAGCACTTTTTTTTAAGATGAGAACTTAGTATAGCTTAAATAGAAAGCCAAGCTCTTTTTTCCCCTCAAAAGGGACCTGAACTTTATTACCCTTGCTCGCCATAAGAAAAAGAAATATTCTAAAAAAGGCACAGGATCGAGACCACATGCGCACATGCGCAGGGACAATTGTGGCTTGCGGCTGGAAAAGCTAACGAACCCTGGGTGAAATGGGTGAAGGTAGGCGATTTTGCCACATAAAAGGCAACTAGTATACCTAAATACGATGCTCTTGGTGCTTAGACCCCCTTGGCTTTTTAAGCCTGTTGACCTATCTACTTTAATGTTATAATGTCCAGAAAATTCAAGTCTTTAGTAGGCTAAAGGAAACTGAGACATTGAGACTGAGAGAGGTTGTTAGGTATCACGAACATTGAATAAACTCAAGAAAAGATTCTTCAGGATCATAAGGGTATATTTGCTTAGCATATTACGGAAGGGGGCATTTAAATGCTCGCTAGAACTACTACTGGTAGAACTTGGGTGATAGTGATACCACGTGCAGTACATAAGCGACGGAACATATGCATGGCAGGGGTACAGCAACTTTATAATACAGGTAAACATCATGCAAGTGCTTAGGGCAAGCGGGTTTGGAAGTATGAGTATTACACAGATGAAACCGACATCCATTGTAGTCTTTTAGAAAGTCCCAGCATTAAATCTTCAATACTTGAAATGTTTCCAATTCCCTTATCATGTACAGATCTCTGCTCCAGTCAGCTGCATTATGTATGCAAGTAATCTCATAAGGCGAGACTTGTGATTGGCTCACAATGATGCTATCATGAAAAGCAGATTTGGACTAATTTTTTTCTTCCTTATCAAACTTTGCAGGCGAAGACTGTTTCTTCTTATGAGGAAAAATAAAACCTCTATTCTTAAATGCCCCTCAAGCTCACATTCTCTGCGCACCTTCAAACTTGCCCCGGAAGTGATCCAAGGTTGATTGTGTCATAAGACGGCCCAGCCGCGCACCCGCAATTTTCCCAGCGGCCCCCGCGAAAACCTTGAAAGCATTCCCAGGACTCGCGACCGCACAAAATCCCCAATCGGCGTCATGACTCTAGCGCAACTCATGAACATGAAGCTGGAGAATCCCGTGCCCCTGACGCCCGCCGAGGCCGCGTCCGGCCTCCTGGGCTCCGTGTCTCTGACCTGCTGGATTTTCTTACTGGTACGTCACTCCCAACCAAGGATACTGTTCATCGCGAGAGCGCGCAGCACCAGCGCAGCGAAAATGAATCCCTCCCCCAAAACCCCTCCCCTTCAAAAATCTAACAAACTCCCATCTACCAGGTCCCCCAACTGATCGAGAACTACCGCAACGGGAACGCCGAAGCAATCTCTTTCCTCTTCGTCGTCGTCTGGTTCATCGGTGACGTCGCCAACCTCCTGGGCGGCCTACTAGCAGGCCTAGTACCCGTCATCGTTGCCATTGCCATATACTTCTGTATCGCAGACGGAGTCTTGATTTCGCAATGTCTATACTATAAAGCACGGAACTCCCGTCCCGAGTCCGTGCACCGGCGCCGCCGCTCCTCAACCGAGACGCTCGATCCCACCACCCCGCTGCTTGGCCGCCGGTTCAGCGATTCGCTGGAGGGCCCGAATGGCCGCCGGCGGTCGTCGGGTTCTTGTCGTGGATACCAGGGCGCTGGGCGCCGGGAGAGCCAGGTTGAGGATCCGTTGGCGAAGATCGTGGAGGAGAGCGAGTACGGGCGGAAGGCTTGGCTCAAGAACTGTATTAGTGTCTTGGGCATCTTCGTTGTTGGTATGGTCGGTTGGACTATTGCTTGGCAGACGGGAATGTGGTCGCCGGCACCGGCGCCGCAGGCTCATGCGAGCGCGAATGCGAATGCGAACGCAGCCGATTGGGCGGCTGGTGGTCAGATTTTGGGATACTTTAGTGCGGTGTGTTATCTGGGGTATGTCGTTTTTTGGGGGTTTTTCATGGTGATGCATTGTTGATTGATACTGACTTTTGTAATAGAGCGAGACTACCTCAGATCTATAAGAACTACAGCGACAAGTCATGTGAAGGTACTTATTTCAGTGCTTACTGCTTACTATCATCCCAGGTTGGGCCACGAACTAACATTGCTTCATAGGCTTGTCACTTCTCTTCTTCATCCTTTCTCTCCTGGGTAATCTGACCTATGGCGCCGGGGTATGTATACTTGAGCTTCTTTTCACGATACCGAAGTCGTTGCTAACAACTACACAGATCCTGGCTCACTCCATGGAGAGAGAGTATGTTATCACCAATCTCCCTTGGCTGATCGGATCTTTGGGAACCATGGCTGAAGATGTGATCATTTTCGCCCAATTCCGCATCTATGCCGCGCAGGAACCTCTGTTGGCAGTGTCTTGATTTAACTTTTCGAATCTTTCCTTGCGTCTTTCTTGGCATATAGTACTATTGATCCATGTGGTGTCTTTATACACAGAGTGTATGAAAGGTTTTACTGTTATGAACAGTCTGCGTGTGATCAGTAGTATGCGAACTTGTGTTATTTGCAGCGAAAAAATGGCGTTTTGTTATCATTAGTTTAAGTGGGTTGAATAGTACAAGCAAAAGTAAATGAATTGTTATAAGAATAGAAACAACGTATCCACTCAGGTGCTGCTCTCTTCCATAAACATATAAGGTTGAATAGCATGGAATCATATCCAACCTTAAGTGATTGTCCACATGTGCAGGGATTGGCTTCTACGTCATACTTTACCAATGCCCAAATCAATGAGTGAGGACATTTATCGTTCTAGCGCGTACTAACTACTACGGAAATACCCGACCAGAGTTGGAAGAAAAGGATTTCATACGTCGTGGCGCATAGCATGAGACCATAAAACGAGTCAAGACTCATCCATGGGGCAATCGAAGCACAACATGCATCTACCTGGCAGGCCTGGGCGTAGGCCGTTGTCAAATAAGAATAAAGTTGTGCCAAACGTCTCTTGAATTCCCCTAATATCTTGGAAGCAACAATAGTTTCGGAATCATAACGGCATCCGATCGATTCAACCTCCGGCACTCGAGGCGGAGGTAGACCGAGCACCCAGTCTCCATTGAATGTCCTTGTCCGTTTGAATCTTTTGCTATTTTCTTTTTTTTCTTCCCCGTGATTTAGGTCTTCGTAGCAGGGGTCGTGGAGTATCGAGTACAAGAGAGAATCGTCGAGGGAGCCGCGAAGCGGCAGCGGAATAAAAGGTAAGGGAAAGAGCAAAAAGGAAACGACTTCAACTTCATAACGGATTAACCGCTTAGTCGAAAAGTCCGAATCCCATGTCATCATCGGACTCCTCCTTCTCTGTGTGGGGGTCAGCATCCCATTCCAATTCGTAGACCAATCGAGTCAAAACTTACCCTCAACCTTCTCCTCGGCGACGGCCTCGGCGGGGGCAGCGGCACCAGCGGCACCGGCAGCGGGGCCAGCAGCGGCGGGACCAGCGGAACCGACGTTGGTGAGCATGTCCTTGATGTCCTTACCCTCAAGAGCCTGGTAGAGAAAAATTCGCGTAAGTCCTTGATCGTGAAATTTGTTGTGCACCCGGCAACTTCTTCTCGAATATTCGTGGGTATGCGATTTGTTGTTGGTGAGGGAGGCAGATTCAGAAATTTACCTTGGCGAAGATGGTGGCCCAGATGGGCTCGATCTCCTGAACCTTGGCGGCGGTGATCAGGGTCTGGATCTTGTCGGCCTGTATGATGGGTTTCAGGTTAGCCCGGGTTTTCCCAAATTTGATGAAAGATGTAGCGAAGGGAGTTCAGCGCCCGTCATCCCGTCTCATTCAATTGCGATTCGAGATTCGCGTATAATGATCCTGGCGGGTGCCTTTGTCCAATATCTTCACATCTTCAAATTTCTCATGGATCCCAGGGGATACGTACGGTGATCTCAAGGCCTTCATCGGCAAGGATCAGAGCGGCGTAAGAGCAGGCGAGCTCGGAGGTGGACATTTTGTCGACTGTGGGTTGACCGGTTTGAAGTTGATGATAGGAAAGAAGGGAAGAGTGAAGGGTATCAAAGGCCTATCCGAACATGGCAATGCTGCTTGGCGTGTGTGGGAAAAAGCCCTCGCTTAGGGCTTGGCTAAACTGGGACTAGCGCATCCCCTCTTCCCGTGACTTTGTGAGAATACACGCTAGTCCCCAATCCGGCCTAGATGACATAATCCCGTAGTAATCTCCTATCGCAAGACGATATCAATCGGCCCCGAACTGACATCACAGACTGTGGGGTTTCTACCAACTCTTTTTCATTTCTGATTCACGAGTGTGATATTTTCTTGAATCTCAAGTCTTCTTTTGACCTCTTTCCCATTTTAAGTTGATTTTGTCACCACCTGGCCTGTACGAAAACCACTCGGATCATGGACTCCCCCGCCTTACCGGTCCCGCTGGATCCGCGGGAGCAGCCCATCCTCGAACGCTTGCTCCGAACCCGCGACGCCCTCCTGCTCCTCAAACAAGACAAGTCGTCCTACATCAAGTCTCGCGACGTGCTTCCTCTTTACGAGGAGGTGATTGGAGAGGTGGAAAAACTCAATGCAGCTCGGAAAGAACAAGATCGCCGCCTCATACATAACCGACGTGAGTACCGAATGGGCCGATGGGCCGTGCGTCGCCAATGTACGACCCATGCAGCAATGACTGACCACAGATCCTTGATAGTGGACTACGTTTTGGATGATTGCTTCCAGTTGATCTCCTTGCTATTCCTAACGGTTGGCAAGAATAACGAGGCGCCGGCAGTGTAAGTCGTCTACCCCGCGGCTCCCTTATCGATGCTGACTTCTTTGTCTAGGTACTCCCTAGCAACCACAATCCAGGTAATTTTTCGTTGATATGCTATCACTCTCAATATGTCCCTAACTTATTTCAGCGCCTGCTTGACCACCTCGAAGAAGCCGGATTCTACAGTTCTAAGGATTTGAATTCGATCACAAAGACCCTCGAATCAACGCGGGAAACTCTCGATCGCGGCCGCAATACATACTCACCAGCCCTTCTTACCCTCCTTGAAAGCCGATTGGAACAATGTCAGATGTCTTTGGATAAATTACAGAAAGGACTTGCGATCCTGGCTCCACCCTTGGCTCAAACTCACGAGACGCTGGTTTCTATCCTGCGCTCCACGTCCGCAGTTAACACCCGCTCAAAGGTAGGTTTACCCACAAAGCTCTTTTTTTTTTACTCGACTTATACTGATGTTCTTCGGTTTTGCTCCCAGTTCTCAGCCACAGAAGTAAACAGCCTCCGGGATCAATTGAAGAAGATCGAAAGCCAGATGAAGGATGGGAACTTTGTGGATGATGAAGGCAATATTCTTCCGGGTCAGGACGATATCAAGTCTCTGATGGAGCGATGCTGGCGGTGGACTGAAACTGTTCTGGAGCGGTATGTTTCTGGAATATCACATCAAATTGTCTCAGCCACTAACTGGAATTTAGAGAGGGTAAAGTTCTGGAGCGCTTCCAGGAGCAATATGAGCGCCTGCTTGAGATTCGCAACCAGCTAGACCGTCTATCAGTCACGCAGGCTTGGTCATTGCGGGAGACGGACCTTTTTGTTTACCAGCGTAAACTTGATCGAATTGACGAGGCCCGAGTCAATGGCAACTTTGTCGATGCTGAAGGGCAACCTGCCGATCTTCATGCACAGAGGGTACATAATTCAGTTGAACGCATTACGAAACAACCATGCTAATTGATTACTAGACTTTATTGTACCTTATCCGACGAAGCTATGCATACATCTACGCCCTCTTGATCTCATCTGAGCCCGTGTCCGAGGCTTTGCTACCTGTCTACAACCAACTGCAGACCCTGCGCCGCTGCCTCATTGAGGTTAAGGAGTCTGGCGGCGTGTCAAACTCGAGAGAGCTTTACCCTTACAGCATGAAGGTAACTAAAATCCCAGAAAATCCATCTTTTCTATAAAATGTTGACTAACAAAAACAGCTCAATTCAATTGACAACATGCGTGTTGATGGAAAATTCTATGTTGGTCCTGATATTCCTGAGGGCCAAGGAAGTGTGAACGCCTTGCTTGCAGAGTGCTATGACTTCGTCTGGGAACTGCGGGCCGCTGTTGCAGACGAAGACACCCAGTCCTAGAGAGAGCCTCTCAACGACCTCACTTCTTTTTCTTTCTCTCTTCTTTCAAATACGACCTGTCCCTGCCTATCTCTGAGGTAGATTGGCCATCTATGAAACGCCCTGGATGCTTTGCCACTGTATTTTTGGGGCTTGACCTAATAACTATTTTTCCTTTTCATTAGTTTCACAAGGCGTTGACATGTGGCGGCAGTCTTGAGCCCGATCTGGTTACTGGTATTACTTATGGAGGGGGAGGTATCTGACTGTTGAATCTTCGAACGATCTATTTTGAATGTCGCACATCTACATTTGAATCTTCTTTGTTACTTCCTAGGAACAAATATGAGTCTGCTTGTACTACTTTTACCTTGACTAAAGCATGGTTCCTCCTGACCCGAATAAGGCGCTTGACGCTAAGTTCATAGTAGAAGAAGCTGGCTGTATTTATTCTAGAATGTTACCTAGCAGGTACCATTTATCGATTTCTCTTTCAAAACCTTGCAAGGCAGAGAATATCTGCAAGTAGTACATACCCATGACGCTGGATCATTAACAGAGGGTCCTAAACGTAATCCGTAGATCGTATACTCCGATTTCCCCACAATTATTTTAAACAACCGGTATCGGCGCCTCTTCGAGCCAATCAGGGATGATACAAATAACCACCGCTCCGACGGCGAAAAAAAGCCCTTGGAACCTCAACCCTGACTCTTTCCCCAGTTCCCACCCCTCCGCAATTGAAGATGGTGAGCCAACTAGTTTGGCAGCGGGCTAATGCCACTCGCAGGGTAAGTTCTAGATACTTTGGAGTACTGAGGCACTGAGATTGAACATAAATTGACCTTAAAGCAGCTGGCCGCGCGCCTGTCCCCACAACGAGTCACCCGTGGCCTAGCCACCGAAGCCTCCTCCTCCCGCATGCCGCCCTACCCCAAGATTGTCCGAAACCTCGAGCAAGTTCGCAAGGTTCTCGGCTCCGACCGTGCCCTGACTCTCGCTGAGAAGATCTTGTACGCCCATTTGGCCAACCCCGAGGAGTCATTGCTCACCGGTACCAATAATGGCCGCGACATTCGCGGTAAGGCTAACTTGAAGCTGAAGCCCGATCGTGTTGCCATGCAGGATGCCTCCGCCCAGATGGCCCTGCTCCAATTCATGTCCTGTGGTCTTCCTTCCACTGCTGTCCCCGCCAGTATCCACTGCGACCACATGATTGTTGGTGAACGTGGTGCCGACACTGATCTCCCGGCCTCAATTAAGGGTAACAGTGAGGTGTTTGACTTCTTGGAGAGTGCTGCCAAGCGCTACGGTATTGAGTTCTGGCCTCCGGGTGCTGGTATTATTCACCAGAGCGTTCTGGAGAACTACGCCGCCCCTGGTCTGATGATGCTCGGTACCGACAGCCACACTCCCAACGGAGGTGGTCTGGGTGCTATTGCTATCGGCGTTGGTGGTGCGGATGCTGTCGATGCCTTGGTCGATGCCCCGTGGGAGTTGAAGGCCCCTAAGATTCTTGGTGTGCGCCTTGAGGGCCAGCTGAGCGGCTGGGCCTCTCCCAAGGATATCATCATGCACCTCGCAGGCAAGCTCACTGTCCGTGGTGGTACTGGCTTCATTGTCGAATACCACGGTCCTGGTGTGGAGACCCTGAGCTGCACTGGTATGGCTACCTGCTGTAACATGGGTGCCGAGGTTGGTGCTACCACCTCGCTTTTCCCCTTCTCGCCTAGCATGGTTCCATACTTGGAGGCTACCCACCGTGGTCATGTCGCCAAGGCTGCTGCTGAGATTGCTGCCTCTGGCCCTCAGAACTTGCTGCGGGCTGATACCAAGGCCGAGTATGATCAGGTTATCACTATTAACCTCTCCGAGCTGGAGCCACACATCAACGGCCCGTTCACTCCGGATTTCTCGGTCCCTCTGTCTAAGTTTGCGGACACCGTCCGTGAGAAGAAGTGGCCCGAGACTTTCGGTGCCGGTCTCATTGGTAGCTGCACCAACTCCTCTTACGAGGACATGACCCGTGCTGAGCACCTGGTCAAGCAGGCTTCCGCCGCTGGCTTGAAGCCCAAGTCAGACTTCTTTATCACCCCTGGTAGTGAGCAGATCCGTGCCACCCTCGAGCGTGATCAGACTCTGTCTACTTTCTCCGAGGCCGGTGGTATTGTTCTGGCTAACGCCTGTGGTCCTTGCATTGGCCAGTGGAACCGTACTGACGAAGTGCCCAAGGGTGAGGATAATGCCATCTTCACTTCCTACAACCGTAACTTCCCCGGTCGTAACGATGGTAACCGTCGCACCATGAACTTCCTGGCTTCCCCCGAGCTGGTCACTGCTCTCGCCTACTCCGGCACCACCACCTTCAACCCCATGACCGATTCCTTGACCACCCCGAGCGGCGAGTCCTTCAAGTTCGAGGCTCCTCAGGGCTTTGACTTGCCTAGTGCTGGTTTCGAGGCTGGTAACCCCAAGTTCCAGCCTACTGCCGCCATCCCCGATGCCAGCGTCGAGGTCGAGGTTTCTCCCACCTCCGACCGTTTGGCCTTGTTGGAGCCATTCGCTCCCTTCCCCGAGGGTGAAATCTCCGGCTTGCAGGTTCTGTACAAGGTCAAGGGCCAGTGCACAACTGATACCATCTCGGCCGCTGGACCTTGGCTCAAGTACAAGGGTCACTTGCCCAACATTTCCGCCAACACTCTCATTGGTGCTGTTAACGCTGCCACTGGCGAGACCAACGTCGCCTACGACGAGAGCGGCAACAAGTTCGGAATCCCCGAGCTTGCTGAGCAGTGGAAGAACCGTGGTATCGAATGGCTCGTCGTTGCTGAGGACAACTACGGTGAGGGTTCTGCCCGTGAGCACGCCGCTCTGCAGCCCCGTTACCTTGGTGGCCGTGTCATCGTCTCCAAGAGCTTTGCCCGTATCCACGAGACCAACCTCAAGAAGCAGGGTGTTGTCCCTCTCACATTTGCCAACCGTGAGGACTATGACCGCATTGATGCCTGTGATACTGTCGACACCGTCGGCCTGTACGATGTCCTGAAGGCTGGTGGCCAGGGTGAGGTTCAGCTGCGCGTTACCAAGCGCAAGACTGGCGAGACCTTCCTCGTTCCTACCAACCACACCCTCAGCAAGGACCAGTCTGGATTCATTCTTGCCGGCAGTGCCCTCAACCTGCTGGCTAAGAAAGCCCAGAAATAAATAAAGAAAAAGTGAAGTTAAAAATGTTTCACAAATGAAACAACAAAAGTCGGTTTCGATCAGGAGTTGATGATCCGTGCTAGGCTGTGGGATGCATATATACTTGCTGCCATTTCACTTTTGTATCTGTGGAGAACTTGGATTTCTGTATTTTTTTTATTGGTTTTGCGAGCTAGATGATATCCAATGTGATCTGTATTCTATGTTTTGATTCATTCCCATTGCACTCAAGTAGAACGTCATAAATACTCAATCTTGAATAGACAATATTGTCATCAATTGCCCAGGTGGTACCTAGAACAAAATAGGCATCTATACTAACTAGGTACATACATACTAGGGATACCAATAAGTCCCATCAGGCTATTGCATGCGCGTATATCAATACATTCTACAACTGTTGTGGAGACGCGATTGATGACATGTCAACTGCAGGGCGCCCGCACAACTGATAAGATACGTGCGGGGAAAATTTGTTACTAGAAAACAGACTGCCCGCTACAATTTACGGCTTAAATTACCATCTACCTCAATCCGAATAAAATGGATCAGTCTACACGCATAATCAAAAAGCCATGGATCGAGACCCCGATCATTGAGTCGTCCACACTCTCCAAGCTCGCAGGATGGTACGCCACTACTCCCCCCCTTCCATTAACATCCTCACCCCAAGCCCACCCTGGGCCACCCGCAAGAAACCAAGTCTCACAACTGACATGGCGCGTACAGTAGAATCTTCCTCAAACTCGAGCTCCTGCAGCCATCCGGCTCTTTCAAATCACGGTACGTCATCTCGTCCCAACATAACCAACCTGATCTGCTCCACCCCAGACTATACAAACTAACAAACTACCTATGCCATTGACAGAGGAGTCGGCAACCTAATGGTCCAGGCCCTCAAGAACCCCGCCACCAAATCCAAAACAGTCCACTTCTTCAGCTCCTCGGGTGGAAATGCAGGCCTCGCCGCCATCCACGCCGCCCGCGAGCTCAACTGCGCCTGCACCGTCATCGTCCCACACAGCACAAAACCAATGATGATCGCGAAGCTCCACGCCGCCGGCGCAACAGACGTAGTGCAGCACGGCGCAAGCTGGTTCGAAGCAGACACATACCTCCGCGAGACCTTCATCGAGAACCAGCCGCCGGCCTCAGAGAACGCAGCCAACGTCTACGTGCCGCCCTTCGACCACCCCGATGTCTGGGACGGGGCAGCGACGATGGTCGACGAGATCGCGGCCCAGTTACCCGTGCGGGAGGCAGGTGGTGCACAAGTAGCTGGGGCATTCCCGGCCGATGCGATCGTGTGCAGTGTCGGCGGCGGGGGCCTGTTCAACGGGATTGTCGCTGGACTGGAGAAGCATATGGATGAGTTTGGAAGTGGGACCGATATCCCCGGTACGAAGAAGGTGCATGTTTTGGCTGTGGAGACGAAGGGGGCGGACTCGCTGGCTCATTCTTTGCGGGAGAAGGAGCTGAGTTCTTTGGAGGCGATTACGTCGCAGGCTACCTCGCTGGGCGCGCTGCAGGTAGCTAAGAAGACTTTTGCTAATGCTAGGTATCCGCCGCCTGGTGTGCAGGTTAGTAGTGTTGTGGGATCTGATGCTGAAGCTGCGAGGGGTATTTTGCGATTGGCGGATGAGACGCGGTTGCAGGTGGAGCTGGCTTGCGGGATTAGCTTGGAGGTTGCTGTTGCTGGGCGGTTGAAGGCTGTTATGCCGGATCTGGGTCCTGATAGTCGGGTTGTGGTTATTGTTTGTGGTGGAAGTAACATCACGTCGGAGATGATTGTGCAGTACAGGCAGCTTCTCGATGAAGGGTGGGAATAAGTGGGGGCAGTTGGAAATTACATACTACTACTAGATATTGAAATTCATGGCATACATATGCATTTTTAGAAAATTTGAGTAAACTAATAATATGTACATACAAAATTCAATAGTAAGCATGTACATAAACTAAACATTTAAATGTGCTTGTCATTGAGTGTTGAGCGTTCCAATGTTGTCTCGAATTGAACGACCCCGTTTCACCCACGTGCATTCGATAAGATATACATCCCATGGACATCGAAATCTCCATCCATGAATGCGTTGACCACGGATTCAAACTCAAATTATTATCTTTTTCGTCTGTTTTCTGTATTAAAGAAGTAATACTTGATTCGTAATATTCGTAGCTATGCGCAATATAAGGACATGGCCTAGTCCAAGTTTATATGCAAACCATGGAAATACTAGGCCCTCGCTCAAAGACACCTTCCAACCCATCAGGGCCTCTATGAAGAGGAACAGAAAAAAGAACAGGGGGGTAAAAAGAAAAAAATATCAACAAGCCGTAAATGAAAAAAATAATGCAGCTTCTCGTTTATTCGCTATCACTGGCCACATCATTATCGTCGCCCATTTCCTCATCTTGGATTCCCTCGGCCAGAATATACTCCGCCTTTTGCAAGGTCTGCTTAATCTCAGGCTTGTTGAAGACCAGATCCGCAGGTTTTTGACCATGCTTATTCCGCACTCGGGGATCACAACCAGCCTCACACATCATGTTAATCATGGCCTCGCCCAGCTCTGCGTCCTTTTCGTTGGCGAAGCGCACGGCGACATGTAGCGGTGTGTCTTTATCGTTGCGGGTCAGGGGGTCGCACTCGAAGTACTGGATATCGAACAAGGCGTCCATAACGTCATCTACAATAGAAGGTTTTGTTAGAAGGTTTCTCGAAGATAACCTGGGGAGGAATTGACTCAGTCATCATCAAAATAACGTACAGCTCCCGTATAAAGCGCAAACATGCAGTGCATGGTTTCCCAAAGCATCAGTCACATTGTTGAAGAACTCCGCAACCTCCTCATTGGTCTTGTCATTCATGCCGTTAAGAACCTGCTCAATCAGGTCTTGCTGGTCTCGGCGACAAGCCTCGACGACCAGCTCGCGGGGGGAAGCACCCTGAAGTACATGGCGGTCAGTGTCCGGATCGTGCAATACAACAACTGGCGGGCTGCAGGTACTCACTTCATCAGCCATTGTAATCGATATTCAATGTAATCTTGTAATAATTTGACGAAAAGAAGCAGCTATTCCTGATGCGCGGATGCGGTTACCGCGGAAGCGTGACCTGAAACGTTTGAAGCCTGAAGTGGCGCAGCGTCGGGGTTCGGAGCGAGTGGAGCTGCAATGTCTCTCCGGTGGACCGTAGGGCGGTTATGAAGGGATTATGTACAAATCCGCGATCAGATCTTAGGGAATGGCAATTATCAGGCGATTTCAACTGAATTTCCAAGATTGTTGTTGTTATTCGGGAAGCCGCTTTCCCCAGGGACATCCCACGCCGGATCAGGTGATTTTCCGAACCCCCCGCTGCGGTTTAGCCGCGCGCCTAGATCTGCCCGAAAGTTACTGGTGAATGCGATTTGACGACGATTCGTGACGGATGCGACTTCAGCGACAGCGCATTGAATCCGATCATCTACTATTTCACTTCCCAATTTAAATCAGGAATCTACAACGACCTGGTTTCTACAGCTATTGTCAAAATGCCGCTAGTTTGTCCGTTGACCCTTCCCCGCACGAAGAAAAAAAAATAGCTTCATGCTTCAGCTCCAGCTCCAGCGACTGACTCTTTCTCCCCGTCTAGTCTGCCCGAATTGCAGCAATGCGCTGACCGTTGCCCGTGCCGAATCGACCAACAATCACCCCATGGGTGTGAACCGATTCGAGTGTCGAACCTGCCCCTACGAGTGGGCGCTTGAGAAGAAGTGGTTCGAGCGCACCGACATGAAGCAGAAGGAGGTTGAAGAGGCGCTTGGCGGAAAGGACGAGTGGAAGAATGCGGACAGTGTGGCCAGTGAGTCTTTGTCAAGGGTTCTGGAAATTCTCGACTTGGATGAGAGGCTAACAGCATGCAGCGCAATGCCCCAAGGAAGGCTGCAATGGCGAGCGAGCATACTTCTACCAGCTGCAGATTCGCAGTGCAGATGAGCCGATGACTACATTCCTGCGGGTAGGTTATACTTTTTTTTGCCCTTTTTTTTTACCCCTCCACCTCCTTGCATGGTGCCCGAAAGCTCGAGAAACTGACAGCTTGTGATTAGTGCACTAAATGTGCCACCCAGTGGAGAGAGAACTAATGCCCGAAGAGATCGGCGATTTTTTCCACAATTGCTCAGGTCATGAGCGACAAACACATAACACATTTTATTTTGAGGGATTTTACAGCACTCTTATATGAGAGATATTGATTCGCATACATGGCGTATTTTGAAAAGAAAAGGTGGGACATTGGCGTTCAAATGACAACAAAGCGAAATAGATACCCAAAAATTTGATCTACGTCAGACGCACAGATTGTCAGGTGGTCCCGGATAGGAAAAGGTAAAATTTTTCTAAAATTTTTAAAAATGGATCTTTACGCAGTAAAGACAGAGCAAAAAGAAAAAGAAAAATGATCCGAAATTGGGTTTAGTATACATAGAACCAACCCATGGGTCCCGGTCGGTTCCATACTAACTGGCAAGGAGGAAGAAAAAAAAAAGAGTTCTGGCGTTTTTTATTGATAACCCGTGTACGCAGTATAGAGTAGAGTCATTGAAAGGTTTCACTAATCCAGATATAGACCCCGACGGTTACTGTAGCTACTAAATTCAGCCTCCGACTATAAAAATCCTTGATATCTGTGTGGCGAAAAATAAAAAATCTGCTTCGCTGCATAACATTGTTGAAATCATAGTGGGTCCAGAGCTTTGGCGGTGACGGGCTCTGCCCCGCGGCTGAGGGGCAGGTGGGATGTGTTACAGAGTGAGCAGAGATTTTTTCCATTCCCCTATCAGCTTGGAGAAAAGAAAAGAAAAAAAAGGAAAAACAAAACACCCCATAACAAAAGAACAAAACAATCCAAACAGAAGGCCCGACGGACTGCGTTGCTGCCCAGTCGGCCCAGTCTAATGGACAGAGTGGACTAGAAGGAAAGCGCGATGAGAGAAAAAATTTACACAGAGTGGATCCCGATAGAAGGAGGGAACCAGGGAAATGGCGAAAAAGTGAGAGTAGATTAAGTCCAAGGTACATGAGTTAGTATGTAATGTTATGTGTAAAAGGATGTACAAGTGACTCAAACAGCCCACCAGGAAGATTCTGCGTTGGTCCCGCCAAGGTGGGGTAGGTGAGCACCGGGTCAGCCAATCACAGACCGCGATTGGAAAGGGCTTGAACCCGCCCACGACTCGCCTCTCTCGCTTGCCCCTCCATATAAGAATTTCCCCTCCTCCCCCTCCCACAGATTTTTTTCTTTCTTCCCCTCGTCCGCATCAGTACGTATAACTTCTCCCCCCTACCCTCTTCTCTTCTTTTCTCCTTCATCTCTCTAACATCCTCTGCACAGTACCTTTACGCACGCCGTAAAATCTGTGCAATTTCAGAACCTTTTTAAAAAGTCTTTCTATCAAACCGCCATCATGGGGTATGTCTATATCTATCCTCTTTGGGTTCTCATTGAGATCCTCATCGCGTCTGGAATCAAATACTAACTCACCTCGCAGTAAGGAAGATCGCAGCCACATCAACATCGTCGTTATCGGCCACGTCGATTCCGGCAAGTCCACCACCACCGGTAAGCTTTCCTCCCCCTCAAAGAGTCTTCCATTCTTCCTCCCAACAAAGATACTGATTCATTATAATAGGTCACTTGATCTACAAGTGCGGTGGTATTGACCAGCGTACCATCGAGAAGTTCGAGAAGGAGGCTGCTGAGCTCGGAAAGGGTTCCTTCAAGTACGCTTGGGTTCTTGACAAACTCAAGGCTGAGCGTGAGCGTGGTATCACCATCGATATCGCTCTCTGGAAGTTCCAGACCGCCAAGTTCGAGGTCACCGTCATCGGTAAGCTTCATCTCCCTTTTGTGTTCATATATCATCTGAGTCATATCTAACATTCCCATCTCAGATGCCCCCGGTCACCGTGATTTCATCAAGAACATGATCACTGGTACCTCCCAGGCCGATTGCGCTATTCTCATCATTGCCTCCGGTACTGGTGAGTTCGAGGCTGGTATCTCCAAGGATGGCCAGACCCGTGAGCACGCTTTGCTTGCCTTCACCCTCGGTGTCCGCCAGCTCATTGTTGCCCTCAACAAGATGGACACTTGCAAGTGGTCCCAGGACCGTTACAACGAGATCGTCAAGGAGACCTCCGGCTTCATCAAGAAGGTCGGATACAACCCCAAGAACGTTCCCTTCGTCCCCATCTCCGGTTTCAACGGTGACAACATGCTTGAGGTCTCCGAGAACTGCCCCTGGTACAAGGGTTGGGAGAAGGAGGGCAAGAACGGCAAGGTCACTGGTAAGACTCTGTTCGATGCCATTGATGCCATCGAGCCCCCCCAGCGTCCTTCCGGCAAGCCCCTCCGTCTGCCCCTCCAGGATGTCTACAAGATCTCCGGTATTGGCACGGTTCCCGTCGGTCGTGTCGAGACCGGTAAGATCATCCCCGGTATGATCGTCACCTTCGCTCCCGCCAACGTCACCACTGAGGTCAAGTCCGTCGAGATGCACCACCAGCAGCTCAAGGAGGGTCTCCCCGGTGACAACGTCGGCTTCAACGTCAAGAACGTCTCCGTCAAGGAGGTTCGCCGTGGTAACGTTGCCGGTGACTCCAAGAACGACCCCCCCATGGGTTGTGCTTCCTTCAACGCCCAGGTCATTGTCCTGAACCACCCCGGTCAGGTCGGCGCTGGATACGCACCCGTCCTCGATTGCCACACTGCTCACATTGCTTGCAAGTTCGCTGAGCTCCTTGAGAAGATCGATCGCCGTACCGGTAAGTCCGTTGAGGACTCTCCCAAGTTCATCAAGTCCGGTGATGCCGCCATCGTCAAGATGATTCCCTCCAAGCCCATGTGTGTCGAGCCCTTCACCGACTACCCTCCCCTTGGTCGTTTCGCTGTCCGTGACATGCGTCAAACCGTTGCCGTCGGTGTCATCAAGTCTGTTGACAAGTCCGCTGGTGGTGCCGGTAAGGTCACCAAGGCCGCTGCCAAGGCTGGCAAGAAATAAGTGATTTGCGGATGACCCCAGAGACGCCGTGATGATTTTTTTTCTTCAAAATGCTTTTTTATGGATGGAGCTAGATTTTGCTGAGTAGTATTAAAAAACAATGACTACCTACAGATTCGTGACTCATGTCAACTTCTTTTTCTCTTTTCTTCCATTGTAAATCAATACATGTAATGTTAAAATCGTAGATGACCAAGTCCCTTGAGAAGAATGTAGTGAGGTTCAACCCCTTCTTGCCCTCTATCCAGATGTCCTGGAGCCCATTTTGAGCCTGGGAATTTGAAATTTTGGCGTTATGCGTTTTTACCGCGGCATAAAGCTTGAGTCAACTGGTGTAAGTCAAAATGCTACTGGAGCTCACTGGCCCTTGAATCTCTCCGAGTCCCCTCCAACCTCTTGAACATTCAAAGTCAACTGGTATCTAAAATTGCCCCCCTTTGCTACTCGAGTACTTGCGCATGATTCCCCCAGTGCACATGTGGGTAGTTGAGAAGTGAGGAAGTAGATATACTTCAAGGTTGGTCAACCCCCAGGGCTGCTAGGTACCTACTACCTAGAATATAGAATAATACGACATCTTGTCTCAAGCTATAAACCGCCATGCCAAGTTGAGAACTTCCATATCCCAAACTTCTAATCTACGCTTATTTCCTCGGTTCGAATGTTCCTTTTTCTAAATATAAAATGTGTGACGTCTTCTCCGCATCCATGATCCTTTGACGCGGGTTTCCAAACTTTGATAAGACGAGCTTATGCTATTGGTGCGTGAAATCTGCACATGTGCACTTTTTGGATAAGTCAAGTTCTGTGCATGGTTTGCGTGGTGTATACTGTGGTTTTGGGAATGGTCTCTGCATATCATGTCCACATGCACTAATACCTATATACATATCCTTATTGATCGTTTTCACAGTGTGGGGTTGTGCGATATGTAGATGGATGGATTCGTCAAGGAGGACCTTTAAGGTTGGCATACAATTGATCCATACATAGTATATTTATGTAGTATAAATATACTATGTCTACTAGTACTTGCACATGTGTAATTCAACTTGAATGTTGGAAGCTGGCTCGCTGATTTCAAATGCCTACGTATTCATTTCAGGAATAATTTAAAATGCTGCACATCAATATTAGTATGTATGCATGTGGACACAGCTGCATCTGGATGTGACATGATTCCATCAACATTCAATGTTGAAAAGTCGATCAATTCATGGCACATGGGGCGCAGGCCTCTCCAGGTCTAGGTGACCGCAGAAAAACTTTGTGCATCCCGAGGTCATACATGTATCAATGTCTACTAGGTATATGGACAGAACTGCATGAGTACAATTCAATGTTCAATCTTGCTGTTCAAAATGTTCAATCCATCCATGTTCAAATATTCAAGGCTTCTCTGGGTATCTACTAGCAACAATCTCTTAACGCGTTCTAATCAATCGCTCTCACCTTCTTCTTCCTCTTCCTCCTCCTCCTCCTCTTCTTCTTCTTCTTCCTCCTGCCCTCTCCTCCCATGCCTCCCATGCCCTCCATTAACCTGAGACCGAGACGGCGGCTCCTGCGTCCGCTCAACCCGCTCCTCAACAACCGGCATCCCCAAAGTCCTCCTCAACTGCCCCTCAAAGTCCCTCCTCACAGCTCGATCAGCCACCGTCGCTTCTTCATCCTCACTACCCTCCCCTCCATTTGCAACAGAAGCCCCAGGTCCATACCCCCAAACCTCCCTCACCATGCCCGCCACGCCCCCAGAGCCAACCTCGACTTTCCCCCTCGGCCCAAGCATGAACTCGATGATCTCCTGGTCTCCGTCCATCTCTCGAGTACGGACAAGATATCCTTCCCTAACGAGTCGCTGTAATAGCTTTTCCGTTTTCTCAATGGGCGTATGGATGTCGGAGTTCGTGCGCTTAAGGTAGCGTGTTAGTTTTTGCTCGGTGAGCGAGCTCCCGTTCAACGAGATCACGGCTATGATGAAGGTGTAGAGACCCGTGTAGATGGCTTCTGTGTGGGTTGAGGGGGCTTTGGAGGGTGCTAGGATAGAGGAGGTGCGGTATGCGGGTGGGAGGATGGTGGTTAGAACCCAGGATTTGTTGGAGGAGGATTGTTTTTCGACTTTTTGGGCGGCTGTTGGAGTGTTCTTGGTTAGCTTCGAGTCGGTATTTCTTTCGCGCCTTTTCGTAGTATGGGAAAGGGTTATGTCGTGCTGAAGTAGAGGGGATCTCATCTTTCTCACTCTCCCTCCCACAATCTATCTCCTCGAGCAGAGCATAGACCGAAAGAGAAAACAAAACAGGAAGAGGAAAAAAAAACTGACCTCTCCGCTGAGAAATAGTAACCTTTTCTCTGACCGGCAACTCCGCCATCTCCATCCCAAATTTATCTCTCAACTGGCGCTGCGCATTCTCAAAAACGGCCTTGAACATGCGGGCCCCCTGTTCCCCGAGGACCTTGGAAGTGATATCTGTGCGCCGGATCGGGAGGCGCGAGTACTCGCTGGCGAGGGCCAGGCGAACCATCTTCTTGACCAGCGCGTCCTGACTAGTCGGCGCTCGTGCGCCGGCGCTGGCGTCGGACATCTCTGCTTCTTCGGAATCTGTCGATCTGCTCCTTTGCTGGCGGCGCGCAGGACGAGGCTCGGAGGCGTCAGAGTCATCTGGGTCCTGGAGGGAATTAGTGTCTTATATAGATTGCGATTTGGATATTGCCGGCTGGTGGGGGCGCTGTTAGATACGTACCGCCCTGCGTTTGCGTGCTGGAGGCATGTTTGATGGTGGTTTTTGGTTTTTGGTAGATGGTTGATTGATGTTTGGTGCGTTGGTGAGAATTAGGCGATCTGCATGTTTTAAAGTCGAAGTCGAAGTTGGGGTCGAGGGTGAGGTTTAGATTGGGCGCGGGTGTTTCTTTGAGTGGACGCGACGCGATGATCAAAGAGATGCCGATTTTACCATATCCGGCCTGGTCTGTGCACGACCTTTATCTTTTTTCCTCTGTTTCTTTTTGAGTTCTTTGTTGAAGGACTGCGAAATTAATTTAAACAAAGGGGCAAGTGATTTTAAAATGAACTGGATATAAGGGGACTTTTCGAAACTCGAAATTGGAGGTTCGTTTGTCAAAAGATACAGATAGTTATGGAAGATTTCATGATATTCGAATTTGCGGTAAGCAACTACACAGTATGTACTATGTACTAGTACTATATCCATGGACTAGACCAGCAGTGTACTGTTCTCCATGGACACAGCATAGTGTACTGAGCACAGAAAACATAAAATTCAAATCCAATAGCGATGGGAGGTATTATTTTCTCTAAAAACAACAATGACCGACAAACAGAACAACGCTGGGGATCATAAAAAAGACAGGAAAAAAAAAAGAAAAAAGAAAGACACACACACAGAGAAGAGTCTAGATCACTGGTTGGTCTTCTCGTTCACAGCTTCCTTGACTTCCTCCTTGGTCTTCTGGACTAGCCCATAGACCCAACCCAAGGACTCTTGCGACAACAGCAGACTAGTGGTGAAGGCAGCCTTTCCTGAGTTCACCAGACCACTATCACCGGCTTTCTTGTACTCTGAACCGTAGGTGTCGAAGACATGGGCCTTCACATCACCTGCAAAGCGCACCGGGGAGGAAGCATAGTTGTAGATACTGCCACGGATCTTTTGAGTCTCTTCGCGAATGATAGGGAAGCGAGTATCGATCTGGCTCAGACCCTGGTCACCCAGAGAGTCGGCACGAGTGACGTAGGGAGCAATGTAGCTGTAAGGTGTCGAGAAGTAAGGTAGGACAGGTTTGGCAAAGCGGGTGTAGCCTTCGCCAGCAAACTCGAGAGACTTGGCACCGTATGGGTTGCCCTTGAAGAGGGTGATGGTGTCAGAGACAACCGGGTAAGATGTCAGGTGCTGTTAAAAAAAAAAAGAAGCAAGGGTTAGGTTAGTTGATGCTGGAGAGAGAAGATAAGGATATGGAGGAGATCATACGTTGATGAACTGAGAATGGACCTTCTCGCCGTTGACGACTGGTTCGCCCATAGTGTCTGAGTTGGCGTGGGGCATATGGGAAAGTAGGGAATGGATTATGATGAAAGACAGAAAAGGATGAATATATCAGTAGGAGAGAGAAGAGAAAAATGGAAGAAGTGGGTTTGTATATAGGCCAAATTCACATGTGATTGTGACCTTATGCAATTGGCTCGAAGGTCAGAGCGCAATCGCACCATCTACTTCTTAGTACTAGTAGTGCTCAAACTTGGTATTTATGCTTTGGCCCTGGGTTATTTTACCGTTTGATACGTTATACTCTTTATTTCTGTACTTTGTTTCGATTTACAATGGTTTTTACCTGCTTCAAGTTCTCAGTTCTTCCACCATGCAGGCCCTGACGCCATCATGATTTGACTTTCGACGGCAACTTGTAATCTTGATCCGGAACCTTGGAAGGAATCCGTATTCAAAATAAAAAATCCAGCAGTAATTAGAAAATAAAAAACAACTTGGAATTGTCAGTCAATCGTGCAATTGAACAGAAAAAAGTTCAATTTGCAAGTTTGATAAGGCCTGGTTTCACATGTGATAGCGGGTCCTAACGTTGACGCATTTGCATTGGGATCCACCTTGTAGTTACTATGGTCGTTTTCTCTTGACTAGTAATACTAGTAACGAAGTAACGAAGTAACCATTTTATCTATTCCATCCCTTATCCGGCTTTGACCATGGAAACTGTCCAATCTCAAGTTTTAAATCCCCAAAATACTTGTCTTCAGCTCGAATTCACCGCTTACGGACGAAACCCCCATGTCCCTAATCGCTTCCCCCACTCTCCGTGTTCCAGAATTGAATTGGGCTCAAGGAGGGGAAAGGGAAAAGCGCTACACCTCGTCATCCAGACCTGCATGCTTTAGTGTCAACTCACCGTTTCCCATCAATCTAGCCGGGCCGTGATACCTGTGAGCCGGGGTCGACTTGCTCATATCCCGCGAGTCCAGCGGCCAGTCTCGCCGGTCTACTACACATCTGGATCCACCATCCTGGCCTGAGCGTCCGCCGCCCGAACCTAGCAATGCATGGCCCTGTAGCCCACCCCACCTTCATCTCGCCAATCCAAACCCGCAGGGCCCCCATTGAACAATTATGAAGGCACACAAAGTCTTGGTACTCGGCTCAGCAATCCCATCTACGTAACGCCCTCGACCGACGCAAGGCATTGACCCGACTACGATAATTCCGATCAAGCTAGGCTAGCTGAGGTATGCCATACCGCTTGTAATGTAGTCTCTTCTTCATGGCACACAAGGTTCTGGCCGCGTTCGCGATCGTTGCTTACCGGGTCTATGTGCCCCGGGCGTCGTGTTACTGCCTCGATGAGCGATTCGTTCAGATTCCAGAAACCACCTTCCGGTTCTCGGCGATCGGGTTATGCGATGCATGCTCCGTAGATTGTAAGGAACTTATATAAACTTTTTTCTTGTCCCTCCGAGGGTGGGAAAGGGAATTCTTTTTCCACGCGAGAACGTTCTGTGGTTGGTTATGAATTAATTTCTCACATGAATGTCCTTTGTTGTACTCTACAAAATACTATCAACATTGGACAAGTTAGATATACTTGCATGCGCTTGTGGCACCACGGTTAGCAGAAATCCAAATCACAGGCATTTGAAAGCTGGATTTGGGTCCCTCGGGAACATTTGAACAATTTCAAGTCGGCACGGATGCAAGTTTGCGACCAATTATAATATGATCTGTCGATAAATTTGAGGCTGCAGATGAAACCATTTGCCCTTTTCCCCTCCTTTGCTCTCCTGTGGAATCTGGATTGCCTTTGGTGATCAACATAGCTAAACTTAAGTAATGAACGGGCAATATAATTGTCGATCTTGGTGGCAATCATGCTTCCAGGCCCGATAGTACAGAATCTAGATGTACAGGAGATACGGTGGATCGGCGTTGGTTGGGGAGAGATAGTAATTGTAACCTACAATTGGCACGGATTGAGAAACGGAGAAGACCGTTTACCCCGGTCTGGGGCCGCAGCAAGCATATGTCCGTCACCACCCGTAGGCGACAGCAAAAGAAAAAACAAAACCGCAAAAAAAAGGCAAAAGTACGCCGTTTGCTGTACGTGGCCGACAGTATGCCCCATATAATTAGGCTGGCCCCTGTGTTCGTGTATGCACCGCAAAGCCATTGCAGGATCCAGGGCTAGTCGACTATCATTTCTGCTTTGAGGTTGAGGCAAATTGCGTCACGTATCGAGGACTTTAGTCCATTCAAGTTGTTGTCAGGTTAGAACCAAATACTTCTGCCTGTATCCAGAGCGATGCAACACCACCTTCTCGAATGATACCTAGAGGGGGTAGATCATAGTTGATACGGAGCTCGATAGCCCGATTGGATCTGAGGAAATGCCCTAGGTGGCGGATCCTGCGACTGTTAGTGTATTCTTAATCGATTTCAGATGTATGTGTTGTTGAGAACCGCGGAATCCTGTGATTGCCTTCATCAATGTGGCGTTTCACATGCACTGGGGACGTGGAGAGTTTGGGGGACCTTGGTAAGTTGAATATGCGATGAGGTCAACTTGCTGATGTAGTTGAGATAAGATTAATCACATGGACTCAAAGCCACCATCCTTATTTACTCTTATTCCAAGTAACGTGAATCGCAGGTAACGTGAACCCAGGTGACGCGAAACTACATGTGACCTGGGGGGAACTGAGCGTTAGTATAATCGAGGCGCCACATGGATGGACCCGATATGTACGGAGTGCAAAAAGTATAAAAAACTTGGAAATGCGCCAGGGCCTAGAAGTTGGACACTGAGAGAGGTTTTTTTTGTGAACATCGTGGTCGCATGGGAATTTTTAATGGAACGGTATTGGACGCGATGTTGTCGTACACCTCAAGGCATAGCGGAAAAGATTCAAAACAAGAAAGAATAGTTTTTCATATTTTCCATTTCATTCAGAGGCACCAGGTCTTATATGGCAACCTCCTAACTGGACATCGATACATTCCCTCTTCTGTTTCCAGCTCTGGTATATGTCTTTCCATCCCATCGCAGGGACTGAATGTTCTCGATGGTTTTTTCGTCCCCGCCCTGACCTAGAACCGTGCTCGCTCGAAACGACAAAACGCCGGGGGTGATCCGTTTAGAAGCCTGGAAACGTTAAGATTAGCGAAAAGTTCGGATGAGAAAAGAAGCGGGTTGCTCGTAGGTAAAAGAAAACGTACGGAGGGGAGTGAAGAACCAACGGTTCTTGCCGCTGGTGTAGCGGTCCTCAAGAGCCTTCTTGATGGTCTTCTTGGCGTCCTCACGCTGGGAAACCTCCTTGAAGGTCTCGGCGGAGACAACACCCTTAAGACCCTCGAGCTCAAGGGTGTAACGGGTGGGCATCAAGTGGTTGTAGTTGACGACCTTGATAAAAGGCTTGACCTTGGAGCGGCGGTCGACGAGCTTCTTTCCCATGCGGCGGGTGACCTTCGAGGGGTAACGCTCGATACCGGCAACGATGGCGAAGGGGAAGGGGTGAGCCTTGGAGCCAGTGTCGCTAGGCTGGACAATGACGACCTGTCGAATTGCGCTGTCAGTCATCTTCATTCCGTCGCACAGCATTTTTCCCCATTTAACGATTTCTCCAGATTTTCATCGAAATGTCCGTTCATTTTTGTTTGCGCGGTCACGGAAAAAAAACGTAGAAGTCCTCCTCTTGAATGCTGTCGGTCTCTTTCTCTTTTCCTCATTCTCTTGTCTTCGGAAGGGAGCGTTCGATTTGTCGTACCTTCTTACCGGCGAAACGGCCACGGGTGATAATGGCCACACGGCCCACTTTCATGACTATCGCGACATTCTCGTCAGCAGGGAATCGAGGGATTGGGGTCGTAAAGGCATCGAATACGCACACTTCATTCTGAGGTCCCGGTAAGCGGCGAGGTTGGCGGGTTTGGTTGTCGGAGTACGGAACAGTCTAAGATCGAAGTGTTCAGGTTTTCGCTTGGGTAAGAGAGGGTTCAGGGCAAGTGAGATTTGTGTGCGGCGGTATGATTGGTTGACTTACCGACAGAGGGTGACTAATCCCGACTCGGGCTGTTTCCCCATTCAGCCAGGATTAGAGATAATCCGCTTATCTAATATTTGCCAAGACTTTACTAAGATTCTAGCCTTATTTTGTTAGCCTGAAGTTCCAGGTTTTGGATCTTGGCTGGGCCTCACCGCCCTTGTCGTTTGTTTACATGACGACGTAACTAGCCCGTTGCTATGGTCGCTGGTGATGTGTGATGTGTAGGCCGCGTAGTAGTTCCTGCTTTCCACCTCCACTTTTGGACTTTCCCTCTTATCAAGCTGATCTCCCGGGTTTGATGCTTGTTACACCGTGATTTTCCACTGCTTTGTTTTCTAGCGATCTGTGGTTTTGATATGCATTGATGACCCTTGTTTTGAGCTTTACAACAACGCAATCTCCTACATTCCAATACCCTTGTTTTTGTTCAATACCTCTCTGAGACACCTTGAATCCTCCCCCTCTCTACAAACAAAAAAACACCATTATGACGTCCAAAGATCGGGAGTCAATCTCCCATGACCGGGAACTGGTTCGGCATAAACCAACACAAAGCGAGTCCAGTCGGTCTTTGGTTCCAATGTAAGTCCTGTCCGATCTCAATTCGGCCGAGTACGCATGTGCACGTCGAAAATTACTGGACCAAAATTCTAACTCTTTGCCTGTACAGGTGGGACAGCTCAGACCCAGAGCGCGCTCCTCCTCCATTGCCTTTGAATCCTCGCTCCATGAGCCCAGTGACCAGGCACAACGTTTCGCCTGGCATCCAAGCGGTGGCCGCTAAGTTTACGGACAAGCCGAGCGAAAACGCGCCCAGCTCTTACACAACAAATCCCATGCCTAATAAGTCTGGTTCACCAGAACGATCGCTGGTCAAAGGCCATCATCACAAGCGCATGCAGTCTCTACAACCCAGCGACACTAAGGGCGATGCTCGTTCCGACTTTTTGAACTACTTGGAGAATAGATCTCCAGAGCGACCTCTTCGAGCTACCATTATTGATCCCACGAGCAAGCCGCATGATACGAACAAGGGTCTTGGTTCCCCACCACGTCCTGCTGAGCGGGAAATCCCTAGTTACGTGTCGAGTCGTTATCTGTCGAAGCCAATTCTCGGAGAAAGTACTCCTCCATCAGCCACAATGCTCGCTTTGCAAAATATGCAGCTTCCTTCTGATCACGACCCACCATCCCCTTCGAAACCCCCTAAGATGATTACAGCACCGAAGATTGAGGAACCCACACACACAATGGATACCTTATCGTCGCAAATACTTAGCCTCACCGACATTGCCAGCAGCTTGCAGCGTGAAATGTCAAATTTGAGCCGTCGAAGCAAGGATAACGCCACTGATCTCGTCAGCTTAAAGGCGGCGACAAATGCTCGCGATGAAGATATTAGGAAGAGCTTGAAGGACTTGTCCTCTAATCTCACATCAAAGTATTTTGATGGTGATCTATCAAGGTTGGATTTCAGTGCATTCCTAAAGCCGGAGAGCGGCCCTAACCAAACTGAATCGGATAGTTCTCCCAATTCCAAGAGAAGCTACTCAGTGCCACGTATGCCCAGTCCTAACCCTTTCGCCTTTGATCGAGACGTCTGTGGATCTCCTGCACCAATCTCCGATGGATCTGCTAGTATCGCTTTACTCGAAAAGGTGTTGCGCGAGATGGCTACAAAGGAAGGTGAGGAGAGGCTTTTAGAACTTGTGGATGAAATCAAGTCACGACCTGCAACAACTCCCTCCGACAAGGATGCTGATAAGAAAATCACCAACATGCTGGAAGAGATTCTTAACCTCGTCAAGGAGGACCCAGCAAGCAAAGCCCTTGTTCGTTCGATGACAACAGAGAACCTGAGCCCGCCCACGAAAGACAAGAATGGAGGTCTAAGATCGACCTCACTTGGCTCAATTGACGAAACGGCCACGGTGCGCGCACTGGATGTCCCCAAAGATGACAAAGTCCAGCGCAGTACGCCCAATAATGATGAGGTCTTGGCAATCCTCCGCATTGTTAAGAGCAGTGTGGTGGAAGGTGGTGGTATGACCAACAATGTCAAGACCCTTGTCCGGGAATTGCGCGGCGAAGTGCTGGGCATGGGCCGTGATCTTGCACGCAAACTCGAAGCAGTGGAGTCGACTTTAGCCCACGATGCCCAGCAACAAAAGCAAATCGAAACTCCAAATGCAGATGAGATCTCCGCAATTATCCACGAAAGCCTCGGTGACCTACAAGAGCAGCTGGCTGCTACCGTGAACGAAAGTCGTAGCCATTCGTCTGCCATTTCTCAGTTCCAGTCAACAATGAATAGCGCTGAGATCTATTCCATTGTTAAGAAAGCATTGGACGAAATAGAGTTTCCCGGGCCTCAGCAGGAGCCTGATGGTTCCCGGATGGAAAAGGAGGACATTATCGACACCATACGAGAGGCCTGGGAGACTTACAAGCCGGAGATCGAGTTGAACACTATTGGCTTGGAGCGAGATGAGATCCTTGAGTGCCTGACTGAAGGCCTCAAATCATACCAACCGCAACACGAGCAATCCATCAGCTATGAACAAGTTGTGGCTGCGGTTCAGACTGGCATGCAAAGTTTCACTCCACCCCCACCGCCAGTGAATGAAACACCTGCTATCACCCGAGACGAGATTATCCTTACCATTCGGGAATGTCTTGAGAAATCAGAACCAACTTCTCGTGGATTGGATGAGAACCATGCCAACCACCTGAATTCAATGCGCGATGACATCCTCCATGCAGTTTCTGAGAGATTGCAGCCTCATTCGAGAGGCCTGGACGAGGAGCATGTCAATTATTTCAACAGCATTCGAGATGATTTATTGCATGCCGTGGCTGAACGGCCTGAGTCCTTTCACCATCTGAGTTCCATCCGCGATGAGATCCTGTCAGCTATGTCTCAACGCCCAGACTCCACGAGTAGATCTCTGGATGATGAACATATTGAGTACTTGAATTCTATGCGCGACGAGTTAATGCAGGCCATGGCCGAGAGACCTGAGTCTACAGACAGATCTCTGGATGGTGATCACATCCAGCATTTGACAGCAATCCGCGATGAAATCCTTCAAGCCATTGCTGAAAGACCAGAATCCAGCCGAGCTTTGGATGATGAGCATATTCACTATTTGAATTCAATCCGTGATGATATTCTCCACGCAATGTCTGAAAGGCCAGAAACAACTGATAGGTCTCATGATGAGGAAAACATCCATCATTTGACAGCGCTTCGTGATGAAATTCTCCAAGCAATTTCCGAACGACCCGAGCCGAGCCGATCTCTAGATGATGAGCACATTCATTACTTGAATTCAATCCGTGATGATATTCTTCATGCCATGGCCGAAAGATCCATCGAGTCAGCTGAGTCGACTGCTCCGAGATCGCTTAATGAAGAGCAGTTCGAGCACCTCAACTCCCTCCGCGATGAGATTCTTGACGCAGTGACTAGGTCTATGACTACACAAAGTATGGTCAGCAAGGAATCTTTCGACTCTGGTCTCGGCCGCGACGACATTGTCAGCGCAATCTCCGATGGTCTTGAGGCTCACTTTACCTCGGCGAAAGGGCTAGATGAATCAAACGTTTCACGGGATGATGTGGTGAATGCCATCAACGATGCCTTCAATGCCCAGCAGTCCGCCCTTACTACCAGCCCTCAGCCTGTCATTTCACGTGAAGAAATCATGAATGCCATCGTAGATGGTATTGAGATTGCAAACCAAGCTAAGGAAGAGTCAGCAATAAGCACCAATGTTCAGGCATCTTCATCAATCTCTCGGGATGAAATTCTGGAAGCCATCTCGGAGGGACTTGAAAGAACATACGAGTCTCAAAAGTCAGCTTTGAGTACTGAAGTTCAGCAGCCTAGTATCACTCGAGAGGAAGTCTTCACTGCTATTGTAGATGGGTTTGAATCCGCTCAGACGACCGTTCGAGAGATTGAGCTAAACAAAGATGACCTCATGGAAGCAATTACCACCGGCCTTCATGAAGCTACAAACACTGCGAACATCAATGTTGGAGATCAAGTACTTGAAAGGCTTCAAGATGTTGTTGATGGCATGAAGGAGGAATTTAAACAATACTCCGCCGCCAATGGCAAGGATACTGAGCAGGTCCTGGATGCTGTTAAGGATGGCTTGGCTGTTGTCCGACAAGAGATTGAGTCTTATGTGGCCACCGCCCAGGAGGTTTCAGGCAAACACGAGATTATTGATATTGTCAAAGACGGATTCCGCCTCCTGCAGGCTGATATGGAAAAGACAATTACCGATACCGCTGTTGCCAATGCGACGCCAACCAGCCCCGACACCACAGAGTTGCTTGATGCTATGGAGAAGGAATTCGAGCACCTGCGTGGCTCAATTAGTAACCTCCTTCTGGATAGCCACCGAGCGAGCGACAAGGACGAAATCCTCGACGCCATTCGTGATGTCAGCGAGCAGCACAAAGCCAATTCGAGTGACGAGCAGATTCTGAACTCTATCAAGGAGGAGTTTGAAAGAATGCGCGAGTCCACAGAAATGAGCCTTGTTCGCTCCGAGCCTCCATCATCTGATAAGGACGAAATCATTGCTGCCATTCGTGAGCAGCTCGATGCTCTCCGCGAAGAAACCATGCAGCACAAGGACGGTCCTGATATCATGGCGTCCGCTACTGCTGAGATTCTTGAAGCCATCCAGAACAAGTCAAGCGATGAGCATATCATGTCTTTGATCAAAGAAGAGTTCGAAAAAATGCGCGAGTCCACGGAGATGAGCGTTGTTCGCTCTGAACCTCCTTCATCCGAAAAGGAGGACATTATTGCAGCCATTCGCGAGCAGCTTGACGCCCTCCGTGAAGAAACCATGCAGCACAAAGACGGTCCCGAAATCATGGCATCTGCTACCGCCGAGATTCTTGAAGCCATTCAGAACAAGTCGAGTGATGAGCAAATCATGAGCTTGATCAAAGAAGAGTTCGAGAAAATGCGCGAGTCTACAGAGATGAGCCTTGTTAGCTCTGAGCCTCCTGTCTCAGAAAAAGACGAAATCATTACAGCTATCCGTGAGAAGCTTGATGCCCTTCATGCAGAAACCATGCAGCATAAGGACGGGACCGAGATCATGGCGACTGCTACTACCGAAATCCTCGAGGCCATTCGTGAGGTCAGCGAACAGCACATGAACAAGTCGAGCGATGAGCAGATTCTGAACTTGATTAAGGAGGAGTTTGAGAAAATGCGTGAATCTACAGAGATGAGCCTTGTTCGATCCGAGCCTCCAGCATCCGAAAAGGAGGATATCATTGCCGCCATCCGCGAGCATTTCGATGCCCTCCGGGAGGAAACCATGCAGCATAAGGATGGAACTGACAGCATGGCGTCTGCTACAAGCGGACTTCTTGATGCCTTCAATGATGGCATCCACTTGATCCGTGAAGATGTGCAGAAAGTCTTGGAAAAGCCTGCAGACTTTGACAGTTCCGAAATTATCGACACCATCAGGGACGGCCTGGCTGAGGTTCGGTTCGAGATTGACTCGCTCCGTCAGTCTAAAAAGGAAGAGGAGGACGTGACCGATGTCGCAGAGACCACGCGTGGCGGAGAGATTGTGCTTGCCAACGAAAATTCTACTCTCGGAACCGACATCGAAGGCCTCAAGGCCCTCATCACTCAGCTTTCAGACAAGATGGAGTCCATTGAAGCCACACGCGCCGCAGAGCCTGTCGAGGAGCCGGCCGTGGAGCCTACAGAACCTGCCGAGCCTCCGTTAAACCGCAGTCATCTTGATGAGGTCATGATGGCTCTTCAAGAAGTACAACTCGCCGTTGGGGAGATGGGTGAGATGAGTGCCAGTCGAGAGATCCCTGAGGGCGGTGCTCGGAAGGAAGATACCGATATCCTCGAGGGCCTCCTCATGAGCACCAAGACCCAGATTGAGGAGATACAGTTCCCATCTCTCGACGAGGTTGCCACCTCTGAACACATTGGGGCTCTTGAGGCTATGATCCGGGAGGCCAAGGATTCCATCGCTGAGCTATCCACACGTCTCGAGGCTGAAGGCTCCACTAAGTCCGATATTGGTACCCTGGAAAACCTCATCAAGGACGTTTGGATTGCCCTGGATGAGCTAAAGGGCAAGACCGCAGAGGAGGAGGAGACAGAAGGCGACGAAGGCGAGGAGAATGGCAAGCTGCTGAAGTCTGATCTCCAAACAGTGGAAGCCATGGTCTTCGAAGTCAAGTCTCAAATTGACGAGCTCAAGCTGCCTGATGTGGAGACCCTTCCGACAAAGGACGAGATTCAAGAGCTCTCAGCCCTGGTCACCGATTTCCGCGACAGGATGGAAAATGCGAATGATCTCACTGCCCAAGGCTTCGAGGCCCGCAAGACCGAGCACGGAGGTCTGGCTGACAAGATCGATGAGAAGATCGAGGAGGCCAAATTTGTTGTCGGTGAGCTTGGTGACGAGCTCAAGAGCAAACTTGATGGTAGCAGCGAAGGGCTCAACGAACTCAAACAACTACTCGAAGCTCTCGCTATCTCTGCTGAGAACTTCACTACTGTAGATAGCATCAAGGAGCTCACAGATCTTATCAATCGCGAGTTTGAGCGCGCCCGCGGCGAAGATGATGCAGGCAAGCTTGAATCGGAGGAGAGAGATGCCGCTGCCTTGATCAAGCACGATGAGACTCGAGCTGCTGTCGTTTTCGAACTCGGAGCCAAGATCGATGAGAAGATCGGAGAAGTGATCGCCAAATACGAAGAGGCTCACACTTCGCTGCATTCCAAGTTCTCGGAAACCGAGGAGCGAGACCTGGCTCATGCTGAAACAGTGACGAGCACCAAATCTCTCGCTGAAGATATCAGACTTGTCATTGGCGCGATGGGGTCTACGGTCACCGAAGCATGTGAGCGCACGTCCGAGGAGACCAAGGCTCTTGCTGAAAAGGTTGATGAATCATACAACCGGATTGAAGAGATGCAGAGTGAAGCCAAGTCTCACCAGGAGCAATCCCGAGGCGAGAATGAGAGAGCAGTTGCCGCCACTGAGCGTGTGGAGAGCAAGTTACTCGAGTTCAACCCCCAAATCTTGAACACTGTCCAAGAGATTCTCACAGTTGTGAGCCAGCACTTTGATCACTCGCAAAAGTCAGCGGAAGAAGTCAAGTCGGAACTTTTGTCTCTTCCGGCAGCCATTCCGAGCATGCTGCCGGCCCTTCCACCCCCGGAATCAAGCCGAGCGATAGAAGACAATGATCCAGTTCACAGTAAGCTCGATGATCTTCTGGAGCACGCCAAGAAAAGCCCGGTTCAAGATGTTCTGAACACGCTTCTCGATCACTCGAAGAATACGCAACTCCACGACAAGCTTGATCGTGCTCTGGAGCATGGCGCTTCATCAAACAGTGACATCTACGAGAAGCTGAACTTGATCCTTGACCATACTACCAATGGCAGCAGCTCTATTCACGAGAAGCTCGATGCTCTGCTCAGTCGTCCGATCCAGACCGTTGACCCTGACCAAGCAGTCACTCAGATGATGAAGCTGGATGAGATGCACAAAGACCTCATGGAGAACACGCGCAGAATGAACGAGATGTTCGCTATGCAATCGACACTTGTTGCTGAAGATACCGAGCGCAAACGTCGCGAAGCGGAAGAAGCTGCAATTGCTTTGGAACGCCGAATTGCCCAACGCGAGCAAGTCGAAGCTGACATTGTTGGCTTGCAAGAAGAGAAGGATTCTCTGCTCAAGATGTTCCAAACTCTCAAGGCCGAAAAGGACGAGCTTGCCAAGCAAACCTCGAAGATGAGCAAGGAGCTGTCTGGCCTCGAGACCGCCTTGGAGATCCGCCACGAGGAGATGCAGCAGATGGAGGAGCGTGCTGATGGTCTGGAGAAGCGTATCCTGGAGGGCGTTCTTGACCATGCTCGCAGTATACTTTTGAGCCGCAGCTCTGGCAGCCTCAACAGCATGAACCTCAAGCGCAACCAGAGCACTCGTTCATCTCGCACCGGTGTGCGTAGCCCTAGCATGGCTAGTATCACCACCGCAAGCACTGCACGGGAGCCCAAGGACGCGCGCAGCCTCCTCGGTAATGGCGTCGGCATGGCCCTCAAGCGCCGAACTGGCAACGGTCTCCACCCCGGACCAGCAGCAGTTCAGCCTAACATCGGAAAGGAGCGCCGAATTCTTAGCTTGAGCCATGTTACTGGTAACCGCGATGCTGGTCATTCCTCGGGACCCAACAGTGGCATCACCAGCTTGAAGCGCAGTCACTCGGTCAAATCCAATTTCTCACTCCGCAAGACCTCATGGGCCGGTCCCATTGCAAACAAGGAGAATGAAGCGTTCCCAGAAGAAGAGGAGCCCGAGAGTGAGCCCGAAACAGATGCCGGCACGGAGCGAAAGACCAGCTACGCAGGTACCAACCGACAATCCAGCTACGCGGGAACTGATCGCAAGGTTAGCTACGCCGAGACTTGTACCGACAGTGTGGTGACCGGAGTCACCGACAGTGTCATCTCCGAAGATCGACGCACTAGTGGCATGAGCACCGCCACCAGGGACCACGAAGAACATGATGAGGAGCATGAGGATTCTGAACTAGCATCTCAGTCAGATGATGATGATGATGCTCAGACCGCTCATGAAGATGAGGAGGAGGATGATGTTAATACGGACGGGGGAAATGATGAGGAACAGAATGAAGAATTAGAGGACCCACAAGATGATGTGGATGACCACTTCTCGGACACTGCATCAGCGATGGAGGCTGAAGTCCTTAAACTGCTGGAAGCCCCTCCTGACAGTGGATTGGGAACGGAGATGACTGTCTCGTGAATAAGATGACAGGATGATCTGGTCCTGGTGTTTGCCTTTTACTTTTTACCCTTGTTTTGTTTTTGTTTATGCTTATGTTTTTGGCCCTGGAGTTTGGGTTTTCTTTTGTCTTTTTCCTTTGTGCTTTTCATATACCACCCTTGTGTTGATTATTCTGATGATGGACCTGTATGAATCCCCTATGTGTGAATTAATGATTATTTTTTACCAACTTTCTCTCGAAAAGAACAATACTGTTTGTTTCTTATTCATTCCTCAAATAAGACTTGACTGTAAAATAAGATCAGTAAACTTGAAAAAGATGCATGACCAAGTCATTTTCTTCTACAGAGGTCAGCTGCCCCGATGGGGTAGGTGGTCATGTGACAGGTCACCATGCCTTAGGCACTACCGAGGCCATAATTCCCCTGCTAGCTGGAACTCCAATCCGCTTCTCTTTGCTATGCATGGGGCTCAATTGTAAAGAAGGAGCGTTGCCCTTTTCCCCTTAGCCGGTGGTGGATTTCTAAGAAATTTTCTCCCCGCCATATAGATTTTACCTTCCCTTTCCTAACAATTCCTCTTTGAAGCCTGTGAAAGCTCCCCGCACGATCGGAGTGATAAGCCGCCGACTCCTCAAGTATGCTGGACCCTCTTGGGCCTCCTCCAGCATGGCTGCGAGAGTTCACCAAACCCTATGCGTTATCGCTAGATAGCCCGACCCTCACGGAGCACGTCCACGAAATCTTTTTGGCCTTCGCTTTCTACCAGTTTATCCACTCGGTGCTCTCGCCGCTTCTGTCGCCGATCCTCTTCCCGAATTCCTATCCGAAATTGTCTGCCCGCACCAAGTTAAATTGGGATATTCATGTCGTTTCCTTTGTGCAGAGTGTTGCTATCAATGCTCTCGCACTATGGGTCATGTTTGTCGATGATGAGCGCAACTCGATGAATTCCCTGGAGCGCGTTTTCGGATACACGGGTGCCTGCGGCTTGATCCAAGCACTGGCCGTCGGATATTTTATCTACGATCTGATCGTCAGTACGATCTACGTGAAAATGTTTGGCATCGGCACGCTCTTCCACGCCGTCAGTGCTCTTTGGGTATTCAGTCTTGGATTCGTAAGTCAACTCCGTTTCACCCTGGTCTGGATTTGGCCCCCCGAAAATATCTAACAATGACGTTGCTTCAACTATACAGAAACCATTCCTCAACTATTATGCCTCGACATTCATTCTTTATGAACTCTCGACCCCATTCCTCAATATTCACTGGTTCCTTGACAAAGTCAACATGACCGGCAGCAAGGCTCAATGGTACAACGGCATGGCTCTTCTGGGCGTATTCTTCTCCTGCCGTCTTATCTGGGGAACCTGGCAATCCGTTGTCGTGTACAGCGACATGTGGACCGCTCTTCAGCACACTTGGAAGGGCTCCTCTGGCCCGCTAACAGAACCGATCGATATCATGGCCAATGTCTTCCAGCTAACCCGCGATGGCAACATGTGTGTTGACGAAACCTGCGCACGTGCCAATGCCCAGATCTCTCAGTTCAAGGAATACACCTCTGCAGGTGTTCCGACATGGCTGGTCTCAACGTACGTTGTATCGAACCTGATCCTGAACTTCCTGAACTACTTCTGGTTCTTCAAGATGGTCGAGACGGTTCTCAAGAGATTCCGCACGCCCGAGGCTTCGAAGGAAAAGACCGAAGCTTCTGGCGAGAAGAAGGGCCAGTCTGCCAAGTCACAGGATCTCACGCCGGATCTTATTCTCCAGGCGGCTGCTGAACTGGAGCAGGCAGAGGGTTCTCCCATGCGTGAGCAGGCTTCCTCTAGAGATGTGCATGCTGGTACAAATGAGGAGTTGAGAAAGCGGAGGGTGGACCTTGTGTCCAAGGTTCCTCTACCTGGATCATAGAAGTCACTCTGATTTTTATCTGATTTATCAGAGCCATTTAGTAGACAGGTGTGAGTGTCTATTCATTTCAAGTTGCTTTTTGCTTGCGTCTCCTGGTATTTGATGGAAAGGACATTGCGGGTTGCATGGTGGACTTTCCTCAGTGAGGATGTATCTACTCTTTCATATCTGGGTTGCTGATTGATAGCAGGGTTGCACATTTCGAAGGTCTTGGTGTTGTTTTTCTTTCTGTTCCGATTTATGTACTTGAACCTTTACATAGTTTGCGTCTTTAGTATAATTACTGCTTGTTTTATAGCTTCGTCACTAGGGTGGCAATGAATCGTTCTAAGAACCATAAATACTTCATCGAGTCCATCATATATTATAAGTATACTAGGGATACTAGGAGGGCAATAAAAGAAAAGAAAGATCAATCTGGGATTCGAACCAGGGACTTCCAGAGAGGTGAAAACCACAAATACGTAAAGATTTCCCAAGAAACAAGTCTCTCGCTCCCGCCATCGATGCATCGCGGGGATTCACGGCTTCATACTAAGAACTCCCCTCCGAACTTCAAAAATCAATATCAAATCAGATAAAAAAGATATAAATAAAACAAACTTATAATTTAAAAAAAAGAAGAAAAAAAAGAGGGCAGATACTTTGTAGTAGGTCCGCGGCGCACTTTCTCGCTGTCACTCAACTTGGGCTTCGACTCTTAGGCTCGCCGTACTACTCAGTATCCCCATCGTGGATGGGCCCAGTGTACCTGAAGTGGGGGCCGCAAATCCAGAGCTGGCTGAGGTCCCGAAGGGTGGAACCAGTTGGACTACGTGGGTGCCAGGATGGAATTTATCCTCAAATTATTAAATATAAAGGAGCCCTTAGCAACTTTGAGTCTGTGACTGTGGGTGCTTCCTTCCCTGTCTCTTCACTACTGTGACCTTTGTTCCCTACTATCCTCATCTATATCTATCACTTATCTCCATCCTTTAACCCTCTTTATATTATTCCTTGGGTATGATACTTGCTCCCTGATAAGAATGTATTATTGAGCTGACAGATCTGATAAGCTGGATTTATTCGTGATCTACTCTCGACGATTCGGCATATACTTACAGTTGGCGTAATATAGTAGTGGATGGCATCATCATGGGTATCAACCCCAGATACAAAAACCTTGGAATAGATGATAGAACAACTTCTGTTTTTCTAATTTTTGAATGTGTATAAACATTGAAAACTATACCATTTTTACCCTCGAATTCAGTATATACATGTACCAGTAGCAGGCATGTCTCCATCTATAGCTACTGTCAACCCTCCCCGTCGATGGTACAACTGGTATTCCCCAGATGATACCCCAGCAGAAAGGAAACTCATTCTCAAACTCGACCTCTTAATTGTCCCATACGCATTCATTGTATACTGGGTAAAGTACATTGACCAAGCAAATATCAGCAAGTCCTCTCTCTCTCTCTCTCCAGCCTTTGAACAAACAACCATGTACAGATCTAACCCTCGCCTACAGATAATGCCTATGTATCAGGAATGGCCACAGACCTTGGATTCACCGGAAACCAACTCATCCATTTCCAAACCATCTTCACAGTTGGAAACGTTGTTGGCCTGCTACCATTTATGTACATCTTTCCTCGCGTCCCAATGCACTACCTAGTCCCAACCCTCGATCTTCTATGGGGCATCTTCACTCTACTCCAGTACCGAGCAACAAGCTACGCGGAAATAATGGCCTACAGATTCCTCGTCTCAATATTCGAGGTACGAAAGCCCCGACAAAGAGCGAGTCTGCTTCAATCAATCCCACCCAAGCATTCATCCATCCAACCCAACCCAACCCACCCACCAATCACTAATTCCCTACACTCCAGGCATCGTACTTCCCAGGCGTGCACTTCGTCCTCGGATCCTGGTACAAGAGCAGCGAAATCGGGCGAAGAGGCGGCACCTTCTACATCGGCCTCACACTCGGCTACCTAACCGCCAGCCTCCTCCAAAGCGCAGCCCTGGAGCACCTGGACGGAGTAAACGGGCTCGCCGGCTGGCGGTGGCTCTTCATAATCAACGCGATCATCACGCTCCCGCTCGCAGTGGCCGGCTACTTCATCTGGCCCGGGACGATCGCCAAGCCGAACAGACTGGTGCTCTCACGCGCGGAGCTCGAGCTCGCGCGCGCACGGCTGGAGACGGGCAGCCGGACTCAAAGCGTGCCGTTCACGTGGGCGCTGGCGAAGAAGATCACGACGACGAGCCGGTTCTGGCTCGTTCTTATCTGGGACGGTTTCTTCTTCAACAGCAGTGCGAACTCGGCGTCGTTCCTGCTCTGGCTGAAGAGTTTGGGGCGGTATAGCGCTGCGAAGGAGAATCAGCTGAACTCGATCCCGCCTGCGTTGGGGGTGTTTATTATCTTGTTTATCAATTTTAGTTCGGACTTGTGGCTGGGTCGGGCGGGGGCGATTGCGCTTGCGTCTGTGGTGAATTTTACGGGCCTGGTTATACTGGCGGTTTGGGATGTGGCTGAGGGTGCGAAGTGGTATGCGTTTAGTGTGCAGTACTCTGCTGTGGCGGTTTCGTCGGTTTTGTATGGGTGGACGAATGTGATTTATCGGGATAGCGTGGAGGAGAGGGCTGTTGTGCTTGTTTTGATCACGGCGATTTCGACGTCGTGGACGGCGTGGATCCCGTTGTTTACTTATCCGACGGTCGAGGGTCCGCGGTTTGTTCATGGGTATGTGTTTTCGGCTGTGATGACGGTTTGCTTGGTGGGCATGACGTTTGTCATTCGATATGTGTATGGATCTGATGGGTAAGTTGGCTTGCTTGTGCTTTGGAGTCTGCTTCTGACGTTTTTTTATACAGGGAGAAGAATAGGCCTGTCGTCGAGTACGCGGACGAGTCCCAGGATGACTCGATTCTGACTGCCGAGCCCGAAGGAACTAAGCATGTCCGTGTTTCAGCAGTAGCCTCTGAGTAAGGCAGATACAAATTAAATAAAGCGAGAGGAGGGGATAGTAAGAACTATCGAAATTTTGGAAATGAACTAGCCCTGTCCTAGCTACACCAAACCAAACACCACATGAGCGCCCCTGCAACAAGAAACAAAACAGAGATATAAAAGCCGCGGCTCTTCAATTGACATCATAAATCCAAACCATGCCTAGCGCGCTGCAGCATCAGGCTTGGCCAGCATATATCGCACAGCTTCGTTTGCTACAGCAGATTCCCAGATACTATCAGCGCCACCCCGGCGGAACTCAGGTCCGCTAGAGTCGTTGACATCGCCAAGAATGTGCGAGAGATCGCGGCGCTGGGAGCTGACCCAGCGTTTCATGAAAGAGGCTGGATCCTCGCTGAGACCAGTAAAGAAGGCGTGGCGTGCCTGGGACTGTGAGAGCGACTGGACGATGAGACCAATCTGGTCATCCAATGCGGCGATCTCGCGCATGCCCGCGAGGTACTGCGGGTTCTGCAGAAGAGCCATCATCTTTGCACGCAAAGGATCTTCCACGGCGACCTGAATATCGTAAATGGTAGGAGTGGGATCTTTGTGGAATTCTTCATCAACACGGATAGTGTATGGAAGCTTAATCGGATCGATAGGGCTGGTGTGGGGCGCAATGCTATCGGGAATCTGTGGGAAGAACATTTGTTCACGGCCAAAGATCTGGAAAAGCACAATGTTAGCATAAGTAATCACCTGGTAAAAAGAGAAGCCAAAGAGATATTACGGACCGAATAAAGGCGGCTATCACAGCGAACTGTGCGCTTCTCCTCATCTTCTTGCAACTCCATAGCACGAATGTAATCCCAAATTCCAAGCACAATGCCGCTTCGAGTCTCTTCTTCAACATCCAGAACCTCAGCCAGCTCCTTGCTCAGCTTAAATCGTTCAGGTGTCTCATCCCGTACCAGACCAATAGTAACATTCAGGTTCTCCTGGGAGGCCCGCGCGAACTGGATACTATCAAACTCCGCACTTGGAGCTGCTGAGGTCGCATTAGAAGCCAATTGTGGTTTGGACCAATTGACCGGCTTGACTTCATCCGGGATAGCATTGGCCGGCTTGTCAAAGTCCACTGTAATGGTCTTGAAGAAGTGCGACAAGCGCTGGGACTTCTTGTCAGATTCCTTGTTCTTTTCATCTTCAGTCTTGTCCTGGTCCATAGCGTCGTCTCCAGCTGTGTTGCGCTGGGCTTCATCATTCTCGGCTCCAAAAGAAGGATCGCTGTGATCATCTAGCAAACGTCCTTCAATGCGCACCTTATACCGACCGGAGCCAGGGTTGGTGCCGGCACCCTGCCACGGCTGGTTTTCAACAGTATTGGTGATCCAAATGCGCATAGTCCGATATTTCTTCACGGTCTTACTAATTGAGTCTTGAATGTCCAGTCTTTTCCGCACCACAGACGCATCGAGTCGTTTTTCCAAATCGCGAAGGTTCTTGTATTGCTGAACACCCTCACAGACGATCACATTTTCAACGCCTTCAGGAATATTCTTGTCAGAAGGTTTATGGGCGCGACGAGGGGGCTCTGGGACAGGCTGCATCGGGCGTGCAGCAGGCATGTACTGAGCGGGAATGGCGTGTTGGGGCATTTGTACAGGCATTTGACCTAGCGGAGTTAGATTGGGCGCGAGCTTATGAAAAGATAAAGGGGACAAACCTGGTCCAGGTACGCGACGGGGAGTGGCCGGAGATCGCTGGGCGGTCGGGGGAAAGCCCCGGGCAAAATTTGGCTGCATTGGAGCGTTCATTGCGGATCCAGTGGAAAGTAGGGGCTCCAGTCGGGATGGAGTGGGTGGAGGGTGAAGATGAGCGAAGTCGCGATTCTTCTGCCGTCGCGCTTTACCCGATTCGGAAGGTCACGGCTCTCCAACTTGGAACACCCAAATATCTATACATAAATCAATACTTAACTAAACATTTGAAAGATCCTGTTTCATATAATAAACAAAGAAAACAATTACGCCAAGTTCTCCAGTACATACTAGTAGCAATAGAGCAACTACATGCAAGTTATTCCTTATACAGCATATATTATTTCCCTAAAACCTGACATAAATGCATTGACATGAATCTATTCTTCCTCTACTCCAGAAGCGAAGCCTGGTTAGTGTACAGGCCCTCCACCACATTGCTCATCTTCTCAATGGTGCCAAGTGCAGAGTCATAGGCCTGGTCGCGTTCGGTCTCATCATACACAATTAGACATCCTGAGCCTTGATCCAACACACCAATGATTACCTTGTCCAAAATCATCTGTGAAAGCTTGCGCTCCACTTGCTGGGTGTCAAGACCAACCATCTTGGCAATATGATCCAGCTCCACCCGGCTGAAAGGCTCAATCACCTTGATTAAGTTCTGTTCCAACATGGCATCGTACAGGCGACGAAGGTGATTCCGGATGAAAGTGTCACTGCCGAGTTCGTACCGGTAGTCGGAAAGAGCCTTTTCATATTCCTCCAGAGACCGGTTTGAGTGGGCCCGAGCCACGGACTTCATGGCTTCCAGGCGTGGGCTGGCATACTTCTGGGCTTGCTTGGATCCCAAAAGCTGTGTGACATCATCCACCAGGTTCAACATAATCTTACACAGCAGCATGTACTGCAGAGCAGCGGTAGCCAACTCTCCTGAGTCAAGCGAGTTATATCCCTCCAGTGCCTCAATGAAATATGAGAATGCGGTGTTGAAGTCCTTGTCCTCGGCGTGCAGCATACCACTTTGCATGTCGAGCCCAGCCTGCAGATTGGGAGGAGTATAAACGGAAGCGGCCGATGTGCGTGCCGCAGTCAGTGCGGCGCGTGCCTTGGCCTGGTTGCCCAAAGCATGGTACACGCGAGACTCGAGGAGCTGCACCTCCACCAGCATGAGTTTGTCGTCCAGACGCTTCAACTCCTTGAGAAGGGAGTTGATGAGAGTAAGACCATCGTAGTATGATTGCTTTTGCATGTGAATCGCAACCAATCGTGCTTGGAGGTTCTGTCGGAGGAATGACCGTCGCTCGGCGATAGCCCACTCTATGCATGACTGGATGACGGCGGCTTGGAGGTCGAGAGTGTTGGGAATATCACTGATAAGGTCCAGGAGTTGACGAACTAAGATAACCGTTAATATTGACTTCTAAAGACTTCCAAAGGCCTCGATAGTCGCTGCTTACCCAGCTTGGCGGTCTTCGCTTTGGCAAATGACGAGAAGGTGTCACGGCTGGTCTTGATGAGCTCTGCGATGTCTTGCGGCCTCTTGGCGTCCCGGTGCAGCTCGCCCAGCCCAATCAATGCATGCTCATAGTCTCGCGACGAAGCCTCTGTAGATCCTGGGCCCTCGGAGAGAATGTTTTGATAACTGCTGGCGGCTTTCGAGGGGTCCTGCTTCGCCAGGTCCCGGACTTCCTGGATCCGAGGCGAGACCTGGGAGGGAGGGGCCATTGTGGGGGATTTCTGTATTCAAGAAGTGAAACGTGGTCGGTCAGAGTAAGTTTCCGACAATGAAAGGGCACAGCAGGTGGAAGAAGATGGAAGGTTGATAGATAGGTTGGAGCGTGAGTCGGGGAGCTTGAAGCTGGCAGCTGCAGGCTCACCGCCCGCTTAGTAAAATCATCCCGTCAACAGAAAAAAAAAAGTTCACTTCCGCTTTGATCTTTTCTTCTTTACGTCTGTTTCGCCAGCCCACCATGGTGAGTTTTGTCATTTGGACTTTTTTAAACATGACGTAGAGTGGTTGCTAACAACTCGCAGAAAATCAAAGCACTGTCTCGCCCAACGGCGTCGCAGCAGGCCCCCGGGTCTGCTACCGTTCGTCAATCACGGAATCTGGACCCAGCCCAGCATCCTTTCGAGCGGGCTAGAGAATATACTCGGGCTCTAAATGCTATCAAGATGGAGCGCATGTTTGCTGCGCCTTTCTTGGGTCAGATGGGTGACGGCCACATTGACGGTGTCTACTCTATGGCCAGAGATCCGCTTTCTCTGGAACGCTTTGCCAGTGGCAGTGGCGACGGTGTGGTTAAGGTCTGGGACCTGACAACCCGGGAGGAGGTTTTCCAAACCCAAGCCCACGAAGGTATGGTGAAGGGTCTCACATTCCTCCCCGAGGAGAGAAAGCTGTTGTCTTGCGCAAGCGACAAGACCATCAAGCTATGGGACCCATATAATTCGACCGCCGACGCCCCTCCCTTGACCAGTTATCTCGGCTCAAGTGCTTTTACCAGTCTCTCACACCACCGCTCGTTGCCTGCGTTTGCAGCTGCCTCGTCTGTGATTTCAATCTACGATCTCTCGCGACCTTCCTCTTCTCCCTCGCAGACTCTGCACTGGCCGACCAGTGTTGATACTATCACATCCGTTGCGTTCAATCAGTCCGAAACTTCGATCTTGGGATCCACTGCTCTTGACCGATCCGTCGTTCTGTACGATTTGCGAACTTCATCGCCGGTGCACAAGATGATCCTTAAGCTGGCCTCTAACAAGATCGCATTCAACCCCCAGGAGTCCTTCAACTTCGCCGTGGCCAATGAGGATCACAACGCTTACATTTTCGATATGAGAAAGACGGATCGTGCCTTGAATGTACTAAAGGACCACGTGGCTGCCGTGATGGATGTCGAGTTCAGTCCCACGGGTGAGGATCTGGTTACTGCGTCTTACGATCGAACAATTCGTCTTTGGTCCAGACAGCAGGGTAGATCCAAGGATATTTACCACACCAAGCGCATGCAGCGTGTCTTCTGCGCCACATTCACTCCTGACAGCAAGTACATGCTGTCCGGTTCGGACGACGGAAACGTCCGTCTGTGGCGTGCCAATGCATCTGATCGCAGTGGAATTGTCAGCGCACGCCAACGTACCAAGATGGAATACGACAAAGCTCTTATCAAGCGCTACGGACACATGCCTGAAATTCGCCGTATTCAACGCCAGCGTCACGTGCCTAAGCCTATTAAGAAGGCTGGTGAAATCAAGCGTGAGGAGCTTGCTGCCATCAAGAGGCGTGAGGAGAATGTGCGGAAGCATACCAGCAAGAAGAATCTGAAGGCGAGACAGAGCGAGCGTGAGAAAATGATTTTGACCCACGAGCAATAAGCGGGACTGTACCGGTCTCGGCCATATCTCAGACCAGCTGTATCATGGATTGGGTTATGTACAGGAATCCACAAGTCGATTGGGTTTATATACATGCATAATGTTTTGATCAGTCGGTCCGTTTTTTCGAGCTTCTGAGCACTCGCCCACTACCGTTGGGCGTGTCACGACTTTGATTACCGGAAGACACCGCCTCGTCAATGCCACTCAGGTATCGCGCTACGACCTGCACCGCGCCTGGCAACACGGCATACCAATTGATCAATTTCGCAAACGCCGGTAATCTGAGGACTCCACCGTGGCCACTGTCAACTGCGGTCACAATCTCTCGAGCCACTTCCACGGGCTCCAACACCGGTGCAAAGAAATGACTCGGAGTGCGGATCCAGCTGAATAAAGGTGTGGAAATTTGGCCTGTCTCCACCAGCATTGTTTTGATGTGCTCATGACCACGCAACTCCGCCTCCATTGTTCGATGCAGCGCGCTAAGCCCAGCCTTACTGGCCGAATAATCTGACAATCCTGCCGGAGATAGCTGGCCCAACACTGAGCTGACCGTCACCAGTGTGCCACCGTTCTCTGTCTCTAGTATACCCGGCATAAACACCTGGTACAAATGGAAAGCCGCAAGAAGATTTGTCTGCACTGTATTCACAAAAGCGTCTGCAGATAGATTCAGCAACGAGTGGCCATTGATCCTCGCTGCCGCACAGTTGATAATGATAGTCGGAGTCCCAAACTGTACCATAGCATGCATGCATTAGCAGAGTTCCTTTTTTTTTTCAAAAAAGCGTTTCCAATCCAACAACTTCAAACATCCAAATGTAACCAAATGTGATCTAAACCACCGCCGTAATCTTTAAAAAAGAAAGCTCAAATATAGACTTACCTCATTCAAGATCTTCTCCCGGACAGCCTCCAAAGCCTTCCTCTCCCCCACATTAACCGCATAACACCTAACGTCAACGTCCTCCCCAAAGATCTCATCGGCCTCTTTCTCCCCAACCTCCCTAATATCCAGAACCGCCACACGAACACCCCTCATCGCATAAAGCTGCGCAATAAGAAGCCCCAACCCACTCGCACCGCCGGTGACAAGAACCACTTCGCGCTCGGGATCCACCGTCCTCGGGAGACCATGCGCGACGCGGTGATTGATCGTCCCCGCTATGAAAAGCAGGGACAAAAAGACAGCATAGCCAACGCTCACAATCCAGGCCGGATGTGTAGGTGGCGTGACCTGGGCGCGTAGGCAGAGAACAAGAATCCAGGCAAGGAAAGGGTTGAATAGAGTGCGGTAGAGGACTTTGAGGAGGGTGTCGAGGGTCAAGTGGTGCGTCCAGGACTGCGGTGGTGGTGGAGGTGGGAGGACACTTTTTGTAGTTATTTTGACTGGCGGGGATGACATCTTGAATTGATTGCCCTTTGCGGGTTGAGTTGGTTATCGGGATTGTGTGATCCCTGCTGGTTTTTGGAGACTCGCTGTTTTGATGGATGTGATGCGGGGTTTTGGAGATGCGTGATGGGCGCAGTGATTGGTCTTTGACTCAGTGGCATTGACGAGGGTCCGGTTTTGCAGCTCTATAGGATGGCTTGGTACGGAGTACTCTGTGAGAGGGGAGTAGTCGAGAGGTCGTGGGCGCGAAAGGATTAAGTGCATGTGGTGTTGGAGCATCAGCGCTTATCGTCACAACTTTTGGAGGAGAATCGGGCTTAACGCCCGTATCGCCCGCGACGCCTTATAATGTTCGAGGCTGGCACTTTATTGTGTATTCAAATGTTGATTTGACCTTTTTTCAAAAAAACCAAAATAACCAAAATAACCACAATAATGAATTGATGTATCATCTGTTCCCATTATTTGGCTCTAGCGACTTGGCCGAACGTGATCAGTACCTTGAACATTGAAATATATTGCTCGGAGGCTAGTATCGGGACATCTCAATTGCCCAGGTTATTGGTTGCAGCTAGCGTGTTATCTCGCATGCACATGTGTATCTAGCTCTTCGTGCTCAAGGGAAAAAAAATAAGGAGAAGAAGATTGATGTAATTGTGAGAACTCAGATTGATCATTTAATCCTCATATATAACTATGTGGTCAGCAAAACGACTAAACCACCAAACAATCGTGCCGAACCTTGGCAGCATTTGCCATTCCCAAGTTTCCAAATCAAATCTAGAATCATGTTTGTCACTTCTGATATCCTTGATATAATATTGTCCATCGACGGTGGCTTTCTCAAAGTAGATAGGCATGTCAATCTCTTGACTTAAACCGACCTCCCAGCGGACCTGTCCGAGTGATTCAACATGCTCGTCACTGTAAAACAGCAGTAGGCCCGATATTGGTTGATGGGACTGATTATGATCCCTGCAAACCTGTACCTTGACAAGGCCATTGAGCGAAGCTTTTGTCATATACCACGTCGTCGTTATTGAGCCTTGGCCGGACGGAACTTCCGGGGGTTCAAGTCCAGTGTCCACGGGCAGCAGGCTGAGAGCTCCGCTCTGAGATGGGTTACTACAAGTAACCCCAACTTCTGTAATGTATTTGCAGTATGGGTCAAGCCCATCGTGGAAGATTCCCGAAATTGGGCCGTCGCTTTCCTTGACCAGAGAAATGTACTCACACCCATTGAGCACACCAGTTGGAAGTTGGGGCCCAAATGTAACGGATCTTCCTAAGGATGTTTGCAGCTTCGGCCGGTGAGTAATCGAAGAGTAATTGGGAAAGATAGGCTTACATGTAAGACAGGGGTGGAGGCTGGCCCATGACAAATTCGAAACTTCCGAATCCAGGCTCCTGTAATGGATTCTTGTCGATTCAGTGGAAAGTAAAACCACTGTCTGTGGCTATTATTCATGCGCTCGCCCATTAAACCGACGAACTCCTTGAATGCTTTCGATTTACCCGAGAAACCGTGTATACCAGCCATCATACCATTACTACAGCAGACAACAAGACCTTTCACATGGGCGTCGAATTTCAAATAGTCAAATCGATGTTCGTCGCGGAAGCTGTAAATATTCCAAGGGTGGAACTTGGGGGGTGAAGGAGTAGTCCAAAGTATGTTTCTTGAATATGAAACACTTCCATTAGCCTGCCCCAGGTGGATACGTCGCACGAACAGACCCTGGAAATATCAGCGCTCGTTCATCCACTGAGTATCAGGTGCTCATACATCAAATTCCACTTCAACCTCTATACTGGAAGCCTTCGGTTTGAGAATCTCATACCATGGGGAGCCATCGGGTTTTGGCATTGAGTTATTGTCCATAAATTGTATTCCACGTAAGCCGACAGAGTCAAGCGATATAACAATGTTGCAAAATTCATGCGGGATATTCATGCGATGTACTGGAGAAGTGCCAGTCGCTTTTAAGGGTGTGTTGCTGAGACGTGCCACGTAAGCGATACCTCGGTAACTTGTCTCCATCACCCAAATATCTTGTGTGAGCTTGACCCGTGAAGCCTGGGTTTCAGAGTAGCTCCTCAATTGTGCAATCAGGCGACGACTCTCGCCTAGTACGTTCAAATACCAGCATGGAGCAATTAGCTCAGAGATTGTGAGCCTTATCTCCGCTGGCAGCTTCATAAATAAATCTTGTCTGAAGACTGATTGAATAATTCTTCGAGTATATTCGCTCGACAACCCTTCTAGTATGGGTGCGATTTCTCCAGGTGTACTGTCTTGAAATTTCCAAGAGGGCCTCGTGGCATCAGCAAAATCCCCTAGTTCCTCAAAGGTGGGCTTTTCCGATGGCTCATAACTGATCAGCAGAGTGTCACAGCATTTTGCATGAAACCAAGCTCTCGGATATGGCGCACGAAAACAGATCAGGCATGGGAGTTTACACGCTGGAACTGAAAGCACGTTTTGATGCACATCTATGAAGTGGATCAGACAAAAGTAAAGGCAGACGGAGAGATGGATGACATACCAAGGATGGTCGTCCCAGGAGTGGGGGCTTGTCTGCACAACGAGCATGAGGACATGGCCACATGGATATCCTCTTCAGGGGCCATTGCTTCCGAAGGTCCGAGTCTCTGTGAATGAGAGTGATGTTGCTAGCACATACTCATGGGGCCCGCTCCCCACCAGTTGGAGATAAGAAGTGTGGATCGTGTAATCTGGATTGATAGGCACTTAGTCAGCACATGTCTAAAAATACAGTAGTAAGTTGTCACTGCATATGCGCAGAATGTAGGAAGAGCTGTTAGAATCTCGGGTTATTCTCCCCTCCAGAGTCCAGTATGGGCAGTCTCTTTTGTCTTTTGTCAATGCTGTTAAAACATGTTAGATGTCGAGGAGCTCCGCAGTTGTGGGCCACGGCCCGCTGGGCCGATAAGATACTAATAACTTCAGCCTTCAAGTAGTAGTATGCACATTTTGATGACAAAATTTGAGAGAGAAAATGTAGGAGAAGATAGTTAAAGATAAAAGAAAAGTATATTGAAACATATAGATGTTGGGATATGAGTACAATCAGCGCGCAAAATTGAAACCGAACACCAAACACCTCTTCCATCCTTGGACCATCCTAAACATAATTCATTATCATAATACAGGATAACAGGCAACACAAACGCAACTTCAAAAAACCCCTACTCTTTCACTCTCTTCTTGGGACGTCCCCTCTTGGCCGCTTGCCCAGTTTCTTGGTGGCTGGGCCCGTCTTCTTTGGCCGCCCCATGAAGCGAATGACTGAATGTCGCGCAGTCCCAAGCCTCTTGGATGATCTTGGGCTCATCTCCCGTCTCTGGCTCAATGAAGTCATCTTTCGTAAAGTATCCATCCCCAGATTTAGGATACTGGCGGTATTCAATGGCTTCGTTGTCGGAAATGTCTGATTTTACAGACTTGCTCGGGGATCCTGAGGTTCGGTCCTCTCCCTGCTGAGATCCGTCGAGGGTAGGCTTCAATAGCTTAGCGTTGCCATTTTTGGAGCGGGCATTTTTAGCCTTGGGTTGAGCTTCAGCTATAGCTTTCGCTGTACGTTCCGCAGTACGTTCCCCTGTACGTTCCGCTGCAGGTCCCACTTCAGGTTCTGGTACAGCACTGACAGACTGCGCACGGGTCTTGGTGCTCACAAGGGGCTTGGATGACTGGGCGGAGGTAGTTCTTGGCCGCTTTGCGCGGGTCTCGACCTCTTCATCTGGTTTGACATGCTCATGCTGCCTCTTCTTTGTGCCAGGAGAGACGGAGTTGGTATTGCCGTGTTGTCGAGGCCAACTGTAAAAGTCACTGTGGAAGCTTTCCATATCGACGGGGAACATGGCGACATCTGGGTTTTCCATGGAAACCTTGAGAGCAAGCTCGGCGAGTTCAGCATGCGAAAGCTGGCTAAGATACTTCCGTCTGGCGTCGACGCTGTATTCGGAACCATTGATCACCCGAGGGGGTCCAAGCCGCGGGTATAGGAGGTTCTTGCGCTTCCGGGGTACTGATTCTTTCTCTGGAGCCGGGACTGTATTTTCCACGGGTCGGCATTTAGAGCACCACCATCCAGCTGATGCCACCAAGACGACATAATCGTCAATTGGCGGATCATGGCATTTTTGGTGCCAAGTGTCGTTGCATCCATCGCAGAATACAATTTGATTGTTGGAGGGCGAGCTACCCCGGTGACACTTGACGCATACAATGCTCGATTCTTTCTTTGCAGCACGTTTGCCTTTGCCCTTGCCTGGAGAGGGAGCTTGAGCTGGCTCGTACGTGGTGGGGGCCTTGATAGCCCGGCCGGCCCTGGTGACAGACATATTGAAAGTGCGTGAAAGAAAACAGAAAAGGAGTGGAAACAACAAAGGAAAAAAGGAACCAAGCAAAAGAGATTTCCTGTGATGCAGGTAAAAGCGCCGCTGAAAAAAAAAGAAATTTCGGACGGAAAGAAGAATAGAAGGGAAGAAAGCGAAGTGAGAGATGAGAGGTCTTTATGCCACGCAAACACCACGCGCGCCCTTTTCGGCGGTTCCTCCAAACAAGTCGGTGAATACCCCTCTCCCTCCCATTGATTCACCGTTCTGGCTACGCACAATCCTGGTGAGGTAGATTTGCTGGTATCTTGGTTCTAACTTTCAAGGTGAAGATGAACGTCTGTGACCCGAATATCTGTATAGCCTCACGTGATCATTATCGGTGGGCCCACCAGTTGCCGATTTAAATCCTATACATAGTATGTACACACTCTCAATTTTTATAGCACGTACAATTAAAATTGTTATTGTTTTTCTTTATTTCCACAATCTTTGCCTGGTAATCTTGGTACTGGAAAACCACGAACTGGTCATTCAGGGCAGATGATATGCTTTCTATCATTTCAGGCATTCGTCCCCCGCTCAAAGTGTGTTGGTCCAGGGTTTCCAATGTATTTAAAATCAGCGAAACCCCGGGTCGATGGATTGAGCCTTGAGGAAAGGATTTTCCCAACCTCAAAATCCCACCAAGTGATTGAAAACACCTTGAACTCTTGTCTTTTCTCTGATGAGGTGTGATTCAGCCTAGGCGTTGCCTAGTTCGTGGGTATAAGTGATGACCTTGTTGCTCCATCTTTGGCCTTGGACATATGTTTCGACAAAGAATGAATCGTAGGAGGTTGGGCCCAATGATGGAGCCCGCCCACACACTCGATATTGTGGAGGTCTATAGCTCTGGCGTGGCTTGAGCCAAGGGGAGAGGAGGAAGAGCTTGAGCAGCCATCTCCCTCCCGCGAGCTTGCTTTGCTGGCATATTATGCGAGTCTGTAGAGAGAATGTAGAATTAGTTTAGCACATCAAGATTTGAGCTCAATTTCGAAGGAGATGACAAACTCAGAGCTTAGTTACAGCAAACTGAGGGGATTATGAGTGGATGGGCTCTCATAAAATCCATGGAAGAAGCTGGTGGGAAATATAACCCGCAAAATTCCTCATACCTACTCGCTAAACCGTTCCAAGTGAGTGATCCAAAGCCACAAGCAGCAACGAGACTGAACAAATAAGCACTTGAGAAGAGGCCTTTCAATGTTGCAAAAAGATAGGCTGTTGCCCGTATTTATGTCATTGTCATTTCCATGCTATTGAGCCCAAGAGACTCTTTATGTACATAAGTGCAGTATGTTGGCGCTATAAACATCTCCCGAGGTAATTCTTAGGGCTTATTCAAGAGATCACACCCTGTTCTTTTAATTTAGCAATATCCGCCTCGCCATATTCAAGAACACTACCAAGGATCTCATCGGTGTGTTGGCCGAGTGTAGGTGGAGGGGAGCGTATGCCGGGAGTAGCTTCGGAGTACTTGATGGGAGTATTGACCAGCTTGATGGGGCCACAGGCTGAGTGTTCGACTTCAGTGACCATATTTCGGGCCAGAACTAATATCGTAATTAGAGAGAGAGGAAGAAACCTCCGCTAGGAGAGCAAATTCAATCGCCAGACATACCGTGCTTGTGGTTCAATGTGCCCTGAATATCATTGACAGCCGCATAAGGCATTCCACTGCCCTCGAATATCTCCAGCCATTCCTGCGTGGTCTTCTGTTGTGTCGTGGTCTCGATCAACCCATCAATATCCGCTCGATGCTTGACGCGATCGCTGTTCGTCACAAAGCGCGCATCAGTCTTCCATTCTGGGAATCCAAGTCGATCACTAAGCACGCCGAACAATCTGTCATTCCCGCCACCGAAAAGAATGTCTCCATCAAGGGTTTTGTAGCTCCGGTATGGTACAATGGATGCTAAATACGAACATTAGTCAGTCTCCTCTGGAATGTAATTTTTGATCACAAGCGGTCAACTTACGGTGTGCTGTGCCCCATCGGCCTGAGTCCTTCTGTCCACTGATCAAGGCAGAACTAGCCAAGTTCGATAACGTGGCGACTTGACAATCACTCAAACAGGCATCAATGTGCTGGCCTCTTCCTGTGCGGACCCGCGCAAGCAAAGCTGCCATGATCGCATTGGAAGTATAAAGACCGGTCGTCAAGTCAGTGACTGCTACACCGACTTTAACCGGGGCACCGTCTCGCGCTCCGGTAATGTGCATTAATCCCATCTCAGCTTCCACCATGACGTCGTATCCGGCACGATTGCTGTAGGGTCCGGTTTGGCCATAACCGGTAATACTGGCATAGATCAACTTGGGATTGATCTTGTGAATGGTTTCGTAGTCCATGCCGTATTTTGCGAGGCCACCTGGGAGGTAGTTCTCCACCAACACATCGCATTCCTTTACGAGTTTGTGGAGAATCTCGACGCCAGACTTGTGTTGAAAGGACAGTCCAAGGGACTTTTTGTTGCGGTTAACCTGCAGCTCAATTAGTATTTTCGATCAAGTCCCTAGTATGCACTTGGATGAGGGTATACCAACAGCAAGGTAGTAGGCACTCTCACCAGGGCCTTTCCTCGAGTCGTCTTCATATTTGGCATAAGGTGGGCCCCAGGCACGAGTATCATCACCTCGCACGGGGTGTTCAACCTTGATGACGTCGGCTCTGTCACGAAATTAATTGTCAGAGATAAGATGAAACAACAATTTAAAGACCAAAATGCATTATTGGGAGTTCTGGGTCCTCACATACCCTAGATCACCCAGAATCTGAGTACAATAAGGCTATTGAATGAGGCCAATTTAGCAATCAATTCTGTAGAAGGAACATATTGAAGACAAAAAGAAAAGAAAAAATAACAACTCACACCTGCTAGAACTCGGGTCATATCAAGCACCCGAATGCCCGCCAAAGGCAGCGTACCATCGATACTTGAAGCTGGACTGGAGTAGCCCCTACTAGACGGCATGCGCCGCAAGGCACTGCTAGACCAAGCTAAGCACGATCGCCGAGCAAGAACATTCGATCGAAGTGCGACAGCCATCGTTCAAAAATACAATTGTCAAACACTCAAAGAATGCAAAGAAAGTGCAACAAACTCTCCGGTTCTGGGAATAAGGAATGTTTATAAAGTGCTAATAGCGGTATAAGGGAACCTCCGTTGAAACGCCGACAGTGGCAGACACCGCTCGGTGCGGAGTCCTAGGCCGAGGTCGATCACCGAACTCCCAACTTTTCTCCTTCTAGAATCTATACACGCCAAAATGTTCACTGGCCTCGTCGAGACAATTGGAAGTGAGTTTATTAAGCAATGTTATATTCTGAAGTCCATAGTAGCTAACAAAGCTCTTTTTCAAATTCAGCCGTCACGGCCCTGGAGCCCCTCGATACCTCGTCGAGCGGGGGCGGGGGAACATCACTGACGATCTCCGACTGCGCAGAGATCCTGGGAGACGCGCACTTGGGCGACAGCATCAGCGTCAATGGTACATAGCCTCCCCTATTTCGAGAACCTGAATAATCTTCAACCTTGAGCTGGCCCCTAACACGGAAATAATTTGTCCAGGAACCTGCCTCACTGTGACCGAGTTCGACAAGACCTGGTTCAAGGTCGGAGTTGCGCCGGAGACCCTGCGTCGCACGAATCTCGGGTCTCTCGTGGCCGGATCATGCGTCAATCTTGAGCGCGCTGTTGCCGCGGATACGCGGATGGGTGGACATTTCGTGCAGGGCCATGTTGATACCGTTGCGAAGATCCTTTCTGTCACTCCGGACGGAAATGCCTTGACGTTCCGGCTGCAGCCGCGGGAGAGGGATATCCTGCGCTACGTCGTCGAAAAGGGATACGTTACTCTGGACGGTGCCAGTTTGACTGTGACCAAGGTCGTTGATGGCGCGGATGGTTATTGGGAGGTTATGCTTATTGCCTACACGCAGGACAAGGTTGTTACGGCTGCGAAAAAGCCTGGCGAGGAGGTCAACGTTGAGATTGACATTGTGGGTAAATATGTCGAGAAGAGCGTCCAGGGCTACTTTGCCGGTACTGCCGGGGGAGATTTCGCTATCCTCGAGAAGATGGTGGCTCGCATCGTTGACGAGAAGCTCAAGAAATAAAAGGAAATAAGTGTAAAGGCTACAGGGAAACAAAAACCCCAATCTTATGCCCGTGACGAGAATAAACATCATTAAAATTCAAGAAAGCATTATGCATATTTTTTTTCCGTTCAAAACATTGATTCGCAAACTCCATGTACATGTACACCGGAAACCACCATGAGGCTCGTGGGTATAGAATTGGGATCATTTTGTGGGCAAGTCTGAAAATCTTGACTATAGCCACGCTCTTACTCCTCCATAGACTCGTCTCCATCGCCAGCTTCAGGCTCAGAATCCTCATCTCCATCGTCTTCCGCGCCAAAGTCGTCGCTGAGCCAATCGGCCTCGTCATCCATTTCCTCATCCTCGTCGTCGTCCTCCACCTTCTCGCCCTTAGATCTCGCCTTGGCCTTCTCTGCCTTCTTCTTCTCAATATTATCCTTCTGCAGCTTCTTGCGAGCTGCCTTCTCCTTGCGGCGGACGGCCCAGGTCTGTTCCAGAAGCTTCTTCTCTCTCTCAGTCTTAGTGACATAGTCGTGCCACATAACCTGACCATCACAGACACCATCCTCGACCTTCATCAATCGAAGCTTGAGGCGGGGGCCCAATTCGACCAGCTTGACGGCCCGCTTCTCCACACCCGGTGCAGTAGCAGGCTTCTTCTCGCCCTTCTCTGCGGCCTTTTGGCGTTGCTGCTCACGCTTGTTGAGAACTCTTCGGGTTGCACTCTCCAGAATCTCCACCTCGTTGTCCGTGTCCAGCTCTGTCTCGGAAGCAGATGTGTAGCCTGCCGCGGAGGGATCGAGCAAGTAGTCGGCAGCGTCTTCCAGTTTACCGAGATTTGGGACAGTGGCCTTCTTCTTTTCTCTGTTTCGGATTTCCTTGGGGTCCAGACGACGGATGCGTTTTGACACACCGGTCTTCTTCGTAGCAATGGCGTAGTGTCGGAGACTGAGGACATATGATCCGTCGTTCTCGGTAGATGGCTCACGGTTCAACAACATGACACGACGAATAGAGTGAAGGGGGGTGGCTTGCGGGTTGATGGGAGGGAAAAGGGATTGGAAGATTGTGGTGGTGAGAGACTCGAGGCGCTTGGGCACCTTGGAGTCCTCTGTGACATCTGCGGTGTTGAAGTTGTTCATCACCAAAAGAGGTGGTGTCTTGTGATCCTGGCCTCCACTCTGGGGGCGCTTCATTGCGCGCTCAACGTCTCGGCAGAGCGAATAGTTCTCGACTTGGAAATGCATGGTCGGGCCGCGAGGTGTGACTGCAATACGCATGTTGGTGTTTCCGGTGGCGGACTTGGAGAAAAGCATCAAATGTGTGACACCGAGGGGACCGGCCATGACGGTGTAATCGCGCAGTCGGTTGGATTTGCGTTCCTGTAAACACGATTAGCAACAAAACCATGGAGGCGATTTTTTCAATATCCCATACCTTCAATCGCACTGCTGTTTCGGGCTCCATCATCCGTCGAACATCCTTGACCAATTGGCTGACACTGGTACCAACCTGCGAACCGCCAATTCGAATGACCATAGACTTGGGGGTCTTGTTCATAGAAGCAGCGCCGGCCTTGTTAGACCCTGAAGAGGCATTTTGCGGCCGGAGGTGAGTGCGCTTCTTAACACGTGCTTTGGCCATGATGGGCTATATGGTATCGAGTCCTCAAAAATAAAATATCAAAAGGATGGGGATATGAGAAGCTTCAGCTCTTCTCTGGTTGGTCTTTGATTTTTTTTTCTCCAAAAAATCCCAGCGGAGAAGAGCGGAGGAACGATGTTGCGGACCCACATTAAATTATTTTGAGATGGATCTCGACCGCGATCAACTTTTTTTCTGGAATAACATCAAAACTTCCTCAAGATGCCTCCAGTCAAGAAACGCAAGGTCGCCGAAGAGGCGCCTGCTGCTGAAAAAGTCGATGCTAGCTCCCCAACCCCCGAGGTTGGCGACGACGCCTCGGAGGATACCATAGAGCCCACCCCCGAGACCGCCGCAAAGAAATCCTTCAAGGATTTGGGTGTCATGCCTGAGCTCGTCACTGCTTGTGAGAAAATGGGGTACAAGGCGCCAACACCGATTCAGGCAGAGTCGATCCCAGCTGCTCTAGAGGGCCGCGATATCATCGGTCTCGCAGAAACTGGTTCCGGAAAGACTGCAGCTTTCGCCCTCCCGATCCTCCAGAGTATGTTGTATCTCCGCCTGATCAGCATAACCAGCATTTACTGACAACATTCTAAAGCTCTCATGGACAAGCCCCAGCCATTTTACGCACTGATCATCTCGCCTACCCGAGAATTGGCCTACCAAATCTCGCTAGCCTTTGAGAACCTTGTACGGACTCTTCATTCTATACTATCCAACACGTTCTAATCTTCTTATAGGGTTCGACAATTGGCGTCCGGACAACAGTTCTTGTTGGTGGTATGGACATGGTCCCTCAAAGCATCTCGCTCGGAAAGAAGCCTCACATCATCGTCGCGACCCCCGGACGTCTCCTCGATCACCTTGAGAACACAAAGGGATTCTCTCTTCGCGGCCTGAAATACCTCTGCATGGACGAAGCCGACAGACTTCTTGACATGGACTTCGGTCCTATCTTGGACAAGATCCTGAAGGTGCTTCCTCGCGAGCGCCGGACATTCCTCTTCTCCGCTACTCTGAGCTCCAAGGTTGAGTCTCTCCAGCGTGCATCTCTCAGCAACCCGCTCCGTGTCTCTGTTTCGAGCAAGTACCAGACCGTTTCCACGCTGCAGCAATACTTCCTCTTGAGACCTCACAAGCACAAGGATGTCCACCTCATCTACCTCCTCCAGGAATTCACAGGTCACTCTTGTATCATTTTCATGCGGTATGTTACTATTGCGACTCTCTCGGATGTCGTGACTTTTTTCAATTCACCATCTTCCCCCGGATGGACGAGAAGACAGGCGCTTATTATAACTTTTTAGGACTGTTCACGAGACCCAGAGACTCGCTTACCTTCTGCGTGCGCTCGGATTCCCTGCGATCCCTCTCCATGTATGTTCCCGAATCATCACCGCACCCGTGAACAAGTCGTATACTAATACCATTTTCAGGGACAACTCTCTCAATCTGCACGTCTGGGTGCGCTCGGCAAATTCCGTTCTCGTGCTCGCGACATCCTAGTTGCTACTGATGTCGCAGCTCGTGGTCTCGATATCCCTTCCGTGGATGTCGTCCTCAACTACGATCTGCCAACAGACTCCAAGACTTACATTCACCGCGTGGGAAGAACCGCCCGTGCTGGTAAGAGTGGTGTCGCCATTTCTTTTGTCAGCCAGTATGATGTGGAGATTTGGGTAAGTTCTCGTATTTCGTTATACTTTCTCGTTGCAAGATCGAGGGCTAATGAATGTAATAGCAACGTATCGAAGGTGCGCTTGGCAAGGAGCTTCCCGAGTATGATGCTCCAAAGGACGAGGTCATGGTTCTCGCCGACCGAGTCAGTGATGCACAGAGACAGGCGATTGCGCAAATGAAGGATTACGATGAGAAGCACGGCAACAAGGCCGGAAAGAAGCAATTTGGAAAGGGCAAGCGGGGTCGTGACGAGATGGACAAGGAGGAAGGCTAAACTCGCTTCTGGCGATATGAAAATGGAATGTTTTGATTGATTGATGGCTGGCCCATCGGCCCAATGACTTGGTTCTTGTATAATTTTACGTCCCTTTGGGAGAAAAAGTACGAATGAAAAAAATATCGTCCTACATGGTGGTTTTAAGTATGCACTTTTAGTTTAAGTTCCAGAGTCATGCTCAATGAGCATGGGTATGAGTTTCATTACTGCATCAAAATGATATCGAAAGTATTTTACTAGGGCCGTAGCTCCCTTCTATTACAGGAGACCCCAGTTGCAAAACGCTGTCGTGATCTTTTGTAGCGAACAATTTTCCACTGTTCGCATGTCTAAGTCATTTGACTGTTTCACTGCTGGCCATCGGAGCTGCCCGCCTCGCGAACGGCATTGGCGACGCGAGTAGCAAGATCATCCGCCTCAGACCGGCTAGCGGCCTCAGCGTAGACACGGACAGCATCTTCAGTGCCACTGGCACGGGCAAAGCTGCGGCCCTTGTTGTACCGGGACTGCAGAGACTCGACCTTGGCCTGGAGACCGGCAGGAGACTCAAGCTTGCGCTCGGCATCGTAAGCCTTGAAGATCGAGCGGTCCTTGACCTCAACTCGCACAAGGCGAGAGGGCAGGTCAGTGTAGGTGCCCAGCCACTCCTTGGGGCTCCAGCCCTTGTGGGCAAGGATTGCCTCAACGAGCAACATGTCAGAGAGGGCGTCACCGACAGCCTGGTTAATCAGATCGGTAAGAGCCTGGAGAGTTTCCAGGGCACTCTTCTGAGCCGGGGACTGAGGCTCGGTGTTGTTGATAACCTTCATGGCATTCTCTGAGAAAGTGACGGTACCGTGTCCGTTAGCCTCGAAGTAGACTCCGACGTCGAATCGGAGAGCGGCGTGGTGAAGGTGCTTGACACCGGTGTTTGTGCAGATGATGGGGAGCTTCAGCACCTTCTCAATGTAGTCGGTGGAGGCGCCGTTGGCGTATGCTGTTTGAACAACACCAATCTTCAACTTTTGGGCAATACCGGCGTTGCGGGCAAGGTCGCCAATGAAAGAAGCGGCGAGGGTAGCAATGCGATCACCATCAAGCAAACGGAAGACGTTGCTCTCGTCGGAGAAGTAGTAAACCAGACGGTCAGCATCACCATCCAGAGAGGCACAGCGATCGAGGGCGACAGCCTTAGAAGAGGGAGGGGCACGTTGCTTTGTCTTAACATAGTCGGCACCGCACTGGGTACAGTTAGTGGATGTTCATATGGTTCAAGGGAAAAAACATACATCGAAGTTCAGGCTGTCAGGGTTGATCACATCATCGTTGATAACCTTAATCTCGAGTCCGGAATCTAGGACCTTGATCAACTCCCGCAACTTAGGGCCACCCACACCGTTGGCACAGTCGACAGTCAAGGAACCCTGAACCTTAACTCCCCGCATAACCTTCTTGAAGGACTTCGTAAGCTTGTCGTAGTAACCCTCCTCGGAAGGCTCTCCGTATGCGTATTGTGTTCCGAGAGTGTTCTTGCAGCGCACAACGTAGTGGAGTTGAGGGGTGGTCATATACTTGAAGTCGATGAACTCGACCTCAGTTGCAGTCATGGCAGCGCTGAGCACACCCACGAGACGAGAACCGGAGGCACGAGTATCGCGGGCATAGACCACGCGGGCCGGGTTAGTTACCTTAACATCGATCTCCTTCACAAGTTGATCGTAGACATCGGCGATGGACTCGAGCGGGGCATTGGCCAGGCGGGTTGCATATGTCTCCCATTCAGCCTAAATAGGATGGTGAGCTTAGGGAATCAATGAAATTGTAGGAATAACGTCGGTCTTACTTCAAGCATCTCGCCCTGTTAACTCGGATAGCGTTAGAAGGTCTTCTTTGAAAACAAAATCACATAGCCATTGGATTCTTACCATCGGGTCAACCAGCTTGACTCCATTGTCCTCCGCGGGGTTGTGGCTCGCAGTCACCATAACACCGATCCATTGGCCGCTAAGCTTCTTAGAACGCAGACCAGCTAGCAGGCCAACGGCAAAGACAACGGTGTTGAGGAGGTCACTTCAAGGTCATGGCAGTTAGCGATGACCGACGTCAACAAAGCCAAAAAAAAAAAGGACGATCGCGGGGAGAGGTGTGGAGACAAGGGCTGATCGGTGTTTACTGGACTCACGCTTTCATGCGAAACTGTCGCGAGGTTAGTAAGAGCCCTAAAAAAAGGTCCATAACGTAGTGCGACTTACCCCTGCGGTACCATATTCAAAAACCTTTCCTTCGGGCTTTGTATACTGCAGCGCAGCCTCGGAGATTGCTTTCTTGACAGCCGGGGAGGCCATTGTGGCGGAAATGTGCTGCGATCAAACAGGAAGCTGAACAAACTAGAAGTTCTTGTTTCTGTGGAGAGGCGCGCAACGAGTCTGGTATTTTAAAATGAAGAGGAGATGTGGGAGAGGAAAGAGTTACTTGAAACCAAAAAAAGAAACAAGAGAGGGGCTCGCGGGTGAGACACGGGCTTAATGCGACGACCTTAGCGGTGAGCCAATGGCGGGGAACCCAGTACAAAATGTTTGTGATCAGTTACATTATCGGGTCGTGGCAATAACACCCCCACCCGCAATTCGCGGCGTGGAAATTAATTATTAGTTGCGCTCAGATTACAAGATAAACTTGGAAGTGGGGAGAAGAAAGGTACAAATATTGACTGATTATTACTATAGCCACGGGTCTACCGGAACCTCCAGGGCTCCATCCGTCTTGTTGTACACCAAAAATGAAAATAAAAAACATCATACCTAAGGTGTTTCTCACCCAATTTTGGGGGATAGATGGCACAAATTTTATGCCCACTTTATTTTACGCCTTGAGTCTGTGGCCGGCAATGTCATCTTGCGTATCCTTGATAAGGAAACTGTCGGGCAGAAGCGATATGCGTTAGTCAATGCATGAAGCAACGCAGAAAAAGAAAAAAAAAAAAAAACAGTGCAAGAAAGAAGCGAGGGACTTACGAATACCACCAGGCTGTGGGGACCACGGTACCCAGATGCCACAGGCTATGCGCGTCGATCAATCCATGCCAAGGTGCAAAGTCGAGCAACTCTAAGCTCATGGCGAGGATGATCCAAGCCACAATCATACCAGGCCAGGCAGTCCAGGACTTAAGGTACTTGTTATACCGGAAAATACTGAACCCAGTCCATAGGACATTCTGGATGATACCAACCACCACGTTGGCCGCCATATTGTAAGTGTAATCCCAGGACCAGAAGGTGAGATAACAGACATGCATGGTGTACAGCAGCAGACAGATAACTGTCCACAGCCGACGCAAGGTGGGTCGGTAATTCGGTTGTTCAAGGTCTAGACGCAGAATCCGGATCACGGCCAGATAGAGACCGAATAGGACACTGGCACCAGCGCCCCAGTAATCTAGCTTCTCCGTGATAGGGAAATCCCTGGTATGGAAAAGCATACTGAATGTCCAACTAGCCAATCCAAAATATCCAAACATCATGTAGTATGGTCGAAGTGAGTGCCATGCGGGGATGTTCTCCTGGACCCGGGACATGCCATTCCAGTGGGCGGCGAAGTTGAAGAAGGAGAAGAGCACAGAGAAGGGCTCCTGCATCCCCAGAAGGCGGCGGAAGGGCCATTTGCCATGGAATTGAACGATCGGGTGTAGCATTGGCGGGTCACGCGAGACTCGACGGTCGGTAATGACATGTTGACAGGTATAGTCGCATTCAGCTGGGCAGGTCCATAATAACAAGCGGTGGTGCAGAGCTGCAGACGGTCAGAATGAAAGCTGGAGAACAGAGTCGGAACAATGTGGCCTTACGTAGCACGGAGTTTCCAGAATTGCAATTCTCGGTTTTACAAACCTGGGGAAGGGAGGGGAAAGTTAGCTTTGTGCAAGGGTCTCATTGGGGAGGGCCAAGTAGGAAAAGGTTACCTGGACACATTCTCTAAAATCAGGGAGATGGTCACCCAGAGATGCCGAAGACTGGCCCACGAGACAAGCCAGGAGAACCACGGCAAGAAGAGTGGAAGTGTTCACTCGGTAGGCACCCAAATTCATGGTGTTCTGTAACTTTTAATGGCGTGACACGCGTCAGCATGGAGGAAAGATCAGTCGGGCGGAGCTCCGGGCGGCCTGGGAAGCATCCGCGGTAGTCTTGGCAATGACAGCACAGCGTTTACATTCAAGATCGAAAGGCTGAGAGTTGCATGTCTGGCTTAATTTTCACCTTTAAATTTATTTCTGATTCTCAACTCTGACTCCAGGGCTGACTTGGGGTTTCAGGTATGAGTTTTATAAATTGGTTAACAAGAAAATCCAAGTATCTTTTTACGATCCAGCCCTGGAGGTTCAAACTTCAGCCTCAAAATCTCTTAGTCCTATATGCACATGCAGACTCTTGAACACGTCAACATTTGAATCGCACTATTTGAATTTGTACATGAATATATTTACTTATGGCATCCCAGACTTTACACTCTCTCCAAGGCTGAGCTTGAGTCCACATGATGTCCACTTTTACGGTTCATTTGGACACATTTGAAATAAATACCTACTAGTCCAATGTTACATATACTACTCCATACATACAGACATGGTACCCAGAGTACATATTGAGAGCTTCAAAATTCCCTCTTCCTGCACCAGATCGATGGATTGTTACTACATATACTCCGTAGGTAACCTTAAAATACCAACGAGTCTGAGTTAACCTCGGAAACAATTGAGCACCTGATACATGGTAGATAGTACTCATAGGTGGTAATTAGGTAGGCATTTCAGGTATAAATAGTACATATAGATGGTGCTTCGAGTACTTCAAGGTACATATAAATTGATGACTGCCCAGCACCTCCGGTTGCCCTGGACCCTTTGTTTTGTATACAAACTCCTAGCCCTAACTGCATCACGTGAGAGGGCTTGTCCATCCGCGTGATGTTATCTACACGTGATAGCAAGCCAGATAGGCTTAGCGTGGTTGCAGGCGGGGAGATTTTTTGAGTAAAGCTTGGCGTTAGGACTTCCGCGAAAAAAAAAGTTCGAGACATAACTTACCAGGTCTTTCACTTAGACCATCCTCTTGCATTTTTCTTTTCTTCTTCACATTTACTTTGAACCATCTATTTAACCACACATAACCAGAATGAGTGGATCTGCAGCCTCTCACCCCGATGGGGTTATCACCAGCAGCGCCGATCGCATGGTTGGCATGGAGCACGCTGAAGTCCGCTACTTCACCAGGTATGTCGTTCCTGATATCTGGTTAAGATGTTATATCGAAATGTCCAGAAGCTAATTGGTATCTCAACAGCTACGATCACCACGGTAAATACATACAGACAAGTCCTTGAGAGTACGGTGGCGGTTTACTGATGCGTTTATCTTATTCACATACAGGTATTCACGAGGAGATGCTGGTAAGTTAACTCGATCCTTTGCTAAGACCATACCGTGAATATAAATCGATTGCTGACCAATTATTGTGCTCTATAGAAGGATGATGTCCGTACTCGCTCTTACCGTGATTCGATCTACCAGAACCGCCACATCTTCAAGGACAAGGTTGTCCTGGATGTTGGCTGTGGTACTGGTATTCTGAGCATGTATGTGTCTCGGAAATAATCCATTTGTTAGCATCCATGCTTATAATCCTCCAGGTTCGCTGCTCGCGCTGGTGCTAAGCACGTCATTGGTGTGGACATGTCCTCCATCATTGAGAAGGCCAAGGAGATTGTCGCCGTCAACGGCCTGTCCGACAAGATCACCCTTCTCCAGGGTAAGATGGAGGAAGTTCACCTTCCCTTCCCCAAGGTTGATATCATTATCTCCGAGTGGATGGGTTACTTCCTTCTCTACGAGTCCATGCTGGACACCGTCCTGTACGCCCGTGACACCTACCTTGCCGAGGGTGGTAAGATCTTCCCTGACAAGGCCACTATGTACGTTGCTGCCATTGAGGACGGCGACTACAAGGATGACAAGATTGGATGTAAGTGAATTGCGAACCCCCAACCTTTTATTGGCCACAGATAACTAACTCGACTTGTACAGTCTGGGACAACGTTTACGGCTTTGACTACAGCCCGATGAAGCAGATCGCTCTCACCGAGCCCCTCGTCGATACCGTCGAGATGAAGGCTCTTGTGACCGACCCTTGCCCTATCATCACCTTTGATCTGAACACTGTTACCGCCGCTGACCTTGCGTTCCGCGTGCCCTACAACCTTATCGCCAAGCGCAGTGACTTCATCCACGCCATGATCTCTTGGTTCGATATTGAGTTCAGCGCTTGCCACAAGCCAATTCACTTCTCTACCGGCCCCCACGCCAAGTACACTCACTGGAAGCAAACCGTCTTCTACCTCCGTGACGTGCTTACCATTGAGGAGGGTGAGACTGTCTCCGGTTGGATCGAGAACCGCCCCAACGACAAGAACAAGCGTGATTTGGATATCGACCTCTCTTACAAGTTCGAGATTAATGACCCCACTCGCTTCGCCGAGGGCAGCTGCTCCTACCGCATGTGAGTTTTATCAAATGAATAAGGCTTTGTGTATACGAATTTGTACTGACGTCCATCTAGGTGCTAATTTGAATGATTTTAATTTTCGTTCGTCCTTTTCTACGATCATTCGACGCAGTTACACGTTTTGAAGAAAATGTCTCATTGCTGATGCAATGCGGCATAGCATGGGTAAGGATCTACACAGGGCGATTTAACATGGCTTCCGGCCTCGTTTTTTTCACTGGCGTTTTTTCATCTGGGTGGCAGGTAAAAGGCATTATATGGCGCGATATGGAGAGATTTTATGAAGCTCCTCGACATCTGGAAATTACCAAGTAGATACCCCGAGTCGATGCTTAGTCTATCAACTCCTACGCTCTTTTCATGTCCTCTTAGGGATTTGTTTCAATTTTTTATCCACAATCCATCTTTTCTCCACTGTAAATCCCGAAAAAGACAAGTTCGGTAAGTGTTGCCAAGCAGTATGGCGCGGCGTCGGTAATCATGAGAGCAAATCATTATCAGATCCTCGGCCCAGGGTCGCCCCGCAATTGTTCAATCCTACTTTAGCTTCGCCCCGTCTTCATTTCCCGTTTATCTTTTGGCAGTTTCCTGCACTTTCTTGTTTTCATTCTAAATTAAAAAACATCTATCACAATGTCTGCCCCCGGAGCTGGTCACGAATTCCCGCCTCAAGAGGTCTCTTGGCAGAAGCGCGACGTCTTACTGTTCGCCAACAGCATTGGCTGCAAGGCCGACGAGCTCCAATTCCTCTACGTAGGTCCACTCGAGACTGCTGATCTTTGTGCAGCTTTTTTTTCTTCTCGTTTTGCCTCTCTCTAATGCTTTCGATAGGAGCTGCACCCCAATTTCTCGGTCTTCCCGACCTATCCCCTTATTCTTCGTATGTCGTGTATCGATCGCAAGGAAACAAGAGGACAACGCTAATCAATATTCAATCTCTCAGCTTTTAAGCTCACAGACAATGAGGTGACTGATTTCTATGCGCGCCAAAAGGCTACTCACATCCCTGGCGTCCCAAAGCTGGATCACCGCCACGGTGTCGATGGCCAGCGTAAGATAACTGTCCTGAAGCCGCTCCCCCCTACTAGTGCTGGGCGCAAATTTGAGCTGCGCAACAAGGTCATCGGCGTTTATGATAAGGGAAAGCCTGGTACCGTCATCGAGACAGAGCAGTCTATCGTCGATAAAGCGACCGGCGAGATCTATGCCAAGGTCCTGTCCAGTGGTTTCTTGGTTGGACAGGGCAACTGGGGCGGTCCCAAGGGTAATTTCAAGACCAAACACCCAGTTGACGACCTGATTACTTACAAATATCAAGGTCCCGCTACTGTTAACTTCCCACCCCCAGAGGGCAAGAACCCCGACGCTGTTCATGTTGTTCAGACCAACATGGAGACTGCGCACCTATACCGGTAAAACTCCACGTTATATCCTTGATTATTGTATGACCGGCGTATTAATTATCTAAATAGTTTGAATGGAGACTACAACCCTCTCCACGCTACCCCGGAGCCAGGCCAGAAGATGGGCTTCGGTGGCATCATCATCCACGGCCTGTTTAGCTGGAACTCCTCTGCTCATGGCATTCTGCGCCTCCTGGGTGGTAGTGATCCGTCAAACTTGAAAGAATTCCAGGCTCGTTTTGCATCGCCTGTTCGTCCTGGTGATACGCTGACCACCGAGATCTGGCGCCTGGGCAATGCTGGAGCTGATGGCTTTGAGGAAATTCGATTTGTCACCAAGAACCAGAATGGCAAGGCTGTTTTGAGCAACGGCCGATGCTTGCTGAAGGTTACTAACCCCAAGAGCAAGCTGTGATTCTGTGGTGCCGGGTCTTTATAATGCTAGTGCTTTATGCATCCCTGTCTATACAGCAGCAATGCTCCGTGCACTGTTTATCATCAAATCCGTCAATAAGCCTTGTCTGCACATGTGATATAAGCAATTTTGATTCCATTTAAATTTACTCGACTCGAGCTTCCTACCTATTCTCCTGCGATACTACTAGGTATTAACACATACTTCTAACGGAAGAGGCTGCAACCCCAGAAAGAGCCGCGATTTGTTCAACCAGCATGATTGGCCAAAATAACAAACCACAGAGCATAAAGTAGCCTCAGCAAACTGTATTTCCCCCACAAAATGATTTGGAACCACTTTAATCAACGTAAAACTAGAGCAAAGGGACTGTTTCTGTTCAGCGAGGTAGCCACGTGACCGTCGGTCATTCCGAGGTTCTAAATAGGAGCTCGGACATTCCCCAGATTGCACCACTTACTTGCCTAACTCAATACGCTCCATTGTACCAAGATCCTTCGCATGAGCTTCACCAGAGCCATGTCTATTCGTTCAGCGATGTCATGGAGTAATCGCCTGTATGTGGAATCCCATCGCGAGCTACCAATGTACCTCGGCTAATATCTGATCAGAACGTCACTCCCCCGCCTGCGGGCTCCACAGAGGGCTAGCTGGGTATGTTGTGGAGGACCTATACATAACTGAGTCTTGATTCATTGTCTAATTTGAACCTTGCTGTGTTTTGGAATAGGCTGCTGTTCCTCGAGGACTTGTACATGTTCCCTTACGATGGAGCTCGAATGAACAAGCCCGCAAAAGCGGGGCTCCCAAGACAAAGACGGCAAACATAGTTGAGATTCCAGATCAAGCAAGGAACTCGGTTATTCTGAAGCAGTTTGACTCTGAGACGGATATCCAAAAAGCTTACGCCACATACTCTAAGGGGTATCTGACGTTGAAAGGGGAAGGTAGCGTCTATAGAGAGCTCCCCTTCCTATCATTGTGAGCCTCCGATTGAAGGAAACCTGTTGAGCTTTCATATGTCTAATCTTAAAATAGTGGGAGGCTTTTTTTGAGGTAAGCCTTGCAAGAATGATACTTGTTTAAGCCCATGTTGATGGTTCCTCACCAGAGAAAATTGTCAATGTCCCAAATGTGTTCACCCAGAAACGAGACAGAGAATTGTTGATACCTTTTCGGTATGCATGGAGCATGAAAAACTGCACTAAGAAGTCTCACGGTGGGAAAAACTAACAGAAGACCAATAGGTCCCCAAGGATATCGATGTGACGTGTATCAAACCGAGTCCCACGGATGTCAAAATTGGCTGTAAGTTTGTCTAGAAGTCCACTTGAGGAATATTACGGGGTTAACAAGCGGGTAAGGGTCTGACGGCCATGAGAGTGTCTATTCTTGGGATTGGCTGGTCGCCCATCAGACTACCAAATTCACGTCTCGGGATCTTGGCCCACACAAATTGTCTGGTGTAAAGTACGGTCTCTTGCTTTACAACACAGGGTTTATTGATTCTAATCCTATATTAAGGCCGCTTGCGAACATCTTCAATGCCGAAAACCAGAACTATCCAGAGGCATCTTACCAAGAGGTGATATCCAACGACAGAGCCTTACTAGATTGGCTGCAAAACATTGTGAGTTTGTCAAAATATTTGTATGCCTTATTTCAAGGCAGTGACTGATGTGACTGGTTTTTGTAGCACGGGCAAGGGTTTTGCTTCATCAAGGGTGTTCCAGTTGACCCCGAGGCAACGAAGGCATTAATTGAGCGAATTGCTTTCATCCGACACACTCATTATGGTATAAATCTGAAGTCCCAACTGACTCTGAGATATTTAGTTCTAACCCTTTTTTTAGGTGGCTTTTGGGACTTTACTGCCGATTTGACCTACAAGGATACGGCATATACCAATGAGCCTCTTGGCGGACACACCGACAATACCTATTTCACCGATCCTGCAAGGCTCCAGCTCTTCCATCTGTTGTCACATACAGATGGAAGTGGAGGTGAGAGCTTACTAGTAGATGCACTCGCAGCAGCTCATGAATTGAAAAAGAAGAGTCCCTTGGATTATGACACCTTGGCCACAGAAAGACATTCATGGCATGCGAGCGGCAATGAAGACGTCTGCATTCAACCTTCCTTCCGCGCCCCTGTTCTTTCCATCCATCCTGATTTTAACAAAGTCTATCAAGTTCGTTGGAACAACTATGATCGCGCACCAAAGAATGATTGGAGTGTTCGCGACCAGACTCGCTGGTACAAGGCGGCTCGGAATTTCAACTCTATTCTTCATAAGCCGAGCAACCAAATCTGGACCCAGTTGAAACCCGGGACAGCCCTGAGTAAGTAATGGCATACTTCGAAGCATATAGCTATAGCTAACTTGTATATTTTCCAGTTTTTGACAATTGGAGAATGTTGCATGGCCGCTCCGAGTTTACTGGGAAGCGAAGAATGTGCGGTGGCTATGGTATGTAATATGCAGAGAAAGAGCCATAAAAACTGAGCGTATGATGGTGCATAATTTCTAACAGGCAAACAGTGAATAACGATGATTTCATTTCACGACTCCGACTCTTGAAACATGGCCGAGAGAAAGTTTTGAACAATCTAGGATCCTCGTACAAGGCAGCTACCCTAGGTAAGCCGATATACTGAAAGTAGCTCATCAAACTGCAAAATCGTACATACTAGTTTCAAGTATTTTTTTTATCGATACATAGTTCCAATTTTAATGGGAATTGCACATAATATGAGCGAAAATCGAACTGAGACCAAACTAGAACTTATTCGATGTTGATGATTTTCACGTGACTTACTGACGTTGTTGGAGCTCGGCCACACCTAAGCTCTTCGCCAACCCTCTACCTCCCCATTTCCACCTTCGACCTATCCTCTCTAAACCAAACCCCTTGCGTTTTAATAACATCTTTTTTATCTGACACGATTGTTTCTAATTCTTTGATAATTCACCACCCATCATGTCCACCCTTGAGGACCTCGACGACCTTGAGCGCGAGACCAGAGACAAGAAGCAAGACCAGGAAGATGGTGACGACAAGAAGCCTAGTGACAATGAGGATGCGGAAATGGCCGATGCCGACAAGAAGGATGAGGAAGAGGAGCTCCTAGATGAGGAAATCCTGCACTCAAGCACCGCAGATATCGTCAAGCGGCGGCGGATGCTGGAGAACGAGATGCGGATTATGAAGAGCGAATTCCAACGTTTGACACACGAGCAAAGTACAATGAGGGAAAAGGTCAAGGATAATCAAGAAAAGATTGAGAACAACAGGTAAGGTCCCACCAGGGACTCCGGGACGGCTCTGGACGAGATGACAAATGCTTCTTTGGTGCTGACATTTGCGCTACCGTTAGACAACTACCATACCTCGTTGGAAACGTTGTCGAGCTATTGGATCTGGATGTGGAGGCTGAGGCAGCGGAGGAAGGAGCCAACATCGATCTGGATGCCACCCGCGTGGGCAAATCCGCTGTCATCAAGACTTCGACCCGTCAGACTATCTTCCTCCCGCTTATCGGTTTGGTCGATCACGAGAAGCTGAAGCCCGCCGACTTGATCGGTGTCAATAAGGACTCATATCTCATTTTGGATACACTACCCGCCGAATATGACAACCGCGTGAAGGCGATGGAGGTCGACGAGAAGCCAACGGAGAAGTACACGGATATCGGTGGTCTGGACAAGCAGATCGAGGAGATCGTCGAGGCTATCGTATGGCCCATGAAGGAGGCCGAGCGATTCAAGAAGCTCGGCATCAAGGCCCCGAAGGGTACGTCCACTGATCTCTTTTCCATTATTCTTGGTCTTTTCTTTTTGCAAGGGCTAACCATAATCCTTGAATTGCAGGTGCCTTGATGTACGGACCCCCCGGTACCGGTAAGACACTTCTGGCCCGAGCCTGTGCCGCCGAGACAAACGCAACCTTCCTTAAGCTCGCCGGTCCCCAACTGGTACAGATGTTCATCGGAGATGGCGCCAAGCTAGTGCGCGACTGCTTCGCCTTGGCCAAGGAGAAGGCCCCCTCAATCATCTTCATTGACGAGTTGGATGCCGTTGGTACCAAGCGTTTCGACTCCGAAAAGTCCGGTGATCGTGAAGTGCAGCGAACCATGCTTGAGCTTCTGAACCAGCTGGATGGTTTCGCCTCGGACGACCGCATCAAGGTCCTGGCCGCGACTAACCGTGTCGATGTTCTCGACCCGGCCTTGTTGCGTTCCGGCCGTCTGGATCGCAAGATCGAGTTCCCTCTGCCTAACGAGGAAGCCCGTGCCAACATCCTCCAGATTCACTCGCGTAAGATGTCCGTGGAGGACACTGTCAACTGGGCTGAATTGGCCCGGTCCACGGATGAGTTCGGTGGTGCCCAGCTCAAGGCCGTGTGTGTTGAGGCTGGTATGATTGCGCTTCGCAAGGGATTGAGCAAGATCGGCCACGAGAACTACGTTGATGCTATTGCTGAGGTCCAGGCTAAGAAGAAGGATACCAACATGGGTATCTACGTCTAAGGCCTATGTTTCAGAATTGGATCTTTCGTTTTATCATCTTTTATGAATTCTTTTCCCCTCTTCTCGTCTCGTGTCATGTATGTGTGGTTCAAGGCATGAATAGGCCGGTAATTCGCTATGCATGCGGGTGGTGCCTCTAAACTAAATATCATGATGATTTCAAACATTGAATAGACTTGTGACGACAATCTTACCGTATGTAACAATCTGATTATTGATTGTACTCAGCGCCATCCTATCTGCACAATCTTCTCTCCCGTGCCTTTTCCCTCCCTATCTATCTTTAATTCCATGTCCTTGCTTACGTATGATCGCTCTCCTCCTTATACATGATCTCTCACGCTCATGCATTTGTGTATCCATCCATTCACCCACATATATGAACCCGCTATCCCCTCACAATTGTCATTTCTTAGATTTCCTGTAATTTACCCCATCATCCTTCCGGCCTTATCTGCTGCAAGGACCTCCTTATCCAGAACCATTTCGACTGTTACTCCTGGGAATATCCTTCAAGGTGCCCATTGGAACTACTGCATTCTCAACCCTGTCAAGGCAGATAACACGCACATCTCCACCGTCTGGTATCTATAGTAAGGCCACCAACACCACATACAGCCTTACGATGTTTAAGTCTCAAGTTTAGCGTGATCTCTGTGCCTACGACTGTTATACAGTAAACTATTTTTAATGTTTATGTCGATGACTCGGAAAGTCTTAAAGTTATTAAGGGCTACCGATCAATCCTGATATATATGCAAATATCTTCATGTCAAAACCCTAGCTGAAACGAACAAAATGCAATGGTGAAGACCATATAAACACCCCCAAACATCACACCATCATTTCAAAAACAAAATATAGAAGGATAAAAAAAAGCTAGGAACATTTGAAGTCCTCGCGGTAGAAATGCTTAGTTCTTACCGGCATCCTTAAGCGTAACAATACGGTTCAAAACAACCTGATCATCAGTCGACTCCCGATCAACAGCATAATAAGCAGATCTGATACCCTGGAAACGAATAGAGTGCTTATTATTCTCAACGTCATCCTCAGCCGCATCCTTAGGCCACGGCGCAGACTTGCTAATATCCTTAAAGCCAGTCTCAATCATAGCGCCGTGGTAAATCTGCTCCGAGTCGGGATCAATATCGGCCAAGAAACCGTTCGGGTGAGCAGAGGGATCCTCCGACTTGAAGAGCGGGTTGAAAGCGCGGACCTCAGCGCGGATGGGGCTGTTATGCGCAGGGGACTCAGCGACCCAGTGGATGAAGGTCTTGGGGCGGGGCGCGGTCTCGCCCTCAGCGGGCTTTTCGTACTTGGCATGAACGACGGTGACGAGGCCGTTGGCGTCCTTTTCGAATGTGGTGGCTGTGATGGGGAAGGGGACCTTCAGGAGACCGATGGTCTTGCCGGGGGCCAGACGGAAGTAGTCGGGTGTGTCGACCTCGCGGAAGTCGGAGCGCTCGATGTAGACGGTCTTGGTGAAGGGGACGTCGTGGGTGCCGAAGGCGGGGTCCTTGGAGAAGGGCACGTCGCACATCTCCAGGTGGTCGTCGGGGAGGTCGTCGATGATGACCTTCAGCGGCTCGAGGACGACCATCAGGCGGGGGACGGTGGTTTCGAGGTACTGGCGGACGCTCTGGTCGAAGCGGTGCATCTGGACATTTGTGACGGCCTTTGTGACGCCGATTTCGTTGACGAAGTTCAGGATGGCGCCGGGGGGAACTCCGCGGCGGCGCAGGGCGATGAGGGTGTAGAGGCGAGGATCATCCCAGTCACGGACGTGGCCCTCCTTTACGAGCTGGATGATCTTGCGCTTGGAGAGGACGGTTCCGGTGATGTTGAGACGGCCGTATTCGCGCTGCATGGGACGGTAGACGTCGAGCTTGTCGTTGAGCCATTCGTAGGAGACACGGGAGAGCTCGAACTCTGTTGTGCACAGGGAGTGAGTGATGCCCTCGATACTGTCGCACAGGCAGTGGGCGAAATCGTAGGTCGGGAAGCACTTCAGTCCCTTGGCATGGTGGTGCTCCTTGTCGCTCTCGGGAATGCGCCATGCGAACAGATCCCACATCTGTGGGTTAGGGTCCTCCAGATCCTGCTTCATGCGCAGAGCAGCCTCTCCGGCCTTGTACTTGCCATCACGCATCGCACGGAACTCAGTGAGAGACTCCTCAATGGGGCGCGTGCGATGGCTACAGGCATAGCGCTGACCACCACGCTGACCGTCCTCTCCCTCACCACGCTGAGCCTTGACCTCAGCCTTGGTGCAGTGGCAGACATAAGCGCCATCACGCTTGATCAGCTCCTCAGCAAGTTCGTAAAGACGCTCAAAGTTGTCACTGGCATTTGTCTCCCGCACGGGCTTGAAGCCAAGCCAGGAGACAATGTCGCGGATAGCATTGTAGTATCGTTCCTCCTCGCCGGCGGGGTTTGTGTCGTCGAAACGGAGGATGCACTCACCTCCGTGGTGGCGCGCGAAGCCAAAGTTTACGGCAATGGCCTTGCTGTGTCCGATGTGAAGGAAACCGTTGGGCTCGGGCGGGAAACGGGTGCGGATCTTGGGATGGGTCTCGGAGAGAGGTCTCTCCTGGTAGACGTCGGAGAGGAATCCGGACTTGAAGATGGATTCGGGGTCGCGGGGAGCAGCGGGCTCCTTTGCTGCCTTCTGTGGCTTGGACTGCTTCTCCTTGGTGGGCTTGGGGCCCTGCTCTTTCTTCAATTTCTTCTCTCTCTCTCTTTGCTCCTTCTTGAGCTGCTTCTTAGAAGGACCGGCGGGGGCGGCGGGGTCAGCAGGAGTGGCGGGAGTAGCCTCCTGAGCGGCCACCTTGGGCCGCTCTGGCAAGTCAACAGGCTTTGCCGGATCCATTCTTGAAGTTATGAGTTCTCAATGGCGGGGGAGATAATTTTTATGGAGGGGCTGCGATGCTTTCTTATCAGTCCCCATTCGCTTATCGGGCCGATTAAACCCCGGATGAGTCATATAGTATACTTCAAAGATAAACATTGAATGCAGGTGTTTTTATTTGCACGATTGACTGATCATATGATATGTAATAAAAACTAAAGTATCAAGGAGTGTCAGAAGATGACATGTTACACTAGTTGGTAAGATACAGGTCAAATTTCGACATTGGTTTGAGTCATGGAAAAAGGTATTGTATATTACCAATAATGTACATGTAGAGAGAATGTAAATACAGTGATGGTACAAAATGTACAAAGGAGAAAAATAAGGGAACACAAGATGCTCCTCAAGACCAAAGTGCCGTACAATATTGCCAATCTAAATGCGAGTCGATAGACTGAGACCAGACGACAAGACTCACGGCACCAAGGAGCACGAGGGAATAAGAAAGAAAAGGCCAACATCATAGTACATGAACAGTCCAGTCGCCGATCATGCTCATTAAAACCAGAGAAACGCCAGATGCCACTAAGCCTGACGGGTAGTATGTGCCATGCAAAAAGAGGGAATGAGAGAAAGAGAGAGACAGAGAGGGAAAAAAAATGCAACAGCACCATAACAAAGAAATAAAAATGCGGGGTATAGGGCGTGTGAATCGAGATAGAAGACAAAGAGAGGATTGAGGTATGTTTAAAAGAGTTGGTGGATATTGACGAGCTCGGAATTTCCCGGGCGATCGCGTTCCATATGAAACCACCAATCCCGGCCCATTTTATGATTCCAGGATCCAGTGCAAGAATCCTTCTCCCAAGGAAGGGCAGAGTTGGATCCGATGCTCATGGTGGTGACAGGAGTAGTAGGGGTTGCCGGGGTGCCTGTCGATCGCCCACTTAAGCTACCCCATCCAAATCGCGAGGTAGTTGTTGAAGATGGAGAGGCTATATCTTCGATCACTGGCAAAGAGACCGTACTGCGGCTATCAAAACAATGGACACCCATCCCGGCAGCGTATGATAATGACTGATTGGATGCAAGCAATTGCTTCCATCCGATTAAACCACCATCTGATTCCTGACCAGTAATATCGGGACGCAGGAGGAATCGTGGAATAGACGCATTGGTCAGGGGGTCTCTGAGACCTATACGGCCCATGTAAGCCGGCATTCGAAATTCGTATACTGTTCTTGGCCCCTTATGCTCGTCGTCGAGGTCAGGAGATCGGTTTTTATATCGCTCGGCGGCAGCCCATATGCCATAGTCATCCATTTCTTGTTCGGGCTCATCTTCGAATGATGCTGCAAGGGCATTGTCGGGCAGAAAGTCATCGGAAAAATCTTGGATCAATACGGGAAGGCCGGCTTCCGGGTCTTTGATAGCCATATCGATGAAAGTTTGTGCACGAATTCGCGAACTGGTCAGGTTATTCCCGGAGGGTAAGGCGAGTGGCCGAGTATTGACCGAGCCGTGGGAGCTGCGAGGCAAGCTGTATCGGTCGGGTCGTAACAGAGCTTGGCCTTTAGTGATGGGTCGGCAAACGGCTTGTAAAGCACCGGGAGGTTCCACGTCGTTCGGCGCACGAAGGGTTTCGAGTTCTGGGAATCCGGCGGAGAGAATGCTTTGGGCGAGATGAGAATTGGGGGTGTCGGAATTTTTCTTGGGGTTCTGGAAAGGGAGACAGTCGAGTTGGGTGAGGGCTGTGCCGGGATCTGGACAAGCTACATCCCAGTGTAGGTATTTCAGGGTCGAAGAAGCCAAGATGGGCTGGAAAACCATTCCTTCATCAGGCATAATAGGACATTTGGCGGTTTGTACAAATTTGAAGCGTTCGAGTTGGCGAAGCGAGGAGAGAATCTTGGAGATGACAAGTAGAGACTCAATGTTCTGCTCCACCAGGACAAACGACTTGAGAGAGAGGGATTCCTGACGAGAGGTATATTGGGTCAGACCACCCTCTGTGACCCCAGGTAGGTTCTCCAATCTCAAGGATTCTAGCGCAGGCAGGCACAATAAAGTACTATCGGCAAAAGCATCCTCATTAAAAGAAGAGATGCATAGGTTCTTCAAAGAAGGGAGAAGATCAATCATGCGCAAAAAGAGACTGGGTTCTAGTGCCCCGTTCCCATTCAATCCATACAGCATCAATGTTTCCAGAGTCGTCCATGAGACATGGTAATCCAAGAACTCGAACATTTGGCAGGGGCCCAGGCTGCCCGGGCAGGAGTCACCCCGCGGTGACATTTCAGTCACTTCAGCTGCCTCCCCCAGAACCCAGGTATGCTCTTTCAACTTCTTGCGTGTGGATAAAGCGTGTGTCAATCGGTCAAACTCATGGTGATAAGGAATTGTCAGGCCAAGTAATCGCTCCAGGTTCGGACAAACCATAACAACGGAGGCAATCAGATCGCGATACTCTTGCCACTGTGCGCTTTGTTTTGTAGTCGTGAAGAGCAAGTCCATCTGGGGAACGCGTAACTCGCGGACTTGATTTGCTAGTGACTTTCGCTCTCGCAAGGTGCGTCTCAACAGCTTTAAGCGACTGCCTCTTTTCAGACGATATTTCTTCAATTGGGCGGGTGAGTCGTTGCCAACAATGTGTATTTGCGTATATCTAAAGTTGAATAAATTCCATATTAGTATCTTGAACTTTCAAGGGTGTTTGTTCTAGCTTACAGTCGTGCGCGAACTACCTTCTCCCATGACCTACAGGTCAAGGATAAGGCGTGAAGGTCGCGTTGAAAGCATGTTGTGCAGCCCGTCTGGTGAGAGGCCTTGTGGAAGTTTTCGAGGTTATCGATGATGGCATCGTATACCTCGTGGGGTACTCGTCGTTGAACGGGCTCGATGCTCTTGGGGATTGACCCCACTGAATCGCATTGGCGAGATGAGGGAGTTGGAGATGTGGGCGGGTTGGAGGTTGGCGCGGTCGAGGCGGTATAGTTAGATCTGTAGGAGGAAATGGAGGAGGTTCGCGATGGGACCGGCTGAACGGTCACTGTCCAATCCTTGCCATCGTCATGCGGGATATTGTAGGGCACAGCAGGGCTATCCGGTCTACTGGCTACGACACTCATTCTGAATTGAGTCGCCTGGCATCGGAAGCGTCAAGAGCGCGCAAATAGAGCCGACAAAGAATTCCAATGGACGAACAAATGGGACAGAAGAATAAGGTGTTCGGAGAACGGGAGGCGGGGGAGGGAAAGACAGCGTAGGAATGTAGGGAGGTTTCACGACCCACGGATGGACGGGAGAGTGTCGTAATACGGAGAAAGATCGACAGGAATTCCAGGTGAGGTCACTGAAAGGGTGTATAAACAAATAACACGTCAAGATGGATATGGAGGTCGGAGGTGTTGTTTTTGCAATCTCTTTACCAGAGGATGTATCAGTGAAGTGAGAAGGGGATATCAAAATGCGTGACTTCCGCTCGTACTCTCTCTCATTGCTGATTTGCTTAGAGGGTCCGGAAAAAGCATTGGTCGATCAACCCCCACATCATGTTCTGCTCGTGCTAAGCGGAGAACTGACAGGGGCCGGTTCAGGGGTTGGACTAACCCATCACATCCACGCCCTAAGCCCGAACCGTGTAGGATCCTCTTAAGTCTTGACTCTTGACAAAGAAGTTTGGGATTTGGTTCTTCATACTTCATTTCAATCTTACAGTCTCCCTTACCTAGACCATGCCACGCGTTCTCATAGAACTATCCAGGTTATTTCTTGATTTCTATGCATATGAGTTGACCTGTCAGGCTAATATTTCCGAACAAAACAGAAAAAGACCTTCAAATCCTTTTCAGGAACGCGGTTCGTGAACTTCAGCCCTAGTCTCGAAAAGGCATAGTCTAGAGGGGTCAGTGGGTCACTTGCCCCTTTTTCTCTTTTTTTCTTCTTTTTTTTCGTCTCTTTTTCGTTCTTTTTTGGCGAATTTCTCACCTTCAATGCCACTAATGCACCTACTCTTGTCAGGTAAGAACCCCCCGGGAAAATACTCATTGCATTTGTACTTCAAACTGCACTAGCTTTGTTTCAAAGACGAGAAGAGATGAGGAAGGACTTTTCGAGTTTACACTCTGCATGATTATACCAATAATAGTCACAAAACCCTCCCTTCTATTCCAAAGCGCCAGAGAGAAAAAAAAGCGCTCGTTTAAAAGTAGAGAATCGGTGGCGTAGAGACTAGTCCGAGGGTGAAGTCAAAACAAGGCAAGATTCTCCATAGAATGCATACAGAACCCACGTTTATTTTTATTTTTAATTCATAATGCTTTCTAATATTAATTAATACGTACACTGTTTCGCCCCTTAACTCCGAAGTCGCCACGGACTGCAAAACATGCTTCGCTCTAACTACTAGTAGCGACCAATTTAATGGAAACAAGCATAATATCAATAAAAGAACTATTAGACTTTCCCAAGCAATGACGATCTGCACTGATGGATTTAATTCCCAGCTAATCAAGAGGGCCTCGTAAAGGGTTTGGAAATCTGCTATGTTTACTCCCTAAAGAACATTGAAACAAGAGGTTTTGTATGAAAATAAATCCAAAAAAAACCCCTCTCGGATGTCACGGCTTGAAGAGAAAAAAAAAAGAAAAAAAAAGCTCGGCATAATTCACTCGGCATGGAACAACGGAGTAAGCCAATGGTAATACATGGGCGACGCCTCCAATCGAAACCCGATCTGGTGGGGAAAAACGAACCCCGTCGTCCTGGCCTAATGACCAATCGCTCCTTACGATCTGACTCTCGCGGCTCCTAGATCGCGTGCTGCTCCATCACACATGAGCAGCTGAACGCGATTTGGAATTTCGAGGGTTCCACCCCATGTGTTTTATCGTATACTACATGATTCATGGGCGTACTCGGGTCCTCATCCACAGGTCTCCATCTGCCACGAGGTGCGGCTGACGATCGTGTTCAACTTACTCGGTACAGCCTAAGGAGTTCCCATTTCCGAAATCAGGAATCGGGTCCACTTGTCTTATCTTGAGATGTTTTGGGCGAATGCAAGACACGGGAAAAGGTGCTTGTTTTTTGGCTTGTCTTGAATATTCAGATGAAATATACATGCAACAATGCATGTCATATCATATCCACATCCAGAAATAGAGAATTATCTGACCAATGATGCATGTTGTTGACTCTATCTGATTTCTGAATTTCCAGATCTAACTCAAACCGCCAAATCTCCATGACAACATCAGCGCTATCTCGAAATACTGGTTTCATGGTCCTTATCTATGAAACGAGGACGTGGCTTGATAGCATGCGTGTGCTATCTAGTCATGAAATTCACCATACTTGAAATATCTACCAGCACTTGAGAAATTGAGTGTCTTTTTTTCAAGGGGATGTGTGGTATTACTTGCTTAGGTAGTGTATACTACGGAGCACGTACATACTATGTACTTTGTGCAGGCTTATACTACGCCAAAATTAAGAATAAGCCACATCATGCATAGCAATATACATAGACGCAAGTTAAATCACTTTGTCGCACAACGGTGACCCACTCAACCTCAAGTCTTGAAAGCTTTGCATGAACCAAGCAGGTATTTTTTGCCATCATTTATATGTAATTTCTAATTTATGTACTCTTGTAGCAAATGTTGCAATCAAGCAAACCTTTGATTGATAGGACAAGCCCCTTTCTGAGCCATCTCTACTTCAAATACTATGTACATTTCTCTCTATCCGAGCCATTCATATGCTCCAGTTTTATTAAATATGAGCCTCGGGATCCTCAAGCAACCGAGATGCCTCCCCAGTATGTGTATCATACACAAATCCATGTAATTGCAAGCCACCCGACTTCGCAGCATCAACAACCTCGGGGAACTGACGCAAAGAGCGCAACTGATCCAGAACATTCAATTTAACAAACGCGCGATCCGATTCGGCTTCCGGTAGTCGATCAATGGTGTCTTTATGCGTGGAATGCAGAGAATCAAGCTTGCTATTGTACAAGAAACCCGTCAGTTTCGCCGCCCAATATGTATAACCTGGTCGGAAAAATGCACGACAATAATTTCTTACCTTTGCCATGGTCCCTGCAGTCCATTTCTTGATGCAGCCTTTACTATTTGACATCCATAATGTCCACAGACAACTATATGGCGCACCTGCAAACAATTTTGTTAACTTCTCGGGCTCCGGATAGTGGTTTTCCTTCAATATTTGGGTACTCACCCCAAGAACCGAAACAGCATATTTCACAGCAGTCTCACTGGACAAATCGCCTTCAATAATCATGTTGCCAATATTTCGGTGTACCATCATTTCATCAGGGAGGAGATTGAGAATAGTAGTTTCTTGGAACCCGCTATCAGAGCATCCGATCCAGAGAATCTGTTGGGTTGGTTGTTGCAGACTAGGAATGAAATCGGCCTGCAGAGGCGCCGCCTCGAATTTCCCAAACCGAGTGTTTCCCATCATGATCCTCGAGCAAGAAGCAGTGTGAGCCAATCGGGCGCAAGTCAGGTTCGCACGGAAAGAGGGAAGAAGGGATCGTGATGCACGAGCGAGCGGAGATATCATGAAGAGTTCGAATGATCCGTATATTGACAAGCGATGGTTATTTTTTCTTCACCAGAAAAAAAGGCTAGATAGTTGGAGCAGGTTCGGATTTGAAGGTGGAATGAAATAAATCTCGGTCAACGCAAGGGAAAGTGCGGCGCAGAACTTGCCTTTTATAAGGACGTATGCGAACAAGTGGAGCTCATCGAACAGAGCTCCGATTCTCGCTGGGGCTTCTTGTTGTAATAGTTGGACCCTCTTAATATTGAAGTTTTTGATTTGATTGGGCTCTGAATCATGGACTTCTCCGGATCACGAACGGCGATTGCCGATTCAGTGAGTATAACGTACGCTAGAAACCCCGAACTTCAACGGCTCCGAGTATTTGCCGACACTTTCGGCCGAGTCCCACTCTGCCCCCCGATCCCCCCGGATACAGCCCTAAATCGAGATAAGATCCGCTGTAATTATAGCTGCATCGACAACGGCGTGCACCTAATAACTTTATTTGGGCTCTTTGGTTTCATTGTTTTGGGGCAAGAGCTCCGATTTTGACTTCGCGGAATTGGCCCGAGCTTGGAAGAGAGGTTTCAGTACAAGAAAATGGTTGCAGCAGGCAGTTGGAAGAATCAAACGACTAGAATGCATATGCTACTGGCCACCAAATGAATGACAACATCGTTCAAATGATTGAAAGAACTATAGACTGTACGTACTAAATATGCTCCACAATCTCCACAGAAGGCCCGATGGTCTTTTTATCTTCTCCATGATCCTTCTCGTGTGCAGAGAACGGGTCCACAATTGTCGAGCTGAACTCACGTGCCGAAACTCCGCGCGTAAACAGTAAATCCAGCTCGGCATATGTGCGACCCTTCGGCTCAGGCAAACGGAAATAGACCCATACAAGACAAAGCAAACAGGAACCAGTCCAGAAGAACCCCGACTTAGCGCCCCAGTCCCAAGCCGTAGGATTGAGCATGCGCGGCGTAATAATGTTGACAATAACACCGCTCACATTATAAGCGATACGCGCCAAGACGATCGACTTTGCTTTCAGGCGCGTGGAGCTCAACTCCGAAACAAGCGAGTAACAAACCGGCCCGACGCTCGCATCGTAACAAAACGTGTATACCAGCAGCAGACTGCCGATAGCCCACTGTGCTGCCACGTTACCCTTGTGGATGATACCAAGACATCCAATGATGAAACACACGGTCATCTGCGCGCCGAGTCCGTAGGCGTATAGCGTGCGCCGTCCGAACTTGCCCATCAGCGCCCAGGATAGCAGTGTACCAATTGCACCAATGATATACTGCACCATGCTCAGCGTGAACGCATTACTGGCAGCCAGTCCGGCCTGCTCGTAGAAGTAGGTCGAGTACCCCATGAACGCGGACCCGGATATCTGTTGTGCGACCCAGGTCATACACACAATCTCGGTGCGTCGGAGATCGATGCCCGTGAAACAATCAAAGTAGGAAGTTCCCGCGGAAATTTCCTTCTCGAGTTCATTGGTACTGCGTATCATGGCGATTGTCTCGTCGACGTTGAAGTCGGGATCTTGTCCAGTTGTCGTCAGGCGCTTGAGGGCGTGGCGGGCTTCTTCGATTCGTCCCTTTCGGACTAGCCACCATGGAGACTCTGGGGCGAAGGCGACGCCGATCATGATTGGGACGGGCCACATCCATTGTAGTGCGAATGGAATCTTGTAGCCCAAAGTATCCGTGCGGCTCTCCATTGCTTTAAGAACACCCTGCAATCCACGTCAGCATTGAAATCCACATCCATGCACGTGTGATTAATAAAAAACAAGAATTTCTTTTGAACATACCGAGGCAATGACTTGACCAATCACCCAGCAAAGGTTGACATATGTTGTCAGATATGGCCGTAACACAACCGGACACACCTCAGACGCATATGTCGTAGTAATAGTCTGGAAAAGACCCCACGGAATTCCGATAAGTATTTCTCCAATAAGTAAGACAGGTAAAGTTTTCGCAAAGAAGACAATAAACACAAAAGCCACACATGCAACCAAGGACCCTATAATACTCTTCTTATAACCAAAGCGCTCGGCAATAATACCGTTCATAAGTAGACCAATAAGCTCGCCGACCAAGGCGCCATTGGTGAGACCCGACTGCCACGCAGCCGTCACTTGGTACGTCCCATCGGCCAATTTGTCACCAAAATTTTCCTGGAACGGTCCGTATGCAAACAGACTAGCAATCAGCGCATTATCGTAACCTTCCATAATAAGCGCCGAGGAAAACAGAATTGACCAGCCCACGGCGTGTGGGTATGTACGTATACCCTGCCAAAGGCCCATCTTGTGCTCTGTCTCCGTAGCCCGATTAGCCTCGGCGGCCATTGTGGCCACCGGGACAGATGGAGGGGTCTTCTCTGCATCGTGCTCCGGAGAAACGGCCGACATGGTTGAATCGCGATAGTGGTATGAAGTCTGTCAAGTGGAAAATAGACCAGACTGCGCTGCTGTTATCTGCTGGCAACTTGGGCCTCTGCATGAGCAGATATCACGCCTTTTATGTCTGCCTAAGACACAATTTCCCCCTAGTTCCAAATCATGTGGCACTAGTCTGCTTGCGTATGCTATACAAGCAAGTACCCCGGATTTTCCTTGGATCGGGTCGGGCAATCCTGGGGCAGTCCGGGGGTAGTGTCAGGCCATGATCATGTCGGGTCGAGATTGAACGAATCAGCGTCTGAATATGACCCAAGCGAAAAATAAGATCTGAAAACGATATCTTCAAGGAGAAACGAAATACCCCATGGGGAATCCTGTTTCCCCATGGAGAAATTGAATGAAGCCAGATACAATGAAAAAAACCATTTTGTGGCTTATCGGGAATGTAAACAAAGGGACTAGCATCAAGCAAATCTCGGCCCGACAATGCACCAATCACAGCTCATCACTCTGCATCTACCATGCATGTCAAGTTCGCACGGGGACTGGAGGGGTAAAGCATGTCGGACCGACAAAAGGCCAATAAATCGATCGCTGCGAATGAAGAGAACAAGATAAAAGCAGGGGAAATACTCAAGGACCAAGAGAAAATCATAAACCAAATTGTTTTTCTACTTGGCCTTTCATACACACTAAAAACTTTACTTCCTTCAAGGATCGCAACAACCTATCGGCTATTTTACACCAAATCCAATATACTTTAACTTTTCCTTCCCTTGCCATGTCTCCGCAAACGCCCTGGTGGAAAAACGCCACCATTTACCAAATCTACCCTGCCAGTTACAAGGATTCCAACGGAGATGGCATCGGTGATTTGCCAGGCATCCTGGGTCAGCTGGACTACATCCAGTCACTGGGCGTCGATGCGATCTGGATATGCCCTATGTATAAGTCACCCCAGATCGATATGGGGTATGACGTGGCGGATTATGAAGACGTACATGGCCCGTACGGGACAGTCGCCGACGTGGAAGCGATCATCGCCGCCTGTCACGAGCGAGGCCTACGCATCCTGCTCGATCTGGTGATAAACCACACATCCGACCAGCACGCCTGGTTCAAGGAGTCAAGGCTCGGCAAGAACAGCCCCAAGCGCGACTGGTACATCTGGCGTCCGGCAAAGTACGGCGCCGATGGCGTGCGCCAACCACCTAATAACTGGCGGAGTATCTTTGGGGGCAGTGCGTGGGAGTGGGACGAGGTATCGGAGGAGTACTATCTACATCTGTTTGCCGTGGAGCAGCCAGATGTGAACTGGGAGAATGCCGAGACTCGCGCGGCGGTCTACGAGTCGGCCATGGAGTTCTGGCTGCGCAAGGGCATTGATGGATTCCGCGTCGACACCGTGAACATGTACAGCAAGGACCAGTCCTACCGCGACGCGCCCATCATCGACCCCAGCCACGAGCACCAGCTCGACGCCTCGCTATTCTGCAATGGGCCCCGGATCCACGAGTTCCTCCGCGAGATGGGCCAGATTCTGCTCAAGTACAACGCCGTCACGGTCGGCGAGCTCCCCTGCACCCCCGAGGTTACCGACGTGCTCAAATACGTATCGGAGAAAGAGCAGCAACTGAGCATGGTCTTCCAGTTCGACATCGTCGACGTGGGAAGAGGCAAAGACTTTCCCTTCCAGACCACTCCCCGGAACTGGACGCTTCCTGATCTCCGCGCGCGAGTCAAGCGTACGCAGGCGCTTATGGACGGCACGACGGACGGGTGGAGCACGACATTCCTTGAGAATCACGATCAGGCTCGGTCGATTTCGCGATGGGGAAGCGAAGACACGCCTGAATTGTGGGCGGCCAGTGCAAAGATGCTTGCCATGCTCGTTGCCAGTCTTTCGGGAACACTGTATGTCTACCAAGGGCAGGAGATTGGCATGGTCAACGCACCTCTCGAATGGGATATTGCGGAATACAAGGACCTCGATAGTCTCAACTATTACAACTACGTCAAGAAAATATCGGGAAATGACCCCGTCGCGTTGGAAGCGACTAAGGTTGCTATCGCTCACCTTGCGCGGGATCATGCACGGTTACCCATGCAATGGGATGGTACACCCAATGCTGGATTCTCGAAAGAAGGCATTGAGACATGGATGCGCGTGCACGATAACTATCCTACATTGAATGTAGAGAAACAAAGCTCCGATCCAAAGTCGGTTCTGTCTTTCTGGCGGAAATTGCTGCAAGTGCGTCGCGCCAATCCGAAGGTTTTTGCGCAAGGAGTTTTTGAAGATACCGATCCAGCACATGGATCTGTGTTTATATTTGAGAAACATTCCGATCATGAGAAGCTTGTGGTGGCCTTGAACTTTTCTGGTGAGAAACAGTCGGTTGACCTTGCTGGACGATTTGGCAGTGGAACTCGAAAGCTCCTGGTTCAGAACTATGATGATGATGTTCTGGACATACTGCAGCCTTATGAAGGCCGTATCTACCTGGTGGAAGCTTAAGAAAACCTTGGAAAGTTAATTGGAGGGTGGGCTGCTAGATACTAGTTTATGTACTGTCATAATTTAGACGCATCGATACTACACACTACATCAATTGTTACCCCTTGGGTAAGGGTGACCATTGAATCGATTTACCTACTACTAGTAGGTACTACCATAATGTGTCTTCAATGTTCTCCTTTTTAGTTTCTTGACATAAGAAACGTAGCATGTATTTCTCAAGTGCTGGTCTTGAAGTTTAGTAATCCATGGATGCCAAACGTGATTGATTTTAAGCTTCGGCCCATGTGCACTGGGCCATGGTCTGCATCAGTTTATGCTTTTCCAGAAACTTCCAGGAACTAGATGTGAAAGTCAATCGATCAACTCCGCACGGTGAAAATATTCTGATTAATATTAGGTATTGATCCTTGAAACCTTTCAAGGTTGCGTGTTCTCAAGTCATACAAGTAACTCCATTTCTTTGATCCCCGGGTACTTGTCCCGAATCATCTCAAATTTCTGAGTCAAAAACTCTGGCCACAGGTTTTGCAGTCCAGCAAAAGAATATACAAACTTCTTGAGAAACATAATATCATGGATGCGCTGCACTGTATCATCACCAGGTGTGTACGGAGTATGAAGCACGACATCAGCTATAGTATTGGCGATTTCAAATAGCTTTTTCAGAATACCAGAGCCATGAATGCCCACCAAATCCCGCGGAATCGTAATGAGGAACTGGCGAAGCTGGTTGGACAGACGCAGCGGGAAAGAGAGAGAAAGTAAGATCGAAGACTCAGGCGATGAGGACAACAATGTATTAGACAAGCCCATTTGCCAAGTCAGCGTACGAAGCCAATGCCTTGTGATAATCAGATCTGCCTGCTGCATCTTCGGTAGCCGGGAGACTTCACAATGCCAATCGATATCCTCAAGCTGGTGCTGTTTCTCTTCGACCCATCCAGCTGTGACTCCAGACCGATCGCCTAGCCAGAAATCAAGAAACTGCCTGTCAATAATGCAAAAGTTCTTGATGCAGTAATTGAATCCTATCTCGACATCTGCAGGAAGTGACGCATCGTGATCTGGCAGTGCGGGTAACGGATCTAAGGATGTCGGTCGATGGTACGTCAACGCCGTAAATCTCTCATGTATAAAGCACTCCCAATACGCCCGCTGCAAGCGAGCACGCTGTGTAGGCTCAATTACAGCCAGCTCATCCTCCGAATGCGCATTCAACATGTACAGCAAGGAAATCGCCTCACGAAGATACATATGGCCTAGTTCCGGACGGCGCAGGGACATGCAGCTCATCTCCGTAAAGACATCCCTGATAACATGCTCAACACCAGGCTGGGACTCGAGGCCGAAAGGAAGGCGCAGCTCTAGCGAGCGGGTGAGTAACATTGCAATACGGTCGCACGTGGCGGGTACATCCTGAACGGGCTCGCTTCTCGCCAAGCCCAGGGTGACCGCTGCGAAGATGTAGGCAAAAGATGCGGCGTCAGTGCTGTCGGCCATATTCAAGATCATGTCATGGATCGTATCGGCTGGAATGACCGGGCTCATCGGGTACACATACTGCTCGTAGTCGCTCAAGAGCTCGAGGAAGAATGTTGGGTTCGGATGCGACGTGATTGACTGGGGGATTTGAGCCGATAAAGCTTGTGGGGGAGGCAGTGAGTTTGAATGGGCTGACTTGGAGATCAAGGTACGGCACTCGGCAATAACAGTTCCCCGCCGTACGGCTTTCTTGCGCGGGCGATCTGGTGGGGTGGTTGTGTAGGTGCATGGCAGGCCGGCATGTGTGCATTGCTGGCAGCGGGCCTGGCCGTTGCATTTGACTTTGCGTCGCTTGCATGGGTCACATGCCTTTGAAGTGCGTCGGTAGTCAGAATCCGGCATATTATGGTGTCTGAAACATGTGGAATCCGGTGCTGAGTCGGGGACTCCGGGGGATGTGCTTCCGATGCCGAGATGTGGGGGCGGGACGGATTATGTGGGGAGTCTAGGTCAACTGGTAACATTTGAAGTATGACATCCTATTTTCAAGTATTCTATTATTCAAATGTTATATTACCCTCTATTCATAGGATCTTTTCTAGATATATTCTTATACCTACTAGATAGTCCACGCTGTTCCTATTCTTACCTAATTGTCAACATCGAACCACGGGTGACATGATATACTTGGCGGACGACGATACTCTCCATCCCAATCACCCCGCAGGTCGCCCCAACAAATAGTCATCACACCATCAAACGGAACGTTTATCCACCCTACATCTTCTAGAGTACACCCTTCAATCGCTTCTCTCTCCTCCTCGAACCTGAAGTCATCTTTGTAAGGGCTGTACTCCTCCCAATCTCCGCGAATAATGCGCACAATCGCCATTGCCTCCCCTTCATCGGCAATAACTGATTCTAACATCTCTTGCGTGACCTGGATACAGTATCTATACCGTTGCGCCCCATACACATCTATTTTAATTCGCTCTGGATCGAATTCAGGGCTCCGTTCCTCCTGTTCGGCAGTCACCACCCACTGCTTGAAATGGTCCCGAATCACTGCCGTCGTGGCGCCATCAAACTTTGTTGGATCGTCAAACACGGTCAGAGCCATGTTATCAAATAAATCAGGACACAGCGACTCCGTGGTATCAGCGACCAGACGGCGCATGAATTCGTCCCACTCTGCATCGCTCTGATAGGTAGAGCGGTAGATAGGAAAACCCCACACACGATAGCCATCTGCAAGACGCCAAATCTCTATTTGGTCTGCCTCCCAAATGTCGCCGCTTCTGGATTCCGTGAGGGGGAATTGGTTTGGTGGGTTTGTGGGTTTTTGTAGAGGATTTGCTGGTGGAGTTGACGAGCAGTATCTTTGTGGGGGGAGGTTCAGATGCCAGTTTTTTTGCTTAGGACTAAGCGTGCGCAATGCGACTAGTGAGGTGGGGGCGAAGTTTTGAAATAGCCGACTGGCAATGCTCCTGCTAGCAAGAGTAAAACTCATTTTGTGCGATGTGAAGAGAATAGATAGCAACTGGCAAGTGGCTCAGGGGCCTGATGTACGGTCTGGAATCTGTTTAATAAACAATGCAAATGGGACAAACTTCAATTTAAAAGCTTATGTATCCTTATCTTATCAGTGTTATCAAAAATCGCCAGTAGGAGTCATTGCTGATTGGCTGACATATTGATCCGATGACTATATGAGAATCCATGACACTTGGTCGATCATGAATGGGATCAATGGGGTGCTATGATTTTGTTAACAATGATCTTGTAAAGCCTGATCATTTCTCCTATGCTGGGTGAGAGAGTTGATGCTTTTCTCTGCTCTCCCCTTAGCTACAAAATCTTACTTCTTCTCCTTCTCTCTTCCTATTCCTTTCCCAACCTCCCACCTCTTTCATGTTTCATCTTCCATCCATGCATCCATCGCTGATATCAACCCATTGTATCTGTCTCCCTTATCGACACCCTTGTCAATACTCAAGAATAATACCTTTGTTTATATTTGTTCTCTCGTCTTTCATCCTTACATTCACTTACTCCTCACTTCTCTGATTACTTTTTCTCCTATCAAGTCTTTTGCAATGCCTGAGTCTTGCCCAAAATACCCGAACAGCTATTCTCACTGATGTCGAGGCCTTGTCTTCAAAACATCTCACATAGGAAGGCCAGAACTGTCAGCATGGCATCTCAGATTACCAACCTCTCAACAGGGTGGTTCGAAAAAATTCGCGTGGGAAAGAAACCAGCTGGAGCAGGAGCTTGGCAGTCTGTACTATACAGCCATCGAAGGAGGTATTACCCTCGATCTTCGAAAATTAGACTTGGCAACCATCACAGAAACAATTCTCACATCATCTTGTTCAAACTTGAAAACACTATACACATGTGCAACATTGTGAAGATGCCGGTAATGTTATTTGAGAAAATATGAAATGATGCTGTTTATTTTAAGCTAACCCCCCCCCCCCCCCCCCGGCCGCTGAAGGCCTACTACAAGGCCTCGAAACCTTGATCCAGTATCTGGGGACAGGTAGCGGCCGCCATGACGTGCCATATCGAGGCGATGGGGATGAGCCAAGGACGAATCTCGGTTTCCGGTACCTTTGCTTTGCTTCTATCTGAACTATGGCCCTGTGCTGATCTGATCTACAATGTCTGAACCTCGTCCCTTCAAGCCATTTAGCTTGACACAGGTCTACGCCCCGCATGGTGACCCCGCCGTGGATATTGTTTTCGTTCATGGCCTCAACGGTCACTCTCATGACTCATGGACCAGTAAGACAACCAACTGTTTCTGGCCCTCTTGACCAAACTACTCCACCAATTTTGGCTCCGGTCTTCCTATTACCCCCGAAACAAGACATCATCACTGAGAGAACCCAACTTATTTACCCGAGTAAATAAGCTTGGAATTGGCCAATTCAGAAGGACTGGCTGGCAAATTATTTTCAATGTCGAAGCGCGAGAAGACACATATGAAACAAAGATAGCAAAGGATTGTGTATGGGCGCGTAAACCACTACCGTTGTCGGGGTTCAAAGGTCCCCCCATCAAAAATCAGCGGGGTAACGGGGTATCTCACACGAGACGGTACGCGCGGCGTTAGAGTCCATGAAACCTTCAAGGGAGATGGTCAACTGGTAGCATCATTGGAATCACCTGACTAAGACCGACTCTAGGGCCATCCAGAGTCCCAGACTCCAGAGACAAAGACGGTTTAGACCCACTTTGGGCCTCTGAGCCAATCAGGTGCTGCAAAAAACACAGGTTCCCAAGTAGTAGAGGGGGAGAATAGAGGGGGAGATTCTGCGCAGAACCTCACCCTTGAAATCTATTCCCTCTTTCCACACCCTTCAACTCTCAAACTCCCACATATTGATGCAAGACCCTGCTATTTCTGTGGCCAGAATGTCTCCAATTAGTTGCCCCTTGGAAGCCCTTCCTCCAGAGATCCGGCGCCATCTCCTCACCATGATGGAATTCAATGGATTAAGAGCCCTCGTCCATGCCTCCCCACTTTATCATGAGCAAAATCTGTTGGACCGTCAATGGCTGCTCGGTCAATGCGTCGACAAGTTACTAGGCAGCGTTAACATCGAGGCCAGCCTGGTTTGTCAATCTAGTACTGCCGGCTTTGCACAAACTCGAACTCGGGAGTCTATCACCCCACTTCTTGAATCATACAAGCATCGTCAAGATCTACCTAGCTTCTCTTTGATCGAAGATAGCCTGCCTCTGGATGATATCATCTGGATCTTGCTCTTTCACACCTCGATTGTCGTGCCTCTAGCCAATCAGTACAGTGCGTGGGCTCTGGACAACCTGGCCAAAGAAACCGAGATCAACGAAGCGAACTCATCCCTGGTCGGTGTTTCTGACTCTTTGAGTCAAAGTGAAGAGACGCGCATAATCCGTGCCCTTTATCGCTTACAGCTGTGGTGCAATCTATTCGGCATCGGACCACATAAAGAGATAGATCAGCCATTTCGTTCCGGGTACAGCAGCATCGATCTTCTTACCATACACGCATCCCACTTTGAGCCTTGGGAAATTGAAGAAATAAACTGTGTCTATCTGTTCTTCGAGACAATATACAGGCAGATCTTTGAACAAATTCGCTGGGATGTGGATGAAAGAAACCCCAAGTTCGATGCAATAAGAAAGGATGGTGATCCAGAAGGCTCATTTAATATCGATTCCCTTGGTTAGTATCAGACTCATATTTCTTTTTAGCCTTTTCGAAAGCTAACATTGTCGCAGAAGATGGCTTGTTGAATGGCATGGTTACGCAGGGCCTCGAGCTCCTTCACACAATCACTTCTCGGGTCACAGATCACGCTGAACTAGTCTTAATCATGCAGGCCAAGCTTTGCCTCCACACAGGGTTGCTTACTGGAGATGACCTTGAGGGGATGGGGGCTGAGGAAAAAAGACGTCGCTGTGCACCTTCAGATCAAGATTTGAAGGAGAGGAGACGAGAACCACTGCCATTTCAGGGTGACCGAGTAGATGGTGCGTATCCTCCGTTTGCATGGACATTCATATGGGAAGGGACCTACAGCAATATAACGGGAGATTGGCTCTGTGATTTTATGGGAGGAAATGGACTGCGGTACTGGGGATATGTGATGTGGGACAAAGAGCGTCTAGAGAGTATGGGCGCAATTGAGGTCTTGGACAGGCAGATAAAAGACGAGTCGTGGTTGGAAGATGGTGATCCACGAACGACCATGGAGTATGCGGTGGGATTTTGAATCTAATCCGCCGGGGAGTAGGAAGACATTAGCTGCATACTTGAACCAAATGTAATCGTTTTGGGGGATACTTTTATATAGGCGGCATACCTCTACAAAAAGCAACCAGCCTCTAGCTGCTTCGTTGGCCTGCTCAAGGGTAATGTCACCGTTAGGATCGGCTTTCACTTCGGGTGGTAGGCCAATGAAAGGGAGGTGAAGGGCGATCGGACATAATGAGAAGCGAAAACAATACTGCTTCCTCCGGGCCGAAAGTTGTAATTTACGTGCTTTTCTGCCGGCTAAAAATACGCAGTAAAATACGGAGTAAAACCACTTGAGCTAACTGGTCGCTGTCGGACACCCTATACATGCAACCCGAAGCAAATCGAATACTCCTGATACATGAAGGCTAGACAAGATGTCTAGAGCCGGTGTCGATGAACGTTTGAAGTTAATACTAGTATGTGGAAGTTTTATTCATTCTGGGTCTCTGCCGGCACTTGATCGGCGAATGTTTACACGGGCCATGCGATCAAGCTTAATAAGTGGGTAGACGCAAGAAATAAAAATGGCAATTCCGGAGCCACGTGAATTTGAAGGCGAAAACCAAGAAAGAGGAAAAGAAAAATATTTTGAGAGCCGAAGGTCGCTTATTTTTGCCGGGCTGGAACGACGGGCGCAGAGGAGGATATTTTATGAATATGCACCCCTATTCAGCGACATTTCTTCCTTATTAACCAGGGAACTGCTTTAACGACCCGACCGGAGGGAGTATTGGCTGATATCAAATTTATGAATCAATGGGGCAAATACTCTCTTATTGATTCTTGACCCCAGGAACCTTGTTTCGAAGCGCGATTTGAGAAATTAGTCCCGGCATATCGTAAGAACAATCCGGGTTCAACAAGGAAATATAGAGCGGTACTAAGAATCAAATGATTGGTATCAAACAGTCAGCCCCTGAGGCTCCGCCCTTGTGAACCACTAAAAGGAGGAGCTGTGGCGGTACGTATCCACTTGGTGGCGATTTGGAAATCGGTGATGCCGCTCTAAACATCTGTTTCCGTATACATAGTAGAAACCTAGTCACCCTCTCAAAACCCTCAACTTCTCTTCTTAAGAAACCCTCTCTTTCATAATATTTATTTTTCCCTTTTTTCCCCCTCCCTTTTTAATTCTTCTCTTTCTTGTCGCAGTCACCGTCAATCCATTTCCTTCAAACTGCGGACATCCCTCGTTCACGGAGAGACTTTGCTCCCTTGTCCACTCTTTTGTTCTACTTTATATGAAAATGCCTTCTCAAGGCCTCTTACTCGCTTCTTTAGCCTTGGTTTTATCCCCCGTGTTGGCGGTAGCAGGAAGTGGCACTACGAAGGGGAGTGGTACTAGCTGTACGGTGAATGCGGTGAATGTTATGACCAATGGTGGATTTGAGCTTGGTTCAACTAGTACCTGGGATGATCTTGCGTTCGGGACCGGCAGTGGTGTCGTGGACGATGCGACCTCCGCGGCCGAAGGCTCATACTACCTGTACAGTTTCTCCATCTAGATCAGATAGTGCAGTCTTGGGAATTGGTGCTGACAAGTTCGATGATATATAGTAAGATAGTAGCCGACGACGCGGACGGTTACACTGCATACGGGCTCGAGAAATATATCTACGATGTGACGCAAGGCGACGAGTATACTATTACATTCGACTACAAGTTCACCCTGAACGATGGTGATACTTGTGACTTGCAGGCCGATTATATCTCAAATGGCGAGCTTGTGTATCTCTTGGATCTTGATTCAATTACCAGCGACGTTGATGAATGGACTACAGTATCGCAGACCATTACTCTACCAGGTAGCTATATGGTTCTTCAAATTATTGGGTCCTGCAATAGTGGCTATCCGGACCTCTACCTTGACGCCGTTTCTGTGACATATGAGGAAGAAGTTTGCACAACGACGACTGTCGCAGTCCCCACTTCAACTCCGGCCGTGGTCGGCTCAAGCTCATCTGTCGCTACACACAAATCGACTCCTGCTGTGCTCAGCTCAAGCTCATCTGCCACCGTGAAAAAATCGACTCCTGCTGTGGTCATTCCGAGCTCATCCGCCTCCGTGCACACTTCCACTGCTCTCGCTGTCAGCTCGAGCTCATCTGTTTCTGTGCACGCGTCGACTCCTCTTGTGGTCAGCTCAAGCTCCTCTGCCAGTGTACACACCTCAACCCCTCTTGTTATCAGCTCAAGCCCATCTGCCGCCGTACACACATCGACTCCTCTTGAAGTCAGCTCAAGCTCCTCTGCCAGTGTACACACTTCAACCCCTCTTGTTATCAGCTCAAGCTCATCTACCGTCAGACCCACATCGACTCCTCTTGTGGCCAGCTTGAGCTCGTCTACTCCTGTAATTGCCCCGACTACATCGGCTGTTTCTCCTGGCTCTGGCTCTGGCTCTGGTCAAAGCACTACCTCAACCATCTGTACTACTCGCACAGCCACTGTCACCGCTTGTCCCTCGAATGTCATCAATTGCCCAGCCTCGCAACGCACGACTTATCTAACTACCGAAACCGTCGTTGTCTCCACCACAATCTGCCCTGTCACCGCTGGCGAGTCTGCCGCTACTGCTACTGCCAAGATTGGAACCGGTCCTGACTCTGGTGAACAAATCACTACAGAGACAATTTTCACTACTCGCGTTTCTACAATTCTCGAGTGCCCATCGACTGTCACTGATTGCCCATTGACTCAGAAGACAACTCACACTACAACCGAAACTCTTGTTGCTGGAACCACGGTCTATCCTGTCACCTCTACCGGACACTCAACCATATCTGCAAGTGCAAGCCCAGCTGGAGCTAGTCAGACTGGCTCCCTTACTACGGAGACCATTTATGCCACTAGCGTGTCAACCATCTATGAATGCCCTTCCTCGGTCACTGATTGCCCATTAAGATCCAAGACTGCCCACGCTACCACTACTACGGTCGCCGTTGGAACTACGGTTTACTCAGCTGGGGTCAATGCTGCTAGCACTGAGAGTACTATTACTAGCCAGGCTGGCTCCCTCACCACAGAGACAATCTACGCCACTAGCGTGTCAACCATCTATGAGTGCCCTTCATCAGTTACTGACTGCCCACTAAGATCCAAGACTGCCCATGCTACCACTACAACTGTAGCCGTTGGCACTACAGTGTATATAAATGGGGAATCTGCTATTGCCAGCTCTACCGCCCAAGAACATTCTGGCTCAGTCCCAACCTCCAGTGCTTCCTCTGGCTCTTCCATTGGAGATTCGGACTCTTCTTCCAGCAGCTCTATCCCCGCGTCCGGGTCGACTTTGTCAAACTCTGGAGCTGAATCCGAGTCTGCCACGACCGGTGAAAACACAATCAAAACGGGCTCGACCTTTGTATCAGGCTCTAGCTCAACCTCCAGCTCATCTTCTGGTTCTGATTCAGAGGATATTTCTCTTTCAAGTGCATCTTCTGAGGGGTCCATTGATACAGTTGTTGAAACCGTTAAATCGGGCGTCTCCGTTGAAGTTGCATCCACTGCCGTCACTACTAAAGCTATCGGCTTCAGCACATTCACTTCTTCTGCTTCGTCTATGTCACCGGCTCCTTCTGCTCCATTGAAGTCGAGCCCCAAGATCGCAACCATCGCCAGTCCTACTTACGCCCCTGCTTCCTCGTCGGTCGTTGTTAGTAGCTCTACCTCATCATCTTCGACTTTGAGCTCTAGCAGTGCTATCTACACTGGTGCCTCGGTTTCACAGATGAGCACTCTGTCTAAGGGTCTAAGCCTGCTGTGTGGACTCGTCGCAGGTTTGCAATTTACTCTCTGAGCAACAGATTTTTCTTCATTTCGCCTTCAATACTTGTATTATACTTGACTTTGACAGATATTAATAAACCAAATGTATATAAGATTGTCATCGTCGTTTTGCCTGTCTTTAACAAAATTGGCGATAACGTCTTGGGTTGCAGGACAAGCGCTGGAGAAGAGTTGATGAAGTTGGTGACATGTATCAAGACCAATCGCACCGGCAAGACGAGCCGCGGATCCATCGAGATCCCTCATTGACTCTGCCGTGAAGTTGATGCTATGGTAGCCTTCGAGTGAATTTCGGCGACTGATCTTTCCGGCACCATGCGGTGCCCGGTTGGCTGTCATTGGAACTGTTGGTGAAGGGTTGTCCTCGGGAGAGATGTTCAGGAAAGATGCCTAAACAATGTGTAAGCTAAAAATACCAGCAAAGAGGAATATACTGACGGGCATCACAAACGACTTGTGTGAATAAGCAGCGTTGAGCTGCTCAGAGCGTAAATTCTGACAGCCGTCAAACTTTGATGAGATACCTGTGTGTATGACGGGATGAAAGGTATTCAAAAGTTGGGGTAAAACAGAAAGAAAGTTTACGGAGACAGAGAAACCTCTATTTATAGTTAAAATTTTTTGGCCAAAACTATCCTGTCTGCAGATTCTCCTATTGAATTAAAGACTATAGAAGTGGTAGGGAGAGGCACGATATAGGTGGAATGTGTGAATGTAGATCTTATACTGCGAGAGCCGCACTTCTCCACCCGGGAGCGGGGCGTACTATTAGTACTGCTTGGCCTATTAGTCATATTTTGTGACGGCTGTTAGAGTAATTACTATTGTATAACGGAGCAAGTTAAAAAAAAGGATTGGAAGGGTCTTTATAAGATTTGAATGCAGGCTGAATATCACGCTAGTCTGCTTTGACTGCTCCGGACCCTTGTAACAAAAGCGAATATTTGAAAAAGCCATAACAAGCAAATAAAAAAAAGAAGTATCGGATGCTGAAGACTATTCAATGTGGGAAGAGGGCTGGTATAGATCAACATGGACTTTCCCTCTGATCTGTCTTTCTATTCCAGCCCATTTAGACTCAGATATAAAGGCCCATTGGATGGCCTTGAGTTTTTGCTGGCCAATCTGTGTCTTCAAAACACGGTCCTCGTTGATCTCTCTATCAATATTCTCAAATGCAATTTCATTAAGCCTGCTCTGGGCCCCGGTCATAATATGGCCTTTGAGGAGATCCTGGTGGTTCAACCAGTCAAGATTGGAGGGTGTTCTCTCGCCCCGCTGATTATGCCAGACAAATTCTTTCCAATCGTGTGAAAACCAGATCTCAGTAGAGTTAAGACTCTCCAGGTATGCTCTTGGGATCTTTATTGTGATAATCCCGGTTAGGGAGTCTGGGTTTAACCCGTAGAGCAAATTGCCGGTACTGTTCAGCTGTTTGGCGGTTTGGAGATACATAAATAGCATTCGAATCAATCCATTCTCAAGTCCCTTCTCAAGTCTCTTCTCAAGTCTATTCTCTCAAGTCTGTTCTCAAGTCTATTCTCAAGTCTATTCTAAAAGTGACCCGTATTTAGATCAAATCCCTTAAGATATTCCTGTATGTGATAAATATAATACGGGCGGGGAACAGGGCGGTAAAGTTAGAAATTGAAATTGGGTTATGGCAGTAGGGTGGCGGTTATCGGCCCCCGTAGTTGCGGAGGGAGTAAGAGCAAGTTACGCTATTATTTAGACTACAATTCAATCATTGATTCCAAGTTAATGTAAGGCCTGCTTAAAACATACTAGTACTTTTTACTATGTAAATCGGAATATAAAATAGGATTAAGCGAGCGCGTAGTGATCTGAGCGGACTTAGAGGAATATAACAAATATGAATTTGGAATTACGCGTAATTTACTTTCTGCCGGTTTGAAAGTTGAGATTCAAATGTTGAGTTATGGCACAGGGGTGGCGGGTATCGGCCGCCGCATTACAGTCTAAATGGCTCCATATGACTTGGGAGAAAAGCCCCAATGTTTCATGTTAAAACGAAGGGCCCCTTCATGCAATATATCGGCGAAGGCAAGCTACATAGCTAATTATATGTATTTATGTCTAATCCCCATTGACTAGGAGAAGACGCAACTTTCTTTGAATGTTATACTGACTAGCGGGATTCTCACCTGAGCTAAGGCTTATTCAAATGTTTCACAGTTGCCCTCCGAAAACCATATGTATCTACTCACTAATAGTTTTTCTAGGCCTGCACTATATGAACTTTCTCAATAGTTTATCCAGTACATACGACCATAGGGTGTGGAGAACAGGGCTTCCCGTCCGCTCAGCCGTACTTAAGCCACACGCCGGTCAGTTAGTAGTATGGTGGGTGACCACATGCGAATCCTGACTGTTGTATGTTTTTTGTTTTTTTTACTGTCAGGATCAGACATCTGGAGACTGAGCAATAGTTAGTAGTTGATCTTCCTTCGAGTTCGAGGTACTAATTCGGCCGATGATTTAGTTAGAATATTTGAAAATTTGAATGTCAAAATATAGATTTTTGAAGCTCATCTCACTGCACATGTGAGGTTGTTTTTTCTATATAATTTTGACGCATGAATTCAATGTTCATAGCCTTGCCATATTTACCCGATGTTCTGACGCCCTCACCGGATTGTTGGATAATGACCGTTCTCTTGAATGCCTACCCGTCGTATCAAAGTTGACATCAAGATCTTTGTTGAGCTCCGTGGACTTTTCCAGATTGACTGAATTTAGCATCTTGTCAAGAAATCTTGTAAGCTAGAATTTAAACGGCATTTGTTAATGAAAAATCTTAGATCAACATGAAGGGATGTGGGTCTGCGTACCGGTTTCAAAAACCACCGTCCACCATCTGCTTCGAACCAACCCAAGTGGCCTCCACCAGGTGTCATACATAGAACTCCGAAGGGGCTTCGAGCAAATTCCGCGAATGGAATTCCATGTTTAGGTGAAATCTGAACGAATTCAGTTAGTCCATAACATGTATATCAAAGCCGTCTCCGTGGACTTTTTTTACCGGATCATCTTCTGCCTGGATTGCCAAAAATGGGATCCGGATAGCAAGCATTGCATCGGCGCAGGAGGCATCTCGATAGTAGGCATCTTCTGTCAAGTAGCCCCATGTGGGACACTGGATCATACTGGACTCATACATGGATCAGCTGCGCGTTCCCCAATAAGCTCTTAAGGTTGCCACTCACCGGTCGAAATCTTGAACATATTTTATTTTTCGAATAGAATCTCGGTCAATTGTGGGTATTGCCGTTATCATATCAATATGTCTTTGAAGTAAGTCAGCCTTCTGTCTTTGCATCTCGGCTTCAAAGTCACCAGATGGGTGAAGTACCGTTCGACGATATCTCTCATGTTACGGCCCAGTATTTTCGAATAAATCTCTTTCCCGATCCAGGATTGTCGAAGGGCATGCGATGCGACTTCCAGCTTCCACGGGTTGGACACCATAATAGCGGCTTTGAGTGCGCAATCTCTACCTTCTTCTCCTAGATACTGCCCCACCGCCACGTGACAGTCAGCATCGTCACTTCGCACCATAATACAATATAATCTACAGGGAATTCCCTTTTCGGGAGAGAGAAACACATACATGAGTCAAAACATTTGCTCCAATCGAGAAGCCAATTCCGAAAAGCGGCCTATTCGGAAACTTGTCCTTCAGCCAATCTACGACCTGCCGAAAGTCCCAGGTGGATCGTCCATTATAAAGAAAGCCACTCGTTAGTTTGGAGTTGGCGCACCCTCTGGAGTTAACAACGCAAGCCGCCCAGCCCCCCTCCTGTGCTACTACTGCAGCAAGAACATCCTGTATGTACGGCTCGTTGGACCCCCCGGACATTCCATGGAGCACAAGAAGGATTGGTCTGGAATCGTCTGCTGATAAGAACTTCACATCCTCTTCAGCCTCGAAGAGCTCTGTACGAGGCGGCAGATCTTCAGTGTTGTTGGTTTCGGAGTGACCTCCAGTATCAACATAGGGAGGGACCACGAAATCGACAGAGAATTGGCCTTCGTAAGAAGAATGATTCGAGTCAAATATTTTCCGTTTGTAGTAGACTGGTGTGTAACATGCCGCTTTTTGAGTCCAGGCGGTTTGTAGGTGACCATTGAAAAGCAAGGGACTTAATGAGCATAATGGTGGGGTACATTCTTTACACAGCTCGGCTAAAGATATTGGGGTGTCTTCGTTCTTCTGCACGAGCTGATATGAGGTGGAAGAGTGGTAAAACGATACTTTCCGTGAGCGAGAGATATAAGAAAGAGGGTTCATGTTGAGAAAAACACGGCTTTTACCTTCACCGGCATTTGGATGGCGACTAAATTTTATTAGAGGGTCCTGGGGTATTAAAGAGCCCTGGGTGGAGTAAAAACGGTATTTGATTCTCACCGCTAGTGCTAGTACATACATCCCAACGCTACAGAACACACGGCACATGGTGGCTTTTTTACGGGTCTTGTGTGTTCTAACTTCTGATACTAGAGCACTGATTCAGCTTCCAGCTTCCTACTACGCGGGACCTGGCGGTTTTTTTGTGGGTCGTGGGGAGTTCTCACCTTTTCGATTGGTTGTTTGTTTAGGGAATGGAGTTCTGTGGCTGATTGGTCAGTCGGTTTTGGTTTCCGAATTTTTGAGTTCTTCTGGTACTAGTACGGATATACGGAGTACGCGGCATGTGGTGGCTTGACTGAGGGTCTTGTTGGGAGAATTGATAAGATTTGAAGTTAAGGGAGTAAAAAAAGAGAAACGCCGCACGACGCTAGTACATTACCCGGCAACCGATATTACAAACGACAAAAGCTTTGCAATACCACGTGCAGTGCGTATTTAATCAACGACGAGTAGATATAATTTAGATCATAGACTGCGTACCCGTTTTGCATGGTATAAAATACCCAAGTACACAAAATATGCATGATCGCATTTCTGGCACGACTTCAAATGAAGATGTGAGCAGAAGAAAGCGAGACTTCTCATCTGGCCAATGCAGAAAAATAAAAGTGGAAGTAAGGGGATTCGAATGTGGGACCGCAAATGCTGGTTGCCAATCTGATAAGTGAGGGCTATGCCGCAAGGCAGAAACCTCGTAACTGACCAATAAAATGCCCGGAGACCACTCCATTGAGAATGTGAAGCTTTTGATACCAAAGTTGAGATAGATTTTGGTGTTTAGTGGTTAGGGACGGTGACTTTGGTGCCTTTGGCAATTCACTGCCCAAAGCGGTTAGACCAACTGTGGCCCGAGAATTCTCCCGAACATTGAAGCCTTGGCTCCTCACCGCTTTTGCTCTGTAGAATTAAGGCACGGATTACAGCTTACTAATTCCGTACACCTGCGGCCTGCCTCAAAATCGATTCAGGCTGGCCTATCATCACTAGGGCAACAAACGGTTTCCAAAGGATGCAAGTCCGGTATTCGATTCCAATCCATTCTAATATAGAGAATTTACCTGAAATATAGCGGTGAGAAGATAGAGTTGATTGCTAAACACTGGAGGGGTGAATATTTTCTCGTTCGTTATGCAGATAATCATCCCCTCAAACAACGATGTGGTGAGCATAAACCTGGGAGGCAATATCGGATTCAATCCGAGCTCGTTGGTTCTGCTCGTGTTCTCCCGTATTATCCTGAAAGACTTGGTCCATCTCCTCCAAAGCGCGTCCGTTAGTTTCCGGCACAAAAAGCCAAGTCCAAACCAAAGATCCCAGGCTGAAGACGCAGAAAAATACATATGTTCCATAACCCGTGTTCTGTACAAGAGGCGGAGTTATAAGTCCGATGATGAAATTGTTGAGCCAATTCGACATGGTAGCATAGGATACACCCTTTGCGCGCAGAGAAGAAGGGAAAATCTCAGCCGGCATCGCCCAAGGGATAGGTCCCCATGTGCCACCATACGTGATCATGAAGAAGCACAGAAATGCAACACAAACCCATGCTCCAGCAGTGTGGGTCGGCCAACTGTCTTGGTATTGGCTCATTAGGACTGCGATGATCAAATGTGAGATAACCATGCAAATGGATCCCCCGAATAGTAGTGGGCGGCGACCGAAGCGATCCATCCCCCAAAGGGACCCCAGGCAAGCGACCATTTGGCAAATGTTGATGACACCAGACATGTTGAGCTGCATCTCGTAATCTAGGCCCATTCCCTCGAAGAGACTGGGGCCATAATAAATGATCGCATTGACACCGCCAAATTCTAAAAACCAAGAAGTTAGTTATTGGGACGAAGCAGAATGCGGTTCCTTGAAGACTTGCGTTGAAAGAACATGAGTCCGATGCCGATATGAGTGCGCTTCCAGGCACCTTTTCGGAAACATTCGAGATAGCTCCAAACGTGAAGCATGATCCGACTTTTGTAACTCCCGTCTTGAAGCTTAGGGTGTCGTTCCCTGCTGACTTCTTTGCAGTATACGGCTTCAGATCTGATCTCGATCCACTCATGAAGGACTCGTTCATCGGTCGGCTCAACGTTACGCAGCTTGCAGAGAACACGAAGTGCTTCATCATCTCTACCTTTGCTGACCAGCCAACGTGGGGAGTATGGAAGCCACGGGATTCCAGCGGCTAGCAGGAGCGCCGGGATAATCTGGAACGCCAGTTAGTGATGACAAAGTAACAATTGATGGTGGAAAACGAGAGCACCGTACCTGAATAAGGAAGGGAAGGCGCCAGGACCATTCACTGGGAATGAATCGGGTACCATAGGTAATGTAAAAAGCGACAACAATAGCGGTGACAATTGAGAGCTCCTGCATGACGAGCAATGTTCCGCGGATCTCAGGAGGGGCGATCTCAGAGATGTACAAGGGCGCAACCATTGCAAGCATACCAACGCCTATGCCTCCGACAAACCGGGCACCCACGAGCATAGAGAAACTTTGTGCACCAGTCTGCAAGGCAGATCCAAATATGAAGATCCAAACAGCCACCATGATGGACCATCTTCGTGAAATCTTGTCGGCAATCCAACCCTGATTCATCGCGCCCAAGAAAGCTCCAAGCTCAATCATGGCTGTGAGCAGTCCCTTCTGAAAACCAGCTCCAGAGGCACTACTGGAAACTTCGGGAAAGCTCTTGAGGAATTGATCCATTGTCAGAGTCACGGATATAACGCCTTGATCGTAGCCAAACATCGCACCACCGATGGTAGCGAATGCAGCACACGCTGAGACATATCTGTTGGAGAAAGCGCCGGCAAATCCTAGGATACAAGATTTGTTAGTGGCTGGGTATAAACGACGCGCCTTTAACTCTACCTGATGGTCCATAAGGTCTGCGTTCTGCGATATGCATCGCAGCCAAAGGGCTTGAAGTCTCCAGGTGCTCCGACTCTGGAAGCCCTCCAGACGGCTTTGACGTGGACTTTGGTTGTCGCATCGTCTAAGAGAATATATTGGGTGGTAAAAAATAGACTGAATAGGATGATAAAAGTGTAGAAGTCAAACAACCTGGAGGAGCAGTATAAATGAATTTGTTGGAGAGCCACTGGCGTGAACTCTGAATTGGTTATTCAAGAATCCAAATAGCATCGTTCAATCAAGTCTTAGCTCTGCTTTTATAACATACGCACCCCAAACAGCAAGCCATTCCTTGCTGACATCAATATTTCCCCACACATACCGTGTTTCCCCACGGGGGCCCCAGAGTCAGGACTCCAGAGGCGCCACTTCGGCAGGGCGATCTCTCGGGCGTGAATTCCGATAAAACCTTCCCCTCTTCTTCTATCGCCCACCAATCATATTGGCTTGAATTATTTCCACCGGGCGTAGATCCTAAAAACGCACTTTGAAAGGCCGAGTGAAGACATTGAGTCGCTCCGAAAATGAAGATAAGACTGTTTCAATTCGACATCCGGCACTTTTCAGGTTGAAGTAAGGGGAGAGTCGGAGGATTCCTATGATCGGCAATTCTTGCTTTTGTTATCAGCTTACACTTAGATAAATGCGACGGTCGGAGGAAAAAGATGTGGCTGATATTGCGCAAAATGATCATCAAAAAAGAAGCCGCTCAAACCATGTCTTCGGATATCACAACATAATGGGTATAAGCTAACCCGGGCGCATCGTTGCTCAACGATCCCAGAAACTAACAATTGACATCTGGACACTAAGCACGTACGTCTAGACGCACGTGACGGAACTCCTTGTTTACTCTTGGGCTGTGTTTTTATATAATTGATATCTCTAGGTACATATTTGAAATGTTTTGAATTCCAAGGAGAAACATTTGAAGCCAAGGGTATCAGCCAACAATCAAATGAAAGCTACCGATTCCAAGTAGAGACGCATCCGAGCCTCCACATGCATGTCCGTAACAAGAAACATTTGAAGATGATCAAATTTCGGAAACCGGTTTCCTGAGGTTCTACTCCAAACCGTATATGTAGGCATTTGAACATGCACATTTGCCGTAATGATGGCATATTTTGTGATTGATAAAGCCCCCAGACGGGTACACTCATGTACCCAACCGTGTCAGGGTATTATTTTCATTTTGTCTTCGATTCTTGTCACCTGCAGTATTCGTCACAGATTCAAATGTTTAAGTGCAATAATTCTACGAATTGCAGCAGGAGAATGGACAAGACGAGCAAAAGTGATTTTGTTCTGCACTCGTCTGTACGAGGAATTCGACCCCTATGAGCGAAGTCAAACCCATTGGATGTGGTCGTAGACTCGTAGCAGTCATTAGTCACGACAACGTTCGATAGTTAACTAGTGTAAAAAGGCGAAGAAAAGGGGTAGTGGTTCTGATTCCTTCCAAGGTTGACTCCAACGTCCTCGAAAAACGCGTTGACAGCCGGCTCATCGCGACTGAGGCAATAGTGATTCTAGGCTTGTCAACGGAGCTATCGGCAGGGTTCATCTAAAGCGGAGTGATGTTATCGGGCTGGAACACGGTGTTATCTCAAACCTGGGCAAGGTCGGTACTGTAAGTTTACCAGGGTACCCTAGAGATACCAAAATTACCCTAGTAAATTTGCCCAGTTATAAACACCTAGCCTCTAGGTAAGCGCCTCAGGAGTCAGACTCCTCGTTTCCATATCGTCCCCAGCTTTCTCCATCATCTCTTTCATCACTAATATTTGGCCAAAACCATGCCCTTCGACTTTCTGAAACGGTACATAGAGCGAAGTAAGAAGCCCAACACTACGCAAATGATCGAATACTAAATACAAAATCAGGAGTCAAATCCAACAACCACTCAGCTACCAATTTCCACCAAAAGAAGCCCTACCCCTGTCACTCTTCCATCAATTCCCAGTCCCAAAGCATATTTTTTAGCATTCCCCCAGAAATCCGAGTCATTATCTACGAGCTCCTTTTCGGAAACCGTTCCCTGCACTACCAGTGTGACTGGGTGGAAGAAACGAAAAGTTGGGTTGTTTATTCGTACGGATGCTATTCACAATCCGAAAGAGTAGACTGGGACTATTGCCCATTAAATGGAAGTCATGCACGTTCTAGTGCAGTGTTTTGGGGGATGTGGATTGATGTTGGGCTTTTGTTCTCGTGTTGGAAGGTGTGAGTTATAATATTTCCTATCTTGAATTCTACCGTGCGATTCATACACCAGGGACTATTCAGAAAATGATGACACTAATGATAGAAGCAGATACACCGAAGGCCTACTGATTCTCTATGGCAGTAATGAGTTCCGCTTTACAAACCAAAAAGATATATGCAACACTTTTCCCGCCCAGATTCCCTTCCTGGGTCTGCCTGCTATCCGACGTCTGACTTTCTGGTGGAGACTGGGGACAGATGTCCAACCACATGTGTCACGTCGCAATAAAGCAAAATACGACTCCTTATGGAAGGCTCTAGGGACGACGTTCTCCCTATCTCATATCCGGATTTACATTGATTGTCCGAGCTTAGGATCTTTGGTTAAAATGCCAAGAGGAGTCTCCGAAAATGATAGGAACAATTACATCCAACATGCGTGGTTAGATGGAATTGAAGCTATGGTCGAGGCGAATGAGAACCTAGAGGTGTTTGAAGTTCACTTCTACACCGCAGTATATCAGGTTTTGAGAGAGAAAGTGAAACCATGGTTGGGGGAGATGGAAAATAAAAGAAAGGTGCAGAACAGCGCTGTCAAGTATAAAGCGTACAAGTGCCGGACTACGACTATCAAGAGGCAGAGCTGTTTTGGTACTGGTGGTGGATATGATACTGATATCTCGGACGGGAGCTCGCGTATAGGTTTAAAAGATCGGATGTCGCTACCTAACGCCTTCTGGATGAGGAAGTTCAAGGAAGAGAAGGAAAAGAGACTGATGAAGGAACAGATGGAAAAGAAACTGATGGAGGACCGGAGTTGATGCTGTACATGTGACTACTTGGGTACTTTTGAAGTTTTGATATGGAAGACAACACATGAAGTTCTTCGACCGTGACATCTTGCAAAGTGGCCTCAGGCTCACGAAGGATGGCAGTACAGAGGTTTAACGGGGCCAAGCGATACAATCAAGCGAAGGATATTTTGCACATGTGGATCGAAAGTTGAGAAACTAGCTGCACATGTGTGAGGGGGAAATGAAAAAAGGGTCCAATTTTAGCGTGCTATGTAGACTCATTCTTCCCCACTGGTCTTAACATTGAAGGCTGAAAATCTTTTAAGTCAAGCTTGGCCTTCCATATACATAAGCGCCTATAAAAAAAACCCCGTTCAGCGGAGAAGCAGAAAGGGTCCAGACTTGTATGCACCTATATAGACCGGAAAATGCCTGACGGGTGGGGCTTTCATGTCTTGGCCAACGGCCAATGCCGCTTTTATCAGGCGCTGAGGCTCAGACTCAGTGATCAAAATTAAAATCAGGAAAGTCAGGTGATGAGTGACTAATGCTCACTGCTCAGTGTGCTTAGTCACTATTTTCATTGCTCATGTCCAATCAACGCATGTCCGTCACCACATCTCGAGCTTTCCCCAATGCGGTATGGCTGATAGGGGCATTTATTCCGTGACAAGTTGACAACTAATATTAGGGCTTCCAGGTTTGCAGTCCCCCTTCTAGGTACAGGCTACAGCCAAGCCTTGACGCGTGGCGGGACCTTCCCATATCGGGGTTAGCGTCTTGCTAGAAAGCTTGGTCCTGCTTGGGACCTGCGTTTTCTTTGTTGTTTTTTTCTTGATCTTTCCCCCTGGCTCTCAGCTCGGTTTGAATTACTATTATTTACTTCAGAAGCACGGTGTACTCCGTAAGCGTACAGCTGCCGAGCTGCCAAACTCGATCTTTATTGTCATGGGTTTTTTTGAGCCCACTTGCGTTGTGTGATCCGATGCCCAGGATCACAGTGTTGGAGATGATATTGTCCTCTTCAAGGTAGCACAGGGCGAATTCATTGCTTTATCCAGTTGTGGCTCATAAAATACAGTCAAAATGACCGACATTTGGATAGAAGTACTCCGTACTCCGAAGATAATTCGGTTAAAATTTATCGGGTGGAGTTGTCGGTCGGAATTGCCATCTTTTGAGCACTATCGAATAGTTTCAGGGCCCACCACTCCTTTCACCGAACGGAGTCAAAATTACCGAGATTCGATAGTAGATATTAATAGCCAATGCCTCAATCTAGTCTTCACTTTGTCCGCTTTTACTTTGCTTTCTCTTGGCTGTGTACTCCGTAGTCTAAGGGGACGTGGTTCATGATGGGACTTCCTTTCGTTTTGCTCTCGGCATTCCTCCTGCTCGCGCCCTCGAATGCGGCGATCTCTCTAGCGACTGTGACTAGTACCTCCCTCACAACAGTCTCACAGACTACAACCAGCGTTTTGACGACAACGGGAACCACCACCACCTGCAATGTTGCTTCGGGCGCCCCGGCTATCACAACCTGCTCCCCGGGGGTCTGGTCGTCGGGTTCAACATACTACCAGCAATTGTGCTCCTCGGTCTGGCTACACAGCGGTACACTGATCACCTCACACGTGAGCGTCCCGTATAGTCAGTGTGCGAGCTATTGTGCGGAGAACACAGCTTGCGCAGGCATTAATTATGCATCCGTCGCCAATGTTATGTTGTGTTATCTATCGGCTGGAAGCATGACAGCCTCGGTTGGCGTCTCATATGATGAGGTAATGTTGGTTAAAACTACTAATCCGTGCGAGGCAACGGTCACGGGAGTGACGACAAGTACGGCGGTGGATGTATTGACAGTGGAATATACCACTGTTTATACTTCGACTATCACTTTGACCCCGTCTCCTACTTCGACCACTCCTGGCGTAAGCGCTACTAGCGCTGCAAGTGTTTCTCTATCAAGCCAACTACCGTCTTCAACACAGATTCAACAATCCTCATCATCATCTGCGCCGAGCTCTAGAATTCTAGCCTCTACAGAATCATCATCGTCATCATCTGTGCCGAGCTCTAGAATTCAACCTACTATAGCATCCTCTTTATCTGCATCACCATCCTCAAAGATTGCGTCCAGCAGTGTTGTGGTTCCTTTGATGTCAACATCTTCGATCAAGATACCACCCACATTCTCGACTGCCCTGGCTTCTAGCAGTGTTGCGAATATACAGTCATCTTCCTCCGCGTCGCCATCCTCAAAGATTGCTTCCAGGAGTGTTTTGGTTCCATCGATGTCAAAATCTTTGATCAAGACCCCGCTCTCCTTCTCAACTGCCCTGGCTACTAGCAGTGTTGCGAAAACACAGGGGTCTTCCTCTCAGCCCGCAAGATCTCTATCCAGTTCTCTTTTTCCGTCTCCTGCCAGTTCAGCTTTGTTCACGGGCTTTTCCGCTAGTCGTTCAAGCCCGTCTGTTCAATATCAGTCTTCTTCGGGAATTCCTATCAACAACAACATACCCACTTCAAGCGAGACCGACACGAGCCCTATAAGCAGCTCATTTGAAACAACAGAAACACACTACACAACCAGTGTTTCTACAATCTACGGCTGCCCATCGCGAATTCCCAATTGTCGGTCAGCACAGCGAACCACACAGAGAACAACCCTGATAATTCCCACAACCACCGTCTATCCTCTGACCGCTTCCACGGTATACACCACTCAAGTCTACACAGTGGCTGGCTGTCCACCAGCTCTCCATGGCTGCTCGGGCCCGCAGAAAACAACGTCCACGCATACGAAGATTGTACCAGCATACACAACCGTTTACCCCATCCGCGCCCCTCCAAGGCCAGAGCCTGTGCCCGTGACTACAATTGAGGTGACGAGTCTCTCTACGGTCTCCCATACGGAAACCGTGACGGTGATGGCCTGTCCCACCGACATCTTATAGTGTACTACTACTACAAGTGGACAAAGTGTCATTCTCATTTCTTGGCGGTGAAGTATGTTTATCCCGCCTATGTATAAAGATAATTTTCTTTCAATCAAGCATCATCCATGGATCCAGGCCATATGCTAGTCCTGACAGCCTTGGAAGACTTTAATAGATTTTTTAACTTTTCTGCCGATCATACCATATATTCAAGTACCATCAGAATACGAAGCTTCTACTGTATTTGTTGAAATGCGGTATTCGGGGTATGTTTTTTAGGGTGAAAAAAAACCTGGTATTTTCTTTTTTCCTGAATGTCCCTAATTTTTCCTAATTTTTCCTAATTTTTCCTAATTTTTTTCTTATTTATGCTGATTTTTGCTACGTACATCTCACGTCCAGAGGCAAGGTGTCAGATTCCAAGGTTAGTGGCGAACTTTATGGCGTCAAAACTCGCCGGGTGAAGAGAAGGTAGAAATTACACCAGAACCGAGCTAGCGTGTCGTGTTTTATTCAACTCGACCCATATCGCTCAGTTTCTGATTGCCCTTAGTAATCAAATGGAGATGTTCTTGTGACTCGTGAGGACAAGTGTGATGACATAAGGCTCACTGACCGCCTCAGTTGATCAGGGGCGCACTCAATTCTCCTCAGTGATCCAAAAGGGGCGAGGGGTGAGCACTAGAACGGAATGGGAAGGCCAAGAGTTGCTAGATATTTTTTTCATTTTTCCATTTTTTGGTAGATATGTTGTGACTTGTCGTGTCAAGTTGGACCTTTAGTGACAATAATAAGTATGTGGGGCGGTTGACCCAACTGGAGCCCTTCAAATCTGAATACGACTCCCGAGGTCAAAGCCTAAAATGACCATTAGGGAAACAGTAAACCCGTGGCGAAGCCTAAAACTATCCCCAGGGTTGATATGAACAAAGATCCAAGTGATCAACGAATGGGGGTTGCGATGCAGGAACACTGCAAAAGCAGGGTGCGTCACAGGGGTCGCCTGTAATGCGGGGGGAGGATGCAGGAATACTGCACAAACCAGGGTGAACGAGGATCTATAAGATCAGTGAAGACCTGTAAGATCAGCGAACGGGGTGTGCGATCTAAAAGACCAGCGAACGAGGGATGCGATGCAGGAACGCTGCAAAGACCGGGGTGCGTCACAGGGGTTGCCTATAATGCGGGGGAAAACGTGGGGAACCGGCCGGCGTAAACAAGGAACACTGGGGAACTGCGTAAATCGAAGGATCGGGGCAGTCGATCAATTTTTAGATTGAATCGACTGGCACAAGGGCTCATAACCTGAAGAAACATGAGGAGTGAGTCTATGAAGGAAGGAGGGCGAGAACGTAATGTAATAGTAATCTGAGCGGACGGGAAGCCCTGTTCTCCACACCCTATGGTCGTATGTACCAGACGTACCATTTGAGTGAAATATATAGCAAAAAAATCAATTCGAGGCACAGAAATCTAGGGGAGGAATGGGCGAGAAGGGTGAGTGCGGAATAATAAAGGTGGTAGGCAGGTTTTGAGTTTAGGCTTTTAACTACGAGCACCAATCATATCAATTAGTATCTGAACCGCCGAAGAATGTAAGACAAGGCAGTGTAAAATCGCTACATGTCGAGTTGGAGATCAATTGACGGCCTCTTCGTCGTTCATTACATAACTTCATATTGGAATTTATTTACACTAACACTGAACATGTGCAGTCAATCTTTGGAACAGCCAACATTTGTCACAATTGATTCTATGTATTACTGCCCGTGGTTACGGGCATATGTGAATGTCTAGCATTTTGAGCTGGTGTTTATATATAAGTCAAAATAGTATAGTACCTGTTTAATACAGTCCCCACTCCACCTTTTGCTTGCCCGCATCGCCATCACACTCCATGTATCCCTTCGCACCAACGAGACCTTCCCATTCATACAGCGAAATGGCCTCGGTGACAAGGGTGACAATGTCCTGGCTACCAGTGTAGTAAGTAACATCACCGGTAACACCATCATTCTGGACGCCAAACTTGCAGGTGCCATAGGTGGCAATTGCGCGCTGTCCACTGATTCCGGTAGTCCATTCGCCGTCCGTGCCCGCAATGTTACTCATGAGGGTCTGGCAATCAGATACGGAGGGAGAAGCGGATGTGGTCTCATCTTCGTAAGTGTAAGAGCTGCATTTGGTCACACCTTGCAGAGGGTTGCAAGGGTAGCCGGCGGCTGAGGAGTTGGACTGTGATGGAGTCGACCAGGAAGCCCAGGCAACTTGCGCCGAACAGACCGGCAGGCGAATGTAACCGGCAGTAGTAATATCCCGATTCGCTAAGTCCTTGAGTGTGTCCTCGTTTACCGGATCGGCGACAGGTCCTCCGTTCGCGTTGCCGTTGGCGACATATGTGTTCACGGATCCTTCGATAAGGTTGGCTAGAGTGATGCCTCCCCAGGTGGCGTTGCTGAGAGTGTCCAGACCTGGTGGAGCAGTGAAGTAACTTTGAGAGCATGCTTCCTCATCGTTTCCGGTACAACCTTCGTACGTGCCGTCAGGGTAGACCAGATAGTACAAGTTGTCGTTGTAGCATGCATATGTGGCCTCTTGGGTGGAGTCGGTCATGTAGTCGGTCAATGGGTTTTGTGCACTGCATGCATAGCCCGAGTCGATGACGAAAGCCGCAGTACCAGCGGCAGTCCACAAAGCCGGAATAGCGTATCCGAAGAAAGCTGTGCCAATGAAACCCTCGACATCGGTGGTTGTTGAAGTTGTGGGGTCGTAACCAGTCTCTGGGGAGGCGCCGCTGCCCTCAATGAGCTTGCCATCGCTGATGAGAGTTGTCAAGAGGGTAATAGAGGCAGAAGATCCGTTGAATAGCGTGTAGAGCTGGTTTTCCGCGGCAGCAGACCAGCCGTATAGTACGGAGCCCATAGTGGCGGTGAAACTCGTTTGAGACGCGGCTGTCCATTTGTCACTGTACGAAACCCATTAGCGAAATTGCTCTCCTCGATATAAGCTCAGCACATTCGTAGTGGGTTTGCCACGAATGCTCATTTGAGCCTATGATGTGATAAAAAGGGGGAATGTTACTCACGGAGCCCCGGCAGGTAGACTAGAGGTAGCAATTGAAGCTCCGTAAGCGATGGCAGAATACGTCATATCTTGGGCAACTTGGGCACCAGAATCCCCTAGCGCTTCAAGAGCTGGTAGGGCTCCAAAGACTATAAGGCATTAGCATTGGCAAATAGAATGACTGAAGGTCTCAAGTAAAAAAATAAATTCAAATAAGGAGCTTACCTCCGTCGAAGAATGGCGCAGCAACCGCAGTGAGACCAAGACCGAGCAAGTCGATCAGAATGTCCAGCCACGCGTCACTTTCGGTTGGAGGAACCGGTGCAAAAGTGTCTTCAAATTCTGCAAGCTGGTTGTCGATATATGTTGCCGCGATTCCATTGATAGCGAGATAGAACTGTGAGTATGCCTGGTCGACAAGATTGTATGTCAGCTACCTTTCTCATACGGACTTGCGCCCTACCCGGGGCTTGAACTCCTCTCCCTTCCATTAGCCCTTGCCTAGGGCGGCACCGAAGAGACTTACACTGTTGATAATGGTGAAAGAGTCGTAGATGAGCATCGCCGCAGGGCCTGAGCCACCATCGTCACCGAAACCTTCAAACCAAGCGCAAGTTTCAGTGGTGTAGCAAGAACCTGCCGGAGCAATTTGTCCACAGTTCATCTCCTCCGCAGCATGAAGGGTATTCATGATAGATAGAGTGAACTCGGGCTCAGAGTCTCCAAGTTCTGGCTCATCTGTATCAAGCCAGACAGTCAAGGCGTCTGACCACGCATTGGACGCGTCGAGCTCCGACCAGCGCTGCGCGCATGGCATGTATAGTGCATCTGTCACAGCGGGGTTTGAACAGTCCAAGGTAGTCCAGTTGCCAGTTCGATTACCTTCGGAAGAGTAAACATCCACAACAGCATCTTCAATGAACATGGTCCAGGAGTCCGACGAAAGAGGAACATCTTGGAATTCCTGCAAGTCAATAGCCCAGTCAGTCCAGCCACCCATCGATAGGCCCTGGTAGACCGATTTTCGCTCCGATTTGATACCATCGCTCATCCAGCCAACCCATTGAGTGTCATCATATACAAGGATATTGGTGTTGCTGTCAACATCGATGTAGTCCTGATTGACTCTGCTGGAGTTTGCAATAATTGCCAAGATCTCAGCATTGGCAATGTAGCCTGCAGTCTGAGTACATTCTCCTGGGGTGGCTTGTGAGTCATCGGCCGATCCCAAGTATAAGCACTCTGGTCCATAGCAGCCTGCTTCGGCCATCGCGAACGATCGTCCATAGCTAGTAACACCGACCACAACCTGGTTGGAGGGAACACCGGCTTTCGTAATCTTTGGAAAAAAAGAAGAAGAAAATGGAGAGTTAGCCACCAATCCTCATGTGTAATTCAAGGGGACTCACCATGCTTAAAGCGCCATCGGTTTCGGTGATGTTTACGTCTGTACGCAAGCAGGTACCTGTTGGGCACCCATCCTGCGACCACTGGTTATTGGAATCCCACTACAGGTGTAGAAAGGCTTCATATTAGTCTTCATCGTCATAAATCGCGTGTTTAATCTAAATAGATGGATGCCATACCTGTCCATGCAGATCGTAGGTCATGTAAATGATGTAGTCCACCAGTTCGGCCATTTCACTGATGGGGAAGCCCTGCAGATACCAGTATGATGCTGGAGCCGCAATTGTAATCTCCTTATCGGGCATAAGATTTCTCAACACGGCAAGGAAGGCAAGATAGTTGGTACCATCATCGGAGCTAGCAGCCGGAATACCAGGGATATCAGTTGCCTAAGCCGCGAAAATCGAAATGTCAATAGATGATCCCAACAGAAAGAGGCATGAAAAGCGACGACGGAAGTAATACGTACTCCTGGATATTCCCAGTCGATGTTGACGCCGTCAAGGTCATTGTCGTTGATGAAGTTGGCAATGTTCGTGGCCATCGTCAACCGGTTGGCAGCAGTGACACCATCACGGAAAATCATGTAAGTGCTCGGATCAGTGGAAAATGACCAGCCGCCGATCGACAAGACACGAGTTGTGCCTAGAAGCTTTGTAAACAGGCCGAACTCGTATGTTGTGCCGGTCGTAGTGTCGTTGGGGATCTGGACCTCGTAAGACGAGTCAAGGACACCAAAAGAAAAGTAAATATGAGTATAAGCAGTTAGGTCAATTTGAGAGATATCCATGGTGAGGCAGGGTCGCTGTAAGTTATAACCCTCGAAGAAGCCGATCTGCCTGTATGTGGCAGGTGCATCACTCTGCACAATGTCGGTGCCGCAGTTGGAGATACAGCCGTTAGTATTATTTTTCGCCGTTCCGGGGGCACCGGTGCTGGTGTCAGTACAGAAGTCGGATGTTATACCGCACTAGAAGCGTTGTCAGCGACATTGATTAATTGTACGGTGTCAACTAAACCATCAAATCTGGGTTCTGCACTTACTTGACCCCACACATCACAGCAGGCATTTAGAGGGCACTCGTTGAGTGTGGAAATGTTCGTCCCGCTCGGGGGAGTCACCGTTCCGGGAACCTGTGGTCCACATTCTGCGTTGGCCATAGCGGCCGGCATGGGCGCAGTACCCTCACTCAGACAAATGATAGTGTTCGCGTAGAGGGGGCTGCAGCCAGCCCAACCCCAGGTGTCATCGTTGAAATCCTCGAGCTCATCCATTGTCAGACCGTATGAAGCGGCGATCGTTTCGCAGTTATCACCAGACTGGATCGTGTATGTCGCGCAAGTACCATCAGATTGCACCTGAGGAGCATAGTCTGGCAACGTTCCGGCTGAACAGCAGAAGTGTTCACCGATCACCAAAGTGTCACAATCGCTGTTCGTGACGTTATTGTAATCAAGGAAGTTGGCTTCCGTGATCCCACATTCCGACGCCAAAGAATCATAGCAATTACCCGAGACGACCTGGACTGTAGTAGAGCAGGTAGATCGAGGGGTGAGTGTCCTGCCTCGAATGGAGGTCGTATTGCTATGAGCTGGGGTGGCGGAGGGAATCGAGGGACGAGTGGAAGTAGCAATGAGAGGATCGGAAGAGGCGTTGAACAGGGGCTTCACGAGTGGGACTTCGGCAGTGATGTTGTGAGCGCTCGGGAATGTCAGACATTTTGCTTTCGACCATGAGGACAGGGCATCCTGTATGGGAGCGAAAGTTCCATTGCCTGTCGCAATCAGACCGAAGACGTGATGCGAAGTCTGGCCAGGTTCGCAGAATTGCATCGCTACACTCGCGGCATTGGTGGCATTGGCATTTGCAATTGAACTTTCCAAGGTTGACAGCACATTTTCTCCAATGCCTTTGTTCTCCAATCCTTGACCGATAAAGAGACCGACCGAGGTGGAGCCATAGCGGGCGAAGAGAATTGTTGGACTGTCGCTGAGGCCAAATCCTCTAACCAAGTACTGACGGAGCTGACTAGCGAGCGTGCCTAAAGAACCTGAAACTGGAGAACCAGAGGCGGCGGGCCAGTATCCAACCTGATAGGTACCATTCACGGGTTCCGGAGCGTCTGACGACTGCAGGAGGAGATTTGTTGTGTTCGCCGGCAGGTTTCCCCAATCCGGGCCAAACGAGGTACAGGCGTAGATGTGATGGCCAACGCTAGCATCATCAACCGGGTCGAGGAAGGAGAAAGAATAAAAGAGAGACTCTCGACATGAGGCCAATTGATCGAAGTTGTGGTACATGGACCAGTTTGCTGGGTTGGGTCCCGAGACTGCACATCGAGTGGGACACGCATTGGATCGGCCTTGATATCCAGGACTGGCAGGGAGCCGGACTGGTGCCGAGATAGCGGAAGATGAATCAACTGAAAAAGAAAGAGTCAAAAGAGTGACATAAAAGAGAGTGAGGAACGCATTTCGCGGCTTCAGCCACGAAAGCGAAGTAGATGACCACGACATGCGCTATAGTGGAATTCCACAGCACAAGTCAGGACTAGAAAAGGGAAAGAAATGAATGGATAGAAGACTAGCACATCTAATGCCGAGTCTTCTGCTTTTTATTCTTCTCCATGATGGGGGATAAATCAATCGGCTTTATAGGCTCGCGGTCGACTCGCTATCTGAACTAAATCAGCAAATGAATCCTCATGGAAGAATTGGTGGGGACACTTCGCGTCGCCAGGAGCACTACGGAGTTGTGGAAATGAATTTTCCGAGTTAGAGCGAACATTTCCAAGGCCTGCGAGAACTTGAGGCAAATATAGATCCTAGTTAAGACTAGTACGGCCCCTGCACTAAGGATGACACTAAAAGGTACTAAGGCACACTAATTGATATACTAAAGTGGCATAAATACCGGTCCCTGTACTCCGTCTATACGGTACGGTACGGTTAACTTTCATATTTACGTCCCAACCATTTAAACTTGAAGTCCCCAGTCAAGCATTTCTATGTTTTCCCTTCTCTTTCCACCCTTTTGTGCCTGATCCTTCCAGGTGCCCTTGCCACTCCTTCGATCACATTTGGGGCTTACACTCGTTTAACATTTCTCGCTTGTATCAATTGCTGGCCTAACAACCACGATGGTGATTACTGCCAACCCCGGCATTTTTGAGGTGGACTTGGTATTCCCACGCAATGCGACTTATACTCCTCAGGCGCTATCGCCCATTGTGTGGGCGCTGCAGAATCCAAGCTTGGCTCTCCCGATAACGGCCTCCATCACCTGGAACCTGTGGGAAGGCAACAGCCGTAGCTCCCCTGGTTCCGTCGCCGGAGGCCTTTTTGAGCTGACCGAGGAGATCACGTCTAGTGAACCTTTTCTGCTTTCAGACTTTGTCAACACCATGGCCTACCCAGAAGGCCAGTGGACCCTAACGTGGGATCTAGAGTTCTACAATTGCTCTGCACTCAACGTTGATAACTACAACGTTGTCACCCGAGGAGGTTCTACCGTCTTCACTATCGATAAGTCGGGCCAGGAACCTGATCTAGTGGCCGCCACTTCTGACGCTGAATGTGGCGCAATGGGAGCAGTTGCTTTGAACATCACGGCCCTGGATGATATTTGTGGTCACCTCGGTCCGACTCCAACCAGTAATCCATGCGGCGTGACCATCAACTCGACAACCAACGCCAGTCTTTACGCCTCAGCAACTGCATACGCCTGTTCGGCCCTTGCACCTGAGAATGCGAATGTGACCTGCCCGACTAGTTCGTCGTCTGCCAGCAATTCTGCAGGTCGCTCACGCATGGCCGCTGCGCCGGTCTTGTTGATGCTGCTGGCCACGGTAACCAACTTGGTTTATCTCGGGTGAGGAGCGAGCAGAGGGTTGGAAACGCCTTTCTCTCTAAATCAAGGACAGGGCCGCTGGTCTTGTTCACGTTCCCTAGGGTGCGACCGTGCTATATTATTTGTCTTTTTTGTACCCGAGCGTAATACAGTCATTACAGCTTTTTCTATCATCTTGACTTTTCAAATGTTGATACCCTTTGCTATCCTTGGTCATGTCGTCCTTTCAGGTTATTACCTACTATTCTTGCCTATATGTAGAGCTGTGGCCGGACCGCCCACTTTGACACTTGTCGTAACATTTACATCTAGCGCATTTCCATTATATGTGTCGTATTTTGCGAACTTCAAATTCCATTTTCTTTGTTCTTTTTTTAACCCCTTTTTTTCTTCGTTTTTTCCCTCATTTTTTACTCCATTTTGCACTATTTTCTCATATCACTTTTCGTATTCGTTTAATTTAAAAAAAAAAATTTGCTCCGCTAATTACAATAAATGTTGGCAGTCGCTCGCCTACCGTCCAAATCCCTGGTTGGCCTAACCTTGCCTATTCAATTAATCTCGAGGGAGTATGTGTTCAGCACGCTATTCTGCATTTATCTTGTCTAAAAGTATCAGATGTGTCATGGGATCCATTTTTAGTGTTTGCTAGTTTTTTCTTGTACTTTTTCTTTTTTTTTTTTCGAAAAAGGAATTTTATCAGAAGTATTTTTCTTTTGCAATACAGTATGCAGTATATCACGCGCAGGTGACAGGTCTCCTACCCAAAAAAGGTGCGTAATAATTTGACTACCCATGCTATCATCTTTGTTTACAGTGGCAGGATATCGCTACTTATAATTTAACATCACTCTTAACGCTCTCTAACTTGCAGATAATGCAAATCCCCCGTGTTTCGAAGAGAAGGGCTAACGCCTTACCCGGGAGTATTCGGGTAAGGCGCTAGTTAGTTGTCTAACCCGATTAGCGCAACGCAGGGTCCGTGCAATTCGCCTTTCAGGGTTTTCTCAGGGTTTTCTCAGGGTTTTCTCAGGGTTCTAAGGGTTCTCAGGATTCTCGGGGTTCTCAGGGTTCACAGGGTTTTCAGGATTCTCACGGTTCGAGTTTTCCAATATGCCCGGGTTAGCCCACAGAAGGAATCCATCCCCACGAGCGTCTGGTCGCTCGCTCTGTCGTTTTAAATTATTATTTAACCTGCAGCCACTCAAAGCCTTGTGTGAATATTGGTGTGAAGCTTCTATGTAGATTTAAATTGGTCTTGAAATTGTCTTAGCACTGAAAATCTGAGGTTATCCCAAATATCGGGGCCACCTTACGGAGATGCCGTCTTTCCGATCTGGGCGCAGGCCAATAATCAAGCCACCTCTGTTATAAGCGAAATTGGAGCGGCTCTACCCTCCAAGGGGCCCACTTCATCCACCTGGGATTTGCCGAGTTGTCGCTCTGGGTGAATCTCCGAACTCTGGGCGAACAAGCTTAGCACGGGATTCTCCACTCCGACAAGAACATGACAAAGGCTTAGCGAAAGCTTCACAAGGCTTACCTGAACAGGAAGGAAATCATTTTTGAATCTTACTTTTGTCTCACTAGACGACACTAGAAGAGAACGCCACATGGAAAACGAGAATCTATGTTCGTCGCTTGGGAGCTTCGGATCCGGCTTCATCCTTCAAGCAGCCATTCATTGCTAAGTAGGTTAGAGCCTACGGGGCAAAGGATGGATTGCGACCATACTTCGTACTGTATGTATTATTTCACGGCCATTCATTGACACACCAGAGACCTGTAATATTCTTGGTCGGTTCTCGAAAGCAGGATGATGGACTCCTGTAACGTCTATAAATTAGTCCATCTCGCCCATCCGTGGTGAAGCAAGCATCAACACTCGAACATTCAAGATGGCGCCCAAATCACTTCAAACTGGTCTCTTCCTCTTTGCTCAGCTGAACATGGCCTGGGGAATGGCTTTGGTCCCGCGTCAGGTCACTTGTGACTTTGAATGGGCTGCGAGCTCGGGGGATACATGCACGTCCTTCGCCGCTGAATGGGGTTTGACCGAGGCGTCCTTTGAGTCTCTGAACCCGTCTGTCGTCTGCCCGACCCTTGTGGCTGCTCAGGACTACTGCGTGGTTGGCACTGTTTCAGCTGCTGCGACGACGAGCTCTTCATCTTCCTCTACCTCGTCTTCCACTACTAGCTCGTCATCTACTACCTCGTCTTCTACTACTTCCTCGACGTCCACTGTTTCTACGACTTTCACTACTTCTACGGCCACGAAGACCACGACCACTGCCAGCGTAACTACTGCCGGCAACGGGATCACCACGCCCACCCCTTTTCAATCTGGCATGATTGACTCGTGCAGCGCGTTCTACCTCGTTCAATCTGGTGACATCTGCCAGTCCATTGCCACCGAATACAACATCGACCTCTCCAGCTTCTACTCCTGGAACCCAGCCGTCGGCTCATCTTGCGCCAACCTCGATGTAGGCGACTACGTGTGCGTTGACTCTGTGCCCACTCCCGTTCAATCCGGTATCGCCGCGTCGTGCAGCAAATTCGACCTCGTGGAATCCGGTGACACCTGCCAGGGCATTGCCACCGAATATAGCATCGACCTATCCAGCTTCTATGCCTGGAACCCGGCCGTTGGTTCGTCCTGCGCCTATCTTGACCTGGGATATTATGTCTGCGTCGGCATTAATAGTTCCGCTTCCGCTTCCACTTCCACTGTGGCTACCACGACCACCTCGACTGGCAATGGTATCGTGACGCCGACGCCTGATGAGCCGGGCATGGTAAGCGACTGCACTACCTTCTGGCTTGTTGGCTCGGGTGACACGTGCGCGACCATTGCTAGCAGTGAGGGCATTACAGTGGCTGATATCGTAGCGTGGAATTCGAATGTGGGATCCACCTGCGCGGATGTCTGGCTTGGCGATTACATCTGTGTGGGTGTATAGAGGTCTGTGCGGTGCGAATACGAAAGCATGTAAAAATAGCAAATCGATTTCACCTTGGGTGACCGCAGCGAGGGGAATACTGGGGTGGGTGTATGAAATTTCGTATGTTAACTATGAGAAATGAAAAGACAGAAGTCACCTCATCCCTAACTGTGGGGATGGTGCACATAATCTTTGCCCCATCAATGGTGAGGTGACATGATCTCTGCACGCTTTATTATAATTGTTTGATTCAAAAACAACCCCAGTACTACTATCAAACTATCAAGCCCATGATCCTATATGTAACTAATGTACAGTACCTTAAATCCTTGATCCTTCCAACAAGGTCGATCCGAGTAGTCCAGTAGTTCAGTCCACACAGAGATCAACAACATACATGGAAAACAAAAACAAGAAGACAAAAAACATACAACAGTCAGGATTCGCATGTGGTCACCCACCATACTACTAACTGACCGGCGTGTGGCTTAAGTACGGCTGAGCGGACGGGAAGCCCTGTTCTCCACACCCTATGGTCGTATGTACTTGATAAACTATTAAGAAAGCTCATATAGTACAAGCCTAGAAGAACTATTACATGCAGTAAGTAGACTGATGAATAACAAAATCACCTCAATAACTTTCAAATGTTTACTTCAAATTCTCAATAAATAAATGTTTAGGAGATTAGGATACTTGTCAGAACAGGCGAAGCTCATGTTGAACTTGACCTTCATATTTGCCTGCAAATGTGGCATCTTGAAGTACATATTCTAGTGGAATGGAATTTAAAGGGAATTTTATAGCTAGAATTTCTGTCTGTTTTCCTTTACTAAGGACATATTTATTATTTTATCACTAAATCTTTAATGTTGTAGCGTGAAGATCTATGTACTAGGTGAGATCTTTAAAAGCAGTGATCGAAAGCGGTCTAGAGCTGTCGCTGCCCGAGGCAGATTCAGGCAGATTCAGGCATGAAAGGCATCAATGCATCCCAATTAGGCCTAGTATATTATCATGTGACCTGTGTTTATATTAAACCCCAGAAGATTTCATTCCCTACTACCAACTATTATATGTACCTTCTTCATCATTTGGGATTTTTCACTATCAGGTTACTGAAATTTTAATTTTCTTGAGCCATTTATCTTGTTAATATTATTTCCAATGTTTCCAAAAAAAATTCACTCTCACAAGAGTCACAACTACTACCTCCATTCAGGATAAAGTAGAGCCCTTTAGCACCAAACCAAATAGAAATGGCTTGCTGGATTTCTTTCCAAAGTAAAGATCTGAATAACTGACTAAACATACACAGTTATACCACTTGGTATCTGTGTTCTACACACTTTCTTGCTACCAGTCACCCAAAACGAACTTTCACGATAGTGATATTCTGACTTGCCAGTGAATTCCCACCCATTTTCACCCCTCCGATTCAGCTTTTCCATCCTTTATTTTCTCATCTCCTCTCAACGCTTTTCCCTTTCCATTCCTCCTACAAAAAACCGAACCATGAGCTCATCCATACAGGAAGGAAAGCAGAGGGAACAGACCAATGCAGACCAGACCAATGACAAGGATCCCAAGGAAAGCGATTTCGCGTAAGTCACGATAAACTCACTTTATCTCGGAGGCTAATTACTAATATTTCCTATCCAGATATGAGCCAGGTCCAAATTCAGCCACACATGGAATGCCAGAAACCATCCCCGCTCCGAAAAGTGGGACTGCAATATTACCCCCAGGTCCCTGGGCCGAAATCATGAAAAAAACACTCTTCCCAAAGGCCTGGCTAGGGGAACAGTTAAAGACACATTTGATTGAAGTCCTGAGAGAAATGCCACCCCGTCAAGAGCTGACTCTGCGAACTAAAAAATTGTCATGGGGAGCCAGGGCCTTGTGGACCAAAGTTGGCTTCGATTCCACCAACATCGAAGCCGCCCTCATCCAAGTAGTCGGTGAAGTGAAAACCGGCAAGGATCGATGCGAGCACTGCGAAAGAGGCAGTGGACCATTCGCTCTTTGCGTTACCGTCGGTGTTGAGGGGTACCCTGAGTGCGGCAATTGTTACTGGTCTAAGCAGCGCTCGCGATGTAGCTTTGGGCCCCGTTCTAAAGGTACCAAGGTCCTGACTCGCAAAGCTCGTGTTATGAAAGAAAGTTTGGAAAAGCTGGATGCCCAAGTCACTGAGTTGACCGGAATCCTCAATTCCCAAAGAGAATCCATACACGCAGCTATGGAGAAGAATCCAGACAGCCTCACAGCGACAGAGCCGGCTACTGCTGATCGGTGCGCCGAATATTATCGACGGGTAGCGACTACTCTTCCTCTTGAGGCCCTGAACAGGACTGAGGGTGCCTTGAGGCTCGCCAATGAGCTGGACAGGGGGATCAAGAAAATGTTGGACTCTCTTTGAGTCGGGTTCGATCATGTCATAAGGTTAGCGCCGGTGTTAATACGGGATTTATTTATTACCTTCTAGTACTACTCGTCACAGAAGATATTTCATATTTTTATTTTTTTTGTTCTTTTTCTTATTTTCCCCCCGATGTGATGTTATTATCCATATATGTCAAGGCATGTTATATGCAAGCAAGGCCTCTGGTAGCAAGTGCTTCCGGTGGATCTTTGGCTAGACTATTGGATGCATTTGATGTGGAGATTATAACGTACCTTGATCCAGGTGTTCTGGCAGTCTTTGTATTCTTCTTTCTCTTTTCCTTCTCGCGTCACTGCGGAAAGGGCTGATGGTTTCTTATTTCAAGCACCAAAGTGAACGTATTGGGCCCATAGATGTGGTCTTTCCCAATTCTGCTCGCGGACGGTCATTACAGCAGTATGTAGTGCCATCGAGACTGCCCGGTTACCCTGTGCCAACCCATCTTGGGAAATAAGCTCACGGTAAAAGACGGCAGCGACTTGCGCACAAATGTCGTCATTTGATGACCACATTGACCCAACAGTGTGTGCAAACCCTGCGACCTGAAAGCCGCTCGCAAGATGGAGAGCTTCATCTGCCAGTTCCGATCCTTCATTCTCAGCAGTAGAACAGGCAGAAAGATACGCAAGCCAGGCTTGCTTCATGTGGGACTCGGAGATTCTCTTGACTGTCAGAGGGTCGGCAGTAAGATCAGACTGGCCTTGAAGGGCCAGAAAACTGTTCGAGGGGTCTTGCATATCTGATGATCCGTGACACGCAAAATGCGCGATACTGCAATCTTGAAGTCCATGGAGAACCATCTCTGCACTGGGCTGAATCAAGGATGTGACGGTATGAGGCGTGGTGACTGCTTTGTGAATTGCTTGGCTCTCCGCCATGACTCCAGGGAGATCATCTTCACCAGGGGTTGTCGGCATTGTGACCAGCAAAACCGACTGTGCGTCGGCTGTCACTCTTGTATTCTCCCTTGCAAAATGGAGCATCTTTATCGACGGTGTATATGAGGAAAGAACACAACTTAGGGTATTCTCAACTGAGCCTGGTGAGTGATCGCCCGCTGCATGGAAGGGAATCGAGGCAGCAAGGCCCGTCCCGATCCACCAAATGCGAGGAAGCGCCGTGTGATCTTCAAGATATAGAAACCCCAGCTGCTCTAGTACCAAACGGACGCAGTCATACCATAAATCATGTAGAAGATCTTGTGAGCTCTTTTGCTTTCTCGTATTTCTTAACTCAATCCGTCTTGATGAGCTACGGGTCAAGCCCCAGGATCGATAGAGGCTAGCTTTCGATACGCCAAAGTTTGGTAATGGAACGTGCTTGATGCCAGAGGGAAGAACAATTAAGGCATCGCTACTGATTGATGTGACATTGACGACCACAATCGGTCCTTCGGTGGCGTTTGCTTGTAGCACTTCAGAAGGAGGGGGAAGGAGGAACCGATCAAATCCCTCTAATCCCCGGATTCCTGCCAGGCAGCTTTCAAGGCGTGTTACAGTCTCCTCGCGTTCTTCCAACAGTTGTGGGTGGGTTTCAAGCGGGCTCTGTTGATGCAGAGGCATAAAAGCCTTAGCACGAAGCCGATCGAACTCTTCCGCTTCCCTAGGATGCTTAGCGAACAGATCCGAGGTATCACCCCTTCTGTCAATGAGGTACCCAATAATAAGACCTCGGCCATGCTCTAGATACTCTAAAGCCCGAGCTGGATCACTGTCAGTTTGGAGAAGAACAGATGATGCTTCGGCAGCTAGGCCCGACGTTTGCTGAATAGCATACTGTTGGTCCTCCCGGCTGAGGTAGCGGCCACACACGAGAGGCAAAAGATCAAGTGCTCTTTCGGCCAGCAATTGAGCTCTATCAAAGTGGCCATCCGGAACAAGAAGATTGATCGCTCGACGGGCAGCTTCGATACGAATACGTGTCGTTGCAGTATTGGAATCGAGGGCTTGTGAGAAGTACTTCAAAGCTGCCAACTTATCATTCTCATCGCTCTCTTCTTCATATCGAATCGAGAAGTAGATCGCGAGATTATTCAACCAGGTTGTCAGATCCGGATGATTGTCTGGTGTATTTTCGACGGCTTTTTGAGCGACTGAGATTGCGTCTTGTAAGTCCACCGAGTTTCCAGTCCTATTATATTGGGCGGAGACGTAAATGGCTTGATTGTTCAGCCACATTGGTGTATCTATGTGACCTTCCGGTGCAAGGTCCACAGCCTTCTGGGTAAGGCGAATAGCGTGCTGTATATCACTTAAATCCGATGTTCCTGATCGATCAAATCGGGCCGAGAGGCTGCTCGCCAGGGATATCAGCCGACTACCTAGATCCGGGTGATTCTCTGGAGTGACCGCGATGGACCTTTCGGCTAGTTTTACTGCCTCTTCTAAATCCTGAAAATTCTCAACCCGATAGAAACGGGTCAAAAACAAGTTTGATAGGGTACTTTGAAGATGTCCTAGTTCAGGATCGTTATCTGCGATATTTTCGATGGCTTTCTTCCCGAGCCGAACTGCTTCTTGCAAATCATCCAAGTCCCCAGTTTGCTCATACCGGCTTGTCAGGTCGTTTGCTAGATTCATTAGTAGAATTGTTCCATCTGAATGGTTATAGCTGGGTAGACCAGTAGACATAGCGCTTTTGGCTAAGCGAATTGCTTGCTGTAAATCATCCCAATCTCCCATTCGATCGTATCGGGTTGATAAAATATGGGCAAGAGCTTGTAGTCGCTCTGCTAGATGGGGGTCGTCTTTCTGGGTGATGTCGACTGATGTTTGGCCATGGCGGGCTGCTTCTCGCAATTGATCCAAGTCCCCAGATTGCTCATAACTAGTCAAGAGTTTCGTAGCGAGAGAAGTTGACCGACCCGCTAGATCATGATGATCCTTTGGGGTAATATCTACTACTTGCTGGGCACTGCGGACTGCTTCTAGCAAATCATCCAAGTTCCCAGTCTTGTTGTAACTTATGAAAAGAACTCGCGCCAAAATGCTGAACCGGAACGGTAGATCGGCGTGGTCATCTGGGGTAGAATCGACAGCTCTTTGGGCAAGCTGTATTGACTGCTGCAAGTCATCAAAATTCCCCGATTCCTGATATTGACTTGAGAGATGGGAAGCTAAATTGGCGGAAAAGGTGGCGTGGTCGGCGTGATCCTTCAGGGTATTATTGACAGCTTCCTTCCCTATCTGAACTGCGCGATTTATATCGTCCACTTCTCTAGTGTGATCGAATCTGCTCGATAGATAGAGTGCGAGGTTATTCTGCCAGATCTGGAGTTCTGGGTGATCATTCCGGCCATCAAGGCCCTCGATGGCTGTTTCGACTAGCTGAATTGCCTTCTGGATATCCTCTATATCTCCTATACGTTCATAGCGATTTGAGAAGTTTTTCGCGAGGCGAATCAAATCACCCAATTGGTTGCGGCCATTTGGAGTAAGGACCATGTCATTTTCAGCTAGACAAATTGCCCGATGGAGATCTTCTAGGTCTCTAGTGCGATCATACCGATCAGTGAGGTAAATTGAGAGATTCTTCAAATAGTTGAGTTGGTCAGGCTGACCTTGTCGAGTAGCGCTGATGGCCTTTTCAGTTAGCCCAATTGCTCGATGGAGGTCTTCTAGGTCTTTAGTGTGATCGTAACGATCCGAGAGGTACACTGCAAGGCTTGCTAGATCGTCCGGTTTATCGAGGTGACCTTCTTGAGCAGCGTTTATAGCATTTTCAGTGACCAGAATGGCCCGGTGAATATCTTCTAGGTCTCCGGTGTGCTTATACCGATCTGAGAGGTATGTTGCAAGGCTTCTTAGATAGTCCGGTCTATCGAGGTGACCTTCTCCAGTAGCGTTGATGGCCTTTTCTGTTAGTTGAATTGCCATTTGAAGGTCCTCTAGATCACTTGTCTGACCAAAGCGCCAGTGAAGAGAGGCCGATTGATTAGTCAGTCGACCGGGAAGGTCTAGGTCATCTGCTGGGGTATCACTGATGGCTTTTTCCCCAAGCCGAATTCCCTGGTTTGAAACCTCCAAGTCTCCAGTTTGCCTGCAGCGCTCATGGAGACACCAAGCGAGGTTCGTCAGATATATAAGTTTGTCTGGGTCATCCTCTGGAGTCAAGCTGAAAGCTTTTTCGCCCAGCCGAAATGCCTCATATGAATCCTCTAGGTTTCCGGTTTCGATATATCTGGTGACGAGAGCAAAAGATAAATAACCGGCACGGTCCGCTAGCTCGGGATCGCCCTCCGGGGTGGCATCGATGGATTTTCGCTCATAGCTCACTGCGTCATGCAAATCATCCAAGTTGCCAGTGCAAAGATGGAGAGCTACAAGGTATATCCCCAAGTTCATTGCGTAGTATGGCATATAGGGGTCACTGTCCAGGGTGATGTCGATAGCTGTCCGCGCCGATTGCACTGCCTCCTGTAAGTCTTCCAGGTTTCCAGATTCGCGATATTGGGCGGATAGGGCCTCTGCTAGGTTGTATGACAGTAATAATGGATCGGGCTGGCCTTTGGGGGTAGCTTTGAGCGCTGCCTGAGCATGGCGGACATTTTCTTGCAGAATATTCATTGCTTCTTCTTGGGTTTTCTCCTGCTCTCAAGGTTTGGGTTGGAACGCTGATATCTTGCACGTGGTTAGCTGCTTTTTTAATATCTCTTTGTTCCCCATGTTTTTCTCCATGGACTTTTGATACGGTTGAGTTCCAAGGTTGCCTTCAATGCCAAGTTTGCTTCGCACTTTTTATTTGACGCTATCACGGATTCACGGATGTAATATGACTCACCATTTGATAGTTTGACTTGTATTTCGCGCTCCGAGTATAGCAAATACCAATGAGTATGTGATAGGGCTTCGATAAAAAGTTTTGTTAGACGAAATATTATGGAAGTTCATAAGCCGTTTATAGGATATCCCTATAAATTACCTGACGATGTAGTAAGTTGTAAAGCCCTTGCTTAGTAGTAGACTAGAGCCTTTTTCTCCACACGTGCATGATCAATAGGGGCCATTTGGGCACCATTCGAATTTCGGGCACCGTCATGTTTCAAGTTTTCAACACATTGATTTATCACGTGACCCATACAGGCTTTAGTCGTAATTTATATTTTGGTGGTAAAATTCAGGCGCGAAGCTCCCTCAAGTGCTCTCAAGAGTCAAGGGTACTTCTCGATGCGTAAATCAGGTTTATTCGCAAAAAATACAGTCGCCCCAAGCGGCACCATATCGTTTTCAATAAACAAAGTCTTTTCAAGGCCCTTGAATACGGTGATTACGCCAAATCCTTCTTTGCGGTTCCATAATGGAAATACCGCGCTACTGAATTCACGACCCTGATCTGAAGGCGCAAGCGTCTTTCGTGAGGCTGGTCCAACAAAAGTCTTTTGAGATTGTCAGCCTGATTGAAACATGAACGAGTGGCTATCATATGGTCCTGTACCGTAGTCTCAAAGTTGAGCCCCCCTCCAGTTGCAGAGGCATTTAAGCCCATGCTCGTTAGAAGGCGATTTGGTTTGTATTTCGAAACCACGACGGTTATTTCTTCGGAATGTTCATTGACAACCCAAACACAAGGTGGAATATTTTTCAGTTTACGGGCTATTGCCCCAAAGGCCCCCTTCAGAGTGGTGATTGGTATGAGCGATACTTTCACATGATGAAGAGAATAACGAGCTTCTTACCCTAGGGGTGGCCCCCCTCTTTGGGGGGTAGCGGGGTAATTCTAGCACTTCCAGCATCATTTCAGGCTCTTTGAGATTTGCAGCAGAAATGGCGTCTTCTGAGTCCAGCTCCAAATCATTTTCTCTTTCTGTATTTTCCTCCTCGTCAGATTTTTGGTTCATAGTAGCGTCGTAATCTGGTAGGGGAAACGGTCGAAGAAGTAGAAGGAAGAGGTGGAGGTGCCACTGGAAGCGTGCCTCTGTAAATATTCTGGCTCAATAATTGATTCCATGTTTTGTAATCTAAAACATAGTAGACCAGCTGTTGGTTTTCGGCCGGAATTGCGGACTGACAAAGTACTAACTAGTACAAACCGCCCCAGTTCGATACCACCTACTAGTGATCAAGGGAGTTAGCGTCCCCTTCTATCCCCTCGCTATTGGATGGCACTCGAATCAGTAAGCCCTTTTTTTGATACAGACTTAGAAAATGTATTTAAAGCCTGATTGACTTAACTTGTAAAATACTGAATTCATGCTGGCACCGCGTATTGGGAGAGGGGGATTGTTTATCAGATTGGACTTTCTCACCATAAATTTAGCTCCCAAGGCTCTCTAACAACTTTCTTCTTGTATCTCACATACTATATCCCTTATGCCTTCCACCAAGCGTCGCGCTTTGCTCATTGCAAGCCCCTTTGGGGAGCTCGAGGGGCCAGAGAATGACGCTGCACTGATGTCCGAAATTCTCCGAAAGCGGGGTTTCAAAGTCTATCAGTGTTGTGGTTCTGCGGCGACTCGCGATGGTATTCGTTCTGCTTGGCAGAACCTCATCCGCAAAATCTCCGCCGATGATACTGTTGTTGTCTACTATTCAGGTCATGGCGGAGAAGCGCTTCGAGTAAAGAGTGCGGACCAACAGGATTCTCAAATGGCAAGGCGGCTACAATTTATCGTTCCTATGGACTATAAGGAAGTTCCAGGAGAGTTTCATGGAATTTCAGAAGATGAAATTTCTCAATGGCTGCTTGATACCACAGAAAAAACGCGAAATGTCACCGTCATAATGGATTGTTGTCATTCCGGTCGCATGGTGCGCGATTCTCGATATGTCAAAAATGCTAAGCGGAGGAATCTCCCTACAGTCATTTATGATGATATCGTCCGCCACGTCCAGTCTCTGTATGATAAGGGTCTTTTGCGCGAGCGCACGCAGCTGGGGGATAATCCTCACGCAGTTCGGATTGCCGCCGCGGCACCTTGGGAGAGCGCGTTTGAATATGAAAGCGATTCGGGTGTGCAACTTGGTGCATTAACCGAGGCTCTTGCTCGTGTGATAGAACGAGCAGGGAATAATCATATCTCTTGGAGGACACTGATGCTTGAGGTGCAAGAATTAGTCAACATGTCTTTTCCACAGCAGCATCCGCGAGTTGAAGGACCGCAGAGTCGCTTTTTATTTTCTCTGGACTGTCGAAACTCCAATTCCTTCCTCATCACACAGGGTGTTGATCAAACAGCTATTATAAAAGCTGGCAGGATTGCAGGAGTCAGAGAAAAGGACACATACGCGGTTATGCCACCTGGATCGGAATGTGTGAACCTGAAAACTCAGATCGCCACTGCAACCATCCAAGAGGCTAGCAGCTTTGATGCTGTGGCAATAATCACTTGGAAAAACGGAAAGTCCAGACTACCTGATGGAGGCGCACTAGCGTTTTTCATCGAAGAAAATGACAAAAAATGGCCAGTCTTTGTTACGGCGAATATTGCCGCACTTCAGAAGCAAGTCGCGCTGTCCAGACTTATTAGGTGCAGCTTCGATGGCGAGAGGAGCCCACTGCTCAAAATTTGCCAGCAGAAAGGCAAACTCTTGGTGATCAACAATCATGGGGTGGAACTTTTCTCACAGCGGTTCTACGGAAGGGAGCCTACTCCATCAATGTACAAAGCAGCTGTTGGTGTTGCAGATCGAGTGGCTCGCGCGCAGCACTTTCTCGTTCAAACATGTGATAGCGCAGAGGAATATTTACAGAATGATCTTGAAATCCAGCTGGGGCTAGTGAACAATGACCGTCACGGAAGAATGATCGATCCTACCGGCGAGGATGGTATCACCGAGGATTCCAACATCTTTATGACTATGAAAAACAACGACAATGAAAATACTGTATTTGTGTCTGTCTTTGAAGTCGAGGTGAATGGACAGATCAACGCAGTTACCGAAAATCCGGATGGAATCGATTTGCCCCCGGGATGCAGTCACACAATCGGCAGTACCAACTTCAAGCTTGAGGGACTCAAGGTCCAATGGCCACTCAACATACCCAAACGACAACCGGTGTTGGATACCTTGGTCGTCGTGGCTTCAAATCGCCCTGTCAACTTGCAATTTTTGACAAACTCCGATGCTGCTGCACGAAGCACCGCCACAGATCAGTCCTCTTTAGAAAGTCGACTTCTTCGGCTAGTACAGGGCAGAGGCCGCCTTATCGTGACCGGAAAAAGGATATCGAAAACCCGTTATGATATCTTTCATTTCCCTTTTTTGTTGACACCCCATAAGCTTCAAACAGCCATATGAAAACGGTGGTCAAATTATTTAATCGGTCTGAGACTGTAGTCATCCAACATTGAGTGGCGGAAGCTTTTTATGAATGGGAACATTAATGCCAAACAGTCCAGCTGTTTTCATTCAGCTCGAATCAAATGGTCACCCGCAGAGCAGATGCAAGCGCCTGTCTCTCCGCTGGGCGTATCCCTAAAATAAATCGAGCCTGTTCGGAGAATTATATTCAAAAAAAACTCTCCCAGAAGTATTTGAATGTCAAAAGGCGAGATGCTTCCTCAAGTGTTTACCCACATAGGGGCTTGGCACAAAACAACCCTACCGTACTCTACGGATTACTCGGGATATCGCCCGGGCCCGGGTGATTTTAGAGTAATAACCCGGGTTAGAAACTGGAGAACATCCGTTATTGGTTGTCTTAATCCTGCCTAAAAATACGATTTCTTGGAACATATATCTCAAACAGTGATTGGCCAAATTAATCCATGGCAAGGCTGACTTCAAATGTTCAGCATCCTGGGCCAAAAACTCAGCCGAACCAGCTACAGTTTTTTTGTATCGCTTATTTTGACCAAGGGGCACCTGGGGTTTCCACGTCATTTGAGCCTCAACATAAAGCCTAGATAGGCTGCCTACATATTAGTATAGACAGGTATTGGAAATCTCACCTCACCAAATCGCTTATATGAGCGGGGTAAAGACCAACCTTGGAACTACAACTGATGGATATTTAAACCACACTATTGAACTGCTTACAATTGATGCTTGACCACAAACAAAATTTGAAGCTGTTTACCTACAGAAGGCCGCCAAGTGAACTTTGTTTTCTTTTTCGCCAGACCGTCACTGTGCAAAAGAAAAAGATATTTCTTTTCAAACACAAGTACTACCTAGTACTAGTACGTCTGCGGTTCATCAAACCCTCTGGCAAACAACGAAAATTCTCTCAAATTAAAAATCTTCATCATTCAAGGCAATGGATGTTCTAAGTGCAGCAAACCGCCGAGCTCTTGCATCAATAAATGCCATAATCAATGGCCTACATCTGCCGAGACACCAAAAGGATTTACTCGAGAGAATCATTCCACAAATCGATCCCAACAGCCATCTTTTCAGGCTCCAAAATGAAAGATGGGGCCCAGTTGTGGAGGTGACAACCACCATCACCTTGGACGCTCGACCTCACCCAAACGTCGTTCGCATTTTGCTTGATGTTGACATTCCGCCGACTACTTCTTCCCAACAACCACACATTGGATGTGAGGTGTACTTGAATGGGACGCGATGTGGAAATGATCATATCTGGATTGACCGAAACATTTTACATGCTGGACGTCCGCAGTTTGGGCACCAGTTGGAAGAATATGGTTGGTATAACGAATCGCTTGAGTCGTCTCTCCCGCAAGGGGTTCAACTGCAGGTTAGTTTCAAGAGATACAAAGGAGCGGCTTAATGTTGTATTCAAGCTTGGAAGAAATAGACATTTGAACCCAGGTTCTGATGACAGGGCTGTTTATATTATATTGTTTTAGTGTAGTGCTACTTACCTAAGCTAGTCTAATCAACTTATCTCCAAATCCACTGAAGTCGATTGCGGGGTAAGAAATCATGAGTTCCTTTACCCGACATCATCTCTGAACAAATCTGATTCCCGCTTCTCTATACTGTAGAAACTCCAAGTGAAGAATTCCTCCAGAAGTAAATTTGTTCCAAGGTTCCACTTGTTCTACAATATTGAGGTTGTGATAAATTGAGTTGTGGCGAGAACATCGAGTGCATGAAAATGACTTCGCTGCCGCCCGTGCCCCCACTTCCAAAACCTCAACTGGAACAACTTCTTCCCGGTGTCTCCCTTGTTCTACCACTATCTAGGAGAGGCACAGGACCTGGGTTGATCTTGGTGCTTCCTGATCTTGGAAGATCTATTCTCTCAATCGAAAATGGAATTCCGTCGCCAGTGATCAAATGGACCGAAGAAAGCTACATTGTAGCCGCGATTGATGAGTCCGTTCTTGAGAGCTCCGAACAAGGAGGAGAACTGCTTGTTGAGGTCGCTCGTACTCTGAATGAAAACCCTCTGTGCGACATCAAAGATCGAGTTGGATTAATATGTAAGTTTCAGCCATCCCAGTCATTCCTGTGTCATATGGAAACAACAGGTTGATTCTATTTCTGGATCACAGTATACAGTGCCCGCGCGTGGTCTCTTGTGGCACCAGTTGTTACAAAAGTACCGGCGATCAAGGCTACGGTGATATATGGGAGTATTGAAGACTCTGAAATTTTTACCAGGTTATCTATTCCCATGGTCCAACATCTAGCAGGAATAGCCGCGCCAAACACGCTTCAAAGACGCAAAGACTTTATGCAATATAGTTACACTGAGACGACGAGTGCGTCTTTCAGCATTCCGTTCCAGCCAGACTTTCATTACAATGCCGAAGCAGTTTCGCACACTCGCAATCTCTCCTTTTTGAAAGAAATTATGGGAGGTCCATTTTTCGACCTTGAGCAAATTTGGGATGAGCACACATACTATGAGTTTGAAAACCGCTCCGTTGAACATACAATGAGTACGATGGTCCAAGAGCCATACGTTAATCATGTCCCTACAGTATATCTCGCCAATCCCCAAGAACCTGACATAATTGATTGAAATGCGCTGACTCCCCAATAGCTTACTGGCGGAATCGGGCGCAAAGAGTTAACGGAATTTTATCGTGACCATTTTATTTACAAGAACCCCAAAAACACCACCCTAGAGCTGATCAGCCGAACGATCGGCATTGATCGCGTGGTCGACGAATTTATTTTCAAATTCTGTCATGATACGGAAATGGACTGGCTGTAAGTTATCCAATGTTGCAAACCTATCACGTTCATAAAATCTCCAGCCTGAGAAAATTTGCTTACAACAACACTTTCAGAATTCCGGGTATCCCACCTACGCATCGCGACATGGAAATTCCATTCATGGCGGTAGTCAATATTCGTGGAGATCGTCTTTATCACGAGCACATTACCTGGGACCAGGGAACTGTTTTGATGCAGCTAGGCTTGATGCCGACCCATCTTCTTCCTGCTACGAATGAGCCAAAGATCGAAAAGGCCCAGGATGGATACAAGACTCCCGCCTTTGGAAAAGAGACTTCTGCCAAGCTAAGGGACAAGAATTCTATGCCTTCAAACGTCATTCTTGCCAACTTGTTGTCTGGAGCAAATGCACTCAGAGAAGCCTGAATTTACTTAGTGTTGGCTTCAAATGTTACAAGAGTTCTAATCTGGTAGGTCTACAAAGTGTCTACCAAATTTTTCGATATAATTTCTTCTTGAAATAAACAGTAGTTTTACGCTCATTTAAACTTTGATAAGGAATACCCAGGCCACCGAATTCGATACAGAACTTGGATTTACGGGGTACCTGATGATCTGATTCTTGGGGGAAGCGGCGACTGCTCGGATAGGAAAGCCCCGACGGGAAGAATCCACTATTGATTACTTATCCAGGAACTGTCCGAGCCCCTGTTCCAACGCGTTTCAAGTTGATAGTGATAGGGTGTTCAAAAACAAACTGCCAGAATTGGAAGAGTCATAGAGAAATAGATTTATTATGAACAATATCCTATTTTTCTGATAATTCCAAGCAAACTTCATATCCATTCAAGATTGGCAGAGAAACCAATGCTGTGTGGTATCAATGTAAAGGGGAAAATATGAGACTTTTTGGTTTCAGCCTCTCTACAAAGCTCGGCCTGAAACATCCCAAGAACCACCACCAGTTTCATGCTTAAAATTTTTATTTTTGGTGAATCCCTGGGCTTATATCCTAATTACCTCAACATTGAATGTTTCCAATATAAAAAGTCAGTTCAACTTTCGTGTTTACTACTATGGAATTTCTTTCTAAATTGCCTTTGTGTTCTATATACCCTTGCGATTGAATTTATTTTCATTTCCCTCTTTTTCTTCAATATTCCTTATCTACTAGTATACGAGATCTAGATTGATTCTCGTTCATCTTGACAAAACTCACTCAAAATGCGTCCTGTTCATGCTTTCGTTCCTCTGATCGGTGCCATTGGCGCGGTCGCAACTCAGCCTTCTGATTCATGGGTATTTGGTGACAGCCTCTTCTATCTTGGACCCCCCGCCGGAAATTCCCGAATCACCAAGGCTACTTACTCCATCTTGCCTCCTTCTGTTCCATCGGGGGCCACCGTCTCTAATAACGATGACGAGGTTTGGGTCTCTGTCTGGGTTGGGGCATCATCGAGTGCTGGCAGCGATGACTATGACCTCTACCAGCCCCTTTTCAATTGGTCTCTTGACCAAGAATCGCAGTGAGTATATGATGTCTCACAATTATATTAATGGTGCAGTTTGCTGAATTATTTCATGAAATTCAGGGGTTGTTCTGCCTCTGTGGGAGAGTGGTGTGTGGCAGCGAGTACTTATACTCCTGGTGAGTGATAATCGGAAATGATGCGCAAGTCGATTTGTGCACCGAAGCTAAGATTCATTTCATTCAGAGGGCCAGATCGGTCAGAACTACGTGACTGTTCCCAAAAACACTATAGTGGACTTTGAAAGTATGTATATGCCCACACTTGCTGATTTGCGACCCACAATCTTATCTTCAGTCGCTGACAAATTGTTATTGAAGTCGCTGTCGAGGATGAAAAGGTCATCCAGATCGTCACTATTGATGGGGAGGTAGTCTCCAAGCAGAGCGACAGTAAGCACCCTCCAGCACGCTGCTACGAAATGAATATTCACTGATAATGTCTTGTTTAGCCCTCGACGCTGCCCTCCAATATCTCTACTCCAGCAACGAATGCTATACCGGGTCTGGAAGCTGCGGCTCGCTCGCTGGTTACAGTATGTCCTCTCAAATCAGACCACTCAAAGATATTTCATACTGACCTCTCCAGCCATCTCCAACTTGACCATCACCCTCAGCGAGGCCGACAAGGGTTTCGCTGATGTCATGTCCCTAGACAGCGTCACGGACAAGAACTTCAAGAGCACCGATGGAGGCATCACCTGGCACGCGGACTGGATCAAGGTTTCTGCCATCGACTTCGACTCTTCCAGTGACACTGAGGTCGACTACTAATATCAGGTTTTCTTCCCCAAGATATGGATCGGAATGTTGAAGATCATGAGTTAATTGGTGTACTATACCTCATTTATACCTGTATATACCCTCCCAGCCTTACTCGAAGCTGCTATGTCATGCACATGGAAGATTCCCCCGAGCTTGAAAATCACGAGAATGAATCAACCCCAGAACTGGCGCAAGCAAGGGGGCCACAGGCCCCACAATTCTATCAGCATAGCTTAAACAGATGGGCCTATCGGCCTTCCGGGACGATCGTGCGTTGCATTCTTCGCGACATTCCATTCCTAACATTCAACTCTTGTCCCTGCCCGGCTACAAACGGTTTAAACAGGCTGGATGCCCTTTGTATGATTCTATGCCCCATGCAAAGCACGTCAAAATTGGCCTTTCAAATGTGTGCCCTGCATCCATATCTGGCCCAGGCTGCACATGCATACTTGAGTTGTGCTGGTGTTGGACACGGCTTATTTTATAGCATAACACAGCATTTGAAAGCACATGGCTGTAACCTCCGGATTGCCGTTTCTGTTCCTGTTACTGTTCCAAGGTTTCGAAGCGTGGATGCCGCCGATAATTCTCGAGACTTCCAGGATTCGATGAAGACGTCTTGTGGGGTAGCTTGAGCTCTTCTTGCTGCCCATTAGCTATAATACCCCTCTCTGGCCAATCATTATATGTGCAACAGGGAAAGAAAATTCCTTTCGTCATTTGATAAATATTAGGCTTTTCACCCCTTCCTCCCGTTATATAATTAAGGGGATAAACCTAGGGGCATTACGCAATGTGACATTATGCATTTTGGAACAATTTCTCAGTTATAAAGTAAGTATTCAACATTCAACACATTGCTTTTATAAAAACTCCGGCGTTCATATATATGAACTCCATGATCCACTCCAATGGATACCGAACGATCCTCATCGAGCGTTTCAAGCACCTGTCAGAAACAAGACTCACTGTCATGTAGCGCTCAAAATGACCCGGAGAAGAGCCCTCTCGAAAATGACCTGCCGCCCGTTGATGGCGGTTTCCACGCCTGGATGTTCCTGGCCGCCTCCACGATGATAGAAGCACTGGTGTGGGGGTTCGCGTTCTCATTCGGTGTTTTTGAAAGCTATTACCGGGATAATGAGCTGCTCAAGGGCTCAAATATGGTTGCTGTTATCGGAACCTGTGCCACGGTGAGTTTCTCCATCCTTGAATATTTCCAATTGATGACAGGCTCTAATATATGCATGGAAAGGGAGTCGCATATCTGAGCTGTCCCGTGGTCATCGTAACCATGATTCTTCTCCCCCGATACGCCAGGTGGTTCTCAACAGCAGGCCTGATCATCATGTGTTTATCACTCGCCCTGGCCTCCTTTTCCACGAGCATCACGCACCTCGTTCTGTCGCAAGGGATCGGTTTCGGCATCGGTGGCTGCATAGCCTACAGCCCATCAATCATGTTCATGTCGGAGTGGTTCGATAAGCGCCGAGGACTCGCCTTTGGAATGGTCTGGGCAGGCTCCGGTGTCTCCGGCATCCTATTCCCACTCGTGTTGGGTAAATTATTGAACCGCTTCGGATTCCAAACAACCCTGCGAGTGTGTTCAGTCCTACTATTCGTACTCGCCGCCCCATTCTTATACTTTCACCGACCGCGGCTCCCGATTTCGAAAAAGATAGCTCATCATCGTCTGAACGCAAGATTCCTGCGGGATCCCGTTTTTCTTATTTATCAGGCCTGCAACACGCTTGAGGCTTTTGGATTCTTCTTACCGGCTATTTACCTTCCGACTTTTGCGCGCTCGATTGGCGCGTCCGAGTTGCTTGCTTCGTTGACCGTCACGGCTTTGAATCTCGCGTCCGTTTTTGGGAGTATATCGATGGGCCATTTGTCTGATCGGTGTCATGCTTTGAAATGCATCACCATCTCGACTGTTGGGACGGTGCTGTCTATTTTCTTGCTGTGGGGCTTCTCCACTAATATCGCAGTGGTGATGGTGTTTTCGGTTGCGTATGGAATATTCGCTGGGAGTTTCTCAGCGACGTGGTCGGGGATGATACGGGATGTCCAAAATGTGGATCGAAGCTCGGATGCAACTATCGTGTTCTCAGTTATTGCGTTTGGACGCGGGATTGGGAATGTTGTGAGCGGGCCTTTTAGCGAGTTTTTGCTTCGTGCAGATAGTTGGAAAGGACAAGCAGGTGGAGCATATGGTACTGAGTTTGGGCTTCTCATTGTTTGTACTGGCCTTACTGCATTGGCAAGTGGATTGTGTTTGGTTGCACGATGCTGTAAATATACATAAGCCTTCTCAAATGTACCTGAGATCTATATAGGCTTCGAGAATATACCAATTGTTATTCTTTGTTAAATTCTCTGCTTGAGTTTTCATGTGCTCTACATGTATTGACACCTGGGGGCTTTGTAATTGCTATTTATCAGGAGAGGTTTACCACAAGGGGAACAGTAGATGTTGTTGGAATCACATGACCACGCTGTTTCTACCGGACCTCTCCAGTCCTGTCGATCCTCACCGCCTGGTGTGCTTCCTTGAGATAGCAGGCTGCGTCTCTCTAGTTCTTCTTCTCTGGCTCACCACAATCAAGAATCCATATTCATTCCACTGCTTGTTTCCTTCGCTTCTGTTAGTCATTTCGAAACGACGGTCGTCCAAAATGTGAATTTGCCGGTGTAGATCGTGTGTTCCGTATATACCCTGAGCGTGACCTGGTCGACGTCGCTTGGTGGCGAAGGCCCGGTCAATGGCTGACCACACCCCCTGATTCGAGGACTTGAAAAACTCGTTGGGCATCTGCGCGGACGTTGGGGAGATCTCCAGGAACAGGAATTATTTTGTCTGTGAAGGCGCTCATGTTGTCGGTCAACTGAGTGGGGAGATTGCTGTATCTTTGAGAAGAAAAGGGTATCGATATTTAAGAATCAACGAGGGCTGCTCAGTGTCGTTTTAATACCTAGTCATACCTCTTAAGTTATCTAGACCTTGGAAGAAATTTATGGCGCTTGCAGATCAACCTCGATCCTTTATCAACGCTCTAGCGCAATCAACGCGCAAATTATTGCGCGCGTTCATCACCATGCGCCGACCACGACGCGTGACGACCAGTGACCTACTCCCCAAGGTAAAAAGCGTCGATCGTGGCCACCCCTTCAGTTAAAGGAAAGGTCCGAGGTCTTGGCCATACTTGTTTCCCTTTATGTACAGGACAAATGAGAGATGTGTAGGCGTGTGTTATTCTAAAAGTGTAGCTAATCTAACTATTGAAGTCCACACCGCTATTCGGCTGTCGGGCTTTACCGCCTCACGAGTCATACCTAATAAACCCTTGGTATATTAACAAGATAAATCATTTGGCTCAAGGAAATCAGAATGGTGAAAAAGCCGAAATGGTGAGGAAAAAGAAATAGAAGAAGAATAAAAACAAAAAAAACATACAACAGTCAGGATTCGCATGTGGTCACCCACCATACTACTAACTGACCGGCGTGTGGCTTAAGTACGGCTGAGCGGACGGGAAGCCCTGTTTTCCACACCCTATGGTCGTATGTACAAGAAATGGCATTGAAGTGGCTTATAGCTAATCATGTGCAGTCGATTGTCATACTGGCGGGAATCAGGAACATATTGAATTGTACTTACCACTCACACATTCTTTGCGTCGGCTCGGACTTTGCTTTCTGTCACTACTACGCCGGCCTCAAGGACGACTGAGGGGTTGCACTTTAAGTCTTTGGCTCCCTACCCAGTTGTTTATTGTTCTTCCTACATTATTTACCTACAGGCTACGGCGGTGGACCTCGTTTCGCTCCGCAGTAGCTTAAACATCTTTAGGCGCCCAAGCGCCTACGATTAACCTAGTGAGCATTACTCCGTAGTAACTTCGCTTTCGGTATTAGTATTACCATCTCTGTTGTCATCGTCTTATTTCTCAACTGCTGTAAAGCTCAGAAGGTCAATCTTTTTTTGAGCGTATTGTGCAAGATTCAAGGGCTCTTGGCAACTAGCATGGAACGAAATAGATCAAGTCCCTCCAACGCCAGCGCCACCGGCGCTAACATTTGAACGTATGAATTCCCACGGGATTGTCGGCGATATTAGCAGCTAACCTAATTTATTCTGATTTGTTGAAAGAAAGAAGGTCTGAGCTAGCTATTATGCTTCTTGCTAGATTTCTGAGAAGAGATTTGTTGAAGGCAGTGCAGAAACAAAGGGCAGTGCAGAAAGAAAGTATGTAAAAGCTCAAGGCGAATATGCGAGCTACTGCAATGCAGTCAGCCCTGAAAGTACGTCAAGTAAGAGCACCCTATTCGAAAAAAAAATCCCCCGAATGGATACCTCTACAACAACTATTTCTACTCGTTAAGATGATCTAAATTTCGGTTTGACTGGAAAAGGAGGGTAACTAAAAACATATCAAAATCTCACCTCTGTACAACAATGAAATAAAATTATAATGACTCCCGCCCTACTCTTTTTCCCCTATAGTAAAGAATCCCACCCTCGTTATAATCGATACTGTTATAATTACCTCTATGGCCTAGGTGGATCTTTTTCGCCACTGCGGCACTGCTTTGATTTAATGGTGGAATTTGGACACATGATGATTACTTACACCGCTTATTTAAATCACTCAAGGTTGACCAGTGATTTTGATGCCATTCATTGGTTGTCCGTCCTGCAGTCGGTTTTCAGTGGCTGGTGTACCTGTCAAAATGAGATCTTCTAGGCGGGTGAATATTACTCGCAGCCGGAAAAAAAAAAAAGAAAAGAAAGAAAGAAAAAAATCTTCACTATGTTATGTTGTGCCTCCATTCTACCAATTTGTTTCTCCATTTACTAGAGGCAGATTTCACGCTAATTGCTGAACAATTGTCAGTTGACCACATTTATATATAAGAGATTCAACGTGCGCTCAGGTTTGACAGTTTCACCGGTAATACTCGTAGATAAAAGAAATAAACATGATTGACTTCGTCATACGAGATAGGTTCTCCGTGAGTGGCTTCTTTCAATCAATACTTTCGGCTTATAATACGCGCTAAAGTCTGAGCCTCTTTCACGCATGTGCATGCGTCAATGGCACTGCCGACCTCGTATTCTTGTAGAATATAATTGTACGATGCCCCCGGCGCAATGAATTTTAATTAACTCACTCACATGTGCATCCACATTCACCGCTTTCTAGATAATTCTCAAGTGCGATAGCAAAGCGAACCTGACTAGCCTCTGTTTCGAGTCACACGTTCCAAGGTTCAGGGCAAAAGGATGTCGAACACTTCAGGAATGGCAATATCAAACCCATCAGACCACCCTCCTTCTCTTGGAGAACTGAAGACACTTTATGCATCTTTTTCCGATAATTATTTTCGCTACCATTCTGAGATTCCCGATTTTTTGCAAAAATCCTCCGAAAAAATGCTTCTGAAATTAATGAAGACTGAAAAGGAGAAGGTTTTTTATATTGCACAGCGCCACATTTTCCGCGAGGTTGTTTCTGAAAGAGGTATCGCCAGCCTCGGATTACTTGGATATTTCAATCCTATCAAACCATTCACGCATATTTCATGGCTAGTATTTTCCGGGGAATTACCAGGCAATATTAAAGTAATGGCACCTGGGAACAATTTCACAACCAATCCCTCAATCAATATTTTGAGCAAGGTACTAACTACTAGTGTATAGCGCATTTGTGAATTCTCGGAAAGATACATGTCGGATGATATCTCTGTCGATGTGCTGAAACTCCCTGTTGATATGAAAAGCAGTGAGGAGACAAGCTTGAGTGATTCTATTGCAATTCCATCTCATACTTTTGAGGGAGACTTTGATTTGTGGGATATGGCATACTCTCAACTTCGAGTGGAGCAGGTTGAGCTTATTACCAACTACGAAAGTATTCTGTGCGAATATCTCCCCGGTATCCTAAACGAAAAGGAGAAGGAAGATGCTTCACTCCAGCAGAGCCGACTGGTGGAATTTCTTGGTCGCAGCCTCGAGAATGTGCAGAGCATGCAACCCAGCATGGCCAGAAATATTGCTCCCTATTCAAAACAAGCTTTATCCGCCATTGTATCGTTGAAAAGCGGGATTGAGGCAGTTGTCCCACACGGCACGATTCTGTGGGTTGCACTCGCAATCGCACTCCAAGTAAGTCAACATGATGCTTCAAAGAGCGAACTCCCATTTTCAGCGAAAACATACTAAATATTATGGCATTTTATCAGTTGCTGAGCACATTAGCCTCGGCCGTTGAGGATACAGTGAATGCTATAACCGGTGTGATTGACATTACGGGCAAAATAAAATGGTACACAGGTTTGGCGGATGTTCTCGCCCATCATCAGCACAGACAAGAGCAATCATTCATGGCGATGCGGTGTGATATTTTGAAGTCTATCTTGAAGCTGTACCAAAAGCTTCTTCACTTCACCATCGAATGTGTATTTGCATTCAGAAGGGGCCTCACTCAAGCCCTAACAAACTTCGAAGTCTTTCCTAGCAAATGGAAAGATCTGCGGCACGGCATCTCCATCACTGAGGGCCAAGTTCAGCAATTCTTGGCTCAATATTGCAACACCAGCGTCACTTCATACGTCGGCCTCCTGGTTAATTTGAAAATGTCACGAGAACACCGCGGCATTATGCAACAGCTCTGCGTCATAGACGTTGACGCAGCCATTGAGTCTCTCAGAACACCAGGCGATTTGAAGGAGGACTATTTCGATGAACTCCAAAAACTTGCATCTAGAGAATGTTACGAGCGCAGCTTGTGCATTCCTAAGGGTGATGGCGAGGTCACATCATCTCGAATGATAAATTTCTTTGATTTGGCGATCGAAAACCTCAATGCGCGTTTCGACATATCTCACGTTGCCTATTTCTTCTGCAATGATACAGAACCAAAGGCCGATGTGACTATACTACGCACTTTGATCTGGACTCTGGTTCGACAAGATCATATCCTCATTCAGTATTTGAAAAACAAACATGACAATCTTGGCCAAAGGTTGTTTGACGATACGAACGCCTTTCATACTCTGAAGCACATTCTGCGGGAGATGCTTGCAGATGCGCGTATTCGGCTGGTGATTCTCGTGACTGATCGACTTGATTGCTGCATTCAAGAGAAAAACAAAGACTATCGTCTGAGAAAACTTCTCTCCGACATATGCCAAAATAATGAGAAGGCTAGATGGGTAAGACCAGGATTTAGCAGCGTAACCCATGGGGGTAACTGTAATAGCCACTTTTATGATTAGGGTGAGATTCTTCACTATGGGAGAAAAAAAGTGGGGGCGGGGATCATTGCAATTAAACTTCTGATAGTCATTACAATTTGTGTCTTGGTTTTATGGAGCTGATATTTTGATATATCTTTTATTGCCATCATTTTATGGTCAAACCGAAATTTGGACCATTTTAAGTGGTAAAAATGGTCATCAATTAACAACCTAGCAAAACAGGAAGGAGTGAAATAATATTACCGCGTGAGCGTAATGGTGGTGCAGGCCTCGATTGCTGAGAGGGATCGGCACTCTTCCCGCTAATATACATGATAATCAGGTGATCCTAGGCGGTGACCGCCGATCAAGGATGGCAGTGTAACAAATAAAAGTGAGAGAACGAGACAATGAATAACACCGGACTAGGATAGAAGAACAACAAGTGGAAGAATAACAAGTAGGAAAGCAGCAACGACAACAACAGCAAAAGGTGCAAAACCGGACTATTCGCTCTCACCGAACTCTTCGATCAGATCCGGACGATTTGCCATGACCTCCGTATGTGTCCGCCACTCGTCCCATGCCAGATCCATACCCCTGCGTCGCGACTCGCAACAGGTATTGTGGGTGCTGCCCCTTATGCGTGGTTCGCGACGCAACGATCTTTTTGAACATGGACCAAGGCTCAGTTTGACGTGGTAGCATTCTGCTGGGAATGCGCCGCAAGCCCAGCAGGAATTCTCAAACAGCTGCGCTATTTTCGTTCTTGTTGTTTCTGAAAATTGGCCGGAGCTGGGGCTTGCTGAGCTAAATAAGAAAAAGAAACAGAAGAAGAAGAAAAATCAAAAACATACAACAGTCAGGATTCGCTTGTGGTCACCCACCATACTACTAACTGACCGGCGTGTGGCTTAAGTACGGCTGAGCGGACGGGAAGCCCTGTTTTCCACACCCTATGGTCGTATGTACTTGGAGATTTACTGATCCAGGTTATATTGTACAAAGTAAGCGCACAGTTGAGAAGGGTGGGAGCTAGTGAGAATATTAGGTGCTTCAAAGTAGAATATCATTCAAAATGAATCACTGGGTATACCAATAAGACCAACGCCCACTAATGTTTTTGAACGAGTACCTCGTGTCAAGTGTGGGTATCACTTCCGATGTCACCATGGCAAAAAGACCTCGTAGGAGATATAATCTGTATCCTGCTCAAGATAAAGCATTCATTTGCAGAAATGTGTTAACGTCGACGTATGACTCTCCCGTATTACCCACGGGGGTTGCAAAACCCTGCCAGGATAGCCAATTATCCGGCGCTTCAAGACTCAGGCCAGGAATTCCAAACCCCAGCATCACTGGTGGGGGTCCTAATGTATGTAAGCCGAAAGTTGTAGCGAAAAAAAAAACCCTAGTGAAAAGAAGCCAGTTGCTAGCTGAAAGGACCGGTATTACCTTGAAATGACGGATCAAGCCGCTGTGTAAGCAAAGATGAATCTGAACCAGCTCCAGGATCTCCAATAACATATTGCAATGCTACGGCAGCTCTTCGAGCTTCCCTGGACGTCTCACTTTCTCGAAGCCAAATCGCCTGCGTCTTCCTCAGGAGTTGCTTCAACTCGTCGATATTCACAGGCATGGGCCTCTTCTCTCCAGAATCACTGTGATCTCTTACCTCTGCCGATCCGTGAGCCTGGAGATAGAAACAAAGAATACTAGTAGCAAGTAAGAAGTCGTGGGTAAACGAGGCAGTCACCCTCCAGCGGCTCTGATACATTCGACCATTTAGTTGAGTCTCTTCGTCGATCAGGTGTTGCAGCTCGAGGATCTTCGTGGCAGCTACCAAGCATGCAGAAACTGAATATGGGTATTGTTGTTGAGGATGTGAAGCAACCATGAACTGCTTGTGCAGAACAATCTTCAAGCGCTGGACACTGACTTCTAGCCAGATTCTCTGAATGATGACCTGTGAAGAAACTGAGAGAGACGACGCAAGGCTGACCCATTTCATGCTTGATGGTAGTGCCTCGCGCGCCCCATCTATTTCCTTATCGAGATGAAGAACATGTGCGTACGAATATGGCCGAGGTTCCGTGGCAACGTCCGCAACCTTTGCCCCAACAGAGATAAGTCTCAGCTTTGCTAGAGTGTAGAGAGTGGGTGTCACTTCCGTTTCAGGTCGGGAAGGTGGGAGCTCAGTGATGAATTCGTTCAAGTCGGAATCAGCCAGATTCCTTGGTTCGGTTACATCGGTCTGGTTTTCTTTGATGATCCGGGGAAGCCCCACTTGACTTGAGATACTAAAATCCAGCTGCACTATTAGGGCCCAAACGCGCCTCCTCATCTCTCCTGCAAATGGAGAAATGTTGGGGAAATGCTTGGCATCTCGATGGTAACCCATATGCATCGCGATCTGGACGATATTGCCGACTAGAATTCGAGTGCCAGCTTCAGTGTCCTTGGCGGCAAACACCTCCACCATAAAATAGAGAATTAAAGTCTCTAAAACGTAGGGCCCTCCTTTTGTGTAGTGACCAAGTATCAGACAGTGTATCATATTTTCTCGGAACGTGGAAACCGCTTCATCGCCCTCCTGTGGTTGTGCCGATCCCGGAGAGTACCCACTAGTAAACAGAGTGTTGGTAGGTGCGAGAAAGGACTGTTGAAATTGTGTCGATAAGCACATCATTCCAAAAAGAAGTCCAAGCCATATTATCGGCGCTGCTTCCGGAAACTTCCAAAACTCCTCATACTAATTGTTCTCGTCAGCACTAGTCAAAACCCCTAGTCGAAAAAAATTATCGGGTTGGGACTAGTAGTAACGTATTGAATGTCTAGGTGAGGTGGAAAGTACATGGTCTTACCTCACGGAGGAACTTATCGCTATGTGGGACGCCTATTTTGCAGTCTGTCAATAGAGATACTGCGAATAATCTCGGCCATGATCCACTAACCTGGTGCCATGTCCAAGAAGTTGAAGTAACGGGCTACCAACCGATCAACTGTAGGCCGAGTGGGGAGTGAATTGAGAATTGACGCCGGCGTGACATGCAAAGGGCCCCCGCCATAGAGAAGCTGGGGACTGGGAAAGCTGACTTGGGGCTGAATTGCATCGGAACCGATCATGCGGCTATTGTCCTCCTGTTCAAAATGATCCCTGAGTTCGTCAATGCTATCCAGAACGGCGGTCCAGTGTGCACTGCTGACGTAGCTAACGCCGGACCCCTGAAGACGGATACTGCCATAGTCGGATGGGGACGGGGATGGCATCTCGTCCTGGATTTGTTCAGCTCGCGTAAGTTTCGACCTCTCATCGCCATTCAAACCACTCGGGGAAATCCTTCGACCAAAGGTTATATCCTGTGTGGCAACAAGATGTTCCGCAATCCGGCCCGACTCAGATGGTGATTCATGGGAATTCGGAGCGCTCTGTTGCATTAGCCCCAACACCAAGTTCTCCAACCGATTGATGCGCTCCTGCACATGGCCACCACTCTTGAAGCGCCCAGATAAGACCGGGGTATTCGTGTATTTACACGACGTGCCATGGCCCCGGCTTGAACAATTACTGCAAGGCTGCAGTCGGTCACATCGGACCCTGTCGTTGGGGTTAGCGTCCGTTCGTAAGTACCCATCACACGCTATGAATTCAGTGAGGGAATAGAATGGGAGCGAGAGGGGGTGGTATTCTGCGAAAATGCAGCCAATGTCCGGCACATTGTATCATGCCATTCTTAGTGGAGGTGAGTGGGACTGCTTACTTGCGCCTCCGACATGCATTGCAGCTTAGCTGGGGCTTATCCCGACCCTTTGCAGGCGGCGGGATGTTTACATCTCCTGAACGACTCGTGCTTGAAGCCTCAAGGGGCGGAACCAAGGGGTTGTAATGGTCGGACATATTGTGTATTGTTGGGAAATATTTACCCCAGGTCCCCAGGCAAGAATGCTGCTATAAGACGGGTGGGCCCGTCACGTGGCGCTCGGGCGTCCGCGGAGGGTCGATCATCCGAACGCTATTACTTCGGTGGAGAACGCGTGGATTGCGCGGCAAGGACCCCGTTATATGCGTATGACGGTTGTGTTTTTGATGGTTTCTGTGGGCCACAGACCAAGTCTTTATGTACCGATTGAGCCTAATGTAGGATTAGCGCCTGTCCAGAATGACCCGAAGGAACTCGACGATACCGGCGTTCCAACAGGCCCACGGAGGTAAATCCGGCTAGGCCTAGTGTGATCTAGTGCCACGCGAGGTATGAAGTGAGAAAGAACCCATAGATGGCCTTGCGGGCTAGACAAAATACAATGTTTGATCCATATAGGAACTTGAGGGTTGATCAGCGACCTCGGATGGTCGGGTTGCTAGGACAAAGAAATTGCAAGCCGCGGCCAAATCCGTGAATTTTTTCGGCCTCGGGGGAGGCTCTCCGCTATACCATGATTTTTTCGAGCTCGGTCGATCAAGGGGAACATCCGAGCTGTTTGGGACTTTCTCCGCGTACTCATGATAGTTCTTATTAGGAGAATCTATTTTCTTTCAAACTTATCAGGAACCTACTAGTATATACTGCTCTCACTTTCCTCTTCATCTGCACCGGAAACACTTTCTCCATTCTTCACTTTCTTCTTTCTTCGTTCTTCGTTCTTCGTTCTTCGTTCTTCGTTCTTCGTTCGTACCTGTCTCGCCGTTACTACAATCTGAAATCGATATCAACTCCCCCAAAAGCCAGTTTGGCCGATCTGGACATGAATACAGCCCCACTCGATGCCGCTGGGAGTGATCCTGAGCTGGCGCGGAAGGAAGGAGTCCTTAATGAGAAAGACCTTCACGTCGTCGACCCTCACGCTGTTGACTGGGACGGTCCCGATGGCCCACAAAACCCTCGAAACTGGCCATCGGGCAAAAAACTCATCCATGTCCTGCTAGTTAGTGGATTCACTCTCTACTCGTAAGATACATTCTCCGATTACCCCGGCCCCGTGGGGAATTTGTTTTGATCAATTGAGCAGAAATCTTGCCGCCGTCATGTTTGCTCCAGGAGCTCAGGATCTAGTGAAAGAGTTCGGCATCACAAACACGATCGTGGCGTCCCTGACCGTCACGATATACCTCCTGGGATTTTGTCTGGGCCCCCTTATCCTCTCCTCGTTGTCAGAGACATATGGCCGGTTGATTGTCTACCATATATGCAATGTGGTCTATATCGGATTCACTGTGGGTTGTGCTCTAAGTACTGACACGGGCATGTTCTTGGCATTCCGCATGCTTTGCGGCATTGCTGCATCTTCACCAATGGCCATTGGAGGTGGCACGATTGCTGATCTCCACGTGGAGGCCGAGAGGGGAAAGGCAATGGCAATCTTTGGCATGGGTCCTCTTCTTGGTCCGGTGAGTTCTACCAAATTCTCCCCAACGAATAAAGATATTCATCATATGCTATAGGTCATTGGGCCCGTTATTGGTGGATTTGTTTCGCAGGATATTGGTTGGCGTTGGACATTCTGGTTGATCCTGATTCTAGTGCGTGAGAACCCGACCTGGGCGCATTTTCACTTCTCTAACACACTCATCTATAGTCAACCGTGATCTCTCTCCTTGCCTTGGCCTTTTTGCGGGAGACCTATGAGCCAACTCTTCTCGATCGCAAAGCGGCCCGACTGCGCAAACAGACAGGGAACACTGAACTCTATGCTCGAACCTTCAATAAAGACTTAACACCTTCGCAGATTCTCATGCGCTCTATTATGCGACCTACTAAGATGATTTTTCTATCGCCTATTGTCTTTTTACTCTCGATCTACTGTGCGTTTATGTTTGGTCTGCTTTATCTTCTCTTCACGACATTTCCAGGTGTTTTCGGAGAGACGTACGGCTGGGGCCCTGGAATCTCTGGGCTTGCATACCTCGGACTCGGCATAGGCATGATCTTCAGCATTGCACTGTTCGGTCTGCTTAGTGATAAGCTTTTGAAGCAGCCGCGCGGTGGTACTGTTTCCCGACCTGAGCTTCGCCTGATTTTGATGATTTGGTGCTCGCCATTGGTCCCTGTCGGTTTTATTTGGTATGGCTGGAGTGCCAAGTTTCACACGCACTGGATCGTTCCAATTCTTGGCACCGGGTTCATTGGAATCAGTGCATTTTTGATTATGATGCCGGCACAGCTGTATCTTATGGATGCCTTTGGGACTGAAGGGAGCGCTTCTGCTCTGGCTGGTAATACTGTCTTGCGAAGTCTGTTTGCCGCATTTCTACCCCTTGCAGGACCTTCTATGTACTCTCGGCTGGGGCTTGGTTGGGGTAACACACTGCTTGGACTTATCGCCCTTGCCTTTGTACCAGTTCCCTGGCTGTTCTTCAAATATGGCGAGTATTTGAGAACTCGCTTTCCAGTGAACTATTGATTTTTTTTTTACGTTCTGGCGCCATAAATTTTTGACCCGGGCCTTCAACTTTGATCAAACCTATCCTATGTTGTTTCAACTACATATCTTTTTAGTCTGGTGTTTAATATGATCGAGACTGCTCTTAGGGGGTCCTTCCCTGTATACTTGCTACTGATAGCGGCCCTTCTATTGGTTCGAATAAACCAATAAGCTCCACGGGTGGGGTTGATGCGACCGTAGCCATATCCATGGAACAACGTAGAACAAATAAATTAGTAGTATAAACAGAGCAATGGAAGAATTCTGGAGAAAGCAAGAACACAAGCGAACGGGGATTCAGGAATTTATGATCTTCTTGGTGTCACTTAAAACAACGCTTACGGTTTAAACAAAATAACAACCTTGCCCACTATCTCCAGGGGCTGGCAAAGACTTTGCCCCGGTACTGGTGCAGGAACCGCGTGCGACAGGTAAGTGGCTGTATCACATCACACCTGTCCATCTCTCGCTGATACCCAATTCCTCCCCTGAGGCTCAGCGCCAACAACATTCACTATTTTCAGTCCGTCAGAACTTTGCAACGCGTTGAACTGGGGAAACCCAGAAACCAAAAAAGAAAAGTCGACTTGCACCATAAATTGAACGCCTACATCGCACTCCAACCCCCATACCACTCCCCTTCTCCATCACCCGAACCCGCGTCATCCCGCACACCAGTCGGTCAGGCCGCTCCACTAAACCCGAGAACAAATGAATCCTGGTCAAAAAGCGCGCTTGGTTCAGACCCAAACAGTAAGTTTTGGCGATCTAGTTTGGGCCATATGAACTCACTCAGCACAGAATGTAGTCGACGCCATACGGAAAACACGTACCCAAGCGCATCCGCATCTTATCCAGACACGATCCCCGAAAATCAAGACACTGGGCACCGAAGGTAGCGCTACAACTTGCGACGTACGCCAGCCCGACTTCAAAGGGAGGCAGGGCAAAGAGTTCCTGGGACAGGACTTTTCAGCGCTCTCGGAGGGTTGAAAACGCCAGGGCTGCCCTTTGTGATGACCCATAGTCATTCTATTCGGCTCCCCACCATACCAAACTCGACTACTAGTCACTTGTTGTCCTGGAAAATATGTCGCTGCGATATCCTATATAAACACAGGGTATCAAGGCACCATTACATACGCTCACGCTCATCAACGAGCTCAGTCTTTTCAAATCACACAAATTATCGATTTTCGGAATATTGATCGACGCATTCGAAGTTCGAAAGAACATCAGAACTTTCGAGGTTGAACTAACACCAAGTCGGTTGGTCAGGTATATGCTCACTCTACACGTGGGTACGCATGTCTGTTTCGATTCTTTTCCTCCAAAACAAGAGTACATTTGGAGAGAAGTCTGCTTTTCCGATTTACCCCAGAGTACAATGGGGAGTTTTCAACACACGCAATATATTACGGTGACAAGCTTTGTTGTGAAGCTCCAAGTGTGCGGAGTGGCTTATAACCAGGCGGCTACAAACGCGATTAAGTATCCAGATAGGTGTTGATCGTTCACGGACATGACCGAACAAAACAAAAGGCCAATTGGCCCGGAACTCGCAACGGGAACCGGAATTAAAATGTTCCCTGATTTGTTGTTCCTCATTTAGACGCACTATTGACGCCCGATGGGTCTTGTCCTGGAAATCACAGTGGAGATGAGATGTTGCGGTTAAAATACCCGGCGATGTAAGTGATCCACTTTTCCCCTGGCACAACCGCGAAAGTATTTAGAGCGATGAATGTCGTAAATCTATCTTGAGAAAGTTCTTCTCGGGAAAAAAAGAAGAAGAAATAGACAAAAAATAAAACATGTCTTTTTCTCATTTTGCCCTTGTGGGCCTCCTGCTCAGCCAGGCTTCTGCCATTTCCCTCTCTAGTGGAATTGCTAGCAGTCAACCCTACGTCCACTCCGCCACTTGCCGTACAAAGCTGGCTACTACTTCAATCGCTTCCGTACCTACTACGACTATCACCCGTCGAGTTCATGATCCGACTCCCGTGGTCGTTTTCTCCACTATTCAGGACACCGTCACTGTCACTCCTTCAGTCTCAACTTTGACCGAATCAGACTATGAGACTATTACGGTTACTTCCACCGCGACCACTGTCACCGATGTCTTCTCAACCACTTCGACTGAGTTCGATACTACAACCTTGACTGTCACTCCTGCTGATGTGACATCAACTATCACTGATGTGTTTGCATACACCAGCACTAGCACCGTGACGGTCGCTACCTCGTCAGGCTTCACCCCTCTTGTAGATACGCTTCCAACCACTACGTCCCCTGCAAAGCGATCACTCGACACAGAGGACGAAAGCTGCGCTCCTATTCTGGATGATTATCAGTATGCCGAGGAAGTGATCTGCCACGAGAAGATTATTCTCAAGACCACCACCACTTCAACCGTCACTGCGACCCCCATTACCACCACTGCCGTTGCCCCGTCCACAACCGTGACAGCCACTATCAGCATCACCTCCAGTTCGGTAGTTGTGCCCTCCGATGTCTCCACTACGTTGAGCTTCAGCACCACTTCAACCATCACTGAGACCTCCACGGCGTCTGCTGTCACCGATACTGTGACCTCCACCCTGACAGTGATCTCCGCTATCGAAACCGCCTCCACCTACGCAGCATGCGCCGCCAACAATGTTGCCGGTGTCCCTCTCTCCTCGGAATTTGGCAGTTTAGCCGGCGAATATTTCTACCTCATCAACTTCTCCGGAATCAGTGGTGAAAGTCTTACTGTGGGTAGTTCTGCATCTGCCTACGACTGCTGTGTGAGCTGCCAGGAGAAGTCAAATTGCGCCATTTCCTACTACAACCAGCTCACCTCTTCCATTGCGTACTGCTACTTGGTTGATACAACAGTATGCACGGCTGGGTCTAACTCCAACTATGCTACTGCTTATATGAGAACCACTGCGGATACTATTCAAATGTCCAATGGAAACTGTGGCAGAATCAAGTCATCTTGAGGCTACTGTTGTTTGAGGGGAGTTTCGGGTGTATACTAGTTTATTCAGAACTAAAGTTTAGATCTATTCATGTATGCTTGTCCGCTTCATAACACGTTTTTAATACATATCATTCTTAATGGCGAAGTGTGAAACTCACGAGATAGTAGTGATTAGGTCTCCCAAATTCGAGTTTTTCTAACGCAATAGTCCTCCGTGATCCCTCAATAATTCCTCTTTCTTCTTCCGCAGCCTTGGAACTTGATACATCTTCACTGATTCGAGCCTAGATACCGCAAAAACCCATCGATGATGCACAAGTGCAAAGTACAAAGGCTCCATGAAAGTGGGTTAAAGAATTTCTCACTGGTCTTTGTTTGATGGATCAGATCCAGTAATCTTTATCGCTCTCAAGTGCTCGAGTGTCTATTATGTGGCCTTTCAGCGTTTCTTGAAAAAAGGAATCGGTTCGAATATTAAGAGAATCTTAATTTGACATGCTGTAGGTGGTGATCCTACTTAGTTTCGGATATTGACAAATTATCTAGGTCGGCAGTCGGGGCATCCGCTGCATCAGTCTCACCGATCGTCTTTGGCTTGCGGAACCTTCCGAATTTTCCAATGACTCCCTGCACATCCTTTTCGGACATGCCCTCTTTTTGTCTCACCCAAAGACCCGGCCAGTCAGTCTCCTCCCACTGCCACCACAGAGCAACAACCTCGCCATTTTCGTCCCTTACAAATTCATAAACACCAACGGCGTAATAATCCCAATCAATCATTCCTCGAGCCAACCAAATATCAGTATTGGAGGGTAAGAAGCTTAGTGCATCAGCGTTGTAAGGTTCCAATTCGAAGATTCCAGTCTCATTATTCCCGAACTTTACTGCGACCTTAGCAGATGCCGTGTCGCTCCTTATGATAGAAATGCGAGACGTAGTATTCAACCCAACGTAGGACTCAAGAAAGTCATCCGGAGTACTCGTGTATTTGGACACATCACGATGTTCCTCCCATTCTTTCACAGTCTTCTCTCGCTCTTCAAACCCACGGTCCCTTGCTTCACGCAGAGCAGAGATACAATCGACATGTGGTTTCAGGTCAAAAAGTGCTTGAACTAATATTCTTGTCGCCGCCTCGGCCGCATCGCACTCATATGACACATTGCTGAAAGCTACAACTGCGGCATGCGAATCCGGGAAAACATAGGCCGATGCCGTTGAGCCATTCGCATTCCCATTATGACCGTAAGCAGTACACGGCTCGGAATCACGTCCCAGAGTGGTCTGTGAGTCTGGATCTTTTGAGATGGTATAGCAGTTTGTGGAGTTTAAGCCTAGCCCGGCAGTTGAAAGAGTGGACCGAGACCATCCTAGCGTATAGGCCCTTCCGTTTGGAAAGCCGTCGTCAATTGGTCTTGTCCAGTAATGATTCCATAGATCGGTGATATGACCTAGAGGATTAAAGGCTGCTTCTGGCAAAAGAGGAGTTCTTAGGCTCTTGTCTTTTAGCTCGTCGTGCCTATTTATGACTGCCGCGAAGAAGCCAAGCATATCATTAACAGAGCTGCGTATCCCTTGGCTGCCCAAGACGGGACTATGGTTTTCAGACGTAACCTGAGTCTCGATTCTAACCCAAGATCCATCGCTTTGTATGGCGTATGGATATGCGATATTGCTATTGTTTTCAACATCATACTCAAAAAGCAATGTTTGGCGTAATCCCAGGGGCTCCAGAATTCTCTCTTTCAGAAAATTTGCGAAGGGAATTTCAGATACTGCTTCAATAACCTTGGCCAGGAGCCCAAAAGTAGCATTACTATAGTACCACCAGCTTTGGAAGCGCTGACCAAGATCGTTTGACGTTGGCAGGGCATTGACCATAGAAACATGGTTCTCTGCAGTGTTCGAGAGGATTCCGTCCGGTCCCATGTAAATAACATTCGGATTCGCAAGACCGGTGGAATGCCGACCTGCATCAATCAATGCAGCGTTTTTTCCAATTTCAGGGTCTTCGACAGGGTCGAAATTAGGCAGATGTTTTTGAATAGTATCAGTCAGCGACAGCTTGTCCTCTGATTGCAGTATGTTCAATGCCGACGAGGTAAACATCTTTGAACACGAAGCAAGAAGATACGATGTATTGCTATTTGCTTCAAGTTTCCTTCCAATGTCACGCAAGCCAATACTTTTCGTAAATATTATTTCACCGTCATATAGAACACCAACTGAGATAGATGGGGCTTTAGCCATCTTCATTGCCTCTTCAAATTGAGGTATAGCGGCCTCCAGACGTCCTAAGGCGTCTTTATGGCTGAAGAAATAAGTGTTAGCGGTTTTGTTTTTGAGTACGAGCTTTTTCTACTAACCAATCATCAACCGAGTCGCTCATGTTGGCGGAAGAGAATTTTATGATTCGCTAGTATAGTAAGTCACTAATGTTGGATACTATTTTCATGCAGGATAGCTGTCTGAACTATTCCTGCTGCAAAATCCACGTAAGAGTCTCGAACTAGAAAAAGTCCTGAATATCGGAGTGATATAATGTAAGAGGGAATAGGAATGTATAGGGAGACTATCTGCCAGTGAGCGGCCAGGTGTCGATAGGCACAGTCATGAACCAAAGGAAAGAGAAGTTTATGGAAATATGGTAAGAAGTTGAAAATTGGAGTCTCCTTAGAAACAAATAAATGACGTTTTCATCATGATTTTGTCTGTCCCCTTTCACAATTATTCTTTCACTCCCATTAGTTGCCTCATCCCAAGAGCGGGGTTGATCTATATGGGATTCGTATATTCGCACTAAGATATCACCCCGGTCAATATTTGCTTCTTTTCAACTGAGAATGTGGGATTTGCCAAAATAACAAACATACGGAGTGGATAATAAGAGCGACTACACCTCGTAAATGCAGGCCTACAAATTCCCCTCTTTACTAGGCGAGGCTATACCAGGAATTTTAATATTCTAGTGGATGAAGCAGAAAATTAAATTGATGTTGGTCTGTTTATGGTTATATCCAACGATCAAACGCCACAGATGTGCATGCAAGTATTTTTCGCACTGCGCATACAGCCTCTTCTGATGTACTTCAACCCCACTCAAAGCATCTGAAATCTGACCCTTGAGAGTAGTCTTATAATGACACAACAATCATGGTGGTGGTGGTGGTGGTGGTCAGGCAGACCACTCAAGCTGAAGCCAACGCCATCTGTTTGATCACATGATCTTGTACTCCCACCTTGTCTCACTCTAGATAGTTCTTCTGCTTTCTCTTCTTCTTTCTTCTCCGCAGCACTTAATACCACATTATTGCGTTCGCCCTCTTTTCACAGTAGACCTGTTCCATTACCCTCCTCCAAGAATGATTATTTAGAGGGTTCGTGTTTTCTTACTGATTCTGAACTCTTTCTAGGTATCGTGGACCTAGTTCAATGAACGTTTGCTGAAAGGAATGATTGGAGTGGGCATGGATTAGCTTCTCATGTGCTTGATAGCCGATCGTGGCAATTGGGATTATGAGGACTGTCTTGAAGGATCAACTTTGAAAATCTTCCAACATTCGTAGTAAGATTCCTGATGTTGTGGGGCTCAACATGTCCAAGCTCAGATCCTAGCCTTAAGCCCATGGTATCTCATGGCTTCGTAATGACAGCAGTGGGGCTGAATCAATTGATGCAAGTTTTCAGCTGTGAGTTTGATTGTCGTTTATTTCAAGGTTCAAGGACCACATGCTCAGGGTAAAATTGATAAAGTTCAGGCATATGGATTTCTACGAGGGCGATTTTTTCCTTATTGCAATGTACTCTTCTGCGAAAGATTTCAACAGCAAGGGGAACTGTCAGATTTTTGACCTTTGCGGTGGCTAATTACCATCGGGCAAGCTAAAATTAGGATTATGGTGGCCAAAGTGATTAATCAGCTTGAAAAGTATTCATCACCGTCTACGGAGTATCATCATAACACGTTCCAATGGTTTAAAAAAATCATCGAGGCGTTCGGAGCAACGGACGCGGGTTGCGAACTTTGGGCAACTAGCGCTGACATATCGATAAGCGATATGATTTGAGTTCCTGAATATCTCTGCAGGACTCCTGCAGGACTCATGCATGACAGAAACTTCCCGTCATTGGCTGGCTAATTTGACCAGAGTTCAAAGACTTCATGTCAGAAAAGTCGCGGATCGAAAATGTAACGGTGATGCGCCTTCAGGTACTCAGATACAGCTTCTCGGTGATAGCAGGCATCCACTTAACTCGGGCCGTCCGGCTTGGCTTACAGGACCAAGAAATTTCCCGAAGTAAGCGAGGAACGCTTATGCTGCACAATCAGTTAATCTATCCGTCTTATTCGACCGTGCAGCTGTGCCAAGACTCCTTCAACTCTTCCTCCTCATCGGCCCCACTACGAATGACGCCATTAACCGGTTGACCAACAAAAACTCACATTTGACCGGACTTATCTACCCAAGAAATGGTTGATCAACTTGCTGACCGGGGGCGATCATCTTACCAACTCAGCAGCCAAGCCCGGGGGTGGGAACAATGTGGAAACGGTCTCGGTGCTCGCCCATCCTTTCCCGTGGGCGATCGTACCCCACGAAAAATGAAAGCTGAAGAATTGTGAATGCAATTTCCGTGGGGGGAAAAGAGAGAAAAGGGCAAGGAGGCTCAGGATCTATTATCTAAAACATAAAAGGGTCCTTTCTACAATGCCGGGGAATTAACCCCTGTTCTCTCCAGACCGCCGGGATGCAAAAGGACCAGAATTAAGAGACTAGCGCTAGTGCCTCGCTGCTTGCACCCTGAAACTGCAGCACTAAGCTAACGCACATACGTATTCTCACTATCGAGACTTCCTCCGTGTCGATCGCAAGATTCTTCTCGGAGACACGGACGGAGAGGAGCGAGATTCCTTACCACGAATCCTACCAGCCAGCGACGTTCTTTTCCCCATATGGCAACGCATTGCGAATATACAGGCTTTTACTGGACACAATGACCCACTGATTATTATCTGGGGGCCCGGTAAAAGGAATCTCCACAGAATTGTGTGTTAATCTCAGGAGACGAGGAGATGGGATTTAAAAGGACGCGATCATGTCCAATTCCCCCGGGATCTTGCATCAAGATCAACAGTAACGGCGCGCTTTGCACATCGTCACGATGCGATTTTCCTCATTGATCGCCCCGCTGTTCTGCGGTCTTGCCGTGGCTGGAACATGTCCCTACGCCGAAAGGGCTGAAAAGGCACGATCCGCATGTCCCTATGCCGAGAAGGCCCGCTCCGAAGACTCGAGCTCGAGCTTCGTGCCCCGTGGTATGCCTGTCGAGGGCAAGAAGGGTGTGATGCTGATGAACCGCATTGCACCGGCTGTGTCACAGCTCTACGTCTCCAATACCGATGGCTCAGACGCACGTCTGCTTCTCGGAAATGAGACCACATTCGACTACCATGCTCAATGGTCGCCCGACGGCGAGTGGATTGTATTCACCAGTGAGCGTGCCGGTGACGGACAGTCGGATCTGTACCGCGTTCGACCTGATGGCACTGACTTGCAGCCCATCTCCACCACTCCCCATGTTGAGGATGCGGGTGCAATCTCGCCCAATGGTAGCCTCGTCGCCTTTGCTGGCACCCTGAACAACCACAAGAGTAACATCTGGATCAAGAACTTGGAGACAGGTGCCCAATGGAATGTTACTAACACCACCGAGATCGCCGGCGATTGGACTTTGCCCGATGGTCACTTCAGACCTGCTTGGTCACCGGATGGGAACTGGTTGCTATTTACCTCGGATCGCAACACACCATGGCGAGGACACAACAATGTCAGCGGCTGGGAACACACTCAGGAACTTTCCATCTATGCCGTTCGCCCCGATGGTAGTGATTTCCGCCTTGTTGCCAACAAGACCGGTTACTGTCTAGGATCACCAAAGTTTTCCCCCGACGGCAGCCGTGTGGTCTTCTATGAAATCACCACAGAGCTCACGTACTACGCGCGTGTCTCCGAGCCCGCCTTCTACGATGTCAACACAGCCATTGTTTCCGTTGACTTTGCCACGGGCAAGAACCGAATCGTGCACTCCTCGGCCGACTCTGGCGGTATCAAGATCTTCCCCCAATACGTTGATAAAAACACTATCGGTTATCTCGTAAAGAGTATCCTCACCAACGAAACATACCCCGGCTCAATCAACTTCACCACTGCCAGCGGGAAGGGCTCAGTGGCATCCAACTACAGCAGTACATCACTGGTCGGCCTCTACCGCTCTCCGTCCTGGTCGCCTGACGGAAGCAAGATGGTCTACGAGCACGTTGAGTGGAAACCCATCCGCTCAATCGACAAGAAGCTCTACAGTTGGAACGAGGATTGGGAGTACCGCTTCAGCGACGTTTTCCCCAGCTTGTCCAAAGACGGCCGTGTCGCATACACATCGCAGCAAACCGAGAACTCCTCCCTCGTCATCATGAACCCCGACGGCACGGATCAGAAAGATATCTTCGATGGCTCGCGCTTCCCAAGTCTCACAAGCGCAACCAACACCAACGGCACTTTCCAAGCCTCGTGGCGAAACGACAGTGAAGTTATCGCCATCGGCCTAGGTGACTGGTTCGAATACCGCTATGAAAGCCCCGGCTGGGTCTTCCTTGTCTCGGCAAACGGTAGCTGGACCCAGAAGTTGACCAACGGCAGCACCAACGCCGGTTTCCCTACCATCTCTCCGGATGGACGCTGGGTCGTCTGGCGCGAGTTTGACTACAAGAGCACTGAGGTTGAGCCTCTTGGTCTGCGGCGCATGGACCTGAAGACCGGTGAGGTTAAGGCGCTTACCTGGGAATGGGACAATACCCCCATGTTCTCGAAGGATGGCACCAACCGTCTTGTCTTCACGCGCCGTACTAGCTGGCCGATTTCCGGACCCCTTGATGATAACTATGATGTTATGACTATGAATGTTGATGGCAGCAACTTGAAGAGATTGACCAGCTTGGGATGTAACGATGCGCATGCTGGTTGGACGGCCGGTGGCAAAATTAACTGGGCTTCGGGCATGTTCGGATTCCAAGATGAAGCTGTCGTCTATGATAACAACCAGCAACCGTATCCCTTCATCATGCAGATGGATGCCGATGGATCCAACGTGGAGGTGCTGACTGAGAGTCGGTGGGAGGACACTATGCCTTTGTACATTCCGAATGACGTCTGGGCTGCTGACAATTAAGTTGTTGGGTGCAGATAGACACGCCTGATGACTAGCAGACCGGTTTTTGGCTATGCACATTTGATGTATATACCTAAATTCTCCAACCGTTTGATGTTGAATGAACATTTTAAGACTTCAAAATTCCAAATCTCTTTGCAATCATGACGTCAAGAAAATAAATGTTGAAATGTTAAGGCGCCGAGTTAAGCTCAAGCACCTCCATCACGGCACGATCCAAGAGCTCGACACGCTTGCAAAGAAGTTTTATTTTACCATGCCATCATCCAAATATAGTAGATTTCGAAAACAGATTACTGTTGAGACATTTACACTTTCTTTCCCAGCGGGCCACTCAAATGGCGCTAAGCTTAACTTGTTCTAGGGAGGGGAGGTTTAGAGAGCGGGGGCTTATGCGTCCTTCGCTTCCCGGTCATCCAACAACCCATTCACTTTTTGCTCAACTTGAGCCCACATCCAGTTCAAAATGCAACCAATCTCTAAAATTGACTGGGACAAAGGTGATAAGGATGGGCTTGTCTCCATCGGTTCCCATAGCCTCTATCTGTCCGTTTCAGGACCAGATCGCAAGCCTGGAGAGCCTATCGTCGTTCTCATGCAAGGCCTTGGCAGCACGATCGACGAGTGGGTCGTAGTGCGAAAACTCGTGGCCCCATTTGCTCGTTGGCTGAACTATGATCGCTCGGGGATGGGCAGGAGTGAAGGTCCCGAGCAAACACCACCAAGCATATCCGCAGCATCAGTCGCAGCAGAGCTCGACACCCTCCTCGGGAACGCGGGCATTGAGCCTCCGTATATCATTGTCGCTCACTCTTGGGGAGGCTACACTTCTCGCGAGTTTCTGGAGCTCAGGCCCAATGATGTCGTGGGCATGGTGTTCGTGGATTGCAACACGGAACGTTTCTTTGATAGTGGTGCGTGGGGTTGGGACGTTTTTAGTCCAGTCCTCGGTGAGCAAGATTTTTTTGAAACCACCGGTCTTGCAACGTCCCATGTCCTATCTGAGGCGGAGTGGAAAGCCATTCAAGATGAGCAGGCTGATCCCCGACATCAAGTCACTGAGGCTGCGGAGTTGCAGGCGGTGCCGGATGACAGACGGGCATTGGTCCACAGGAATCAACTCGAAAGGACACTTCTCGGGGATTATCCGGTCAGTGTCATCGTTGCGGATACACCTGAGGATTTTCAGAAAATGTATGAGTTTGGGGTGGCTGCGGGCAATGGAACAGAAGAGGAACGGGCTCTATTTCGGAAACGTCTTGATAGATGGCGCGAGATGAATGAGGAATGGCAAAGAGATCTTTTGAGGCTTTCTCGTCTCAGCAGATCTGTCCGACTTCATTGCGGTCACAACGTGCAGCTTCAACAACCACAGAGCATAGTTCAAGAGGTACAGTGGACCATTGATAGCTGCAGACAGTAACTCTTGATCTGATAATAAAATCCTAAGATCCTAGTTTGCAAATTTTCCCATACATATTAATAAATGTATGTGTTCATGGTACCTCAAGCTGATAATGATAAAGCCTAGTCCTGAAAAGTCTCCTTTTCTTGGTATTTTGTACCTTGAGAATAAGCTACAATGAGAGTGATCCGCGTTAAATGATTACAATTACGAGTTGTAATGTTATTGATGTCCAAAGGCGAGGGTATTTTGTGCACTAGAAAACGGACCATAGCACCCACACCACTAAATATTCGCAGTGTACGGACAGACCACTATCACGAGGGAAGGAAGTAAATGGAAGAAAAAGAATAAAAAGAAAAAGACAAAAAAACAACAGCCGAGGCAGAATAGCAGGCGATCGCGGTAACCACTGCGCCATTGTGTCAATCGACACAACCAGGATTCGAACCTGGGCACCCGAAGGAAATCGCTGAGCTTATACCCTTACGTCAGACTGCTGTTGAATGTTTTGGCCTTAAAACATCCTATAACGGGACTAGATTCTACCTAATTCAGCCTACGCCTTATTTGAAACTTTCTTGTACTTGATCTTCACTTATTCACTTCTAGCTGTTTGAAATTACTGGAATTGAATTTTACCGCGCAACCAGTCATTTAATGACTGCATAATTCTTATATATTACTAAATCCTGTATCCGCATACCCAGGTAGGGCTGACATCAGCTGTTTTTCTCCATGGATTCAAACATTGAAAATTTAACCACATACCCTCCATGTGGGAATATATACCTAACCTCCTACCATTTAGACATCCCTAGAGGAGTATAGTTGAACCTCAAGAGTGCTTGGGACAATAAGTGTTGGAATGATTTTTAGTGTTTCGAAGTATTTTTCTGCTAACATTTGAAAGAATAAATTCTCAAGTGCTGGTACTACATTCGATCTATGTTGCTAGCAAGGACTCGGAACCATTGGTCTGCCATAAAAAATCCCAATATCCAAATGACAAAAAAGGCCCGGCCTGGATTCCATGGATTGCCACTTGGAAAATTCAGCACTAGCGGCACAGGACCGGGCATGGTTAGTGGTGTTGATTTTTTTTTCTCTTATCTCAAATTCTCAAGTGCTGCTTTCTCACTTCAACGACATTTAATACCTACACCTAAACACCCGTATTTGAACCTCTTAACTTAGGCTTGACTTTTGTTCTGAAAGGAGCATTAGGTAGAGCCGTTAACTGGAAATAGGTGGATATCATTTACAGCCCTGGAGGAAAAGAATTTACTACTGCTTCGAATCATTTGAGGCAAAATCCTACACAGGTGCTGATCCAAATTTTTTTTTTCTTTTTGGTATAGAGCAAGTTGGTGGCCGGATATTCCACGGAAGATAGTGAGAAATTTGTTTTCGATATTAATGCCCTGGCCCCTATATACCGTAATTTGTGAAAGGATATCAACAGCAGTCTAGCGTAAGGGTTTAAGCATAGCGATTTCCTTCGGGTGCCCAGGTTCGAATCCTGGTTGTGTCGATTGACACAATGGCGCAGTGGTTACCGCGATCGCCTGCTATTCTAACCTGGCTGTTGTTTTTTTGCCTTTTCTTTTTTATCCTTCTATTCTTTTATTATCTTTTATTACTATCTTCCTCTTTCTATTTTTCTCTCCTTTCTTCTTTTTCTTTTTATTTCGTCCTCTCTGTATTTGTTCCAAAAATCACATCAGCTATCGCGTCTGGGAAAAGCGGCCGTTCACGGCCTCTCACAAGATAGCAAAGAATCATGAATCCCCCCCCCCCCCCCCAGCTTTGCATCTTTGCATCCTCCCCTCCTTACCACTTGAAATTTCGTTATATTGCTTGTATTGGATGTTTAATACAGAAGCATGAATGTCATGATTGATACCGAACAGACACCAATGCCTGCCATGGACGCGTCATGGCCGCTGAGGTATACGCAAATCAGAAGAAAGAGAACCGCCAGAAAGTGTTTTACAACACCAGGCGCGAACGAGACAATTCAATCCAGAGTCTACATGAAATCGAGCCCGATACCCGAGAGTCAGCGAAACAATATGAAGAACGCGACCGGAGAACATGATAATTCCGAAGAGCAGGCCCACACAGGCAGAACAGACTACTACAGGCAGGCAGCAAATAAGTATATATTGGGGGGGAAACGGCATGCTGAACGAACCGTACAACCCCGAGAGCCTCCAATGTGAGAGCAGCACAGCAGAACGAGCAAATCAGACACTGACGATCATACATCTAAATTTCAGAGCAGCAGCACAGTCAGACCGGCATGCCCACCCCGAGAGCGAGCAAATGCTTGCCAAGGTTCAGTACGTCCAGTAACTACACAGAGCACATCTACTCTGCTCGCCAATCCTGACCTTCAGCGTCATAGTGTGATCAATGAAGATACCGCCCGGTGCCAAGATGACCATACCTAGTCTACCCGACCTTCATGCCAAAGAGTGTTGAATCTTTGAGAGATAGCTCGGCGACGGCGTGGTTATTTCAGGTGCATCCACCCCCACTCCTTTTTTGATCCAGATGTTCTTTTTTTCTGGTTTTACCCCCTTTAGAGGGTAGCTTAGCAATGCAGCTTGACATAGTTAGTACGGCTTGACTGCAAAGAATCTACTGAAATTTAATTCCCTCTCTCATATGACACCGATTTGGAATCGCATTATAAGGTGGCGTATTTTTAAAGCCAGCATTTCTGAGCATGCTGCCCAAAGTTTTGAAAATGCGTTGGGGCTATATATCAAAGTTTGCGAAAACTTTTCAACAGCAGTCTGACGTAAGGGTATAAGCTCAGCGATTTCCTTCGGGTGCCCAGGTTCGAATCCTGGTTGTGTCGATTGACACAATGGCGCAGTGGTTACCGCGATCGCCTGCTATTCTGCCTCGGCTGTTGTTTTTTTGTCTTTTTTTTCTTTTCTTTTTAAACCCCATCCTTTGACCGTCGTCTGCCATTCAAGAATTACCTACCCACTATGTATGCTACCCGTGGAAACCTCGATGAATCCATCGACATAGCTTTTATCGAGAGAGAAATATAGACTGTTGAAAAATTATCCTGACCTTTTGTTTGGAATAGAGATGTCCTGAATAGCTGTTGAAATAGTTTAGCAAAAAAAGTTCAAATAATCCAGTGGAAGTTGGGTTCAAAGGCAGGTTGAATCCATTTCCCTATATACTTCTAAGGTATGTAGAAGTACCAGTACCCTGTGAATAGCGTCATTTTACATCAGTCAAAGTCTTGTCCCACCATTCTCTCATTTTACTATGCATCACACGCAGATAGAGCTCAAATAAAGATGGTCAAATCCAGCATGGTCAATTATAAAAAATTGGCAAACATCTAGCCCAGAGGGTAGCGCCCATGTGGCACTAGAGGGAGGTCTGGCTACTAAGCGATGTTCCCCGCTGTAACCGACACCCGTCTCTCAAATCGCAACGGCCAACCCCGAGAAGATAATAGGCTATGCCACTCGCCCACACAGGCGCTGGTTAATATTAAAAGGACACCTGAATTCATCCTCTTAACCCAACATTGCGTAGATTTGTCAGTACCCCATTTGGGACTAGTACTCTCTGCAGCTGCGTCGCCTCTTGCCTTGAACCTAAATAGTGTACACATTTTCAAGGATCGTAGCCGATTGGCTCTATTCCGATTGGCTTTTTTTCGGGCGGAGATTATACCATATCAGAATAAAGACACATATTTGCCTAGTGCAGGTGGCCACATGATCAGTTTCGTTGTTAGCCGTGAATGCATAGCAGTTCCTTGGGACTGCTTTTTCTTTTAGGATATCAGCCCCCCCCTTATGTAGTGAAAATTCCGAAAAATCTCTTAACAGCAGTCTGACGTAAGTGTCATTCGTTAGCGATTTCCTTTGGGTGCCCAGGTTCGAATCCTGGCTGCGTCGAATTGACGCAGTGGCGCAGTGGTTACCGCGATCGCCTCGAATTCTGAACTCGGCTGTTGTTTTTTTGTTTTTATTTTTGTTTCCCCTTATCTCTCCCCTTTCACATAAATTGTTCCTTCCTGCCAGGAGTATTGAAGCGAAATTTCGAACGAAGACTCGCCGGACTGAATTGTGTGTTGATATTGAGGCTTGGCTACATACCCGTACTCTGCCTCCTCGACGCACGTTGAGCCTTGGTGGAAGAAAGAGCATATTTATAATACTATGCACAGAGGTCGTTACTCGGAAGCCCTCGAAACAAAAGCTGTAACGTCTCAATTGAAGGACAAAATGATACCCAAACATCCTATTGACATATCCGGTCACATCAATATCTCCGAAAGAAGAAAAGGAAACAAGCCCACATCTCCCAGACATCGCCCTCCACCGAAGAACCTCAACCCAACACTCACCACGACGATACTCGATATCGCTTGCGATCTCGATGCCGTGGCTTTAGACTTCCTTCACTGGACGGAGTAGTTATGACATGACCATCTCTGGAACGCGGTAGCGGCGGGATCTCAACGACCAGATGTCTTCGAATACGCTGCTGCTTCTGCCGCTCCCTCACCATAGTCACTGCCGCAGTCCCCAAAATGAATAGCGTAACCAAGAGCACGACAGTGATAAAGAGAAAAACTTCAACCACGAATATGACTGTTGGGAATAACCACGGGGAAACTGGCCAAGCGGCGCGCAGTGTCGTTTTCAGTAGCCATACCGCCCCGGTCAGAACCCATGTACAAAAGGAGAAAAAGAAGTCTTCAAATGGCTGGAATGGCTTCCAGGGTTCCACGTAAATCTGACGTTGACTTCGGCGCTGCTGAATATTGAGCCTCTTTTGGTCAGCGCGCAAAGTGGCAAGGAATTTCGCGTATTGAGCGGGAGGGAGGTTCGGGGGCAAATCGTCAAGTGGGACAAGGGAGCTGTTTGTAAAAGAATATTGTTAACATTTTGACTGAGATGTGGTCTCAAAATAGATGGGAGCGATGATGGCAGGAGGGGCTGGGACATCTCTACCGGAGATGAGTTGGATCGTAGAAATCCGCGACACGGTGAAGAAGTAGAAGGACCCAGACGGTCAAAATGGCCAAGAGGAGCCAAAGAAGGCTGGCTAAGGCATCAGTGATCAAAATAATCATGGTGACGTGTTTTGAGCTATCATTGATGCACGGGTTTGATGGGGAATGGTATCTCCCAGTGACAAAAGTGAAGAGATAGTGTCAACACACCAATCTTGTGTGCGGTGCTCTAGTCTCTACATGATGATTGTTGATCCATGAAATAGATAAATTTCCGAAAACTTTATAATATTTGAGTGCATAACGTAGAATCATTAATTTAAATTTAAAAGAAAACAAAAGATTATAAACTAGTTGCTGTCCAGCACAATCACCTCCGCTTCAACCTCTCCAACACTCTCAACCTGGAGGATGTCTCCAGCATTCACCAAGGTGACAAACGCACCATCTCCCTCCTCCAGCACAGCATCCTCACGACCACTAATCTTAACCTTGGCCTTGCCCTGCTTGGTCATGGGCACATGAATGTAAACGTTCCGCTTCTTCTTAGACTCAACAGCTTCACCCGCACCGACATTCCACTTAAATGTCTCAGCGGGAGCAATGATACCAGCACCCATGACAAAGTCCGCGTGGATAGGAATGGTGTCAGGAATCTTCGGCACAGCAGCCGCCTCTTCCGCAGGCGTAGCCTCGGGACCAGCCGCAAGTGGCGACAAGATGGGAACAAAGGCCTTCTTCTTCGCCTCCTCACTAAAGCTCATAGTGTGGTATTGAGGCTTGAGGCCGCTCTTCCAGGGCAAAGCCCAAATCTGGAGGAAATGAACAGGCTTATTGGACTCATTAAATTCCGAGTGCGCAATACCTATTATATCGTCAGTGTTTGTACGGAAAAAAAAATAACAACTAGTTCAGGAAAGATCAATGCGTACCGGTTCCACCAGTGGTGAATTGAACATCGCCGCGATGCATGCGGTAAAATGACTTTCCCTGCTCGCCCTCGGCGCCCTTTTTAATCATGCTGTCGCGATGCGTGAGCTCGCCATTAAGAATGTAGCTGAAGATCTCGGCATCACGGTGGGGGTGGGTGGGGAAGCCGTTCCGGGCGGCGACGCGATCTTCGTTCAGGACGCGGAGGGATCCGAAGTTCACGAAGCGGTGGTCCATGTAGCCAGCGAAGCTGAATGTGTGGAAGGACTTGAGCCAGCCGCCGTGCTCTGCATATCCGCGCTCGCTGGAGCGGCGGAGAACGATCTTGGCGTGGGAGAGTGTGTTGGACATGATTTATTTCGGTTTGTATGGGTATATCGATTTATTTGGTTGTGTACTGCTTTGTACTACTATATTTGATTTTTGAGTGACTTTTTGGAGGAGAATCGTGGATAATTGGCTTTATATAGGGCTGGAATTGAAGTACCGAGATGGCCGTAGAAGTGTCGTCGAGAGGATTATCCAAGCATTATCGATCATCAATAAGTAAAGCGGGACCGGAAATGGCTTAGTGGACCCACATTTGCTGATGGGCTGCTGACATTCGACATGAGTAAGCAGGCACTGGTTTTGCTCTTGCACATTAATGCTGCGAACATTGCAGAGTTTATTTCCGAATATCCGAGGAATTATTCATGTTTTGTTGATTAGTTATCATAGCTCGCGCATCTGTCATGGTTTGTCTCTGCCACAGCACCCTGAATAATCACCAGCCACACATGCGCCACCTTGAGATCTGGAAATATTAAAAAACGAAAGTTCATAGAATTGGGTACACGATTCACTATGGATTATTTTGACCATAGACAGCGATGTTTTAACCTGGGAAATTGCTGTTAGTGAAAGCGTGTTATGAAAAAGCACAAGGTTGATAAGGCAGAAACATCCATGGATGCGAACTGGTGTAATCCCAGAGAGCCGAGGCAGACAAGCTTCCAAGGGTGTTAGCTTTCCTTGACCTGCCATAGTTATGTGCAGAGGGGGTGTTTTGAATATGGTTCTGATCATCTGGAATGAAATGCCAATCCATCAGTATCAACCGAAGCCGAATATATGAACAAAGATGCTACATGGGGGCCAATTCTGCAGCCTTGTAGGACGATCGCAATTGCCGTCGCCTGCCGGCCCGCCTCTAACCGTAGATTAAATGAAGCATTTCGATGATCCTTTGATGTGAATCCCCGAGTCCCCGATTCCCCGACTTCAAAGTGTAGTGAAACTCTGTATATATGCGGGGTGAAAATCTGGGGATCAAAATAGGCAAGTCCTAAGGAATTCGCCACGTGGAGACGAATGAATTAGAAGAAAAACAAGAAAATATAAGAAATAGTCATGGAATAAAGCTTTGTCGATAAATGTCAATTGCAAAGGTAATTCGGCTAAGGCGATAAGAAAGTTATGGTTCGAGTGGACCTAGGGGCGTCTTTATGTGAAAAAGTGAGCGTAAAAGAAATCGACCAATTAGGAAGGTGGCGAGCGAGCGAGGAGTTTTTCACTTGAAGCCGCGGGAACTTGTACACCGTTTGACTTTTCTAACTTGTACATCATCATCTTCTTTTGCGTGATACAAAGATGTACGATCAGTCCGATTGGAGATCCAACCCCCTTTGACGATGCATATCATCTCCAATCAAAAGCTATAGCTTTCCATTTGGGATGAGATCTGCAGAAATTTATCACGCGTTGATTTCGCGTGCCCCATAAAAATATAGTGAACCCTGACTTTACTACGGTCCGCGGCGTCTTTTGTGCCTTCTGAGTGGTCCCCTTAATATATGGCAGATGTAACGAGGGTCCACATCCTCCACGCCACCCCACTCACCACCAATCGTGTTGACTGTGCCGAGGCAGCCATCGAAGGCTTATGCTTACTTGGCTTCCTTGGTGTTCCTTCATTTCGGCCTCTTCCGCGCCTTGTCTCCAAAGAGTGGATGTTCCTACCCAGAACCACAAAAAATTTGGCGAGACTCCATTGGTCGCATCGAGACCGTTTCCGGCCACCGGCTGCATTTTTTTGGCGCCCTTTGTCGCGACTCGGCCTTGAATGGCGCGGACTAGAATCGAAATGCATATCGCCTTCCGATTGCCCCGGAGCTGCATTGGGCCCCCCCACAAATGAAATAATAATAAATGGGAGCCCGGTCGCATGCTTCTTTCCCCCCGCTGGCTACTTTTTGCTCTTGACTCATACCTCCTCCCCTCCAGTTTCCCTCATCCCCTGCTTTCGTGGCAATGTCTCAACTCGGAAGTCTCGCCGTTGACGGTGATCCTCGCCTTCACGAGAAGGAGCGTGAGGTTATTGATAACTTCTCTGTGGATAGCCCGGGCACTGGCGGCACTCGCCCCCAGCACCGCAAGCTGCACGACAACAGTGTCACCTTCGAGGAATACTACCACTATGCACAGCTTACCCGCGTTGAGGAAGAGCACTTGACCACACCAGAGAATGGAGTCCTCTCCATCATCTTCCCTTCCAAGAGTGACGGTGGTGTTAAGCAAACAGAAGTTGACGGCAAGGATGCCGCCGCCCTGAATACCAGTGATCCGGCCACTCGCATGACCATCACCGATCAGGAGTGGACCAACGCATCGCGTGCGCTGCGCACTGCCACCCGCGGTGCAATTTTTTACCTGATTACCACTGATATTTTGGGTCCATTCGGACTGCCATATGCTTTCGCAACCATGGGCTGGGGGTAAGCTTCTAAAAGTGTCCATTTTTAAATTTGATTATGACTAACTTTTCTTGTAATAGTCCTGGTATCGCTTTATACACTGTTTTCGCCTTGCTAGCCGGATACTCTGGATATTTGCTTTGGGATACTTTCCTTGGTCTTGACTCATACCAATTCCCGCTGCGGAGCTTTGGTGATATGGGATTCCGCTTGTACGGCCCTTGGATGCGCCACCTCTTCAACATCCTACAGAGCGTTCAACTATTGCTGAACGTCGGTCTGATCGTCATCTCCAACGGAGAAGCTCTGTCCCAAGCCGTCAAGTTCAAGCTTTGCTACATCATCTGCTGTTTGGTCTGGGCACTGGTCGGTTTCTTCCTCGGCCAGGTTCGTACCCTGCAGAAGTTTGGATGGTTGGCCAACGTCGCTGTGTGGCTCAACCTTCTCTGTATGTTTGTGACCATGGGTGGTGCTGCTCACTCTCCCCCCAACTATACCGCTTATACCCAATCCGCCGGTATCTCTATCGGCAATGGCTCATCCGTGACTGAAGTCAACGGCGTTTGGCCCGCTGTCAAGACTACTGCCGGACTTCCCGACCCTGCCGACTTCACTGCCTCGGTCACTGGTGCCATGCAGGCTGTCTTCGCGTACGGTGGTGCCATGGTGTTCCCCGAGTTCATGGCTGAGATGAAGCGCCCCAAGGACTTCCTGACTGGCATGTGGGCTGCCCAGGCCTTCATTTACTTCTGTTACATGCTCTACGGATTATTCATGTACGCCTATCAGGGACAGTACTCCATCAACCCCACCTACCTCGGTATCAGCGAGTACAGCATTCAGACCACCGGTAACGTGTTTGCCATGCTGTCCGGTGTCATTGCCGCCGGTCTTTACGGAAACATCGGTGTCAAGGTCATCTACAACAACATCTTCGTTGAATTCTTCCGTTGCCCCCCTCTTACCGCCAAGGCTGGCAAGTTCATGTGGGTCGCTCTGATCCCCATCTACTGGGCCATCGCCTTTGTCCTGGCGGCCGGTATTCCTAGCTTCTCGGGCTTGACCTCCGTTGTCGCTGCTTTCTGTATCCTGCAGTTCACCTACACCTTCCCCCCGATGCTGGCGACTCTCTTCTGGATCCACAAGTATGCTCTGGCTGACGGTGAAGGTTTCAACCCTGCCACGGGCGAGACCGTGCGCCATGACAAGGGCTTCAAGCGCTTCGCTCGTGGATTCAAGAACATGGGAACCAAGCGTATCATTTTCAGTTCCTTCAACCTCTTCTACTTCCTTGGCGCGTTGTCCCTTGCTGGCCTTGGCGCCTACTCTGCTATCACTGGATTGATGGCTACTTATAAGTCGAGCGTCACCACCTCGTTCACCTGCAAGAGTCCCTTGGATAGTTGAGAGGCTTTATTGGTTTTCTGTTTAAAAAAATATTTTGTGTATAGTCTGTGATTGTACTAGTATAGTGAGCAAGATAGAGATGAGTGCTATGTATAAGACGAATTGATTCTTGACTCTTTCTTCATCTCCAACATCCATCCAGCATTGGTATTATCCATATCGAGTCTAGAATATTAAGCTAATCTGGAGGTATAGATGATCATGGTATTCGGTCCTGTCTAGGACCAGAGCTAGCACTTAGTTTCGACTTCCAACCCAAGTTAGAGAAACAACCAGAGAAACAACCCGACCATTGGCAGCAACCCCACGCTCAGAACCAACATTTTGTACCCCAAATTTCATATTTCGTTATGGGTCATACTGCATGGACCATTTAATTGGATCCTGCCCCACAGTTCCTGGCCCCGAAATCAGATAAGACCAATACTGTCATACTCGTGCATTGCTTCTTGTCACGGGTTTTACCCGATGAAAGCATATCAACAGAGCTTTCAGAATTCAACCCCACCTCATCTGCAACAATTGGCCATACACAATTTCGATTTGTCGTCTGACTCTAATACTTAGACTGCCAAGCATCTCGTGCATGATACGAGGGATGGGTGCATTCGGAGCTTCCTAGGTCCGATACACCGAGAACCCTACTTCTTTGTTTACCCAGAAGAGAAACGAACATTGCAGATCACTCCACACAACCCGGTCAAATCCCGAATTTACGTACATGAGCAGTCCCCTTTTTCAGATTGACGAACGACCAAAGACCGACGGGCCCAATGGTAGCGAAGAGAAGAAAGGCCAAAAGGAAAGTATGTTTCCACTGTTGGAAGGTGGATGTCCGTGCCAACAGAACTATTGTTTACAGAATAGCAACGCAGGTCGATCTAGTCTATTAGACACTGGTATTTAATCACGCCATACGCCCCCAGAATATAGCCATTTCCCTCCACTCTCATTGCTCTATACAATTAAGCTTATATACCACAAGGCCTATCAAGATCATCCATCATCAGCCCTATACACTAAAAAGCGACTAGAAATGGCTGGTCCCTCACCCCAGACCAACAACACCACCCCCGCCACCCCACCCCGGCGCCTCCTACTAGTCAGCATCCCACGAACAGCCTCAAACCTCCTACTCAAAATCCTCAACATCCCCCAACAGCCCAACCTCCTCACAAGCGCCAAAGGCGGCTACTTCTTCTACCCAGCCTACACCAAAGCCGCCGCAGCCCTAAACAACAATCTCCCACACAAACCCATCTCCCAATGGACCGATGACCAAAAAGCAGAAGCCCAGCGCTCCTTCCAGGAGTGTTTCAACACACTGGAAGAATACTCCACGCAAGCCTCAACCACCCACAAAATGATGTTCGCCAAAGAACACGCCTACTGGCTCTACAGCCCCGCAGCCCTCCACAAAGCAAGCACAGGCATCCACGACGAAGCCCTCTTCAACGAATTCCGCATAGCCATGCCGGAGCAGTACGGCGCCGCACAGACGTATTCCCGGCTCAACGAGACGGTGTTCTCGGACGAGTACCTGCGCTCGTGGCAGCTTGCGTTTATCATCCGGCACCCGGCGCTGGCGTGGCCGTCCATGTACCGGGCTATGGTGAAGATCGGAGAATCGGGCCTGCTGGATGAGGACGGGGTGCGGGGGGCGTCGTTTTCGAATATGGATATGCGGTGGACAAGGTTGATGTATGAGTGGTGCTTGGAGCAGCCGGATAGGCCTGTTCCGCCGCCGGTTATTGATGCGCATGATCTCGTGCATAATCCTGGGGTTGTGGGGGAGTTTTGTGAGCGGACGGGGCTGGATAAGGGTGTTGTGCAGTTTGAGTGGGCGGAGCAGGGCGAGACGAGGAAGTCGGCGAAGTGGGGGAGTCATGTTGTTGGGGAGGGGGCTGAGGAGGTGAGCTTGCATCAGCGGGCTGCTGGTGTTATGCTTTCTACGTTGGAGAGTTCGTCGGGGGTTGTGAGGGATAAGGCGCCGGAGGATGTGGATATTGATGTTGAGGCGGCGAAGTGGAGGGTGGAGTTTGGGGAGGAGATTGGGGGGCTGGTGGAGGAGTATGTGAGGAAGTCCATGCCTGATTATGAGTATTTGAAGGCTCGACGGATTACAGTTTGATTTTTGAAGGAGGATTCTGGATTGGGGAGTGCGAAGTATATACAGAACATTGAGTAATCAGCTGGCAGCTCTAGAGGACAATTGTGATCAAATTTTGAAATATAGTGCTCTCGTTTCTGTCCTGCTTATGAACAAATTTGATAAGATAAGGGCAGTTCTGATTTGACATTTCAAGAATGTCGATTCCCAAATGTGGATCCATAGTATATCTGCCCAATCTATAGCTTTTCGCTCGTGTTGAGTCATTTAGGTAATAGGTAACGGTTGAAAGAACTTCCAAGCACTTGAAAGCTGTGACACCGGGATGAAATCAACACTTAGTGCTTACTATGCACAAAATCCCGGGACAAGGCTGACATTGGCAATTGCCACTGGAAATGATCGTCGGGATCGTCGCGGACCGAAACAGTAAGCAATACGGCGCCCAGCATATTCTCACTTAGGAAATTGCCCAACATTTGAACATTTAAAGCTACCAGTGCGACAAAGCACAGCCACAGAACGGAAACGGAACTTGTTATTTATTATCAAATACGCGCAGTGTATACCCGAAAAGGATATTATCTTAGAACTAATTAATTGTGTACTGCTATTCAGGATTCCGTTCAAATGTTGCTCATTCAACCTTAATCCTACATCCAGCAACTTAGCGAATACAATGTTTTCAGCTCTAACCTGGATTTCAGCTTTAGCCCCAATTTCCTCAAATTTCAATATTGAACGATCAGCCCCTGCGCATCCACATCTAAGCCAGGACAATTCTCACTCTTAATCTCAGTGAGCTGGTCGTATGGATATGGAATAGTCCAAATGATGTCGAATCTAGTATTCCAGTTACCATCAATTGTCTCGCAGCTCGAAACTAAGCAATCAAACCAAACCAACTTAAATCAACTTACCGGTGTTTGGGATACTTCGCCCCATTCTCGACTCCCAAAAGCGGCAATATTTTCTTCATGTTTCCGTGTCGCCACGAGACAAGAATATTGCCCGGGCCGTTATAAGACCGGATGGCATCAACAAGGCATCTCAATTTATCCCTGCTGCAGTGCAAGTCCACCTCTAGACCAAGGTCATGCGCAAGAGGTTGGACGGTCCTGTAAGGACGGCCGTGCTCGTCATCTGATAACGAAAAGAAATGACATCAGCACCGCGGCTCTAGGTACTGGGTATCTGATTCTTCAACATAGCCCATGGAATAACTCTACTATTAATGTACACACTCACCTGCGATCACAGTCGGCGCGATGATATATTGAATATCATACGCAGAGCTCACTCCAAAGACCCTTCGTAAACATTGCGCGCGCATGGCACCTTCAAAGTTTAGCGAATGATTGTTTGGGTCGATGGGCTTTTCGCCATGTCGGATGAGGTAGATTGTCGGGTGATGAGTGTCTGCTGCTACTTCTCCTGCTCCTGCTACCACTCCAGCCGTTACGGCCGTGAAAAAGAGGAAGTATATGGATATCTGACATGCCAGCACCAAAACATCCTGAACGCGAAATGATGGACGCAATGCAATAGAAGCTTTGGCTGCTAAGGCGGAAAAAATAAGCTTCAGTCGGGCGATCATGCTGGCTGTTTCCTTTATACTATATTTTTATTTGAGAGATACGGTGATCGGCAGATCGCTCGATTTCGAGATCCAAGGCATAGATCGACAAGAAAGAAGGGCGAATAGGTTCTGGCGCATCGGCGCGTCCCGTATTTGGTAATGATAGCAAGTGGAGGAGAATCATGGGGATCATTATTTGACGCGAACACCTTGGTATCAGCCCCGCAGCATGGAATGATTGGTTTTGTTGGCTTGTGGGGTTGTAGATTTGCCATGCGGTGTAACGGTGATGAGGTCGGCATAGTTAATCATCCCTTACATGTATTCCCCAGCTGGGGCAAGAACCAGTTACGAGTCTTTAAATGCTGTAGTTTGCTACACACTTCACAAAATATGTCCGTCGGATAGCACATGTGCATGTATGCAGTACATAGACCAAAAAAAAGAGCAAATATAGTTGATTAGATATGGTGTCTGAGCAACCTTTTCCCTAGATCAACAACCAACCACCGACCAATAAGCGGGCATTACTGAAAATCGGGAGTCGCTAGGTCCTCTTCTCCCGTCACCGGACCGAGGTGGATGATCTGGGCCGGGAGTTTCAAAAAGGGAACGCCGACTTCCAAGTCCCTTGGGTGACTCGAGAATGGGTCCCGTCGTCAGATGTGGGCCTGGGGTATTCCCTATAGGTTGTTCTATTCGGCATCCGCGGAGACTTGGATTGTGGGAAAGGCCACTTCAATCTTCAATACGAGAGAAACCATATCGGCAGATCCGAACAAGGGTCAAAAGGAGAAAAGTTATGCCGGAGATTTCGGTCTTCCCGGCATAGAAGAGGGGAGAAAAGAAAATTGTGAATTCGTGACACAAGCCAAGAGAGGTAGTGGCTTAGCGCGCTAGGCAACCGGAATTCGCGCGGAAGTGAAATTTCAATAACGCGAACCCGATCGTCTTGGCGCTTCGTAAACGATCGAACTCTCATAGAACAAATTAGAAGATCTTAGGCCGAGCTTCCGAAGACCGGTTTTCTCTCCTATTTTTGGAAGCCACGTACATATTACCACTTGAACGTATCACTTACTGGATACGGTAGTGAGAAGTGTATATCTTACTGACGTATCATGTATTTTTCCGTAATTCAGAACGAGGCTCAGCCCTGTGCATTGACCCTCCGGGCCCTGAACTGTCAAGCAAAGTAAGCAAATGTAATGTAATGCAATGTAATGTAATGAAAAAGAAAATGGCGAGATGTGGCGGTGCCTTGGCTGTGCCCAACCAGTGACAGAACTGCGCCCCCGAGTGCGTTTCGTTCCGTGATTTTGCGTGGCCATGTGGGGTTCTTTTGGCCCCGTCAGCCCTGCAGTCACTTGTTATAAAAAGGTCACGTCTCTCTGCCCCTCATTTCAATTTCTTATCATCCACCAACACTCTCCATCTTCCTCTTCCCTCTCAACCTTCCATCACTTTCAAAACTCCACAACCTTCATCATGTCCGGTTACTACAACAACGATCAATACAACCAAGGCTACGGCCAGCAGCAGGGTGGTTACCCTCAGCAGGGCTACGGTGGTCAGCAAGGCGGTTACCCCCAGCAGGGCTACAACCAGCAGCAGGGCGGCTCCGGTGAATACTACAACCAGCAGCAGCCTCAGCACCAGCAGCAAGGCTACGGCCAGCAGGGATACTCCCAGCAGGGTCAGCAGGGCGGTGCTGGCGACTACTACAACCAGCAGGGCCAGCAGGGCCAGCAACACTACGGCGGCGAGCAGCAGCAGTACGGCCAGGACTCCTCCCGACAGGGGTATGTTTCACACCCCCACTTTTTACCCACATTACCCCGAACACTTCATACTAACCTCACTCTTCCAGTTACTACAATGAGCAGGAGCAGTCTGCCCCCGGTCAAGCCCAGGAGGGTGAGCGTGGTCTCGCCGGTGCCCTTGCCGGTGGTGCCGCTGGTGGTTTCGCTGGCCACAAGGCCAACCACGGCTTCCTCGGAACGATCGGTGGAGCCATCATTGGTAGCATTGCTGAAGATGCTATCAAGAAGCACCGCAAGCACGATGACGGTCCCCAGGGCTCTCCCTACGGTGGCCCCCCTGGCCCTCCTTCCAACAACGGTAGCAACATGATGGACCAGCTCGGTGGCTACTTCAAGCGCTAAAAGGAGAATGTTCCTATCGTCTTGATACCCTCGACCGACTGCCGTCGTCCTTTTGCTTTTTTCTCCACCATCTTCAATCATTCGTGCGTTTAGTTTGATGACTTTTACAAACCTCATGAATTTCCTTTACATTTGCTACTTTGGCGAGAACGGGTTGGCATGTGTCCTTTTGCCGAATCTTTGTTATTGAATATTTTTTTCCATGGCTTAATTAGCCCTTACATGTACTATTTTCGCATCGATATCAAGAATCCACGAGAATCAGAATTGCTTTTTTTTAAATCCATGAATCTAAGATCGACGTATTACATCAGGGGGACTTTGCCACTGCGCGGGGAAAACCCGATCCAGAGATCAGTCCAGCCCGTGTCTGTATCGGGATTAGCGTAATAGACTTTGATGCCTTGATGCCCGAGTTAGTCAATAAATGCCTCAGGTGTAAAAAAAGTAGTTTCTGCCTTAGGCCACGGAAAGTTTGACAAAAGTTGCGCGGAGATCTCAAGTCTTGAACACGCCTTTGCTCCAATTCCGAAATCAATAACCAACATGATTGTACGACAGTTTGGTGTGCGGCAAAGTGAGTGGCTTTGAATATCCTTGACCAAATCAATCTGAATTTCTGGACTGACAATTCTCCTTCTAGGCCGCCAATTGCTCGCTCTCACTCGCCGCGCCCCGGTCTACAGCCGCTCATTCTCCGATGCACCCGTCGACACAACAGTCGAGACTCCAGCCGAGACTCCATCCATTTCAGCTATCATCCCCAAAGTCACTCAGGCTGCACGCCAACCAACCCCTAAAGAGGCCTGGAAGGGCTCCTTAAGGTCAAGTGAGCAACTCCGAATCCCTTAAAAAACGCCCAAACACCTCGAACATAAAACCTATATTATTTTTCACATCCAACATCCAAGAAAATCCTTATATCTAACCTTCTCTCTCCAACCTCCACAGAAGCGAACTTCAACGCCCTTGGCTCCACCGTCCAGGAAATCCACACCCATGATGTTCTCACCAACCCCCCCTCCCCATCAGATGTCACCCTCGAGCTCCTCCTCGCTGCAGGCACACACATGGGCCACAGCACCTCCCGCTGGAACCCGCAGAACAGTCGCTACATCTTCGGTATCCGCGAGGGCATCCACATCATTTCCCTCGACATAACAGCCGCGTACCTCCGCCGTGCCGCAAAGGTCATCGAAGAGGTCGCCGCCCGCGGCGGCATCATCCTCTTCGTCGGAACCCGCAAGGGCCAAAAGGCCGCCGTTGTCCGCGCTGCCGAGCTGGCGCGCGGATACCACATCTTCGAGCGCTGGATCCCCGGCTCCCTGACGAACGGAGAGCAGATTCTAGGCCACTGCGAGACACAGGTTGTGAATGCGGTGGATGAGCCCCTGCTCGAGTTCAAGCAGGATCTGGCGGATCGGCCGTCCGTGAAGCCGGACTTGGTTGTTTGTCTCAACCCGTTGGAGAATGTTGTGCTGCTGCACGAGTGTGGTTTGAATAATGTGCCTACGGTCGGAATTGTGGATACGGATGCGGATCCTACTCGTTTGACATATCCCATTCCTGCGAATGACGATAGTCTTCAGGCTGTTGGGCTTATTGCGGGTGTTTTGGGTCGTGCTGGTGAGGCGGGTCAGAAGAGGAGACTTGGGTTGGCTGCGCAGGGCGAGTTGACCTACAAGCCTATCACTTCGAAGGAGTTGAAGCTGGATCCGTTCACTGGTGAGATTCCTGGTGCTGAGAATAAGAAGTAGGGGTTTTGAGACCTTTCTGTCTTTCTTGCTGTTCTTGCATGTCTTGATAAGGCTTTGTGGTTTCGATTTCTTCCCGACATTGCATTCGAGCGTCGGACTTTGTACTGTATAGATGATTCCTTGTTTGTTGGTGTTATAACATCTTCGTGTATTAACAAGTCTTTTTTCATAAATGCATTTGGATTTTAATGTACCCCTTTCCTGTTCAATTCAGCAGTGATATTTTCAGGTGGATTTGTCCTGGCTATGAGTTTTTTTGACTAAATTTACAGCGTTGCAACCTCAAACTTAAACACAGCTATCAAATCAGAACGAAAAGACTTCAAAAGGTCCAATTAACAATTCATTCTATGTATGTCCAAATATGAAAATCTATGTTTATCCATAGTCCCAAGTAGCCTGATCAAGCCCAGTCCAGCACATCATTTCTCATAACAAGTCATCTCAAGCCTTAATAGTGTACACCAACCGACCACGGGAATCAGCGCCCTTGGCCACAATCTCCTGTCCAGAGGAGGTAACCACAACGCGAGCGTCTCCATGGTGAAGAACGACATCCAGCTCCTTCCAAGCAGGCACAAAGCCACTGCTCTCATCACGCTGGAGGTGCACAAGCACCTTCTCCTCAGTAGAGCTATAGCTCAGAGTGTAGTTGGAGATCTTAGTAACCTGCGAAATACCATCATCCTCGAACCAAGTATTCTCAAAGACAGTTCCATGCGAAGATCCCTTGGGCGGGAAGACCTCCACACCACGGTAATCATCTAGCTCCTTCACGCCCAGCGAAGCCGCAGTCTCATCACCCGGTACACGAGTATGCACATTCTTGCCCACGGGGATCGCGCCTCCAATCTTGGCGATCAGAGGGATGCTCTCACGCCACTCGGAGGAGATCTCAACCCACTGCCCGGACGGGTAGTAAGTGTACGGGGCGTTCATGTTCACGTAGCCGTAGTCGAAGACGGAGCCCGACTTGCGGGGGAGATACATCTTCGCGACGTTGACGCCGGGCTCGTAGACGCCGCCGACGAGCATCGAGTCGCCGAACCAGAACTGCGTGTCGCCGGCCTTGAGGGCCTTTGTCCACACCTCGGGATCGGACTCGTAGCCCCAGCCGGTCCAGCGCTGCGGCGGCGAAGCGGTCTGGTGGCTGGATAGGCCGAGCGAGTAGATGTAAGGCATGATTTCGTAGCGACGCTTGATGGTGTCGCGCACGAGGGGAGTGATCTCGGGGTACATGTGAGGCTCGATGACTTCGCCAACGGAGTTGTTGTCGGGGGAGGTCTTGAAGCAGTTGATTGTGAAGCGGATGGAGTTGCAGCCGAGTTGGATCCAGCGGAGGAGGAGTTCGGGGGAGGGCTGGGGTCCTTCGAAGCCGCCGATGTCGTGGCCTTCGTATTGCATGAGGGACATGCCTGCGTTGAGGGAGAGGGCGTTGGCTCCCTTCATGCTTTCCCAGCTTGTGACGTTGTCGCCGGACCAGGTGCTGCAGGCGTAACGCATTGTACCGGCTGTGGCGCTGCGGGTGAGGACGAAGGGTCGGGACTTTGGCTCGGCGTCGAGGAGGGCGTCGTGGGAGGATTTGCCCATTAGCTCGGTGTGGAGGGCGCGGCCCCATTGACCGACGCTGTTGGGGAGGGTGTTCTTTACTTTGCTGTTGACCATTGCGTCGTCGAGGGCTAGAGTCCAGTCGTCGGTGGGGAGAGTGTATTCGTTGTTGTCGTTCCACATGCCGTCGATGCCGACCTTCTTGAGCTTTTGGACGCCGTCGAACCACCATTTGAAGGCGGCTTCGGATGTGAAATCGATGTGGCAGCCATCACCACCGGTGGCACCTCCAGCACTCCAGAGCTGCATGTATCCAGGCTCCTTGTCGTCGTCCTGGAAGAAACCGCGGGAATCGATCAGATGCTTGAAATCGGGATGGGAAGCGAGAAGGAAGGGCTTGATGTTGCTGATCAGACGAATACCGTGCGCGTGCATCTTCTTAACCCACGCCTCTGGGTCAGGGAAGCGGGAGTAGTTCCAGGTGAACACAGTTCGAACCTTAGGCTCGTGCTCAGAGATAGAGTATCCGGAGCTCATCTGGTGGCCTGAGCAAGGAATACCGTGCGACTCCAGTTCCTCAGCAAAGTCAATGAGTGCTTGATGGGCACGAACAGGCTCATCAAGCATAGTGTACTTGTAGCCACCTGAAACATAGCCGTAGGCCCAACGGGGAACGAGTAGGGGCATTCCAACCAGCTCAGCGTATGACCGAACAACTTCCTGCAGGTTCTTTCCAACAATCATGTACTGTTCCAAACCACCGTAGTCCTGGCGGTAGATCTTGAAGTGGCCCCAAAGACCATCAATCTCAGCACCGACAGACCAGGAGCCACGACCATGGGTTGTCGAGAAGAAAGCAACGCAGCCTTCGGGAGTGGCCTTGATCAACAACGGGATGTGCTTGTAAAGGGGATCGGTATTGTAGTTATCATATCCGAAACAATCGGTCGCGGAAAGCTGGAAGGAGCGGCCAGTGAGATCCATCGGCGCAGCCTTCTCGCCTAGACCGACGTGCAATGCCTCCCGGTCATGTACGGAGTAGTGCGCGACACCCTCTCCGTCAGCAACGTATGAGCGCAGAGGCAGATCGCGATGCAGGAGCTTATCGGAGCCGGTCCAGGCCAGCGAAACAACGGGAGTCTGCTCCCACTCGACGGTAGCGGTGACGCCGCCAACATTGATGGTCTTGGAGGTTTCGGAGGAGCTGGCGGACACATTGACGTTCTTGAGATCGGTCTCGGGCTTGGTGACGCTTGGGTAGGGAGGAATGACATGCTTTGGCGAGGAGAAGCTGACACGGAAAAGGTTCTGGCGGATAGCTTCAAAAGAGAAGTCAAAGGCATCCTTGCTCTTGGTGCTGCTGCGAATGTGCACAGAGGCGTCATTTTGCTCGGTGCTCGAAGGCACTTGTTGATACCCGCGCGGGGAGCTTTCTTTTTGAGGCATTGTGATTGATGTATTGATTCTTCACGGAGAACAATCGTAGATGATTATTTTCGGTACCCCATGGCGCACAGCTATATTTGTAGCATTTTCTCCAATTGCTTGCCCCGCGTTCTCATGCTCCAAAACCTTGGATGACGTGGGGCAGGACCTAGGTATACATCGGAGATCGGGGATCATCTCCGACTTGCGAAGTGTTGGACGGACGCGACCGGCTATTGACCCACCCCCGGATATCGAAAAGCCGGGGGACGCGAGCAAATACAAAGGCCGATTGAGACCATGTGGGGCCATGGAAATGCAGCTAGGAAAAATGTTTAAGAAAAATATAAAGAATTTGTGAACGGACACCCGATATCACTAGCCGTCCACGGGTATGTGGCGTGAACACCGAAAGCCCGCTGGGTCCCCATGACTTAAAAATTCACTAAGGAGGTCTGGAGCTAGCACGCACGTAGTAATTGAAATTGGCTGGGACAGCTGAAAACTTATTTTATTATAAGCCAAACCAGCTGAATCGTTTTAGGAAGGTAAAAGTAAAGAGCGCGGCGCATACGTGCGGCGCGCTGTTAAAGTCCCAGGTTTTGTAAGTCGACTGTTAGTAGCTCTGGATGTATCTAACCTTGAAGTGTACATACTGAGTGCTCAATACTTATAGGTATTGACCGTAATGTAATTACTGCCCAGTGCCTGCTTTCATCTCCTACTTTTCAACTACTAACTGGGGAGACCATGAGACGAAAAAACCACAGGCACCCATGTGGTAAAGGGGGAGAGGTCTAGAGAGTGAAACGTTTGCTAAATGAGAATACCAAGTAGTAGGTAGGGGTACTACTGGATACGGCACTTGGGTGTTTCAACTAAAAATCACAAATTATATTCAAAATGCTACCATAAATAATCGTTGAGGTTCGTCATCAACACTGCCTGAGTGTTGTTGCTTGTGTAGTGTCTCTAATAGACGTACACGAAGTCCTCGTTCTGCCAGTCAGTCAGATCCTTGAAGGCATTGTCGTGAACCACTTGTTGGACAGGAACGCCTTCTTTGTCGGTTTGTATAGTTCCAACCGCGAACATAGAGTGATCGACGACCTTGGCACTCTTTCCGAGAGCAACCCGTTTCTTCTCGTGCTGCTTGTTGAGATAAGAAAGGTAAACCATGAGGAGCACAATCAGGAGCCACAACACGCAGAAAAGTGAGAGATCAGCCAAAAGTCCACGGCGGTACAATGGTGCCTCATCTGTGCTGTAGAGATTGGGTCCAATAATGTTTCCAACACACTGTCCAACGAGAAGAATACCAGTGGTGACCTTCTTCTTTGTCTCTCCAGCAGTGTTTGCGGCCGACCAAGAGTAAATCAACGGTGTGATGCCAGGGTAAACGGAGATAATATAGTATCCGACAAGAAGAGGGCCCTTGTGAGCATCATCATGCGGGATTTTAAGCAGCATGACACAGCCCGCAATCGGTGGAATGCACAGCATTGCAAGGACTGGGCCTTTCTTCCTCCATGTCGTGGCCAACCATGCACCTCCCATTGTAGCGATAAGCTGAACTGCACCGAAAGGAACGTTGAGAAGGATTGTGTTGAGGCTGTTGAAACCGAAAGATTCGATGATCAAGGGGCCAAAAGTAGTGATTCCGCCACTCGGAATACTGCGATAGTTAGTAAAAGGAGGCATAGTAAAAGAAAATGCGTTTTACATACGAGATAGAAATCATCAGAGAAAACCAGAACCAGGACTTGGGATCCAGGCATGCTTCCTTCACATGCTCCCATTTCCATTCGTGAGTCTCCATACCCTGCTGATTCATTCGCAGTCTGTCCATTTGTTAGCTTCAACAAAAACCCGGAAAGCTTGCAGGAGCAGGTACCTCTCAATGGCCACTAGTTTATCATCTTCTGACAGGAACGTAGAATTCACGGGAGAGTCGGGCATAAAAAAGCTATAGAGAAAGCATTGTTAGAATGTTGTTGAGAAATTCAATCAGGAATATGGAGTCGACTCACAAGACAACGGCTGAGAATGCAACCGTGAGAAGGCCAAAGAACAGAAAAATGACCTGCTATAATTAGGGCTTTGTTGTGAATGGTATTTGTTAAGACCGCCATACCTGATAAGGAGCAAAGACGGAGGAATTGATGTGTCCAAGACCATATGTGATCAAGCTTCCAACCTTCACGATGAAGAATTAGTCCTCTCATCTTGAAACCAAAGCGTATGAATGGCTTACCATGTTGACCACACCGTTCATGGCATACCACGAACCCAATCTCACAGGCTGTTCACGTCGTCGGTACCATGACTGGGTCACTGCAATAAAAGCGGGTGCTGGTTGTTCATCGTTAGAAGCGAACTCTCGTTATAGGGTATGATCAACTCACCCAAGCCGGCCTCGAAGGCACCAAGGAATAACCGACACACCATCAACGTAGCGAAGGTGTCGGCTTTAGCCATACAAGACAATGCAATACCCCATAGAAGTGTCGATGCTGCCAAGAACTTTCCCATGGGAATCTTGACCAAAAGATAAGACACCAGGGGCTGGAAGGCCAGCTGGGCGACATAGACGACCGCACCCAGCCAGGAATACTGCTGGCCAACAAGATGGGCACTCTCCTTGAGTCCAAAAACGGACGCATAGGAGAGAGTGGACTTGTCAAGCTGCTGAAGGAAGTAAATGACCAACATGATGGGAAGCAAACGAAGATCAATCTTTCGAAGCACACGCTTGTTGTTCTCTGGGGTCAGGATGGTTGTGTATCCCGCATCCTCGATCAACTGCAGGGCCTGATCCTGCTGGCCTTTACTTCCTTGAGCTGCATCTTGCTTGTTTTGATGAACCTGCTCCTCGTCCTCGATGGACTCGACAAATTCCTCCTGCTGGTGCTCCTCCGGCTGGTGCTTGGACTGCGAAGATTTTACCTGGGACATCGCTGACCACGGGTATAGAGATAAGAAGTGGTAATGAAATCCAACACGAGATAGAATAATAAAAATAGTAGATGGATAAGCAAGATGGAGCCTGAAACTTGTCGAAGGAAGCGGCAAAATGGACAAACCCCAGAGTACTTAAAAGCCGGAACAAGTTGACTCGGGAAGAATAGGGTATATGTGAACCCCGTGGGGAAACGAAGTTTATGATCTCCTGGGGACTAGTGTGATTCAAGTCCAAGGTTCACCAAGAGCAAGCCACAAGTCTCTTTAGAGTCATCTTTATCGAACTGCCCATAGGCTCAAATCATACCACACTGTTTTTTCAAAGGATATCCGATACGGAAGAAGTCGACTGAATCCCTGAAACGAGACCTAATGGCGGACAAGTTCCGGTCCAGTGGGCCAATCACCCAGACTTCCTAAGCAAGCCACCGAGCAAGCCACCGAGCAAGCCACGCGTGCAGTTTGCAAGGAATGAGGAGACGGCACTACCAGATGAGGGAAAGGGGTCGGTGTTCGGGCGCGAAAACCGAAGAAAAAGTGGGAATTATTGAAAATATTGGGTTTGACAGCCGGGATCGGCGGTGTGTGATCTGGGGTTAGTCTGGGGAGAAAAGTGGAGAATCGGCAGGAACCACCATTGACTCTCCGTTAAGCGGAGGAATACCCGATCCCCGCGTTTTTCTTTTGCACCACGTTGTTTCCTCCGATTCTCCCGATACCCAACCCCCTTGACTGGACCCTAGGAGATAACACGGCTCTTCATATCCCGAATATGCCGGACGAGGATTCATTACACCTGCTCCCTGTCCCAATCGGGAAGAAGCGTATCCCTGTATGAACCCTACCCCCGGAGCTCGGTGTTCTTCTCCGGCACAGCCCTAACAGTCCGTGCCTAATTGTGTAGAAAGCGTGTAGTGCCTGTCGACAATCCAAGGTAAGCCCCCTTGCTAAAGCTAGTACGATCGAGGAGCTCACTAATTCCGTTATAGGTTAGATGTGATGGCGATCGGCCATGTGGGAGGTATGCAACACCCCTGCAGCGTTATGCAGGAAGGGTTTCTAAGAATAATGCCTACAGGTGCCAGAAGCTTGATAAACAGTGTGTCTTCTTTGAGATCCCTAAAGACCCTGTTTCGGAGTAAGTAACAGGAATACCATGGTTGCAACCCGAGGTAAAATCAGCTGATGCTTCTGCAGACGGCTCGAGGGCGTCGAGTCCGAAGTCCAATATTTGCGTCGGCAACTGAGTGAAATGCAAGCTTTGATCAACCAGAACCATATCAGCCCAACCCCACAATTTCAAGAACAAGAATTCGAATCCCCTCCCCCACAGCTACATGATCATGAAGACCAGCCACGACGTGGAAGTGTCTGCACTTCGTCATGTTCACAGTTTGCTCATCCTCATCAACAAGAGGGTACTGGGGCCATAACAGCCCACCAAGACTCAACGGACTACATCCACAGCTCAACTAATTATCAAAGATCTATGCCAACTGTGTCTCCGAATGAGAGTAGGGCGGTAGCTCCAATATATGAGCTGCCAAATGGAGAAGCTGCCCGTCCTAATAAGCGTAAACGCTCTTGCTTTGAGATTCGGGAAGAATCAATCGCCGATTTCATTGATAAAGGTCTTATCACACCGGAAGGTGCAGTGTCTTGCTTTAATACGTACGTTTTATCCACTTCTCACGTTGAATGTTCACACTTATCTAAAGTTATCTCCAGTTTCTTCCAAGGTTGTGTAAGTAAAACCTCAAAATTCGGACTCATTGCATCGAAGAAAACCGAATCTCTGACTCCTTCAAATAAAATAATAGGACAGATACATTCCAATATTCGACCCAGTCTACGATAATTTCGATTCCGTCAGAGCTCGGAGCAGCATTTTATTGAATGCCATATGCACTATCGGCTGCATGGTCGAGACAAGTAAGCTGCTATAGGTCAATTCCAGGCGGGCTTGACAAATATGGTAACTGACGCTCAATTTCAGGAATCAGTGGTCCAACTTCCGACATGCTCCATGCCGAACTGAAAAAATGGATCAACGTCATCATTCAAAACACGGGGCTAAACTGTCTCGAGTCCGTTCAAGCAATGCTTGTAGTAGCATGTTACTCTTCTGAACGACTGCTCATTTTATCTTTTGCTACACGAATGGCACTTGATTTGGAACTGCATGAAGCTTTTGAAGAGCTGACTGAAAGATTGGCATATAAGAATGATGAGGAAGCAGCAGGTGTTGCGGACCATGACTTTGAGAGGGAAAGAGAGTTGATGCGGAGGTCTAGAACTTGGTTTGGGCTACTGGTTCTGGAGCATATGTAAGCGGACCCTGAGCTTGGTTTCGAGGACTGTACTGACTTCTTATTGAATAGATTCCGCGTTGATGGAGGAAAGCCTCCTGGAATCCGATTGGTGGGGAACTCGAGGCGAAGTAGGATTCTTCTCAGTCATCCTTCAGCGACAGTCCTGGATTTAAGACTGTTCTCTCAAGTTGAGGTACGATCACCCAAAGAGTATCCCGATTCAACTGTAGCGTGCTGATAGGTCCTACAATAGCTCAACATTTTAAGAGGTAGGGTATAATAACCTCGCTGCTCGAATCACGGGCTCTAATACTTTTACAGCAACTATAAATGATAGCCTGGGGCCAGGCACTACGCTTGATGGCCCGGGGATTGTGGATTTTGTTCACGAAATGAAAGTTGACTTGGACATATGGTTTGAGTATGTTGCATACCGTACATAGCTTGAAAGGAAACAATGCTGACCTATTTAAGTGACTGGATACGGATTATCGGTGAGACCGAAATTGAAGCCTATTGTATCCCACGATCTCTCTAATACAGTGGCAGAAACCTCCGCCTCCGCCAATGAAGAAAGGCCGTATCTTCTAGCAGCCATCCGAGTACAAAAATGTTGGGCCGAGATGATGCTCAACTGCAAAGCCCTCCGAGCTATGGGCGTTGAGAACGTTGCGTAAGTATTTACCACGTTGTCTTGTACGGAAAGCCAGGCTAATCCCCATTCAAGCGCCATGTCCCCAACCGAACGAAAAATCCTCCACACAGCCAAGACAAGCGCTCGACGACATCTTCGATTGATGGTACTCGAGCCAGAATTCTACCTAGCCAAGCTAAAATATGCCATGGACTTTGTCTGGGCAAAATGTGCATTCGCGTTCCTCCTACTCCTAAAACTCTCCCGACTCTTGCCTGAACGCGACGAAGAACACGAAGAACTTCTAGACCATGGGAACCGACTCGTGCACGAATTGAGCAAGGCAGGTTCGAACACCAACCAATCCAAGGCCGGCAACGTTTATCTCCAGATTCTTCGAGTTAGTATTGAGAAATATGGTCGTGCTTTACAAGAATCTCAGCAGCCGAGTACTGGTGGCACGACAGCAACGTCGCCGTTCTGGGAGCTGTTTGATGCGCAGGCAGATCTGCAGTGGTTTGTACCAGAACAATTTGTCTCAGAATGGGACTTCCCTGGATTGAATCTGTTCTATTTCCCTACAGCTTGGCAGGATTTCTTTGGGGACTTCTCGCTTGCTATGTGATATAGAGTTTCAAAAATAATATCTATAACTTCTGTGACATTGATCGAGTCTAAGAAAAATCTAGAACTCCTCAAAAGCCCCCAACTATAAGCATCGTGTTTGTTTACCCTTTATCCCGAGTGAATGCCGGTGCATGTGCCACCGATCTCTCAGAGCCAGACGAATCACTTTGTTGATTTATCGCTTCAGCATGAAGGGGCTGCTTGTCGGCTTTAAGCGGGACAATAACCTGTATTGAAGAAAAGGGAAAGACGGTAGAGAGATTTGGACTCGAAACTTCGTCAATCTAGCCACAGACCACGGTATGATGTACAACCAAGGGGACGAATAAATAGGACAACGAACTTCCAGAAAATAGGGTCACTCTCATTCCGGAGTTTCTTTGGCATTCTTTCATCCACAGGTTATTCGGCAGTTTCCGTCCGTCTGATGATCGTGATAAATCGGTGGCTCAATCATCTAATGGTATTAGAATGCATCGTTAGCGATTGTATAGGCAACAGTATGAAGTAACTTTGCTTAGCTGGCTCGGTGCTTTCCACAATCTTGACTCCAGGAGGAAGACAAAAGAGGAAGCTGAAAGTATGGGCCGTCAAGAAGAAATGAATGCCTTCAAGAATACCACGCTGGTAGATCTGATAATACTTGACGATGAACACGATGAAACCAGAATGGCGCGAGAGAGGAGAACCACATAGCAACTGGCAAAGGAATAAGTATGGGAAGCCTCCACCTGGGAGAACATTATCAAGAGCTCATCATGATAATTAGTGTGTCAACAATCCCAGTATGGAACGGGATATAGGAGTGGGGCCAAGATGTATCTCAGAGCCGGGGGTCAATTCCATCCGTGAGGTTAATGCTGAGACTCACTATCAAACCATGCATTGAGGGAATTTGAGCATGAATCCAAGGTACAACTGCTATAAATACTAGTAGAAGGATAAGTTGCGGCCTGAGAAAAAAGCGAGCCCACCCTTTTTTTGAGGTATAAATACCTTGTTCTCCCCTGACTTTCTTCCTTTCTCCTTCTCTCCTCTTCTCTCCCCCACTCTCCACTTCCCCTTGGACCCTGATCTTACTTCCCCACTTGATCATCCTTCATATAATATTTGTTGTGTCATCCATCCTTCATCAACATATTGTTCCATCCTTCCTTGATGACTTCATCCATCAACACAACAACACGTTGTCACGTCCAACCTTGCTGACCTTAATTCACCAAAACAACAACGCGTTGCCACGTCCAACCTTGTTGACCCTCATCCACTTTGGTTGTCCTCATCCTTCAACATGTTGTTGTCCTATCTAACCTTGGTAACCTTCATCAACCTCTGTTGACTTCATCTATCACTAACATATTGTCCCATCCAACCTTAGTGACCTTCATCAAACAACAACAACATGTTGTTGTCTTATCTAACCTTGATGTCCTTCATCAACCCTTGTTGACTTCATCCATCAACAACATGTTGTTGTCTTATCTGACCTTGATAACCTTCATCAACCCTTGTCGACTTCATATGTCAAAAACATATCGTCACACACAACCTTGGTGACCTCCATCCACTAACATGTTGCCCTGCCCCACCTTGCTGACTTTCATCATGCCTAGTTGACTTAATTGTCTACCAAGTCTTTGTTTCATCCTTCGACGATGAGCCTTCAGCCTTCAGGCAATGAAGAAGGCACAAAAAAAAAAAAAAAAAAAACAAGAACAAGAACAACAGAAAGAACAAACTTTGATCGTCCACCGAGCTGCACAACCTTCATCCTTGAGTTTAGTCTAAGAGTCTTCTCTGAACAGGCGTCGCCCAACTTGGGTGTCAGGACAAATTCAGTTAAGACGCGGATCATGATAACCGGGACCACCTACCAGCACAACCACCGAACGATTGACGAACCTGCGGCCGACGAACGTACACGAAAACCTTCATCCTTTGGTTTAGTCCAAGTCTTCTCTGAACAGGCGTCACCCAGCCTCGGGTGTCAGGACAAATTCATTGAAGACGCGGATCAGGATAACCAGGATGACCCACCACAACAACTCACCGACCTCCACGGTCTTGATCCTTCGGTTTAGTCTAAGTCTTTTCTGAACAGGCGTCACTCATTAAGTGTCAGGACAAATTCAGTGAAGATGAGGATCGTGATAACCAGGATCACCACAGGCAGCAACGCACCCACAGCATAAACAACATCCATCAAGAACCGATGGATTCATCATTCTTCCTTGATGAGCTTCAGCCTTGATAGCTTTGTTCTTTCTTCATGACCCCATTGAAACAAGATCAATATGTCATCCTATCCAAGTACCTCATTTTTCTCTTCGTGTCCCAACCAAAATACTCTTTGCACACAGGCGTCACTCAACTGGGAACATCCCGAGTGCCAGGACAGAAAATTCAACTGAGACTTGAATCACAGCCAAGGTTTTCCAACTCCACAACCTCCACAACCACATCGCCTCAAGTTGACTTTGACATGTTGCTGGTTTCATACAACCTTCATTTGTCTAGTCCTTACAAGACCATGGATCCACACAAAACGAATGACCTCATCCGGACTCGATGGCTTCATACCAAGAAAGTATACCTCCGAGCTTCGTGCTTCATCCACAAATACCGTGTGTCGAAACCAAAACCAAAACCAAAACAGAGACACCTCCTCATCAAAAAGGATCAAGGACATGGACAAAAAAAAAGAAGAAAAAAAAGGATCAAGGAATGAAGAATGAAGATGACCTGCTGGTTGAATTGCTGTTTGTTGTACTGTTGTCTCATTTCTTTTGCCATAGTATCAAGAATTGACAATACATGCTGCCGACTTCGGGTCATTTCCTGCCCTCTTCATACCAGTAGTAAATAGTAGTAGTCTTTAATCTATACTGGCTCCCTTAATAAGAAAGTTCGATTGATTAAGTAGTAAATTCCGACTCGATCATGAATCTGCACCCACCATCTCCACAATCTGAGCACATTCATTTATCAGTTGAGCAATGCCTTCCGCTGCTACAGAACTTCGGGGAATATTATGTCCACCCTCGTGCTGGTAAGTCAGCCGCCGGGCAGGATCAGAAAGATGAACCAACTGCAACGACGCGGGCCACCGAGGATCGACTCGCCCATACACATGGAGAGTAGGAATGTCAATGCGGAGATTCCGAGGCATCTGAACGGTATCCAATCCAAACACATCAGAAGGGTCAATCGGAGCTGATGTGTCAATTTGCAGATCCCTATCGCCATTTCCGCCGGGAGTGGTCCATCGATCCCTTCCCAATTTGAGGATCGCTTCCTTGGATGCTCGTTCACGAAGAGCTATCTTGGTCTGCTTATCCCATTGGCGAGCTTTGTCCGAAATATCCATTCCCAAATCTTCCAGCACCGACAAGACTGGTCCCCCGCAAAGGAATACGACGGCTTTGAAAGGGAGTGGCTCCGATGGTCTTTCTGTCTGGTGGAACCAGATGTAACTGGCAACCAGGAGGCATCCTCGTGAGAAGCACACCACTCCATCGTACGGTTCATCGGCTTGCTTGCTCAGAAACTCATGGAATTTGTGACAGGCAGCTCGAATTTCGGCCACGCCTGCCTTTTGCCACCATGTGTAGTAGGGCCCATCTGGATAGCGGAGATCCAGCCCTGCTGCTGAGTTGGACGTAAACGGGCCATTGATGAAACAAAACTCATGCTTTGATGGTTCTAAGTGCGATATGACGGAGGCTATATGCCAAGTGTCAAATGGGGTTTATAACGGGAGCTGCTGTCGGGAAAGACCTACCCAGCTGGTCCTGGAAGATTGTGGCAGAGGACCCGGTACCGTGGATGCATAACCACTTCATTTTGTGTCTGTTTCAAGGTCGATTGAATCACATTTAATTGAAATAATAAAATCTAAAAGTCATGCCGAAAATAGTTTTTGCTCAAATCAGAGTCGCCATCATGGATCGCATGAAGGCATCCTTGACAAGCTGTAGGTTGTTGTATACTAGCTATTGTGAGCACGAAATGCGTGGGTGGGATGCATCTACTCGAAAACAAAATGAGCGGTCAAGCTAATCTGCACATGCATATGCATCATGATGATATGTGTCGATCTCAATGTCTTCTTTGAAATGTGATAGATTAAGACTATCGGCCTGCGGAATGAAAATCAATCATTTTTAGCCTTCCCCACCGATCTGGGCACAGGATTCAGAGGAAACATCTGCGGGCCCTTCGTAAATTCTTCGTCAAAAATCCGACTGGAGCGATTTTGCAGGCACCCCGGTGTGGTCCATGAATTTTGGGGATCCCGAAGCCACAGACGAAGTAAATGACGGCTGCAGATCGAATACTATTTAGCCAATACTCACCCACATATCTTCCCGTAGGAGCCCACTTACCGATTCTCTGAATCATCTACATAACTGTTCCGAGCATGTATCATGCTGAGATTGTTGATGAATTGCATATCGCCCTTCTTCAGCTTCATGGATACATGAAACTTTTCTGCGAGAAAGTGGAGAGCATCGAGTGCCTCTAGCTGTAAAGATGTTAGCATATGAGAGTAAGCGTGAGTACCAAACCCAGAGAATGAGCGTCGAGAGAACTGCAAAATCACGCGTTCCGGAGCTTCACCGCAAGCTGGTTGGTAGTACAACAGCGGTCGGTGGGTGATTAGACCAGGCTGCCTCACGCTAGGTCCTCCGATTCAATCACGATTGTCAGCAAAAGCTCTCAGCTCCATCTTAGATGTATCAGGGCCAGTCTAGGGATTTTTGCACACCTAGGTATCGGCCAATCCTCCGCCAATACACAGATCAGATCTGGGCGTGTCTCGGCCAGAGCATTGTACACTGTCCATGCACTCGCAAGCAGACTCTCACCGCCATTTAAGGGACCACTTAGAACGAAAAGGGATACGATATCCCCTACATCTGTGTGATACACCACCTCTCCGTCTGCATATGCCGCCAAAGCAAAGTCTTGCACGTCCCCCGGGCGCCTCATATCGGTTATGTGGGCCATCATCACGTCTGCGGGGTGCCCCTCAAATTGATGATCTTGGCGACCGCGGATGACGGCAATGTGGGCAGAAATGCCGACATAGATGATGATGTTTTCTTCACGAGAATATTGATCCACTGGGACTCCGCGAATGAGGGTAAATCCGTACCCCGAATGCAAGTTATCGGATGCGGATCGGAGAGTTGGGTGTAAAGAAGGCAGAGGAAACGTGGAAGGGCCCAGACTCTCGATTGGCTGACTCAGTCCTGCAGAAGAAGAAGAGTTATTTAGTCAAGAAGGCAAAGGCAAAGGGTATGTATGGCTGACTTTGGAAGTGTCTGAGCGCTGCATGAATCTCATTCAGCTGCACATCGTTCAGGACCAGCAGGTATGACGTCTCATCGCCTGCAGGATGATCCATGGAAATATCCATTCCTTCCCAAGCCATATCCGATGTCAGTTTCTGCGGAAAACCATGGGGAAGACTTCTTTCCACGGCCTCTTTCGGTAAATGGCCGAGTATACGAGTTTCATACTCATTGCGATCTGGAAAATAAGGAACCTGGTGGATTGATTGTGTCATGGTCAACGACTCCCACGTTTGGAAGGCAGAGCCAAAATGGGAAGACTGTGATGGGTGCTGCAGCTTCAATGTTTGGAAGGGATTTTGAGTGGCACGAGTACTATAATGAATGTTATATAGTCACATCTTCCAGGATTCATCATCGCCACTTGATATCTTGCATTGAGGTGCTGCCATCTAGCCATTGCACTTCGCTGGATGTGACCTATCGATACAGTCCAGAAAACACGAGCTAGAAGCTATGGCGAAAATGCCCATGCAAACTGCAAAGCTAGTGCAATGCAGGGATTTAATATAGACGAGACAGAACAGCCAATCGCACAATCTGGGAAAGTGATATTGCATGAAAGTCGCGCTAGTACTAGGCAACATTATTCACTTAAGAAAGGCCAAAGCTATCATTGAGGCATATTGGTATTTCCTGCATTGTCTGAGATTCCGAACGACTTTCAAAAATTTTATCTCAAGGACTGACAACACGACCGTCCTCTCCCGCCACAACCAGGCCTTATTTGAGACTACAAGACGTCTCCTTGCCGAAATTGTGAATGAAGGACTAGTTAATGCAAAGCTTGAAGCTTTTACCCCTGGAGGGCCACAGAATCTGTGTTTACAAAGTATACTTAGTCCCAAAGATCGAAGTTTGGTCAATGTATCAATTAAAGCTGGCACTGTTATCGAGATTAGAGACGGTCGGGTGATCACCGTTATACGACCGGACACCTTACAGCCACCTGTGATTATTACCAATAGCGGTGACGAGGAGTTAGACCCAGGCACACTATTCAAATTCCTGAGTACTTCATTTTGGGATCTTGCCAGTGAGAGAGTGTTGGATGAGATTGCCCAAGAGCTGCGCAATTCAGCAGCAAATCAAGGTAAGATAGCATTCATTTCACTCAAATATGCATTAAATTAAATTGGATATCCTCAGAAAAATGGCTAGAGATCAGCCAGAACCAGCCATTGTTAAGCCTGAAGAGCAGGTCTGCGGACTGGGAACGAACATTGGTCTACGGCCACCCGACTCATCCTGTATGCCTGCTGAAATGGTGATCAACTTGCTTGATGATATTCTGATTTCTGAATAGTACCACCGACTGTGCTATGCACAAGCACCACTAAAGCAGGTCACCCCTGAAGATATCCCTGGGATGCTTAAGCCAAGTTTGGCATTTGTTTCTGTTCCCCGGACAGATCTCCGTGTCACGGGCCAGTTTGAGCAAGAATTGCAACCGCTTCTGGAACGACTTGATATCCCAAAGACAAGCAGTGACCGAGTGATTGTTCCTTGTCTCTGTCAGCAACTCCCATCTATTCACCAGAGATTCCCGGCTGCTATTGTTCTCAAGCTCGTCACAGACTCTGTCGAGGCTCAGGCATCACTGCGTACACTGAGTGTGCGACCGGAGCTTGGATTCAAGTATAACTTGAAACTTTCGCTGGCTTGCCAGATAACTTCCGCGCTACGTACCATAACGCCCTGGACGACATGTGGTGGTCCTATCCAAACAGAAATCCTAGAGAAGTTGCTTCCAGATGACATGTGGGTATTCCGCGAAGTAGCAGCTGTATCGGGCAGCCAGGAAGATTTCAACGATGCACGCCATTTTGCTTGCATTTTGCGGGATAGCTTGCAGAGCAGAGCGGAAGAAAATGACGAGACTCTTATTATAACAGCAGGATTCGCGCAGAAGCCCAGTGGAGACAGTCGTACATACGCGGAAATCTTATACGGTCTGGAAACGATCTGCCAGAAAAAAGAATGGTTTCAACGGTCAGTTATCACAATTAATCATGAAAGAGATAATATGAGAAACTGATTTGCGAACCGATACCAACAGATACGTCGGTATTCTATTTGAGCTTGTTCTTACCCCATTGGTTCAGTATGGCATCGGACTAGAAGGACACGGGCAGAACCTCGTCGCGCGTGTTTGCCGCCAGACAGGTGAAATTAAAGGATTTGCGGTGCGCGATTTCGGCGGTGTCAGGATGCATGTCCCAACCTTGCGAGAACATGGCGTAAGCTATGATTCATTACCACCGGGAGCGGCCACATTGACGGATAATTTGGAGAATGTTTGGAGCAAGGTACATCATTCGCTTCTTCAAAATCACGTCGGGCTTCTCCTTGGGGCGTTAGGATTGGAAAACCATGGTGGATGGGCAATCGTCTTCGACACTTTATCGATGGGGCTGGGACCTCATGAAGGATCCCCTGGGAAAGAGCTGTTTGAGTACTTGACCAAGGACACAATGCCTTTCAAATGCTTCCTGAGGATGAGAACGGAAAGTAAATACCGTGATGTGAGTATTTGGCGACCATCTCTTGTTTGAACAACAGTGACTAATGGCTGAATTCGATTTGGTAGTATATCGAGAGGGAGGTTCCTAATTCGCTCCTCATGGACTCTCCGCGATGGCAGTCTATATTGGATTCATACAAACCATCATTGCACGCCACTTAGGAGGGTCATGTTGGGAACTTGGAGGCAAAGACTGTCGCTTGGAATATTTAAGGTGTTATAATACGTAAAATGTCAACCCTTGATCTAATTCCAAGTTTAATCAACGTCTCATTAGTGTTCCAAGGTTGAAGTTGGAACTGATTCTAATGACAATTGTAAGGCGATCTCAGATCCACCAATCAGCGTCGATTTTTAAAACTGACGTAAGCGACCGTAATTAGTTCTGCATTTGACAGTTGCTAAACAGTAAAGCAGACACGACCAGCAATGCACAGGCGAGCGGTCACAAGGGTGAGCTTTTCTTGAAAAATACAAACCATAACCGGATCCCTAACATTATCATCCAGCTTTCCCGCCGCGTCGAGCTTTCTTCGACCAGCGTAACGGCCTCAACCCCGACCTTCTCCTCTCAGCGGAGCTTCCAATCCTCCGCACCCCATCGAAATTCAGAATCCGGTGATAATAACAATGATGGAACGCCTTCGGCCCCTTCGAAGCCATCGGCTTTTAAGCCCAAGTTTGGTGCTCCCAAGCCTGGTGCAGCCAAGTTCGGAGCTCCCAAGTTCGGAAGCAAATGGGGACCTGGAACATCGCAGCCCGTCGGTTTAAGTGCTGCGGAGCAAGCATTGCGCGACGCGATGGTTGCTAAAAGCAAGCCGCCACCACCTCCACCATCCGCTCCAGAGCAGGAGCGCTCATCGCCGATACGGAATCAAAGATGGGCCAAGCGCTCGTATACGGACTCGCCCGCCAGAGAAGAAAACCTTCGTGGCCTACACCACCGACAACGACATACGGAGGATCATCAGGCACCATCGGGACATCGGAGAGACTGGAACAGGGAAAGGAGACCGAGGGAGGAAAAACAAGTGACGCGGAGTACGACCGATTGGGACTGTCCAAGTTGCCAAAAAATGGTATTTCAACGACACTCGAATTGCCCTTTCTGCAAAACCCCACGACCAGATTCGCCATCATGGCAAGCACGGCCACCGCGGGATAGGGAGCAGTCTGCCAAGTTTCGGAGCCTAGGTCGCTCATTTCTGGCCGACTCTGCAGAAGCCGAGCCTGCGTCAAAGACACCAAAGAAGGATACAGCTAAGGCTAAAGAATCCACAGCCAAGGTTGACAAAAAGCCAGCTGTCGACCAGTGGTCATGGGATATGTCTTCCCTGGAGAACTTAGAGACAGAGGAAGTGGATGAAGATGTGCCACAAGATATGAAGAAGTCTAAGCGCCGCGATGGGGGAAAGCAGCGGGGATCTGAGTCCGCAGAGTTCGAGGCTGAGAACCGTGATCGGCGGCGCGAGGCGCGCCAGCGCAAGAAGGACAAAGAAGCGAAGAGGGAGCAAGCGCGTGCTGCTCCCCAGCCTCTTTACCTCCCTGAGTTCATTAGCGTTAACAACCTGGCTGATGTCATTGGTGTTCGGCCCGCTCAGTTTATTATGCGCATGGAGGAAATGGGCTTTGAAGATGTTGAATACAACCATGTGCTGGATGCCGAGACTGCTGGATTGGTCGCTGCCGAGTATAATTATGAAGCTATCTTTGATACTGGGTCCGATAATATTGAGGCTGCGCCGGTGCCCGAGGATGTTTCTGGCTGGCCATCTCGACCGCCTGTGGTCACTATCATGGGCCATGTTGACCATGGTAAAACCACTATTCTGGATTGGTTGCGAAATTCTTCAGTTGCTGCGACTGAGCACGGTGGAATTACCCAGCACATTGGTGCCTTCTCCGTGCCAATGCCTTCCGGAAAATTGATTACTTTCTTGGATACTCCTGGGCATTCGGCATTCTTGGAAATGCGCCGTCGTGGTGCCGATGTCACCGACATTGTTGTTCTGGTGGTGGCTGCGGATGACAGTGTCAAACCTCAGACTATTGAAGCCATCAAGCACGCGACACAAGCCAATGTTCCCATCATTGTTGCCATGAGCAAGATTGACAAGGAGGGCCGCAACCCTGATCGCGTGAAGCAAGATCTATCGGTCCACGGTGTTCACGTTGAAGATTACGGTGGTGATGTCCAGGCCATCGGAGTCAGTGGTAAGACTGGAGAAGGTATGCTTGAGCTCGAGGAGGCTATTGGCGCCCTTTCAGAGATGCTTGATCACCGAGCCCAAAAGACCGGCAACGTCGAAGGCTGGGTTCTTGAAGCTTCCACCAAGACTTATGGCCGAGTTGCATCAGCTCTCATCCGTCGTGGTACGCTGCGACCCGGCGATATCATTGTTGCTGGTAATACCTGGGCTCGAGTGCGCACTTTGCGTAACGAGGCCGGCTTGACCGTCAGTGAAGCTACACCGGGAATGCCTATTGAGATTGACGGCTGGAGAGACCAACCTGCCGCTGGTGCTGAGATTCTACAGGCATCTACTGAGCAGAAGGCCAAGGATGTTGTGCAATATCGCCAGGACCGAGTAGACACCGAGAAGCTCAGTCAGGATATGGTTGCGATTAACGAGGCCCGACGAGAGCTTTCCGAGAAGCGCAAACTTGAAGAGGAAGCCGAGTCGGATGATGCGGCTACTCCAACAGCAGCTGAACCAAGTGGCCCCAAGGCAGTCAACTTCATCATCAAGGCCGATGTTGATGGTTCTGCCGAGGCAGTCATGAACTCCATGGCTGCCATCGGAAACAACGAGGTCTATGCCAACATCCTTCGCTCGGGAGTTGGTCCCATAACAGAGTTCGATGTTGAGCATGCTGCCGCTGCTAAGGGCAGACTGATCTCTTTCAACCAGCCCATCGATCCAGGCATGATGCGCATGGCGGAACAAGACGGTGTAAAGATCATGGATCACAACATTATCTATAAGCTCATTGACGACGTCAAGGCGGATCTCAGTCAATACCTTGCACCCACTATTACCCAACGTGTGACTGGTGAAGCCGAGATTGGCCAAATCTTCGACATCACCGTCAAGGGTCGCGACAAGATCGCTATTGCGGGTTGTCGTGTGCGTAACGGTACAGTCAACAAGGCTCGCAAGGTCAGAGTCCTACGACGCGACGTCACTGTTTACGATGGTATGAAAATCCCCATCCTGTTTCTGATTTTTCCAAGGTTCGGCTTTGCTAACATGCTCTAGGCACGATGACTTCGCTCAAGAACGTCAAGAAGGACGTTACGGAAATGCGCAAAGACACCGAGTGTGGTATTGGATTCGATGGTTGGTCCGAATTTGCTGTTGGCGATCACATCCAGTGCTATGAGGAAATCCACGAGAAGCGCTTCCTCTAAGATCCCCAGCGATCTGTACGCAACTGTATTTCTAGATTTGATTTTTCGCACTTGGGGCCTTTTGTTTTTGTCCCCACGATATGTACCATATACTTCCTTTCTCTTAAAATCGGTTGCATCTGGGTTGGGCGTTTTACCACTGGATATAACCTGGCGATGCAGATACTCAAGCCAGTTCATGTGTATCATAATGCAAAATTCCAACCTCAAACTCACTTCACGCCTCAACATTCATACATGTAGGACCCACCCTGGTGGCTAGGTGGCTTCCCACAAGAACTCTGTACTATGTATTTCCATTGTTCTTTTCTAGGTTATTCAGGTAGCCTTCCATCTTACCCTCGAAACCCAGTTTGCCCAATCCCTTACATCCTCCCTCTCCATGATTCTCTCGATAGTGAACCACTCTCTTGCCAACTCCTCATTCCCTGCCATGCGATGTACGAAGCTATGACATGCCCTACATAGCCACGCCACGCTATTCAGCATCCACTCGTCATGCCACCCCTTCTTCATGACCTTAGCATGGACTCCCCGCGGAATCAAATGATGATACGACAACGGGATCCAATCTCGTTCGCAAATCTCACACGCATCCGTCTTCGTGGTCGACCACGCCGGTGGCCCAGTTGTCACGCCACTTATATACTCCGACAGCACCGAGGATATGAAATCCGGGAAATCGGCCGGGTCGGGGATCAGTCCGTAGACTGACAATGAATCAGTGACATCGACGGGTGTTACTGTGCATATTGACTCAAGCACCGCACGGTCAAGAGGGGTATCTTTCTCGGGCGGTATATAGGTCTTCGCAAGGTCTGTATCATGTTGGATTGCGGCGTAGGAAAGTGTTTTAAGGTCTTCGGGGAAGGAGTCGAAGGTTTCAGATGCGATGAACTAAGGTTGTATGTGAGTTGATGAAGTTTGTTTAGTTTGCTCGTGTATCGTGTTAATATTTCCCATACATCGATAAACTCGGCCAGCTCTTCTGGATTTGCTCGCTCGGTGGTTACAATTTCGGTTTTTGTCACGGTCACTTCCTTACGTCCATTGCGCTTGACCTTGGTTCTGCGTTTGGACGCCGGTTTTTCCGAGCGCGCAACAATTGCGCTTGAGAGACATTCTCGGAAGATGGGGTAGTTCTCATTCGATGTCATTGGTATATTGAGCTCATGGTTTTGGCTCTCAGGATTTTGAATTCTCTGAGTTTGGCGGGATGTTGGAGGAAGTGCTGAGACCCCGCGGAACAACGGAAGATTGACATCATCCACGCCGCACGCGTTCCACCAGAACCTGAGCACATAAGCTTTCACAATTCCTCCTGCTAATCACTCTCATATCTTAGAATAGCATTCAACCTTCTCGGGATATTAACAGGATTCCATAATCATCAATGTCGGACAAAATTGTCGTCGCGTTTGATATGTACGGCACATTGTTGTCTACAGACTCGATTGTGAGACAACTGGACACGCATGTTGGTCCTACTCAGGCATCATCTATCTCCGCACTTTGGCGCCGATACCAGCTTGAGTACACATGGAGATTGAATAGCATGGGTTAAGTTGCTCACAGCTACTACTCACCAGTGGTCTGCATCTAACAGCCATGCAGACAAATACGAAGATTTTTCAACTGTCACCCGCAACTCGCTGCGACAGGCATTATCCGAGCATGGTCAACAGCTACCGGACACTGGCATCGATGATTTATTGGAAGCGTACGACCGTCTATACACTTTCCCGGATGTAAGCCCGGCGCTTAACCGAATCGCAAATGACCCGACCCTTCATGCCGTCATATTCTCCAATGGCACGAAGAATATGATCTCAAAATCAGTCCTACACTCTCCAGACTTATCCCAGCACGCCAAAGTATTCCAAGCCTTGGTCACTGTGGATGACGTGAAAGCGTATAAGCCTTCACCTGCTAGCTATCAGCATTGTGCCCGAACCGTCGGCAAGCAGCCTTCTCAAATGAATGAGATGTGGCTTATTAGTTGCAACGCGTGGGATGTTGTCGGGGCGCGCAGTGCTGGTATGAATGCAATTTGGATCGACCGCGCTGGGAAAGGGTGGCAGGATGCTGCTGTGCCGGAGCTAAGGCCGACAGCGATTGTGCGTAGCTTGGAACATATCGTCAATGAGATCAAGAGAAGACACGAATAGCATGCTTGTGTTTCGAAGGCAGAAAAACGTTTGCAAGCCGGTCATACCAGGAATTCCAGGTTTAACAGCGAGGTTGATGGCGATTATGAGCCTACTTAAATGATGTTTTCATACAGAGCAAAGTGATTTTCATAACAATTTTTCATTTTCATTTTTTTCTGTATCAAGACCAAAAAAGACTTGGAAAAAGGGGATGTACCGCTGATTATATTTCCAGATGCTCCACGTAGAAAGGAGCATTCGGGGTAAGCCAGCAGAGTCAGTCTGTCCTCCCATTTCCCCTCGAAAGAACCCATTGCAGGGGATTTCCAAGTGAATAGGGAGGAGTAATAGTTTTATGTGAGGAACAAAAGGAAAAGCGCCCAGAGAAAAATTTCTTGCCTAATATATCCACTGCTGACTCAGCCCTCACGTGATCCCGTTATCGACCGACGATAACGGAAAAACTGGAGAAAGCCGAAGCTGGTGCCTTCCAAGTTTACCCTGGAATATTCATAAGCAACTTGAAGCTTCATTAATCTGTGATATCGGGCCATGGCTTCAAGAACGTGGGATCCGACACGGGCAGCTTGGCTGTACCCTCTTCGGGTAAGACGCAACAAAAATATTCTCCACAACAATATCGCCCTAGATACTCCGTGCTGACCTTGCTTGACTAGGGCATCCACTACTTTGCGACACACCGCTTCCTCTGGCCCTTATTCAAGGCACGACTTGCGCCTATCGTGCTTCTTTCGAGCTTCATATACTTCCTTCTGTTTTTCTTCACATACCTCCCCCAGGTAGCCTTCTTGAGCATCTTCCAGGGAGCAGGAGCATGGGTGAACGGTGCATTCCTGGTGCTGGGCGAAGGAGCCGCGATTGTGGCTGCATTGTTCGAGGCATTCTTCGTTGACGAAACATTGGTGGACGTGTTCGACTCCGTCCTTGTGAACGAGGGCCAAGAGCAGCTTGTGCTCGCCTCGCGGGTGATTTATCCCGAGGCTGGTGACCCGACCAGCCGTCTCGGCACACCGACGACTAGTGCAGTATATGCGCCATTTTCTTTGCGACAGATTCTCGAATTCATCATTCTGCTGCCATTGAATTTCATTCCTGTGGCTGGAACACCAATGTTCTTGATCCTCACTGGCTATCGCGCTGGGCCCTTCCACCACTGGCGGTATTTCCAGCTCCTGGATTTCACTAAGCAGGAGCGGAAAGCCAGCGTGAGTCGGCGGCAGTTGCAGTACACTACGTATGTTTTTATTCTTTTTTCATCGCATTTTTTCCTTTCCCTCGTTGCCCTGTCTGACACCTTTTAGTTTTGGAACCGTTGCTTTGATCCTGCAACTTATTCCCCCCTTTTCTATGCTCTTTTTGTTAACTACTGCGGCTGGTGCTGCGCTGTGGGCATCCGAGCTGGAGCAGAAACGACAACTTGCTAGCCAACGACCCACACGCCTGGGCGATGCCTATCATGATGATCTCACGGTTTAATAATGTGGCATGAATTGTGGGCCCCAAGGCGGGCCTCTTTCGTAATAATGGCTTGCTTCCTTTTCTCGAATTTCCCGCTACTGAGTGGGAATTTCACCTCGGTACTTCACGAACGTATTATAGATCATTTAACGCCAGCTGTCTCATACATATACTAGTTTTTTATTCAATGTTTACTTTGAATTGATGTAATTTCGCATATATGCTATATGATATATCAGACCATTTACTCCGTACAAGATTAAGCTTTCCCCGGATTACGTGCGCGCCACGTGACTATCCCCATCCGAGGTCCGGTCAGCCATCGCTTCCGAGCGGCTTTGCGCCGGGCGAAGCGCTTAACACTAATTCGAAAGAGGAGGAGGCTCTTCCGCCCTTGAGAAAAGTTACCCCACTGGGAGTAAAACTAACGTGTCAGGGTATCTGTGGATAATTGAGAGAGCTATCGTGACTTGCTTACGTTGGTCTTGACACTGAAACACCAAGTAAAGAGCCCTGCGTCACGTTGATCGCTTGTGGTGCCACCAAGGGTCTAACGCCAGTTCGTGGAGTGGCACGGCACGACTTCGCACAAGAGCTCCACGCGACCTGCCCCAAGAAGTGGGTCGTTCAAGGGTCCCCCGCAGTGTCTGCATGTACTGAACTTCAAAGCTTATGCACCTTTACAGATGATCATGCTCTAATCTTGCTGTATGGTGTTCGGGCTAAGCCAGTTCCTTACGGATGGACCCTAAAACCAGGCTGCGAAAGGCCTGCGATGCCTGTAGTATCCGCAAGGTGAAGGTGAGTCTTGTTCTCGAAAAGAAAAACCGTCTAACGGGTGACTAATATTGCCCGTAAGTGTGATGCCAGCGGCCCTCCTTGTCGGAGCTGCGCTAGCTTGGAAATACCATGCACATATGAACGGCCAAGTCGACGCCGTGGACCCCCAAATCGTCATGCCGAGGCCTTCAAGAAGCAGAAACTGGAGGTACCGCCTGATGCCTCGCCGGCTAGTCTGAGTGACGTCCCGCTTGCGACCACTCCTCAAGCCTCGCAGGCATCAACATACCGGCCTCCTACAGAGACACCGCCGTCATCTGCCCCAACTTCGGCGGAAGCTATTTGCTCCCTGCACACAGTGCAGCTACTCCTTGATGATTTTTTTACGTACATTCATCCCCTAGTTCCAGTTCCCCATGAGCCTACTTTTCGAGCTGCCTTTGAGCGCCGAGAAGATGCTACCAGCGGTACATTTTTAGCCCTTCTTGCTTCCATGATTGGGTTCCTTGTCGCCTCCTTCCCCCGGCGACCCAAATTAAGACTCAACACCGAAGCGGAGCGTTTCGCGTTCCCGAATTCCATCGCCCTAGTCAAGCGGTGCCACGATGTTGCCATTCAGGCTCGAGGTACTGGATACCTTGATAGAAACGCTACAGTTTACGACGCAGCTATCAGTTATTTTCTGGGCGTTTGTGCCGGTTACGTATACAGCATGCGCCGCTGTCGCACTTACCTGGCGGAATGCCGCACCATGCTACATGTTTATGACCTCTGTCGCTCTCCTGCCAACCATCCTCCTGTCTCTACCAATCCTGCATCTTTGCTAGCAATGAGTCCAATGTCGGCCACGTCAGGGACTTCGCCAGGAATGTGCCAGGACAATTGCCCCCCGAGTTTGACGGATACCAAAACGGTGGATCTAATCACGCAGGAGCTTGGTCGTCGTCTCTTTTATGTTTCCTTGGTTGGATACCAGTCTCTACTTCAGCTTGGCTCATCCAACATCAAGATGCATGTACCTCCAGAAACTCCTACGGAGCGCTATCCTCCATTTCCACTCGAAGTGGATGACGAATTCCTTTTCCCAGATCATGTCAATCAACAACCCGCTGGTCGAGTGTCACGCCTAGCTGGCTTCAATGCGAACGTCCGGGTCTTCAGTTCATACAATGCCCTGCTGGCCTGGGAGACCGCCTTTGGTAGCGGTCAGATCTTCAATTGGGAACACCAGCGCACAAGTCTTTGGGATTGTCTTCAAAAAGCGAAATCTGCTCTTTCAGATGTCCCTGTTGAACTGTCCGTGTTTCATCCAAAAAAGACTCCTATGGTCGCCGGAATGGGTCAAGATGGCTCAGTATTTAATTACCCTGATGACCTCATCAATCAAGAACGACGTGCAATTCAATATGAAATCCAGAAAGCCAACATATACGCCAGTCAACTATCAACCCGCTCCTGGTTAGTTGAAAAATATTGGAATCTTTTTGAGACGTATACAAAATTTGGAAACCCAGCCAAGTCCGTGATTTTCAACACAACGCCAAACATCAATACCGAATCCTACTCAGATGCAAAATCCGAATCTACTACTGGCAGCAGCTCCTCGGGACATCATTCATGCACTCATGGGCATGCCCAGACAGACCACATTGGTCAGATGATGGCCCAAGAGCGTAACTTGGTGATTAAAGATCTTTTTGTCCTCCTACGAACCGTCAATGAAGTCAACATGGAGCCCAACGGCGCCAGTATCGTACGTACCAGACAATTTTTCACGAAATCTCATGGTGACCACATTACTAACAACCAGCAGACTAGCAAAATTCGTCAAGTAGCATCAACTCTCCTCAACATACCCCACAGCTCCAAGCCCAATCTGTCATCAAGCACCATTCCAACTACAGACTTACTAGCTACCCCGACATCAGTTGATCAACCGTCAGGCCTTCATAGCCTTAGTGCTGCCGAAGCAGAGTCCTATCTACACGCTTTCATCGATACCCTCATCCGTCTTGAAGGACACTCCTCTGCAGCAACTGATCCCGGTAGCAATGCTGAGGATCTTAGCCCGCGAGCTAACGGCCGTGCGATGAGCTATCTGAGCGACTACGAACGAGATCAAGAAGAATTGAGCCAGTGGGCGAGTTTGAAGGGATACCAGCAGAAATTTGCTGAGGCTGCAGATTTCTTACATGAATTGTAATTAGATGAAGGGTATTAATGAACTTGCTAATTGTATTCTATCTGTACCAGTACTACTTACTAGACACTTCCCTACCCAGTCCACCTAAACCAATCCCGAGGCCTAGGTAAAGTTTGCTTTTCAAGACACGAATTGAAAAATGAAATAACCCTGAAAAAAAGAATTTACAAATTGAATGAAAGAAAACTACTATTGCAATTTCTATAACAGTTCGCAGCAGGTCAGATCTCCTGGTTGCATCTTGTTTGCTACCTATGTCTTCGTCACTGTAGCCGTAGCCTCAGTCACAGTCTCTGTCTTCGTCGTAGTAACCAAAACGGGCGTCACAGGAACAATCGCCAACCCGGCATCCGAGCTGGTTGATTTTATCTCGGTTTCAGTAGTTGTGGTTGTTGATTTTACCACGTCCGTTGATGTAATGACGGTAATAGACGTGTGTATGGCAGTCGACGTTACCACGGCAGTAGAAGTTACGACGGCGGTTGACGTTACCACATCAGTTGATGTCACCACGGTAGTCGAGGCTTTTGTAGCGATGGTTGTAGATGTATAAACGGCCACGGACGCACTCTCAGCCGTAGAGCTAGCCTGTTCAGTCTCCGAAGCAGCAGCCGCCTGATGACTACTAGACACAAGGGAAATTGTGGAGATAGAGCCAGCAGCCCCCTCAGAAGAAGAGGTATATGTTGTTGTCGGAGTCGCAACAGCCTTTTCAGACGCAATCTCTGGAGTCTCAGTTGAAGTCTCTCCGGTTGTCACCGCTGGACTCTCCACGATAGTAACAGTTGCAGGGGACTCGGTAACTGTAACCGGGCTCTCGGTCTCGGTCACTGTCAGACCAGGCTGCGTGACTGTGACTTTTGCTGTTTGCGTTGCTTTAACTGTGATAGTTGTCTCTGACTCTTCAGTTGTAGACGATGTAGTCGATGTGGTTGGCGAATTAATCGCTGCATTTATCTGCGTCGCGGATATCGCTGTGCTCATTGGAGACTCGCTTGAAGATGCCGATGAAAAGGAGTGAAGAACTGTGCCTGTGGAGTACGCTGTTGTCTCGCCGGAGGAGACATACTCGATTATGTCACCTGTCACGAAGTATATAGAGGCCGAGGATGTCGGTGATGGACTCTGCGACTGTATTGGCGTTGTCGAGGATGTAGATGTCCTGATAAGTGGTACCGACGACTGCTTAGGCAGTCTCGATATACCAGTCGATTTGGCAATCTTAGACGATTTCGAAGCTTCGGATGAGGCCAAGGTTGCTGGCAGGGTTGTAGCTTTATTAGTCACCGTGGCTGATCTGGATGGTGTGGACGACGATGTTGAGAGTTTCGCAAATGCCGAAGTTTCAAACGAGGTCGGCGTCTTCGATAGGGTTGCTGTTTTGGATGGTATCAATGCTTGTGATGATTTCGACTTTTCAGTCGATGTGGCTGTTTGATACGGTGTCGTGGTCGCAGATAGAGTAGCGTTCCACCAGATAGTTGATGTCGTGGTCCAGCAATCCTCGCAAATGTCGTCAGTTGATGTTGAGGACTCGCTTTTGACTTTAGTTGAGGCTTTGCGTGTGATTCCACTATAGGATATTTTCTCCGAAGAAGTCTTTGTTGTTTCTTGCGCCGTTGTAAACGGGGAAGATATCTTGTCAGAAGAGAATGTGGAGGTATGGGATAAGACGGAAGATGGAGTGATATTCGTAAGGTCCGTAGCCATTGAGGAGGTCGTAATGGGGTCATTTTTGCTTGACGAAGTGACGCTCTTTGTAGTGGGAGTCGAACTGGTCGGAGTTGTAGTATCTTTCGACGTTTCTGGATAAACGATAACTGGTTTATTGGCATTCTTGCCAGCAGATGTTGATGTCGAGGATACAGAAGTAGACAGAACGGTTGAAGTGAGCAGAAGCGAAGCAGAGGTAGAGGTTGTTGTAGCTTCTGCCCTCGAGGCAGACGAAACAGAGACCGTTGCAGACGCGCTTGCAGTCTGCGAGCTCTGCTCCTCGCTAACAGACTTCGTAGAGACATAGCTAGACGACACCAGCCAAGAAGGCGTCACGGGATTGATTGTTAAATCGTCTTCATCGCGCACAACCAAGTAATTCGCACCAGCAGCCAAGGTTGTCTCGGCGGGCGATACATCAAACGGATAGTATCCAAGAACAGTAGAACGAGAAATCGGACCAGCCGAGCAAGTCCACGCCATAAAAAACAAAACATAAAAGTGCGTTAGCAGCATGTTGCCGTTAATCTGCGATGCACTGCACTCGCAGGTTCAAATGAACAAGAGATAGAGATCGACCAGAGAAAGTTTGAGCGCGACAGTAGGCAGGAACCAGAATCAAAGCCCAAACGGAGAATCACAGTGGATATAAAGACAGTTTCAAGGGAATAAAAAGCCCAAAATGGTTTGTAAAGAAAGGCATGGCATCGAACGTATTCCTGGGATCAAAGATGGCGGCGCATGGCTGTTGGGCTGCTACAATGAACGAGTGGCGTGGTATATGCCCAGGTATGTGCCTGCGTATAAAGAAGGGTTGCACCGAACGGAAAAAAAGAAAAGAAAGAATGGGGTTGAATAAGACGCAAAGAGTGTGTGAAAGAGAACTTGAATGAGGCCATGTTCGAGGGCGTTGGGCTAGTATGCATATTATTTCAGTTTGGCGAAGGAAGTGGTGCAATCCCCAATGTTTGACATGCTGGTTTGAGTTAAAGCATCTGGTCTGAAAGACGAAACTACCAGGGGTATATTGTAGGATGCACCGGTTTCACTAGAAATAGCTCCATCAGCCAAGGCGCGCGACAAAGACTCCTTGTTGCAGGAACCGCCCGAGTATGCAGCTTTGAGCCCCGTGATTGGTTGCTAGTGGGGTCCACATCCAGATTACAGCCAGTGACGGGCGCTTTCATTGGTGGACGAGAACTAAATAGAGTCGCGTTCGAGATTAATTGCAACAAAACTAACGACTAGCTCTTAAATAAAACACACGCTAAGATATAAGTCTTTCTTCAAGACCTGGTTTCACATACGCCACCAGCTTACTCTCATGACCCAGTGAGCAGCCTTCTTTTAAGAAGACGCCACCTTAAAGGACCCCCCGATCCCCTCAAAGGGTGAAATGTTTCCAAGGACATCCTTTGAGTCTCCATAGTAGTGCATGCGATAGGTCCCGCTTTGCAAGGCATTCGGGTCACCCACGCTATAATAGCTGTCCTCAATCATCCACTGAATTGTGACCTCGCTGTATCCGAGAATGCTATTGGTTCGCTCCCACAAGAAGAGAAGGTTCCAGTCCCTGTCATTTCGCACGACTTCCCAGTCGCCAGAGCTGGGATCGTATTTTTCCACGGCTGCATACGTAGACTCCTGGTGGAGATTGTTCCGAGGGTTGGCGCCAACAAAGGTTGTGTTCACGACATCACCGGGTCCAAAAGTTTTGTTCTCGGGGTTCGAGATGACATCTCCAAAGGACTTGCCGAAGTGCGCGTTGTCATAGACCACACCGGTGACAAAGCTCAGGGAATTGTTGGTATTAATGGGTGGATCAGGGCCCGTGCCGATGGCGGGGAGGCTTGCAATGTCTTGGGCGCTACCAAGGTATGGCAGGTAGGTCAATGTGAGGTTGATATACGCGGCAAGTTCATTCGGCCCAAACAAGGTCGATGCTCCTTCATAGCGCTGCACACCGTATTCTTCTTCTGTTGTAACGTAGTGAGCATAGCTGTTTGATGGGGCACCTAGAACGACATGAGGGTCAGAGACGCCCAGCGTGTCCTGGGCACCCTTGGAAATAGCTTCCTTCCACCGACGGCCTGACATGGTGGTAACTTCACTAGCTGAGATGACGAGAAAGAGTTGCCCCACTCGGAGAACCTGAATGTCCACAATATCTGGGGCCCAGGCGTACGGTAAGGTGAGGGTTCCAACATCTAGGAGAATATCCTTGGCCCCTTGGCATTTTTGCTGTTCCTCACTGGGTTGATGAATGAACGCCCGAGCAACGAGCCAAAGTGGATTACCAGTGGCCGGACTACTTGAGTTCTGGGTGAAATCGAAGGCTCCAGGGCCATCGGTGGTTCCAGCAGCAAATGAATACCCGAGCGCTGCGGGACATGTCGTCAAAGTGCTGCCATTGAATGGAGATTGGAAGGTGTATCCATTCATGTCCTGGAATACATGGAAGGACCTAACACCAGAGCTGCCGGTAATTGTGGTCGCATTGGTGTTCATCTGCTCGTATAGGGATTTAGCCGCCGAGTACTGGCGTCGGCCAATTTCGAAACAACTCTTCGCCCCGTTATCCTTGACTTGGAAGAAGGGCCCCCTGCCGTGACAGGCCTCATTTGTGCCACCACAGGTACTGTCATCATATGAGCACATCTTTCCAGAACCATCCTCGCACCAGGCACCCAAAGTGTTGGGGCTGGTATCTCCCACACTGGACTGAGAAAACCCAATGACCGCATTCTCGGCGAATCTGTTGTCTCCGTAGATGCTGCGCTCAAAAATATAAGCCGCTGCACCTTTGTTGTCTCCTGTCACCAAGGTGTTATTGTTATACATGGATGTTCCATGAACCGGGAACCATGTCAGTATAGCAGTAGTCTTATTGTCGGATTCTCGGTCAAAGCGGAGCAAGGTCATCGTTTTTTCCACATTAGCCGAGTATCGAGCCTTTTCTTCTTCTGGGTTTTGGTCATATGAGTATGGGCTACGGTTAATGTTGGCATCTTCAAGTTCAATGGACCCAAGGGATAGACGCCCTGTGGTGAGACTAGCATGAGCACGTTGAATGGACAAGATCGCGCCGTCGACGATCGCCTGGTAGCTCTGCTTATCGAATCCTTTGGTTGGGATCTGAGGAAGAAGATAATTCATCCACGCGCCCGGTCCGGAATGAGAATGAGTGCCTGTCATTGCAATATTGTGTTCGCCATAGCGTTCATAATCGCTCCCTAGTGCTGCGAGTCCCTGCAAAACTCCACGGCGCACGGCGGTATCACCTGAAAGGGTATCAAGAACCAAATAGACGAACGTATCCTCTGGAGTATTTGGGTCTGCGAATATGAATGCCCGTGAATAGATTCTCTGGCGTAGACCTGTGCCCAATTGATCCAGACTGGCATAGCCATTGAAATCAACCTCCACCACTGGACTGTGTAGCTGAGAGTTAATTCTCCGACTATATTAGAGGCAGAAAAAGTAGTGAAATAGAGGTCATACCCCGTCACGTCGGCCTTTCCGGCACCCACCAGAAATCGATCATCGGCCGCAGCCGCAGCACTCGTTCTGCTTCTCCACAGGTTGAAGTTCTGAGTGAAGCTGGACTTAGGAATCTGTTCGGTATATTCTACCATACCAAGTAGTTGGATAAAGACTAGAAGGGCCAGCGTGACGGCAGCAAAAGCCGCGCCCAGTCGAAGATTCATCATTTTGCGGATGTGGTCGGGGATCGGGATGTATCCTGGAAGAGCACACAGGACTCTAGGGAATCAAACCAATATTTAAGCACAGCTCTATGCGGACGGGAGGCCTATAGCCAGAGAGGCTAGAAGGGAACTCAAAATCGGACTGTCGTGGTAAGCATCTCGCAAGGGTGGCATTCCAATTAAGCGATGTGTGATGGACAAGGAACCTCAGGTGATCGCCATCTGCCATCTCCGAGATCGAAACGGGAACCAACTCTTCCCCGCACGGAATCACTTATGAGTCCGGGCTTCCAAAACTCACACATTTAGTCTGGTCTATACGAAAAAGAAATCAAGTTTTCGGGGCCCTGGATCAGTTGTGACTCGTCAGGCTAGCTCTGACTCCTGCAGCTGTTCCAAATAGCATCATAGGATCAGCATGGTTACACTGTGGATATGTGATGCATATGGTATGAGAACTATGATTAGCTAGGATAGCTTGGACCCTGGATTTCACATGGACTACAGCTCCAGGCCGGGAGCAACACTAAATGTAGGTTGTAGCCGAAACTTAAGAGTTCAAGAGTTTCTAGTTACTAGACTTACATAGTACAAGTCACAAGAGATGAAGAATCCGCGATGCTGATTCGTCCAGACCCAGCTAGGTCACGTGCTACTGTCTCCACACCGCTTTCCTGCATTTGCTTCAATTGCTTCAATCTGACCATTGATCTCCAAATCACCACTCGCAACTCACTTCAAAATGCCTCTCATTAACGAAGCCCACGACTCTTTACCTTGTGCGCATTTCCCCAGCTAGCAGACTTTATCTCCAGCAAAACTAACTTCTGTAGATGTCGACACCGAGCCTTCGGCCTCCGCGTACGAAAGAGCCCAGCAACTCATCAACGCCGAATTATCACCAGAACACTCTTCAACTCTCCACCCCTCAATTCCACCAGCTCCCGAATCAAACTACTCCCCCATAATTCAACAAGAACTCGAGCGCAAGGCAATTGGCGCGCCTCTTACGGGTGGAATCGACCTAACCCGCTATGAAGCGCCCGAACCCCCAGTTCGCGCCGCGGACGGGGAGAGCCCCAACCTAGACGAATGGCGCCAGGCGCTGCAGAGCGCGTACAAATCAAGCTCACACCTTTCCAAACGCCATGAGAACTTAACTCTTCTTGATGAACATGGCAAGAACGCGTGGTTGATTGGCAATTCGCAACTTGAATATATTCTTGGTGGTCTCGAGAAGGAGCTGGCTGAGACAAAGGAGATTTCGGAGGCCGTCAATAAACAGAGAAAGATTGCTCAGGAGGCGAGGTATGGAGAGCTGTCGAACTTGGAGGAGACCTGGAAGCGGGGGGTTGGAGCTATCCTAGATGTGGAGTTGGCGTCGGAGGGTATTCGGATGCAGATTCTGGAGCACCAGAGACAGGCAGCCCAGCAGCAGTTTCGTTAAAGAATCAGCTTCTTGAATTGTCTCTGTCCTGTGCAACTGCACGGGGTTGTGAGCCCTTATCTCTATCGGGTTTGCAGATGCAATAATCTCTCTGGCTTTCTTCCTCGGTGAACCTGAGGAATATTTCTTTTCAAAGTGGTGGCAGGCGACGGAACGGTGTGCTTTTGACTACAAGCAGGACTGGAGCTTCGAACGTACCAGATTTGCTGTCTCCATGTCTACAGGGCACGTTTCCCATGTCTGCTGCCCACCACTACCCTCTTTAAGAGTGTCGCAGGTCCGACACTTTCTCTCGCGAAGGTCTGCTTTCACGCTAGCCTGCGTCAGCTACCATCCGCCTGGTGCTCTGGTGGTCTGAAAAAGGCCAGGGAAAATCAAGGAAATTCTGACAAATTAACGAAAGTCAACTCTAGACTACATGACCCGACCACGGGGGCCAATGTGCCTTTGATAAATGGCAATACGATATCTCTGGCCATATCTTCTACCATCCATAGCCTGTGTTTTACAAATCTCAACATGGAAACAGTTTCATAATGAATAAAATGCATTCAATATCCTTCGCCGAGCTATGCCATATTTAATATCAATAAAAAATTTCTCGAGAAACCACCTCCCCCATTATCCCCATTCAAATCTTCACTGGCGTAACAACATTAACATCGACCCCATTCTCCGTCACCCGCAAAGGTCCAACCTTCTCCTCAACAACAATTCCCTTGGCAATGGCATTCTTGTTCCAGTGCAAAACCTCCTTGCACATGCCATCCAACGTATTGATAGGCGGGTTATACCCCAATCCACCCGCTTCAGGCGACTTCCTCGCACGCGCATCATCCGCAACAATGCAAACATCCGAAATCGCAAACAACGACGGCTGGACCTGCGCCAGATCACCCGTGATCTTCGGCAGAAGCCAAGACAAGTACTTGTGCTGCACATAGCAGTACAACTCAATGAAATGCGCAAGAATGAATAGGTAGACAGGCTGGACGATCGGGAAGGCGATGGGCGTCTTAGCAAGCGTGGTCAGCAGCGTGTACAAATCGCCGAATGAAATGGCCGGGTTGGGATCCGTAACCACGAAAGCCTGGCCTCCGATATTAGGCAGCGTAGAGCCAGGCGCGCTTTGCTCGATCAGGCGCTGCTCGTAGAGAAGGTGGGCAATAGAGACGTTCTCCGCGTTGACGAAGCTTTGAATGATAGGGCTCAACCATCTAAAAGCGTATATCAGTATTCAGCATTCAATCCTGTACGAAGCCCTTATTGAAACTTACGTCGGAGCTCCACCGCTGCGCAGATAAGTGCCGGTAATGGTCATAGCCACATCGCTTCCAATGCCGTAAATGCCGTTCGAAGGGCGGATGCATCCCGTGCGGAAATTCGAGGCCAAATCATCCGACGACCGCACAAGTCTCTCTGCCTCGATCTTTGTCACGGCGTAGTTGCCGAAGAACTCATCATGTTCCTGCGGCAATGCGCCGTCGTCGCTGAGGATCTGTGTCGAGCGGTCTGGCAGCGAAGCCCAAGGGGAGACCCAGAAACCCACTCTGTGGAGACCCACAGAGCCGGACGAAGTAGAGATGAAGCAGCTAGCACCGTTCTTTTTCGCGGCGTTGAGAACGTTCCGGGTGCCTTCGACGTTGACCTTCATGCTCAATGGCAGGAAGACTTTCAGGCGGTCTTGGGGACGGATGATGGCTGCGGTGTGGTAGACTGATAGAGGGAGCTGAGCCACGGATTCGGGCCATGGTTGCTCGAATGCAGTGTCGACGATTAGCTTGTCAGTGATGTTTGTTTTGACATAGGCCACTCCTAGGTCTAGAACTTCTGCTGCGGGAGTGTGGAGGTCTAGAATGCGGATGGCGGATGGGTCTTCGCCACGTGCTAGTAGATGCTGGACGATCCAACCTCCGACAAGACCTGAATTATGAATGTCAGTTCAGATACTTTGGAATTATGGTTCAAACTCTGTTCTGGGCAGCTTTTTGCCCATGCTTCTTTTGTTCAAAACGAGCTTGCGTCATTCAATGGTGGAGGGTACTAACCGGATCCACCTACTACAACGTAGCGGCGGGTCTGTTTTGGTGGGAGACTTTTCGTCACGTCAACAGGATTCTCACTGGCTCTTGCATAAGCCGATTTAATCTCTTCGACGGTCCAGCGATGGGGAGAAAGAGTTTGGGCTTCTTCTGGTGTTTTCTTCATGACGGTGTTGACATGGCGTAAGTATAGACCCGCCAAGCCCAGGGCCGCAGGTAGAAGTATGTAAGTCATCCTGGAACTGTAGATTTCCAAGCCGAATGCAGAAGCGAGAGTATTCCCCTTTTGAGGAAGTTCAGGTATGTGATACAGCAGACTTTGGGAGCTTAGACCATCTAAAAGTCAAACGGTGTAGTTAATGTAATTCGTTGAGTGACTTTGTGTTGGGTAGCATTTGCAGCAGTGTCGTTTGTGTAGCGGAATGAGTACAAAGGAGAAAGAAGTGAGAAAGAGATGAGCGTTGGCAGAGAACAGCATTATATTCAAAATCCGAATCCATTTTTTCTTTAGCTATATCCATCTGGAACATCTCACTCGTTCTGGATTCAAAGGGTCGCTTAGAGCATAGACGGCTCGGTTAGAGGTAAACGAGAGCCACCACGCGCCATGGTAGGGGTCGAGCGTCGTGTTTTGCAGGATCGGGCTGGTGGTTTGCACTGTTTGTCCTGCTTTCCATCGAATCAGGAAGGGCACCGCGAGCTTTGATGGCCTGGTTTCTCAGGTATCAGAGAAATTCTCCGATTTCCCCGAAGTTTCTCAGCTTCTCACAAAATTCAAATCTCCTTTCCTTCTTCTTTCTGGTACTTCGCTTCCGGGTAGGCCCACCTTTTTGTAGGACTGCTGTGCCCCTCTTTTTACCCTTTTAGCGTGGGGCTCCACCGCGGAAACCGTTCCGCCTATTGCCCACGTTTTTCTTCATTCCAGACCAAGACCTCAGCGTCAAATTCTTTGTCGGCACCGATCGTCTCGGGCCTGGCCATCGGCATCCGTCTCTTCGTTTGAGACTTAGCTGAATTCGGGATGTTCGCTTATCCGAAACATCTGATTCATGTCCGAATTGCAATTGACTTGAAACGACCTTGTTCCCCAACACCATATGGCTTGCTGTACCACCTAGTAAACCTATCTAATTGACCGAGCACAACCTATACAATTTACTCCTTATGCCAAAAATGACAGGCTCGCAGAGAATTCCGACCTCCACTGAAGAATCCATATGATATGTCACTTCAAATGACAGCTTCTCGTTGGCCTATTGAAGCAACAATGTACCATTGTGTATCTCGGCAAACCGGCACGCTAGGCCTGTCCACCATAATTCCGAACGGATAGGGGGGTTAACCCTCTTTCAATGCACTGAGATCTTACCCACGGGGAATATCAGTCTCTTATCGGAATTATCGGAAGTATGGAGTAGATCTGGAGAAGCTGTACAACCTATTATCAGAGACTTGGGCGGAATTATCAAATCAAAGTTTATGCACACTACATACCACCTTACCAAGATGCCCTCTGGATGATGCGATCCTACGCCCTTCGGTCTCCTTTCCGAGATCCGTGCTTTAATCACCTTATTCGGCATGATCACTGCTTGGGCTTTCGCAGAATTTAGGCTTATCACTCGCCCCGGCCCCACCTGGTCATGGCTCTAGAAAAAATTTCTAATTCACATTGATACTTGCGATAGAAATTCCCGTTGCTAACCGTTCATTCTCTATCTTCATCGGACTCTGTAAACTCCAGTTTTGCAGCTACATAGCACTGGTGGTGTCCATCTCGCCATTCAATCCTTGGAACCGGCCTTCCATGGTTCCATCCCAAATCTGGACACGCGGTTTTCATTAGCTTGCCATAATCGCCTCTAGCTTCCCCTGAAGTTTCTTTTAATTAATAGAAACCAAACCCTATAACCTCCCACCAACTGGCGCCTCAATCTATCTATCTTCAAACCTTATCGCATTCGGGAACTCTATTCATACATCGTTGACTTCGCATCCTGTCTGAGGGATGTCGTCGCAACACCACTCCCCAGACCCTCAGGAAACATGGTCGAAAAACAATGATCATGAGACCGACTCTATCGCTGAGACAGTCTCTTCGCTAGACACAGAAGCGGATCAGGATGCGCTGGACAAGGCCTTGACAGCGCATGCCTCCCGCGCTTCGCATATGTCCATGTCAGAGCGTGTCACTACAATTCCAACAAATGCTACCTCGGACCCTAACTTCGAAGTCGATTGGGATTCAGAGGATGACCCTGAGAACCCCAAAAATTGGTCCATGCGCTATAAGGCCATGGGCCTGCTGTTTTTGTCATGGAACACTCTCATCGTGTAAGTTGGGCGATCTACTCAAGTCAACTGTGCATGAGAAGCATCGGATTCCAAGAACTGACGGAAACAGCGTGTTATATTCCACTTCGTATACCTCGGCCACAACACAGATCGGTGATGAGTTCGGTCAATCGGAGACCATCGTGACCCTGGGACTAACATTTTATCTTTTCGGCCTCGCTATCGGATCTATGTTCATGGCCCCATTGAGTGAAGTCTACGGCCGGAAACCCGTCTGCGTGATCTGCATGATCCTTTTTACCGTTATGATCATTCCTTGTGCCCTCGCCAAGTCCGTGACTGCATTGATCGTCGTGCGTTTCGTTGGCGCTCTTTTCGGCAGTGTCATGATCTCCACGGCGCCAGGTATGGTGGCCGACCTCGTGGATGACGAGCATCGAGCACTGGCAATTTCAATCTGGAGTATCGGACCTCTCAACGGCCCCGTTCTGGGGCCCGTCATCGGAGGATTCGTAACCCAGTACCTCGGCTGGCGGTGGATGTGCTGGATCGCACTGATCCTCTCAGGCATCGCCCTGGTCTTCGCTTTAATCCTGAAGGAGACCTACGGCCCGACTTTGCTGCAGAGAAAGGCCGCACGACTGCGCAAGGAAACAGGTGATTCACGCTGGTGGTCCCGTTACGACCGAAAGGACAGTATATACGAGATCTTGAAGCTGAGTCTTAGCCGTCCGTTTGTGATGGCCGTTACCGAACCCATCTGTATCTTCTGGGATATCTATGTCGCTATTGTCTACGGTATTCTTTACCTTTGCTTTGTCGCATACCCGATCGTCTTCCAGGAACTCCGTGGCTGGTCCCTCGGTCTCTCTGGCCTCTCCTTCCTTGGTATCGGTATCGGTGTTATACTGACCATCGCCTCCGAACCCCTCGTCCGCCGCCTAATCAACATGCACGAAATCGATCCGGAGACTGGCAAAGTTCACCCTGAGGCCATGGTCTCTTTCATCTGCATCTGTTCCGTCCTTATCCCCATCGGCGAGCTTTGGTTCGCCTGGACCTGTGCCCCAGCCTCCATCCACTGGAGCGTGCCTTTGCTTGCAGGTATCCCCTTCGGAGCCGGTAACACTGGTGTCTTCATCTACGCCTCGAATTATCTCACTGGCAGCTATGGCATGTACGCTGCATCTGCTTTAGCTGGTAACTCGGTTATTCGGAGTATTCTTGGTGGAGTGTTGCCGCTTGCGGGATCGTCCATGTATAATAGCCTTGGTCCCAATTGGTCGGGTACTTTGCTGGGACTACTCGAGATTGTTATTGTCCCCATTCCGTTTGTGTTCTACAAGTATGGACACAAGATTCGCCAGAAGAGTACAATGATTACGCGCATGCAGGAGGAAAAGAAGAAGTTGGAAGGGAAGAGGGCGATGAGGGTGGTGCACTTGGATGTTGTTGCTGAGGAAAAGCCCGAGGAAGTCTAGGATAGTGCTGTCCTACCCATTTCCATGTTTTGAAGTTTGTTTGGTTTTCGCTGACATCGATACCCCATAATGTTTGGCATTCAAGGTTGCATTGGTGTTTGGAAGTTTCCTTATGTATATACAGGTCGATCTGACGCTTGAAATGACCTGTATCCTTGGGAAAGTGTTGCATGAGCAATGCAATAAAAAATTTAATTATACCTTTAATTTTTCGGTCATCATTGAGAGCACTTCAGCGTAACAGACATAATACATTATGGTACATATGATAGGCATTTCCTTTTCGTTTGACCCTTAACACTCATTCCGGGTAATAAATCCGGCTTTCCACGTCTTGCACGTGTTGAAGAATGCGCTCATATTCCCCCAATGCGATCGCTCCGGCACGGTAAACCATAACAGCTTCGATATAGACCGGACGAGAAGCAACCGTAGTAGGAAATGTGCTTGTAGCAGATTGACTGAACGATTGTTGCGAGTCCATTTGACTGGAAGAGAAAGAAGGCTCCGGGGTGGTGGAATCTCGCACATAACCTAGCACATTCAACCAAGTGCCAACGCTTAGATCCTCAGCCGTCAAAGTCTCCAGAACGGCATTGATATCGACAGAGACCATGCTAGGCTCTTCCTTGGTACGTGGATAGTTGTGTTCTAGAACCAGATGCCCCACTGCGACATCATACTGTCTGACACTGCATTGTATATGTAAGCAATAGATCCCTGTCAGTTGATAACTAGATGTATGTATATTATTCGTTGAGAAGACGCAAAAGAAAGACACACCAGCCCAAGAAACGGATCTTCGAGTCTGCAGCGAGACATGGCAGATCGCACAGAAATGCGCGAGTCGAGGGACGCGGCCCATTCATCCCTGGGATGAAGGCAAGAGAAAACCAAAGCCCCATCGTTTCTTGATCAACTGGTAGATTTCTGACAAAAATCGGCCACGTGACTCCTCGTATGTCATAGGTGCAGCGAGGGGAAAGTCCGCTCCCCTCCATTTCTCGGACTTCCATCACAAGACTACAATCACCAACGATCTGCCACTTTCAATCTGACTACACTCTCAACGCACACAAAAGTCCACCACAGGCTGCTAAATTGATTCCTACTTCTTTTTGTCCCTGCCGGCGTTTTGTGTTTGCCTGTTGCCTATCGCCGTGTCCGCCTCCGTCTGACTACCTAATTCGCAACTCGACTCACGGGCACACTTGCATACTGCCGCCACGGGATCAACCCGCTCTGCCTGACCTCTTAGAAACAACGCGTTCATAAACCGATCCGATCCTCACTCCAACAAAACCCCTAAATCAACTCCCCCGTTTCCAGAGCAACATGTGGTCTTGGTTCGGCGGCGCATCCGCCCAGAAGCGCAAGGAGGCGCCCAAGAACGCTATCCTGATGTTACGTGGACAGTTGGACATGCTACAGAAGCGGGAAAAGCACCTCGAGAACCAGATTGCGGAACAAGATGCCGCAGCACGGAAGCATGTCAATACGAATAAGAACGGTACCGTTTCATTCCCCTTATCTCCCCCTCGCCTCACCACAAAAGGAACAAAGAAGAAAAATGATCAACCCTCATTATGATAAGGTGAACTGACTTGACTCGTTACCAATAGCCGCTAAAGCCGCTCTGCGACGGAAAAAACAGATCGAGAACACCCTTGAGCAGACATCAGCGCAGATCATGCAGCTTGAACAGCAAGTATACTCGATCGAAGCGGCGAATATCAATTACGAGACACTTCAGGCTATGAAGCAGGCTGGTTCGGCGATGGAACAGATTCACGGTGGAATGAACATTGAGCAGGTTGATGAAACGATGTATGTGTGCTGGATTATCTCTTTCCTTCTTGCTCTTTTTTCTCTCATTCATTGGGACTAACCAACCGTGTGCAGGGCCAAACTTCAGGAACAACACAGCCTGGCGGAGGAGGTCAATGCTGCGATTACTTCTACCCCGTTGGGCCAGCAGCTCGACGAGGACGAGCTGGATGCCGAGCTGGAGGGACTGGAGCAGGAGGCTATGGACGAGCGGATGCTCAACACTGGTCCTGTACCAGTCAATTCACAGCTGGACCGTTTACCGGCCGCTGGAACTTCAGATTGTAAGTTCAAGTATGCCCTACATAGTCATTCTTCGGTCTATCTTTTCGCATAGACGGGATGGTTATGATGTATACTGCAGATACAAGATCACAGATCATGATGCTAACAATCGCGACAGTAAACAAAAACAAGACAGCGATAACCGAGGACGACGAGGAGGCGGAACTGGCCAAGCTGCGCGAGGAGATGGCTATGTAGTATCCCTGCCCTCGACCGGTCTCTCATTTTCATGCGCATTTCTGATTTCCCCGAGTGGGCGGGACTCCTTTTGTTAACTTCTCGCCACTTCTTCTTTACTTATGCATTGGATCTTTTTGTTGTTTCCTTGCAAGCAAGCCTATTTTGATGTACCCTGGCGCCAGTTCTCTTCTATACACCTTGAATATGGTTATCATATCTTATCCTTTTGCTTTTTTTGTCCATGGACAATGAATTTCGCTAGACCATTTGACCTTGACTTCGACTAAAGTACATGCTCCCTTTTTATCTGAAATTGAGGTTATTACGAAACCACCCCGGCCTGGGCAGAACTACCTAACCTAAGGTACATCTCGCCACATTGAAGTAAAATTATTTTCACTTATACAGTGTTTGGCGGTCAGTGGCCCTTAGGTCTTTACAGAAACAGTGGCTCAATGATTATGAGATGAATTGAAACCATCAGGATTGACACCTAGTATATATGCATCTCAAATGAAGAGAGCCACAAGGCAAATCGGACGAGTAACGAACAAGGAACCAGAACCAAAACTCCCATGGCCTTGACCTGCCATAACCGGTCGCCTATATCCATGCTAAACCACATTCGCCGAGAAAAACAAAACAAAAAAGCCCCTCCGGCATGTAACAAACTCCATGGCAATTACATAAAACAGAACACACGACAGACAACCCGGAACCCCGTTGTACAGCTTTTGGTCATCATGCAAGAGAACTTGCTCAGCCTTAGCTTAGGGGTACCACGCATAGCTCTTAGTGGGCTTTGCGCGTGCCGCGTTTTCAGCCTCGGTAGACCACCTGGACTTCCACTCGATCTCGCGAGCTGCGTGTTCCAGAAGTCCCTCTTTGCATTCTTCGGGGAGCATGGCGATGATCTCGGGACTCATGAATTCGGGGTGCAGCGGGCCAGATAGACTGACTAGGCCGTTCGGGGCGAGAGTGTGCATGTCTCCGTCGGGACCTGGAATGCCCATGTTGGAGTGGGGAGGGGCCTCGGAGACAATGTCAAGGACGACGTAGCGATCGGAGATGTCTTTGTAGACGGGTGGGAAGATGGATGGCTCGGGCTCTTCCTCAGCGGCGGCTTGTGTGATGCTGTGACTGGAGGTGGGTCTGGGGGTAGCTGAGGATGGTTCCTCGGTAGCGGGTTGATCTTGGGGATTGGATGAATTGGTGGTACGTGGTTGGATAGTCAGGGATGACAGGTCGTGCATCAGCTCTGTAGTGGGGCGAACCTCGGATGGGGGCATGCGTTCGTATCGGACATGAGTAGACTGGGTGATCTGTGGATATTGCATAGTGTTGGTGTGAACATCATAGGCACCTCCCATGGTACTGCGGCGCACGTCAAGAAGCTTGGCGTTGATTGTGCTATGAAATGTGTTAGCGGTATTTGAAAACTCGTTGGGGAAATCGCTAAACATACCCTGCCGCACGGGCATGCTCCAGCATCCAGTTGTCATCAGTGATGGGAACCCGACGCTTCTTGGAATCAACGGGTTTACCTCCGGCCATAGGCACTGAGGGAGCGCCGGTGTGGTAAACGCTGCTGGCACCATGCCAAGCCACGTACTGATTGCGGTTGTAGGACTCTCCAGGGCCGGGTAGCTTATCATCCGGGACCGACAGATCGCCCTCCACATCGCCACGTTCACGGGCAGCGTCCTCGTAGTAGTCATCGATAACTTTCTTACCACCAACAACAATCTTAGAGCCAAATTCACGGAACACGGATCGCGCAGTGACCACACCAATGGCTCGACCCTTGTAAGAGTGGGGGATAAGATCGCGCTCGATCAGGTCACGCTTGGCATCATCGTCAATGATGATCTTATAGAGCATTTTGTGCTTCTGGAAAAAGAGGTACGAGTCACGGAAACCAATGCACCGTGCCGGTTCGGTTGAAAGCATGTACAGGCGGTCATCGCGGCCGAGAATAGTGAAAGTGCGAACTCGGTACTCGCGTCCACCTTGGAGATGACCATTTTCATCGACCTTAGTAGCTCCCTTGGCATCGGGGGGAACAGCCACTTCATCATTAATCACGTCCATCATATTTCCCTCCTTGTCAACTGGGACTTGCGTCAAGTGAGATGGACCACGATTACGCGCCCAACGTCCACCGCTTGCAGCCGGACGACCTCTACGACGCTTGACGGGAGTGGTGACGCGAAGTGGGGTGTCGGGACCATCTGGCGCATCCCAGTCTGGCGGGCGGTTCTTGGGCGGGCGACCAATGCGACGCTTGCGGGGAATGGCAGATTGACGGCCACCAGTGTAGCTTGGGGTATCTTCCACGCCTGCGACATGCGGTGTATCTTCAACGGCGGGCGTTGCTGCACTTGCCTCGTCGCCCTTGGATCCGGTAGGGGTTCCGACCTCGGGCTCAGCTTCGGGCTCGGGGGACCCAGCCTCACTTCCGGCATCAGGTTGGACATCGGGATCGTCCTCAGGGGAATCGTTGTAGTCTGGAATGGGAGATGATGGCTCTGAGGGAGGAGCGTCTAGCATCTCATCGTCAGACGCATCAGGGATCTGAGGCGCATTTCCTAGGGTTCATGTTAGTCGCGAACGCGTTCAAGTTGGCGATTGAGGGGGTCATCGCGATGACTTAGAGACGCCATTGTAATCAGTGACTTACGCATAGACTTTGCTGCCGCTTGGGCAGCCGCCCTCAGCTTTCGGGGCATGTCGGCGAGATCTGGATGATTGGAATGACTGGATGGTCGAAAGAAGCTGTTTAGGTATTGCGGATTAACTATGAGCCGGTTTTTTGGTACACGTGATTCTAAGGGTTAGTTAGTTACTATGTAGTTAGTGGAAGCAAGCGGATAACTACGGTGTGAGTCACGTGACACTGCCTAAAGGAGCGTGAGGAGGTTCTTATCACGTGAGGTATTGAGTCGCTTTTTGAGCCTCAGGCTAACATCGGGTCAACGTCAGACCAATCAGTAGCCCTGTGCCCTACCTTTCCCCTTTTAGCCAGTTCTTCCCATCCATAAGCATTTGACGTCATAGGCCGATCTTTCGCCATCAGTTGGTCAATTTCTGTTTGAAACTGACAATCATTGACCATTCATTCCTCTTCATCCCATTTCCATGCAGCCTTTTATTTCCACATACATTCTAGACTTCTGACCGCCTTCTATTTATCATTCCCATTGATATCATTGTTGTAATCCCTCGACGCAGGTCGGATGTGACAGGAGCCGTTTGGACAAGTGCGGAGAATGCCCAGCTCATGCGCCCTAAATGCTCACCGGGTCGGGTAGAGCTCACCGTTCTTTCCCGATACTAGTATCTAATACAAAGTTGATGTTTGCACCCAACGAAGAGCTCCCAACGGTGAACTGATATCTCCGCGCGACCGCTCCCTTCCACCGACGAGAGGAGTATAGTTGCCGTTTTTGTTTTCTTTTTTTTTTCTATTCTCGTACTGAAAGTTTTTATTAGTCCGTAGAGAAATACAAATATCACATGTCCACTGTACTACACAGTAAACATGAAGCGAAGATGGGAAGCAAAAACCTGCTTTTTAGTTATATCAATGTCAGCCAGAATGCAATTCAGCACCCGCTTTGACCTGGATAACCAGCCAGCCATCTAATAATGGAAATAAACGGGGCAGCATTTGACTTGGTTTACTTAAAAAGGCAGTCGAATTGATTTGGGTTGGATCATGATCTAACCAGTAATCAGCCAGTGATTTGCCCATCTTTCCAGAATAGTCTGTGTTTCATTCTTTTATGCACGGATCATGTCAAAGGCCCTCGGGACGGCGAGTCGGCTGCATGGTTGCAGATCGTGGCACAGCTTCACCGCAGCTTGCAGATGACCTACGAATTGAGTCGGCATGGCTTAATGGAGAACTTTACCTGCCAAATGATGCAGCCCTAGCAAGCTCTGTGATAATAAATAGAGTAAATATAAGCAAAAATAAAATAAAAAGATAAGAAAAATTAAAAAGAGAAGGAAGTAAAAGAATGAAAAAAAAAGCAACGGGGACGCATAGCAGGGCAGGTTGAATGTACTACGTCTATCTCGGGATCAGATATCCATATGTCAATTTCAAGCTGGAGGTGTTCTTTTCAGGACACCAGACCCCGGTCCCTCATGAGCGCTTAAGTATAAATGGATCCATTTTCCCATCGCATGCCGATTCGCTATTGTGAATAATCCGAAGAGCAGGGTGAGGGGTGGATGTAGATCCTCCCCCGCCTGGGGGCAGGAAATCGGGCTTCGGGTAGGGGCGAGGGTACAAGATTGAAATGTTGTTTATAAATGAAGAATACAAATGTTGTACAAAAAGCAAAGAGCTTGAGGAAGGTTGCCCTTTGAGCAATGCTCACCTGCATGTACAATGTTGCGCACGCTCATACCTCCGGGGTTTTAGTCCATCGAACCAACTTTAAGAGTAGAAGCGCGGGACTGTTGGTGGACGCCCTATGACGCAGATAGTGGGGATCTAGTAGCATACCGCCAGAGCTGGAGGGAGGGGGTGGGGGAGAAACCACCGTGGTAGGTTGTACAACAGCTACAACCTTACCACCTAGGGGAGCTTCCTAAGGTATGTGGATGCAAGGGGACCGGAGAAGCTGGGTTGGGCCATATTCAAAGCTGATGCACGATCGCGATCGAGGTGAAGGGGGGGAAATTTGTCGATCGGACTCGATCCATGTGATACAGGGCGAATGTTTCTTATTTTTTTTTTTAAAAAAAAAAAAAAAAAAGGATGAGAAAAAAAAGGCGTAATGGCGTTGATAGGCAACTGGGGATGTTGTGATGTGCCTTACCGAAAGGTAGTATATAGCAGTATAGTTGCTCTGCATGCATAGGAGGCATGTACTCCGATCGCATGTACCCCGCCTATTTTCCAGCGGCGATGGCGGAGATACTCGTGCATATGGTGCGTCAGACCCAGGAGTTAGCGATGTTAGCGATAAGAAACCCAAGGGCAAAAATGCAAAAACGCAAAAATGTAAAAATGCTAAGGCGACATTTCCCGGTATCGAGAGCAAAGCCTGTTAAGGTACACCCACATGTTATGTCGATCGCATATCATTTGGCGCGTTCTCCGGCATAGAAAATACTGTAACAGTTGGAACTCCATGCGCCAATGCGCCATATACAGACTGATTTTGGATAGGATTCCTGAAATGTTCTATTGGATACAAGATATTCCAATATTCAACAGAAAAATCCACAATCCACAATCATAATCTCCAAACCCAAAGTCATCGGCCATTCACGGGTCAAGCCCAACATGGTCTCCACCGGGCGGTTTTGTCCATTGAAGGATAAACTGAGGGATTTCCCTTTTCCTTTTTCTTTTCGGTTGTTACTCGGTCGTGGTCCGTTTGATTTCCCAAAAGAACAAAGAAGTAAGATTGTAAGATGCACGGAGGTGAGTAAGATATAAAGAAAAAGAGTCATGGGGTTTCTAGGGTTTCTAAGGTTAGTAAGGTAAGACCGAGATCTATGTAGAAGCCGATAAGTTATAGAAAAGACGCCTCATTGGTTTTGTTTGAAATAAATCGAGTTTTGTAGCCTCTTGAAGACATTCTCCAATCAATGTTACCCTTCTTTTTTATTATGATTTTTTATAATTTTTTGTAATTTTTTTGTAATTTTTAATATCTTTCTCTTACTCCATGTCCCCTGATAGTATTGCAAGTATGAAATTCCCGATACGATTTCTTCCATATGATCTCAGCCTAGTGGGGGGTCTTTTGACTTATGATCTCACTTGTAGAGAAATAATTCCATTTCAAATGTTTAAAAACTTGTCCTTAATCTCAATGATCCCTTCCCCCATATTTCTGAAATTGTTCTACCCTTCCTTCTCCAGAACTTGGAAAGTGGAAAACCCGAAGCCGATCCGGGTTCATCATCCCGCAATCTCCCTTAGCTCATCATCCGTCACTAATTCCTTTTTCTAATTTTTTTTTTCTTTTTCGTTTCCTTTTCCGTTGCGACTTTTTGACCTTCCAAAGCAAATACGTTTTTCCTACTTCTTCAACGACCCGCCACCAAAATCCGCCCCACCCCCCACTTCGATTTTTCAAGTTCCAACTTACACTTTTGGCGGAGGGCAAACGTTACTGAATGGAAACACAATGGCTGCTGCGCAGAACGGTACCGTGTTGCACGGAGAGGCAGTCATGAAGCCTAACAGGTGAGTCATGTCGCTTTATGCTATCGAGTCTTATCACCAAATCTCGAAAACTGGGAAACTTTGGGTACTCGGCGTTAGGGGGTTTCTGCATGTCTTGCCTCTTTTTTTTCTGTGGTGATGAGACAATCTGGGGCACAAACGTGGTCACCAAAAAAAAACAACAAAACAAAAAGGGAAGGAGACAGAATAACGAAAGACACAAGAAAAGAGACAAGGAGACTTGAAACCATCCCGTGCGCCGGGTTGCCGGAGATTTCCTACTAAATCTACTTGATGACCCCGGTCGCACTACAATCCCCACCGTTCATCGGATTGATATATTTACCGCTATTTCTCCTCGGGTGGAAAATGGCTAACAAGAATTTTGAACCCTTAGCTCTCTGCCCGAAGACGAAACGCCCGACCACATCGGTTCAAACGGATCCACTCCTACTGGAATCGCTACCCCTCAGCCGGATCCCGCAGACAAGCGTCTGCCTTCCATCATGCACAACTACTTCCAGGTTGGTTCCTTCTCCGGTGATAGATTGAGTCTACCGCGCCTATGGCCCTGTGTGGCAAAACCCTTTTCGGAGCAACCACACCCTACCGCTTCCTCCGAGTCTTTTGTCGTGTTGGATCGAGAGGAGGGGTCTGATAAGATCGAGGCAAATTTGCCTACACCCCCTCATTCCTTACTGCAGTCAGATGAGATGGATCTCAGCTCGAGTCCAGACATGACTGCGGGGTCGATTTTTAATACCCTCAAGAAATATCTCATTCCTCATGATCATGATTCTCATTCCCGTCGTCAAACTTCCCTGCCAGTCTCCAGCGTCTCTGATGATCCCGTTCTTGCCACACATTTCTCCAATCCATCCCTACCTGCTCAAGAGGCGTCTCCCCCTACCGATTCTCCCTTACTCGACCATGAGAAGCCACATGTCTCAATATCTTCCGAGAACCTTACCAAGCTGACTGGAACCGCACCCGATGCGGTGTGTCTAAAGAATACCCCACCCCTCACACCCCGTACCATGTCCAACGAGGATGAGAAGAAGACCCCGGTGACCTCCGCACCCAGACTGGAATCCGACACCGAGACCGAGAAGGAGGAAACCAAGGCCCCAACCCCGGATAGCGAGACCGATGAGATTGCCTTGAAACTCGATCAGGCATTCCCCCGCCAACCCTCACCCCAGAATGGACCCCCTGTGGGCCCGCTTAAGGGTAAATTGACCGTGAAAATTTCCGAAGGCCGAGGCCTGCGTCCCAGCGTGGATCCCTATGTGGTGTGTGTGTTTGAATGGAACGAGTACATTTCCAAGGGTACCAAGGATGGGGAAGAAGAGCAAGAAGAGAACATGCGCCGTCAGATCGAGTCGGATGCTGCAGCGGGTCGGCCTATGGCCATTCCGATGCGAAGCCGTCAAAGCAGCAACAACAGTGCTTTTGACGCCGAGAAGGGCAAGTCGCCTGTCACAGATCCCCACTGGGATCACGCAGCTGTCTTGTATGTGTTTAATTTTTTTTTTGTCCCCCTTCACTTCCATTGGTCTTTTATCATATGGATGGCTTGCTGACTTATGGTTAGTGATGTTCTCGGTGATCAATCTGAAGTCGATGTCACTGTGTACGATCGCCACAACCAAGAAGCATTCCTCGGTCATGTGCGACTTGGCATCAACCTGAAGCAGGATCATAGCCGACTAGAGGGCTGGTTCCCCTTGGTCGCCCGTGGTGCCGGAGATAACCCGGTTTCGGGTGAAATCTATCTTACTATGACCTATGAAATGACCGAGCGCAAACAAGTCGGCCCGAATGACTTCCAGATTTTGAAGCTCATCGGCAAGGGAACATTCGGACAGGTTTATCAGGCCAAGAAGAAGGATACCGAACGAGTATATGCGATGAAGGTTCTGTCAAAGAAGGTGATCATCCAGAAGAAGGAAGTGGTCCACACTTTGGGAGAGCGTAACATCTTGGTCCGAACGGCTATGGCCGCTTCCCCATTCATCGTTGGCCTCAAATTTTCTTTCCAGACACCGTCAGACCTCTACCTTGTTACGGACTACATGTCCGGTGGTGAATTGTTCTGGCACCTCCAGCGCGAGGGCCGCTTCCAGGAGGCTCGGGCTAAGTTCTATATCGCCGAATTGATTTTGGCCCTACAGCACTTGCACGATTACGATATTGTATATCGGGATCTGAAGCCAGAGAACATCCTGCTGGATGCCAATGGACATATCGCTCTGTGTGATTTCGGTCTGTCCAAGGCTAATCTGACTCAAAACGACACCACCAACACATTCTGTGGTACAACCGAGTATCTCGCCCCCGAAGTTTTGTTGGATGAGCAAGGATACACCAAGATGGTCGACTTCTGGTCTTTGGGTGTTTTGGTATTCGAGATGTGCTGTGGTTGGAGTCCGTTCTACGCCGAAGATACCCAGCAGATGTACAAGAATATCGCCTTCGGCAAAGTGCGATTCCCCAGAGATGCTCTTAGCACTGAGGGTCGAAATTTCGTCAAGGGACTGCTTAACCGAAATCCCAAACACCGTCTGGGAGCCAATGGTGATGCGGCCGAACTCAAGGCGCACCCATTCTTCCACGACATTGACTGGGTTGCGCTCTGCAAGAAGCAGGTCATCCCCCCTTTCAAGCCTAAGCTAAAGTCCGACCTTGATACCTCCAACTTCGACCCTGAGTTCACAACTGCCATGGAGACCAACAGCTCATTGAATGACCGTGCCGCCGCATTGGCTAACGGCCTGATGCCTGCTGGCACACCGCTTTCCCCCGGTATGCAGGCCAACTTCAAGGGCTTCACATTTGTCAACGAAAGCTCGATGGAACACCATGTGAAGGATGGCCCGGAGGATGATGAGGAAGAGGAGGAGGATATGGTGGACGAGGATACTATCCTTGCCCAGTCTTGGCGGTCCCACCGACCAACCAACTCTTCGGATCTACGCAGTAGTGGTGTCAAGACATCCGATGCTGCTGATCCTGGAATCTTTAACGTTGATGAGAACTTTTGATGTGATTACGCTTTCCCTTGATTTATCCCACATTGCATGATCATGGAGTCTTGATCTTGTCTTGTACATGTCTTTGGGTGCATTCCTTTTGTCCACCCAGACCTGGTTTTTCATTGTTCATGGTTCATTTTGTTTTGAAGATATTCATATTGCTGCGTGCTTCTGCTATTTCCAGTCTTTGCTGAGGAGGGAATCGGAATTCCCCTACCTTGCTTTTTCTCGTCTTATCATATCATGATTTGTTTTGGCTGTTATCAGCTACATACCCCGTCTTTCCTGGGGATTCCACTACTTGTCCCCAGGAAGACCTGCATCTCCAATGGAACTGACCGGGATTACGTGTTTCTGTCTTCTGTTCCCTGGATTATTATTATAACTAGGGCGGAAACGGAAACGGACCGAACCTGTGTTTTCTTTCTGAGGCATTCTTCCTCTTTTTGTATCTGGGATTGTATTCGGGTTTCTTGCCAGCGATTTTCTTCTATTTCATCCAGTCTCATCAAGTGAAACCTTTTTTTTTTCTTTCTCGAAATTTTCCTATTTTTCATCTCCATGACGATAAGACCCGGTGCAGTGCACCTTTCCGATGGTAGCATTTCAGACATTTTCCTGGGACATGTGAGTTGGTTCAGCAAATTTAGCATCTACAAAGCGGGTACATATGCGGCTATCTTGACTTGGAGGTCTACATAGTGGTGCTTATGGCGTTCAGGCAGGGCAGCATGGTTGGGAAATGGTTGATCTAATTTTCGATTACAGTCTATACTAGTATCTGGGTAGTTTCCACGTCAATATAGTGCTCAATTCAAACCAAGTTGTTTCTTAGTGTTTCAAAATGTCAAAATAGCAACTAGAGTTTACAGAAATTGTAGTGTACTGGGAGAGCCCTGCATTCCCAGTCTGGCAACATTGCATAAACATCGCCCATGTATTTCCCACTATACCATGTCCGTCAACTACGATGGCGCCAATGTATCCAAATAAACGCCACGGTCCGCCATCCCCAAATTGGCAGTCCTACCCCTCAGACTCCCAGGATGAGTCTATGTGGGGTAAAGAGAACGCGATAAAGAAGTGGCAACCTTGGAAGGGCTAAGACTCAAGAGTAAGCACTTGACATCTGCACATGTGATGAACACAACCCCAAAAACGACAAAACATCCCATCAACACACATAGCCCAGCCTTCCAGCTCCCCAAAAGCTCTTTGTAAAAATGGCCTTTCGCTACACCTCCGGCATTTCCATATAATCCAAACCAAACCAAACCAAAATGGCAAACCCAAAGCCAACCCCCCTGATTCTGTCGCCAACATACACCTCAATCACACCATCAGAATCTTTTCCAAACCTAGGCCACGGAGTAGTAACATGGCACACCCTATTCTCCACTCCGCAGACCAACACCTCTGATCTCAGCGCCGGCATAGCAGTCTGTGCCCCGCAAACCGGACACTTGTGCCCGCATCGGCATGCTCAGGCAGAAATATACCATGTTCTGGAGGGGGAGGGGGAGGTGATTATCGACGGGGTGAAGAGTCGGGTGAGCAAGGGGAGCTCGGTGTTTATTCCCGGCGATGCTGAGCATGGGATTGTGAATACGGGGGAAGGAGAGTTGAGGTGGTTTTATGTTTTTCCTACTGGGTCTTTTGGGGATGTGGTTTATCGGTTTTCGGAGAGGGAGGGTGGGGAGACGAGGGTGAAGCTTTGATGCACAAGGAGGCTTACTAGTAGTTCATGTGGGCGGGGAATCCTAGGCTATGTATATGTACTAGTAGCTATTGATCCGTATGGATTGATATTCAACATTTGAAGTTTTTGCGAGTCAGAACGGAATCTCATTTCGCTCTTTCTTGTGTCAACGTGATGGGCATCACGCTGAATGTTCGATTTGACAAAAAATCAGGATTAAAGCTTTGCACGGAGCGAGAGCTGGAGCCAATACTATTATGAGCAGTCGAATCATGTTTATCATATTGTTGTATTACCAAGTTGCGCCAGTCCTCCACCTACATATCCTCCATTGGGTATAAACTATCAAAGACCCATACTTCCGGATCTCCGAAGAAGTCATTCATATCGGCTTGTTGAAAAAGCGCCTTTCACGGTCAGCGAGAGCATGTATAGGCAAAGAAGCCAGTGCAAACTTACATTGAGAGCATTGGAATCTGCAAAAGGCGAGCCCAAGTTATCTAACATATCATTTGGACCCTTTGATTTTTCATGAGTAGTGCTTGTCTACCGATGGTTAGTGAAGTCTCCAGTGTTGAAATCGAACCACTTACTCTGTTTTCGGGCAAATTGATTATTTTCTCTTTGGCAAGTTCCATATCGACCTGCGAAGACATCACTCGGAAATATTGCCTCGCAACTTGATCCACAGCTTGTCCGCTTTCATGATGTGATTGATCCATTGAAAGGGTCAATCGAAGAAGAGCACGTCCGGCTGAAATATACCAATGGTGAGTGTATCCTGTGCCAATTTGCACAATACGGTCTTCGAGCATCGATAGTGCTTTTTCGATGTAAGCTATAAATATTGACGTATTGGAGCTGAGGAGGAGATCATCTATGTATGAGAAATTAGTCAAATATAAACCTCAAGAAGAATGCAATGCCCTGGGATCAACTCACTCTGAAGATTCATGGAGATATACGAGTTCTGACACATGACTAATGCTGCTCTGAAGTAGTCATGTCGCTGCAGTAATAAAACCAGGCTATGGGATTCGATGAGTCGTGTATATTGGTCGATGATACTTGATGCGGCATCAAAGCATACCATTCTGGAGAATGAATGCCGAGACGATGCCTCAGCTTGCCGAGCGAACGGGGCATGTAGCATGATCAAGAATTGTCGAAGCTGGACATCAAGGAGTGTTCTTGCCGCTAGAGAGAGTCCGTTCTCGTTTTCATGTGATCGGACACAGCTCCATGGAGGAAGCTTCTGTAGTTCCTTTGTAATGAGATCTTCGTAATGCATGACCTCCTCATACCGCAGTGGAGAATTCATGTCATTCACCACCGAGTTCAAGGACACGCGTAGAGAGAAACTCATATTGGAAAAGTAAAGGAACGAGCTCGCAGTATATTCTGTTGCGGGTCGCTGTGTATCCAATGCGTCAGGCTCATCAAGAAGATCCTTATCTTCGAGGTTCAAAACTCCCTTCGTATCAGCAAATGCTCCTGCCGATGTAGAGGTCATTCCACGATCGATTGAAGCCTGAAGTTCCAGCTCGGTCATTGTAGCCCATAATCTTCGTCTCATCTCTCGATCAAATGCAGAAATCTTATCTCCCAAGAGGCCCGGATCACGATGCATTCCAGCCGCCATTGCTTCTCTGACCAGGTTTCCAGCTTCTGTCCAATGTCTTTTTTTCTTGACTGTATTCGCTAGTTTTGCCAGGAGCAGGAGACAGCGTATTTGCCAGACTGCCAGGTACACGTTCTTCTGGCTGTGAGATCTGAGCCAAGATTCCGAGGCCTCGATCCACATAACTGCGCGCTCTCGGCCTAGTGAGCTATCTCCGATGTATCGGGTTTGTTCGTTGGGCGAGATGCAGCTCGCAGTGGCCATTATTAATAGAACGAGAACAACAAAGGCAGAGGATGTTGATAGATGGTCAGTCGAGAATTTGGCATATTCTTCCCAGAAACTTGGACCATGAATAATCCTGTAGATGGACTCGTAGTTGTCAAAATAGCGATGCACAAGTTCATTAATCGTTCTTTGGTCGGGGAGGAGGTAGGTGAAGTCCAATTGAGGTGTGGATAGCGTATTAACCTTCTCCACTTTCCATTTCTTATGCCGGCTTTTCAAATCATGCTGAACTCTATAGAGCGATTTCTGATTTTTGATAGCTTCTTTCATAAAGGACCGAAGTTCGGGGAACTAAAGCAAATGTCAAATAAAACCCACTTGGTAGATCAGCGTCAGGAAGAATCTTACATGTCCGATCAAACTAGCTGGATTACTTCCACCATAGTACTGAGTCCTAAAATTCTCACCACGGAAGATAACATTTCGTATAGAATCATGTGTCCGACCTGGAAAAGCGGGCTCCTCGTTATCGGCCTTGACAGCAGGCCGTTGAATCTGTACATCAGCCGTGGAAGCTGCCCTTTCACTAAGAAGCTGCCAAGTGCCAACATTTTGACCCACTTCCAAGTCGGATAGAGGGTTTTCACCTAATGCCGCCTGTCGGTGATCGTCATAGTTAGCCCTAGCCACAGGCACTGGGGTCCTGAGTGGTGGGGGGACTATAGGCGCGACCGGAGCTGCAATGGACGCAACAGATTTAGAGGGCGGCGGCCCATCATAAGAACAAGAATTACTCTGTCCTGCTGTTTGACATCGACTACAAGTGGGATAGCTTCGATCACAGCGCAGTTTTCGTCGTCGACATGGGTGACATGAGTACACTTTCCGCTTGCGCTTGGCTCCATTGCTCGGGGCTGGCGGTGAGCCGGCACTTTGTGACCGTGGATTCGGGGATAGCATTTTTCTCTCGGAGCTCTCAGGCGCAGTTATTATAACTCTGAATTCATTTGAGGTGTGCCTTTGAAGGGAAAAGGCTGAGTGTGACAGCGTTTCTTCGGAGATTGTGATCTCCGACAGTAATCCCGAGAGATCCGAGCGGAGCTTATCGCCAAGTCCGGAGATAAAGCCGCGCGCCAAGACATGAATTGATAAGGTTGTATAGTATAGTACCTACTAAATACCAATATAGTTGGCAATACCGATGGAATACTTACTAAATATGATACTAGTATCTTTTTGATGAATATCATGTAGCTTAGTAGTGAGAACCCATAAAGTTCCATCAAATGTCGAGTCGAGCCATGGTAGCAGTCCCGGGTGCGGCGCTGATGATTCATATATCACGACGCGACTTCGAGCACTTCAACATTTTTAGCCTCACCTTCAAGCTCAACGCTTGGTCAAGCTGTTTAATGTTTACAGACTGTCCTTTATCTGACGGACACATGTACAATCTCTGGGTTCCTTCTAACCAAGCTCGATTCCATGGATTCAACGCCACATTTACGAACGGCAAATCTAGTGATAGTTGCAGTCGGATTGGCATTGAGCACCAGCTGTCTCATAATGCGGATTTATACAAAGACCTTTGTAATGAAGAGCTTTTGGTGGGATGATGGTAGGAAATTTCCAAGTGCTGCTTCCTTGAAGGTCTTAACAGATGATTGACATAATGTTTCACCCAGTGTTCATTATTGCTGCCTGGGTGAATAACTCACTTCCAACATTGAATACTATAGTGGCTTAAATGATTGACCGGTCTCGATCAGCAAAGTTATTCACCATCGGCATTCAAGCAACACTCCTATGTAAGTGTAGCTATGTTTCTAATTGAATCTTGCTTATTGAGATTATTTTAGATGGATTTAATCATGCTGGGCTCGGACTACACATTACAGAGCTGTCTATATCAGACATAGGGAACTTAAAAAAGGTAAAGTAGTATTTATGTGGGAGAATCCCGAGAACTCTCTTCCCCTTCGCCTTTCGAGGGCTTAAGTGCTTCCATAGTAGCTAATACACAAGCCTTGATTCTAATCACCACAGACCGTCCTAGCTGCCGCGATAATCTACATTCCTTGTCTCGCATTCGCAAAACTCGCATTACTTATGCTTTACTATAGGCTCCTCAACTCAGTCCGAGCCTGGGTGTACACACTCTATCTTGTCGGCTTTGTGATTATTGGATACAGCATAGCATTGACTCTGGCACTTATTTTTGCATGCGACCCTCTCGCGAAGAGCTGGAGTGCCACGATCTCACGAGGGTCTTGCGTCAATCTACCGGGGCTATATCTCGCCACAGCTGCCACAAATACTGCCAGCGATATGGTACTGATTGTGATTCCCATACAAGTTTTATGGAAGCTACAAATGCGTTTTGCTGAGAAGCTCGGCGCGATTTTCGTATTTGGAATCGGTTGCCTGTGAGAAATCCCTTTGTTTCCTTTTCGCCAATACCTAAGACATTACACTGGGAATACTGCTTACTTACTGCTTACAACTTATCGCTAACAAAAAAATCTTCAAGAACGGCCATCACGAGTATCTTGCGACTGGCAACTTTATGGCCATTAGTGACGTCAGAGGATTTCTCGTATAAACTTGCTCTTGCCTCTACATTTGTGTAAGTTCGAAATCATTCCATCACTGTCTTTTTCTCCCTGTCTTTATTAGAATTATCTGACTGAAGTGCACATCCTTACAGAAATATCGAGGCCAACTTTATCATCATATGTGGCTCTCTTCCCTATCTCCGCCAGTTCATGCGCCATTACGCGCCCAGGTGGTTTCCTAACTGGTGGAATGCTAGAGATACTAGTATCTCCAATCCCTCCAGTTCAATGACAAGAAGCATGCAAAACCCTAGAATGGACTCAACCCTGGAGGATATTGAGAATTCGGAGTGTTACCCATGATGCCGTGGATTAGGGTGTGAATGAGGCACCATCAACTTTATTCAACTTGAGATTGTCTTGATCTCTTTTAACGCCCGATCGAATGACATTCATTCTTCATCGAAGACGATGACTACATGCTTATACGCTGCCAACACGATGGGTGTTCAAGATCAAATACACCTTCCAGGCGGTTGGCGAATTCATGATACCTTTGCGCCCGAGAAGCTGCGACGTACGAACACGACAGATCAATGCGCCGTGAAGGGGTAAAATCGGAGAGAGAGAGATATTGATGTATATAGATATATACCCGAGCTTCCTATTGATTCGTGTTCTGGAGCACGTGGAGTACGATATGGAAAGAATACTAGCACTTGAGCATTGAAAGTGCTAAGAAAACGACTGCTCTACAAGATCATGGCGTGAAAGTTTCCGTCACCGATATGTCTAAGTGGAAGGGTTATGAGTCGTTGACAGCGTCAGAGGACAAATTGCAGCCAACGGCCAACCCGAAGAAAAGTGCACGCCTATTAGCGGCTTACCAATTGATGCAGCTCGCCCAGGTGCCCGGACACAGCAGGTCCACCGATCTTAAGAGGGGGGACTTCAGTTCATAGAGAACATCATTTTTGTGCTTGTTTGCGTCAACGACCTTCTTATCGTGTTACCTACAGATACACCAAACAGCTGTGTAGGCATCAAACAACATCTCATTGAGTTTTCTGAATACTGAAAAGAAACTGTGTTGTCAATTAGGTCTTCATAGGACCAGGTAATCTTTCAACCAATCGTCATCTAAAAATAGATCCTCAAATTGGAGATCACAGGCAATTTCTGCCACATTTTCTGAACCATCCATTCCTTGAAGCTTTGCAGAGCACCACGCTTTGACTGATGTGAATACCTTGAAAGCTTTATCCAGAAATCCATCCTTACCCTGATCACCTATTGCAGTCCTGGCTGCGTCAATGTTACTCAACAAGCGATCCATGACTTGTAGCACATCCACTGTACCGCTCACCAAGGCAGAATCCCAAAATGCGTCCTTGGTGGTCGAGAGCTTGATTAACACGACGATAGTTCTTGTAAACTGAATGAAGAACGGAAATGGTATCCCATGATAATCAGATACTGGAACTCGGAAGAAATTCGAAAGTGCCGACTTGATCGTGTTCAGACAATCATATAGGTTTTCGAGTCCCTGGGAGTCTGGAAAACCCTTAGTGCAGAGCATAAGTCCAGATATGCTCAGTTCGGTGTAGTAAACTGACGAAAGCATGATTCCTACCAAAGAAAGGTATGACTTTAATATTCCCTGCTACCAAATAATGAAGATCTGGGACCTTCAAACTCACCATCCTGAAGCAATTGTGGCGGGATTTGCATTTTGATATTGTTCATTCTGTGTCGAAGCCCAGCTAGATAAAAGGCCGGCGGCACTTTTTCCGTCCCTTTCACTTCTTCTATATCCACCGCGACGCGCTGTAACTTTATTTGCTGAATGAACATGTGGTCGTATACAGACTCGTTTTTTTCACTCAAGACATCCATGCATTCATCCATATAAGGCGTCCACTGCATGGTGTCAATCTGACCAAAGTATGATGACACAATAGAACTCATATAGAAACACCCCAGAACGGCTCGTCTCTCTTCCGGAGTACGCTGTGGGTTCTCTGCGATGGAGCGAGGTTTGTCCATAGGGAGCATATTCGAGTCAGCTGGTGGCGGCTTGTTAAGACGGAGACTGAATGTCAATGTCATTGCTAAATGCGCAAATCGTGACACTCGAGCAGCTGTGCCATGAAGCAAACTGTCATGGCCCCAGGCAATAAATGTCAAAAGGCCAAGAAGTAGGTCAAGATTCACCGCGTCTGCATTATTGTCGAAATATACACGCTGTATGAGGGTCTGCTTAATGGTTTCTCCCAGTTCAAGTTTGACTTTTGTTGACTGGGAAGTTGCTGCCATGATGCAAGTGAGCAAAAATGGTCGATGGGTGGCCATCCATCGCGCGTTATGAGGAAGATGCATGAAAGGGAAGTACTTTAGCATTCTCTCACGGAACTCGACGAGACATTCCTCGGGTGAACGCTCAATAGCTGGCTCAGTCAGTACTGATGGGACTTGGACTCCAGTGGCCGAAGTGAGTGGTATTGGTGGTCCGTTGCATGTACTCGGTGGACATGGAGAATCCGAAACGTGTCTCACTCTCCGGCTATTCTCAAGGTGAGAAACGATGCTGTCGATTTTGTCTTCCAACTGGGCGATGCGCTTGATGGGGTTGTTGTTTTCGGCTTTACGCGATCTGGCTGCTTTCCCAGGAATGCATTGTCTCTTCATACGGTGACATCTCTCGCATCCGGAGAGGCCGGGGCTCGAGACACATTTGCATTTTGATTTGGAACAATTGAAGCAGGCCTGCGGGTGGGTATAGACGGTTAGGAAATAACATTGCATGTGCGGTGTTAGTACGTGCCTTCCCGTATAGCTGAATGTCAGAATATTGATCTCGTGGCATTCTATACGTTCCGCCTTGCTTCAAGGTGTCGCTGAGAGTAAAAAGGTAAGTTGGAGTGCGGTGTTACGGCATTCCGAAGGGCGAGCGGGGTTCGGCCGGCCGAACGCCGAGTAGGCTTAATGCTTTTAAAGACTGGGGATCATTGAAGTTGACTTTCCTACGCAAAGAACCCTTTTTCTTTTTTACAGCTGCATTATCGTGACTTCAGGCCAAGACTCATACAAATTTCGTTGCAATTCTTCCAACTTACATCACCAACGACCAGTACGGCCATGAAACTCATCGTAGCTGGTGCCACTGGTTTGGTCGGGAGCGAAGTTATCAGACAAGCCCTACAGAACAAGGATGTTACTGAAGTCATCGCGTTGGCTCGCAAGCCTGTTCATATTGAAGGCAACAATAGCCCATCTAAGCTGAAATGTGTAGTCATACGAGACTATGCTGAGTATTCAGACGAAGTCAAGGCCGAGCTAGCCGGAGCTAACGCATGCATATGGTATGACAGGCCCCATTCATAAGCTCACATAATCAGCAACTGACTAAATTCCTAGGACTGTTGCAATCACACCTTTCCGCAGCGGCAGTTTTGACTTTAAGGAGGTCAAGCGCGTCTGTCAGGACTGCACACTAGCTGGCTTTAAGACTATTTACGAAGCGGGGCCTGCACGGCCATTTCGGTTTCTGTATTTCAGTGCTGAGGGCACACCGCGAGACTCGTCAAAAAGACCGATGTTGATGGGGGATTATCAAGTCATGCGTGTGAGTTCCAAGGTTTAGGCTGGTGTTTTGGCCAGGTTTTGGCCAGGTTTTTGTGCACTGCTGATACATGGATATTTCTCTCTTCTAGTGCGAAACAGAGAACATGGTGCTGCAGTTTCCGACGCAATATGAAGGGGTTCAGGTCTGTATTGCTCAGCCTGGAGTAGTGACAAACTCAAAGACATGGCCCAGAGCTGTGCTAGCTTCTCTGTTTAGCGTGGTTAATCTATTTACAAGGGTAATTCCGAACGTCACCCGAAGTCAGCTTTCAGCTGCAGTCTTGAATCAGGCTATATATGGGTTTGACAAGGAAACATTGTTGAATAATGACTTGGTTCGCATTGGCCAAGCTAAGGACTGAGGATTAAGGCGAAGAATAGAATGACTCTATTATTGTTAGAACATTGAAGGCCAGTGCTATGAGAGTCTCGCCATTTCGAATGACTTCTTTTATCTTGGAGCATGTCAAATCAATATTATCTCCATTCATCAATGTTGAATTGAGGATGATTGCACAAGCTGGGGAGGAGGCTTTCGTGCAGGAAACGTAGCCTCCCAGGCACTCATTACCTGAACCAAAAGGTGCTCTTGATTTCTTCCTGCAATAGCTGCAACACCAAATGGACGGTCATTGTAATCAAGGTATGATAAAGGCATTGCACAGATGGGATATCCTGAAAAGTAGAAATGGTAGTTAGCATCTTCGGGCTACGTTTCGCATCATAAATCCAGTGTTCAAAAGGCTTCTTACCAGCAGCTGTTGCCAATGACGCGAGGCCACTATCGATAGGGCCCAGTATAACATCAACATCATACTGTTTCAACGCTAGATCCACGCCTTTTTCTCCACCCATGTGCCTTAAATATGACAAATGTCGGTCATAATCCTCTGTGGAGAGATTCTGATTTTCTGCATTGACAAAGGTGTCTTGTCTAGGATGGTCTAAGGAAATGTCAGTAGATGAAACTTCAAAAATGAGTGGCTGGGTACATACGTGAAGGAAGTTCCAAATCTGCATGTTTTTCGTTGAAGTCAATCACCTCTGCAAGAGATCGGACCTTACTTTCTGCTAGGCCTTCAAAATACGCATTGAGTTGTGGTTTCAGATCCGCCTCTGAAACAACGGTTAGCATTGGCTTATTCGGCTGCATTGAGCACATACGGATAATTGTCCATTCGCTCCCTTCTCCGTCAACTTTGAAGGTTTCCGGTGAGACCAAGTCAATATTTTCGACAAGTTTCTTTGCTTTAGGCTTGATTATATCGTATGCTTGGCGGATTTCTCGAGTCTGTTATGATTAGACACACTGAAGGGATTTCAACTCTAAAGGTCCCAATTCGAGCACGTACAATCTGAGCTTCCGCTTCATCGACAGCTTTGACTTCAGTCTCTGGATGTTTCCACACATCAGGGTCAAGGACCGCAACAGAGATGTCAGCCCATGAGCCAGTCAAATCAGATATGAAAGACTCCGACGCTGGTGCGCGGATAAGGACATCCAAGAGAGCGGCCAGATCGTACGAAGACTTTGCCATAGGTCCGGCTGCATCAAAGTTGCTAGAGATCGGTATTATCCCATCTTGAGAAACCAACCCAATGGTTGGTTTGATTGTGTACAGAGCGGCACGACCTGATGGGCTGACAAGCGAGCCATCTGTCTCGGTTCCTATCGCTAATGGTGCGTAGCCAGCTGATACACTCACGGCGGAGCCTGTAGATGATCCTGAGGGGTTCTATGGAACACATTGTCAACAACTGAAAACTTTGACTCCTGGGAATGGAGAAGCTGGTACTTACTGAATGGCCTTCTGATGAGTCATCTGGGTCAATTCCATCAATAATATAAGCTGACTGTGTCTGGCCACCCACTGCAGACCATCCATTTGGCATTTTGGATCCCCTGTTGTTGGTTTAGTCTTGTACATCAATCCATTTAGGATTGAGACTTTGCATACCTAGCATTGGCAAATTCCTGGATATCCCAGCAATTATATGATGAGTGGTGACACAAACATGACAGTCATGGAGTTGAGAATGACTACTTACAGCAAGATTGGCCTTTCCCAAAATTACAAGACCAGCATCTAGAATCTAGACTGTTGTGAGCACACTCATCCATTCCGCAACCTTCTTTTATTAGTGTCATAATTACTTGGTCAATAATCTCGGCATTCTTCTTGGGCTTCGAGCTAAGGAGTGCAAGGCTTCCGCCAGTGGTTGGGAGACCAAGGCTCGGATGGGTAGCGACGTTATCCTGAGAAATGTCAACAACCTTTCAATTGCTCATTGGCCACAACATACCTTGATAATAATTGGAATTCCATGCAATGGCCCACGTGTTTTCCCAGAGGCTCGCTCATGATCCAGGGATTTCGCAGCTGCTTCAAGGAGGTCATTTGGAGTAATCTGAATCATGGCGTGAAGCTTTTCATCGTGCTTTTTTATTTGAGCGATGCATTGTCTGACGAGACTCAAAGTTGTGACTTCTCCCTGACTCAGAAGGACTTGCAAGGATTTAGCATCGATGGTGAGGAGATCCACATCTTTTCCATGCGAGCTTTCTAAAGTTCGGTCCAACATCTTTGCAGGCTGACGTAGGCTTTTCAAGCTCAGTGCTGTATCATGTATGACATTCGTCTCTTTTGCAGAATGCTTTGTCAGGTAAAAAGGACGGGAGGTGGGGAAATGGGTCTGTGCGTTGGTGGGGAATCGGCGTTCTTCAGAGAAAACAACTTGTTTCCTTGAATAATCAAGATTCAAGACTCTTGAGACCTTTATTATCTGCAGGGGTGAACGAGATGACGCTTTCTACAAGGCAAAGTCACTTTTTAATTCTCAAGAACATAGAATTTGGTATTTAGGGGGTACTTTCAAGTACGAATGACTCCACTGATTCTAATGATTAGTTCGCCTTCTGGGCAACAACTCTCATCAGCTTTATGGGAGGAGAATTTCCAGTTGCGCAAAGCTCCCGATGCTGCTTAACCAAGGCCGCAGCCCGGCTGATTGCCGCCTCGTCGTCGGCGACTTGCCCAGATCGCAGCAGAAAACCGGCATACAAAGTTTCAATAATGGCAACTAGTCGTTCATCCGTTTCGTGACGGATACTGCTATCCCAGTCAGAGCTGAACTCCAGTCTCTCAACATCCAAAAATCCAGCTGCAATGCATTCCTGGAAGACCTTGGATGATGCCTGGAAACACTTCTCCTCGGCAGTCATTGCGGCACTGAAACATCTTCGAATCTCTTGAATCACAGGGTTATTCTCGGATATGTATGTTTCTTCGTCAATCTCCTCCCATTGAAGGAAGCCGCCGGGCTCTGAAATAAATGAATTAGAAGTGAAATACACTAGTTGAGATTCTATCGGCCGACACTTACTCAAAATTGCGTTGATGTTGGCGATTGCCGATCTGTAATCACATTCGTCAATGGCCGCAACCAGGAGTCGCACATGGACTAGATCATATCGGCCCAGATGCTCCTCGGGGAATGGTTTCGTTATATCGTGAACGGAGAACTCGATGTTCTCCCGCTTCTTGGGGAACTGCTGCGATGAGATATCAAATCCATGGTAGTAGACTGAGCCCTGGGACTCAGGTTCCAATACTTTGGAGACGTCCTTTAGCCAGATACTGAATGAAACCCAGTCCATCTATTAGCATTACGATCAGAGGTGAGTTACGTTCCAAGAGAGTTACTCACCCAGTCCCAGTGGCGATATCTGCAACGGCAAGTAGGCCTTCTTTGGGAATCGATGGATGAATCAGGGTGTTCTTAGTCACTTTCGTGAGCAAGTTGTGCTGAGCATTGAGTCTAATTGTTTCAAATGTTCAGCTATGTTCTCATCTTAACTGGCCTGCTCGTGATTGGTCTCTGTCTCTCCCTTACCGGTTTGATTCTTTCGAATCTCTTCCGAAGACGTATTTCTCGTGGGTATGTATGCCAGGCATATTGACAAGAGGGGGCAGACAACGGATAAAAAGTGCAAAACAGGCAGTTCGAGATGTATGAAATGAATTCTTTCAAAATAATCGAAGGGCTACTGAATTAACCCGGAAAAGCAAGCACTTGAGGCTACTTATAGTTCGACTTCGGGGTTTGAGTCCCATTTATTCCTCTTGTCCACGGCATGGCCGAACCAAGAATGATCGGTTTCTGAACCGCCATACATTAAAAAGCAAGCCTTGGAAGGAAACAGACTTCCTCAGCTGCTTGGCTGTCGCCTCGATGCACCTGAATACACATGTGCATTTGTTTGCCACTGGATGGAGTAACCCCACAAGTCCACATTAGCTCTGCTTAGGCGCTTTTGTCCATTGAGGCGTCGTGTCAGCCAGCCACCTCACGAGTATCGTTTGAGCATAAATTCTATATCGATATCAGCCTGACCATGAAGTTCAAGCCATCCAAAATTGTGTCTTGGATTCAAATCATAAAACTTTAGCCGATGGGGCTCTATGTCGATTTTCACATTGAAACTCTTCATAAATACGAAGAGGATAGGGGGCGCGTGTTCAAACGTCAGTGGATCTTCTTATATCCACATATTCCACCTGCAACGGACAAAAGCCACATGTTGTACAACCTGTACAACTTAGATCGTCGGTGGAACCAATCGGTGACTTCAAATGTTAGCTTATTATTCCCGCTTTTTCATCCGAAAGTCATAGCCACTTTTACGGTGTCGAATGATCACCGTGAGATCTAGGTATTGAAAACCTGCTCTTTTTTTTGTATGAAGTGGCTCCTCTCAGCCACGGGTACACAGTATATCTCTCCCCTCATTCCGTTTTCCTTTCTCTTGGAGGGTTGGTAGCCGACATCTAGATTCTAGACTAGGCTTATTCTGGCGTACCTCTTACTTTCCCACGAGTTTTTTCAAAAGAACACCTCACATGCAGGTCGGAGTCCCAACATTTGAACGCAGATTTCCAGGCTTATATTTTCTCCATTCCCGTAGTTTGCACGTTGTCTCATCTTTTCGGAACAAAATCTCCGTCTTCAATGTTGCTGGCAAACCTCCAAGGCTCCACCACGACCACGGCCAGACTCCCGCAATTTGGCTTACCTAATCAGATGAAGCGTTTTCGGTGACTGTGATAGAAGTGGATGGTGTTTTTGGTGGAAATTTTGTTAATTTTCTCAAGTTATCGGAATTGGCACAATTCAATTCGAAAGATTGCCTTGAGTTGTATCAAAGTGAATAGATCTCCCAAATAGGTAGAAGTTCAACATGGTGAATTGTATACTGCGCACAGACCAAGTCTCCAGTGATTTTTTTTCCTGCGCGGGCGGTGAAGCCGAGCGGAGATTTCCTCAATCAATTTTTTCTACGACCCACGCCTTCTACAAGCACAGATTCCACCAGGTAGCATGGATGATATCGAGGTATGTGAGGTTGAAAATGACTCTCAGACCAGAATATTAACTTGCTCCAGGATCGGTTGCGCAGCCATGCGCAGGCATTCGATGGTTTGCTGTCCTTGATCCCCGCCAAGTATTACTACGGTGAAGACACCAGTGTACGTGCGCCCTCAGTTTCATGAATCCGGATTTTATTTCCTTCTGGCCCTTTCCTTTCCTAATTTATACCGGCCTTTTCGATTCTTTTTTCTGATAACCTTTTTTTCCGCCTGCAGGACCAGTGGCAACGGAAGAAACAGACCAAAGAGCAGGCTCGTGAGGCCAAGCGTGCAAAGCTGGACCCTGAAGCCGCAAAGACCGCCAAGGACATCATGGACGAGAACGCCCGCAAGCGCAAGCGCAAGGAAGACGGTATCGTGGAGAGTGATTCCTCGGATGGCGAATTGGGCTCTGAGATCCCCCGCGAGGGCCTGAGCCGCGGCGACAAGGCCAAGAAGCAAAAGCAGGTGGAGAAGCCGAATGCCAAATCTGAGGAAGCCGAGGCCCGCAAAAAGGAACGTGAACAGAAGAAGTCCGAGAAGAAGGCCGCCCAAAAAGAGAAAAAGAAGGCCAAGGATGCAGCCCGCAAAGAAAAGTCCAAGGACGACAAGCCAAATGGCACTTCCACTGAGACCTCGAAGAAGGATGCTCCCAAATCCAACGGTGACGATGATGAGGCCGAAGAATCAGACAACGAGGATGGTGATGACCTTGAGGAGGGTGTTGCCGAGGAAGGATTTTCCATCGATTTTGATGCCGGTCCCGAAGAACCATCCTCAGCCTCCTCCCGCAATTCTCCCGAAGCCTCAAACACCCAGTCGGGTAGCTCCTCTATCTCCTCTATTGTTCCCCCCGCCTCTAATGATACCAAATCCACCGAGCCCAAGGCCCTCAAGGCCACACCAGAAGACCTCAAGCAGCGTCTACAAAAGCGCCTGGATGAACTCCGGGCTAAGCGCCATGCAGATGGCCTGAACGGCAAGCCCGCTCGCAACCGTCAAGAGCTCATCGAGGCTCGACGACAAAAGGCCGAACAACGCAAAGTACACAAGAAGGAACTGCGTGCCAAGGCCAAGGAAGAAGAGCAGCGCAAGGACGACGAGGATATGGCCCGTCGTTTCTCTCCTGGCGGATCTGGATCTCTTCTGGCTTCTCCTCGTTCTCCTGCCGAGTCAGTCGGCTCAGCCAGCAACAACTTTTCTTTCGGCCGTGTTGTCTTCGCAGATGGTCAGCACACCGACGCTTCTTTGACAAACGTCCGCGATGCACACAAGACCGCCGGCCCCCGAGACGCCGCTGCCCAGCTCCAGGCTGTGGAGGCTAAGAAGGCCCGTCTGGCTGGTATGAACCCCGAAAAGCGTTCCGACGTTGAAGAGAAGGACCGCTGGCTCAACGCTAAGAAGCGCGCCCACGGCGAACGAGTTCGCGACGACACATCTCTTCTCAAGAAGGCCCTCAAGCGCAAAGAGTCTGCTAAGAAGAAGTCCGCTCGTGAGTGGAACGACCGCATCGACACCGTCGCTAAGATGAAGGACCAGCGCGCTACCAAGCGTGAAGAGAACTTGAAAAAGCGCAGAGATGAGAAGGGCACCAAGGGCAAGGGCAAGAAGAAGTCCAGCGGTGGTGCCAAGAAGTCCAGACCCGGATTTGAGGGCAGCTTCAAGTCCAAGACTGGCGGTGCCAACAAGAAGAAATAATCGGTTTCTTCATTGTTGACAACTTAGTCTAGTGTCTTTCTTCTATTTATTTTCCTTCCCCCTCTCCTTCCCTTCTTATTCTTGCCTATGGTTGCAAGATCTGGGTTCCCCACCAAAAAAAAGAAAAGTGTTTTTTCAAACATCGAACTGGGAAATATCCATCCGGGGTTTTGCGGTGTTCGGTGTTCGCGCTGTTTCGGCGGCATGATTTCCACGTCTCTGTGCATGGGTAGCGATTTTGTCTCGTTTTGTGAATACAAATATCATTCTGTTCCAAAGCGGTCGTTCTGGGATGTTCCTTTAACCAAGCTGATTGATGCCATGAGCATTATAAAAGCGCCAATTTTGTACTAAGTATCAAAAAATAGCAAGTATAGACGAAAAAGTCTTTGGTTTGATCATTTATTTAATTGATTGAAGCCGTAAAAAAAGTAAAAGAGCTGCTAGATTCCAAAACAAAGGAAAATAAGAAAGACAAAGAAGTCATGTTCCACTCGAAATGAAAAGAAACTTCGGTAGGGAATCGACTAGTACAGAGAAAACACAAGGTGGGTAAATATGTACAAGGTTGTGTGTGTTGTGTGTGTGACGGGGGAGTATAGGGTGTCATAAACCCTGCTCTAGTTTTTCATGCACGCCATTTGGGGGGGCGCACTATAGGCATGATCCTCCTCACTAGACCAGCTTTTTTCTGCTCTCAGTTTCAGATGATCGAATTCGACAAAGTCACCAGAAACAAAAACAGTGATTCGATTATCGGTAGGGAGCATCGGCGCGTGCAGCAGCCGCAATCTCGGGCTCCCACTTGTCACCGTTGGCGAGCAGCTTCTCCTTGTTGTAGAGAAGCTCCTCACGGGTCTCGGTGGCGTACTCGGCATTGGAAGCTGTAAGTAGAGGAATTGGTTAGATAGGCATGCAAAATATTGACATGAAGTGGAGCTCTGTGTCTCCCGGCTATATAAGACTCACTCTCAACAATTGCGTCAACGGGGCAGCTCTCCTGGCAGTAACCACAGTAGATGCACTTGGTCATGTCGATATCGTAACGGGTCGTCCGGCGGCTTCCGTCCTCACGCTCCTCGGCCTCAATGGTGATAGCCTGCGCTGGGCAGATGGCCTCGCAGAGCTTGCAAGCGATACAGCGCTCCTCACCGGTGGGATAACGGCGCAGGGCGTGCTCACCGCGGAAACGGGGGGAGATAGGACCCTTCTCGAAGGGGTAGAAGATAGTGTAGCTGTAGAGGAATGTCAGACCCAATTGATGTTGTCGGTAGCGTGGGTTGCCGGTGAGATCAAAGACTTACGGAGGGCGGAAGTACTGCTCCAGCACGACGTACATGCCACGCATCATCTCGGCGAGGAGGAAGTACTTGGTGGCCTTGTCAATGGCGGACTCGGAGCCCTGGTCCCAGCGCTTGGGCGCGGGCAGGCGGAAACCGGGCTGAGGGGGGCCCGCTGGGGTTGCTGCGCGGGACACTGAGGAAGAGAAGTTTGCTGTCGAGCCGATGGGGGTGAATGGCGACCGACGCATGGCGACCAGCCTTGCGACCTGTCGTGTAGCGGCCATTGCAAAGGAGGTATGAGCGGAGAGGATGTTTGAGGGGGGGAGGAGGAAGGTGGGGAAGTCGAATTAGAGGTCTTCGAGGTAGGGGAGAAGGTCGCTGGATGAGGTTGAGTGGTGTTTGCAGGTTTAGGCTTAGGTCATTTCTTTCTGCCGGGCTGTGATTGGTTGGCGGCAGGATTTTGCATCGGTGCATCACTTCCGACCATCTTCTTCCATCTCTCCCGTCGACCTTACCCATCCTCTTCTCCAACCTCTCCCCCACTTCACTTTTCTTCTTATCTCCTTTTAGATCTTTAGCCGTTGCGCTTTTCTTGATCTACCTCTTTTTCAACATGTTCCGCTCCGCCATTGTTCGCTCCCTGCGGGCCTCCGCCCCCCGTGTCGCTGTCAAGACCCCGGCTCCCTTCCAGATCCGCAGCTCCCCCATCGCTGTGCGCGCCTCCCAATTCACTCCCTGCTTCGTCTCCCAGGGTGTCCGCTTCTACTCCGCCCCTGCCGGTCTGAACAAGACAGAGATTGAGGGCCGCATAGTCAACCTGCTCAAGAACTTCGACAAAGTGCGTCAAGATTGTTTTTTTTTTTTGGTCCTCGGTGGAATTCATTGAATCCACCATGATTTTAGGTTCAATAATGCTAATCATCTTTCTCGATTGCAGGTTTCCGACGCTAGCAAGGTCAGTTTGACGCGAGATGTTTTTCGACATCCCTCGGCTTGAACATTAGCTCCGAGCCGAGTAACCCCGTCACCAGAATTCATCATCATTAACACTTCTCGATACTTTAGATCAACGGTGTTTCCCACTTCTCCAACGACCTCGGTCTGGACAGCTTGGATACCGTCGAGGTTGTCATGGCCATTGAGGAGGTACGCGCTCAAATTGTTTTCCTCGGAAAAGATCAGCAGCAAGATTCTGACTATCGCAACAACAGGAGTTCAGCATTGAGATCCCCGACAAGGAGGCCGACCAGATCCACAGTGGTAAGTTTGAATTCAGTTAATGTTTGCAGTAGAATAGGCTAACGCGTTTATTTCCAATAGTCGAGAAGGCTGTTGAGTACATCCTGGCTCAGCCCGATGGTATGTCTCTCCCTTCCCTCCGTTTTTGAGTTACCCAGTACTGACGAACTCTATGCAGCCCACTAAATATTTTAATTGAAAATTTCTGGGGACCGGTGTGTTTGAAAGGTCGGATAGAAAAGGATCGGATATTGGCGTCCATCAGGCGTTGTACGGGATCTTTCGACTCCTGACGCTGCTCTGTATCCAGAACTCCATATCAGTGGATTTTTTTGCCTTTGTCCTTTTATATCGTGTATATCATCTTGAATGCAGTTTTGACGCAGTATTTGGTGGGAGTAATAGCTCCATTTCGCCACTCCTAATTCTTGCAGAAGTTCCTAAAGTAATCTTCGAATATCACTCCAACCAGGATCCTTCAAAGGCCCAGAAGATGGTCCGGGTGTAGCACATGTGGCACTAATCGACCTATCAATTCCAAGGTTGTGCACAGTGTATTTAGAACTTTGGTTGGCCAAGGTTCCAAGATTGATATTCAATGTTTGCAGTGCACTTGCTCAAGTTCCAACATTGAGGGCGTATCTGATAGAAAAGACTGATGTGGAAATGATTACATAGGGCGGTCGTGAATTCAAAGATACATAAAAATACATAGATGCTGAAGATTAGTCTAGGCGGTTTCAATGTTCCAATGTTGTGTTGTTCCATATGTAAATGTCCAGATGTCCACTCAGATAAGATCGTGCATGTGGAGTGAATCTGGAGGCTCATTATATATCTGGATGTTGCCCGCTATCGGGCGCACGAGTCCAGTGCTTTTGCCGACTAAATTAACTTCGACCCAATCATCCTTTTTCCTTAGTTCTTCTCCCGTCGTTTGAACTTCATCGGTTTTAGACAAGAAAACTACAGCCCAAGAATTGGTTTTTTTATTGTCTTTGATCTGTTTCAACCTAACAACCCACTCGGTCCCTGGTTTCCCCTGACGCCGAGACAAGAGGTCCCACTTAGAAGCGGCAACGGCAGACTTTCGGTCTACACTACGCGCGACCTCTAACAACTCCCTACACCGCGGTCAATTCATGCCCCCTGCGACCGGCACGCAGATCGGCTTTTGAAATCGAAATCCCGCCGTTTGGCCCTACCCACCTGGGTCTTTGTCCACCCCTCCCTAACCCGCTACCCCCATCCTCATGTCCGCAGCCGGGGGCTTGACTCGCCGACGAGGTGGCGGTCGAGCTGCTGGCCCAGATGAACAAGATGACAACAGCCGTGTGTCGTCGCCCGTGTCGAGGAATGGCTCTGCGATGGATAACCGCGGCCCGGAGACCTCGTTCACGGCTGGAGAGAACGGGCACAAGATCGCATTCGACCCCCGCGACCTCAGCGAAACCGAGGAGCGGAGCAAGCAGCCTAAACTCACTTTGATGGAGGAGGTGCTGTTGTTGGGTCTGAAGGATAAGCAGGTGAGTTGACTTCCCCCTGATTGACAAGTGACGGTTTCCCCTGCTGTGCTGTCCTCAAGGTGGCGGACTCGGAAATGCTGACTTGTCGTTCTTTGACAGGGTTACCTGTCCTTCTGGAATGAGAACATTTCATACGCCCTGCGAGGGTGTATTGTCATCGAACTCGCGCTCCGGGGTCGGATTAGCATGCAGAAGGATTCTTCTCGGCGACGCTTTCCCCTGGCCGACCGCGTGATCGAGGTCGTCGACGACACTTTGACCGGCGAAGTCTTGCTGGACGAGACGCTGAAGATGATGAAGTCGAGCGAGAGAATGAGTGTGAACTCTTGGATCGATTTGCTGAGCGGTATGAATTAAATCAAATTCCATGTTCTACTTTGATGGAAGGGGAGGGACTCATTGCGTGACACGCTGGCTAACCTGATTATTTTCCATCGCAGGCGAGACCTGGAACTTGATGAAGATCGGATATCAATTGAAACAAGTGCGCGAGCGATTGGCCAAGGGCCTTGTGGACAAGGGTATTTTGCGAACCGAGAAGCGAAACTTCCTCCTATTCGACATGGCCACGCACCCCGTGGCTGACGGTGGCGCCAAAGACGACCTTCACCGACGGGTGCGCAATATCTGCAGCAACCGTACCGTGATTATTCCTTCTTCTCAGTGGCTCCCCGAGGATTCAGAGTACCGCTACCTTCGCACAGTCACAATGGTCTGTGCTGCTTATGCGGCCAACGTCTTGGAGAATGCTCTGGTAACAATGAGCCACGAGGCTCGAGAGAGAGCGTTTGCTCAGGTGGATGAGTTGCTGGCCGAATACTCGCAGTATCCATTTGCCCGCCGACCCGGCGGTTCGCAGGCCATTGGCGCCAACCTAGCGCAGGCCATCAATGACGAAGTCAACAAGTCTCCAGACCGAGAGCTCCAATTGGAGGTATGCTTTTCTCCCTACTAGTATGACTTGATTCCTGTGCAAACATTAACACTTTTCTAGATTGTCGCTGCTTGCTTGAGCGTTTTCACCAGACTCGATTCTTTACTCTAAGCGGATTTACCGTGTTTGATTCTAATACAATGTCCTTTTCTTGTTCAACTTCCGCCTTCTTCTTCTATACTCTTCTCCTCGCGAATTTCACCCGGTTCTTTTTTTCATGTGTCGGGTTCCTCTCTTCTTCTTTTCTTCTTCACTCATGTAGTTTTTCATCAGGTTGGAAATTGGCAGAGCGTCCTGTGATCTTATACGACTCAAAAAATCATTTCTTGTATGGGATATCTCATTGATTGAACCATCTTCTGATGTTTGTGATAGTCTGTCTTTTCTCTGTTCACTATCTAACCCCGGTGAGCAGCTTTATATTCTCAGTCTATGGCTTCATGTGACACACCCTCATACATCAAGACCGGCTGGGCCGCTCGATCCCCTTGATATGGAACTGTTATTCAGACATGGTTGTCTATGGGTGGCTACGGGGCTTGCTGATTTGAATGCAATTCAAGGCTTTGCGACATTACTGCATATTTCAATACCAAAAAGATAATCCAATTTTTGACTATTCAATGCCCAAATGAATGACAACTGTTTGTAAACTAACAAACAGCATTGACACGAACTACCATCATTCCCCCACGACGACTTCCTGCTGCACCGGCTGCCTTGCCCTCAAGCAACCTCGCCGCACTACTCAAATCAACAAGTTGTTCCTCACGCCCCTTCAGCACCCGATCCTCCACTAGCCCAGCAATCCGTTTCAAAGCGGCGCCATCAGGATTCACAGGCACAAATCGACTCTTGAGTCCCCTCTTCCGCTGTTTAAGCATCTCCTGCTCATGAGACGCATCCTTCATAGGCTTAGGATCCACAGCCGTCAAGACAGCCCCGCCGTCCCTCACCACATCCTTCGAATGAGCCTGGCAAAACACCTCCCCGCCCGTACAGTCCAGTACAATATCGACAGGTTCCCACTTTCGGGACCGGAACATCACCCCGAGATCACACTCTTCTTTCGTGGGAAGATGCGGAATCACAAGTGTCTGGTCAACCATCCAGTCATCGCGAATAGCGGTCTGTTCCGCTACCGTACAAGTCACACAAATCCAGGGCCGAACCCTGGCTGGGAAGAGTTTCTCCGCTCGCAGAAGTTGTACTGCTATACGACCGACTTCACTATCCCGGGCGTTGGTCACAAGTATGCGCAGAGGCTTTTTCTTGCGGAGCGCGTAGCCAGTATCACTGCCACTGCCGGCACTGTTAATCAGGCTTAATTTGCGTCCGCTAGCCGCAGCCATGCTGCCGATGCTGGCCATGCTTAGTTTGCGCCCTCCCTCATCCGTACTGCCGCTGCGACTGCTACCACTGCTGCCGCTGCCAGTAAGGCTAGCTAGACTGAACTTGCGTCCGCTTTCGCCGCTACCACTCGCACCTGTGAGGTTGGTAAGACTGAATCTGTGTCCCTTTTGACCTTCTGCACCCTTATTTGCAATGCTGAGCCTGGGTATCATGTCGTCTCTTTGCTCAGAGGTACCGCTGTTTCCGTCCCTAAGGTTCTGGCCACTTCCCCTGCCACTGCTAGCAGCTCTCCCACTACCAGCAGCGCCCTTTCCGCTACTAACACCGCTCCCCGTTCTATTCACAGTGTCGGATGCGTTTTGACCTGTCCCATCGTCAGGCGTATCAGGATCTATCCCCGCAACCACAAATAAGGCTTGCCAAGCGGTCAAAGCCGGCAACGCCAGCGCGGCAGCCTGGGTGGACGTGATGTTCGGTGGTTTCAGCGTCAATTCGTCCTCATTTGCTATAACATAGTCCGCTGCTCCACCATCCCGTGCATAGCTCAGAACACCCCAGACCACATCACCAATTCTATACCGCGGCCCAAGAGGCCGGTCAGGGTCTTGCGGTGGAGTCGTAACCACTGTGCCACAGACACTATGCAACGGAATGGTGGGCGTTGTTTTGGGTGGATTGAGTGTCATTGCGAGCCGTAGTTCGTCTTGACAGAAAGCTGCCGTCTGCACTTTCAAGAGATACTGGTGTGTTTCCGGTCGTGGGGTTGGAAAGGACTTGTCAAAGATAAGAGAACCCGCTGGACCGGGCTTTGTTCTCGGATGTGAACTGGCACTTGCCAAAGTATCTGTGGTATTTGCCGTCGAGGCAGCTCTTGTTTCGGGGACTGACCCAGGGTTGGGATTGTAGTTGTTGTCTTGTAGAGATGCCAGGGAATCGGCTCTCGGGTTAAATGCTAGAGAGTTGGCTCTGGGATTGAATGCCAACGAGTCGGATCTGGGGTTCACGGCCGTGCTGTCTTCTCTGAATCGTGGCGAGCCCGTCGTGGGGTACGTGTTGTTGTCTAGTGATGCGACGGGTGAGTAGTATAGAGCTCTCATCGTGGTGGGGATCGAGCTTTCATCATCCGCAGATGAAAATTTCCTTTCGCCTCTCATTGCTGGACCGTAAGACGTCGAGGGATTGATTATATCCGCAGTGGTATTGGTTGACATCATGGGCGGTTCGAGACTCATTTTGGCGGATTGGAGGCAATGGATTGGGATATGTAGGTGCTGTAAAGAGAGAATGGGGTTCTTGCTTTTTGTTTCTGGGACCAAACGGTGAATTGGTGGCTTTTCCATAATTTTATAGAAAAAAAGGCGTTGTCTGGCGATTTTCTAATATTGACGTATACTTTGCCTGATTTGCCTTAGGTCAGCATGACCAGACAATCATTCGTGGTACAATATCAGATCAAGAGGCAAATTGCCTATAGAACGAGTAGGCTCAGTAGCTGTTTCCTCTTCAACGCAGTAGATGGCCCAAATAAAGCTCTGCAGGGTTCAAGATGGTCGGTTCTTGGTGATTGTCGGTTGGCGATCTCAGGGAGCAATGTCCGCCACCAATGCTACTACTAATGATGAATCTTCTACCCCTTAACTACTTGGATACTTGTTGTTTCTTTGTACCTATTATAAAGGGGTTTGAACGTAAAGGCTGGCTTGGGTGTTCGAACCTAATCAGCTCCTTTCTAGAAGTAAATCTCCACTTGCCCAGCTCGAGCTTTTGCCACTCCAGCAACATACCTGAAATCTTGGAAGAGAGATCTTTTCGGAAACAGAGTAATAACCGTTCTGTTAAATATGATCACGATAAGAGTGGGACTACGAGATGGAGCGACACAACCATTCCAAAACTCGATATGCTGAATGAAACTCGTCTTACTAACCATTTCCCGGAAGCCCTTGAAAACTGCTTGCGTGAACTCTCTTTCGCTGGTTCAACAGCAATTCGGTTGAAAAGGCGAAAGAAGCACACTACCAGCACACTGAATGATTGCTATCAAAGACATCGCAACCTAATGCACAAGAGCAAATCCAATGAAAGATATCATCAAAAGGCGCAGGTTAAGCTCCCAGCTGGAGACCGGTGAGATCCTCGCAAGCTTTGAGGACAACCTCTTGCAAGTCTTCGTTGGCTGTCTCTGTAAGGGGTGTTCCAACCTTCCTTTTGGGTTCAAAATAGAGACCGGAGAGGCTTTGATCGTAATCACCTTCAGCTAACATGATGTATGTCTCAACGCCATCCTCTAGCTTTTCTGTACCGCCTTCACCTCCAAGCTTCGTGGCAACGTATCCAGGATGCAAAGATGTGACAGAAGTACCAGTAAAACGCCTTGCTACTGCCCCGACAAGAAGCATAACATGAAACTTCGAATCACAGTATGCTTGGAAATCCTGAAATTCCTTCTCTCCACGCTCAAACCAGAAAATATCTTTTAGGTCTGTTTTAGCCAATCGATGTAGAACAGAGGCTACAAAAACCAGACGCTTGGGCTGTTTAAGCAGACAAGCAAGTATATATGGTGCAACAACGTTGACAAAAGGCATAGCTGGCACGCCAGTATCTGGCGTCTTTCGGAAGGGTCCGTAAAGCAACCCGGCATTAAGAATGACGGCATCGAAGACACCAATCGCATTTGCTTCCTCGGCTAGTCTGCGCGTCTCTGTCACACTTGTCAAGTCCGCAATGAGCACGCCAGCAGCCCCAGGGCATTTCGCCTTGGCATCCTCTGCGCGCTCCTGACTCCGCGCATGAAGGTATACCAGGTGGTTACGCTGGATCAGCTGACGGGCTGCCTCAAGGCCAAAACCATCCGTAGAGCCCGTGATGAGGATGCGGAGCATCTTACAGAAGGCAGCACAGTAGAATTGACAAGGGTGGTTATGATGGAGTTAATGGTTTCAACCAAGGCGCATAGACGGCAGGCGAGTTGAAAGTTCCCTAGTTGAGGATAGGTTGAAACAGCTAATCGAAAGGAAGCTTGGAAAAACAGGTGTTCTTTAGTAAGAATGTCATAAAAAGTTGAGGTTCAGGCAATTGGGGGCCATAATTTGTCATGATTCGGATACGCCGACAGGATTGAGGAGTAATGTCCATTTCTTTATTGGGGTAACTCGGATCAATCCACGCCTTATAGCACCTTTTGTTTGACACTTGAACCAATACAAATCACGAGAACCCCTTGCATCCCTGCATCGGGTCCACGATATTCCGTGCGGGGGATATCGCACACAAATATCACTTAGACATCCCCCCCCCCTTCGAAAAGAACATCGCCGTTTCGAGTGAGAGCCGGGATCTCGCCGCAACGGTTTCTTCCTGCCCACCGCGGAACCACTCTTGTATATACCACGTATCCTCCTGTATAGCTATGTTTCTTCCTCCTAGAATACACGGAGTGCCACGGGCCCGCCTGCAGCCCTCACGAGTCACGGCGCTGTAGCCCACCGTCAACGAGGCCTACATCTTCAGTTTCCAGGCTGCAAGTGCCCCGTGTGGGCCAAAAGAATCTTACATATTCACATGCATCTCTAATACATACTTATATTAGCATATAAATGGTTGGAATCGATGTGATTTTTTTGATATTGTTTCTCTCAGTGACGGTCAAATGACTCAAGCACAGTGCTTATATTAAACTTTTATGATATAGTAATTATAGTTTACCTATATGCACCAGTTGACTATATCAGTGCTCAAGAGTAGAGTCATAACTATATAAGGAAGATATTTATTATAGATGGCCTAGAGATATAAATACTATAGTTTATACTAACTTATGCAGCATGCCGCCTATACGTGGGTTAGGTTAGGCTAGGTCGTGGGCTTTATGGACTCTAGCCTCTGCTGAAGTCCATTTAAGGCTTAGAGTTACTTAGATAGTACTTGGGGAGTACGAGGTCCTAGGGAGTACTTAGGGTTGATCAGGGTATACTTAGGGCTTGAAAGCTCCGGGTTGATCAGGGAGTACTCAGGGAGCGCTTAGGGCGGCGGTGTTTGTCTCCTCGCCAACGGTGAAAGTTATTCAAGGACAGCTTAGAAGACTGAAGTTTTTAGACTTTCTAAGCGCACATTGACATCTATATGTACCTACCAAGGGATCAAAATCCGATGTTTTTTCCAGTAATATTATGAACAAGAAGCACATTCCTTCAGAAAGGACAAGGGCAACTAGCGTACCTTTGCAAGTTTGTATGCTGGAGAGGGGATTAGTCTTCCAGAAACCATCTTACCTAGGCTTCACCTGCACATGTGGGTAGCGAGTCTGGCCACTAGTAGTCTACATATCGCAGGATCTTTTGAACACTCACTTGTTACATTTCAGGATCAAATCCTTTCAAGTTATTTCTGGATCTTACTGATGCCAGACCAGCTTCGCACAATGGACCTAGCTTTTATTCCAATTTCCGAGCTTTTCCGAGGTGAGAATATATCGATTGGTGGATAAAGACTTTCGGTTACAGTTTAGCATGCGGTGGTTCCTGCTAGTAGTGTACTAGGCATGGAAGGAACAAGCCATATTACGTATGCCCGAGGGCGAGAACCTTAGAAAGTAAAGCTTTGGGAAGCTAGGGAACCGAGTAGAAAACAAATAGCCGAAGTGATATTGCCGACGAAGAACTATAGTCTCTTTTGGGTTCGGACAAGAGTGAACAGCATGAATATCGCAGCCACAAGGATGGATCTAATGCAATAGTAACTACTTTTGGAGAAGCGTGGGCAAACGAGTGAAGAAAAACTAGTCACGCTTTGGACGCATGTAATCTCCTTTTGAGGCTAGAGGTAAGCCGCGCCCCCGCCTAGCTCAGATATTTTCTTAGCGGCTCTTAGATTGGATTAGTGCTTATCAGGATGGCTTCCTTCTGCTGAAGAATTGAGGGGTTAAAATCTCTAAAACTAGGTTTTGTGAGGAATCAGTAGGTAACATGCAAGTCAAAGTAATCAATTGATAAGCAGCTGGCAGGAGTTGACGGGCTCATACATGGATGGGGTTGAGGTTGTATTGTAGTCGTCCGATCGGAGGAAAAGCATATAAAGAGCCATGATCCCAGACTTTTGAAATTTTTTTTCTCATCAACTCCAAGGCAGCAAAGCACCAGAATTCGACCATCATGAAGTATCTGAAAGCCTCTCTGTTTCTCACTGGACTCGCTGGATCTCTGGTCCAGTCACAGGGATTCTCCACTGAGTGCACGGATATCAGTCTGATCGACTCTTGGTTGGTCGGAACCTGTCCTACAGATGATGGCACGGGCGAGATCCAAAGCAGTGTTTATCTTGTGAATAAGATCGAAAATACCCAGGGAAAGCTTGCGGTATGTGATGCGTCGAATCAATTGCCCTCTACTGATGTACCTCTCCGCTAACATTGGACTTCCATCGGTAATAGTGGAAAACTGAGTAAGTATCCACGTCTACCTTTGATTCTTTCCTCTTGATTTATTGTTCATAACTCATACTTATTTAGTGGCTCGTACTCTTCTTCGTGTGATGACTGTGAGCTCATCGACAGTGGATCTACACTGCAATGCTACTGCGATGGCACCTATTCATCCGAAGATGGAACCACCACCTTGAGCCTAGGTAAGAATTTGAACAAAAAACCAACAAAAATATTCTCACCACATCATCTTAACATTTGGGAACCAAACAGAGACATACATTGCCAACTATGACGGCCACTTGTTGTCCAACTTCACAGGCGCCATCACTTCAGTTCCCTCCAACTCCTCCTATCCTGTCCCAACCAGTTTCGAAGTCGAACTGGAGTTGAGCGGCGAAAACAACACTTGCTCTGCCATTGGTGCTTATCTTACCATCAACGATCCCACAGACTGCTATTATCTCAACCTTGGGGTAGAGTACACCTGGGCCTGCGGTACATCGGTCGATAACGAGGGCTGGGAGATTGTGGGCTTCGCGACCGAGGACTGCTCTGGCGACGCAGTGGCTACTTTTACAGAGGCTAATGTCGATACCTGTTTGACATTCTCAACTGGTGTACAGGGATTTTCAATCACTCCTCTGTGGAACTGGGATTAGAAGTCTCATCGGTGTTATAAACCCGGTGAACATGTACTCAAATTTCAATTAGACGGGAGCGGGCCCGGCCCGGATGCTTAATTTGGTCTAGTTTGGCCTCATTTGGGCCTCACTTATGTGGCACCAACTGCTGACTCAGCGGATCTAAATTCTCCGTTCTCTCGTCAAAACATAAACATCGTTATTATATGACACTTTGTGATTTTCTGGTTTCTAATGAAGTAAAACATCGATAGCTGAAACTCCTTGAACAACGGTTTACTGTATCTTTAGTTCAAAGACACGGGATGCAAGAAAAAGAAAGTTTACAAAAATAGGTGCTAGTAGACTAAGGTTATGCGTGTCTTAACTAGTGAAGGTGCATGCATGCATAAACGGCCAAGCCAGTGTTCCCCAGAGTGGGACGTATAACGTCACTCCGGCAGATCCAACATATGAAAGGACTCTTCCTCCAGAATATGCACGAGCACCTCATAGCTTGAAGAAGGGTTGCCCAACACATATACTGAGCAGACGAGATGGGCTTTTGGCCTACTTCGCCACATGACCAGACCAAATGATGTACCCGGCGCACCAGGTGCCCGGGCAGGTGCCTCGATGAGCAGGCGCCCAGCGCCCAATTTACAGCCTCAAACCGGGGTGTTGCGATCAGGTGGGGTGGAAATAATAGGGCAGGGAACAGCCGAGAACACTAAAGGGGTTGATCATTCAGTATATGATCACCGTGCTTGCCCCTATTCATCCCGTTCTCCGAGATAGCACCAACAACCGAAAACTGATTTTCAACAGTTGATCTGCTGCAAATCGAAAAAATCTGACTATATAGTCCCCGTTCAGGTATTCTATATGGGCATCAACCAAGTAACTGCGCCATAAAAGCAGCTATCCAGATAAACGGTCTGGGGAGGTGCATCATGGCCCACACCAAGCCGAGGGATTCTTCAGTTCCCAATACCACGCACCCGCAAGGCGAGACCAGTGGCCCAGAAACCAAGGACTCGACCCAGGAGTCTGAGGAACGACCAGCCCCTATTGAAAGGCGTGGTTCGTCGTTTATGAACTTCGTCGCGTCAATCCTAGGCTCCAAAAGTCCGATCGCGCACCCGGCGGACCCACACACCAACACTGTTTGGCTGCTGGACAACACCGCATACCAGCCTGTACAGGAGCCCGGAGAAACAGACAAGCCTGACCTGCCAACACCGTGGTATGCTGAGTTTGTAGCCTGCACCTTCGATACAGAAGGCCGAAAAGATGTGGGGAAGCTAGTCGCCTCGATAGCAGACCACGTCGGACTGGACGGTGAAACAGGCATCCGCGACGAAGAAGCGCACCAGCGAATCGTGAAACGTATCCAGCCGTTCCTCGATACTGTTTGTCCCAATAGAACCGTTACGCTTCAGCTTGACATAGCCGGTACAGAACAGTCCCACGAAATGGGCCCCTCCGATCGGAATGGGATAATAAGTCAAACCATCGAGCTCGGCGCACCGAACATCCCCGATGGTACAGTAATCCGGCCACGCCTGGCGAATTTCGGAAATAGCATGGCGGCTATGGAAACGCATTTCGCTGCGCCGGAAGGCTGGCTGATTGTCTCTGATATCGACGACACCATAAAACGTACCATGACCGTCGATCCAACTGGTATTATTCGAACAACCTTCACCGAAGAACCAGTCCCCATCACCGACATGCCGGAGTTCTACCGTCATGTCCACGAGGAGCTAAATCCCACTTGGTTCTACCTCTCTGCCTCACCGTATAACCTCTACCCGTTCCTGCGCAGCTTCATCCACGAGTACTACATTCCGGGTACGATTTTGCTGCGCGAGTACTCTTTCCTAGATATCAGTGGCTTGATTAAGTCATTGACGGAGAGGACACAGGAGTACAAGACCGTTCAAATGGAGAAGATTCATCACTGGTTTCCGGCGCGGAGGGTTCTGTGTATTGGAGATTCGACGCAGAGTGATCCTGAGGCGTATGGGGAGATTTATCGGAGGTATCCGACCTGGGTTCATGCTATTGCCATCAGGAAGGTTACAGGCGTGGGGCACATGGAAGAGAAGAACAAGAACGAGAGGTTTGAAGCGGCGTTCAAGGACGTTCCGGCTTCTATTTGGACTGTTTTTGAGGACCCTTCTGAGCTTTATGGATTTGTCGATGGCTTGGGGATGGAGGATCTGGTGTTATAGTGTGCATCAATTACACTTCTTGTAACAATAGTCATGGGTCCAATACACGTATGTAGTCTCTTGGGTGCGTTCATCTGTAGATTCCATCACTGACAGCTTCATGAGATCCTCAAGGTCAGTGGTTCAGAGCTATTGATGGGAAACAGGCGTGAAATTAAAGTTATCAGCCTCGCTTCGAAGCCACATTCCTCTATCGAAACATTGGAGAATTCTACACTAGGATTTGAGGCCCCACTTCCCACACCAACTCATAGTATTTAGTACATGTACGTATATGCAGCTGTGCATGCTCCCTTTGGTCCCGAAGTGAATAAATAAACCCCCCTTTACTACTGTTGACCGCAAAAAAAAAGTCGTGACGGTGCATGATCCCCCGCCCCCCCAGTTGGTAGTTGAAAAGTACAACTATTGTTCATGTACTGAGTAGGGAGTACCATATCTTTCTCAAGTACAAGGTAAGGTTTGTACTCTTGCCAGGTCTGGGTTTGTAGCCTCACCGAGTACGAAGTATTGTTTACCTACATACTAGCTAGGTATACCTGACCCAGACGCTTAGTGCACATGTGTGTAGACCCTGTATAAGTATTGCTTATACCTAGTCAATATCTTTGCTCTTGCTAACATTAAAGCGAAATGCCGCTCGAGTATTCACATAATTGTATTATGTATCAGCACTAAAGGTCGCTAGATGGTTACAACTAGGGAGAAGCAGCCCACTCAGGGGGTGCAACAATCACAGTAGTTTCATCGGCCCCCTCACTCCTTTCTTAAGCACTGAGGTCGGGATACTCTCAAGGTGAGTAAAACTCCCAGAGTGTGAGGGATCAGGGAGGACCAAGGCAAAAACATATTTATTGATCCGAAACACTGCCAAGTGTAAGGCTCGGTAGATCCCCACTATGTAGGTTCTCCTTGCATAAGTTTCATTGAGAAGCAGATATTGGAATTTCAAATGTTAACCCTTGCGGAATCTGCCGTTATGCCGACCCGTGGCAAAAGCGACCATTGCTTTCCACTTGATGTTGATTTCTCAAACTTCTCGAATTTTAAGGTATAAGAGATCCACCAGGAGGAATTCCATCTTTACAAGTGCACTTTAAAATCAGTATATGCCGTTATTTGTCTCAGATTCCAGCACTTGAGTGTTTGAGTAATTTACGGAACATTCTTCTCAAGTGCTTTGTCCTCAAGTCTTGTTTCTCATATCAAAAATCTGAATAACCTTGGTTTCGAAAATTTGAAGAGACAGTCATGCCTTCTCCATCACTGCAGCAATCATATCGACGACGTTCTTTGAGAACCCGCACGGGAAGAAGAAAACCATCCCGTGGACCCCCGGCGCTTCCTTGCTATAACGACACCAATCCGTTGATCTACGACTCAACGGCACACTCGTTGACGCATTCATTGACACATACATTGCCCAGACATGCAGTTGTGGATTGTCCACGATGTCAAAGATTTCCATGTATCAAAACTTCAACAAATAGCACAGTACATGCGGTACAGTCAAGATACCAGGACGGGAGAAATTTGTCGAAATAAAGACACCCAGGATAGTAGCAGATCATAGGACTTATTGCAATGAAGGGTTGTTTTTGGAAGACTTCCGAGGTATGTTTGTTGATCACCCATACTTTGTCGGGTCTCTTCCCACAAGACTTGGTGAGTTTTTCAATTGCCGATTAGATCCATCGTGCTGACGTCTTCGAGGTACCGTTTGTTACAGCTGCAGGTCACGCGTGACATTACAGTGCCTGAAGAACATGTAGCACAATAAGGAATGTTTCGAGATGCACAGGGGAAAAATGTGATATAATTCTTTTCGTCAAGTCATAAGCCGAAAACTTGTTTGATTCGTCCTTGTTCGTTCGTTTTACCATCGCTTCGGTGCAGAGATCTCGGCCCGAGAGAATGAAGCACTGACTGTCTCCTGCCCTCTTCTGCGCTGAATCTCCTTAATTCCAGTACGGTCTGTCACCAGAGTAGCGTTGATGATGTTGTCAAAGTCCCCATCCTCGCTGCCTGCTGAGCCAGATTCGGCATCAGACTCGACGTATGTAGGCTCTGGCTTTGCGATTCTCTCCGGTTGTTCTTTATCCGAAGTGCTCGGATTCTTGAAAGCTTTGGACTCAAGAATCTTGCGTCTAATCTCAGCCATCTGTTCTTCATCTTCGGAGTCGTCAGAGATGGCAAACGGATCCTTATCCTCCTCCTCGCTCTCCTCCTCGGCATCACTGCCCTCTTCCCCACTTTCACTATCACCTTCCTCATCGTCCGAACCTCCCCTGGTTGCCGGCAAGCGATTGGTATTTCCAACGGTCCACATATCCTCCGCTCCCTCTCCACGACTATCCTCGTACTCTTTTTCAATCTTGGCTAGCCAGGCCTCCTCGGTCTTTTTGATATCCTCTTCATCAGTGCAAGCGGCGTAGAGCTTGAATAGTTCGGCATTAATATCCAAAAAGGCCTGTCCGTAACTGAATGGCTTGATGATCTCTTCCGCCCATTCCAGGTGTCCGCAAATGGCGAAGCAGGCCGCTAGTGCTTCAGCGCAGTTCAATCGCCAAGGCTTTCCGTAGTTGACCGTATTCGCAGCGATAAGGTAGGGCACTATGCAAACAATATAGTTAGTAGGTGTGGTGTTCCTCCTGGCTGGTGCTGTACACATACAGAGTCGTTCGCATTTTCCACCGATCCGCGACCAGGGCACTTCCTTGACGCGCACCCAAGAACATTCCACTACCGCCGCGCCTTGTTGTTCCATAAGCTCTTTATCCGCCGGTGAGATGATTTTCTTCGCATTAGGCCTAGTAGAATGGTTAGCTGAGAATTTAACCCAAGGTGGGATGTTGCATACGAGACGATCACACCAGCAAAGCGCTGGCCAATATGAAGCTCTCGCATTAAGTTGAGCTTCATCAGGCGCTTTCCAGAGCATCGCTTGGGGTCACAATGTCCCATGTCCCAGCAAGCAGCCTTGAAGGGAGGTCGCGACGAAATACCGGCCTCATCTCCATCATCGCGGGGTCCCGGTCGCGGGCGGGGGTGAGAAGATTTCTTGCCCCCTCGAGAGAAATTGTCCTTCTTGTGACGAACCATAGTGAAGGCCGCAAGGTATTTGAAGTATCTGAAAGTGAACAATAACAAAACTTCACGTTGACTGCGTGAAGCGCGCGATGTTGGAAGGAATAAAAATTCCAGTGGAAGCATATAAGCGCCACACGTGCTTCTCCGCCCGCCTTGTCCGCTCTCCACTGGCAATCTACAACAAACCATCGCGGCGTCTTCCCGCTTCGACCCTCTCAACTCCTGGCTATTACCTTATACCCCTTTCCTTTTTATCTTGTCTCTTTTCTCCTTTAATACCTCCAAACCGCCACCCTGGAGGCTGCTTCAGCGCGCATGGCGGCTAGGGACCGTTTCGGTGCCTATGCTGAGCCGGGGTTAACACCACTACAGCGGGCGATTCGTGAGCTGACTCCGCCATCACCAACACCGGGAACATCTGTGGAATATAATTGCTAATGGTTTGGAAATTTTAGGCAATGCATGCGATCCTCAAAACTACGAGCCCAATTTGGCCCTTAACCTTGAAGTGGCCGATCTGGTCAACTCCAAGAAGGGCAATGCGTGAGTCGGGCACCGCCGACCCCATACATCGCGCATACTGATATTTCCTTCCAGCCCCCGTGAATCAGCCGTCGAAATCGTTCAGCTCATCAATTCTCGGAACCAGAATGTCGCGTTGCTGGCATTGTCGGTACGTTCGGATTATGACAAATGACAGCCTGGCGCGGGGTTACTGACGATCGCTCCACAATGGTTCATTAGCTTCTCGACATGTGTGTGAAGAACTGCGGATACAAGTTCCACCTCCAGATCAGTACGAAAGAATTTCTCAATGAATTGGTCCGAAGGTTTCCCGAGCGCCCAGCTATGCGACCCTCGAGGGTCCAACACCGCATCCTGGAGTCGATTGAGGAGTGGCGTCAAACGATCTGCCAGACATCGCGATACAAGGAGGACCTGGGCTTCATTCGGGATATGCACCGCCTGTTGCTTTACAAAGGTTATGCGTTCCCAGAGGTCCGTCGCGAGGATGCGGCTGTGTTGAACCCGAGTGACGTAGGTATTCCGGTGGTGTCACAAGATGTGAGGAAGCTACTGACACCGTTTAGAACCTTCGTTCGGCCGAGGAGATGGAGGAGGAAGAGAAAGAGGCCCAGTCTGCCAAGCTTCAGGAGCTTATTCGCAGAGGCACACCGGCGGATCTGCAGGAAGCCAACCGATTGATGAAAGTCATGGCAGGATACGATAACCGACACAAGACTGATTACCGGGCAAAGGCCGCAGAGGAGGTTGCGAGAGTACAACAGAAGGCCAAAATCCTGGAGGAAATGCTGCAGAACGGACAGGGAGTTCCAGAGGGTGATGTTTTCGAGGTAGGTTCTCGGCAATCTCTATACATCCTTTCCTTGCCATCCAGCTGATTGGCTGTACAGGAGCTTGCAAACGCGCTGCAAAGTGCGCACCCCAAGATCCAGAGGATGTGTGAGGAGGAATCCGATGACCCAGAGGCGGTTCACAAGCTGTTGGAGATTAACGATAGTATACATCGCACCATCGAACGGTATAAGCTGGTTAAGAAGGGTGATCTGGATGCCGCATCCAGGATCCCCAAGGGAACCTTGGGCACAACAACCGGAGTCTCCAAGAACGCCAACAATGAACTTTCATTGATTGACTTTGACCCGGAGCCGAGTTCCAATGGCAATGCAGCCGAAGCCACACAAAGTGCCCAAGGGAATGCTCTAGAGAATGACTTGCTTGGACTTTCCCTTGGTGACGATAGCCCTATGCCCGGTGGTGGGATTTCACTTGGAGGCAGTAAGACTTTCCCTTCATATTTGATTCATGATTCAAACATTAACCTTTTATCACAGTGGGCTTTCCTTCCATGCCTTCTGGCCCAACCCCGCCTTTAGCCGCATCTCAACAAGCACCCGCTGGCTTTAAGGCAAATTATGACATTCTTGCATCTATGAACACATCTCGGCCTGCTTCTCAGGCTTCCACTCCAGCCCGTACCCAGTCCCCCCAGGTTCGCCAGACAGCGACTCCGCCGCAGCCGGCTGATCCCTTTGCATCGCTGGTCTCTGCCAGCCCTCGACCCGCAAGCAATGCCTTCCAAGCCCCTCCGCAGACCCAAGCCGCCCCGGCTTCCTCATCTCTACTTGATCTGGTCGGAGGCCCTAGCCAGCCGCAGCCCGCAGGACAGGCTGCTCCCGAGGATGACGAGTGGAACTTTGCATCAGCCCTTCCTCAAAGCAACGCCCTACCCTCAAACAACCAAGTGCAGGTTCTGAACACGCCGCTCCGGGTTGATTTCCATGCCCGTCGTGTGCCCAACTCGCCGCGCCAGATCTACCTCCGAGCTATTTTCTCCAACACTACTAGCCAACCGATTGGAGAGCTTCACTTCCAGGTTGCAGTGGAGAAGGTAAGCCAGAAATGGTACTGTGTCTCGGAATCCCCGATGCTAACTCGTTTTTTTTTTTAGTCATACACGCTTCAACTTCGGCCGCAGTCTGGCCGAGAGATTGCTCCCCAACAACAACATGGAGTGCAACAGGACATGCTCCTGGACGGTGTTGACTCTGGCAAGGGCAACTCGGTGAAAATTCGGTTCAAGGTCTCATACAAGCTCGGAGCCGAGTCTCGCGAGGAGCAAGGCATGGTTCCATCTCTGGGCATTTACTAAGCCTTGAGTTTTTTTTTTCTGTTCAGTTCAATGCCAAGCCCAATGGCCAGGTGCGAGGCATTCCTGTTTTTCCCGACCGTCCGGCTCGCTGTCTTAGCCAGTCGGAACCACCAGTCCCTGCATCATGCGGAATTTCCGACCGGGGGGTTCAGTAGTCCCTGCATAAGTGGATAACGTTAGGTGGGTATATCCCCCAACCTTGACACCTTGATGCTGTCTTTTCTGAGGTTGAAGTGTGATTGATTCTCTCCGATTGAAAACTTAGCGCGTCTTCTATTCTGTCCATAAAGATCCCATTGCCTGCAACATTCCAGATAAGTCCAGTGAAAGTTGAAGTAAGCACTGCACTGATTTATTTATTTTTCTTGGCCATAAATTACCATGAAATGCAATTGCAAACATGTTGAACGAACCCTTGTGACGTTGTAGTTGTGGTCCTTGAAATATTCCTTACGATCCGAGTTTGAAATTCCCGATCAAACCCAATCTGGCTTACCAGGCCAGGTACATTAAACAAAATCCAAGATGATCCTAGCCAAGTGCCGCGGAGAAAGTCATCTCTGATGCCACACTGTCACACTGCCGCATCCACAGGCCTCGTCCCATGGCGCCGGATATTCAGGAACTCGATGACGGTTGAGGCATGATGTACTGTCGATCGCACGCCCAAGCCCGGTGGGCCGGTAGAGGAGATCGATCTCGGGGATGCCGAATATGATATCAATGCAAGACGCGGAAAGATCGCGGAAGCACATTGGAAAATATTTCCCCCCCTCTTTTCGGCACTTCATGCTTGTTTGGGGTTGAGATGCTGATCTCACATTTCTCATAATTGAGATGGCGGTTCGTTGCGCTCGCTCTGATACTGCCTCGCTGGGATTACACCGATTATTCTCCGCCCTTTTCCCACATCTGATTTTTTTTTTCCCTTTTGGAGTCGTCAGTCGTCATTGGGAGATGCGGCTTGGATGATTGTCTGATGGATTTCCTATGGGAAATGGTTTTGGTAGATTCGTGGTTATCTATGGATTGGTAATTTCTGACTGTTAAGAGTAGAAGCGCATCAATGGTGGGTCAGATGGTTATATTCTCCGCTGATTAAGATCGATCGACGTAACACGATCGACGATCTCTGTACTTTATTGCAATTCGGAGCTAAGCTTATGTCTACACGATTAACGTTGGGATTTTTCGAGTTTTTTCTCCGGTTATCTGAAATCACATTCACATATCGCGATTCCCGCGACGTATGTGGAGTATTTTAACGGCTATAGTGATCGACTATGATGATCTACGATCACTCCACTATGTACACTCGCAACGTCTACTCTATTCCCCACATTCGACAATCGGAGACACAGGAATTTTTTTTCCCCCTTATAATCGCCAGGACCTTCCCACCCTCATACTCCCTAGAATCAAATACTAGAAAAATCAAAAAACGCCAAGTATAATCAAATAATCAAGTAAATGGGATCCCGCCACCTCAAAACCCCCACTGTAAAGTTCCAGCTCTCTCAAACGGGTATGGGTTCGGCCGGACGATAAGAAGGAAGCAACAACGTCTAGACCCACGGGACCGCAGTGGCGAACCCCAGAACACGCTGCCACTAAGTGCAGGAAAATGGAGGTATATGCAAGTCTCTCCAGTCTCCAGTCTAGATTGGGCGCTTGGGCGCTTGGGGAACTTGGAGAGATGCGGCTTACGGGGGCTGAGTGCAATGCTGGCTGGGCAATGGGAGTATCTCTGTACGTCCAGGTCCAATCATAGGTCCAGTGAAGATATGCAGTTACCGAGGAAAGGGACTTGGGCACATGCCGTGTTCCACGAAGATTTTAGGGGATCGTATCTGAGAGGGGAAAGTCAGTAATGCAGGCTTCTTCCCAGGATAGAAGGTCGTCAGCTTAGTAGTGAACTAGAACATTTGAAGTCCCGGGTGGGGTTTGGAGGGGAGAGGCATTAGCAGGCAAGTAGGGCGTGGGATGGAAGTGGGATATTCAGGTTTTGTATTTCCCCGAGTGGCGGTGCCGACAAGTTATCGTGGCTCAACGGATTTACATCGGCATTCTTCTGTTCTGAGATCATTTTTCTTTTCTCTTTTGGTGGACAGGTTTGAATATTTCCCCAGAGTAAGGATGGGCCTGGAGGTACTCGGGGATCGGCAGAGAATTGGAAAGGGAAAAAGTTTCCAGAGCTGCAGGAACCATCCAACCAGATTTAAAAAATTTAGAAAATTTAGAAAAAAAAAACAAAAAAATTCATGAAACGCTTTAAGATAGCAAGTCAAAGAAAAAGCTCAAAGGTAAAAAGGGAGAAAATGTAGAAAAGGTCGAAAAGGTAGGGAAAAAACATGTAGAACAGTGCCGGTTTAGGAGCGGATCTGCAGGTTGCACAAGTCGAGTCGAGTCGCATCGTGGGGGAGTAGAGCAAGAGCAAGATCCACTGTAATCCGGTTCTAGGCCTAAACTACAATCAGTTGCAATGTGGGTTTTTTTTTTCTCTGCATGTTGAATACCGAAGTAATAGAAAACCAAAAAAAAAAACCAAAAAAACCAAAGCAAAAAGACCATTTTCGGGATTTATAGGAAAAGGTCTCCGGAGGCCACTGGAGTCCACTGGAGTCCAGTGAAGGGGAAGTAGAGAAACTCGTATTGGGCGTGGCGTTTATCGAACGGACTAGACGGGGAAAGCGATTGAATGAAGACATGAAACGGATCCATGGCTCAAGCCGAACGAGACTTTCTCGGCGTCCAAACTGCGATCGCCTTGAATCCATGGATCTCTCCTGCAATCGAAAAAGGGTACGCTCGGGGCCTGACAGGTTGCCCCCTCACTACTTAAACTTACCTCCTTCCCTCTACAACAACCTATCGCTCTTTCAGTTGAGCTACCACCCAATATTCCTTCCAAATATATCATGTCCGATCTAGACCAGGATATCGCGCCTATCCCCCGTTCGCGGGAGGAGAACCAGGAGCGGTAAGTACATCTGAAATATAGATATGAGGAACTTCCCCCACTAATCCTTTCCCCACAGTGCCTTTATCGCTGCTTCAAGGCGAAAGGATCGGAGTCTGGACGCTCGCCTGGAATCTGCCAACCGTGCATCCATGCTACACAGAAAGCGTACTGGCAAAGCATTCCATATCACCAAGGAGATTGTCGAAAAAGAAGCCATGTACGAAGAAGTCGATGAGCGCTACCAAGAAAAGCGCATTCGCATGCTGCAAGCCCAGAACATGCAGATCGAAGAGCAATTCCACCGTCATCTATTGGCTGCCTTTGCCGCCCGAGCCAACGGCCCCGGCTCAACAGCTTCATCCATCGCCAGCCGACGAGCCAGTCTTGCCCCGCGTGCCTCAGTTGATGGCGCATCCTCATCTCGCAAGATGAGCCTGGACCTCACCAACCTTCGCTCGCCATTCCCCCACGCCATGGACTCCAACTCCATGACCAGCCCAGCCATGACCACCGATGGATACGTCCTGTCTCCATCCACCAACAGCTTCGAAGGCGCACAGTCCTACATGCCCTTTGACGGCTCAGAAAGCAGCCCCTACTCTACTATGATGACTACCGCCAGCTCATCTGGCCCCATACCGGCCTACGTCGCCCACCAGACACCCACCCCGGCATGGAACCAACAGATGGCACCCTCGTGGGCAATGCAACAGCACGTCCCAACCCCCAACCACACCCCCACCGACTCCCACTCCGTGCATATGTGGCAGCAGCAAATGATGCAGCAAGCTCAGATCCCCACCGACGCCGCCTCCACCATGCACATGCGCCAGTTCAGAGATCGCCTCGCTTCTGCACCGGAATTCCCCATCTCTCATCATTCCATCCCCCAACCCCCACAGCACCACCAGCACCCCACTGCGTCCATCTCGGGTCCTAGTGGTCACTCCCGCGGCCACTCCCAGCCCACTAACCAGTTCCACAACCTGCATCTCTTGACGCAGAGTACACACCTTGCCCATACGCCCATGGCTGCCGTGTCCAGTAGCAGTTCACCGAAGATCGAGTCTCTGACTGCGGAAACTCAGTCGACTGTGGATTTCTGTCCTACGCCCAACACTCCTCTCTCGCCTACGGCTGGTGCCACCACCCGGCTTGTGAAGAACGAACAGGGTGTGATGGTTTCTCACGAAGAACTGGATCCGGATTTCAACGAGTTCAGTCAGTTTGCACTGGGATTAGGTGGGAACTCGTCACTTCAGGACCGGGAACCATTCGGGTTTGAAGATTTCGTGACCCTGGATGAGTTCGCTACCGTCTCCTGCTGATTGACCAGTGATCTTTGATCTATTTCTATTTCTTCTTCACTTAGTGATTCCCATGTCTATTCCCTATTTCCTGTACATGATGCGTTGGCTTGTACATTGCTCCTGTACAATACCTTTTTGTATTCGCATTTCATTTTTTCTTATCTATTCTCTGATTCTATTTTATCTTTGTCTATTTAATGTCTGATGATCACTCTCGATGGAAAGGCAGTCCAAATTTCGTTGGGAAAAACTTGCTTAGTACTAGCACATTGGGATTCTAGGAACCAAAATCAGAAATCAGAAATCAGAAATCAGAAATTCAATCCAACCCAAGTCTACTGGTAAAAAAACAAAAAACCTACAATTCTATCAAGTCTTGGTAGATCACCGAACCAGCCCATCCATTTTCCCTGGGCCTCACCCATAACCATGAACCGGCACCCGTCCCCACTCTTACTTAGTATGTACCTTATGTGGAAAACTCCGTCAATGTTGTATCGTCAGCGGAGCCCATGCCAAATCCGGCGACATCACACCATACATAGTAATACTCACCTTTTTCTTTTTCGAAGAAAAAAAGATATCCCCTCTCCACCTCATCCACTATCCACTGATTTTCCATTCCTTCTGTCCACGGGCCGTGCCAGCTACAGCTACAGCTCTGAAGCCAGACCACATACACCCCCCCCCCACACCAACCCTGGAAAGTTGTACTCAGGTCGCACGAGCAAGGCAAAGACAGGTAAGGTTCTCTTTGTACATCCTGCTATATTTCCCACACTTCAATGGTTTGCTCCACCACTCACTACTATCGTATCATTCAATCCTTGAACCCTTGGGATCCATGAGGAGCTAGGAGAGTAACGGCTGGCTGCGTACATACAGTACTAGTACTCCGTACCAGAGCTCCATTCTGCTCAATCTTCAGTAATAGATATTCCAATAAAAGCTCGTTTGCAAAGCCAAAGCCAAAGCCAAAGCAATTCCAAATCCAAATTTTTTTTTTTTTTCAAAAAAAATCCCGCAGTGTCTGTCCATCCGGAAACAGGTACGTACTTTGTGGTTTTCTGTTTCGTACTCGGGCCTACCCTTCCCTGCCCATGGATGAAAGGAAAAAGTATCAGGAAATTCCAAAAATCGGCCCTCCGTTTCGTTTCTGCACAATGCCCAAGATTCAAGATTCCCACTGCATACTAGACTAGATTACTGTGAAGAAAATCAAATAAATTAACTTGTCGCACCATCATAAACGTTTAATCTATCGGCGCCTTTTAGACCCGCGTGGTGGCTGGCGTGGCTTGGCTTTTATCGCTTCCGCTGCTTTTTAGGGACATTGTAAGCGCCTGGCGCTCAAGGCACGCGCGGGGTTCGGGGTTCAATGCACATGTTGTAATGTTCTCATTTTTTTTGCCTTTTTTTCTAATCTTCTCTCGTATTCTTGTCTTATGGTAATTTCCACATGCTGGGATTGTTCACGTTTGTACGGAATGGTGGTCAGGTGTGTTAGATTGGAAACTTGTTGGAAGGCATTTCAGATCTTTGGTTCGGGGTTCGGGCTTGAGTCAAACCTCAGTGCTGGAGCTAGCTAGACCTTGGAAGGCGAGGGGCTGTGGATACGTGAGGACCGGCTGTCCTGAAGCGATTATCTGGGTTTCTGGAGCTGGTTGTTAGCTTGCGATAGGGCAGTCGGGGAGATGGAGGCTTTCGGTGTGACCTCGTATGAGGTCAGGGCTTGTCACATCACGTCGAGCTGGTTGGTGTCCAATCGGATGGGAGGATGGATGTGGTGATCCCGGGGATGTGTTGCTGGGTTCAAGTTGATTGTATGGATCTGCAGGGTTTTGGTGGGGTTGGAACTTAGAACATTGTAGATAGTAGAGAATGGCAGTTTTTTGATGTTTTATGATTAAAGAGAAAATAAATATATCTTTCTTTCTTACGTATGGGTTTTAGATAGCGCTATGCGGGTATCATATTTAATTGAGGATAGTATCAAATGAAAAAAAAATGACAAAATCCTGCTCTTGCCAAAAAAGAAAAATCCAGAAACAAGAAATCACGAAAAAAGAAAATTGCGGGGTTAAGGTTGCAGCTTCCGCACAGACCATATCACGCATCGGGACTAACGCGGAAAGCCTAACCACGGTAAGCAATGGACTCTATTTCCATGGTTCCACAACTGCAGGGAACATCCCTGTGCGAATAGATCCCTGGGTCCATCTTGGCATCTCCTGATTGGTGTGCCCCCCGTGCACGCATCCGGGCGATCGATTGGGCTAATTCATCTGGGAATGGCGTGTGTGGTGGGGGTGTTCCCGAGGGTCTTGGTGAGGGGTCAACTGGACCCTTGACCCTTCGGACGATTAGAAATCACCAATTCAGAAGGCAATAAGGGAATTATTGTGTGCTAACAAGTTCCCTCCGAGAAAACCTGAGAAATACTTAAGGTTAGATTCCAAGGATGTCAGAGTTATTGTGGTGGCTAAATGATCACTGATCAGCACGAGTCTAGGCCCGTTTACGGCTAGTTGGATGCAATGCAGGTATCCGCGACATGTTTCTTTAATTTTTTTTTTCGTTCTTTTTACTATCAGGACTTGACTAGTTAATGGCTTGGCTTCGATTGTTTTCTGGAGCGCCTCGTGTGCTGAGAAGGTCCATGCGTACGAGATACTTATTAGTCGGTATGCGACTGGTAGCCAAAGTCTATGCACCGACAAGAATTCCCCGGAGTCCGAGGTAATCGGGCTCATATTTCCAGAGCCAAGCCCAAGAGTGTCGAGTGTCGGAGGAAGGTCTTATCGCCGGGACTACGCCGATGGAGTAGATAGGTCCAGAACGGACAATTTGCGAGGCTCAAAGTCTCAGGAAACAGGAAAAGCATGTACCTCCATCAACGTTTGAATGCAATATTGTCGCACAGACATTACGTTGGAACTATATTGAAGTACCGACATACATACCCGTGTACAAGTACAAGGCTTAGCCTGCAGGGATAAATAGAGCCATTCCATATCGGGGGTTTTACACCTACTCCACAGAGTAATCAACGGTCGATCATCAAATTTAGCACTTTCTCAGGGGGGTGAAACCCACTTTTACTTGGTGGCGATTAATCGGAAAGACCGGGCTGGACTTCATGCCTCCCGATAACGCCAAGGATGGAAAGGCTATTTGTGTTCCAGGGAGCGATTCTTCTCCAGCTTTAATCCTTGTCTTTTTAATCTGTGGATCCGTGGCTAGTCCTTACTAATGTTTCTACTTCTAGCTACCTCACGGGGCAGGTGCTGCTGCAGTCGAACTTGTTTGTATAGTCTTTATGCATTGGCTCTTATCAAGGCCAGCGTCACATGAACTGAACTTGAGAGAAAGATTCGCCATTTACCGTACGATAGCACATTTAAAACTACTAGTTCCATGCTACCAATCTCGTTTATCGTTACTGTTTCCGCAACATATAGGCTTAAGCCACAATGCAAAGGGCAAAAAACAACTGGCCAGTACTTCAGACCTAGATCAAATAGACGAGGCACAACATGGTACCCCTCATCTCCCCGAAAGGCAAGATACGATACATGTCCGCGTTCCATAGATATTGTGACTTTACCCTAAACCCGCAGTCCCCCAAACAGGCACACTACCGCCACCGCCAGCAAAAACACCACCATACCAATTTCCCAAACCAGCACCGGATCCGGTGACGGGCCCCGGCCAATGAAAACGATAGGGAAAACAGCAACGGGCTTGATGGAAGCTCAGACCACCCCAGTCCAACCAAGTCGCAAGCCACGACCCGCTGCAGAAGTCTAATCAGCCTCATACGGCACTTGATAGGAGCGGATCAAATATGGCGACAGGTGACCAAATTTCCCGAGGTTATTATGCAGGGGCGATCATCGGCGATGCGAGTCAGGAATCTCGGAGTGACCCAGAGACGAGGAGTCGGTTCTGACCGCTGAGTGCTGATTGGATTGGATGTGGTGCTGCTCATTGGTTTGTTGCCTGCTTGGCCAATCGGTTATAGAAGGACACGGGGGGGTTGATCGGTATGATTTGATCTGATGTTTGAGTTTCTGGAATTTAGTCTGGATGATAAGTATGCAAGTCATGGTTTGCGCAGAAGGTAGACGTGGATGAACAGAGGGGAGGCATTTGATCCTTGCCTATCAGATATTCATCCATTGCTGTGCTAGGACGGGACCTGGATTTGCAAAACAGGTTTAAGCATGTGTTTGTTCAAAGTTTTGCTGCTAACACGGCATTGCCGACTAGTAGCCACGCAAGGCGATCGGATGTTTTGCGATAACCTTCTGTATGTCAGCTTCTCCTTTCTGTTTGGATCTAGTCTCCCGATTAACCTTGGCCCAGGTCAATATACTAGCCCGCTATCTCGATTGTGGAGATTGGATCTATCACAAATCTTAGCACGAGTCAGGAGGAAGTATACCCCCAACCAGTAATCTTAGCAACGTCTAATCCTTCGATGGCCGATTGACAAGTAATCGTCGCCATTGAAAGCCGATCGTAAAATCTAATTGTCAGCCGCAGGCATATTGACCGACGGCTAGCCAGGGCCATTAATCCTATCGGCTGCCAATTATGGATCAGCTTACTCCCAATCCCGATTACGCCCGAGAACAAATGCGTGTTTTGATTGTTTTTGTTGTGGTTTCTAATTTGCACGGATCAGATATTTGCAACATCCAGGTAATTTAAGTCACATGGTAGACGCGGATAAAAAGAATAACAGAAGCAGAAGTGCTAATAATCCAGGGTGTCTTATCTCCGTTCTCGTAGAACTTTAGCCAACGATACATATGGCCACATGTCCGGGGTTATCGGATAACACCGAGAAATCTCAACCAGTATAGGCACGGCACTTGCGACGGCATTTCAAGTGGCTTTGCAGCCGGGGGTGATAATGTAAAAAAAAAAAAAAGAAAAAGAAATACACAGATAAGAGAGACAGTAAGTGTTCGCCTTAATGTACTAGGGACTGTTGTGCTTTCAGAACTCGATTGTAAGATAAGAATATTCAAAGTTTATGGGGCCGGTTTGTATTGTTTAGATTCCACCACGGCTGAACAGCTCACGGCCATGTTCAGCATTTGGACGGACGTTCATGCTCGATGTTGAGCTGCTGCGTCGTCGGCGCCGAGACTCGTCTGGGTCGGCAGGGCTGAGGCCACTGGCGCGAGCATGTAGGTTGAGAATATCAGTGAGACTGACAACACCGACTAATTTCCCAGAAAGTCGCGCGCCTGGCAATGTGGATGATGTGACTGAGGGAGCCAGGGGTGGAGTGGCTGTGGGTGAGTGTGAATACTGGCCTGCAGGCTGCGGTGTTGGGTAATGGGGCGCCGGATAACTAGGTGGTGGGGCAACTGCTGCTTGAGGTAGAGGTGAGGCTGGGGGAGAGATGACAGGGAAAGCTGGTGGGGCAGCTCCAAGAGGAGGAGTTGGAAGAGGCATATGGACTGCGGAATGAGAGGGTGTTGGAGGTCCCGATGAAGATGGAGATGCTGGATCAGTCACCCAAAGCCTACCACAAGTCAGAATTTATTCCTTTAATTTCTGGTTCTGACGAGGAGTCTTACCGATGTGATCGAGTTGCAACAATCTTTGCAACTGTATGGGCCAAGGTGGAAGTCGGATTCACATGGAATACGGGGAAAGAATCTTGTCCTTCAATCAATCCGCGAGTAGATAAGATGACCGAGATGAAATGGATGCAGGTGTTCTGAAGAAGCGGCAAGGAAGAAGAGCGAGTCAAAAGCTAGAGCCTGTTAGCACGACAATCTCGCAATAGAAGTTGACGATTATGTACCTTGACATCCGTTGTAGATATATTGCCGATTACATTGAAATGATTGTCAACAACAACAAGAGAAGATACCCCCTCACTGTTCATGACTTGAAGAGCTTCACTCAGAGGCTTGTCGCCACTAGAAACATTGATTGTTAGTAAAGAGTAAGATATTGATGTTTAGTTGACTTACTTAATAGAGATCACAGTCTGTGAGCCAATTCGCAATTCCCGCAGGGCTTGTGGATAAAGCTGTTCAATAACAGGGAAGCTGCGTCCGTTCTCCCATAGGAATTTCACGAGTCTGAATTGGCTGAAAATGCCAACCACCTCGTTATCATTGGACTCCTTCGTAATGACCAAGCGGTGGACACCACCACCAAATGTCTCAACGGCAGCCAACACATTCGCTGAGGCTGGTAGAGTGACCAGTGGCTCTTTCTCCACACCTAGACGCTTCACGTCTCTTATCGGAATCTTCTCGCCTTCCCGAGCTTTCTTGGCAATCTCATCATACGATGCGCGGTGCTCCTCAGGTGGAAATGACAATCCAGCCGCCAGGAGCAGATATGTGTTTAAATCTGAGTAGTCAAAGGTCGCGACCGCACATTTGTCTTCTGGGGTTTCCCGGATCAACAACACAGCGGCACCAGAGTCGATCAATAACTAGGAAAGAGAAATTAGCTCTTGTAATCCTTCCTCGGTCTACCCAAAGCTCAAATTTCTCTCACATTCGTAGCCTCTTCAATCCCTGTGTCCATCTCAACGAATCGAAGGTCATCTGGGCTGATAAGCTCCTCGATGGAGATCTCTCGCCAATCGCGATCAACAAAAGCCGGATCAATAGTCTTTGGTGGAGGAGGATTATCGATAAGGCTCTGAAGAGCAGACTGGTTTAGAGAAGGCTGGCGCCGGGTACGTGGAGAGCCCGGTGGACCCCGTAGGGTCTCACTCAAGCTCTGGCGGTGTTGATGATTTGCAGGAGGCATGTGCGTCACACGAAGGGAATTGCGGTTAGAGGAACGGGATTCGGTGCTGGATCGAGGCGATGCGACGGTGGAACCATTGATAGAACTGGCAGTGGAATTGAGGGAGGTATCGGAACCTTCCCGGTGAATCTGCTGGTCAGCCATCACAGGTTTGGGCCAAACAACGTAGGTGAAGTTGGAGAGGCAAGAGAAGCGGTGATGGCGCGGGGTTGACGTGCGTAAGCCAATCACGGGGCGCTGGTTACTGACATCATTCGCTTATGTCATATTTTTGTGGGGGAGTATATCTAAGATGATATATGAGCACGACTCTTCATGAAAAGCTCATTGCATTTCAGTCTAGAACTTCTAGCATGCTATATTGGTAAACTTGAAGTTTTCAACATGGCCGTATTGTAAAGCTGTTGCATTTCTCAAGGATTTTGCTGTTCAAACCGTACACTGGCCTAGTTCCAAAGTTCGAGTTCTCAACAATAGCCTTGTGATCCAAGAGAATTGCTACTACATAGTATTCGATATCTAATATAACAGTTTCGGTTTTTAATTGATTTTTTTTTTTAAAAAAAAGGCCACTATACATATTGACATGTTCAAACATCCTCTCTACTAAAAGTCGTTGCTAAATTTAGTGTGGATCGGGAATTGTTGCTTGACGCGCCAATCTCCACCGGTATCCACAGGCGCTTACAGTTGGATCATCGGGCTCCAGAAAAAAACATTATTGGCTTATTAAATATAACCACATAACTAACTAGTACCTGGCCAACTCATCCACAGAAAGCAATTCTTCTCTTGCTCTTTTTTCTTTCATTTGTGTCATAGAAGTGGCGAAATTCGAGTTTCTTGAGCCAATTCTGTCAACACTGCTTCTTTATGGAGTCTACAGCTAGTGTGGGATCATTCTTACATAAGGGAATGACATGTCGTAAGAAACCCCAGAATGTTTGTCACAAGCCATATAATGATTTGTATTTATCCAAATCCGAAACAGATGTCTACCTAGATGGTAGACTATGACATAAAACATATGAAAAGTAATACATTGTAGACCAGAAGATTCCTGCAGACTGTGATGATGCTTGTCCTGATGTTCAATGCTCATCAGGACATCTTGACCTGCAAGCTCATTATGACAGTTCAGCCTCTAGGCATTCCCAGAAATCAGCCAGTAATCTAGGCCTGAAAGTGAGAAGGCTTCTTGGGGTCGGCCTTCTTGGGAGGGGGAGCATCTCCGCGCTTGTTGTTGTCATTCTTCTCGTTCTTGCTGTCCTTGGGAGGAGGAACGTCGGTGTTCTGGGGAGGGGGAGGGGGAGTGTCTCCACGCTTGTTGACATCGTTCTCGCCTTCCTTTGGGGGAGGGCCATCAGTCTTCTGGGGAGGAGGCGGGGGGTTCTCTCCGCGCTTGTTGTTGTCGTTCTCGCCTTGCTTGGGAGGAGGACCGTCGGTCTTCTGAGGCGGGGGAGGAGGATTCTCTCCACGCTTGTTATTGTCGTTCTCGCCTTCCTTCGGAGGAGGACCGTCGGTCTTTTGGGGAGGAGGAGGGGGAGTCTCCCCGCGCTTGTTGTTGTCGTTCTCACCCTCCTTGGGGGCGGGGCCATCGGTCTTCTGAGGAGGGGGAGGGGAAGGGGGAGTCTCTCCACGCTTGTTGTTGTCGTTCTCGCCTTGCTTTGGGGGAGGACCATCGGTCTTCTGGGGCGGAGGAGGGACATCATTGTCACGCTTTTCGTTGTCATTGTCCTGTTTCTGAGGAGGAGGAATCTCAGTTCCAGTGGGCGGTGGTGGCAGCTGCCCAGAAACCTCAGTGGGACCTAGAAATGTGTTGTCAGTTATGAGTTGAGCACGGTCATTGCAGTCATAGAAGTTTGCACATACGCTCAGCAGGAGGAGCACCTGCGACCAGGCCGGCGGCCATCAGAGTACCGATAACAGCGGAAATCTTCATTGTGATGATTTAAAAGATTGTGATAGAAAGCTTTGTAGAAAAGAGTGATTGTTCTTGTGTTGTTTGAAGATTTGTTGAGTTGATGATTTGAGCAGATGGACGGCATTCATCGGGCTTCTTATACCTTTCTGATCTCCTAATAACTCTCTCTTCATCACATCATTCGAATGTTAAATGCACCATGACACAGTCTGACTTCTCCAATCCCCTTTGCGGTCGTAAGCTGTTGACCCATGGAGCAAGCAGAAGGCACATCAATGGAGACGAAAAGATGGTCGAGATGTGATCGATGCACAGGAGATTCTCCACGATGTGTTTCAATGGTTCCGATCTACATCGTTCAAACTTGAGTAAACATCAACGTCTTACGAGTACATATGATGACATTCCTCAAAGCTGGAAGGTGATTAACTTGGCGCATATAGCCCTAAGTGGAGGCGGTGGGGTTTAGATGATGCATACAAGTGCCGAAGCCCTATCCCAATTCAGGCTTACGAATCTTTGTTTGGCAAAGTGGAGTGTAAATGAGGCAATCACAATGATCAACAAGCTAATGCGGTTTTCGGTTCTTGCAAAGTCGCTCCCGGCATTATTCAAGCGTTATTGGGTTTAAGTTGGGCGTAACACGCGGCCCTGTCGATCACCCAACTTAGGCCCCACTCCTAGGCAGCTACAACCTACACTGAGTTCTAATGTAAGTAGTGCTCTGCAATGACAATTGACTGTGATATAATTAGACAAACTCTATCTTAGATGTAAAAAAAAAACACCGCAATGTACCGGTTTATGTATAAGAGATAATTAGTGTTGAAACGTGGTTGGGGTGTCTTTGATATCACCTAGTAAACTTGGAATAGTACAACAACGCCTCAGGCCCCCACCCACTTCAGCCGAATTTTCCACTCCTTACAATGTACATAAATAGTAGTGTTTATCTATGTGCAAAGACTCGGCGATGCACAAGTGGACCTCTCTTACTGTACAGTACATACGCCGGAATGTGGATAATCAAAGCCCCCAGGCAAGTATGCGTCAAGTGGCACGTCTTACAAAATAGCGGATCATGATCCTCGACTCCTCTCAGAAATTCCCAAGGTGATCTATGTATTCCCAAAGTCTGTCTCACGAAGATCCTTAATTTTCAAGTCGAATAATAGACTGGTGCCTTGAAGGCGATACCGAGACTCAAGATGATGCAAACAGACTAAATGCCTCATAGCTAGCACTGTGTATCCATGGAACGAAAGCTAAGGAAGTATTCTGCACTCAGTTGCATATGCTGTCTAGTATCTGGGTAGACCCACTTGCCTCGCCTTCTCAATTTCTCTGGAGAAGCAGCAGTTCAAGGTTATGCGCGAATTGTGCCCCAATGCCCCCGGGACTTGTCCACTTCCCCACATGTGCAGTCTGGAATCTTAGAATTTACGGGGTTAAGAGTTACTTACATAGTGTGTTAAACGGGAGCCGGCTGCATCACCTTGGAACAGCCAATGTTTGTCCTTTTTATCTTTTCAAGATACAGCTGGTGACATCTTGCAACACTTCCTTGTTAATTCGAATGCCGAGTATTATAGGCGAGTACGAACCGAGGCTTTACCCACCCTAAATCCATGGATGTAGAAGATATAAAATCACAGAATCCAATCTTGAAACAAATTGGAATCGCCTCTAGAAGTTATGACATACATATGAAATGTTGGACATAGCTGTTGAGTACTGGTAGTTTGGGACAGGTGGAAATAACATCCGTGCTTCCAAGGTTGCGCGTCGTTGTACACACAAGGTAAGCACCATACCAGAATCAAGGAATCATTCCAAGGTTGATCTCCAACAGATGGTTCACCTCCTGTTGATCCTCTGAAGTGTCTGTAGTAGGCCGCAGCTCACAAGCAGCCAGCCCCTCCTGCCGCGTGTTCAATTGGATCAATCTTAAGAACGGGATTGGGATATGGAAGAGTCCAGTAGAACACTTCCATATTTAGTAGATGATCATCCTCTGTGGCAATACTTCAGGGGAATCTCTGGTCTTGAAAATTGGACCGGAACTGAGTATGCATGGCTAATCCATGCGCCTTTTTCAATGAGAAGGCGTGCTTTGGAAGATCATATTGGTTTTTGAGAGCGAACCTTCCTTGGAAGGATGGAGAAGCGGGCGGGTGATGGGAAAAGACTAGTATTAATGGATATTCACGGGCCATGAGACAAGAGCTGCACATGCATTCATACTCGTAGTTAGCTCTTATCACCTTCATGAGCATGACATACCCCCAGCTTGGATTGCAGCATTTGCCCACTACCCACATGCAAGGTAATACATTCACATGAATTGACCCAGCATCCCAGACAAATATTGTCCTCGATCCTTCATGACCCGTTTCTGCGTTCCGAATTTTCCCATGTTATCTGGTGCTCTCTTCCGCTCGGGTGGTGGTGAAGCCCAGGGGGCCCTAGCAAGCCAAAAGGACTCCCATGGCGGCGTTTGGAAAGACCACCCAAACTCCCCGCCAAGATCAAATTCCAAGGACGGAATCTCCAAGCCCAACGAGTACGGCTTTATCGCATCCATGCCGGTGAAATTCTCAAAGTCCGGACCAGCCGTGCCCTCATAAATATTCCTGATCCAGCCTTCCGCCTCCTTGGCTTTCTCAGGTCCATCTTGGTCGATAATCCAGTCCCCTCGGCGTACAATCCACCCATCAATTTCGGCCACGTTTTGTCCTTCTTTCTTCTGAAGTTGTCTCAGCTCCTTGCTGATGAGATCGCATCCCCTGAAGACTACATACTGCAATTGTGGAAGTTTCCTCAGCATCGGTAACACGTTAGGAGTCAGCTTTTGCTGTCCTTCCAATCTGAATACGCGGAGATGCTGAAAGGAGCATTGCGTTTCTGCCATCTCAATCCAGCTCATCACAATGCCGTCTTGGAGCCCTGGGGTGTCAGTGGGACGTGAGCTCCAAATCCCCGAGCCATCGCGTCCTGATTCGTGATGTGAGCAGATTTGGAGAGCAACGAGGTTCTTAATGTCAGCGATGGCGAGAAAGTCGAGCCCATCGGCAAACTGCGAGGGAAATGATAGGATTGCGCGCCAGGCGCAATTTTTGCTTTGAATCATTTCAAAGTAATTCTTTATTGGCTTTTTACAGGTCGCAACTTCCAGATAATAGGATGGATGTCTCGCCCTGAATTCGGGATAAATAGTTGTCATCAGTTTCCACGCATAGAGAGTCCGTTTATTGCTATGAAGGAATTAGCTTTGGAATGAGAGGGGAAGAAAGAAGTGTTGATCAGAAATGCAATGTTGTGGAATTGAACATACCACTTCTCCAGACATCTCCACAAATATTCAGCAATCAACCAGGGGACATGCTCGAACATTTCGGGCCTGAGCTCGGATTGATCGTAGAGAATGGCCTTCATGGCGGCATGCTTGAGAGACGGAGCGCCCAGCTCTTGGGTTGTTTCCCAGTCTACTGGCAAAAATGGCGACTCGTGATTCCAGTGCGGACCACGCGAAAAGTTATTCTGGGGCCCCTCGGAGTAATGGTGGATGGTACCCATGATGACTTTCAGTAATGGTCGAGACTCGGGGTATCTGGCGTGAACGTGAATCCCTATCCCTTGTAAACACGCCTTTGATTGAGCGGTGAAATCACCTGACATTGATTCTCAAGTATAGGTCGGACGAATTGGAGATAGTGCGTGGGGAGGTTTGAGGGTGCGTGGAGTGAACAAAGGAGAACGGAAAATCAACGCGTGAAGTGCGTGGCATACTGTGGGTCCGCGTGGAAATACTTTACACGACTTATCAGCTGACGGGGTCTAGCCCAACAGATGTGATACAGGAGTATTCGAATTCAGATCCATCATTATCTATACACCCTTGACTCCTTGGGTCTTGAGTCCGAGCCCCAGCTTGCGTCAAGCTAGTCTGGTTCCAGCCATTCCCCAATGACCCCTGTCAGACCGTCCCCTGTAACGATGACTCGATGAGTGTGGAATTTAATAGAATCTTTCATGCGAAGCGACCAAACAAAGCGAGCAACCTGGCAAGATTTATCCCCGGTCGGCAAACAAATCGACATGGCATGATCTCAAGTGAACGAACAACAATGTGAAAGTCCACTCGGCTCAAATGAAAAAAAATGAAACATTTATCAAGATACTTGGCGATGCCGCTCGTCCGTTCAATCGTGAACACTGGACCATTAACATCGCTGCCTCGGTGACGCCGCTAGGCTCACTCGCCAAAGAAGATCTATCATGTTGCTTCCGTGAGGCATGGAAGGCTTTGAGCTCCAATCACCCAACGATCGCCGCGATATATCATCGAGGAAAAGAAATGTGCCTTCGATATACCCGATCTCAGCCTGCTTGAGAAATGGACGACGGAAGCCTTACAGGTGATTGAGGATAAGACGGCCGATGAAGTCACCGCATCTACCACACGCGTTCTATATGCTACTATGACATTTCTACCCCGGACAGGCGAACTATTGGGCCGCTTACAGCGCTGGAGGACGGATGGAATCGAAGGGTTGATTCTGCACGATTCAAACTGCATGTGGATCCCGAGGCACATTTTCAGGTCATCCAGAAAGAGAGCACTCCCTGGAGGTCGTTGAACGGGCGTGGAAATTCAAATGTTTGTAAAGCCCTCGCCTCGCAGCACTTTACTATCCACGAATACTAGATAGTACAAAGGTTTATATATATCATGCACTCACACATGCATCTCATGCAAGGCTTCAAGGCTTCAACATTGAAGGATCCCAAGGTCCTACCCACCTGCCCCGAAAATCACCCCTCGCTACTCGATGCATGCCGGCTCCATCTCCGAATATGCGATCCATAAATATACATAATGTACGGGACAGGCATGAAAAGAGTAGCAAGACCGCCAAGCAAAGTCATACTCCAGGCAACACCCAGGTTATTGTACATAATGTCCGCCAAAACAGCCATCACACCAGCAGCAACGAGGCGAAACATTTGCAAAGACGAAAGCGCACTAGCAGCGTGATTCTCAAACGACGCAGTGATATACTGGTAGCTCGACACAAAGACACAGTATACGCCAAACCCGAAAAGAACGGCAGCTACGAGCGGGCACCACATCGAGATACTGGGGCGAGCCGTCCAGCCCATCCAGAATAGAGAGACGGGGATGGCCGGGGCGCCGAACATGGAGAGGTAGAGGTTTGTTTCTGGGTCTGGACGTGATTGGCCACGATCGCGAGCGCGGAAGATGTCTCTTCGGACCAGGACTTGGGTGTAAGGAACCAGGAGGCTTCCGAGGAGGACGCCGGTGGAAATGCTTAGGAAGGTGACGCCGGTTTGGCCCTCTGTTAGATGGTATTTCTTTGAGAAGACTGATATGAAGCCCGCTGAGAAGGTGTAGAGGATGATGAAGATGACGGCGAGGTAGCATGAAAAGATGATGATGATGGGCTCGGTCCAGAGGAGTAGGGTAGGGCGGTAGAGGGCTCGGCCAAGGCGCTTGTAGAAGGTTGTGCGTCTGAACTCCAGAGGAGAGCGAAAGTGGTCGTCTTTTGTGAGGCGGCGGAGTTGTTTTGCTTTCCAGTGCAGAATCACCGGGCTATATGTTTCCGGAAGAAAGAATAAGACAAAGAATAATGAGATTCCTGCTAGCATGATGGTTGTCCAATCCACAAAACGCCAGGTGACTGAGTGTGTCCAGTTTATTATGGCACCGGGGACGGGAGCAACTGTTGCACCGAGAAAGGCGAAGATCGAGTAGAAAGGAAATGCGTAGTTTCGTTCGATAAGAGACCATAGATCGACTAGAGCAGCGGCCGAGCAGACCAGAGGCGCGGAGCCGAACCAGCCTGCGAGACCACGGCAAACGCAGCGGGTGGTGAAATTTTGGGACATTCCAGCTCCCATATCGAAGAGCATGAACAATGGCAAGCAAGTAAGATAAACTGGATTTCGACCGACAAGCTCAGAGATCGGTGCAGTAATCAGTGCACCGAATCCAAGTCCGAAGAGAAAGAGGGCTAGTAGAGTCCAGATTAGACTCGTGGATTTGGAGTTTTTATGACTGTGTTAACATACCAGTCGGGACAGACTCAACCTCGAAGCCTGTATGGAAGAGCTTCCTCGTGCTAGTCAACGCAGTGGCATCGATGACAGACGAGAACAAGATAGTGCCCCCCATCAAGGCCAGAAGCGCCGTGCTTGCACAGCGAGCTGGCATAGACCAGTTATGCGGATCGGCAGGATCACAGTCACCCTCGTAGGTGATGATTATAATCTTCTCCTCCTCTTCACCGGGTTGTTTATCCGTCACAAGTCCATCAGGAGTGCTGACATCTCCACGTGCCCGGGATCCTTCTATACCAGTAAGCATCATATCCACACTGGAGCCGAGCGTATCCCTGGTATTGATAGTAAAAGGATCAACATCAAATGCAGGATGCCAATCTTGTCGTTCGATATCCTCTTCTCTACCGAGATGTGCACGCAAGGAGTGTCGTGGCTGGAGCGCTGGTCCAGGAATTATACTAGTACGTTGACCATGCTCCCGTCGTCGGGCTGCTGGAGCCCCATCATCTGCAAATCGTTCTTCGGATGAGATGCCTCCTCCATCTCTGTACCAGTATCGGCGTTCGTGGGTCCAAACATCATCAGGATAGTTGTGTTTGACGACGAATTGCTTCTCGAGTTGTTTGTAGATCCGTCGTTGTTCCAGAAACGATTGCATAACGCAGGCATGAGGGGGCGAGATTGGCGAACTGCACAAAAATTAGAGAAGAGAGATCATGCTCAGTACGGATTGCATCTTAGTTGATAGGAAGACCTTGTGTGTGTGGTCGGTGGGGAACTTTTCCGAGGTGTTAGTCTACAATGAGGTCAGGAAGACCCGGGGTGTCGTCACTCCGCCGTATAACTCCAGATGAAATTTTGAACAAAGAACAAGTCAGAAAGATAAATGACAATTGGTGGAAATCGGAGTATCCATAGCGAGTGATACACAGACACCAGAGCATGAAATTAGATACATGGCGAAGAAAAAAAAACTGGAAAGCCAGAGTCCGGGCCTGAGGACCTGATGATCGCTGCTTGATTATGCTTCATTGTGGTTTTACATCACATAGAGGAGGTTCGTATCTGCAAAGTAATCAGTCAGGAAGAATTTCTTTGGATTCCAACATGGATGCCGAAGTCTTACCTAAAGGGTGGCTACAACTCAGCTGCGGCTTTTGAGTGTACTTCGAAGCCAGTTCCTCGCGAATGCTGTTCAACAACTGCACATAACTCTGCTGAGGATTTTTCCGGAGCGCAGCGATGAAAGCCCATGACATGGCACCGGTAGCCTGTCCAGCAATCTGAGCATCTTGACTAGTTTGGTCATCCTTACTGCCGGACCACATAATAACATCGGCAGGGCTGGTCTTGGTCTGCTTATTGCGCTCGTACACCTCGTCGCCCTTGGTGGCCTTCTTGATGAAACCCATGGCGGTGGACATCATGCCGCTCATATCACCACGTGCATATGCAGACACAACACCCAAGAGACCCTGACCAGCTTCTTTGGCCAGATTGGGCTCCTTGAGAATACCAGAGGTGGAGTAGACGTATGGGAGGTCCAGCGCGGAACCAGAGTGACACGAATCGAAGATTGCTGTGAGACGCACACCAGGGCGAAGTGACTGCACCATGATCCGGTGCATCTCGTCATCAACAATGTGACCAGCATTTCGGAAGTCCACCGGGTAAACAACCTCATCATATCCGTCGTCCTCGTCACCGTCGAGATCGGGTGTTTGACCGCCGTGGCCTAGACCGAGGGTATTAGTCTCGGCATTCAATCCTTTTAGTTTCCCCCCATCTATTAGACTAGTACTCACCGGAGTAATGGAAGAAGAGCGAGTCGTTCGGCTGTGCTTCTTTCACCAGCCAGTGCATGGCACGAAGGATGTTTGCCTTTGTCGGCTGGCTCATCGGGTTTTGTTGGTCATCAGTCAAGATAACCATATCCTCACGGGCGTATCCGAAGTTCTGGTTCAAGTAGGTTGACATATTCTTCACATCGTTGATACATCCACGCAGCTGACCTTTTTGGCCGAAATAATTGATTCCAATCAACAATGCCTTTCTCTTACCCGTGCAGCGAGAGTATTGGAAGCTGTAACCTTGTGGAGCACCATTTCCGAACGAGACTGCTCCAGTGGGAGGAGCAGTGGGGCCTCCTTGGGATTGGTATGAGTTTCCTCCTATGGTTTTATAGGATATTGTTAGTCTTTTTCTCTCATTTGTGAAACGGGAACTGGCATGACGATTGCGAACCTGCTGGGCGGGGTTGACCCTGGTAAACGGCTTGGCCGGTAGGAGGCTGGCCTTGCTGTTGATATCCTGGAGCTCCCTGCGAAAAAAAATCAAAGAAAAAAAATTAGATGATGGTCCGCATACCAAGTTGGGGTTAATCTAGCTCTCGGTGACGTACATTGTATCCAGGCTGCGGGGCAGGCGAGGCGTATTGTTGATGAGGCGGCTGGGGTGAATGGTTATATCCATATGGATTTTGTGGTGGGGGGCCTTGAGGTGGTTGGCCATGCTGGTGGTAAGACTGGCCAGGGTATCCGCCGTAGGACTGCTGTTGCTGGTGATGGTGTTGGTTATTCATTGGTCTGCGAACACAGTTCAGTCAGCTTTAGCGCCCAACACGTGCGACCAGGACGGGAGACAATACGGGTAGCCTTGTTGCGGGGGATATTGTTGGGACGGAGGGTATCCAGGGGGACCGCCATACGGCGGATAATAAGACATGGCGAAAGACACCTGTTGAAAGATGGGGAAACGCGTGGAGAGGTCAGAGGAAGGAAAGAGAGGTTTGGGTGGAGACGATCCGCAGAGTGCCAGAGCCCAGAAGTACAGGAGTTGCCAAGCCTCGGTTCAAAACCCACGATATTCCTTAGGATTTTAAAGTATTGAAGAGAAAAAAAAAACAAGAGATACAAGGAATAAGGAGAATAGAATGCGAAGTAGGAAGTGATGAGATGTTTTAGTGATTTCTTTTTTTTTTTAGTATGGCATGAACCAGGGTGAAAAGGAGAGAATGAAATGCATAAAAGGTTAAGAAAAGATAAGATCAATGCACGAACTGCGATCGACCACAATAAAACCTTTTTTACTTACAAGTTTTGAATCTCTATGAGACTTCTCTATCAAAGGGAGGATTGAAGGATGAAAAAGAAAAAAAGAAAAAAAAAGGAGTCCAAATATTCCAACCTGTTCTCAGGCTTCTTTATATCTGACATGCAGCCCAAGCCCATCGGCACCTCCGAGACCAGCGCTACCTATAATTCCATCCCTGCAATTCCGAGCGAGACCCCGCTATTGGAACTAATTCTGATCTTCTATTCGTCCAAAGTTTGAAAACTTGAACCATTTTGGATTGGTGATCAGAGATCGGTTACACAGATCGAGACACTAGTACTAGAAGTGACCACAGAATCCAGATATTCTATTCTATCGGATCCACTTTCTGCGTGGATATGCAAAGAATCAATATCTCTCGGATATTTCGGTCGGGTACCTTGGAAGAGTCAGGTACGGTGTAAGCGCCAATGATGAGAAGCGAAAATCGATAGATGTGGAGATGGAGGCAGAAACTTTATGTATATGATTCGTATTGGAATCGTGTGCAGTAGGTCGTGGACAATAAGCACGCTGAATCATTGTCCCCCGCAACAAGTTGACATTTGGATCCATCATATGCTCAGGTTTCAAGCTAAGGTTGCAAACTTCAAAAATCACACAAAAGCAATACATCCGGTAGAGAGAATATCTTTATGTGCCATATGTACTATGTGAGGAAAGGAATTGTCTACAAACTCTTCTCTATATTCCGTATTGTCATAGATCCTCAAGTCACGAAAAGCAAAGCCCCATATTGCTGGGTTAAGCTTGTTTCATTAGAAAATACCAATTCTCCAATCTTTTTTTGTTGATAAGAACCATCATCTCGTGGCATTAACTCGTTTATCCGCGACGGGGCATTCCACGGCCACGTCCCCGAAGGGCACGCTGTGCGGCACCGGGAGGAAGACCACCTCGTGGGGCACCAGGCTGAGCGGATTCCTCGTTCTCTGCAAAGTTTTGTTAGTCAGGTACGACATGACCCCTCTCAGAGGAGAGGAGGGGTGAATGGAAGGGGAAAGAGTGATAGGTCACTTACTGATCGTCTCGTCTACACTCAAAATCAGGCATGCAGCCTCCACGGCGGCCTGAATGGCGTTAACCTTAACCAGACTAGGCTCCCAAACGAAAGCAAGCATGTTGTCCCGGACACCCTCGTTGTCAAAGTCCACACCGGCCCACACGTTACCCTTGCGGTGCTCCACACGGAGACGGTTCAGGATATCGGTGGCGTCGAAGCCGGCGTTATCGCAAAGCTGGCGGGGGATGACCTCCAGGGCCTTGGCGAACGCCTTGACTACCGCCTGCTGCTTGTGGGGGACATTGCGGTCTGCGTAGCCGTGCAGGTGACCTGACAGCTCCATCTCAGTGGCACCTCCACCGGCAACAATGGTGGTGTTGCGCAAAGCGCGCTTGACAATCATAATAGCGTCGTGAAGACTGCGCTCGACCTCAGCAATGAACTGCTCAGCACCACCACGGAGGACCAGGGTGCAAGTCTTGGCTGCGGGGCACGCCGAGAACAGGTTGAAGCGCTCTCCACCGATTTGACGCTCCTCGAACAAACCACAGGTACCGAGGTGGCGGTCCTGGATATCAGTGCAGGTAGACTGGGTGGCAGCAGCGGTAGCCTGGCACACACGGTTCATGTCATCCGATGCAACACGACCGGCACAGAAGATGTCTCGGTCAGCGAAGTACCTAGATAGCCCGTTAGTACACATATCTCAAAGAATCATCAATCCATTGGAACCCATAAAGACGTACTGAGTAGCAAGATCACCAATGGGCAGCTTGCTGAGCACGACCTTGGCACCAGTGTTGTAGATAGCCTCAAGCTTGTTGTAAATGATCTGCCATTCGGCATCGACAATGGCCTGGTACTCGGAGACGTGCTCCACGCGGACCTCCGCATTATCCTTCTCACTCTTCAACTCCAGCTCAACGTTCAAACACAGAATCTTGGGGTCCTTGAAGCACTTGGGCTGCTGCTCGAAACCGGCGTAGGCGAAGGTCTTCTTGAAAGCGACACCGTCAACGAAAAGAGACTCCTGGAGACCACCACCGGTAATCTTCTTAATACCGATCAAGTTCTCGTTCAAGTCGTCTTGGTCAAGGGTAAGGACGGCATCGACAACCACTGTAAGATAAAAGGACCTCGTCAGCCATCTCAGCCCCCTATATCAACATCTTCGAATCCTGCCTTACTCTTTGTGAAGAACTCCTGATTGCGCTTGATAAGCTTGCTGTTCATGGCTGTTCCAGCTAGTCGCCGGAGGGTCTCAATCTTCTTCTCCTCGCTTTCAGCGGAGTTGATCATCTCCACCGCAATCTCCTTAACCTTGTTGACCGCCATGGCGCTAGATCTCCGCAGACCCTTGATGATAGTCTGCGAGCTGACACCCTGCTCAACGAGTTCCCGAACCTCCTTAAGAATCTCACCAGCAAGAACAACGACCGAGGTAGTTCCGTCACCGACTTCGGCATCTTGGGATCGGGCAATGTCAGTGAGGATGCGGGCGGCGGGGTGCACAATATCGAGAAGCTATATCAAAAATCAGAATCAGAATCAGCTGTCACTGTACAGACCCGCTGGTCCGGCCACAAGCAGCAGGAAATTCCGGAATTCGCACCTTCATCACAGTGGCTCCGTCATTTGTAATTGTGGTCTTGCCATTGCTGTCCACAAGCAGGAGGTCACCACCGTAGGGACCCAAGGTGCTCTTAACAGTGGCTTGCACGGCAACACATGCGTTGATGTTGGAGATAATCTGACCCTTGCCCTGGGAGGCGTCGGTGCCTGTTCAAAGGAGACGAATGGTTAGCATCGATGCATCCCACCACAACGGTACCTCCGACGGGGGGTAAATGGTCACGTACCCTCCTTCAGCACGACAATGGTGGGTGTTTGGCCGTTGAAGGCCATGATGAAAAATCGAGATAGATCGAAACCGTAACTCGAAGGGAATGTAAAACCAAGAAAAAAGGAGAGGTCGTGGAAGTCCGAGGGGTTTCGCTGATCTTCGACCGCCAAAATTTCCCAGAGCTTCTGTTTCCCCCCCAAATCTCTCGTTCTGCCAAAGGCGGTGAAGTCACCGGAGTTGTGTATCAATCGATCATGATTCCATTGAGAACTTGAAGTTTCCTGTCGCATTTGTACTTTATTTTTCTTCTTTAACGTACATTATATCCATGTTTCTACAGGATTGATTGTTCTCCGTAAAAAGCTATTTGGTTCATCCTGTCTTCCGCTAAAAAGTCCGATCATTTTGACCCAATCCACTATCGCAAGATTCGCAACCTCAGGAGGAATTATATTGATAAGTCGATCACACGCTGTGAAAGATAAAAATTGGTACGCATTTCATGGTATAATAAAAGAACAAAAGTACCATGCAGTCATTGGGTTCTAAGAAACGATGTAGGGCTCTGCGCCCTCGCCAAAGATCAAATAAGGCCTCTCGGCAGCAACCTTAAGAATAGTCTGTCCAAACACGGAGTTAGCCCATGAGAACCAAGGCCGAGTGTAATCCTTAATGTTAGTAACATTTATCGACTCGTGGATGAGGCCAAGCAAGCTCGAATTGCGAACGAGGTTGATGCACTCCATGATCTCAGTATCGTTGTCAGAGGTTTGGGCCTGAATGAGCAAAGACATGGGCCAGGCATTTGTAAGTCCAACTGCGAATAATGTTAGTTGTTGTACACATATGACAAAATAGAAGCAATATACTGGAAATGAACTTACTGTGGGGACCGCCGATACCATGGAAAGCAGGACCTTCCAGGTAGTACGGGTTGCCGAGCTTATCGGTAATCATTTTGCGAGTATTTTGGTAGACTTCGTCGGTCTGGTTCAAGAAGCCTAGGTATGGCAAAGAGAGCAAAGATGGAACATTGGCATCGTCCATGATAATCCGCGATCCATAGCCATCAACCTCGAAAGCGTAAACCTCGCCATATTTGCCATTGGTGACAATGCCGTGTTCGCGGACTGCTGCTGCAAGCTTCTCGCCTCGGTCTTGTAGCTCAGAGGCTAAACTGTCATGACCTCCGGCTGCTTGAAGAACCTTTGCAATACCTTGCAGCTCAACAGACATCATAGCATTCGGAGGAATGAAGTATCCAAGAATGGTAGCATCATCACTAGGCCGGAAAGCGCTGCGAATAAGGCCAGTTCCACTGTTGAGCGGGTTGCCGACACCCGACAAGGTCAGTGTCTCGGTTCCAAGAGTAGTCAGTCTCTGGAAGGTATACTGGTTCTGAACAAATTGGTTGTCCGAGTTAAAGGTTGGCTTAGACTCCGCGTCGATCACGCTGAGAACAGTCTGCAACGCCTTGAACCATCGATCCGTCAAGAACTCGGTCGAACCGGTATTCTCATGAAACTCTCTCCCCATCTTAAGGAAGTGAGCGAGGGAATCAAGCTCGTACTTGCACTCATAGACAAACGATTTGTCATACCCCGGGTGAACGGTGTCGACCTCGGTGTTGTTCTCAGGCGCAATGCCACTTACGGAAGGTGCCTGGAATGCTTCGCAGAAAGGCGATCGAATCACAAATTCGGCTTGTGTACGAATTGCGCCAAGAATCAAATCGTATAGACCCTTGTCCGTCGCTGCTAGCTTCTGGTAATTGGTGACCTGATTGGTTGAGTCACGCAGCCACTCCGCATTGATATCGCCCGTCACGATAAAGGTCTGGAGGCCGCTCCAATCCGAGGTATCTCGTTTGTCGAGGTTTCGACGAGTCGTAGTGGAGCTGCTGCCATTTACGTGCCACCGAATAGTGGTGTCAAGCGTGTTCGGGTACGCGTTGCGGAAGATCTGTGCGAGGTCTTTATCAACCAAACGCGAAGTGACATCCTCGATGACCTTCTCAACCGAATCGGACGAGAAAGTGCGACAGGCTTCTGCGGGGCGCTGATATGGGAGATTCAGAGGACCACCACTGTAAGGACCACTGGGCGATATTAGCTCAGTACTGATCCAGAGCAGGACTGAGTGCGACTTACTGCTGCGTCGAGGCATAGGTCGTGTAATCGGGACACGCGCGACGAAGTATCGCAGGGGTGTCCCGACCAGGTAAGGCATGTACCTGGAGGGCAAGAAGGCCGGCCGTCAGGAAAGTTGAAATAGGCATGACAGGCGAGTTTCTGTTGTCAAGTTCTCCGGGGCTGGGGATCCGGAGGAAGGTGAGGGGAGGCCATGGGCTTTTGTAGACTTAATGTCGATCACAACCAGACAGGGATACTTGCATTCCTTTCCGCATGGCATGGAATTGAGTCTGGAAAACATAAACGAGATTAATGTCGCGGGGAAATACTGGGCGAGGTGACATCGGCCACGGGCATGGTTGCACCGTCTCCACCATAAATGCGGAGAAGATGTACAGTGATCGGCGTTTGTTTACTTTGTCCTACTCGTATACCTGTGACGAGATATTCCTGTCCACCGTCCACCTCGAAGAATCACCCCATTCACTACAGGTTTTTTCGTCGCATGATTGCTCTTTCTAGCAGTTAAAAAAATAAAATATGCAAGTACATACATGTTAGGTACTGAGTATATACTCATTCCAAGTGTTAGTATACAAGGACTCAATTACTAAAGGGGCCATCCGTAACTACATTCAAATGTTGTATGTACATTTCAAAGTTGGATACTCCTGGGGCTACTAGGTACCACTTAATAGCTAGAGATATGCCTGGAACTTGAAGTGCGCCGCTCTTTATTTGTGTATTACTACTAGTATAGACTGCACATGTGGTAACTTTCTCTACTTCTTTCCAAAGAACGACATAATGTTTCCCTGTCCTGGCTTAGCCCCCTTTGCTTTGGGCACATTGACTGCAGGTTTCTTCTTCGGCACCGGCTCATCCTCAGAGAATGATTCCCAGGTCGCTTCTTCCCGAGTCACTATTTCGTATTAGATGCTGGCGGGATCAGACCTCAGAGCACGGAAGAAAAGAAACTTACCTAGATAACCCTCTTCGTCTTTAAGCGTGCGTTTTTTCATAACTTGTCGCTTGCCTCGCCGACGTCCCCCTCGTACTGTGACCTCTTCCTTTAGCTCCGTAGGCTTGGACGGCGGGAGTTGCTCTTCGGGTGTCTGCTCTCGTTCCGGTTCCGGTTCGTCATCGGCATCCGGCATCTCTTCATCTGCATAGGTGTGAGTGAATTGTAGGCTGGTTATTATAATGAAACGTAAACCCACCATCGGCATCATCGGTTTCCATCATCTGTTTCAGCTTTTCCTCGCGTTCTTTCTTGCTTTCGCGGATCGCAGCAGCCGATTTATCGGCTTTGTCACCACTATCAGGGAATAGCTCTTCCTGCTCTTCATCTGAAGCATCGTCAAGGGCAACTGTAAAATGTAAGCTAGGAACTTTGTGTTGCAGAATTTCTGACCCACTATCTGGTGTAACACTAGCGGCCTTGAGATAATAGTTAGTAAATCTCAACGGTGGGAATGGTAAAATTAACATACCGGCTCTGCGGGTGCTGTAGGTTTCTTCGGCTTTGCTTTCGCGAAAGAGCTAAAGAGGCTACCCTTCTTAGGAGCCGAGGCCGTAGATTTGACAGACGATTGGGAATTATTGTTCGAGGAAGGTTGGGGCTTGGATTCTTCCGCCGTGGATTCCGATTTGATGGAGGGTTCACTCTGCAGTGGTCGCTTGGCGGGTACGGTTGGTTCGAGCTTGACCTTGGCCGCTGGTGCCTCAGCCTTAGGTGCTGGTGCAGATGGTGGTGGGCGCGCTCCGGTTCTCCGCTGTAATTATAATTAGACAACAAAATCCCCATGCAGCAGACGTCTGTGCAAATATACCTTGACGTTACGGTTTTGTATCATGCCCCATTTCATTCCACAATCCAGTGGGTCATCCTGTACACTAGCAGTCGCAACTTCCCGAGCCACATCTATCAACACATTCAGGTCTTGAAGCACCGTGGATTGAATACTGTAGACATGAATTGACGATATCGATCGGAAAGTGGTCTTCGCATCTGCCCCAGTCAAAACCACGATTAGAAAATGGGACGATGACTCTACTATAATGACCTACCATTCAAATCTTCCTCACGGACAAGTATGACAGATGTGATGCGCGTGGTTCCGGAGGTTGATTCCTGATTCGGCATGGAGCTCGGCATGTAAGGACTACTTTGCATAACCTCATCTTCATCGTTCGCAGGGCCCGTTGCAGTCACAGGTTGTGGGCTCTGAACACCAGAAATGACGTAGGTTGCATGGACACTTTGCGGTTTCTTTGCGTTCTCATTTCGATGGAATTCATAGAGCACCCTGTAGCATAGGATAAGTCTCCGTTTCTGAACTCAAAGTAAAAGGTAGAGGGTCATACTGTTTGGCGCGGTTGGCATGGACTTTGAGAGCGCGGCTCAAGGAGCGATACGTCACCTGGTCACGGTCAGCCGTTAGTTAAATTGATTATATCGAGGTAGATAGAACTCACATTGCGCCGCTCATTGAGCACATTTTCTGCTAGGAAAATCTTAGGATCCATGGTGATTGAAGCTTGCAGATACTCAGTAGCTCGATGTTTGAGACGCGAAACCACTTTACGCGTATCAGTCAGCGGTCTTGGCGTGGAGGTTCCGGACCCACTCGCTGCTTCGAAGTTCGGCGTCTTCCCTTTGCTTAGCCATATTTACGCGGACCAACTCTGAGTTGGTTCTGACCCAACTCACCTTCGTCTACAGCTCAAGGGCCGTCCCTGCGCAACGATGGAGAACTCTCACGAAATTACCGACTCAACCGACTGGTTAGATACTCCACTCAAGTTGCTCGCGCCTCTCGAGTCCGCCCTCCGATGTCAAGTCTGCAAAGACTTCTACGATACACCGATGATCACCTCGTGCTCGCACACTTTTTGCTCACTTTGTATACGTCGCTGCCTTAGTTCCGACGGCAGATGTCCCGCCTGCCGGGAAGGAGACCAGGTGTTAAAACTGCGTCGCAACTGGGCAGTGCAAGAACTATTGAATACATTTAACACGGCGCGACCTGCTGTGTTGGAACTCGCTCGAAACTTCAAGTCGATGAAGGACCAGGAATCAAATCGCGTCCCGGAGCCCCAACATAAGAAGCGCAAAGCAAATCATATGGAGCAGCCAGAGGTGGTTTCCTTAGTGGAAGCTAGCCCCCCGCGGCTACGGACAAGATCAAGGAGCACCCAAGTTGTGCAGCAAGCGCCAGAAGATATACCACAAGTAGTTGATGATAGCCAGGGCGAGGGCGAGGAAGAGGAATATATACCAGGTCAGTCATATCACATCCTCATATTGCCTCCGGTCTAACTCTATACAGCCGGCATGACCACATGCCCTGTCTGTGCACGATCTATGACGATACAGGCCGTCAGTAGTCATATTGACAGATGCCTTGCTGAAAGCGAAGCAGCCCAAGCACCACCGAGTAGGCACCAATCAACTTTCGGGTAGGTCGTTCCATCTATAAAGCCCGGAGTATGGCGTCTAATTCGATGCGATTCAAGACTGCTCCCACGCGCGCAAAATTCACCCAACAAACAACTAAATAGACTGCCCACCTTGAATTACGATGTTATGAACCAAAGCCAGTTGCGAAAAAAGTTCAAGGAGCTCGGCATTCCAGCAGAGGGGGCCAAAGATCTTATGAAAAGACGCCACACAGAATGGGTTAACTTATGGAATGCAAACTGTGACTCCCAAAATCCCAAATCCAGAATGCAATTGCTGCGCGAGCTGAGAGTGTGGGAAGATACACAAGGCGGGGGCTCAATGAGACCTGTTTTCGATAGAAACAACGTCACTGGGAAAGACTTTGATGCAGCTGGGTGGTCTGCAAACCATAACGACGACTTCAAGCGGCTTATCGCAAGTGCTCGTAAGAAGACCGATGCCCAGGTACGATCCACCATTCCAGGAGCATCTGAAGCGAATGGGCCAGCATCAACACCCCCAGATGGGTTGCAAAACAACGTTGTTGAGGATCTCGACGATTATTGAGCGGTTCCAAACACGCCAAATGATGAACTGATCGCATCATGACCATGAAACATGTTACCTGCTTTCAAACTACTACGTTTATTTAGCTGGTAACGGAGAATCCTCGACTGACATGTTAGAGAGCCTACCGATGCTCTCTGCCAGCTCAGAATCCAGTAATTCCTTCTCCTTTGCGTGGCGGGCTGCTTCGTCTGAAGCTTGTTTGATGCTGTCCAGCTCGGCGAGCCTCTTCCGAGTTCCCTCTGCTTCCCGCTCCTCTTTCGCTTCCTGGTCACTCTTCTCCATAGCTTCCAGTTCATCATCGATCTCGCCTTCGTCAATGACTGGGCCAGCTTCGCTCATAATACTACCAACCTCATCCACCTTCGCCATCTCCTCGCGCAATGTTTCGACAACATCCTCAACTCGTTCGGCGCCACCGATTTGAGTGTGTAGCCCACGCAATACGCCTGTGCTTGCCTCCATGACTTGGACGATCTCAACTTGACCTGCAGCGCCCTCGATCTTGAGATAGACCTCTTCTAGTTGTGCAAGGGTACTGAGTCGCTGGGAAAGATTATGCTCAACCAGCTTCTTCGATCGCACTGCCGAAAGAGCGGATATTCTATTTTTATTGGCCAAGGCCGTCTTCGCAGACTGGGTGAGCTCTGCAATCTTTGACTCCATATCCGTTACTTGCTTTGAGAGAGTTGCCACGAGCGTTTTGATGGACGCAATTGTCGTGTCTTGCTGCGTGATTTGAGCTGGCTCGTCTGCGGATTTGAACTTGATTGTCTGGAGGTCATCTGTTAGCGTTGATAGATCGTTAACCTAATGTATTTAGCCACACATACCCTGCCATCATATGCAATGGCCCCGCAATCGCGGGATAGATAGAGCAAAAGAACATCAAAATCAGAGTCTGACAATTCTGTAGCATCGTGTAGTATCGTCGCGTATTGTTCGACAAATGTTTCTTTCGATAGTATGAGATCCAGCTTAGAAGACTTGCCGCCGGTTGCCTTCTTGACAACCAAATCTCCAGCTTCCTGTGATGTCATAGAACTTAGCCATTGGTTCCAAACATCCAAATAAAATCCGTAATACTTACCTCCAAGTTTTCTACCAACACTAACTCCTGGACCTGTATCTTTGGCGCAGACTCTCCATCGCCAATCACAAATCCCTTCAACTGACGGACGCCCCAGCTCATAACATTCCAAGGGCTCAAAGCAGCGGGGTCAATTAATCTCCACTGGTTCTTCCGTAAGCAACCCGGAGTGGTCTTATACAGTGGCAAAGGGACCATAGAGCGTTTACGCATGGCTTCGTCCTGTGAGGTAAGTTAGCTACAGAGAACCACGGCCTGATATGGATCTCGAATTTCAAGGCCTGCATTCGCAACATACAAAAACAGCCCCGAGTGCGACAGGTCTGCCCCACTCAGGAAGCTCCAGATCTCTGGCTAATGACTCATCTGTCCGTAGAAGGAGGTGGTCGGTCTTTTTCCGCTGCGGTGGGCCATTCTTCTGTGACGCCGTCGACCCTGATCGTACACGCACTCCCCGTGATGAGGTATATCCGCGTTTCGCAGCGCGGTTCAATGCTGATTCCCATGCGGCGATGTTTACAGCGTAGCCATCGGGGTTTGTTTTCTTTTGAGTGGTGAAGTCGGAATAGAGAGATGGGAGTCGATTCCTGAAGTTTATGAGTATGTAGTTAGTTCCGCTCTGCTCGCTCGTTTCCATTTCACATCTCATTGAGGTTGTTGCAGGTAAACCCGGGTCCCGTACCTTCGGAATGCATCCTCATTATTGAGGATGTAGTTCAAAAGATCACTCATATTGAGACAATCTACGGCAAAGTTGTGGCTCTTATGTAGGCCATGCAGGTATATGGGGTGGGAAATACAAATAAAGGTGTGAAGAGGAGAGAGGATATTTCGCTTTGGATTGAAAGGTGGATTTTGGACTAGAGTTGATGTCAACATCATGCGCTCCACAGCTTTATCGATAAGATACACGTGACTCTTATCTCTATCATCATACATAGCAAACAACACAAAATAATCAAATGGACAATGCCCAGAAATGTACTCTATTCTTATATGTTATGATCAGATATTAAATTCATGCTTCACGCTCGTTCAAAGTCATCATTTGATGTGTTCTCGGGGTCCCTGGCCCCTGAGGTCATGTTGAGATTTCCCACATCCAGCTGCATAGGCAGCCCAATCAGTGAACGCCGATGGTTCCGCTTGTCAATCTTCTCGAGTTTTTCGCTAGTTTCTTCGGTAGGAATTGGATCCTCGGGAGCTGGCTCATCTTGAGTATCAAAGCCTCTAGCGCCGAGATATTCCAGTTTCACAGAGCGCCGAAGGTTATCGACAAAGCTCTGCATTTCTGGGATTGGAAAAACACCATCTGTGTCAAGCACATCGCCGTAGAGACGCTCTCCTTCTTCAAGACAAGCGGAAGCCAGATTAGGCTTACCTGCCTTAAGCCATTGGTTTGCAGCGAATATGCTCCACATACCGGCTTTTCGGCGACGCGCCCCCCATTTAGCTCCGCCCATGGAGATCTTGGAAGCATAGCATGCTGAAACCCTCTCCGTGAACAGAATTTGACCCACCGGACCGACCAAGCCGAAATCCATGACCCTCATGGCCCATCTAGCTGCGCTCTCAGTGGCAGATCCACCCCGAGATTTGAGAAGCTCGACGCCAAGAGTCAAGGCACGCAGTGCATGTGGCACGTCTGAACATCGTGTAAGATAAGAATAGCAGGCATTCTCGAACATTTGATCGACACTTTCGAGCTTGATCTTGGCGGACATAGCAAGTGGATTGAGTAGCATGCTTACTGCACACATTTCATGGGCGCCGGCATGGTATTTCCATGCCTTGTCGTTTTTGAAATCTGACTGGATCATTTCATATGTAGACGCGGATAACTTCCAATCCCGAAGCATGAAAGCGAAGTCGGCCATCTTTCGTAGAATAGCCTCTGGTGCATCTGGACCATAGTAGTTGTTCGTAGCGTCGTAGTTGCCACTTCCTCCTGAGGAACCAGTAGCTCCAGATCGTGCGCCGGAACCAAAAGTCATGAATCTTCGGCCCACTGACATGAATCTGCCACTGATTCCACGCCTCCTGGATGCGATTTGATCATTCCAAACAGCAACGCGGTTTTCCATAAACGGAATTACCGACTGTACCATGAGTTCGCGAATAAACGCTCGAATCGCAGTGGCATCCGAATCGAACAGGTATGGAGTACCGTCCGTCCCAAGATCCACAAGTGTCTCTGCTGTAGTGTTAGTTTGGTTCTCAATTTTCGATGTTCAGGTTGATCCAAAGAAAACTTGCCTGCTTCACCCACGCCTGACAGGCGCTCCTGTGGGGACAGCCACTCGCACGGAGGCACTTGGACACTATCATCGTCCGTCACGATACACTGACTACTACGAAGCCTTAGCAAGTGGCAGTGTAAGCCAAAGTGCCGCTTCATTTGATCATATAGTTTTGTTGACTCTGTAATGTCATCACGTTCCTCATCATGGACCAAGACATAATATCGAAGATACTCCGGGTTGACCCAGTCCGGCAACCGCCGGTCACCAGAACTGCTTTCACCATACAGTTGTCGGAGAGTTTCCAGCGGAGATGTGTTGCGTGAGCTAATAACAATCACACTGGCAACCGGGTGTGTGAATGTTTCATGGGGTGCCGGAGATGTAGCGGATAGTATTTGGCGCAACAGCAACTTCCACAGCGGGCTTGCCACGGGAACCCCCAGTGCATCTTTTGAGGTAAAAGATCCCCCGAGAGGCCCATCAGCCATCTCTAGTTGCTGCTCCAGTATTTCTTCCAGCTGCGTCAAGGATGACTCCTGTACAGGCTCTCGGCCTGCAGGGGCCCGGCCAAACCCTTTCAAATCCACAAACCGCACTCCATAGTCTTCCCAGGCACGGCTCGATCCGACACTGTCCCGGATGACCACCTTTCCAGGGATGGTGTCCCCAAATGGCCTAATCAACTCCCAGAATCCCCCCTTGAACCCCTTATTCCGCACCAGCTCATCAGTGTCCTCGGAGGCGTAGACGGCGACTGTTGGGGAGAAAGCGCGAATAATTAATGACCTTATATCTTCTGAGCCATCGAATCTTCCATCGAAAGGCGATCCAAGTGAGGTTCGAGTTAATTGCGGGGTGGACGACCTGATGGAGCGGGCGTGTGGTGATGATGACCGGATGGGCAGTTCCGTAGTTGTGGCTGATTGAGAAGGCGTCGGAGAAGACCCCGAGCGGGACTCTGCCAGTTCAGTGTCTATGGAATGTGTTGATTCGGCCTCGTCTGGGTATCTTGATTTTGAGGTGCCTCGCGCAACGCCGGGCGAGAAGGACGGCGGTGGTTTGACCGGAGCAGCATCTCCGGGCGATGTCATGGACTCCTACTGTTTTTGGCGAACCCGACTTAATAAAAGGAATGGATAGGCCCCATGGACCGGGAGATTGAGAAAAAAAAGGAATGCGGGCGCCGTGGCGAAAGTGTTCGGCGACAAGGTCAGAGGTTAGGTAGGTCGTTGTTGATGGGGGAAAGCCAAGTCGCTGGGTTCGGGCCCGATAGGCTTAAGGCTCTAGTGGCGGATGAGAGCACTACGCTAGGTTAAGGGTATTTTGAAAGCCCGGAGTAGAGCTTGGATTGGTCAACAATAAAGGTGAGGCGCAAAGCTATGTAGACCGGTTAAGATTTGCGCGTATTAAACAATACTACAAGAAAAGACGCGGGTGATGATGCAACCACGTGAGATGGAAGCTTTATCGCCGATCGGCGATTAGCACAACTGACTCACTTTTTTATTATACACTTTCACCACGTATTTGACTCATGGCGCTCAATGTCCAGCTTGCGCTGTGTTGATTCATTGTTTATCGCTCTTCGACTTAAAATCCCCACTCCACTTGCCCACCCTCTAGCGAACCAAGTACACCATCATACACACCCGCGGAACTTTTCAAACTTCGCGCATCGCACCTACTCAACTGCCTGGCACGTTTCCATGAAAGGCCGCGAACTTGGTTCGCACTCTCCTGAGCCAGCAAATAAAAGACGACGCATTTCCACCTCCCCAGTGCGGGGTGGTTCTATCGAAGAAATGGCTCGCGATCACCCCACCATTCACCTCACCCCCATCGAAAGCACCTTACAAACCCTCCTCCTCGATGTCGCGAGATACATTGATGAGAAGGCATCTAGCGATGGAACTAGTGATATAGCCCATCGCACTCAGACTGTCCTACGGTTCACAGGCGGCTGGGTTAGGGACAAATTACTTGGGGTGGGAAGCCATGACATTGACATCGGCATCAGCAACATGACTGGGTACCAATTCGGTATGTTGTTGAAGGATTACCTGGACAACCCTCAAAATCTCGAGAAATACAAAAAGAGTTTCCCAAGTGGGGAAATGGATGATGCATTTGTGAGCCTACACAAAATCGAAGCCAATCCAGAAAAGTCGAAACATTTGGAGACCGTAACAACCAAGATCTTTGGTCTGGACATTGATCTCGTCAATCTGCGCAAAGAGACATACACGGACGACAGTCGAAACCCACAGATGGAGTTCGGAACTGCGACAGAAGATGCGCTACGACGAGATGCTACCATCAATGCTCTTTTCTACAATCTTAACGAATCGAAGCTCGAGGATCTTACAGAACAAGGGCTGGATGATATGCAGAGGCGCCTGGTTCGCACTCCACTGGAACCTTATCAGACATTCAAAGATGACCCGCTTCGCGTACTTCGTTTGATCCGATTCGCCAGCAGACTGGGATATTCCATCGACCCTAACGCTGAGAGCGCGATGCAAAATGAAGATATCAAAGCTGCTCTCAAACTGAAAATCAGCAAGGAGCGCGTCCTGGCTGAGGTGGAGAAGATGCTCAAAGGTGAGTCTACCGGCTGAACACCACAAATTTAATGATCGGGTTCTAATAAATTTCAAATCAGGTCCGGACCCTAGAGGCGCTTTGGAGTTCATCGACAGACTCAATCTTTACCCAACCATTTTCGCCAACCACCAAGACGAGGTAACCACTGATACATTGACCTGGCCTCTTGCGTATAACACGCTAGAAAAGTTATTGGACCCTGAGTCCGAACCGGCAGTGAATGACTTGCGCAAGCGACTGATAGACGATGAAAGTAATATCTACTATGCCTGGATGATCGCTGCTTTTGCCCCATGGTCATCTATACCGCCTAGAGCTGCGTCTGTTCCTAATCATAAACCACTTCCAACTCGCGTCGTCGAGGTTGGTCGAGACAGCTTTCGCGCTGATAACAAAACCCTCCACATCCTCCGTGATGCAAGCTGGCATTATATGGACATCACTGCTCAGAAATCCGCTTTGTGCGATAACACTCTCCGTGGTAGCCCGGCCGAAATCCGACAGCAAATGGGACTGCGTATTCGCAAATGGGGCAAGGAATGGAAACTGTGTGTGGTCTTGGCCATTCTTCAAGAAGTCATGCAGGGACGTGACTTCAGCAGGGGTACAGTCTCTTTCATTCACTTTTTTTTTGCTCAATACTGACTTATCTTTAGTGGTTCCGGAGTATAATCACTTTATCTCATACCTTGTAGACAAGGATCTGATGGACGTAAATTATCTCGTGCCTGTTGTTAATGGTGGGGATATTATGCAGCACCTAGGCGCCAAAAAGGGACCGTGGATGTCTAGGGCGACCACAATGGTAGTAGAATGGCAACTCCTAAATCCCGATACAGATAAGAACGCGACTCTCGATCAGATCTCGCGGCGTCGTGGGGAGTTGGGGTTGTGATGGAGAGAAAAAAATTACTCAAAATAATTACATGCATAGGATTTGATCAAGTGACGTGGGGTCAACCGTCAACCCATCAATCTCCCAACTCAGATTTCTCCACTTCTCCAATTAGTCAACCTAGTTCATCAAAACTTTAGCTTGCTGCTTACCTTTAAGATCCAACATGGATCAATTAAGGAAAGAGGCCCGTGAGATTCTCCCAAAAGAAACTTGGAGACTAGGCCAATCAGCTCCCCCTCAAGTCTTTTGCGCGAGAAAGTCGTCGATTAAAGGTGACTTGCACCAGTTATGGCAGAATGTCTCAAATCACGACCATCGCACCGCTATGGATGTATGTTATCTTGGATACATGCGCTCAGAAAATCAAGCTAACTTGATGATCAGCTATGTGAAAGCTTGTATGCTGCGCTGGCCTACATTGACATGAACCCTCCCACCCTGATGGCCAATGATTCGGGTTGCAAACAGCTTAAAGGCAACGAGGCCACGGCAATGTTCAACCTAATCAAATGGGCACATGAAGCTGCACTGCCATCAACAGAATTCGCGTCATTTTTTGATGACACCCTCGATGTGACCGCAGGTACGACTGATTCTGTTCCAAAAGTGGCAAGTTTGTACTAACATAATCCCACAGGCAGTAAGAAAGCCCGGGATGAAAGCATTTTGAAAGCCTCGCTGGCCGCAGACTTTCTTCTCCTGATGAAGGCGCATACCGATTGTACCTTTCCAAACAGTGGTGCAACCACTTCGCCGGATGCTTTAATTACCATCGCTACTTTCAATTCCGAGCAAGATCCATGGACCACTCCTAATACTAGAAAAACACTCGACATGTATTATGGTAACCCATGGCCTGATCTTTGGAATACCATTGAACGCGTTCTCAAGGAAAAACTTCGCCCTCTTTTCACGAAACAGAGGAATCCTAACATCACGAACGAGGGCCGTAAGGATTTCCATCCTGTGCCTTTGCCACGCTTCGACGGAAGTGCACTCGATGATTCGGCAAAGCCCTGGAAGAACACGGACATCTATGCCACAAGTGTTCTTTCCTGGATTGTGTCTCAGTACAAGGTATATTTTATCGTTAATTATATTACTGCAATCATACTGACTTTGACTCTAGCCTGCCGATAAGAAATACCTGGAAGCACACTTCCCACTCCTAGTCCCTGCTATACTGTCTTTGATCGACGATAGCTCCATTGCCTTCAAGGTCAAGGGCTGTCAGCTTCTCGGTCACCTAATCGACACGATTAAAAAATGCGACTCAGATATCCTCCTCCGAACAAACCTTATCCCTGTTTTCGAAGAAGCCATCAAGCCATGTCTCCTTTTCCTACCTACCATCACCCCGGAAGACAAATCCATCAAAATGCTGGGCGCCGCTTACCCGGTACTGATTGCACTTTTCCGGGCAGAACAGAACGAAGACAATTACAAAAGGAATCTCGTCAAAATACTTCGATCAAACCTAGTCACCTCGTTCAATCATATCAGCTCCTCGGCGCCAGCTTCAGAGTCCTCACCCTCCTTCCCACATCCGAAGCTTTCCACATTCCTAATGGATGAAATTTCTATTGTCATTAACGAACTGGGCATCGAGACTATCAAGTACCTTCAAGATATTGTTCCACTGCTAAGCGTGACCCTCTGGAACCCGTTCGGATCAGGTTATCCTCCACTTCTCTCTGCCGCCGTATCCACAACGAAGGATGTCATTCTGAATGCCCACCCTCGTGTTTGGAAATGGCATGGCGAGATTCTGGCCGGACTGTGTTCGTGCTGGCTCCATATTTCTGAGGAGAACAAAGCAGGTGGAGCAGGACAGGACAGTACTCTCGCAAAACAACTTTCCCAGTTGTCACGGGAGCTGCAGGGTGCTGTTTCGATGTTGAAGCATGCTTTGCAGAACCCTAAATCTCCTAGTGCGGATCAAATCCTTCTTAAAGAACGGCTGGACGGGGAGTTACAGAAGCTCGTCGACGCTGATTCCGAGCTGGCAGAGCTTTTGTTTGTGGACTCGAAGTCGTAGACTAGGTCTCATAACGTGGCGCTCAAAAACAAAATTAGAAACAAATGTACCTTAGATTTAACATTTCTTCAACAAATAGAACCAATGCTGCATTGGGGTATCAATCTTGAGCTGAAAGTACGCTAAATTGAACAAAAACGTGCCCGAGTCATCAAGTATCAACACGCTGCTTGAAAAGACTCTTCCCTCGCAACCACTGTCTGTACCTTTTGTACCTTTTCTTCTCGTAGTCCTCGCCAACAACAGTAAGTCCGTCTTCCGAAACCCTGAGAAACTCTGCATAATCAGACATGTTTTCCTCCGCATTGGCGTTAAGTACTCCTTCCTCGACATTGCACTTATTCACATATTCTAGAAGATCGAGATTTGGCTTGTGTTCTCGAAGCGAGGCAGCTGTCATTTCATCTTCAGAGGTAACGACCAGCGGGACCTTGAGGGGATGGTTGATATACCGTTCGTACTCCTCTGCCTCTGTTGCAGTAACAGACGGGTTCAAAGAACCAGTGACTAGCTGACCAAGCGTCCATTGGGCAATCTGCGCTTTGCTTGGAGTGGACTGAGCGCTGGATGCGTTTATAGGTGGAATGGGGTTTCCTTGATACAACTCAAAGGCTGGTTCCTTGATGATACCGACCGAGGGTGGCCGTTTGGAGGAGGAAGGTGCCTGTCGTGTCCAAGTCTGGCTAGGTTCCATGATTGGTGGAGTTGATGTTGAAGAGCGACTGATTATAGGTTCTTGGATCTTCACCGTTCGCTGTGGACGTTCTCGTTGCGCTTGATCTTGAGGAATCCGTGGCACAAATGGACTGAGATCTGGAGCGACATTACCCCCGCGGAAATGGGGCAGGTAACGGAGAGTAGAGTTCATCTTATAGGAGTAAATCTTGGACAGCGTGGATAGAGCAAGCGGTCGATAATATTCCAGCCAATAATCATCGAATCGTGATAGTGGCTCCTTTGGACAAGCTGGGGGAGGAGGAATCTCTCGTTTTTCCAGGTGTTCGGGTGTGTACCAGGAAATGTAATTTGGCCGCTTTTTCTGGATATACAACTTGGGGTCTTCATGGTGCAGGTAGTAGTCGGTGGTCAGTTCCCAAAGCATTGGTCCACCTTCCGAAACAATATAGTTCCCGAGGAAAAGGTTGTACGCTTCTTGGCGTTGAGCATCGAGGAAAGAGTTGTTGTAGTACCGCTTGAAGCTTTCCACCATGTCGCGCGAGTGACTACTCCACTGGTTTATCTTTCGGTATGTGGCCATGGTGTTGACCAAATGGGATCCTCCGTATTGGATAGCAATTGTGTCGCCATGATCATGCCACATGTTTGTAAACAGGTTGACAGCATCGGTATCATACTCGACAGTTGTTTCATCGATGACGCCAAGGGCATGAAGTTGGTGTCCAAGAGCTCGTTTCCCAATAACAAATTGTGCTGCATTTGTTCGGTCCAAGCAATCGATGCAGTTAGTTCTCGCGACCCCGTTCTGTAGCTGTAGGCCTGACTCGACATCTGCGCCATTTTTAAAGAAACCTGTCGTTGGGATGATATCGCCAGCAATTCCTTCCAAGGTCTGTATAACATCTTGGTCTCGGCTTTTCGATGCACGGCTCATGTCCCACGCCTTGTATATCAACTTCTTATCGGCGGGCAGAAACTGGTTCAGATATTCCACTGCATTCGTGAACTCCTTAAGAAGTTTGGACTCTCTTGGTGTCCGTTCTCGAGCCTTGACAAGATTCAAGATGTACACCGGCGCTCCATATCTCTCGAAGAGATTATCGAAATGCAATGCCGCTGCAGAGTAGAAGGGGTCGATGAGATTTAATTCGATGTCAGGCTTGGGCGAAACGCCAGTATTTTCTTGGGTCCAGTAAAGGGGGATACTTCCTCGATGCTGAACGTATGAGGTATAATTGGGGTTCGCATGAAGTGTTGGCCCTGCAGAGTGGAAGGATGTTGTTGTTTGTTCAGAAACAATCTGCTCAGTCTCCACATCATTTGCCACATATCCCAAATCATTGGCACCACGTTTCAAGAAACGTGCACCAGCAAAGAGCCTAGACCGTCGAGCAATAATCGAAATGTATACCAGCCGGCCAAATACGCTCATTTTAGACTGGTCGACGTATCCATGGATGATTGGAAGACACCATTGGAAAGGGTTTTTAAGGGTCGCTACTGCTGGAGCAAGGAGGTGATTATTCCAAACAAACATGGTGTTATAATCTTCAGCCAAAAACCGAGGCAATCCGTCCTGATGAGCTTTGCGTTCGCGGCAGACATTATGCTGCAGTGACCGCGTGATATCATAGGAGTAGCTGAAGTAGAAAGATCGAGTAAGGTCTAGGTTATTCAAAATTGCCTTGTATCTCTCTTCATCTGGTTGATTCTCGGGTTTTAGGCGTGATGATTCCGCTGTTGTCAGTGAGACGAGTTCTGTCTCATCGATCTGGTAGACATTATGACCACCAAGCACAGCCACTTGGCTTCTCTTTGTGACTAAAAGCATATAGTATGCCCCGGTGAATCGAATAAACCCCAGTAAGGCCCAGGCACTGCACTTCTGTACCAGGCCACCGGAACTCTTATTTCCATCGTCGATGGCATCCAGTAGCTGGACCATTTCCCGCTTTGTGTAAATCATCTCATCCTCGATGATGCTCAACTCGCCCGACTCTGTGGTGCGATCAATTTTCAAGATTCGAAATCGTGTCTCGGATAGATTGATTCCAACCATGTAGAATCTCGTCGCAGTCTCGTAAAGGGTAAATTTGTGCAAGCGGTTGATACCCTCATCTTCCCCAAACAATCCCGATCGGTGTTTTTGTGCAGACGTAGGCGATGACTCGCGCTCAAAGGAAGTCGCAGCATGTGGCTCCTCATCTTCTTCTTCAGGCGGAAACTCCGTTGATATCGTTGGTTCGTCAGGTATCTCGGCGCCAGTTCCCTCTATTTGACCGCGGCCTGCATTCACCGACTGACTGGAGGTGGGGGTGCCCGTGCCGCCAGATTCCACGTCAGGTTTTCTTGACTTTGATTCATGGTTGTTCGAGGGGAGGTGTTCATCGTGTATATCTAGTACCGGGCCGATCAGAGTCACGTCGTCAAAGCTCTCCATCGGGGCGCGTAGAGACAGAGGAGCTGGGAGCTGGAAGCTTTCCCCACAGAAGCCGGTGACGTCGCCCGATATTTTCTGCCTGAGGAACCACTTTTTCAATTATGTACTAGTACATAGAACAAATTACTGCAATCTATGCTCAAACTTGATTATTTGGCTATTAGTACACGTGAGGAGTTTATTATCTGGCAGATATCGTTTCTTTGTTTCGACTCCGCCAGCCGTTCATACATCCTACTACCTACTAGTAGAGTGTAACTGCTGCAATGTTTGATGGTTTTTCTGTCCCCAGCTCCACTCCACAATATGTCTTTCAATGACATAGAGTACTATGGCAAAAATAAAAATTTGGAATTGATTTGAAGTCGGCAGCTTTTTACTTACAGGTTCACAGGCGTACCTAGATGAATTTCTCAGAAATTCAAATATTTGACTGTCTCTTTTCGAGAACCTTGCGTCGCGATCGCAAAGCCTTTGTCTCTTCTTGAAGCGCCAATCCCTGCATAATCTCCTCACTTCCACCGCCAACAACGTGGACTCGAGCATCACGACTGATTTGTTCAATACGAGCACCCTTGCCGGCCTTGTTATATCCAGCTCCTCCAAGAATCTGCTGTGCCTCTCGCACACCTTTCTCCAGTGCCCTGGTCGACATCACTTTCAACAAGGCGGTCATACCTCCAATTTTGACATCGTCCACAGAGCGATCCTTTGTGACCTCTAAGATATTAACAAGTTGCTCCATGAAGGCATATGCAGGTTCAATCATTAATCCAAACTTGAAGATCTTCGATTGAATTGCCTGTCTCTTGATAAGAGGGGACCCGAATGTTTCGCGTTGGACTGCATAGTTGAAAGCATCCTCGGCACACACACGAGCTAACCTGAGAGAAGCGCAGGATAGGGCTAGGCGCTCTGGATTGAAATCTTGGAAGGTCAGAACATAAACGTCATGACAAAAGCCGGCAAAACTTACTTGACATGATGAGAGGAAAGCCTTTGTTCTCTTCTCCAATTCGATTTTCAACCGGTACATGAACCTCATCTAACTCAATGAAAGTAGATCCTAAAGAATGATTTTTTTTAGTTATTTGGGCTGTAGGAGTGTAGGACTTAGTATTAGCATCTAATTTGAAAGCTTTAAACATACCGCTCGCGTTCACACCAGAGTTATACATTCGCCTACGGGTCACGCCCTCGGCTGCCAGAGGAATGACCAGTAGACTGATCCCCGAACGTCCAGGGCCGCCTGTCCGCACCGCAGCAGTGCAGTAGTCGGCCCAAAGACCATTGGTGATCCATTTCTTAGCTCCATTCACGACATAATGGTCTCCCTCAAGTCGTGCCGTAGTCCGTATGTTGGCTACATCTGAGCCAGCTGGTAGCAAAATGACAAAATATCAGCTTTGCCAAAAGATAATAGCCGAATCTTAGCCGAATTGGCAATAAATTGAAACATACCATCTGGCTCTGTGATACCCAGACAAAAACGAATATCACCCTTTGCAACGCCAGGAAGCCATCGCCGCTGCTGCTCCGCTGTGCCGAACTTAGCGATAGGAGGGCAACCGATCGAATTTCCGCCACCAAGCCCCCAAACAACGCCAACGAACCCTACGCGGGTCAATTCATCTGTCGTGATGAGCGAGCACCATGTATCCCATTTATCGCGGGGTACGTTTCCCGGCAGAGACAAGCCAGCGGCATTCTCTTCTGTCGTCAATGGGTGCACTATAGCGAAACCTAGCTTGCAGTGGCGTCTCCATACTTCCTCGGGGACCTGGCCTGCAGCTTCCCATTCCTGGGCATGAGGCGCAATGTGGGTTTCGACGTACTCGCGGATCCAGGCACGAAGCTTGTGGTGCAGATCGGTGTAATATGGGTTGTGGACATCGAGTTGGAGGAGAAGAGGCTCGCTATATGGAGCTGTCGGGGCACGAAGAGAATGTGCCATGATTGCTGATTGATTCAAGCGCTATGCAGTGCAGAGTGTGGAGTTTTGAGGCTAAATTTTAGCTGCTGCATAAGGTTTAAAGAATGCGGGGGTGGGAACTTGTGATAATGGGGGTTTTCCATTGAGACCGAGGCCCGATAGATTGTATGATGCAACCAAAGCTTTATTCGGCTACTTCATGCCGATGTATGGTGTTTGAAAATTGAAATACAGGTTGTATGCTGCCGTAATGATATCCAGTCGCAAATCTCACCGTTAGCGAAAATGATGGGTACTATGAATTGTGAACTTAGTAGATCCTAGACTGATTTTTTTTTATATATTTCCATGAGATTGCAAGTTTGGCATATTATGTTCATTACTAAGAAAGGGAATCAACGGATGGTTGTAGCCTGTAGGACTCAAGGGTGACTCTGAGCCACCGCCCCACACGGCGCTCAGCACACCTCAAGGGCCAAGGCCCCGGAGCTTTGGAGCTGTGCACTGTGAACCATTTATATGAGCTACGCGCAAGATTCTTTGCGCACAGGCTTACAACCCACACAGCACTTAGCACACCCCAAGGGCCAAGGCCCCACCGGGCAGAGCTTCGAAGGTGTGTACTATCGGTGAGGATTGTTTTATCCTTACTATACATAAGGAGATATGAGGGCCACTCTAAAGTCTACTACTAGTATGTAGGTGTAGGATCCGCCAGCCAAGGCCCAGGGCCTCCTGTGCATCCTATCTAGTACGTACAATTGACTGGTGCCCTTAGATGAGGTATTCACCCTCTCTCAGCACTGAGTCAGAATAGGACTACCGACTCTCCTACTCTCTCATCACTCCTTGGAGTCTTGTTATCGGGTCCGGGAATAAAAAGCGATAGAGTCGGCGGTAACATGAGGGATAAAAGAGGGATCAAACCATTCTACCGTAGCCCACAGTATTCCTTCTTTTGATCAAATGCCCCCTCTAAAGCCCGTATATATATACGTCCCTTAGAAGGTAAACGTGATAGAGCCATCGCCCACAATACTCCCTAATCGGTGGAGACAGACGGATATAGCAAATGCAGACTCGTCGAAGAGAATCATTCTCGATCGGGATTAAGAACATGTGGCAGTTTGGTGAGGTTATAGAAGTCGTAATTGTCACTCGCTCGTGTAGAATAGGAGGAAAAAATGATTGCCAAAAATCGTGACAAGGGATTTCGTAACCGTAGTTGCTTCGATCGATCGCTTGTTGCAAAAGGAGATGTCTTTATCGCGTTGTAGTGGTGCGAATCAAAGGGGGTGTTGCTTCGGTTCAGTCAGGGAGAAATCTCTCTGATTAGGGGTGTTGCGACCGGAGAAGGGGGGATTCATCTTGGCTTCATCCTCTTAAAGAGGACTAATAAACCATAGCACCGCGGTAAGATGTGAATCCTATCACCAGGGCGAAGGTGTGTACTATAAACTATTAATATAGGTTGCGCGCAAGATTTTTCGCGCATGGCCTTACAAGTTACAACCCATATAGTGCTCGGGCCAGCTCGGCACACCTCAAGGGCCAAGGCCCCGCTGGGCGGAGCTTTAAAAGTGTGTATTTAACATAAACTATTTGTATGGGCTACGCGCAAGATTTTTCGCGCGTAGCCTCACAACTCACACAGTTTTCATGGTGTAAAACAAATATTTATATGGGCTACGTTGTGGAATTATTTACAACATGTGCATGTACGTGCGGCATAGCCTTACTAGTAGTTACAATCCGCGGAGTTTTGATGGTGTAAACCATTTATATGGGCTACGCGCAGAATTTTTCGCGCATAGCATTACAATCCACGAGTCAATGTTTGGACTGTTGGTCTCATTCTTCTTAAAGAGTGGAGTGGCCGCAGTTGAATCAGCATGCTAATTCTACCTAACAAAAATAATGTACGCTCATTATGCATTTCAATTTATCAAATTCCCATAGCGGTATCCGTAATGCACGCAAATCAAGCCTTTCCGCTCCCCTGTCAGAGCTTCTTGACGGATTTGTAGATTCGTCGTAAGTGTTCCTTTACGTCCTGACAAGTCCAGCGTAGCTCTGAGCGTGGTGTCAACATGCTTTTGATACAAGTGACCAAAGAATCAGCCACAGACTCTCCGGTATCCAACTTTGCCTTACCGTGATCGACCTTGCACGCAAAGTCTTCGGGTAGAGATGCCGAACCACGGGTCAAATCGTACAAGACTAGCTGTCGCTGCATCTTGGTGTTTATCTGGTAGATCAATTCAAATAGAATGACCCCAAGTGCATAAACATCCAGTTTCTCATCAATCCTATACTCATCAAAATACCCGGATTGTGAATCTGATGGACTGGTGTTGGAAGTAGGGGGTCGGTAGAACTCAGTCCCTACAACGCGCTGGATCTTGGGGCCCTCGTGGAAGGGAGTCATTGCACCACTCGGCGACCCATCTGGTGAATTTTCATTCAGATGAGAAACGTCTGCGACGAGGCCGAAATCTCCGATTCGAGGACGGCAGTAGTGGATTGGAGAGTCACCACCAGAGCAACATGATGTGCAGCTCTCTACGGCATAGCTCTCAGGTGCACAAAGGAAAATGTTGGCCGGCTTTAAATCACGGTGTACAATTCCCTTTGAGTGGAGATATTCGACTCCGGAGACAATGTCCAAGATCAAGCGTAAAGACGGCATTAAGTGAAAGCAGTGGCGCCTGGAAGGAGACCCTGCCTTGTAATCGCTCTTTTCCGGCGCTTGAGGGTTGAGGTAAGCATTCAGAGAGATAGGGTGGAGAGACATTTGAATGTGAAGAATGACAGCTGGTGGTTGATGACCGTGTCCATGGCGCCTTTGCAGCATCTTCGAGTGATCTTGACTTAAGCCATCTGTGAAGATATCGTCAGTCTCCCCAAAGGAAGACGTCTGCCCGTAGGAAGGATTGTTGAAGTTGCGAGGTATAGACTCAATGTCGTCATCATCTTCCAACTCGACCGTGGAGCCTTTTCTTGTCCGGCGGGACGACGATGTTGTATGGCTGTCTGACCGTTCTATTCTGTCGTTGAAGCCATGCTCTTCGGGCAGGGAGCTCATGTGTGACTCCATGGTGGAACTCTCAGAGTGTTCAAACACGATGCCCATGCTAGGTTCATTAGTCTCACCAAAACTGGGCTGATGAATGTCTGACTGCTCGTATCTTGGCTGAGGATTTTTTTTGAGTGGGACATGGCTCGATACATGTGCCTGTTCGACCCAAGCACCAAAGTATCGAACGATATTTGTATGCTCGAGGCGCGCGAGGGTTCGAATCTCTTTCATGATAGTCTCCAATTGATTCTGACCTCCATACTGAAGCTGCTCAAGTCTTCGTTGACTGAGTGGAATTTTCTTGACGGCGTACTCCTGGCCATCAATATGATTTTTGACTTGATAAACTTCGCCAAACGACCCGCGGCCCAAAATCTTCATTTCACTGAATTCAACTGAATAGCGTGACATTTGATTATATGACGCTCCAGCTGGTCCATTGAATAACGGGACGCTGACTGGTGAGCTTCCAAAAAGAGGTATCGCAGAATTTGATGGGTTTCTTGGGATGCTAGGAACACCTCCAAGGATATCGACGTGGTCGATGATCGGCAGTTGCGCATTTTCCCCCTCTCTTCTCCAAAACCGACTTGTATTTCCGCCAGTCTCTTGGCGATTTAGTAATGGCCTTGAAATCAAGGCCAGCTCATCAACACCCTCAATTGGTGACGGTAAAGGCGAGTTCAAATCGAGGCTGTCAAGGGCTGAAATACCGAGAATGTCGAGATTGTCCCGGTAACCTTGTCTTGTGGCCTCTAACTCTTCTTTTTCAATGCCCTCTGGCATTAAACCATGCGACGCCAAAAATTGCGACTTGAATTTGTACAGCTTTTTCCCCAAGTACTGGGCTTCGGGGCTGTGACGAGTAAAATCTCGGCGGGAGTCGGGTTTAGCATTTAGAATATCGGCAGCTCGACTCTGGCAGTAAAACTCCAGCAATGCAGCTGTCAGTACATTCGCATGCTGTTCAATATTGGCACTCTGGGCGTCTTGAGATAGTGCAGACACATCTTCAACTGATTTCGACGCGTCTAATTCGCTTGAGTCTGGCTTCGATCGTTGAGACGATCCACTAGGCTCAGCTTCCACTCCATTGCTAGATTCCGATCCCGATTCCGATTCCGACTCGGATGAGGATATCTCCCCAGCTGGTCTGAACATGGACATTCTGGCGCCGGCCCACGCTAATCAGAAACGAGATAAACGCTAACCGATGATTACACTTGCGCCATAAATATGGCAAACAATCACAAGCCAATAAGGCGGGGATTGAATCTAAAAGAACCCCGGGAGTTCAGTGTTGTGGAAAGATGACTTTGGCGGGGTATACTATAGTCAAGTTTCAAGAACTTCTTCCAAAACGCCAGAGGGAAATAAACAGGACCCCTTGTTACCTTCGAATTCCAGAATCCCTTTTCTTGTCAAATGAACACGTAAACAAGCTGTGAAACCTGGCAGGGCCCTGAATCACTCAAGCTTCCATCGGATTCCAATGGTCTCTGGAAGGGCGTGTCATGCGGGTCTGTAATGGTGGTGTCTTCAAAGTTTTAACCCACTTTTGTCAACAAACGTGAAGGACTGAAGACAGAGGAAGGTGCGAACTGAACGGAAGGCTGAATGTCTGCAAAATTCAAAATTTGAAGCTAGACACTGGCGGCGCTGAAGGCATGTTTCTTAATTCGAGGCAGGGGCGAGGCTGCTGAGTCAACTTAATTAAGCTTCACCGCCCTGTAGCTCTTGAGTCATCATCACCTGAGTTTCTGCCTAACTAAATCACAAGGCACCAATATATTGAATGTCGAATGGATTGTAATTGAATTGATCAAGTGTACTACATAGTATGAATTTCATCTGCTTCACTCTTCAATTAGCTCATGATCAATCCTCCTGCAAATCCACAACCACAAATTCAATACTGGATCTGAAATTATTTTCATCCAAATCTTTCTGGTACTGGGGTTTGGAAGATGTTTTGGTGTATGTCGTAGTAAACAAACATCACAGGGACCAAATTTCACTTGAATTTTACCTTGAAACCCATTTAATCGGAGCAAGAGATACCCAATATTCACACAACACTATTCATTGACGAGAATGTGTCACTAAGGTAGAAGTAGATATCGGGTCCCCGTCCGGTTTTCCCCCGCACCGGCAGCCGGGAGATAGGCCCGTGTTCTCCTCACCTGGGCACTGATTCCCCTCATCGGGTTAAAGCAAGCGGGACGGCAGCCGAAGTATACTGGTGCTTACTAGTATATTACCCAAGATGAAGGTCTCTTGATAATTTTCCAGCTTAGTTTATATCAACAAAATAAAACAGAAGTGAGTCATTTTCTAGTGCCCTGGTCTTTAGGAACCTCAAACTGTTCAAATTGCTAATGAGCTTTACTTTGCAAGTGTCTGGAAACCTCGTTCCTCTCACTATCATCAAAGGTGCCGGTCACGAGTTCATCCCCCTTCCTCAGGGCGAGAACGCTACTACGGCTGATTTCCACTCTATCCGCACCAAGACCGAGTCTCCTGCTCACATCACATCCGGCTTCTACAAAATTGAGGCTGGACCTCAAAGGCCTGCTCATTACACCTTCGAGGAGTCCAAATATGTTCTCAGTGGTCAAATTGATATTTTGGTATGCTCCTTCTGGCGATTCCAGAAAAAATTGCAGAACTTTGAAGGAAACCTACATGTACTTCATACTAACATCATTTCACTTTTCCCCTGCAGGATGAAGCCACTGGAATCACACATCATTTAGTTCCCGGAGATTTTGCTTTCTTCCATGTCGGATCCAAAGTCAAGGTATGTCATGCCTCATTTTTTCTTTCTATTTGGACTTCCTTGGGACTCCTTACACCATGACCTTGGAATCCAGTTGGTTAACATTTTTTACTCTGGTATAGTTCTCGACTAAGTCTGCTGGACTTGCTTTTTACGCCGTGACTCGTCCCGTTCGAACTCCCCACCCCAACCTCCTTGACCGAGAAGAAGGTAAGGCACGGCTATAGGAGACTCGCATAGAGGTCAAACATTGAAATATGTATGGATATGCATGCTTTATACAACCTTGGAATAAAGTTGATAAATAAAACACTCATCAATTGAGAGATGCCTAACTAGACGAGTTCCAGACATCCGACTGGTATATTGTAATTCCAAGGCTCTGCTAGTACCTAGTTAGCTACTTTCTCGAGGCCCGAGTACAAAGATGCTTGTGCATTTGGGAATGACTATGCCGATTTGAGTCACATGATAGTCACTTATGAGTTGTTTGCCATGGGCAGAAATTAGAATAGTTCCACCAGAGTGGGTGTTTGACAACATTTGAACTTGCACTCCCACTGAATCCAACTACTCTCATGGCCGAATTCTTGGTTGTGAATCCTCGAATCTTGGAAATTACCATCATTAATCTAGTGTGATAAGCCCGCCAGGACAACTTTCACGGGTCTCACTTCTTCTCAAGTTCTGGCACGGTTCAACTTTCGTTTATGATCCATTTGGGTTTTTGGCCATTCAAAATGGACGGACATCTTGGAAGGTGAGTAGGAGGCCAGGGGAAAGCTTATCAGAATATTGAAGGTTATGGCTAGTAGACGTTGACTCTTTCAGATGTCTCTCGTCACCTACATTTACGTTCTTGGTCGGTCCTGATAAGACGGAATTTGTTGTGCATAAAGCGGCTTTCGCTAGACTGTCTAAACCTCTGAACACCCTCATCAATGGCAGAATGATTGAAGCACAGACCAGACGCGCGGACTGGTCTGACATTGATGTAGATACATTCACTCGATTATGTGAATTTGCCTACCTAAAGGACTACCAACCACCGTCATACCACCCAATAAAGCACTGGCCTCCCCCTCCGGACGCCGTGGAAGTTGCGAGGAAGAAGAAAAAGAGCGTACACAGCGAACTAATGGCGAAATGGAGATCTGCTCGCCGGCGTGAAAAGCTGCATTTTGGGGACTATAGTCCACCGAGGCATGTCCAGTCGAGCTATTTTGAGTTGCCGCTTGAGGAGCGAGGCGGATTGGGTCAGAAGCTGCGTGATTCGTTCAAGGGAAATCCTTCTTTTACACCTCCTCCAACCGGTTACTCGGCCCATAATTTTGCGCCGCCAAAAAATACTTGGTTCTGGCAAGATTTCACCGCTGTCTTAGTCGAGCAAGCTCGGCTTTACGTGTTGGCTGATAAGTATGGAATTGAATCTTTGTGCAAACTCGTCCTTTTCAAGCTCGTTGTGACATTGAGAAGTTTCAAGCTCTATCATACAGGAGTGGATGGAGTTGTTGAATTGGTTCGGTTCGTTTACAACAACACGCGACCAGATTACGGCAATAATGTCGATCCCCTGCGAAAATTGGTAGTGCGTTATGTTGTTTCTGTCATTGGTCAAATTGGCGAACAAAGGGCTTTCAAGCAGCTATTAAATGAGGGTGGAGATTTCGTCACGGACTTCTGGCAAATATTTTGGAGTCTGAATGGGGATACTTGAAGCAAAAACGAAACGGAAGGTCAAAGTGGAACGAATACATGTGCAGTGGGCCAGGGGCCGTACTTTGAGGTTTCTGGAAGACACCAGTGAATTTGAAGAATCTGAAATGAAAGATGGAAGTAGCAATACTCATACTGCCCCTAAAATTTGGAGACTTCCAATGCTTCTCCAGTAATGAAGTGTACTGCTAATTGTAAGAGCGCGCGGTGACGTGATACTGAGCTCTTATCTTATCGGCATGTGACTGAACCCGCGTAAAGGGTGCCACGCTTTGACGCGACTACGACACGCTTTGAGTAGTTGCCCACCCAACCTATTTTCTCCCTCATACAACTTGAGGCCCACGAAATTCGTGTCTTTACATGTCTCTTTAACGAATTGCCACCATGCCAGAAGCTACCATGCCCCACAAGCGGGTGTTGGTCGATACGACCCATAATGCCCGTAACGGCGTCGAATCTTCGAATGCGCTAAAAAAACGAAAGCTAGAAAGCCAACCTTCATCCCAGCTCAAGCCGCCCGGGCAACAATTTCAGAGAAAGGGGTTTGGCTCTACTCAGCCACAGAAGAGTCAGTTCGAGGAGGAAGTACTGGAAAAATTCACACAGGACATCGGCGACTTGAAAGGGAGCAACGCGGAAAAGGACCAACAGTGGGAACGCCCAGCGCTCCGTGAATGGGACCCCGCAAAGGAAAACGTTTGCTTCCAGCAGATCGATGCGGAAGAAGGGCGACTTCCTCGGGGAGATGTGATGGCTGTCCGACTTTTTGGTGTTACAGAGGTAAGTTTGTTGCTATGCGAATTCTCCAACTGCAGAGCATTAAATCTAATTTTGACTTAGGCGGGACAATCTGTTTTGCTTCACGTCACCGGATTCCAGCACTACCTTTACATCGCTGCGCCCGTAGGTTTCGATAAGGAGGATTGTGATCCATACAGAGCTTTCCTGGAAACGAAAATGGCACAGTCCGGAAGAGTCATTGAGAAGGTAGAGATCACACTACGGGAGAATATCTATGGCTACCAAGGAAATAAGAAGAGCTGGTATCTCAAGATCACGGTGGCCGATCCTAGGAGCATTGCAAAGGTGCGCTCTATACTCGAGAGCGGTGGCTCTGGAATGAACTACAAGGGCATGTGGAGCAATATGGACGCGGGCCTTCTTACTTTCGACAATATCCAATATCTTTTGCGTTTTATGATTGATACCGGGCTATCCGGCATGGCCTGGGTTGAGGCAAAGGCAGGGAAATACACCCTTCTCAACGAGCAAGATAAGCTATCAAACTGTCAAATTGAAGCTATCGTCGACTACCGTGATATGATCGCCCATCCACCAAACGGAGATTGGGCGAAAATGGCACCCCTACGTGTTTTGTCGTTCGATATTGAATGTGCTGGTCGCCAGGGTATTTTCCCGGAACCGAACGTGGACCCAGTAATTCAAATCGCGAATGTTGTTACACGATACGGAGAACAAAAGCCTTTTATTCGAAATGTCTTTTGTCTCAATGAGACAAGTCTGATCGTCAACACTCAGGTCTTGGAATTTCAAAAAGAGGACGAGATGCTGATGGCATGGCGAAATTTCGTGGAGAAGGTCGACCCTGATGTGATCATTGGATACAACATTGCAAACTTCGATTTTCCTTATCTTCTTGATCGTGCCAGACACCTCAAGTGTCTGAATTTCCCATATTGGACTCGAGTGAAGGCCATGAAGACAGAGGCAAAAGAGTCCAGTTTCTCTAGCAAGCAGATGGGAAACCGAGAAACCAAAGCCACAAACACCAATGGTCGAATTCAACTTGATTTACTTCAACTAGTGCAACGAGATCACCAGCTGCGAAGTTACACCCTAAACTCGGTGTCCTACGAGTTCCTGAAAGAACAGAAAGAAGATGTCCATCACACCATGATCACGGAATTGTTCAATGGCACGCCGGACTCTCGACGACGATTGGCAGTATACTGCTTAAAGGATGCCTATTTGCCGCAAAGATTGATGGACAAACTAATGTGTCTGGTCAACTACACCGAAATGGCCAGAGTTACGGGCGTTCCTTTCAACTTTCTCCTTTCGCGAGGCCAGCAAGTCAAATTCATCAGTCAGTTGTTCCGAAAGGCCCTTGAACAACAGCTCGTCATTCCAAACCAGAAAAGCCAAGATGAGCAAGACTACGAAGGTGCCACGGTTATTGAGCCCAAACGTGGATACTATGGTGTACCCATTGCCACCCTTGATTTTGCGTCGCTATATCCGTCTATCATCCAAGCACACAATCTTTGTTACACAACTCTCCTTAACAAAACTGCCATCGAGAAAATGGGACTTAAAAAGGACGACGACTACATCGTCACCCCGAACGGAGACATGTTCTGCACGACAAAACTTCGCAAGGGTCTTCTGACACAAATTCTGGAGGAGCTGCTAGGCGCACGTAAACGTGCAAAGAAGGAACTGGCTACCGAGACTGATCCGTTCAAAAAGGCCGTGCTGAATGGTCGACAGCTTGCCTTAAAGGTTAGCGCAAACAGTGTGTACGGTCTCACTGGAGCGACAGTTGGCAAGCTTCCTTGTCTTCCCATTGCCAGTAGTACAACCAGTTACGGTCGTCAAATGATTGAGAAAACCAAGCAAGAGGTTGAAGAACGGTATACCATTGCCAATGGTTATTCTCACGATGCTCAGGTCATTTATGGTGATACTGATTCCGTCATGGTCAAGTTTGGAGTCACTGAGCTGGCTGATGCGATGAAACTTGGCGAGGAGGCAGCGGAATTTGTTTCATCCAAGTTCGTCAAACCCATCAAACTGGAGTTCGAAAAAGTGTATTTCCCATACCTTTTGATCAACAAGAAGCGATATGCCGGTCTTTACTGGACCAATACCAAGAAGCATGACAAGATGGATACCAAGGGTATTGAGACTGTGCGACGTGACAACTGTCTGCTTGTTCAAAATGTCATCGAGACGGTATTGAACAAAATTCTCATTGACCGAGATGTCGATGGTGCCCAAGAGTAAGAGAACACGATTTGGTCCACTTGCCGACTGCATGCTAATATTTTCTCTACAGATATGTCAAATCAACCATTTCGGATCTCCTTCAGAACAAAGTCGATATGTCAAAGCTGGTCATTACCAAGGCCTATGCGCAGAAAGAGTATACGGCGAAGCAAGCACACGTTGAACTTGCCAAGCGCATGCACAAGCGCGACGCTGGTTCCGCCCCTGCCCTCGGTGACCGTGTGGCCTACGTGATGATTCGTGGTGCTACAAATTCCAAAAACTACGAAAGAGCGGAAGATCCTATCTACGTGTTGGAAAACAATGTTCCTATTGATACCAAGTACTACCTCGACAATCAACTTGCAAACCCCCTTGGTCGTATTTTCGAGCCTATCCTGGGTGAGAAGAAGGCCAATCAACTCCTGAACGGCGAGCACACTCGATCCATCTCCGTTGCTGCCCCTAGCTTGGGTGGTCTCATGAAGTTCGCCAAAAAGACTCAAACTTGCATGGGCTGCAAGAAGCCGCTGTCGGGCAAAGAAGAGATGGCCGGTGCCGTTTGCGAAAACTGCCAACCGCGTCTTGGAGAGCTTTACACGAAGACCCTCAACAAAGTTTCGGATTTGGAGGTTCGATTTGGTCGTTTGTGGACCCAGTGCCAGCGATGCCAGGGCAGTCTTCACTGTGAGGTCATCTGCTCATCACGCGATTGTCCCATTTTCTACATGCGCATGAAGGCGAAGAAGGATGTTGAGGACTCCCAGAAGGAGCTGACTCGATTTGACTTTGATGCTGGATCGTGGTGAGGGCTGTATGTTATTTAATTAGTTGCTACTTTTTCTTCATTTTGCGACATGCCGGGGCGTATTGTTTGGGTTGGCGTTAGGAGATGGACACATTCCACTGCATGATAATCAAACATTCAATTTCTTTGTTCAATTAAATAGTATTTGGTCAAAGGCTATTAAACTGTAAGGTAAGTCATATGGTAAAGTAAAGATAAAAGGATATCATCCGTACTCAGTAAGTCGACGGGTGGATCCTCTTGGCGCGGAGAAGCTTCCATCCCCGCCGATCTTCAAGATTCCCGACTTCTTCGATCCTTTCATAATGATTTCCCCAGCCTCTAGCACCATGAACCCTCCCAGAGACCAGAGCCAGACGAATCAGAACTCCACTCTCAATGAATCAGCCACAAACGAATCTCCAATCCCTTGGCCAGAGGTACGTTAGCATGAGCCGTTCTCTGTGTTGCGCGTCAAACGAACAGCCGTCATGCAAGCTCCCGAATGCTGCTCTATTCTCTGGCCTTTGGACCAAAGGCCCCTCAGCTAACATATAAACTCTATGCGCTGTGCAGATCTTCGCTCGTCATGAAACAGTTCTATCATCACACCTTCAGATGCTCGAAGAGGTGAAAGGTCACATTGCTGACGGCGAAGCCCTTCGAACCGTATCTGCGATGCTCAGCAAGACAGTCCAAGCGATGAACCAGCTCAAGATTGTTCGAAAACAAACTGTATGTCTCAACCCATTTGAAGCCAAAAAAACTGGTTGACATGCGACTGACATTTTTTTACCTGAAGTTAAACAGTACGCTACCCCAGATTACCCGACGATGCGCGCCGATCCACCAGAGCAGTCTCTATGACCAACTCTCCGTGAACGCGAACTTGATATTAACACCCCTTTCTAGAGCAAAGCTCGAACAATCCGTTTCAATCTGCTTCCTCGCCTTCCAAAAGATACCCAGAAACCACAACTCCACAATCCACAGACACCGAATATCTCACCAAGCGGAAGCGATTGCGCACTCAAAACGATCTCGAGCCCAATATCCCCACCGACCAGCCCGATGATGCTTATTCTCATGCCCCCAGCCACAAATTTGACACACATCTCCACCAAGCCGCAGAATATCCATATGACTCCAACGAGACAGAAGACATATCTGAAGAAGTGCGGCGACGACTGCGAATCAAGGAAGAGAAACGCAGGAAGAAGGAAAACGCGCATCCAGAGAAGCGCAAGCGAGACAGCCTGATCTCGAACGATGGTACGTCGGCGGCCTCGTCACGACCCCCAAAAAAGCGCGCCAGAGTAGAGGATGAACGTGGGTCGGTGAACGGGTTGTCTGGATCCAGGCCCGATGGAGGCCGAGCAAAGAGGATGAAGAGGGGACGATAAGGTGGCAAAATCAAGTCCTTGCGCTGTTATTTTCCATCAACAAATTGAGGATATACGGTGAAACTCGGATGCTATATGTTTATGATTATGTACTATATGAATGCAATCCCAATACTTATCATTGCGATAACATGCTGCCATTGCGTCAAGCTTGGGAATTTGCCGCAAGCCCAGGTCTTGAAGTCTGTATCTAAAGATTCCGTTCAAATATGTACACGGTAGTAGTACATCGGCTACATGGTGAACCATTCATCTACGACCGAGCCACGGGGGGTTCCAAGGCTAAGAAAAGCCAATCAGCACTGAAAGCTTAACGGAAGCTTAGCTCACAGGGACATCTAGATTTGTAGATTCCATCAAACATTTGCGGCGTAGATGCATCGAAGCCTTGATGCCTACTCAAAGATCCACGTCTACATGTACAGAAATGCTCACATTGACTTCACTGACTTGAGATTTCTGATGTCTTTGGCACAAAGAGACTAGGTAATGAGCGTTAATTCTACACAATCAGCTTGGGGTAGGCATGCAGCCAACTCTAATCCTGGTCAAAGATGACGATGATGCTAGGGCTCTGTTAGGCCCAGAATCTAATCCTATCATGGTTTATATTGAACAAGACCCACGGTCACAGGGCAGATACATAAGTAGCTCAATTCTGATGCGAATGCCGAAATTATGACCACGCTAGAGTTTCATGTGGGAAGATTTTATGCGACAGCCTTGAATTCCAGATGTCCTTGAGGGTTCAGCAACTGATATCGACGCCTAGGTTTTGACCACACCATAGGACTTTGCCTCTTAAGCGCTTGGTCTTGTTCATAGCATAAACCTGGATGATATCACTTTGAAATGTGATGTGCTATGCACACAGGATAACTGGATGAAATTATGATTGACTTTTACCCATATAGGATTCCGACTAGCCTGCCGTATGTGAGATGCCTGTTTCGCTCTCTTCGTCGATACATGTCTTAAGCCTTGGGACGCTCGGGGATGTCCACTTCCTTGTTAGCTCCAGGGAAGCGGGAACCCTTGTCCTTGACCTTCTTCTCCTTCTTCTTAATAACTGGGGGAGGGTAAGCCTTGAGGGTGATCTCCTGCCATTCAGTGGACTCTGCGTAGGCCTTGGCAATAGGGGCCATGAGAGTGACCAAAGCATCTGCGGCTGCAGGCTTTAGAAGTTGGGGAGTTAACTGTGGCAGATGATAATTAGTAACATTTTCGGGATAAACAAAGGTAATGAACGTACAATGTCGTTGGTGTAATCATCCTTTAGTTGTTGGATATCGGTGTAAACAAGGGGTTCGTTGTCGCGGCGTTCCACGCGGAAGTCCTTGCCATTGAGGGCAGCTGCAGGTAATAGGACAAATTCCACCAGAGCAATGATGCCGTTGTTCTCAACGACCTTGGGGACGGCTTCCGATTTACGGATCTTTTTAGCGACAGCCTCTGGCGGGTCGAGGAGATCGATCTTGCTGTCTAGCTGGGAGTTAGTGTGGGATCCTTGAGAAAAGACAAGATTTCCACATACCTTCGATACTAGAGCTCATTTTGCCTCCGCTGAGACCGGCAACCATTGGAGTGATAAGATGGGCACGCTAAGAGGTTGAGATTATTAGTAACATTCAGTAAGCCCGGAGAAAAGATAAGCTTTACCTTTCGGTATCCGAGTTTGGGTAGCCATTCTGTGGCCGCAGTGAAAAGCTTCCTCTGGTCAAGGCCTATTCCACTTTGTTAGTAAGAGCATGTATATAGAAGTAGAGTTAGACATACCGCCAAGTTCGGCATCGACCTTAAGGTACTCCTCATCGAGGACCTGAAGAATAGGGTAAAGAAGGCCACTCATCGGGGCATTGGCAGACTGTTTCACAATCTCCGCACCCGCCTTTCTGCAATCATGCTCAGAGGTCAAGGCAGCAAGACGGTAGACGTCCATAACATATTCGGAACTGCGCTGGTAAGAGCTGCCGAGTACGAACTCGAGCTTCTCGGTCGACACGCCCACGGCCTCCAAAATCGCCCTGATAATCTTTTCGTAGTATTTGACACGGTTCTCAACGAGTTCAAGAGGCGCCTTCATTGAATCCAGGAACGCATGCACGTCGGCAAGGAGGATTACTACCTCACATTCTGCCGCTAATAGCTGGGCGATTTTGAGCGCGGCAACGAAATAACCGGAATGGGGCCGTCCAGTAGTGGCAGTTCCTGAATAAAGGGAAACAAGATCAGCATAAGTTCGTTATTCTAGGTGCTAGAGTGTAGGAAGAAAGTATTACCCCAGTAAATACGCGGATTGCGCCCCTCAGCAAGAACGGTCTCAATGATCTCCGGGTTGAGAATCTCGCCGAGGTTGTCTTTGATGAGATCAAATCTCGATTGTGCAGCCGCAGATAAAGCCATTGTTAGACCGATTAAAGGATGGACGATGTTTGAGGGGAAAGATCGCAAAGAAAAAGCCACAATCACCCCACCCTAAAATCTGCGCCTATACGTGTAGGGCGGTCAGAGGGGTGACTCACTTTCACGTGACTCAGATAGTGGATAATCGCGGATATATCTGATAGACGGATATATATCAGATAGACGATACATGGTACTAGATCTTCAGTTTCGAGGTCACCTGACCTCGGGAGTCGGAACGACGGAACCGACTTTCGGGGGATTTCCGTTTGTATTCGAGTTCTCTAACATGGTTACGGTACAACTTACCCCAGACATTGACCATCAGCATCAGATCCTATCTTGACTAGTTTCAGCATCTATTGGGGAGTGCTATAATAATTTTGCTTTTTTCTCTCTCTGTTTCTTGATTCTGACAGGCTATGTTACGCATGACTGTGACGACGTCAGGATCGCCAAGCCAAACCGAGTGGGGAATGTGATCAGCGATCTTAGACAACCATTACATAGGTGGAGTAGCTTGTATGTATGTACCTGGGGCTTCCCCATCTGAGCTCCCAGGCCGCCGCTTTTATGAGAGGTTCTCAGAGTCAGCCTTACTGAGCAAATTCCAGTCCGGGCTCATCCGATGAACACTCACTGAGTATTTTGAGGTAACTAGTAGTGATGGGAACCTATTAAGAGGCCACTAAGCACTTGAGGGAACCTTGGAAAAGGTACATCATCTTTGTGTATGCTTCAAATGTTCCCACCAGAGGACCTCTCTCATTCACACCAAGAGATTTTCCGCCCTGTGATGCTGACTTTTTGAGCACAGACACAGGGCCAGGTTCGAAAGTAAGCGAACAGTCAGACCTGAAGTGCCGTGGTTAGGTTTAAATATTCCAGAGCCGATGTATAAATCTCAGCTGAGGCCTTCAATCTTTCAACATCATCCTTGGCTGTTGTGCTGAAGTATGCACATCGGCGAGTTTTCGGTCTGGAATTGACGATAAGGCCCGGGGAGAGGACAATTTCATAGTTGAGTACATTGTCGCTGATCAAGCCTTCGCGAGACGAGAAGAAAGAGAGATCACCTGTTCCCCGGGATTCTTAGCTTGAAATTCTTGATGTGTGGAGATAGTAGCTGAGAGAAGAAGGTCTTTTGGCTTCAAAATCGTACCTGATAACGCGAGCCCACCGATTCCGCCCGCAACCACATAAAGTCACCGGCCTCAATTTCAACACAATCCTGGTTCAGTCGGTAAACGGCCTTTCATTCCAAGAGATACAGTCCATGCTCCATAATTTTACTCAGTGAGCAAAAAGCGGCGAGGCGCGAGCACTACTTACGTAGGTGGAGTTAGCAGCGTAATAAAGTAGGTTTAACTTTCACTGTTGGCGTTAGCGTTGACGTTGGCCTTAGCGCTGTTCATGCATCATCCATACTTGTACTACGTATATTGGGCCTCCGAGCTAGACGTCAGATAAAAGCAAACTTTCTCCCCACCTTTTCTTTTTCCTTTCTTTCTTTCTCTCTTTCTACCCATCACATCTCAAATCGTCTCCAGAAAGTTAAGCTTTCCTCCGTTTTCTTCTCATTTCTTCACATTCAAGTCAGAATCTCTTCGATTTCAAAATGTCTTTCAACGGTTTCTTCAGCTGGTTCTCTTCCTCCAAGCAGGAGTCTTCCCGCGCCACTTGGCCTGTGAATACTGCCGCTGTGCAGATGCAGAACCAGCAGCCTACCAGTCCCAATGCGCCCTCCACCGAGCGTGTCGTCTCCGAGCAGCCCGTATGTGGTTGCGCTCGCTCAGATCCTCTCTTTGCTCACCTTACTGACGATGATCTCAATAGAACTCCCAGGAAAATATGATGAAGCTGCGTGGTGGTGGCGGTGGTGACATCTGCTGTGGCCTGTGAGTAGTCGCCCATAGCTTACTCTTCCACACCTTGAAGGGTTTGTACTGATTATATCTAGTTGCGCTGGTCTCTTGTGCTTCGAGTGCTGCGAGGACTGCTGCTAAGCGCTCTGTCCATGTCATTCAATACCATTATTCGATCCGTACGATTTAAACGACCACATTCTTTAACGATCAAATCACGACGTGAACGCCACTGCGAATCAGGGAACACTTTGTATGAGCGATAACTTTCATGGCATGCTGGGACCATTTGGAAACAGCATTCAATAAGGCTGCTTACCTTGCCGTTCTGGATGGTTGGCTCTCCATAAAAATCGTTCGTGGCTGATTCTTTTTTTCTTCGCTATCCTTTATTGTTTTGCATCCTATTATGTTGAGTTTGTCTTTTTACGGGCGTCTCGCAGTCTTTCGTCATTTATGGACGTTCCTTCGACTGGAGCCAAGCACCTGTTTGATTAATACCCATTTTAGCTGAAATAATTCTATTAACTGTGTATTATTATCATTATTATCTGGTATCTTAAAGCCGTATCTCATAGAGGGATCTCTTCAGAGCAATACTTTTGTATTGTAGATATGAATATTTAACAGCTATGACCTAGGTGGTATTTCTGCAGTGGATGCCAAGTAGAGATTTTTCTAGTCTTTATATGCATTTAGTCCAGCGTCATCACTTGAAGTTTTGTAAAACGAAAAGGGAAAATAGAAAGATCAGCCTGGGAATCGAACCAGGGACTTCCAGGGAGGTAAAAAGCACAAATACATAAAGATTTCCCAAGAAACAAGTCACTCACTCCCGACATCGATGCATCACGGCTTCATACTAAGAACTCTCCTCCGAACTTCAAAAATCAAAATCAAATCAAATAAAAAAGATGAAAATAAAATAGTTTCATAATTTAAAAAAAAAAAAAAAGAGGGCAGATACTTTGTAGTAGGTCCGCGGCGCACTTTCTCGCTGTCCCGCTCAGGCCAGGATCAACTTAGGCTTCGACTCTTAGGCTCGCCGTACTACTCAGTATCCCCATCGTGGATGGGCCCAGTGTACCTGAAGTGGGGGCCGCAAATCCAGAGCTGGCTGAGGTCCCGAAGGGTGGAACCAGTTGGACTACGTGGGTGCCAGGATGGAATTTATCCTCAAATTATTAAATATAAAGGAGCCCTTAGCAACTCTGAGTCTGTGGCTATGGGTGCTCCCCTCCCTATCCCTTCACTATTGCTTTTCTAATTTTTTCATCCCCTTCTCGGAGTCTCACTCTTATATCATAACCTTCGGAACATTGACAAGCAGTCATTCCTAACTGTGGCATTATGGCCCTGCCTTGGTTGCAAACTACATCTACTTTCAACCTCACAAGGCAATACCAAGTATATCCCATACTATCACAATACTTACTACTGTCTAGTAGGTGTTCTAACGAGCGCCAAAGAATTGAGAAGGAAACTGAAGGCAAGCACTTGTGTGAATTAATCTTCTCCATCAAGAACAACCGACTAATACATTCTTAATGGAAAAACAAACCTAGACGACACCGAACCATACCACCCACTTCCATGAAAACAGAATCATTATTCGCCGAATCTCTCCCCCGATAAAAGTTTACCAAAAAGCTCCCTTGTCTTTCCGAACAACAGCCACCACCCCAAAAAGCCCATGATAAGCAACCTTTGCTTCCTCAACTCCTACAGCAACAAGCCGCTTGGTACCACCCGGCATTTCCCCATCAACCTTGACAAGGCCACTAGTAGCCTCAGTGATAAAGCGACTAAACCCGTCACTTTTCCGAATATTGCACTTGACAGTGGCCATCTCGGCGTGACTCACGAGAGCGGAAGTGGAGGTAAAGTCCTTTCCGCATGCGACGCAGCTGAAAAAAAAAAAGCAGTTAGCATCAAAATTCCTTCTCCGCCATAGTATGAGCAACTGCACGAAGTATAGACCAAAACATACACAGATTTGTTCAGCCGTAGATCCACCGCAACGTGTCTCCTAATATCCGCTTCGAGGACCGCTTCGTATCCACATAGGCACATGAAGTGGCCTGTGTGCTCGCTCTTGAAAACATGGGCGGTCCAGTCGTGGGTTTGCTTGGACCCGGGGCTGATAGGGCTGGTGACTTTGATGGGGATGTCTTGGAACCCGCTGACTACAAAGCCAGGAACATATTCCTTTCCCGGGTTATCTTTCGCTTTCTGTTGGGCTTCCTGTTGTGTTTTGCACAGGACCGGGATATTGTGGCAAAGGTTGCGCTCAAGATGGCGGATCAGGGCTGAGGCATTCTTGTAGAAAACGTCGCAGCCTGTGCATCGGATGTTCTGACTGGCGGGATGGTACTGTGATTTGTTAGTCCAAGACGGCATATAATATGTTTTTAGGCGTCATGCTGGATAATTTGGTTGTTGGTGTTGAGTAGAATTGCAAGAAACAAGAATTGTAGTTTGAAGTACAACGAGGAGGAGGATATCTGTAGGGGAACGGGATGAGGAAAATGGCGCATCAACTCACAATCTTGACATGAAACTCCCGTCCACCTTCGCTCATGCACTCAAGATCGCAGTAAGGACAAACGATCTTGTGCATGGGGCTAGTCAGCTTGTGATTTGTCAGGTCATCTTCATCGAAGAAATCTCGCTGGCATCGAGAACAGTAAGCGTGATCTGGGTCACTTTTCTTATGCTCCCTCATATCCTCCACATTTTGAAAACTCAGCGAACAATCCTTGTAAGTGCATGGCACAACGGGAGGAACTGCTTCCCAAGAGTCAATCGTCATCCTGCGGGGGGTTGGGTTTGGTGAATTATCCATGTTGGCGAAGGAAGGCGCAGTGGTGCGCGTTATGGTTGGGGAGGTCCGATTTGGGAGAGTTGAAAAACGAAGAAAGAGTGGGTGTGGGAGAAGACGCGACTTCGTCACTCGAAATATCAAATGTTGTGAGTTAAGACCGCTAGATAGATCTGAGACTAATCAAACGTCATGTCGCGTTGCTTGAAAAGGAAGGTTGATATCAAAACAATGACGCGCTATGTCGGAAAAGAAACCTACGTTGCTCCCTAATAATTTGTACACCCTGATAGTCAGAGATTTGAATAGTGGATTTGAAATGCCCATACTTCATGAACACAATGATCTGTCATATTCATTTTTTCCACTGCCAATATGTCCGTATCTGTCGTAAAAAAACGATGTCCAATGGTTATCTGGTATAGCACTGTACTAATACCTGGGCATAAAAAGATTCAACAAGTCAATCCGATACTTTGTTACAATCTTGGAAGACAGATTTGAACACTTATTCTGCGTTAGAAGAACATGCACCATCAATCAATAATTGGCTCATTGACCCGGATAAAAGTTCCCATTAAAACCGAGAGAATGGCAGCCTTGGAAATTGTTAGATGCGACTTTTCTGACAGCCAACGGACAACAAAAATCTCCCACTTACCATTTACCACGCAGGGTGATGACGGCCCAATTATTACCATCAGCATCTGTCTCTTTCTCCACCTTGGTGGAAAACGAGATGGCACTCATGATTCCGTCTCCAAACTTCTCATTCAGGATTGCCTTGTATGCATACCCATAGTTCTGCACAATCTCGTAGAGTCGGTAAATAAGTGGCTCCTTTGGCGGCATCTCCACTGATCGGCCACGATCCGGGAATCCACTCAGCAAGCCGTCGAGTAGAAGGTGGGAGATATCTAGGAGCTCGGAGAGTTTTTGAATGTCCTCCTCGGATGCTTTAGCTTGGCCATAAAAGATGGCAGCAGTGGCAACCTCATTGCGGCCGATATGTGCGGCAATTTGCTCAAAGCTCAATTTCTTTGTTGCCTTGGCAGCGAAAAGGGCAATGGCGGATTCGGGGAGATTAGGATGTTGCGAGGCCTGTTTGGTGTTAATGTGGAATTGGGTCTATGGGGAGGGCTTTGCGCGTACATCTAAAGTTGCTAGAGACATTGTGATTGATTGATTTAGAAGATGAATGGTGAGAATTGGAAACACTGGATTGATGGAAGAAGCAGGAACAGCTGGAGTATTAAGGCTTTCTTTATCTAGGCGGGGTTTGTACGTATCACATTAGATCATACGAAGTGCGGGGATCTCGTTTCACCAAAGTACGATTACTATCTGACATGCTACTAGTATCACCTAGATAGCATACTAGGTACCTGATTATAGTTATTGTAGCTAAAACGGCCTGGGCATAGAGGGAAGCAATGCCGAAGAAAATACGCGATCTTTCCCCACATTTCATCAACCTTCAGTTCCGATATTGTTTTCTTTTCTCAATTAAGTTGCTGTCCTAGATCTCCATGTGTCACTGAGAACGATGCTTCCTGCCGATCCCTCCCGGATTAACGTTTGGGTACTTTTGGTGCTCATTCTCAGTTGGATGTATACGAAGATCAATAAATGCCTCGATTTTCCAAGTGCATTATGGGCCGTGTCCAGGACTCCAGATGCCTAGAATAAGAGACAGATCACAAAGGTTCAAGAGGGAAATGTGTACATAAAGTATTACATAATCCACAAATTTGTTTATTTTTAGAACGTGATGCTCGATGACGTAATCATTCAATGTTTGGATTCAGGAACCACGGATTAGAGAAATCAACATCTTCTTGAATAATGTGTTAGTATCAGCAGCTGAAGATCGATAGATCAAACCAGAACATTCTTGGCACAAAAGCTCCGTGTACAGAACAGAGCGCATGTTGCGGGAAAAAAGTGATCTGACTGAGCTGACGCGGGGCCATTGCCGATCGCATGATGGCATCACATTGGGGCCGATTGGGCTGCATCATGTCCGTACAACCTACAGGTGGCTTGACATTGACACCTGCATTTAAATGTCAAAAAGAACCGAGAGACTCAACTGAATCTTGTTACCTAGAGCATCCACCCAGAATAAGTTATTGGCTTTTCCCTTTATTGCTACTTAGTACTACAAGCTATACGTATTACGACACAGCCACGAACCCCATCGTGGCTGGGCAGCGGGGCATCGGAGCTTCATAAAACAATCCCCGCCCAGGCGTCTCACTCTCTCATTTCTTTCTCCTTATTTCCCCCCTACACGATCATGTCGCAGCAGAATGATGACCTGGCCTATGGCCACTACAATGAATCCTCGAGGGGCTATGGCGACTCTTCGCGGGGTCTAGGTGACACCTTCAAGAAGTTCTACAAGAGCCACCAGACCTCGTCGCAGCCCTCGGGTCAACCGGCTCAGCCCTACAACCAATCTTCCAACCAGTCCGCACCGCAGGGAGTATGACCACCTCAATCTAACTTAAAACCCTCTCTCTAATATTTATGTTCATTTGCAGGCGTATCAGGATCAGAATCAGCCCCCTCAATACGGATCCAGCAATCAAACCCCTAATCCTCAATATCAACAACAACAACAGTACCACGGACAGCCGCAGAAGCAAGATAAAATTTCCGGTTTTCTGGACAAGATCCAAGGCACAGTTGCTGGGTACGGATCGGAATGGGCTACCAAAATCGGTAGCACCATCGATCCCCAGGCTTATGCCCAATATGGCCACACCAACCCAACCACCGAGAATCGCTTCGGTAGCTTTGCGCCGCCGCGTGAACATAACGACGTGAAGTGGTATGTAGATGGCGCCGGCTATTTCTGGGCCGTATCTCGCGCCCTCGAAAATGCACGGGAATCCATCTGGATTTTGGATTGTAAGTTTCAAGATCCCCAGCTCTTCCAATGTGGGTCCGACATCTAATAGGTGAACAGGGTGGCTCTCCCCCGAGCTCTATCTCAGACGGCCACCGACAAAGAATGAAAACTACCGGCTGGACCGCATGCTGCAGGCAGCTGCCCAGCGTGGTGTGCGAGTGAACATTATCGTCTACAAAGAGGTCACCCAGGCATTGACACTCTCCTCTTACCACACCAAGAAGGCTCTGGAAAGCCTGCATCCGAACATTGCTGTCTTCCGCCACCCGGATCATTTGCCGGGACACGAAGTCGCTGCTGAAATCGAAAATGCATTCCAGCACCTGACGCTAGACTCTGCCAGTCTTACTCACATGGATAAGGATAAGCTTAAAGGAGTGTATGGCGCCACCGACGAGATGATCCTATACTGGGCCCATCACGAGAAGCTCTGCTTGATCGATGGACAGACTGCCTTCATGGGTGGACTTGATCTGTGCTTTGGCCGCTGGGATACAAACCAGCACGCAATTGCCGATGTTCACCCGGAAGATCTGAGTGAGACAGTCTTCCCGGGTCAAGACTACAACAACTCTCGCATTCTGGACTTCCATGATGTAGCTCAATGGGAGAATAACCAATTGGACCGGAGGGTTTCGTCTCGCATGGGCTGGTCTGATATCTCAATCAGTTTACATGGTGCTGCAGTTGAAGATCTGCGCCGACACTTTGTCGAGCGATGGAATTTCATCTACGATGCCAAGTATCAGTCTCGAAATGAGTCGCGTTACGCACGGCTAGCTCTGTATGGACAGCCCAAACCATCTAATCAGCAGCAGGGTGGCCAGCAACAGCAGCCCAATCTCTACCCCAGTGGACAGGCGAGCCCTCAGATTCAGCAGCCCTCCCAGCAATTTGCTGCTCAGGCGGGAGCAGGATTGTCCCACCCTCCACAGCAGCCTCAGCAAAACCAGCCTTCCTGGCAGGCTGGAAACAGCCAGCCATCCGGAGGCCAGTCGTCTGTTAGCACCGAACCCCAGCAGCAGCAGCAGCAGCAGCAACCGCCGCAACCCCAGCAGTCCCAGACTCCATCTTACAACCAATATCAGTCTTCTACTTACCCACCTGCTCCCAGTCAAGCCTCTCAAACACCTGTACAAGGCCAACAGCAGCAGCATTCTGCTCAGTCCTGGCAATCCGGAAAGACCGATTATCCTCCCCAGGGACAGTCTCAGTCTCCCTCTAACATTCAGTCCCCTCCTCCCTACTCCAGTGGTGCTCTACCGGATCATACATCGGGCCAGTATTCATACACTGGAAATTCGTTCCCGCCTCCACCCCCAGGGCCCGCTCCCAGCCAATCGCCTGGAAATGCCCCCTACCACTCGCAGCAGCAGCATGGACAGACATCTTACGGGTCACCTGCACCGCCTAGTGCTTCGGAGCTGCCGGCTCAATCCTTTGAAAACTACCCGCCTCATGCCGAGTCTCAGGGTCAAGCTCCCTACTACCAATCCCAGAATCAAACTTCGGGAAATCAGAGCCAAGCACAGACCCCAGCACCTTACTACCCGCCTCCACCAGGCCAGGAAACCCATTCTGGCACTCGCGGATTGGATGGCCAGCACCACGACGGCGAGCGTGGATTTGCACCACAGCACTATCAGCCTCACGCTGATGGGGAGCGTGGATTTGTGCCAAAGCGCTACGAAGAAAAGTTCAACAAATACGTTAACCCACTTCGTGGACAGCTTGCTGGGCAAATTCATCAGTATCAGGATCGTTTGACCGGATACGGACGTCCTGCATCGCAGCAAACCCAAGGCCGTATGTCTTGCCAGGTTGTGCGTAGCTGTACCAAGTGGAGCAATGGTAGCCCCTTGGAGCACTCCATTGCTAACGCTTATGCTGCTGTCATCAAGAACAGTCTGCACTTTGTCTACATCGAGAACCAGTTCTTCATCACTGCTACTGGTGACCACCAACACCCTGTGAAGAATACCATCGGTGCCGCCATTGTGGAGCGTATTCTTCGTGCTGCTCGTGCCGGCGAGAAGTACAAGATTATTGTGGTGATTCCCTCTGTGCCCTGCTTTGCTGGTGATCTCCGCGATGATGAAATGCTTGGCACGCGGGCCATTATGGAGTTCCAGTACAACTCGATCAACCGAGGAGGAAACAGCATTATGGAGCTGATCGCCAAGGAGGGTTATAATCCCATGGATTACATTCGATTCTACAACCTCCGCAACTATGATCGAATCAACAACGGAAACATCATGGCTGCAGCGGAACAGCAGAGTGGTGTGAACTATGGCGACGCGAGTCATCAATATGACCAGAATGCTTCAGCTCCCATCAACTATGGTCAGCAGAATGCTCCTGCCGCTCCTGCTCCTCGAAGTGTTTTCGATCCCACTGCTCCATTCCAGCAGTACCAGCACGCTGCTCAGCAGGTTCCGGGAAGCAAGGCACCTGGCGCTGGACAATGGAACAGCGTTAGCTCATGCTACATGCTGGGCGGAGAGGATATTCGTAATGTTCCGTGGAACGGTCATCCCGATGCTGAGATCGATGCGTTTGTCAGCGAAGAGCTCTACGTGCACTCCAAGGTATGTAACCAAAAGAAAATTGCACTCACAGTGAATCCGGCTAACAGAGGAAACAACAGGTCATGGTTGCCGACGATCGCGTTGTGATTTGCGGATCGGCGAACTTGAACGATCGCTCGCAGCTCGGAGAGCATGATTCGGAGATTGCACTTATTATCGAAGACTTTACTCCGATCCACTCCACTATGAACGGCCAGCCCTGGACCGCCAGTCGCTTTGCTTCATCTCTCCGTCGCCAGCTGATGCGCAAGCATCTGGGACTTCTTCCCCCACAAGATTACCAGCAACCAGATGCTAACTTTGAGCCGGTCGGTGTCCCCAACCACTTTGACTTTGACTGCCCCGAAAGCAAGATTGTTTCCGATCCGCTCTCGGATACTTTGCAAAGTCTGTGGAACTCACGTGCCCACGCCAACACCGAAGTCTTCCGCAAGGTGTTCCACGCTGTTCCCGATGACAGCGTGCGTAACTGGGCCACATACAAAGAGTTCTACGAGTACTACTTCCACGGAGCCGATAAAGAGGCTGAGGGTCAGGGAGGCAGACCGGCACGATACCAGTGGGGCCACGTTGTTCGCGACGATTTCGCCCCTGGTCCGGAAGGCGCGAAGCAAGTCAAAGAACTGCTCAGCCAGGTCAAGGGTAATCTGGTGGAGATGCCTTTGATGTTCCTTGGCGAGGAGGATATTGCGAAGACTGGCCTGACCCTGAATGAGCTGACTGAGCCCATCTACACTTGATACTTCTATGTTTGATTTGTCCTACTGATATGACTCACGAATCTGCGTTTTCAATATCTTCAACTTGTACCTAAATTGAAACAGCGTGATCTGTAGCTCTCAATGATATTTCAATTTCAAAACAAACCGAGCGAATTGAAAAATTAAGCATAATCGCACGTGTGCCACGTGGGTGCCTGCCAAGCCTTAGCTTAGTATTGTTCCGGGGAAGAACAATACTAAGCCATAGGCGAGGCGACACTCTCTTTGTTGATTGAACTTAATTCTTCAACTCATATCTCGAGATCATCAATCCATAGTCGCTCAGTGTGAACTTCTTTCTTTCACTTAGTATTGTTCGTCATATCATTCTTCCTTATCTCCTTCTCGCTTTGAGATGCCTACTGCCATGGCGTTTTGAGAGAAAGAACGCCATTCCATGGCCTCGCTCCTTCTCGCTTGTGCTGATATTGTGCCGGAGACAACAATATTAACGATCAATTCAAAGTCTCATTGATACTCCCAGTATGTAGCGTGAATCTCCGAATCGAGTCTCTGGTCTTTATCAATTTAGAACGCCACTCAAACTGAAAGATCAAGGACAATATTAAGAAAGTGAAAGGAACAATATCAATAAGACCCCACACCAATATCTCGAGAGTACTGTTTTCCACGCCTCAATCAGATCCTGGCCCTGTATCACATTCACACCCTAATAGATCTCACTTCCTCGTCCCGGGGTACAAATACTTCCAAGATTCCCCCTCTGTCCAACCTTTTCTCTCCTCATCCACTACTCCAATCACCACTCCACTTCAAACAATCTTTCGCTTTCCAAGCAACCCAACCATCTTCAAAATGTCTCCTAACACTCAGATCCGCAACTCTGCCATCGTTAAGGGTAAGTCACTCCAATGCTCAAGCAAAACATCCTCGTTCTAATATCCATCTACAGCTTCCCCCGGCGGCGGCTGTGTTATCATGTAAATTCCTTACATGATGCACCCATCCTGCCATCTCAGCCAATCGTCGCGCTGCGAGATCTGCCTCGTTGATCTCCAGCGTGGCCAGCAATGAAATGCAAAACACAATCTGCATAACAAACACACGAGAACAATTTATCGACGCAAAACCGACCCTTTCCGAACATGACCAACAACACCCACTTGCTTTGACGATATCGTTATCAGTCCAGTTCATTCTTTACGGCTTGATCTTCCTTGTGCCTTCCTTGCTGCTTTCTTCCTCTTGGGGCTGATCTTCGGATTTTGATGAGAGGATTGAGAGTGCAGGGCTTCAAGGCGCGAGGTCCATCATGCTGATTCTCGTGGATTGCCCAGGTGACAGGGGATGATGGAAAGTGGCGGATTATGTTGATTCCCTTTTCTGTCGACTCGTTGGGGGGCTCACTAAATTTTACAAAACATTCGGTGGTTTTTTTCTTGTGGTTGTGGTGCGGATTCTATGGTTTTTTTGCTTTGGTTGTCATGGATTTTCAGGATTCTTCTTGTCTTCGGGTTCTACTCATTGTTTTAGTTTTTACTTTGGTCATGGTGGTCGATAGGAATACAGCATTTTCTGCCTAACATTGAACTATTTCGTCTTCAACTCGTAGATTGTACTACATATACTTTACATGAAGCACTTGTCCGCGTGGTCCAAATTCGCAAATAGTGTATGTACACTATTAAAGTATGACCTTGACTTGATCCAAAGAATTCGACCTTGGGATTTTATTTTTATAGTTGAACGAGTATCTACAGTAGTATATCAACAAGCTTAGGGTCCATGAAACCTACAAAAGGGAGATGGTCAACTGGTAGCATAATTGGAATCACCTGACTAAGACCGACTCTAGGGCCAATCAGAGACAGATGTCAAAGACTGTTTGGACCCACTTTGAATCTCTCAGCCAATCAGGTGCTGCAAAAAAAAATTACAGGTTCCCAAGTAGTAGAGGGGTAGACGGGAGGACAGTACAAATCCGCTATTTCCAGCATTGCGGAACAACATTTGAACGTTGAAAATGAAATATCGTTCTGCACCTGGGCAGTCGCCAGACGTCGCACCGGATTCTTCCGTCTCGAGAGTCCCGCTGACGCTAAGAAAAAATCGAACTCATCTACCTTTGAAATGAATCATGCTGACTAAATATTCAGAAACGTGGAAGCGTAGGCTCAATTTACGGTCAATTGATATGCCTTGCTGCGAATTCCTCTCTTTTGACGTAAGATGCGCACTTTGCACGATTCTCAGGATCTGTCGGCCAATTAATGCTAAGGATGGCACTGCAAGTTGACGTGGCGAAGCAGCTGGAGTCAGCCTTGCTTTCCAACGCAAGGCTGGATTTGGGAAGCGGGGTGAGACCGTGAGGGTCGTCCGACTCGTGAATGAAGGGATAAGCGCCCAAATTTCCTTAAATACCAATCTCATTTCCTTTCCACACTATTCTTCTACCTATACACATCTTTTCCTTCACAGTATTCTCCATCATTTAAGTTTTTTACAATCTTCTGGCTTCTTACCATGCCCGGGTTTCCGAAAAATAGTTTCGACCCTATCTCCGATCTTGAAGCGATTATACACTACAGTCCACGAGACCCTGATTTGCCCATGCAGTCACTAGAGGCGGCCGGTTCTACAACGCGCCGAGAGGGCAATAAGCGCCTTGCCATTATCGGCGATGCCATTATAAGACTCATTCTCTATGTGCGCGGATATGAGAGCAATGCGTCTACAAGTGAGCCCCCACCCCTTCTTGCCCCTATTTTTGATGCTAATTCAATAAAAAGTGGAAATGACGAATGCCCAGAACACCAAGGCTTGTAATGCCTATCTAGCCCAGCGCGGATTCAGCCTGGGCATCGATTCCTGCATTAGACTGAACCCGTCGGCCCAGGGGGTAATCCCTAGCCGACTAATGGCAACCACCATGGAGGCCATCGTGGGAGCAGTCTATTTAGACAGCGGCAAGGATCTGGCGATCACGGGCGACGTGGTTGTCCTTTTACTCGACTTGGATTAGATCTGATGGACATCCTCGGGTATGTTTTGAACAAAATTCCGATGATGACAATGGTCTTCGCTGACTGATTCTTTTTGATAGGTCGCATCTCCCGAGGGGTATACAGATACCCTTGCGGCGATGGTTGCTGGCACATGCCATGGTAAAGGGGCTTTTCAGCCCTTGACGAGAGGGACACACCGGGTACCATGTGGCCCTCTCGAGAAGGGCTGGAAAGCCTCTTTATATTAGCATCTGGCGGTTACTGTGGCTCTTTAGTATCTTGATACTCCTGTGAGTATACCGGTCATGGCATTTGTCTCAAGCGGAGACCGGCCGGGCAATTTTACGAAAAGACACCCTTTGGTACCTGGGTGTCTTGTCGTGAAATTGCCCGGCCGGTCTTCTCGACATGCAAATACCATGACTGGTATATGTGCACTGGATCCCTGGCTGTTTTTGGTTTTTGGTTTTTGATTCTTGTTTTTTTTCGTTTCTCGGTTGATACATATCATGGATATGCATGGGAGACATCCAACATGTCATTGGTCATTTTATGCTTTACTGTTGTTTGCGCAGATATGCAACGATTCAACATCGTTACTGGCAGTCAGAGTCGAGTTAGCTTCAAATTTAATCTAGTCACTCGTTGAGAATAATTCTCTCCTAGAAATCTTCAACCAAAATACTTTGGTTACTCCTCTGAGAAGAAACAGCAACATCTAGACTGGGATTTCCTGAGAAGAAATTCACAGGCTTCAATCCAACAACCATTTTCTCTGCGGGCATGACCGGCCAATCCTCTATGCGCGGATTATGCGTCGATCCAAAAGTATGCCAAATGACTATATCTTCATTACGCACGCTCGTCTTCGCCCCAACTGAAAGTTCCTCATCCCTCCTCTGTTTGATGACTGAGTTGATTCCCTCGCCACCAAGTGATTGCATAGTGTGGCGCCCAGAGGCATAGAGCTCATCGTCATTGTACCGAGTCACCCATAGAGCATGGCTACCAAATTCCGATCTCTTGGCATGGTATGATTGCGGATGAGCGAGAAGCATCTGGCTATAGCACGGCAGCAACTTGAATCCGACCGGTGTGCCGGTGATTGGATTAACGATTCCTTCATTGATAATCTTGAAGGTCCGATTTTTAGACACGTCTAAATCCAGTCCACCTTCTTCAGTGACGATCTTAGAACTTGTAGTGTAGCCCACTCCAAAGGGGTTATGGATCGATGGATCTCCCATGGGCAAAGCGTGAGACTCTTCAACCTGCAGAGAGTTTTTCGTTCCATCGATGGAAGGATCCATTCGAAGAGAAAACAGGTGTTGGTGATACGGTGCCAAAACACCAGGCGCAACAACGGTTCCATACCCGACGCTATCACCGATATTAATCGGGCTGGTAGATAGGATTCCCGTCGCACGCACTTCATAATGAATAGAGGCGTCCTGGCCGAACTGGAACGCAAATATATACTCGTAGTTGCTGACCGTGATAATAGTCTGCAGAACCAGGATGCGCGAGCGAGTAACAACCGCATTCTGCGTGCGGAAATTGGTGTGTTTCCATAGAATGCCATCATCCTGTTCGTGGCAGCAGATCACATTTGGGAGCTTCACGGGCTCGCCGCTCATGGTGTTGTGCCAGCCGTCAAAGTATTTAATCACACCCAGACAGTCGCACCCAAGACGGAGATTATTCGCGTTGATCCCGGCGCCGTCATTTCCAAGGTCGAAGGCTCCCTTGCGGGGAAATGGGGATCGGGGGTCACCGTATGGTACGAACATCTCCGATAGCGACATTCGGTAGAACAAGCTGCGGTTGTCGTAGCGGATGTCGTGGAGGGTCAGTCCTTCGCGGTAGTTGAATCCCACGCGCATTGTCCACTTCTCCCAGGTGATGAGATTGCCATCGGTTTGGAAAGATGGGCCTTGTGGCTGGACGACGTGATACGGCTTTGTCGATGTGCGAGGGGGTGGCCGCAGATCGGGGTGGTACTCGCTAAGCTCGGGGGAATGAATCTTCTGGTGATCATATGGTCGGGCCTCGTCGGAAACACTGTCATCTTCAGACGAGGGCAAATGGTAGATCTTGGTCACTTGGAGTTGCTCAGATACTTCAGCGCACAGATCCAAGGGATATGCGTAGTAGTTCGCGTCTTGGTTTTCAGAAAGGCGCATGTAGAACCAGCACTGTGGGATTTGTTAGTATGACTAGAACAGCGCATTGCATCAGTCATTGGGGATCGCCTACCATTGTTGTGCGCTCAGTCATGTCACTTATTCCATCCGTGGCATACGCCCAAGGTTCGATAACCACGGTGCTGCCTTCTGGTAGCTTGAGTTTCTGAATCTCGACCTCAATTCTCGGGTCGGCTCTGCAGGCCTTCTCAACTGCCTGCATATATGCGAAGTCAATGTATGGATGTTTCCCAGCCAAGTTCTCTTTCTTCGACACAATGCCTTTCTCGATATTGACAACGAGCTCGACCATTTCATTGCAGCTCGATTGTTTGCTAATTATAACTTGAACACGAGCACTTCGAGCAGGTCGCGTTGTTTGTGGCTGGCCCTGATGCTCCTGCTCCAAGAAAAGGATCATTTCTTTCTTGGGTGGTTCTTGTAGTGTTATAACACGAAAGTTAGGCGATTGCCCAGGGAACTCGCCTCGGACGATGTTTGCAGCCTGCCCTCAGTATCTAATCAGCACTCTTGCAATGGTTCTTGTACGGGATTTTCTTTACCTGGATGATCTCCAGTGGTGTTAGAGGATCAAATGGGTGCGGGATTGGGGTTGACATCTTGAATGTACGTATGATATCCACCGGGATATGTATGCTCAAAGCTGTATTTGACGATAACCGAGATATATTCAAAGAGCTTTCTTGGATAAACTGGAGGGCGATGCAAGAAGAGTTTGCATTGATTTATGCGAGACTTGCGAAGACCAGGATTTTGAAAGATTCTTAAACATTGAAGGCAAGCACTTGAGCCTGTTATCAAAAAGCAAGGATCCGCTAAGGTATAAGAATAGCCGGCAATCGACACTAAAATTGCCCCGCAAATACGCTAACGTTAAGATTAGACGGTTCTTCCCCGCTATGAGACACAAATGGTTCCGGCCTTATCATCATCAAAGCCAAGGCACTGCCTGCCTGGTCAAGTTGCCCCAAGGGGCTTCAATGTTCGGTAATACGGGGAGGCGCTTAGGTAACACTCCTCTCACGATTTCTAGGATGCTGAAGCTTTCCTGTGGTGGCTTCAAATGTTGGAGTTTCCTCTCGTTATTCTCCCTCCGAACATTGAAATATTCTCCTTTCATTCAATCGCTGATTTCATGGCCTACTCACGGATATATCAACGCCATACTTGACTTATTGATACTTTGTTCTCCTTCGAACTTCTGAAAACCAGCAATGTGAGAAGCTGGCAACTGTGTGAGCAATCATGCGACCGAATTTGAGTAATGAAGCCTATCAAACTCGACTTTTTCACTCCAAAAATTCCAAGTGCGCCCGAACTTTGAAGTCCACGGCCAGAATCCGTCGTCTAGAATAAAGGGGTCGATCGAGTTAGCTGACTCGGGCATCCGGATAACCGTCCAGTGGCGTGAAATAAAAGCGGGTTTTTACTCCTTATCAACTCATGTAGGGATTCCCCGCTGGTAGGTCATTCCCGGGGTGGGTTGATGATTTGGTAGGGAATCACCGTAAAGTGGGCCCATGTAGGTATTCCCCATGGTATCCTCAGGTAGGGAATACCCGTAGCCACACCCTTATAAAACCCCAATTCTTTTGCTTTTCTAGAAAAATCATGTTCCTGCATATCGTGCAAGAAAGTCCAAACCCAAAATTGTCAAAATGGATATCATCCTAGATATCCTCGACACCTTCGTCTTCGACCGGTGCTATGCTTCCCTCCTACCGGATCCATCGTTCGGCAACAATTCCTCCACCTGGGACTTTAAAACACCGGTCAATCAACATGTCGGTGTATATTATCCATTGCAAGCATCCGAATTGGCCTACGCAAGTCTCTGGAAACGAGACTATGTCCTCAGACAGGGCGTGTCGTTTTTCCTAATTGCATTGTAAGCAAGCCTCTCTAAAACTAGTTATCCATCTCTCTCTCTCTCCCTTCTACCTATCCCGTACTAACCCACTATCTATATAGAATATTCGCCTGGCTACTATACCTCGCCGGCAGCTTCATCCTCTACCACACAATGTTCGACAAAAGAATGCTCCAACACCCGCGCTTCCTCCCCAATCAAATCTCCCAAGAAATCGCCCAAGGCATGTCCTCCATCCCCGTGATATCCCTCCTCACAGCGCCCTTCTTCGTCGCCGAGATAAGAGGTTTCTCAAAATTGTACGATTTCAGCTCCGAGTCCCCCTTCTGGGGCTACACGCTGCTGCAGTACCCGCTTTTCATCCTGTTCACTGATTCCGGGATCTACTGGATTCATCGCGGCTTGCATCACCCGCTGGTGTACCGGTGGCTGCATAAGCCGCATCATAAGTGGGTGGTGCCGACGCCGTATGCTAGTTATGCGTTTCACCCGTTGGATGGGTGGGCGCAGAGCTTGCCGTATCATGTTTTCCCGCTTCTGTTTCCGCTGCAGAAGTGTGCTTATCTGGGACTGTTTGTGTTTGTTACGTTGTGGACTGTTTTGATTCGTGAGTTCTTCTTCTTGGGATCCTTGTCGTTCCGAATATGGCTAATTTTGTGCTTTTAGATGATGCCGAGTACTTGTCTACTTCTAAGATTATTAATGGTGCGGCGTGTCATACCATGCATCATTTGCACTTCAATTATAACTATGGGCAGTACATTACCTTATGGGATCGTATTGGAGGGACATACCGTATCCCCGAGGAGGATGCTTTCAAAATGAAGCAGAATGAAGAAGACAAGGCTACAAAGGCCGCAAAAGCTTTGAAGAAAGATATGTGAAGGAAAAGAATATAGTTTTGGTCTGTATATAGCATGTATCATTAATCATTAATAATATCTCAATTTCGTTGGACTCTGCTGGCTCCGCTCAAGTGCTGCATGAAATCGTTGAGATTGGCTAGCTCATCGGTAGCCGTGGGGTTAAGATATGCAAGGCCAGCCTCAGGCTGGTTGGCGATATCCAACGTAGCCGTGAGCAGCCACCACAACTCCTCGGCATGTTTGGGGTAGCCGAGATGAAGAAATTGCTTCTGGTTCAGGGAATCCATCACTGAGTCCCATATCCTTTTCCAATTCTTGGCTCCGCGACTTATTGTGTTAATTGGAAGGAATTTTAAAAGCCCTGTCCTGGTTTGAAAGGCCAGAGAGCTCATGGCTATAAGGATTAAATTAGTTCAGGGCGCCTTGCTTTTGTGGTCAAGCGACATACCATATATGAGAATTAAAAGATTTTCTGCGGACAACGAATGGCTCCATGGAATTGGGGTTTCGGAATCGGGAGTTTCCAAAAGTTGTGTGACTACATCTTTCAAAGGGGGTATGGGATATTCGGTTGATCTTTCAGATGCAATCTGGGCAAATGCTGCGGCGTCTTCGGCTTCCCATAGTTCGGCACACCATGGCAAATGACAATCCATTTCAAATATTGATAATGCCGGGTGGTTTTTGAAACATACTGTAAGAAAGCCATCTGCTAGAAAGACCCAGCACGCAATTCTGTCTCACATAAGCAAATATCCGGGAAAGAAAAGTGAAGCAAATCGACATACCGTATGCACACCTCCTCGGCGACAAGAGCTCTCCATGTCCAATCGTCATGAGCATTAGGTGCCGTGCGCCGCTTGAGTTGGAAAATCCCCAGTGACCGGATAGTAGAAACTAAGCACGGGTGCCGCATGATACGAATGCGACGCCTCGTCTGCATGTCATCGCGCCCGAATTGGAGCATTTCCATGATAAGAGCTGCTTGCACCAGTTGGACTGTAGGCGATATATTCATAGGATCATTTGACGACGGAGTCGTCGTCAGGTTCAAAATGTGTCGAAAAATATACTCCTCTGCTACATCCAATATCCAAGGAGATAAAGAAGCACCATCCAAGGGCGTTGTGTATGTTGCGCCTGACAAAAATATAGCGAGCAGAAGCGGACTTGATATGCTTCCAGGATCAAAGGTCGGGAAATGAATAATGGGTAGGTGCCAGTGCAGCGACTGGAAAAAGGCTGAGATAAAAATGGAAATATTAGATACTCCAAACAACGCTGTGAGTTTCATCATATCAAGTATTTCCGGATCTTCTGCGCCAGCAGATGTCATGGATTTCGAGGTTTCGACTAGCTCCGTTACCAACTCCGTTAGTTGAGTGGAAAGCTTGGAAGGAAAGAGTGCGTCGGACGGGCATTGAGAAATGAGGGAGTCTTCCATAGCAGACGAAAGAAGGAATGGGAAGTCTGATTCCCTTAAATCCTCGGGAAATGCTGCTAGTGGATCAGATGGGACAAGCGCATCTTCAAGATGAGAATAGATCGAGTCGAGATTCCTGCGAACGGAAAACTTGGCAGTTTCCCCTATCGCAAGTCTGTCCTTTTTAACGGCCGGGTTGGCAAAGTGTCGAAGAAAGAAAAAAGGATTGGTGTGAACAGGACCACCCCGAGGGGTTGCTATAGACAATGTCGCTGGCAGCTTTAGTAAGCGGGCGCCGACGGCGAGTGCTGAAGATGGGACTCCAAAGGTACATTGCCGACCGATAGCATCGCAGCGGGAGCAGGGCGACTTTCTATCGCATGCCGCTTTTGCTGAGAAACATTCGTCGCATGACTGTCTTTTCCTTCCGGGCTTTGCCGCAGGGGGAAGAGGTTGATCATGCTTCTTTGCACATGTCTTGCTATGTCTTCGAGTGACCTCTCTATGGGCAGGTTAGTAGCAGGAACAAAGTCGTAAACGCATATGATTGTTCATACGGTTTCAAAAATGATTTTTTGCAAAACGGACAGCTTGAAGCAGGCTGCTGCATATCTAATCATCTGTCAGTTTGGGGGATGCTCAATAGTCAGTCAAGACAACGAGATGGGGACTCACGAGTAGCCTCATGACGATGCAGATGTGTTTTCCTCTGATATGATTTATCGCATTGTGTACACTTGAACATGATGTGTTAATAATTAGGCCTCTACATCAGAACCATTGCTTTGGAGCCAGCTCAATTGATGTCTGATCAATGATTATTGATGCGATGCAGCTCGGGATCTCTCAAAGCCGAAGGCCCGCCGTAGATAGCGCTAGGCCCAGTTAGGTAATTCCGTCGGACCAGTCACTACTAGTACTAACTACTATGGAATGTAGATATTGGACAACTTTGAATGGCCCGATTGGAGGAATCAATGTGGTATGTATGTAAAAAGTAATATTCACGGAGTAAATCAAGAAGGCCATTTCACCTATTTCTAGTTCCAGACTTCAGTCTCTTGACGAACTCCTACTGCCTTGGCCTCCTCTGCTTCAGAGTACTTTGTCAAATCAGCATCATCTGTCCCATAAGCCTCATTAATTGCATCTTCAATCTGATCAAGCGTCAGACCAATCAGGCCTACAGACCGAGCTAAACCAGCCTGGGCCATCTCTTCTCCAACAGCTGATTCAACAATTCCATCGCCGCCATTGGCAGTAAGATCTGCCTCAAATGTGCGGAACAGGAGCCGGAGAGGGGCAAGAACCTCACTGCGGAAGGAAAGAATGGTCTTTTCTAGATGAAGTTGGTCTCTCAGGGGAGAAGAGAGAACCAAGAAGTAAAAACTGAGTGCGGAGTGGAGAGCTGGTCCATCAGTCTGGGTAAGACTGATCCAGCCGTCAATGAGCTTCGAAGAGGTAGCGGTCCTGACCGTCTGGAAGAGAAGTGGGAAAAGTGACCAGAAGTAGATCGGGTCGTGGAAGACTGTGCTAGAGGAGGTGGCCCCAATAGTCTCATCCTTCAGCCATGAGACAGCGCTGTCCCGAGCGGACTGAAGGCGATTATCTCCCAGAATTGTTCGGATGAGCTTGAACCTCGCAATTTCAGATGGGTAGCTGTGTACTATGGTTGCCGGGATCTGGCGCACAATACCATACTCCTTGTTGGATGTGCAGCCCGTTAATGTGATAACGAAGTTTTTGAACTCGGTGTCGCTGGATGGTGTTGGAATCGGATCTTGCAAGGCGCAGACAGTCAATGCCAGGAGTGAGTCGATAAGAGCTTGCGGTTGTCCATAAGAAACTTCGTCCAAGCTCGCGGTATCTCCCAAGAAATTTTTGTAAACCAAAGCTAGGTCAGGGAAGATTGGTATACTTGGTACAGGTTGACCAGATCTGAACAAAGTTGCTCCTGCAGCGCGAGCTGCAAGAAGCAAGAGTGAGCCGTGGCGCTCCAGTGAAATTTCATTTGCGGAGGTTGGCGGTTCCTCGAAATCCAGAGGCTGGGGCTGGTCATCGGGAGATCTAGAGATGATGGATATGAGATCTGCGGATTCGATTCCAACGTCTCGCGACAAGGCCTAAAGGGTCAGTTTATTCATTTTTGAATACCTTGGCGGGACTTTACGTACCACTATCTTTCCCATGATCATATCACGTTCCTTCAACTCTTTGGTGTTGGCATATGCATCCGACTGGGACTGTTCGGGTAATTTCAACGCCGGAAGGAAATGCTCCTGCATTCGGACCGTCCAGGAAATTCCTGGATCCATTGGACTCGAGTGACTCAACAGATAAACTTTGAGCACTTCCATTAGACCAAATTGAATGAATTTTTCAACCAGGATAGCCTCATTGGCTAGAGCCGGGTCCGCCTCTGCTTCCGGGTCTGGGGCAGAAGAGATTGAGTTCACGCGCAGAACAGTCGACTGGCTGTTAGATCGTGGAGGCGGGGCTGGCCGTTTGTTCGGAGAAAGGTCGCGCAGGAATTCGAGGAAGGCTAAGGTTGTCTCGTCGCTCGGCATGGACGTGTAGGCTTCCAGGGCCGCTTGAAGTGAGGTCGCAATGAAACGGCTCGGTGATTTGGTTTGAATGCGGGTATGAAGCTCTGACAGCATTGCCAACAGGCAATTGAATTGAAGAGTATGTTTGGGTAAAGGCTTGTCTTCAGATCCGTCATCTGTGAGGTTCTCGTCGTCGTCGTCCGGTTGCAGTTGCATCAGGGCCTCGGACACCCGCAAAATAACCTCTCGAGGATTTCCTAATCTTGCTACATCATGGAGGCAGTCTGTTGATGCTGGCAGCATGGGAAGAAGCAACTTGATCAAGTCCCAACCGATGTTGGTAGTAAGTTTCTCATCCTGCAAGAGCCGGTGCAGCAAGGGCAGGCGCTTGGGTGTGAGTTGATATTCAAGGAGAGTCAGGTAGGTCAGATAATCTGTAGCTGGAGGCAGAGCCTTAACGAGCGGATTTTCAGCGTCGGCGTCCATGGTGTGGATATTGTAATACGTTACAGTTGAGTTGTTGAGGCTCAGAGGGGGACGTCCCGCGCGGGGAAGAAAGATACAGAAAGTGACATCACATCACTGACTCAGCCACCGGTGGCGTGTGGCTTGCCTTGCTGTGTTTCAAATTAGAAGACAAGAAATCAAGGAATCTTGTTAAAATTTGAAGCGATGTAATTTTGTTTGAATGATTTGAAAAGGGCAAGTTTTATTCTTCAAGAAAATTGAGTAGTCAATAATGCCAAGTAAAAATGCATCGCATTTTTGTAACGGTTGTAGATCTACTAACTGCGTCATCGGACTTATACTTGTACCTGGTTGTTAAGGCACCAGGTACCAGGAACCAAATCTTATGTAATTGGACATCAGATGACTTTACTAGTGTTAGAACTATGCATTGGAAACCTTAGAACAAAAATGATTATAATGAATTCCACATTCTCCACTTGCGGTCCCCCGTCGCGAGTTCCAATATCTAGGTTTACGAAATACCAACCCGTTTTTTTCATTTTTCAGATTGAGACAACTCTGATATCGGATCTCAATGCAACAATGGCATCGTTAGACCGACTTCCGTATGAGCTCCTTTCCAGTATCAATGGATACGTGGTGGACTGGGTTGGCCTTGAAACGAATTGAGCTCTCTGGTTCAGACCATCGGTATCTTGATGTTGTGGATGTTACGGGCCTCTTCTATGGTAAGAAGACCCTAAAGTATTTGAATGACTTAACTAACCTCGATACAAGATCCGACCAAGTTTCAAACTGAACAGGACCATGCCATTATCCGGAAATTGATAAGGATCATACGACTGCACAGATAAGCATACCATTATCCTATAAGTGAATACCTTTTAGATGATCATAGAAGAGTTATAGGACTTACACACATCATGAGCACAGTTGGCAATGCCCCACCCGGCGGATATTATCCTGTCTTTGTATGTGCATATAAACAAACACTTAATATACATACATCACTTTTGGGTAATTCTTGGTGGAACGCAGACTGCTAGTACATTGTTTCCCCTCTTTACTGATACTTGGGTACTTATTATACACCCATCCCAAGTACCAAGTATACATATAGTATGTAGTAGGGCAATTCAAGGTTGGATACCCCTAGCCCTTGAGGGCGACTAGTAGGTACTACCTAGTACTTACTACTAACTTCCAAGTATCTAAAGACATGCCTGGAAATTGAACTGCGCGGCGATTTCTACTTATGATATAGAACTTTGAATAACATTGAACCAAGTTGTCTCATTGTCATTGAATTCAACGTCTCTTTTTGAATACATAGTATGATGTACCTCTGGCTATTATTGGGTTGGTTGAGATGAAATCCATGTTGGATTTTCCGTTTTGAACTTGCACCTGCCTTCCTCCCGAGGTCGATTTCGAACTTGCTTCCACGTTCGATCTCTTTTTCACTCTCATTTATTGCTCTCACTCTGCTTTCTTTTTCATCTATCCCGTTCTCTCTTATGTATACATTTGTTGTCATTCCCCCGGTGCGTGTACCCGAGTACAAATGAGCCCGCTGTTCTCTACCTCATTCTTTCATGGCCTTGTTCACTTGCATAACCCCCTTTAGACACGTCGCGAATGTTACGATTTGATGCAGGCTTATTTCACCTGGGTCTTTAAGCTTGATCCCTCGGTGGCATGATCAATCGAAGTATCCCAGTTCCACAAGCAAAGACGGAGTAACAAAGAGGAACATACATCCTCAACTTGACAACTCTCCACTGGAACTTCTGGGATCAGGAAAGATCATCACAATACCAATCCATACGATGGTCGAATTTTAATCTTTTTGGAAACCATTGTGGCTCTCGTACTTGAACAGTGGGCAATCTCGTTCATGAACAAACGCTCAACCGCAATGCAGAAACAGCACCGCATCTCGCTGCAGTGCTTGATCGACCTTCTCCAGCTTGAGTACTACCGATACGAGGTCACCTATGGCCTTTATGTGCTGACGCCAGGTGAAAAGTGGGTTGCCAACATCATTGTGATAATCTTCTTGGCACTGTTGATATGGGCACTGGCTTTTTATTTCCCGTCGATACTATACCACAAGCTCGGTCGGCTTGTGTGGCTGTTCACTGGTCACAGTGATGAGAAAGTCAGGGCGGTATTGGGAATACTCGACTAACCTGGGAAATGAATCTCTCGTCTCGATCTGTTGCCTCGCCAAAGCGCCTCATGCATGGCCTCGCGACAAGCCCTTGCTCACAGGGGGGTATTTTATCCTCGTATACAGATGGCGCTCGTTTGTCTCACTCGGGCTTGTGTACATTATGTCTTCGATGAAGGATTTCACACCCTGTCCTTTTTTGAGTGCCTATTATTACCCAGCATTCGCTTACATGTTATGGACTCCTCTCCCCTTCCTTGCCTTTTTCTTTCCGCCCTTTCCGTATCCTTTCAATTTGGCCATTTTACGATTGCTTTATTTGTCCCCTTGGGAAGACATGCGCATCCGAGCTTGGTCTTTTCCTCCAGATGTCTCCTGGGTGAAAGTACAGTATACCACTTCTTTTTGCTTGAAGGCCCTCGCCCTACACAACTTATACCCCTCATGACGCACAGCCTTATTTTTAGCGGGGATCGACAATACTTAGACAGTGGACACTAAAAATCCACGCTCAATTTTTTTTCCTGTCCTTAATTTTTTCTTCCCAGGGTCCAGAATCCACATTAACAATTCAAAATTAAGATTGAGGGAATTCTACTCCGTACTAAGAATTCCATGTTATCTTGTTCCTATGAATCCCTTCACTCCATGGATGATTCCCCATAAGTAGTCGTCATTCGTGGGCTGTGATCGAGGCTTGCATAGCGCCTACTTAGTAGGGCGGCTCAGATTGCGTGCGTAATGGTACAAGACATTTTAGAAGATTATGTTTGAAGAAAGCTAGAGCCCGTTGCCAAGGGAAGGAAGAAAAATACAATAATGGGTCTCCACAGCAAATAAGATCATGTGTTAGTGCCAAGCGCATCTGCGGCGATACCGAGATGACGATACGCGCGGCTGTGTTGATCGCCCAAAAATAACTTTGGTCTTAATGTGACTGCCTTCTCTTTCTTTCAAACATTTCATAACTTCAAGTTGTCTCTTTTGTCTTTGGGTGATTGAATTCCCCAACTCTCCTTTTACCGCCCTTTCACTTCCAGGGCTCTCGATCGCTTACTTCGATTTCCTCACTTTTATTGATCACCGCCACGACATCTACCAGGGTCCCCGATCGCTCCAGCCCGCCCCGGCAATTAGCCCACCATGGCAGCCAACGAATACTACCACTCCAATATCCCCAGCCCACCGAGCTATGAGCAGGCCAATCCAGGACACATCGGGCAAGCGGTTTCTAATACCCCCGGCTACGGCTATGCCGCCCCCAACTTGTCTAACCACGACGATCCTTCCGCCCCTTATCACAACCGCGAGAGTCAACAATCCTTTGCCTCGGACAATGTCGCATACCAAACAGCAGGCCGAGCCGGAGAAGGAGATCACTACGCAGAGAACATTCCACTGAAATCCCAGGCCCAGTACGGCAATAACCCTGAATGGATGCATCAACAAACTCAATACCCGCCGCAATCACCAGGGGCCCTGGAGGACTCCCGGAGGGGACAGGGCAGACGGAAAAAGCAGGGCTTCTTCAGTTTTAATAAGAAACCTGCCTGGGTGACCTGGGCCCTTACACTCGCTCAAATCATTGTTTTTATTGTGGAGCTAGTCAAGTCTGGTGAGTAATGGTGGCTTCTTTGGAGCTCGGTTCAATCGCTAATCTGCCTCTTTTAGCTGAGTTAACTGGCTCGCCCATTGAAACCAAACCTTCATTTAACCCGATGATCGGCCCTTCTTCTTACGTTCAAATCTGGATGGGCGCCCGCTACGATCCTTGTATGAAAAACATCCCGGGGATTCAAAACGCCAATGAAACGATCTACTTCCCGTGTCCGAACGCCACGACAGATGCATCCGAATGCACACTCTCTGAAGCTTGTGGATATGGCGGAGTCCCCAACAACCATGCTTACGGCACTCTTGATGAGACACCCGCCCCGAACCAGTGGTGGCGCTTCATCGTTCCCATGTTCATCCACGCTGGATTCCTTCATATCGGATGTAACCTGCTGGTACAAATGACTATGGGTGCAGAAATGGAGCGTATGATTGGAGTCTGGAGGTATACACTTATCTATTTTGCCAGTGGTATCTTTGGGTTTGTACTGGGTGGAAACTATGCCGCACAGTTAGAGGCTAGTGACGGCTGCTCGGGTGCTCTGTTTGGCATTCTCGCTCTCCAGCTGCTTGACTTGCTGTACGACTGGCCCAACCGCCCATCTCCCTGGGTGGAGCTCCTGATCATGGTTCTAGGTGTGGCCATATCATTTGTTCTTGGCCTTCTTCCTGGTCTCGACAACTTCTCCCACATTGGCGGTTTTACTATGGGCCTTGCTCTGGGCTTGACTATTTTGCGGTCCCCGAATGCTCTCCGCGAGCGTATTGGCCTTGCGCGCCAGCCGTATGTTGCCATGTCTGGCGGGGCTGGCACAGAAGCCACGGAGGGCAGAAAGACCACCTCATTTGCGGACTTCTTCAAAAACAAGGGCAAGATGGTCGCACCCAGTAATGAAGCCAATGCTGGAGAACCAAAGGGACCATTGGCCTTCTTCACGGGTCGAAAGCCCCTGTGGTGGGCTTGGTGGCTTGTTCGCGCTGGCGCTCTCGTTGGTGTGCTGGTTGGATTTATTCTGCTTATTATCGATTTCTACAAATACCCCTCTTCGAACTGCTCGTGGTGCTACCGCTTGAGCTGTCTGGTATGTGATTCCGTTGCCGAATTGTTTGAATGTTTGCTAATGATGTTTCCACAGCCCGTCCATGGTTGGTGCAAGGAGGGCACTCTCCAGCTTACAAGCACATCCGGTAGCTCTTAGATCTCTTGACTTTTTCCAAATATCCCAATAGGCGTTCACTTTTGTATTTCCCAGAAAGATATGGGAATTGTAAATAAAGGAAACTTATAAAATCTAAAGATCCATGATGAATTACATAGATCACATTTCTGTTTCACGTTGCATGTCCTCATGCGGACGCGCCAGTCAGGATGTCAACTGTATCAGCATTGACAATAGTCATTACCCCTTGTCATTACCTCCCTTTTAATTACCTACTTTTACCTATGCCACGATGAAATTGTTCATTCCTAAAGAATTAACTTTGTCTACTCAACCTAAAACTATTTCAGGTACAAGTGGCTGGAGTCCAACGTGGCTGAGTCAGAAATGCTTACGCAGTCCATTTGTACTAAGCCCCAGGCATCCGGCGCATCCCAACTTCAGGCTTGAGGCACATCCAACCTACAGGTCCGAGTCCTTCACTCGACCATGCAGGTCTGTCCTTAACCTTGGATTAGAAGCCACTCTATCGACACAAATGCACCCTCCTTTCCCTTAGCGTCCGCGCCGATCCAGCACTACTCATGGCTACCTTAGCCTCGTCTCCCCCGACTTCGCCTTCATGGCCGAAACGACGATCAAGAGCTTGGATGCTCCGATGTGAAAGATACTGCTGTGCGGCTGCTAGCTGTTTTCCGCTTGCTTTTGTCTATGGTATCACAACCTGGGCGGTGTATGTGGAAGCCAGTCTCGGGTTCAAAGAATCGCAGAGTAAATGGATTGGTATGGCCCGACCAACAACTCTTTCAGACATACTAGTAGACATATTGTCTAGATTGATTTGAGATGAAAGCTAATGATTTCGCGACCTTCAGGCCTACCCAGTACCTTCCTCGGCCTTTTCTTGTACATCGCTCTCAACGCTTCATATACCATTGCCGTTTTCACCGATCCCGGATCTCCGTTGTCTACACGCAGAGGCAATGATCGACACAATTATAGCGCGTTGCCAATCACCGAATCCGAGTACCCTGAATTCACGTCGTATACGGTCAACTCTACGGGCGGGTCGCGATACTGCAAGAAATGTCAGTGCCCCAAACCAGACCGCGCGCATCACTGCTCAACATGCAAGCGCTGCGTGCTTAAGATGGATCACCACTGCCCATGGCTAGCAACCTGCGTTGGTTTACACAACTACAAGGCTTTCCTCCTTTTCCTGATCTATACCTCTCTATTCTGTTGGGTTTGTTTCGGAGTCGCGGGTACATGGACTTGGCAGGAAGTCCTCAATGACACCGTGTATATGGATAACTTCCTGCCGGTCAACGTGGTCCTGCTAGCCATTCTCGGTGGAATAATCGGCCTAGTTCTGAGTGGATTCACCGCATGGCATATCAGTCTCGCAGTGCGCGGGACAACAACCATTGAATGCCTTGAGAAGACGCGATACGTCTCGCCGCTACGCAAAGCGCTCGACCGACAGCGATTCGACACCGAGTCCGGACTTAACGGCTCGAACGGTGACCCGTCCCAGGAGAGTCTCGCCCACCGACTTCAAGGATACGGGAACCAGATCATCGATGCACATGCCAATGCCATTCCAGGCGTGACCCGTGCCGAAGAAGGCGAAGAGCGTCTCTCACCCGCACCCTATGGCCCCGGCCAGGGTCCAAGCTTCCAGGGTCCAAACTTCAATAACCCCAACAACCTCACTCCAGCCCAACAGGCCTTGTCCCGCTCCTACGCAGATATGGAACGTCAACGTGAACACGACCGGTATCAAAACTACCTCAACGAAGAGGACTCCGAGAAGACGCCCAGCGCATTCGACCACGGCTGGCGCCGGAACCTCGCACACCTCTTCGGTGACCGCCCCCTCCTCTGGCCCATTCCCATCAGCACAACCACAGGTGACGGCTGGCGCTGGGAACCAAGTCCTCGTTTCCTCGAAGCACGTGAACGCCTCCGTCTCCGCCGTGAACAGGAGGCGCACGACGAACAGCAGTATCGGAGGGATCTGTACCAGCGGAATATGGATAACAGCCATGCCTGGATTGGCGGAGCTAGCGCGGGCGCTGGCAACGGTACCGGCGCCGGTACAAGTGTTTCCCCAGCTCAGCCCAGCTGGATCGCCAATCGAAACCGACAAGAGACGCACGATCGCCCACCAACTAGTGTGTCCATGCAGACTCTTGCGCCCGCATCCCCTCGACCTCGGCCGGGCGATAGCGACTACGAGGACGAGCCCGATATCGAGAGCAACGGATTGTTGGATCCAGAGGCTGCGGCTCGTCCTGTGCGTGCGCGAGATACGGATGAGTGGCGCGACTGGGAATGATCTCCTTCTCGCTATCTTGCTTATGAAAAGGAATCGATTTCCCATGATTTATACTTGGCTGGACTGCATAAATTTGGCGTTTCAGCGACAATGTGAACGTGGAAGCCAATATTTTGAATGGCATTTTTCATGTATTACTATCAAATATAATACAGAGGTTCTTGTACATGACTGGAATATACTGCATGCTCTTATTGATGGATGAGAGGCTACTTTTTTCTCTCTCAAGATAGACATCATCATTCATAGTTATTTCTATTCTCTCAGTCAGATAGTACTAGTAATGTTCACTGGTAGGGATATGTCTGGCCTGTAATCACATGACCCCCATAGTCATGGAAAAGATCTCCAACTCAATCTAATCAACGATCACTATCATCTTATCCTTATCCCACCTCCGCAACACCCAAACATCTCCAACTCACCAACTCCAAACCCAAAGAAACCAAGAAAAAAAAGAGACAATGACCAGCCCCTCCACGAAACGTCTTCTCAAAGAATCAACAGACCTCCACAAGAACCCAAGTCCCTACTTCACTGCCGCCCCAATAAGCGACACCAACCTTCACGATTGGCACTTCACCCTCGCCGGTCCCCCCACCCCAACCCCGTACGCCGGCGGCCTCTACCATGGCCGCATAACTTTCCCCTCAACCTACCCGCTCCGCCCCCCATCTTTCCGCTTCCTAACCCCATCCGGCCGCTTCGAGGTCAACCGCGAAATCTGTCTTAGTATCTCCGGTCACCATGAGGAAACGTGGCAGCCAGCCTGGGGCGTGAGGACAGCGCTGCTAGCCATCCGGTCGGAGATCATGGGTGGTGAGAGTAAGGGGCAGGTTGGCGGGGTGGAGGGGAGTACAGAGCTGAGGAAGGAGTATGCGAAAGTGAGCTTGCAGTGGGCTTGTCGGGAGTGTGGGGTTAGTAATGGGGAGGCTATGAAGGATTGGTGGACTGTTTGTGTGGAGAGGGGTGTTGAGGTCGACGTTGAGGGGTTCGAGGGTAATGCTACGGCTTCTTCTGCAGATGGGGTGGGACAGCAGGCTGGTACTGCTGATGCGAGTGAGGAGGTTTCCGAGAAGGAGCAGGTTGAGCCTGTTTTATCGACATCGACAACGAATACCGATGCGCCATCGCAAACGCCACTGCAAACGGAGCCTGAGACCCAAACACGACCACAACCACAACAACTTAAACAAGCGCCAACGCCAACGCCAACCGTGTCGCAATCTACCGCGCAGGCTCAACCATCACAATTAACACAAGATGGTGCGTCTTCATCGACGGGATTGAGTCAGCCATCGACTTCGCAAACGACTGCCCTTCAGCCTCGGCCTGTACGTGCCGCTGCAGGTATCACACATTCATCCGAACCCGCGAACAGCCCATGGCTAGACAGGGCTATTGTGGTCGTTGTGTTTGCTTTGATCATCTTGATTCTACGCCAGACATTGGATGTTGATGACCTGTAACCCCAACTAATGTTTGGCCGGATCTGCATTTTTATTCGATTTTTCCACATTTATACAGTTTTAGCTTGGCGTTTACGGGGCCGGGAGGGCAAATTGGTGTTTACTAGATTGTATATGGTTATCTTTGTCTTCATTCTCAAATTGTTGCGGTCAGAATTGCTATGTGCCTATCTAAGCAATTGGACAATCAATCTACTCAACATGAAGATCTGCATGCTTATATCAAGCCCTTGCCAGGCTAGGGAACCTTGACGTACAGGTTATCCTATCTTGGTAATAGCAGGGACTCAGCCTTGTTCACCGCCTACTTCAAAAGGGCAAGTAGATCATCTCCGTATTTCGGGTTCCAAACGCCAAGACAATGTGGAGTCAAGATCTAATATCTATAGATCATGAAACATCCTTGAGGTTACATGTCTCTATTTAGGGAATATCTACAAGACAGAGAGGCAAAATGGCCAGATTGACAATCCTGGACACTGAGCTACACTGGCCTGAACAATCCAACATCAAAGAGCATAAATAGCTACCAACATCCCCGAGAATCAAACATCATCCATCAACTCAGTCAACAATCAACCAGCCCAATCCACAACCTTGAAACCACTCCAGACTCCCAGTCTTCAAATCAAACATTTAAACCAAAATCCACCAAAATGCAGTTCACCACCATCATCATCGCTACCCTGGCCGCCGTTGCCGCCGCCTCTCCCTTCCCCGATGCTTTCGAGAAGCGCACCTGTGTCGGCAGTGAGTTCCACCATGCAAAGAATGAAGATGACATGGATCCATATATGCATAGTGAGAAATAAGATTCGCTGACTCTTGTGCTCCATTACTTCCAGACTACAAGGTTGCTTGCCAGCCCAGCGGCCCTTCCTGCTGCGATGGATGGCAGTGTGTTGGCGCCACTGAGTGGAACGACGGTGTCTGCATTCCTAACTAAATGCACCTGCATTTGCACCCCGCATTGGATTGGTTCGCGTGCATGAATGAGGGCTTCGGAGCGGGCTTCGAAGCGAGTACTTGAGGGTTTCGGTCTACGGGTACTAGGTAGCTGAGGGTTTAGTGTTTTTCTTTTTCTGGGTTTATAGATCGATTCTGTTTTTGAAGATTACTTTGAGTTTGAATGTTATATTATATGATTGTTTTCAAATCATTCAAATGTTTACATATGTGGCAGATGTTACGTTCTACCAGAAGTATTAAATCGGCAATGTTCGGAAAATTCCGGTAGTCAAACCTTCACTGCCATTCTAAGCAGCCCATGAATGTCCACGGGTTGGAGCCCTGGAGGGTGATATGGTGGAAATGATGACATCGGCGGGACTCAAGTGCTGAGTAAATAGGTAGGTAGGTATGTATGAAATCAATTGATATGTTCGGGTTTTGACCCCTCTAGCTACTAGTACATTACGGTAAAAATCCAGTAAAAGCAATCAAGGACGACCTTCTTCTTTTTCTCTATGATGCCGTTCCCTTTCCATTTTTACGTCGCGATTGCTTGCGCAATTGGAGGGGCTTGGACAATATCACCCAAAGCCATCCACCACCACTCCTTCAGGCTCCAACAAGATCGACCAGGAGTCTCCGACTTCTCCACAATGCCCACCTTCAGCAACCATTCCTCTAGCAAGAGTTCAACCTCCCACTTCATCAAGCCAGGCTTCACCATCATGATGATACTCTCAGCTGACACACCAGGCCGAAGGATAAGACATCCCACCACGGAGGCAATAGACTTGCCCCACCAATCCGGCAAGAAGCGGCCATGGATATCAAACCAGAGCGGCAGATGCCTTGAAGCAGGTGGTCGTGGAGGTGGGATGCTGCTCACAATGTCGCGGATTGGGTTCCCGTAGATGTAGCCCGGGAGCGGGCGCACCTCCATTTCGAAACGTAATCGACTTTTGTCCATTTGACGGGTGAGGTATGCTCCGTCGATGAGACCGAATTTCTCGCGGGGCAGATTGAGCGGAACGAGTTCGACGTGGTTGTATGCAAAGAGTTCGTCTACGGCGAGAGCATCGCCGTCGCCGGCGTGGTAGTTGATTTTGAAGGCTCCTTCGTTCTTGAGCGCTGGGTCAAGAACCGTGGTCTTGAATTCGGCCGCACGTGCTAGTTGGTCGATGTCGATCGCGCGGCGGCGTTCCATTGCTTGTAGGAAGACGTCGTGGAGCATGTAATTGCGGCCTGGGCCAATACGGCCGCGGTGTGCGTTGGAGATTATGCGATCAGTCATCAGAGACTGCGTGGCAGCGGCGAGAAGAGATTCTCCGATTGGTGCCAGGGTCTCGTTGGCTGCGAGGGTATTGTATTGTTCTTCTGGGGTTGCGACATTGCCACGAACCCATGTCTTCGCGATTTCCAGCTGCTCAAGATTATACTTGGGGGTGATGGAGGCCATGGTGCGAGGTTGTTCGACGACAAATGGAACACGAGCCAAGAGACGTTTTTTGTTGGCAACAGTGAGAGCACCACTCGTGACATGCACTTCTTCGGGAACGGTGAAAGGCTCTTCACGGAGATCGAACATGCTGTCAAACTGTTCGCGGGTCGCAGGGAGAGTGGGAGCCTTTTCGGATGTAGAGAAATCAAGCTCAATGCTAGCCCACTCGACCACGGCTGGCCAATTGTATTCTGACAGGTTGTCGTAGTCAATTGGGGGCACTTGTTCTTTCTCGTAGGCCTGGAGATATCGCTCCTGGAAATCCCGTTGCATTTTATGAATTTCCATTCGGTTTCGAGCGAGGATCGATTTACCGTGGCGCTTGACAGTATCCGGATCGCTGTTGGGAAAAGCAAGAGGCACAAGGTCCCAATCGACGACTTTTCCTTCAAACCCACCAGCCAGCGTTCGAATTGCAGTGATAGCAACCATGTATCTTCGTACCACCCCCTCAGGAAGTGGTTTGAACGTCGTCCGGCGACGCGGAGGCTGACGTGCCTCCACCTTTTTGATTTTATTTGCCCGAGCAGTATCAGGTTTGCTTTTGCGATGACGTTGACGGCCAAGCAATGCTCGGGTTAGCATGCGTGCCTTGCGGGATCCCGTAGTTCGTAAAGATTTTTCGACATGGAATCGAACGGGAAGTTGCAATTCACCAGGGGTGAAGCCGTTGCCGACCTCGTGCATGATGAAAAGATGATCATCAAGTTTTGAATCGATCATTCCGTCATTTTCAAGCTCCCATATCATGATCTTGTCAATTCTCGACATGAATTTTTCGGCCTCCGTCATGTTGGCTTCCGCCGCTGGATCGCCAGATTGGGCCAGACTGACGAGCTCTTGGGCAGCGTCAATGAATTTGTAAACCTTACTGGGCCGGGTCTCTGCCCATGTCTTGTACTTTCCTGCTCCCCATCTGCGCTTGATAGATCCTGTGGCGAAAGTGTTTGTCGAGCTATGGAAGATCTGCCCTGGATTCATCAGCATCCTCATTGCTTCTATGCCATTCAGGTTTCTTCGTCCCAGAGGGCGACCCCGTCGTTTCCGCCTTCCAATCGACTTCTTGACTTTGAATCTAGACATCTTCGGTGCCATTCCATTGCCTACCCATGGGCGGTAGATTGATGTCCCTTGATCTCCAGAACCTGGCTCCAATTGAGCGAGTCGTTGAACTCTGAATCTGAGATCCAAGTTTTCTTCGTAGAAATCGAGGTCATCTTCGGAGTCAGTTTCAGATCCGTCATCCAAGAGCATCCTTTTCATGAGCTTTCTCTGGAGTGCTAAGCCTCGCTTCTTCTCCTGGATTAGAACAGAAGCAGGCTTCGAACGGAGATGAACAATTGCATCGGACACGGTAGGCAACGAAAACGGACGGGGCTTTTGGCCGCTCACAGCAGCGGGAACTAAAGGACCACTGTTCCGCGAAATATTGTGATTTGTTTCGATGTGAGGTGAGAAGGAATTTTTAGGGTCGCGGTCACGAGCCAGCAGTTGGACCTGCAAATCCTTGATCAGAGGATCATCGGGTAGCATCTCTGGTTTTCTCAGGATTGTTTTTGTGACCATCGCTCCTTTGCAGTCTTTGCCACTGAATGTCATCTGTTGAAGTGTACCAGCATCAACCAAGTATTTAACAGCTCTCTTCAGAGTCCGCATGTCTGGTTTTTCTTTGTGGTTCATCCTCATCCATGCAGTAGTGAATGGATACCAAAGCTCACCACCGCCAGGGTATGCTCCACCGGCCTTTTCAACAATATCCATAATAATTTTTCTTCGCAAGAACGGTATAGATCCTCCCCTGTTAGATGAGCCATGTTCCTTGGGAATCTCATTCTTATTGAACTCCATTGGCGTGCTGGGAATGAGGTACACGGTGGAGGCCTGTGGTTTGGGTGTGACCAATGTAGAAGGAGGCCCCATGGTATTGTCTCCGGCATTTCCTTGGTCTGCGGATTCAATGTGGTTGCTTGGAATTGGGTCTTGAGGATTTCCGCTTTTAGACGGTCCAGTCACATTGACATCTACCGGGGTCAAATCGATTGCAGCCTCTCCATTATTGCTGGGCTCTGGAGACTTCGAAACCTGATCGGTCCGACTCTCCTTCTGAGGCCCACGGATACGAGCCTGCTTCTTGGGTCTTTCTTTGGCGCCGTTGGGCGTGGCAGCACGTTTCGATGGATTTGGCGACTCAAGAACATCGGCAGCCAGGAGACCCCGTTTGCTACTCCTCGACTGGGTTGGGGTAGACTCAACTGCTTCACTTGGCTGACGGGAGATGGGTTCTTCAGTCACTAGCCTGGGTGTGGCAGCAACTGCCGGGGTCATCTCCTCTCCCTCGGCCTCCTCCCCGTGGTCTGAATCGTTCTCGTCCTTGGTGAACCAAGACAAGGAGGATAATTTTGGTGACTTAAAAATAGCAATCCGGCTCGCCTTTGGACGACCCTGCTTCTTTCCTGCAGGTCGACGCTTTCCATGACTCGTGACATAAACTCCAGGTGTTGGTTTTTCCATGACAAGAGCGCTGTATTCAGTCCATGACGCGTCCCAGCCCATTGCTTCGAATCGCTCTTTCTTGGACATGCCTTGATACTTTTTTTGCTTCTTCGGGGTTCGGGCTTTTTTCCAGTGTAGGGGCATTGGGGGATCGTCTTCCAGAACGATGTCAACGTTCTCGGATTCTGGAACAATAGATGACTCTCTCTTTATCCTCTTCGGAGTAGGTCGGCCAGTGCTAGTCCTAGGACGGCCCTTTCTGTTATTAAGCAAGATGCCAGATTGATTGAAACCCTCAAGAGTGATGGTGTTTCCGGCTTGGACTCCTGTGGTTTGTTTCGGTTAGAGAGCCTCAAAACAGAAAGGGGATGAATACGTACGATATGAACCATCAGCTTGTGTTACACCCATAGGATCCTTGCGAGTAAGACTGTAGTCGGCTGGTTTGCAGCTTGCAAGACCCTGAAGTAGAGTGACATTCCCATTCTTCATCATTCCCACGGGTATGTTGTTCTGAGGGAGTCCATATTCGTCGAGTTGCGCAGGGGCATGGACAGGAGGAAGCACAGTCTTTGATGATTTACCCTTCTTCCCTGTAAATTCGACAGCCTCCCAGAATGCGGTGCCCTCAGCAACCTTCTTCGCAAAGTTTCTCGCTGAATAATGAACATAATGAATAGTGGTCTTGTGCACATCGGAATCTCTGACAATGGCCAGGTGCCGAAGATGTGGAGGCTGAGAGATCTGCCAACAGTCTGTCAGACGATGGACCATGTTTTCTGACGGTCGCTTGTAGAATTGACCAAAACAACTCCGATTAATAAATTCATTGGTGATTCCAGACGTGCCTGCTTTGTCAATGATATCGAAAAGTTGGTTACACAAAACACGATCGGGTGTCCAGGCCGGTATAGTGCGTCCAGAATCGACGACGCGTTCATCCTTGCTATTGACGCCATCTTCTTGATCCGCAATATTTTGCTTTGAAGAATCTGCCTCCACGTCCAATTCTTCATCTGCATCTGCTGGGTCCTCTTCATCTCCCGTGAAACCATGTTGAGTGAATTCAAAAAACTTTGCAGTGTCCGACTTTGTAGGTTCCCGTAAAAGCATGATGCATGGGTGCATCATGTTGTACTGCGACTTCACTCTCACTCGTTTGAGAACGCCAATTTTTTCATACTTGCGAACGGTTCGGGAGAGAATTCTCGATCTCCAAAGATCTTCAAAACCTAATTCTCTCTTCAGGTCGTTCCGACTGATAGTGCCATCATTCTCCCTGAGAGCCGCAAACAGTTGCTTCACAAAATCATCGAATTCGATTAGGGGCTTTGCTTCGGCTTCTTTTTCACCACTAGGCTGAGCGGTCGGGGCATTCAGGAATCGACGAAGAGTACACAAACTTGTACGTGCTGCCCTAAATTGAATAGCTCGCTTCTCGATGTATCCTTTGGCGACCAAAGCGTCGGTTCTTTTAGGCACGGATCGTTTATCTTGACCGCTGATTTGGATCAACTCGGTCTGTGGAATGCCATTTGACTTCCGATTGGCGATGATAGATAGTAGCATAAACTCTGACGCGGGAAGCTTGGTCTCATCAGGTTCATGACCAGCCACTGCATACCAGGTCCTCTCTTTAGAGACGAAAATCCGGAACTCTGGGGCAGTAGATGACTCAGAGCCTTCTCGGTCGTTCTCGGTTTCCTCGTTTCCCTCGGTGGCTTCTTCTTGGGGGTTGCAGGCGGATTGCTCAAGCTTTTCAAATTCATCCAAGCTGAGATGATTCCATTCATTATCTATCCCCACCGATACCTCGGGATTTCGAGTCAGCCATGACCAAATCTTTGTTTTGAAGTGACGATCCACAAGCTGACTTCGCCCAGAATCATTTTGAGGTGAATTGAGATAGAAAACCTCAATACTCTTCAAAACATCCTGCAAAGTTGCACCTAAAAATCAGTTAGCTTGTCATAAAAATCAAGATGGTGTTTGCGATTCTTCCTCCGCGTATATCAAGAGACTTCAAAAGGTGACAAAAAATGTTCGATCACAACAAGTGGCTATAGATCCGACTGATGCCAGTCCGAATGCAGGATAGCTGAGTAAAGTGGGTCTGAGAGCAGAGCTATACGCACCTTGATTACCGCATAGCGCAACCTCATTCAGCAAAAAAGCGATCAGCTCCTGTAAGCTGGGCGCCATTATCAGTCCATAATAAGGCAAAGGATGAAATGGAGAAATGGTGCCTCTATGGGGTGAAGGTTGTTCTGTTGAGAGTGAAAAGAGGGATGGAATTCGAAGCAGAGAACGTGAATCGAACTCGCGCCACTTTCGAAATTTGCGCTTATCAGAAAATAAAACTTGCTTATCTCCATGTGACCCAGACTGTCTGGACACCCCGAAACTCGGGCATCAATAATTGTCTGCCTCACCAATCAGAAACTTTGAATCGCCACATATTTCAGGAACAGGAGATACCTGTTTTCTGTCATATGGGATTATATTTGAGCTTGATATTCCTTGAATCTACCCTGATTGTCTCACTTCTGCTCACAAAGAATTCCCAGGTACAGACGACATAGTACTTTGTTTGTATCCTTTTTCTTATCGGCATAGTGCAAGTGGATACGCAGTGCCTAGAATTTGATATCGGCCAGCATACTCCGAGTGAATATGGGACTCGGGTATGCGGCATGATCTGATTTAAGATTTAGCTATACTAAGGCGTGAAAGACCCGGGGGTATACGGAGCAGGGTTTGTATACGGAGATAACAGTGTTGAAGGTGTTTCGCGCCTTAAAAGCCGACCCGCTGAGTCAGATATGGCTTCATTCAGTGGACAATTCAATATTGCAGTATGATACATCACCTATTGCTTTTCGATGCAATAAAACTATACTAGTTTGATCATGATTCAATGAGCATTAGTATAAGGTTAAAATAAACAAATTTGGGTCAACTGGTTGCACGTTGAACCAGAATGAAGATTAACTTGACTGGATTGTTTGGCTGGGATCGGCGCCCGAACTAACTCTTCGGACTCCATGTCCCTTGGGCATCCCGATTACCTGTTTTGCCATGCACATCTGCCAAGGGATAACGCGGCCCCCACTATTCTGTGACATCGATGCATCATAAACAACAGACACATGATTACATATTGTTTTTTTCTTTTCTTTACCCGGAGCTCAAGTCTCCCGGTTCTGATAAAGTTGGGTACGAAACTGCTAACTTTATACGGATACGCGGCATCGGCCACCACGCAATCTTCAGGGAAGATTTCAATGAACCCATCATATGAATACGGGATTATGTGCAGGTGAAAAGAAAGGACTGGAACATTTGGAAGTGTTCAATAAAGAAAACAATAGAAATCTGTCTTTTTTATGCAAGTCAGCGAATGCCAAATAGTGCCCGTTTTTATCGAGACATGACATCACGGAGAACTTTCCAATCGGTACTTCCCCACACACCTTACTTTGTATGCGCACCGAGGTACCGCACTCCGTCGTTTCCGGCACTGCGCCTACAAACTAAAAATCTCGTTTTGGCTAAGGCCAAATGATCATCCTATTTTTAATGGCTTTTGCTTTTCATCTTCTTCTCTCCCCTGGATTCTAGTCAGAATCTTCAATCGAAACCCACCATGTCCTAATGTACAAATCTTTGAACAGTACCCATATCCAATAACAGAATCAACATCCCCCCTGGAAATTCGGTCCAAGAGTTGCGCCGTCCGCCACTCATCGCCACGCTCATGGAAGACCCCGAAAGGAACACTGTTCCTAGGCATACGGAGCCCCCGCCGCTCCCATATTCATTACATACTCGGAAAAAGTCCATCGCATTCTTCTGGACTATCTTTGTTCTTGATACCTTAGGCCAGCCGGTCGCGTTATACTGGGGACTATGGTACGGCACCAACTTGTCGCATAATTTGGGTATGTTCTTTGTTGCTCTGGTCTTTGATTTTATTGCGGACAAGATTTGCAAAAGTGACATTGACTAATTCTTGCCTAGTGTTTTCTATCGTCACCGCTTGTCTGGGAGGTATCTCGGTTTTTGAGTACTTCTATCGTCTACATAATCTCTTCAAGAAGGGCTCGTGCGCCCGGCCGCTAAATGCGCCAAAATCAAGAGTATGCTTTTGTTTTTCGCGAAAAGAAAATAATTCGGGGGCGCATAGCTAACAAATATTGGTAGCTCGACTTTTTCCATATCAATTTCACGATAGTATGGCTCATCTTAGCGGTCGAGCTGATTGCGTACGTTGGCAATAACCCATCCCCATACTTCAATCAACAAAAGCTAACAAACAAACCAGTGGAACCGTTCCTACAGAACCAATTGGTAAAGCCAACAGATAACAAAAACAAACGAAACACAAAAGTCATTTCTCTAACCTCAACAACAGTGCGCCTCGTCGCCATGGTCCTCCCAACAGTCATGTTCTACTTCGGAATCGTCCACCTCGTCCTCGACATCCTCCGCATGGCCGGCTTTAAAGCCCCCTTCCGCATCTCATCCACTCCCAAAGGCTCCCCAATGCCAACAGCCCTCTACGCCCTGATCGAAGACGTCGTCGCCGTCGACGGCGGAGGCGGCCAAATCTACCGCTACGCCCTCCGAACCCGATACCTATCCAGCCCCTACTTCCGCCGCATGCTCTTCGAAATGAACTGCTTCTGGAGCGGCGGCTCAATCATCTGCGCAGCAGCCATCACCGCCATAATCTTCACCGTCGAAGAATCCGTAGCATTCACCGTACGTCATCGCCAGCCCAGTCCAGTCCAGCCCGAAACTCAATCTCCGATCCCCCAATTCCCCATCCCTTCTCCCAATGAACCGCACTGACGTCACAAATAGCTCGGCTGGTCCCTCCCCTTCGCCTGGGCCCTCATCTGGACCGCCATCACCATCCCCTGGGTCCAGAGCGACCTGCGCCGCGAAAAGAAGGCCTGGGCCGAAAACAGAGGCCAGGGCGGCATTCCCTGGACGGACGATATCACCGCGCCGACGGCGCGCACCCGCTTCGCGTCTGTCCAGGAACGCCTGCCGAACCTGCTGCCCTGGAGCCGGGAGGCAAGGGAGAAGCAGAGCGCGCCCTCGACGCCGTCTGTTGATGGCGTGGAGGACGGCGCGCAGGCCACTGCGCCCGTTGTTGCGGGCGCTCCGGAGGTTCCTGCTACTGCGCATCGGCCTGAACGTATTCTTCTTGGGGCTGAGGAGCCTGAGGGGGCTACGGACTTGGCTGCTCTCGATGAGAAAAATACTGAGCTACCTGGTACAGAGACGGCTCGTGAGGCGACTGCGTCGACGACGGCTGACGCTGGCGCGCAGCCGAGCAGTCATTGAAAATTATAACCTGTAACAACGCATGAATTGATGATGAATTTTTTGGGGCTTTTGTTTTGTTTCATGGCCTGTTTGGTAGCCATGTTGGATATTGTGGTTGTCCATGTTTATTTGCATATTAAGGCACATGTTGGTTCTGCAATTACTTACTGATGCAGGTTATATTTGGCATTGGTTTTGAATCTGGTTTGTTTCGGAAGTTTGGCTCCTGTCCGTATATAGATACCCTTGATATTTGTCTACTGTGATACTACTCATACGATAAAAATGAAAAATCCTGCATATTTTTGTACCTCGCGATTTGAATAATCCCTCTCTCTACTTGAGCATCGCAAATCACACTGCCCAGAGAATTATCTCAGAACTATCACCTAGGGAGTACACCCGTGGACAATACTATGTATTCAAGTGCTGTTGGTAAATTGGAAAGACCAATTGATGGATTGAAATATTGATCGCGCTTGCTGGCCGCTTGGTACGCAGCAGCAAACCTAAGGCGTATGTATGAATTATGAGAATAACAAAACCAAGCCTCCGCTCCCTCAATGCATGCCAAAGGGCCAAAAATGTCGAACCGAGATACAGTAACACTGCAGGGGGAAAAAGTTAGGGGGAGGAATACAACGAAAGGCAACATGAAATGAGACCTTCCCCCTCCCTCCCTCCCACATCCAAAAACAAATGATGCCTGTACAGGCAATTACAACCAAAGATAAACACAAAAATTAACGCCTATATACGGCCCCCAGTGCACATAGAGGGTATCTAATAGGAGACACGGGAATAACAAACAAACAGATGGGGCAAGAGGGTGTTGTGTGTGGCTGAAGGTTGAAAGCCACGGAAATCGATTGGATTGAAACGGGACGGGGAACAGAGAGGTATGGAGGATTGTAATGATGTAAGAGGATAGGTGGGACGTTGAGGTTCGAGGATTTATCCCTTCCGGAATGTGAATTTCCGACTAATATTGCGGATGGTGTTGTTTTTGTGGCTGCAGGATACAATGTTAGTATTCCGTTCTCTGGTGGATGCTTGGGGGAAAGGAGTATTTCTTACCTAGTATCCTCCTGCTCGGCACGGCCGGCTTCGACGGTAGTCACGGTGTGGCCGGCAGTCCTAGGTCTTCCCGGCGCATTGACAAAGCGACGTGATTCCTAGGAAATGAGTTAGTAAATGAAGTTGATTGGTTTGATTAAGAAAGGGCAATACAAACCTCCCAGCGAGAATCCACATCTACACCACTCGCAGATCGCGAATCGGAAATGGGAGGATCATGGTTATCGTGGATATCAGAGCTCAGTGACACCGACCTCGCCAATGGCGAAGCATTCGACTGCATGGACCTTCGCGACGGCGATTCGGAGTACTCGCTATTGGAGTCAAAGCTGATCATGCTAGCAGGGTTGCTTCGCGCAGGGTTGTTCATCAGGTTGCCCGCGTTAGGGAGAAGTTGAGATGAGGATGCAAGCTCGCGGAGCTTCTTCTGTTGTTGCTTGGAAGGACGGTGGTGAGAGAACTTGTTGCCAAGGATAGCGGGAGCGTGCGAAATTAGAGCCTTGATGACATCCTTCTTGAGACGTAGGGCAAGATCTAGATTCGACCATGTCTTGTTTCCATACTCCAGAACAGGGAGACGGAAAACGAAGTCGTGGAGATCTTCAATGTTGTGCTCGCCTTTACCCTTATAACTCATGCTAAGAACCACGTCGTGTACCTTCACGTGCGCAAGGGTCATGTAGTTCGAAGCTCGGTATATCATTTGGGACAGGTCATCAGTCGGTTCCTTGGATTTGCCGCCCTTCGGTTTGCTCAGGGCGAACTTCTTCCTTTCTTCGCCGGCGCTTTGGCTAGAAAGAGATCTATCTGTGGGCTGCTTGACTAGCATGCGTATGCTTTCAGTAGACTTTTTCTTCGACAAGCCACCAGTGGTCGCCGGACGACCTGATTGCCGAGAGGAATCGGGGACGCTCAGTCGAGTATGCGTATTACTCCTATGGATAGGAGTCATGGCAAGGCCCTTGACATGGCTCGGGCGTCGACTAGATTTGCCCTCCTCGGAAAGTGAGAGAGTCGGTTGCAGACGGAGCTCAATGGATCCAGGACCCTTCATAGAGAGGTCATCAATCGATGTGCTGTCATCGTCGGCACTAATTGATTGAGCGATTGACGGGTTTTTGGAGTCGGCATCGTTCTCATCATCCGAATCATCAAAGGTTTTCATATTCTTATCCATGAAAGACGAGAGGCCGCCATTTTCAAATGGACCAGAGTCCACGTCGGGAAAGACGTACTCGAAGAGCTTTTGCCCAAGTTCACGCTCCAACTGGATCTTGAGTGGGAAGAGAGATACTTCAAAGTTATCAACCACGGGAACTCCAGCAACAGCTTCCAGCATGTGCCACTTCACTCTTAGCATGTAATCATCCAAGGCTCGAGGCTGATCAAGGTAAGGTGCAATGATTTGGGGATAGATCGCATCTTGCAAGAGGTTCAACCCGCTCAGTCTTTCAATTGCCACGAGATTGTGGTTGGATCCATCAGTATTGTCTGTTCGTTCATATGCAGCATTCTGAAGCTGGAATTCCACTAATGGAGCAGACGCCTCGTTCATCAAATGCCACACTACCTCGCTTGCGGAAATGCTCCAACGCAGCACGCCGTTTGTGACAGACGAACTAGGCTCGGCACGTCTTTGGGAGGTGGTGATGGCCTTCATCATGAAGAACAGCTCGTCCTCGCATTGAGAAAGATCACGTTCCAGGGCTAGTCGGTCTTCCCAACCCTGCTTGTCCAGATACTTGGCATTGATCTGGAAGTAGTCTTTGATTTCTTCCAGCTGGCGGATGCGTGATTGTAGCTTGAAGACCATCTCTGGAGTGCCACGAAGATCGCTGAAATCGGAAGTAAGCATGATCTTTTCTAGGCGTTCGTTTCGGATCTTCTCGAGCGGCTCGCTGTATAGCATAAGATCCAAGACAATGATATACATGGAGTAATACTCAGCAGAATCGCAGATAGCCCGGAAGTGGGGGAAGTCGACACTTATTTGATCCATACGGTCTTCTTCGTGGTGACCCTTGCCTACTTCTTCGTTGTACTTCAACCGAAGGTTGTTGTACTTGTCATAGCGGAGGCTAGCCGAAGTCTTTTGCACGATTCGAGAAAATCCGAAGGGGTTCAGCTCGAAATCAAACATGGCCTCAAGGGTCAACCAAGGCGGCCAGGCAGATCCGGGAACATTGCCGTATTTGTTACCAGCATACAACTGCAAGTTCGCCATGAGATTCTTCTGGGTTGCAACGAAGAATTGTGCACCGTCCATCTCAAGAGAGAAACGACGTTGAACCAATCCGCTAACATCGTCTGAAACACGCTCCTTGTCCATGATTGACACAACTTTGAGCTCCATTCCTTTGGCCGCCACCATTAGCACCGACTTAGGATTCTTCTCGCTAAGTAGTTGGATCTGAGGGGCAATAAGTCGGAGATAATAGCTGTTCTGCGGGGTGAACTCGGGCGCAATGACTTCACTGGAATTGTCAGAGTCTTGAGGTGAGTCGGTGTTGGAATCGGTTGGCTCATGTTCTTCAGCATTGACGTAGCGCTTAGCATCATTTAGAAGCTGTTCAATGCGATCCTCCACGTCCTCTTCCTCGTTGTCGCTTCGAGGCTGCTCTTTGGGCACACTGCAGTGCTTCTTTTTGCCCTTGCTCTGCTCGTCCACAATGTCGAGAATGAACTTGACAGCCCGTCTAGACATGTAGTAAACAAAGCCTCGACGCTGGCTCACTTGGTGGCTATACCGGAGAATGATATTCCGAAGCGAATTGTTCCATTTCAACTGCACGTTGTGAATCATAAAACGATTGTTGAAGTCGCTAGAAAATTCATCATTGGCAGATGAATATATGCCATCAATGCCAGAGCGACCGTCAGCAGTAGAGTCTGCGTCATTTCCTGTGCGGAAAGAGGCCTCGCTAGGCGCAGCATTGACTCCAAGCCTATTTCGCTGAGGCGTCCGTTCATCGCGTGCCAGGAGCTTCTCAAGTCGGTTCAGGGTTGATGTCAAGAACTTTCGCCGCCTGGAAAGAGATTCAGCTTGGCGAACTAAAGTCTCATGCTGAGTCTTCAAGCCAGGGTCATGATCGACATCTTTCATCATCTTGAGCTCGAGTTCCCCGATATTACGATCGTAGTTCCGGAGCTGGGCTTCAATAGTCGCGAGACGATCCTTAATCAACTCTATCTGGACACGGCGAGGCTCGTTTGTATCAGACATCACGCAGTCGTGGGTCGGTTCGTTCCCAAAGGTACTGTAGCCGGTCTCTTCGGGCCCAACATCACCGTGGTCCGTTTGGCGGAAGTAAGTGAAGCGCGGGGTAAATGCAAGCGGAAGAATCTGTGTTTTGGGATTTGACTCTTGGGGAAGAATCCAGTCTGGCTCGACAAAATCGTCCATATCAATCCAGTCCAGGTTTTGATCGGGGATCGTAAAGCGAGATAGATCAACTGAGGCCACAGGTTGCTGGAAGGATGATATAATGTCATCTCTATTCTTCTCAATGTCCTCTGATGAAGTGCCTTCGATGCTAGCAGAAACAGCCCGGAAGTCGGCTGATTGCAAGTCAATGAGAGCTTGATTGATGCGCATCGCACTTGTCTTGGTCTGTTTGGAGTGGCCACGGGCTTGTGTCTTGATCTGCTCGCGGCGTTGATGAATATCAAGCTTCAAACTGTCAAGGCGAACCTTGATACCAGTAGCTGCCACGGCATCCTCGCCATAATCTTCACGGTCCTTGTGCTTATAGATGTGCGCTACAAACAAAGGAGCAAGCAGAACTTTGTATTTGACGGTCGCCAAATGACGATTGAACTTCTTGCTGGTTTTCGTGATGCCGGGGAAGAGCGGACCCTGGCGAACAGGGAGAGACATGACACCGGAGAAGAGCGACCACCAACTGAAAAAGTGGGTAAAGAAACGGGGACTTAGGTGAGTAGTGTTGTAACTTGAAGATGGCTGGACACCATCAACAGACCAGTTCCTGCTTTGAGGTGCAATAATCGATACAGACAGGTGAATGTGGTCACTCCGGAAGCCACGATAGGCATCGTAGTTGGCACGCTGTGCTTCGGTGATGAATTTGGGGTTTTTCAGAATAACCTCATAATGTGGCTTGAATGCGAAGGATCTTGAGTCAGCGTCAATATCACGCTCGAAGACTAACCCAGCAGCCCATTTTACGTCACCAGACAGCTTCATGATGACCTTCTTGAAGTAGGCGGCATTCTTCTGCTCGCTAGATTGTGAACTGGTATCCGCGTCTTCTGTGGTCATTTCGTTTGCCCATCGAGCTTCTGCGCTGTAATCCGGAATCGCCAACACATATTCTCCACTTGTCACGCTCATGAACTCCATTGGGTCATCGTTAGAATGAAGCTCCCACTTGACGTCCCTTCGCCAGCACATAACAAAGCCACTTCCGAATCCTGTGACAACGTAAGGGTCTCTAGAGCCCTTGAGGCGCAAATGAACATCACCGTCTTCCTTCCAGAGCACCTTGATGCGAGAGTGGAAGCTTAGACGGATCTTGTCCCAGAAGCCAACCCGGTCAGATGGATCAATTTCAGGCTTGGTGAAACCCTCAATGATCTTCATCATGTCTTGAATTACGGGCTGGTACGACACTCCCCAGGAGATGCTCGTAGGCAAGCTCGTGTTGATCTCAATGATCGGATCAGAATATGTCTTCACAGGACTCACTGACCGCCAAACTTTCATACGGAACGGATCGACGTGAGACCCATCATTCGCTGTAGCAGAGGGAATAAGCTCTACTTCGACCTGTCTTGCAGATTCGTGGTCACGATACTCTTCAGCGATGACAAAATTGGTTCGCAAGGACCAGCTAGGAAGTCTCGGAGACTGTCCGGGACGAAGGGCTGGGACATGCAATAGGTCCAGGGGGTAGTCTCGCAAGTTGACGCGCGCTTCGCCCATCTCCAGGTTGAAGCTCATGGGAACGAGTAAGCCGTATTTCATCGACATAGGCATGCCCTTGCCAATACGGTTGAGGAATTTTGGGAAGTCATCAATCGGGAACGAAGGTTTATCGATCACAAGATTCACATCGCTAATCAGAGCAGAAAGCAAGCCTGGTCTGTTTGGGATTGCAAGAATGGTCTCGGTCTCCTTGGCATCGTCAGGCGGTTCATCTGCACCAGAGAATAAGTTTCGGACTTCTTTGATAGATGTACCCTGGAACTTCATAGCAGCATCGATCTTCTCTTTCCAGACTTGAGCATTATGTTGTTGAAGGCGGTTCCAGGCAGCATCCACTGAAATCTTCTGCTCCGCTGTCAAACATGTTTCGCCTTCAGTGTCATAGCGATATCTGCGGGCACGACCACGAGCTGGTTCTTCTTTCTTGGTTCGCGTATCCGCGCTCTTGCTTCTGCGAGTATCTTGACTAGTTCGTTCGCTGCGCAAGGTTCGATGACTGGATCTCGCCCGTAGCCTTGACGAAGCACGGCGTTGATCCTGTTCTCTAACCTTCTGCGCTTTCAAAATGAACGCTTCTTCGCGTGCACATCGCTGAATCTGTTCAACCAAGCCGGTTCGGTAGATGCAACCCAGCTTCCATTCAAAGGCGTCATCTTCAAGCTCGAAGAGAAGAGCTTTGGTGCGAAGTGACACTCTCGGTACTTTCTTCGGTCCCTCGGGCTCTCGAACAGAGACGAACTCCTTGCAGCGGTTTTTAAAGCGATGATGTAATTGCTTGAAAGCCTTTGAAGTGTTGATAATGTTATCGAAAATTCGATGCATTACCATATGATGCGGGACGCCGATTCGGATAAAGTCGGCCCACAAATCGATTGACCTCTCCTCAACCAACCCTGTGCCCTGCTTGTATTTCATCTTGCGGAAGTCAAGTCTAACATTGTTCATGCTGCCAATTCTAGCCCAAACACCCTTGAGCTTAGGGGCCTCGGCATGGATGCGGACTAGATTTGCCTTGACATGAGGAGTTGAAAGTCGCTGTGAACCACCCGCCAGGCCATAAATCTGGAGCATCATTGGAGGATCGGCGGGAAGGTTGGTTTTGAGCTGAACAACAGTCGCTTTCACGTCCATGGTGATTAGCTCATTTTTCGATGATGATGAGGGAGAGTATGGAGGCGGTGGCATCGATATGCTTGGCTCTCCCCTGTGTTTCGTTTTATTGGAATCGGAGTCCTGTGGCAGAGGTTTGAAAACGTCCTGAAGCACGGAAATCGCAACACCAAGACAATAAAACCGGTAGAGAGAATATTGCAGGTAAATCCCTTTAAAGACTGAATTAATGTGCAGGACAGGTCCGAGCCGGTCGCTATGAGTGCTCAAGGCAATCTCAAATCGGGGTAGAGAGACAAACGGCTCGGGTTCGAGATAATCATCAGACTCGATCACGAAACCGTCAAAGCCTCGCGCATGAAGTGCGAGTCGTCTGCCATCAGTGGCACCACGCTCTGTACCACGCTGCATAGTCTTTGGGGGCGATGTTGGAGTGAACCTGAACGGCGACTCGTCGCTAATTGATTGACTGGAAGTACGTCTCCTGGCAATACTACCAACATTGTGTTCAGTCTCTTGCACCACCTTGTATTCTGCTGTCCAAGACTGTAACTGCAAAGAGACACCGCGAGAGACACCAGACACAGGCTTGTCCACTCCAGCAACTTCCAGGCTGAGACCAGTAGACTCGAATGTGAATTGAAGAAGCCATGGGGGGATTTTCCTTAATGGGCTCGTCTTGCGTTCATTCGGTGGCATTCGAACCTTCTTTTGAGGTTGCAGATGCATCCGGAATTGTTCAAGAACCTCGCGAATTCCGCGATTGACGTCCCCATTGATCATATGAATCGAGCAGTCATTCAAGGCTCCCGAAGCAATGACCTTGACCTCCGGGCTTGCATTGAGATGGGCCTTGAACTCCAGGCTCTCGGTCGTAAGTAAATTGTGTTTATTACCAGCAGGGGTCTGGTAGTAAAATTTGTGAGATGCAACACGGTAAATGGCTGAAAGGGAATAATGGGCGCCACCCTCGGACGAATGAGATGATTCAATATCCAGCGATATCGAAGAGATAGATGAAATGAGGAGGTTGTAGTCATCCGGAGTGCCCGACTCTTTTTCAATTGGAAGGACGAATCGAATGACGGGTTCATGAACAGACAACTTAATGGTCGCCTTGGGAAGTAAACGGGTAATCAACTGGTGGTTGCTCCGCTTCTTGATTCGAGGAGAAGATGCGCGCGCTTGTGCCAGTTTCAAGAGTCGAGACACATGTTGAGGTTGCATGTCGAGTGATGGTGACGTGATAACTAAGTTGGCGAAGAGGATATTGGAGTTTCGCTCCTCTGGGTTCTCGTCCTCGAAGGCACTCACTGTCTTCGATGGCAATGTAGTCTTGATGGTTGTGGTGGCCATAGGAACGTAAAGAACATTATCGGTTTCTCCTGAGTTGTCATCCAAGCTCACAGACAGGGAAATGGCGGCGAGTAGTGCTTGATGGGCAACGTCGGTTGATTGGAAATACATACGATGCTCCGGGCTCTTTTGGTCCATCCTATGGAGATCAATACCCAGTTCGTGGGATACCACATTCACGAAAACGGGGCTCTGGTCTGCAGAAAGAGATCCAAGACTTCGTGAAACCCGGAAGAAGCTAAGAGCGACCTGGATCTCCTGAATTCCCCGCAGAAGAGAGCTAGCAAACTCCTTTGAATCAGCCACAGTCTGTACAATTGAATCGTTCCGACTGCCGGGCTTGTCAAGCTCCTCCACGAAGTCGGCAAATGAGATCTCGTCATCCGTCTCCCCGCGCATCGGCTCCTTGGCGGGTGGTTTCTGAGCGGATTTGATACGTCGTAGAAGCATGCTGATATCATCGTAAGGAACGTGCAGTCGACCAATCTTCAGCGCGATCGAGGCATCCCGTAACCCTTCAAGGTCCTTATAAAGTAACCCATGGAGGTTCACACCAACGTTATCCAAGATCTCGGTTGGCTCCCTGCCATCCACGGCGAGAAGAACATTTTGAACATTCATGATCCATTCCGCCGGGCGCTGTTCCTGGGACATGTCCTTCTTGCGGCGAAAGAGCTTGCCCCGTTCGACCATCTTACTCCGGGTGTCCACCGCCAGCGACAACGACCCCACCTGTATTTGACCGGCGCCGACAAATTGGACGGTCGTGTTCATGGCTGAGATATCAACAAGGGCCAGCCAGTTGATTTGTCGATGCAGTCGCTTCAAGCGCTCCTTCAGCCGGCTCAATGTCCTCCATGTTTTACTCCGCGGGGTTGTCGAGTCGGGAGTCGTGCTGTCGTCAGGGACGGGGCTTCCAGGGCTCAGGGATCCTAAAATGTCTCGAGGGGCTTCCGGTTTGCCCCCTGCCTGTGTACCTGCATCCAGTTTCACCTTCAATTCTGTCAACCGAATACTGATCCATGTTGGCTGCGCGAAGGACGGGGGGTGTAATGAGAAGCCGAGTCCGCGTATCTCAATATGCAGGCCTTCCTTCGGGGTATATGCGATGCGACGGAGGGAAAAGTAACCGATCCGTTGGATGGAGATTCCGGTTGCAATGCGGACGATCGCGAAGACGAAGAAGGACGACAGGTATAGGAGTAGGAAGCCGACGAGGATCGAGGTCGGATTAAAGAGGGTCATCGCGAGTCGCGATCAGCAGGGGCTGATCTGTCGAACAGAGACACGGCGCAGCACAAAGAACATTGAGTAGATTGACGGGGATTCTTTTCTTCTTCAATTATGTCGATCGAAATACTGAGCTGTCCGGGTATCCTCCACTATTTTTTGAGAGAGAAAGGTGTCGTGTGTTCTCTTTAGACTTGGTAGAGGGGTGAGATTGAAGTAGAAATCAAGTGTTGCGTGTTCAATTTCGCGCGAAAGCCAAGAACGGGGCAAAAGCTCCAGAATTGTCAGTAACACGAAGACCCCATCGAAGCGGATGGGTAGATCATACTGGAGCTGTAGAAAATGACAAGTATGGTTCGGACGCGCCGGAGAAAGCCAGAACCATTAAGCGGAACCTTCCAAACCGGCTTTTCTCGGAGTTCTGGACCCTCTTGACTTGCATGCACTCTACTACTATATTACTGGCCTTTTTTCCCCCCTAATCAGTCTCCTCATTTTCAACCAATCCTTCCAAGCCTTCTATCTCATCATACAAGAATCTCTTGGCTCTGGGCTACCTCGTCATTTCAACTTTGCCAGTACCGTGGGGCTTCTTGATGACTCGCGATCGGCGTTCCATGATTCGGGTGCTTCGATCCCCCCTTTTCCCCAAATTGGACGGACCTGAAAGTGGATTCAATGGAAGAAAAATAGAAGGAAAAATACAATGGCTTCAACAATCTAGTATCATACAACTATACATACAATTATTTACCCACTTGTCCGGTTATCCGTAGAACCTGACACATAATGAAAAGTAGGTAAAATCTGACACAACCTTGTAAGACTGCTGCACACATGTGCATGTGCCCGTCCCCAGAAAAATGTCAAGGGATAATGTCTGTGCACTGGTACAGACTCCGACCAGATCCCCAACGTGATCTCAACATTTGAATGGTCGACAGAACTTTGGAAGCCGCGGTGTGCAAGGATAGAAGGTGGGATTATTTTTTGGTGGGATCAGTAGACTCCGGTCGTGCCTGCTCAAGTTCCTCGATCTTTTCGTCAAGAAGTGCAATCTCAGCCTCAATACCTAGGAGCTTCTCACTAAGAATCCCACGGTACTCATCATCGGATAAATTCCGGAGAGGAATCCATTTGCTATCGGCCATCCGCTGGAAAAATGGTTTAGAAGGGGTTTGTACCCTTTCCGCTTGCCATGTATCAAGTCTGTTGAAGGCACTTTGACCACAGTAACCAAGCAATGAGAACACAACAAGACCAGGGATTAGTCGGCCACCTAAATATTGGTCAGTGATCACATAATGCGACTAAATTTAGGGAATTATAGATACCCATAAGTCTAGTCACAACTCCGCCGGAAATTCCTCCGGAGAAAGCGCTGACATATGCCCGTTCTTGTGGGGAGGCTTGGTCTTGGAATTGAGACTTGATAATGTTGCTCCGTAGCCCTGAACATATAAAATCAGTGTCTAGGTGGTTGAAAGGGTAATGAATCGGGCTTTGAACATACACCAAAAAGTTGAGCCACATGCAAACCAGTGGATTCCGCAGGACAGAGAATGAATCACTGGATTTGGAGATTTGATGACTCCTGCCACTCCTCCATAGACCAACCCAGCAGTCCCTAAATAAATATGGTAGTGAGCACAAGTAAGACAGGAACATGGGAGCTAGCGCGGGTCAAAACTAACCACTCAGAGCACCCACCTTGGCTGCCGCCAGCAGGGGTTCAGGCACAAAGCTGACATTTGGACGCTTGTCCCCGTTCATTTTGTGAACGAACTAGACAAAAGTTCAAGCATTCCTGTGTTACTCGGCAAAAGAATCGACTTCATCTCCACTGGAGCGCTGGGCGAAATGAGATCACGTGTCGATTATATAATACCCGGGCCTGCGGCTCTAGCCTCTGCCTATCAACAAAGAAGCTGCCGAGTCCCATCGTTATCATTCACTGGGGTTTAGTTGAGTTGATTTCGACTTCTTTTCCATTTTCTCCATATCTACCAATAGATCTGCCCCTCTGGTGCAGGTGAGTGCAAATGCATGTGGGTCTTTTACACCAAAGATGGCGTCGTAGAGCTGAATGGATAAATTGCGGTTCTTTTCCCCTCACCCTGGGCCTCAGCTCGACTGCTGGTATATCAGTGCGTACGGTCAGTGAATGAGAGTCACTGTGTTGAGGCGCCACGGTCCACGAATCTTGGAAGTAGCTTTGGCCCCCATTTTTGAACGCCGTCAGTATCAGGCCACCAGTGACACCAACCAATCACGGTTTTCATTTCGTTCTCAGCTCCAGGGCTGTGACATTGAATTAGAAGGAGGGGGACAGATCAAGGAGGATTATAGACCGGCTCACTTGTGTTAAGAATTGGCCCTCAATCAACATCAATGCATTGACTTGAGCTTAAATTGTTCCTTTCTCCTCCTCTAAGTTCCTTCTCCACAACTCCTCTTTCTCTTAAATATTAATCTAGAATGGCCGACACGGTTGCCGAACTGACGGCTGCTATCAATGCAGCCTTGTCTAAGCTCTCACCCGCCGATGATATCCCGGATCCGGCGCGATTCCAGCTCCTCGAAGCTCTGGAAAAAGTCCGCGGGGTCGTCGAACTACCTGTCCAGTCCCTTATGGCTATCTGCTGGGCGGCAAGTCTATGAGTACTCTCTGAACTGTTGAAGAATTCTTTACTGACCCGAAGTTCGTCGTAGGCGCATCCCCTAGTTGCGATTCGAACTGGGATTGGGATGGGAATTTTTGATGCGTTTGCCGCCACCGCCGGTGCTGAATTGACTATCGACGAGTTGAACGAAAAGACCAAAGGCGATAGGGAACTACTAGGTAGGAGGATTATCTTATAACCACTGTTAATTGCTTCCTGGATTGGAATATACCAGTTTATTAACCGGTTTCCTCGCTTCAAACATAGTTCGAATCATGAGGCTTCTTAACGGAAACCGTCTCTTTACTGAGACCGGTAAAGATAAATACAAGCCCCAGCCCTTGGCGCTTGCCTTCGCAACCGGCGCCTCACCTAGCGAGGTGATCAAAAACTTGTGAGTAGCCCAAGTTCTCCTTATTTTGATAAGGAAAAATGGAATGACAGGCATGGCTAACTGTTTTTCCCCCCTCCTTCATGAATAGTCACATGAATCTACGGGCTACAGCATGTGTGCCCGAATTTCTGGAAGCTAGAGGGTACAAGACCCCGGATGACGCCTACGATACCCCCTTCCAGAGTGCTTTTGATACTAAACTGCACCATTTCGAATGGCTGGCGCAGAACCCTGAGTATCAGCACGCCTTTAATACTGTCATGGAACACGGTAACCGAACGGTAGAAGGGGAGCAGTGGTACGATTTCTACCCCTGGGAAGAACGACTAGGCAGTGACGCAGACCGCGTGCTTCTGGTTGATATTGGCGGTGGCAAAGGTCATGACCTTACCCGCTTCAAGGAAAAGAAGAATCCCACTGGTCGTCTTATCGTGCAGGACCTACCCGAGGTTATTCAGGATATCCAGGCCCCGCTCACCGGGATCGACGCCCAGGGCTATAGCATGTTTGACCCGCAGCCCGTCCGTGGCGCTAAGGCCTACTATATGCGTACTGTACTGCATGACTGGCCTGATAAGCAGGCTCTACGGGCCCTACAACGTATTCGGGAAGCGATGGCTGAGGATTCTGTGCTGCTGATTAATGAGAATACTGTGCCTGAGACTGGTGTTCCCCGCTTCAGTGCCAGCGTTGATCTTCTTATGATGACTATGTTTTCGTCCCTGGAGCGGACGGACAAGCAGTGGTTTAGTCTTTTGGAGCGTGCTCAGTTCAAGGTTCTTAAGGTGTGGCGAGCGGATAACCAGGGAGTGGGAGCTAATGCATTGTTTGAGGCTGTTCCTGTCTAGATTTGATAGTTCTCTGTCAATGCTTCGGTTAGAGGACTTTACAGATTGAACCCTGCACTCCGTACCTGAAGAGTTTTGGGTGGAAGGGACGATCTTTTCTCGTCGTTTCATGTTTGTATATGTACGCTAATGTCAGAGTGCACAGATAACTATACCGAGCCCTGGCTTGTCGGCTACTTTTGTTTTTCTTCAATCCTTATCACTCTTTTCGATTTCTTTTATTCTCCATCATTACGAGCTAGACTCGATATTGACATTCCTTATATCGTCTGTTAACCAGACCAACTTCATACTAAGGTGGTATTTATGAGCCTGGTAAATGAACATTCAAAGTCAATGGATGATGTTTTTTAATATTCTGAGTTATCATTAGTATTGCCCAAAGCCTTCGCTTCGCTGGACGACCGCCCTATCCGATGCCCATCTATTTCGAATAGCAGATCGGGAACACTAGCCCGTCATCATATAGTGTATACAATAGCTTATACACAGTCTCACCAGCCTCGTCCGGATTTTAAATGTAACCAATCTTAAAGAAGGAAAAAGAAAGAGAGACGACAATAATGGAATAAGGAATAGTAATATAAGAGTTTCTTTCCCTTTGAAGAGTAGAGAAGCTACTCATACAGCAGTTACATCAGCTCATCATCCTCTATGGATACCTGCTTTCAAAGAGTGTACTCTGGAGGCCACAGGTGAAAGAAGCATAGCTTACTTCATTATGAAGCCGAGCAGTGTCGCGATTCGAGAAGCAGTCGGCCCTCCTTGCACGTGGGCCTAGAGTTCCACGGGTAGCGAGTATTTTCCAGCTTCATCGATCCGAAGAAACCGCCACTTGTCTCCATCAGTGACAACTTCGTAGACAGTGGCCTTTCGGTCAGGACGCTTCTTACTCTCCTTATGAACACATGCTAGAGCAAAACATATATTAGAACCTTTTTAGATCAGAGGAAAAGGGAGTAAGGAGACTTACCCATATAGGCTAATGCACCGGTAGAGGAGAAGTCCTTTCTTTCCACTTCAATAACAATCAGGTTGATCGCTTTCTCATTGCTATTACAGTCTCCATACAATAAAGAAAAAGGGATTTAATCTAAACACGGGTCACTGTCAGGAGAATTGAACCATATGACTTGACATGCTCTGCTCCTGGTCATGCTGCAGCGCGTCACGCGTGTGTGTTGGTGTGTGTTTGGTCACTGGCGTGTGTGTGTTAGTGTTGGTGTTGGTAGTTAGTCCGGGAAGTGAGAGCTTCTCTCTCCTTTCCTTCTCTCCCTCTTTTCCTCTCTATCCCCTTGGTTGAGAAGAAATATCACACAGTTGCTCCTTCCTCCTCCTCATTACCATTCGTCTCCCAGATCTACATTGTGGATCTGTCAGTCACTCTCATGCTAACACGGATCATATGATGCACTAAGCCTAATCTGAACTAATCGATGCCTTTATATGTCTGAATCTGCCTCGGGCAGCAACAGCTCTAGACCGCTTTCTACCACCGCTTTTAAAGATCTCACTTAGCAGATCTTCAAGCTACAGCATCAAAAAACTGTCACTAAAAAATAATATATAGTTCCTAAGTAGAAGAAAGCAGGCAGAAATCCTAGCCATTTAATCCTCACTCAAGTTCCATCTCAAATCCCTTCTCAAGTCCATTCTTAGGTCCCTTCTCAAGTCCATTCTCAGGTCCATCCTCAAGCCCACTCTTATATCTATTCCAGTTTATATACACTTTGTTCTCAACAACATTTGAATAATATCAATACCCTAGTAGTTATAAAGATACGGGCCTAGTAGTTAAGTAACAGTAAGATCTGACTCTAGGGCTGTTTCTGTCTGGCACCGGGTGAATCGGCCATACACCCGGAGCGGTATTATAATCGGCCATACCCTCATCCATGACCGCGACAAGTACATTCAATGTCATGTGCTCATAAGCATTCGAGCGGCTGCCTCGTTTGTAGGGAATCCGGCCATAACCTTGCGCTTTTTCTTTCACGTGGTCACTTTGAAATATAGGGTTCCAAATGTTAGATATGTAATAGCACCAAGATAAACATTTGAAAAAGAGGAACATCAAACATTCAACATTGAAGGATATGTACTTAACTCACTGGCATATGGTGGTATCGAGAGCATGTGGTATCATACATATGATGCACATGTGTTGAGGTCCACAAGCCTCCTCCGAATAACTATATATCTTTTTGACCTTAACTGAAGAATCTCTGGCGGCGACGGCGACGTTAAATCTCGCGCCGGGGGTGAGTTTTTATAGACGCCGGTGAATTAATATCATTCAAAAACGGGACGGGCATAAGAATTTTCTTCTTTAAGTGATAAATTAAGATCCAACATTGAATGTTAGTAAGCACTATTACTTTTCTAGCAATATCACAAAAGATGGAGTTGTTGACCGAGACCGAATGTTGGGATGTTTGCATCATTTGCATTTCGCCGCCAGGTCCAAGTACTTTGTATAACAAAAAAGGTACCACTTTGTACCTTGTACTCTTTTTGCTGCTTCCAACATATAAAATAGAGAATCTCTGTATAACCTCCAGTGCTATACTTGACATATGTCGTAGAGTTGAATGAGTGCTCTTATTGAGCGTGGGGTATATCCGTTCCTGGAATGAAACACATAATTCACTTTCTAATGATTTTACACCAATTTTTGGATCCCCACCGTCAAACGACATTTTTGGGATGGCCCGTATTCAATTTTTTTTGCCCTAAGGTGATAGAAACTCCGGTTACATTAGAATAGAGGATAGATTGAATGATCAATTTTCTGAATATTGAATTTGATTGGTTTGACTGCTTCACTACAGAAACTCGGGAGTTTGTCGTTTGTAGAACCGATGGCGGCTCTGATTGGACTAGCGGCACCACTTAAAAATTATCACGGATTAACTAACCCGACCACTTCCATCGTGCTCGACTGCCGACTTCCCCTCTAACCAAGTTTTCGTGAAGTTTGTTCCTGCCGACCTTGACTATCACGACCTCCTGTCTAACTTCCTTTCTCTTGACAGGCTCTTGGATTTCCGCTCGGGAATTTCCTACATTTTTTCCTACCACTTCCCCCCACCTGCAACCCTAGTGTGTGAAGCGCGCACAAGTCCGCTTGCGCGCCAACCTTTCAACCGCAATCATGGGTATGTAGTGATCGCCTATGGCATATTTTCTTCGGCCTTGAACCAGAGAGCCAAATGGCCATGTTGAGCGAAATATCTCTGGTGGTCGTTCCCCGCTAACGAATCTTCTCCACTAGCGCCTAAACAGAAGGGTCAGAAGATGACCATTAGCAACTTCTTGGCTGATGAGAGTAAGTATCAGAAATGTCTACAAGGGAGGAAAAAATTTATACTAACGGATCCTAGGCCTTGGCTCTTGGGCTGATGAGATGGAGGACATGCCCCTCCCATGTAAGTCGCTGATCCTCTCCCCCGCTATATTTTGTTCAATCGGTAGCTAATTATAATTTTTAGCCGGTACGTCACCCGATCTCTACCATTAATGCTCGCGATTCACCTGGAACGATTTATTGATCTATTATAGGCCCCTCGGCGTCCTCTGGCTTCGGTGCCCGCCCTGCTGGTGGTATGGGCTTTGGAGGCAACAGCTTCGGCGGCGGCAGTACTTTCGGTATGCCAGATACAATGAGAATGAGAATGGGAAGTGAAATGAGTTCTGACATGTGCAATATAGAACGTGAGACCCGTGGAGGTTACGCTGTTCGCGAGCCGCTTGCTCTTCCCACCGAGCCCCCATACACTGCCCACGTTGGCAACCTCTCATTCGAGGCGACTGCCGATGATATTTCCGACCTTTTCGCTGGCTGCAGCGTGACCAACGTCCGCATCGTTGAAGACAAGTTGAGCAAGGCCCCCAAGGGCTTTGGCTACGTTGAGTTCGAGACCCTGGAGGGCCTCCAGAAGGCTCTTGATCTGTCTGGCACCACCCTGCAGGGCCGTACCATTCGCACTAGCGTTGCTGAGCCTCGTAAGTTTCATAATAGCCAACATTGTCCTCATAAAAACTGACAGGATATAGCCAAGGAATCTCGCCCAGAGGGTCGTGATCTTGACTGGACCCGCCGTGGACCCCTTCCCCCCGCCCCCGAGCGTCGCATTCCCGAGCGCTCCAGCTTTGGTCGTAACATGGATGCCGCATCCGATGCTGGCAGCGACCGTCGCAACAACTTCGAGTCGGACGGCAAGTTCCGCGATTTCGGCAACTGGGAGCGCAAGGGCCCTCTTGCGGCCCCCAGTGGCCCCCCACCCCGTGAGGGTGGCCGCCCCCACAGCAACGAAGGAGGACCTGGCTCTGCTTACCGGAGAAGCTCCCCCGCATGGGGTGAAGGTCAGGGTCGTTCCCAGGATGAGGGCTCGCGCCCACCTGCCCCCCGTCCCGAGCGGACTCCTACCGCTGCCGACATGGACAACCAGTGGCGCTCCAAGATGCGCCCCGATGCGCCCGCCAAGGAGGCCACTGCCCCCACATCTCCCACCGTTCCTGCCGCTCGTCCTAAGTTGAACCTTGCCAAGCGTACCGTTCCCGATGCTGCTGCCGCTGCCACCGCCTCCGCCGGTGACTCCAAGGCTAGCCCCTTCGGTGCGGCTCGCCCGATTGACACCGCTGCCCGTGAGCGTGAGGTCGAGGAGAAGCACCAGCAAGCTCTGCGCCAGAAGAAGGAGGCTGATGACAAGGCTAAGGCTGAGAAGGCTGAGAAGGCCGAGAAGTCTGAGAAGCCTAGACAGGCCAAGGATAACAAGGAGCAGTACAAGGACATCCGCCTTACCGGTACCGATTCCAACAAGGATGATGTGGATACTCCCAAGGGCGGAGCCAACTTTGAGATCCTCCGGCGGGCCGGTGGGGAGGAGAGCGGTATGAACGCCGACGCCGAAGCCGAGGAGACCCCTGCTCCTGCTGCTGAGGCCGCCGAGACCAAGGAGACTTCCAACGGCAACTGGAGGACCGCTGAGCCTACCGAAGAGAACGACGGCTGGAGCACCGTCGCCCCCACCAAGCGCAACAACCGTCGTGGTGGTCGTGGATTCTGATAACCTTATCGATACCCCCCCCCCCCGAAGCAACCTCCGCTTAACCCCAAAACTGTTGTCCCTGGATGTGCAGATGAACCAGTGACCGCATTTTGACGATTCTTCCGGCGCCCTTTCTAAGGCATCGTTGTCTTGAAGGAGCCGCGAGGCCACGAACTGCGGTTTCGATATCGCTGACCGTGAGCATGCACTCTTTATTTTTGGTCCATTATTTATTGCACACCCGTGCTTCAGACGGTAGTTGTTTTGTCCTCACTTCGCCCTTCCACCTTGCCTCTCCTCATTTTGTCCTTGGTTCATGATCTTCCCTTTCTTCTCGGGCTAGATTCTCGATACACATCTAGTCCTCGCTCTGATGATTTGGCAGTCTGAAAAGTTTATTTTCCTCCGTTTTTCTTTACTTGTTTTCGTATGATGTTTCGCTATCTAGCTATTATTCCCATGCGTGTGACTCGTGTGATTTGCCCATGACCATTACAGCCGATGCGAAATGAAGATTGCCCGGTTTCCTTTTTTCCTCTTGTCCTTTCTCCTATTGATCCACAGGTGGTTCCTGTTATGTCCCTTGTCAAGTTTGGAACCTGAGAATACGTTCGAGTCCCATCTTCTACCATCTCTGGTTCCTAACTCGACCTGCTATGTGATCACGAATGACTCTACGAGAGACGAAGTAGTCGCCATGAGTATTCCCATAACCTCACCCTCTTGAGCCTTTGATGACAATGAATCTCCGAAATTCTTTCTGGTCTTCCCCTCATCCTCAATCATTAGCTTCGGCTGATATCCTTCTACATTTCCAAGGTGCATTTGCCCTTTTTGGTTTCCTATTTTTGCACGTACTGATTGTCATCTTAATTTCTTTTCTTTTTCATTGCGTATAGATTGAAATTTTAGTCTTCATTGACACTTAAGTTCCACCCTAATGGTAGCTATAACTAGGTATTAACATGGCATGAAGTCGTCCATTCAATGTTAGGTAGTGTTTATACTGCACCCCAGTATGGGGTACATGTCCTACCGCTTTGAAGGGAGTGGAGTTCCAATAGCAGATCAACCACACAGAACACTTTGTTGCCCTAGAATTGTGGGCCGGGTATTATTGAATGAAATTTTCAAATTTGTTTCATTCATAGACAGCACACTACTGAACCTTAGGCCTTGTCCCCGCGCCAATTTTTTTTCCCAGTGGGTATAGCCTATGGGCCTGGACGCAGGTCAGTACGGAGTAGCGAGTACAGTTGGCGGTATAATGAAAATGGTCTCCTATATTATCTCGCGGTAAGGGCGATATAAATAGATAACCACTAGCCTTAGTAGGGGGTACGACTTTCCCATTTTCTGCAAGGCGTACTAAACATGTAAAATAATTACCCTTGATCGACCACGAGGTTGGTTGTCACAAATGACATTGGGGGCGGGGGTCAATGTACAACTATGTCATCGGGGTATTAAGAATGACGAGGATCAAGAGCACGCGAGAAAGATATCACAGATCTATCTGCAGGGTCCAAATGCAAAGAATGAGATCTAGGATGATATAATTTAAATCATTTAATATCAGCACAGTCAAGAAATAAGAAGAAAAATCGACCCTGGAAATAATGAGACACGGAATAAGTAAAAAAAGCCGGTGGCGCAGTATGGAGTAGATTGAACCCCTTCAAAGGTTGCCGGACGTTAATTACTATTTCGTTTCATATTTTGGCCATTTGTCCCTTCCAAGCTTCTCAGCATTCCGGACAGTTTTGATCTCATTATTTACACTTTCTAAAACCCTAGAGCTTCTGCTTTGTTGCTTCATCATCTCTTTGCTCTTATTTAGACTCCACTCTAAAATTCAGAACTCGGGGTAAACATCCCCATGGTGTCATGTCTGCTACGACCACCACGATCGCGACCGCTACTCTTGTCGGAATTCCCTCTACTATGAAAACTGTTGCTACAGCCACTGAGAACCACTGTGCAACATGCGGTTCTACTAAAACCGACTCGTTCGATTCCTCCGAGGCCCAGCTCCGGATCCAGGAGCTGGAGGGGCAGATCCAGGACTTAACGCATCGCGTTGCCTTAGATGGTGAGTGACAACCCAGCAGACTTGTGTCTCCCCTTCCATAAAACAGCAAAATAGAGGGCGAGAAGGGTAGCAGGCTTTTAGTGTCAGCCCTAAGCTCTCAACCCCCCCCCCCCCCCCCATACCACTCTAATTCAGACCAAAGACCCCCCAAACAACCTGCTGACCGACTCTTTCCCCTCACAACAGCAAACAAACTCGCCGACTACGAAGACGAAATCACACGTCTGCGCAAATCCCAAACTCACACCCATACCCGCGGATCCTACGACACACCCCGAAGCAGCGCTTCCCTCCCTCCTTCTTCCTCCCACACCGACAAATCAACCCTCTCACCAACCCAAATCCCCGCCACGCCAGACACAGCCTCCCAACCAACAACCTACCACAGTCGCCTCGCAACTCTCACTTCACTCCTCCCCTACCGCCGCGGTAGCTCAACACCAACAACCGCATCCGCACCTACACCCACAGCCGCCCTTCCAACAACCCCAACCTCCATCCCACCCAACCCTCTCCCCCAATCATCCCCAGCAAGCAGCGACAACGCAGAGCTCCAAGACGCGCTAACGCGCGAGCAAGGGCTCCGCAAAGCCGCCGAGTCCCAGCTCTCGCTAGCAAGCAACGAGCTCGAAGAGCTGACGGTGCAGCTATTCAGCCAAGCGAACGAAATGGTCGCGCAAGAGCGAAAAGCGCGCGCAAAGCTCGAGGAGCGCGTTGCTGTGCTTGAGCGCAGGGATATCGAGAAGCGGGGCCGGCTGGAGAAGCTGGAGAAGTCCATCGCGAGGGTGGACAGGTTGAAGGCTTTGGTTAATTCGTGAGGATGCGATGCAGCTTGCTTGCGGGTACTTATATTATAACGACTGCTATGATTTTTCCCCACAGCCTTTATTTATAGGCTTGAGCTATGATTCTTGAGTTATGATGGGTATGTATGTGCGGCGGCACTGGGAATGGTTTTAGGTATTGCGCTTTGTTTTCACCTACCTATCTGGGGTAGGGCTCGATTCCCACCTTCGCATTGTGGTATATATTATGTGTTCTATATGCTGGTTCGGCGTTATGGTTTGTGGATTTTTGTCAAGGTTATTTATTGGTCGGCGACTTGCCGTTGGGGAACTTGCTCTTCCTCTCCTTACTATTAGTAATTCCAAGTGAAGTTTCAGGGTGTTTGCATTGATGATGTTCAAAGAGCTTGATATGTAGAGTCGATCGTTGTCTTCAATTTGCGTTGGTGCTTGATGCTGCTTATTGCGTCATGCATATTCAGCAAAGCGGCTGGGTATGGAGTACCAGTAGTAATCGATATAGATCTTATGGACATTATGTATAATGCATGAAATAGTATCCAATCGTGAATGGCTCGGCATACTTGCAAGATCGGACGGAAAAAAAGGCTTGCCGAAGCCAAGCTAACCCAGGAAGGTTGGACCTTCCCACGTTCATTGTGGAGGCCGGTGTACCCGGACCTAAGAACCCCACTTGTTTCTGCATGCTCCTGCATGACATTTCAATAAGAATTTTGGACTCGTCTTTTTACATTCAAACCTTTTACCCGTCACTGCTCCTCTCTCAATCCCAAAGTCTTAAGTTTCTTTGCCAGACAGCTCACCAAATCACATTATGGCTATCGGAATAGCTATTATCGGCAGTGGTAAGCGTCCATTCCAGCCTTCAAATATAACTTAATTGAATACAAAGACCTCGAGACTAATGTGAATATACACAGGCAACTTTGCTAAAGAACAGCATTTGGTATGTCCAACCAGAAATCGCAAAATGCCGAATTCAACAACAAAAAGAATCATTGCACTAATCATTCCTCGATGCGGAAATGTATACAGCCCGCCGTGCAGGCCGTCAAAGACCTCACTCTCAAAGCCATCTATTCACGGTCCCTCAAATCAGCACAGGACCTCGCCAGCACCACCACAAACATCGATCTCTACTCCGAGGATTCCGGCGAAGGACACTCCTACTCAGATCTTCTAGCACGCTCAGATATCAGCGCCGTCATCATCGCGTACGTTCAATCAAAATCAAATCCCATCAGATCAAGCCGTCGATTGTCATTTCCGAAATCCAACTTAACAATCAACTCCCCAGTCTCCCTATTCTGGTCCAACCAGACTTCATCCGCCAGGCTCTCCTAGCAGGCAAGCATGTTCTTTCCGAAAAGCCCATCGCCAAGGACGTCGCAACGGCGCGTGAGCTTCTGGCATGGTACCAGAAGAACATCGATGCTAGCAAGGTATTCTGGGCCGTGGGCGAGAATTACCGGTACTTGACCAAATTCTTGTTCGCAGCGGAGCAGGTCCGGCAAATGGGACCAGTGCGCCATTTCAGAGTAAACGTGCATAGTCTCGTGAAGCAGGATAACAAATACTACCGTACGTTATCTGGCTCGCAAACACTCTCAATCCTATCTCAAACATACACCCATACACCCAATCGGTGAACTCGTTGCTAACTGTCTATCTATCTGGATCTATCAGAGACCGCCTGGCGCAAAACACCAGAGTACCAGGGAGGATTTCTCCTTGACGGCGGCGTCCACATGGTCGCCGGTCTCCGACTTATCCTAGGATCCGAAGAGAAAATCGCGACTGTGTCCGCGCACTCACAGCTCCAGCAGACATACCTGCCACCCGTTGATACTGTAGATGCGGTTGTGAAGACGGCGTCCGGAGCTACGGGTCTTGTGTCTCTGTCATGGGGCTCTGCGTTCAATGATAACATCTTTGAGTTTTCCTGCGAGAAGGGCGTGGTGAAGATGCATTTTGATGGAGTCACTGTTAATAGTTTGGATCATGTTATTGAGTTTGATGGCAAGGGCGTTGTCCCTGAGGTTGCAGATTTCGCTGCGGCTGTTATCAATGGAAGGCCTGTTGCTGAGAGACAGTCGCCCAAGGAGGCGTTGGCTGATTTGGAGGTTTTGGAGCAGATGTTGCGGAGTGGGGAGCGAGAGGGAGACAAGATGGAGGTTCAGTGGCAGTAGTAGTACTAACACAGTACATAGTAGTATAGACGGTAGGAAATTTGATGTATAATTGCTTGCATAGAGGTCACCAGGGTATCTGGGAATCATGTTTTCTTTGCTGGAGCTTTCTTGTCAAAATGTGATAAGTCTTATTTGATTCCCCCGCTCCCTTCGCCTGGATACCACCTTCAATGTAGTCTTTTCATAAACAAATAGCCAACCTTCTTCTCTTCTTGCAGCTCCCCTTGTCGACTTGGTAGAAATCAAGGCCGTCGATGATCAGTCATTCATAGTGGTACTTAGTACTACTCACATAGTTCAACAACGCCCCCAAGTGGATCCACGTGGGGACGCATGATGCATTCACAGCTTCGGAAACCACTAGTGTTGTCTTCATGAAGATGGCAAAGTGCGTTGAAGTCAGCCTAAAGCCGCTAAATCTTGCAGTCAAGCTAATAGGGTTCGTGACCGCCGAAGTTAGATATTGTGCTTGCTGAATACTACACGGCAAGACATTCAGAAGGCTCTCTACAGTATCCCTTTCATTACTCAAGGCTGATAGAGAGTATAGTGCATAGTACTACTAGTAGTGATCGCGGATTTTGGAGCATACCGAGTTCCGAATATAGTAGATGTTGGATTGGCCGTTGGAGGAGACTTTTCGCAGCATCATTCAAGTCATAATTGGGTGAGTAATTCCAAACGGAGTGACCTGAGCGCTGATAGCTTGGAATCTTGTTTTGTTTTGAGATGCGTAAGTTGATATGTTCATGGAAGAATTAATAAAAGAATAGATTTCTTATTATTTTCGAGAATGGGAACTTTTTGAATAAACAGGACAAAACATTAGGCATTAACATGAAGAATTACGTTGTATAGATGTTCAATCTAAGTTGGATGTTGTTGCATCCCAAAAGGGAGGTCTTGGCAGGGCTATGTGTCAGCCAACCCTACGCTGACATAAGCCCACCTATTTCGCTTAGGTCGCTCAAATCACACTAGTGTGGGTCGCCCACGCCGCTCTGCTTGGAAGTTTTCGAGATTGACTTCGTTCCGACTCGACAACTCTCAACGCCCGGCGAGACCCAGCAACACCGACAAAGTGAGTGATTCACGTCCGTTCGATCGACAAATCCAGCATTCTGACAGTTTTCTTTTTTCACAGATGGTCGCCGCTAAGCAGCATGTTCCCATCGTGAAGAAGCGTATGTTACCCCGATCTTCGACCCTGCGAATCCAATTTGTGGCCCTGGATAGTATCGCCCTTCGACCTCCCTACCACCAGACGAACGCGAAGAATGGAAATCGAGTTGGACGAGGAAGAGATGGGCATTTGAAGACGACAACATGGAGGGGAGATTTTTTATTTTGATTTTTTTCAACGACACGCATTCGTCATGGTCGGAGAGCGATATTTTCCACGGATACCCACCACAATCAACATCGCCAATGCATTACACGACTACCGATCCCAGAATTGAAGGACTGACAGTTTGAATTAGGCACCAACCGCTTCAACCGTCACCAGTCTGACCGGTTCCACCGTGTTGGCGCCTCTTGGCGCAAGCCCAAGGGTATTGATAACTGCGTTCGCCGCCGTTTCAAGGGCCAGATGGCCATGCCCTCCGTACGACTCCTTTCTCCCAGCATGTCGCCAGCATCAGATGGCTAATCCACGATTCTACAGATCGGTTACGGTTCCAACAAGAAGACCCGTCACATGATGCCTTCCGGCCACAAGGCTTTCCTCGTCCACAACACCAAGGACGTCGAGCTCCTCCTGATGCACAACCGCACCTTCGCTGCTGAGTATGTCTCAACCCACCTTTTTTCGATGCCCTTTGCCAGATTTGCCAAATCAAACGAGATCCAGTTGAACGATGCGCTAACATAATGCCCACAGGATCGGCCACGCCGTCTCTTCCCGCAAGCGTGTCGACATCATCGCCAAGGCCAAGGCTCTCGGTGTCAAGGTCACCAACGCCAAGGGCCGTGTCACCACTGAGGCTTAAATGGATTGAACCCCTAAAAAGTTCTGTTTCATTTAATTTTCGGCGGTATACGCAGGAGCATGAGAGCGGGGTTTTTGTTACGGTCGTGATATCACTCTGGCGATAACGAATTACAAGGATTGTGCATGCCACGCCATGTGCGGCTCGCGCTTGGTCATGAGTGCTGGGCGGATAGAGCGAGAGAGACTTGTTCTGAAATGACAAACAAAAATTCAAAAATTCTTTTCTGGGCATGCAAAATGAGTTACGTGATTTGTAGTTTTTACACGTATATGCACTGGGATTACATTTGGATTCTCGATATCTGAGATATCTGAAATATCTGAGACCTATAACCATCGAGATACTTGGGTATCAAGTCTTTTTTTGCTTTGTATACATTTTTCTTTGTATACTAGTACATCTTGCATACTACAGATTGTGGCTGGTAAGTATGGCTGGGATCGACTCGGGTACATGTCACTGCTTCCGGATCGGCCAAGACGTGGCTTAAGATTAACCTCGACATACTTATTTCTCCGACCTTGAACTTTTCTCGATTGTCGACCTCCCAAGGGCCAAACCTGGTACAGGCCAGTTCGTCAGGGTTCCTCTGTCCGTGCAGAGGAATTAATTGATCGCCAGACCCACCTGTTCAGGGGTCCTCGTAGCGGGCCTCTGTGGCACAGCGCTTGGAACGAAAGAGCCAGATTACGTGCGTCCGAGTGGGAGCACGACGACAGTTGCAATTCGGATCTACAGGTCATTTTTCGAAAGCAGCCAGCTTGTATTCCCCACTTGGTTCAGCCGTCATCGCTCTACATAACCTACTACATTATCAAGAAAAAAAAAGTGGAACAAGACGTCGATCTGGCCAATGTCAGCCCCAAACAAGCCCCGGACACAAAAGCCCCTAAAGTCCAGGCAGACTTGAATCCTGATATTTTTTTCTTTTAAAAAAAAAATCTCACCATTCTCCTCAAACAATAACAGCTCTGGACGTTGTTTCCTGACTTCTACTGGAACATGGAGGGTCAATTCTAGGCAATTCCTTCCCATCCCTTCTACTTTGTTTCCCCTCATATCGTCTTACAATCTACAATGCTCACCTTCCCCGCCCGGTACGCCCGATGGCTACCTCTGCTCGCCGGAGCTGTCCTCATTTTTCTATTCCTACACCTCCGACACACTGGGTTCGGACTGTATACGCCACAAGTAATCACCGAACCACCCGTCAAATCATCTAATCAAACACTCACCACACCCGATGAAACGACTCCAACACCCAACATCAAAACCGATGATCCCGAAGCTATCAACGCAGACCCCACATCCGCAACGTGCCGCCCACTTCCCGGCATCGAAGATATCCTCGTCATTCTCAAGACAGGCATCACAGAAGCTCAAGAAAAAGTCCCCGTGCACATCCGCTCCACCCTCCGCTGCATCCCGAACAAACTAATTGTCTCCGACTATGAAGAAGACATCGAAGGCCTCCGCACCCACGACGTCTTCCGCAACACCAGCTGGTCAGTCCTCGAGAATGCCGACTTTGCACTATACAACCGCGCAAAAGGTAGCGGCCGTGCAGGCCTGACAGGAGAAGACACAGTCAAGGTAGCCAACAGCGCTGCCGGAATGATGGGCAACCCGGGCTGGAAGCTGGACAAGTGGAAATTTCTCCCCATGGCCGTCGAGGCACGCAATTACCAGCCCACTGCGAAATGGTACGTTATCCTCGAGGCGGACACATACCCGATCTGGCACACGCTGGTGGGCTGGCTATCGAAGCTGGACTCGAACCAGCGATTGTATCTCGGAAACCAGATGCAGATCGGGGAGGACGTGTTTGCGCACGGCGGGTCGGGCATTGTGCTCTCGCATGCGGCCATGCATGCTCTTGCGGATGAGTACGAGGAGAACATGGATGACTGGCATTTCAAGACGGATAAGCACTGGGCAGGCGATTGTATTCTGGGCATGGCGCTCAAGGCCGTCAATATCCCGCTCACATGGTCCTGGCCACATGTTACCGGGCAATCGGTCTGGGAGCAGGATGCCATCAACGAGGCCTATGGGAGGACGCAATGGTGCTACCCACCTTTTACATTCCACCACATGACACCAGCGGACATTGAAATGATGTTCAGATTCGATACAAACTGGCACGCTAAAGTAAGTAAAGTCTCCGTTGCCTGCTTCTCATTGCCCCATAAGCATTGTTCTTGTTCGCAATACTGTTTCTTTTTTTTTCTCCTCGTCGCTCCCATTCATACTTACATGCCATTAGGAAAACAACGGCTACCTCTTATATAAGGATGTCTTCCGCCTCCTCACCCGCCCTAATTTAACAGACACAAAACAAAACTGGGACAATTTCGCTCCGCAAAAGCTCGAAAGAGAAGATGGCAACAGCGCACCGTGGACACACTACGAGTGCGCTGAGGAATGCGCCAAACGCACAAAGTGCATGCAGTACCGCTTCGACGAGGCTGGTACTTGCAAAATCGGTGACCTTGCGCTCCGCGGCCGGCCTGCAGCCGACGTGACGGCTGGCTCGATGATCTGGAGAATCGACGAAAAAGTCCGTTCTTTGGGTGATTGTGAGAGCCCGCAGTGGGCGTCTCCATGAGCCGCACTACTACTATATCTATTTCTATTTGGAGGTTGTTCGCAATTACTTGCGTTTTGTTGTGCTTGTGTTTTGATGCGTTGTGGCATTCGTCTTAATTGTACACGCGGCGTATGGGATGGTTGCATTGGGACTGGAGAAATGGCATTTGCATTTTTAGATTGGGCATACTTGAAAGATAGACTGGGTCCAGAAATGGTCCAGAAATTTGCAGCGAATTGAGTTACTTGAGATTCTTGGAATGTTGTGTGGTAATATCAAGTTAGTAGACATCAAACCGAGCTGGGAGTGTATGAGTGGTGATTACTCCATATCTGCAAAGAGCGGTAAACAAAAACAGTGACCTCCCCCATACACTATAGGAGTACCAGGTACATACTAGTCTATAGTACTTTACGAGACCCGGGAACACACAGGAAATAGGAGTCGTGAAACGGTCATCAAGTTCAAAGGGTCTATATAAGTCAAAATGCAATGTAAAACACCCACTCTATATGCTGTATGTCCAGATGAGACAAGAAACATGCCAACCTCGACTTCAATCAACGATTTTGGTATAATAATATCAAAGCAAGAAGGAATATGCAACCTCTGCCGAATGCAACATAACCAAGTTTACTGCGCCGCAGCAGCCACCAGCTCAGCAGCCTCCTTGGGAATAGAAGCTGCGTTCAAAGACGAAACATCAACAATGCCAACGCCCTCCAGCAAAACAGTACCGGTAGGCAACTTAGTACCCCTGCGAACCACGCCTTCATCATCAACTCCAATCTCAGGCGGAACAGTTCCATGCCCAATAACAATCTCCTCGCCCTCCGTGCCAGGAACCCAATCCGGAACCTCACGAGGACCAAAGAGACCAGACGGCGGCAAACCCCAACTGGGCATAGCACTCCGGTACGACCAATCACCCTCAAGGTCAGCATACGCAACAGCATGCAAAAAGATACCGAGCTCATGAGGCCCCGGATCAGAGTACAGCTCGGTATCACAGACCTCGCAAAGCTGACCAGACAACCGCTCACCCTTGCGAATAGAATAATCCTCCGCCGCAGCCTTCTGCTCGCGCTCCAAAAGCTGCGCCAGAATAGCCGGGTCAGTATCCGGCGGCACATCCGGCGACGCCATAAAGTGGTGTCGGTACGACACCGTATCCGGCAACTCAGTCTTCCCCATCCTATTCAAGCGCTCCATAATCTCATCATCGCGCTGACCATGCGACTCGTTCTTTCCGAGCTCGGGCCCGAAAACCCGCCGATTAGAGTAAATGGGATCATTGGAGATAGGGTGGCCCAAGAACTGCAGGTGGACTCGAATCTGGTGCGTGCGCCCCGTAAGCGGGAAGCAGTGCACAATACTGTAGCCCTCCGTCTCATTCGCCAAAGCCGGAGGCGGGGTAGCAGGCCGGGGGATTTCGCCGTGCTCGCCGGCAGGCGGGGTGGGGGTGGGGAGTTCCGACTCGGCAGGGTAATAGGCCAGACGGCGGAATTTGGTGGTGGCTGTCTTGCCGGTGGCGCGCACGCGGTTCAGGCCCAGTTTGGGACTGACCTGCATGATGGGCTGGTCGCAGACGACGACGCCGTCGGGGAACTTGCCCTTGACTCTTGCGACGTATTCTTTTTGAACGGAGCGTTCCTTGAGCTTTGTGGCCATTCTTTCTGCGCCCTTGGGGTCCTTGCCGATGAACATGACGCCGGATGTGAGGCGGTCGAGACGGTTGCAGGGGCGCGGGAGCCAGCCTTGGCCGCGCTCTGCGCGGAGGATCTCGACGACGGAGTTGAAGTGGTAGCGGCCGGCGGCGTGGACGGGGATTCCGGCGGGTTTGTCGATGACGAGGAGGTCGTCGCTTTCGTGGATGATGCCGACTGGTTGGGCTGAGACGGGGGGTTCATGGCGGTGGCAGGTGTGCGAGATGACTTGGCCGTTTTTAATGACTGTGTTGCGCGCGGCGGGCTTGCCGTTCACGGCGACGAGGCCTTGGTCCAGTGCCCAGCGCTAGTGTATGGGTTAGTTATATGGGGATTGTTATGACTGTGGGCCAGGGGGTCATACATAGTATTCTGGTCTGCGGTCTCGGAACTCAGAAGTGAAGATGTCCTCCAATGTGCGACCGCGCCATCGCTCCTTACAATTAGTGTTGTAGGTGTAGTGGTAAGGCTTGACGCGGCGAAGTCCACCCTCCAGGTAATATGGTGCTGGCCATGGGTCGCAAGGGGTAACGCAGACGTCCGGGGGCTGTTGGACGGGATCGGCCTTCACTTCATAATTGACAAGGGACATGACGGGCGGCGGGGGCAGAGGATATTTTCCTCGCCGGAGAAGATAGGCCGTTATACGCGGAGAGGGAGCCAGGAGGGAAAATGAGCGACTTGCGGCTCAAAAAATGCAAAAGAAAGTGTTGGCGGGGGAAAAGTCAGTGGAAAAAAAAATAGAAACTGCGATTAACGATAAGAAACAACCTTGGAAACGGCCATTGTGGAGTAAATCTCTTCCCCACGTCAATCTGGATCCAGAACTCATATTGATGTAGATTAAACAATATCATTGACATGTCTGAAATCTCCAGAAAATACTAGTAGAAGATCTTTTGATCGACATCCTACTGTTTAATCTTTCGAATCCAATTTCTGAAATCTCCAGGCTTACCTAATCTCCTGTACCTCGGTCCGGACGTGATCAACTCCGAGGCGTGCAGACAGAATTGCATATCACTTCTTGCCCCGCTGGACGGTGCCTCAAGACTTTCTTTCTTTCTATGATCATAGGAAAAAGAACCCACATTTACAAACCTACAAACATGGCAACTCCCGAGTTCGTAGCCAAGAAGTCCCGCGTGCGCAGCGACTACGGCTATCACCAAGTCCACCAAACAAGATGGTAACCACGCCCCAAACCCAAATACATAGATGATGGAATCAGCCAAGAGAATTAATGCAGGAAACCAATCCAGGTTCGACAATGACATGTACGCTCACCTCAACAACACCGTCTACACAGCCCTCTTCGACACCATCGCCAATTCTTACCTCATCGAGGCTTGCGGCATGGATCCCTTTAGCGTGAACAATCCCACTCCAAAAAGCCAAAGTGGCCAGCCATCCAACCTGTCCGTCGGGGCGGAGCAAATTGGCCTGATTGTTTCCACGCACGCGGACTTTTTCGCTTCGGTTGCGTTTCCCGATATTCTCGAGGTCGGGTTGCGGGTTGCCAAGTTAGGGTCGTCGAGCGTGACGTGGGAGATTGGCGTGTTTCGGAAGGGAGAGGAGGATGTGAAGATGGTGGGGACTTATATCCACGTCTTTGTTTTGCGGGAGACGATGCGAGTGGGGAAAGGCGGGATGGAGGATAAGGTGCGCAATGGACTGGAGAAGTTGCTTAGTAGACCTGATTCGAAGCTGTGATGTAACTTGAACATATTGAGACGCCTGCATATTGTATATACCGGTTGGAATTGCGCCATACACATGCATGTACACATGTGCATGTCCCCTGCTTCTTTAGTTCACATATCCTTGAAGAGTAACGGAATAACCAGCAGGTAGACTTGGAAGCGAGCCAATCATACTCGTGCATGGCACTCTATACGCAAACTTTCAAGACTGGGACTAGAATTGACACATGGGAAATTGAAGTTGTTCATATGAAATCCTCCGACATTTACCGGATCATCAAATTCAAAGTCTATGGAAAGTGAGCGACCCAATGAAACCGCCAAAGAGCACCGTTGAGCCCGTGCGCCGTCGCAGATCATCTCAGCCCACGTAAAACAGAAACCCAGGTCTAATCTCATCTATCGTTTGAGAAAAAAAAAATCAAAAATTGAACACAAAAAACCGAAATTGAACACCCACAACCAGTGCTACCGTAAAGCAAGTCAAAACACTTTTGTTAACCGATCATCACGCTGAAACGCTTCCCAAAACTTGAAACACAAGCACTAACAAAAGGTGTTGGGAGTCATTGCCATGGTAAAAACAAAGATGAAGGTAAATGGATATAGGCAGCAAAAATAGAGAACCAAAAAGAAATGAGAGAAGAAAAAAAAACTGCCCAAAATGGATGAAAAAAGGCCAAGAGTTTGCCAATTTACTCGATCTTGCCCGCAATAACACTGTTACAGCGAGAGACATTCGCACTGGTCGGCGGCGACATACCACGGCGCATAGTCTCACCGTCCTCATCCAACCACCACTTAGGATAAGGACCGGGGATGAAGCGGCCCTTGGCGTCCCAGCCAGCGACCCAGTGAACGCCATCGTCGAGGAGGAAGAAGCGCAGCTTCTCAGGGCGACCGCCCTTTTGCAGGGGCGCCGTGAAGAAGCGCGAGCGCTCCTCCAGCTCCCCCTCAAACATGTAGCGGTGCAGAACGCGGCAGTAGATCAGGGCAGCGGGGACTTTTTCGTCCTGATCCTGCCCATCACGGCGGACAAGGTGCCAGCCTTGACCGGGGAGGAACTTGTATGTTCCCGGGACGGGGGTTTCCCAGTGTTGTTCGCGGTTATCGTCTGATTTGATGCGGTCGCCGCGCTGGAACCAGTAGAGAGGGCAGCAGATGGTGCGCAAGCAGAGGAAGAGATTTGGGGCCATGATTGGTGATGGCTTTTATTTGGTAGATGTTGCGAGTGTGGCGGTTTGGATTGGCCAGGGGAAAGGAGTAGCAAGGCTAGGCTATGAAGCTGTAAAAAGAATAAGGCGAGCAGGCAACGCTGAAATGCGGATGGTATAGTTGCGAAATAAAAAATTCCAGAGGAACGGTGATGTTATAAGTCGACGTCCATGGTGACGGGGTAATTCGATATCAATGGTTTCGAAATCGATGTAAAGAGGAATGGACAAGGCCTTCAGCTTCGACTTGGAAGCTTCGGTGAAGGGCCTTGGGGGGAGAGAGAGGCGCTCTCTTTATTCTTACAAAGAAGAATAGAATGGACCACGGGGAGGCACAGGCCAACACAACCGCGGTAAGGTAAGGGCAGGGATGTTTGGATTGATTATCCAGGGAAGAAAGAACAGGGAAAATGTCGTTATCGTTGCGGTGAGAACGGAGTACACGTCCCCGGGATTTGCGAAATGCAGTCGGGAAGAGTCGTGATAAGCTTGCAGCTGCTTCCGACGGGCTAGTAGCTGATCACAGACCTTTCTGAGAAGAACTCCCTGAGAGAAGGAAGTAATCCGGGGCGAATCAGAAAAGTGGCTTGGGGAATCTGACGAGTTGGGCCAGGGCAAGAATCGGCAGCTTGCAGCAGAGACAGTGCGTTGAGGAAGTGTTAAGAGCCGATGTTATTGCTCAACAGGACCGCATGCAAGCAATGGAGCATTTGACTGGAGGAAATCCGACATGGCGGTGATTGTAGGGGAATCAGAAGAATAAAAGAGAAATGTGTGGGATGCTTTGAATTGCGGGTCTCCCGTGTTTAGGGATCCATCACCTTAAACCAAAGTTGTCTAGACTCTCCACGAGATCGAAATTTTCCTCGTTTCTGAGGCTCCACTAGCCATTTCCACGCGCGATTTTCTCTTTTTTTTTTGCCTAAAATCCACGCTACTGGTCTAAATCTTTCATTTAAATCCCTCTTAGTCTATACCAAGAGTTCCAAGACTGCTGCCTTCCGGTTTCTGTCCTTTCTTGCCCTAGCAACGTATAGCTTCTTAGGTCAATGCTCTTTTTTTTTTCTTTCTCTCTTTAAATGTATCATATTCCTTTGTCTCCTAATGATACATTGCATACGAGGGTCATCGGTGACTCCGTCTCTGCTTACTATGGCAATTGAGGCGATAGGACCATGTGGACCAGCGTTTCCAGTTTCAGCCTCTGCGAAAAAAATGATAGCTCTGGATTCAGCTTCTGACCAGCTGACATCACACAAATAAAAATGTCACCGTTTGCCTGCTAAAGGTTAGCCTATTTCCTATTTCTTTAGCTTCTAAATAAGTGGATTTCGATCCTTTGCCACACTTCAAAGCTCTGGTTTGGACTCAAGAGGAGATGATCGTCGCAATTATCATATCGCACTGCCACATGTATGCTTGGGACTTACCGAGTACGGAGTACTCCACCTGAATAACTCCGGCCAACGTGCAAAACAAACCCCAAAAAAAGAAAAGCGACAAAGAAAAAGAAAAAGAAGGATAATTGAAAATTGAAAATTGAAAATAAATAAAAATTGAAAAACTTAGAAAGCAGAAACAAAAATCTGGCCACCTTACCATATTGAGAATTATTCCAATCCTTCCAGAATGACAATTTCTTCCCCTTGACCGGACCGTTAGGTCTAACCCCCCTTTTGAAACCTTGAAATATACGTGGTCCTGTAGTCCATCGCAATGCCCCCACTCGCTTCATTTCTTACTCGCCACATGTGTAAAGTCAAAGAAGCCACCTCCTGAGCCTCATATGGCGTTATTCTACCCCGGAATTTTGATTCATTATGAGCTTCTTCATGGTTTCCAGAACCCTTGCAACGACAGAAGCAGCACCCGACACAGATAATTGCAATACCACCAGCTTCATATAATAAACAGCAACTCTCGTTGAGAATTCTCCTTTTGAAACCGCTATTTTTCGCCCGATTACCTATATGGGGGCAAGAGCACTTAACCAAAATGGCAATAAGAATTGCTTCCGGTTCTGGAACAGTACCTGAATAGGCATGGCGATCATGGGAGCTGTACTCCTTGTACTCTTCAAATGTTCTATGCAAAGTTGACTGGACTCGAGGATAAATAGCTAGAGATTCCTTGGAGAATTGAATATCATCATCCACCAACTATCAATCCAATCGACCAAACAATCCAATCCAATCCAATCCACCGATCACCCGATCTTCCACCTTCCAACCAACAAAATGCAGTTCATCGCCGTCTTCATTGCTACCCTGGCCGCTGTTGCCTCTGCCTCCCAGACCGCCGAGAAGCGTTCCTGCGTCGCCAGTGAGTCGACCTTGATAATGATTGGATTTTTGGAATTCCGTTGGCTGACTATTTCTTCTCTAGACTACGAGGTTGCCTGCAACTCTGGCAATGCCTGCTGCGATGGCTGGCAATGTGTCGGCGCTACTGAGTGGAACGCCGGTGTTTGCATCCCTAACTACTAGGGGATGATACTATGCACCTAGCGATGTGGTCTTTTTATTTTTTTTTCTTGTTTAGCATGTCACTGTTATAGAAGCTTGTTACTCTCTAGCGGGTCTAGATAGTTTGCGATTTCTGAAATCCATTGTGTCTTTCGAGTTATTCCGCGTATAAAATAACCCTGCCGTGTATCGGGAAATGATTTGGTGTCAAAAAAGACACCATTCCCAACGTTACGAGCTCGTATACGTAGTCAACATTATTCCAACCTTGCACACGTGGAAGGCTTCATGAATGTCAGCTTCGAAGGCGAAATGTACAGAATTTATTCTAATATTTACTGCCTTGTGGCCTATAATATTTTGTGTGTCCAGATCGATCTAGCTCTAGTTATAAAGAAACCTTGCAGCCATGGACCCGATTCCAACACCACCACCCAATCGCCACTCATTTCATATTCTGCGGCACAAGCTCAATAAAATACCCATCCTAAACCCAATTTAGCTCAAACCCCTCTCAAAAAAGAAGCATTGGCGACTTACCGGATCCCTGACAAACGCAATCTGTTCAAAAATCCTCCCATAGGCCGGATGCACCGCCCCCAACCCAATACCACGCTGAGCCTCCCACCGACTAAGAGGAATGGACTCTCTCGTCGCGACCCCCAAATCCTTCTCTACCTCCACGCCATTCGATCTCAAATGTTCCAGCGCCTTTGGAACATCCGGAACCGTGAATCCCAAATGTCCAAGCCCCAAGTTCGGGGGCTGGTTGCCCGTGCTGTACAGGCCCGCGGGCTCCTTCTCCGTGCCGTGGATATGATACAGTTCCAGTAGCCCGAGGGTATGTACGAGGTTGGCGAGTGTTTCCTCGCCGAATTTTGTCAGGTCTATTTGGTGCTCGGGTGTTTGGGGGTAGCCGAGATAGTAGATTGTGAAGGGGCCGGTGTTCATGGTGAAGATGGTTCGCATGCCGAGGAGGTCGACGTAGAAGTGGAGGGAGCGGACGGGGTCTTGGATTCGCATCATCATGTGGTTTAGCTTGAAGCCGGTGGTGGGGTTGTTGGGGAGTAATGGGGATTCGGTTTTGTCGCCATTGATTAAGTATTCGCCCACTGGGTGGGTGGGAGGGGTTGTAGAACTGTTACTCATTGTGGTGGACTTGAGTTTTTTGTCCCTCTTTTGTTTTGGGAAGGCACAGGTTAGAATAAAGTCATTGGTCTCATTTTATACTGGGCTTTACGAAGGTTCACGGCTTGGGTCAATATGCGGGGGTTGTGTGGGACCGAACGGGGAGGTGAAGGGTGGAGGGTGGGGGATATCCGGCCCTGGATTCACTTGTTGCTTCACACTAGGTTCTTTTTATTTTGAAGCTCTTCTTTTTCATAAGCGAGTTGGGTTGGCAAGACTCTGCTGTTTACATGAGCTTCTTTTAGCTTCTTTTCCTGAAGAAAGATAAGGTTTGACAAGATACATAGTAGATGAGCTGCGGCTCGCAAACCTGTGCATAGGGGTCGTTGTTTACTACACGCCCCACATTTACGAGGGACAAACCTATGTTGTCCAAGATCAACTGGTATCTCTCACTGAATAAACCGCCGAATCACTGGGCGTTGGTCGAAAACAATATAACACAGAGTAGGTGCTATATGATAAAAGTTGATCTTCAAATACTGTTCAGGTGGTTTTTTTTATGTGAGTGCACGGGAGGTATAGGTGTAAATAAGTGTAAGTGTTGTGCTCAATTCTACTCCGTACTGACTTACATATCGCGCGGTCCTTTTCAACAGCCAACCGGGGGGGGGGGGGGTCATGTGACGAAATTTAACGCCAAGTACTCAAAGAGGGATTGGCCTTTTGCCTCTTCCCACGGGCGCGTCCTTGTAAAAATGAGACGGGCGAGGCGGGGCTGGCTTCGCGATCCAATACGTGGAGCCTTGGAAGGAGCCTTGGAAAGTCGAGTTGGTGAATGAATTCAATGCGGTGGTGATTTCAGGAACGAAGATGGCGGTTCATCAGCATTTATGATTGGTGGTACAATCAATGATTAAAATGGTTCCTGTCACCTGGTGCTGTACGCTAACTTGAATAGGCACTAGACGCCCAGGCGGAGTGGATCTGCGTTCCAGCAGTGTCCACGATTGGCGTATAAAACACCTGCGAGGCTGTGACCTTGGCATTGAGGCACGCTTTCCCAGGGCGGCAGATGCGCCCGGGCTGGTTAAGCATCTTGTATATTAGCGTTCCTGTGGTATAATATGCTGCAAGCCACCCACATATGCTGTAATAATAAGTGCTGCTATTCCTTTTATTCTGTTCCAACCCCTGGCTTCCTTCCAAAAGAGCTAGTACCTCATTTAGCATCAGCATAGTTTATCAACTGCTTTCAATTCCTGACTCAATATTACTTAGCAGTAAATAGAGGAGTTTTATTGTTGGAAATGCAACACAGAAAAACCGCACGTAAGGCCTAATCCTAATCAATTTCCCGGCTTTCATCATCTAACAAGAAGCCCATTCGCTCAACAGTCACACCGGAAAATTACGTTCGAGCCATTATCTCCCTATCTAGAAGGTACTCAAGTACCTCCTCCTTCCCCGGGAATAATTACGTCGATATTGCAGAGTGGCTGCTTCAAGACCGCCATCTTCTCAGTTCAAAAAAGCCAGAAGAGGAGGCCAACCTTTTCGCTTCCAAGTCTGAACAGCCTCATGATCTGGTCGTGGTATATGACTGTGAAGAAAGGAAGTGGGACGTGGGGCAATACCACCAAGACCAACATGAGAAGTTCTCAGCTGAAATCTCAGTTCCGTCAGAGAACTTGGGGCAGGTAGTCTTCATCCGAGGCTTCATATCACCGTCTTGGGTATCAGCTCTTGGGAGTAAATACAATATCGATCCGGAATTCTTCAGGCGACACATGAATTTTCTGTCTAGCAATGATGTTAGGCACTCCTACAGTTTCCCACCGCTTGCGAGCTCCTCAAACAACATTTTTCGCCTCTGCGTGAGCACTCTTCTCCACCGTGATGATTTCGGGGGCCAGAACTTGCAGTCGCAGCGCTCAGAACAACTCACTGGGCTTGCGAAATACAAGATACACCAGCTTGGCTCTAATAAGGTTTGCTGCGGAGACTCGCTAGTCCGCGAATACACTACTGTGTGTCCGTCATTCTCTGTGATTGAACAGTGGATTTCGATTTATGTCGCAAAAATCAATGGAAGTTGGGCTGGTAAGACATTCATTCTTCTTGGTATCCTTGAACGGTATCTCATAGTAGGTAATATTCGCTGACATCTGGATATGCATGCTCAGTCATTGTCTGGATGGACCACGGACGATCCTTAGAACAATCTCCCCCAGGGCCGTGGACTAGTCACATCGAAGCCAAGGCAACACCACTTCCCATCATCCAACATCATCCAAAAATGGCATTTAGAACGACGACCAATCGTCTAAAGTCGGATACGAATACGACAGCAGAATTCCAGCAAAGCACGACCTTGCTTCCTTTGCAGTACGATTCTTTGATCGCGCTTGTCGATTTGGCCCGTCGCGCACCCCAGGATTCACTATCCATATGTATCCCGTTATTTGCCCACGCGGCTTTCTCCGAGGTCCAGTTTCTGAATCTGATGGAATCCAGAATCCAGTTCCAGATAGACTTGATCGTTGCGGAACATCCGGCTGATGCGTTAGGAACTCTTCAATATTTCACCAACATTCTCAACCGACATTCCAAGCAGCTGAAAGATAGCGCCCGGGCACTTTGCAAACTGGCGGAACAAGATGGACAGGGATCAAATGGCACCAAATCCGAAAGTCCGAGTAGGAGACTTGCCGTTCCATCAAGCCATAACATAAGGTTGCCTTCGGAGACGGACAGGACCGGAAATTTCACCTCTCCTCGATCGGACAGTACCTTTACTCAAAAAGGCATCATGGAGGACTATGATCAACTCTATATCCGTTGCGTCGAGTTGTCCAAAATGTGTACCCAAGGCATAAGTTTGGCGATGAACAAAGCCACGATCGAGGAGTCACGCAAAGCCATTGAGCAGTCGAAGCGAGTGAAGAGATTGACTCTACTTGCTACACTCTTCATCCCTCTCAATTTCAGCTCCAGCCTGCTAGGCATGAACATTGATCTCCTTGGCCAGAATGCTGTGAAGTCTTGGTGGTTTTTTGTCCTGTGTATTCCGATAACTTTGCTTGCCTACAGCTTCTATCTTTGGGACTTTCGGTTCCTCAAACGTTGTTGGGTGAAGTTTTGGAAAAGATGTCGTGGCATGAGGGGAGATATCAAAGTTGGGCGATACGAGAAGGATCCCGATCATATTGTGTAACAAGATTTCCCGGGGCTTTATGACCAGGGACAATTTATCGGTAACTCCATGTATAATTATTGAAGCAGACCAGCCACTATGAAAGCTGTGGCTCAGGTCAGATTACTCTAAATATGAAAGAGGGGTTTTGGTGGGGGCCGTAGTGGATCGGCATTCACGAGCTACCTTGCATCAACTCAATGTCCCTCATGTCACTCCAGGCGAGTTATTTATGAGACCAGTTTAGTCTTGTCCACCATGGCGCATCCAGAAATAGCGTAAGCCGACGAAACAGCGTTTATCCCCGTGAAACCAAATCTGACAACCGCCTCCACCAGCTTCCCGGAGATCCGTGCCTGCATCTTTGACATGGACGGACTCCTCATCAACTCCGAAGACATAATTACTCTATCCACGAACCAACTTCTCGAACACTACGGCAGACCCACTTTCATCCCGTCAATAAGAGCCCAGCTCATGGGCGTCCCAGACTCTACCAACAGCGACGTATTCCACAACTGGGCCAAGCTGCCCATCCCCCGGGACCAATGCGCCAGAGAACTAAAAGAACGAATGCGAAGCAATTTCCCAAAATGCACACCATTGCCCGGTGCGGCGAATCTTTTATTAAACCTCAGCCGCGCACGTAATGCTTCGGGCGCCAATATTGAGCTGGCATTGGCATCCAGCACCAAAAGCCAAAGCTACGAATTGAAAATCTCGAGGCCGGAAACAAAACAGCTGTTAGATTTCTTTCGACCCGATAAAAAGATACTCGGTGATGATCCGCGGGTACCGCAGGGTCGAGGGAAGCCGGCACCGGACATTTATTTAGTCGCATTGCAGGCGCTGAATTCTGGCTCAAATGAAAGTCCCATCCTGCCAGGCGAGTGTCTAGTGTTTGAGGATAGCGTGGCTGGGGTAGAGGCTGGAAGACGGGCTGGGATGAGGGTTGTTTGGGTACCGCATTCAGATGTGGCGAGCGAGTATGAGACGAGCTATAAGGATATCTTGGCGGGGAGGACGGGGATGTTTGATATAGGAGACAATTGGCAAAGAGGAGAGCTTGATGATGGTTGGGCCGAAAGTATAACAAGTCTGGGGGATTTTGACTATGAGAAGTACGGTATCATCTTGGAATCTTGAATATGTACATGGAGTTCAAAAACTCCATGTAAGTCAAATTCTGGAGTCGCCACAGGGCTGAGCATCACCAGATGTCGCAGGGCCACCAGAAGTTGCTCCCAAGGCCATACATACAGGGCAAACTAATCAAATTGAGCAAATAATTGAATTTCGCGCATAGCCCATATAAATGGAATAATACAGACGCATGGTCTCCACTACCAGCCTTCTACATATTGAGAGTTTCGAAATTAGAAAACACACATGCACTAGTTGGTTAATTGAAACCCAAATGATATCAATTTTCATAAGAATCCGGACATTTGAAAAAGAAAAGTCGACAAGGCCAGCACGAAGATGTGTGATTGCAATCTCCGGTGGTTCTCATCCCCATCAACGAGCCCAAAATGCAACAATTTCGTCAAAGTCTTCTGTCGTCAAGCTACTCACATCCCGATCCTCCTGAGTAATCTCCTTTCTCAAGCGACAGGCAACCCTGAAAGCAATAGAGGCTTTTTGAGTCCTGCCAGTTAACTTGAACAACTTCCCCTTCAAAAATGTGGTACGGGCAATTTCGTTTCTGTGTGAGCTAGGATCAAAGGACCAGATATCCAAGGCCTTATTGATCATACCACTAAGGTTTGTTAGACGAATTCAGGCCGAGATAGGAGGGAGAAAAGCCACACTTACGTCGCATTTTCATATTGGCCTAGGCGGATGAGATGCTCGGCAACCTTGTGGGCAACATTAGCTGTATAATAGTCTCTCTCGCCCACTGTTGCAAGCATATGATTCCATGCTCGCTCATGGTATTCGAAACTCTCATCCAATTGGTTTTGCGTTGCACGTAGGTTACCAAGTGCATACAGGATCAGTCCAGTTCGGACTGACTCCCGGTCGTTCTTCCCAAGGGCCTTCTCCCTACCAGCTAAACTATCAAGGAGGAGTGTGTTACACTCGTCAAGCTTGCCTTGCGCAAGAAGTGACCAGCTTAGGTTTGCTTCACCGGATCGGGGAATGTAATTACCGAGAGCTTTGCGCAGTCGCAATGCCTCCTTTAGGTCTGCTTCGCCTTCTTCATACCGCTTGTCTTGTATACGAGAGATCCCCCGCTCTGCATAGGCGAGGTATAGCCTTTCGTCTTCGGTGCCCAAATCTTTGCATATACTGGCAACGATGTTGAGCGAGTTTTCCTTGTGGATGCGGCTCGTCTCAAAGTCGTTTGTATCCATTGCAATAGAGCCCAAGCAGAAGTAGATGTCTGCAAGCAAAGCGTCTCGATCTGCGTGTGTTGTTGACTCACAAATTCCACGAGCAGTTTCGAAAAAGCCATCGAATTGTTTCGTTCGTCCACGCTCCTTTTGGTACCTAGTAATATTAAACCATGTTTCACAGGGACATCTTGTAATTTTAAACTTACCATGCGGCCTCAGTCAATAGCTGTGCAAGAAGAATCTTGGTGTCAGCACCGGGATTCGAAATGCCAGGCCATATCTGGTTCATTTTTAGAACGTGAGGGTAAGCTGCCGCACAATGAGGCCACCTTCCAACAGACAGCCTGCCACCAGCTGATTTGGGGAGAGGTAGCTCAGGCTTTTTTGATGGCTTGGGCATTGCCGATGGCCAATTTGACCAAAGAGTGTGTAATACATGCTCAAACGTTAATTTTTTCTTCGCGTCATCCATCGTAGCCAAGACGACGTCCTGGATTATGCGATGAACCGATACTTGCTGCTTGCCTTTATCTCTTTGTATCAAGGATGATTGTAAAAGATCAGTTCGAGCGTCAATGTAATGGCTTTTTTTGAAAGCACCTTCGACCCCGAGGACCTTTGCAGCAACTTCCATCAACAAGTCTTCGCCGATGATATCAGGATCAAAGAATGTCATCAGCTCCAACAGTTGTCGAGATTGGGGCTTCAGCTTCTCAAATGCCCAAACAGTAGAGAGGCTGTAATCGTACGTTACTAAATTGGTATCGAACTTTGTCTCATAGAGATTGGCGTGCTCTTCATGATCCATGTATAACTCGAAAAATTCCGACATGGTAAGGTCCTGTCGTCGGATGATACCTGCCATCTGTGAGATAGCGAGAGGAACACCGCCAAGTTTATCGGAGACTTTTTGGGATATATCATCTTCTGACTCGTTTGAACCACTCGTAAGATGATTGAAAAGGGAAACGCTATCCTGTTGTGTCATTGGACCAAGATCCAGGCCTGAGGGTCTTCTCGTGAACATGCTCTTTGCCAAAGGATCACGGCTAGTAACGAGAATTGACCCGCTTCCTTGAGGCCAGTAGTCTGCTAGGATCATGGGATCATCTGCATTATCAAATATCAGCAGCCACGTCGCGTCAGAGCTAGAGTTCTCGGGCTGCTCAAACTCATCCGAGCCTGACAGATATTTCCGGGGATTTGAGAGCCATCCTTTGACAATTTCTCTAGTAACAACTTGGCTCTTGCATCCTGCCGCATCTTCGAGTCCCAGTGCCAACGAAATTTCCTGGTAATGGTGATCAAGCTTTGCCACCTCATCCGCTATAACCCAGAAGACTGCATCGAATGAGCCTTTGTGCCGTCGGGAAAATTCGCGGGCTATCTCTGTCTTTCCGATGCCCCCAAAACCGCAGAGTGCAAAATGTCGTGGACCGCTGCCTGAAGTCGTCGCCATTGATTTAGAAGGCAGAAGCTCCGCAGCCAGACGTTCCAAAATATCTTCCCGACCGCAAAAATCTTCATTGGCAGAGTGCGTGTTGAGAAGGATGCAGGGCAAATGGAGGGGCTTCTTGATCTCTGCACTTGACGGAGGAGGATATACTATATCAAAGCCTGAAATAGATGTCCCTTCGGTTGCTTTGTTTGATGTCCATTCTGTTGCTTTGATAGACGGCCTTTGCGTAAGCTCCTGCTGCTCAACTGGGTAATGTTAGCAAGGCAAATTGGGGGGAGGTGGCGCAGGATAAGATACGTACAGTTGAGCTGTAATTCACTCATCGTAGGTGAATAAGCGCTGATCGTGGCGTATTGATACTCATCTACTGCCATTAGCGAGTCTCCGTAGCTTTTCGGCAGCGTCATAACTTACTCTCTTCAAGTCGCATTGCAACAAGATTCCCGGCTTCACTCAAAGTCTTTTCAATGAACTTGTTGAGATCTGATAGGCCTTCGCCGTCAATACTCTTGGAAAAGAGACATGTTTCAAAATGGTCGAGATTGAGGCCGATCACTGTTTCCATTGGGGCTCGGGTCAAACAGGCTTCACGGTTGACCAACTAGAACCAAAATTAGCCTCCGTCTCATGACTATAGATCTTTGCTCAATGCTTACTGATTGGCTTTTTTGCCGTAATGTCGTTGAACCTTTCTTGGATTCTCTCAATTCAAAGACGGATAGTAGGGGAGTACGGAGCTTGATTCCTTCGAATCTATTCGCAAGGTCCAGCAGAATGGCCCCCTCTTGACCGACGTTGGCGTTAGGTATTTTGAAAGCCCTATTCGTCGTCGTTTCTGCGATATCTCGAAATCGCATCAGGTTCATTTTCTTGTCCCCATAACGGTGTGGAGTGCTCATAAATATGACACCTGCGATAGCGTTGACAACAGATCCATACCGATTGAACTGTTTGTCGGCAACACACAAAGACTGTTTGACTATAAGACCTCCTAAGCTATGACAGACCATCAAAATTGGTCTTATAATGCCCTATAGAAGGCATGTCAGCAAGAATATTGATTACTTGAAAGGAATGTATCCTGTTGAGGCGACTGACCAGATCTGGATCAGAAGCTGATCGCGTGTCAGTAAGATTTTGGAGAAGATCATAGCCTAGCATTAAGATTGACTCCCAAGAAGGGGTGCTGCCCGTAAATGGCGAGGAATACTCATAGGCAAGGACGCGTACTCCAGCACCGGAGCCAGGTAAAGAAGTGAGCCACTCTAGGCTAGCGAATGGCCATGTCCCTGGCGAAGGAGTTCCAATTCCTGGAACAAGAACGATGCTACATTGAGATATAAGCAAAGTCTGTGAAATTTTAATGGAAGTGGTTTTTTTTCTCACTCAACGCCATCTGGGAAAGCTCCCACTAGATCTTGCAATACGTGAAGTTGGCCTGTAGTCGCCGCAAAGCTCTTGAGTGTGGTCATGGTAGTACTATCACCCAAAAATGACATATGAAACTAGCAGGGTATGGAGACTGAAGACCCCATTTACCGTAAGGAGAGTGAAATGGTTGGAAGGTTTGATTATCTGAATTCTGTCGTGCACTCGTGGTGCGGGGTTACCTCCAGACCCCGGTCACTCCTAGGCCCAGTCAGCCGCATATCACATGATATGCAAGCATGCGCCTTGATGAGCAGTTCTCTATCTTTGTCAATTTCGAGTAGTCTTTTGGTGTATCAAGGGAACTTAGAAGTTGAAAATTCGATAAGACGACAGTCATGAATACAATCGTTCGATACTAACCACGGCCCGACCCGGAGGTTTCTCCTGAAGCTCATTCTTGGCACTTCATTCAAGCCTCAAGTGCAAGGTTGTAAATCAAATTTCTGAGAATTATCTAGGAATGAATGTTAATATAGATAGTAAGTTACATTTTAAGGTGGAGACTGGCCTGTTTCGTGTGTCAGATAGTACTCAATACCAGTTGATAACTACTTCATCCCTAAAACCGAAGAACCCAACTGACTAGTAGTAGGTAATTGAACATGTATGATCATGCTAATGGCAAGTGCTCAGTCGATTGAACTAAGAGGGCTCGATTTTAAACGTGAAAAATAATAGACAACGCACCCTGAAGGAACTTGACTCCATAGTTGGTGTGGCCAATGATCGACTCGCAAAGTACTATATCGGCACCGTTATCATGCATGTGGATTTTCTGGCGCTATCTTTATACCAGCGATCTGCCCAATTGAAACTGTTTTATCGATTGGGGGGGGCCTTAAGTGCAAGAATCAAAAGATCTTGAGAGGATACATATTGATAATCTATTGAAACCTACGGATCAACCTCCCGATAAGATTGGTAGACGATCCAACACACTGACGAAAAAGATTGTCATCGCCATGTCATCTCCTTCAATGCGGGCATCAAGCACGTACCAACTTACTATCCTAGTATCTTACCCCGTATCATCACACGCTCTGCGCATTATAACCGTTGATACCTACAGAGTATGGCATTCGAATGCTCTACTATCCCCCTCCAGGTAAAGGGCGTCAAGCTCAACCTCTCAACAATCCACTACTTCAACTTCAACCCCCCAATCCTCTTCCTACACGGATTCGGCTCCAGCAAAGAAGACCTAGCCGACCTCTCCCTCCACCCCTCCCTCCAAAACTACGGCTTCATCGCCTACGATGCACCAGGCTGCGGCCAATCCGACAGCACCGACCTCTCCATAACCGACATCCCCTTCCTAGTGGCCTGCGCCGAAGCCATCCTCGCGCACTTCCAAGTCAACAAGTTCCACCTAATAGGCCACTCAATGGGCGGGCTGACGGGGCTCCTATTCGCAAAGCGACACCCGGACCGGGTTCTCAGCTTCATAGATATCAAGGGAAACCTTGCGCCAGAAGACTGCTTCCTCAGTCGGCAGATCTTTAATTTTCCGTCTGAGGACCCGGGCGCGTTTTTGGAGGACTTTATTAGTCGGGTGCGGAAGTCGAAGTCGTTTGGGAGTATGATGTATGCGAGTTCGTTGCCTGCGCGGGTGAGGGCGGGGGTTGTGCGGCCGATCTTTGATTCGATGGTGCGGTTGTCGGATGAGGAGGACCTGCTTGTTATGTTTTTGGGGCTGCCTTGTCCGAAGATGTTTATGTTTGGGGATGAGTATAGATGGTTGCCGTATTTGGAGAGGTTGGGGAAGGGGGAGGTGGAGTTGGCGAAAATCTCGGAGACGGGGCATTTTCCTATGTATTCGAATCCGGTGGAGATGTATCGTCGGATTTCGGATTTTTTGCATAAAGTAGGTTGAAATATTAGTTCGAAAAAAAATACACTGAGATATTTAGGTGGGTTCAGTGCTTGCAAGCAATTATGTGTTTAGTAATCCTAGATCTGGATTCACTGCTGAGTTAACTACTATGTTGGAAGGGCGGGTTCCATGCCCATGTGTAGCATCAGTGCAAATATCCATGATGATTATTTCTTGGTTTCACCAACTGCCATTCTCGTTTATACTGTAGCAGATCTTGATGATATTCCATCAGTATAGGCACACACCAGTCTTTCGTATCTGTAATTTTTTCTTCTTTTTTTCACGAATTTTTGATATCGGACTCGATTTCCGCCAAGACATTGCGTTTCTTACGAGGATATAGATATTATATGCGAACCAATAGCAAAGCCCAATATATCAGATATAAGTGTATAGCAAAGGTGATGACTAAATTCCAGGTGTCAGAAGTACCGAAGCAGTTATCACCCAAGAACCCACAAGTCATCCAGTTACGGAACCAGACCCTCTGGAGGTCTCAAACCCACGTGGAACCAAAAGATAAGAGCCTGTGTTGGAAGATTCGGAATCCACAGTGGAGAGAGTACTTCGGAGTTGCTCCTAATTTCCGATTGGTTGGGTATCTGTGTTCCTTTTGAATAATCGATTCATCAGGCACAAAGATGTTCAACGTTGGCCAAGGAATCGAGATGCCAAGTCGGCATACTAGCAGATAAGCTTTGGTGGCAGTTGTTCTGCATGAACGCTTTTTTTCGGAACGGTATTCCTATCGGGAATATGACAGCAACGTTCGTGACTTGACTTTCGGTTGCGAATATTAAGTTCTCACTAAAGATGTCGCCATCTTTTGGCTTCTTTTTTTCTTCTCTGGGTCCACGGGTATCTGCAACGGTAACTGGAGCGGGTCTGAGAAAATGCCCCAGCGACTAGAATACTGAGTACAGTTGTTTTTGCCCCCCCAACAGATTTTCATTCGTTCGTAATTTGCGGGGCGTTGGCGGCTCAAATTATTACCGGGAATCCGGATATGGCCAGTTTGCACTTGAATGCGACTGATATCGGGTCCGACTTTCTTTTTGTTCAAGGGGAAAGATTCGCTCTAGATCTAGGAGAAAAAAGAAAAAAAAAAAAAATCTTAAAGTTTTGAGGTTCCGTGATTCGAGAAGTCAGGAACTTATGCTTATGCACAATTAGCACATGGCTTTCGAATGCTTATGCATTTCCCCCAATAGGCATGGTGACTCAGTGGCTAAAGGCTAGTAAAGCCACCCTTTCGATTTACATTTCTTCACGATTACTAGTATATGAACATCTAACATCTATATTGTTCTCGGATTCGGTTTCAACGGACAGCGTTCCCGAGTCTCGGGGAAGATAGTTTAGCAACGCGTCCCTTTCGCCCCCATGGCTTAAGCGAAATTTTTTTTCATTTCCCTTGAGATATTGTAAGTGGATTTGATCCACTTTCCACGGGGACGTCCGAACCAAAAATTAAAGAAAAAATTCCCATCCATCGAACTACGGTACGATTTCTTGTTGTTTATGATCTTATGATTGTGCTGATAAATCTCTTTTTTTTTCGCCCCCAGGTTACTTTGCAGGGAAACTTGATTTGAAAGCGACGTGATATTGAAGACCTACGCAACTCCGACTCTCTATCCCGTCGGTCACCCGCCGTGTCTTATTAGATAAAAAACAATGGAGCCTGGAGGGGAGTCGTGCGATCCGCCCACTCCCGGTGGTGAAAGCTGATTGGCAGGCATAACAACGCGATTTCACTCGAATGCGGAGAAGACAAGCTTTTGCCGAGTATCCAAGGGAAGATGTGGATCCCAGTCGTCAGCAACAGCCACCAATATCTCTTGAACCATCGATAGTCACTGATACAAAACACCCACCACACGATTCATGTCTTAAGTACATATAGGGCCGAGCGATAAGTCCCCGGAGACTCACTGGCCGAAACCGAATCCATGCCACTTTTTGATAATGATCTCCACCCCTTCATCATGCAACCCAATAGCAACCCAGATAACGGGGATTAAGTCCGGCCCACAAGTCCCTATCAACTCCACAGTCCAGAATTCTTTTTTATTTCTTTTTTTCTTCTTGCTGGGGTTACAATCCCGAGAGAAATTTCGGGTGGCCGGGGGACTAAGTAGATATTTCGAATCTCTCACTAGCGGTAATTAATACGAAATAAAACCACGGATCTGTATGTGAGAAATACAGGATAAGCATATCAGATGTAAAATACATTATCCGCAGTACGTTGCTCTAGTCCCAATCTGGCTAGCCTGGATGATACGCATTCAAAATATGGAGACCCGAGAAGGTAATGAGGAGAAAAAAAATATTTTGGATTTTTTTTAGTTCAAAAGGTCGCTGGGCCCTCGCGTCTCCCCTCATTTTGAGATCAACACGCGACTTATTTTTTTTCACATCTCCAGAATGGCCGGCATTATTTCCGCTGCCAACCTTGGCGGCGTGGCCGACCCTCGTCTTGGAGAGGAGGCTGATATTATTGGAACTAAGAGAGAACACCATGAGGTCGATGTGCACCACGATATTGAACCCCCGAACATGCACGGTTCCGACAGTATCTACTTGGACACCAGCATCACTTTCGAAAACTATCACTACTGGGCCAACCGATCCCGTGAAGCCGAGAAGAGCATTCGTACCGACAATGCCGGTTTTGCCGGAATTGGAAAGGCTCTCCTCAACCGTAAGGGAAAGAAGGAAGAAGAACCAGCTGCTGAGCCCGCTGAGCCAGCGCCTGTATCTGAGAAGACAGCCACGGACTTGGACACAAAGACAACTGTGCCCGGCCCAAGATCCGATGAAGGAAGCGATAAATGGGGTGTTACCGAAACAGAATGGGAGACAGCACAGAGAGCGGCTCGCACTGCGACTTGGGGTTCGATCTTCTATCTGATCACCACCGATATCTTGGGTCCCACCAACGTTCCCTACGCCATCAGCCGAATGGGATACGGTCCCGGTTTTGCTCTTTACACTGTCTTTGGTGTGCTGGCCGCCTACTCCGGTATGCAGCTGTGGCGCATCTTCGTTGGCTTGGATTCTACTCGCTTCCCCATGCGTAACTACGGTGATGTTGCGTTCCGTGTCTTTGGTTCCTGGGCCCGTATTGGTGTCAATGTTCTGCAGAGTTTCCAGTTCTTCCTTAACGTTTCTCTCCTGATTACGAGCAACGGTCAAGGTCTGGCACAGATGGTGGCTGGTGTGAACAACACCGGTGGTTTCCTCTGCTTCATTGCCGCCGAGGTCATCTTCATGGTTATCGGAGCCGTCCTCGGACAGATCCGAACCCTGCAGCGCCTGTCCTGGTTGGCCAACCTTGCCATCTGGGGTAACGTCATCGTTATCATCATGACCATGGTCGTTGTCTACATCTACCCTCCCAACTACTCGGCCGTGTTGACCAGTTACGGTATCGCCGAGGGTCCCATCGTCACCAGCGCCAACTGGGCCGCAGGCTACGATCTCGAGGACCGTATCACCGCCATGATGAACGCCGTCTTCGCCTACGGCGGTGCCACTCTCTTCAACGAGCTCATGGCCGAGATGAGACGTCCCATGGACTTCTGGAAGGGATTCATCATCGCCGAGATCTTCATCTACGTCTGCTACCTTGTCAACGGAATGGTCGTCTATTCCGCCCAGGGCCAGTTCACCTACAACCCCGCCTACGAGGGAATCCCCAACTCCAACGGCGCATACCGCTTCCAGACTCTGGGTAACGCCCTCTCCTTCGTGACCGGTGTCATTGCAGCCCTGCTGTACGGAAACATCGGTATCAAGGTCTTCTACTCGTCTGTCATGCGTGATATCTTCCACTTCCCGCCGCTGGACAGCAAGCTCGGCAAGTGGATCTGGACAGCCATCGTGCCCATCTACTGGATCCTCGCCTGGGTCATTGCCGCCGCTATCCCCCAGATCAGCAACTTGACCTCTTTCGTCGGAGCCGCCTGTATTCTGCAGTTCTCCTACACCTTCCCTCCTCTGCTCTTGGTCGGTTACCACGTCCAGAAGGACGCTATGCTGCCCGAGGAGGAGTTTAACCCCCGCACTGGCCAGGCTCAGCGTGTGGATCACGGTGTGAAGCGCTGGATCCGTGGTTACAAGAAGAAGTTCTGGTGGAACACCTTTGACTTGGTCTATGCGCTTGCTGCTCTGTCTCTGGCTGGTCTTGGTATCTGGGCGTCTGTCATCTCGATGAACGTCAGTTTCAAGACCACCAAGTTGACTCCCTTCACCTGCACCAACCCTGCTGGTTAAGTTATTGATTTCGATTATAATGTCTGATTTTATAGATGAGGGATGTTGATTACGTTGCTTTGAGCGGGTTAAAACAATCCGTGTGTTTTGTTATCCATAAAGGATTTGTACGATGTTTGATATAATAAACAATAAACATGACTTTCTTATTCAATATTTTGGCCAATCGTTCTCTACAATCAATTTAGATTTCGGACCCTCCCGAGAACCTTCTTAATGGTATCTTGAAATAAGATAAATTAGGCAAGAGAAGCGGGTATTGATATGGAGCGCAGGGTTGTGATTTGAACGAGAATTTGGAGTGCCAATGCTGACACAGATATATGCTACAACTTAAAGTCCTCTGGAATACATGACTCTCTCCGTGATAAAGCCCAGGCACATATAGCTTGTGTGTGATCATCAATACTAAACATAAGTGAGGAAGTGGCTGAATATCGGCGTTTCGATCTGGGCATTGAAAAAATCAATACCACGCCCGCCTTATCACTAAAACCACAATCCTTTTTTGGAATGGCAATCAGTGCGCGATTTGTACAGCCCTATTTAATTCCAGGAAGCGGTGTGGCATTTTTGAACGCTGGTGTGGCAGGAAAGAAAGCAAATCTATGAAAACTTCAAATAAAAAATTGAGAAGAATCAGACAGAGAAGCAAAGTGTCTCTCTCCAATTTGCGGGATCTAACTGAATGTGGGGAATTGTGGGCGGAGCAAAAAAAAGAAATGACAAAAAAGAAATGCACACTGCCGGAATCGAACCAGCGATCTTTCCATACCTCGAAAGGTGTACAAGTGGAACGCCTTACCACTTGGCCAAGCGTGCTTGTTGTATGAGTAATGGCTTGAAACTCTGTCCTATAACTGACATAATGTTTACCCAAATGCGCGACCTTGACTGATTTTGAATATTTGGTCGACGTCGACCATTGGACCAAAAACTTTGGAATATATACATATAACTGGAAAAAGACATGACATTTCAAATCATTTCGAAAATATTCGATTGGATTGTAATGTTCAAATTGCTCCAATGCTGCATTGATTCAAACTTTGGGAGGTTCGTCTCCCTCATGCACCTAATTATATGAATATACACTGTATATATATTCGCATAAACGATCTGCTCATCGACGCGTTGACACTGCCTCCATCCACAAATTGTTTTCCGAACCCTGGAAACTTCTTTAACTAGGCATATGATCATGGTAAACTCGCGAAATCTCTGCAAAATCTCTGTACAAAAGGCATCGTGCAGGCACCTTGAACCCCGAGGTCGCTGTGTACCGCGCAGCGGTCTGGCTTACAGCCTGAGGCACCAATATTAGCTAATTCCAACAGGCTTGTGGGGCACACAATCCTGACACCTCATCATTATATAAGCGGAATGACAGGTCGCTATGATCTCACTAGTCTTGTCGATGAAGAAGGTGACGATGACCGCGCTTATGCTGGTTCAGATGGGTTGTATGTCCTGGGATCTGGATCCTCTGTTAGGAAGAAATCTCCAAAGATAGACTCGTGTCAAGTTTCAACAGACGGGAAGGTCTTACGCTGGATGGGGAGGACTGAGTAGTCTGTGAACCAGGTGCCACAGAGGAAGAAGATAAAGCTGCTAGAGGCACTTTTGATGCCGACTCAGCCGCTCGGGTGCCAGTTGTATCACACGATCCCATTATAAAACCTGCACTCTTTGCCTGCGCCACAGGAACTGAACGATATAACTGGCATTCGTTCGCATTGACAATAAAAAGCCATGCTTGGCAGGTGTTCATGCTATCGCATTCAATAGCACATTCGGATGGCGATAAGTGAGTGTATCCATGGGCCAGAGGTGCTTTACTGAAGAACCCAATGGTTCCATTCTGGGCGCTAGCGAAGCAAGAGGCGGATACAGAAGAAATCAACCCCTCTATAGTCAGGATAAAGATGACAACAAAGAATGAAGTTGGCTGCATGATTGCAGCTCTGGATGTTCACTTGACGGTGGAATTGCATGTTGAGGTGATTTATGCCACCCCGGCACTTTTTATAAGGGTACATATGGAAGGCTCAAACATTGACCTAGCGATGGCGCCTCGTCAAAAATTTCCGAAATCATTCTCTCTCAATGCCACTATCAAGGATCATAATCAATTTTCGGAGCTCCGCGGGTGGTGGTGAGACATAGCTAGTGCCTTGCTAGATAAGCCACAGATACGGTTAGCGTCTGCGCCAAGATCGGGAGATCCCAAGGGTCCTGTACGCGCCCTGTATCAGAATTACCACTCGCTTGGCCCTCTCGATCCGAGTAAAATCCCCCTTTAGACTCGGACTCTTACAGCTCTCACTTTGTCTCCCTCTCCCTCTCTCGTTTCCGCCGCTTCTGAACCCTCATCGCAGCATCCTCATATTGATACCTACCACTCTTTCGGAATGACCGTCCTCCAACGGATCCAGTGTCATATTCAACTACTTGGTCGAGCTAGAACAGCCCAATTATCCTTCTCTTCATCTCGCTGTTACTCGGGGATGATAAAGATGAGCCCTGCAGCTATTGAGTTGGACAACAGCGGCACCGGCCCCTTGCGAGTCCCTGGTTTCAATGGTGTGCCTATGTTCTATGAGCACCCAAAGGATAATCGCTTTGCACATGGAATTGTCGATTGGAGACAAACTCCCCAGTTGTTCCTAAGAGAGCTTTCCATGCTGCAGTTCATGCTGTATGTCACGGAACAGCCAGACTGGGAAAACAAGCAGGAAGATCCGCAGACACTGGAAGAATGGCATCAGCATGCCATTTCGGTCTTTGATCTCGATGAACCCTCATGGCAGTGGTGTGTAAAGGAGTTGCGAGATAAAGCGTCTGATTTCAAACGCACGGGCTATGTTGCTGTGTTTGATGCAGACTCGCGAGTCATCAAATCTCAAGTTCATGACGATCTTCTCAAAGAGCTTCGCGAATCGATGTCGCCGCTTTTTTCCGAGTCGAGATCTGTTTTGTCTTTTGCCACAAATGATTCCCATAGTGGTGATTCTCATAGGAGTGACTCTGAGAGTCCGGTTCGAGATGTGGTTGACCCCTTTATGTATCCTCTCATTTATGGACGCACTCGAGTTCTTACCGCCGGGGGCAAAGTTGATATGGAGAGACCTGAGTCCTGGAGACTATCACAATCCCAGATTGCCCCGGTTCCCGAGAAACCAGATGACAAACACGAAGAGATGCATCTCGAGGAGAGAAAAAAGAAATCCCTAATGGATAGCCGGCATATTGGAAAGCGAAACTACTGGTCCACGGCCTTTCAATGTCTTCCCTGTGAGGTTGCTCTGAACAGTCAAGGAGGAGCTGAAATCACATCATATGTCAATGGTGTACATCCAAAGGAAAGGCGCATATATAAAGCGCTCGAAGGGCTCATTTCGGCCGCCATCCAACCGTGGAACGAAATGCTTATCCTTGGAGATCAAGGTCGGACACCAATTCGAATCAGAACTTATGACTTTCAAGTGGAAGGTAGTGTTTGGTATCCCAAGTTATATTTTCTCCTGAACAACGCCAGGGAGGAACGAACACCGCCCATCACAGAAGACGAATGGCCTGACGTTCGATCACGAGTAAGAGAATATCTTGATCTCCCTGAGCCCGAGAAGCGGGACCGCATACGGCCTGATACTGGTTATCATGACATTCTCGCTAGTATGGAGCCATGGCAATGGAATTCTTCTGAAGAGCTGGAAAAATTGATCATCGCCAAGTATAACCGGTTGTACTCCGTGAAAGGTGTTGAGCCGGGAATATCCTTCACATACGATGAATGGAAGACTGGTGAAAATACAGGCCGCGCGATCATGCCCAAATGGAAGGACCCTAAGTGGAGTGGCCCTGATAAACCTGAAACTCCCTCTATTCCCGATCCAGATCACCAGTATTACTCTATATCTCTGCAAGATCAATTTACGGGCCTTCAGATCATATTTCGAGTGTCAGCTATTGAGCTCACCCCAGAAAAGCCTTTTTATGGTGGTGATTTCCATCACAACGTCGCTGGTGTCCTCAATGACCATATTGTTTCTACGGCCGTATGTTACTTCGATATGGACAACATCAAAGATGCAAAGATTTCATTCCAACAAGAGACGCTGATCGATAGCGATGATTTCAATATTTCGAAATATACGGCCATGGATCGACTTTTTGATGTTCCTGAGTGGTCGTGCGACGACGATAATCCTTGCTACCCGGATGCTCTACAGACCATGGGGTCTATCCCGATTTCACAGAATGGGCAGCTTCTTGCTTGGCCGAATACACTGCGGTCTAAGGCCGAGACTTTCAGTCTCGCAGATCCATTGCGGCCGGGGTACCTTAGATTTGCGACTTTGTGGTTGGTAGACCCGCATTATCGAATTTGCTCAACCCAGAATGTGCCTCCCCAAGACCCAAGCTGGGTCGAGACATCACAATCAATGGAGAACACACAGAAGGACGATTCAATGACATTTACGCAGGCTATTCAGGTTCGAGACCAAATGAGGCAGGAGAGAGACAAAATTGGCAAGGAAATTCTCAAATGGTCAATTATGCAGCACACATATTCAGAAGATTACCTTATTTGAACATAGCCGAGCACAAGAGGCTGATGCTAGCAGCTAGAACTCCAATGTGTCTACAACGATATAACATTGAAGGGAGACATGCGTAAGATACCAATGCCCCAGTCTTCTATATCCACTCCCACTAGCTTCAATCTTGTCCTTCAATTCTGTCCTGACTCTCCAAATGTGACGGCCCCCGGGTATTTAGCCCCCCAGGGATAATGACATCTATATTAGGGGGACGACCCAGAAAGCTTTCTAACATCTTCAGTAAGTCCTGCTGAGTTCCGCCATACTCCAAAATCCCGCGGCGGTACCTAGCCCAAGTTTCCTTGTTATAAGGATCGTGAGCAAAGGTAGAGAGGAACAGATCTTGGGCCATAGCCGTGCAGCTTCTACAAGTCAGCCTTATCATACAATAACTTTATGTGGAAAGAGCGAACATACCACAAGTAGGCATAATAACCGACATCGTATCCAGACGCCAGATGACTGAAAGTCACAAATTCGAATCCGCTTCTGCATTCTGAAAAATCCATGCTTTCGAGCTCCTCGCGTAGATCATACCACAGCTTCCCGATGTCAAGATCCGCCAAGTCCTGGTCTGTACCGAGAGAGTGGATATGGAAATCGAAGGCAGATACGGTTCTTTTCAAGAATGTTAGAGGCCAAACGCATTGGAGTAATAGAATGCCCAACGTACAGCTGATGTAAGTAGTAGAGACCCGCATTATAGTATCGGTTTTTAATGAGGCTGTCGACTAAATGCCCCGGAATGGTTTTCACTGGGTCGGGAGAACCGGGATTCTTATTGCGCCAATCTGCCAAATAAGTCTCACTGAGAGTTGTGTAATGGCAGCTTAATCCGCAAAGGACATCTTTCATCCAGCACCAATTCTCAAGCAAGATGCTAGGCATCTCGCCAAAGTCAGGCGGTAGTCTATACCCATGGAAGCGAGAGTATTTAGACTTGGCCAGTAGGTCGTGAATACCATGACCCATCTCTATTAGATCTAGCGTTAAATGCGTCCCGTGTAAGAATGATTGCTAAAGAGGATAATGCGCACTTACCGTGGAAGAGAGTCACAACTTGATCATGCTTTAGCAAGGCACAGCTTTTTGAATTTGGAGCTGGAAATGAACACATCAAAATCGTCGATGGGCAGTGTCTTGTTCCGTCTGGTCGTAAATAACCCTATATTGGCATAATCAGCAACAAAGGAAGCGATAGATATAACATAAATACGGAGCTATAGATACGCACACATTCGATATTGACAGACTGGTTTCCTCGATACTTATTTTCACGCCATAACAAGTCAAGATAGAGGTAGCCAAGGAATCCATCATCATGCGTGTCCCATACGGAGTAAAGTTGCACAGCATCATGCCATAGTACATCCGCAGGCAGGCTTTCCGATGGGATAAGGTCGAAACGAAGACCAAGCAGAGAGGCAAAGATGTTCAACATGCCGCTTGCAGTTTGCTCCAATGGGAAGAACTCTGAGATCTTCTGATGGTCAATCTCAAGGTCGTTTTTCACAAGGCGCGTATAGTACGATTTATCCCATGGAGGGAATCCGTCTCCCACCTGCTGAATCTCCCTTCGCTGCAGATCTTCGAGCCGCCGATGCTGCAAGGCCACAATCTCATCTCGTCCAAGCGGGACAAGGGTCTCCTTCAACCGACTGAGAAAAGTTTTCACCCAGGCTGTCGTCTTTGCCATTCGAATTTCAATCCTAAAATCTGCATGAGTAGGGTATTTGAGCATTTGTGCCTGCTTCGCACGACGCTTCACGATCTCTTCAAGTATCGTTTTGTTCTTTTCCAACTTCAAATCATCTGCCAAGAACATCTTCTTACGGGTTTCGGATTGATCGGCGTATGCTAAGACAGCACGTGTCCCTCCATTGGCGAAAGGCACAAACTTTCTCTTCTCGTGTCCATCGGTTGCTCCCTCTGAATCATCTAGCCATTTCGCCAACTCGTCATCGGGAACACCGGCAAGCTCCTCCAACGTAAAAGAGACGCCACCATTCTCCATCGTCACATTCTGGTTGAAAGTTCTGAGCAATTCTTCGATTTCTGTCCGTCGCTTCAGATACACCTCCACATCCTCAGGCACTAAGATCCCGTGTCCGCTATGTTTGTACTTCAATAGTTCTTTTTCGAGTAAATGCTGTGACTCCGGGTCCAGTGTCTGAAATTCTGGCTTCTCTTTCGCCGCCTGAAGAAGTCTGAAAAAAGGCTCATCCGCTCCCCATAATGCCAAGGCTTCCAGATAGAGCTTGTGGGCCCTATTAAAAGCTTCTTGTACTTCAAGAAATGGAGATCCATACTGTAGCATGTAAATCATGCCTGTCTCTCCACCGAGGGCATTTTCGAGTTGCGCTAGAGGAAGCATGGTATTGCTGAAGGTGGCGGTAGAGGGGGTCGTGGTTTTGAGGATTTGGTCACGCAAAGTTTGCCATTGGTAAATGATCTTTTGCATAGATGGAACGACTTCTTCTGCGGTTGGGACACGGGGAAGAGGCTGTGGCAGGGACATTTTGATCGCTTCCTTTGTCAAAGGGTCAAACATGGTAGTACGGTATATAAATTTTATCTGAGTTGATCAATCCAAGAGGAGCAGTCCTCTCTTGATGTTAACACCGAATGATAAAGCCAATGATTATGGAAGTGTATGCACATGTGGAGGAGAGCATTGAAGTTATAAAAGACAGAGCTAGCAAATGTAAACAGTGCGGGTAGTCCGAACTAGACACGTGCATACGCCAAACTGTCAAACTACCAACTAGTTAGTAGATTGTGTATGAGTAGTAGTAATTAGTGGGTACAAATTAAACGATATAAGGCCAGTGCGCGCTCACATGATAGTATTTAACGCCTCGTGAACCTTTCTGGTTTAGCTTGCCTGATTAAGGCTACAATGCCAGCAGGCCAAGGCACCATATCCAAGGAGCCACATGACCAAAATTGCATATTTCTCTAGCTCTGTACGAATATCTGGATCTCACCACTTCGAGTTTATCTGTTCGAAAGAACATTGTATTGTCCGGATTTCGAGTGTCCGGACTTCGAGGTCATCCCTGCTAGCGCCGGACTCAAATTCCCCTCTTCGGAATTCCTAGGCTATGTAGCGAGTACTCTCAGCAGTCAGCACGAATCAATCTGAACATATCCGTGGTAGAGACCTGGACGCTATCTATGTACGCGTAGTCCTTCTGCCATTTCTGCCCCTAGTTCTCCTGCAGCAGGTCATGAGCCATTCTCTGGAACCTAAATTTGATAAGAACTAGTAGCAATACTCCATAATAGTAATGATGGAAACACCCTTTCGCGTCATAGTCCCCCTCAATCTGAGGCTGGTCGCAGATTAAGACGCAAAAAATGGTTCACTTAGTGGGAAAGCGACACAGTCGCGTCTGAACACGTCCTGAGATAACACCAGTCAATAACTGCCAGCCCCCGATTGAAGGTCTCATATTTAAATCTTCGTTCATTGGCACGATTGTGAATAGAAGTCACAATAGCCGTCATCTCATGGCGTGTTAGCTCTTCACCGGTTTTATACTTATCCCATGCCAGCAGGTGTATGTGTGGAGCTTTCTTTTTTAGGCTCTTGCATTCGTGCCGTTTAAGGTATAGCGTAACATCCGAGACGGATCTGCCTTCACCCCTCGGTTGTCTTCCTGCACGTGATCAGACAACGCTCCTTATCTCCGTACCCTCTCCGTCAAACTCCGGCTCCGTTCACCATGTGGGAACCAGTGGCTATCCCCTTTCAGAATTCCCAGGCTGTGCCTACTCTGCCTACAGTCGATGAAATCCGCGCCTGCACCAATGTACTCACAGAACCCTTGGGCCTGAAGGTGGTGGCGGTGAACGACGAAGTTGTGGTGAAATATGGCTATCGTGCACACGACTATGAAGGCCAGGCCTTGGTTTATCTTGAACGGCACGTTCCCGAAGTTCCGGCCTCGCGACTCTACGCCATGTACTACGATGCCGGAGAATTTTTCTTAGTGATGCAACGCATTCCTGGCGTGCAGATGGACTTGATTTGGCCTCATTAACTCCCCCCGAGAAAAATGATGTTATCACAAAGCTCCGCCAGATATTTACAGCAATGCGAAAGGTCGAGTGTCCCTGGCCCGACTTTTTCGGTGGTTTAGATGGGGGTCCTGTCCGTCATCAGATATTCGATGACCATAAGAGTGATGAATGTCAATATGCGGGTCCTTTCTCTAGCGAATCTGCTCTAGTGGCCTTTCTAGTTGGTAATTACCGTGCTCTTATTAGCCGAACCGACCGGCCGGAATTTAAGGCTCTCTATTACGAAAGACATCTCGCTCGCGTTCTTCATGGTAATTGGCCGATATTGACGCATGGGGACGTGCAACAGGAGAACATCCTTGTCGTGGAAAATACTGATCACTCAGAGCCTGCAAGAGGGCGATCATTCGACATCGTCCTTATCGATTGGGAAGCCTCAGGTTGGCTTCCTGACTACTGGGAATTCTTTTATGCTTGTTGGCCTCCTACGGAACGATGGATGAATGACTGGTTTTCCCGACTCGAGGAGGTTCTCCCCGTTTTCCCTGCCCAGGCAGCGATGATGGAACAGCTTGACAACGATATTTGTTGCCCTTATTGGTAAGTATCCGTAGAGAAGTCTAATCAGATCCATCTCGGCATTCATTTTGTCAATCGCCACATAGACAGAGGGAATTTCCAACAGGATATCAATCAATAAATCTTTCGGGGTCTTTGAGTAGTGAATCCAAGGCTCAGTCATCAAAATATTACACGTAACTAATTAGTGGAATTGATTGATAAAGACCCCGACTCTATATTATGATTGGTTAGTTAACTACTAGTTATGCAGTGTGTTGTATAAATAATTGATAAACATCAACATTTGAAGTGTATACTAAGGTACTATCTCCGTACCTAACCATCGAATTCCTAACCATCGAATTAAGAATCCCCAGAAAGGTTAAACCACCATATACACAACAAATCCCATCATAGCTAGAGTAGACCAACCTTTCGTAGTTAGCGAAGTACTCGCACTAGAGGCAGTCGACGACGAAGTTGCCTTCACTGATGAAGCAGACAGGGATGCTGTCGGGGTATAGGGGGCTGGACTTTCGTTGTCAACAGTACCATTCCAGCAATAACGTTGGAAACACTTCGTACAAATCTCCGGCACATCAGTACCGGTGCGATCCAACGAGCGGCTAAGCACTGCGCAACCAACACAAGCCGACCAGTCCTCATCAAGAGTACCGTTTGCCTGGGTGGCAACATTATAGCCGTTTGTAATCACGTCATCGCGCGCAGCATTTGTGAAACTGCTTTGCTCGAGTGTGTAGTTGGAGCTATAGGTGATGGGATGGTTGGGCAAGTAAACGACCAAGGGTGTTGACTTCGATAGGGCGGAGGAATTGCAGCCGAAGAAGGTTGGACGAGCGTTGAGACCAAAATTGAGGAAGGTGTCCAGGTCTGGAACTGGGGGGAACGAAGTGTCATTGGCAACATTGAGGAGGGTGCGGTTGTAGGTGGCGATCAATGCTGAGCCGGTGGGCCAGTTGTCTTCGAAACTGTCGGATCCGAGAGAATCAACCGCGAAGATCACGTCTACTTTGCGCTTCATTTGAATAAGAGGGTAAAGAGGAATATTTTGGCTTGTTTCCCCTCCGTCCTGGACGAATAGTCCTGTATCTTTCGCAAGTGGGGACGTGGCGGTGTTGTACTGGTAGAAAGGATTGGGATCATAGGCTGCAGGTCCATTGATGGTAGAGTTGGATGAACTGGTGGCGCTGAGGAATTCCTTGATGATGAATTCGAACTCTTCTGTTTCTGTAGAACTTGTTGAGTCTGTTAATGCACTCCTAATATGCGCAACTAGATCATTGCCGTTCTCATTCCAGATGTCGCTTGATGTGCCTGTGATAAAGCCCGCGTTGTCAAAGCCACGAACACAAGTATCGTTTTCTGGCACAGCGCCGCCGACGAATCGAGTACCAAGGTATTCCAATGGGACGAAGCCATAGATATTATCATCGTAGGTACCCCATTCCCAAGGTGTAGTCTCGTAGATTGGGTATGTTGCAGGGGAGGTCGACAAAGTTGATGTATTGCGATAATTTCCAGTCATGACTACCAGCGGTAATGGCATATCACCGTTTTCAAAAGACTGGGTTCTCGCAATAGAGGACCAAGTGTAGTCAACGCCACCATGGCTAGCATTAAAAAAGTTGTAGCCTTGAATACGGCCCCTAAAAATCATGTCAACGTCATATCTCCATGTTTGTTCAAGTGGAGTAGCACGCTTACCAGAAGTCTGCATCACCAGTCGAAAACCCAGCCTCACGCTTGCTCTTAACCTCGGCCGTCATGTTCTCCCACATCTCAAGAGGCTCAATCGTCCCAGGACCGAGCTCAAGGCCTGCTGCAAAATCCCAAAGATTATCTTGTAGATTTGTTACTGTCGTGAAGTTGTTCACGTAAATAGAACCAAGAGCCCACGAGCCACCACTGAGGGCCGAAAAATAAGTGGAGGATTGTAGCAGTCCACCGAGCTGACCTTGAGCTGTTGCTCCTTCCGTACGCTCATCGAAAGCCTTGATGGCACCTGCTCCGTTAAGGGCCGCCACGAGACCTCCACCTGATATTCCAATAGCGATATTGGGTAGTTCGTCACCAGAGTGGTTTTCGATGTAGCTGACAGCATCAAAATCATCGATATTCACATGCCCAAAGAAGACTTTAAGAGAAGATGTGGTCTTCTGACGTCTTGTCTGGAGCCATGCCGTCTCATTGGTAGATAGCGTTGAAGCAGATCGTATGGTAGGCCGGCTTGCTGGACATTGGACATGGACTGGAGCATAACCATTTGGGGCATCCGGGAGAGCGCGAGGCTTGACATCGACACCTCGCGAGCTGAGTTGGTTCTTAACCGAAACAGTGCCAGCAATCGCAGCTGAATGAAAAGAAGCATCAGTGTTTGCATACAATAGTCGTGAAGGGAAGGATTTCTGAGATCCAGATTATCTTCCAAGAACTTACTACCGGTTATGATGCTCAAGGCAACAGAGCCCAGAAGAAGATCCGCTTTCATGACTGAGTTTCGTTTGATGGATCAGAACTTTGAAGTGTGATTCTGAGAAGATCCTGTGAGATCAAGGTAAGAAGCCTGTGTTTTGACTCTTGAGTATGTCTGCTCTCAGGGAAAGATCGAAATACTTATACCTCCAGTCAGACTAGCTTGAGGCCTGTGTTCAATCAACATTGAACATCCGCTGTACCGTGTTCAATATTTAGCTAGCCTTAGCATAGACCAAATTAGCTATGACAATGAAGAATTAGTGGAGCAAGGCGCCGGTGGCTTATTGGAAATGAAGTGTGGAGAAGGACTCCTTCGCCCCTAATTGGTTCCAAGGAGCCTTTGGAGAACTTGGCGTTCTTCAAATGATATGTACGCTAAAATATACACTAATCTTTATTCAGTATACTTGTCGGAATTCGTTTGATCTTATTGGCCCACGATCCCCCATTTTTACACCACAACATCTGCCAAGGCTAAAGAAAACACACTAAGCCGTATTCAGATAGCTTATCGGAGCGGCTGAGATTTTGTCATTGGGAGGACTCGCCTGTGTTTCCCCTGTCGTCCTTTTTTTCAGCAATTTACAGGTTGTCGTCATACGTCCAGCATGGTAAAAAGGTACATGCACATCTCTTTCCCCCTCAAAATGAGGTATTTTGTTGATCATTCCTTGATGTTCCATAAACCGGGAGCATTGACTTGCGGCAGTACAGCCCCACAAAGCTTGAGTCATGTTAATTTAGCCCTGGATTTTGGCCCCCAAATTCTTAGTGCAGGTAGAGAGAGAGAGAGGGGAGGGGGGTTTGGGGGGCCTTGACACAATCCCAAAAATATGATTTACTATTCCACTCATCGTCATGGTTTATAGAGGAAAGCCCGGACTTGGCTGCGCGCTGTGTCGACAACGGCGCCTTGCAGTATGTTTTCCCCTGTTTGACATATTTACAAGCATGACAAACTTTGCAATTTGATTGACAGGATCTATAGTGTGATCGTCGCCGGCCATCATGCTCGCAGTGCATTAGGATTCGGAAGGAATGCACTGGATACCGAGATCCCGAAGCCTTACGAATCGTAGATCAGACTACAGAAGTCTCGCTGAAGGTTCAAGCCCATCGAAAGCAGTCATCTCCGCCAAGGATTCCTACCCCACCTATCTCACTGGATGACCATGTTATGTCCCACATTTTTAATTACTGGGTCGGGACCAATCAAGCCCAAGGCGCGCAAGGCATGATCTGGTACTTGCCTGCTTTGTTGAGGAAAGATCCATCTCCGGCACTCCGGGCTTCAATCACTGCCTTGGGGCTGGCTAGTATTTCCGGGCGGCAGGAGCAGCCTATACCCAAATCAAGCCGATTGGTTGTAGAGGCATACGGGACAGCACTGTGTGCCATTAATGATGCCTTGAAAGACCCGGCTATGGCAACTTCTGACTCCACCTTGATAGCTGTTAGCGTCCTTAGTCTCTACGAGGTGAGGGTTCTTTTCAGAAAAACATACCATATCTGACGTTCAGCGCTAAACCCCAAACCCCTTCCTAGATGGTAACGAGCAATATGGGGAAAGACCAGATGCATGGGTGGATGAACCATACCCTGGGCGCAACAAGAATGCTTGAACTACGAGGCAAAGAGCAAATGAATTCCGATTTGGGCCGATATCTCTTTGAAAATTTGATTCTGGTGAATGTATGTCTTTTGTTATTTCAAACTAAATCATTTTTTTTTTCAAGTTTAACTTGTTTATTTAGGCGGTTGGTGCTTTGCTATTCAGATACTCGAAGCATCACTCCCAAAAAATCGGCATGTTATCAAAGCTTGCAGCTTCAACGCAAGACGAGAGCTCACGAGCTCGTCATAAATTCTATACGATAGCTGTCCGAGTGAATGATCTGGTTGTCAAGATTGATCATGCTGAAAAGACTATGGGAAATCTTCAGTATCTCCTCGGGGAGGGTCTTCTCCTAGAAGCTGATCTCGAATCATGGGGCCTGTCCTTGGGTCAAGATTGGCACTATACATTCATTGACGGGATACCAAGTCCGGCCCATGAAAACTCAAACTCCCCCACAGATCACAGCAGGTATCATAAGTACCACAGTCTTGATATAGCCGGCATCTGGAATCTATACCGTCAGACCCGGATAATTGTCAATGAGACTATTCGAACGGTGTCTCATTGCCTCCTTGGACTCGAATGGACGTACGAGTGGGAGTATATAATGTTTCAAGCGGTTGATACCATCGATCAACTAGCGGATGATGTCTTGGATACTGTTGGCTTCTACTTGAACTCTGGCCCATCAGGGGTTGGAGCTGTGCTGCGATTACAATTGCCACTGTTCATTGCCGCCATCTGCACTGATAAGTCGTCAGAAAGATATGAGCAGATTTTGGGAATAATTGAGATGCTTGCAACTGTGACTGGTTTCAAGCAGACCTCTAATTTGGCTCAACGACTTAGAGAGGGGTGCACACATGGTATTCTTCCCCAGTTATCTATGGTCCATTTCTAGACGAATTGTTGCCAAGGTGTCTACCAGTTGACATGTAGTGCTAGTGGAGGATCGGTAAAGGGACGATAATTTTGGACTCATCAATTGATTATTAAATTCTTCAAATGTTGACCTCTATTATATATTCAATCGCTGAAGACCGTTTCTACGTGTTATGTATTAAACTGCGGTATTTCCTTATATATATTCCTTCTCTTTATTCAAGATATCTATATTTGAAGTAAATCATTTTACCAGAGTGCTAACTACACATGTGCGAGAAAAAGAGGCAGAGATTTAGCTGGGAGCTTAGGGCAAAAGAGGCGATTGGTGAAGGATGTGAGTTTTGAATAAAGCGAAAAGACTTGAATCAGGGGAACCTTAGGCAGTGACTGAACTCGGTACGGTAGAGATGGAATATGATGGATGATAAATGGAATAATGAACGTGGGACAGATAATGATTTGGTAATAGATGCTTGCTGAAGGTAAGTTCGGGAAAGTGGGTCAGAGAACAACAAGAACCACAGCAGGTAACATGAAATTTGAGCTAACATCAATGGAATCCTCGCACGAGTCAGATATACTTCTTTATACCCCGCAATTGGAATCAGATGTCTCAGTTCTTTGGTTTCCGGGGTGTCCGGGGTTTCTGGGAAATGAATAATGTGGGGATACCGGAGGCCGGAGAGTGAAGAAGAGAGGCTACGAGAGGCCGGACGCTAAACCCCAAAACCACAAATCAGGTATCTATGTCCGGAGCAGCCCCAAAATTGCGACAACGCAGATTAATGATTGATAGAGTTCCCCAGTTATTTATCTTCTTTTACTTGCATTTCACTTTTGTTATTGTCTGGCCCTCGCTAACAATAACGATCCTTTCTTCTCATCCGTGATGCAACTTCCCTCCGAAGAGACGAGTCGTGAGGAATGTGCTTCTAACCCCGACGAATCTATAGCCAACCCAAATACAACACTTTGGCAAGCTTTTCGGATTTCTTGGAAAGTAGTCGGGGCTTGTGGTCTATTGACTTCCGCAATCCTCCTCTATGGATATGACAATGTAATTGTCGGGACTGTCACCTCGATACCAGCATTTCAGTATGTCTTATGATCTTTATTCCCGACGAAGTTTATATTGACTGGCTAATGACATGAGAAATTAAAGAGAGCACTACGGCACCCTAGACGATGATAGCTACATACTCCCCGCCTTATGGTTAGGCATATGGAATGCCTCGGGTTCTATCGGAACGATGATCGGTGCCATCATGGGTGGTTTTATTCAAGATCAATACGGTCGCAGATTATCCCTCGCGCTTGGAAGTGCCCTATCTGCCATCGCGGTCGCCATATGCTACGTTTCTGACCTGCCAGCGGGGATGGATTCACGACGAGGGGTATTCCTGGCTTGCAAATTGCTGCAAGGCATTGCAATAGGGGGCGTTATGAGCACAACGCAAACATACATGTCCGAAGTCCTTCCTCCCCGACTGCGTGGTCCAGTTTTGGCATTTTTTCCTATCTTTACACTTTTTGGACAGCTAGTCGGTGCTGTGGTCGTGTACGTTTCTTTGGACAAACCCGGATCAATGTCGTATAGAATCTGTTTTGCTTCGCAGTGGGTGTTTTCAGCACTTCCACTCATCTTGGCCACATTCTTGCCAGAAAGTCCTTCTTGGCTCACTCGCCAAAGTCAACAAGAGAAAGCGTTCAAAGCACAGCGACGATTGGAAGATTCCGATGCTGCCGCGGTGCAAAGCATAGAGCGCATTCAGACTACTATTATTGAAAGAGCGGCAATTGGGAACTTCTTCATATCTTGATTGTTTTAAGCAAACTAATCTGAGACGAACATGGATCGTGGCATTTGCAAATATTCTACCCCAGCTCTGGGGCTTAACCCTTCTGGCTAATGCTAGCTACTTTTTACAGGTCATTGGAATGAAATCAGGCATCAGTATCATTTTTTTGATTGTGGGCATTGCGTTAGGCCTTGTTTCCAATGTGATCAGCATGAAAGCTTTGGACCTTTTCGGCAGGAGATACCTGTCACTAATGGGAATGGGAATCTCCACCGTTCTATGGCTGGCTATGGGAATTGCAGGATGTTTCCACAATACGGAGGTGATCATGTGGTAATATTTTCTTTCTTAATATGCCATTTGGTACAGTCTTTACTTTATACTGACTCGCTCTGAAACTGATAGGTACACGGCGGTATCCATGATGTTGATTGTGTTTGTATGTGGTATGAGCGTCTGGCCCGCATCCTACGTGATTGCAGCCGAGGTATCCTCACTCCAACTTCGGGCAAAGTCACAATCTATTGGTTGGCTCTTTGGGGCATTATCAACAGCCATCATCTCTGTCGGTTTGCCATATATTTACAACAAAGACGCAGGGAATATTGGGGCCAAGACCGGTTTTGTGTATGCGGGGCTTTGCGCTATCGGTTTCGTAGTGACGTGGCTCCAAGTGCCAGAACTTAAAGGGCGCACTATTCATGAAATAGACCATCTGTTTTCTTTGCAGTTGCCAGCGAAGAAATTCAGAATTTCGATGGCTGTGGTGGATCTAACTGGCACAAAGTGATGCCATTGAGTTTGGAAATCAATTCGTGTTTCCTGTATCGCAGGTTTGTTTTCAAATGTTTGGCAGAGATAAGCAACAATGAATTATAAGATAAATTTATCAAGGGACGAATAAGACTTTTATCCGGATGCAGTACTTCAATAATAATTGTCACTCATCACCCCTTTATAATGGCCAGTTAGATTATAGCGTGATTTATGTGCGTATAATTCGCCAGGAAGAGGCACATGTTTATAACCCCCTCAGGGACAGTGCTTTATACCACTTCGCCCTTCTTTCCGTCTCTACTTCCTGAAATGGTCATTTTAAAATGTCTTGGGGTTTGAATTCAAATCTCACACAAGAGAGAAAAGATACGAAAGGAAGGGAATGATTTTAAATAGAGAAAAAAATGGAATTCTAAGTGGCACAACAACACAGCCTGCACAGAAAGGTCTAATAGATCAAGGAGTTAGATCCAAAATCCGAGAGTTCTGAGCTAGCGGTTTCCGGAGGGTACACAATTTGAGCAGGAGGCACTCCCATCACTCGCCGGTTACGATATGTGATATAATCACCAGCAATGGTCTCTCGAGACAAGTGGTCGATTGAAAGATAGATATCCCCCAATGCAAGGGTCTGGTTTCGGAATCGCTTTATATCAACGGCTTCCTTGCCAAACTTTGGTGCCCACAGTGACCATGGACCGGAAATTAAGGAGGTAGTGGGTAAGAGCATATTGTGATAATATCCTCCAATCCCACCAAACGATGTAAAGGTCGGCACCTGAGATCGATTGGGCTTTGATACTCCACGAGTCACAACCACACGATCTAAGCCGCGCTGCTGCACTGCCTGCCAAATAGATTTCACCACAGGGCGACTCGGTCCCACGCACCACAACATCAGCTCCCCACGACCTGAGTAGCGTAGTTCACGCCCCGGTTTCCCATCTGAGCGCTTTACAGCCTCAATTTCTCGGCTCCCCAGATGCTCCATGGGAATAACCAGCGCTATAGATCCTTCCTCATAGATTTGGTCAAGCTGCTGAGCGTGTCGGAGGCTTCCTTCCCGAGAGATGTGCAAGTGGCCTGTATTGAAGGAGAACTCAAGTGTTCGCCTACGATTCGCCAAGGGCTGTTGTGCAAAATAACGGGCCAATGCAAGAAGGGCCACCGGTCCGTTTTCTTGGATGTAGGTGTTGCCATCTGTATGTGAAAGATAGATGACTCGCTCATTGATTTGGCCGGGAAGCGTGGCTCTCAGATTGCGGGTTTCGCTGTTCGATACCGTCGCCTTCACTTTCAGAGTGGCACTGGCTCCCTGATGAGCAAATTGACGAAGCATAAGCGACTCCTCTGCCCCCACATACATCGCTGGTATCAGATAGTGGGTGCCTTTGTGGGGATCAAAGTAGGATTCCACCTGTTCGCCAACAATATCAAACAGAAATATAACTCCGGCCGCACCCGCAGTACCTGCTTCCAGTAGATCCACGTGTAATGGCTCGTCTGCCAAGCCAGGCCGATCATAAAGTGATAGCAAGTCCGTATCCAGGTCCGGTGTCGCATGGTAGGCGCAGATCCGACCCAAAGCATATGGAATCTGCCGGGATGGAAAGTCTCGAAGGATGACTTTACCTTTGACGGCAGCGTTTGCAATAGATTCTGCTCGCGGAAGGAAGATTAAATCTCCGGTCTGTCCTAGGGTCGGTAAACTGTATGGTACAACCCCAGCAATCGGGACGCTGGTCGTATCATCAATCAGGATTTCGCCCGCTTCTTGCAGCGTGCAGCCATCTGCAGTCTCCCATTTCTTGATACCGAAAGCGTCTTTATGAATCACAATGCCTGGAATTTGAACCAATTCCTTTTCTAACCATTGCAGCATTTCTTCATGTGCTTCACTACCGGTCGAACGATGTCCAAACCCGCCGATCTTGTCGAGCATCAGGCTGAAGTCGTCCTCGCTTGTGAAGGCACTTTCCTGGACACCAAAATTGCTCACAGAAATGCCGTTGTACCAAAGAGAGACATTCGCGATGATATTAAGCCCGCGGTTGACCAGGTTGGCCACCTGGAGGATGGGCAGATGGCAAACCAGGGATAGCTTTTGTCTCCATGTCAACTCATATATTGACCGCGCATGTCGATGCGACCGGAAGATTCGCCACCAACAGAGAATAAATATCACGGCGATGGTGTAAGAGTGAGTCCGCGTGAAGGATGGAGGCCGTGAGAGACCGCCGTTTTTCGTCCATGGCAAGGTGAATTTTGCCCATGTTGAGAGTTGTGACATTTTATCCACAATGTATGTGCAAATTAATGATTGAAATGCATCGTACACTCCACGATCGGTAGGAGGGCTGGAACCTCGGGAAATAATACATATTTCGTTACCATGTACAAGGAGCCTGGAGGTGTTCAGTTCCTGACCCGGCGTATTTCCTATTCCGGATCGACCCACTCCGGTCACCGGTCACCGGTCCCTTCGTACGTCAATCTCGGGTGACGGGTCGAGGTCAGTGCGGAGTAGAATTATCCGGAGAAGTAGATACAAGCCTGATATTGAGAGCATCTGAACGAAACAATGCACAGATAGAATAGAGACAACCTATGTACCGTCCGGCGTCAAATGTTGCTGAAGATCAGATGATTCGGAATCTTGGAGGGGGAGGTCGATTTTTCTTCTTCTTTCGAATTTACCATGTGCTCTTGATTCGTCTTGAATATTATATCAGCTATTCCCCCACTTTCCCTTTTGCTTTGTGATACACGTTGCATACGCTGTGTTCTATCTTTCCTTATTTTCTTTTTGGTGACTCGTTCTATCTTCTGAAGCCTGTGAATACTTACTAGTACATCATCCGCAACAAGGCTAGATGGCATTGTATCGCACGTTCCCTCTCAAGTCAGGGGTCGTCGCACATCGATGGGAAATTGAGAGTCCTCGGGCTATTCTCGTACTTCAACATGGGTTTTCAGAATATGCACGACGCTATTTTGATGGCACAGCCATTTTTGTTCCTCGACTGCAAGCTCAAGGGTTTGAGATCTGGGCGTTGGACCTGTGGGCCCATGGTGACTCTCCTGGGCTACCGCGAAGTGTGATAGATTGTTGCAAAGCCGTTCAAGATTTGATTGAAATCCAAGAAACAGCGATCGAAGCCCGTCCCTTGCTTCCTCTTTATCTATTTGGACACTCGCTTGGCGGTCTTCTCACAGCTTGCAGCGTCGTTGGAAATTCTTTACCCATCGATGGGGTCATCTTATGCGCCGCAGCGCTACAAAAGCCGATGCCGTTGCTTCGTCGTGGCTTGGTACAGCCACTGGCTATGATCTGGGGGACAAGAGAAATCCCCTTCACCAAGCAGAGTACCAATTGGCTTTCAAGAGTGCCGACCGTGGTGGAAAAAGCGATAGCGGATCCCAATATTTTCCATGGGGCCATTTCATATCGGCTGGCAGCTACCGCTCTAGAAGCCGCTGAGCGATTGTGGCAAGCGACTCCCCAATGGAATGTACCAACTCTGGTGATCCATGGAACGGCAGATACATATACAGACCACCATCAAAGTCGTCAATTCGTCGAGCGGATCTCGTCGACGGACAAGGAGCTTTATCTCATTGAGGGCGGGTATCACGAACTATTTAGGGACAAATGTTCAGAGATATTTACGGAGAAAGTAGAACACTGGCTTGTGACGCGTCTGAGGCAGACGGTTAAGGGGGACCAATAACTGATACTTAGGATCGCATTCAAATGTTTCATGGCAGAGATTTCAAGGCTGTGATCGCAACCAGTGCTCGGGACATTTGAACGATCAAAGACATTGAAGCTGCTGATGTACGCAGTACAGTTGACAATGGGACGTGATAAAATGTACTAGACATCTGGATGTACAAATGATTTTGCGTCATTATCAATTGATTTTAAAAGTAGTTCTGTTGAGTCTGAGTCTGTCTGACGATATTCTTAGAATCACATGACTATGTTTGTGTCAGTGCTTCTTCTTTGTTCTAGATAGCAGGCTGTGTCTCGCTTCCTCCTTCCTCCTTCAAACAATCAACAATCCATATTCTTTCCTTTGCTTGTTCATCCTCATTAGTTTCTATGAGGTTATGGGCCCTCCTTTTTCTCACTTATTAACGCTGTAAATCGATAAGATTAAGCGAATTTAAGCGAGTTTCTCTTTCCCAGGGCCCTATTTTGATGCTTTTTAGCAGATCCAGGCTCCCCCTCCTCTCAAGCAGACTCGAACTCGAGCAGACTCCACCACGACACAGCCATATAGTGCTGACAACCCCCCCCCCCCCCCCTTTCACAACAATACAAGGCAGTAGCACAGCGCTAACAACCTCATCAACATGACGGCGTTTTCTGTTGATTACGACATAGAGGCCCTCATTGACAAGCCGTTCAACACGGACACTGACAACAACTGGAACAATGTCGCCATCGTTACTCGAACCGACCAAGGAATGGGCCTCACAGTCATCAAACTGACCATCAACCCACTGAAGAATCCACTACAGAGAGCGGAAGTTTATGACTCCTGGAAGAGGATTGTGCTTACCAACCTCAAACACCACCAAATGGACGGCCTTATTGACAGTGATCTTCCAAGACCGGCGAAGAACGCTAGTACAGCGAGTGCATGGTTCAAGGCATCCAAGACCATTGGTGAATGGCTCATCGCCAACATCAGTACCGAGATCTACAACAAGATCCAAGCTCGTACAACCGAATCGCTTATCTTTGCCGACGACATCTGGAAAGGAATATACAAAGAGATGCGCGGCTTCGGCATGCACCAAGAGATGATGCAATGTGGTGCTTATGCTAGTCTTAGAAGGGAAGACTTCCCTACAACAGTCGCATTCATTGATGAGTACTGTGCGCAGAACATGAGGTTGAAGGAACGCAAGATGGGTGTCGAGGCTTATCATGCAATGATGATACTCTTGTTTCAAGTTCAACAAGTCGACGTACGTGACATGGCTCTACAAACAATGAAAGAGAAGAACCTCACTGCGCAGACGTTCACATACAACAACTTCTGTGAGTATTCACAAGATTTGAAGGGTCGAGTCTTAATCAGAGAAGGAGAACAGTCTTCCTCTTCTATTCCTGCATTTAATGGAACTTCTTCTTCTTCTTCCAACGACTCCAACAAGCCGGATATCAATCACATGATCCCATTTGATTCCACCAGTTAACGCTTAATGAAAGCAGCTCTCGAGACTTCTCTCCCATCTCTCCCTCCTTCTCTTATGTAGATATCCCCAATCTACAATAAATTATATGATTTTCTGATTGGTTTCTCTCCATTTTCTGTCTTCTGCTCAATGTTATCTTCAGATTAACCGCTGATAGGTTCTTCGATAGTCCAGATTTCATAGATACCTCGGTTGACAACAAATGTCAAAGACTTTCAGTGGCTGGGTACCCCACAGCGGACTACCTTTTATCCGTGCGGGGCCCCGGATGACCTTGGGAGCCCCTTAACTCTGTACATGTATTTAGTTTAGCTCTAATAAAGATCCCCTTATCTTATCCACCACACGGTTCACCCCATGTTGATGAATCAAGCACGAAGGAATGAGACAGTTCCGTTTTGTGGGTTCAGCCCCGGTTGCATGTATCGCATGCCGTCGGCTTAAGGTCCGTATTCCCCTCATCAGGCGAGACGAAGCTCACAGCCGACGCGCAACTCCTAGATGAGATGTACTGGAGCAAATAATCCTCCATGTGCACGATGCAAGAAGTCTGGGCGAGAATGTATTGTACCAGTCAGACATACAGCAAGATCTTCGCGGCATAGTGCGACCCGGACACAAGCCTCGCCAGCGCTAGCGCTGGATGCCGTTGATGAGGATTTACAGCAATGCGATACAGTAGCGGGACTCCATCAAACGTCATTCTCGCAGAGTATACCGTCTTATACTCCACCATATGTTCGTTCTGTGTCAACTGTTAGCCCGGTTCACGAATACAATGATTTCCGCCCGAATCGACTGTCAGTAACAGATTTGCCGTCCATCTATTCCACCCCACCGATAAGGGCCATCAGTCCATTGGCAATCGCAAGAGTGCAGCCCAGCCTCAATCCGCTAGAAAAGCGGCAGATTTCCACTTCCAACGATTGTCCTATGTATTCAGATAGATACAACGACTTATCATCCTCTGTACCAGATTGCGAACTGATTCATTTGGCAGAATTGTACGGAGACCCCCTTCAACCTTTCCCATATCTGTATTAACCGATATTATTTCAGCTTCAAAGTCAAGCTTGCTCACGTTCTTCCAACGCTCAGAGAAGCGGATGTTGCCGAAATTCCTGTTTTGCTCGAGACCAAAAGACCCCTTGTGCTGTGCATGGCGTTTGTCGCAAGTCGGTTCGCACCCGGACAGAGATCCATACGTGTTCAGCTTGTTCCGCAAATTTTGAATACTCTCCGCTTACGGCATGGGATTTCCCGCCGGTCAGAAGACGACAAATGGATGTTTCTCCAGGCCCTGGGTATTCTATACGCATGGGCCTCCCCTCTACCTCTGGAAAGGATTTCTGATGATGATGCAATAAATGCCCAACTTAGTCATACTGACCTAAAAGCTCTAGTCGAATCGACTGCATTGACGCTCTCATTGCATAGATCCGCCGATGATGTTGCAGAGCTTGTGTGGAATGAGAAGGAAATTCGAGATTCATTGGCTCTACGCAAATATCTATTCTGGCTCTGGCTGTATACGTTGGCACACCGATATTCACTCCTGACAAGCACGCCTCCAACAATTCCAGAAGATACAACGATCAAATTGGCACCAGACCTTCTCAAGAATCTTATCGACGATCACTATGTGGGTAGAATTATGTCCGAGATCGACTTGTCTTTGCTCTGGAGGCAAGCAGGTCTTCATCAACACGGGCTTGGAGAATGGTGGTGCTTGCTGAGCCCCAATGATATCAACATCCCATCTGCTCTCGCTGTTATTGGGGATCTCACCAAGGCGTTGGACATATGGAGCGAGCGATGGTGCCCAGCAGGTGGCTTAAATATGGATATCCGATTCATGTTCATCACATTTAATTATCGGTTTTCTAGATTCTGCATCAGCACATACTTTGTACGTATATTGCGCTCAATTTCCGCGGAGAAGATGCCATACTCCACGCAGCTCAACTATGTCCTTGAGTCTGTCCGCGCGGCAGTTACTTTTTGTGGGTACATCTTGGAACTTCCACCGCTTACCATCGATTATGGACGATATCTTGCGGATACTGCGTTCGTCAAAATTGCTTACGCATGTGAATTTGTTCTTCGAGGCTGTGAAATCCTTCACACCAACCCAGACTATGACGATCTCAGGAGTTCTTTAAATACTGTGAAGGATGTCGCTCTCTTGATGCACCAATTGGCCGTCGATGAAGTCCATTGTGCCAAATTTTACGGGCAAGCTTTGCTTGAAAAGGTGCACGATTTTGAAAAACGACTGCAAAGCGGCCCGGTTGCTTGGGAACGTTCCCCTGCCTCAACCCAAGATACTTCCTATCAGCCTGCACAAGATTTACACTCTCCGGAATCCCGTTCGGGAGGTCTCTTTTCTGATCTTATCAAGGAGTTCGCTGCAGAGGCTGCTTTCATTGATCCGTTTCTCCTCCAGTAAAGATGAAGACTTGAATCTCACTTCGCAGTGGTCATGATGCACAATGAAAATGATATAGCAAGCCATAAGCATATTTCGTATGAGTATTAATATTAAGACGGAAAAGATACTTTCTTGCTTCCAGTCACTTTTCCATATCCGTAAAGGACGGAATTTCATCATTTATATGTATCTATTTTTACGTCAGTGGTCTGGTCTTCGTCCTCCACATTCTGATGCTTTTTACAGAGTATAAGTTGCACTTCTTTCAAGTCACGTGATACTACACTGGGCGCTTTAGGTCAGCAGTGCTCAGGAGTCAGCACCCGTCCTATCTAGTGATGGATAGGACCTAAGTCTTAGAATCCTTTTCAACTATTGGTGAGAAGAGCCAATTCATCACACGTGATGTGTACTTGTCGTGCCCTCAGTTATGTATCATTATTAAGGGCTTCTCAAATGTATGACCATCAATTGTACCGGATGGTAGAAGCCTAAGAGACCGTTAACTATCCGCCTGCAAAGGTCCTGCTACGTAGGTCCTCGGAGATTTCACTCGGAAATTGAGATGGCAAAGACATATCAAGTCAAGTCAAGCCTTCTACTACGCGCGAACCTGTGTTTTTTTGCAGCACCTGATTGGCTGAGAGGCCCAAAGTGGGTCCAAAGAAAATGCCACAGCTGGGGTCTCTGATTGACACCAGTCGCCGCGCGCACGCGCGGCGACAACACTTGTGCATACTACTCTGATAAAGCCTTGGTATTGAGAGTGACGGGAAATATGGCTCATTTTATTTGAATCCGGGACAAGGTGGCCATTCTCTTGTAGGCTAGCCGGGTAGTGTGACCTATTTGTGGTCGCATCGCTGTTCCTTTTCGGTTTGATGCGTACTAAGTCATACATAGTATGTAATAATTATCCATACCCAACTTTCACGATACTATTATTAGGACATCTGGGATCGACAAAAGCCACTATGACTCTTTTGAGGAGCCCCCGGAGACCACTCCGGACTCGCAGTCCAGGGATGTTGTTTCAGCTTGTCAACTTTTCTGCTAGCGCGCGCGTGCGCAGATGCTCGAGAAATCTCATGTACATTAAAGACAGCCCTCACGTTCAAACAGAGATCACGGCCAAGGGTCCGTCTTGACCAAATTTAGAAAGCTTGATGGCGACATATAAAAGGAATGGATGGGCTTAATTGGGAGAAGAAAACCATCACGATCCATATGTAGTCTGCTCTTGACTGCAACCTGTCTATTTTTACTCTCCCTTGTCTTCATCAGCCCTACAAGCTTCTTGTCTAAGCATCGGAAATGCCCAATCATCCGAAGCTCATACAAGGCGCTGGACAAGTGGCAGCAGCCACTCCAAAGTTCAACGTCTACCTACTGGAACTCACCAACGGTCCTGGGGACTCGGATAAGCTGGAAGTGAACCTCTTTGCAATCAAGAAATGGGCATCAAAGCCTTCAAACACGAGTGCGCTGTTGTGGTTGTGGGCGCGATACCTCTATGTGATTGAACAGAAGAATCCCTGCAAAGAGGAGGATTTCGCGACAACACCATTCCCAGAGGAAAAGAAAGAAGACCTGTGGAAAACTATGGACCTTGATAATGGCCAACAGCTGAAATCCGAGTGTGTTAGACTCGCTAACAGTCTAAAAAACCGCGGGGATATCGTGCAATCTCGAAAACACGAGGGTCTCTTCATTCAAACGAAACCTAATGGTTATGGACGTCGTTTCCAAGTTGTAGGGGGCATAATGGCACCTTCTGGCATGAGTTACGACAACCCGAAAAATGACTACCTCCCTCAGGATTCAAGAGATTTCGGGGGTTTGAAATATGTAGGATACATTGATCCTAGCAAATATGACGACGTGGACAAGATGTTGGAAACGGTGGACGGGTGTTTGAAAAAGGTGCATGCACCAAAAGTACAGCAGGCCATCAACTGGGGATCAGCGAAGAAGCCGATTGATGCCACCAAAAGCAAAACTGCGTGGGTCCAGGATTTGAAGGAGGGGACGACTGACCGTAATGTTTGGAGACATCATATACCCCTGAAGATTGAAAAGTGTAATGAATGGACAGAGAAGGCGATCAACAAGTTGGCAGATGACGGAATATTAACCTTGAAATCCAAGGGTGATTCCTGATCATCACGTATGTACCCTTTTACTAAACAAGTTGGAAGTTTACTCCATGAATGAAGGAAATTGAATCTCAATGGATTTGGTGAAATGTTCTAAGCACTGTACTGGTCATGATCGTAGAAGGGAGATTTCCATATCTCGGAAACTGAATGCCCGAGGGGGTAGAAATAAAAAACGAAATGCAAACCCCGGACGCCTTCTATGCCGAATCGCAGGAATCCGTTCCCATTTTACTGAGGTGCGCACTGCGCAGGCTCATCATCTTCCTCCTCCTCATCTTGCCAAGCCGAGCCTCCGTTGTGGTCGCGGGCGCCAAACTCTTCCATGTTACCCTGTGCGTCAAATTCGACCTCATCCACAGTGGCGGCCTCGATAGGCGCCTCGGGCTTGGGAAGCAACTCCTGCAGCTTCTCCAAAGCCTCGAGGGTTGGCTTCCAATCATTCTCGGGGAACACAATATTCACCAGCAAGTAAAGATCACCACGTGAATCAGTACGCTTGATTGGCATTCCCTCGCCACGGACTGTGAGAATCTGGTTAGGCTGGAGAATAGAGCCAGCGGGGTGCTTGATCTCGATACCACGACCATCAAGATGCTTCAGGACAACACGGTGGAAACCGGTCAAGGCCTCGGCCAAGGTAACATTAATGGCAGCTCGGAGATCAGCGCCCGAACGATCGAACACCTCGTGCTCATTTTGAATTAGACGGAAAACAATGTCGCCGTGCTCCCGGCCAGGGATCTGGTCGGCCTCACCCTCAAGGACAATCTTCTCTCCCTCACTAAAGAACAAAATCAGTGTGACAGTCTTACTTTCATGGGCGTGGTGAAATCTTACCGTGAACCTGGAGCGATATAAATCTCAAGCATCTTCTTCGCCTCGGTCGTCTTAGTGCCCTTGCACTTCTTGCACTTATCCTTGGGACTGAAGAATTCACCTTGGGCATTGCAAGTGGAACAGGGTTGAACAGCCTTGGTGATGAAAGCGCCCATGTTCTTGAGAACCTCGCGTTGTCCCATGCCATCACAAGTAGAGCACTTCTTAGGCTTCGCCTTTTCCTTGCCACCCTTTCCGTTGCAGTGGCTGCAAATGACATTCTTGGTGCTGGCGAACTTGACGGTCTTGCCCTTGTACATGTCCTCCAGGCTGACTTCATAATCCTGCTCCTCGTTCGGGCTTGCGCGGGGCATGCCGCCCATGCCACCCATGCCGGGCATACCTCCCATGCCTGCTCCCATACCGGGCATGCCACCCATGCCGCCCATGCCACCGAACATCTGTGCGAGCAGATCATCTAGATCGGGACCGCCCATTCCACCCATACCAGGCTCACCAGAGCCGTTGAAGGCAGACATGCCATGTGTGTCATAGATATGTCGCTTGTCTTCATCATACAAGATCTCGTAGGCTTCCTGGACGGCCTTGAACTTGATTTCGGCGGCAGGACGTTCTTCTTCAGCGACTTTGTCGGGGTGGTTGCTCAGGGCAGCCTAAATCGCATACTTGTCAGTATGATATATCTCTATCTAGAAACTGCGGTATGGATCTTACCTTGCGATAAGCCTGTCGAACTTCATCTTTGCTCGCACCACGGGGGAGATCGAGGACCTCTGTAGCCAGAAAGACTAAGTCAACATTCTATCCAATCACATCACTTGACAACCACTATACATACCGTAGAGGTCAACTTCAGGGCCAGCCACTGTAAATTAAATTAGCAAAAGACACATCTTAACATGACAAGACAAGAGCGAGTCAAAAGTGAGGCAAAACACGCAACGCGCGCGCGCTTTTTCGGGGGAAGGACATACTGGTTGTGGTTGGTTGTAAGCTTTCACAAAGTGAGCAGGTAGTAAAGGAGGAATATTCGACAGAAAAAAGAAAAATGCTTGGGATAAGTAACAGATAATTAAAACCAAAAGGTTTATAATAAAGCGAACGTGAGTGCTCAAGAAAACGTCGCAGGAAAAAAGATGTTGATGAAGCGGAGTTTGCGGGCGAAATTTTGTTGCGGCAGCTTCGGTGCGGAGCCACCCAAACTTCTCCGCAGAAAATCAAGTCCGATCCTCGAGTCTTTAAATCAACACAAGTTCCCCAGATTTGCGCCCCATGCCACGCCCACATACTGGGCTTTTTGCCCGAAGGTCTTGGACCTGTATTAAATGCAGATTTCACTCATCTACTGCGGGCGCACAAGTGCGCAAGGGCAAGACTAACCTCCCAGATGCTCCTGCACGCACGCGTTTTGCTCCTTCCCCGACCGGCTACCTCCACCTAGGATCTTTACGGACTGCGCTATTCAACTATCTGCTTGCAAAGCGAACTGGTGGACAATTTTTGCTACGCATTGAAGATACCGACCAGGTTAGACAATTGAGGATGTGTATGGATGGGATAATGGGCAGCGACTGATTATCAGTAGAAACGAACAATCCCCGGAGCGGAACAGAGACTCTATGATGATTTGCGCTGGGCGGGACTCCACTGGGATGAAGGTATATCTATATAGCTATTTGAAGCGCTACTATGTTGAACTGAGCTCATGCGATACCAGGCCCTGTTGTCGGTGGCCCATTTGGACCTTACAGACAGGTAAAGCAATATTCAAGTGTATAACGTTACCACACAACAATGGCTAATATTTTTATCGCATAGTCGGAACGAACAGCCTTGTACCGATCTCATGCCGATGATCTAATCTCCAATGGTCATGCCTACCGATGTTTCTGTTCTTCTGAGCGACTCGATTCCCACGCCCGGCACCGAAGCTCAGCAGGCCTACCTCCTGGATACGATCGGAAATGCGCAGATATATCCTCTGAAGAGTCGCAAGATCGCGCTCATAAGGGAGAAGCACATGTTGTCCGCTTGAAGGTGGAGGGATACCCCATGTTTAACGACTTGGTCTACGGCAAGACGGGACAGAATAAACCAAACAACAATAAAATGGACTTTATTGATCGCGTATATGACGATCCAATCTTGATCAAGTCAGATGGCTATCCGACATATCATTTGGCAAATGTTGTGGATGACCATTGTATGGAGATTACGCATGTCATTCGGGGCACGGTAGGATTATCTATTCTTCCTGTCATACACCGATTGTTTTCTAACTCAGAACCAGGAATGGATGCCATCTACTCCGATGCATATGGCTTTGTACAATGCATTCAAGTGGACACCTCCGCGCTTCGGTCATGTTCCCTTGCTGGTGGACAAGTCTGGACAGAAGCTAAGCAAGCGAAACGCAGACATTGACCTCTCTTCGTTCAAGGATCAACAAGGAATTTTCCCAGCTACACTAGTCAACTTTGCTGCTCTTCTGGGCTGGTCGCATCTACAGAAATCCGATATCTTCGACTTGGGGGAACTGGAAGAGATTGTAAGCCCATCTATCTACGTCTACAAAAGAAGTTGCTGCTAACATAATTCCAGTTCAACCTGAAAATTACCCGCGGCAACACCATTGTTGCCTTTGAGAAACTTTGGTTCCTTCAAAAAGCGCATGCCCAGCGATTTGCAGCAAACGGAGGTCCCGAGTTCGACGAGATGGTAAACAAAGTATGCGACGACGTCAAAGAAACCCACTCCCAAGAGAACCTGTAAGCATCCGCCCCATAATCTACATTTACGCCATTCTACAGAGACCCCCTGACTAACATACATCCCAGTGCTCCCCTCCTGAAAGGCCGCTCCCTCGCCGAGTACGTCGCGCCCCTCCTCCGCGCCGACGCCAAATCATACACAACAGCACCAGAATTCAAAGAGCGCAACTCGACATTCTTCACCACAAAACTCGACCGAGTTCCCTACGTCCCAACTTCAACTTCTAAAATCCCCTCGCCACCCCAAGTCCCGATGCAAGCCTTGCACACGGCAGCAGCGGCTTTGACTCTCGTCCCAACTAGCCACTGGACAATTGAAACTCACCGTTTCAACGTCAACTCTTACGATGGCTCTGATGCCGTTACCCTCTCGTCGGAGACAACCGGGTCGACGGATAAAATCTTCAAGAAGGAATTGTATCACTACCTTCGCTGGGCGTTGTCTGCTTCGGCGCCTGGCCCTGGTATCCCTGAGACGATGACTATACTTGGGAGAGAGGAGACTGTGCGCAGAATTCAAGATGCGAAGGCTTTGACTCAGGATCTTGTTCCTGCTGTTGGAAGGCGGGTGCCTAAGGGCAATCAGAGTATGGGTGATGACCGAAGCTGGATGGGTTCTCTTGCTGGTGGGCAATGAGATTTTTGTATGAGTTGAGTGAGGTTGTATTATATTGTATTGTTCTGGATGTTTTTGTATAGCAAGGTGGTACTTGAGACCCCCCGAAAAGATTAAATCTCATCCATATGGTCGTCATATCTGCAGAGAAAATTCTAGATGGATTCTTTGAAATAGACTGCCATGAAATTCAAGTGCTTGGAAGACTTCAATTATTGATCACCTACTACTAGTAAGGTACATATATTGTGATACATCTCTAATATTAGTCAACAGATACCCAACATTTTGAATGAATTCAAATGCTTCAATGCTGGAGTTTAATTGGTGTTGATCGTATATCTTCAATTTATACATTCAAACCCCTCCAGGGCTTCATTCCTTTTCCAGATGGAACGTTGGCATCCCACTCTGCGCTTATTCTTTTCGCTATATTACAAAAGTGAGCACATCACAAATATTCTCTAATGCCATATCTATTTTCCTTCAAAGTCTCTCGACTAGGAAGACTTGGTAGCAGCCTTCTTAACCTCCTCCTTGACCCAAGCCTCGAGTCCACCTGCAGCAATAATGGCCTGCACGTTGGCGGGTAGCTCACCGACCTGCTCGGTCCAGGTCTCACCATTCTCTCCCTCACGCACCTCAACAGAGCTGCGCTTGACGTCCCAGGTCAGGGTCCAGCCGGTACGGCGGGTAGGCTGGCGCTCAGCAGCAGACTCAGCAAAGGTGGCACGCAGACGCTCAACAAGGCGAGGGACTTCCAGGCCCATCAGCGCGTTGTTGATGCTGTTTCGGGAGAAGATGTTGCCGAAGCTACCGGCGACGACGAGGGGAATCTTCTTAGCCAGGATGGCGGTAGCGGCCTGCTCGCGGGAGGAACCACAGCCGAAGTTGAAGCCGGAAACAAGGATGTCGTTGGGCTTGGCGACGTCTTTGAAGTTGGGGTCGTAGTTCATCATGCAAGCGAGCGCCATGTCCTCCTTAGAGACGTTGTCCTGGTATGTGAGCTTTCCGGGGTAGATGTTGTCGGTGTCGAGGTTGTCCATGTCGCAGAATACAATCTCTCCGCTGATCTTCTCGGGGAAGCCGGGGAGGATCTCGGTGGCGGCCTTCTCTTCGCCTCCGGCGGATGACTCGACGCGGTCGATCAGTGATTCCATCTGTTGGATCAGGTTGTCGAGTTCGCTCTCGGTGGAGGGCTCGGCACCAGTGCCGAATCCATGCTCCACGCCGGACCAGCCTTCAGGCACCTGGTAAGCACCGGGGCCGGAGATAAGTCCGCTGAGAGCGCTGGCAGCCACAACTTCGGGACTGGCCAGGTAGGCCTTGGCGTCTCGAGAACCCATACGTCCCTTGAAGTTACGGTTGCTGGCACTGATGCCAACCTCGCCGGGCTCCAAGAGACCCTTTCCGAGTCCAATGCAGGGTCCGCAACCGGCAGGCAGTGGCTGCGCGCCAGCGTCGAGCAGAACCTGCCAGTCACCGACAGCCTCGGCGGCTTCCTGCTCGGGTGCGGAAGCAGCGGCAATGTACAGCTGAACGCCATCAGCAATCTTGGGGATCACATCGTTGTTGGCCTTGGCGGCGTCCTTGAAGACCTTGGCGGCGGCTGCGATGTCGGAAGCACGTGAGTTGGTGCAAGAAACAATGTATGCGCGGTTAACCTTAATGTTCTGTTGAACGAGCTCATTCAATGGAGTGGCAACCTTGACTGAGTTTGGTCCGGAGACGTAGGGTGAGAGGGTGGAGAGGTTGAGGTAGAGCTGCTTGGCGTACTGAGCATCAGGGTCAGCCTTAAGGGGGTTGGCGAACAACTCATCGACACGCTCGTGAGTAATGCGGTCACGAGTGGTACGGTCATCAAGCATAGCTGCCTCGGTAGCCTTGTATCGCAACCAGCGCTCTAGGGTGCGGTCAATGGGGAACAGACCAGTGAGGGCGCCCCACTCAGTTGTCATGTTGGCAATGGTCAGTCGGCTATCCACACGAAGACTTGACATGGTCTCTTCAGAGCCGGCGAACTCAATTGCGTGGTTAAGAACATCACTGTTGAAAAGTCCGCACAGCGCGACAATCACATCCTTACCGGTCACACCTACCGGGAGGGTTCCGGTGAGAGTGACCTTGGCAACAGGCGGGATCTGCCACCATGTCCGCGAAGTGGCCCAGATACTAGCAGCATCTGTCCGCACAACAGCAGTTCCCAGACAACCAACACCACCGTAGTGGTTGCTGTGACTATCGGAGGCTACAGCCATGGTACCCGGCCAGGCATATCCCTCCTCAACCATAACCTGGTGTCCAATACCTCGACCGGCAGGGTAGAAGTCAATACCGTGTTGACCAGCAAAGGTCTCAATTTGCTGGTACTTCTTGAGGTTGGCTTCGCTGGTGTTCTGGACATCGTGGTCAAGGGTCATGACGATCTGCTTGCGGTTGTGAACCTCGGTCGCTCCCATGGACATGAACTTGGTGGCGACAGGCCACGAGTTGTCATGGGTCATACAGTACTGAGGCGCCAGACTGATGTAGTCGCCGCTCCGGACGAACTTTCCTTCGGGGAGACCAACTGCATAGCGTTGGACGATCTTCTCGGTCAAGGTCTGGGGTGTCCGTTTTTCGGTTTCGATCTCGGACATGGGAATCGAAGTGGCACTTTGCTGCGAGTTCAAGGCTTCGGCCTGAGCAAAGGCAGTTGTGCTGAGCGAGCGAGGGGCAAGAGGAGTCGCAATTGATCGCAATTGAGGCTGAATTCTTCTCATCGGAAGGGCGATCGATGGGGTCAAAAGAGCCCGACGCCATACCTGGGAAAGTCAGATCGAGTATAACAATTCTTAAAGACATATCAACTTACTGGCCGGCGCATCAGCGCACACAGATGCCTAGCCATGCTGATCTACTATGTAAAAAAAACAATACTGGTGAGTCACGAAGGGAAATTTCGCCTGCAGACTTGCCAAGAATCGAGGCCGGCATTTATGTCATGTGACCCTCCGATATCGTTTCCCCGGCCAAACCCTGTCTCGTGATTTCAAAGCATAAGCCGGGCACGTGATTCCTGTCGATCCACCGATTCTTTCTTGTGGGGAAACATTTAGCCTCTCGGCTCATTCCCGTTCTCTTGCAGTTCAGTTTCTTCATGAAACTCATTAGGTACAAGGACACTTGATTAGGCGTGTGTTCATTACCACGGAGTTCACAGATCTCGAATCTCGAATAATGACATCATACCAAAATATAACAGACAAATTTCTCCATAACGAGCGGCTAAATCCACATGTAACGGGATGTACGTAATAAAGAAACATGCCCCAGTTCAAAGCCCCATAGTCCTGGAGCCCCACATTTACGCCGAAATTGGCATATTCTCATATTTCTGTGAGTTGGAGAATAATTGGCAGAGTTCACTGGGCTCGATAGGTCCGGAAATCCAGAAGCAGAATTTTAGTGTCCCTTGAACAAACCCCCATCTGGCTCAGCGATAGCTTGGATTGAAGTATCTACTAGATACTATGTTAAATTAAACACTAGTAGTGTTCTAGAAGTTTTCTAGATTCTATCTAGAAGACACTTCTTTTGGCACCCCTTCCCAGGTTGGAAATTTGCTCAGGAAATTTGCTCAACTTCAAATCGCGCACAGCCTCTATCTATCTAAAAACTGTATTAAAATTAGATACTAGTAGTGTTCTAGAAGTTTTCTAGATTCTGTCTAGAAGACACCTTCTTTCAGCACCCCTTCTCAGGTTGAAAATGTGCTCAACTTTAATTCGCGCACTGCCTATACAAATCTGAATTCTATGTTAAAATTGGAGACTAGTAGAATTCTAGAATACTTTCCAGGTTGGAAATGTGCTCAACTTTAAATCGCGCACAGCCTATATAAACTTAAAGTCATAGTAAATTTAGCCATCTAGATACACCTTCTAAAATATGCTTATACAGCAAACATCCTTGAAAAAGCAAACGTCTTCGAAGAAGCAAAAAACCTTAAAGAATGCGCTCAACTTTAAAATCGCGCACATCCTTTATGAATTCCATGACCACACCAACATTTGAAACTGAGACTCTTCTAGCTTCGATGCTGTTTAATGTTCTGGCCAAATAGTCGGCATCTCAAGGACATTCCCCTCCTTCTCACTCACACAAGCACACTCCCCCGTATGCCCATTCTGCAAGAACACCTGAAGAGTTTTTAGCCTCCCACCCCATCCATCCCTCCCAAAGAATTCATTACTACAAGGCACCTTCTTCCTCTCTGTCACAGCCCTGCGAAACACCTTCTCAGGAACAGGCTGCAATCCCCACACAGCAGCCACCACTCTGATATCAGACGTGACCTCTATAGGATTCGAAAAGAAGAAATTCCGTCTCATTCGATCCCCCGGCTCGATCATAGCATAGCTAGAGTCCTCGCCTGTAACCAGCATTTGCATCGGTTCCAAAGACCCATACTGATACAGTATCGAAATTGTCTTCTGCCATCCAGGTAACGGATCGGGAGATGCCAAGGCCCAGATATTCTTCGTGTCAAACTGTAATGTCTGCTGAGGTGTGATCTTCGCTCGAACAAGATTCGTAATGTCCAGCCCACCCCAGCTCGCACAAATAATATCCAGGAATGGAGGGATTTGGATCGAAGAATTCTCAGTTACAGTCTTCACCTCGCAATGCGATAGTGCCGCCGCGGTATCCGAGTACGTCCACGTCACGGACATGACCTTCTTGTGTCCATAGCACGGGTCCATTCTGAAGAACTCATGAGTCGATGCCATGATATCCGGTCGAGGATCATTCTCCGTTATCGACGCAACATGTTCCGTGACGTCGACGTTATGCCAGCTTGCATTCAAAATGTAGATCGAACCCCGTTTATTTGTTTCCGAGCTCTCGTGGTAAGGGAGTGGAATTGAGAGATCGATGGTAAGCAGTTCGCCTTCCTCAGCGAACAGTTTCTGAGGAGCTGAATAAAGGTTTCCATAATCGAGTCGGATCACTTTTCGCCAGACCATTGAGAACGCCTTGATGCAGTTTGGCCAAGGATCTCCACCAAATGTCTCGTTCGAGGCTGAGAATACCACTCTGGTCTGCTTGAGACCTGAGTGTGCGTTGATAATATGTCTGATATTGTCTGTGACAATTTTGGGTCCGTATACGGCTGAAATGACTTCAATCTCTTCTTTGTGCGCTCCTAGGATTGAGTCGGCCCCTGCACTTCCCATAAGAGAGTTGGTAGTTGGTGATTGCTCGAGGGGAGGTGAAGCCGTGGGCTTAGATGCATTAGCTGTCCATTTCAGAATGAGGTCTTGATTCTGCTCTGCTTCTGCTTCGGATATACCGAAATCGGTCATTCGGCGGACTAGCTTGGGCCATTCCGAGTCCACCTCGTTTTCGTTTTCAGTAAGGGTTGGGCTGCTCGAATCAGCCAAAGAGATGGTAGATGAGAGGCTGTTCTTGTTGAGACTCAGAAGGAAGTCATCTAACTTATCCAAGATTTCTTGTTGTTTGTCGACCCTACTCTCGGTCAGTAATTCGGTGTCAAAAGAAGGGAAATATCTTCAATACACTGCAGTGGATATGAATAAGATGAGACTCACACGGGAACTCTCGACGCAATATTAGGAAGCGCTAAACCACTGTTGAATGCTCCAATGATCGCACAAAGAGACGTAATTCTCGACCTCACAGAGTCCACTTCCTTTTGCGACCACCTAAATCGACTCAATCCTCTTGGAGCTGATACATGTCCTTGTTTCTGCTGCAAATCTTCTAACAAGTTTCCAGCTTGTTTGACAAGCTGTTCCAAGCCTGCAGCTTCATCAGACGATAATAAAGTCCGGTCTTGACCAGTGATATCCTCCTGTTGGAGGGCAAGTCTGTTCCCAAGTCTCCGGAGGAGGATCTCAAGTCCTTTGATGTCACTTGTGAGATCTTTGAACCTCTTTGGAGCGCCTTTGTAGGTGTCATAAACTTGGTAAGCGAATGTTGCCAGGGTGAAGACATCTGGGGCACCTGGTGGAGCGAACATGTTTAAGTCATTCGACGTGAACCCTTTGTTTTGTTGGCGATGGTTGCCTATCCTGCCGTTGCGAACCAAGTAGTAGATCTAAGTTTACTTCTATCGGGGATTTTGATAAGATCAATTTGGATGAGTTGGCGGGGTTGCCAGGTTTCGGAAAAACGGGCATATTGATCAACCAATGGGGTTCGTTTTCGCTTGAGAGTCAAATTGCTTATCTGTCTTTGAACCATGGTTCTTGTGTAAAGAGCTGACTAATAATGACCCGATGCAGGTTAGTTAACTTAAATACTAGTAGTTGGTTAGTTGGCCGCTTTTCGGCTAATGAAGTGTTCAGAGACTGTGTATACATCACGTGATGCCACATGCAGTGTGAGGCAACCCTAGTAAAACTACTTGCTATAGGTAACTATGGAATTGAAATGCCCCGGTAGAAGATCAATCAATTTAATCGTGTTGGACTGTGACAATCTCATTTGCATTCAAATGTTCAAATATTTGTTCCGATCAAGGACGACTTTGATTATATGAGACAAAATCCAGAGCAAAATGATTTCTATAGAAATGGCGCTGGGAAATCTATATCTAGCTCGCATATAGTGTAACTAAACAAAAAGAAGAAAACAACATTTGGAGGATTTGGATTTTGGGTCGCTCAGGGCCGCAGAAGCCAAGTTCTTGCTAGCCCTTAGTAAAGGGGCAGCTTGTAGGCATCAAAGTTGTAGTTGAAGGTATCGATCGAGGCCTGATCGTACTCGCAGGTGAAGTCCTTGCCGCTGTTCTTCCAGTAAGGGCGAAGAGGCCAAGCACAGAGCTGCTCGTTATTACCCTCGTATTCACCCTGGAGGATGGTGGCATTCAGGGTAACGGGCTCAATGCCCTTCTCAACCCAACGAGAGATAACCTCGAAGTTGGTCTGAGGGAAGGGACCGTTAGGTTGGGCGCTGTTGGTGGCACAGTGCGCAGCTCCGGGAACAAGGAAGAGCTTGTACCATTCCTTTAGTTCAGCGGTGGAATCGTTGTAAGACTTGCCGGGGTACATGGTCTCGCGAACAGAGTTGTAGTAGTGGATGGAGGAACCAGTAGGGATTGACTCGTCCTGCTCGCCATGGTAATGGATGAGCTTTCCGCCGTTCTCGTAAAACTCGGTCAAATCAGGGATAGTAGTCTGGAGGGAGTCCATGTAGCGGGTCATACCCTGCTTCATGTAGCCGACAAGAGTGTCATAAGTCACACCATCCAGGGTGGACAGGTTGTCCTCATCGCATAGCTCCAGGAAACGGGCAACCCATTCACCGCCAGCGCCAGCAATGTCCTGTAACGATTATTAGCAAGGTTTAGATCAATTTTGTTGGGAATCAATTGAGTCTTACCAGTCCCCATTCGCCAATGGTAGAGTTGTAGGAGGTCTCGGCGTCATCAAAGGAGGCACCCATTTGGTAAGAGATGTAGGCACGACGTCCCTTTGAGTCGTGAAGTCCGTCAACAATCTTCTGAGCCACAGCAACACCCTCGGCGCTGACAGTGCCATTCTGGGCGGGCGTAGTGCTAAAGCCACGCTTGCCAAATCCAAGACCAAGGCTACCGCCGCTAGAGCTGGCGCAGTAGTAGGACTTGCCGATGATCGAGGTCATGTTGAAGTGCAGCTCGCAAAGGTCGGAACGAGACACCACACCATCAGTACGACCATCAAGAGGGTCACAGGCGGTGATAGTCTCGTTCACAATCTTCTCAAGCTCACACGGTGGGGGGTAGTAGCCCAGAGTCTTTTCAACAACGTTAGAGTAGATGTGGTTAGCCTGCTGCTGACCGTAACGGATAGCGGGGGCACCAATCATCAAGCCATCATACTCCTCACCAGCGCGCTGGGCCTGGGAGAATCCCTCGCGACCTCCCTCAGAGCAACCCTGGTAGTAGGAGTAGAGCTTGGTGCTGTTGGAGACATCGTAGAAGTTCTTGCTGAGTTGCTTTCCGATAATGGTCATCTCCTTGATGGCCTGGTAGCCGAACATGTAAACGGACGGCCAGTTGATTGTGCCGTTGTTCAGCAAAAAGACGTCGTCAAAGTCGGTGTCCATGCTGCCGAATCCTCCATCGGTGAAGCCAGAGACGGCACCGTACATGACACCACCAGGGGCAGACATTGAGCCGGATTGAATAGCATAAGCACCGCCACCAGTAGCAAGGAAGCGGTTCTGGAAGCTCGATGGCGCGGGCATGTAGTAGCCAACGATCACAGCATCATCCGATCCAGTGTGGGTGTAGGAGAAGGTAACATTGCAGTAGTTGATAGTGGCATCAGGGAAGAAGGTCTCTCCGGAGTGCGAGGAGTTGTAGACGGCATTGGCCGTGACAGAGTCATGGTCAAAGGTCACACCCAGAATGTAGCCATCCTCAGGCAACGAGTCGCGAACCTGCGCGACAGTGCATGCGCTGCTTAGAGAAGTAGCATAGGCCACACTGGCCGATGCAAGAAGGAACAAGGCCTTATTCATGTTGGTACGAATTCTGAAGTTTTTGATCTGATCTGCTTAAGAGATTGTCGAGACCTTATATACTATGGCTACGTCTAATCAGATCATCCCTATAGTTTCTCGAACAAAGCTTGTTCAAGTTAAATTGCAGTACCTAACGGCATTGACCATTGAACTTTGAACTTTGGTGACGCGTCCGACCGGGTAAACCCTAAGAACGATGGCGACGGTGGAGGCAATTGCAGATCGACAATGGGCCGAGATCGATAACTAGATATCCCCTTTGGATATCTTTCTCCACCGAGGCCGAACCTCGGCCCTTGGCATGCCGCATAAGCTTGATACAAAACACGGGACTCCGAGTGTTCGATCCCGGAAACAAGTTAGGGGTTCTTTTTTCCGTAGGCTGACTCCACTTTCAGGTTCCTTGGTTATATGTACATTCGTAATATTCAAATTGATGTTTAACCGATATTTCTTCAATGGCATCATTCTGCATTCTTACGCCTCCACTCTGAGAACGCTACCAACGTCAAGCTTTTCAAGCCGCGTACGTTATATGTATACACTGATGAGAACGTGAGGACGCGTCCAATTAAAACCCTGGTTATTCTATCGGCATTGCACCCTTTGCAAGTCATCTATGGATCAGGCACAGATTAACCTACAATCAATCAGAAACCTTAATCTTAAATCTCGGACTGAAAGAAAATCCCGTTCTTCAGACGCGTAACACCTTAGATCCGAGGCTTGGCTTTCTCGCGAAGGCGCTAGGCCTCTTCAAGAGTGATTTCCGGAGCCAAGATAACGCAGGTCGTGCCATCTATACTCTCAAACGGGCGTTCTCAATCTTTCAATGTTCTCAATCGCCTCATGTTTCGTCCCTTGCGAGGCTTGAGTTACTGTGGAATTAATTAGCCTTACGGAGAGCGAGATACGACCGGACTCCGTCCTTAATTAACGGTAATCCGATGAGACTGATTAGACACGTATGTAATTAATCCAATCGTTGAATTCGCACATATTCTCTGTGGTATGGTCATTGAAGTGTGTATCCATACTGGTACACTTCTTTGCTGCAGGTTCGAGTGCTAGTATACATCTGAGATCCACACGCTAAATACTCAAGAGCACAAGAGAACACATTCGATCCTGCCATGGAATCGTTATAGGTAGCAGAATAATCTAGTAGGTCCGAAGAGAAGCAAACCACTCCTTGAACAGCTGGACCTTAGCCTCAGAGGCCACGGGGATGGGACCCCAGCCGTTACCAACGTGATGCACAAGCTCATTGTCATTAGTTGCGGACCAGTGAACCAGACCATCACCGTTGGGGTCACCAGTCTTGATGAAGTTGGACCAGTATCCGTTCATCTTGGCAGCGATTTCATAGTCCTTGGCATTCCAGGGCTTGTCGGTGGCGTAGAGGTTGTTAAGAACGTAATTAATCTCAGATTCATGGTAGGCACCCTGGTCCTGGCCGGGCGGGGCGTGATCCCAGAAGTAGCTGAAGACATTTTTAGTGCTGGAAGTGGCCCAGAGCTGAGCCCACATCCAGGTGCCTACCTTGGATCGGTCGGTGAACATAGAGTTGTAGGCGCCATCGGCACGGACAGAGTTGTCGGCAGGGTAAAGTTCAAGGAATCTCTGGGACCAGTTACCAGTGGTGTATGTGTCTTCCAAGTCCACAAGGTACTCAGCCACAGTAATATTTGTGTTATACTCAGCACCACTCTCATCTTTGGTGTTACCAGTAAGAACTGGCACGTTGTTGGCAGCTCCCTCCTTCAGAGTCTCGGCGTACTTGGCAGGCATGGCATAGTAGTCCAAGGTAGCACCGAAGCTCCAACCATCCAGAACATTATCCTCCAAGTCAGCCATAGGTAATTTGCGCAGCTCAGCAATAGTGCTGACATTCTTATCAGCGGTATAGTTCAGGCCCTGCGCCATAACATATGACTGTGTCTTATAACTTTCGGCAAGAGAAGTGCAAAGAGGGTCATGGGGATCACGGACACCGCTCTCAATGATAGCACCCTTGATGAGACCCTTGGTGACAGGGCTGTTGAGGATGTGGTAAGTCGCTGCGGATCCGGCAGACTGACCCATGACAGTGATGTGGTCGGGGTTTCCACCAAAGTCGGCGATATTCTCATGAATCCACTTCACGGCGGCAAACTGGTCGAGCATTCCCCAGTTACCAGAGCTGTTGGAGCCAGTGACCTTGTAGAATTCCTCATTCAATTCGGGGTGTCCAAGCCAACCAAAGGATCCAGTCCGGTAGTTGTAATTGACGAACACAATACCCTTGTCGGCCATCCCACCGCCGTCAAAGAGAGCATCAGCAGCAGTGGATTCAGCCGGGTAACTCCACATAACGACGGGCAATTTAGCACCAGTGGACTTGGCAGGACTCCAAATGTTCAAATTGAGGCAGTCCTCAGAAATGGTGAGGTTGGTGTCGCTGGTGGCGGACGGGCAAACATTGCCGAACGACTTCGCATCTAGCGTGGTGTTCCATGAGCTGGCCATCTGAGGGGCACGGAAACGGTTATCGCCTCCAGTATCAGCTGCGAAAGGAATACCCTTCCAGACGGTGATATCCTTCCAATTGGTCAAGTTACCGGTGGGAGCGCTGCTAAAGGCAGGATAACCCTGGACTTCGCCGTACTTGGTCTTGATCACGGAGTTGTATAACGGCGAGGAGCTAGGTGCCGCAGAGGCCATACAGAGCAGCACACTTGCCGAGGCAAGAATCTTTGGAATGGAGTAGCTGTCCATGATAGACGGTAGCCAAGATGATTAGGATGAAGATGGGTATAGTAACACTGTCAGGAAACCTTTAATGTCTTATATGAAGTTGGCGAACGCGTCATCATTCAAGATTTTGACTTGTCGCTAAAGTTAGAAACAGCCACGAAGCATCGGAAGGAGTTGCAAAGTGTAATCAGATCACTGGATCCACTGTCTGTGGGTGGCATTTTTTTTACACAGTAGTACTTTATCTCCGGCAGACGCGTACAAGCCGGCATAAATTTTATGCTATGAATGGAAACTGGGATGCATATCTTTGATTTTGAAGCTTAAACCGCCTGAGACTTGAAATTTTCCAAACCATTTCTTTGCAGCCTCTTGGTATTCAGTCAACTGGTGACTTATTTCACCGTATTTGGATATCAGTTCCAGCTTCTTGTTTGAGAATTTGTGATGATTTCAAATGTTTTCGATGTTGCGTTGCGTGTGCCATTGATATATGATGTTTCATAGGCTCTTTTCATACAAATCTTAGGACCAAGTGGAGAACGGCAACTAACATTCATTACATGTAAACACACCGACCATCTGGACTGATCAAACATTGAAGTCTCGGTATAGCATGAATCCAACTTTACCCAGACGCCGGTGCTCTGCTCAATATATCCACTGTGCACGCAATCAAAAACGTCTTCTTCTCTCTTTCCCCACATTAACTTCCACCGGAAGTGGCATCACACGGAAACTCTTGCATGTATTTTATTCATCAAATATATACTCGTCAGGCACCTGGGGTGGATCTTGCATCATTAGGCTGCTACGTAAGAGGTGGTGCACCATGCACATGTGCCATTGACGTGCAAAGTTGGGTATGTACGCCAGGGGATACAACTACATATGGATAAAAGGTAAGAAGCTACAATGGCTGATGAATCCTCAATGGACATGATCCAAGCCCTCTGGCAATTTTCGAACCATGTAATTCCTCAAGGCTCTGGCCGGATGGGCTACATTGCTTTCCATCGCCAATGCTGCATTCAAACCCAGTTGTCAATACTGCTCAGTGAAAAGTGAGAGATACTGCTTTTGAGTATCGCTCGAATGTCACGGTCTACAGGGGTATACCTTTCGCCGCCCCGCCTATGTTTCTTCAATTTTCTTACGTCTCCACTCTGGGAGCCCTACCATCGTCAAGCTTTTCAGGCCGCGTAGGTTGTGTAGTACACTGATGAGAGCGTGAGGACGCGTCCAATCAATTAAAATCCTGGCTATTCTATCGGCATTGCACCTTCTGGAACTCATCTATGGACCAGGCACAGATTAACGTACAACAGTTAGAAACCTTGATTTCAAACATCGGACTGAAAGATAACTCCGTTCTTCAGACGCGCAACACCTTAGATTCGGGACTCGAGCTTCTCGTGAAGGCTAGCCCCTGGAAGAGCAATCTCCAGAGCAAAAACCAAGCAGCGGAATTTAGTTTGATGTTTTTGATTTGATCACTGACCTAGAGCTGCCCCAACCTTCTTGCCAAAAGGTTTCTTAGCGGAATCACCATGTACATAAGCTGCAGGGAAGTAATGTTCTGATTCAAAATGATACATGTATTAACTTCAAGTTTGAATCAATAAGTTTCAATCTAAAATTGATATCAATCACGTACATATATGATATAATAGCACTTTAGTTTTAGTACCCCACACCGGACGGAAAATAGATAGCCGTCGCCAAGCAGGCGCTACCCCACAAATATCGGTTAAGGTCATCACCGTGTGGGGGTGTGGAGACACATGCATGAACCTAATGTGCATAAAATCTACCATAGCAAACGCCTCGACACAATTTTTGTTCCGATGAATGGGTGTATCACGTATCGGAGTCCAAGATACCGGCTAAGTTCTCCCCATTCAATGTTCTCAACATTTGAATGCAACCGCGTGGGCATCCACATAGAGGGATTTTATAGTATCAGACGGGTTTTAAAAAAAAAAGCTTGCGCCTTTTGCAGGACAGCCTTCTTCGTACGCCTTCAAATATAACGATTTCTATTCTCTCTTTTCTGTACAAGATCCAGCTGGGAACGAGTTGATAGGTGCCGGAGCCGGTCCGGCGCCGCTGTTACCTCAAAAGCTATACGGGCAACATTCCGAAAGTGGAGCTACTTTCAACAGGGTATAGATAATGAAAATCCCCGCTTCTGCTGTTCAATAAAGCTCCAGATGTCACCAATCTTCTATAACATCACACACGCTCTGGGTTGATCTCATTGCGCTGCTTTGAATACGACTTTCTCATTGTCAGAGTACATGCTTCTGATAAATATCTCTAACACACTTCATTGATATTATAGGTAAGAAGAAAGCCCAACGCGCAAATGTTTGCAGCTTCGGCGACTGACGCATTGATCAAGCCATCCTCCTATCTATTTAAGATATGAAGGAATCAACGGATTCTGCGCCCCGAGCGAACGAGGCAAGCCGTGGATTTAATTTGGAGATAAGGCAGACTGAGGCACTCGTCGCGTTCGAGGAAGGTTCCGAAGCGCACCCCAATAATTGGGTTTTCGTAAGTTCTCATTGACCCCCTTCGAGTAATATGACCCCCTTCGAGTAATACTTCACAAGTCTGATACATTCTCGAGAGGTTCTCTAGTCTAAGAAGATGCTTGTTGTCATCACGGCATTGTTCAACGTTTTAAATAGCGGCATATCATCTTCGCTTCCCAGCAATGCTGTCCCGTACATATTCAAAGACTTCGATATCCAAAATAGCCAAGAGAAATGTCTACCGACATCTATCTTCCTTATCGGCTTCATCATTGGACCCGTGATATGGAGTCCGTTGAGTGAGACCATTGGGCGTCGGCCTGTTCTGCTCTGGACTTTTACCGTCTTCGTTTTTGGGACCCTCGCCTGTGCTCTTGCCCCAAGCTGGGGCACTCTGTTGTTTTTCCGCTTAGTTTGTGGAATGATGGCTGCTGCTCCTCAGACCGTCATTGGCGGTGTTTATGCAGATCTATTCTTTGATCTTCGCTCTCGTGGCAGAGCAATGGCCTTCTATATGTCGGTAGGTTTAAAAATCTATTACCAAGGCCATAGCTGCTCATTATACTATGTAATAGATTGCTAATATGTATGAACGTATACTGAACGATAGACAGCAAGTTTCGGCCCCATTCTTGGTCCAATAATCTCGGGATTTGCGTCCTTGCACGGCTGGAGATGGACATTTTGGATATCTTTGATACTAGCAGGCACCTGCTGGATTGCTCTTTTTTTCATGCCTGGTATATATGACGTCCCCTCCCTTGTCCAGCTTAGAGCAAAAGAAAATATGCTAATCGTTAACTCCAGAAACATTTGTGCCGGCGATTCTAAATAATGAAATAAAGCGATTGAGATCGAGCACAACGTCGGAGATCAGCCCCTCGTACTCCTACTCCTCTTATCAGGGGGCCGTGAAACATGACTGGCTGGCAATATTTTCACGACCACTTGGCATGCTCGCCACTGAGCCCATCGTCATCTTCAGTTCACTTTACGTTTCTCTCGCATACGGCCTAAACTTTTTCTTTTTCCAGGCCTTTCCAATTATATTTGAAGGTTTGCCCCTCTCCCACGCGCACACCTTCACCTTCTCAGGCATAGCTTCAGGGGATTTGGAATCGCGAAAATGTTTTATCTAACTCCACTGTTCTCCAAAAGGCACCTATAACTTCAGCACACAACTTTCATCACTTACCTTTATACCGGGTACGTACCTTGGCTATCCCACTCCTAACTGTTAAGTGCTAACAGACAACCTGCAGTTGGTTTGGGAGCCCTCTGCTCGGGCTTATTTACCCTCTATTACGAGCACATATTCCAGACAGCAAAGAAACGAGGCAAAAGTTGGACAACCAAAACCGAATTTCAACGACTTCCCATGGCATGTGTTGGTGGTCCTTGCATCACGATCAGCCTTTTCTGGCTCGGTTGGAGCGCCAACAAAGCCGTCCCGTGGATTGTTCCTGTGCTTCCAGGCTTATTCTTTGGATTTGGATATCAAATTATTTTCATCTCTTTATTGACATATGTCACTGATGCTTACAAGATCTACTCAGCCAGTGCACTAGCTTCTTCGACCATCCTAAGGAGTATCTTCGGTGCTCTTCTACCTTTGGCAGCGGCACCGATGTATGATAAATTAGGCAATGGGTGGGCTACTTCTATTCTTGGCTTTTTCAGCATTTTTTGCCTTCCTATTCCGTTCGTTTTGATTTACGCAGGTCCCTGGATTCGGAAAAGAAGCAAGTTTTGCTGTCAGTTACTGGAACAAGATGAAATTTCGGCAGCAAATGTACCAGAGAGCGGGAACCTTTCCGCGAAGTCTGCTTAGTGACAAGACTTGCAATAAATGTTGGGAACAATATCTCAGAAGTTTGCATAACTTCAAACCCACGATACTTGTAATTATGCCAACTGTGTAGAAGGTTGTTCGATCAGTTAGAATAAGTAGCTACTGTTGCTTTGTTGATCGGTCCGAGAGAATAGTTATCTACAACAAATTCACTCACGTTAATTATATGATTTGAATATGGGGCAGCGTAAAAACTGCCAGTTATGTGGCACGAACTATTTCCCTCGCGGTAACATCCGGCACTGGGCATCTTGAAGACATCTTCACTCCTTACCAGTATTTGACACATCACCTCTTTGAGAGACGGCTGGCATCCTCGGAAGCGTCCGAGCTGTTTTTTTCTCGCAAACCACCTACACTAACACCAACAATATGATGGCAAAGAACAGCCAGGCTGATGGACTAAATGAAATCACGGATTGGGACATAGAAAAGGTTGACGTGGGAACGACTCGCAGTCAACAAATCATTCATTAGAAGATGTTCAACCCGCTTTTACAACAGCTGGTCTGCACTGTTCCAAATATTTTGATCCGACGCGTATCGATGCAGACGGTAGGCACTGTTCCTGGCGAATCATGTAACTATCGTGGCGTTTCAATTTGAAGGGCGAATTCAATGGCTCTTCGCATTTAGAAGTTTTCCATTAATTAAATTAGGACAATGTATGCTTTTGTCCCTGAAGATTGAATTTTGAGCACCTTGGCAACGCTCTTGTACTTATCTTCGTCACCGCCAATTTTGTCTCCAATTTCTGCTATAGCATCACCTTCTATTTACACTAGCTCCCCAGTGGCTTATTCATCTTCTTTATCTTCTATGCTTCTACTTCAAGTTTCTTGCTGTAGCTGCAGCCTTCATCCATACAAGCTCTTCTGTTGCCCATGTATCTTAGTCATCTCAGGCTCCCATCATCTCGCCTCCTAGCTGTGCCTCAGCTACGCCCATTCGCTCTCGCTCTTCAGCGCGTCATCTTTCCTCCTCATACCCAATCTCATCGCGAACCTGATCAATACCACTATTATCATCTAGCTTCATGTTCAAGCCATACCAGGGTCCATTTGGGCATTATACCCGCCGACTCTCACCTGCGAATTCCGGGATCTCAGTACTCATCTTTCGTCAGTTTATCCAATACAATACGCCCCACGGCAATGCTCCAACAGGTGTTCCGAACGATATGCAGACTACACACACCTACCGCACGGCAAACCCCGACTGGCATTGCATTGCCAGGGAATCAAACCACTGAGATGCTATACAAGTGATGATTCAACGATTTATAAATGCCCCCCTACAATGAAAAATTACATTTATTCTACAAGGACACCCTCACCAACCACCCATAACATTGCCACAAACACTACTATCTACCCTGTTGGCACGTCCGTCGCTGAAGCGCTCCTAGTGGCGCTTTACCGGCGGAAAATTTTACAACTGAAACACTGTACACAACCGAATATTCGACTGTCTATAAATTTACGTGTGCCTCTACCTTTAAGGATTGTCCCTACGCTGAGAAGATCCCCTCGCCAATTACCCTGGTTGTCGTCACAGAAGAAACCTCAATCGTGGTTGTACCGGAAGACAACCTTGCACAATACTCCCACCGATGCTGAAATGCGGGCTCTTTAGAAGATTTGATGATTGGGTCCTGTGATGCAGTGAACAGCCCCAAGGCTGCTTGGATGCTTGGGTTAAAGAACCCTTAAGGCAAGGACGATTCTCTTCCGAGGACCCTTCTTATCTTTGCTTCTTCTTTCCATCAGTACGAGACATTGTATGTTTGCCGCACTTCTCATAATTTTTGCACTCATGTCAGAGCTCATGTACGCTCTCAATGCCATGTGTGCCTGCGCAGACTATCTTCCCTTTACTGATGAGGATTACAGCATTGCCGATCAAATGCCAGCTTACTGGGTGAATCTCGCGAAGACTTTGGATCCTGATACCGGTGGGTTTTACATAGGCGCCGGCTTCTTGAGTCGCTGGGAGCCTAACACGGGCTGTGGGAAGTAGGTGATTAAAGAACTGGGCGATTCATTCCAGCAACAAGTCATCGCCACTCCGGGAAAGGTCAACTTTGTGATGGAGTACTTTCTCAGCGAATGCCTTACTATATGAAGATGGATATGGGGAAAGTCGTCAGTCACAACATGCCTAAGCTCAGGTGGTGAAACAGTGCGTCCTACAGTGTTTCTAATACTCATGGTTTGTCTCTTGTGCTTGTGCTTTTCTTTTTCTGTCTTTTTTTGCTATCTCTTTCATAAATCTCATTCATTCCTTCAAGGTCGTCGAATGTTACAAACTACTCAATGGCATAGCCGGAAACGTTTATACTATTTTACTATTACATGTAAGGATATTCCTTGGAAAAGCTCGTAGACCTCAGTGGACCGCGAATAATCATCTTCTGGTTTACACAACCTACATAACATGTAACAATGTACGTACAACCCGAAAGCGAAATTATACAAAATCCGGCGGTAACGCGACAGTACGATCAAGATCAAGTCCCACATAAAATATTTGCCATTTTCTCATTCCCAAAACCACGCTACAACCAAACCCCAGGGCCGGGTACACCACCATGCTTCGCATCGCCATAATCGGAGGCGGCATAGGAGGCCTCTTCGCCGCTCTATCCATCCACCACCACTGCAGCGCCAAGGAAATCCAAATCGACATCTACGAACAAGCGCCCGAATACGAAGAGATAGGTGCCGGTGTTGGCATCGGGCCAAATGCAGCGACGCTGATCAAGAGACTGGGACTATTGGACGAAGTGTTGAAGATCTCCGGCGATCGTGCAAAGACATGGCTTTCGTTTCGCCGATATGATACCGGTGCTGAAATTCATACGGTCAAGATCCCGGACGAAGGAAGCAATACGATGCAATTGTCGATGCACCGAGCGGAGTTCTTGGAGATTCTCGTGAGGGCTGTGAGAGCGCGGGGCGCTGCTACTTTACACACGCATAAGCGGTGCGTGGAGGTTGAGGTCAGTGGATGCTGAGGCAAGACGCGGCGGAGATGGTATGGGCTAAACTATATCAATGGGATCTAGGACCAAGGCGACGAAGTATCGATCAAATTTGCAGACGGGACGACGACATCGGGACATCTGGTTATCGGCGCAGATGGAATTCACTCGGTTATTCGTGCCCAATACGTGGTGCGTATCATACATGCTTCACACTGATCTTCTTTCAATGCATGCACAGAGTCCCAAGGATTATGACAGCTGATACCCGGTTTCCGAATTAGCAAGACGCGCCCCGGTACGGCGATATGGTGATCTACCGCGGCCTCTGCGACCTGGACAAGATCCGCGATGAATGGACCCTCCCCACCTTCGCAACTGTATTCATGGCGCCGAACAAGCACTTCCTCACCTTCACGATGAGCAACAACACGATCCTCAACGTCTTCGCCTTCGTCTCTACGCCGTGGGAAGAAATCAGCGAAGGAAACGCAAAAGCAACAGCAAAAGCAAAAGAAGGCTGGACGACATCCGGTGCCGAGAACGTAATGCAAGAGGAATTCAAGGACTTTGCACCCATTGTGCAGAGCGTCATTCGCAACTTGACTGCTCAGCCATTAAAGTGGGTACTTTTCGACCGGCAGCCCACGCCGGAATGGATTTTTGCCGGTGGCAAAGTTGCCTTGTTGGGCGATGCGGCTCACGCGATGTGCCCGCACCAAGGTACGTTCCTCCCAACCTAACCTTGGAATGTTGCCGTGGAAGGTTCAAGTTTGCCATTGAGTCATATTTGCGATGTGCTGATACTGCGATATGTACACAGGGGCCGGAGCAGGTCAAGGAATCGAAGATGGGTATATTCTTGGACGGGTGCTGGAGGAGTATTTAGGGGCTTTGGGAACATCGCAGTCGAGGAGTCTGCGGGATTGTTTGGGACTGTATCATTCGATTCGCTTTCCAAGGTCAAAAAAGGTACAGGTTACCTCTCGACAGGCGGGGGATCTGTATGAAATGAAGATCGATGAGCTGGTCGGTCTGAGCTACGAAGATTGTTTACCTGTTGTGAAGGCCAAGTTTGAAAATCGGATGGAGTGGCTTTGGCGTGATGATATTGATGAGATGTACGAAAAGGCTCGAGCTGAGTGGCAAGCTCGTTCTAGTTAGGGTGGTGGTCCAGGCGCAGAGTAATTTTTACTATTGGGTAAAGGTTGGAATAATTTGAAAGGAAGTTCAATGGAGATTCAAAGATTTGAAGTGATAGTCGGTCTCGAGACCATAGTATTATTAACATATATTGGCTTTTTTTCTCCTACTCAGAATTGCTGCGTCGCCAGGAGGCAACAATTGAGTAGAATTTCTTGACTGCATCAAGACTCGCTATTTAACATAAAAATCAAAAAGAAAAAGGAAAAGGAAAACAGATTTCAAAGAGCATCAATCATGCTCAGGCCCAAAGTAGTTCGTGGCCGGCAGCCTTGAACCTGGAAACCATGTAACCAGGCTTGCAGTTGGCCTCCCAGTCCTCATCGAACCCAGAGTCCGGGTTGTAGAGACTTGCCTCGGAGAGCATGGAGACACCACGGGGGACGTCTAGGCCCGGTGATTCGGAGCCACTGCGTTCACGTTCGCCACACGGGCATGTTGAGGTGGTTCTGGATCCGGGTGTGGTGCAGGGGCAAGAGCCCAAGGAGCGATTGCAAGGGATGCACTTGTAGAAAGCGCTAGTGGAGTCATTGGAGGCATTGGCTAAGCGGACGCCGGGGAGGCCGCACTGATCGCACTTCCAGCTTTGTGTCATGATGAGAGAGGATTTGAAGTTTGGAGATTGAAGATTGGAGGTTTGAAGTATGGTTGAAAGTGGAATTAGGATTTGGATTGGATTGGATCGAAGTTCCTGAGTTGAACTTGAGTGAGGTAAAATTGATAGAGTAGGTTGAGAGGCTATGATGCTCTGTGTTTGTCTGAATGATGAATCGGTATTCAAGTCCGGGGAACATGTCAATTTATACCAAATTTGCGGGGGGGCGGCAGATCATTATGACGCTATTGGGGGTCTATGGAATGTTCGGCGAAATCACGTAAAATGGAGCAAAAAGATGCCAAAACATGTAAAATGACTAAGAATTGGCCAAAACATGGCGATCTAGACTTTGGTTGATTTCTATAAACGGAAGGCACGGCTGGATTGGGAAAGTACAGCCCCGCGGCAAACCGAGATTTCTTACATAATCTTCCAGAAATTACCCAATTTATGTAATTATTCACGCAAAAAACCCAGTCAAGTGACTGGGCAGTGGCCACTATTACGTTTTTTCCCCAATTTTCTGATTTTTCATTTTTTCATTTTTTTCTCATTTTTCGCAATTTTCACTTTCTGGCCGTTTCTGGTTCCCTTCTAGCTATTTCTAGTTTCTATTATTCAATCCGTTGCTATTTTCAGAAGAAATGGCGGGAATCGTCTTAGATCGTCATATCTTCGGTGCCCCGTGATGAGGCAGGATTCTCCAATTTGCTGCGGGGACCGAGCATCCCCCGCATTTTCAAGAGACGCTAGTCACAATTTCCAGGTACCATGACCTACATTGAATTTTTCCCTTGAAGTTCGTTTGCGTATATTCGCCTTGATGCTACTACAAGTATACACTGCATGTGTTTATAGTGGTATAGTGAATAAGCCGTTAGTTAGTAGAGACTGACTCATGCTGGCACCACTAACACGACAATCAAAATCTGATTAATGGCATTGTCCGCAAATGTCGTCATGCTGCATCTGATTGAAGGATTTTTATTTCTCAAAAACCGCAGCTACAGTAGGATCTACACTTCCGCAATGCCGAAAGACCATGAAACATTACCCGCAAAATGACCAATATAGTGGATCCCAAACGTGTATATGCCTCATCGCATGATACCTTGTAAGTGGCGACATGTGGACCGTAGAAATGAAGTGGATACAGTGTCCACCCCCCAACATTTGATGTTCGAGGCATTTCTTTCTTCATGGTCATGAGTCATGACCCATAAAAAACTTCCAGGGCCACGGGAGTTGCCGAGGCCGAGGGGCAAATCTCAAGGTCACAACTACATATCAGTACTGACTACATAGTACTCCATACATAACCGCTACTGGTTCATACAACTGGAAGATCGAAAAGCTTACTCGAATAAGGATGTAGTAGTATTATCAACAAGATACACAGAAACTGCACAGCGCTAGAATCAAACACATAAAAAATAAGGTAGAAAGGACGGTACCCAGCAAAAACCCCGAATCCCCCAAGGGGTCAGGAGGGAATAAATGAACCGAAGCACCCAAGCCAAAACCATAAGACAGAGAAGATAAAGTCGAACGCCATACCACACCGGGAGATAGGACAAGAACAAAAAAAAAAGCATTAAACCCCGTTCTGGAGCTGAAGTTGGATGTCGTGCTTCAAAGGCAAGGAACTGGGGGAATAAAAAACAAAATGCCAACCCTGTCAGACCACAAAAAGAAAAGTAGCAACGTATTTGGGGAAGAATCAACAGAAGAAAGGCATAGCATGAACAGTATTGACATGAGCCATGTCAGAATTTTGAACACGAAAAGAAAAAAAGAAAAAAGTGATTCCAAGGCGACGCCGAGGAATCACCGCGTGCGGATAGTACACCAGCCCGGAAGGAATCTGAGAAAAGCTCAATCATAAAGGATCGTCAACGTCCGGGGATCGTGAGAGGCATGAGCCATACAGAGGTCCAGTAAAGGGATCGTCTGTAACAAAGCGATTGCGTAACCACAGCTAATTATCAGAAGCACCGATAAGGGAATTTTGCAATGCGTGCGTGGAAACAAAAAAGCAGATTTCAACGGGGATTAGTAGGTTTCAAAGTCGTCGGCCCACTCGGAGTCACTGCCCGCGACACGGAGAACCTGGCCTGGGTGGGGCCCATCCGGGCTCACACTTCTGATACCCTTGCTCTTCTTGCCCATTAGATCCATGTCGTCATCTGGGGCAAAACGCTTGCCGGGCCCACCGCGCAGCTTGGAGTAGTAGATGTCGCTGGAATCAACATCAGACTCGGATCCATCGTCAAAGGTCTCCCAGTTTTCAGAACCGGAGGTCGCGGTATTGACGGTGGATGAGTTGGAGGCTTGACGAAGAGCCGGGGGAGGTGGGGCCTGTGACAGATACGGGTTCATACGCGGGTATCCTTGTTGAGAAGAACTCAATGACACTGATGACAAAGAGGACTGTGAAGAGTGTGAGAATCCGGTTGAGCGATGATTGGACATGGCAGATGCGCTCATGAAAGATCGCTGGCGATCATCGTAGACGTCCTCTGGGCTAATTGGTCGGACAAAGGCATTGGACATGGCACTGTTGCAGCGTGGTGGCTCCAAAATATGGCTGTGACGCTCCTTTGACTCGACGGTCAATGCACGCATGCGGGGAGGCGCGTTGCGGGGAGGAAGCATCTTGCTGTTGAGGGTGCTAGATGAGTAGGTGCCAGGACCAGTACGACGTTCAGGGGAGTTGTTTCCATGAGGCATGTTGCTCAAGGGAGCTCGTGCTGGAAGCTTGGAAGGAGAGGTAGCTCCAGACCTAGATCCAGAGTACCCGATTGTGTTGTGCTTCACAGCCACAGGACGACTTCCATTGGGAGTCTTGGTAGCGGAGCGAGGGGGAGGAGGACCACGCATGGAGCTTCCAGGTCGCGGTGGTTGCTGCTGCTGGCGGACTGCACTAGCATTGGTTTTGATGGTGGAAGGAGGAGCGGATGGTGTCTTCGAACGAGGCGGGGCCCTTGTGACAGTACGAGTTAAGTTATCAAGGTAACGTTCGCCGTGAACCAGGAAAGGCCGGCCAAACTCGTCCTCCCAATGCTCAAGCTCTTTGCGAAGGTCCGCCTCGAGCTTAGGCAAATCCTTTGTAATGCGCTTTCGCATCTTCTCCTCTCTCAGAAGCTTGCCGGGGTCGCGCTTCTGGCCCGTGGTTCCGCGGGCCATCAAACGAGAAGCATCCTGGCTGGATGACGACAAAGCCTCACGGTCTGCCAGCAGGCCGCGGTGTCTTTCAATCATTTCCAAGGTAGGGGCACGTTGCTCTTTGAGGTGCTCCAGGCGCTGGATCTCGCCCTCGTGAGCCTCCAGCAGAGCATCACTGAACACATCGGAGAAAGCCGGGGTAAAGTCGAGCATCTCCTCTTCTGAGAAAAAGAGGCTATCCCACAGCTCCTGCAAGCGAACTCGTGCATCCTCGACAAATAGATGCATGTTCTGTCTCTTGAGCTCGTTGAGGCGGTGCAGTTCCTCTTCATATTCGTTAATAGTTCGCATGCCACAGCCACGATTGGCGGCCAAGAAAGCCTTGCGGTCTGACTCCTCAACCCCAAAGCGCTCCCACAGTCCTTCAACCGCGGTTCGAAGCTCCTTAATCTTGCGCTCGCGGTTCTTTTTCTCCTCCATCAGCTTATCGCGCCTAGCCTTTAGGCTGGCAAGGTCACCTTCGTGTAGACCAAGCTGCTCGGGAGATTCGCGGTAGTATTTAACGATATTGGCGTCGGTCTGGACTTGGGGAGTTCCAAGTTCGGCCCACATCTTGATGATCTCCTCACAAGTGTTCTGGACAAAAGAGATGCGGCGGTGATATTCTTCGTAGACGCGACTAAATTCGGAGTCCAGGGATGTAACATAATCGGGCGAAAGGTCGAAGGTCGGGGGGATGGTCGAGCCTGGCGCAGTGGGAGGAAGTTCAACGATAAGGAATGAGGCCTCTAGGTGAGAAGAATAGGACTCAAGCGCTTCGACAAGTTCTATCGGAAGTCAGCATATAATAGACTTCGTAGGACAACCGATGTAGACTTACTCTTGACCTGCTCAAAACGCTCGCGATGCAGCTTGGTCAAGCCTTCGCACTTCTCGCGCAGGAATGCGATACACCGGTTGAGCGGGTACGTGATGCGAACGTCGTCGCGATTCAGCTCATACCGTCCATTGGCTTTCTCATCACCAAGAGAAACTTCTATTTGTTGAATTGTCGTAATTAGGCGCTGGGCCTCTTGTGTCATTTGCTCCTTTTCCCTGCAGTCCATGTTAGTGACAGTCACAACGCGAAAATTTGAAAGTGATGGAGATAGTCGCGACTTACTCATCGACAAGCTTAAGATGGTTGTTTAAACTTTCCGACAGTGCATTGAATAACTGTACCCCTGATTAGTTTGCGACCAACCATATGCGACTCGCATGGAACTCACTTCTGCTTCGCGAGTCTCGCGCTCATGAGAAGGGACACCGATGTCATCAAAAATCCCATGCAGCTGTTCCACGATAGTGTTGACCTGAGTGGTCAGGTAGCTTGTGTCGACAGCCATTTCTTGACGAGCCCTGGCGGGTAGCAAGAACAAACTTGAATCAAGGAATGTGGTTTAATTCCAACAGCAGGTCGACGACTGCGACGAGGGGATCAAAACACAGAACCCAACGTGTCCCGACACACGGAACCAAACTTGAAAAAACGAAGGTGGATTTTGAGGTGGGATGCGTCAGATGCGAGACATGAAGAAGTGGGTGGGTGTGTTTATGAGGGGGATGGAGAATTAGCCAGAGGGCTGAGTGATAACAGGTTCATTCAAGGAAAGCCCCATTGTTTGGCGCCGATCGTTGTCTGGGCAACAGATTTGCTTTTCAGCTGGTGTGCGCCGCAGCCCGCCGCTGAATCAGCAGCACCCTTCACACCGCCCCTATATTCTGCCCCTCTCTACCCCACCGCTCTTCTCCATACTAGCACTACATCAACCAAGCTGTTTGATTCCCCTCCAAAGACTTTATCGTCACTTTCCCCTCTCACCCCTCGCCTACGACCCATCAAGGACTTTCCAACTATCTACTCTAATAGTCAATCAGCCAATATGCAGGCTGCACAGCAGTCCTGGGGTTTGTACTCCTTACCCGAGATGACAATAGTATCATCAAACTAACGACAAGGGCAACTCCAGAGCTCGAGAATGCAATCAGTGTATTTGATCCCCAACGTGACACACTCTACCAATACGACGAAGCAACACAAAAAGCATTGAACGAAGAACGGCCGTGGGCCAAGGACCCTTACTATTTCAAATATGTCCGAATCTCCGCAGCAGCACTATTGAAAATGGTCATGCACGCTCGGTCCGGTGGATCCCTCGAAGTGATGGGTCTAATGCAAGGCTACATCCTCCCAGAAACCTTCGTGGTGACAGACGCATTCCGACTTCCCGTCGAGGGCACAGAGACCCGCGTCAACGCGCAGGATGAGGCGAACGAATACATGGTGTCCTACCTTCAGGCATGCCGAGATGCGGGCCGGAAAGATAACGCCGTTGGCTGGTACCACAGTCACCCGGGGTACGGATGCTGGCTCTCGGGCATTGATGTGGCAACACAGCAGACGCAGCAAATGTCGGGGCCGTTTGTGGCTGTCGTTATCGATCCCGACCGCACGATTTCAGCGGGTAAGGTGGAGATCGGATCATTCAGGACTTTCCCGCTGGACTTTACGCCTGCCAAGGAACCGCATGAGGATGATGAGTTTCAGACTATTCCTGTTGGCAAGGCGGAGGATTTTGGAACTCATGCGAATCGGTACTATTCGCTTGAGACGACACATTTCAAGAGTTCGCTTGATTCAGATATTCTCTCGTTGCTTTGGAATAAGTATTGGGTTTCTACATTGAGTCAAAGCCCATTGTTTGCTTCTCGGGACTTCGGTAGTAAGCAGATGATGGATCTCGGTGATAAAGCGCGCAAGGTTTCGAAGCAAATTGAGCATTCTGGCTCGCGTCCTGGTGGGTCTACGCTTCAGGATCAGCAGCTTGATAAGGTTGTACGAGGCGGCCAAAGGGTCGTATCAGAAGAAGTCAAGGGTCTCATGGCATCTGAGGTTAAGATGAAGCTCTTCCAGAATATTGGAGAGCAGCCGACCCAAGCATCCTAAGTCCCATGACGGGTAGACGGTGCCTCCGTTAAATACTTCTCGCTACGACTGTCACGCTTTCTTTCATATTTGCATTCAGCTACAGATTTGGACTGGTGTCTTTGGCGCTGGGTGGGTCAATTTTCATACTTTTGGGTGTTGAGCGTCTTCTAGTAAATCAACGAACTATGCCAGGCATTAGTATCTAGGTCAAGCACCTGGCCAGCTAGTGTGTATTCAATTAAGTTCCATGTACTTGTACTACTCTGAAGTAATTTCTGGAAGAAACCTGGGGGTAACGAAACTAATACAAAATGCACAAGGTCTCTCATTTTTTACACCTGAAATTGGCCTGGGATTCTCGAACGTCCTAGCATACGAAGTTGTTCTAGCTTCTGGGGAGATAGTTACGGCTACACCCTCGTCCCATTCCGATCTTTGGCGGGCTCTGAAGAGCGGCTCGAATAATTGCTGTGTCGTCACGCGCTCTATACTACGCTTCTTTCCATCCACTGATATATGGTTTGGGTTCACGCATGCTCCAGGCTCTCGGTCAAAAAAAGCACTGCACTGCTTGCTGTCCACGAGGGTTCAAAACGTGCGGATCCCAATATCAGTGGTGCAGATGTAGATCTACACGCCGCAGGAGCCATTACCTGCTTTACCTATGTTCAAGCCATAGAAATCTGGGTTGTTACAGCCTATCACATCTCTAAACCCCATCAGATCCTTACCCGAAAGCTTAACAGACGGCGCGTCCCGGTGCGGGGCCTTTCGGATACCAACATTAATACTCGCCTCAAGGTTAGGGAATCGAGTTTCAGCTGTTACAATACAACATTTGAATACCATTTTGGCCCCAAAATAGTTCAATGTTGGGGCTGAAATGGTATTTTACAGTATCCTTTTGCTTTCCCTGCGCTTCTCGAGAGATAGCTCAGTTGCTTGACTCTCATTTCAGTCTATACATATCTCCAAAATTTCACACTCGTTATGAATATGTTTCCCAATCCCTTACTGTCCGCAGCTGTTCAAACGGCTTTGGTGGTGGGCGCTCTCGGGTACACGTCGGCCCAATCCCCGCTAAGAAAAGGTATCCTCGGGTTGGTAGCCTTTTGCAGTTGGGATTGCCTCAACTCTTCGTTGGGGGTTTGTGTGAGACTTCCATGAACCAGTCTCGTGGCAGGGTACTCTGGTCTATTGTTATTTCATTATATCGATGTCGGTCTCCTGAGCGGATGGGAGTTCAACTCCACACGCACTGCCATATCCTCTGTCAATGCACCCGGGAAAGCGCCATTGAAACAAAAAGATACCTGGTGGAATCGCTTGTCGTTTGGAGTTTGGGCTTCATCTAATATGCGGTGCCTTGGAACTGCCGACCAGGTGAAAAATGTGCCTCGATTCTCTAATGACGATCCCGACAATGTCCCATCCCGAGCTGCCTTCCTTCGTCGCACTGCTCGAATCGCGCTTTTGAGTTACATCGGTCTTGATTTTCTCGGCTCTATGAATGATCCGAAAGTTGGAAATCGCTTCTTGGTTCCTTCTCGCGTGCCAGTTTTCAGCCGACTAGGTGAATTCACGCTGGAAGAGGCTGTGATTAGATCTTTCAGTACCTTTGCGATGGGTTTAGGACTTGTCTGCAGTCAGGGCGGTATACATAGCATTTTTGGCTTCATCAGTGTCCTGACTGGGATGAGTGAGCCGTCTGAGTGGCCTCCATTCTACGGGTCTCCATCCGATGCGTATAGCCTCCGACGTCTCTGGAAGTAAATCGCTCGGTTCCAATTGAGAGTGTATGTAACAGCTAACTAAAAGCACATGCTCTAGTCGCACGTGGCACCAGTGCAACGCACATAAACTCCGTCGCATATCCTCTTACATTGTACAAAATATCCTTCGACTCGATTCAGAGGGCCCGGTAGCCTCTTACCCGCATATCGTGTTTGTCTTTCTGATTTCTGCTTTGATGCATTATCTGATCGATCTCTCGATCGGCCTTTCACTATCGATCTCGGGCGCTGTTCCATTCTTCTGCGCTCAAGCTTTAGGAGTCTTGATTGAAGATCTGGTCCGCTATACATGTCGCTCTGTTGGCAATGTCTCGCCTGATCAGCCGATCACAAAAGGCCAGAAAATTCTTGGACATATCTGGGTGGGTGCTTTCCTGGTTTGGTCATTGCCGGCTTATGTTTATCCAATGCTGCATCGAGGAAACTTGGGACTCAATGACTCTGTTATCCCGGTCAGCATTATCGGAATTTTGAAGAACCTATTCATAAGTGCCCAGTAAGCCGCATACAGGTGGCATTTGCTGCGACAATAGCAAGATTGCAAATGCTTATCCTCCTTCAAATGTCAAATTAGCTACAAATTTGTAAAAGATGGATTTGACAGGCCCTGGGATATGCTGTTATTGATCTTTGTCTTCGTCTCGAATATATTGATCCTCTTCGCAATGAGATCAAGCAAGCGAGGCTTGCTGGAGATCAGCTCGGTCCAAACTATGATCAAATGTCTTTACTCAATGGTAAATGTTCAAAGGGTTTCAAACACCCCTGGTGTCCGTAAGTAGAGGACTTTGGTTGTACGGCGGCATCTAGCGACTACTCGGGTGACAATACATGTTGCACCCACTCACGAGCAGAAATCTTTACCAGCTATGAAGCTCCCCTGAGCCTGGGCTTACATGAGGCTCAGTGGATCAGTGGGGAGCCGTGCTCAGTTCTACTCAGTGAGGAAAAGCGGCGAGAATGTGACTAATCCGGAAAGGGCAACCAAAAATCGCCAGAAATCCAGTAGGTAAAGTTGGAAATCACACAGGAAATCCCTCTGTTGTCTCTAATATACTGCGCATCTCCTATACAACCAATGGCACTACCAGGTAACAGCTTCATGGTAGAGCCACTTGAAAGTTTAATGACAAATACGTGCTCTGCAGGGGTTAGTCGTGCATGTGATCTATCAGTCGTGGATCTATCCTAGTAAGCCGTGGGAATTTGAGGAAATCCCGACCAAGTTTAAAAGCCACCTGTATAGTCAGTATCCCGTCCCTTTACATCACGAAATCCAGGCTTCTCAACTATTCAAAGTTAGGTAGCGGTCTGAGACCAGCTCGGGCGCTTATATTGACATCGGGTACTGAGTATATTTGAAAAGTAGTTATTCAACCAATAAATACACAGAATTGAGCCAAGAGCCATGAGCCATACAATAGGCTCTTGCTCGTAAGAAAAATTGGACTTGCCAAAAAGCTCTCAATTGACAAGAGCTTGGGTCAAAAGGGTCGTGACACATCATTATAGAAGACGGCATCAAGGCATTATCCTTTCCAAAGGTCTCGGTTTCACATCATCCCACCTCAACCCCACGATAACGGAAAGGGAATGTAAGAGAAGGTGTTAACAAGAAGGCCAAAATATACACACCATATGGCCAATATGTGCGACAATGAAGTACATGTAAATGAAGATTTTGAAAAAAACCTTCCTTTACAATACTGTAAAGTGCAAAAAGAAACAACCGGTGAAATCCCCCCAAAAATTCTATGCCAAACAAAGAGGTATATAGATCGAAGAAGAAGAAAATCGAAAGCGAAAGCACATGGTTCGGGCAAGCGGCAAGATGCATGCGAGGTTGATGTTTGCGGCGATCGGATCATTGATATTCGTCATAGACCGGGTTATTACCCCACAAGGTCGTGGGGTATATCGAAAGAGATTCGTCCCAGTGTCGGTGAACTAGGCTTGCATACCTATGCAGGAGCTTGTGCAGCGGCTAGGTCCATGGTCGCATGATTCGGACATGTCCGAAAACGTACTTGCTAGCCCCTGTTAATCGCCCAATAGTGAAACACTTGCCCTGCGGGAGTCGACGACGATCGGGTATCGCGTTGATTTGATTGGAGCGCTGTTGAAAGTGGCGAAAATTGGGGCATATGTAGCCCTCGATTGGCCACGGCCACCTGCAGGTGTAGCTTGACAGGGGTCACCGCCACAACTACAGGAAACCTGACTCAGATAGCAATCTACGAGTTAAAGTCAAAAGCGGTTAGTTTCGACGCTCAAAACAGGTTTGAAATGCCACTCTCGTCACCGGAAAAATGAACCGGAAATTTGAGATCAAATTTGGGTATCGCCGAAAAGTGCCAAACACCACATCCCAGGGGGAAAGAGGAAATAAAAAAGCAAATAAATTGAAACATGATTATCGCAACAAGGCGACGGTACTTGCAAAAAGCATGGTGTTGGACTTATTGCTAGAAGAATCAGCATACCTTGCAATCTTCTCGTCTTCACGCTCACGAGGCTCGATTTCAAGACTCCGGTCGTACATGTCGTGAACATCACCGGCGGCTTGTAGATTACTGAGAATATAATCCTGTAGTTCGGGAACTGGCGAGAGGAGATAAGGCACATTCTGATATTGCTGAATGTCCCGAATAACTTCAGCAGTCTTGGCCCGTTTGTTGAAGTTGATCAGTTCTGATGGTGTCAGAGAAGGAATACCATCTTCAATAAATGTCAAATCCGTCAAGTATACACCTAGAACAGTGTAAGTTACAGTTTCGGATATATAGAAAGGGAATAATACACCAGATAGTGTATCAAGGTGTATACCATACCGAAGAAAGGGATACAGGGAGGGTTAGCGAGATGTAAGGATTCACGATACTCGCCAAAGTTCTTTGTACTGGCCATCAATCGACGCATCTGCTCCAAAATCGCAGAAGTGCGGCCGCTGACTTGGCCCCATGTGCGGCCCAGCCGATGAATAGGGGCAGTTCCAAGAGCGGAGATGATAGATGTAAGGGTAGAGTAGTTGTTGAGTGAGCGACATTTATCAGCGACATTGACGAAATGTTTAATGACGACCACGCGCTTCTTGACATCGCCTTGTGTCAAGATCATTTCGGCAACCCAGTTTGTCAGCTGGTTAGAGTGAAGAATCAAAGCCTTGACATTGGAAGCTGGCTCTGGCTCATCCGGGCCGACCTTCTTCTGCCAGGTCTTATTCAAGCACTCTGTAGGCCGGATCTTGGAGTAAAGGCGAGACTCAATGATAGTCAACTGTCGAGCAAATTCGGTAGGGTCGATATCGAGGAACTTGAGCTTCTTCATGTTCTTCGGGATGATGGATGCTGGGGCGGCAACATTCTGAGTTGGGACGAGACGCTTCACAGTTGTGTCCTGACCGCGAAGTCGCTGTTCAATAACAGCAAGAAGAGTGGGGCAACCCGGAGTCTTTGTTGTGGCTATAGAGTCCTTGGTGAACGCATGGACACGTCGCAAGAGATCCATGTTCACTTCATCGTTGGGCTCCATCCAGAAGTTGTCAAACCAACTTTTAAGGATATTCACGACTCTGAATCTGATCGGCTTTTGTTTGCGATCACCCCACATTTGCATGTCATCAGCATTCAAGCCAAATGGAGGCTGAATGTTAAATCGTTGTACAATCAGTTCGAAAAGTTCAGAGGCTGTGGTAAAGGAGCGGTAGGTGAGGAGGAAGGTGTTATTGAAGGAAGCATCAAGCTTATCATGGCGTGTGAGGTGCTCAACCAAGCCGGACAATGTTCCACATTTGAGAATGGGAGAATCTCCCTTGGTATCGTAAAACACTTCGCCTTCATGATCCATTTTCAAGAACCACGGTGTCTCTTCGGGTTCTCTTACGGGCTCCCGCTGAACCGGTTCACGTGTGACAGTGGTAGGTGGTGCTTGTCCAAAGAATCTCTGAGCCTTGTCCATATTGCGTCGCACCTTTCCAGGTTCCTTGCCGGGGGTGTATGACGATGGGATACCGATAGACTCCGAAGAGATATTGGCTTTAGATTCGCTGCGACTGTGGGTGGTCTTGTTAAGCGACTCATCTTCTTCCTCCAGGCGACTATCGACTCGGGTAACGGACGATTGATCATCTGGAATCTGTTCAAGAAGCAAAGATAATGAAAACCCAATCTGAGACACATAGTTTTCCACTTGCTTGGCCACACTCCGTACAGCAGTCATTCGGTCGTCAAGAGAGTCACCTCGAAGCTCGGCCCACTCATCAGGCAGAGGGGAAGAAACTGCTTGACAACTCAAGATGAAGTCACCAATGCCATCATAAACCCGTTGCTTCTGCAAGCTGAAATCCACAAGTTGGGGATTCTGAAAGCTGGTGCCAAGGGGAACGAGATTGATCGACTCGACAGTTGCAATCCAGGGACGGAACTGCTCCACGACCTTGATTGCAGCCGCGGAAACAGCATCTGCGAGTTCTGTATGTTCAGTGACAGTGACGATCTTTTGGCTCAACATTAACCGCTCCTCCAGTCGACGAATGCAACCCACAAACGATCTCCTAAGGACATCAATGTGATCCAAAAGAGCAGAATCCAGGGACACCGAAGGCTCGTTTCGATAATCACTATTTTCCGGAACAAGGAACGATGTGGGTCCGGCTGCATTCAAAGAAACTCCATTGTTTCGCCAACTGCCACCGCAAGAGCTACCACTGACGAAGCCAGGAAGAATTCTGGGAATGTTGTCTCCGCACTGCTGGCGGGCAACATCAACATAGCCGTACACTCCTTGCATGACACCATCGGCCTCTTGGAGGCACTTGTTGACTGAATCGGAGCCAGGCCAGTCGGCAGCGGCAATATGCGATGAAAGAACCAACTTCGAGAATTTCGACATCATGTCACGGAAGTAAGGATAAAGAGCCTTATTAGTGGAAATGATGGAGGGGTTTCCCGAATGGTTATCAGTGGTATCCGAACCAGCGGCTAAAAGCATGCGCAGATGATCAGAGATGTCCTCGGCCTTTCTTACATACTCTGACCGTTCACCGGAAAGAAGAGTCTGGCGATAAGCCTCAACGGCAAACCGCATGTTATCCACCAGCGTGGGCCAGGCCACGGGCGGGATGAAGCCATCATCTACAAAGTGCAAAGGTGTGTTGGAGGAAATGGAAGGTCGCGAGATAATTTCGGCCACGGAGGTGTTGGTGCTGGTGCCTCCAGCGCTGCTGAATGATGGCTGGGGACTCCTTTTCATCGGTGGAATTTTGAAATCCTTTGGCCCGGGTGGATATAATGAATCCATGGAAGTGGCAGGTGAGACCCCGTCCACCAAAGACTGACGACGACGAGACATGGAGTCATGCGAAGTCAGCATCAGCGACTCCCCTTCAGCCTCCGAAGCGGAGCCGTCATACTCATCCTCGTCTCTCTCGAATCCACGCGCCATCAGCTCAGGGGGCGGCCGGGTCTGATCAGGGACGAAAAAGTTGGTTCGATCTCGAGGGCCATTTTCATTCGCAGCGGTGGGGTTTTCAAAGGGCAGCTCCATGGTCGAGTATCCCGTGAGAGTATTGAAGTAGAAGAGGCGGCCATCTGGTGTGGCCTGCGGGATCCAAAATGCGGCCTCCTCTTGCTCCTGTTGCCCCGGAACACCCTCGATCGGTAGAATCATGGGTTCTGAGTCGCGTGGGTTGCCCTCCGAGTCCAGCTCGTCATCCTCGTCGTTTCCATTATCATATTCTTCCTCGGGTCCTGATTCGGCGCTCATGTCCTCCTCTTCATTTCCATGTAACATGTGCTCCCCAAAATCTTCCGCCTCTGTGATGATGGTACAGTAGTTACTTGGGAACCAACCACGAACATTATCAATGACACCATCCCACCATCCAGTGTCCAGCTGGTTGAGTACCTGAATGATGTCGCCGCGGCGAAAGCTCAAACTTGTGTGGTCATCGGCATCGTAATCGTACATGGCCCGCACGAACAGTGCCGGCGGCTCGGGACTGACCGCATATCCGGTGGCCATTTTCAGGGGGGATTGAGGCAAACGGTCGGAGTGCTGCGAGATGCTGGTGCCCCGGCCGCGGTGTCGGGAGGCAGCTGTGGGGGTGGTGACCTGTTCGTCGGTGTACTCGAAAGCGGTCGCAAAGGCCCCGGCTTTGGAAACCAGCGCAGAGTCCACGGCTAGGTCCACTGCGCGGTATTCGTACATAAGGAAGTCTCAACTGGGGAAAGTCGAAGCCGTCAGACCCGGTCAGGACCGTACTTTTGGCTTATATGTCTTCTCTCACTGTCTCACAGTTCCGGGAGGCTCATGGCTGAAATTGGTGTGCTTGTTGGGAGGGGGCGGGTGGGTAATTTTTGCAGCCCACTTTCCGGGGTTAGGGAGAAGATGACTGTGTTTCGAGGGCTCACGGATGACGGTACAACCACAATAATAACCACCAGCACTCTAGATCGGATTCAAGACATGAAGGGGGGAAGTGTCAGGAGGCTCGTAATTATGACTGAGAGAGTGGGAGAATCAAGGAGTGGAGGCGGGACGGATAAGGCGTCTACTCCGTTGAGAGCAACATTTGCAGTCAAGTCTCTCTCTCTTCATCCGTACGAGAGTACTACGATGTTGGTATCTTGCCGCGGTGTATTATTGGTATCGTTACCGTTTGGCAAAGAGTCCGGAATACGGCAAAACCTTGAATTTCTGTAATAAAACCCCCTGTAACCTTCAAGTCTCGCTCTCGCTTTCTCAATATGCATTCTATGCAATCTGACATCTATACATCTTGGTTTCTATTTACTTCTTATGGCTTATCCAAAATCATTCCAGGGTTCTTTTCTATCCTGAATTCTCTGGGGAACTTGTTATCTTGTCTCATGGGTATCACAGCAACAGTCCGCTTACCAGCGTCTGAGCACCCGGCTCCATAACACTCCATCGACCCGACAGCCTTTGGATCTACCGTGGCACGTTCACGCGCTATGGTCTCAAGCAAGCCCTAAGGGGGGGGAACAAATCCACTATTGTATTGTTTTGATTACTCCATTACTATCTGGCCCCTCAAATCGCCAACCGCGTCTCTAAAAACAACCTGGTAGGACATGATTATTATCTTAACGGTGTGACAGCCTCTTTGCCCCGTTACCGTCACATCCACGCGACTGATGAGGGGCAAATGGGTCAGGAAGAGGCAACGAAAAAAAAAAAAAAAAAAAAAAAGGCAAAACAAAATAAAATAAAATAAACTAGAGGTGCAAGATGCAGGATAAAAATAAATCTGCAATAAAACCCGGTATCCATCTCTCTTCGTCATGCCATTTTTGCCCTATGACAACTCCCAGAGAGACAGGAGATCCAGACCAAAGCGTGTTACGCCGGCTTTCGTTTCGTGAAAAGTGCGCCCATGTGGATCGGCCGCGGCTCGCGCTGATTTGACACCTTGGTGGGTTTTCCAGTGAACTCTGAGCTTCATCTTCCATTGATCCAATCGGAATTCCCACCCTTGCTACATACATACATTATATACGTATGCCGGTACGGAGTACCTGTATGGGATGTTTGCTTTTCCATATTCTCGTCATCCAGGGGTCCTGGTAATTGGGATACGATGAAAAACCAAAACCAAAAAGATCCGCGGAACTATCAGATTCAAAGGAAACTGATAAGCGCGAAGACAAGTAGAATGACAGGAAGAAGGGGGAAAACAGTCAAAGCAAGGGGGAAAAAAGGTAAAATTTCCCCTCAGGTGTCATATCAATAATTGTTGGACCAGCAGGTGAACGCCATTTACACGACATTAATCTATCACACCTTGTCCTCCAGGACAATATCCAACCAAGCTAGATAAGCAACGTCGGAGAAATCATGACAGCTTTGTTTTTGTTTTTTTTTTCTCTTTCTTTCCATCTATATGATGCTCGGGGGATATGATCAAATCGACCCCATCCCCCGTGGAAAATAAAACTCAACGGTTGGCTTTCTTACTGCGCGACCCCACTAAGCCACACCAAGCTACACAGGAACCAACAAGTTCCAGAACCTTTCTAGAAGGTCGAACCCATATTAAATATATTAAATTGATGTGGCTGGCATAGCTTCCGCCGAAGTCCGAAGCTCAAAGTCAACTTGGAATCACTGTGTTGTCCCTGGTTCCTTTGTTGATGGTGGCTGCATAACAGAAATTAATCCACGCGGCAATAAACACATGGCGTGCAATTGACTTTGGGTGATAGCAAGTACGGAATAATTACTCCGTACAAGGATTCGGTATTATCCTTCCACAGCCTCATTGGACCCCTGGTCTGTTGGGGGTTAGGGGAAGTTACCTCATGCAGGAGACCGGGGCCTGCCATAACTAGTTAACTATGGGCAGATGCCGAGTTGGTAATCAAGTCCGAATCCACGTCATCGCGACAATGGGGTAGATTACCTAGTATAGTATGTAAGTTGGTATTCATTGCCTCACTTTGAACCATTGAAATGATCGTTATTTGGGGTCAGTTCACTAGTCCGAAGATCGGATATTCAATACCAAGACTGGGAACGATGGAATATCTAAATCTTAAGCCCAAAGTCCGGCTAAACCTTGAACAACTAAGTTTCCCTTCAAGTGCTGACACAAGTAGTATTTCCAAGTATAAGCTTGGAAACCTTCAATCTGGGGACTTCTCAAAAACCTGAATTGACTTTATAAGTTGGAGTTAATCGCACCCGCACGTTTCATGTCTCACATGCGAGTATTCATAACCTACTTCGGGTGGACTTCGACTAGGCTTCCAAACCCCACATACCAATAATCACTCGTGTCTTTTACGCAATTTTCCATCTCCCGTCGGCAATTCCTGCCATGTGGCAGTCTAGTCTTATATTCCCTGTCAAGGATACAATATATTCAAAACAATTGGTCATCGTCCTCAAGCTGGGCGCAATAAAGTGCGCCGAGAACCGATCAGCTGGGAATTTTTTCCGCGCCGTTTTATTCTCACGGCAGGTGTAGGTGGTAGGTATATGTAGTAGGGGAATTGTACGAAGTAGATATCAAATATACATATGTAGGTATGTACGGAATCATACTTTGTACTACGCTGTACATTGTATTTTCTCGGGGCTTGCCCGCTGGGAATCCAAGAAAGTTCAATGAATCCTTGATTTCCCAGTCTAGTGGAGTGAACACGCACATTGTCCTCGGCGATGGTTCCTGTAGATCAGAGTAGATCAGTTTGGTTGCGGGGTCGGGGCGCTTCCATGTGATAGTAAACTGGGAATGTAGTTTGGTTTCATAGAACGTTGAATTGAGTCTAGACTGGTGCTTTGATACTCTCAAACTTGAGTAGTTTCAACGCACGTATGCAACTGAATATTCGATCAATTCTTCTTTTCGGCACGTTTTGCCAGTGGGCAAGATCATTGATCATATCATTATAAGCACTAGTTTTGCACCATTGCGCTATAATTATGGGTTTGCAGATGACCACGTGGCCATTGATCGCCGAATCAATATAATTTCCATTACGTAGATTTTCAACCTGAATAATGTGTCCCAATGATATCCTGACGAAAGTTACCGAGGGAGTATTCCAAAACTTCCAGAAACCCTGCTAAACATTGAATGCTCAAGTGCTAGTGAATACATAATATTTCTTCCACTTGAGCATTTGAGGGCTCGATTAATGCCCTCACATGTCAACGAATAATATACCTATTCTACATCTATACCTTGGGACCTTCAAACATTTCAATGCTGCAAGGCTATGTACCACTCTGTAAATATCCGTGGGTAGTATACACCTCCAGATATCCAGGCATGTTATCAAGTTCAAACATCTGGAGTTCCAACATTCGAAGGTCAGCGCCAACCGTGGTTGGAAGGCTTACATATGTATATATTTGCATCATCGATATGTACCTACTGCACATGTGTCTAGCTATGTATGCATCTGTATATATGTACGGATCAACTCCATCCACGCGAAAATATGACTTATATCGAATAAATAGGTGCCATTGTTATGGGAATATAAGATTCTAGACATCTGGACGGGCCATCAAAAATTGGAACCTTCAAATGTTGAACCTTTCCAAGAAACCTCGGTGGTTGGAAGAGTATTTAAATAACCTTGGAGCTTAAACATTGAATGTTTTAAGGAATTGATGTTCAAAGTTCTAATTGAATGGGCATTTGGAAGTTGATGTTCCACAATCCATTGCTGGCAACATCTGAAAGGGGACACATACTAGTTGACACATGTGCATGTATTGAAAGGGTCAACTGGTGCACATGTGGGTGCACATGTGGACATATCAATACATACTAGTATATTCAAGTGCTTCAAACATTGAATGTATAATGTTGGAACGCTGGAGGTGTCAACTGGTATATTGATCTTACTTGAGTGCTATGTATACACATTAATTCCTACCAGTACCTACTATGTACCTACAACATATATTCAAACTCTACCTGCCTACTAGGTACGAAAATTTGAATGTGTCTAGCGCGGAGCACTGAATAGTTCAATGTGACATCTGGACATACATGTATATGTATGTATATAAAACGGATGGATTGGATGCCTTTTTTTTCTCAGGTTGAATTCTTAGAAATTCGCAAGCAGCGATCTGAAATTCTTTAAGGATATACTGTAGTAGGGAAGTTTAAGATGTCCCCAAGGTTTTGATAAATAAACACTACCTGAAGGTTTGATATGTACACAGTACTCAAGTAGATGAACCACGTACTTTTTCAAGGTTGAAGGTTCCAACCAACATTGAAGTTCAAAGGTCAACCTTAAACCAGCAAAATAGGTCCGTAGCAGCAACAGTCAAAACAAGCTTGAAAGCCAGGTCCATCTCAGCCTGCAATTTATTCAAGCCAAGTCGGGCTCAATCCATTGAAACGGAGTACAATCACCTGAATAATGGCAACCAGAGTCCAACACTTGGATGCCAAGAACAAAGCTCACCCATACCCACCAGAGCAAACGGCAAGAGCTTACCTCGGCCAATTTGCCACCGCAAATCCCCGTCCCTTGTTCCTTGCAGGAGCGGACCTGACGGGAGTCGCAGGAACCCCTCCCTGTGGACGACATCATCAACACCTACCCAACCAGAAGGGTACCGAGTTCCCAAGCGGAGACTTATCCTGCCGCCCGGGGCAGGGGGCATCCAATCGCCGACCACAATTTTAGCCCCTGTTGTATCCAAAATGTCGGGCCCGCCCGATGATCCTGATCATCACTTTCATACCCCCTTTCCAGGTTTCATAGCGACCATCAATTTTTTTTCCCACCTCCCCCACCCGCGCAAAGATACCCAGAGCGACAGTGTCGTTCGCAAATCCGACTGGAGACTCGCAATGAACTTTTGCATTATTGCCCCTCCTCCTTAACACCCCCCTCCTCTCTTTCTGCAGTGCGGATATGTCGCACGGAGAACCACTTCAACGGTGATCCCGCTCCACTCACACGCGTGGAGGAAGAGGAAGAGCTTCCACCAAGCCCGTTGCATTCGATAGATCATTCGTTACACCGTGAATTGTGGTGGAGCTGCCGGTACGCTATCGTCAGAAGCAAGTCTAGCTCCGCGCTTTGAACCTTGTCTGGGAAGTAAGCTTGCCGGGGCTCCGTTTTCTTTTCCCACTTCCAAGGACTAGCGAGTGTTCCACCCCTTCGAGAAAATTCCGAAGCACATCGACGCGGGGCGTAGGGAAATGAGGTTTCTAATTCAATATCCGTAGTACTCCGTACTTGCCACTTGGATTATTGGAACGTCCTACGGAGTACTTATTGTTGGATGAAATGTGTAACAAGGGAGATTGATTATCTTGATTATCTTGATTCTCACTTCATATGCATCCCCTGCATCGGACTAAGTGCACTAAAAGCCAAACCCTGGAATTGGGAGATAATGACGGTGAAGGATTGCCACGTACACGCACGGCAGCTGCAACTGCAGCCCTGTGTCGGTCTGGACTTTTCGGAGTCTATACCCTACGTAGACTCCGCTTGGTGGTTTGCAGTGATATCAGAAGTGGAAGCGAACGTGTGATTTGGTTTCATCGATCCTCCCGCGGTGGTGAACCATGGGCCGGGTCTACTTCCCCGGGACCCTCATTTCCTTTCCAAGGAATGATCGCATTTGAGCTATTCGTTAATATTGATGATGTGATGAAATATTGCGAATCCCATGATGCTCTACTCAACCAATATTTGAATTAGCAGGCCGCGATAAGCTCCTTCAAAAATATCAATACTCCATTCTTTCTTCTCCTTACCCCAGTGTGGCAAATTAAAGAAGGATGAACGGCGCTCAATGGTTGCTAGCGGGGACTATCTGAATACAGTAGTTAACTGCCGGAAGCAATGCAAAGCAAACCCTTGTAAAAACAATAAACGGATTCTCATCCTTGTTCTAGCCTACTGCCGTACTCCAATTCAATTTTTCCTGATTGTGTGCCGAGTCCAGACCCTCGTTCCTCGGGACGGGACATACTGTACTAACGAACGGATAAGCGGACTGACGAAATCCTTTGAGAGCGTTAGGTTTATGTTTACGGAGTATGGATATGTAGGTTAACACACACCACGGAAATACGTAAACCGAGACAGCTCAACTAGGCAGGCGTAATCGGATTCGGCTTCATTTCCTTTGAGATGGCCCTGAGAAACCAAATCAGAAGGGAGCACGAAAACCCACTCACACCAAAGCTAGTGGAACCCACTCCATCATCTCGGAGGTGTTGCTTCCCAGGGCACCGGGAAAATCGGGGGAAGTTTCAACGCCCCATCCTTAGCGAAAGTGTAAAGGGATAAAAGAGAGAAAAAAAGAAGAAAAAAAAAAAAAAAAAAAAGCTAGCGCGCACAAGGGAGATGAAATCCAAAATCCAAAATTCAAATCCAAAATCAATATTCAGCCGAAAACCCGACGAAAAAGAACCATAATCAAGGTGGGACCTGCATCTGCATCTCGAATCCTAGACAAGCCATGTGTGACGAAGCGGTGAGGTCAATTGAAGCGAAAGCGCTCTGCAAGTATAGTTGGGAATAGCGACATGCACGACGAGGTCTCACCGACATCTTCGGCAACGGCTTAGGCGTAGGCCAAACGGGGCTAGAAGTTGCTAGCGAGGAAGAATCAGAAATTCCAGACCGTCCTGGCGTGGGCGGGGCGCGCGACCAGCAGACCCAGTTGAGAGTCCACTTTGGCTGCCCCCACTTCGTTCACTCCCTTTGGAGTTGTCGGGACGATGGGCCCCCAATCGACCAGGCGCGGGCTGCCGGAAGTCATTAGTTCAGGGGCCGGCGCCGGGGAAGATGGTCCTTAGATTCCTGATGTAACTTTTGTTGTATGTGGAGCTGGCTTGAGTCGTTAGCTCGATACAGATAGACTGCCCTTTTTTTTTCGTCTTTGGACTCCGTATGGAGACGAATTCCAGGGTAGGTTTGGTATAGGGTGAATTCACGAGGTCAAAGTGTTGTTGATTCCGATCCCTCTGTAGATCTATTGTTCGGTTGAGGATGTTGCATGGCCTGAGTTCTAATACCTAGTGTTTTTGCGTTTGTTTACTATGTAGGGAGTGCGGAGAGATTCATCTCTACTGCCATGTAACTTGGTGCAAGATTGTGAATTCTAATCCTATGATCTCGGAGTCGGGCCTCAATCTAAACTCCAATTCAACGAGTCAGTTTTACTTCAAGGATTGGAATGTCAGATTTTTTAGGAGTTTGGGCGTTAAGCCAAGGGATTGAGAATGGTGGATCATCAACTGGTTTCTCTTTGTTCTGAGTAGACAAAAGTACGCAGAAAAACCCACCAATTCCTGGCGGTCAAGTCACCGCTTCAATCTGCACTTCGTCATCTTCTCTCTCCCCCTTGGTTCCTGCTTGGGTCGAGAACGTTGAAACTGGGTCGGACCGCTGCATCGGGAAGTGGATCGGACCATTATTGAAATTCCTTTGGTCAAATCAAGGGCTTTTACAGACTTCATTTGCTCTCCCTTTCTATCCCTGCTAAAGTTTACCCTGCGCAGTCAACCCGCTCTCCGCCACTCTGCACTCTGCTCAGCTGATGTGAGTAGCGGCTTGGGAGAACGTTCGCTGATGCTTCGATGATCATCCGGAAACTCCGATCAATTCCCATGTTTAAGGGACAGCTGCAGATGGCTGTATAAAACGTACTTTTGACAGAAGAAAAAAAAAGCCTACCTGTACAAAATCCGAAGAAATGTCCTTGTTATCCATCGCAAACATGTTGAAATCGAAATAATTTGATAGGTCAGTGATTCGAGGGGTAAAGGGAGGATCCAACGATGTACATCAGAATAATGTACTCTGTGCTTTCGTACTTTTTTTTTCTGCCTCTTTTGATTTTACCTCTCTTTCCCCCTCGCTGAATAAATAACTGATCTTCCATTGCTGTGCCGTCTTGGGCTGCATCGCGCATCTCCACCCGGTGGAGGGGCGTCGCCAGACGCGTTTCCCAAGTAACCGCGTCGGTCCTCCGCGTCCCAAATCCTAGCGGATCTTCGGGCTTGCCAATGATGCAGTGCCCCACGGAGGGGGAAAGCCGGGAATTCAGGACACGGGTTTTGTGCGGTGTACAAGAGCTAGCCAACTCACTGCGGGTTGACCGTTCATTGAGGTTACCGTGTGTAGTGTACATAGTGGACCCCGAGAAGAGCCCGGCAGGTTGAGCAATGAAATACGATCATGCGCTCGCTAGCGACCGGGCACAGATATCATGATTCAGTTGATGAGTGTAATCCGGTTATACTCCCGTCAGGTCGGCAAAAAGTAGATAGTACAGATTGCATGGATCTTAGCTTAAAACAGTAAGAGTAGATTCTGGATCAGATGATGGTATCCCAACCCAAAGGGCCCGATTAGCATTTTGCTTGCAGATCGCCCTGCAAGTCCGACAGGTGATGTCTGGAGGAGGGATTCGGACACAACGTCGCACAGACATGATCTGATGGTGTCGTACGTCTTCTGCGTCGACGATAGCCTATGACTCGTGATAAAAGTGGCATGTATAACTGCGGGCGGTGCAGGTACGGAGTGACATGTCTCATCTACATATGAATCTGGATTGAAATAGATGTTCCTTTGAAAGGAAAAATCTCCCCTCTTTGTGTTTCCCCTCCAGCGTGGCACAGTTTGGAACCGCCACAAAGCGGGGCGGCTCCGAGATGAGACGGGATCTGGCCCAGTAAGACCTCGTGACAAAAGTACAGGAACATCGATGATCTGTCAATAATTAAAGGGGGTCCATCAATGGTGAGAAAGAGAGGTGTGGCGCATTTGTCAGGTCGAATGGAAAAGTAGAGTACAATTCGTTGATTTTTTGATTTGACCCTTTTTTAGAAAGGCCCCAAAAGGGTAAAGAAAGTCAAATTATGAGACCAGAAAAGAAAAGAAAAACGATCATGGTGGATTGATCGACTTGGCTGCAACTAACCCACGCCCCGCGGATAGACAGGATCCGATCGAGGCTATTCTAGCGCTATGCCGGAGGTCTGGAGGGAGGTCCCCGTAGATAGTACTCCGGCTACGTAGTAACCTTGGAAGTGAACGCATCACTAGTATGTATACAGTTGTTTTGAACAAATCAAAGCTTGGAATCCGGTCAAGTTAAACCTTGTTAATTTGGTAGAAAATGTGAGGAAATTCTATCCAATGCATCCAATACATCCCTGTCTCATTCCCAACCCACCCGATTGCCTCGTCGGAGCTGTGTAACGAGTGATATCTCTCCTACCCGATCAACCGAGCCAATCTTGCCGATCGGAGGGGTTTGGATGACAAGAGGGGTAACGTGGGCATGAACCATGGTTGCGATATCAAAAAGTATCAAGTTTATCAAGTTCAAGTTCAAGTTCAAGTTGCGAATGCAAAGTATTCTAGGGCATCAGTAATGACAGCCATGTTACTTCAGGGCTACCACAATCTACCAGTAATAAGATTGCATTGCTGTGGATGTGCCACGATCGAGACACTAAACCGCCTCACATGCCACATATTTTCCTGGAAACGAAATCCAAACATTTCATACTTTTTTTCATGAATTTGAATTGTACTCCGTTGGTAATAAGCTGAGAATCCCGTATACACATAAATCCTATACTACAGTATTTACTATTTTCCTGAGCGAGGGGCCACTGCATGGCCCACCCTCGAAAACCCTCGCAGCGGACAGCGCTATTCCCACTTTTTTTTTTCTTTCGATCTCCCTTGAATATTGCTTTTTGATTTTTGATTTTTTTTTCTTTTTTTCTTTTTTTTATTTAAATTTTTTTTGGCCTTGGAATTTTTTTTTTTCTTTGATGTGTATCATTTTTTGAATTTTTATTTTTATTTTTATTTGTATAGATCATTCTTTGTCAACCATGTATCCATCTTATACATCAGTGTACACATCTACCCCTCCATATGTATACAAGAACCTTGGAATCGACCCTAAAAAAGAAAGCAAAAGGTAAAAGTAAACGTTCGGCAGGACCGAAATGATGGGTTTCAAAGCAATTTGCGGGCCACATGTAATTCTATTTATTTTATTATTTTGGGATTTAATGGGAAAATTATGAATTTTTGGGATTTTAGGACGATCGGGGTCGAATGAGATTTGCGTTTGAATATTACGACGTGTCGATTTAGTATGGTAAAAAAGGGGGGGCACATCATCCGTCTAGTCCAACTATAGTGCGTGCGTGGGAATAGAGCCAGTCAGGCGTGGCTCGAAAAAGAGGAAGTGATTCCCAGCCCCTCTGATTTCTCGTTTTCCCTTAGTAAAATCATGATTGCCCTATGATTCCCTCTCCTCTGCCCCCCTCTCCCCCCCTCCCAACTCGCACTTTCGCCCCTCGTCGCGCCTCACGCGTAGTAAGCGATGCTTGGGCCCACGTCCCAACTTCCCCCTCCCTTCCATCCCCTCCGTTCCCCCCCCCAAAAGGAAACCCGTTTTCTAAATTCCTCTTCTCTCCTCATCCACACTTTCTTTCCTTCCCCTCCCCCCCCCCCTCCTCCCCCTCCACCTTTCTTCAACACATAACAACCCCTCCTATCGCGGTGCTTTAACGCTCACCCGCCTTTCTTTTCGAGCGTTCTTTTTTATTTGTTTTCGTGGCTGGACACCCACTTTCGCCTTTAACATACCCGCGATTTCCCCCACATAGGAATGATCAGACATCCCAACGAACTTCTGTCGTCGACACGTTTAAGAAACCGGTGCGAGCTCACCCAGGGAATCATAGCACCGATCTCAACTATTCTTATTTAAGACGATTTCGGCTACACAAACACACACATGGCTCCATCAGCTCCCGGGACAGCCAGCAACTCGCCGGCTAAGAAGGCTTCAGCCCCAGAGAAGAAATACAAGTGCCAATTTTGCAATCGCGCATTCAGTCGCAGTGAGCACCGCAGCAGACACGAACGGTCGCGTAAGTTTCTTTTTCTTTTTTCTTCTTCTCTAGGGAGTGAAAATATCAATAGTTGGAATTTCAAGTCTATTTTTCTTTTCTTCTCTTTTCTTATTCCATTTCCAAATACTAACTTACATGCAGACACAAAGGAACGCCCCTTCAAGTGCCTAAAATGTCGGAGTACCTTCGTTCGTCGCGACCTTTTGTTGCGCCATGATCGAACCGTACACGCCAAGGATGGTGGTATCCCTCTGGTCGCCGAGGGCCGCCGACGCGGAGGTGGTGTGCAGAAGTCCACAACTTCTGCCCCCTCCAAACCCTCAATCACAATTGACCCAGCGACGCTGGAGCAGATTGAGGCAAGTAGTGATGGTATGGTCGACCTTGAAACTGCAGCCATGTTGATGACAGACTTCCAACATAAGGCTGCAGCCGCGGCGACTGGACAGGTTTCCGAGCGCTCCGAATCGTTATCCCCCGGCCAAGGCTCCTTCGAGCCTTACCTTTCTGGCAACGCCACTCTGCCACAAATGCCCTGGGATACCCTCGTTTCCCCCGCCGATGCCGGTTCCATGCCCACCCTCGCCGACCGTCACGGCCCCCTCGGAGATGTGCTTTTGTCGAACTCGATGCCCATGTCTGGCAACTCGACTCCGAACGCCTTGTCCCCCTACCCTTCCATGACCGGTCCCGTCAGCCCCGTAAACTACCGTCGCTCTCCCGGTCCCAGTCAAGCCTTGACTCTCCCCAGAGCGCCGCAAATCATGGACGAAATGGAACGTAGCATGGTGGTGGAGCGCGTTCAAAGCGCCGATACACTTGGAGGTCTACCTGACACTTTCCAGATGCCAGGTCTGATTGCACTGAACCGGTACTTGTCCACCTACTTTAACTTGTATCACCCTCATCTGCCTTTCTTGCACCAACAGTCATTCAACCCCACCACTGTGTCAGCACCGCTATTGCTAGCAGTTCTCTCGATCGGCGCCCTGTACACTTTCGAACGCGAACACGCTTTCATGCTGCACGTCGGCTCCAAGGTTTTGGTCAACCAGTTCCTGCAACATAAGGATAACTTTGATTCTCGCAAGTGCCCTCTTTGGTTGATGCAGAGCACCCTATTGAACATGGTTTTCGAAAGCTGGAGTGGAGATCCCAAGGGTCTTGAATGGACTTGCTCGATCAAGAGTCTTCTGGCCAACATGGTCGCTGGTAACCGATACCAGCTTAAGGTCCGAATTGATGCTCGCCAGGGTACTCCGACTACCCGTGAGGACTGGATCGAGGATGAGTCATGTCGCCGTACCTACTTCGCAGTGTACATATTCTTTGGAATGTTGACTCTCACCTTCAACCACACTCCCGCGATGAGCTTCGATGAGTTCGACAACCTGGAGCTTCCATCTTCCGAGTCTCTCTGGAACCTGGATCCATCTGACGAGGAGACCTGGCGCCGCAGTACTGCCACAAACACTCTTACTGTCCGCGAGGCACACGATTTCCTGTTCCAGGGCGAACAGACTCGCTACAGCGCTTTTGCCACCCGCGTTCTCATCAATGCTCTTTTCTTGCAGGTCTGGAATCACAAGCGCAGCTTCGAGGCTCTTCAGGACGTGGTCACTGAGTACAAGCTCCGTCTTGCACTTGAGACCTGGGAGAGCTCTCTCGATGTGTGCGAGTCTGAGACTATCGTTGTCCCGCTAAGCACTCCTCAAAAGGGCCACCCCTTGATCTTCAACTCGATGGCAGTCTACCGCAACACCCGTGCCCGCCTGGAAGTTGATCTGAAGTCCATCCAGGAGGCCATGCGGTACCACTCGTCATATGAGGTGGCTGCTGCCATGACTGTCGCTCGTGAGAAGGTCAAGCGTGGACAAGAGATGAACAAGGTTGTCCAACAATGCTTTGAGTGCATCGAGATTGCCGCTCTCCAGGGCATCAACTGGGTTGCAAAGACCTCCGCCACTAACTGGAGTGTGGAGCACCCCCTCTGCGGCCTGGATTTGATGGTCATTCTCAGCCTCTGGCTCTACCGCCTGGAACATGACGAAGAGCCAGCTACTGAGGCTGAATTGGCTATTTACAACAAGGTGCGGAACTTGTTTGATGATGATGCCATCGACGCATTTGGTAAACTCAGCTCCACCGTGGCCCGTGTTTGGGGTAACATCCTTGACGGCGTGGTTGTTTGGGGGTAAGTCCTATATTTCTTTTCATCTGATTTAGACTCTTTACTGACGTTATGCTTTTCACAGAATCACCAAGTTGATGGGCGAGTCATTCAAACTCCACTCCCAAGCTTTGGTCGGTTACGAGGATTCCTTGCGCGTCGGTAAGGATCAGCCGATCCACGCAGTCCCTACGAAGTCGCTTGCTTCTGTGGGCACTGCGTACTAATCGCCATTTCCTCTCTCCGGTCCGATTTCTGCATATTTTTCAACTTTTTACGTTTTTTCTTTTGGTTTTTTTTTTTATTTTCGGGCTTTCTTACTCTCATTTGTTGGACGCTTTATGGGACATGGGAAAACTCAGGAACGGGTACACCGGTGGGCAGGCGGGGTGTTTTATGGCTATGGGAATACGTCGCCTTCATTCTGCATTCTGCCTTTTGGTGTGATTCCTGACTTTTCTACTACTTTGGGTTGCATCTTTCCCCCTGATCTATCTTTGCACCAGGGAGTCCGGTGTGGTGTTTATCTGCTTTGGTCCCCCTTCGACACCTGGCTGGTCCTGTGTGTTCTTTCGCACTCGATGGAGTTTTTTTTGTTTTTCTCCTTAGCCCCTAATCGTGCCCCCGTCCATCTGCTTTTTTGATCTCTTGATACCTTTTGACTTTTACGGTTGTCCATGTTTTTTTTTTTATCCATTTGCCGCTTTTGCTTTCTTCTCGTTCTTCATGTCTTACTTGCTTTCATGTTTTTCCATCTGTTTCTTGTGGCCCAGTGCAACCTCGGCTGCTGTATTTGATGTTAATTGCACGTCCCCTCCCCGCCCCTGCTTTTTTTTTCATTTCTTCTTCCATGCTTTCTGTTCAGCATCTTGCATTTTTGTTTCCACCTGCACATGTTTTTTTGATGCCTTATTTCCATGTACTATACGTAATCGATGAATACAATATTTGGCGGGGAATATGTTCTCATAGTAAACAAAGTAAAAAAACCATACTGAAGAGCAGATTACTCTTCTGCTTCAGCTCCCAATAACTAACTCAAGTACTTATCAATTGATAATCGAAATGACCGAGCATCTACCATGTATCCCCTTCCCAAAACACCAACCCAAAACGAAATCATGAAATCCCAATACCAACTACTAGCACCCACTACTTCCCAATAGCAACAAACAACCGATCCCCAATATCCCCAACCCCAGGCACAATCATCCCCTTCTCATTAACAACCCCATCCACCCCCCCAACCCAAACCTCAACCCCCTCCCACGTCCCCGCCGCCCGCCTAACCCCCTCCTCCGAAGCAAGCACACTCAACATAATAACCCTCTGCACCCCCCACTCTCGCAAAAGCTGGATCGCCGCCTCCGCCGTTGCCCCCGTCGCAATGATCGGGTCGAGCAAAACAGCCAGCGTCGCAGACGCCGTGTTCGTCGTCGCGGCCGCCGGGTCCAGGAGCGCGGGACTTTGCGGCGAGAGCTCGCTCCGGTGGAAGGGGAGGTTGTTGTAGTATTCTACGGGCTGCAGCGTGATTTTTTCCCGGAATAGGCCTAGGTGGTAGATTGGGACGGCGGCTGGGAGGAGGGCGTTGAGGGCTGGGGGTGGTTAGTTGCATACCTTTACAAAAAAAGAAAGAAAAATGGGTGTGCGGGGTGAACTTGACTTGAACATACCCTCAACCATGCCCAGTCCTGATCGCAGGATCGGAACCAGGGCTAGATCGGCTGGATCGATGCTTTGGGTCTCGTACGAGGCGCCCAGTGGGGTGTGGTCCTGCTCGGAACGAGAGGATTAGTTTTGGCTATGCTTGGTATGCTGTGTGTGTACAAATAGTGCTATTGATATCTCAATGTCTTGTTATGTCGGCCTCGCGTCGGAAATAGAGGTACAAAATGTTGAATGAATGACTGGATAGCTATGCCTATTTTGTAGGTACTGAGGCTGAGACTGAGACTGAGATTGAACTTGGTGCTGGCATGGTACTAGATAGGTAGAGGACCAGGTACATACCGTCCCGGTCTTCGTAACGGTGAGTCCCTTTGCAAATGCCTCGACGCCCAGTATCGAGGCGATCTCGTGGATGAGCGCTCTTGTTTCGCGGGGGCTTGTGCTTGCTGAGCGGAGCTGGGACAGCTTAGCCTGGAGGCAGGGATGGGAGGAGACGTGGATGTTTGAGGGGAGGGACATTGTTAGAGATGTGGGGTAAGATGTTAGTAGGAGAAGAGGGGTGATGAGAGGTGAGGGGTGAATCCAAGGTTAGGTGTGAGGAATAGAGTTATGATCTGGGATGAACCATGGGTAGAATGACAGACGTGACAAGTGAAGTGTTCAAGTTAGAGTGAGGGGTTCTTATCTGCGGTGCTACGTGAGTTTTGACTTGTCACACCTAACATGTACAGGTGCAGGTACAAGTACAGGGGTCGTTTGGCTTCACCGTGCGGGCCCGTGCATGTTTAGTATTCAACTACTAGTATTTTCATAATATGCCAGTGGAGACCATAATCAAGGATCGGATAAAAGATGCTCTGTTAGTTCTGTCTGGGTCACTATTTTAGCATACTAGTATGCATGAATACCATAAAAGCTCCGGCTGAGTTCCTTGCAAGTTTCCTTAGTAGTCTCTCCAAAGCATCAAAGGCTTCGGTTGGCTCCTCTCCAAAAATTTGATCCAGATCATTCAAATGCTAAAAAGCCCTCAAACAATTCATACTACTCTGACATACCATATCATAACCCTATTGACGAGGCTAGCCCTCAAGTTCTCTTAGTTGGCAGCTATAGTCTCCATTATTTGCGCTAGCCTAATATGATTTAGCGTGGATTATTGCATCTACATAACGCGCTTCACACACAACCATTTTGCAATTTCCCTTAACCTTCTCCTAAGCTCGTTTCCTTCGATACTCCCAAAACATCCAAGCAGATTTGTGTTGAAATTGAGAAGTGCTCTGCAAAATGCTCTCATCTGCTGTCTGAGTGGCGCACATTCTCCTGGGTGTAATATCCATCGGTGGCCCATGTTTCATCAGTCCAGATGGCTTTCGTATAGTCGCCATATGTGGCTGACAGATGAAATTCTTTTGAATTGATAAAATATGGGCCTTCGATTCATTTATGCTCGGGAATTTGTGGCTCTCGTGACATGTGGCTGGCTTGAGCAACTGTATCACTTCTCAAGCTCGACTAAAGCTTCCTGGATATTTTGGTCGTGTATCGGAGGAGATGAACTTGGAAAAGGCTGTGGAGATGGAAGATTGGATTCAAGCAAAAACAAGGAGGATTGTTACTGTATCAAAAAAAAAAAAAAAAAAAACATTGTGTGAAGCTTGCTGCTCAGCAGCCTTGTGATCGGGTGGATAAGGAAACATGTGGCTCTATTGTGATTTTTGGGTGGTTTACTATGTTTTTGATGTTGATGTCAATGATGGGTTGGACAGAAGAGGGGAAACCTCGCTTTGCATAGCGATGGGACTGGAATATTGGGACTATCTGGACTGTGTCTACTGGAACTTTGTGTGAAGCTTGAGGGCTAAAGCGAGACTTGAATTCAATCTACATCACTATACCACAACCACCGTGAGGTGTCTTTCGAACCTTAGTGCTTGGTAAATGAGCTGGGAATTCTTCTACTGTTGTGGTATGATATTGAAACTGAGTAATACGGAGAATCTGTGTCTTGTTTCTAAACTTGAACAAAACTAGATACACACTGAATGCCCCACACGTACAATCCACTGTACCAAGCCCTAGATATCAGGGTTATCAATACCACATAGGATGGCCATTCCTTTCCATCCGACATGGGCACGAATCCGATTTGAGAATTTGATCCATTGGCAGCAAAATTGATGTTATCAAGAAGAGGCATGTGGAAAAGATGATCCAGTTTCTTCGTGGGATTCCCGGTCATGTCGGATGAAAAGAATGCTCCTGGTATTGATAACCTGATGATATCGAAGGCTTCTTTTATCTATCCATTCAAGGGTCACCCATTCAGCGAGTATAATATCGATTTAGCAAGCCTTTTTCTTATAATTCGATGTCCAAAAAAAAGCCAAGACTCCACGAAGCCAAGACACTTCTCCGTACAACAGTAGATAGCCGCGATAACCCTTATCGGATTATCTAAGATAATCAGCACCGCCAACCTTAATTTTCTTTACTCCAAACGCGACTTCTGTCTCCCAACATGCCTGATCGTGCCATGTCAGGGGCCGCGCCCCTCACGCACGATGCCGAAAAGCTCCACGAGCTCCCCTTAACCGAAACCACCGCGCCTCAACCCGTCGAGCCCATCTCATCCCGGCGGCAATCATGGCAACCAACACCAGCCGAAGCTCCCTTGGACACAACAACAGCCCCTTCCACCGCCACCACCATCCTACCACTCTCTAAACATGCAACCCACCTCTACACAGTCTCCTACCTCATCTTCTTCGGAATCCTCGGCACCCTCGCCCGACTAGGCCTCCAAGCCCTAACATTCTACACCGGCGCACCCATCGTAACCGGCGTCGTCTGGGCCAACGTCAGCGGCAGCCTAATAATGGGCTTCCTAATCGAAGACAAAAACATCTTCGCCGAAGAATGGGGCTCGCCCCAAACACCACCGCCCAAAGAGCAAGAGCCAGACTCGCACGACGCCCAAGAGCACACCAAGAAACACAAGGCCACCAAAAAGACCATCCCGCTCTACATCGGCCTGACAACCGGTTTCTGCGGCTGCTTTACCTCCTTCTCGTCCTTCATGCGCGACACCTTCCTCGCACTGGCAAATGCGCTTCCTGACCCCTCGCTCCCGGCCGGCGCGAGCATCGCCTCCCGCAACGGCGGTTACAGCTTCATGGCGCTGGTGGCCGTGGTCCTGGTGACCGTGTCGCTGAGCCTGTCGGCGCTGATCTTCGGCGCGCATCTGGCGCTCGCGCTGGGCCGGTTCACGCCTACGGTGCCCTTTGCGCTGGCGCGGCGCGTGCTGGATCCGCTGATGGTGGTGCTTGGGTGGGGCTGTTGGCTTGGTGCTGTGTTCTTGGCTATCTGGCCGCCGGATCGGTTTGGTGCTGGCGAGGAAGAGTGGCGTGGGCGCGCGGTGTTTGCGATTGTTTTTGCGCCCTTGGGCTGCTTGTTGAGGTTTTATGTGTCGCTGTTTCTTAATGGGCGGGTTGCTTCGTTCCCGCTTGGGACGTTTGCGGTTAATATGCTTGGGACTTTGGTTGAGGGGCTGTGTTATGATTTGCAGCATGTTAGTGGGCTGGGTGCTGTTTTGCCGGCTGCTTTGACGGGGTGTCAGGTTTTGCAGGGTGTTATGGATGGGTTTTGTGGGGCGACGACTACGATTAGTACGTGGGTTGCGGAGTTGAATGGATTGGCCAAAAGGAGATATGCGTATTTTTACGGTGTCGCTAGTGTGGTTGGGGGACTTGGCTTGATGGTGGTGATTATGGGGTCCTTGTTATGGACTCGTGGCTTTGATGACCCGGTGTGTGGATGAAGCTTCGAGCTAATGTGCCATGTTCACAAAAAATCACTATGTAAGTAATATGTATATAGCCAGCTAGATATAATCATTCGAGAAACAACTGTTTTCTTCACAGCCAACTTCCATCTCAGCTCCATCACGAGCTCCAACGATCAATGTCTCCGCCCACCCATTCACCCGACATACATGGTGAGTGGGCCATTAGAAAAATTTGAGCATCAACCAACAATTTACCTCTACGACCCGACAAACTTCCCCCCTCGCACAAATTCCATTCCATGAACCGGCAGCTCGACCCGATTCTCAGGAGTCGCAAACTGATCCCGATCCCGATCCATCATCTTCTCATGCACACCAGCAGCGCCAGAACTAGATGCCACAACAGAGCCCAGATCCCAGCTGTCCGCAACACTTCCCCCACCAGCCGTGACAGTGGCCATATTACCAAGCTGCAGGTCAAAGTTGAAGGTCTCTGCGCGGGAGGCCGTACGGACTTGAAGGGCTCTACGGCGGACGAGGTCCTCTTCATGGTTCTGTTTCTGTCGGACTGGCAGTTTGTTAGGGCCAGTTAGCATTCAGAGTTCGGCAAAGAGTAGGCGCGATGATGTATAAGAGATAAGAATGGTTTAAGTGAGATTGAAATGGACGACAATGGCACTTACTTCTCCAGAAGAAGACATAGATAATCATGGTCCCGACCATGGCTGCGCTGAAGGCAAAAATAATGGCTAGCTCGTCGCCGAGCGAGGTTGCAGGTGTGTATGGTTGAAATGTGACCGTCATTGCTCGGTTTGGCTACAAGATGAAGGAGACGATATTGCTGAGGTCGGAGGTTTCTCTATTTGGACTTGTCTTGAGGCTGGATTCGATGTGCGGATGCGAAGTGGAGTGGATCGGAGTATATGCTAGTGAGGACAGATAGGGTACTTGCATGAATGAAGGAAATCGTGTGACCTCCAACCTTCGAGTCGGAAATATTATTGAAAGGTACTAGAATGTCCTTGGGGAGGGGGAAGATAAAGGGGTTGAGCAAACAAAGAAAGCACTCGAGGCCAATAGCTGTAGCAAACAAAGAGAAACCTTGGGAAAAAGTAAAAAAAAAAAAAATTGTTAAGTGTATGATTTCATTTATGTACACACAAATACAGACAAATATCGGTCCAGGTATACACAGGCTCAGAGGTATCATGTACAAGCTCTATTCTCCCACGGCCCAAAAGGCGGGAATGCAATCGGTGCTCAAATCAAAAATGGAATGCCCACGCCGAGCAGGCAATGGATGCAATGGATGGAAAAAAAAAAAAAAAGAAGAAGAAAACCCAAATGTCGCTGGAATCGCCAGAAAATAAGAGTGCCAAAAGAGTATGTCGACAGGCGGTCGACTAATTAAACATCCAAGATGTTGATGGTAAGGTTCGGGGGGCGCGTATTCACGTGTCATGTCAAGAATTGGAGGAAATGGGGGTAGTCGAAGAGAAGTTGAGGTAAAGAGGCAGAGGTGAAAAGTAAAAAATGCCAAAAAGAAACAAAGGTAGAAAGGACCTTTGGGTCGCGTATGTGTCGGCGATGCCGTTTATCCCAGCATTACTGCTGCTAGGGCAGTGCATGTCAACCCGATGGCCATTCCGATCCATGGAGTCTGGCCAAGGGAGCCTTCACTGCGCGCTTGGAGGACATGTCGTGCACCCAGTTTGCCGACCATCAAGTCAGGCTCTGCGATGGAGAGAAGCTGTTCTCTCGGAGCAAGTTCCGGTATTGATGGGGCGTGGGAGCGGATGGCTAGGTCATTGCTATCTGGGGCGCGAGGTGAGGGCCCGGCGAGGACGGCCGGCGCGAGGGCCACAAGCAAGACAGCCGGTCTCATTGTGTATATTATTGAATGTGATGAATTTCCTTCTCCTCTCGCAGTACGCGTGGGGTTATTAAACCGAAATCGTTGGAGGGGTTGACGCGCCAAACAAGCAACGCCAAGGACTGCGGGTCGTGGGTTTCAGGGTTCTTGAGTTGGCGAGGCAACAGTTCCTCAGTGACGTGTAGAGATGGACAGTCGAGCTCCAGACGATGATCTTATGGTATACACAGCAGAAGTCGTCGTATACACGGCCAAATCACACGGAGTCGCAAACGAATGTGGGCTTTTGAGGATTGTGGGAATTTATGGGGGGTGGATGCTGGGAGAGGGTCGGAATAGGGGGCCAAACGCTAGGTGCTTGGCGACGAAAGATCCAATAGAAGCTGCAACCTGTGTCAAGGGATTCGGGGGGGGGCTTGACAATTCGAACTGGTCAACTGGTAAAGCTTCTTTTGTATATTTTTTTCCCTTCCTCGTGCGGGAGAAGAAAGGACCTTGACAGGGGAAAAAAAAAGGGAAAAAGGGACCTTGAAAAAGAAATGAAGCCGATCAGGGCGGGTCTGTTCATTGGACGAGCCACGGGTCGAAAGTCAGGGACTGGCCTTAGTCAGGCCAGTTATGTAATCGGAACGGCTTGATAGTGGAGCTCAATTTATATAGCGTTTCCATTATTGGCTGTGATCACTGCCCTTTCTATCTTTATCGCGCAGGGATGCTCTCTTCTCCAATCGTCTGGCCCGCGCCCTGCACGGAGTTGCCTTCCCCAGCCGCACTTTTTTGTATGTACCCCCGAGGTATAAACAAGATTTTTGGTTCTCCGGCGTCATCTACTAGCACAAAACCTTGAAACTGGACATATAAATCAGGAGATTTCTATTTCACCAGCTTATCATGCTAGTACTTGTACGATTTCGTCGCTTAAATCGCCTCGCTTAAATCAACCTGTCTGTTCAAAGTTGCCTGGCTCTACTCTGAAAGACCCACCTCCTCTTCCCGATCGTCATTAAAAAAGAAAGAAAAAAAAGGTCCCGGTGGGTCAACCAAACGGCCATTAATCGCTCGTCAATCAAGGAACTGTGTTGCAATGCAAGGAAAACCCAAAACGACCCCCACCGCCAATAAGAGATACTCATCTAGCCCGACTCCGCAGCGTTCTCCTGTCCTCCTGCAGGTTGAATCCCTGAACCCCCATTGTAGTTCACTACTTTTTACAGCCTTTCTAAAAATATTGAATCTTGGCATCTGCATCAGGTCACTTGCTACAACAACCATGCCACATTTACAGATACGTAGATTCAAAATCAAAATCGCATTATGCAACTACCCTAATATTCAAATATTCAATGTTTTTGCCATCGGGTCTTTGCCTCGGGAATGTTCCGCGCTAAGTAGACAGGGTGGATCCAATTTTCTAGTTTGCAGTCTTCCAACATTGTCCCGGCAGTTGAAAACCCTTATCCATATAACATGTATCTGTACTATACATACATCGTGGTACTCGGGGCTCTGCGGTCAGATATTGTAGATATTATGTAGGGCACGGGCACCGTACATCGCAAGCCACGTAGGTAGTAGCTCTCGGCAAGTTGCCCCTCATTTTGGTGCATACATCATCTTGTTTTAGATGCATGCAGTTGGGTGAATGTGAGAGTATAGGCTACCATTTTACTGAAGTGACGCGTTCCACAAAGGCGGGGTGGTGAGATGTTGGACAAATAGGCGAACTTGCTGATGAAAACTTCATATTCATCGGGTGACTTTTCATATTTGAAAAAAATAAGCCCCCCTCCATGGTAGCACATCAAAACAAAGATAAGAGACTGTACTCCGTACATAGAGGGGCTGGAGGATTCTACTGTGACAACAAGTTGGTATCTATGACATAGGAGGCGCTGTTCAATGGCAGGGGTCAACCCATGCGGGGTCGTGGTATACTCTTGGGATAAGGTCTATGGAGATGATGTGGGCTAAGAAAATTGGAACCTTGGTAATACTGGGAGGGGAAAAAAAACTTGGAATTCACATCAGCATTTTATGAATTTTGATGTACCGGAGATTGTAAATTTTATGCTCGGGGATTCGGTATGCCGTTGGAGCAGAGCCGCTAACTTGTCATGTGGCTATCCACAGCAGCTACCAGCGTCCCTGTGACGCGAGCCACCATAAGGTCCATAGTAATCATGACTGCTCGCCATGCAAAGCAGCTCACAACAACATAGCACGGCCACTTTAACGATGACTGCCGGTTGTCGGTCACTACCCACTTAACTATATAACTTTCTCGTACTCGTCGTTTGACACAACACCCAAAGGCAGCATATTCCATGTTAGCATCGGGACTGTTGTAGGGGTGTACAAAGTTCCCGGTAGTCATGGCCATGTTTTTATGCCTCTTTTGGTTGGGTGGGGGATGCCTCGAAGGCAACTTCTTCGAGGAACTCAATGATGTCTTCTCGCAGCTGGGAAGACAATTTTGTATGTTGAAGGTGGTTTTCAACCGAGAGAAAGGTAAGGTGAATTGTTTGTAAACCCATATCAAAGTGCACGGTGAGTTGTCCGGCTTTGGTGATTTCGTCCGGTGGGCTTTCGTCTTGCGAGGTATGGCGTGTAGCCTTAGCATCCGACGAAGATGAAATTCAGGTTCAATTGTTGTGTGGAAAAGGTGGAGACGGTGGAATTAGCTTGAAGATATTGAGATAGGAAGAAATGAAAGAGAAAGTGAAGAAAGAAATGTTATTCTTACTTCACTTGAGATGAAAACTATTCACTAGTAATGGCTTTACTTTATGTCTCTTCTATGCAGTACTAGTTGATAAATTGTACTTGAGTTGGGGCTATAGGACATATTTTCTTAGATTCTTTCATCAAATGCTTTCATGGTCTAGTTGGTTATGACGTTGGTCTCATATCTACTTTCATATGACTCCCCTGTTAACAGGGTTGAAATCCGAAGGTCGCCAGTTCGATCCTGGCTGAGAGCATCTTTTTTTTGTTTTTGTTTTTCCCCCATCCACCACCCAAAAACCTTTGGCTACGTACTGGATGCCAATTCCTTTCTTTTCTATGTTTCTATCTTTATTCGATTAAGACTCCGGGCATATTTGATCACCGTATATCCCGAAACAGTGTAAATCCGGTAGCAAGGCCTGATATGGAAGTCCACATTTTAGCCCCTACCCTTACTGAACCATGGCCTTCTTCATTCGAAAAAAAATTAGGATTAGATTTCTTTGGAAAAATACTGAAATGGCAATCATTGCTATTAAATTACAGTTCTTCCATGGTTATGGTAGTAATGAACGAAAGGGGCATTTGTTTCATGCTCGGGACATGTACTACTCCGGGGGCCAGGAGGACTGAAGATTACCGATTTCGGTATGCAACAACTCCAACGGCCCAAAATAGTTTCACCCTTAGAAGACTGATGTTTGAGAACGCCACATCTGGAGTTACGCGATAATCTACAGCCATGAAAACTCTCATGTCAGACGTTTATACTGATCTCATCAGAAGTTTCCAAGGTTAAATAGCCGGAGATCACCTCGATATATTGACCTTCATCAACAACTCAATCAACACAATTCAATACAATATACTTCCAAAGTTTAATCTTCTCAACCTTTGAACAACCTCCCACCATCAAAATGCAGTTCATCACCATCTTCATTGCTACCCTGGCCGCCGTGGCCTCTGCTTCCCAAACCTCTGAGAAGAAGCGCTCCTGCGTCGCCAGTGAGTTCATCCATCGTCACAAGAATTGGCCCCGTCTGAAGACATCTGGAACTATCTTGACTGACTGTTTGTGTTTAGACTATGAAGTGGCCTGCAACTCTGGCAATGCCTGCTGCGATGGCTGGCAGTGTGTTGGCGCCACTGAGTGGAACGCCGGAGTTTGCATCCCTAACTACTAAGGGTGCCGAGGAATTGATATGCTATTTGTGCGGGCATAAATACACATCAATGTTTCAATTCTTCGTTTTACTTCAAGCATTGGGTTTCTGAAATTTTTGCTTTTCTCTTGTCAATGTTTCCCGGATGCGCCTTCTATAGTGGAGATTCGTTCATGGTTTCCTGCACATGTGGTAGACAAATGCCACTATACATACGAAATGTATATTCATTGCTAGCGAGCATGTTACCTCAATCAATTGTTCGCGTGCGGTACTCAATCTCACATTTTGATTTCCTATATTATGGTCATAATTGTAGATTTGATTTGCTCACATGGAGTCGATAGATCTCACTATGCACCTCTAGATCTGTTCAGATGCTCATTAGGACGAATTTCTACCTAGTGTAGGGAACACCCCTACCATTACATATTACTAGGGGTTGATGTGCGAGAGGCGGTAACTAACGACTGGCAGCTGAGTAACGGCACACGCAGTATTAAGCTAGATTCACTATCATTTAGAAATATATGGGCTACGCGCAAGATTTTTCGCGCATAGTCTTACAATCCTTGGTGTTTTGATGGTGTGAACCATTTATATGAGGTACGCGCAATATTTTTCGCGCATGGCCTTATAACCCACGGTTTTGACATCTGGATAGTGTAAACCAAATGTTTATATGTGCTACGCGCAATATACTCATGGAATATTTCGCGCATAGCCTTGGACACCCCTACACATCTCTCATCTGACCCATACGGGTGCCCTCGACGACTCAGTATACGTGGCGCTGCACTTTGGTGTGGTTTTGCTAGTGGGGTCGGCCCACGCACATCTGGTGATGTGCTAGCCGACGAGCGTTCCCCTCTTCACTAGGTATGTTCGCGAAGTTTGGTGGTCTGAACCGTAATATTAGGGTTTTCAGGCCAGGAAGAAAGATTCTGCTTGATTTTTAAATCATGTCTAGCGAAGACCCAACATTGAATGCCCTTTTTATTTCCCCTGCTACTCTCATCCTTGTTTGGAATTAGATTTAACCATGTAAATAGATTACTGCTAGGTAGATATCAGAAAAAAATAATTATCATGATTTATATAGTTCGAGTCAACATCCCACTTGCCCAAGCCAATCAGAAGCTCTTCCGCTCACAATTTTTTTCGGCTCATATTCATGTCCTCATAGATGCAACTTCTGGGCTCTTCCTCCATCAAATGCTTTCATGGTCTAGTTGGTTATGACGTTGGTCTCATATCACTTTCATATGACTCCCCTGTTAACAGGGTTGAAATCCGAAGGTCGCCAGTTCGATCCTGGCTGAGAGCATCTTTTTTGTTGCTTTTTGGTAACAGTTTGTTCCAAACTTCTATTTTCTCCCCCAGTTGCTGCCTCTGGGTGGCCCGTGTTCTTTTTTTTCCTTTTTTTTTCCTTTCTGATTTGAGGTGTCACAAAGGTTGGTTTCAAATAGGAGTGGCCGTGGGGAGCGCTTCGGGACTCCTGGTACATATACTCCTTGCATTGTCGGCAAAGAAAGATGAGGCTGTAAACATTGAATTCTTGCCAAAACCTAATCAAAAGTCGGTGAGTTTGAATACATATGTTATTTCAATTTATTGTTAATGGCTTGTTACTTCGTGGTACATTCGTATTTGAACCTTGAGATTGATTGTCAACCTTCAAATTTTTCATGAGTAACTATTCAGAATTGGTTGTGTTAGTACCTTTATACTGAGTGAAAATGACACTTTTAGAGCTGCCAGTAAATCATGTATATTCTGCATGTTTTTTTTAAGCTCCTAATACCTAATATCATTCAAGGGGGGTTCTATCTCTTGTTCCAGCAATTTACATGACTTTTCACTAAATGCTGGCAATATTTAGTGAAAGTACTAGCATTTGAAGTATCTACTGGTTACTACTAGCTAGTAGGTACTACTGCCCAGGTGGCCATATTAAAGGTTGGAATCAGTACCAGTATCTTTCGGTCAGAATTCAACACCCGTCATCTAAATAGTTGGGATGCGTGGCTACCAGTATTTGTGTGTACTGTCGAAGCGCCCTGAGAAACGGATGTACAACTGGCCTTATGCATGTGTAGTATATTCTTGCCCGAGTGGGTTCAATACACATGTGCATGGTCCAAGATCTCGCCACTGGAACTTTTAAACAGTGAGACTCGTAGACTTGAATAGCTAAAATGAAATATAAAAAACCATTTATTTAATTCAAGCACCACGGAGAAATCATCAACGACAATGATTTTGGAAATATTCCAAATATCTGAATATCTAAATGTTTAATGTTGGCTTGGAATAGGTATAGATCAACTAATCACATGGACTTTCCAAGGTAGGCGAATTTAGGCACCCCCAGGAACTAGGCAGCACCGGCGCCTTAGAGAGAAGTTTAGTACTCAAATCGAGATGCATTTTCTAACCCAGTGCCTTGATGGCAAATTTCCTTAGGTTGTTTCCATGGTATAGATCCGACAAATTTTCTTTTTCTGGTAAGACTATTTTTACGCCATGGCAAAAAACCTGGGGGCTCTCCGCCTTATCAGCCTCGTTCAGCACTCAACTTCTCGCGCATGACTGAACCACCTGCTGGTCCATTTCGTCCATTCAAGAGATCCATGACTCTCCTGCCGTCGCCACTCGCTCAGTCTACCTTGAGCGAGAAGGCCGCCCTTTATTTGGATCACGTCACAGACAATCTCCCCGTGTTCCTACATTCCCTTCGTCCTCGACTGGACCCGTGGCTGACATACTCGACCACGTCCTTCCGTTCGATCGCAAAGGCCCTGCCATTTGACGTCGACGAACAAACCACTGCTATCTGTGCGGCTGTTCTCGTCTGCATCCTTACAATTGCCGCGATGAGTTGGTCAAACCCCCTATCCAACCTCTGGCGCCGCACTGCCCCGCAGGTCAACGACGAAGATTACAGTTATATCACACCGGACTATATCGAGCCCTCGGCCAATCAGACTCGATACGACCCAAATGTGGATAATAGCGAGCCAGACATCATCTGCCTTCGACACCGTGGCACCATCTACCCTCTTCACTTCCGCGCATACGCCATCGATGACGGGGTGCTGACCGTGGGCGCACTGCGGGAGGAAGCCGCACGACAGACCGGCGCAAATAACCCTCACCAAGTCCGGTTGCTGTACAAGGGGAATCTTCTCAAGGATGATAGTCGTTCATGCAAGACCGAAGGACTCAAGCAGCACTCGGAAGTGCTGTGTGTGGTCTCCGAGGTCGGCGCCAACACCCCGAGCGAGGTCTCCGATTCATCGCGTTTAGATGGAGAGGATGAAGACGCTGGTTCACCCACCGAGAAAAGCAAAAAGAAGAGGTCCAAGAAGAAGTCTAAGAAGAAGGCTCCTCTACCGGAGACCGCACGGCCGGAGTCAACCCCCGCCCCCAGCTCTAACCCAGCCCTGCCACCCAATCTCAAGCTTATACCCGGTGCGCTAGAGAAGTTGGCTGCTTTGACTGGATACCTCCAACAGGTGCTCATCCCCGCGTGCGATGAATTCTTTGCCGATATGCCCACGGACCCCAAGAAGCGGGACTTTGAATACAAGAAACTCAGTGAAACCATCTTAGCCCAGATCATGCTGAAGGCAGACGGGATCGAACCCGATGGCAACGTCGAGGTGCGCAATGCCCGCAAAGCCTTGATCAAGGAGGCCCAATCCTACCTCAACCGATTGGATGAGGCGAAACAGGAATAAGCATGAGATGCGTCTGATCTACCAGATTTCCTCCGATCCACCAGGGACGAGGCCTAAAGTGGAAAAGAATGTATCCCTATCGGATCCGATTCCATGTGTTTTGCATTTTTCCATTTTCCCATATTTCCATTTCTTACACATAGACTATTGATACCCATGGTACTGGGACTGGGGAAATGTGACTATGGGACCTGTCAACTTTGGGGGGGGGGGTTTTGCATATATGGGCGTTTCAGAGGAGTCAACCGCTTAGGCCTCGAAACAAATGTGTCAAGATGTCACTGTAATTTCAAAGTGGGGGTTTTTCATAAGAAAGAAACAGATTTGAACTTATTATTACACTCTACACGGGTTATCCCGTCTCCTTAGGACCAAACTATTGATCCTCGTAATGGTTCAGGGGCAAAAACTTCGCAGTGCACGGTCCAAGTGGTTGAATAGTCTGAGGAGAGAAAAAAAAAAGACTCTTTGGAATGCCTGTCAGTGATGCACGGCTGATCCTTTAGCTGTCAATAAATTGAATTAGTTCTTTGTTTTTGTGGTTTTATATGCATTTTAGTCCTTTTTTTTCAAACCCTCTTCCAAATCAAATGTATAGAAGGGAAAAAGGAAGTACAAGTATATACCGAATCTATATAGGAAAGAAGTCTAGGCCAAATGTGATGGTGCTAATCCCAGTTGGGGATCGAACCTCGTTAGTTTGACCGTTTCTCTCTCTCTCTCCTTTGAGGCCATTCGGGATCTTCTTCGCGTTCGCTTTTCCAATTCCTGTTTTCCTGTGTTCCTTTTACTCTCTTTGCCCCGCGCATTCTTTTCCATATCCACTTTTCTTTCCCCTTCTCCCAAAACCTTCCAAGAGGTACGGAGTACAAACATCCAGCTTGGACCAAACGCACGATCTTACCCCCCAACCCCCTCTTCCCCTCGTGGGCTATCTGACCAAATCAAACACCCCCCCGGACTTCTCGTGTCTAGCTCTCTTTTTTCATTAGAGAGCCCCGCCAGAAGACCTCCTATTGTGTTCTCGATCATCAGGGATTAATCGCCAATCCTTCCACGGTACCAACTCGCGCCGTTCCAGACTTGTTCCGTGGCTCGGGGGGAAAAACAACCAAAAAGCTATCGACGAACAGGCTGCAAGTGCGGCTTCAGAAACTTCACCCCCTGCAGTGTATTTACGTTTTACTACTTTCGGTACCCCACTGCGACGTGTGGGAACTCTCTCCACCCCTTACGAGAGAAAGAGAGAAAAAAGAGGAACCTCCATTCCCCCAACAATCAGTTCGTGACGGGCGGCTACCGACTGGGATGGCTTGATTGAAATCACCACAACTTGTCAAAGCGGATCTGGACTCCTCCTCGTTTGCTTCTCTATCTTAAGTGACAGGTTCCAGCTGGCCTGGCCTTAATCAACCCTCAAAATTACGTTCTAAAAACACATTGGAATGGCGGGCGTGGCTACCGCATTCTCAACAGATGCGTTGACATCTGGAGCCCCGGATAGTTCTTCGCAGTGGGACTTTTCCGTGCCGATCGGCAGTGATGTGAGTTTTTTATCCAAGTTCCTTTTCTTCGTCTTTCTTTACTTTCAACTTTGCACTCGCACGAGGCAATGATTTTCATAAACCGAGGGGGGAATTTACTTTTTCTGACCGATCGCCATGTTTTTTCACGACGCACAGGGCACCCAACATTCCGCACGACCACGTAACTCCCACGATTCGAGCTCCATCCACGCCAAATCTAATCGAAAGCGCAACTCGAACGGCTCCCGAAGCTCTTCTGTTTCCCGAACCGTTCACGCCCACGATGCGTCCTACATGGCCGGTCGAGGTCGACGAGAACAAAGCCAGAATCGATTCGCAGGAGAAATCGCCAGCCCGCGTGAGGGCCCAGCGCCCGAAGCAGCTGTTCGAGCCCAGGTAGACGGTCAGGAGGGATCTGGTCCGTTCGAGTTCAATAGCGAGAGTTGGATCCATCGTGATAAGCTGGCAAAAATCGAGAGCGAGGAGCTACACCAGGCGGCCATAATATTCCAACGGCGGATCAGAGCTGAGAGCAAGTCAAGTGCGGGGCGGGAAAGGAGTCATGATTCTCACCAGAGCGGTTCAGCTTCGGTGTCCTCTCCGAATGCGGAGTACCCTGAACCATGGCCACAAATGCATGAGTCCTCGCTGAATGGTCCGGGCAATGGCGAAAACAATGAAAGGCAACACTGGGATCTCCGCCGACCAGAAGAGATCGCTGCCGATGAAGCAGCCGCTGGGTTTTATAACCACCCGGGCCTTCGCAAGAGCTCTTCTCGAATTCCCATTGCCGCATCGAGCCCCGTACCTCTTGTGCCAGGCCGTGATTCTCGCGGACCTCGCAGCCGTGCAGCAACGGACGAGGATGACGACGGTCGTGGACGCAGAGCCAGTGAACCATTAGCCCTCGACCTGGAACCATCGACTCCCTCTACAGGAAGTCGACCGGGCAGCCGTGGTTTCAATGGCTTCAATACCACCCAGAATACTCCAGCTAAAAAGACTCCAGGCAAGGTGACTGGATCTGGCAACCGGAAAACATCTGCGCCGCCGCCCAACAATCGGAAAACTTCGTCCACGGCAAGATCACGGGCAGTGTCAGGCAATACCACGCAACGACCCACCACTCGATCTGGTGAAATTCGACCTACCACCGCTGCCAACCGACCGGAGGGTGATCCCCCGTGGTTGGCAACTATGTACAAGCCGGATCCTCGTCTCCCACCTGACCAGCAGATGCTCCCTACCCTTGCAAGAAAGATGCAGCAGGAACAGTGGGAGAAGGAAGGAAGAACCCCGAACACATACGACCGTGACTTTGCGCCCCTGGCTGTTTATCCTAATGATTTGCCTCGCGTGCCACCAAAGGTCGAGGATGAGAACGAGGAGCCGGTGGAAGATTCACAGCAGACGCATAGGCAAATGCAGATGGAAATTGAAGAGCCTCCCAAGGCCAGAACTCCTGAGCCACCGCGGCCCAACACAAGCACTGGGTACAGTACGATGCCCAAGGTGCAGGATACGCCCCCAATGGGCTTGACACCCAACCCCAACTGGCAACCGCCGGTGGTTACTGCCCAAGAGAAGCCGAAGAAGGAAAAGAGTTGCGGATGTTGCGTCGTGATGTGATGGGAATCCATATCCATTCTCCTCTCGCCTCATCTCATCTCATTTTCTTAGCAACTCTTCCATTTTCCCTCTTACTCCACCTCCATATTTCAAGAAATCTTCGGATACTTGCACGCACACATACGCCCCTTCCTTCTTGATTCATTCCTTTTCTCTCTCTTTGATTTTTCCACTTTGGTGGATGGTGTTCAGTGGGGGTTGATATTTCCTTTTTAACTCTTTTTTTTTTTTTCCCTTTACCCATTACTGAACTGGCCTCACTTGAAGTCTGCCCCAGAATTTTGTTTAATTCGGACTTCCACCGGAGCGTGACATACGTCGCGCATCCATTCCTTCTCAATTCTTTTCTTGTGATCATTGTTCCCGGTTTCCGCCAACCTCATAATGGCCGGAATGACCCAAAAAGCGACCTTTATTGGGTGCAGCAAAGCTCCCACGGGTCATCTCAAGCCCTAGTATATTCATCTGGTTTTTGTGCGATCTGCTCGACTTCCTTGCCTCTGATTTATCTTTTCATTTCTGTTTTGGCCCTTCTTTTGCACTCATTGCCACTTCTGCCATATTCCCAAGTCGTTACAAGCGTTTCTGATCTTTTCCTACTCTATTCTTTACCTGCCCTGTTCTCTATCGGCGGATATATCGTGCATGGTATCTTCCCATATCATTTTATAGCCAAGTTCTCTGGACTAAAAGACTAAAAGACATCAACGAATGACCAGGCTTCATGTAGAGTGTAAAGTAAGAGACCAATCAAATCTAGTGCAATACATATATGTATGTATTATTTTACATCGAAGTACAAATAAGCTGCAAGATGTAACTATATAGATTGCCACATGTACATTAGTAAAGTGATGGCGTGCTTGTTCAGTCCTGCAGACAAAGATTCCGATAACGATAACGATAAGGAAGATCTCGACCAGCCCAGCTGACAAAGCCATCACCTGACATCATCGGATCGAATCACCGTCTTTTCCGCTATAAACCTCCTGTGACAATACATAACTTCCCCACCTATAAAACTAAAAAGAAGCCGCACCCCCCCGGTTTCTTTTCCACCTCCCGCCCACCATTTCGTTCATCTTCCAGCGTCTCTTCGGCACCGCCGCTCCATCACCCGCCGTCATGTCTGTTGCCAAGGCCACCGCCCAGAAGCTCATCGATGAGAATGGAGTCGTTGTCTTCTCCAAGTCTTACTGCCCCTACTGCAAGTCCAGCAAGGACTTGCTGAACGAGCTCGGTGCCAAGTACACTGCTCTTGAGCTTGATGAGGAGAGTGAGTGATCAACCCTCTTTTTTATTATTGTTTCCATCCGTTTCTTTCTCTTTTCGTTCATTCTTTTTCTTTCCTATGCTTTGGATACCATGTACACCCCCGGAGTGTGCTTCATGGCATTCGAAGTGTTGTACACAATCCATCTCACCATTGCTTACCCCGCTCTGTCGTCATTTCCTTCTATAATTTCATCACGGAAATATCTTGCAAGGCTCTAAAATGCAACTTCCAAAGACCTTTCACTGACAAACACTCTTTCTTCCAATAGCCGATGGCGCTGCCATCCAGGCCGCTCTCCAGGAGATCTCCGGTCAGCGCACTGTCCCCAACATCTTCATCAGCAAGGTGCACATTGGCGGTAACTCCGATCTGCAGGCCAAGAAGGCCGAGCTCCCTGCTCTGCTTGCTGCTGCCGGTGCTCTTTAAATTGGGTTCACGACGTGAATCTATTATGATCGATTTCAGCGCTTGGATTACAGATAGGACGGGAATAGATACAGGATATCATCTTATTTGATTCCTGGATGGGCTAGATTATGCCTAGCCTGACAATTGCAATTGCATACGTAAATAGCGTTATGTTGTGTGTACGTCTGTTTCCTTCCAAGTACTTTGTGTAGATGTTTTGATTGTTTTTATCTGAGCTCGAAGCCTTGTAGGTTTTAGAGGATGCTGCATATGTACTATACTACTAGTAAGAATCAATCATTGCCCATCGAGACCATGTCTGATCTATGAAAAGAATTCCTGTGTAGCAAGATCATCTCACTCCGTTCATCATCTACCAATCCCTATACTGCTACTTAGTACTATATCCGACGGATAACGGAATTCCATTCTTCCACCGGACCACACTACATGCATTGACGCAATATCGTCTCCAAAGGTTCTCAAATGCACCCAATAAAGTCCACCGCATACTCTAGTATCCACATCGGATAAATTCAAAACACTTTTCCTCCTCAATCGTATTGATAAGCAACCCCGCGACCCCACACCGTCATACCCGGAAGCCAAAGCTTTATGAACCAAGCTCCCCGACCTACCTTAACTTGCCTTTCCAACCCACCTCACAGACTTCCTCTGTAGAAGATCATCTGTACAGAAAAATTCGAACATGTCTCCCAAAAACCTCCTTCTCTTCGGCGCCACCGGCACAATCGGCTCCTTCATCCTCGAATCCATCCTCACCGCACGCTCCCAATTCGACCGCGTTGCCATCTTCACTTCCCCCCGCACAGCCGAGACAAAAGCCGCCTACCTCGAGAAACTGAAGGCTCAGAATATCGAGGTTATTGTCGGGGATGTCGAAGATGAGAGCGCCGTCAAGGCCGCATACAATGGTAAGCTACAATTACAACGAACCCATCTACTACCGTGACCTTATATTATCTACTACCTACTATACTATCATACTATACTATACTACACCCACCCCACCCATATCTTATACCACAAACCCAAACCCCAAACCAACCAACCAACTAACAACAGTCCCCAGGAATCGACACCGTAATCTCAGCCCTAGGCCGCACAGCCCTCGCGCAACAAATCCCCCTAATCCGCCTCGCCGCTGCATCCCCCTCCGTAAAGCTATTCCTCCCCTCCGAATACGGCACAGACATCGCCTACAGCCCTGCCTCCGCGACCGAGAAGCCGCACCAGCAGAAACTGAAGGTGCGCGCTGTCCTCGAAAAGGAAGTCTCGCGCGACCAGCTCGATTATGCCTACGTCGTTACCGGGCCCTTTGCCGAGATGTATTTGCATTTTTCACCGGGGCAGGAAGGCGCCGGGGGTTGGGATGTTAAGGCCCGGAAGGCGGTTTTGTTGGGGGAGAAGGGAGAGGAGAGGGTTAGTTTGACGACTATGAAAGAGTAAGTGTTGATTGTTCTTTTTTTCTTTGCTTTGGTTCCTGGCACAGACAGACAGACGGACAGGCTGGATGATGGATTGCCGAATGAGTGAGTGATGTCCACTGACAATATCAAATGATAGCGTTGGAACGCTCGTTCTATCCACCCTGCTCAATGCGTCGCCGAAGATACTTAACCGGGCTCTGTGCGTGAACTCGTTCACCACCACGCCTGCTCTGATCCAGGCCGAGTTTGAGCGTCAGACTACCGGGGCGCCGTGGACGGATGTTTCCTACACACCGCTTGATCGGCTCCGGGAGTTGGAGGCGAAGGCGTGGGAGGAGGGGAAGCCTACCGCGACTGTTTTGACTTTGCGGAGGATCTGGACGGAGGGGGGCACGCTTTATGAGGAGCGTGCTAATGGGGTTATTGGGGAGCCGAAGCTTACGGGGTTAGAAGAGGTTGTTGCTAATGAGATTAAAAGGGTGGCTTCTCTTTAGATTTGAGTTGATACACTAGTAATACTGCTATCAAGATTACGTCTTGGAGATCTGTGTATATACTAGTAGATTTGAAAGATTTTAGTTTGTATTTAGGTAGTGTCTCAAATACCCATTTCCACATGTGCAGGATTGATGCAATCAAAATGGATGTTCATTCGGGTCATGAGCTCTAATTTTAACCTGGTGTACTTTATGTACTTGGTTTTTAATAAGGGAGATACGGATATGATGAAAAAAAAAGGGAATTGGATTAACGGGGACATTTCGGTTCACTAGCATCAGGTTTCACATGGACAAGGGGAATGAATGGAGAACAAAAGAAAACCGGGATAGGTACGGACAATCGCGCCACGGATATAGAACGAAACCAAATCTACTGGAAGAATTTGCGGATGCGCTCTTGATTATCCGGGCTGACGCCGGCCAGAATTGCCTCGGCATTCAAACCAGTAGCGGCCACCAATGACTTAGCGGACTGAGCCACACGAGCAGCAGTTTGGCCTTGTAGGGTAGCGGCTTCGAGAGCCTCCACAATGAAACCAAACACGCGGTCAGCCTTCGCGAAGACAGCTGGGTTTTGCCTAAGAAAAAGAAACAAAGTTAGTAAGATGGGCATGACGATATTTGAATACTCAAAATAAAATGAGGGACTTACTGGTCAATCAACTGAGCAATGAAGGAGTAGGCGTAAGGAGCCGCCTCCTCATCGAAGGTGATGGGAAGGGTCTCAATCCAGTTGGTCACAACTTCCTGAGCACCCTGAACCTTGGAGGCGTTGTAGTGAAGAATCTTGGCAATACTGGCAGAGGCATTCTCAGTGGCAAAAACATGCTCCTCAGTGCGGTTTTGAGGGTGCTGAGTCACCTGGAACAGGCTGGGGATGCAAGCAGCAACAAAGTCGCTCCAGGCGACACCACCCTTTTGAGCAGCAACACCAACACCGTAGGCGGCCGCCTGTCGGTTGGCAGCATTAGGGTCTTGCAGACCGGCAGCCAGGGGCTGGATGATGTGGTCCTTGTATGTCCACGACTCCTGGGAGCAGAACTCCAAAACATCATCCATGATGCAAAGAGCCCATTGGCGCTGTGTAGGGTCCTGGCTGGTGATGAAGTTGTCGTAGAACTGGATCAGCTGCTGCCAGGCGGGCAGGAAAGTTGTGCCCTGGTTCTTGAAGATGGTGTGGAAAGCCTTGTTCATATCACTGAGCAAGTTTTGATCATCCTCGACAGCGTACTCGTAATCCAGGTTCTCCTCATCGCCCTCCTCGAGCTCGGCCTGCTCCTCCAACCGTTGCTTCACACGCATCTGGTAGTCCTCCAAGGTAGACTTGGCGGAGTCAATGAATGCCTGCATGTGCTGCGCAGTCAAGCTGTTCTGGCCGATGACCTCAACCGACTCGTAGAAGCACTGGTACATCTCGGCCAGGGTGTCAACGGTAGGCTCGGCACTCAGAACCTCAATGATCTTTTCAGCAACCTTATTCCACATCTCAGCAAAGGCCGGGGACTGCCCGTGGGCCTTCTTGTACGAGTTCAGGAGTTGGGGGATCAACTTGGCAGCCGACACACGGACGGGGTCGTGGAAGAAGAAAGCAAGACCGGGAACGGCGATCTTCTCCATGGTCTCCAAGACGTAAGGCTCAAAGGCCTCCTCCAAGATCTGAGCGTAGATGGTAATCAACTCAATAGCGGTATTCTTGTCCTCCAGGGCACTGGTCTTGATACCGATGATCTTGCCCTTAAGGGGTACCAGCTCCCAGCCCTCATCCTGTTCAACCTGCTCAATCTGATCTTCATCATCAAGCAGCTGAATATCAGCCTTGGCGGCTGCCACAGTCAACAGAGGTGGCATAACACCCGGAAGGTAGGGGACGAAATCGCGGTTAAGAACACGGCACATACGGCCCCAGCAGTGGAGGAGGTACTGTGACTGAGGATCATCTGCATCGGTGATGTTTTGCTGAATGTTGCCGAGAATCTGCACAAGATTCATGGCATCCGGGCCCATCTTCTCCTTGCCAACAGCCAAAGCGATCAGAGTAGCGCACTCCATGGCCTTGGCGCGAAGCAGGCGGTATTCCTTGCCTTGCTCCTGCTTGAGGACGTCGAGCAGCAGAGGCATCAGGTTCGCGTAGTACTGACCGAAAGCAGTCTCAGCGGAATCGGCAATAGTGGCGATGGTGGAAAGAGCCTGCTCCTGCAGGTAACGTTTGGGGCTGCGCAGAAGATCCAGAAGGCGACTGAGAAGATCTCCAAGGTATGGCTCCAAAATGCTGCGCTCAGCCTCCTCGCAGAAGTTGACCAGGGCGGCAGCTGCGTGAGACTGGACACGGGGCTCAGGGCAGCTCAGAACAGGGATGATGTTGTTCAGTACAATGGCGTGGTACTTCTCCTGCATGGTTCCAGCAAAGTCGGTACTCATCTGACCGAGGGCATTGCAACCAGCGTAGCGAACACGGGGGTGGGGGTCCTGGAGAGCGGGCACAACGAGGGCAAGGACCTGGTCAAGCTCACCGACCATAAGGTCACGACAACCCTCGGAGATGGCAGAGATGGCCATGAGGGCAGCGTGGCGATCGCGCCAGGCAGTAGATCCCATCATGCGGGGGATCCAAGAGAAGGCAGGCTGTAGAATAGCCTCGCCACCGAGCTTATTGGCAAGACGGTCCATACATTGCTCACCAGCAATGTGGTTAAGATCGTTTTCTTCAGGCTCGAGCTAAGAGGCAATCAGCATTTTAAGATCAAATTGATAACTGGGGCACAGGAAAGACTTACATCCTCAGAATCATTCCACTCTTCAGCATCATCATCATCAGCACCGACGTCAGTCATCAGACTCAAGCACTGGGTAACCATCTCCTGTGCAAAGTTCTCCTGCTTCTTGCACATGTTTGGTGCGTAGTCGGCGAAAGTGGCCATCAGCTCCAGTGAGTTCTGGCGAACTTGATCACTGAGATCCTTATCAGCAATGACACTGATGCTGAACTTGACCAGGTCAGCGAAAGAGGCCTTAAACATCTTCGGGCTGATTTCAGCCAGCTCAATCAAGGCAAGGAAAGCTGAAGACAGCTCCTCGCTTTCGTTAGACTCCTTAAGAGGAGGCAAAATGTTAAGCACATCTCCCATAAGCGAGAAGAACTTGGACTGGGATTTCTTGGGGATGGAACGGAACATCGCGGCGAAAGCTTCCATAGCAGCAATTCGCACCTATAGAATAAGACATTTGTGAGCAAATTATGATTCTCCTAGGCCATTTCGAATATCCTGCAAGCATATAACGTACGGCAATATTGTCATCCTTGAATCCCTTGGAAAAGACAGCAAGGATGGCATCCTGGTGTTGCTTCTCGATGATACCGGGAGTAGTTGTGAAGATTCGGAAAGCAGTCTCTCTAAGACCGGACTCGGGGGATTGGCTGGCCTGGAAAAGAATAGCCAGCAGCTCGGGCCATTGTTCGCCTAGAATAAAAGTTCCAACGGTTAGGGTCACTGCCTATACCAAATCCAAAGAAGAAACATGTTTTTGCATACCATTGTCGGTGTATTGGCGAGCCGCCTCGGCCACCGCATCACCGATCTTCTTGCGCACATCAGTGACAGACTCGGTTGTGAGACATGTGATCAACTTTTCCCGAATGGCCACACGCTGCTCATTTGGCAAGCTGAGGAAGATCTCCTTCGCCTCGCCAGTGATAGGGTCCTTGCGAGTTTTTGTTGAGATTCTTCGGAAAAGGACGCAGGAGAAAGCACGAGTCTGGTTAGGAGTTGGCTTGGCATTAGCATTTGTTTTTGTATCGAGTATTGCAGTTTGCACGAGATTTGTCGAAATCTGAAAGTCTTTTCATCCTCATATGTTTTATGTTCCCTCTGTTCTTTCGGCAAGTTCACGATCTTTCAAGGGAGGGGTCGAGTCGGTGGGTACTAACTAATGTGTCTTCGGCTCCTCCAATCTGCTCTGCAAGTCCCATAAGGAGGACATCTGGTCGGTTCTGAACCCAGTCATTGTTAAGCTGGTCTTCAGCCTGTGATCGGACGGCGTTGTCGGGAGTGCTCAGAGAGCGCAGCAGCTGGGACAGCGCGGTGTGGATCTCGGGCGGCAGCAGGGACATGATGGGCGGTGTCTGTTCCCAAGATCCAACAGACAGAAGCAACCCAGTTCGTTGGATCCCTTGAAGTGAGGAGTAGAGTGGGGGGGTTTGAAGGAGGGGTGGTTTAAGAAGGGAGGAGTTTTGTTTTTGGTGGGGCGGGGAGGAAGGGAAAAAAAGATTGATGATTAGGGGAATACTGATATGCGATAGCGGCCACTGAAGATCAGCACTTTTGATGCCGGGGAATACACTTCAGCTACTCATAAGTTGGTAGATATACCTATAATGGGTTTGCTATTGACCTTGAGAGAAACTCGTGGGTCATTTGTTTTCATTTTACATATTTTGTTCTTACTACGCCAACCAAGCTCATTTTTAACTTCCAGGCTTGGATTTATGCCTTTGTAAGAAATATGTACCCGACACAAAGAAGTATTTGCATTGAAGGCTAAAAAAGGCTGACGCCTCAACTGATCATTAATAGAACAGCGGTATCTGAACACATGGTACACAAGTATCGATAATTAGAAGGGGGGTATGCACTCTCTCAAAAAGTTCACAAGGGCCAATATGACGAGTAAGGGAGATTTAGTTGATCAGGAATGTGGGAGGATGTTAGGAACAAGGCTGTGGAAACGAGAGGAAGGGAATATCTAAAGAGGAAGAAAAAAAGAAAAGGAGAGGAAGAACATGAAGCTTGAAGTTTAGCGACCGCTGGGCCGGCTGAGAATGAACACACCAGCAATAACGGCGGCCAAAGTCACGATAGCTCCAGGGAGCAGGAGATCATTAGGAACACCAGCAATGAGCTGGTCTTCGGGGACATTACCATGTCCACGCGAAGGGAGAGTTTGCTGCCGGGGCTTCACAATGGGCTCCTCAGTGGCGCTGGATTCGGCGACACTGGCCTGGTCTTCGATAATTGGGGTGGCAGGTTTAATTGGCTGGGGCTCAACGGTGGCAGGAATGGGTGGTTGAGAAGGATCATGAACAAACAGATCAACCTTTTCGCGGTGGGTGTGACGTGCAAGGTTGATAGCATCCAGCATGTCCTGGTCGGTGGTGATGGAGACAGTGTCTCCCTCATTGTCCATGTAGCTGAGAGCATAGCCGGTGTTGCTAAGGCGGCCTTCTTCAACCACCGCCTCACCACCAACAGCCTCGACTTCGCTGCCCAATTTGGCAGTTACCTGCTTAACAAGGTCTTCGACACCCGCGGAGGTCAATACGTTAACGCGGTGCACACGTCCACCGGGAGCCTTGAACTTGAAGGGGAACGGAACATCCTCAACTTGGTGATGGTGGTGTTGGGATGCAACCTCGGAGTGGTCCTCGCCGCCATTGTGTGATGCGGAATCGTTGGGAAGGACGCTGTTATCGTAACCTGAACGAGCCAGGTCGGGGCTCATAACAGAGCGGTTATGGGGAGTGTGCGGCTGCTGGCTCTGGCTGCCTGAGACCATCGAGTCCGACTCATGGTCCATCGAAAGCCAGAACTTGTTCCATGCAGGACCTTCGTCATCCTGAGTCGACATGGTGTTGATCTGTTCAAGAGTGGCGTAAGTGAGCTTCAACACATCCACCATACCGACAATTTCGCCGCCCTCGTTCATGACGGGGAGGTTAAGGTAGTGACCATCTGTATGTCAAAGTTAGTAGACCGCCATGTGTACTTCAAGTCTAGATCAACTCACCATGCATCTTACGGAGCGCGGCCTGGATGCTCATATCGGAGGGGGCAAAGTCAGGGTGAGGGGTCATCACGCGGACGACGCTGCAGGTGGCCGGGTCGAGGCCAGGAGCAATGACACGCAGAACAACATCTTTGCTGGTGAAGATACCAGTGATTGAACCCTGGTCCTGCACAAGCAAAGCAGTGGTGTGGTGTTCCTTCATCAGAGCTGCAGCATCCTTCACAGTTGTCCGGACTGAGACAGTCACCGGCGGCATGCCGTCCAGCACCGACTCAAGGGTCGGGCCAGACATCTTCGACCGCAGAGCCTCGACATATTGAATGACCTGCTGGGGTTGGCTAGAGCCAAGCTCGGTTTGAACGCCCTCCAAGGCATCGTAAAGCTTGCGGGACGAGCTGTAGGCGCGCTCCAACTTCTCCATCGCGTCGTAGAAGCACTTTGTAATATCCAAAACACCAGAAATATCCTGGTTCTCATCCATGACTGGCAAATGTCTGAAACCCTTGCGAACCATCAGATCAAGCGCATCGGTTGCGCTGGTGTCTGTTCGCGCACATAGAGGGTTCTTGGTCATGATCTCAGAGACCAAGACCTCACGGGCCTTGAGGCCCATACCAATAACACGGAAAGCCAAGTCCTTGGCCGTGAAGATACCGGCAATGCGCTCATCGTCGTCGGTGACCAACACGCAGTCCTCGCGCTTGGCGGCCATCAACTGAGCGGCCTCCGAAATGCTAAGGGAGGGCTTAATCTGTAGGGCCTGACTGGGCTTCAAAGCCAGGACGGTCCCCGGTGGGGCTTTGCGGGAACGGGTGGCCTTGGTCGGGTTTTGCCTCTTTTTGTTGAGGTTGGCCTCCATCTTGAGGCGGATTGCCTATCAACAAAAAAGCGGTCAGCAAGTCAAAGAAATCAAAATAGTCGATAACAACAATGAGAGTCGAGCCAAATCAAGTGCAGGTAAGCTTGAGGATTTCAGTCCAGTGAAGGGCTGCCCAAAAGAGGAAACGGGCGGAGTCTTGGGTAGAATATAGATCGGGTGATCACGTACCTCATCACGCTTCGACTGGGTTTGTCGCTGTCTGCTGCTGGCGGCGCTCATGGTGCCGGTTCCGCTACCAACTTCGCTGGTTGGGGGGTGGGAAGAGGTAGGTTCAGGGCGGTCGGATCGGGGCCGGGGGATGTGGGAAGAATTGGAGCTGGAACCGTCAAAGTCGGGCAGCCTTCCTCTGCCGATGGTCTTATTGGGCGTTCCACGAAATGTGCCGGTATGCGACATCTTTATGGAATAATACCAAAAAAGAGGGATAAAGAGGAAGGGGGGAGGGGAAGAGAGACAAGGGTAATTAGGAGAAAGTACAAGAAACAGCAGCAAGGGTGAATTTTTTTTTTGTTCGAAGTCCCAATGAGAAGTAGTCGACTGACGATCCAGACAGGGGTGTTTGTCTCCTCGTTGTCCCGCAGGTAAACACGGGGATTAAGTAATCACATGATTTGACGGTTCGTTCCGGACACTACTCTCAATTCGGAATAGCGCTTCTCGTGACCTCACACATGATGTGCTGTCAGGTGACGTTGCTTTTGTCTCCTCAAAAATCAGGTGTTAAGGTGTCCGTGGGTCTCGCTTAAGGGTTTAGGGCTTCCCACAACACAACCACTATCCATTCCCGATGAGTCTGTGAGTGAGCGAGCTTCGACAACCCACCCTCGACAAATCAACCGTACGCTACCCCTACCCCATATACGATCTGTTTTCAACCTCTAACCCCCAACCAGATCAATCCGTCAAAATGGTCAAGAAGCGGGCGAACAAGTAAGACCGAATCCCTCCCCGTCGCCTCGAATTTCGACCCCAGAACTCCCATTCGACTTGAACCTCCCGCAATGATGCCAAAGCCACGCACAAATTCTATCAGAAGGACAAAGACAAACACGCCGATGAATTTCACGCCATAGCAACAACGTACGCGCATTGCCGGAAACCAAGAAGAATGGGAGCCACTGGAGGAACAAAACGAGACACGAAATTACACCCGTGAAAATGGATATATGTTTCGCACAGCACGAACATATATATCATATATCACGAATTCAAGAACGAATCACTGATTGATTTTTCTAGCGGTCGCAACAAGAATGGCCGCGGCCACGTCAAGCCGGTGCGTTGCTCCAACTGCGCCCGCTGCGTTCCCAAGGATAAGGCTATCAAGCGCTTCACCATCCGCAACATGGTTGAGTCCGCTGCCATCCGTGATATCTCCGATGCCTCCGTCTTCGCCGAGTACGCCGTTCCCAAGATGTACCTGAAGCTCCAGTACTGCGTGTCCTGCGCTATCCACGGAAAGATCGTTCGGTACGCCATCTCCCATCCAACCAGCAAAATACGTGGCGAACAGCCGCTCCACTGCTCACCTGCCAATCAACATGAATACTGACCCCAAATTATAGTGTCCGTTCCCGCGAAGGCCGCCGCAACCGTGCTCCTCCTCCCCGTATCCGCTACAACAAGGACGGAAAGAAGTTGACTCCCCCCCAGGCTGGCAAGGCCAACTAAGGGATCGGTGACGGTTGTTCAACGAACAAAATAAAATGGAAATAGTCTGAAATGAATTCTTTTATTTTGTCTCTTTTTTTCCCGTGTTGATCTTCTTACCACGCGGTTTTTGGCTCGGTCTCAAAAACGTCCAAGGGGCGCGGATGGGCCGACCGGCGATGCTGTGACGAATTGATAAAAATTGGATGGATTCGACATTGATTTGTTGGATGGATTGACATGATGGCTGCTGGGATTTGGGGTGGCTAGGGGAGTCTACAATGAGGATTTATTCACATGGGCTCGTCTGTCGCTTTTCTTACTACTACCATTGTCTGGGTTATGTCTCCCTCGGGTTGCTTGAGCCCCAGGTTAGCCTAGGGAGGAGGGTGTGCCCCATTTACGGGCTTTAGAAAATACCAAAAAACTTCTCAAAACTCCAAAAATTGTCTGTAAATCATATTCATCAAGCGCATGGCCCCTCTGATATCATACACGAGGCCCACTTAGTTAGTACATAGATCCTTTATGGGTATAGATATCCCTTCTCGAAATAATTCCCATACATATCGACCACCCCACTTCGAACCTTAGGCATTGGATTTCTGACAACCTTAACCTCCCCCTTCCAATGCCCCTCCACGAAATGCGCCATTGATCCCTGTGCCGAAGATGTTGAGTAGATACTCGACACCCCGGTTCCAGCTGTACTCCGCCGTCCTCTCTCCCGCCGCAACAGCTGCTCATACTCTGCCTTCTTCTCACGTCGGAAAGTAGCCAGCTGCGCGACCAGGTCCACATTTTGCAAAAGCTGCTGCTGTATGCTTTCTCCAGCGCGATGAGATCCAGAAGACGTCATACCCCGCAATGGGTTGTTGGCCCCGCGTGGTAGGGGTGATTCAGTGCGCGAGGGAGAGTCTTCGTCCGAGGGTATCAGGGAGACCTTTTCGTTTAGCACTGCCATGGGGAAGTACTTCCCCGGATCGTTATCGGGTATTCCACATTCTTCCTCGCCGAAGAAGCTAAAGTCGTCCGTAGCAGCAGCCCATAGAGACTCCGAGTCGCGATCTCCGGTGCTAGATACTGTGTTTCCGTTACGCTGATTCGCCGGTTTCCAGGATGTTAGTCGAGTAGAAGTATCAGTGACTTCAAGAATGATGCGGCGAAGACCGAAGACCGAGCGGGAGCGTTGTTGCTCCGCTTGGTAGCGGGCCTGACCTGGTGGGAGAGAGTAGTCTGAGCCAGCTTGGAGGGTTGCGAGAAGGGATTCGTTGGAGCAGGCTGTGATAAAGCGGGTGAGGGTATACAAGATTGGGGAGTTGGGTGGAATGTGGGATGGGATGTCTGTTAATACTAGTGTTTCGCAGTGGGGGAGATGTGAAGGATGTAGATAGGGAAATCGGCTTTCCTTGCCGCTTCGTAGCGGTAGGGATTGGTTCCTTGGGCGCCTTGCGAGAAGCTCTTGAATCCTTTGAGCTTGGGGATCGTTCGATGTAAGATGAGAGCTGCAAATTGAAAGTGGTTGAAGCGAGTCGATGTCACTAGGGCTTTCACAGTAGGCTGTTCCATCCGAAATGGACTCAATGACCTCTGGGGCGAAAGCTGATCCCCTCCTGGCGGTGACCATGACTTCATCATATAGCTGTCCCGATTTTTCATTTTGAGTCGTGCTAGGGCTCATGACTGTGCTCGTAGATTCGGCGAGGGACGTATCTGCAAGTTCATAGACTGGTGCTTCTTCATCAGGAAGCTCATATATTTGAGCTTCAACCGAAGCATCTAACTCAGCCCCACGAGGCACTTCACTAGTCCCGAGCTCTGGAAGAAACTCGGACTTGGAGCCGAAGTCTTTCAACGGGGGCTCAGCAGTAAGTACTGCATGATGGACACGGAAATAAGTCAATTTATCTCCAGCAACTTTCCCTAAAAGAGGAACGAGCTTCTCTGCACCGGGGTATTTCTCCTGCTTTAGAGACAGCGCTTTTTTGTGAATGACATCTGCGCTTTTGACAGTCCCAACATCGAGGGAATAGAGACTGGAGGCGGCCAACAGGGCGGCTACGCCCTCCACGCTGATATTGTTGTTTGCGATATAAAGATGAGTGATACCCACAGATGGTAAGTAATCAACCCAGGGGTGACTAGACGCTTGACTGGCGAGGAATTTTAAATACTGCTCGTCTAGGTAGGGCGACTTCAAGAAATCCGACCCAAGACCTCGAAGAGCCGATTGGGCGACAGGATCTGGGGAAGTTCCAGTACGTCTCATACAACGTGGTTGTAGCGGTTGCTGATTTGGCGCCAGAAAAGAGGCCTGCAGCAGAGAGCGAACGGCCATATCAGTGAGCAGGTTATTTCGCAAATCCAAAAACCGGACTCGATTGCCGATGGCGTTGGCTAGAAACTCAGCATCGGCGTCCTTCAAGCCAATACCGCGCAACTTCAGTACTTGAAGATGTTCAAGTTGAGATAGACACGATAATACGCTCGGGTCTCGAACGGAAACCGTGTAGGAGAAATCCAGATAGGTCAATAGGGGAAATCGAAGAAGAGTTTCTGCTAGACCTGCAGGGGTCGTATTTGGCTCATGATCTGCCAGCAGGAGACGGATATTGTAAGTCCGTTTTTGTGAATTTTTCAGAGCAATCATGCAGTTGTGATCGAAGAATGGTAGTCGCGAAACCATCAGTGACTGCAGACAAGGCAATGACTCTAGAATATCCTTTAGCCATCCTGGTCGGGGGCCATCATAGATCTCCGATAAAGCCGGTGGAAGATGAAGTGTATGTGTTAATGCGCGAATTTCTTGTCTCGCATACTTCAAGGTTCTCCTAAACCGCGTCAGGGCAACTGATTATACATAGTCAGCCAAAGGTCTGAAGCGGAGCCGCACATGAAATACCGTAGACGGCATCGTTGTCTGTGCCAAAATGTGATGCTGGGCTACCCCATAGGAAGGGCATAAATAAGTCATGCCATCGATGGCATACTAGTGAAACTGCACAAAGGTCACTTGAGGGGATATAGTGGGCGATGATGACCCATGCATCCCGGTCCGTTGCCGACTCATATGACGGTGGTATCAAATCCATCTCATTGTTTAGCTTATGAGATTAGTTCATGGGCTGTCTCTCATTTTATGCAAAAGTGGGCTTTTCTTCCGAAAATATGATCAAGTGGCCAAATTTTGCGTCTTGCAAGGTGCCCTGCATAGCCACGTTGAAGTACTGTGGAAAAGCGGAGAGTTCCGCAAGACTGAAGTGCCCCATTTTGAGGTCCGTGTGGGTGGGGAAAGCTCTTAGCCTAATTTCACTTTGTATATAGTCTGACAAGTCTTGCTACAAAAGTATGCAAAAATCACCAATTTCCTACATTTCAGACAGTTCGTCAAGATTTCTCTCGGTTTGTGGGCCTCAGAGTATTTGGATAACAATTTCCAATGCATGTTTTTGAAGGTACATGGGCTCAATTTGAGGCTTTTCAATATTATGATGTCATCGGGCGACAACACTTTGGGCGAGGTAAACAGTCCACCTAAGCATAACTTCAAATCTAAATATCAATGGATTTGAAAAAGCCAAGCTTGATAGCTTTAATGCATGGCTGGTTTTTTCTATATACGGAGAAGAAAAATAAGGTAGAAACCGGAATTAAAAAGCTTCATCGCTCCAAGGTATCTGCAACAGGATCACCAACTAAAGAAGCCCACCAGCCCCATTGCCACCGATGAGCGGAAATCCAAGTTCACTCCTCATGGCTTGCTTGAAGATCAAATCAGACTCAAAGTCCAATCCCTTTTCGCCAAGTTCTATCTTACGCAATCGGGCTTGGATCACCGCGCAGGTCTCAGCCCAAGCACAGACATTACCCGCTAGACCCTCGAACAACGAGTATGGATCGTCGGGCATACGGTAATCCTTCTCAGAAGATTCATTCGTTTTGTTGTAAGGTCGCGTCTCGCGTGAGTGCAACATGAATGCCAGAGCCCTCGATAAAAAGAAATCCGAGGTGAGCTCCGGGCTCCGGTCTTCTTTCGAAGATGCCAACCGCGAGCGCTGCATGTAGGCAGCTCTAGCAGCTTCTAGCTCCACTGAGTGGTATTCAAAAACGTTGTGCAGCATGAGCCAGGGCCATCCGTTACCAGAGATCCCGTGACACAGACTTCCTCCCTTAGATAGAAGGCCTTCTTCCCAGATTCGCTGAGAGGCTTCGTAGATAGTTTGGTTCCATTCGGGACACCAGTGATTTTGAGTTAGAGACTTGTTCTTCAAAGCTGCTGCTAAGAGAATCAGGATCCCTGGGCTTCCATGGCAGAGCTGCACAAGCTCCGAGGCTTGTCCGAAACTGAATGGCGGGAGAGTCATTGGGAGATGGCCGTCGATTGAAAGACTGAGTTTGCAGAGGGCCGTGATGGTTTCTCCAATAATATCAATGTGCTTTGTGAGTTCTTCTGGCCTAGCCGAAAGGATGATGGGCAGTATACCAGCTAGATACCAAACAGTAAGTATTCAATTCCGCCAATGCTTGTTTCGCGAAGCAACTTACTAATTCCATGCACGCTGATCAGGAACTATTAGTATTTCAAGCCTTAAAAATTATATAGAAGATCAAACTTACGCTCCAAAGCAGTAGTGTCCCTCCATCCAGGCATACATCAACGGGTGTGCATCCTGTGCCCCATTCTTCTCAATGTAAGCTTTCGAGCACTGGCGTCCAGAGTCTATAATCACATCGACTAGTTTTGGGATTGTCTCGAAAAGCGGACCAAGTGCCCTTTGGGTTTCTTCACCAAATTGATGCGTGCGAATGTTCAGTAGAACCCATAGGAGACCTGCACGACCAAACAGCATCTCGTCACCACCCATATTCCGGCCATCATGAGGAACAAGAGGCCCATTTTCCAGAGCAAAGTTGGCAGCATCGAGAAGACATGTGATATCCTGCTGAGAAATAATGGGCTTAGAGCTTCTTTCCCAGTCAGATTTCGCGTTTGCTGATAGGACACGCAGAGTTACAGCAGCGATAGGGGAAAATGATCCTGCAGGAGCCAATCGAGATGGCAATAAAGGTATATCAGGAAATCCCAATGGAAGCCGGTCGAGCGCAAACTGGCGGTACCGTGACTGCGAATCATCGTCCTCACTCAATACCGAGGACTGGTAGTCAAGACGTAAAAAAGCAAGGATGATACCTGTGAGTGACAGCAATGTTGTTAGCACATACGGCATTGGCCATAAAGTAAACATATAAAAACGGAAGTTATTTCCGACGAGCGTTCATACCTGGAAAATGTTTAAACATGCCACCAATTGGCCATTTGTCTTGGGGAGTTTCATTGGCGTGAATAGCTTCAGCTCCATAGCGAACTGCGGTACGCAATTCCTCCAAGGATTCCGCGAGCGAGGCTGCATTGACCTCTAGCGGCTCTAGGGTATTTTTATAGTACTGTGGGCGTTCTGCCATTTTTCGTTGTAAGATCTTGAGATATAGATCAATGTGATAATATTTTTCGGGATGGCGTGCTAAAGTGATGGCACCTGGGGGTGATTGGGACTCGGAGCTTTCGATCGGAAACACTCGACCCCCGCCCGATGAACTCTCGCCCGATTTGAAAGGCAGGCTCAGGCGGCAGACCCCTCGTCATAGTAAGGACAAAGCTAGCTCAATTAGTTAATGACGATCAAGGACTGCACCAGTGATTGGCCTGCATCTGACAGAATCTCAAAATGTCGGTGGCGGGTTGAACTCCACAGAGGGGACAGCACGAAGCTGTGCAGATGCTAGACAGGGAACTGTTGAGGTATATCGCTCAAAAAATCTCATCCCCCAAATTGATGGATTTTATCTAGATAGTAGTGGGTATTGTATAAGTGCATAATTTGATGAATTTTCTAGGTAATGTTAAGCCATAGTAAACAAAATGCGTGGTTGTGAAAACCTTTGTGCACCCATTAAAGGCAATAAATACTTGCTCTCCACGCCGCACGATCTCAGATCAACAAGCCTAGAATAAGCCTAGTTGTGGAAGAGGGAATATAGCATAAATCCCTAAGGGAGTGGTGATAAATATTGACTGTTGAGAATATTGGATAAGGTGTCACTGAAAGTACAACTACAAAGGTGGATTCCCTGTACTGACCGCCTTTCTTCATGCCACATTGAGGTTCTGCCAAATACAACCGCCTTCTCAACTTGTCTGCGCTCTTTTTGCCTCTTTTTCTCGTGACGTTTACGTTTTGCCACTACAGACCGGCTTCTTTACTTGTCAACTCCTCTTTCTGCACTCCCAGACCGCCTACTATTATTGTCACAACTCTGTTTTGCCGATAAAAACCGCCTTCCATTGCGAGCCCCAGCATGAGTCAGCTGCTGAGTCATCAAGGACCACGGCTTCTTAACTTGCGTTGCAGCGATTCCGGACTCGAGAATACTCACGCGGTCCACGAAGTGCCAATAGGCTTCTAGAAGCAGGCCAGAATTGTCAGTTCCCACCCCTTCTTTTGATGACCTTGGTGTTTTCAAGACATAATTTAAAGCTCTTGCCCCTCTCAATCTCTGTCTATATCATCATCTCCTCTGATATCTTTATAATGCATGGATTGCCAAAAAAGAACTGATTGACTAATATGGCAACCAGTCCCGTGATCAGCACTGACTCAAGAAGACCAGAGTATACTTCAAGCCATCATGTCTGAGCTCCGTGGAGATGCAGAGATGGTTTCGACAGGTCAAGAGATGGAATATCCTCTAGCACTAGCCCCTCGACAAGTCGTTCTTCGCGACCGGGTGACGGTGGCAACATTGATGCCATTCGCTTCGGGAGACGATGTGCCCGCATCCCTACTCAAGTATCTCTCTGACCAATTCAACAAGGAGATTGCAAAGGGTGACACATATGCCATCGCGGAATCGATTCCCTTGGCGCGGTTCAGCCGCTACTGGTTCTCCGATTTCGGTGTGGTAATGCTACTCGGTGATATCAAGAATGTACAGCAGACCCACTCTATGGACAAAAGTGGTGCCAACTGGGGCAAGATATGCCTGGGTGGCTTTCACATTCGTCCTAACTACCCCGGCCACAGTAGCCATGTTTGCAATGGTACTTTTATTGTTACAGACGCAGCCAGAAACAAAGGTGTAGGTAAGTTGATGGGTGAAGGTTATCTGGAGTGGGCGCCTCAATTGGTAAGTATCACGCGCTATCCCCCATACTATAACACGGCTGGAGGTTGAACCTTTCACCTAGGGCTACACATATGCAGTATTCAACTTGGTCTACGAAAGCAATGTTGCCTCATGTCGTCTATGGGATTCTCTTGGCTTCAAGCGCATTGGCAGAATTCCCGGTGGAGGAAGGCTCAAGGGGGAGTATGTGGATGCGATTATCTACGGTCGAGGTCTGAGTCTAGACTGCGAGGATCTTGCGTCACAAGATCGATTTGACAAGATCCGGTATTATCTCAAACATCTCAAGTATCCCCAGGGCGCAGATCGCGCTGAGAAGAGTCGGCTGCGTAGCGCTGCCACCCACTACAAGCTCATTCCAAGCGAAAACGGGGATCATGAGAAGCTGATGCTCAAGGACAAGGAAGTCATATCGGACCCACAGCAACAGTATGATATTGCAAAGGACAACCATCTCCTCCTACATGCTGGCATTAACAAAACAACCGCTGCCATTGCGACCAAATACCACTGGGTTCGCATTAAGGAAACGGTCAACCGAGTGATTCGTGATTGCCCGCAATGCAAGGAGACTCTCAAAGCGCCACCTGTTCCAGGAAGCCAAGAGGAGGACGATTCACCCGTGGATACATCGGACCTGCCAGACGACAGCATGGATCAGGGCGAGGACCACATGGTTGTCTCACAAGAATCTGACGAAGAAACAAATGACCCCCGTACTCAAAATTCTTTCATCAACTCAGCAGTACCAGGAAACGTCCCTGCTCATGTACCTGGAACGGTGCATCATATGACAAACTACGCCCCGATGCCCCCCCTTGATCCCCAGATCATGCATTTCCAACAACAGCAGCAACAGCTGCGACGTTACCAACAACAACACGCCATGCCCAATGTCTTCCCCCCGGGCCCCAACATGGGCCTCACGAATTTTGACGATGCGATGCGCTACCACACGGCCAATAATGCATACCAAATGATGGTTGACGACGGTTCCGATTCCTTTCGACAGGAGGTATTGGGACTTATGAATACAACTCCACATGACCAACTGCAACACGACGCGGAGTTGCTGTCCAAATTCGATTATGGCAGCCCTTCGGAAACAAATGACTATTACAACTGAGCTGGCCTCCACCTTATCTTATATTCACCATCTCCCCTACGACCTAGTATTGGCATGCATTGTTATGGGTTATGGGAAAACACTATTTCTGTATGATCGATCAAACTGGCAGGGTTAGACATGTCTACCCAGGCATTTCGGGGGTTATTATTTATCTGCATCAATACTAGGCATTTTTATTTCGGCATCCAATTTACATATTTTTTTTCATCAAAAACCCCATAGCCACGTTTGTTCAAACCTTTGATCTCCCCGGCAAAAACTTGCAAATGTTCAAGCTTGGAATACATGGATCGTAGGTAATACCTACTATCACATAGCGGTGCATCCAAGAGCGCTGGAGGTAGACTTGAGTAGGTACATAACTACTACCTAGTTGTAAATAGCAAAACATTTGAAGATATTTTTGATCTCAAGCTTTGTCCAAATCGGGCTGTTTCCAAGGTTTCCGCGGAGACTACAGATCGGGAGTCATCAATGCTCTATTTGACTTCCACGATCACCATTAATTCTCCAACGACGATCCAATGAAAGAAAAGGCATCAATGGGAAAATCTAGAGAAAAGAACCATCCATCTCATTGGGAGGTGTCATCGAGTGGCGTATCCCAATGCTCCAATTCTCCGGGACAAACCATGGATCCACGTCAACCACCAAGGATCATAGGATCATGAGCTCGATATATGGCTTGGCAGCTCGAACTTTCCACAGCGAAAACTCCATCCTATAAAAATCAAATCGCCAATATCTTCATGTAAGGCTTTGTGCACCGTCCGTGACGGGCCTGTCGCGCGATATGTCATCAGAAGCGCTGGCTACACTACTGGCCCAGCCAGCCCTCCCACCACCACCCGGCGTCACAGCCAATTTTGATAACCCACCGAACAAAAATACCCTCGCGTGGGTGGTGACGACCTTGTGCCTGGTAGTTGCTACAATATTCGTGTTATTACGTTTGTGTGCTCGTGTCTGGCTGGAGAAAAAGATGCGCCCGGAGGAGGGTGAGTACCCGTAGCTTCATGCAATAGTATAGTCAAAACAAGGCTGACATCTATCTCGAAAGTTTTGATGATTTGCGCATATGTATGCTGTCAATTGTCGGTCCTTATACTAAATACGTCCTCTTGCTAACTTTGCATCCTAGGGAGCATACTGCGGCACTGCATATGCCGGCTATTCATTGATCTATACCCCAGGATACTTCATTCATACTTGGAATCTGACCAACGGAGACCTCATTAGACCCTTTTATGTATGTTCGTGCCATTTTATCTTAATTCTTTCCGAATGCTTTACTAATCTCCGCCGCCAGTTGATTCTTGTCTATGGATGCTGCTACTCGGCAGTTCTGCCTCTAATCAAGACCGCGATCTTACTGGACTGGTGTAGAATATTCGTCCATATCAACCGCACTCAAGACCCCTTCTGGTGGGGCTGCATGATCATCATATCCGTCCAATGTCTATGGGGTGTCCTCTGCATCATCCTATTGAACCTGCAATGCAGGCCCCACGACGCCATCTGGAAATTCTACCTCCCAAGCAAATGCTACTCCCTTCCCGACGTAATGCTCACATCTGCCAGCGTGCAGGTGTTTTCCGACATAACAATGTTCTTCCTTCCGCAAAGGATCATTTGGGGCTTACGGATCAATTGGCAAAAGAAGATTGGGGTCTCCATTCTCTTCGGTGTGGGTATATTGTGCGTATCACCTCCAATGCTGTCCAAGTGCTCAACAACTTACTCGCAGACAACAGTGCTTCCATCGCGGCCTGCTTTCGCCTAGCCCGTACCGTCGCATTCGCCAGAACGTCGGATAGAATGTATCTTCTAGGTCCATTGCTGTTCTGGGCTTGCGCTGAAATGACCTGTGGCTTTTGCATCTTCTGTCTGCCCTGTCTCTCTAAGTTGGTTATGGAATCTGGGCTTCCTCGTCGTGTTAAGAGCGGACTTGGTTTCAGTCCCAAGTCTAGTCAGCCTTCGCAGGGTTCGGATCCTCCACACATATCGCCCCGTCCAGGTCGTTTTCATCCTTCGAAGCACCCGCTGGATTCGGATGCTTCGTGGTCTAGGATTGAAGATGGTGATATGGATTTGGAGGCTTCGGGGCGATTATGATTCCAAGTGTATCTTCATCAACGGTGATGCGGGACTGGGATGCCAAAAATTAGTGATGGCTCATATATCAGGCGTCAGAATTCCAAACATCATTCATGTATCACACTAAAGGTGAGCGGGAGAATGATTTGGGTCAGTTCAAAGCCATGGTTGCCTTTCTTGCACCTGGAATCAACATTGAACCCACAAACCTTCCTCAAGCTTCAAATGTTGGAAGCTAGGAACCTTGGAAGTTAGAATGCATCCATGGGTATACCGTACGTACATATTATATAGGCACCGAGATTAGATTATACAACTATGAGGCGCATCCATATACAGAGAAAAAACGATGAGATGAAATCCGAGGACCAGTCTGATTCTCGCTAATTACAAATCTAACAGTGGTTCCAAGCCAGGTATATGTACAAAAACCCATGGATCAAATAAGCACACGGCGCAAGCCCTCGGTTCCACCGAGGACTCTCCTGCCGGTGACAGGGCATCGTCCCCTGCCACTCTCCCATTTGCCGCCACGCTTACGAGAGCCAGGCTCTCCCTCAGTGTCGTCTGCGTTCTTCTCATCTTCGTCACCGACAATTTCTTCTTCCCATGCTGCACCAGCTCCTTCTCCGTTCATGAAGTCCAGCTGGCGCTGGTGCTCGCCGTTGATCCAGTGGAAAATACAGACATAGCAGAACACATATCCTGTTTGACAGGCTGTCGGGTTGACCAAAGTATTCAAGCAGACGGGGCAGGTGTTCGCGCTTGAGGTATCTGCTAGTGGTAAGGGGACAGTGAAGATGGGCAGATATGAGGTAGCCGAGATGGGGTGTTGATGGCGACGGGGAGGCTTGAGAGCAGATTTGAGATCTCCAGCAGCCTTCTTCTCCTCGGCCTGCTTCTTCTCCTTTTCTTCTTGGCCGGCCTTCCGTCGCTCGGCCGGGTTCGTCAAACCCGAGACAACAGGCGCAGGGAGGTCCAAAACCTCCGTTGCTTTGCGAGCCAATTGCCGCGAGAAGTCACTCGCGTGCCACCATTCCAGGAACTTCAATGCAAAGATTGATGCTGGGAGGAAATAGCGTACGGAGGTGAGGAGTGGCGATGACAGGTTCTGGGGACTCAGAAGGCCCATCAAGCCGGATCCAGGTCGCTGGGATATGTTACCGCCGGACGCAGGCTTCGGGTCTAACACCTCAGCAATGGCACGGTGATCTGCGGCTCCGAGGCGCCGAATGCGCGATCCAATGAGCCAGAGGAAGGGAGAGGAGTATTTCGTATTATCGAACAGGTAAGCAAGATTAAAGGCCAGGATCGAGAAATAGTAGGCCGCGTTCACGGAGGGGTATATATTGCGTAGGAACCACTTGTAGTAGTGGAAGATGCGTTGGCGCAGCGTCGGGCGCGGAGGCAGATCATCGCTGGGGTTATATCGTGGCCCTCCACCCAAGACTAGGGATGCTTGAGGTGCCGCATGAATGTCGTATCCTTCATCAAGTTTGCGTTTCAGATATGGGATCCCGACCATGACGAGGAGGTTCTTCCACACGTCGGCCGAGTGTAACTTGAGGGCATCGCGCACGGGGCCAGCGGCGCCGACCTGGGCGCGTGGGATTTCGCCATTTTTTGTGCGGAGAACGCGCTCGCGTTTAAGGGAATAGAAGTTTTCTGTGAAGGAGCCGCCGAATGTGCGGAGATAATAGCGTTCAACGACTAAGGAGAGGAGGGCGTAAACCTCATCATATGAATTGAGAATCCGGAGTAGGTACCGCGGATGACGGTGTGTCGCGACGGCAAGTAGATATCGGAGGGATGGAGGGAGTAAGTCAGAGAGTTGCTGTTCAGCGAGGAGTTCTAGATGGACGCGATGCTTCTGTTAGCGATGTCGCTTAGGTATGGCAGTTCCCCGGGTTTCGAGGAGTCACTTCCCCGCGAGGCCGCGGCGTGGGGACTTTACCGAAGAGCGACGGCTTGTGCTCATCAAACTCTTGCTGAAGACTAGGAAGATACTCCATTGTCAAGAGCACCGGTCATCTTTGACTGTAGATGGGAGAGGTAGAGAGCTGTTTAGTGGAGGAACGGGGAGAGCGGAGGTCCAATCCTCATGGCCGGATCCAGTGATCAGCAGCCGAGGCTCAACTTGCCCGAGCGGGACTACATTTGACAACCAAAATCCATAATACAAGAAATGACGATATTGTGTTGGTACAAGGTATAATTTTGGATATAAATACATAATGTGATTTTTGTTACATTCAGTTCTCTTCCATCATCTCCTCAGCTTGCGCCAGTGCCCGTTGACACTGAGCCCATAAGTCCGTGAAGTAGCTGGGAGAATCATCCTCGGCTCGGTGTTGGATTTCCGGGTCTGCCACCAGAATACAATGCATGACGGCAGTGACAACAGGGCCCTGTAGAATGATAGGGATCATTTCCCGACGCATCATGGGCACCCAGGTAGACAGGACTTCTCGGGCCCGTCCCTCTTCGCCAAGCTCCGCATGAAGTTGAAACATTTGGGCATAATCGGCTTGGGTACGAGCAGCATTCTTCAGAGGAAATAGACGCCACAGACGCCAGAATCCATCATAATCTTGACACCGGAATTGAGTGAACATAAGCTTGCGAGCTTCGGTCGCATCAAAAGGAACCTCAGCTGCGGCAACAATTTTGGAGAGACGCTTCAATGTCTGACGTTTGTCACCTGCGGCTTGTTCGACTTCTTCAGGAGACAATGATAGCGCAGAAGGAGTGTTAACGACTTCGTAGAACATATTGAACACTTTCATATTAAGAATGGACACACCACGCAGGCTGAGACGGTCTAGCACCTGGAAAGCAAGCTCGACATCAGCTTCAGGTAGGAACTGCGCAGGTGTCTGAGAAGATGTTTGCAGGCGCGGTGTTAAGAGAGCGGCAACGATATCGAAGGCGATTTCGTCTGATAGTTGATAACCATTGGTAAGATACTGGTTGAATTTGTTGAGAAGGGCGTCCTTGCTGTAGCTAGGATGCTGTCGAGATACCGCAATTGAGTCTAGTCGCAATTGCAGAGCGGCTTTTTCTGCTGTAGAAATATCGGTCGGCAAGCTAGCATATAGAAGCTGCAGGAAAAGAGTCGATGTGTAATCACCAGGGCCGGTTCCAAGCTCACTTCGAGCGTTCTCAGGGTTGAGTCCGACTAGCTTTTGCATCAACGATTCGGTGCTCACGCCAGAGCCAGCAGGGTTGGAGGTAGTAGATGACTCCTCTAGTGTCTCAGCTAGGCCCGCAGCTGCCTTGTCTGTTCGCCCTGTGTGCATACCTCGACGCTGACCACCAGGGGTGCTCATGCCTCCGCGGCCAGTGCCATCGATTGTAGGGTTGCGTTTGGGGACAGGTTCCGAGGCATTCTGCAATCTCTTGCGCTCAGCCCGATCCAAAGTCCCTTGCCAGAGGCCGTCCAGATCAACATCAGCCCGCTTTTCTTCGGTGAAAATCTGCACCACCACACTTGTTCCACTGTCAAGCTGACCGAATCCTTCAAACCCAATCTCACTGAGCTGGGGACTGGCCACATCCTTGTCAACTACACCCATATTTACACAGATCCATCCGGTGGTGATTCCGTCATCTTTTTCGTCGATCATGGTGCCTGCGTGACTAGCGGCACGAGCGCGCTTGGCCTTGCGGCGGAGCTTAATCTTCAACTCATTGCGACCCAGCAATCCATCAGCGTATGGCGAAAGCTTGTACGTGCTGCGAAGCCAGCGACACAAGCGATCGGCTGAAACGTTCAAGTGTTTCACGCTGCGAGCAGTACCGACGATCATAATGACATTGGCGCCCAGGGCTGCCGGGATGTCAAGACCACGAAGATCAAATAATTTCAGCTCATCCAAGCCGAGATCTTGGTATGTATACTCAAGGAGAGTAGGAAGCATAGCTGGGGAGTTCTCTGGAACTTTCGGGATGTGTTCTTCGGTCACGGGGCGGAGTTTCCTGGTTGGTGCTTCTTCTTGGAGGTACCAAGGAACATGCGACTCGGCGGCCTCATTGTTCTCGGTCTCCGCAGCTTCCTCGGTGGCCAATTCGGATTCTGTAGCAGATTCTAAAGCTGGCGAATAATTGAGATCCGCCGGGTTCGAGATAGGGGGACGATCGGATCGCTTTGGCGCAACAGCGGAGAAAGCTCTAGCGTTCAAGCTGGGGCGAAAACGTGAAGTGTATCGTGGCATGGGTAGACCTGATACTGCGATGAAAGATCGGAGCACATCATGGCGACAGGATTGGCACACGGCCCCTCGAAGCAGTGCTCTACTCATGGTTGGTACGATGATGCTTAAGACTTGGAAATACGAATCTTGATTTCGGAGAAAGAGCACGGCGATAAAGTATGCAAATGCGACAAACAAGCTGAGTCATCTAGAAAGGGAAATCAGCTACGCCGATCAATTTATAGTGCATAAGTAAATCAGCTTATACTTCAGCTTTGTTTTTGTTATCATTCTCCAAACTTGGAGTGAAGCTGCAATTTGATCTTCAAGGCCCTCACTATTCTCATAGCCGCAGCATACCTTGGTAGCTTCCCGGGAGTGCATTGGAAGATTCAATATGAAGCAACTATTGAATAGTAAGCAGTGGCGAAGTTCTTTAAACTGTGAGATATTATTTTGTGTGTGGGTCGAATGTGCAAATGGATATTACAAGATAAAAAGACCCAAATAGACCAAACTAGATATGCAATGTTTTTCTCATTCCAATGGGGAAACATATCAAAAGATCAGAAAATCTTTCCAAGCACCCGCTTCGTCTCGTCTCCAACAGCAGACTCCTGCTTTGGCTTCACAACATCATTTTGTACGAATCGTCTCCGCACAATCTGTTTCTTCGGAGCAACAGGCTCGGCATCCTTACCAGCCTCCTCCAACTTGCGCTTCCTCTTCTCCTCGTTCTTCTTCGCCATACCATCAGCAACCCGCCCAGACTCGACACCAGCCAAGAACATCTTCTCTTCCTTGTGAGCCCTTGCATCCTCAACCCGGCGTTTCGATTCTCTCTCCGCTCTCTCGCGGTTTATTTGGTCGGTCAGATCGTCCCAGCGGAAACCAGAGAGGTATTTCATGTTGAACAGGTCATCACGGTAGTAGCTGGGTTATTGTGTTAGTAGAGCTTCTTCTCCATAACCCGCAGACGATTGATTCACTTACCCGAGACCACCAATTGTCATAGCATTGAGTGTTTCCGCCATAATCTTGGCGTCCTTCTTCCGCAACTCGACCCAGCCCTCTGTATACAGTTGTCTCTTATTGGATTTTTTATACTTGTCGTTGACCTGCTTCGACAGGAAGACCTTGGTGAGAGGGAAACCGCGCTTCTCAAGAATCGATTTGAGCGCCATCGGCCGCAGGTATGGAGGGAGAGAGGACACTGATTCGTATGATTAGTTTCAATTTGCGAATAGATAGAGATGGTTCGTCTGCGAATCTTACAGTATACCACTCCGAGCTTCTGCTTCTTTTTCGGCTTGAGGGGCTTCAGAGTCTTGTTTTTCGATTTTATCGTAGAAGTATCAAGGTATGCGCTTTCTTCCTCGTCCTCGTCAAGATCGTCGCCTCCCTCTTCAGCCTCTTCGGCATCCACATCCGCAGAAGATTTCGTCGCCTTAGGTTGCGCACGCGCCTTGCCCTTCACTCGCGATTCTTCCTCTTCCGACTGCTCGCCTTCTGAATCTTCGTCAGACTCTAAGCCAAAGAAATCCTTGGTGTCTGCCGCTTGCTTTCTCCGCTTAACGGCTCGGCCTTTGCTCTCTGTCGCCTTCTCTTCGGAATCGTAGCCGCGATCGACATCTTCATCGTCGCTGGCAGCGATGTCCAGGAAATCGTTGTGCTTTCGTGTTGTCATTTTGTGTGCAGAATGTAGTGGCTCGGAAAGTTTTCAAGATCTTGCTTGATCTCGAACTTTTTTTTGCGGAGCCCGGAGTAACGCACGGACCACCCGGGATCCGCCAATTGGTTTCCTTGCATTCACTTGTATATAGAGGATTGCAGGCTTTTGTTCTTACAAAGAGAGAAAGTTGTATTCAATACGGAGTAATAAAATCATGAGAATAAAAGTCCGGAAACCGAATTCATATGTCCATCTTCAGATATTTGTATCTCCACGCGAGCCATCATTGGCTCGTCTAATGCTAAGCAAAAATGAAAAAAAAAATACAAGACCCAGACCAAAAAGGATATACACAGACGCCAACAGCGGGAATCGAGCGCAGATGCTAGACATCGCATCTGAAAAAAAGGGTAATCTATCACGAATATGCAGCGAAGAAATGAAGCAAGTATTGGGTGAAGAAAGAGAAGAAGTTTTGATGGGACGAGACATTGAAAGGAAGTCGGCCGAAAGTAACAAGGGCATCTAAATGCTCAATGACCACTTCAATCGCTCATAAACAAAGAAAGCCGTGGCTGCCATGGGTACAACTTTCATATAGCCAATGGTCAAGCCAACCCAGTAACCACGGAATCCGCGCTCAAGCCAGATCGTGCGGCCCGTTTCGATGATTCCAAGCCGGCGACCATCGCCGACTGCGCCACCGACCTGCATCCGTCGCCGAATTACTTCAAGCGGGTATGAGGAGGTCTGGGAAACAAGACCGGCCACGGCGCCAGAGAACAGCTCTGCAGTCGCCGTGAGTTGGGGTCGTCGTGAACTCTTATTGGAAGGAGTGGTTTCTGATTCGGGAAGGGTTGTGTATTGCGCGACGGACGGGTCGCGAAGCCAATCACCGACTGTATCGTGTGTGAGGAACGACATACCCGCGTAGGGAAGCATACCAAGGAGAGTTGGGGCGAATCCACGATAGAAGTTCGCAAAACCTGAGCGAGGTACGGCTGAGTTCACGGCTGAAGAGACGCTTTCAGCGGCCACGGCGGTAGTGGAGTGTGATTGGGTGGCTGCGGCTGCGACTGTAGGGCCTGTTGATGGGGGCAAAACGCGTTCATTGTAGATCTGACGGCAGATATCCCTTAATGATGATCGAGATGATTTCTTGGTCTCGAAGGCGAGCCGTACTCGGACCAGTTCTAATGGGTATGTGGAGAAGACAGACGTGATACCTGCCAAACTGCCAGATATCAAGCGGCGAAAGACAGTCTCTTTATCATGGGAGGGAATTATGACAGCACGGATCTGCTCATAGGCGAGGAATTTGATTGCGGCGTAGGGGAAAATTCGGAGAAGCGTGGCTGAATGACCTTTGAAGAGGCCTCGGGTGCCTTCGTATCGTTTGATGTCCCGAATGGCAGCCGCCAGGCCTGCCCATGTGCCTGTGTATTTGGCGAATTGTGGATTTGAGGCCTGGAAGAGGATCTTAACTCTGTCGAGTGGCGCCACGACGGTTTTGGCCTGTTGAAACAAGAATCTCTCGATCAGTATGCTTCTCTTTGTTGTTTTCTGCTTTTTTTTCATGAACAATCATGTGCTCGGCGATTTCGCGCACTTACCGCACAGCCCGCTAGCCCTCCAGCTAGACCACTCCGCAATACATAGTCCAAGCTGCGCGTTTTGACTGGGGCATCGGTTTTCTGTCCCTTTGCGCTCGAACTAGAGGCGGTCTTTGCGGCCGCATCGCCTGCAATGGGACCCGCCGATCGTGAATGTGCGATCTCACTCATCTGCGGGTTGTGTTGCGGATTTGGGTCCGCAACGGTTTGAAAAGAAGAGCGAGTCTGTGTAAAGCTGGTCTCTATGTTTGCATGATCTGTTGCGCCCGTTGACATGAAAGAGATGTGGTGAGACCGAGGTTGGGGGCAAAAGAGGGTCTGGGGAAAACGGTATTCCCCCCTCGTGACTTTCGGCGATAGCCCGGCAAGAAAAGCTTGGGATTCTCTCGGGCTAACGGCGGATCTTCGAACTACACACTAGTCGAGCCACGCAGCTGTTTAGCGGTTGGGACAGAAAGCTAATGCATGGGAATTTAAGAAGCAATTTAGGGGATAATTTATTAAGGGACGAACTGGAGCGAACCGGGAATTGGGGTAAAATTCGTCAAAATATGGGGTTCGTCGAAAAGAGGCGAAAGAACAATGACGCACCGTGAGTAGCCGAGGGAGCGTGACCTACGGACCGAACTAAAGTGGGCGGCAGAAAAAGAACCCGACGAGTCCCGAGCGGTGCAATGGTCAGCTATTGGTTATTCTATATGTGCTTCATCCTATTTGTTTCTCCCCCTTTTGATGGAAATGTAGAATGATAAAAGAAAATGAAGAAAGTGAGAAAGACCCCAACACAAAAACAGAAAGGAAAATGTTTGTGAAATAAAACCTCAACTCCTCCAGGGCTCCAATCTCCAAAGATGCACGCACGGAATGTATATAGATCAAAACTGATCCTGACAGAGAAAGAGATAATAAAGCATGTAGAAATAATACACCTAGAAACAGGAAAATAAAAATCGTGGTCGCGTGATCCTGGTCAAGACAAACCGAAAGAAATGACTGATTTTATCCTCGGCGCGAACCTCGTCGAGTCAAGGGTTTACCGCGAGTGGCCTTGATCTCACGCATATCGTCGGTGTTTCGCTTGCGCTTGGCTGGCCGACCAGGGTCAACGTGAAGGTGTCCGGTCTCAGCAAGTGCAACCGAATTGCTCCACCGGAGACAACGAAGACGATGGTCATTGACATCCACGTAGGTCTTGGTACGCGTGGTGACCCGCTTGGTGGGCATCTCCTCAGATTCGGCCCGCTCGGTCTTCTCGGATAGATAAGCCTGGCGATGCTTCATATATTTCATAATGTAACCCTTCTGCAACTGAAGCTCCTTGAACAGCTTGCATTCACGGTTTCCTCGTGCATCCAACCACTCGATCAACTGCTCGATCGTGTCCGGGTCGTCGTAGTAGCCCCATTCGCGGGCGCTCGATAAATGGGTAGATCCCTCCTCAACCTTCTTGCGCTCAGCGGGGGTGGTCTGGAAATGCTTGTGGTATTGCTTGTGTTGTTCATCCGTCAAGTTAATGAACCCAGAGCTCTCCAGCTCGTCAGGGCCTTGCACCCAAAGGCGGCCATTGGCGTATCGGGCATCCGCACTCGAGCTATTTGGCATTCCTTCAAAAGGCATGGCATTGCGCTCAAACCACCAGTATCGGTTGCAGAAACGATCTAATCCCAGGCATCGAGTCCGGGGGCAGTCAGCCTCACGCAAGTCATTGTCCACCTTTTCGATTTCCTCCTCGGCCTTGGCGACCTTGACTTTCAGCTCATCGATCTTCTTGAGGACGCGCTGATACTGCTTTGTACCCTTGGGTTGTTTAGCCAACAGCTCCTTGCGTTCTCGCTCTACCTCCTGCTTGCGCTTGCGTTCAAGGGCACGATCAACTCCACCACGCAGGGCACGTGGTCTGGGTGTGTCCTCATCCTCTGAATCAATAGGCATCTCAGAATCACCTTCCAATCCAGTCATCTTTGAATCATCCATGTTCTCTCCTTCCAACTCAGGAATAGGAGAGGGTGACTTTTCAGGTTCTGGTTGAAGAGCCTTCCGTTCCTGATGCAGCTGACGAAGCTCACTCAGCCTAGTAAAGTATTAGTTTAGAAATTTTGGATAGAGCACACGAGTACTTACAATAATTTTCGACCCTTCTGATGTTCAATTTTCTCCTTGCGGAGCTCTGTCATCTGGTTGCTGCACTCTTCAAGATAGTTTCGAATCGCCTTGGTTTCCAGACAAAGCATAGTAATCATCTGAAGAGCCTTGACACGCAAATTGACATCCAGGGTTCGGTATTGTTCCTGGGCAGTTCTCTGGGTCGGTTCTTCATCGAGCGGGGCGAGGTGTTGTAGGATTTCGTTGCATGTCTTTTCAGAGCGAGGACGAAGAGACAATTGATGCAGCAAGCCAATCATGACGACCTCCCATCCACCATTGCGAAAATCGCGTTTCCGCAGGCGATCAATCCATCCATACTTCTCAAACATTTCAGCGGCACGATGAATGCGCTCCTCTTCGGGCTCTTCTTCAACAATTTGTGCCTTCAAGCTCTCTGCTTCTTTCTTGGCAAGACTTCCCCTGGTAGTCATGCGAGGAGCTTTCTCCACTTTCTCCTCATCGTCCTCTTCCTCGTCTTCTTCGGAGTCATCTTCGGAGTCATCTGAATCTTCCGTGGGGAAATCTGGGAGAGAGATCTGAATTGCACCGCCTTGATCTTCTGAGTTGACAAGCTTCTTCAGAATGGCACAGTGCAACTCGACCAACAACTCACAATCAATTTCCTCTGATGCGAAGCGCATAGCTTGAAGATAATCATCAAATGTGAATGAGTCCAGCTGGAACACCTCACAGTAGACATTGAGGGTGTCCCATGTTTCGAGAAGCAATCCGACGGACTCAGGCTCCAACTCATTGGGCAGGAGATCCTCTGCTCCATCCTCCTCCAGCTCACCTAGAATCAAATGCTTCAAAGCAGGACGAGGACTTTTCTCATGACGTGGGGCAAGTTCTAGATCCTCGATTGGGTATTTGATCGGAGGTGGTGATGGAGGTCTCGATTCATTTTTGATAACAACCGCAGGAGAAGCCATTTTCTTGTCACCGACCAGCGGCGGTTTGGTAGGGCGGAGCGGGTTGCTTGGTGAGAGAAACGAGGGATTGCCGTTCAGCGATCGCTGATATTCTTGATATTGAGCTTCTCGCGACTTGGCCATATCGTTTGCTGACAACTTAGATTTCTGTCCTTTGACAGCCGGCTTTAATTCAGGTAGTTGTTGAGAAGAGAAGAATCCAAAGAAGCCGTCTTGGTCAGCTTTCTTCATCGCCTTCTTTTCTGCGACCTTTGCGCCGTACTGCAAATGTTTAGGGACCTCTGTGGAGATTTTGTACTCCTCTGCGATCGATGGTTTCACCAACCAGGGCGCACCGGTCCAAGACTCACGAGTCACATTGTTTTTGATAAAGCCACGCAGCATCAACTTTGTGAACGACTTACGGTCACGCGTGATATGATCTTGGTCCAACAGCGCTTCCTCGTTAGGACGGTCCAAAACCTTCACTAAGTACCGAGCGTAGGCGGGAGTTTTGATTGTACCGTCAGCAAAAAGCTGTTCAGCAAAGTTGGCCTTGTCCCTGATCGTGCCATGAAGTCTAGTGGTGTCCTGCAGGAGGATGACGACAACCTCTCCGGGATAGAAGTCTTGTTTGAATTCCTGTGGTTTGTTAGTCGAACTGTCAATTCATTTTGAATTGATCAACGATTCTCACATCATATACTTCATCCACTAATGAATGAAAAACAAAAGGAAATTAGCTTAACTGTGACATATCGTAAAGCGTTACAAAGGCTTACCCAGGTTATCAACTCGTGAGGTCGTCGCGAATTGAATTCGTCGCAAAATTGGCTCCTTCAAAGCCTCTGGGAAACTGTTGTTGACCTCGCGCGACTCTTCCATCTGTTTTCGAATGAGCCCCCGCCTCTCGTTTACCGAATGCAAATATGCCATTGCAGCAACATACCTCACTCCGAAAAGCCTCAAAAAAGTTCAGCCCCGAATGGCCAGTGATTTCACATATAAAACGACGTTGTTTATAAAAATCCATACGCTGGAGATACGGTTCATAGCTCATGAAGACCTCGCTGGTCTCTGGGATAACCCAGACCTAAGGTGGTATTAACAAGATTGTTTCTTTTCAAATTCGTGGGTTGGTTGGCGATATGGAGGTACCTCGGAATTGTCATCTTCAATGACGGGCCGTGGAAGGTATTGGACCGGCTTTCGTTTGAAAAGGACCTAGATTTGCAACGTCAGCCAAATGTCCCACTGCTAATTATTCCTCCACCAGTGATCTGGAAGGTGGATGTTTCGAATTTAAACGATATGACGCACCATTATATCTAAGATATCGTGCCGACGCGCGCCGGGTTACCGGAAAAGATTATAAATAACTTTGAACATGAACTGACTAAAATAGCACGCGACTTCAGTTAGCGGACTATGTCCGATCATGCATAAAAGGTTCCAGCAAGTATAGAGCAAGTGGAGATGACAAGGATGTATGGAAAGACGGCTTCAAGGTTGAAGCGCTTCCATTCCATGATGTTGGAACTCGCTGAGAGGGTGGTCTAGGCGACCAGGGCCATAGCGGGTGGACCGCGAAGGCGTAACAATAGAATCGAGGCGGACTTACCGGAGAAACGCGTCTTGAATGGCCTTGAGGCAGTTCCAGAACCTAAAGCTGGAAGGAGGATGGTGGTGGAGCTGGGATGGTTGACGCGCAAGTCGCGTTGAAGAAGAATTGGGGGGAAGGAGAGAAAGCAGAAAGTCGAAAGGTTGAAAGGCCTAAAAGAGGAGGAAGCGGTAGATCAACCGCGAATCAGCGGTGGATTGTGATTGGTGGAGAGGAGGAGCAGCGGGAAGTCAAAAGCCCAGCAGAAAAACCGCTTTTACTCCTGCTTCAGGACCCTCCTCGCCCTGCTGCCCCGTTGCCCGCGCTTGACCTCTTCTCCCTGCCATTATCTCAACCATCCACCCATGTATTTACCCTCATTCGAGTCGTCCAGACGCAGAGAATTCAATGAACAAACGACTTCTCACCTTCTCCCTCTAATTTGCTAAATCTGTGCGGTTATCAATTGATCTTTCTGGACCACCTCTCCGACAACTAGTGTCAAATCGCAATAGTGACTATTACTTAAACCCATATTATAATATTTTCCCACAACCATCCTAGTTTGCGTTTCTACTGAACAGAATATAAAATTTCTAGAAGCTTTTTCTAATTATCCGAACTATCTCTCATCTTTGACACAGGTGTTCATCAACTGTCTTACATGAGAAGAAACGGGCTCTCAATTCAATTATAAAATGTTCGCATCGCTTTTCTAGGGCCTTTTAAGCAACCCAAATAGAACCTTTAACATCTATCTAGATGACTGGTTATCGTACAGTTCTTTGTCGGGGCCATATACATATTAGAAATCTCACCACAGGGGGGGTTGAGAGATGAAGATGTGAATTAGGCGTCGTAAACATCTCCACTGTAAGTTATGACTTTCTGCACCATTCTGCTACCCTTTATACTAAATCAACTACATATATGATCGTTCCTTGATACTTGCTTTGTCCTCAAACGCGCATTCTGAGAGTGACTTGAGGGTATTCATTGTGTATTTCCGAGTATCTTCACCTCAAGTACTGGATTTTCTAGCCACTTTTTCAGCCACTTGACAACAGGGCATCCCTTCCTAGTTCTTTCATCTGATGTCTGCGTCACTTCTTTAGACAGTGGAAATTCTAGGCTCTTATGATCATAGCCTATTATATCTGTTGGGGTTTTTTCTCTTCTTTGTCCAGTATGTCCAAACGATCTCTTTGTGTGCTACTTCCTCCTCGGTACACGACTTAGTCCAATCAATCTGTTCAAAGAATCATGTGGGTTGTTCTCTTTGATTGTTCCAAAATATGATTTTTCTTGAGCAACTTATTACTCATGCTCGTTGGTGCATACACATGTGCAGTAAGGTTTTCATGGGAAACATATATGGATATATACATACGTTTGGTACATGCCTGCACAGGATATGTATGGATCTGACAAAACCCGTCCACTTCCGACATTCCAAGTTTGTATCAACCCAAAATATCAAGTTTGAATCAACGAATCACCTGGGAAGCTAAGACCATATCACCAAGAAGTCCAATTTTTTTTTTCCCCGCCAGAACATATCCATTTCTTTTACTCGGTAACGATTGGTATTCTGACCGCATCCTGCAGGCGGCATGCATGGATCTCAAGTGGATCTAACCGCAAGTGGGATAGTGCGGGTTAGGCTCCGTGCGGTTCCCAGGTTTGGGTGGGTCCGGCCCACGTGGTCAGCCAAACAATGCAAACATTTTACATCATTGCTCTACAATGTCGAGTACTAGGATAAGTACTCCGTAGATACCTAGTAGGTACGAAAGCCCAGAGAGACAACTGATGACATTGAAGAACAATCAATTGATATGCAGAATAGCAGAAGATGACCAGGAACTGATTCGATACTGTCAAAGGCAAGTTTGCAAGTGAGGAGTAATGCCGGTCGCAAATGACGGGTATGTATATATGTATGCTGTAGAGCTCTAGTTTGAATTGGAGCCATCAAGGCAGGAAATAAATTAGCGTCTACCGAGATTCTTATCGTGCCCTCACGAGAAGCTTGAAGTAGGTTTTTTCTCTTCAAGGGTAGACATGACAAAGAAAGCTTGACTCGAAAAGTTGTCTTGCGGGTGTTATGCTTGCACTACTAGTATGATAGAGGTGAAAACGGTATCCTAATAATATTGAAGTGAGACGGACTACATATGTATGAATTGACACAACTTGAAACTAAAAGATAGTAGCTGCCGCTCTCTACTAGTAGGGTGTAGATTTTCTTCCAAAAGCATAGACAGCACGGAATATTGTCGACCATCCATATTTGAGCAGTAGGTGTGAGACAGATGGAGGTAAAATCGTGTTATTTTCTAAGATCAGATTAGAGCCAATTTTGCAGTGCTCCAAGAGCGTACACTGAACCTCAAAGCTCCATACTTCAACTGCACAGTTGTGCATTAGAAATGTAGGAATCGCGAGTAAAATTGGACTTCGCAATTGATGGGATTTTTGGGTGACAATCTGAGTATAGAAGTAAGCTAAGCCTAGTGAGGAATAGTCATGCAATCGGAACAAAGGCACCGAAACATTGAATTATTCAGGGATTATAAGACGGCGCTTATTTATTGGAGAAGAGATGCAGAATCAAGTCCGAAAAAGGGTAAGGAAGCTCCTCCGCACCCGAGGTCACGTGCAGATGCGGAGAACAAATCAGGAGAAGGCCAGGTATCAACAGCTCCGTGCACTAGTACAGGGTAAAACTATCCCCCATGGACTTCACGGACGTCGGCATCCGACACACTATTCTCAACAGCCTCCAACTCCATCATTTTATCGACGTTTCTCCGTCAGCTGCTCTCATTGCTAAAGAGGCTCGCATCTGTGTGATTGCTGTTGTGGTTGGGTGGATCACTACTCGTTTCGTGTCTAGTGTTTTTGAACATCGCCCGAAATCGACATCCTGTGAACATTGCCATTCCGACTGTTCAAAGGCTTCTTAACCGAATAATTGAAATAAATTAGTCTACAATCCGCACCGCAGGAGCCGTCTATATTGAATTAGCCCCTGGAAAATCTGCCTCGTTCATCTACCCCCTTCCTACGCCTTCGTCCTTAGTGCCGCCACAATGAAGACCCTCGCTTCGATCGCATTGCTTGCTGCAGGTGCTACTGCCCAGGTCATTGAAAGTGCCAGCTTTGGCTACGGTAAAACGTATGGGACTTGCTTTCTAGCTGCTAGGCCCACCTCGTCTAACTAATGTGGCTAGTATTTCCCCAACCCGAGACTCGATTCCAGGATGGAACATTAATGGAGAGGGCTTTGACACATCATTGGTAAGTGCTATGTACATTCTATGATATTCAATCTCTAACATCTACTACTGTATAGCTATCCGATAAACTCATCCTTACCCCTCCCTACCCCGGAAATGTACGCGGATCAGCCTGGGCGCAAAGCGCGTATGTGACCCCCCTTCAACCGAATTATGGACAATACACTGAAGACAATCCAGTTTATCTCAACCTGAATGGTCTGCAGAATTCCAATTCCGAGCTACGGGCCCCGAGAGAGCCAGCGGCAACCTCCAGTTATGGTACACAAAGGATGGCCAAGCCCGCGTGGGTACTTCCAGCATTTACACCGTGGGACCCTTCGACGGATTTGCCCTGGTGATTGATACACATGGCGGAAGAGTATGTTCAAGTCCAAAAACCAAGTGCTGGGCATTTTCTGATCAACTATAGGGAGGAAGCATCCGTGGATTTTTGAACGACGGAACAACAGATTACAAGACCCACCGTAGCGTCGATAGCCTGGCATTCGGACACTGCGACTACGCATACCGAAACCTAGGTCGCCCCTCGGTGGTCAAGCTCAAGCATACCAGCTCGTTCTTCGAGGTCACCGTGGACGACAAAGTCTGCTTCTCGACCGATAAGGTATGCATCCAACTTCTCAATACACTCACCTAGCATGCTGACCACCAATAGGTCAACCTCCCATCCGGAAACACCTTCGGTATCACAGCCGCCACCCCCGAAAACCCCGACTCCTTCGAGATCTTCAAGTTTGTCCTGGAATCTGCGACCGGCCAAACCATCCCCCAAGGAATTCCCCAGCAGGACCAGCAACAGCAGCAGCCCATCGTGAACCAGCAAATCCCTCAAGCGGCCCAGGGAGGCTCTGATAAAGATTACTCAACTCAGTTTTTCGACCTGAACAACCGCATCCAGCTCCAGAGCAAGGCCACCAACAGCATCGTCCAGGACCTCAGGTCTCAGGCTTCTAAGAGTGATTCCCGCCACGACGAGATCCTCCGCAACACAGCTTCGAAGGACCAGCTCAATGCCCTCGACGCCCGGCTTCAGCGCATCGAGACGCTGCTCCAGAGTATCCAGCGGGATCTGGATGGCAAGGACTACAGCGGTAGCTTCAAGCAACTACAAGATACCCTGCGGTCATCGCATCTTAGTCTTAGCGAGAACCTGCAGGGACATTTCCTCAGTGGTGAGTTTCCTCTTGATTGAGAACAAGTTGCTTGTCTTCCCAGGCTATATTTACTAATATTTTCACCCACTAGCTATTACGGCCTCGACTCCTCGCATGGGCTTCTTTATCTTCCTGGTCATTGCATTCCAGATTCTACTCGCCGTTTCATATGTCGTCTACAAGCGTCGCCGCGCCAACATGCCCAAGAAGTTCCTCTAGGCGGATCGAATCGGATGCGTGGTTTTTTGTTTGAGAAACAAAGCCCTTTGATCTGAATTGCAACGCCTTAATGCATGATACTTCTTTGCGGTGCTTTCTGTAGCGGGACTTGAAATGGGAGTCCTTTGTGTTCTTGCGTGTCGTTTATAGCTGTGATGTCTGATGTTCGTGTGGACGCCGACGTTCGAATATTTCATGTTCATGTAGAGTACGAATTTAGCAGTCTTGGTTTGATTTGATCATTATGAAGTTTGGAATCGGAAAAAGCAACTCTTCTTATGTTTCTGTGTCGGAATAATAAGAAGAAAATTCGGAGTTAATGACTACGTTGGGGTCAAAGAAATACATAAAATATGGTATCGATTTTGGGTGACTTAAGTATGCTATCGTACAAAGAATATCCTCGAGAATGCGCCGTCCCATGCTCACATAACAATTTCGCGAATGGAACGACAATAGCGATAAAAATGTAAAAATGCAACAGGGCGAACAAGAACAAAATGAAAACGGACAAAAAACCCGGCCCCGGAAAACTAAAAGATGAAGGTGGATAAGAAAGAGAGGAAATCGGAAGTCGGGTAGATCGGAAATATGGATGTAGATGAGTTGGGATAGGTGGGATAGGTGGGTTAATCATCCATAGCAGCTACTAGATCATCGCAAGTCCCAGACTAGTCAAGGGTGAAATCGAAATCCTTGACTAAGTCCTCGTTAGGAGGACACATGGGCTGGGGTTTGAAAGGTGTCTTTGGCTCTTCGGCCAGCTTTGCTTCCTCGGCCAGCTTTGCTTCCTCGGCCAGCTTTGCTTCCTCGGCCAGCTTTGCTTCCTCGGCCAGCTTTGCTTCCTCGGCCAGCTTTACTTCTTCGGCCAGCTTTCCTTCATCACCCGGCTCTGCTTCTTTGGCTGGCTGCTCAGCGTGAAGGGATCCAGGGAAGGCGTAGTGGGGGGCGAATTGTTCTCCGAATTGGGGAACAGGTCGTTCTTGCGAAGCATGAGAGGCTAGATCGAGCAGACTATCCGCAGCGATAACTTCTTCATCAGCACGAGTGCCAGCTTGCACACGACGAGCCTCGGACTGGCAAAGAGATTCGACGTAGTTATACCAATCCCGATCAACAGGGGCACCATTTCTAGTCGCCAAGTCTTTGACGGCAAGGGCAGCAACGTTTGCTAAGCTCTGGGACAGACGGTTTACAAGACTGGTTTGACGTAGCTCTCGTTCTTCTTTGACGGCGGAAATGAACTCCATGATAATATCACCAGGGGGAAGGCGAAGGCGTTCAGCTCGCCAGTCATCGTCAAAGGTGGAATCTCGATCATAATTGGTTGCTGGCTCAGCATCCGTCAGGATCAAGTTCCGGGGACGACGGACACGGCGCTCTTGAACTTCGCCGTTGATGGTCTTCTTGGCGATCATGTCCTCGGGTGTGACGTGGTTGGGACACATCCACCCATGAGGCTCCATCGGATTAGGGGGCGAAGCCATGGGAGGATCAAGACAATCCAAATGGAATCGGCAGGGACAGTAGTCGCATCTGATTATGGGGCGCACATGTTCCGTCGTTTTGCCACATTTGGTGCAACGAATCACCTGCCCGTTTTCAAATACCTTGTTCAAGTTGGGGTCATCGTAGAACGGTGTTTGGATTTTGCGCCTGGGTCGCTTAGTCAGACGTGGAATGTGGGGAATGGGTTGGTAGGAAGTGGTCATTTCGTCCGGATCACTAGGATCATAATGGGTGTCCTCGCCAACACCTTCGAAATAGTTCTTGATCTCACTTGGAGGAGAAAAGTCAACCTCCTTTTCCAACTTTCTACCTCCTTGGATGGTAAAGGTGAATTCATGTCGAACATCGCAGTCCGGGCAAAACCACTCATCGTCCGTGAGCTCCTTGTTGCTAAACTTCACACACTTGAAGTGGAAGGCATTTTCGCAGGTGTCACAGCACAGTAACTTGCCGCCTCCACCGCATAAAGAACAATTATCAATGTTTTCCCCGTTGTTCTTACTGTAGAGTCAAAGTTAGCTTGGATATGACTAAGAAATCACACAAAGAATGATCACATACAGTGTGTCGGGTAGCTGCCGGATTTCCCAGCCTTTGTACCAAGCATCAACGTCGCCAGGATGGATTGGCTGTTGAGGTCTAGTCCTTGCGATAGGTTGTGGTTGAGCACGGAGTGAGAGAGAAGGGGTCTCGGAAGCCCGCTTTCTCTTCTTAGCCGCCGTGGGTGTGGCTTTGTCGAGAACCTGCTTCTTCTGGCGTTCTTCGGCACGCTTGGAGCGTGGGGACATGCTGGTTCCAGAAGCGTCACCAACGGGGGATTCAACGGGCTTGTCGGCCTGAGTCACTGGCTTTGGAAGCTCAGGGCGGACGGAGCTGGGTTGCACAGGAACCTCATCCACGTTGGTTTCTTTGGCGAAGCGGGCGCGCTTCTTACGCAGCTCATAACCCATGGTTGGGTCTGAATCCCACTCGTATCGGCGCTTGAATGAGTTTTCGTTCACACGAACAGGCTTCTTGGGGCGTTTGTAGGGCGCAGTGTTAGTCTTGCCACTGACAAATAATTCTTCGAGTTTGGGGCCGCTGGTGTCGCGGTAGATATCAGAGACTTTGAAGGAAGAAGGTTTGTTAATTTGAGATGTAAGAGAGGCGGTGGAAGAAAAGGTGGTACTATCGTCAAATTCGTAGTTGCTGAAACGTTTTGCGTCGGGACGTGTTGGGCCAGGACCAGAACTCGTAACGTCTGGAACTTGAAGGGTTGCGCCAGGACTTGTCAACACGGGAGCTTGAATGTTTGCGCCAGGACTTGTCACCACGGGAGCTTGAAGGTTTGCGCCGCCGAGCTGCGCGCCGAGCTTTGCCCCGTAATTTTCGTACCATTCACATGCTTCCGTCATAGAGTGACGAAGGAACGTATTTAACGCAAGTGCAAGTTGGTGATCTGTAGCTTGGCGGCCCATATTATGAATTAAAGCTAACTTGAACTCATCTTTTTTCACTCCAGACCAGAAGTATACAAGGCTCAAGGCAGCCTTGTCATCCCCCATGTCTTTAGAGTAGGATACGGCAGCCTCCAAAACTTTCTTAAGTTCAGGAACATCATAGACCTCCGATACTGGCTGTGGGATTCCATCTAGCAGCTTCAACAACTTAGGGGCAGTAGGCCTGTTGGGCCAAGAAGCCATATCGGCATCGGTTACAGCCGTAGCTGGAGGAGACTGTAAGGATGCCTCATAGTCAGAGATAGCCAGGATGGAATTGGTCGGATCCTCATCAGCGGGTGTCTGTAGGGGGATTTCTGCTGGAGAAAGGGATGCCGGTGTAGTTGAAGGTGGACGAAGATGAACATCGGCGATCTCAGAAACAGGGGTTGCAGGATTGGTTTTGTATGCAGTAGCTTTTGTATTGATATCCTCATTCACATCATCATCATTTGGTCCTTCATCCAGGTAGTCACGACTGGTCGTATTTCCATTCGCTCCATTCATTCCACCAGGCACCAAACGCCTCTTAGCGATCTTCTTGATAGAAACATCCAGTGCTGCTAGATTCGCATCCCCAATGTATTGATCGCGATGCTTATCAAAACATGCGATGCCTGAAAGGATCCCCTCCTCCGCGGTTGGTGTTGTAGGGGTGCCGGTCATGAAGCCTTCATCGTCTTCATCAGTGCCCGGCACCAATTTAGTGAGATTGCGGGCATTTTTAGGAGGCGGTTTCAAGCCAGCGCTTTTGTACTCCGCGGGAGATGGGTATTCGCCAATCGGTTTCATGGTATTGATCGGTTTCTGGTGTCGAGCTGTAGATTTGGCGTCGGCTTTAGTCGGCCACGCGAGTGCGACCGGGGGGTTTTCCCATACAGCCTCACAGGACTTTTTGGATTCACTTATTGGCGCATTGCCTAGGTACAAGTCGTCGGCGCGTTCAGAACGCGGTCTGGGTTATTGGATATTGCGCAGCTTCGCGGGTTTCGCGGGTTGAGAATTAGCTCGGTAGCTGGTCCGAGTCAAATAGCCTCAGCGCGCGCGGTGAGGCAGAAAAGCCCCTGCTAGGGTTAGCGCCATGGCCACCCGTGCCCTAACTCCTGACTTGGCATTTGAGGATTTGATCAACTCACCACAGATAGTTCTCGATGTAAAGTTGATTCAATGTTAATAATTTATGCTCTGAAGCTTCCGAATAACTCGGAGTGATTAATCTTTAGAAACAACTTGAAAAAGGCAGACTGGTTGTAGTGTTCCAAGGTTGCCCGTCAAGTCATCAAAGTTCTTTCATCTGTGTAAAATAGCTCACATGAAGTACATACTAAGCTGTGTTAGATACTTAGTCATAGGTATCTTGAGGTCAGCTTCACAATATACCAAGGGCCTGAACAATAACTTGATATACAAGAATTAATCTGAGCTTTTGAATATCCTAGTATGTGTTCATTGGGAACCAATGTATGAAGATACATGGTGGGAGAAACCTGAACGTTATGTACATAGAAAAGCCCTGGAGGTCGATAATAGTATGTATGGATCTGTAAGGACACCAAGGAAATATGCTTTCTAAGGTTATACATGGGCATGGATCTTCTACGTCGCTGTTTGATATGGTTTATGGAGACAAACATTCGAGTAGGTGCATCAATAACAATAATCTTATCAAGCTCCATGCAAAGTAGGATAGCGATTAAATCATTATCGAGCCCCATTTTCTTTCCCTTTACTACTCGGGCGCCTGCAGTTCTGTTACCGCATGATTTCTTCAATTGGTAGTTGAAGAGTAAGGTATGAAAGTAGTAGGCACTGGGTAGTGACTGCAATACCCACTAGTACTGAGTACTACATACAGTGTTCAAGTAACAACATTGAAGTACCTTTGATATACACTTCAAGGTTAGATACCCCTAGGGCTACTAGGCACCTACTTAAGTGCTACCAAAAGATATGCCTGGAACTTGAACTTTAGTAGTATGCTGTGCGGATAAGCGGCGTTCTTGACTTGTATGTATTACACAACCGCCCGTGTTCCAACCTTAGAATATTCTTAGTATGTGCTAGTATGTATAGTAGATATAGGCTTCAAATGTTGCTAACATTGAAGGTTAACTCGTATATACTACTATATAGTACATAGTACTAGTATTCAATGTTTTATTCAAAGTTCTAAACGTGTGGAGCACTGCAAGAACTTACTACCTAGTAAGTAGCTACTGGTGGGCCTCAGTGGTTCCGATCTCATAATGCTAAAGAAGACAAGAGCACTTGGGAAGAATCTTGCCCAGAAAGTAAAAATAATCGTACAAGTCCTCAAGTGCTAGGTGCATACGGTTGGAGTCCGACTTCCAAGATTGATGCACGTTAAAAATTACAACAACGGAACAAGCTGAATACTAGTAGGGAAGGGACTTCTATCAGCGAATATTTACGGCTCCAAATGTGGCTGGTAATGGCTTTGTTTCAGCTTTCTGCTCTTTCTGTTCCACGGTTACATGTAAGTACACGCTGTGCACATCAGACAGAAAATATCCAAATGTTATAACCTGAGTACAACTCTCAGTTCATGGCATTGCCAGCCCATCTCCCACATATACAAACATCAAACATCAGTTATTTTTTAATTTTTTATACCGTAGGAGACTCCCGAGATGGTATGGTCCGGTGAGATTTTGTTATTGGATATTTTTTTGGTTCGATTTGAAGGTCAAAGACCAATATCAAGACTTATGGCAAGATGAGGTCGGGAGATATTGTATATGGAGATACAGGCAATGAGCTCTGATCATTCCATTTACTCTTCACCGGCAGTGGTGGTCTTCTTCTTCTTGCTCTTGCTCTTCTTGTTACCGGTCGAGCGGGCCAGGGGCTGCTCGAGGATCTTAAGGATCTCCTCATCCTCAATCTTCTTGTCGGACTTGTACTGCTCCAGGTCAATGGCAGCAGGGGCGGCAAGCTTGGTCAGACCGTTCTTGGTGATGGCTAAAAAAAAATTGAATCAGCAAACTTGTTTGTTGTACTACATATGACTTCGAAACTTACCAACGGTGGAAAGCAGGCGGGAGACGGGGGAGCCGTCGGTCTCACCAGCGGGCTCGTACTGGCGCAGGACACCACCACGAACACACTCGACAACACCGACCTTGGCGGACTTCTCATCCTCAAGCTGGCGCAAGCTGAAGGGGAAGGTACCGAACTTCTTGACAACCTCAGAGAGGGTCTGGCGGGAGCTGGGGCGCTTCAGGCCGTAGGTGGTAGTAGTACGGCGGTGCAGAGTGGTGCGGTGGTCGAGGTTCTTGACCTTTCCGGATCCCAAGCTGAGACCGACCTCAACACCCCAAACCTCACCAACGTCGGGAACACCCTCACCACGGACACCCTCGCCGGGGACAAGGATGATCTTCTTGTTACCCTCAATCTCATTGCGGTCGAACATCCAGCTGGTAGTGTTCTCAACAACCTTGCAGTCGTAAGACTTAGCAATCTTCTCCAGAAGGTCGGTCATGTAGGCCTGGGTGGGGGGCTTCTTGGAGGCGGCCTTGGCCTTCTCCTCGTCGGTACCCTGGGCCAGCAGACCGGAGGGAACCATCAAGCGGAGCAGGAGCTCGTTGGCGTAGTGGGTAGCGACAATCAGGTCAGCCTCACGGCCGGTGACAACCTCCTTGGGAGAGTCCTTCTTGGGAACAACAACCATGTCACAGACAATGGTTCCGAATCCATCGATCTGGGCACCCAGCTGGATCTTGACAACCTCGCCGGCCTTCAGAGCGATCTCGGCCTCGGCGACATCGGACACAAGGGGAGTGTAGGGAGTGACATAGGAGCTGGGAGAGACGGTAGTTGGGTGAGAGATACCTTTTTTGCCCAGTCAGATTTCATCTTTCAAAAATTCATATAAAGAAGAAAGAAAAAAAAAATTAGCACCCACCCTTGGCGATCTTCTTGCCCTTGTAGACCTTGGCGATTTCCTCCTCGAGGAGCTTGTCACCCTTCTGGCAGATCTCAACGATCTTCTCGCCCTCGAGACACAGAGCTATTCACGAATGTTAGATCACATGAAATTACCAGTGAGCGGCGAAGGGGAACGTACCAGAGACAGCCTCGAGCACTTTGTGTGAAATGCCGGCAGCGGTCTTGTACTTGGTCAAGGTGTCGGGGTTGTTGAGGGAGTAGTCTGAAAAACAAAATCATATCAATTAGCTCTGGAAATATTCCAGGAAGTTTGTGAGGCTATTCTGGAGCCCCGCCAAAGCTCTTCGGCATGTCGGACAGCGATGCCCACAAACGTCAGAGCTTTCTCGGGAGCACCAGTCCAATTTACTTACCAACCTCGGGTGTTGTAGTCTCGACCATTGTGAAGGAAGTTGGCCTGGCCGGTAGTAAATTTAATCAAAAGTGAATGGGTGGGTATGAAGGTAGATCTGAAATCCACTGGAAGCTTGAGAGGAATGGATCAAGAACAAGTCGTGTGCAGCGAATGAAGCGTTTAGCGTTTAGCGGTGGTGGGGGTATTCAGTGTTGCAGCCTGATCCATCAGGCCTTCCGTAGGGTTACGGCCGGAAAGACGTCATGGGTCATGATGACTACAGAACCATTGGATTTCCCCGCTTTTGCAGCTTGTGAAACTTCCATTAATAGGACTTGCGTGGTTTTCCTGTACAGTTTCTATTATGTGATTACATCCCTTAGTACCCGGCCTGAGGTCACAAGGGGTCAGCCACAGGCCCAGAAGTTAGAACCATAACCCCGAGCTTCTCCGCAGATGTAAACATACATTTGATTTGCTCCTCCCTTTCCTCCAAGCTTTCCCCCCCAATTATGACAAGAAATAAAGGCATAATCGAAGAAGCAAATTCATTCCTCTTTCTGTTTTAGCGTTTCGGATTTGACCAAGATGAGATCCACTCCATCGCTTCCTGTTCGGGTACTGACCCATAACATCCGGTATGCAACCAATTCTCCTTTCAAGGGAGAAGTCCCCTGGGTTGATCGAAGGCAAAATCTCTTAAATGAGCTCAAGTACCATTCACGACACTGTGATGAGACCTTCATCTGTCTTCAAGAAGTTCTCCATAACCAACTCGAGGATATTCGTGCCGAACTGAATCCATCAAATGCTTCCTTGAATCAAGAGTGGGAATACATCGGCGTTGGTCGGGATGATGGCCATCAAGCCGGTGAATACTCGCCAATTTTCTATCGGCCGTCAGTGTGGAGGCTTCAGTCCTGGGAGACGATATGGCTCTCTGAAACTCCCTCCAAGCCCTCCAAAAGCTGGGATGCAGCCTCCATACGCATTGTCACCATTGGCATCTTCACTCATCATAAGACAGGTAATACTGTCCTAGCTTTAAATACGCACCTTGATGACCAAGGATCGAAGTCACGCCTCGAAGCTGCGCGCATTATTCTATCCAAGATTCAATATTACCAACAAGGACGATTTGGAGGTCTGATCTCGGGCGCATTCTTATCTGGGGATTTGAATAGTGAGGAGAAACAGGAAGCCTACTCAGAGCTGACAGGGAAAGGTGGACTAAAGGACACCTACAAGCTAGCTTCCAATACGCTTCGATATGGAAACCACAACACTTTCACTGGATTTGGATATGGGAAGGAGCCACAAAAGCGAATTGACTTTATTCTGTTGGTACCCGAGGGTAATGAGCCTTGGAGAGTTGATGGGTACTCGGTGATTCCAAACCGGTTTGATGATGGTGTCTATAATTCCGATCATTGCGCAGTGATTGCTGATCTCACGCTGGTTGGCTAGACCTGCATTTGTATAATAGGTTGCACTGATACTTTGAAGCGGTGTTCCTCCCCTAGAATCAATCAAGACCATTGTGTTTTTTTCCAGAGTCACCACGAAAAGCGTAATATTTCCAGATGTTCAATGTCTTCGGACTTATTCTCAGCATGCCTGCAAGACCACGGAGTTTTCCATGATTTTTGATAATTGATAGACTACTCCTTGGTGAAGTTTGGTGTGAACTTGATCAGAAGCATCCTCATCTCAACTGGTAGTAGGTAACACCAAAACGACCTACATGGAAAGAGTCCCCCAAAAACTTCAAATGATATCATGAATAAACCCTGGAGTATATTGGACCTCAGGAACGACCGAAATCCAAGTTTGATAAGTACTAGACAGAGTTATACATGTATGAAATAAGCGCACGTCTATGGGTTATCCGCGGGCGTACTTGGAATATGATGCCGGGCAAGTATTATGAATATCAGCTGATTGAAGCACTGAATCTATCATCCAAGGTTCTTTGTGCACCAAAGGCCAAAAGGTCCCTATCGGCATAAATAGCAATCTGATGTTGATGGATTTGGGACCATGATTCAAGAATTGCGTGAAATCTTTAATGCCTGGGAAACCAGGCACCACGGCCTCATTTGCGTCGAGGTCACATGACTCCCACATGCCGTCAAACCAGTCCTGGCGCAGCTTCGTCTCCAGCCATAAATGGGCAAATTATTGCTCTCCATGGACTTATTACAAATACAATATTCGTATCACCTCTCCTGTAATCTTATAGAGCATATATTGTGGACGTGGAAGGGTGCGTCGAGCGTAGTCCTTGCCTTTCGCCCCGGGAGCGGACATCTCGTAATCCTCCCCTTTGAACTGAACTTCTCCCACCCACCGACGCCCCAATCATACGACGGCACCACCCCAATATTTCCAGCGTCAGAGTACACAAGCCTGAAGATTCGACAATCTCCATTTGCGAATAACTTTGAATCAAGTGACGTCCCTCAAACCCACATTGAGCTCCAGACTCTACCCGTGCGAGAGGTCGTGAGTCGTGACAAGACTGAGGCCATTATCGGCACCCAACCCCCTTTGGCTCTGGTATGTTATTTCGTTCCCATAAGCTTCACTATCCGTCGCTTTCCACAATTCTATTCCATTAAATCCTTGACTCCCGCGCCACCCTGGTCTGTGTAGCGTGTTGCTCAGTGCATGCGTCTGTCGCGACACGTCTATTGAGCGGCGCCAGAACAGGCCGAGAATGATCGCGTAGTCGCAATGAGGATGGCTCATTGCCACCACACATTAAGGAGATGGCTGACATAGATGCATATTGTATCTAGGACATTATTCAACGATGCTCTTTTAATTGGTCTTCATTTATCATTGTCGCGTTGCGTGCCACTTTCAATAGATTATCGATCGAGTGACACCCAACGCCCGTTTTCCTATCAGCACAATAGCTCACCATGCCATCCCCCGAATTGGCAAGTGGATCTGTTCCACCAGAGTACAACACCGCCGAGTCCCATTTTGGTGTGCAGAATGGCCCCGGCGCGCCTGGCACGAGACCTGGAGATGATTCAGAGGAGCTAGGCAGAGAACCATTTGCCAATGGCCAGGAGAGCAATACATTTGAAGATGGAAAACAGAATGCCAAGGCTATGTTGGCAACGTCTGGTGTGTCGGATCCCAACGCTGACCCTAATGGCACCCCCCAATCGAACGGTACAAATGGTTCCGCGCAAAGTCAAAAACAATCTCGCGATGGGTCTGCCATTCAAGCCAGTGACGTATCAGGGACGATGGCCGTCCGGACACGTGAGACACCTGTCGAACAAATTGTGATAGAGAACCTCGTGAATCGCGAGTTTGAATATTCGGCTGCGATCGCTTGGCAAAACCCAAGCCAGGAACTGCAGCAGGAGAAACGGGCGGAGCGTGATTTCTACTTCCAACTTCGACGCGAAAACCAAACAAACCCAGCTGCGTTGTTTGGCGCAGGGTACGAAGGATTTGGAAATGTCCGCACAGATCTGCGAAACCATCCACCTCAGCTATTGTACCCAGCCAATCGACGTCGGCCTGGGAACCGCAAGACCCGCGAACTTCGAATCTCACGTCGAGATTTAAAGGTGCAGAGTGAGCAGATGGATGATTTAGTTCCAATCCGTCTGGATATCGATTGGGAAAAGGTCAAGATTCGTGACACTTTTACTTGGAATTTACATGATCGTGTTGTGTCACCCGACCTCTTTGCTGAGAAGCTGGTAGAGGATTTGGGTCTCCCTTTGGAAACTTCCACTCCCCTCATACGCCAGATCTCTCAGAGTATTCAAGAACAGTTAATGGACTACTACCCACAAATTTACATGCATGAAGAGGCCCTTGACCCGCATCTTCCCTACACGGCATATCGAAATGACGAGATGCGTATCTTGATCAAGTTGAATATCACTATTGGACAACATACTCTTATTGACCAATTTGAGTGGGATATCAACAATGCACAAAATTCTCCCGAGGATTTTGCCATGCGCATGACAGACGATCTTTCTCTCTCTGGCGAGTTCACCACCGCTATCGCCCATTCAATCCGTGAACAATCCCAACTCTTTACCAAATCACTTTATATTGTTGCCCACCCATTCGATGGTCGCCCTATAGAGGATCCCGATCTCAGCGCTTCTTTCCTACCAACCCCCGTATCTTCCGCCTTCCGACCTTACCAATCGGCCAAGGAACACACCCCTTACCTCTACGAATTGAACGAGACAGATCTTGAGCGAACTGAGATCTCGATATCACGAGAGCAACGTCGCCAAAAACGGTCTATAAACCGGCGTGGCGGTCCTGCTCTACCAGACCTGAAAGACCGGCAACGTACAATCCGCACATTGATCGTATCTTCTGTCATTCCCAACTCGGCAGCATCCTTGGAAGAAAGCAATGTCATCAAGCGCTCAGGATCTGGTCGCCGTCGTGGCATTGCGGGACAACGCGATGAAGATTCCGATGAATTTGAAAGTGATGACTCGGATGAAGGCTCTCCAGCAGTTGGGCCAAACCTTGCCCAAGGAACTGCCCGCACAAGAGGCATGAGGGGAGCCGCCAGAGAAGCTCATGCGGCCTTGCGTGCCGGTTTGGGTCACTCTGAAACCCCAGAGCCTGTAGCTTATGAGCCTCGAGCGTCGGCCCGACGGCAACAATACCGTGAAGAAAGTGACGAAGAACCGGAAAAAATGATTGTGCGATTTAGGTTGTCCCGAGATAAGTTGATGGCTCTAAGAAATGGGCAGCGAATCGTTTCTGCTTCTCAAACGTCTTTTAACAGGGCAGCACCCAATGCCACAACAATGGCACCTCCCTCTGATAAGCAAGGGCGACTCCCTGGACATAACCCGCCACGGCCTCAACAAACAGGAGCCATTGATGCACCGAACCCTCCTCAGCCTGGTGTTTCTGCTGTGAGTAGATATTGATCTTTGGATTTTTTTTGGGGGGTCTTTGGCTGACCGTGTGCGCAATTCAGCCCCCACCACCTAGCTGGCTGGTAGCCGGACTCCAGGGGTTAAAACAGGCCCATCCCAACGACTCGTTTGAAGGAGTGATGCGTTATTCCGCCGTGGATCTGGAAACTCTTGCCCCTGTGACCAATACGAACAACCTCCAGCCAGGTCAAAAAATAAAATACCAGTACCTACCGCGAATTCGATGCCACGACTGTCCTGGCAAGCTGTACACACCTGGTCCCGGCATGACTGTCGATAACTTTGAGGTTCATCTTCGCAACCGACAGCACAAGGAGCGGGTGGAGGAGCGAATTGCCAAGACTCCTGCCAATCCCAATCTGGGTAGTGCAAGCCCGGCCCCTGCTGGTCCTCGTATGGCGGCCAGTGCTAGTCCTGCAACCACGGGGGTTCCTTCACCCGTCCCTGCACCTCGTCCTTGAGTCACAAGTTCCCTGATGAAGTTATGACTGCGGCGCCTGTGTGAGATCTTCTGACTGGAGTCCCCATTCTTCTGAACGCCTGTATTCTTTATTTTATGTATGACACTATCCATTGTTTCTACCCTTTCCTAGAACACCGATTGTTCTTCTCTCGTTTGTGATGGTGTCTGTTGTACAGGATTCTTTTTCTGTTCAAGTCTGCAGCGGCAGAGCGATTTATCTAGTGCTTATTCATTATTCACTGTGAGGTGTACAATGCCTTCTAAAACACAGAATTTTCTTTTTTTCACATCTGAACGTAATAATACTATGTTTGACGGCAGGACCCAACTATCTACTATTAGCAAATCAGAATGGGTTCTTCTTCTTTTTCTCACATCTGCATGTGGATGATACATGTCAACATGAGTTGCAAAGCCCAGTAGTGTAAACTCTCAAGTGCTTGGAAGCGACTTTCCCCAAAGGGAATCTTTGGGCACCGAGATTCCACCTGGGCAAGTTGCACTGTGCACATGTGTACTAGTACTTTGTATACCTTTCTGCTTACTTTTTTCACCGCCCCTCCAGCTGGACCTCATTGGAATTACGCCCTACCTACAGAGTATCTTACTGTGCAGCTTATGACCTCGAAGAATTCTAATACGGTATTTAACGGATATCATGAAAGACGTTCAGAAAGACCTCCACAATGCAGTGGCTCGAGGGAGCCTGGACACCATACGTGCTCTGATAGAACAAGGTGCTGATGTCAACACGACACAGCACGATATACTCAAAGACGCCATAGCGCACAATCATGAAGATGTTGTGGACTTGCTTATACCGCACTGCGATCCTGTGCGCTCGTTTGACGCTTTGGAGACTGCCATCTTTCTGGGATTCTACCAAATCGGAGACCGTCTTGTCAAATCTGGGAGGTTTTATCACCCACACCAGTGGAGCTGGGATTCAAAGTACTTGAAGTACATGACATTTCCTGATCGTCACGAAACGAAAATTCTCGAAAATTGGGACCATTTTTTGAGACATCATTGCGAAGAATCGAAAATAAACCCTCTTTACTTTGATTACCTGCTTCTCCTCGCAGCCAAAATCAAAGAAAATCACGATTTCATCAATTTGTTACTCACAGGCTCCAAAAAATGGGGACACAAATTGAACGTCAATTGTAAGATCAAGGTTGAATCTCACTTCGAGACTCCCCTGACTGCTGCTGCTGAGAATGGCAACGATAATGTTCTTCGGCTTCTTGTACACCATCCCGATATCGACTCGACAATATGTGGAAAGAAGGACTGGCCGGCAATTATACACTTGTTGCGAAATGACAACTGGAGGTACAGTCTGGATGTGATAGATGATCTGAAAGTACACATACCCAAAAAGCAGACAGCACTCCATGAGTGGCAAGATGAACTCGAAATCGTCTTTGAAAATGTCATGCGCTCTTACCATCCACTTGCCGTGAAACGTGTGCTTCGTTTTGCTCAGGGCGCAGGGGCTAGAGCTTTGCCATTGATGATAATGGCTGGTGATACAACTGGATTTAATTGGATACTCAACCGTCGGGGGATTAACATGTCCGAGCCGGCCCCTCTGCTATGGAGCCTTCTTTTCAACTACATTGAAGTCAATAATGATTTTGAGTGTCTCGAAACCCTTTTATACGTTGCAGAGCTTTTAGTGAAGGCTGAGATATGGAATCCCGTCTTGCTTCAATGCCTCCGAGCTCGAAACTTTTCTTTTGCTCGGCAATTTTGCTTTTGGCCACCCAATGAGATGACGTTCACACTCTGTGGGATCCTTCCAATAGAAGTATCAAGAATGGCACTTCTAGGGTTTAGACAGGCTTCTGGGGATGTCGCTTTGGTGAAGATATGGATCGACAAGGGGTTTGCTGACAGTGCCCTATGGAACGCTTACCACGACAACTGGCTTACTACAAGCCTTGAAGAAGTGCTTGCTTACCCCGGCATCAATCCAAATCGACCGGATCCTCATTTGGGTGATATCAAAAGACCGGATTTCCCAACAATTAAACATCCATTTTTCCAAGCAGACCAGGACGAAGAAGATGAACGTGTTGATCTTCCATTACGAAAGCCTGCGCCATTCGATGATTATCAGAACCTCCCGCTGCAGGACTACTCATTTCAGTTAATGTTAAAAGAGAGGCACAATAAGAGACACCTGCTCCGAGCTCAACAATCTGCTCTCACTTGGGCAGTGGCGATGCAGAACATTCAACTCGTGGATGTCCTTTTGCGATGTCCTCGGATTAATGTCAACCTTCAAGACCGAAATAATCGAACGCCTCTCATCTTTGCTGTGGCGGTTGGAAACAGCGAGATTTTGAAGAGAATTCTGGCTCGAGAGGATTTGAACATCAATCTACAGGATTATCAAGGACGATCCGCCATATTCTATGCTGCTCAAAGCGGCGATACAGATATCACTCAACTACTCATGCAGACTGGTAGAGTAGATCTGAAGATTCCCGATGCTATGCAACGAACGGCTCTGAGTTTTGCTCTCCAGGAGGGGCATGATGGTGTCGTTGCTTTGCTTGGCTGATTTCATAATTTCCAATTTGATAAAGTGAGTTATAAGGAAGCATGGAAATACCCCATGTATGAATTTTTACCAAGAGAGGAAGAATAAGACGAAGAAGAACCTGTTCAACTGACATTTCATTCCAAGTCTGAAATAGAATCCATGCTGTAGTCCCTCTCCACATACAACATCCATGCATTGTATCCAGACAGACACCTATTTATGCTACAAATGAAAACAATCCTCATGCCCCAGCCAATCAAGCCAGGTGCATGGCTGTTGCTTTTCAACTCTTTTTCAATTGCCCCATTCACGTACTTCGACGCTGGATCTATTTTGGGATTGGGAAATATACCGATAAAATGGGCTGTTCAGAAACTTTCCAATACACAAGGAAGAATCAGAAACACGAGTCATTCCTTGTGTAGAATCGGTCCAAGTAAAAGCCCCAGCATCCACAGTATGAAGCTGATGCATCTGATCTGCATCTTTCTCACATATTTCCACCTGGACACTGGTAAGATGCATCAATCCTGCCTCGAATTCGTAGAGAGCATTTCGTTGCTGCTCATTGAGGTTGAATATAAGCATTCCCTCCACAATAGCTTTTGGATCTGAAGAAGGCGTGATGACAGGCGAACTCGATTCAGCGTATTGATGTAATTGATAGCCGGATATTGTGGCTTGGGTCATGGAGTTGTGGATTTCGCAGCGTTGTTCCATGCCGATGTAATATTTTAAGACAGTGGGAAGCATGAGAACCCCATACACAAATCGTGGGGAGCTTCCTGGTCGCTTGAGGAAGCGTGACACATCCTTTTCGGACATTGTGTTGCTTAGCGCTAGCTTGAAATCGGTCGGATACCAGGTCTTCAGTTCCATATTCAACCTCAGGAGAGATTTCACAACTATGAGACAGGTTTCAATGCTGTAACCTATCACGAACGATTGGAAGCTGTTGCAGCGTAAGGTTTGGTAATGAACTGTCGAAGTGACGATAGCGAAAGTGTTTCCAAGGACAATTTAGATAGGTTGGTTGCCAGATAGGAGCAAAATTCTGTTCTAATTTGGTGACGAGGGAATTAATCAACCATTCCTTGCTCTGGGGTATAAGTGTAGGCGTAGACGATCTAGACTGTGAGTATGAGAGAGGAGCCACAGAGAGACTGCGCCTGGGCGAAATAACGACTGAAGAGCCTCATAATTACCAACAAGGAGAGCGCCATACAATGTGAGCAAAGGCCCCGACATCACTTTGGGTTATCCTTGGATGGTTAACCGTGGTTTCAGGGGGAAGAAAGGCCGAGGAAAGGTATAGTTCTGCGCCCGCGGGTGCCTGCCAGGCTAGGTAGAAGGCAGAAAGCGCAGGTGAGATCACCCGGGTAAGAACATAGTAAGTCATTAAGTATTCCGTCAATGGGTATGATTCCGTATGGAACTGAAATGCCAATAATAACCCGGGGTAATACTACTCCATAGTGGACACCGACTATTATTGATCTATTGATCTGTTGATCCATATTGATTTTGGAACTAACTGAACAAAGTAGTCTAAGGACTCCATAGTACCAATCCAGTTATAATTTAATTATATTTAGTTATATTTAATCAAAAATGACCAGTAAATCAGGCATCTCAGGCAGTCAAGATCGACCAAGTTCCATCACATTCGCTGGTGGCGGACTCCAATTCGCTGACATAACGGTCCACCGCTTACCTCATCACATATCGTCACTCGATGAGTACCTGGGAGCTCTCCGAACCAACCTCCATCTCTTACTTTCCCACCAGGTCGTCTTGTTGATTCCCCCCCCCCAAGTGTTAATTTGACACTTTTCCATCTTTCTATCGTTCATTCGATTTTCTGTTTTTTCTTGTTCACCTCAAGCTGCTCCCCAGCTTGGCTGTGAACACTTGATCTTTCCCGCTTCTCTCAAGCTTCGTCTTCCCATCAACCTGCCACATATCTCAGATCCTTCAAGATGTCTGCAGAGCCGGATCACACTCACGATAAGAAGAGGGTCAACCTCCAGTATGCTACATCTGAATCCATCCTTTATCGCCTCGTAACTAACATTGGACTAGGGATGCCTCGGGCGCCGAGAAGAAAGAGGTTAGACTAGCGCACACCCGGCAACTCGCAACATATCGGGAGACTGACGGAATAAACAGGAGCTTGACACCGCAACTGCCATTCTCAAGAAGAAGAAGAAGCCCAACTCTTTGATGTAAGAGATTCGATTGAGGCCATGAGCCCGATTTGCGGGGACAAAACTGACAGCCTTTCCAATAGTGTGACTGATGCCGTCAACGATGACAACTCCGTTATTGCCCTTTCCAACAACACCATGGAGACTCTCCAGCTCTTCCGTGGTGACACAGTCCTCGTGAAGGGCAAGAAGCGCAAGGACACTGTACTGATCGTCCTGGCCGATGACGACCTGGATGATGGTAGTGCCCGCATCAACCGCGTTGTCCGACACAACCTCCGCGTCAAGCACGGTGACGTTATTACCGTTCACCCTTGCCCCGATATCAAATATGTGAGTCTAGAATTCGAGCTATTCCTTGGTCCTGACAATCCATTCTTTTCATTCGAGTGCTAATCTGAATGTCGCACCAGGCCAAGCGCATTGCCGTCCTTCCCATCGCCGATACCATTGAGGGCCTGACCGGATCCATTTTCGATGTCTTCCTCGCCCCCTACTTCCGCGAGGCTTACCGACCTGTGCGCCAAGGAGATCTCTTCACTGTGCGAGGAGGTATGCGCCAAGTCGAGTTTAAGGTCGTTGAGGTGGACCCCCCAGAGTACGGTATCGTTGCACAGGACACAGTTATTCACTGCGACGGTGAGCCCATTCAAAGGGAGGATGAGGAAGGTAACCTCAATGAGGTCGGCTATGACGATATCGGTGGCTGCCGCAAACAGATGGCCCAGATTCGTGAACTTGTTGAGCTGCCCCTCCGCCACCCTCAGCTGTTCCAGACTCTGGGTGTCAAGGCGCCCCGTGGTATTCTTATGTATGGCCCCCCCGGTACCGGTAAGACTTTGATGGCTCGTGCAGTCGCCAACGAGACCGGAGCATTCTTCTTCTTAATAAACGGACCTGAGATCATGTCCAAAATGGCTGGCGAGTCCGAATCGAACTTGCGCAAGGCTTTCGAGGAGGCCGAGAAGAACTCACCCGCCATTATCTTCATTGATGAGATCGACTCTATTGCCCCCAAGCGTGAGAAGACCAACGGTGAAGTTGAGCGTCGTGTTGTTTCTCAGCTTCTGACTCTCATGGACGGCATGAAGTCCCGTTCCAACGTTGTGGTTATGGCTGCTACTAACCGCCCCAACTCCATTGATCCTGCCCTTCGTCGTTTCGGTCGTTTCGATCGTGAGGTGGACATTGGTATTCCTGACCCAACTGGTCGTCGTACGTGCTTCCTGAAATCTCCCTTTTGTTTTCTCTAATTTACACGACTAACCACACTGGTTTGATTTAGTCGAGATTCTGCAAATTCACACCAAGAACATGAAGCTCGGCGATGACGTTGATCTCGAGACCCTCGCCGCTGAGACTCACGGTTACGTCGGTTCCGATTTGGCCTCGCTCTGTTCCGAAGCCGCCATGCAACAAATTCGTGAGAAGATGGATCTCATTGATCTTGATGAGGATACTATCGATGCCGAGGTTCTTGACTCTCTTGGTGTTACCATGGAGAACTTCCGCTACTCCCTCGGTGTTTCCAACCCCTCTGCCCTTCGCGAGGTTGCTGTGGTCGAAGTTCCCAACGTTCGCTGGGACGACATTGGTGGTCTGGAGGAGGTCAAGCGCGAGCTTATCGAGAGCGTGCAGTACCCTGTGGATCACCCTGAGATGTTCACCAAGTTTGGTCTCAGCCCTTCAAGAGGTGTTCTCTTCTACGGACCTCCTGGTACCGGTAAGACCATGTTGGCTAAGGCTGTCGCCAACGAGTGTGCTGCCAACTTCATCTCCATCAAGGGTCCTGAGTTGCTGAGCATGTGGTTCGGTGAGTCGGAGAGCAACATCCGTGACATCTTCGACAAGGCTCGTGCTGCGGCTCCTTGCGTTGTGTTCCTTGACGAGTTGGACTCTATTGCCAAGTCCCGTGGTGGTTCCGTCGGTGATGCCGGTGGTGCTTCCGACCGTGTTGTCAACCAGCTCTTGACTGGTAAGTATCTTCAATACCTCTTATATCCATAAATTCTTTTTTACTAACACCCATTTCAGAGATGGATGGCATGACCTCCAAGAAGAACGTCTTCGTTATTGGTGCCACTAACCGTCCCGAGCAACTCGATGCTGCCCTTGTTCGTCCCGGTCGTCTCGACACCCTTGTCTACGTTCCTCTGCCCGACCAGGAGTCTCGTGCTGGTATCCTCAAGGCCCAGCTCCGCAAGACCCCTGTCGCCGGAGATGTCGACCTGGACTTCATTGCCAGCAAGACCCACGGTTTCTCCGGTGCCGATCTTGGATTCGTTACCCAGCGTGCCGTCAAGCTCGCTATTAAGGAGGCCATCACCGCCGACATTGACCGCATCAAGGCTCGCGAGGCTGCTGGTGAGGACGTCACCATGGATGATGATGAGGCCATGGAAGACACCGTGTCTGAGCTCACCAAGGCTCACTTTGAGGAGGCCATGAAGTCTGCTCGTCGCTCCGTTAGCGACGTTGAGATCCGCCGCTACGAGGCTTTTGCCCAGAGCCTTAAGAACTCTGGAGGCAGCAGCTTCTTCCGCTTCCCCGAGGCCGGGGAGGTCCAGAACAACGACACGTTCGGCGAAGCCGGCAATGATGACAGCCTCTACGACTAAATGGGTTCCGCTTTGAATTTTATTGCTATTGTTGACGATATCTTTGTTCGACCATTCCAGTCACCATTGGGGCTTTTCCTGCGCTTAATCAAGATTCGTCGTTAGTTAGATGATTGTTTCTCTTAGAGTAGGGAATTCGCTGAGAACTGTAGTGGTCTTATTTCTTTTTTTTACCCCCCAGAATCTTCTCGGTCTTCAAACCTGGTTATCTCTGCCTTATACAATGTGTCATAATTGCCATAATCGCCAATTAGTAGAGAAGTTTCATGATTTACTCTTATCTGCATCTTGTGCAGTGCTACAGTGTAGTCTAGTAGTCTCATAGACTGCAATGTGTACTTTGAGATCAAAGGTTGATTCACTACTCAAGTGCTAGTACCTTTACTAGTAGTAAGTATTCCATCGGGCACTGACACTCAACATTTGAAGCTTGGTTCATCAGAATAATTCATGATCTATGCATTTATAGTAGACATCAAAGAGTACGGTTCCACAGAACAGTGCCAGAAATAAAAAAGACAATTAGTATGTGGGATGCTCGACCGAATTCTATCAACCACCCAAACGAATACAAGAAAGTCCACAGCATCTGCCCAGCCTTGAAACACCCCAGAAAATCTATGTCCAGTTCACGAAGACGGAGAGAAAACACAAAACTTGGAATCGAGGTATATACACATGACCGCCGGTCCTGGGAGATCCAGTCCAAACCATGATAGGGGTCGAGTGGGATCTGATCTATCACAGCTCCTTGAACGAGAAGTAACCTCAGACAGATAGATATGCATGCACACGCAAAAAGGGAGGGAATGGGATCTCATTCTCAAAACGTGGCCGAGGGAAACAATGGGACCAACCAGGTCGTGATGTAGCAGTAGCAGATAGGTATTCCTGGGGAGCGAGCACAAGCGCCACCAGGGTTGTTGCTGAATTTCTAATCGTTCCTGGGAGGTAGGAAGGGAGGAAGGGGTAAGGGTAAGGAGGAAAGGAGGGAAGGAAGGGTGGCGTGAGACGACGAGGATGGATGGTCATCCCGGATTGTGCTGTACAAACAAGTAAAATAAGATAAACAAAACGCTCAAACTCCATTCCCAGATGCGTAGCGCCGAAGCGGAATCAACAAGGTTCAAAGACTATTAAAATTGACTTTTTCTTTTTCTCATGGCTTCTTCTTGACGTGGCGACTTCCAGTTTCAGAGGGGAGCTCGTCGCCATCGATGATACGCCACAGACGCCGCGGGGAAAAGTTATTGCCGAATAAGTAAATACCGACGAACCATGCTGCCAGGAGGTTGGCAAGATGGTGGAGCAGGTATGCGTAGGTGACTCCGTAGACCGCCGAGTACATGGCGATCGCAAAGAAGATCACTGAGGTGACATGTTTGAAGCTGAGAATGTTAGTGTAAGCCCTAGCAGAGCGGCCAGAGAGGATATATGGACATACCGAGTAGTGATGCGTGGAATCATAGCGCCACTGGTCATGGTCTCAACCAGGAGAAGGAATGGCATGATAGACAGAACGTTGTGATGGGAAGAGAAAGGCATGAACCAGTGCACCACGAGATTGTGGGCCCAGACTAGGAGAACCAGGACGTTGATAGGTAGAATCCATAGCATGAGAATTAGGATGGAGTGGGCGTAATTGCCGAAGTTGAGGTGAGAGGAGGATCGCTGCAGCAGAGGTTAGAATCTTACTTATCTTCCTTTCTTTTTCATTCTGGGTATGGGTTTGGAAGGGGAAAAGAAACATACTGTTTCCTTAACGTGCCACTGGGCACGCACACACGTCGCAAGCTGCACAATACAGGCCACCATGTAGGCAAACTGATACGGAATGATTGTGGAAACGAGGATCAGCAAGATTGCAGTGTGTATGACACGTCGCCGAGGCGTAGGAGTACTGAAGATCGGGAGACTCCTATCAGTTGTTAGCAAATAACCCTAAAAAGATACATGGCACGGGGGAAAAGCACTCACCCTCGGTCTTCGCGTCTAATATAACCCGACTTGCTGTTAACAGCTCCATACATCAAAGAGAAGATATTAACCAAGAAAAGAGCCACATAGTTGACCAATACACAGGCGCCAACACTAATGGCTCCAAAAATTGGAACAAGGAACCAGAAGAACGCGTCTTGTGATCCCAATAGAAGATCGTTTTTGGTGAAATCGACGGGACTTTCCGTAGAATTTGTTCGGAAATGGAATGGGTCATCGGATTGGGGAAGCGCCTTAGAGGTAGCGAGGGAAGACGCCAAGAGCGACATAGCTACCAATAGAAGGGGGAGAGAAGTGCGCAAAGCTCGATCGAGTCCGTCATTGAAGGGAATGAAATAACCCGTCTCGTCGTAAACCTGGAATTGTTTGCGGAGCACGAGGGCCACAACCAGCAATGGGAATGCCGCAAAGATGGTGCGGTATCGCATCACAAGCTCACCGAGACTGCTCTTAATGTCAACCTGCAGCGAGATATCAACCGTAGATCCGGAGCTTGGGTCAGTCCACAATTGGAATGACACGCCGTTCTGCGCGGCCAGGTCGCGGAGAGGAGGCGGCATGAACGGAGCAGCACCGTGAAGATTGACATTGACCTGGTCAACATTCACAAAGAACTTAGATTCATGAGGATCAGCAATAGACTGTCTCAACAGTGGAGCAAAAAGCTCGTCCTGTTGAGGATGTCTTGTGATTTTAAGACGGTAATCCAAAAGACTGGAGTACAACGCTGGGATCTTGACCTCGGTGAGCATGGGTCGATTGGCAGGGAGTCGCATTTTAATTCCTGCGCTCAGCAAACTACCCAATCCCACCTTGGCACGAATCACTGAGTCCGAGCTATCAGAAAATTCAGCAACCAAGAAGCCTGGAGCCGGCACGCTGGCCTTGTCCACAACGGCTACAAATTGATGTTCTGCTAGACTCTCTAGATCGTATTGGAGATAGGAGAATGGTGGCACACGGTCATAAGCGTGCTTCGACGAAGGGGTAGAAGCAGGCAAATGAATCACATCTCCTGATGCACTCTTACAGGCCATTCGGGTGGATCCCGCGGTGCCACCCGAGAAATCCATGTTCATGGAGAAAATATTTGAACGGCCATTGTTCAGAGGAAAGACGCTGCAAAAGAGAACTTCGATGCTGCTCTTAGCACCAATTCCTTGGTCGGTGATAAGGGTGAACTTCTTGCCTGCAACACCCTGGGGTGGAATCGGCAGAAGGCGAACATCCGGACCGTGTCGCTGGCCCACTTCACGCAAGATAAGCCGTTGACCTAAAGCAAGGATGGTGTTTGCGTTGTCCTCGAGAGTTAAGAGCGTATTGGGTTCTTTTTGAGCAAGGGTTCTCTCAGAAACATCTTCCAAGCCAGTCAAGTACCACCGCTTAAGCTCCCGCATACGCTCTGCCCGGGGCTTTGTTTGAGTCGGACGTCGAGCATCGATAATTTCGAAAAGCGACTTGATGATGGCTTTGCGGAATTGATCACACCAAGTGATCGACAAATGATCATTGCCAATCCACACGTCGGGAATTGAAGATGTGAACACCGTAAACCCGTGTGTTTCTGGTACAAGAGAAGAAATACTGGTGTAGTCAGACGGTACTACGGTATCGCGCGAGCCACCCGCGATGGAAACCAAAGTAACATGCCATAATGGATTGTTGTTGGCCCAAGTCTGCGAGTAAGCCTCACGCCAGTAGTCGTTGATTTGTTTATAAGTGTGGACGATGTCGGAGTCAAACGATACCGGGGGTCTCGCATGCGGCGCAGACATGGTAATAATCGTGTTGATCGAGTTAGCCTGGTAGTTAGCCATCGTCAAGACGGTGCGTGCGACAATTCCACCCATCGAGTGTCCAATCAAAATCACAGCACTCGGGTCTGGCAGTCCGGGGTCTCGTCGAGTCCGTTGGGGGTCATGGTAGAGTGAGAGAATGTATGCAATCGCTTCATTCACATACTCTGCCTGGTCCAACAAGGTCTGTCCGTGAAAAGCGGCCATATCCTCATTGAAATCCACCATGAAGAAATCCAAGCTCCGGGTGCCGGCCGCATGTCGCTCCTCATCGTGTCGTACCACATCGTAGTAATGCCGTGACGCCTCCGCAGCCAGAGACCGGACCTGTCGGTAACTGCCCGCGTTTCCGGGAAGGAAGAGAACCGGTACACCGTTTAACTGGGAAGCAAGAAAAAAAAAAGATAGAAAGTCAGCTCATGTCCCCTCCGCCCCGTTAACAATCAAATGATTCTTACCCCAATGTTATCCTGGGTATATGGATCTACACCCTCCTCCCGATAGAGGAATAAATTATACTTGCTCGCGAACCGGGTATGCTCCGTATCGAATTCCACCATACGAATAAACGTCGGGCTCATCATCGGTACCCCACAGCCATCTCCTCCGGTATGCCGACCGGTGAACGAGTGGACGACGGATAACAAGAACGCGATGGCGGCGAAGGTGGTGCAAATGGTAAGAATAGATAACGACCAGGGGCTGCGCTGTCGGGATTGGCGCGCGCGACGGCCCTCAGGGGAGGGGGCCTCCATGGGAAGCCTCGGGGAGCCCAATGGCATGGGTTTGGTATCGTTGGACGGCTGAGTTGAAGGTGTGCGCCACAGGCTTGAGTTCCGCGAGCGCGGCGTGGAGCTACCGTTGTCTCGGCGAAGATCAAAACTGGTACCGTGACGAGCTATCTGGGACCGCGATTTATCGTTTGGGGCGTCGATGGCATTGGAGCCATGATCGTCTGACCGAGCCGAGGAATCTTCAGTGTCGTCCGCGACAGGGGAGCCAGACGAACGTCTGTGCATTGGAGGAGGCGGAGTAGGGACTCATCCAGCACAGGGGGATTCGATCTTGGCAGTCCGAAGCGCGACCTCACACTGGTCGAACAGATTCAAACAGGGAAGGAGGGGGGAAGGGAAGGGGCGACTGGAATGCGGTCGGAGAGGATAGGTAGGAGAGGTTCGAGTGTTCCCGAGAACGTTTCGGGGGTTAGAGCGAGAGATGGAGTTCCCGGCTCAGACTTGGCGTTTTCTTTTGGCCCTGGCATCCGAGAAAAGATGTACAATAGTCCCTTATAATACTGTAACAAGTCCCTTCTCTTTTTTTGATTTTCTCTAATTCTTTTCTAACAGGTTTGTCGGGAGGTGTGGAGTAAAAATAAAAGGGTATCAGTGGGACAGGTACAAGGAACCGGTTGACTGCGGAAAAGACGGTAGTATATTGAAGTTGCTTTGAACAAGATTTTTTTTTTCCGGGAGAAGAGATAAACCAAGTAGAAGAAGCTTGAAAGGGATCTGGGGTAGTAGATCGTAATGATCTTTGGCTATAGCTCCCCTTCAATCTTCTACAACTTTGAACTGACTCTACTCCATAAGGCCCAGACGGAAACGGTATCGTACAGGCTTGGCAGTGTGGAGGTAAGATTAAAGACCCTCTTTCCCGAGACATTTTGATAGGGAAAACACATTGAAGTAAATGAAGTATGTATTATACCCATCACTTTACAGGCATTACAGGCATTATTCTCGCAATGCCGTGTTGTAAGCTAAATTCAACTACTGGGAACATTCCTCTGGTTCACACCAGGCAGCCATATAAAATCTCAGGGCTTGACCACGTACCTGCAGGACGCGTATGTCACACAAGTATAGATAATAAATTGAAATATTAAAAAGATTACCATATAGCCTTCAAAGTTCAGCCACTCCCAAATCCGCATTAAGTAAAAAGCTATCACTTCAATGTTGGACACCATGAACCCCTTATAACCAATAATTTGGTCGGATGGCGTGACCTGGGATAGACCTGGTGGTAGCTTGAGAGTCAAAACATTCGGGATGCAGCCGATCAGATTGGGTAAGATATTGGCTCTTTCTAGTGGTCAGTTCAAATGTTGGGATTCTGACAGTGCGGGGGTTTCAAATGTTTGGTGACTTGGTCAATTTCATTGCCTCATAAAATCATCGTCCCTTCCAACCTCCAGCGCTTCTCCCCTTGACTTTTCATCGATAGACGTGACAACCATGCAAAGTCATCACTAGTGATACCATAAATCACTGTGTATTCTGGAAAATGGCCCAGTCTCTACTTGATCCCGTCGTAGCTCTTCTTTGATGTGTGAGTATTCCTTCCTTACAAAGTTTCCCCAGAGAACAAGCTCATATGAAGAAATCCTTCAACCCTTGGACCGACAAGCCTGTTGGAATGACCCAATACAATTAAGCAGATTCTGATCATGAGACCTATTCAATGTTTACTTGAAAAGTGGATCATATTGCGTGGCTAAGGTTCCGGCTAACGGCAATCGTTATAGGTACCTACAAGCTAGAATCGGACGCCCGGAAATTCGAAATGAAATCTTCAGAAGCAATTAAATCGAATTATACAAGACTCGAAAAGCTATTCATAAATATCGGGGGAATCGTTGAAGTTTCAAACATAAATCATGATCGAGTAAATGCTCAGACATGTAAAAGCCCCTACGTATATTACTCCACTCGCGAAGCTACTGCCTTCTCCGGGTCATTATCCTGGTCAACCATACCACGTTGAGCCGCGACAACTGCCAGATCGGCATCATGTTCGGCATCAAAGTTCCGGCCCAAGCGCTCCGGACCGGCCAGGGTGATGAGGATGACATAGGCATAGACACATCCCATGAAAATACAGATCACCTTGCCATACTCGTAGCGTTTGGTGCCACTAGCGCTAGGTGGAAGTGGGAACCGTTCGCCAATGGTTGACTCAATAGTCGAACTGGCAGACGAGACCAAGTTACCGAGCTGATAGGCTGTACCCACTGCAAAAGTCCGAATGGCTCCTGGGGACAACTCCATCAGGTGAATTGGGATCACACCCCAGGCGCCTTGCACCATGAATTGCTCAAAGTAAGCAGCCGCTATAACGGATTTGGAAGTGGTGAAAGTGTAGGGGTAGAGGATCGCACCGCCGACGATGCTGATAACAATAATGGAGAATCGGCGGCCAAAGATCTGACTCGCCCATCCGCACAATGTGCCTCCTGTCAATGCTCCCAGATTCGCAACGACTTGGGTGACCGTAACTGCGTTGGCAGAGAATTTGAACTGATTCTCTAGCATTGTTGGGTACAGATCCTGGGATCCATGGGACTGGGGTTTTCATGTTAGCCCGGCTATTGTTTAGCACTTCATAAGAGAAAGGAAACAATACATACCATAAAGTTGAACCCGGCCATCAACAGGACCAGGTATATCAACAGCAGCCAGTGTCGCTTCAGTGCCACCTTGCCTTCGGAGAGGAACGATTTGGCTACGCCACCGCGAACCGCCTCGCGTGTCTCCTGTCGACGGCGGAAGGTTTCCGTCTCGGGAAGACACAGCCGGAAAGCAATGATCAGGATGGGCGGGCAAGCACCGAACCAATACAGTGGCCGCCACCCATGTGAGGTGGTATCAACCAATCCACGGGCAAAAGCAGTTGCCAAAAGATACCCAAAAGCATAACCCTGCTGAAGCAAGCCAGAAATAATACCACGCGCTTCAGGTGGGCAGTCCTCCAGCGCTGTCGCGGCGGCATTACCATAAAGACCACCCATGGCAATTCCGAAGAGAGAGCGACAGGCCAAGAACTGCTTATAGGTCTGACAGAAACCGGTGCCAAGCTCGAGCACAACAAACAAAAGTTGATTGACCACGAACGGCCACTTACGGCCCCATCGATCGGCAGCGATACCAAATGTGATGGCCCCCACCGATCGAAGCATCAGCACCAAGGTAATTCCCCATGTGATATCGGTGACAGACTTGTCGAATTGCTTCGCCAACTGGCTGGTCGTCAAAGAAACGGTGAAAAAGTCAAAGGCATCCCAGCTCCATCCCAAAAAGCCGACCTAGATTTTGACCCGTTAGTACTAGTGACTTTCTCTCCCGCGCCTGAGATCGACGGCACTAACCAAGAAAAATAGCCATTGCTGGCGGTTGAGGAGCGTGAGGGCTCGAAAGGGGTTTGGAGCTGGGTTCATGGGTGGTACCAAGGTCGGGATGCGGGTAGCAATGTACCGACCAATACTCATATGTTCTTCGACATCTGGCGAGGGCTCGACTCTTGCAGTCGAGTGCGGAGCCTTGTCCTGAAACTCCGCCATGACTGGCTAAACCAACAGGTCAAGGCAGTCGGTATAAAGCACTCAGTAGCGGGGCCACGTGGAGAGAGCAGGTAGATGGAGAGAGTTGAAAAAAAAGAGTCAGGACCAAAGGGGTAGAGTTGGAAGGGGTAAATAATAAGACAGAAATACTAAGAACAATAAAGATATTGGAATGAGGGGAAGGTCATGTTATTAAATATTAAATACAACTCTACGTCAATCCTACCATGTGCCTCTTAGAAACAATCCCCGTGCTCTAAGAGACTAAGAAACATGTCATCTTATTTGTCCCGCATTTCTGGATTTGTCGACGGAGGCAGGATGGGAACCCACGGTTGCGCGCCGATCACCTCACGTTTCAGGCAATTAGTGGATCCTCTTGGAGTCAGTCCAAGGGCCAAGACTGGGGAAATGGGCTTACTCATCCATTTTATCGCTCTCGGGTGGTCCAAGGACCGGTTTTGACTTTCAGGGCTTTCGGGGCTTTGGTTCCTTCGATGTTTGGTTTAATCTTTGCTTTCCTCCATATCTCTGACACCATGCAGAATGCTACCTTTCCTGCCGAGAGACCCGCATCAACCTGTCAAAGTCGATGTCGGCAGATGTCAAGATTGGTTGAATCCGCCGTTACTGTACAGATGAGTTAGTATCCACACCGACCGAAATGCGCTAAAAGGGTATCCGTCACAGCAGTCCCCGTTTGCCGAGTGTTGGGTTCGTTCCTCGGAATTTGTTGTATAACAAGGCTCCATCAAACCTTATGCACAATTCTCACATCTGGACACCACTCCTCTCACTCGAAATCCAACAGTCCTTTATCTTCTAATGGCAAAAGTTTAACGGACAATCTCCGTTTACTTCTTGCCAACACCTTCCATCAACCTCGAGAACCGTAGTAATTCCGTGCAACCCCCGCATATACCCGGCATAGGATTTCTCCGTTGATCTGCCCAGACCGTGGGGTGTGGAGCTGTCTGGAGAAAAAAAAAAACCAATTCTCTCCAGATATCGGAACCCCCGCGACCCACTACCAGCCCGCTGCCCCCCTTCAAATGGTCCCTAATCCCCACCCAGAACTGGTGGCCGACTTTCCAATGCCGCCGAGATCGCTAGCATCGGCCCATAGTTACTTCAGCCTCGGCTTGCTAAAGAAGTTACCGGTTTAGCCTATTTGCCGTGCTCACCGGTAAGTCTGCAACGGTAATTGAGTCACACAGTGGTCAAGTTAGGTTAGAGAATAGGCGGAATAAATCCCCCCATCTTTCGCACGAGGCTCTTTTCAAGTATTGCGGCAATTAAACTTTACCCCGAGACTTCGTCGGGCCGGGGTCTGGGCTTGGCATATGGCTTGAGAATGGTCGGAGATTCAATTACGCTTCCGGAAGTTGGCCGACGCGGTCTGCAGAGATGGAATTCAGCTGCACAGCGATGGCGGAACTATACGACTAGTAGTAGCGTAGCAATTTTCCGTGCAACAGGGACTCATCGGCCCGGCCGAGAATCTGAATAAGAAAGCATAAGCGATAGGCTAGAGGATGAAATTGATCATGGTGAGAATGGTACCTAGCGATGTTTGCTCTATTCTTGAACGTTCCAGACTCTGTTTGGCACCTGGGCTTGTAGAATCTTTCGAGCTACAATTGACCGGAGCTGAGATTCCAAATTTTCATTTTTGGCTGCAGCTACCACAGATTTGATATAATTACCGAGAAAATGCCAAGTAATTATTACCGAGTTGCCGTGAAAGCTTCTGCTCTGAGACAAGACGACCAATGAACTCTATAGCCCGTATTGAAATAATTCTTGATTATTGAGCTACCGTTAGGTAACATTTGAACAGGATATGCGGGATATCAAGCTAAAGAGACTTGCATAGGTGTGCAGAGATCAGATCGATTGTTTACCAATATGGCAATAATTCATCAACTCCCTCCTTCATCCACCCTTCAGAAATGGTAACCTTATCTTCATTATCGAATCCATGCTCACCATCCTTTCCATCAAGTCTAACATGAACATTGGGCCTGTGCTTCTGGATCTCAGCGATAAATTTCTCACTTCCCGAGAAAGGCACTGCAGAGTCCTGGCGTCCATGGAACACCCAAACAAAAGGAGGAAGTCGTTTCGCCCGTGGTAGGTTCTCGAAGGGAAAAAGCTCAGTATCTCGACCGAGGAAGTCAAGATATTTCCCATGTTGAACGGTACTTATTGCCACCGGCAATCTGGATAGTCCGACGCTTTTCTCAATATCTCCATCTGTCGTGCATACTGCATTTGGAGGCAATCCTTTCAAATGAGTTTCCACGATTTCATAAGGGAGCTGTGAGAATCAGAATCAGTCAGATGATAACAAGAACACAAAAAATAAGTCGAAAATCTCGCCTCGGGACTCGGAGCTTGACATACGGTAGGCAAGCCGAAAATGGGCTTTTGATACTTCTCAGCCCAGAATTTATCCCTCAGATCAATCATTGGGTATGACAAAATGACCGCCCTGATATTGATCTCGGGATGCAAGAGCATACTTTGGGAGACCATCCATCCTCCCGCACTGCTACCTGTGCCAAGTATGCGATCAAAGTCCGGACGAATACGCACTTCTGGGTAGAAGCTAGCGAGCTTGGATTCCAGGTTCCGCGGCAACCATTCCCAGAAGCTGGCCAGATCGGCGAGAATATCGTGGCCAGTTGCTTCCGGGAGGAGGCGATAATCGGGGGTCACGATAATGGCACGTCTGGTTAAAGCCAGCTCAATGAGCCTGTTAAAAGGATTAGTATGGTTGAGGCAAGAGGAGTAAGAAGGGTTCCTGCATAAACTGACCAGTCTGAGAACCACGGTGAAAATAGTCGGTTTCCTCCAACAAGAAACCCGCCGTGAAATTCAGTGATCAAGGGAGTCTTTTCGGTCAACTCGCCATTCTCAACTAAGAATTTCGGGACAAGAATGGAAAGGTCAATTGGATGTCCGGAGATGACCTTGTATGTCTCATGGTGGATATGAAAGTCTTTGAATTTGGAAATGTCGTGAATCTCTGGTTCTCCAATCATGATGATTGCTGCTTAAGTGCTCGAGAGCTTGGGTGGGGTAATTCAATTGATATTTCTTCGGATAGTGAGAGTCGAGATGAGATCAAACCTTGGAATGTTTTCCAGTATCAGCTTGCTAGGTATGAGTTGAATAATGGATGCTTCGATTGATACTTCCTAGGAGTATTTAACTATTTTTCAAATCCGATAATCCCGTGCATTGCAAAAAGTGATTCGATTAATGCAAACATGTCTTCTCGTTGCCCCGAATTCAAAGATGTTCGTTCCATCGATCTCCGGTGTTTAAATCCAGGTAAACCCAGAACTCCGGTACGGAGTAGTTTGCATCATCGGATGACGGAGGGCCGAGGCTGTGAATCCTGCGAGTACCAGCGAATCAGCTGTCATGATGGGAATTAACCCGACTGCATCTAGACTAGCCAAAGCGCCATCAAACCCACGGGTCACTGTTTGATGGTGTTTAGCCTATTTGTCTAGTTTGTCTCATTTGTCTTGAATGGACTTTAATCTATCTTGAGGGGATGTTATTTGAACAAACATGACAAGTGAGTCGAAATAACTCCAGGCGACCTGAGGGATGACCACCGGAGACCGGTCGTCCGTAATTCCATAAGGGTGCTTAGTACTAGTTTTCTTTAGATGGAAATACCGTTGTCTGCACATGTGGGTATTTATTATCAATCAGTTCACATTCTTGTATATCGACCGTAGCAAAATTTCCTCAGTGAGGTCTCCCGCAGCGGTCACCATCGGTACTAAGCCAACAACGTCTGCTTTTGGGAGCTCGATTCCGATGAGAACTTTAGTCCCAGGATTGTATGTATTAGGTCTCGAAAATATGATACATTATTATATAATCACCTTATAAAGTGGATTTTTTGGATGGTGCTTCGATCTTGTCCTTGGATGATTCGCCAAAAATCTGATCAATATCTGCATTCTGATCCACGTCAAAGGCCAGCGTTGGTACCTTCTTTGGGGCGTCCCAGTGGAAAAGCCATTTCATTGTCTTGGTCGATTTCTCGTTCCAAAACTTTCTCGGCACATGGGCAGAGATACGTCGCCACTGGCGGAGCATAAATCTGGGAGTGATCTTATGCGGTCGGCCCAGGACGTGTCGCCGAAACGTTGGCCCCTTCTGAGGGCCATCTGCCAATAGATCCAATAAAAGATTATCCTGGGATTTTGGAGGTTCTTCTACCTGCTTTCGTTCTCGGGGCTTCCATAACACATTCCCTGCTATCAACCCGTCCAGAACCTTGAGTTCCTTATCTGGCAACGGCGGCAGAAGACAAAATAATGTATCAAAGTACCACTGATGCCGGATATTGAATTTGCGAGAATGTCTCAAGGGTCGACCCCAACTGTTCTTCTCGGGTATGGGTGGTTCAACACCTTTCAGCTGAGGCCGCAGACGGGAGGATGTGATCACTCCATTATTCATCTGAGATTTGATAAGAGCCAAGATGATCTGTGGGGGCTCCCAGCCATCTGCATAATCCGGAGCCTTGGTGACGAGCTCTCTAAGTGCCTCGGTGTCTACCGGGGTATCGGGGCTCATCAACTGGGCTAGTAGCTCGTGTCTTCGTTTTCCAGTTCGACCATAGGACATCATCATGACTCGGTCCAATGGGCGCGGGTAGCCTTCATTTGCTCTTTGAAGTCGAGATAATTCCTTCCTGGCTGTCTGTATCAACTTGGCTTCCGGCTGCTTAGATTTGAACGCCCGGCGATATCGGTCGAGAACATAGCCATGCATGTAGGTTCGAGCAATCGGATCGGGAAGATAGGTGCATTCCCGGAGCGTGGCCCGTAGTAAATGTTGCCATTGGGACGAATTCTGGTTCAGATTAATGGGAGATATTCGATTTGCCATTGTAATCTTTATCTTCGAGTATGTTTTTTGAGTTGAAGATGTTCTCTTATCCTATAACGGTGAAAACGCGAAAAACCTTGGCGGATGGCGCGGTCACGGGATTGACGCGCCCTTTTCGCTCTTCCTTCCCCCAACCCCGCGACTTGATCTTGCCTTGCATTACGACCGATCTTCGATCCCGTTCCTGACACATTCTTGTGCATTTGACTGTTGTGGAAGTGCATGGTCCAGTATTTACACCTGCAGTGCTTTGCCTTTTGAAGGTGGTAAGCCACGCGACTCTTTTTCGCGTCCCGGTAATTCTCCACTTCCCTTACCCTGGTCACTTTTCGTTCACTGACCAAGACCATCAGACCGATAGGCTTAGGAATGTCCTACTCGCAAGGCAGCGCTAGGTCAATGAATGGACCAAGTTACAATATTCTCAACAATTCCCAATCGTTTTCCGCCACCCCTCGATTAACGCCTCCAACTCCCAGAGGTCCTCAAATGGCCTCTTTCAATATGTCGAACGGTGCTTCAAGAAGTAGCTACGGAGGCTATGATGGCCAAAATGATAATGTGTCTATGATGTCGTACCAGGAGGAGTATACACCGCAGATCTATCGCGTTCGTGTGCCTTACTTAAACCTCCAATTGGGGCCCGCATACTTACAAAATCATTAGGCCGTCTATTCGAATGTACCAGTCTACGAGGTGGAAGTTAATGGGATTGCAGTCATGAAGCGCCGCGGAGACTCGTGGTTAAATGCCACTCAGATCCTGAAAGTTGCTGGTGTCGTGAAGGCTCGCCGGACCAAAACCCTGGAGAAAGAAATCGCCGCTGGTGAACATGAGAAAGTGCAAGGTGGTTACGGAAAATACCAAGGCACCTGGGTGAACTACAAAAGGGGCGTTGAGCTATGTCGCGAGTACCATGTGGAGGAGTTACTACGACCCCTCCTGGAGTACGATATGAGCCCTGATGGCTCAGGAGGGCCTTCCCAGGGAACACTCGATACCCCAACCAAAGAGCAAGCAATGGCGGCACAGCGAAAACGACTTTATAACGGTACAGAGAGCCGCGGCTCATCACAGCCACAGCAGGGAACGTTCTTCCAAAACATATCTCGCACTGCTGCTACTGCGGTGAATGCTATCAGCAAAGCCCGCTTCGATTCTCCGAGTGCCAACAATCGGCGTCCCAGTGTGATCCGCAAACCGTCACAGCAGATGAGCAGCCAGGAGTCTCAGATGGCCTTTAGCAGTCAGCAAAGCATGTATGGCATGTCTGACAGCGGGTTTAGTAGTTTGCAGAATCGCTACCTGGTCCAAGATGATACAGATGATATTGCTGAACCTCCTCGCAAACGCTTTCGCTCAACCTCACATCAAGCTCCATCTATTGGATTGCCCCGAGAACCTTCCAATTTATCCATGCATGAACCTACTCCTACCGAACCAAATGACTCCTTCTACCAAGACATTGATCTACCACCCCCGCCTTTGGATGATGGCCAGAAACGTGGGATCGAATCTCTGGGTCCGGCCACTACACCAGAGAGATTTCAAAAAATGAAGCTACTTATGACTCTGTTTCTTGATAAACGAGCGAAGGATTTCACAAATCATCCAGCTCTTACGCAGTTATCAGGTGAAGACCTTGAAATCCCGCTCGATGAGTATAGAAATACTGCACTTCACTGGGCTGCGATGCTTGCTCGCATGCCCCTTGTTCACGCGCTAGTTGATAGAGGAGTCAACATCAGCCGTGTCAATCATGTCGGTGAAACCGCTCTACAAAAGTCCGTGGGGACACGGAACAACCTCGACTACAGAAGCTTCCCTCGTCTCCTGCAAGTTCTCGCCCCAACTATTGACATGGTCGACTATACAGGACGAACAATTTTACATCATATTGCCGTTATGGCTGCGACAGGTGGCGGGGGGCATGTTTCTGCGAAACATTACTTAGAATCGCTCCTGGAGTTCATTGTTCGACACGGGGGGATTTCTTCGGCCACCAATGGCGATGCCGCACAGAATGGTTCACAAGAGAGTGATGTTATTTCACTGGGCCGGTTCATTTCAGAGATTGTCAACCTCCGCGATGACCAGGGCGACACCGCCTTGAACCTTGCGGGGCGTGCACGCTCCGTTCTGGTTCCGCAGCTACTAGAAGTGGGCGCTGATCCTCACATTCCTAATCACACTGGTCTTAGGCCTGCTGATTATGGAGTGGGCGTCGATATGGCGGATGGTCATACACAGTCGCAGCAGTCTGGGGATCGGGGTGATACCTTTATCGACCAGCTGGCAAAATCCAAGAAGGAAATATTGGATGGTAAATTCATCCTCTTCCCTTCCTTTCTCAATATTTTGTTACTCACTAACGTCTCTCCATAGCAACGATAAGCCAAATTAGCACAATGGTCGAGGAGGCTCTGGGAGGAATCGACCGAGAATTAGCCTCGAGCTTAAAACAAAAACAAGAGAAATTTGATCACTGGCACTCAAAGATCCGCGAGTCTGCCAAGGCTCGTCAGATTGAGCAGAAAGAACTTGATGAATTGAAGCGGAAGGTCAATGAGCGGGTTGAACTCGAACGCCGCATCAAAAACCTGGATCGTTCCTCCGATGCCTTGAAAGCCAAACTGTTCGGCACGCAGAACATCGACTTGTCCGAGATCAAACTTGTCAGCGATGCCGATAAAGATTCAGGCATCGATGCCACGGCCTTTGAAGCTTTATTCCCAGAGACATTCGATCCATCTTCAGGGTTCTCCGACAAGCAACTAGCCTTCCTGGCCACATTGCCTGCACCGGATATTTTGAAGCGCCGCCTTGAAATTTACAACGAGTTCCTTGCTGGCGTGACAGATGAAGTTGAGAGTCTCAAGGCCAAAAATGCCGTTCTGGGCCAGAATTATCGTCGCATGGTTATGGCCTGCACAGGTTGGACTGCGGAACAAGTTGATGACGCAGCGGATGGATTGACTCAGTGTGTCAAGGAGCTAAACGACAACCCTGTCCCGGAAGATGAGGCTATTGAGATTCTGATGCGGGATCGCGGCCAGGACTGGTAAACAAACCCCTCCTTTGTCGAGCGTTTAATCTTATTATTTTTTTCTCTGCCGGGTTTTATTGGGCGGCGTTGATGCGCAGCATTTGATTGCGATAACAGATACCCGAGTGGCCTGCACTACTCATCATGTGTTCAATTTACTGATAGTTTAATGTTTCTGAACATGAATATCTTCAAATATCATTCAATTCCAATGATTACTGCTTTTCTGGTGTGGGGGTCACAGGATTTAAGCCTAAATACAACAAGCCCGAGGTGAGATTAGCCGGTAGTCCGAGTACGAAAGGCGCGCCTCCACGATTGCAAAGCGGACTAGTCTTCCCCGCGTCTGGGGAGTATCCTTTTCTGGATACCTTGCGGGTAAATCTCGGGGAGAATACTTATACCCCCCTGTTTCTCGTCATGCTGGATTTATTTTTCGCTTACAACTTATCATACAGCCAGAAATACCTCGTCCAAGATGGCTACGGGAATTTTAAAAGTTAAAGGCGGCCTAGTCGTCGATGAGAATGAGCAAACTGTGGTTCTTCGGGGAGCAGCACTTGGAGGATGGATGAAGTAGGTCGGAGCTATTTTTTTCAAATTGACTTCCTGAGAAATGGATTCTGGACTACAACTGACTTGTACCATTTAGTATGGAGAATTTCATCACCGGTTTCCCCGGCCATGAATCCCAGCACCGGGCCGCGATGCGGAAAGTCCTCGGACCTGAAAAATACGAGTTCTTCTTTGATAAATGGTTGGAGTACTTCTTCACCGATGCAGATGCCAAATTCTTTGCCGAAGTAGGCCTCAACTGTCTTCGCTTGCCTTTTAACTATCGCCACTTCGAGGATGATATGAACCCACGAGTACTGAAGGAGTCGGGGTTCAAGCATCTGGACCGTGTGATTGATCTGGTCAGTTTAGTATCTCATCCACTTATCTATTCTCAAAGCTTACTATGGAATCAATAGTGTGCGGCCCGCGGTATTTACACTATTTTGGACATGCACGCGGTGCCTGGGGGCCAGAATCCAGATTGGCACTCCGACAATCCCACGAGCTATGCTGCTTTCTGGGATTATCGAGACCACCAGGACCGCACTGTATGGTTATGGGAACAGATTGCCTCTCGATATAAGAACAACCCCTGGGTTGCCGGATATAACCCTCTTAATGAGCCCTGTGACCCGGAGCATGTCCGACTTCCTGCTTTCTATGCTCGAGTGGAGAAAGCAATTCGTGCAATTGACCCAGATCATATTTTGTGGCTAGATGGAAACACATTTGCTATGGAGTGGAAGGGATTCGACGAAGTGTTGCCCAACTGTGTTTATGCTATGCATGACTACTCGGTAAGTCTGCGCAGAAAAGACACGCTATAGCTGCCAATTGCTGACTCGATTTTTCAGTCAATGGGATTCCCTACTGGCGATCGGTACCTTGGCACACCAGAGCAGAAGGCGCACCTTGAACGATCATATCTTCGCAAGGCACAGTTCATGACTGAGAATGGCACTCCTGTCTGGAATGGGGAGTTTGGTCCTGTCTACTCTGATCCTGCATTGGATGTCGATGCAGCAACAATCAACCAAGAGCGATACAATCTGCTGGGAGAACAGCTGCGCATCTATGACAAATACTCTATTCATTGGTCTATTTGGGTATACAAGGACATTGGTCTACAAGGTATGATGTTCGCAAACCCACAAGGCAAATGGATCAAGACGATCCAGCCCTTCCTTGAGAAGAAGCGAGCTATCTGGATCGATAAATGGGGTCATCAGCATGTCCCCGAGGCCGAGGCAGCTCTGAAACCCCTCCTCGAGTGGATTGATCGAGTCAGTCCCACGGCCAAGGAAACGTACCCTACCTCGTGGAATACGGAGTTACACGTCACACGCAATGTGCTCTATACCTTTTTGGCCGCTTCGTTTACGGATGAGTTTGCGGCATTGTTCCAGGGAATGGAGAAAGATGAGCTTGAAGAATTGGCGAAAAGTTTCCACTTTGATGAGTGCGTGAAACGAGAGGGCCTGAATCATATCCTGAAGGAACATTCTCGCCAGTAAGAGAATGGTCATGTCATATATTGATTAGATGTTAGACATTTTAGACCAGATTTTGGGTTGAAGAGGGGTACAGTAAAGTGCGTGGCAATTTGAAGTATAGACCGATAATATCGTTATGCATATAGCTTAAATCCACGCATATAATCCCTTATCCACACGCTATCGATAAGAAAAAATCAAAAAGATCGCGGGGTTTTCGCACACTTTCGATCACTTATTAATCTGTGGAGTGAAGAGGTTGACACTTGGTTTATTGAGTTAACACAAATTGGCCTTCGTCATCAGAATGGCCGAGTCTTCCCTTCCCGCTACGCTAAATGGCGTTTTCACAGCACCACTTAAAGACCAATATGACCCTGTTCGTTTGGTATCAAACAATATCGTTCCTGTTCTCGAGCTGCCTCTAGCAAAGAAGGTTTTAGGCCACGACGCTTCGGACAGTGAACTCTTAACCAAGGTTGCTCAAGCTGAGATCTCCTTTACGACATTCGTTGCCGACCAGGCACGCGCCGCCCTCCAAACCTCCCACGATGACTCAACTATTGAGCAAACACAGTCGCAGCTCCTACACATTGGTCTGGCAGCTCTTTTCAGCTTCCTACAGTCCAACGTGACCGGCCCACCACTGGAGTTCAACTCGGCTGAAACCGTTCTCCCCGCTAAACTGAGAGGCGACGTGCCCACCATCCGAGCCCTTCGCGCCAAAATCATCCGGGATCTTTCCGTCGATGGAGAAGCGGCCTATAAGTTGACTCCCAATGCGGAGTTGTTCTCCGTTGCTAAGGCACTGTTGGTGGATGCGAACAACGAGGGCTCGGTGGTTGCAAAGACCGCACGGATGCGCACCAACTTCCTCCATCAGAAGATGCTTTCAGAGGTCACCAGCACCCTGCAAGATACGATATACAAGGACCTCGAGGAGCTGGTGAAGGTGGAGCTCAACTCATACGAACTGGGCGGTTTCTTGGTGGAGCGCGCCATTATCAACACACACCACGGCTTCGATGCCAAGGCCCGTGCTGATCTTGACCAGGCGGCCCAAGTTCGCAACTTCGAGTTTGCCCTAACCGGACAGCTAGGAAAGCGGACAAAATTCCAGGACCGGGATCTCAGTCAGCTTGTGGTTCTGGCAAAGAGTTCCGATGAAGAGCAATCCAAGACTACTACCCCCTCCGGCCCTAAAAACCTGGATTTGAATGATGATACCCTCCTCGAAGCCATCTCCTTTGCCGATAAGAAATCCTCAACTGTGTCCGAGGAGCTTTCTCCAGCTCTGCAATCTGTTGATGCCAATAACCAGCCCATTCTTAGTCCTGTGGACTCGGCTATTTTGCTCGCCGTGGCATCCGCAATCACCAACACCGCTCCGGAGAACGGTCTCACGCGCGAGGAGACACAGCCTTACGCTGCACGAGTATTGGAGGGTGGCAGTTCCAACTGGCAAATTTACACTCAGGCATTGCTGGTTCGTAGTCGTGTTGAAGGTTTCCGTTCACGTACAGTTGAGCGATCTGTGTTGCAAATGCAAGCTCTTGTTGATCAAGTCATTGCCGATACTGCAACGAATGACTCGGCGGCTCAACAGCCCTCGGCAGATCCCACAACCTTCTTGCCTCGACCAGAGGTCTCCGAGTCAGCCTCTGCCTCCGATCGTTTAGAGTACATTTGGATCATGAACTTTTCCACCCGATGGGATCTGGAGGCCGAGCTGGCCAAGCGTTGGGTTGACTTGGGTGGTCTCCGTACTGCGTTGGAAATCTACGAGAGACTTCATATGTGGGCTGAAGCAGCACTCTGCTACGCTGCCACTGACCGCGAGCTTAAGGCCAAGAGTATGGTACGACGCGAACTCTTCGAGCCCGTGGGAGATGATAAGGATGATGAAAACGAGCTATTTGAGGGACCAGAACTTGCAACTTTGCCCGCAGATGCCCCGCGTCTGTTCTGTATTCTAGGAGATATCGACCACGACGAGAAAATGTACGAGCGCGCATGGGAGGTTTCAGGCGAACGATATGCTCGTGCTCAACGATCATTGGCACGCCATTATCTGGGCCTAACACCGCCAAACTTGGAAAAGGCCGAGGCTGCCTACAAAAAGAGTCTGCACATCAACCGTCTCAACCACAGTGCGTGGTTTGCTGTCGGATGTGTCCAGCTTGAGCTTGAACGCTGGGAAGATGCTACCGAGTCTTTTACCCGCACTGTGCAACTAGATGATACCGATGGAGAGGCATGGAGTAACCTGGGAGCTGCCATGCTGCGCTCTTCAGCACCCGAGGAGGGTCCTGATACCGTGACCGATGACAGCGCCGAAGAAAAGGCCGCACTCGAAAAGGATCCCTACAGACGCAAACGCGAAGCCTTATCTGCGTTGCAACGTGCCGCCGCTCTGAAACACACCGATGCACGTGTGTGGGACAACGTGTTGACCGTGGCTGCATCCATCCCACCGCCCGCCACACCATTCCGCGATGTCATCACAGCCCAGAAACGAATCATCGAGCTACTTGGTTCCAAGAGTGGCGAGAAGTGCGTCGATATCCCGATTCTGGCCATGCTTGTTGAGTTCCTCACCACGGCCTTTGAGTACAAGGACTTCCTTATCGAATCGGACTCCGGTCCGGTTTTCCGTTCCGGTACGATCCCGGGCCAGATTCTCTCGCTCGTCGATGATAACGTTGTCCCGCTCATTACCCACTCTTCTACATTATGGTTGATCGTTTCCCGAGTTGAAATGTTCCGCAGCCGCCCCAGCCGTGCAATGGAAGCCCACGAGAAGGCATGGCGTGCTACCGTTGCTTCTTGTGCGCAGGGTGCTTTCCAGATGGGTGATGAAAAGCCCTGGCTCCAAGTTGTTCGGGCTACTGAGAAACTTGTTCATGATGGGTATGCCAAGTACGGCCCCATGGACCGGGAAGACCAGAACTTGGAAGGTGACGCGGAGCCAGAGATGGTTGCCAGTGACTGGCGATTCAAGGCCAGAAGTGCTGTGCGTGGTATCTTGGGCAAGGGCAAGGACTTCTGGGAGGATTCAGAAGGCTGGACTCGCTTGAAGGAACTGCAAAGCGAGGTTACTGGCAATTAGTATCATACCATATATCCAAAGAAAACTGCTGGATTGATTCTTGAATCATCCCAAATCCCCAAAAAAGAACTACCATGATGATGAATAAATTTTATTTTTTAACAAGATGATGAATGATCCAAAATGGAAAGACCCCAAATCTAGAATTCCGAATTCTAGCTAAATAAGCACACCAAGCAGTGTATGTGGTAGTATCTTCTATATACAAAAAAGCAGTCAAAAAGTGATCCCCGAATGTAAAAGTATCTAGAAGTGAAGATCGCAAATGTATGTACCCATGTCAACGCCAAAAAGACAAGTCATCAGTCATCAAAGGGCCCACATCTATCTATAGAATTCCCCTCTTTTGAGATCCCCATCGCCCTGAGTGAGGACTCAATTTTCACCAAGAACAAAAACCCCCCAAAAAAACACGCTTTTCAAATGCAACTCTTTCCATCAAAACTCAGACTCTTGAAAGACTTCAAGCCTCCTGAATCGACTCATCAGCCTTCGCCTTGAGACGCTCATTGCGCTGCATGCGCCACCCAGCACCCCATCTCATTTCAATCATCAAGAGCGGGACCATAGCCAATGTAATACCAGCCAGCAAAACAAACGTAAACAATGAGCCAATGGCATCAATCATAGGCGTAACCAACGCCACACCACCGGCCCCAATCAAGCAGCGCATCAGATTATTAACGGCGGTAGCACTCGCACTCGCTCCAGGGTAGAGATCAATAATCAAGGCACTGTTGATGGTAAAGATAGCAGTGGCGCAGTACGCAATAACATACTGCAAAATAATCGGCACAGCAATATGCGTCCTCAGCGCCACGCCATAAACAGCCGTGCACACCACAAACGCCGCAGTGATCCACCACGTATTGCGCATGCGCGCATACTCAATCGGGAAGTCGGGGTGGCTCTTCGTCGTGACGCGCGTATCCAGCGGCAGATTGTGTGTCTGGCAGTACTCGCGCTCCGTGCGCTTGTGGTTATAGTCCATCAGGTAGCCTATCGTGTAAGAGCCGGACATGCAGCCAAACCCGTTGCCCAGGAAAGTCAGGCCGACCTCCATGCTGTTCAGGCCGTAGGTGTCCTCGAACAGCTGGGACGTGGACGAAGTCACCATGGACCAGACGGTGTAGACGATTGCGCCGAAGAACAGCGTGATGAAGACGTCTTTTTCGGCGAGGAAGGCCAGCGGCGCGAGGACCGTCTTCCAGGTTACTTTTTTCTTCTCGGCTGTGGGCGTGGCGTAGGGGTCCATGTCGGGCTGGCCTGTTACGTAGTAGATGAAGGGCTTGTGGAGGCCGGTTAGAGGGACGGTGCCGTTGCCTGCGATTGAGCGCAGGGTTTCGGGGAGGAAGGCCATTATGGAGAAGATGCTGATTGCGGCTAGGATGGTGAGGAACCAGAAGATGGACTTGTAGCCCAGGTATTGGGAGAGGATTCCGCCGAAGACGGGCCCGACGCCTTGGCCGAGCATTCGGACTGGGGGGTTGAGTTAGGATGGACGGTTGGATTGGGGCTTGGGGGTGGTTTTGACTTACCTCCTCCGAAAATTCCTACCAGGCTTCCTCGCTCGGCGGAGGTGGTGATGTCGCCGATTACGCCTGCGCCGATGGAGATGGTCGCGGCGCTGCCGGCGGCTTGTAGGGCGCGGAAAGCCATCAGCTCGCCGTAGTTTGTGGATACGGCCAATGCGATGTTTGCAATTAAATAGACGACAAAGGTTCCGATGAAGATTCCGCGACGACCCACGGCATCGGAGAAGGAGCCCCAGAAGCTGGGCGCGAGACCTTGGACGATCATGTATACGGTTACAGTCAAAGTAGTCATAGACATGGAGACGTCAAGGTCCTGTTTTAAATTGTTAGAATGGTATGGACTTTGGAAAGAGCTTCAAATATGCATTTCAAGGTGGCATTACAAACCTTTGATATGGTTCCAAGAGCGGGAAAGTAGATGTTAGATGAGAGCGGAGAAAAGATAGCAGCGAGCGAGACGATGCAGACCATCTGCAGCTTGCGAGAACGAGTGAATACATGGTATGGCGGTGGAGGCGCATCTTGCTTCTCAAGGTTGATGGAGTTTGCAGAGGAGACATTGGTCGAAGAAGATGAAAGGTATTTCTCATCTTGAGCCGTTAATGTTGGGGATAGAGTAGCGCTGCTGGAGCCGCTAGAGTGAATAGAACGCTCTGTGATGAGGGCGTTCTTTTTGAGATCATCTGGGTTCAAAGACATTATGTATAGAGAACAGAGCACAAGCTTCCAATGAACAATCTAAGAGTGCATAGGTGAAATAGTATATGGAATATAGACAGGAGAAAGAATGGATGAAGGACCAAAGCGAATGTTCAGCCAGATTGAGCTGTGTCAGGGCATGAAGATCAGGGCAAGAATGGACCCTTATGTAGGCCGAGTCTGTTCTTCTCTGGGCCCCTATAGTGTCAGGAAAAGGCAAAATGAAATCCAAAATATTCAAATATTCCACAGGTCCATGCGTCTGGAAACAAGACCATGTGCTCCACTGTGGGTATTGGGGCCCAGGAAGACTTGTGGTTGCCCTTGGCAGGTTGGTGGCGTCTCAAGAAGACGAAAAGGGCAAGACGGGTGCTGCTCCATGGGATGGATCATGATCAGCGAGTGGATATAGAGAAGTCGAGGCGGTTGTACAGTCTATGTCAACTCCCGGACCAATATTGAATGACTAGTTTCTGGAATGCATACCATCCACTCTAAGCCCCGATCGCTGGCGTGGCTTTCCAAGGTTATTCCCAGGTCCGAAAACACAAATGGCCCTATTTACGGGAAGATTAAAGATGAACTGAAACAACTCAATTAAAAAAAAAAGACCCTTAAAGATGGGGAGCTCTCTCTCATGAGATTCCGAGTCCTTCAAGGGTCTATACACACACGCGTCCTGTATGATCTGCGTGGCAATTGACAGCACGCAATCAACTAATCAAAATAAAATACTGCATAGATGGTTTCGAAATTGATTTTTCCTTTTTCTCTCTTTTTACAAAAGGGACATAAACTGAAAAAAACGATTAATGATTAATCACGATTGACTTCGCAAGGTCCCTCGGGTCCGCACCTGAAGGATGCATGATAAGGTACTCTGTACAACCCAAAAAAGTAGCCAAAAAAAAAAGTCCGATAAACAAGAAAAAAAGACTCAAATCTTGGCAAGTCGGCAACATCTCTTGCACATGATAACCGTCGGTTGTTTCCAATGTTACAATTTTGGTGACGATGCAAAAGAAGAGGAAATCCCGCCCAAAATGACTACATCATCAATCTCTTGGCTCTTTTGGCCCTGAGATTCAAGGGCAAGTATTTGAAGCCAATGGGTACACGTAATTCCTGGCCTGGGTCATTTATAAGAGATCATCGCAGTTTGTCGATTTGCCCTTGCTGGTAAAGATGCAGCCAATCGGAATTCCGGAAAGGGGAATCGCCTCAAGATTCAAGATCCAAGATTTCAAGCCTATGACACAATCAGAGATAAGCCAAGGCTAAAGTCCACGTCAAAGAATTTCATACCCCAGAACTAACTTGGGAGAAAAGCTGCAATTGATCCGGCAAGCCCAAACATCAAGGGTCAAGAATGCGCCTTCCTCTCACAAGGTTCACGCTAGGCGGATATATGATCGACAATCGAACGGCCTTGTAAGGCCCCAGTGCACAATGGTACCAATCCTGAGCCGTCGATCAGACCCCACTTGCCATCACCATAGTCCCCCTTGGCGCTGACGACAGGGGGATTTCTTTTTCTTTTTTTTCTTTTCTTTTTTCTTATTTTCTTTTTTCTTTTTTTCCCTTTTTTTATTTCTAATTTTGATGATTTGTGATTTGTGACCAAGCGGCTGCATTATCCGTACTGTACTCCGTAGTTCTCCGCTCTTACTTCATTGCTGAGCCATGGGTCGACTCTATCAGATTTTAAGGTATTTCACACATTCCAGTCTCAATGGCCCGAATCTTGGGGCAAACTCATGCGACCACGGTTCTCCGTCTAAAGATTCCGTGACGCAAAATCCAACATTGAAAGCGGAGTTCAATGTTGGGTAGAGCCAAGAATTGGCACATGCATATTTCTCCTTGGTACTTACGCCACGGCAGTTGCGACCATCTGGTCAATGGGGTCGGGAATTTTTTAGGAATCGTTAGAATCGTTAGAATCGTTTTGGCGTTTTTTTGGCACTTTGGGCTGAATCAAAGGTGACATGACCAAGGCTTGATGCAACTTCTCTTTACATCAATTGGACTTTGTAGCTACAGTACTAGGGAAGAGAAACGAAGAGGGGTTTTTCTTTTGGGTAAATAAATTAGAATAAAATGAGATAAATCAAAACTAAACATGATTTCATTTTCGGCCAACATTTGAAAGTGCATGTGGCAAGGATCCAAACAACATACATACAACCCTGGTACATTGAACATTTGCAACACACCATCGGAGCTCTATCAGTTCCGAACCGCGGCCTCCGAGAGAAATCCCGACTCGGCTAGCCGAACTGCAATGCACTGTGAACTCCGCGATTCCGTACCTTTCAATCCCTCTTTTTTTTTTCTTACTCGGTTGGGCTGGATGCATCTTGGGTTGCAACATGATCTAGTTCGGAGTATAATAGATTATAGATTTTCAAGATTCTTGTTGTATGGAGTAGTTCTAGTGTAGATCATGTCAGTTACCTTCACTCCACCACAGCGAAAATGGTCTAGGTCCTGTTCGAAGTGTCTCCACCATGCTCTGGTCTTTCAACCTCATCCTCTGATAGATAGTCTTTTATGCACGTTGTTGCCCAAACTTTCCAAACTCCTCTCAAGTGCTTGGCATAAGCTCAATGGTCTGGATGGTCTTAGACTCTAAATGCTCCAAATAGACTTTCCATGAGTTTCTTCACAATTATTATACTCCGTACCTAATCTCGCCTCGGGGACCTTTCCTTTCTCACTTTTATCGTTTCCTAGTTAATGGAGTCCTGGCATACCTTCCCATGTAGGTGTACAGCCTACTGCAGTACTGACTACAGTACATAGTCCAGTTTATTAGTGGAGATGATAATTGTCAGTATATTCAACGTCAAACTCCGTGCAGTATGAAACAATAGTTTGTCGCCGGTCCACTATCTACTCAACACAGCCCCAGGCTCTACTTTTCTTCTCTTCCCCATCTTCCCCTGATATCCCAACATTGGAATGACGCAATTGGCTCCAAATTTTTATGACCAGTAACATTGGAGCCTGATCGACATCAAAATAAGTGTTGCCTAGAAACCGCGAAGAAGCAATCACCGACACCAAGTGGTTTCAACTGCGACGCATGGACCAGCAGTTGCGTAGATCGTGGAGGTCCCCCTGGAACCTGGGTGGGTACCTGAGAACCTTCAACCCCTTATGAGGAGTATGAAAAGGGCACTAGAGGAAAGTATCAATTCAATTTAACATTATTAAAGCATTTTCAAAATGGTCCCCTGGAATGTTCGTACACGCAATCACCCCATACTTCACATGGCCCAGATGTCCCCGGTTCTCTCCTCCATCTTCCATTTTCCCAAATCCACGTCTCCCCAGCATTTTTGGACTGCCTTTGGTTATTTATCTCGGGCTCCAAAAAAAGTCCGCCAAGACAACTGTGCAGAGATATCATGCTAGTATGATTTTGGGCTTTCTTGGCCAAAAGGTTCTTATCAGCTTCTTTTTTTTGTTTTTTGTTTTTGTTTTTCGACGCGCTCTTGGCAGGGTTGGCAGAGATCAGGATAATTGTAAACGGTTCTGCCCGAACGTGGTGGGTCTATCTACATGATTTTCATCCCGACCCGCAACCGCCAAACCCACGTAAATTACTACTAGTTTCTCCGTACTCCGTGCTCGACCCTGAAGCCCATGGGACTCCCCTGATCATCCTCTACCGTGGAACTCCCCAGTCGATCTCGGCCATATGTTTCATATACCTGAAAGCACATTGGTGGCAAGAAAGTCTGACGAGCTTTACCGAGCTTTTTTTTGGAAGATCTGGCGGCCCCTCCCATCTAGCCGTGGCTGCCGTGCCAAGCAACATGGTCTCGAGCTTGCATCTATCTCCGTGCAGCCAAGCGGCAAAAGGCGGAGTTGAGATAAAATGCACATGTACACTCTTGGCATCTTTGTCTTGTTTCGTACCTGTCCCCTTGGCCATTCATTGTTACACGAGGGGGCCTTTCGATTTCCCGCTCTTGGCATGCACCGAGCATCTGATACACAAAAGGTGTATGGAATATAAGCGCTGCATGGGTCCTGGGTAATTGCTCGGCCGTCTTGGCCTGCGTGTGGCCTTGGCTTGAGGAACGTTCACCCGGTCATTCATGCTGGTTGAGATGCAAGTATACCTACTAGTAGCCCTGGAGGTAGATACAATTGCATCATCAGGAATGTAAGACGTATGCATGCTTCCCGTAAAAGAGGAGGCGCATGACGGCGATAAATACCGAGATTAATAGATTGCACACGCGATCAGGCGGCCTTGATTGGTGCTATTCGATGACATACTTTGGCATGAAGCCCAATGCTACTCATGTCATATGCACTACCACCCTGGGAAGGAGGGGAATCCTGGAACAATGGTAAGAAATCTACGCAAAGGCCTGGAGGTCGGAGGCAGACGGGAGCGCCCGCACGTTGGGGAACCGAGAAACGTGGTGGATAGATTGTCAATGTCAGGTTTGTCCAGCAAGATTACATGTGAAGGGTTCAAGTTGTGTCTCGGAAGGACCCAAATGGGGGGTATCAATTTGCAGACAATGCAAAGGGGGTCCTCTATATACTTCGAATCATCAATGGACACAGGCTCCTAGTATCAGTGAGCTTCCCGTTCTCAATCCCGTCCCCTGCCTCCTCCCCTTCCTCGTCCTCGTCCACCTCTTCCACCTCGCCCACCTCTGCCTCCTCTGCCACCTCTGCTTCCTCTCTCGTTGCGTCCTCTCATTTTGCTCATATGATCCAAATCGTCCTTGCTCAGGTTCAAAGTACCTCCCGAAAATCTTCCAATGGAAGACCCTCCAATGCCCCGTTCTCTGTGACTGGAATTCGACTTGGTGACCTTGGAAGGCTTTTCGAGGATAATGCCATTCTCCATTGCCTCTGCTCTTCGCTTCGCATCCTTTGACGCAGCCTTAGCTTTCATACCCCTCCTGTGCGCAGATGGCATTTTCTGATCGTAAAGAGACGTCTTCGAACCAAGCGACTGCATGCGTAGATCCAGCGCCTTCAAACGATTCTTGCCGGTAGGTGCAAGATCCGATGCATCCTCCAGGAGGTGAGATTCCCGAAGAAGCCGTTGTAATGCGAGGTCATGCTTGAAATTGTCCTTGTCGTCCTGCTCCTCTTCCTTTGTAATTGGCTGCGCTGTTTTCTTCGGCGTATCGGCAGACGACGGTGGTCTCGAATTCTACAATACCCGGTTAGCGATATCCAAGGTACCCGCAGCCTTTGGCGATTCTCAACTAAGCACGTACCATAAATGCTTTGCGAAGTTTCTTATCCATCAAGTCATCCGTCCTTTGGGCATCCTTGTGTTCGACAATCTCCACCTCGACACTCTCGTCATCGCTATCCTCCTCTTCGCCGGAAATTCCGTCCCAGTCTGAGCCTTCGGCATCTAATAATTCTTCATCGTCGTCATCGTCAATCTCGTCTTCGTCGGAATCGGCATCCGCCTTGGAAGGCTCCAGAGGCTCGAATTGCGCCTCGAAATATTTGCGGAAAATGTCTTGCGCGTTGTCTGTCGGTGGGGGGCTTGTTTCCTCGGATTTAGTAGATTTAGTAGATCGCGATACCACAGCGGTATCTCGCTTGCGTTTCCCGGTCATATTGGGCATATTTAATGGTTTTATGAGTTCAATGGAAAGTTGCTAATCTCTTAAGTTTTTTTTTTTTGGAACGGACCAAGCTCCAGATCACGTGCGATACGATATCGATAAGCCCCTCGTAGTTGTCCCAAGTCCTCACTTGAAAGGTATCTTAAATTTCGAACTGACCAAATTATAGTTCTAAGGTTGTGCTTTGTTATTTATTTGATTTTTGCATTGTTGAAAGTGTACTAAAGGGATTTTTGAAAATGCGTATCAGGTCCACGGTACAGACCTGTATTGCACAGTACATACATAATTGAACAATGTATATACTCACATTCAGCGTGTACAATTCGAACACGAAGAAACTGACCTTCGATAATACTTGAAGTTGACCCTCAACCAATAATTATAGGAAAACATTGGAAGGAAACCAACACTGGAGAAATAAGTGAGCATGTGAATAGTATAGGTATCATTCCAGTTCTGGCAGAGGCTCTGACGATGCTCTCAATTCAAAATCCAGTCTTATATTAGCAGCCCAATTGTGCCTTCGATGGTCGAAAATGCCCTATTGTTGACCGCTCAAGGGTTATATGAGCTGGAGTGGAGCTTAGTATTGATAGAAAATAGAATTTAAGATTGATTTGGGGGCTTAGTTTAAATTCGATCTTGATCTCAGATGAAAGTAACGAATGAAAAGTTGTTGTACATGAACTTTTTATAGAAGGCCGTGTCCGAAAGCGGCTTAGGGGCTCAAGTAGCTCCGCCCGCCAACCTCCGTGATCTTCAACTCTTCCATCCCTCATCCAACCCTTTGATATCCCCACTGCACGCCAAACTCACCAGCTGCCTACTTCTTAGACGCATCTGAGCGCCGCCTTACCTCACCTTTCCGACATCCCACAATCAAACCAAAGATGAAGCCCGTTGTGTCGGCGTTAAACGCCTGGTCCTGGTAAGCTCCTCCGTCATCAAGATCGGTCCAAGCCTCGGCCTCCGTCTAGATTCTAACAATGTCTCGACTTCCCAGTGTTGTGATCTCTGTCTTTGCTATCGTCATTCTTTCCGTCTTGGGAACTCTATATGGCGTACGTCCAACCTGCCAACTCCTCTGCACCACCAACACCTCTGTGTCAATGTTGCGCACCCACCCCCCGTCGTCGCATCGCACCAAATACACACTTAAATTGACTGGAACAAATCCACTGACCTGATAATTTTGGCTATAGACCAACAACCACGCTTACACTGGATCTGAGGGAGAGCCTGAAGATGGCCCTGCAGTCGCTGCCTCCATTTACGTCGCTGTGCTAGTCTACGCCGTATGTCGCCTCTTTTCTCCCCTCCGCCCGGAGCATATATATACCCAAGCGGCGTTTTGTTCTAATATCTTGCGGTTTATAGGGATTCTTTGTTTTCTGCGGCTTCCAGGCCTACCTTCATATGCGCGTAAGCCGCGGCGGCGCCATATCACTTTAAACAACAAAATACCCTCCCCCAATATTTCTTGTTCGGTGTCTCTGATTGGTTTGCATTGGGGTTACATATTTCGGTCTTTCTTGGGAATACATGGTCACCTTTGAGGGGCGGGAGAGATCTGAAACGGATCAGCGGGCTACGTTTTGTCTGGGCCAACAACCACCGGTTGGCCCGACGGAGTCCCGCACTACCTGTGCTGGAAGCGAATTACAATCGGTCTTTTTCAAGGAATCTATTTGCTGGGCTGGTCTCCTGGACTCCTTTGATATAGTAAACGGATGGCTTTCTGGTTGCGAGGCGTGTTTGTACATAGATCATTCGGAATTACTACCTGTTTCTTGACTCCATTGACTGTCGCTTCATTGAGCGACCATAGACATTTCAATCATTGCTCATAACTATTGACAAGAACCACTTTTGGAGTATAACCCCCGACGCCAGTAATATGCAAACACGAACCCCGCCCACGAATCAGGGAACAAATTTACTCCTCATCCTCCCAAGGATCCAACATCTTGGACATATAAGGACCGTCTAGAGTGTAACCAAGGCGGGCGTAGTAGCTACGGACACCAACACCGGAGATAACACTGATCTTGCGACTGCCATGCTCCTCGCGGGCAATACGCTCCGCCTCCTCCATAAGCAGTGTACCAAAGCCGCGGTGCTGGAACTTGCGAGCATCACGTCCATGAAGAGGCACCGCGGATCCGTAAACGTGAAGCTCCCGAACAATACTAGTTTGCTGGCCGGTGAACTCTGGGCGGAATGTGTGGGTATCGCTGCACTTGCGCAGACGAAGGAGACCGATGAGGATATCCTGCTTCGGATCCTCGTAGGCCAAGAAAGTTTCCCAGCCGCCGTTGGCGGCGTAATCACGACGAATCAACTCGATCTGCGAGGGGCGAATCTTGTTCTTAACTTCATTGATACCGACTTCACGAGTCCGGACATCACGGCAGGTTGTTCCGAAGTCCTTCATTCGCGCCAGCGCCAGTTCGCGCAGGTTACCATTCTCGACACCGGAAGTGACGAGCGGCATTGGGATATCACGTTGAACTCGGTAGATACGAGTCCATGGGGGTACCAATGCCATGATGCGAGCCACCAGGTCAATCAGGGCGTTGGGAGTGTAGTTCTTATACCGACCCGTTCGCCACAGCTCATACAGACCAGTGCCTCGGATGACGAGTGTGGGATAGATCTTAAGGCCATCGGTACGGAAGTCAGGGTTCTCAAAGTATTCCTGGAACTGGAACAGATCGCGTTCCATGCCCACATTCGGCAAGTCAGGCATCATGTGGCTGACAACTTTGAAACCGGCATCCTTGGAAAGCTTGAAGGTCTCCGCGACGGCCGCAACAGTATGACCACGGTTGGTATCGCGCGCAACATCCTCATACAGACTCTGGACGCCAATCTCCAGACGCGTACATCCGTATTGAAGCATGCTGCTCAAGTGAGTATCAAGACAGTAGTCGGGTCGAGTCTCGATTGTGATACCCACACACTTGACATTGCTCATTTCGCCCGCCTGCACGGCTTCATCCACATTGTCGGTTTGGTATCCACTCAGCGCATTGTGTAGTTGAGAAATAAACGAATCCCGGTAATCGACGGGCAGAGACATGAATGTTCCACCCATAATGATATATTCAACCTTATCCACACTGTGTCCCATAGACTTGATCTGGTCAACTCGTCCTCGGGCCTGTTCAAAGGGGTCGTATCGCGCACGAATCGCGCGCATGGAGGTCGGCTCGTATCCGGTATAAGATTGTGTGGAGTATTCAAAATCGGAGTCAGGACCGCCGGGACAGTAGACGCAGATGTTACCGGTATAAGCGATATGGGGGCATCGGTGGGGTTTGCACATCACGGCAACGACAGCGATACCAGATGAGGTACCTGCAGAGGAAGAGTCAGCTCAAAATCCACCATATTTCCCAGGAAATTTTTTAACATACGGATCGGCTTTGCAATCAGCTTCGGCAAAATGTATTTCTTGTAGTGTTCTGGAACGGCCGCAATAATGGCCGTAAGTGGCGGCTGAGTGGCTAGGGAATGCTTCTTCGATACTTGACCCCGCAACTTGTTCAGATTGATATCTCTCTTCGGTTTCGAAGAGTCTCTCTGAGACTCATAATCCAGAATGAGCGCATTTGCAATGTCGGAGCATGCTCGCATGAATCGCTCGTTCTCTGGGACTAGCTTTGCGTTCTTCTTTGAGGTGTTCTTCGACGCCGGTGGCATCGTCACCGTCATGGTGGCCATGATCAGAGAGATTTACCGCACAGCAGCTTTAGAATAAACTGATATTAAAGACTGTGAGGAGCAGGTGGTTGGTAGTGGTTGGTGGTGGGGGGGTTGACGATTAGATAGAAAAAAAGTTGGTGGCCGAGGCAGCGCTCCGAAACAGTCTATTCGGGTCCGCTTAAGTAAAGGTTTGTCCCGAACGAAAACTCCCGGGCGCGCATCCCGATTCCTTGCACTAACTCACCTCCCGAGTCAACTACTTTTTTCCCCCTTTACCCTCTCCTCTCTTCCCCTCTCCTCCATCACATTGCAGTCATGCAGGCCTTCCGCCGTAACACCCTCTCGGCTGCTCGCAAGATCGCTGGCCAGCAGCGCCAGGGCTATGCCAGCAGCTCCTATGCCAGCACCGTGAACAACCTGAAGATCAACAAGGACACCCGAGTTATCTACCAGGGTTTCACCGGAAAGCAGGGAACGTGAGTGTTGAATCTCTTGAATTGCTCTGATTCTGCGATGCTGACGTGTGCTTTTTTGAATAGTTTCCACGCCGAGCAGGCCATCGCCTACGGTATTTCACCCTCTCGCGTCGCGATCGCAAAAAAAAGGACACACACTCACTCCGCATAGGCACCAATGTCGTCGGTGGTACCAACCCCAGAAAGGCCGGCTCTCTCCACCTTGATCTCCCTGTCTTCGCCAATGTCTCCGACGCCGTGAAGCAGACTGGTGCTACCGCCACTGCTATCTTCGTCCCGTATGAACCCGTCACTTCGTCAAAAGACCGACAGAACATGAACTGACAACTTCTAGCCCTCCCCTCGCCGCCGCCGGTATTGAGGAGGCCATCGCTGCTGAGATCCCCCTCGCTGTCTGGTAAGTTGCTGGAAAATTTTAGGGAGCTCCTGAAACTTTTTTTTTTCTTTACTGACAGCTCACTCCTGATAGCATTACTGAGGGTATTCCCCAGCACGGTACGAGCTCTTCCATTGTCTACCCATTCGACATACACTGACCAATTACCCTTTCAGACATGGTCCGCATTACCGATATCCTGAAGACCCAGAACAAGACCCGTCTCGTCGGCCCGAACTGTCCCGGTATCATCGCTCCCGTAAGTGTGGTCTTCCGCCCCTTCCGACGTCATATTTGATATTCATATCTTCTTTAGGGTCAATGCAAGATCGGTATCATGCCCGGCTTCATCCACAAGCGCGGTCGTGTTGGTATCGTCTCCCGTTCCGGTACCCTGACCTACGAGGCCGTCAACCAGACTACCCAGGCCGGCCTTGGTCAGTCTCTCGTTGTCGGTATCGGTGGTGACCCCTTCTCCGGCACCAACTTCATCGACTGCTTGAAGGTCTTCCTTGAGGACCCCGAGACCGACGGTATCATCATGATTGGTGAGATCGGTGGTTCCGCCGAGGAAGACGCTGCCGAGTTCTTCAAGGCCAACAACATCCACAACAAGCCCGCTGTTTCCTTCATCGCCGGTATCTCCGCTCCCCCCGGTCGCCGTATGGGTCACGCTGGTGCCATCGTCAGCGGTGGTAAGGGTGGTGCCGACTCCAAGATCGCCGCTCTCCAGGATGCTGGTGTCATCGTCGAGCGCAGCCCTGCCTCCCTTGGAAAGGCTCTGCTTGCTGAGTTCGTCAAGCGCGACCTTATCTAAATTGGCTAGTGCCCGTGACGTGTAATGCTTTTCGGTGTCCTGGTTGAGAAGGCTGGGAATCTGAGGTATATCCATCATATATGATGGCATTTGGCGGTTGATACCATGCCGCGACTGTATTCTTTTCTCCTTTGTGTGTTAGAGACCCCTGAAGAGTAATTAGTTTCTTGTACTTTCTACTTATGACCGTGCATTTGTAGTTGGTAATTCACTGCATTTCCCATTTGGACCAATCTAGAAGGATTTCCAAGCACAGCCAATTCGGAACGTGGCTATAAGCTGATTTATATGAAACTGACATGTACTATTGTCGTCCAGAGGTAGAGTCTTCTAATAAATAGGTAAAGCATTTCCAGTGCTTCCAAGCTTAACCTTCTCTCAAGCCCTTGACCACGTCCTCTGTTGTCATAACGTCACAGAACTCCCCATCGAGACTGGCAACAGAGACCTGGTGGATGGTTTCCGCATCAAATCCACCCTTGCCAAATGTCGCAGTTGCATCTGATACCAGAATGATCCGGCCCTTCTTAATCGACGCATCCTTGGCATGCGTTCCATCAGCCTTAATCTCCACTTCACTCTCGATTTCATTCACAACACCCAAGTTCGCCGCCATACGCACAGTGGTCGAGACGCAGTGATCAGTGGTCAACCCCGCAACAACAATCTGGGAAAATTTCCCCTCGCGCAAATGTGCCTCGAGTTTGGTTCCAATGAAAGATGAATTGACGGATTTCCAAAAGACAGGCTCCGATCCGTCTGAGGCCGGAATAGCAAACTCTAGCGGCCGGATTCCGTTTCCTTCATGAGAAGGATGCAGCAGACTACCAGGCGTCACGGAAGAATGGAAGATATGAATCACTTCTATAAGATCGGGCGACAGAGATCGTTTATTTCGGAATGCGGATAAGAGAGCTTGGAGATTGGCTTCATAGAGAGGATTGGAGCGGCCGGTTCCCCAGTGAGAGATTGTTTCTGGAGCGCAGAAGGCTGCTTGATTATCGATGAGAATGAGAGCCGTGCGACGGCCTGTGTCCAGTGAGCCTGGCATTATGATGAGGATCTTTTTGTTTTGTTTTTAAACCTGATGCAAATGAAGAGAATATTGGATGGGGCTTTCTAGAAGTTTTATACAAATTGTGCGGCAAATGGATGAGTCACGCAATGGATTCACCAGTCAACTTGAAACTGACAACACTGGACATCTGGAGTCTTGACCGCACCTGCAAATTAGGTAGGAGTGTTATTTTTCTATACGGGCAAGTCCCATTATGATCATCAAATATTCCAGGTTATCACCATCCGCTATTCGTCGCTCACATTTGAAGTCACTGTTTGGCCATAATTGTCCGGGGCAGCAAGATTGCAAGGAATCCCAGAGTCAGCCACATTGACGATATTTGTGCACTGATAGACCTCATGCTGAATATCTGTATCATAAAGGGGCAACCCCAACGTGATATTCACGGATTGAAGGTTGATGTCCTCAAATTTGATGCCTGGGCAAGGGTGCACATCAGAGCAATAGATCGATGCCGCAACATTGTACCGAGACGTCCCTTTGATATTGGACCAAGTAACGTCTTCAATAGCCATCTTGGATGTATTGCAAGTCTGCCCGTTTTCAGAGTAAATGCATTGCGAGATTTGAATGGGCAAAGCAACGTTGGTCAACTCAAAATTGCGGTAAGTGATGTTCTTGATGAGACCACTGCCACCACCTCCGGCATCGCCGTTGGAGCTGCCATCATCAGAGACACCCTGCCACGTCTTGATGAAGGCCCCCTCCATGCAATTCAAGCATCGGACATCTTCAAAGGTGACATTCTGGACATAATCAGGCATTGTAGGGTATTGCCCAACAGAACCAATTGTCATTCCATAGTTCCCATGACAAGTGACGTTCCTGACTAGCAAATTCGTAGTGTTTCCCTTCGCCGCAATACAATCATCTTGATTGGTGATGTCGGCATTTTCAACAAGCAGAGTGTCGCTATTCCAAGAGTCATAGCCATCGGTGTTGACGGTGCCCCATTCATCATTACTCGTAGCATTTACATAGAGATTCGTGATGGACACATTTTTGCTGTATGAGACGAATGTTGCCCAAAATTGGGGTTGGACGATACGTAGTCCGTCCACGAGTAGATTCAGAGAGTTGATGAATGTAATGCTGATTGGTCGACCCGGCTGATTACTTTGGTTGCGGTTCTCTGTATACCACGCCTGGCCATTTCCATTGTACCAGCCACCCTCGCCACGAAAAGTGACGTTGGTTCCTCCGAAGAGCCATGCCGTGGATTGATTTTGGAAGACAACGGGATAAGAGTGATTGAGCCAGTATGAAATGTCGTCAGAAAAAAGTAGCTCCCCCTGTAACGACACATCGCAATTCATCAAGTTTGTTGTATTCAGGACAGAGTTGATGTTGAACGTATAGTTGGAGAAAACAACCTGGCCATTGGACCCGCAGGTCTTGAAGGCTTCGTGGATGGAAGGCGCATCATCAACGGGTAGTCCATTGTGCTTGAGGGACTCTGGATACAGACGACAGGTGCTTCCTTCATGAATGACATATCCAGCTCCCAAAGAGACCAGCGTGGTGATGGAGATAAAGAGAGATCGGAATCGCATGATGTGGTACAAGTTATACTTGTTTCCTAAATGCTGCCCAGGTGAGATTTCCAGTTCAAATTTTGTCCAGAGAAATTGGGGAGACAGGTTAAAATATCAGAACTTTCGAGTGCTGACTGATGAAACCCTCGCAATACACTTAACGCACAGCATTGAAGAGGTTACATTGCCCCAGATTCATGCCCGCTTTTCGTTCCCTGTGCAATGTATACCGACCAATAAGGACCAATATTCACTTCGTCAACAAGGTCTAAGCGCAGGAAGAAGTAAGATGAGGGGGAGTGACGATCTCTTGTTTTCCGGTTCGGTCTTTGTTGAACGGAATATTCCGAAACCAGTCAAGCTCAAGCGCTCATCCATGGCGTCGGCCTTTGTGTAGATGTCGGTGTTTGGTTTGTAACTTCTCATGATCACACTTTTAATTTCTAGCAACCAATTGGGATCCTATGCTCTGGAGTTGCATCAAATCCCCAAGTCCTGCAACGCCCCCCGCTTTTCAAAGAACCGGAAGGAAGGTTGAACCTGGTCAAAAGTGAAAATCTCGAAAGGATAACAGCCTTGGACCTGGAGGTAATGTATGGAGATGCGGTTGATGGAGAACCGCCTAGTCCCGAAAGGGTATTTACCTAGGGCGCTTACTTCCTTTGCCAAGTGGCAATAGTGCTCATTGGATCTTCAGGGATGGGAGAGCACCCATTGTATGTAGTCACGGTAGTTGCAAGAATGATAAATTACAGTCTTATATTAATAGGTCAACTTGGTTGTAAGGGAACGCGCCCTTTTGAAAATAAACTTACAAAATCCGTCTCCCTATACAGAATCCGAACCATTACAATGACGGATATCTGGATAATTCTAGACTCTGCTCCTCCATATTAATTTTGTAGGATCTGGTGTGTAGCTAAAACTTTCCCATGTCTAGTAGCACTGTGTCTTCATTAGTACCTATACATTAATTCCGGGGCTGTAATATTTTGCTTACTGAACAAAGCTGGTATTAAACTCCTAATAGATAGTAGGTGTCGGAAACAAGCCGCCCATGAGGTAGATAAAGAATAGATAGTAGCCAGTCAAGGCACTAAGTAAGTTCCGCCTGCATCAATGAGAAGATAGCACATGTGCATACTAGTACAGACATCTGGAGCTTGGTTGATAATAGTGGAGTGCTAGTCGCGTTTCCCCCATCCCCCACTTGCAGGTCATACTTGAGAGCTCGTCTCGTCTTCAGTTTCATAAAACTGAAGTCTATCCCCGTTATATATGTATAGCCCGTGCGTATATTCAGGTACTAGTACACTACGAACACGCAACATTGGCGGAGACGATCGTACCAGTCTTGGATTAGGTGACCCGCCGAAACGGTTTTTTGTGGTCTAGGCTTACTTTGATTCTTCTCTCGCGACAGGCATCAGTGAGTAGGCCGTGCGTCGTCTCCTTCAAACCACCCTGATGAAACAAAGAAATCATGGGGGGGGGGTATTCTTCTGGAGACATCTTCTTGGGGATGATGTGAAATCGCATTCTGAGGTGGGTGATTGGTGAATATAGTACTAGTGGGGGCGAAAGAGCAAATCCTTCATGTTTCTTAATTTCTATTTGAAACTGAAATCTGGATGCCTTGATTGTTACAAAATAGTTTATTTATGATAAGTATAAAAAATAATGACCTACGTCATCTCTTCTCGACACCAAAATTGACTAATTTTCAGGGAACAGTAACCTTAGATGAGTAAATGATCGACGACCCACTCGGTACTTGTGTTAGTGCTTGATCAATCCACGAGTCTAATGTCGGACCAGATCCTTAACAAGGTACCTGCAGTCCCGAATTCTCCACTGCCGCGTAACTCGTCCCCTGAAAGTCCTCATTTTCGGATTTCCCGGATCTTCACAACTGATAAGCCTCTGCTGAAAATTGTCAATGATTGAAAAGAGAATGACCATCGAGAATCGAGATAGTCAAACAGGTTCCATGTTATATCTCGCGATTTGGACAAGATTCTCTCATATGAAAGTGGCATCTAGAGACTAACATACAATTGATACATCTCAAGGTTTTTTAACCTTCCAACGGCCTAGGAAGGCTGCGGATGAGATACAATGTTCTTACTGTGGAGCATGATTGCATACGCGGACATCTGCAACCTTGGCACGTTCCCACTTGCTAGGCAAGGGTTTTGATCTCCCGGAGATTCAATGCTCAGACTAGGCTACTTAGATACTTGGATATGACGGTGGGGTTCAATCGCCGTGATTTATTGTAAATATTGCGGGTTTCCCCTTCGTCTTCTGTCTGATTTTGAATATTGTTGTCTTGAATTTCTTCGTGCGTCTTCAAAGCACGCAATCTTTGCAGCATGAAAATCCACACATTTTCTCTTCTTTCGCTTTGTATAAGCTTAAGCTCTGCGGTTGCTGTTCGAGACAACGCGAGCGCCGGTCTCTTGTCCACCGGCAATGGTAAGCTCCCGCCAAAACAAAAAGCAATAGATTAACGACAGTACACCCTTGATTAACAACAATCCTAGTTTCCCTCGGCGAATGGCAACCGGCTTACAGAAAGGCTGTTGAGTTCGTATCCAAATTGAACACCACGGAGAAGATCAAACTCATCACGGGAAGTGATGCCGAAGCCTCAGATGGATCTTCCTTCACTGCCCTCGAGTTCTTGGATGGTGATATGGGTCTTCAAGACTATTTCTATGTCTCGGCTTTTAGCTTGGCATCTGCAATAAGTATGACATGGGACAAGGATGCCATTTACAACCAAGCGAAAGCTGTTGGCACTGAGTTCTATGCAAAGGGTATTCAAGTTATTGACGGACCGACATCTCAGCCTCTGGGTCGCACGCCTTGGGGTGGACGCTTGGTCGAAACTATGGGATCGGATCCATACTTGAATGGTATTGCAACAGGACTCACTACACAAGGATATAGAGCTGCCGGAATCATTGCTGGTATCAAGGTACGGTATAATGTCCCTTCCCCCCTTGCCATAAAAACTTCGGACCTGGCATTCAAGTATTTGAAATATACTGATATCACTCAGCATTTTATCCTGAACGAGCAAGAAACAAATCGCACTTCTGGAATGGGCCAAGCCAGCAGCTCTGGAGCTCCCTATTCGTCCAACGTGGACTCTAAAGCCTTCCATGAGACTTATCTCTGGTCTTTCTACGATGGTGTCCACTCTGGGCTTGGTGGTGTCATGTGCGCAATGACCAAAGTCAACGGAACTCTGTCTTGCGAGTCCTCTTCAATTTTGCTAGATATTCTCAAAACCGAGCTCGGTTTCCCAGGCCTTGTATTCCCAGACACCAATGGCCAGGAACACGCTCTCGCCTCCGCAGTCAATGGACTTGACTACGGTTCATCGTCGCTTTGGTCCAGCTCCAACATTAACGGCTTCCTTGAGAATAATACCATGTCCGAGGCTCGTCTTACCGACATGGCAATTCGCAACTTAATGGGATACTACCACGTTGGACTCGACAACGGAAAGCAATCTTCCACTGCAGAGACAGATGCATACGTTGATGTTCGTGCCAATCACTCCAAGCTTATCCGTGCATATGGATCCAAGTCGATGGTCCTTCTTAAGAATACAGACAACGCACTCCCGCTCAAGAGACCCCACAAGATGGCCATCTTTGGATCTCATGCACGGGCCCCAATTGCCGGTCCAAACATGGCCTTCAGTGTCGTGGGATCTGGGCCAACGTTCGCTGGACATCTTGCATCGGGATCCGGATCTGGCCAAGGATCTTTGCCATACCTTATCACGCCCGGAATTGCTTTGACGATCAAGGCTAGTCAAGATGGAACCATGCTTCGCTGGGTCGCAAACGACACATACACATCCTCGGGTGGCTCTACGCTGGTCATGCAGGGCTCCTCTAGTACTTCCGTCACGCCCTCAATTAGCAACTACGCAGAGAACATGGATGTCTGTCTCGTTTTCCTCAATGCACTGGCCGGTGAAGGCGCGGATCGCACAGAGCTCACCAATTCTGATCAAGACAATCTGGTGAAGGAGGTGGCCGTGAACTGCGAAAACACGGTAGTTGTCATCAACACCGTCGGAGCACGCCTGGTTGACAAGTGGATCGAGCACGAGAATGTCACTGCAGTGCTATACGGTAGTCTCCTTGGTGAAGAATCCGGTAACTCAATTGTCGATGTTCTGTATGGCAATGTCAACCCCAGCGGACGACTGACATACACGATCGCCAAGAACGAATCCGACTATAACGTGGGAATTTGCTATACTGCGAACTGCAACTTCACCGAAGGCAACTACATCGACTACCGCTACTTCGACGCCTACAATGTGACACCTCGCTACGAATTTGGTTATGGTCTCTCTTACACCAACTTCACCTACTCGTCCCTTGGTATTGACTCCCCGATGCCACTCTCGCATTATCCCACCGGTAAGCTTGCGGTCGGTGGCTACGAGGATCTCTGGGACATTGTCGCAAATGTGACTGCGGTGATTAAGAACACCGGCACCGTCAGCGGTGCAGAGGTTCCTCAGTTGTACATCGAATATCCCAAAGCCGCCCAGCAACCTTTTCGACAGCTACGTGGGTTCGAGAATGTGAATGTTGCTGCAGGCAAGCAGAAGCAAGTGGAGTTTGGGTTACGTCGTCGAGATATCTCTCATTGGGATGTGAAAGCTCAAAAATGGGCAGTTGCGTCTGGTACATACACAGTCTATGTCGGAGCCAGTTCACGGGATTTGCGATTGCATGGAAGTTTTCGTGTTGAGACAAAGATTTGAGCTGAAATGAGTTTCTTTTCGATTTTAGGGTATTTCAAGGACTGACAAAGTTTTTGTCGGGTAATTAGATAGAAGCTTGCAATTGTTCTTCTATGTTACTTGCTCCCAGCGGTGAATCTTGGACGGAATAAATTCTGATGTAGACCAGTAAGAAAGCTCACTGTTAGGAGTCAAAAGTCATGGATATCCTCCGGAACAAGTTCTTCTCATTCAATTGTCACTTTTTAGACTTAATCAATTACGAACTGACAAGATACCTAGTATAGTACCTACTACCCTGTAATGATGCTTAGTAGATATTTGCTAACAAATGTCCGATATCAAAGACTGTTTTTTCCTTTGCTTGTTCTAACCTTAGAAGGCTGTCTCGGGTTATCATGTCCAAGCACCTGCGTACGAGTATTTCTATTCCTGGCCTTTGCTTCTTTCCTTGATTCTTTCATCCAAGTCCCCATCCTTTTCTTTCAAATGTTGTTCATTCACTGCAACCTTTGCCTTTCTTAGCTAGCTTCGTCTGACCTCATCCCGGCCTGTCTCAGCCATAACCATTGGCCGCCTAATCTCTATCCCGAATCCCCAACTCCGACAAAGAAAAAACGAGTCATATGAATGATGAAGGATGAAGGCCGTGAGAACTCACTCCACAACAATTGGGCCGTTCAGCAGGAATGTCTCACATCTCCACTTGGGGTTGCCGAGCTCGATCACACCAGAGCACATCCCTTGGCCAAGTGGGGTATAAGTGGGATGATCGGCATAAATGCGGAGACATGAGTGGTTCGCAATGATCATCCTCATCTGCAAGAAGCACTGCATATGTCAATCATTGTCTTAAGGGGGCTGCTCCGATTTCCGAGATTCCAGCTATTTTCTCTTTTTCTACCACAGTGCCTGATCCTGATCCAAAACAGAATTGCATCCACGGTCGCCAGCGAACTATAGTGTACGGAGCAAGCACAAGCACTGGACAACCAACGAAAAAGCGTCATCCGATTCACCCGTGGAGACGGAAACCTTGTGGTCAACTCCATCGCCAAGAAGTTTGTTTTTAATAAAACGTCACTCGCTTCTTGGCTCCCCTATAAAGCCGGTCGCAACTCTGCTCCCTGGACAGAGTTTCGTTTACATCAACTTACACAATACTCAAAACTCCGAAAGCCTCATTTTGACCTCTTGAATCTGTTTATCACATATAATATCTATCCCTTGGCAATATGAAGTTCGCATCAATCGCTCTATTGGCCACTACCGTCGCTACGGCCCTGGCCAACCCTGTTATTTCCCGTTCCCCAAAGGAGTTCAAGCTCAAAACCACCGGCTCCACGAACTCCGAATTCAACGACCTTTATCTTTACTCTTATCACACGGGCGCAGGTCTCAGTGATGGAGTGTTAGACGGCAATGCTACTGTAGCAACAAAGTTCTCACTTAATGGCACAGTTGCCTCTGCGGATCTGGGAACAGATTTCCCATGGGGCCTGACAGTTGCAGGTGACACCAATTATGCCGGTATGCGCCCATGACTCACATCCATTATCGTCGAGTGCTTTGCTAATCATTCTATTCAATGTCTAGCATGGGAGCCCGTCACTATCAACGCAGGAGCTAGTGAAACAGGATTCGCGATCAGCAATGGCAACTTTGTTTGGTCCTCGGACGATGGCTTTGCTGGCTGGCTTGGTGAGTCTTATTTTGAAAATTCAGATTTCTTTGTTGAATCTGAACTAACGTTTTGTTTCAGTCTGCCCCTGGTACCACAATGCGCCGCAGCTGTTCGGCCTCATCTCATACTACGATCCCGTCATTCCTTCAAGCTGTAGCAAGGTCACTCTGAAGGCTGTTTACTGAGCGCCCGAGGAAAATCACGATGGATCGCTATGTTATAAGTAATGCTAATAGATGATGATCAGGGGTCGAACCCTTCTGTGATAGTTATATGACCTCATTTCGTGAATTCAAATCATTGTATCATTGCTTTTATCATACATCATGAGAATAGGAGATCGCTAGGAAGCGGCTACAATCGGAATCTCCTCGTAGTATCTTTTGTCCATGCCAGCCTCCAAGCGAGCTTCTTCGTTAAATGGCCCTCTGATAGGTCCTCGGAAATGTTTTTTAACCATGGAACGGAAGACCTGCACTGGGTCGGTTTCCTCCTGGCTGCAGATCCAGGTCAACCACCGGTGACCCGTAGTGACATGAGTAATCTCGTCGTGATGAATGACCTCCAGCGCTTCAACACTCTCCTTATCGCCAGAGAGGCGGAATTTCTGAATGGTCATCGGGTTGACATCCAGACCTCTGGCCTCGTGCACCAAGGCAATAATGCTTATACGGGCGCGAAGATCGTATGCTGTCTCCTGCGCGGACCACCAAAGGCTGTGATGAACGGGAAGAGCGCCAAAGTGGGATCCCATCTCTTCAAGGCGAGTGCGCAGCAGAGAGAAGTGTTTCGCTTCATCAGCTGCCACCTTGAGCCAGTCATGGAAGTATGCGCGCGGTAATTCTTGGGAGGTCTTCTCGGTCTGGAATGAAGCGAATCGCACGCAAATATCGATGGCCAGGTCAATCGCCCATAGCTCAATGTTGGCCAACGCATGAAGCATGGCAATTCGGCTCTTCAATGAGCCTCCTTTTCCGGTTCTCGGCATAGCACCCGGGTGGACTTCAATCATCTGTTCACGGGGCGGTTGGTCAGGTGCAGTCACGGTGCCTCTTCCAAGCTCCATGGGTGAGTCCGAAGCCTCCCTCTCGGCGAAGATAGTGAAAAGGTGGATGGTTAATTCAATCTTGTGCTCGGGGTGAGCAGTATTCAGGATGTGGACGGCCCAGTCGCACAGTGTCGCCTTGTCATCCAGGTAACGAGCCAAGCCAGAATCCTCCTGCTTGGCCACTGGTTTTTCTGATGGTCGCGCATTCTTCAACTTGGCTTTCTCGCTCACGGGTCTAATTTTGGCGACTTCCACATGAGCGTTATCTTCAACGGGGAAATCTAGCATGACATCGTCACCACGGACGTCAATGGGATATGTGCATGCTTTGATACCGACACTCGACTCTCCGGTCTCCACGTTAAAATCATACGCGTGCCAAGGACAGCTGGCAACATATGCCGAATCCTCGATATCAATCAGCGAGTCTGCCATCGGTCCACCCGCATGAGGACATTCTGCCTCCATAGCGTAGTAGGACCATCCTTGCTTCTCGTTTGGTTTTGAGCTGGTAGGGTCGATGGACGGTAGGCGAAACAACACAATCCGCTTTCCCGTGGACATGTGAATCACATATCTTGCTTGGGTGAAGCCCGTCAGAGGCCCGCAATTTATTATCATTTTGAAGATGGAAAGTTGAGCTCGGCTTTGAGAAAAGACGTTCGCTTGAATCTGATAATGTCAATTTTCTCGATTGATCACGTGTATGGCGGGGCCCAATAAACTTTTCAAACGCGGGAATAAGTGGGGCCATTGTTCAATGTTGTCGTTATGTGCTTTGTCATCCACATGTGCGGTCAGTGAGCGCCAGCATTCGAGGAACCACGTTTCTCAGCCTGGTGTGAGCCTTAAAGTAAGTATGAATGGATTTTTGAAAGGGATTGCTTTGAATAGCTCTATCTCTCTAAATTTGGAAACGACCGGACTTTCAAGTTTATGTGAACAAATGTGCATTCAAAGTTCTAAGGGACAAAGTTGAATGCAACACCCCACGGATCGTTCTATTGTTACATCTTTAATGTTCCAAGCACTTGAGGTTTTAAAAGTTGAAGGCCCTATGTAAATAAGTATAGAGGCTTTCCCTTTGAATGTCTAAAGTAGGGATTGGTGGCCATTTCTCAAGTTCCTGTTAGCACTGAGCACCTTGAGTCTTTTCCGGAACCTTGAAGTCCTCAAGTGCTCGAGCCAGAGCCGGAGGACATTAATACTATGTAGGTCAACTATGAAGAAAAACAGACTTATGTAGAATGCACATGCATGCACATATGTGGATAATATGTTGGATAACACCTAGTGCATACTTGTTTTTGAAACTTGGAAATATTTGAATGCTCGTTGCTTCAAATATTGCGCCCTCGAGTAGTCCCAAACATTGCCCAGATGAAAATGCCCTTGGGCACATGCACATGCATTTTAGATGTTGGTGCTCACTGTGGGGCACACTCGAAGATCCATCCAGACATTGTCCAATTGCAGAGCATTCATTGTTCCGGGGTCGGCGATATGTATGTATATTTATGGATGTACCAGTCATACCTTATGTACGCAACATGTACGCACGTGCGTATTTTACGAAATTTGAAGATAGTATGTATCTATTTGCGTCAATTCATCAAAGCCACAACTCTCAAGGTACTCAAATATTGTATTTATTCCAGGCGGTTTTCAACTTTGTATGTAGTCCATCATCTTGCTCGTCCGGGCAGGTGAAAGAACTGGATATGAATCGCAAAAGATTAAGGTTGTGGATCCGAATGATTATGTCATGCTACGGATAAACTCAAGCTACATAAGCCTGTCAGGGTTAGTCCGCTGTAAATACCCTTTCCAAATCAAGCAATTGGACGTCCGTAATTCTGGCATCTTGCTTTGGAATAATTTTCACAGTTCCAGTGAGGATCAAGTACAAATGGCCTCATTTCAGATGTCGGAGAAAGTTAAACGCTAACTGGAGGACTGCATATGTAGATGGGTCAACTGGTAATGGTATTTCCCCCCGAAAGATGATAGGTCTTGATGTAAAGAAACAGATTTAATTACGGTTTCAGGATACGGGCCAGTCACATGTGCATACGGGACAAGAGACGGAATGCGGCCCCAGTGCGGCTGCAGTCAGACTAGGGGTATCTCCGATTTAACCTTATGTACTCCGCACATTGCACCCTGACATATCAATTGATTACGGAGTCAATGAACAACTGAGTTACTGACCCGAGAATATGGTGTAGCGTATTTTTACAATTTGATTATGCGTACTACATATATAGGGGTATAATTGCCGAACCAATGAAGAACAAGAACCTCTTAAAAAGATCAATCTAGCTAGCGTGAATTTGCAATGTAACCGAAAAAGGCGGACTGGAGCTTGTGAAAATTAACAATTTATGCCAGAGAGACTGGAGTTGCATAGTGGCGTACTCCGTATCGTCTGCTGACTCAGAGTACAACCAAGCTAACATCAAAAAAGGAAATCAATACATAGCAGTATACATAATTGCAGACACTTTATATTAGATTAAGAATGTCTCATTGATTATGTACATTCAGACCTCGAATTATGCCAAGATAACCCTTGTGCTTACTTTTAAGGCAGTCAGCCATTTCGGCAAGAATTTGGAACAGGAGTCGCAAAAGCTTATCTCAATGCGACTAGTCCGTTGATCACGGACCATCAAGAAGCACATGCCTGCGGGCTGCGTAAGTCTAACCAGCAGGCCATGATTGGTGCTCATCGAGGAGAAAGACCACTGTGGAGCATGCAAACTGCAGAGCTGAAAAGCAATATGTACTAAGTGGAGAAAGACCATCGGCAATTCTTGAAGCATTAAACCACTTCTTTTTGTGCTGGGAAAATCTGTAGAAACCCGCAGGAGATGGTAAACTTGAAGTTCATAAATTCAGGTGCAGAGTTGGATTTTTATGGTTCATTTAAACCTTCCAAGGTTGGGGAGGAGAGCGGAAAAGGCGGAAGTTTAGTCATTGGGCCCGAGCCCCTTTTTGGGGGCGGAGAGACTTGATTGCTTTTGCGGGGAGAACCGCATTTGGAAAATCCCTTCCAACTGTATCTCTTTCACCCAACACACCGTTTTTACGTGTCTCAATTGACAAATGGCGTGAGGCCACACGGCTGATGGCATACTGCATCAGCCCCCAAAAAGCGGTGGGTTTGTATTGGCTACGGGGATCGCCTATGTAACTTCACCTCGAGGCCGAGATCGGGCCCCAGCTAGCATTATAGTGGATCCTACTAATGTACTTACGGAATGAGGATCTCTGGAGTCTGGGGCTATTGGCTCCGGTGACTCAAGCCAAGCTACATGTAACCATTTTTTTTCGCCTTTAACTCTGGACTATTTCTCATAACTTTTTTTTTTTCTTTTTCTTCTTCACTTTATCTTTCCTATTGTGTTGCCTTCCACTTGAGCAATATCGATATTGCCTTTACCTTGGTGCATTGGTTTCGCGTGCGCAACTAAGGAGCCTCGGATACTACATAAACCAAGCCGAGGATCAGCGCCTGAGGGATCGGCATCCGAGGAGTCGCATTTGGTCTCATCCCTCACATTTCTCTAACCTCTCACTTTGGTCAACTTCCATCGACAAGTAGGCGCGCGGCGAGGCCGATCGCTTTCTAATCATGAATGCGACAGGTAAGCTTCCACAATATTGCCGACTTTCTCTCTGGCGCATGGACTTTCCATTCAGTGGGCCCAAAGTACGGGATCGGTGCTGACGGGCTCTGTTTTTTGGGCAGATTTCAAATCAGAGGTTGGCGAAGGCCATCCGCAACAAGTCGACAGCCCTGACTTCGATAATGAGCTTCCTCCGCTGCGATCAACCACCGAGCGCAAGCTGATGGCCAAGATTGATTGGCACATTTTGCCATGCATTTGCGTGCTTTACCTGTTGGCCTTCCTTGACCGGTAGGAATTCCTTCGCGTAGCTCCAAATTTTGCGACAAGAAGCGCTGCTAACATTGGCCATTCGGGTGCTCTAGTGTCAATATCAGCAATGCGGCTACATTGGGTCTTACCGAAGACCTTGGTATCGCTACGGGCATGAAATACAACATTGCGCTGACGATCTTTTTCGTCCCGTATATTATCTTTGAGATTCCATCGAATATCCTTTTAAAGAAATTCAAACCTCATGTCTGGTGTACGTCATTCGACTTTAATTGCGGTTTGGGTGTTTGTTGAGATGATGCTGACTCTACCCAGTGCCCCTATGCATGTTTGGCTTTGGACTCGTGATGGTTTGCCAGGGATTGGTCAAAAACTGGAGTGGATTGATGGCCACTCGTTGGTTCTTGGGAGTCTTTGAGACAGGCATGTTTCCGGGATGTAAGTGATCGAACCAAAGTCTCTTCATGCAATTTGGCGATTCTGATTTATCATTACAGGCTTCTACCTACTGGGTATGTGGTACAAGCGCAGTGAAGCCCAGAAGCGTTTCAGTTTCTTCTTCAGCTCCACTACACTGGCTGGCGCATTCGGCGGTGCGCTGGCGTACGGTATCTCTCAGATGAGCGGAGATCGTGGCTACGCGGGCTGGCGCTGGGTCTTCATCATCGAAGGTTGCATCACCTGCGTGGCTGCCTTTATCTTGTTCTTCTTTATGCCTGATTTCCCAGAGGATGTCAAGTGGTTGACCGACGAGGAGCGTGAGTTTGTTCAAGCCAAGCTGGCTAAAGACGTTGGCAAGTCGGCACACCATCGCTCGATGGGCTGGCGTGAAGTTGTGTCTGTCTTCAAGGACTGTAAGTTGGCTCGATTGATGGTACCAATGAAATGGATACTGATTGGTGGTATAGACAAGGTCATTCTCGGAGGATTTATGTATTTCGGTCTTATTGTTCCCGCATATGGTGAGTATTCGTACCCGATGCAAGTTTGTCATCGTTGCTGACTCAATTGATTTAGGATACGCATACTTCGCGCCCTCCATTATCAAGAGCTATGGATATACCTGTATGTCCTGCCTTGTTGTGTTTAATTCAGAATATGGCTAACTTGATGTGCAGCGGTGACAACCCAACTATATTCCATTCCACCTTGGGCAGCAGCTTTTGGTTTTTCCATGGTAATTGCTTTCTGCTCTGATCGCCTAAAGCATCGCTATGTATTCACACTGATCCCCATCTGTGTTGCAATTGCTGGATTTGCCATGTTGCTCAGCATTCACGGCAAAGAGCACAGACATGCCGAGTATGGTGCACTCTTCCTGGTGACGAGCGGTGCTTACAGTGCTATGCCTGTTATCGTATGTTGGTTTTCCATGAATCTAGGTGGTCATCACCGCCGCAGTATTGGTACCGCATGGCAGGTTGGTTTCGGCAACATTGGTGGTATCATTGCCACTTTCGCTTTCTTGAGCAAAGATGCTCCGGACTATACTACGGGACATAGTATTTGCATTGCATTCGCCTGCCTATCCATCATCTCGTGCACATTATACCTTTTGGCTGTGCGGTACGAGAACCGCAAGCGTGACAACGCCGCCATCGACCCCAATACAGTGGCAGAGGAAGAAAAGGAGATCTTGGGTGACCTTTCACCCACATTCCGGTATGACTACTGATTTTATGACGTCGCCTTTGCGATAGGGTTAGAGATTCCGCGGTTCATACCTTGGGATGACGAAGTTCCGGAAGGATATCAATGATGCACATGAGCTGAAAGGTTTAGAGCTGAGTTGCATAGCTTTAAAAGCTATAGTACTTATTTTGTTTTTTTTAAGTTCAATATATGTAATGTGTGTGAAATATTTGATGTGTGAAAATTTCTGAAGCTTGACGAAACCAATTGAATCCACATTAATCTTCGATTCATTCATCTTCTTATTGTTTCGATTGAATGGAATCAATGATGCGCGGAAACCCTATTTCCACTGTGTGATGCAATACAATGGTCACGTGCCCCATATTGGCGATGTCAGAGTGTCCTAAAGGGGTTAGTACCTCGCTTAGCTGAGTAAGCTGCCCACTACACAAATGCGCCGCGACCCGTCTCTGCATTTGTCTTCCTTCACTATCTCTCCTCATTTTCGCAGAACTGTTAGTTGCCACCTGACGTCTTAAACTTTGACCGAATTTAGCTAACCAATTCATAGTAACATCTACGAAGATGAGAAATAAGTGGAGAAAGAAGCGCGTTCGCCGTCTCAAGCGCAAGAGAAGAAAGATGAGAGCCAGATCGTGAGTTTCGACAATTCGCTAATTATACCATGACAACAATTCTAATAAAGTATTCAGCAAATAAACAACTCGCCCCTCCTCCTCAGCCCCTCTCATTGAGGCCCACGTTTGAACACTGAACACAACAATGATACGCCTCTCATCAAAAAAATTACCTACTCGGATTCGGTTTCCGCCATTTGAAGAATCCACAGTCGCTCGACGGACTCCACGTTCAAACACCTTTTCCAATTCTTTCGGAATCCTACAACGTCGTTCGTGCTGATGCCGGGTATGGGTTGAGTGGATACCCACTCGATGTTTTAATTTGGAAAAGCGCCTGTGCTTAGTTAAGGGTTGGAGATTGGTTCCTCGGGACCAGTCTGGGCTCGGTGTTAGGGTGCCTGTTCAACTACATGCTCATTTCACATTTTTACGATCCCTGAATTCGTTCGAGGACCGGAGCTATGGAGCGGTTTTTACCGAGAGTTTGAAACAAAAACTGGTACTATTTAGCTCGGAGGTCCTTGATTTCGATAGCTATGCTTGCCGATGAATCGATGACACTTTAAGAGTATTTGCATTTTCCAACATTGAATATTTGTAGCTGTAATATCCATGTCGATCACTATATGACCTATACTGGAATTTGGTAATAAATGCTGTATCTGGCACTTGAATCTATTTGTGGGAATATACATTCACCGCCTTTGCAATCGGTCTCCGCAAAGGATTTTTTTCTGCCCGCGACATTCGACATTTATTTCGACCGAATTACGACGATCAACCATTGAAGCTACACGCTCAAAAATCCTCTGTGGTTTTAGCCGTAGTTTCTACATTCACAATGCCTTCCGACAAAATAGAGAAAAAGCGCAAGCGCGCCTCAGATCGCCATGAGCGTCCAAGCAAAAAGACCGCTCTGGAGCTGCAGGCCCTCCCGCCGTTGGCAGCTAGTGTTGTCGAGGATCAGAGCGAGCTGGCTCCAGTGATTGGTATGGAAATGTCTATTTGGAGCAATATATCGCTTGTCACTGACTACTGAGCAGCTACGACACCCGGTGTGATGAACTCGAAAGCCCTCCGCTTCAACCCATACATCAAAGCCCGCGACGGCAAGCGTGCAACCCTCGCTCGGAACCCTGGAATTGTCTCCTCGGAGATGCTATTGCAGTCGTCTCAGCATGAAAAGATGGACTTTGTCGGCCGTGAAGGAACTGGAGACGACACAGACTCGCAGCTCAAGCACTACGTTGCCGTTGTGGACCCGGAGCGCAAGACATGGCAGATTGTGGAAGCGCGGCGAGTGACTCTTCGTGGCGGTGTCCGCACTATTCAGCAGGATGATGAAGATGAAGAATCTGAAGAGGAGCTGGTACGTTCCAAGGGTTCCTGTTTTGTGTTTTTTGGGGGGATTTGTCAAAGCTAACTAAATGATGCAGAACACTATGCGCGCCCAACGCACGGCCCTGACCAACACATTCGGTACCAAGCAGTCTCGCAAGGCTGTCCAGTCCATGGCCGAGAATGCCCAGTTATCCAACGCCCCCGCTGGATCCGTCACCGAGGCTGGTGCCGCACTCATCTCCTCTTTACCAGCGGATATTGCTTCCGGAAAGGCCAAGGCACTCAATGTGCAGGCCGAGGTGCAAGCAGCCAAGCCTCTGCCCACACCAAACCTCACCGCAGCTCACCCGCTGGACTTCTACCCTATCGAGAATTTGGTTCCAGGTGGACAATCCACTCTGCGCCAATTGACTGGTGTCGAAGATTGGAAGCAGCAAGTCGAAGCTGGTCTGGCCGTTACTACCAGTTCCAGATATGTGGCCAACCGCGTCGAAGCAGTTGTGCTCTCCGGAAACCAGGACAAGCTCCAGGTTCTCCGATTCATCCAGCTGCTGCTGGAATTCGCTCGTTCACTCAAGTCTGGCCGTTCTGCTGGTGGTCCCGGCACCAAGAAGTTGCTACCCCGTGACGAACTCAAGAGGGTTCTTTCCAGCACATCTGGAGTCAAGACTGATGAATCTGAGGAGTCTACGGATGAGCTCCTTCCGGACGCTGTTATCGACGCTGTCCGTCGCCGCTTCGCCCCCAGCGGTGGCTCTGTTAGCAGACACGACATGACCCTTCTCCACACCACCATCTGCGCTCTCTCCCTGCACATTCCCCCGCAGCCGGCCAAGGACGGTGGATCCAGCTCTCTGGGCGGCAACGCAGCTAACGAGCTGGCGACCGACCCCTCTGATCTTCGTGACGATCTGCGTCTTGACTCAAATACTGTGCAGCAATACTTCCGCGAGCTGGGTTGCCGCATCGACCGACCCCGCGAGACAGAATTTGCCAAGTGGAACATCAAGGGTGGACGTGCTGAGGCGAATGCTCGTCGTATTGCTCGCCTGCGTATTCCTGTTGAGTTCCCCAAGGTTAGCCGTGGAGGCAAACAATAAAAGGATCTCTCGAATTTGATCGATTCGAGCCTTAGTGTTTGGGCGGTCTAAAATTTCTTATGCCATTGTGATATATCCGGCGTTTTCAACTTGTACTCGATTCAAAAATGTTCCTATATGAATGAAGTGATTGCATACGCATACATTGTTATCTTAAAAGGTTTTGTGTAACTTGAAATGTTCAAAATTTATTGATATGCTACTTAGCGTAGCTCGCCAGACTTCAATTGTTTCTCTCTGTTTGTTTTCTGGGCTGACTTCACATCCAACTTTACACAGTTCAATCGATCTGGACATCATCTACCTAGAGATTGCTTACATATGCAGTTTCTTTTGAATGTCTCATATTTATAAATTAATCAAATAGGCACAAAATATTTATTCATCCTCGCAATACATTATACACATATGCATCTTCAATGGGGTATCGAAATAATCGCGCACCAGTCCAAACTCAAGGGAAATACTCCTGAGCAGCTTCATGTTCCGCAGCCTCATGTTGTGCATGCGCGGCAGGAGTTGCAGCAGGAGTAGCTCCAGGGGTAGCACGACTATAGCGGCGTTCCGCATGCTTCTCCCGATCAGCAGCCAGCTCCTGAGCGAACTTACTCCTTTTCCGAATCTCCGGGCCCTTCCAATAGAAGACGTATATAGGGATCAGAACCAAGAAACCAAAGCACCCAAGGAACGTGCTCGCCCACTGGAGATGGTACTTCCCTCCCATATGCTCATACATAGGCGTTGCGTACATGGTAGCAATGCCAGCGAGGAAGTCTCTTGAAAAGCCATTACCACCAGTAGCCGAGGCAGAATAGGGGCCGTAAGCTGCGATCATGTAATCAATCGTGGCCATGTAGATGGCATAGTTAGCCATTGCGATTAGGCAGGCGAAAATCAAGGGTGCGATCCAGGGAATCGGTGGTCCCATTGATGTCCAGGCGAAGCCGAGAAGACCGATTGGCTCGAGGGGAGCAATGAAGAGGAGGAGTAAAAGTCTACGCTCGGCATAGCGAGATGCAGCGCCGTGCTTGCGGCGTGTCTGGATCTGCCGGTATACGTCTGGTAAGAACATCACGTACGCAATGATGTATCCGAGTAAGATAGAGCCGAAGGTCATGCCGATGGCGAGGGTGCTCATGTTCCACTGATCGAAGACCAGGGTAAAGGACTCGGTGAAGACGAAGATCAGGGCATCTGAGAAGCCGGATAGAAGGGAAAGGAAGAGCACGATAGGTTCCCGCAGGAACATTTCAAAGGGGCGGATCCAGATCTTCAGAATCTCCTTCTTGTCCAAACGAGGCGATTTCAGCTCATTGGGTCCGTAGACTTCTTCCTCGCCGCTCTTGCGCCGCCGTTTCGCTTCCTTGTCCACCATGATCGTCGACCGTGTTTCGGGAACAAGGAAAAAATGTAAAGCCTGTGTGACACCGCCGAAGATTAACTGCACCCAGAAGACCCACGGCCACGAGAGGTATTGACCGATGATCCCGCCGAAAAAGGGACCGATGGTCGAGCCCCCCACGGACGAAAGCACTACGTAGGCGACGGCAAAGCCCTGGTCATCAGCTTCCCACATATCAGCAGTCATACCCAAGGTGACGGAGCCACCGGCCGAACTGAGACCGCCCAGAACACGACACACGACGATGGTGCCGAAGTTTGGCGCGAGCGCACAGGGGATTTGCCAGATGTTGACGAAGAGCAGTGAGAGCTGCATGATGGGCCAGCGACCGAATTCCTCGGACCAGGGAGCCCAGAGCTCACAGCCAAAAGCATACGCCACGAGGAAAACGGCCTGGCCGACCCGCGCAGCTTGCTCACTGATTCCAAATTCCTCGGTCAGGCCTGTCACCGCACTGGAGTAGACGCCCGAGTTGAAGTTCATGGACATTTGTACCACGAAAATCACCGTGAGGATCATCCATTTCTTCCAGGTGGGGAAACAGAACCCCAAAGACTCGTAGCAATCATCTTCGGTGAGTTCACGCTTTCCAGCCTTCTCAATCTTCGGTGTATATTCCCGGCTGGTCTCGTCCGATTCGGAGGCGTTTTCGGCTTGGGCATCGTCGCCCCGTTCGACTTTTTTCTCCAATCGATTATTTGTTTGGTCGAGGTCGATTTGATCTTTATCCTCGTCCTTCCGCTTGTCGAAAAGCGAAGAATCCGCCGACGAAGCCATGTGGCAGGTGGATTTTAGCCCGGTAGATCCAGACCGGGATTAATTGATTGGACTTTTTATTTCTTGTAGTATGGAAAGAAAAGAAATGCGGGGGAGGAGACCGCAAGAATGTGGGTAATGTATGGGGTATCAAGCATAAAAGTGGACTCGGTCAGTCTCACAGGAAAATTAAGTCAAAAGGTCCAGACATATCAACCGCAAACGGATCCGGGGGCTCTATATATGACAGGTTGATTTGCCTACTAGCTTGCAAACCGGTATCATCATATCTTGTAGTTTGATGGCTCAGTCACAATTTCTCAAACAGGAAACCCGAGCGCAGCTGGCAAAATGACCTCCAAACTAATCTCAACGGGACAAATCTCATACATGATTCGCTCAAACCTCGCACCCCCACATCCTATCCAATGAAATTGCATGCTGAATGGCTGGAAAGATGTTGGAAGAGGAATTTCCACGGGAAAACCTGTTACGGCTTGGACTTGGACTTATGCTTTACGGGCCGTGGGGCGTTCGGATCGTCGGCAACCCGAGCCTCTACGTCATTTCCGGATAATACGTCAATGGGGAATCGCCTCTGTAACATTTGAATGGGTTGTATGATGGATTTCTTTTTTGATTGCATCTGCATCGACCAATGGTTTATTTCAATTGTGGTGGCTTGACCTGCGATAGGGGGGCTAATGCACAAGGTACAATACTAGGCACTTAATGTAATCGTGGAATGTTGTCATAGTTGACTCATGGGTTAATCAGATGCCCATGTACATTTGCGCAGTTCCTGATACCCCGATTTTTTGGACACCACATGTACATTGCAGGCGTGGAAGACCACGAGGTTATCCGCTTTTTTATTCTCCGGATTCTAGAAACAAATGTCCGGGGAAGCTAAGGACTTTATTGAACATCATTATTGCACATCTTAAAAACCAACATTATGCCTACAATTTGAAATAGTAAGCAGACACCTTGAAAACATTTGAACATCTCAATGATCATCATGGGTGATCTGGGCAAAGCTAGTCTTACGCCATGGGTGTCAAGGATCTTGGATTTCAGATTTCAGATTTCCTCTACATAGTATTCCACAACATAACATAACACTCCACACTAGTATCATTGATCTCTCTTCAAAACCTGCAATACAACGGAAATTGACCGAAAAGCCGAGTCCAGACTTTTCTCGATCTATTCACCAAATACTGACAGCTATTCCTTTCCAGAATTTACAGTGATCTACCGGTCAACTCCGTCTCCGGCAAAATGTTCATGATAGGCGGGTAAATCATCCACTTCGCTACCAAACAAAAAGTCTAGATAATCGACAGGTTCATACAATTATGCATACATGTATGAAATCATCCGGAAATGCAAAGTTCAAAAGTTGGCCGATGGCATGGCCGCCATGTGCATTCAATGCAAAAGAAATCCAAAGAAACCCTGACCGCAAAATGCGCAAAACCGGATTTTGGCCCCTGTTCCTGGTTCTCGGGCCTAGTCGGGGTTTAAGCCTGCATAATGCATGGTCGTAACGAGATTGCGAATCAGAACACGCCCGCTTTTTGGTTGTTGTTTAAGGAGTCGATTCTTGAAAATGAAAGAAAATAAAATAATGCTGGGTCATGATCTAGCAGATTCTAGGTTGGTTGGGTAAACAAAATATGATAGCCCCGGGATTACTGTATAGGAAATGAAAACATAGACATGGGAAAGCTTGAGCTACACACCAGATCCTACAAAATTCGTATGGGGGAGCAGAGTCTAGAATTATCCGACATTGCATTGGTTCAGATTTTGTATAGGGAGACATACATTTTGTAAGAGAACGCGCGCTTTTGAAATATTCAAAAGCGCGCGTTCCCTTACAACCAAGTTGACCTATCAGATGATTGCCATTATTGCACATCAATTACGTATACTGGCATTCATGCAACTATAACTACTAACTAGTTAGTTCTCAATTTACTCATTACCAAGCAACAATTAATAGATCGTCGAAAATAGAATGTATTACATGCATTTATTGCAGTCTATACAGATTTCCAAGCTTGAAACAGCTGTCCGAATCGACACATACACGTATATCCAAATGTCTCTTCCACCAAGCATTCCATGGCAGCACTTGGAGTCACAATAGCCCCCTTAACAAGTCTGCTTGATCGTAAAAGGATGGCACTCAGTATTGAAAACATACTTATCCAAGCTCACCACATCCGGTTCAGCAAAGGAAAGGTAAAGATACTTCAGAACCTCGGCAAAGTAGAAGCTGCATCAAAGCCACAATCAGCACAAAGCTCCATCGGTACTAGAATCGAACCAAGACAAGAAATAGAAATGGAAGTGGAAATCTTACCTGGAAACGTAGTTGACCAGTGTACCACCGTAAGGCTCATTAACATCGGTAATCTCGGCATACGGCACAGACGCCGAGCGAGTAGTATTCAGCGCGTTAAAGATCTCCCAGTTATAATCCTGGAAGCGTTGATCGCCGGTTACTCGGTAGGCGTAGAAGATGCTCTCAATAGGCTCGGGGTACGAGCGATAAGATGGGTCCTCGATGAAGTACCCCCACTTGGAAGCTTCAGCTCGGTATGTGGCGTTGTCGTATGATGAATCGTAGGGCTGGTTATCAGAGTTGTACCAACCGATCGCTGGAAGGGTAATTTGTCAGTATATGTTAAGCTGGATTTCATTGAAGAAAAGCTGTAATGGATGAGATATGGGTGATGGGGTGGATTCTTACTGGAAGGTCCCAGTCCGGTCACCGTTTGATTGTACCATGCGTGGCAGCTGTCTGATACCTTCACACCAAGCTCAGTGATGTCGTCACGACCGAGGTATTTACCACCGAGCAGGAGATTGCCGCCAGCAAAGCACGCCTGTAATAGTATTAGTCTTTTACTTGGTACCGGAGTTGATTAATCGACTGGTCACGTACATAATCGTCCATGCTCCACATGATGTTACCGTCAGTATCCAGTTGAGACAGGAAAGTCAACTGCGGCTCGTCATAGGGGTGCAAGGCGATATTCTCGATACTTGACTCGGCGGTGGTGATCCAAAAGTCTTTCATGTCAGAAGCGAGCGCATCATCACGATCGTAGACATAAGTTTTAATAAGATACTAAGATAAAGTCAGAAATTTAGCCTGCAAAGAAGCTATATCTGTTCATGATATTTACCTCGATGAAGCTGTCAACACCGGCCTCCCATCCACCATCAAGGGTGATGAACTTGCCCGTCTCGGTGTCAAGCTCGGTTCCAACAAGACCAGGGAAGGCAGGCGCCGGGCTGGGATTGATTAGGTACTTTTCAGCTTTTTGAGCCTAAATGATCTCTCAAATTAGCTGCAGTGCTCCACAAGTACGCGAGAAATACATTAAACGTACGTTCTCACGGAAAGACTCATCGCCAGTAAGATCCGACAGACGATAGTACTCCAGAATCATAGTTCCAGCCTGGGCCGTGTTTGTACTATTGTAAGTAGTACCGTTGACCTCGGTGGTGCTTTGCACAAGCTCCCCCGACGTGAAGTTCAAGTTCGCAACAGGAAGACCGGTGACAGTGTCAAAGACCGGCGCAATAGCCGTGGCCAATGACTTGGCCTGAGACAGCAAGGCCTCGACAAGATCACTATCATAAGGATTTGGGAAATCCCCACTCTTGATAAGATCATACGCACTCAAAAGTCTATACATATCGAGAGTCAGTGATGGCCCACTCACAGCACGTCAAATGCACAGAGGTATTATACCCACCCCGCAATATAACGAATATTGACATCGAAGAAATCGACGAGATCGGCCGATTTGGTGAAATCAACCGCAGCAATATGCTTCAATTGCTGCTCCACAATATCGGTCAGACCCATCACAACCGCGGTATCGATCGCATCGACCACGGTAGCACCCCAGCCAAACAGGTCGTTAGTATAAGTATGCGTGATGGGCAAGAGGTCATCATTGGGGAACGCGTATTTTGAGTACTCGTTCCACTCGCGCACGTAGGCCTGTTTCACGGCTTCAGCCCGGGGATCATTTTTGTTTGTTCCAGACGGGAAATTGAACTGGACTGTGCCGCATGTCGCGTCGGATGAACGCGCCTGGGAGGGCGCGGCGTTGGCTTGACCGAGTAGCGATAGGGCCAGTAGGGCGTGGGGTAAACCGGGGACCATGTTGATCTTTCGATTTGGCTTGGCTCTAGAATAATCTAGAGAAGCCGGAACCTGCTAAATGAATGGATGAAAGGAGGGATAATCAGGAGTTGGCATTTTGATCGAAGGGATATATAGTCATTTTTCAAATATTTCAATAGTCCGATTGTCCGATATTCCAATAGTTCCGAAAGTCTTCTGTTTGGACCCCCCTGCAGATCATCACATATGGTTACATTGCTTGGATGTTATCATGTTACAATTTCGGGAATTAAGGCCATTGGCACTTTTGATTCAACGAGTTGACTTATTGGCTTTTATTCCCCTGAAATCTAATCTGCGTGTTACATGTCTAGACTCTAGACATTCTCGCATTCCCCCCCTTGATTTGTGCAGCGGGAAGGAGATCTGGAATAACGGCATAACAGAAGTTTCTGTACAAGTTATCGAAAAAAAAAAATTTTGTCCCTTCGAAGAATTGTAATTATCTCAAGCCTTGGAAAATCCAAAAATCAGGTCATGCTCAGGTGGATGCTGCAGACCATTCGCCATAGTCACATTATGCGGAATAACAGTCAGGAACTCGGTGCATTGACCCGCATCAAAGCCATCTACGCCATCCACGCCAATGTCCAAATCCAAGCTTTTTCTGAGCGGAACCATCCGCCTCGTTGGCATAAATGCCGATTTCCAAGATGGATGTGGAGATGAATATAAAGTATACTAAAAGCCGAGCAAATAGATCGAAGAAGCGGGAAAGGGGAAGGGGGGATATTACAAGATAATAGTCAAATGCTAACCAGACTTGTCTTGTCTTCTGCTGAAAAGCCTCAAAACATTCCATCATTTAGACATCCGCCATCATTCAGGTACCCCTGGTGCCCTACAGCGAACCATCATGTGGCGTTATCATTCCACCCCCAGTTTTCCCTCACCCCCCAAATCCAAATCAAGGATTCGCTGCTGGATGATTGATCATGGAACCCCGTACAGCCTAGCGCAATTCCCCACTTCCCCAATATCCCCCGCTCCAAGCCTTCAGGAAGGGATCGACACGGATACCGAAGACCCCGAGTCGAGACGGGGTTTGGCCAGCCGTGGAAATCAGCTGGATCCAGCATGTCTGGAGACTAACAGATTAAAATGCTACCCCGGAGTCAGTGCGAGGTCAACCGGTCCACCTCCAAATAAAAACATAGAGCTGCGGTGGCTGAGGGCTCACGGCTTTGCTTGATATTGATCGCTGTGGAGACATAAACACTCACCGAAGAGCGAGGCTAAAGTACGCGATGTGACTCGCGACGGCTTTTTTTTGTCAGACATGTCGTGAAATCGAGACTTTACATGGTTGAGTGAGTGTCGCATCGCTCGCTGGAGTGGCCCGTGAGTTTTTCGGACTGTGTTCTCGCGAACTCTCCCAGTCAACTCAACTGTTCCGGGATGCAGGCTATCCTTCTGCAACCTGCAATGCCAGCGGACTGCAGGCCACCTGAGACTTAAGCACCGTGGACGCCCAGTGCCCGCTTGTGCGACGACCCCCCAATGATAACCCGCGGCCGCGGAACAGGCACACAACAGCGACCTCAGGCCAAAGTTCAGTGCCTAACTAGTGGGCACCACCTAACTACCCCACAGTCTCACGCCCTATACTATTAAACTACCATTATTCCCCTGGTTCCGTTAGGGCCCAATGCGAGGGATCAAGAAGGGACTCGCGTCCGAGGCGTTTAAGTAGTATTAGGCGACCCTCTCCCCCGGGGGTGCTTACACTCTTCTCCGACGGCACCAAACAGACATAGGACAGTCGCAAAGTCAACTACGAATCCATCGTGTATTCTGCCTGTCAGCAGGTAAAAGCGGATTCAATGAGATGGACAAGATGACGGGAGTGGAGATTATAAGAGGTCACTAGAAAGAAGAAAGAAGAAAGAAAAGAAAGAGACCCAATATCAAACTCCAAATGATGATACAATATAAAAGTATGTATATATAAGATAGGTCCCAGGCGCATGCATTCAAAATGAGTCCCAGGAATTGGGTCGCTCACCCAGATGCCCGATTCCCCAAGTGGTCAAATCCAGAGAGATATCAGGGAGCCCGCTCTTTTGTGGGGGAACGCGCGCTTTTCAATGGCTTCGAAAGCGCGCGTTCTCTCCTTTCTTGGAAGTTATCATCAAGCGATAGTATGGACTATGAAGTCAACTGATACATAGCCAAATCCACACAGACACCAGGGAGCCCCCTCTTTTGTGGGGGAATGCGCGCTTTTCGATGGCTTCGAAGGCGCGCGTTCCCTCCATCCTTGGAAATTACAACTTACCACCAAGCTATCGACTATGAAGTAGCTATATGGTGACACAGATAGGCCAGTATAAAATTTTAGAGTGTATGCTCATTTGCATAATTGCCCAAGCACACAAACCAGTTGGCATATCCATGGACCACGGGTAGATGACGAATGAATCTGCTCAGGCGTTGGAAAGCAGAGGACCCACACACACAACATGGTTAAGCACCTGCTGTACCAATGTATGGAATATAGTAGTTAGTTCTTACAGCTACAATTGATAGAAAGTTGTTCAAGATTTCTCCCCGTCAACCAAATCCATTTGACTTGCTCATCTCAACTATCACAGGTCACTAGACCATGCAAAAATAGTAGGTAAACCTTCATAGATATCCAAATGCTGGTGTACAAAAATATATCGAATGCAAAATCGCGATCAGCAGTGAGATCATCGGGAAATGCACAAGAAACAGAAGCAAAAGAAGGAGGCCAAGTAGACCTCATATTAACAGTGGCGATGGGGGGAAAAGGAAAAAAAAAGAAAAAAAAAGATATGCGGAGACTCGGAATGCGCGTGCGCATCAACATGATTCGTGTATTAAAAAGAGTGGACAGGCAGTGAATAGGAAGAAGATCCTAATGCCCCCAGAGGTGATATCTGGATGATTGATTAGGCGACCACACCGACAGGAGCGGAGGCGATGGTGGAGTAGCCACGGGTGCCCCGAGGAAGACCAGTCTTCATGGTCGGAACAACGGTGGCCTGGAAAGCCCGGGCGGCCTCAGCGTCGGCCTCGAGCTCACGAGAGATAGCACCCTCAAGAGGCTCGGCAGGGTTCAGACCCAGCTGGGAGTCTTCCCAGATGGGCTGGTTGGCGTCCTCGGCGCCGGGAACGCCGACGCCAACGAAACCACCCAGCTTTTCCCAATCGCTAGTACGCTTGATGCCCAGATCGTTCCAGACGGCCTGCACGGCCTGAACCAGGTGGTCGCGGAGCTCTTTGGTGTGGCCGGGGGTAGGAGTGATACGCAGGCGCTCCTCACCTCGGGGGACAGTGGGGTAGTTGATGGCTTGGACATAGATGCCGTGCTCCTCGAGCAGCTTGTCCGAGGCGCGCTTGGCGACCTCGGCATCGCCAACGAGAAGAGGCACGATGTGCGAAGGGTTCGGGATAACGGGGATGTCCAGGTCCTTCAAGGCAGACTTGACTGCACGGGTGTGCAGCTGCTGAAGAACACGATCACGTGGCTGCTCAGCCTGGTATTGAATAGCGGTGTCGGCACCGGCCATAGTAGCGGGAGGCAGCGAAGTGGTGAAAATGAAACCCGGGGCGAGAGAACGGATGGTGTCAACCATGCTGGCAGAGGCGGCGATGTAACCACCAACGCATCCGTAAGCCTTACCCAGGGTGCCGGTGATGATATCGATGCGGTCCATCACAGTTCCCTTGGTGCTCTGAGGGTTGGCAGTATCTTGGGAAGCATAAGCCTCGTAGTCCAGGTGCTCGGCAACACCGGCACCGTGTGGGCCGTACATTCCAACGGCATGCACCTCATCCAGGAAAGTGATGGCACCGTATTTCTCGGCTAGGTCACAGATCTTCTCGATAGGGGCGATAGATCCACACATGCTATATACAGACTCAAAAGCAATGATCTTGGGCACATGGAGCGGCAACGAAGCCAACTTCGTTTCCAAATCCACCATGTCGTTGTGCTTGAAGACCATCTTCTTCGCCTGGGAGTGACGGATACCTTGAATCATCGATGCATGATTGAGACTGTCAGAGAGAATCACACAGTCAGGCAACTTGCTGCCGAGGGTAGCAAGAGTGGCGTCGTTGGCGACATAGCAAGAGCTGAAAACCAGAGATGCCTCCTTTCCGTGAAGCTTGGCAAGCGTGTCTTCCAAGTGCACAGCGTGCTGGTTGTGGCCCGAAATATTGCGAGTGCCACCAGCGCCAGCACCGTAAGTATCAAGTGTGCGGTGCATAGACTCCAAGACGTGCCGGTTACGTCCCATACCAAGATAATCGTTGGAGCACCAGACAGTCACGCGCTCCTCGGCGGAGGTGGTGTGAGCCCGTGGAAACTCCTTGGCGAGGCGATTGATGTTGTTGAAGTAGCGGTAAGACTTGTCCTTGTGCTTTTTGTCCAGTTCCTCATTGTAGAATGCATTGTAGTCGAAACGAGTGGTGGGGGCGGCGGTTGGATGTTGGGAACGGATTGCGGCTTCAGCGGCGGGGGAGGCACGGAGAGGGCGGGCAGGATTAGGGTGAACTGATGGGACCAATTAGCATAATTGAAGAGCCATGAAACATTTTGTGAGCCCTGCTTACTCTGCTCGCTCTTCTCATAGGAGCCCGGAGCGACACTGGCAGGGTGACCGCCGGTGGTGTGCAACGAGCGCTTTTCAGCCGGAGCGCGGAATGGCTTGATGGTGGGAACACCGGCCGCGGAAGAGGTAAAGCGCTTAGCCTCAGCCAAACGGGCACTCTGAACAGCGAGGGCCTTGCTCATGACAGGGCAACGGCGAGCGAGAACCTGCAAATTGGACATAGTTCCACCTCCAGTGCTTGGGCGAGTGGCCGTCGACAAAGTGCGCAAGGTCGAGGGAGCGGTGCGCTTCAGGAATGGGCACATGGCCCGAGACTGCTGGAGCATTGCCTCCATAGTTGCGATGATTGAATAGACAATGGGTTAGAACAAACAAAAGATGTCCTAAGAAAGACGCGGAGTCAGAGCAGAGAAATATGGAAATGAAAATCGGTCTGGGGGGCAGAACGGGAGGGCCTGACTCAGCCATTATAATCCACGGGATATCATTGGTGCGCACGGAGCGCAATCGGGAGATCTTGCCAGTTCTAGTTAGAAGGAGAAGGAGGTTTAGTCATGCCGAGGGCCTCGTGCAAACAAAAAAAATAGAGAGAAAAAGGGAAAAAAAAGGGCAAGTGGCGGAAAGTCTGCAATGCCGTGGTCCGTTAGAAAAGAGGAGAAGTCCGGTTCCGTTGCGGGGAAAATTGCCTATCGTGATTCAAGGTGAACATGTGGAATTTTGTGCAACATCACACAGATCTACTATAAAAACACCAGTAATAGTAGTCTCAAACAGTACTAAGGAATGCATGTCTTTTGAAATCGGCATTTGCCACTCGGTTGTTCGAATATCATTATCCCAAAGAAGCCGTGGCATAGATGTACATACACCAAACAAGTAGGTATGGCTGCATAGTACATATGTGCTTTTTTTTTTCCAGGTCACGGGCCTTCAAAAAAAATCCGTGGAATCGAGAATTGGAAATCAGAGTTTGAAGTCTTCGCATAGAAAGTCAATCAGGGTCTGGAGGCATTGAGAAATCAAAAAAATGAATCAATAATTGAACGTCTATCACAAGCACATCTTTTTCTGCCCAGCCTTCATGCAATCCATCCGGCCATCCACCGCATCTTGCAAATAAATAGAAGAACACAAAAATAAGAATAAAAGAAACAATATCCGATATGGAGTTTGAAGTTGATGCCTCCCGAAGATTCTGTTGATCAAGGTTGTATGGTAATACATAGCAGGCCAGAAAAACCTGCCAAGTTAGAAGAAAGATTAAAAAAAAAAACAGACAAAAGAACAGTAAGATAAAAAAGAGAGAGCACCACAGATCACATAACGCCGTCGCCCAGTTGCAAGTAATAGAAAAATTCGTGTGATTAATCCAGACCGCCATCACCGTCAATTAGACGCAGGCGTTCATTGGTGGTTTTGGCACGCTTTGACGTGCCTTTTCCAGGGCCGCGTCCACGACTACGCTTAGCCGCTGGGGCCGACGAGGAGACGTCAACCGGATCGGAAAGGGGCGTGGCAGCCCCGGATGGTTTGGCACTGTTATCATCAAAGTTTCCTTCGCCTGTAGAGATATAGAGGTTAGTAAACGGTTTCCAGGAACATTCAGAGATGAGAGAGAGAGAGCAAAAAAGTCTTACCTTCATGATACATGTCATCCAGCGTTAAATCTCGCTTCCGCTTGGCTGCAGCCTTCTTTCCACCCTTGACAGGTCCCACTGGATCACCACGTTCAAGCGCTTCCTTCTCTCTTTGTTCAATGAGTTCGGCTTCATCATCATCGGCAAGCCACAAGGCAATATCCTTAGTACGGTTGTCGCGAGCCCGGGTGTTGAAGTCGACTCCACCGGAAGCACCACCAGAGATAACAACGCGTTGCACCTCCTCTTTCTGGAGAGCACGTTTGCGGATACGCTCTTCGATAGTTCCACGCGTGATAAGTCGGTACACTGTGACCTGGCGGGTCTGACCCAGACGATGCGCTCGGTCCATGGCTTGTGAATCGATGGTGGGATTCCAATCGGAGTCGTAGAAGATAACGGTATCGGCGGCTGTCAGGTTGATACCTAAACCACCGGCACGAGTGGAAAGCAAGAAAACAAAGATGTCCGGGTTGCTTTGGAAGTCCGCGACAGTGTCACGGCGGTCTTCCAACTTTGTACTACCGTCAAGTCGACAATAGGTGAAGTTTCTGTAAGTCAGGTACTCTTCCATCAAGTCGATCATACGAGTCATCTGGAAGTAAAGCAGTACTCGGTGACCACCGGGCTTGAGTTCTCGCAGCAGCTGATCCAGTTTAGCCAGCTTTCCAGAGTCTGTCACGAATCGGCGCATCGAGGGGACCTCGATGTGACTGTAGCGTGACTTGACCGAGAGTGGCTGGGGCAGGATCGGTGACAAAGTGTAGGGCGTGGGTTCGAGATCTTTCGTAATAAGCTGGTCATCGACTTGCTTGCCGGGAATGCCATACAGTGCTTCACGGATTGACTCGTTGAACATGGTCTTTTGGTTTACTCGTGGAGCTTCCTGTCCAGAGGCTGAGAGAAGGATCGGTGGTGCCGAAGCCGCAGGAGCAGCACAGGGCTCAATACGGTTGAGTCCTTGATCCTCGAATGCAGAGTGTGAAACATTCATCAAAGCCCGCATACGGCCCTCGGGTGTGATATCATGAACAGCCCGGGTGTCGTTGCGTTCGACAATGTTAAGCATAGAATGTGACAACACGGAATTGGAGAGCGACTTGTCATCATCGTACACAACGTTCAAATGAGACAAGCGGTTGAATTGCCCACGCCGGCGGGCTGCACGCTCATAAACACCAAGGTGGCCCGATTTGCTAGCCTCCCCAGCAGATGAGTCCACGAACCGTAGGAAAGAGAATGCACCATTCTCGCGCACACTTTCTTGGATGTTCTCTGGTGTCCAAACGTTCATCATATGGGAGAGATACTTGTTTCGGAATCCAGCAATAAGGTTATCAGGGCCTGGCATGTCAATACGCCCCGCCGAACTGACCAGCATGCGCGGCAACTCATACTCAATAAGGTTATTAGTCGAGTAGCGAACATCGACAAAGGCCCCTTCACGGACGAAAGAAGCACACTCTGCGAAAGAAGCCGCCGAGAACGGTGACTTGGTTTCGGCACGTTCAAACAAATCGGGGTGGTTGCAGACCTTACGGAACTGCATGACAAGGTTCATCAGTGTGCTACTGTCGGTGTCATCGCCACTAGCCGCCTTCTCGATCAGGTCAATAATGCTAACACGGTTGCGCAGCTTAGCGTACAAAGCGCGCTGGCGGTAAGTCAGGTCACAGAAAATGTCCTTCTCCACCTTGTCGCCAAGTTCTGACTGTACGTTCTTCTTCACACGGCGAAGCATGAAGGGCTTCAGAATCATATGTAGACGACGCAGCTGATCCTCGTTGAGTTTGGTATTACTTTGAGCATGCGACTCAATGTCCTTGGAGAACCACTCGCTGAATTCATCGTGAGAGTCGAACAAGGTGGGCATAATGAAATGCAACAAAGCCCACAATTCTTGCATATTGTTTTGAATCGGGGTACCTGTCAGCAAAAGTCGGTTTCGGCAAGAGAAGCCCAGCAGATTCTTCCATCGAGAACTTTGCGATGACTTGATGGCCTGAGCCTCATCGAGAATCATATACTGCCATTTCACTTTCTGGAAATATTGTGCATCAAGCACCACAAGCTGGTAAGAAGTGACCAAAACGTGGAATTCCGATTCACGGGTGTAAGTGATGTGCTTGCGGTCCCAGAATTTGCGGAGTACTTTACGGTCCCGTGCATTACCCCAGTAGGGCAAGACCTTCAAGTTCGGAACGAACCTGGCAATCTCCTGTTGCCAATTGTGTAGAGTAGATGCAGGAGCAATGACCAAGAACGGTCCCCAAATGTTGTGAAACTCGGCGAGATAGGCCATGACGGAAATGGATTGAATGGTCTTTCCGAGACCCATCTCGTCTGCTAGGATACCGTTGATACCTTGTTCGTACAGATTGACCAGCCAGTTAAGACCCTTCAACTGGTATTCCTTCAACTGCGCGTTGAGCATGGTAGGTTGAGAAATTTCAATGTCACCCAGACTGGTGGGGTTCTGGAAGTTCAACTCTCCTTCATCAAAGGTAGCCATGTTGTCATCACCCTTCTCCTGGTTGAAGGCTCGCGCACGATCCTGTGCTTGCTGCACGGCATTTTGGGCGTTAGCCATGGCCGCTTGTTGCAAGACAGACTCGTCTTCAGCATCAAAGTCCAAGTCCTCAAAGTTGGTAACTTTGCTGCTCAGATCACCAACGTTGCTAGGAAGATTGACGGTGTGGGCGCCGGGCTTGCCAGCCTTGACAGTCTCGCCAGTGGCAGCAACCGATCCATCCCCAGCAGCTTCAACCTCATCAGTTTTGATCTTCCGTCCAATGAAGTGAGAGTACAGTTCAGTTTGGGAGATAAGGAAGTTGAGCTTGCGCTTCTGTCGGTTGGCTTCACGCTCCGCTTCAGCCTTTTTGGCGGACTCAAGCTCTTGCTTCTCAGCCACACGACGCAGGTCACGCTCCTCCCGTTCGTTGCGTTTCCAGAACGACATCATCTCTCGCATAGTCCGCTTGGCGCGAGCCTGAGTATCCTTGGTGCTCTTGTTGGTACGCTCTTGCCACTTCCTAGACTGCTTGCTGGCCAGCTGGGCTGTCTTGCGCAAGTTCTCTTGGCGAGTCGACAATGACACAGTCTTGATACGGTAGACCTTGGGAATATCCTTGCGAGCAATGTCGCGCCAAATTTGCTCATAGATCTGGTTGTAGCCTTTACTGTCGTAGTGCAACGGGAGGCTGGGCGTACCCTCCTTGGAGAGGCCACCTTTCTTGGGATCACGCGACATGAAGTAATCTTCATCCAGACCGGCAAGATGAGCGGCCTCTGCAGAATCCTTTTCAGCTTGCTTCTGCTCCTTTGACTTCTTCGGTCGCGAAGAAGGACCGGCACGCCCAGATCGACGTCGAGAAGGTGATGAACGACCAACATGGAAGGAACTGGTAGTGCCGCCTTCCAGATTTGGTGCAAGTGGAGTGATTTCGCCCATGTCATCTTGGGCACTTCCACCTTCAAGAGCACGCTTAGTAGATTTGATTTTCTTTTGAGCACGTTCAGCCTCACGGAGGAACTTCGCCTTCTCAGCCGAGTCCTGAGCGGTGTCTGCCTTGCGTTCGGCTTCGAGCTTCTTTTGCATCTCCAAGCGCACCGTGTTCTCGCGACGGCGTTTTCGTTGCATGTCCTTCTTTCGTTCTTTTTCATCGTGGACTTCCTTCTGCTGGACCTCTGCAATCACAGCGCCTTCGTGAAGGGCGCGGAACCGGTCTGTTCCAAGAATGAAGCTCTTCTCGAGATTTTTGCTTAGGTCGATTAAGAAGTCATGACGCCGACGCTTGCGCCGAATGCCCTCTGCATAGCTACTATCCAGAGCCCTTATGCGGGATTTCTCCAAATAACGCTTCTTTTCTGGTCCAAATTCAGAGCTCTCCAGGTCGCTCTTTGCGCCATTGTCAATATCCATCATAGCGCGGCTTACTTGGTCAGCATCTACACCCGGCGGGAATGGCTTCCGTTGAGGCGCCTGAGCTCGAGCTTCCCTAGGATCAGATTCTGATTTGTAGCCATTGGAAGCGTGCGGCTCCAAAGGTTCCGGGTTATGATTGTCCTGGCTTAAGCTTGTTGTCTTATGATAGAAAGTGCCCGTAACAGGAGTCGGCTCGGGTTTTCTTTGGTCGTACACGGATGGTGTCTGCAGTGCGGGTGTGGAGGGAAGGGAAGGTTGGGGGGACGGTTTTCGTGCGGGTTTGTCTTCTGTCGGTCCAGACAGAATACTGGCAAATGACATGGGATCCGCGGCTCGGGCAGGTTTCTATATTGTAGTTCAATAGTGTTAGGCAAGGTCTCTGGGGTAGATTGAGGTACTTGGTATACGTACCGACTCCTTGGGAGGGGATGCGGGTCTGGATTCCCGCATCATAGAAGTCGCATATCCTGCTCCGTTGCCTCGAACTCGATATGGAGATTCCGGCTCACGTGTTGGGGATTGTGAGTGAGCGTCTGGGCGGTTGGAAGGGTGGCCGTGCGGTGTCGGAGCACTGTAAGGCGAGGCGCCGTTGCCCGGGAGCACAGAGTTCGGGAAAGGTCGCGGAAGGGGCAGCTGAGAGGCAACACCTGGGGTATGTGTCTGGTATTGCGACTGATCCGCATGTGGCGGCGCAGCGCCATTCAAGGGTGGTGGAAGGGAAGCCGGCATGGGTGACGATGCGTGGGAGAAACGAGGACTCCTGGACACGGACGAAGGACCGAAAGCTGGAGGTGTTTGAGGGGGATGTTGTGAATATGGCTGTTGCTGAGGTGGCGGTTGTTCGCCGTTGGGATAGAATGGTCGATTCTTGCTCGGAGATTCATAGGCACCGAACCGAGTCGGCGACTGAGCGTTGTATGGTGGAGCGCCGGTCATGATGGCCGCGTCCCCGGCGCCGGACAAGCGCGGCAGGGTCTATTCAACCGAAAAGCGATAAAAGAGGATGAATTGGGACGAAACTCGGTCAAAGAGCGGAGGGAACGCCCATGGAAAGGTGTCAAGGGGGATTCGGTGCTCTTAAGTGATTCTACCGTGACCGCGACGTCAGCGTGTACGATCGAAATGGCAAGATGGCGGAGGTGGGTGGTGGAAGGATGAGAAAGGTTGAGGAAAAGGGAAATGGATCAAAGATGATGATAATACCTGATTAGATGATGGGTCCGTTTGTGGTGGGAAGATGCAGGAGGGATCTTTGTGGCCGCGTCGAGCCAAGCAGAGAATGCGCTGAACTAACGAGGCAGGTTGACGCTATAATTCCGAATGGTCTTTTGATTCGTAATTATCAAAACCTGCTGAAGGGAATATACGTGACGGGGGGGATGGTTTGGGAGGGGGGGAAGCAGGGAAATTGGGGAAGGGGAGGAACCGTAAGTAGGATTTGGCTTCCCTTGTCAAGCATCTCTTGTTCCCGATGGCTTTCTTTCCATCCGGCACTCGTGCTTCCTTTTGTTTTTTTTTTTGGTTTTTCATTTTTCAAATCCCCCCAATTTTTTAATTTCTTTTCTAGTGATTTCAAACGCGAAAATACAAAATACAAAATATTTATTGCTGTCTAGATGCTACTTTCTATTCTCTGACCGTTGGTGAAACTGATATAATGGTGTGGCCACTTGGTTGCAGAGTGAAGCGGCAAGCTTTCGATACAACAATGGGGGGAACGGACGGCATAAGACGAAGCGGCCTTATATTACATCGGTCGGAAACACTTTTACGAGCGAAAGAAGTGGATGACAAACCTCTCTTGGATTCATCTCTTGCCGAAGGACTTCTCTTTAACATCATCATATCTTCCCCGGTCAGCGTTCCTGTCCATCCCGAAAGACCGACATTAGGATGTCATCGAGGCCGATCCCGGGGTTTTCCACTGGAACAACCATTTTCCTCAACACGGCCTTTACGAGCAGAAGCTCGTCATTTCTTAGGCTGAATTTTCTTTTACAAAATAAGAAGCGAAATGTCTATGCTGAATCGCGACCATACTAAACTGTCCTAGCGCGCATCCACGATCTTCCGTGCAACTTGGTCATGCTGATGGGGCGAGGATCGTGGCCACACAGCTGACGCCCAGGGGGAGAACTCAGAAGATGAAGCGAACAAAAAAACCCTGAAGCAGAACTAGGGCCAAAAAAAAAGTCAAAGTCCCCGCGACTGTGGAACAAAGAGACCAGTCAAGTTTGATATTGATCTTCAGGCCCTGCTTTCTGACTATTAGCCACTGGATCTCGAGAACGCACCCCTAGATACATGCGGCATTGAAGGAATATCGCTCATTTGTCTTGGGTAGTGCCTTGTCTTACTTGAAAGCTGCATCTTATTCGAGTGCTAGATTGAATAACTCAAAGACCTCTCCACATACATCGATCGATAGAACTGGAGATCGACGGAACAATATCCATGGATACAGTACCAAATGAGCATTTCTCAAGGAGACCTGTCAGCGGCTAGAGTCTATTGCGGCTTCTAAAATTCTTCATAATCCGGATGTTTCAGAACAACACAATTCAACATTCAACGCTGAAAGAATGTGGCAGGCCCTGAAATCTGGACCCTTGAATCAACCCACTCTGGGTATCCATAAAGTTCTTCGTGTAGTTGTATTATAGGCAGAGAGCGGCTATACCGAATTTGCTTTTTCAAGACCCTTGCATGCACCTAGTACAAGAACAGTCGGCCTCAGAAACCACTTTGAACTTTATACAATGGAGTCTCGTTGCTGAATCTGTCTAGCCCATCATATAGCGAAGTCGCAGGATGTACGAGCACCTGGGCAGATCCATGGATGTCGTCAACCCCAGAACCCAACATTGCTTGAATGGGCGACCTACCTACCCGAGGCAAAGCCAAGCAAAAGCAAGCCAATATACCAGCATCAATCCCAGGAGAACGACAAAAGGTCCAAAAAAAAACTTGCCATCACAACAAGGAAATGCACTTCCTCCCGGCCGACGGGATGAACGGCTATACATAGTACATACTTGCTGCGGGGTTAAAGTGGCCGGCGCCTTGCCGTGATCAATTGATTCCTCCAAGGTCCACGCCACACCGGAAAATACGAACTATGGAAATTAACCCGATCAATCTTTCTTTTCTGATCAAATAACCACTAGAAAGCTCAAAGAACAAGATATCATGCTTGGACCTTAAAAAATACCCCTGGTCAATCATCGCATGATTCTCGGAGATACCCTGATTTCGTTGGGGGGATCCGATGGTGACGTCCTCCACTCCATATCGTTCATCATTGCAGCGACAAATCCCAGTATGCCGACGGAGCCATCCCTGCAAGTCACCCGCCACAATATGACAGAAGGACCATCTTCATCATTCGGATTGGAGCTCTTCTGGTGTTCGGTGACCTTCCGAGCTCCATCGCAGGATGAACTTGTTCCAGGGTCTGAAGCTGCACTTGTCGGGGTCTGGGGTTGAGGGGTAATCGGGGTTCAAGATGTATTCAATTGGAGTTCAGGGAGCAAAAGTACAAAAAATTACCAAAAGTACTCCCTTTGAGTGATTGAGGATGAATGATCAGGATGTGGATGTTGTAAGTTGTACTAGTAAGTAATAGGGACACGGCCATTATCAACCGTCTGAAGGCCTGAAGGGGAAGAAGACAATGTCATGTTTTCTCAAAGATTTATCCATGGATCAGAAAACAGGAAACTATACATTGCCTGAGTAGTAAGACGCTGTCATGGCTTTCATGATCCTGCTAATCAAAAGGGGAAAATAGTAGGCGTGATTTATCCGGCAATTACCATCGGTGGCACCACTCGATCTATGACATCTAGTGTACACATTTAAATTGAGAACGTTTCCCATCCTCCTTTCACTTCATTCCAACCTTCTACTACACTCTTCCTCCCATACACCCCCTTCTCTTATTCCAAATCTGACATACCACGGTCCACCATCACCATCCTCAGTGACCAAGCTCACGACCAAAATGACAAACGCAACCATCCCAGACACCCAATGGGCCCAAGTAGTCGAAAAAAAGGGCGGCCCCCCAATCTACAAGCAGATCGCCGTCCCAAAGCCCGGCCCCGATGAAGTCCTCGTCAAGATCAAATACACTGGCGTCTGCCACACAGATCTCCACGCCATGAAGGGCGACTGGCCCCTCCCCCTCAAGCTCCCCCTGGTAGGCGGACACGAAGGCGCCGGAGTCGTAGTAGCCAAGGGTCAACTAGCACAGGGAATCGAGATCGGCGACCACGCCGGAATCAAATGGCTCAATGGATCGTGCCTGGCCTGCGAGTTCTGCAAGACGGGCGATGAGCCTCTCTGCGCCGAAGCACAGCTCTCGGGTTACACGGTCGATGGCACGTTCCAGCAATACGCCATTGGAAAGGCGGCGCATGTGACTAAGCTGCCCAAGGACTTGGCGATGGATGCTGTTGCGCCGATTCTTTGCGCCGGTATCACCGTTTACAAGGGGCTGAAGGAGTCCGGAGCGCGGCCTGGTCAGACGGTTGCCATTGTTGGGGCTGGTGGCGGTCTCGGTTCGTTGGCGCTGCAGTATGCTAAGGCTATGGGGCTGCGGGTTATTTCTATTGATGGAGGCGATGAGAAGCGCGCTATGTGTGAGAAGCTTGGCTCAGAGGTATGGTCTTTTTTTTGTTGGCTGGCATGCCTTGGGCTGGCTCTAAGGGGCGACGACTAATTATTATTCTAGGCTTTTGTCGACTTTACCAAGTCTCAGGACTTGGTTGAAGATGTGAAGGCTGCCACCCCGGAAGGTCTGGGTGCTCATGCTGTTCTTCTGCTCGCTGTCTCTGAGAAGCCTTTCCAGCAGGCTTGTGCATATGCTCGTCCACGGGGTGCCGTTGTTGCTATCGGTCTACCCGCCCATGCTTTCCTCAAAGCACCTGTCTTTGAAAGCGTTGTCCGGATGATCAACATCAAGGGCAGCTACGTTGGTAACCGTCAGGATGCGGTCGAAGCTATTGACTTCTTTGCTCGAGGGTTAATCAAAGCACCATTCAAGACTGTTCCTCTCGAGGATCTACCTAAGGTCTTTGAGCTCATGGGTAAGTGCTGACGATGACAAATTATTAAGATTTATATACTAATGCTATGCAGAGCAAGGCAAGATTGCCGGTCGATATGTGCTCGAAATGCCCGAGTAACTTACCAGCAACGAATGCTTTGAAATGGACATGAACTTTGTTCAATGATACATTCTCTCATTAGCAGATGCCTGAATCAATGACACCCCGGTTCCTTGCAGCGGAGACCATGAGAAATGAGATGCATTTTCTACAATGGAATACCAAATAGCCTTTCAGGATAGTTCATAATAGAAAAGAATCAGTATGCTTATCTACAGAGAGCGAATTTTCCAGCTGCCTATTCCTCTGACTCCACCTTAGCTGCTGCGATCTTACCCTCATCCTCCGGTCCCACCGTAGCCTGGGGACCAGTGAAAGTCTTCCTTGCATGGAGTACATAATAAAGGGCAGATCCTAGCCAGAGAGCCCCGTTTATAACAACAGTATAATTCATATTGCCCGCTATTCGAGTGGTCAGTAAACAAAGACTCCGAAAAAAACACCGAAAAGTAACTCACGAGTCGGATCTGGTCCTTCAGTCGGGAACATGCAGAGTATGATAGCAAACACCATATAGATGACTGCAACCCACGCAATCGGCTTGCTGAGGTATTTCCCAGTATAGAATTCTCCGGGCACAAAGCGGTCCTGTCCCCAAAGAAGACGTGCCAAGATGGGCGTCAGCCATGAAAGGTCATTAGCAGCAACAGCGAGTGAGAACAGCGCATTAGCAGCTGCGTTGTCGATGAGCGAAAGGAGACCGATCAAGACAGAAACAAAAACTACACCGCACATCATATTGACGGGTTGGTAGCGCATTAATTTATGCTGGCTGACTTGGCGGAAGAATGACGAGAAGGGTAGAGCCCCGTCACGAGAAAATGCCCAGCTTTGGCGTGAAGCGGCCAGGACCTATAACAACAGTTAATTGGAATTTCAAAACGAAGCGGCCTTGGTAATTAAAATAGAGCCACCTACAATGCTTAGTCCCATGAAGAACTGGACGGCTGCCACAACAGCCATAAATCCAAGGGCACCTTTCTTTCCCAGAGCATCGTAGTAGATCTACAAAAGAGGTCAGCACCCGCAAACCACAGAGAAATTGATAACAAAAAAAAAGAAGTGTACATACCTGAGCCATAGGCTGCCCAAACTTGGAATTCAAGATTGCATCAATATCCGTATCCATACTGGCAGCGATGACAGCCAAACACAAAAACCCAAGAACTCCACACAACCCAGACGAAGCAATAATACCCAACGGCACAGCCCTCGCGGCATGAGTCGCCTCCTCGCTCATATGCACACACGAATCAAACGCACCAATAGTCCAAATAGGCGACAACCACGCCAACATAAAAGCCCACCCAGATGACCAAGTCGTCAAATTCTCCACCTGACCAAAAACATACTCGCCCGAATTCACCGGTGGCGCATTCTCATGTTTACCAATCGGAAGTGCAATAACCGTCGCCACAACAAGCGCGATATTCAAAAAGATACAGGCAGATTGAATCTTCGGCATCACCCGTCCAAAGAACGTAGCGATGAATCCGTGCGCGCACACAGTCGCAACATAAGTTCCATAGATAACAGGTCGAGAAGCGGACCAATTGCCGTCGCGCGCGATAGAGATCATGGAGAGCAACATGTTGGCGAATCCGTAGTCGATTGAGCAGATGCCGCCGATCAGCCCGATAGTGTTACTGTATCCAACGACAAAACTGAGCGGGTTCTTCCATTTCTCGGCGGCGTAGTAGTGTGTCCAGAAATATAGACCGCCGGCTGTGGGCATGGCGGACGCCATGTCGGCCATTGCGAGACTGACGATGAAAATGAAACAACTTGCTACCAGCCAGCCCCAGACCATGCCGACGGGACCTGCGGGCATGGAGAAGGAGAGTGTTGATGCGATAGACGGGAGGAGACCCATAATGCTGAACGCGACGGCGAAGATTTGGACAGTAGAGTAGTGGCGGCGAAGTTCTTGTTTGTAACCCAGTGTTGCTATTCAGACAAATCTCACATTAGCACAATGACCCAATACTGGGAGCGAAAAGCAGCGAAGTTGCTATTGGCCTTAGCATGGGCATAATTACCCAGTAACTCTGTATCTCCAGCCTGAGCCGTAGTCTCGATAATAGCTCCATGCTCGACAGGCGTCGATGGCTTTTCGCCCATGGATTTCTTGATGTCCGCCATGATATTTTGACAGTCAGACCAATCTAGAACAACGTTCAAGAAAGCGACATGCGCAGATAATATACAAAGACGGCAAGGTGGCCGGGGAAGTGTAAGTAGAGTGAGAAAATTACAGGCAGAAACGAAACAAAAAGCACCTGCAGATTGCACAGCAGATGCATCGGGCTCGGAAGATAAAGCACAATCAATCCGAGGGGCGGAAGTACATGGCTATCGATATCGATCTCACTATCTACTCAAAAGCATGGAACAAGCCTCCAACATTCCGAAGCCTATCATTGCAATGCTTCGGGGCCAAGGAAAGTCACGCCATGTGCAGCAGGTACGAGGTACAAGCCTTGGCTAGGGATGCACGGGTATCTGTATGTCGAAGTAGCGGCAAAAATGTATTTGGGGCTCGTCATCGCATCCCCTCATCTAGATTGCAGTGCGGAATTGGAGCCATGGGGGTGATAGAGAAGGGTTAGGTTGTATGGTCTCTGGTACCAATGGAATGCGGAAGAAAGGAAGGTGGAGGCCGAAGCGGGGAAATACATGGAGGGTTTCAGCTGAGAGAGGAAATCTTGACTGGATTTGGGTTGGGGCTTGGTCGTTCCGCGATAGCTGTCAACGGCCAGAGATAGGCGTGGTCGATCCGGTTGGTGTGTGATAAGGGGGTGTTGGGGTTAATTGGAGTAAGGCCATTGCTTTTATCATAGGACATTGAAGGAATCTGAAATATTGCAAATCGCCCTTATCTTCAGTGATGTTGATTATTTGGAGGCCCTTAGTTGTTTACTTAGTAGTCAAGGTTATAAAAAAGTGGATTTGATTGAAGCTTACCCCAGAATCTCCATAAATGGGGCTGGCCCGTTCGCTACTATAGTACGTCCAGAGAAGTGCGGCCTCATATCCCTACTGACTAGTGCTAGTAGTATAATACTTGCATCAAAACCACTTCACCTCAATACCAAAATTTCACCTGGATATTCGTGACATGCACATGTGCTACTAGTACAAGAAGGAACCTTGAAAGACCCTTGGAAAGACACGTGAACCCAACCGAAACCTGATAATAGTACACGAGACCACCAGGGCCTAGAACGTTGAACGTGAACGACCACACCAATACGTGAGACAAGACAAACAAGCTAACATTAGACAAAGAAAGAAAAAAAAAGCGAAAGAGCGTTGGAGTTCCAATGTTACGGTAATGCAGACCCAAATGAGCAACAGGCTAAATATACATTTCATATTGAAGAAACATAATCATGCAGGAAGGAGTAGCCTTCTAAAAAGAGATAAAAGAGGAAAGGTATCATCAAATTAAACAGCGCCGGGTCCTTTATGGTTGGATTGATCAAGCAACAATTTCGGCTTGATATAGTCCTCATCAATCTGGCGGAACCACGCCGCATGATCACCGTTCGCACCACCCGAGAACAGATCTCGAAGAGCGTCACGAGCGGTGAGACCAGACTGCTGGTCCCGTCGGGCAGGAGAGGTGCTAGCAGAACCCTCAATGGGTAATGGTGTATGCGGTCCAGAAGGTGGGTTAGATGGAGATCGTCGCATACGAGAGGCTGCGGCCTTTGCGGCGGGTGGCAGGTCGTCATCAGAGACGCCTTCGAGATCCAGATCGAACTCGTCTGGGTGAGCCACTGGGGTCCCGCGAGATTTACCACTGGGCGGGAGACCGAACTCATCGTCACTGCCAGCATTACCGCTATTAAGGTTGAGTAGGGTTGCTGTTGACGAGCGATCGCGCCGCGCCTGGGTATCTTTGGCGCCGTAGGCGGCCGAGTACATTCGAGTGTGGCCGTGAGGGGGACTGGGGCGTCGGCTGTTGCCAGTCGAGTAACTACCTGATCGTTCGCCGAGCCCAGTGACTGTGGCCGCGCGCTGATGATTGGGAGTGACGCCATCCAGAGGGATAGTCGAGTCGCCCCGTCGCGGAGTATATCCAAAAGCAGTATCAGATCGCTTGTAGTAGGTGCCGCCGTGGGCGACTTCAATATCAAACTCATCATCGGAGTCAATCTCCTCGATAACGCCAGTTCGGATGCCCATAATTTCCAACATACGTGCTGTTGTTCCGCCGAAGATGATAACGGTCAACACAACCACCACCAATACGGTGGCTCGCAACGTCGGTGCGTTGGCACCAGAAAGACCTGCCGCTAGCGCAACTCCCACAGCACCACGGAGACCGGCCCAGAAGAGCATGGCTTGGTATGCGAAGGGCAGTTCATCTGCGACTTCGATACCCCGACGCCGAGCTCTATACCGGATAAACCAGTTGATTGCCTTGGAAAGTGGGAATACAGCAAGGTAGCGGGCAAGGCATATTCCAAACACTGCCACCATAATGAAAAGTGGATTGAATTGGAGGTTGGACTCGACAAACAAGTCCAGACCGAGGTAAATGAAAATGAAGTTCTCCGACAGCTGCGCCATTACCTGGAACAGATATTTGGTAGTCAGCTGTGTACGTCGGGACATGTTATAGTACGCGTAATGCTTCAAAGTGATCCCGCAAAATAGGAGTGACACAATTCCTATAGACCGTCACATTAGTACTCATTGTAATCCCCGAGTATCCAAAAAAGAAGAAAATGGAGTAACACATACCGGACAAGTGCACGCCATTCGAAAAGAAATAGCTAGCATAAGAGATAAGAATAATAAGGCAGCTTTCTATCTTCGGCATGCGGCGAACCAACGTATACTTGAGGCCCAGGGCAGTGGCGATACCAACAATGATACCGACCACCATGCTACCAAAGAATACAAGCAAGAAGAGACCAATGGCTTCGAAGAAGTTCAAAAAGCTCAACGAGCCAGCATCAGTCTCCGCGTATTTCTGTGCAGTCTCGAACAACACGATGGCGATAGCATCGTTGAGAATCGATTCTCCAAAAATGATGGTATAAAGCTTCGGTTCGACTTTGTAAAGGTTGAAAATAGCCAAAATGGTGACCGGATCCGTAGCGGAGAGTGTCGCACCAACAGAGATCGCCTCGACGAAAGAGATGTTCAGCCCGTCCAGCGGGATACGAGTCCAGAGATAGAGAACGAGACCAAGCACCATGGCGGAGATAAAGGTACCGGCGAACGCAAAGGTGAGGATGGTGCCAATATGGCGGAAGAAATTCGCCTGATGGAGCTCATATCCGGAGGCGAGGATAATGGGGGGTAGGAGGAGGTTAAAGAAGAACTGGTAGTCGAATGCGACGCTATCTTGGAGGGTCGATTGGGAGGTTAGGCGGATGATCAGTCCAACGAACATTCCTAGTAAGACATGAATTTCAGCGGCGAGTCCAATTGACAATCAAACAGGGTTCTCTCATTGTAGCATACCCGCAAAGATGGATAAAACTGTTTCGTGGACGGCTTGGATCTTCCTTTGCTGGAGGATGTAGCTTGTGAACAAGGCAAACATCAAGAGCATGATCATAATAAATAAGGCCCAGGAACTAGTGATCTCCTTCGATCCCGCCTCGGGGGCATCTGTAAAATCCGAAAACAGCATCGGTTAGATTCTGATCTCATCGCCGCAGCGCGCAGGAACACGTTATCGTTCGATGGAAAGAGAGAGGAGGGGAGGGGAGGGGAAAGCTCGCAGTACGCGTACCATCGGGGTCAGTGTCCTCCGACGCTCGCCCTATAAGATATGAAGCAATGTTAGCTGGTGATCCATGTAGATAAAATTCCGATCAAGACCGGTGACGGTAGACGTACGTAGCAGAGCGTGGAGGGTCTCGCCCATGAGCTGACTGGCCATCGCGACTTGATTAGGAACGTTCAAGAGCTAGCGCGGATGAGACCTGACAGTTAACTCCTGCGAGTTTGAGAAGCCAGGAACAGGCGCGCATAATCCACTGGTTGGGAGACGCAAAATAGATGTGTGAAGAGTCAGCGCAACAAGATACAAATAGGGTTAAAGGTGGCAGGTCGGCTTGAGGTTCTGAGTCGAGTTGCATTGGCCGAGCGGAGGGACCGATCGGGGCGTAAGCAGCGGGTATTTCAGTAACAAAACCCGATTACGGGCGGAGAGTCTGATCGCTTGGCAAGATGTAATGAAGTATAGTACGATACGTGAAATCACAAAACACAATATATAACACGTGGGCCTCTTCAAGAATGCCGCGCAACACGCCAAGACAAGCGGGCTGCACAGAAGAACACTGTGGTTTTAAAATATTGATGCAGAACTAAAAGTTACTCAGATCATTTGAATCAAGGGAAAATCCGAGATCAGGAGGCTAGGATTATACATGCAAAATAGCTTGCTGCAGATATATCATATCCCTCGTCTTCGTTCTCCTCCCCCTGCATTCAAGCTTTGGTCGATGATGACCGCATAGTTATCTTCCCCCCTGACCCACACCTCCGTGTGTACACTACGTACTACATCATTGGCATGCCCTGCAGGGCTAGATGAGGATCAACATCGCTTGAAACCCCCAATTAACCAGTTATCCTAACCTTCCCAAATCACCGTGTACCCTCAGCTAATCGCTTAGTTAACAATGCCGCTACCAACGCAGCACATCCGCCAAACCGCAACACCCAGCCAACACTATCATCCCAGGGCTCACCGCGCGGTTTCTGAGCAGCCTTAAATATAGCACTGCAGATAAGGCTGGAAAATATCTGGGGGAATGAAATGGCCACATTATGGAGGCCCAGAACAATGCCAGCTTGGATCAAGTTGTCTGAATCAGCATCAGCCGATGCTTTAGAGCGGCCCTCCTCGAGATCGTCAGCACTGGCATTGTGGTCATCCTGATGATCATCTTCGTCCTCAACGGAGACCGGTGCATAGGAGTTGGATGTTGTATTGGGCACCGGAGCAAAAACCGGATGTCCGTCGGTGCTGGCTGCGTTCCGGCGGCGCAGCCGTCGTTCAAGATCGATACGGGAAACCTCTGCTGAGATGAGGGCAAACGGGGCCCAGAGAGTCACTGCCCATGAAACTCCAATGAAACCAATGGCAATGGAGCCGGCCTGATAGGATGAGATGAAAAGTGTACTAAATGTGCATATCGCAAATAAAATGTGCGATAGAAGCCACGTGCGTCGAAGAGTCAGACCAGGGATCTGCAAGCGCGTGAGCCAGGTTGGTTTTTCTGCGTCCATTTTCTTGCCCGATGGTGTATCCAAAAGTGGCTCCGATGCCATTCCAGTCGGCATCGCAGAGATCGATATTCTCCGAGAGCGCTCATCTTCGTCATCAAGGGAAACATCTCGGTCGTCTTGCTGTGCGATGACTTCGACAGCGGGTTGGTAGGTGGGAACAACAAATATCGGAAGGACGGTGTTTGCGGTGAAAGATATGACAGCATAAATGAGCAAAGCAAATGTTCCGATGCGTGTGGCATCTTCCCATGCCTTGTCAACCTGATCCGCGGGGAGATGAGGGTTTTCTTCGAATATCGGATTCACATAGAGCTGCCCGATGTAGGTGGTAGCGTAGAATAGGAAGGGGAACCAGCCCACCCAAGCCGCGATCTGGACTTCACATACTCGCGCAATCTGCGGGGGTAGAGTGCGTATAGATTTGAATATCTGTTTGAAGAAAGCGACGACTCCAAGTCCGCCTGGGGGTGGCGGACCGTCAAGTCGGGGATCTCGCTCTTTAATATAGAAACAACTGGCCGCCAACGTCACGCCAAGTGCGATGGAAGCGAATACACAAAGCACCTTAAATTGGGTGTTACCGAAGAATGGAAAATATTTCGGTAGATGCATGTAGCCGAAAATGTAGCCGATGATATTGCCCACTCCCGTCCACCGACTTGCCCATGCATTTGCCAGTTCCTGCTGATGGGTGGGACAGTTGTCGAGAATGAAAGCTCTAATACCAGCTTGCACTGTTTTATTGCGTATTAGCTTAACAAATCAGGGGGGGAAACAAGATTCTGTTCCTACCTGTGTTGATCGCAAAGTCGAGGCAGAACATCATAATCGTCGCAACAATCATGATTGTCATCTTAGTCCCACTCGAGCTCGAGTCAACGCCGAACACTGACAGAAGCCCACCAACAATATCCTTGACCCATGCAAGCAAGAGTAAAGATACGATAGTTGCTGCACCACCAGCCACCATGAATGGTTTCCTCTTGCCCCATGGTATTCGGCAATTATCGCTTCGAATGCCGATATAAGGCTGGACTATTGTGCCAGTCAAAGGCCCAGCGATCCAAACGCAAGCAAGCAGGGCCTTGCTCATGCCCAAAGAAAGAAGAAATGGCTATTGTCGAGAAGAGTAAAATTAGCACTCTGCGTGGGCAAGCCTGGACACTGAGCCACCATATACAGGGAATGGTAAACTCAGGTCAACTATCATGGTGACACGTACCGATCCATTGGACAGTTCCACAGACCAGACTACCTGAAGACTGCAAACGAGGGTACCATCAGTAATGATCCATCATTTAAATAGCGATCTAGACTATCATCCCATAGACCCGGACAGGAGCAGCTTACCCCCCAATAGAGACGGTGAGCAGAAACAGATACCAGCTACTCTTCGACTCATCTCGAGCTGACGAGTCCGCGGGAGTAGAATGAAGCATAGCTTCACCCTCAGCCCCAGCCTCCTGCTGCCCAGGCATCAGGGGCGACCTTTCGTGGGGAACTGAAAATGTGTTGGTTTCCCCCATGGGGTAGTACAGTTGAGATGCGATAAGAGGGGAGACCCACAGCGATTGTCAGAAATTCAACCGGGACAGAGGGTAGATCACGCGGCGTTTTGGTTCGACGCTAGAATGTATAATTTGTTCGAGGGAAACAATCGGGCCGCAACGAATGTGGGCAAGACTGGAGACCGGGGTTAGGTTGATTCCAACAAATCATCAGTCGGGGATGCAATGAGGCGTTCAGTCATGGGGCCCACACTCGGGAAGCCGGGATTGTCTTCTTTATAGAATACACCAGTAAGAAGGTACATTAACGATGCTGCGATGTCCCTCTGACCTGCACAATTATGGACAGGTGTACATAAATGGATGATACAGCTGAATCGATGATGGGTCTTAGGGATCGACGTCAGCATGCACGTGATGATCGTGTCCCGATCGGGATGGGTTTTAGATTTAAGACTGAACCTATGGTTGGACTCAGGTACCAATGACTAACTTGAAGTAAACAATGCTACTATCGTGGATCAATAACTATGTTTTTAATGTACTTAATTTGATATTCAAGTCAATTCGTTAAAGTTCTATAGTTTAACCATGCCGCATGAGCAGCTTCCGATCCCTGCCCTTCAAGAAAATATTCCCAATGTTCCAAAAGATAAAAAAAGAATAAGCGCAAAGCAAATGACCCCCGACCCTTGACATTGTACGCCACACGTGCCAGTACCCGCCAGGCATGTTCGTTGTCCACGGGCGTCGGAGTAAGCGGCGAAACGATAATACAAGGTTCTTCCTTCAACGAAATCGAACCGTAGATCCTAACAGATAAATAACAAAGAAATAGTAAAGAAAAATGTAGGAGATACCATGGAGGATGTGCAAATATAACAAAGTTTGGACAAGAGAGACGTCGTGGTGCGAAAGAAAAGCGGATGTGATACCATTAGACACCGGGACTAAGGTCGCTTACAGTGCGCCTGTAGATCCCCAAAAAAAGAACGAGGCCACGCCAAATATAAACTCAAATTTGCAGAGATTTTACATTTGCTGCTGCAGAAGCTGAGGAGCAATCATGTGGGCGCCAACCATGCTGGGATGGTGAACAGCGGAAGGCATGCTCATAGGTGCAGCCATGGGTGCCATGGCGGGCATGTTAACCATGTGGGACGCATGAATGGGCTCCGGCACTGGTGGAGGGGAGTCTTCACCGGCGAAGTCGGAATCGTTCACATCGTTCTCCAGGTCCTCTTCGGATACAAGAGGTTGACCATCTTGTTGGGCCTCATGGATTCGACGATGCCTATTATAATATTAGAGTCGTTCATAAGGCAGCTGGTAGGGGAGAAGAAAGGGAACTTACTGGGCAAGGTTGTCGGAACGCGAGAAAGCTTTGCTGCAGTATGGACAGGGGTAGGGACGTTCTTGTGTGTGAGTTCTCACGTGCCTAGGCGCCCAGGTTAGTCGGCGGCTAAAACCATCACAAGGCATTGTGCATTGTGCAGATCGGCGCCCCACATTGGACGCCGGAGTTTCAAAAATAGAATAAAGCTTACCTTTTGAGATGCTCTAGACGCTTGAATAGTCTGCCACATGACGGAATCGGGCAAGAATGCGATTTTTGTGGGTAGGGACCCAGTTCCATCATTGTTGCACTGCGGGCCCGACGGGCAGGACCAGGGCCCGAGCGGTCCGAACGGCTGGTACTATTTTGAACAGTCGTTTCAATAGCGGCGCTGGTGGGTAGCGCCGCCAAGTCGTCATGCGGGTTTGACAAAGGTACCGATTGTGGCTCAACGCTACCATCAAGATGCTGTAGTGGGGTACCGTGACGCGAGATTTCATGCAGCAAATCCTTCTGAGGAAGCATGGCACTCGGGTATGTACGTGTCAGGTCATGTGCCGATTCGTCAACTTCAAGACCTGGAGCCACAGAGCTAGACACTGAGCGCCGAAGATCACTGGGCCTGTGGGCTGCGTAAGTGGTTGAGTGCGAAATAGATTGAGTGGATGGGATGCCATTCATGACGCCAGGAGCTCCCTGTGGGCCTGGAGTGATAGATGGTCGTCGCCGTCGCTGCTTGTAAGTTGGCGATCCCTCAATCACGGAGTAAGGGTTTGACGAGTAGGGCCGGGGCGCTGATTGGTAATGACCAGCAAAGTTGGAAGGCGGAAGCTGCATCATGGGGTTGTACTGCGTCGCATGAGAGAGATCCGGAATCGCGGTGTAAAGGCCTGTATCTTCATTGGCGATGTATGCGGGCTCCGCACCGAGTCCGACCGAGTGTTGAGGTGGGGTGACTGGCTCAAAGGACAGGCCACGGTTGCTGTAGTCCTCGTATTGGGAGGACACAAAGGACGGGGCGGGGGAGTACTCGTAGAAGGTCGGCATAGAGGAGTGGCGCTGATGGATGCGGGCGACTGGCATTCCATTGCGATCGTACTGAACGGTTCCGTAGTCCTGCTCTCGTTTAATAATGCTCTGGACCAGGGTGTTCGACAGGGGCATCGGTTGGTTGCTGTACATCGGATGGGTCGACTCGTCCTGGAGAAGAGGGATCGCTGGGGGAGCCATCTGGGGAGGAGGCATTGCGTCAACGGTCCGAACCACGGGGGAGTTGGGCTGGCCATATGTCGTACTTGCGTGGGCACTTGCGTGGGCAGCAAAAGAGGACGAGTTTGCTTGTTGTGCTTTCGTCAATTGCTCGTAAAGTGACTGAGAAGAATCGAATTCGAAGGACTTGGCCGGTTCGCTGACGGCGACAGTGGTCGCTTCCTGATTCATCTTCTCACGTTTCAAATCACGCTCCAGCGCATCCAAAAACAACCGGTCGTGTGGCACGCTGTACCAGTAGAAAACCTTCTGCTTCTTCTGCGTTCGAATGCAATTGTTCTTGTACAAAAAGTCTAGGAAAGCGCTCTTCGGCTCCTCCAAAGTCGCGTCGGTACCGGCCTTGAGGTTTCGGAGATCGGAGAAAATGCCCTCTTCAAACTTCTTTGCGTTCTTCACCGGGCGACCGAACGCCTGGAATCGGAATGCGAGGCATCGGACGATATCTGTACCGGAAATGTGGAAAAGGTTGCTCCTGCGAAGGGGAAAAAAGAGACCTATCAGTTCTGCCTGGCCTAACTCACTTGTCATCCGTAGTACTCACCATAGGATGCAAGAAACGTAGTCACCGGTCGGAAGTAGGAAGCGACGGATCAGCTGGTCGGGTTGCCAGTCAACAGGCGCCGACAAAAGGAAGTATTTCACTAGTTTTCGTCAACATGATTTGTTTTCGCGTGAGGGGTAATTTTTGCGACGGCATACGGTTGTCCACTTGCTGCAGGGCGACTTGCGCATCATGAGGAAGGTTGTGTTGCGCTTCTGTTGAGAGCATGAAGGTCTCTGGTTTCTGTGGCGGTGCCATAGGGGGGGCATGCTGGGGATACATTTTTGTTGTTCTTCACACGCTCTATGTACGGAGCCGTCAGCGCCGACCGGGGAAATGGGACGAGATAGATAAGCGCCACGGGGCAACAAAGGGTATCTGATCCGACCCCTCAAGTGAGGCCCTTGTTTGACACCCCTCTGGAACCATGTGCCACATCAAAACAACTTTGTTTGAATTATATCAACAACATACCTGGAGGAAGATGAGTCTATCACCGTCTGATCAGAGGCGCGGATCTAAGATCTAGATTTCGGAAATATCGAAGAGATCAACTATCGTTGATTTGCAGGGGTTTGAGGGGGTGACGCGAGACGATGTGCGATGAAGACGCAAGTATCGAATCAGATCGAAAGCTTTTTTTAGATTTGAGGAACCGGCCTCAAGGGAACAAAGAGAAAGACAGAAAGGACAGAGAAAGGAAACTGGGCCAGCCGGTTTAGAGTCTCTGAAGGGGGAGAGGAATTTCTCGCACAGCGGGAATAGAAACGAAAGTGAGAGAGGAAGGAAGTTGCGTGATGAGAGGAAGAAGTAGGTTAAAGGGAGAGAAGGAGTACAAACGTCAGTTTTCTTGGGTACTAATAATAATAGGGAAGCGCCAGGACCCTGCGATAGGAATGACCAGTCAGACTTCGAACGGAATTACATAAATAACATCAATTATGGGTCAGGTAGAGTTGTCATTTATGACATAACAGGTATTCACACGGTTCCTGGATTCCTTGCTTATGATTGGACGAATGCAGATCTCCACTCTCACTTGCTGCACCAAGTGGGAAAAAGAGGGAAAAGAGGGAAAAAAAGATGGGGCCAGAAATGTGGTTGAATTTTTTTAGTAAAATAGCGAAAAATAGAATAAAAAATATTAATATTAATATTAATATTAAAATATAAAAACACTAAAAAACAAGAAAAGATGCCTTCTTTTTTGGTTCCCCCCTCATTTCACATCTCTTCATGCAGTTGAACAGAGTTCCAAGGTTCCTTGCAGTACTCTTTCTGCAGGTCGATTTTGATGCATCACCAAATGAGGAGGGGGTGATCAGACTGCAGATTATCTGTGAAGAGATCACTTTCTTCTTTCCGTAAATTACTTTGGAATGCATAGAATGTGTACACATTGGTTTCTAATCCGTACATTCTATATACAATTTACCTCGCGGAGGAATCAGCTTGAGTTCCGGTGGAGTATAGGTACGGAGTATACGGAGTACAGTTAACAAAACGGAGTACATCACATAGAATTTACCGTTACTTTCGTACAGTATACACACAAATACATAGTACCAACCCCCATAGCTGATGTTATATACTCCATTATTTCTCAAAAATAAACCCAAAAAAGTGACGATGATGATAATAATCATAAAATCGAGAATTAATTAACAGATTCCCAAAAAGCCAAGGGAAAAAAAAACAACTAGAAAAAAAACTAGAAAAACTAAAGCCCCACCAAAGGCCTCGCTCGCTCATCAAACTGGCGCTGGGGTACCTGAAGCACCCGCCCTTGGATGTTTCAGAATCCCCGGCGCTTACATGCATTGAAACGGGTTCTCCCTCGTCCCACTTCTATACTATCCTTCTCTCATCCTAGTCCCAGGAATTTCTCCGACTAAGATAAAAAATGCCCGTGCTTGGGTCAACAAAGCACGGTTGTGGCTGGAGCTGGAGCTGACATGGACTTTTGATTTGTCTCCTCTCTCTCCGTGTGATTCCGGCAGGACCAAACCTCCCATCCCGAGTCGGTATAACCCAAGTGGATTGGTCCATCCGCTATGTTCTATACCTGGCAAGGTCTATACAAGCCCCCTGGTTGGTCCGAAGTTCTTCCGCGTAAAGTGCTTCTGGTACCTGACTTGGCATTTGGCTTTTTCCCTTCAAGCCCCCCCTATTTCCTGGAGTGCATGCAGTAGGGGGTTATGGCTTCGGGACTTGTCGCTTTCCCAATACTGTTCTGTATCCATCAGCCGATTGGTTCCATCACCACCTTTGTGACTTGTTAATGTCACTTATGAAGATCAGCATTTTAAAGAATTCCAGACCACTCCCCGACCGTCAAAACCCCTCTCTTCCCATGGTTGATGAGCAGCATAACCAGTGAAAGGCAAAAAGCTTGGCACTGTCAACTGGAATTGGAGATTAATAAACCGCGCCAAGGTCCAGACTCACAGAACACCCACTGTGCCCCATAGCTCTCGGCGAAAAATTCTTGCGATATCAAATCTGATCCGCTCAGGTCACGGGGCTTCTCCCCCAACAATTCAATGAGAAATCTAATCAAATTTGTGCGTAGAACAGATTCCTGCCAAAATGGATCGATGGGATTTTCATACAGCCAAGCTGGTGAATACATTATTTTTGGGTATAAAATCGTGTTTCATCATTGATCAAGATTTACCGGGTAGCTTCCGTGCTTGCCCTCATTCACTATCTTTTGCTTTTCTTTAGCGTCGTCATGGATGCAAATTGAATATAGAGTAAGAAAAGGAGAATAAACAAAAAGAAAGAAGAAAAAAAAACTCTCCGAATGTCTTACTCTTTGTCAAAAAGCCTTCGGCTCGACTGTCCCTGACCCGCACGGCATTGTCCCATCTAGGGATTAGGGGTAGAAGGGGGGGTCACGAGTACATAGAGTTGAAACGACGGGCATGAGTCTATCGCAAGAAGTTGCCATTCGGATAAGAAAGATTCAAGTGCCCCTGGACGCACGAGTAAGGTGGGTGACCCGCACGGAGCATTAAATGATTCTTGCTCGTTTGATCGTCCAATCTGAAACGATCTAGAAATTCTAGTCTAGATCCTCGTCGAGGACGTGGGGCCTTCTGGGCTGTTAGTGTCAATATTTTCGTGGCTGGAAGACCACTTGCAATCAATGCAGCAACCCCGAAAGGGAAAGTCGATATTGAAGTGGACTGTAGTAATGGAGTAACAGTCTGGCCATTGCCATCCCTGCTGAAAAATGCCCTGAGAATCCCTGAGAATCCCTGTTCAATTGATGATCTTCTCCTCTCTTGCAAAATACAATCCACTCAGCGGGAAGTCTGCTGTAACAGTATCATTTCAAGGTGATAGGAGTTGGCTATGTATTTACTTCGCGTGTCATGATAGTATAATGGAGTCGGAACCTCGGGATCTTCCAGATCGACAACGGGGGAGTTTCTATGGAAAACTCCTGTTCATGAGCATAAGACGCCATTCGCACATGTTGGCCGTTAAGGTGCAGGTCTTTCCACAAAATGTGGCGCGGATAGTTCGGGCTAGTGGACACAACGCCTGTTCTAAACCTCATTCTGGAAAACGTCCGATCTACTACTCCTGGATTCCCACCTTTTCCTCTAGTGCCAAAGTATATTACGCCCTACAGAATGGAATGTTCCACAGTTTCGCTAACCCTGTCATTCAACCCGACAATACATGTACCTTTCGTTTTGAGTCTTTTGACCCGTGGGGCCCTCGACTCTATGGAGTCGATCTTGAGTTCAATCCATTGTTATTTCTTCAGGCGTCCATTCTCCGACATGGTACACTAATGCAGCAGCGTGTCTCAGATTTATCCCCTCTAGAAAACTCAACCTCGAAAGATCTTTTCCGAGCCTCATTCGTCCTTCTGGTATCAATCGGCTCTTTTACTCGAATTGAAACTGATAGGAGAACCCCTGACATCACAGGAGGCTAGTCTTCACATGCCTTGAACGACCGATTTTGGATGGCCGGTGGAACTCACTGATTTGGAATAAACGATTTCCATCCTGCGAACAATACAGGAGTAGAGTTCAATCGTGCGGCATTTCTCTTTATTTTTGGCTCTTGCACATGGCCAGACAAGATTATGTACAATTCCGAAACGAGGAACTCAAACCGAATCTATGCTTTTCCTCCGCTTTTCCAACATCGCCTCTTTCATGAACGGACTCCGAGCTCGGATCCCCTTGCCGTAAACCACAAACAGGATCGGAGCAAGAGACAGAGCGAGTGAGATGAATGCCAATAGGGTACTAGCCCACCGGAATCCCAGATGTGAGTACATGCTCATTGCAGCCAGCGGTAGGAAGGCAGAGAACATGTTCTCACCCGTGACAATGATTCCCACTGCACTTCCGGCGTATTTGGCATAAGAATCAACGACGTAGTCTGAAATTCCCGTAACCACAATGACGCTACCGGCTCCAACCATAGCGAGACCAACAGCCGGAGCAATCCACGGAAGAAAAGGATAAGAGGTCCAGGCATAAACAAACATTCCACCAGAAAGGCCAACAATGCCGGAAACAATAGCAAGGTATAACCGTGCCTCGGGAATAGGCGTGCCGGGCACCTCGTTGTTTCTGGATGCAGAGTTGAAATAAAGTCTCCCGGAGTACAGTGTCCCTACCCAACCAACACACTCTCCAATAACAATGGCACCTTGCACATATCCCGCTTGCGAGGGAGTCCATCCATAAAGCCCAGAAAACACCTGCTCAACTGACTGCGTGAACAGATAAAGCGTGCCCACCGTGAAGGCTGACCACATGCCCGAGAAGAAGACGACGGATTCCGTGAAATACATGATCAGCGGCCGTGTCGCACTCCTCGCCACTATCCTCAGCATGGAAGTGCCTGCACTATCAATTTCATGCTGCGTGTATGCCTCCCGACCTTCCTTCCGCAGGGCCTTCGCGCGCTGGCCCAAAATTGCGATGCCTCGACATTCCTTGAACATGAAGAAGTATACCGGGAACAAGACCCCATACCAGATCAATTGGAGGTACCCAATCCACCTCCAGGAAAGGAATTGGTAGATCGGGGCTCCGATGACCGGACCGATGCTGGCACCGACGAGGTATGTCACGATGTACAGACTGACGGGGATATTTCGTGATCTCTCCGTGTCCCAGAGGTTTCCGATGACCGTTGCAGATGTGTTCGCCAGGATAGCAACACAGCCACCGGCGAAGAACCTCGTCACGACCAAGGTGGCAAAGTTCTGTGCCACAGCTTGCGGGATAACGAAGCAGATGAACATTGCCCATGTGGATAGGAATACCCATCTTACGCCGAAATCTTCCATAAGAGGGAGGACAAGAAGCGAAAAGCATCCGCCGCCAACGGCCCAGGATGTCACGGGCCAGTATGAGTTGGGGAAGGAAGCGTCTGAGATGCCGAATTCCTCATTGATGGCCACATGGGCAACCGTGATGATCGTACCGTTCATCATGGTGATGAAGGTGGTGAAGCTCGCTAAGTATGTGAGCGTCCACTTCTGTCGAAGAGACCAGTTATACGGGTTCCCAGGATCTTCGGGGCTATCCCAGGTCACCACCTCGATGTTACTGGCAGGCTCATTATGATCTAAAGCCCAGGTGTTAGTTCCGAAAATTGTATACCTTCCGGACCGAAAAAAAAGAAGAAAAAGGACGTTGCAAAATACCTATTGTCTGATCAACCTCGCCAGATACATCTCCACGAGTAAAGACCATATCTACCGGACAAGGTATGGGATAACTCCTCAATACCTTGCCTGCAAGGGTAGCTTACCCCTGGTGCTTCAATATCCCGGCGTTCTGTTTATTCGCCACGAGGGTCTGCCCAGTGGATCGGAGGCTCGGAGATGACTTCACTTTCCCGTTCCGAGCAACAATGACTTCACCGAGGTATAAAAGCAAGACTGAAAAAAAAGACGCTTCACGAGAACTGATCCAACATGGATATAACGGAATCAGCAGTTAAAGTATAAAAAGCCCAACAACACGAGGCGAACGAAATTTTTCCCCCATCCTCGATCAGCTGAATAGCGTTGTTTCTTGGATGCGAATCCACCCTCTCCAGACAATAACCATATCGGGACTAGTGGGTTCTGTAAAAGGAAATGGTCTGGATTCCCCAACTTTGGTTCGTCAGTTACTTAATTACTTAATCCCAGTTCTTAAGTAGATTCTCATTAGATCATTCCATTTGCTAACATTGCAATTATTATGTACCCCGCAAGTCGGCTTCGGCCTACTCCATTGATATTTCGACCAATAAGCGCAAATATTGCACTTGAGGGTTTTCGGAGTGCATGAAGCATCGGTTATTAGTAACAGGAATTTGACTCACTGGACTTCTTTGACGAAATTCGTGCTGGCTTATTGATCTAGACTTTATTGTCGTGTTGCTCAAGTGCTGATTCCCCGTTCGGCTTCCTTGCCGAGTGCCCAGAAGGTCCCTAGGTGCACACGGACATCTGGAAATGTAACTTGTGCTAAAATAGGAAAACTAATCCCGGATGATTCTAATTTCCATATGTAATTTCTACCATGGAGTTCAATTGATATTGAATGTTCACCGCTGTTCTTACAGACATATATATACATATGTATCCACCTGCATGTGGGCAGTTCGAGTTCAACATTGAACATGTACATACATGTACACACCAGGTCAACTAGTGAACATCCAATGTTCAAATGTTACAACCTTTCAACCAGTCATGGGTTCAAACATTGAAATTAGATTTAAACCATTTGAAGGAAAACTGCCATGCTCCTGGACCAGATTTGCAGGGATATTGATGTATCTTTTGTCAAATCAAGCTGCACATGTGCAGACCAAGACCCAGGATACATTCATGGCCAGTAATGGATTTTGAGCTTAGATATTATTCATAGGACAGATGAGGTCATTTGTTCTCAATAGAACCAATAAATTTAAAAACGGACCAATCCTGGTGGATAAATCGCGTAAAGCACTAGTATAATGCATACACGTAAGCTGGTTATTGTCTATTGAGAAATATAATTGACAAGAGCAGATTTAAATTTCTGTATTATGCATGCTAGTCTAATAGATATTCTATTTGCAATTTTGTGCGAGTACATACCTTTTCTGATACTTAATATCGAGATCTGGGTTTCACTTTCAAGGCTTGGATGCATATGAGCGTGAAGATTAAAATAAAGGAAGAATTGAGTAAATGTTGTGTAGCTATCGTTTTAAGTGTAGATCGATCACAGTAATTGAAATTGAAAATTAATTCCTGTCATTTACTTCTTGGAGAGAAAATTGGCCACTTGGGTACTGATGGCAAATTACATGTGCACTGCGAACAAGGGTACGGCGTAGACAGGAGTTGGAAGAGAAGTTGTATATCCGCAGCCTTGGAGATCAATCCGAGTTTAACCTGGATTAGATCAGGTAGTTTGAACATTTAAAGCACCCGCTGAATTGAAAACGTCACACCCTACTAAAAAAAATAGTCGGTAGCCACTGAGAGACACCCCTGACAGCCTTCAGTAGTCTTTATATCATAGGTCGCCACTTCCCACCCGGATGTTCCACTAACCTTCTCCCCCCGCACTACGCGACCTTGGTATTAAATATCTGACATCTCTACTTTAATTCTTCTCCCTTCAATCATTCCGAGATACATCAAATCATATACCACCGGAATTCAAATCATCTTGACTCCCAAACTCAAAATTCTCTGAAATCGCTTCAAAATGGTCACCTCGTCCATCGACGCCAACCCTCTTGACCCCAACACCATGTATACGAGCACTCCCAAGGCTCCCAAAGCCGATGACCTTGATATAATCATAGACCGAAATGTTGCACCGTATGTGCTTCACATACTTATACCGAACTCACTATTCTAATATTTGAACAGATCCCCCCGAGCGACATGTGCGGAGCTTGCTCACCAACATGCCCTTGAAGATCTCCACGATGTGACAGAGCATACCTCACACCAACATGAGACGCTAAGTAACAGTATGGGCTCACTTCATCCTTTTTTTCTCCCGTCGTCCATAAGTACCAACGATATACCTCCCCCAGAAGAGTAATCTAATTTGGATGATAGATATGAGCTCTTCCCGCCGCTCTTCGGATCAAGGTGCTCAGTACCATGAGCCTCGCAAGCCTGAGGAGTGATGAAAACGTTCGTGCAGAGGAAAATATGCTTATTCAATGGGAATAACCGCGAGATTTTATGAGGCTGGGATATGTGATGCAGCTTTTGAATTGTACTTTATTACTGTATAATAACTGTACTAGTATAATATGAAACTTTGTATTCGAATTCTGTTCTACCCGCATTTTTGGTGATGTCATGGTGATGGCCGCCCCGCATTAGGGATGTGATATATTGACCTGCCTGGATAGTAAGGCACAAAAATACATATTAATTACTTATCAACACTTGATGAGTGAAGGAGTTGTAACGGAGACAAGGACTATCAGTAGGGAGAGCAAACAAGCAAACATTCAACAATGGTATAGAAGAGGAAGGAGTACGTAGTAATTGCCGTTACTGTTTGTCCTTTCCATGAAAATTGGGTACTAGTAGGAATCTGTAATCCTGGCTAGTTTCTTTCCTTTCCCGCTCAATAGCCTTTTGGCACCTAAGGAGTCCAGGTCAGTCGCTGTTCGTCGTCGAATTTGTCCGCTATCTGACGATATTTTTGCAGGTGCACGAAGCGAGAGGAGACGGCCTGGTGGCTTGGAAGTGATCTAAACAAGAAAGATCCTTGCTGTCAGAGCAGTCCCGATCAGGAGATGCGATCTGAAAGGAACGAAGTGAATTGAAAAGAAAAAAGGGAAACACTGAGACGAAGTGAGGGAACGCTAGAAGGCCCTCAGACTTCGAAGAACAATTACTACGGTCACCAGCGTGGTGACACTTACGATCACTCAAGTGTCAACAACCGTCTATACTCTTGTGCCTTCGGCCGTTTCGACTACGCATATACCATCCAGCGACAGGGTCAACGGCTTGCCTGGGAAAACATGCAGACTCATAATATTGCCCTTTACGCCTTTACCTATCTTATTTTCGGGATGCACGATGATTGCACTGTACGTGCTGTGGAGGTGGATCAGAGCAAGCTGTCCGAAGAGGCAATGATCACTGAACAGAAAGTTGAGGACTGTCGCTTTGGTGAAAGCCTTTTCCAGGCTTGATGAAGATCAAAGAGCTGCATTCTGGGCTGGTTACTGGCTTGCGGATATCCAGTGCCTAGAGGGTCAAGCCAGTGGCGGAAAAATTCTTCCGGGATGTTACTAAAGCAGCCATCTACAGCACATCGCTTCTATCCTGTGAGTTTCCCTGTGTCCTGGACCCTGGTGGGTCGTGAGGAAATACCATTTGCTAATCTGCTATTCTTTACTTGTTATAGGATGTAGCACACATCTTTCCATGTGCAAGGAAGCAGTACCAAGCCACTGACTTCGATATTCATACCGCATACAACAGTGCGGCTCCGCATGCGCCGACGATCACGCTTACTTTGGTCCGGCTGAATGATGCTCAAGTTTTATGGGCTTACTGTATGCTGAACGCAGTTGAGCGCTATAACCTGACGTTATTTCGTTGAGCGTGTTTCCTTGCTTTTGGCTATTTATTTGATTGAGGGCAGTGGCGATTTCAAGGAGGGGGGCCGATTTTACCACACCATATATTTAACTAGTTAGGGGTAAGATGACCAAGGTCATCTTTTGAACTCACGGTGTCACATCATGATGTCGGGGGCCACTTCATCCTTAGATGAATCTGGAGAGTACCCCTCTAGCCCTTTACAAGCAAAGAGCATCCGAAAGAAGAAAATGAACAAACCCTTTGTGATTGACACGATCATCACATTCACCGTGTACTACTACGATCGTCTGACAAAGAGCCCACAAAAGATAGTGGCGCTTACCACCAGACGGTGTAAACCTGGCAAGAACACCATGAAATGTCTGCAAAGGATAACATGGATAGCGTGTATGTGGAACTTGATTTAATGTCATTGTTCATATTCTTTTCGGTTTTCTTTTTGATCTTTTTTTTATTCATGGATATACTAGTAGTTTATTATTTTACAATACATTGGGTGCATACCTAGTATCACTTCGCTTTATCCCTTCAACTTCGAATCATAGATCTTCTGACCAAGATACCAAGTCTGGCACACCTTTGCCTCGAGAAGTGTTTCTGGGTTCCACTGCATATCAACAACAAGGAAATCCGCCTTCAATCCCTGCTTCAAGCTCCCAGTCCAAGAGTCCGCAAAGCGCGCATATGCCGCACCAGTCGTAGCAGCGGTAGCCGCCTCAGCCAAGCTGATACCAAAGTGTGCATTGACCGTGTCAGTCGACTCTGGCTCAAGAGCCGAGCGTCTTGTAGTGGCATTATAGAGATTGGGAAAGGGCAAGTGTCGAGCAGTAGGTGCATCAGTTCCAATGGCAATAGGGGCGCCTCCATCCAGGAAATCCTTGTAGGCAAACGCCCGCTTGCACCGGTGTGGACCGACAAGACTGGGCCAGGCCTTGAAAAGAGCTGGATCGGAGTGAACTGGTTGGATGGATGCGGTGATTCCCAATTGACCGAGTCGCTTTGCGTCCTCGGACGTGCTTAGCTCGAGATGTTCGATTCTGTGTCGTCGACCGGGAGTACCGACTTCTGATAAGACGTTAAGTGCTTGGTGGATTGCCTTGTCGCCAATTGCATGGATGGCACATTGGAGACCGGCGTGGTCGGCACGCTCAACAACCCCCGTCAACATGTCGGCCGGCCAGATTGGCTCCACTGGATCTGATTTGCCTGTATATGGCTGGAGAAGGGCAGCAGTGCATCCGTCCACCACGCCGTCACAGATAATCTTTATTCCGAGAACGGTGAAGCTAGGATCGGGGAATTGCTTGTGCAGTTCAATCGCTCTATCCACGTAGCTGAGATTGGCTTGCTGATCGGCGGAAAATGGCACAAGCCAGTGGGCGCCAATGTGGAAAGGGATTGATTTATCGCGTCGATATTCTTGTAGAATATCCCATGTAGCCTCATCCATTGCCATATCGACGATACCCGTGTATCCAGCCGCGGTGTATGTTGAAATGGCCACCTCCAACGCACTCAAGTTATCTTCTTTGGAGTAGAGGCTTTCTAAATGTGGCCAGGCAAGATTCATCAAAGCCGACTCATCCAGTAAGCCTGTAGCTCGGCCATTGTCATCTCGATGAATAGTACCACCCGGAAGATCGGGAGCAGTATGGGCCTTCATTTCCTCAAGCGCGGGAGAATTACACCAGATAGAATGGAGGTCAAAAGCATCGATATAGATAGGCCGGGGATCCAAATCGTCCAGCATGCTAGCCAGTGGAAGTCCATCGACTGAAGCCTGAATCCATCCACGACAGAGGATCCGCGGAACAGATGGGTTAGATTTGGCATATGACCTGATGGTTTCCCGGATTTCGTCCAGCGAAGCACAACCGATGAGATCGACTTTTCGAAGTGAATGACCATAATGTAAAAGATGCACATGGCTATCGATAAAGCTGGGAACCACGACCTTATTCTCTAAATCAATCACCGTCGCATCTGCGGGTACTTGGGCGTTTTCGAGTGAGCCAACGTAGGAAATCTGGTCATTCTCGATGATCATTGTATTTGCGAACTCATTGTCTTTGCCGGATGACGGCACAAAAATTCGGCCATTCTTAAAGATGGACACCATGGTGAAAAAGGTCGAGGTTGATTGATTTAAGGGTTGAATTGACGAGTCTCTGGTGGCTTCGGGCGCACCATGCTATTTAAATGAGATTGTGTGGGGTAGGATCCGGAGGGCGGAAGCAACCGCAAGTCCGGGTCTCCAGAAGTTTCCTTTTGTGATTTCCGAGGAAAGAAGACGGGATATATTCTCGGCTCTTGAGTTCACGGAGAGGGGCCCGGTGATGTTCGAAAGGAATGTTGGTCGGGATCCATTGAATAAGCTGCTGCGCATCTTGGCGGCGCAATTTGACGCCATTGGTCCGTTCCGGGTGGATGTCTGCGGGGAAGTGGAGAGGTTATCAATGTCTTGACTCTTGACTGTTGAGATAACAATAAATCCTGGTGATCAAGTTATTTCTGCTCCACACAAACGTTATCGGCATTTCATTCGCATCAAATGTGTGTTACTAACACGGTAAAAAGGGCATGATTTCTGCGCGTGATACGTATCGAATGCCGTGACTTCCCTTATCTCAAGCGTTTCCCCGCTTATCGGATCAAGCACAACATGATAAGCTTAGACACGATCTTTTGTTTACAGCCTTACACCCATTGGCTATTGCTTCAAACTTCCCTTTTGGGGCAAGTCGTTTCTCCCTTTCCGCCCTCGGACTGATTGTGAGTGGCCACAGAGCATCATGCCAGGAGTCGCAGCCGATGATGATAAGCTCATATCAACGTACTTCCTGGGTTTGATCCCGGCTGTGAGTGTGAGTAGGGACATAAGACATGGGTGGTCCCCAGTTCAGGCATGCCGACTTGTGCTTCTGTTTCTGGGCCCCGTGACATTCATACTTGCTGCAAGAGGCCAATTTACTTAACAACATAGACCAATGCCTCTCGATAATCAAGCAATAGACCCTGAGTGGCCACCAGGAACAGTTCGAATCGAAGGCGAGCCAGAATTCCTTATGCTTTTCTGACATTATAATCATATAACTGACTGAGAGCGTCTCACCATTGACAGATATCTCGCAATCAAGTCAAACTTCAGATGTCCTTCTGGAGCCGAAACCCAGCAGTGACCCCAATGATCCTTTGGTAGGTACCCCATATACCTTGTTCGTCAATTGATGAACGTGACTGATGCCATCCCAAAAGAACTGGCCGCAATGGAGGAAATACCTGAATCTTGGGCTGGTCTCTTACTATGTGATGATGGTCTTCGCACTGTAAGTAGTAAATATATGGACATATTTACTTGAGAGCTCACTTAGAAATTTACTAAGACCATACAGAATTGATGTAGCAACTGTGACATGGGGATCAATGAACGAAGAGCTGGGCTTCAGCTTCGCGCTACTGAATGACAGTTATGCTGCTGGGTGTGGAGCATTATGCATCGGCGGCATAATCCTGATCCCGTTTGCTTTGAAATTCGGCCGGCGACCAATATACATATTCAGCACTGCCGTTCAGTGTGGAATCAGTGTATGGTCTGCCAAAATGGAGACTGTTGCAGACCTGATGCTGGTCAATGTCTTGAGCTGCATAGTTGGTGCTCTGGCGGAGGTCCTGGTTCAAATGACTGTTGCGGATGTCTTCTTCGTCCACGAGAGAGGTCTCATGAACACAATCTACTTTTGGGTCATGACCGTCGGTACTACATTGGCTCCTCTTGCAGGTGGATTTATTACACTCTCACAGGGATGGCGTTGGGTTTGGTGGTGGATGGTTATTCTATTTGGTGTTGGGTTCGTCAGCTTTGTTTTCTTCTACGAGGAGACGATGTTTAACGCCCCACCCATCAATGGTTTATCTGTGCCCGAAGCAACATTGGATAAAAAAGATAAACTCGACACAGAACCAGTCAAAGGGACTCTTGATTCCCATGCTGTCGCACTGCAGTCCGAGATCGTTGAGGTTGACCAATCCATCCCCCACAAGACATACTTAAAAAAGCTGTCTTTGTGGACCAACTCGCCCATGCCTTTTGGCCAATTGTTAAAACACAGCTACCAGCCATTTTTGATACTCTTCAGTTTTCCAGCAGTCTTTTTCATGGCCGTCCAATACGGTATCATGACAACCTGCACGACCGTTCCCGTCACCACTCTTTCCTCCGTCATGACACTGCCACCTTATAACTTTGGCTCTGCTCAGATCGGTTTGATGGGGATTCCGCCGTTCCTCGGCACCAGTCTAGGAGCACTGGTTTGTGGACCGTTGAGTGATTATATCGCTCTTTACCTGGCCAAACGAAACAAGGGTATCTTCGAGCCAGAGATGCGTCTTTGGCTTTCTTTGGTATTCATGCCCTTGGTCCCGGCGGGTTTATTCATGTTTGGTATTGGATTAAACAACGGATCCCATTGGCTCTTACCAGCCTTCGGACTTGGACTTGTAGGATTCGGCACTGTCCCGGCCTGCAGTGCCGCCTTGACCTACCTGACGGATGCATACACCGACGTAAGATCCCCCCCCCCCCCCCCCCTGTCCCTTGGCGATAGAGATAACTGACCAACTTATATGATATTAGGTTATTGCGGACTCAGTCGTTGGAGTGACCTTCATTCGAAACCTGATTTCTACCGTCTTTGTTTTTGCCCTTGACCCTTGGGTCAATCGGGTTGGACTATCATGGTTCTACGTTACCTTTGGTCTTATTGCTACAGTTATTCTTCTCGGAAACTTCATATTCGTTTACATTGGGAAGAAGTTTCGGGTGAAGACTGCAGGAAGATACCGTCATTATAGCGAGCAGAGTACCGATTGGTAATATCCAGGACTCACTATGAATTATTAGCTGAATTAGGAAGCCTCAGATCTTCACAAATTTCAGAGTAGAGAAAATTCAAGACCTTTTATTTGTGATCAAAAGTGTAAACTGCAAATTGCCTACAGAACTTGAAATATTCAAGCCATGTGATAGTTGACGTAGGCACGAGGTGACGCAGAATTCCGTTTAGGTATAGCCTTAAAAAAAAGAAAACAAAGAGCTGGGGAAAGTTTTGGATGGCAAACCAACAGACAAAACATAAAGCCTTATTTACCTAATAGAATAATATCTGCCTGGAAAATGGGTAAGCTTGTCTGTGGCCGACAGAACCCTGCAGTTGTGGTTGGTAGAAACTGGGAGATTGACGCGCAATCATGAGTCCGAGGCTGCTCTTTCAGCAAATGGAAAAGAGAAGGATTGCGCAACCATCATCGGGCGATGAGTACAGGAAGGCAACTGTCTTTTTTTTCTGGTCTTTACCCCAGGAAATGATGTCATGACGAATCATGCAGGGTCTAATGGCAGGGATAAAAAGGTGCAAAGAAATGCAAGAAAGAGTGACTGGGTACTTCCGAGGCTTGCGAGCCTCGTATGGAAACGGTGTATAATACATGAAAAATAAGTTTGACGGCTAAATCCGATACTTCCGTGCGAGGATTTTGGTTTTCATAATAACCTTTTAAACAACACTATTAAAACAACAGTATTCAATGAGCATTTTCGGGCGGGAAAGGGTCTAGTCCATAGCGTTACCAGTGGAGCTTTTCTCTTTCTTGTAAGTAATTTTAACCAGGGGAGTTCGGCGTAAAGGAATTGTTAAACAAAGCTACTGACCACGCCTAACTTGACTAGGGTAAGCACAGGGACCAATAATAGGCACCAAGGCTACAAGTGGTTTGGCCTGGGCTTGGCTTCGCCCCTGCGCCTTCCCTCTTTGAGTCGCAGGAAGTGGGGTTGACAAGTTCCGATTTCACCGCGATTGGCTCCAAAGGCCTTTAGCGTGGGCGACTCGCTCTTTTCTTTCAGAGTCGTATTCAGCCTGTTCGGAGATCTTGGCAAGTGGTCAGGTCGAGCCTCAAGCAAGATTATGGTTCATGTCTTAGATGGAAACATGGCTTTGCAAGGCTGCCATAGAGGCGTATATAACCTTTCTTAACCCCCCAGACCCTGGGTACACCTTTTCTTTTATTTTTATTCTTCCTTCCCACAAAAGAATAACTACTTTCTTTTCAAACCACTCCATCATGCAGTACAAGACTATTCTTACCGTCCTTTTCGCTACCGCGGCTCTTGCTGCCCCTAAGCCCCAAGACTCCGGCTCGTCGGACTCGGAAGTTACCGATACCACTCCTTCATCGGTTGACGACGGCGATGAGGTCCCCTCCTCCATCGAGTCCGTTCTCATGACCGGCATCCCCTCAACCTGGCTCAATGACTTCTACTCCAACTCCGCCTTCATGGAATCCGAGATCAGCGCCATGCAGAGCGGTGACTACCCCGCCTGGGTCACCAGTCTCCCCTCCGCCGTCGAGGCCTACTTCACCTCCGAGATCCAGGTTGAGATTACTGAATACGAAAGCATGCTTGCCGCCGAATCTACTGCAACCGGCTCCGATATCACCATCTCTGGCACCTTGATCCCCAGCTCTACCGCTTCCTCTACTTCTACTCCCCTCAGCACAGGGTCCACTACCGCCACTGAGACCACAAGCGGTTCAAGCTCCACCGGTTCCTCGGGCACTACTTCCTCGGGCTCCTCATCCTCCGGCGCATCCTCCGGTGCCGCGACCAGCACCTCTACCGGTGGTGCCGCCGCCGCTACTGGTGGCCTCGCCATCAGCCTTGCTGGTGCTGCCGGTATCCTCGGTGTCGCTCTTGCTCTGTGAGAACTTATAATCCTGATATAGAAATCGGGCATCCCCTCTTTTGGTCTGTTCGATTTGCAGATTGTGTTCCGATGTTACTATACGATGTTACTACATTAATCTATACCACCTACATAATGACTATCGTTAAAGCGAAATTAATACCTCAGCTCCCGTCTATGTTCGTTTTTTTTTTTTTTGCAGCCTGAAAAGTCCGAGAGATGGATTGTGCCATGTATTGCCCCTGAAAGTTAAATTTCCGCCATCTTACATGGTGGCTTGCATGTGAAGATTGCGGCGCTAGGCCAATGCCGTCTAAGGCTTAAGCTTAGTATCAATACCATCGGAGCAATTCCTTCATCTTTTATGCCCGGAATTATCAATAGTTCAAACCAAGAATTAGAGATCTAATATCTTACCTGTTGTCCCTTTTCTGACCACTGTCGAGAAGTGGGAATTTATCGCCAGAATCCATGGCTGATTGGGTTTCGCAATGCTTGACAGAGTAATAACGCAGGTGGGCTAGCGAATGCAGCTACCCGAGGCACTCGCTAACTTCAACTTCCCCTGTCATTTCATTCTCAATGTTTGCCTGCATCTTCTCTGCACGTCTGCAGAAAGTTAAATTGTTCCGTCTGGACTTTTTTTCCCCCGGGATATTGATTTCTATTCCGTTTCCATGTCGGAAAGATTCGCCACATGACCTGCCCGCGACAGACTTGTTGTACCATCACATTTGCATTCAAACCAATCAATCATTCAGCCAATCAACCATTTATCAACCATTTACTACTCTAGAACTTGCGAGAAAATCCGTCACATGATTCTGGCAGTTATCGGACTACGATTGACGTTTGTTTGCCACTGGCAGATCACCAACTACCCCGGATGGTTTGCCCCACGGGGCCCATCTTGCTAAAGCAAATCACGAGACCGCAAAATCGCTTTCCATGAAAAGTTACCACATGAACTGCGAGTCGCAATGGGCTAAAGGTTCTCCCCCGGCGCCCGTCGAGGAATTCAAAATTGACGGAAAGATCCCGATCAACGAAACCTCGGATTCGGGATGGCAGTTCTGCATTCACCAATCAGACACGAAAGCCAGCCGATAAGGCCTATGAATGTTCTCGGCCCAAACTCAAAGCGCTCTCCAAGACCATGAAACGGAGAACCCTAAGAGCGAAAAGGGATTAAGGACAAGGGACATGCAAAATTTAGTACGTAAAAGCAAAGATGATTGGTCGAATACCTTAATATGTGGGTCGAAGGTGGACCAAGTTACTTTGGTGACAGGCGCTAGAATGTCAACTATCGCGAGCAGCAACTTGGCAAGCACGAATAAGCACGCCATTTGCATGAAGCCTCGTGAGGTCAAAATTTTCCGATGCAGGAAACTTTAAATCCAACAAAAAGGTCGTTGAATCCGCAACTGTTTTGTTCTTCCAAAGTTCCTCGATTTCAACTCCAGATCCGTGTTTAGATACTACAAAATGGCAGAACCGATCTCGGTCTCGGCCTCGGCATCCTCCGACGATGCGCCGATCCAGCATCAAAAGCGAATTTGGTACCGGACGACTCTGTTTAATGCATTTGTTATTGGAGGTGTTGGGTTCCTAGCACCGGGATTATGGAATGCGATGAATTCCCTTGGTGCTGGTGGTGCGGAATCACCATTTCTGATCAACGCAGCTAATGCGCTGGTTTTCGGTCTTAGTATGTGCACTACTATTTGCAAGTGGAACCCTTGAACCGAATACTGATTCTTGTTCCAGTGGGAATTCTCTGCATTTTTGGTGGACCGATTGCGAACCGCATTGGAATGAACTGGACTTTGCTGCTTGGTGCAGTTGGATATCCTATCTACTCGTATGTGGCTATTTGAGACTACTCGCCAAAAACATGAACTAACTTACCAATAGGGCTGCTTTATATACAAACAACCGCTATGTGAATACCGCCTTTCTCTTTCATGTGTAAAATCATCAATATGTACTAATCATATGTACAGGGCAATGTTTGGTTCGTGCTAGTTGGTGCAGTCGCCTGTGGCCTGTCGTGAGTTCAAAAAGCGATTTCTTGGAATAACAGTGCAGGGCGCTGATGAGAACAGGGCTGGTTTATTCTGGGCTTCTGAAGGCGCTGTCGCGCTTGGATACCCCGAGCCTGCCAAGAGAGGCCAATATATGAAGTAAGTTAAATAGAACAAGGAACTGGAAACAAATGGAATCTCTAACCAGAAAATAGCATTTGGCTTTGGTTCCGAACAGGTGGCCCACTGGTGGGCAGTGCCATTGTTCTTGGACTCAACCAGTAAGTTTAAATCGAATGCTCAATGCGCCATCGGGCAACGTGGCTAACGAGAGATTAGCTCTGCTGCTGCCAAGACTAAAGGAAAGGTCGGATCTGGTAAGCTTCTCTATCAATCGGTAAGGTTTTTGGGATCTTTGCTGATATAGAATGCAGAGACGTACCTCATTTTCGTTGCGCTGCAGTGTCTTGCTGTTCCTTTCGCTATTTTCCTCACCCGGCCTGAAAATGTCCAACGCAGCGATGGAAGTGCTGTGAAGGTTATCAAGCAGGATTCATGGCGCGCTGAGATGGTTGAGCTCTGGAAGGTCACTCGCCGGAAGGATGTCAGTTTATTTAAAGCACCAATTCGATTGACTACACCGAGCTAACTTTCTCTCTAGATTCTGCTCTTGCTGCCTGTCTTCTGGGCAGCTTATTTCAACCAGTACACTGGCAGTAAGTCTCAAATGTCCTATTCAATACTTGTGATCAGAGCTAACTTGAAACTCTAGATTTCGAAGTTTACTACTTTGGAGTCAGAGCCCGTGCTTTGATTGGACTAGTTAGTATGTTTCAAGACCTTCTCTACCAGCTCTAAATTCGTGCGAAATTTAACTTTTGCGATCCAGGCTACATTGCTGGCCTTTTCTCGTCCTGGGTTATCAGTCGGTTCTTGGATTACCAGAAGGTGCCGGTCAAGAGCCGAATCACTTACAGGTAAAGGAACCGCAAGCATAAAATGAAACCCACACACTAATAATCAATCCAGTTTTTACTATGTCATTGTGCTTCACATCATCGCCTGGGTGTATGGCTGGGTCGTGCAAGAACAGTACACCGCTAACCCGCCTTCTCTCGATTGGGCCGATAAAGGCTACGCCAAGGGCATGTTTGTGATTCTTCTCTGGCGTGAGTACTTCCTGTCATTCATTTTCTGATTCGGTATATCTGACATTTTAAAATACAGAATTCTCTCAGCAGGCGTTGCAGAATTGGCTGTACTACCTGCTCTCCACAATGACCGATAACATTTCAGAACTCTGTAAGTTAGCCACAAGAGCCCCTTACAATGGAAGTCAGACTAACAAGTCTCAGCTCGTCTTTCCGGTATTCTGCGTGGCCAGGAGAGCTTTGCCCAGGCAGTATCGTATGGAATTAACACTCGGGATTGGTATGGAGGCCGAGTTCCTCTTGCAGTGAACACAATTCTGCTAGGTTCGTCAAATTTCCTTAGTCTTTTATCCTTTCGCAACAAAGACTTACTCTGATGCAGGTATTGCGGTCGTTCCCACCTGGTTGGTTATCAAGGACCATTCCCCTATTGAGCACAGCAAAACCGAGGAATTGAGCAATGGAAGCCGCGATGAGGAGAAGGGCACGCTGGAGAGCAACAGCATGAGTGACAAGGAGGTCATTGTTACTGGAGAGGAGGTGAAGAAGGAATGACCCCAGCCTACCAATTACACTATACCTGCATGGAAACGGGATTGATTCAAGGCTAAAAGATCATGGGAAACGATCTTATCAAAAGGCAAATTTTTATCACGCCATTAATCGAGCAAGGGCTGAAGTCTCAACACACTCAGCTATAATGAAGATACCAAAATGAAGATTGACGATATGATTCGGTACTATCTTCGTCGAAGACGAGAAAACATCATCTGACCGCACACTAGATACAAAAGTATCAGTAGATCCACCAAAGGACCCATCCCTCATCATGCGGCATTCCTAAGTCTCAACAGAGTATCAATCCTATCAAAAGCCTCAAACTTATCCTCCATCGAAAAAGTCAATTCAGCATCATCGCCATCTTTCAATCCGCTCAGAACCGAATTGACAACATCATCGTATCCCTCTTCCTCAAACTCAATCAGAATCAGCATCAAGTCCACGTACGGAGTAGGAAAGTCGCCCTGGATTTTTCTCCTGAGAAGCTCTTTGAGAGCTGCCATGTAAAGCTTCTCGAGGAAAATAGTCGTTCGAGGGTCTCCGAGGGGTTTGGCGCTCGTGGTGTCTTCCTTTTCGTAGAGGTCTGGTTCTTGGGGCGCGTTGGGCTTGGCCGTTTCTCCAATCTCCATTAGCGCGTCTCTCATCTTGATCAGATTCTTAGGGTCATTTTGATGGGATTCCAGACAGCCTTTGCCACAAGGGGCTTGGGTTTGTAGGATGGAGAACTCCTTGATGGCAGTCAGTCGTTGTCTGTGGATGTTTTGCGGCTGCTTCCCGTGATCATTGGCTGGGACTGGGTTGCTGGGACCCTCAGACATAATGACGGTTTGGGAGAGAATTGGGTTGTTGAAAAGACGCAGATGGGGAGAGGGTTCGAAAGCTAAAATCCTTGAGCTCTCTGGTCCATTTGATTCATGCATGCCCTGTCAGTACACGGATTTTGCTAGAGCCTGGGTACAGGGCTAGGCGAGACGTACCTAGAAAGTAGGATACAAGAGGCAATGAAAAATGGGCGCAATGGATGCTTTGAGAAACAAGGTGAAAAATTGCGGAGAGGGGGAAGAGGGTTGAAGTGACAAGAGAGAAGGAGAGAGGGAAAAAGTATAGCGTCGCTTATGGACTGGTCCTTCTTCATTGAATCGCATTTTTAATAGCACCCAGTTTTGATTCCCCCTTTTCCCAATGCATTTCAAGTTCCTTCCTTTTATCCTTCTCAAACCCTGCATGACTTATCCTGCCCTGCCATCTCAGAAGCTCTTCATCGTTCAGAAGATTGATACCCACATCAGCTTCATCCTCGAAACAAGGCTTTGATATTTCCCCATCACGCCATCTCCTGACAACCCAATCCTACAAAACCTGTTTCTGTTTTTTTTTAGAAGAGAATCTAGGAAATCAATGAACATGTCCGATTCAGCGGGCGACGACAGCGACTCCACAGTCATGCCTGATATCATTAAGAAATGCCAAGGGGATAAACTACCGAGAACATATGGCGCCTTCAAACAAACCAAGCCAACACTCCAAAGGGAGGATGACTTTATTTCCTGGAGAACATTGGTGCATAATACACTGAAGAAACACCACCTCAAGGCACTCATAGACTATAACCTGCCTCGACCCGGAAGAGATGACCCTAACTGGCTCCCTTGGTTCAAATTATCCATTGAAGTAGGCTGTTGGTTGCTATTCAGCATCTCAGCTGCCCTGTGGGTGAAGATTAATCCCCATGGCCGAGTGATGCTGGCCGATGAAGTCTATGAAGCCATTTGCGAAGAACATGAAATCTACGGAGACATGACCGAGCACGAATGAGCACATGGATATGAATGCGATGGGCTACACCGATTGTCAGAACATGGGGACATTGATTGATAGACTACCCGAGCGTTGCCACATTCAGTGATGAATACTACACATGTATCTCGATATTTTTATCCAATTTGACACCTCTATGATGAATCTGGGACTGCCTTAGCCTACCCTCTTCAAGAAATTGAACGATGTAATAGAGTAAGAAAAAGCTTTGGATTTTGCTAGCGTGGATAGCTAATCTAGTTGATCTTAAGGAGCTCAACCTCACTATAAACCCATTAGTTTCCAAGTCCGATGAATTTGCATTGGCAAAACTTACAAGATGAGAGTAGATCCTGCAGGAATCTTGCCAGCAGCCCTGCATAGGAAAAGAACGTTAGAAAATGATCAGTAGCGGATATCTCACGCGGTAGCTTACTTGTCACCATAAGCGTAGTCACTATGGATGAATGTCAGTAATGGTCCACTTTTCATTGTTCAATGTTATCCTTTATGAACGGATCGAAATACTCACGGAGTGATAGTCAACATGGACTTCTCGCCCAGGCTCATCTCCAAGACACCCTCATCCCAGCCTAAAAAAGCAGTATTAGCATACCAATCTTACTAGGACTTGCAAGTAGTTCCCAAGTTGACCACTGGCTCTATCCTTTAACAAACAAGGAAAAATAAAACGCACCCTTAATAACTTGTCCAACACCAATCTGGACATTGAAGGGGCCACGACCAGGGGTTCTGGAGCTATCGAACCTATTTATACGATTAACAATCTGTGTATTCCTGCTATAAGGCCGAGAAATGGTGGGGAAAGACAACTTACTGCTTGCCTTGGAAGCCCTTGTTGGCCTTCTTGGCATCGTAGAGCCAGCCGGTGTAGTGGATAGAAACCTTGTCACCTGACGCAGGCGAGGGGCCGTTGCCGCGAGTAATGATCTTTCTCTGGACACCCATGATGGATTTGATGACAAAAATTGAATGTATGGGGGGATGAAGGAGGGGTGAAGTTCGGAAGATCAGCCTCAACGCTGATTCGTAATTTTCTTCCAAGTGGGGCTGGCCGCCACCACTTGTAAGTCGTCCAGAGTCTTGAAATCCACCAAGGCAGAGCTGAACTGCATTTTGGGGCCGTTCCTTTTTGAATGTAGATCTTCAATGTTTTACCTCATTATAGATCTAATAGGGCGCCTTGAAGATGGGTCATAGCGCGTCCCAAGGTATTTCAGCCTTGCTTGACCTTCGATGGATTTCTCCCTCTTCCACTTAAGATATACTCCCGAGTCCCAATGTCGAGCCAGTTTCTTATGTATATACACCAAATATTGAACAAATAATTTGAAATCAAACAATCATGCGCCCACTCTCCTTCGTTCTCACATTGACTACTGCCATCGCTTCAGTCGCGTCCGCCGGGTCTCTACCACCAGAGATCGCCATCATCGGTGAACCTTCGCAGGTTCTGAACGTGACTTTCCAAACTTCCACTCAAGTTCTGGAGGTGCAAGCCGGCGAGTTGTTAACCTCGAATGGTATGCCGTGCCTTTCAATGATCTTTAAATTCCCACGCACTCTCTCGAGAAAAAAAAAAACCTGACAAACGTCGAAAACAGACACCACAAATCGACCTCAGCCAAACCTAGCAAAATCAGGCTCAGTCATCAAGAAAGACCAGAAGTATGTGTTCATGATGGTCGATCCAGGCACCAACACCACTGACCCGACCTCCGTCGCATTGCACACCATCGTCACAAACCTCACAGTCGCCAACTCCTCATCCGGAAATACTCTAGCGCAATATATTGCCCCCGAACCCTCCGGGACAGCACCGCACAACTACACGCTCCTTCTCTTTAAGCAACCCAGTAACTTCACCGTGGCATCAATCTACGACCCATACTTGGCCTTGAATCTGACAGATGTGTATAACCGCGTCAATTTCCCACTGCGACCGTTCATTAACTCAACTGGTTTGGAGGAGCCTGTGGCCGCGAATTGGTTCAAGGAGAAATCGGAAAGTACCACTACTACGGCTACAGCTACAACTACAGCTTCTGGAACCGCGACCGCGACTAGCACTACCACGCCGACCGCTACCAGCGGCTCTGTGGCTAGCCTGGTGTTCCCGAACGGGCGGAGCTTGGGGCTAGTTTTTGCATTGCTTGGTTTTTTGATGGGCATGTAAAACTGCTGCATTAGCATAGCGCACTGTCTGTCCACCAAAGTAGTGTTAATTGTTATATGCAAAAACTATTCGCAGTATATAATACGAAAGTATACATTTACAATTATTGGCTAGTAGCTACAAATGTTGAGAAATGATCCTCAAAGCTACAAAAGTACAAATTTCTAATGAAGTATTTTTTTAGAAACCACGAACATTGAAGATCGAAAGTTTCTCCCTATACTAGGATACTCACATATGCAATTAGTCGTAGCCTCATGAGATCCCCATCAGTGCCTCGAGTGCAATTATAAGAAAGTCGCCGCACCTGTTAAACCCGGGCTACAATCTTTATTCAAGTTTGCTCTATCTTCTGCTGCCTTAAATTGACCAATTCCACCTCTTACTAAAATTCATTCTTATCTCCAGATGGTTAAGGTGAAAATTGCTCAAAGAGACCTGCGGAAGTGCCAATGAGACGATAAGACCCAGGCCATCGGTTTCGGTCATTGATGCCGGCTCTAATTATTATTCAAGAAAACAGATTATCAGCTGAGTCACGACGGCCGATTCTTGCTCCGCTGTCGTTTGCGCAATACCTCTGGTATGTGGAAATTACGAAATCTGAATGCTCGACAACTCGTCTTTGAAAACAAGGAGACACTTCATGGTAGCATTTTCGCTGGTCTCCAATGTCTATGTTTAGTTTTGATATTAGCCTTTAAACTCCAGTGGAAAGAAGAAATGCATATTCGAATTACCTCTAGCTGGCTGTCGGAAGAAATTTTGGATGACCGCTAAGAGAGCCAGAATCGCTGACGTGATTCTAAAGACAATGGAACAGATGAGTTCTGGAGTCATGGAATATTGTCTATTCGAGTCGTCGGTCCGTGGTATTAGGATGAATGTCAACACACTCTCCAGAAATGAGTGGATTTGAATGATCTTGGTCAAAAAAAGATCAGGCTTCCAAAGGAACAATTACAAAACATATGAATTGATGCGTTGCATGATCCACTGAGCCAGTGCATTCTGCCCCTGGATTCAGATATGTGGCCTTGAGTAGCTTTTACTATCAGTGTATATTTCTGATAATATCCACAAACTGAAGCTAATCTGTTGAAAAGAATGTATACACCAAAGTCGGAAAGCCCTTCAGAAGAGGGACTGTACTGTACATATACGGAATAACGACAGACGAGGAGATGTTTTGGTTTTCGAAGATCTCACATGACTCAAAAGTAAGTTCTCTATATTACTTCAACTTCTATCTGAGGCTCTAACCTTTGCTAGGCCTCAGATTGTTGCGTCTCGACAATGGTGACTGGTCAATGCAAGGTATACGCGATCCTTATTCAGATGTTCACACAGGTGGCGACGATGTCTGCTCATTCAAAGGAGACATCGTCACAACTTGAAGAGGACGAGGAGATTATGGATGAATAGGCCCGGATTACTGGTTCCTTTTATTTGTATACCTTTATTATTATCTTTTTGCTCTTTGAGCTCTAAACAAAGCTTACTATGCTGTACATACCCACACATGCATTTGGTCCGAGAGTGTATGGAGGCAGTAGTAGGTTATAAAGCATGTATTCATTAGCACCACCATGTCTACCTAGGACTAAGACATTAAAAGCCATGGAAGGATAGATGTAAAAACAAGGGTATATACAGGAAGTAAATGACAAATCGGCCACATAGATCCAGTATACAGGTCCCCAAAATCTAAGAGGTCTCTTGAACTTCCGGCTCGGGCGCGATGTTTACATCATCAACGGCCTTTCCCCAGGCAGCCTCGAAGGCGGATTCAGCTGCGGGCTCTTGGGATGGCACTGGGTCTGTTTCCCCTTCCTCTTCTTCGGCCACTGCCGCTGTCACTGTCACGGGCGCAGGGGCCTCGACGACTTCTTCATTAGCTTCAATGGGATCATCAGTAATCTCAACAACCCGCTGATCATGATCAATCAAAACTGGAGTGCTTTGAGCCAGATCGGTAGGTTCACTATCGACCTCGCTACCGGCCACAACTTCTGCATATGTGGGAGGGGCATTGAGATCCAAGGAAGACATGTCCTTGGAGACTTCGGATTGCCGGCTAGTACCGGGAAGTTCGAGGTCGAAGTTAGAGCTATAAATGACAGCAGAGAAGGCCTCGAGCTCTCGCACATTCTTGTCCATGACATCAAGATAATCGTTAGGGCCCATGGGGCCATGGCCGATCACATGTGCCTGGCGAGCCAGCACAGCCAGAAGATTGGCAAGTTTGGTCTTGCGCTCAGAGGTGACAGGGGGAATGACGGTGGCCATGGAGTCAAAGGACTGGGGTGCTGTCTCTGGGGCTGGAGCCGAAGCCTTGAATGCCTCGTTGGCACACTTGACGTCAATCAGGGTGGAGAATCCTTCGTTGAGGAGGAGAGTCAAGACGAAGGAGAAGGATGGAGAGTCAATAAGATCGGCTGTCTCGTCCAAGAGGAGACGCAGCTTCGAAGCGGTCTTCGAGGATGACGGGTCTGTCACTCCCTCGACGCCGGATTCACGAAGAACGTAGTCTTCCTCTTCTGTTGACGGTAGCAAGCAGGACAGCCATTTCTTGGATCTAATTTGGTACCTTGTCAGTGATCCGAAATCGTATATTGTCAGTGACAAAGCAATCTGTCTTACCGGCGGTCTTCTTCCGTGTTGCCTTCAATGTTCCTCCGAATTTGGAGAGTCAATTCCGACAGCTTGGACAGGCTGATGTCCTCACGCGGGTTAAGAGGGCCAAACGCCTGCTCCACAGCGGGCTGGACCCGCTCCATCAGCGTCTTCCATCCGCGATGAAGAAGCCACCAACTGAAAGCAAGGTAGCGCCGGTTGGTCGCGATATCATCTCCAAGTGTTTGTGTTAGATCATAATCGTGATCTTCAAGGCTGATGGTTGAGTCGGTTGGGGGGTTGGCGAGGGAAATGACGCTCGAGAGATAGTTTCGGCGACCGAGGAGATTGAGCTGGATCCGAGTGAAAATGTTGAGAAGGGAGAGAATATAGATCATGGTGAAGGATCGGGTCACAGCTGCAGGAAATCTCAGATTAGCTCGAAGGATTCGGCATCATAGGGCACTCAGGTCAAACATACATGTAATCTTAACCTCGTTCCATAGCTGCGTCTTATTCCGCTTCACGCGGGGTTGTCCATCTGAGTCGGCAGGCTCTCCCAACTGGCTCGTGTGCACATAACCTTCGCTCTGAAAACTCGAGAGGCTCTTTGTATCATCCCCGATTAAGCTTGGAGAGACCGAGCTCATATCCGAGCCCGTAGTTTCCCCCGCATTGAGCCGTGCCAACCTCTCCGCCCGCTTCTTCTGGAGCTCCTTGGTCAATTCCTCCACGGGGAGGGCATCGACGATATTCTCTGTAGCGGTCGGTAACAAAGCAATAACAGTGTAGGCGCAATCGGTTTGGTTTTGTTCGAATCTTCGACGAAGGCTAGAGTGGAGACGACTGTTAGCCACTGGGCTTCGGGAACAAGACGGAGCCCGTCACAAGCTCGCGTGCCCGAATTGACAGGGCATTGGGAATGTGAACCATGACTCACTTTTCTTTGGCAATCCGGTCACTACTCATACGCTCTCGTGCCTCTGAGATCTTGGAAATGACATATTGACCAGCCAGGTAGCCAGCACCCAGCACTCCAGCCCCGATCGCGAGACCTTTGCGATTGCGCTTTAACCAGCGCCTCGCGCCACCGATCATGTTTTCGATGTTCAGGAATACCTCCTCTGTTTCGTTTGCCGTAGAAGGGGTTAACAGGGTTGGACTTATATGTTTGTTGGGTTGAGGTTGGAGTCGGGCAGACGATGTGAGAGGTTGACCCTCGGGCGCTGATCGCGGCGACCGGAGATCATCCCCAGCCAGCCTCGGCTAGTGCGCCAGGTTTCTGTGGAGAGACGCCGACTACATGTGTGGGGGAACACATCAAGTCACGATGATGCAACAACCTCTCCTCTTCTTACTTCAGCGGTTTGACAAGGGATAATGTATATCAAATGATTCAAATCATGTCTCACGTATTACCTGTAGGCTGATTGTAGCTCCGGCTTCGGTCCAGGCTGCCCCAGCCGCAAATGGCAATAACATGTGCTTAACTACACTTGATCATGAACACTCAAAACATCCAACACACGAAGACAAGATTTATGATAATTAACCTATTACCCTTGGTCTATTTTTAAAACTTTCATGATCCAGCCTCTCACGAACTAACCTCATATTCATATTCTATGGGAACGCTTGAATCAGCGTTGTGACACCAACGGACCTTGGACACGAATGTGGATCTATTCATTGCTCTAAAAGAAAACTCTAGGTACATATACAATACATAGCCTTATGTGTACATAGTTAAAGCCCAGAATTTAACGTCATCACGCCGTCGTTTCAGAAACCTCCCCAATAGCCACAACAGCCAGTCGATCCAAAAAGAGCTCTTCATCCGCAGTCACCTGAGGACCAAACTCAGGCCCACGACACTTCTCAACAAAAGCCAGAAAAGCTTTCTCATCATGGAATGTAAGCTCCACAAACGCATCAAACTCAAAGTCCGATTGCTCGCCAACAATGACAGCGGCCGGGGTGGTGGCATTGGAAGAGCTTGCTCCCTCGGCAGCGATATCAACGGATGTGCGAGCCACATACATGCGTTTGTGGGACAGTGGGAAGACGTCGCCAGCGATACGTTTGAGAAGGTCGACGTGCGAATCGTAGTGTTTCTTGAAGTCTCCCGGCGACATACCGGCCTTGCGGTAGGCGTGGACCATGATTTGGAATGTCATTTTGTTTGAAATGACAGAAGAGAATGTGTATTGGGATTGAATGGTGTGGTTTTGTGGAGGGACGGTGAAAGTCAGAGGACAGAGGCCAGATTTCAGAAGTTAGAGGTTAGAAGTAAGCTGTTGAAGTAGGTAAGCTTGACTGTTATATAGTCTTCCAAGTATTTGCCCCTCTTTCCACGCAACACCTGCCTGTTGGGGGCCAAACGGCCCAAAACCAATCCATCTATATAGGCTGACCTATAGGAAGAGGCCGGGTAGTTCAAAGCAGTACTATCATTTTGAGGCTTTTATTCTAGCATCTATTGGCTTCATGATTGTACTTTTGGAAAGCAGGTGTAGTGTTGTACTCAAGAGTCAGAATTAACCAGTAAAAGCTCATACTTGGCAAAAGGCGAGCTTCACTAAGAGTAACTTAATTATACTAGTAGGTACTTGGAGCTCATTAACATCCAGTTCTTTGAGCCGTCAATGTTTGGTTTGAATGACCAGGGTCCAAGTAGGCAAATCTAGCGGTCAGTAAACTTACCGTGGCTCAGTGAGACCCTGGTCTGGTCCATTGAATCTGATCGGAAACCATGACAAAAAGACGACTTAAGCCACCTTCAAATTGTTCTGATCCCTCTATGCCCTCATCCAAGCCACAAGCCAACCGTCACTTCAATCGATAATAGTATCCCTGGACCCTGCATAATGACTGTTAAGAACTATGACGCCGAAGATGAAATCACAGATTTCTTCAAGAAGACAACAGCGACTCGCGCAGAATGCGACGAGTATGCGAAAAAGCACGCCGGAGGCAACGTCACTCCAGTTCCCGTACAAGGCGTGTCCAGTTACACCGTCTACGCCGGCCCTAGGTCAGAATTCGTTGTTCAGTTCCGGCTCAAGTGCCTCCTGCTCAAGATGGAAACCATGAAGCTCGCAAATACAATTTACGGCAAGCTTACACCCCAAGTCAACTTCAAGGGCGAAATGAGTGAAGCTTCGGGAGACAAAGAGCCTCTGTTTATCTACATCATGAATAGGCTTCCAGGCGTGAGCCCACTGGACTTTCTGGGGGCCCATAATTGGGGTGCAAGCGAACCTGAGTTCTTTGGCTATCGGAAAACTCTCATGCTGGACATTGCGAGGTGAGTCTAGTACGCACTTTTCGGTGGGATATGTACTTATTGATGACTGCATATAGATTCTTCATTGCCTGTTGGAAGGCCCCCCAGGATGTTCATCAGGTCTATCGCACCAAACTCCGCAATCGATATGAGGATGACTTGAAGCTACTGCTTACTTCTCTTCCGGGTCGATTTTCTCCGTTGATCCAGGCAGTCTTGGAGTCTATGTCCGAGATTTTCTCACTTCCAATGGCCCTTCTGCATCAAGATTTTGGAGAATTCAATATCCTCGTGGACGAAACGACTTATAGTTTGCTTGGGGTTATTGATTGGGCCGAAGCAGAAATTCTGCCATTTGGTCTTAATCTTTTCCATCACCAGCGGATGATCAGTAAGATTCATATCACTCAAGGCTGGTCGAGATACGATGATTATCGTTCGCTAGAGGAGATTTTCTGGAATACCTTTCAAAAGGAAACTGGGGTTAGCGATAAAACCATCAGTATTATCAAGATGGCAAGAATCATGGGCGTGTTCCTAATGGTTGGCTTCACACCTCGCTTGGCAGATCAGCCTGAGCCAGTTCCTATTCGGGATGATGAAAGTGGTGCGTATAAGATGCGCGACCTGGATGGACTGTTGATCAACCCGGCAACGAGGTTCCTAGAATTGTAAGAGAGGATAAAAAAGTCCATGAATAATGTAATGGTTGTAATGATGATCAAAAGCGGAACCCACTTTTTTTCCCTTGTTAGTAGTTACTCATTACGCAACCGAACAAAACATCTCCAAAGAATCTCAGGGACCAATGATAAGCCCGATAAGCGTCATTCGGCCTAGTCCGATGGAAACCGCCCCGACCCTTTGAAGTCACCATTCCCCTCTTCTAAACATCTATGCAACTCAACAAATTCTCCCGATCTTCAGTACTCTAACTCACCCTCTCACTCCACAAACCCGCGTTCCCGCAAATCAACCCAAACTACGCCCTGGGTCCGTTCCACTGCCCGCGGGGATGGAGCCCCGCAAAACCCCTCCAGAGTACTTCCTGGAGATCTTCGCCGATACCGCCGCAGTGCGCGATGTGCTAAAAGGTATAAGCTGAACAAGTTCAAGCCCTCCATACAATATCTCAATGCCTACCCTGTGAAATGCATTCGGGCCTCATTTCCGTTTCTTACTCCCTTCGCATTGCCGCTGACATTTTGCCCCGCGCCTCACCCCAGGCATCCTGAACCTCATCTTCTTCCACCGATACTTCCCGTCCGTCCGACCAACATCCTTCGAGGTATTGGACTTCTCACTCCCGGCAATCAAAGATGCGGACCTCGAGACCTTGATCGAATCCCGTGTTAGCGCGCTTGTGCGGCAGCATCTCTCCCCCGCCGCTGGGGGCCAAGATGGCAAAGTGGGCGCGGGCGGAGGTGTACGTGGTCGGATTGCTGTGGAATTCTACGAAAAGAAGCGGCGCCGCTCTGGACTTTGGTTTGGAGGACTAGCTGGGAAGGCAGAGGAGGAGGTCCTATGGGAGATTTGGACGTTGGATGTGACCATTGCCACCCCACGGACGGATGCTGGTGAGTGATGTGTTGTGTTGCCGTGGGCAATCCAGGGAGCGCATGCATTCTATCATCAGGGCGCGCAAACTGGAGAAGTTTGAGATGATCGGCATGCTAATTTGGGATTTCTGCGTCTATAGAACGAGCCAAGGTCGGCCTTGCCATGAGCAAAATGCTCCAGAAGGCCGCGTTCAAGATCAGGGACATTATTCATGATAACAATGACCATATTCCGCCAATCACAACCAGTGACTCCAACCCATTCCCTTATCGCATTGTTGTGAACCCAAGGACCGATAGTTGGGGTAATCGCATTGGGCTGAATTCGCAAACATGATTTTGTGGAGGCTTTTGGCTTTGCGATTCGCGCGGAGCCAGTCGGCCTATGTGATTGATTCAGGGCTATGCGATTGCAATTAGTAGAACACGAGGTGGTTTTTTCTTCTTTCGGCGTTTGGCGGACAAGTCCTTCGGAAATACTAGGTTCGGCGTTTCGGAATATCATGATTGTCTTTTCAATGTTCACCGGGAGAAACCATATCAAGAGCAAGGCAATGAAAGTGTGCTCTCCCATTCAAGGAAATGTAGAGAAATAAACGTTGGAAATGAAAGCGATTCAATACAAAAGCACCTGAGTATTGCGTATCATACTGTCTCCGTATCAAACGGCCCTGAAAGTGAGCGAATCGATAGAGTTATAAAGCTACAGACGAGCTCTACCATTCAAGATATGTAAGGTAATCAACACAAAACCATCGCCGAAACTCAATCCTCCTCCCAAGCCCCCTCAACGCGACCCCGGGCTAGGCTCCTTTCCTCTCTTAGCGCCATGACTCTATTGTCATCTGGGCTCAAAAATCGCAATTCATTCGCAACAAAGAACTTCATCCTCGAATGCGCATAACGTCGTTTACAAAACCCGACCGGTCGGGGAGAATCGATAAACCCACGGCCTATATCTTGACTACAGCCTCGAGTGTTCGGGATATCGAGACGATTCTCAGCTGGGATTCATTATGAAACCATTTAGGACGAGTGGGTCTTGGCAGCAGCCTCGGCCTGGGCACGGAGGTTGGCGGAGGTGCCGGTGCTGGAGAAGAAGCGGCCAACCAGAGGCTGGAGCAGGGAGTTGAAGACAACTTGGGCACCGCTGTGGATTTGGTTAGTACGGTTCCATTTTCAAGGTCGGGTTTTCCTCAGGTCCCTTGTGATCACTTACTTGGTCTGGGGAAGAGCCATCCAGAGCACCAGAACGAACTTGAAGATGTAGTAGAAGGCTAGGTGGAGGTCAGCAGAGCTCTGGTGGGGGGGTGATAGCTTGGTTGTACATACGGAACCAGTAAGCGGCGCTGATGGCGCTCTCAAGGGTGGTCAGGAAAGCAAAGACAACCCAGTACTATGAATAAGTTAGATTGCTGTGGCCTTGCGCAATATCACGTGTCGCCCGATAAGCACAAGACAGACTGTCTCGTGCCAGGAACACCAGACGGAAAATAGTAGCTGGTTTGAGGGTCATGGGAACTTACAGTCAACCACTAGAGAGAGAAAAGAATGTTAGAAGGCAGTCATTTGATTTGGAGAGGATGTGAGAAGGAACTTGAAGCTTACCTGGGTGTCATCCGAGGTACCCGAGGTGAACAGGGCCTGGAGCGAGTAGTATCCAGGAAGAACGAAACCGGCAATGTTGACAAGGAACTCGCCAGCGATGTTGAAGAAGACAAGGAAGAAGTAGATGCCGACCAGACCGAGGATGACATAGACCTTAGGGACCGAGGTCTGTCTCTCCAGGTTGTTCAGGACAGGGTACTTGGACAGCTATTGACGAGATATTAGTAAGGGAAACAAAGCTTGAGATAAAAGGCAGAGTGAGGCTAAAAAAAATTGGGAAGAATAGTGACGGATGGTAGCACGAGGATATGTGTGCAGTGCTGTGAGAAGCCGTTGCCCTCCCGATCGCACTATCGTGAGGGCACAGAAATCATGCAGGCAAAAATGGGGCAGAGGGCTAGAGCTAACGAGGCACCAACGAAACACACAATGACTTTAGAAACATACCTCCTTGTCGAGCTGGGCGATAGCGTGCTGAGCACGATCTTGGAAGGAAGCCATTTTTTAAGAGCTGTGAAATTCAAAATATTGATTCTGAAAAGTCGAGAGATTGGCAATGGGAGCGAGGGATGAGTGAGAATGCATTTGGTCAAGCTGGCGCTTCCTGCTGTGCCCGTGCGAGTATCACGTGATTGCATGACGTACTCTGCGATCAGATGCGAGGACCATGTGAATAACGCACTTGGGTGATCATGTATGCAGTGTTCCCCTCGCATACCAAGTAGTATTGTCTAGTTGATAGGGACAAAAGTCCCGACTTACCTGTACTTGGGTAGGATTTCATGCGAGCCATATCTCCATTTCATTCCCAAAGACATCCTTGAACAGCCCTATCATCAATCACAAAACCCTAGATAGTTCTCTAAGCCAAATCAAGTATGGCTTATGACATAGAGATACAGGTTTTTTTTTTCCTTTTCTTTTTTTTTTATAGATATTTCCTCTAAATTATCAAGGTTCTGGGTTAAAAGATCTAGCCGGTATATTATTTTCATATTATTCCAAAGTATAATAGCATGACGATTTACCCCAAATTTATGATGTGCTCTTGTGAGTACCTACTGGAAATGTGAAACCAACCCCGGACAGCCAAGCTCCGGGAGATTATTTTGGTTATCCACATCCATCTATTCCACCTTGGTCCTTTATCACTCACTCGTTTTTTAATATACCGATAAGCAAAAGAACTAATGGATATTGAGGAGTTCTTCTATCATTCACATCTATTAGATATTAGAGCTTATCACATACGTTAATAAGCCATCTCATATCAGTCCCGTCTCGGCTCCCTCCGAGGGATATCATCGTATAGATTAAAAATATTAAAAATATTAAATTGATCAGTAAACTCTTAGTAATAATATACAAGCTCCTTATGATTGATCAATTCATAAAGCCCTAGCCATAAAATGTTCCAATCTCTTGTTCTGGATTTCCCCAAAATTGATCTATGTATAGTGCATGCATACATGTAGAGTACTAAAGACTTTGCATTCTCAAGTCTCCCCAAATTTTGGGACTTGCAGCCCAACCAGACCTAATTGGGGATATTTACTTCATGTAGTCTTACCCCTTGTTCAGTTCAATTTCAAATCATGCATAGTAGAAATCCTCATAAATTTAGGTATTCCATACTCAATGCCATTGTGGAGTTGACGGTCTGGAGTCTGGACTCTGGACACTCACCGCCAGGAACAGAGATGATGTGATTTAGGGAGAAACCAAGGGGGTTCAAACAAGCAAAACTCATTGGACTCGACATGTTCATGTCTGCATAACTATTAACATTTGAAATTCCTTCATTCTTACTAATTTTTTACTTTCTTTTTTTCTTTTTCCTTCGTAAACTTTGCCATTTTCTAGTTTTCTCAATTAGCTTCTGCAGAACTGTAAAAAAATAAAAAAAGCTGCCCCTAAACTCCGCGGCCCGCACACAACACCCACTTTCCCAAACAACTTCAAACCCCCCCATTTTTGAACCACTCAGCCTCAATTTATCACCACATTGACCTCTTGTGGGTTGAACCGACGCACCGAATCCCATTGAACGGTCTGTGCGTCAACACCACTCCTTGATCCATTGGGACTCCGATGTAACCGACTCCCTCTGCTTTTCCCCCATCGGCCCCCCAGGGAGCTGGACACCATCGTGCTATAATTAAGGGGCATCACGGCTTTATACGGCTACCGAGGGAAACACATACACGGAACATTCCCTCCCCGTCGCTACGACGCGAAAGAACCTAGGATCTCGATCCACCCCCCCCCCCGCGTGGTACAAACAACGCGGCACGAGATCATCTGCGGTCACCAACCTAGCTCCGTCCCATTGGGTTCCATCCTCGCCTCTTTTTTCTTCTTCGCAATCGCATAACTATACCCGGTGATCTCTGGATCTCTCTCAATGCGGCCGCAGTAAGTCGTGGCATCCTGCTCTCGTCAATGCCTTCTTCTAATCGCTATGACGTGTCACCATAGACGGGAATACCATATTGTTGTTCTGGGTGCTGGAGGTGTTGGAAAGAGTTGTTTGACTGGTACATACTTCACCTTGGCTCATTTGCCTCTCGCTACAACACCATTGCGCATGCCGCGAAGCAGTAGCTAATTGCTTCACAGCGCAATTCGTTCAAAATGTTTGGATTGAAAGCTATGACCCGACCATCGAGGACTCATATCGCAAGCAGATTGAGGTAGATGTAAGTGGATCCTTTCATACGGAAGCAAATATTTCTTACTAACGTATCTATAATAGGGCCGGCAATGCATTCTGGAAATGTAGGTAGTTCGATGCGAATACAATGGGACATGGAAAGCCGGAAGCTAACCGGGTATTTCGGGGTGTAGTCTTGATACCGCAGGGACAGAACAATTCAGTGAGTGCAGTCTGCCTGAAACTTACTAGTATAGATTATTTTGCTAACAAGATTTATAGCTGCCATGAGGTAAAATGCGACTCGCCTTCCATCTTCTCACACCCACACCATACTAATATGCGTCTCCTCTTCACAGAGAACTTTATATGAAGCAAGGTCAAGGCTTTTTACTGGTCTTCTCCATCACTAGCATGTCATCACTGAATGAGCTCTCCGAACTCCGCGAACAGATAATTCGGATCAAAGACGACGAGAAAGTCCCCCTCGTGATTGTCGGCAACAAATCAGATCTCGAAGACGACCGAGCCGTGCCCCGAGCGCGCGCTTTCGGCCTTTCCCAGAGCTGGGGCAACGCACCATACTACGAAACCTCGGCCCGCCGCCGCGCGAACGTGAATGAGGTATTCGTTGACCTCTGTCGTCAAATCATCCGTAAGGACCTACAGGGCTCAGGCTCCAACAGTGATTCATCCCGAAAGCGCGAAAACGCAAATCGCAACGACCGCAAGAGAGACAATAGATCACAGCGCCGACGTTCCCCGTGTGTCATCCTGTAAATTGGATACAACCACCACATAATACGACCTTCTGGACTTTTCCAGCAAGGACTTCATAGGTTTTTTTTTTTTTTTTTTTTGCAAGTCACGCCTGTCTTTGCTTGCACCTATGCTTTTTTGACGTGCCACATGATTGTTTCTACGCTTATATGCATCTGCGCCTCTTGATAGACTGACGCGTCGCCGCCATTTCTCCCTTTCTCATCTATTATACCATCCATTCTTCGATTCTATGATACACTCTTGAGTGCTCAGCCTTCTCTTTCTTCTCTTTATTTTTTTATTCTTTTCTTTCTTTAATTTTTTTCCTTTTTTCCCCTCCCCACGATCTTGTATACTGAGACGTTTGGTTATTTGGACCCCCTAAAAGTCGATTTTGGTGAATTGCCTATACCATATCTGTGATATCTGACGGCAATTGTTTTCTCTCTCATATTTCATTTCGAAGTTGCTTATGATTCGAGTATTTCTGCCATATTTATCAAAAGAAAAATAGCATGCCTGATTGGTTTTCATGTCTACATTATAGTTGACGATTCTTTTTCGTCCTTTTCTGTTTACATGCGGAACACTCCAAACTTAGTCTGCGCGTCTGGTTCTGGCTTTCCACCGACCGCAGCTGCCAAACCGAGTCCCAGCATTCTTCTTGTCTGTGCTGGTGGAATAACACCATCGTCCCATAGACGGGCCGAGGCAAATACAGCCTCAGACTCGTGGTCGATACGAGACTTGAGAGCTGGATCGACAGTCTTACCAACAGCTTCCATGACAGCGGAAAGTTGCTCGGAGCCCATGACACCGATCTTCGAATTAGGCCACATGAACATCAACCGAGGGGAATAGGCACGGCCACTAGAAGCAAATGTGAGACAAACGAAGTGTAGGGGAAGAGACTCGATGAAATCTTACCACATGCCATAATTTCCAGCTCCAGCACTTGAGCCGAAGACGACTGTGAACTTGGGAACATCTGCACATGCAACAGCAGTCACAAGCTTGGCACCATTCTTTGCAATGCCTCCTTTCTCGGCATCTGCGCCCACCATGAAACCGGAGATATTCTGCAAGAACACAAGAGGAATTCGTCGCTGAGCACACAGCTCAATAAAATGAGCGCCCTTAAGAGACGACTCCGAAAAGAGGATTCCATTATTAGCGATAATGCCAACCCGATGCCCATGGATTCGTGCAAAACCTGTCACAAGCGTAGTTCCGTAGTCGCGCTTGAACTCGGAAAATTCGCTGCCATCGACGATTCGTGCAATTACTTCATGAGCGGGAATCTGTCGTCGAAGATTGACACCGACGATACCGTTCAGTTCAGCAGGATCATAGAGGGGTTCCTTTACGACATCACCAAGCTCCAGTGGTGCATTAGTGGTCGGATAATTGAGATTTGAAACTGAGCGCCTCGCCAAAATGAGTGCATGTGCGTCGTCGACAGCCAGATAATCCGTCACCCCAGAGATAGTAGAATGCAGCTGGCCACCACCCAAATCTTCCGCTGAAACAACCTCTCCCGTAGCGGCCTTCACCAATGGCGGACCAGCCAAGAAGATAGTACCTTGATTCTCAACAATGATTGACTCGTCACTCATAGCAGGGACATAGGCACCACCCGCGGTGCAAGGGCCCATAACAACGGAAAGCTGCGGAATGCCGAGAGAGCTCATCCGAGCCTGGTTATAGAAAATGCGACCGAAATGGTCTCGGTCAGGGAACACATCGGCCTGGTGCGGAAGATTGGCACCCCCCGAGTCAACCAGATAGATACACGGCAATCGATTTTCTTGCGCGATTGCCTGTGCACGAAGGTGCTTTTTCACCGTGATGGGGTAGTATGTTCCGCCCTTGACGGTGCTATCATTTGCAACAATCATACAGTTGACTCCCTCCACCGTACCGATACCAGTAATGATTCCTCCAGCGGGTACATCCTCGCCCTCGTATACCCCGTGTCCTGCGAGCGGGGAGAGCTCCAGGAAGGACGTTCCGGGGTCAATCAAGGCCGAAACCCGATCTCGAGGAAGCATTTTACCCCGTGCAATATGCTTATCTCGAGATTTCTGAGGGCCGCCTTTGGAGATTTCAGTATGCAGGAGGTTCATTTTGGAAAGGAGCTCTTCCATCTGTTGGCTGTTTTCTTTGTATTCGGCCGATGAGGTGTCGACTGCTGTTGGGATGACTGAGAGTGCCGAGGCATGGTGAGGGTGTGTGTAATTAGCGACAGATCTTGATTGGATTCGAATCGTGTTGAACTTGAAGTGTGCTGGTTGACAGTTGCGTTGACCGGCTCGTGAGCATAGGCTCCGCAGGACGAGCGGGGAAGGGGCACGCATTGCGGGGGATAGAGTATTACACTGCCCAGCGGGGGTTTGAAGGGGCGATGCCAGGTGGAAGCGTAGAGTTCAAAGGTGCTCGAGATCAAGAAATGGGGAAGAACATGTAATATTAATCAATCTGGAATATTTAGTTCGAGAGAAAGTGAGAAAGGGTAGCTCGCGGTTCCCCAGATTGTGCGGAGTTGCGATGATTGCCGCGTCTACCCGTCAGCAAAGAAACTACCCTGGCCATGAAATTTACAATGGAGGTATTGTTATTTCCATTTCCTGAAACAATCTGCAATGAAATTAAAAGGCGAAGGCATTTCAGTATAACTTCTCTCATGATCAAATTATTGCAGCGACCGACTCTATACAATTCCAACTTGAAGTGACCAAAGACCAACCAACCAACATGTGTTATGTACTAGTAGCAACTTGAATAGTTTACCACGGCGAAGAGGGGATTTAAAGGCTAAATTTCACGCACGATAAAGCCAAACTGAACATTTGAAGCGATCTGTATATTCAAGACAAAATTACTCTAAAAATGCCAACATAATAACACTAGTGCATGTCTGTAAACTGGTGTATACGGCCGTCACAAACCCCCAGATTACAGTGCAGTTTCTCCGCGCCGAGGACAGCCGCTTCTTGCTCTAGCTTTCTTACATCTCCAACTTGAATACTCTCTCCTTTCACATATTTCTCTTAGACAAATACCAACTTCATACCCATTGCACCCAGTCCTTGCAATGGCCTTCCTTGCCGTCCCATCTCTCTTGCGCACATCCACCCGCTCGTTGCGGCGGACCGCCATCCCCGCACTTGCCCCAGGTTTCGGTCTCGCCCGCAGCGTGTCGACAAAACACCCAGCAGGCTTCACACCCCCGACCGACGATGAGCTTCTAGAGCTCAGAGAACGCGTACAGGACTTCACAAGTATGTTGCTCTGTCTCGTCTTTGACTTTCCATTGTTTTTGACCCCGGCGCAGGGCGAGAGATTCCAGCCGAGGTTGCGGCGCGGACTGATGAACAGAATAATTTCCCTGCGGAGATGTGGAAGAAACTCGGTGATGCTGGGTAAGCTTTGCCACCATTCATGTCAGTCCAGATCACGTATACTGATTAGTTGCTTCTAGCTTCCTGGGTGTTACAGCCGATGAAGCGTATGGTGGATTGGGAATGGGCTACCAAGCGCATTGTGTGGTGATGGAAGAGATTAGTCGAGCATCTGGTCAGTGGTCTATTCAATTATTTGTTGCACAGCGAGGGTGGGAAATATCTAATTCTTATTCTTCTTGCAGGAAGTATTGGTCTCTCTTACGCCGCTCACTCCCAGCTCTGTGTTAACCAACTCTCACTAAATGGAAACGAACAACAAAAGGAGAGATTCTTGCCGGGATTACTGTCTGGTGAGAAAGTTGGCGCCTTGGCGATGTCGGAGCACTCTGCTGGCTCTGATGTTGTTAGCATGAAGACCAACGCAAAGGAGGTGGATGGTGGCTGGCTATTGAATGGAACGAAGATGTGGATCACCAATGTACGTCCTTGGGTATTGCGGATTGATCACGCGGAGATATTGACAATTCGCTTTGCAGGGTCCTGAAGCCGATTTTGTGGTTGTCTACGCGAAGACACAACCTGATAAGGGTTCCAAGGGAATCACCGCCTTTGTTGTAGAGAAGGGCTTCGAGGGCTTCTCTTGTGCTCAGAAGCTGGACAAGCTTGGTATGCGCGGTTCTAATACCGGTGAACTTGTCTTCGACAACGTCTTTGTTCCTCGAGAGAATGTTCTGGGCCAGCTAAACCGTGGTGTCCGAGTTTTGATGGAAGGCCTCGACTTGGAGAGACTTGTCCTGAGTGCGGGACCACTTGGGTATGGTTCCTTGCTTTCACCTTTCCCATCCTACTAGTATACGTGTATCAGTGTACTGACTTCAACCCAGAATTATGCAAGCTGCCATGGACCTTGTCCTCCCTTATACGCATACCCGCAAACAATTTGGCACTCCAATTGCTCACAACCAATTGATCCAGGGCAAGCTTGCAGATATGTACACCAAGCTTGCTGCTTCAAGGGCATACACCTACACTACAGCACGCGCGGTAGACAACGGTGCTGCATCATATGATCCACTGGTTATCCGCACCCAGGACTGTGCTGGCGCAATTTTGTATGCCGCTGAGCGCGCAACAGAGTGCGCCTTGGATGCCATCCAGCTGATGGGCGGGAATGGATACATTAATGAGATATCCGCAGGGCGGTTGCTTCGAGATGCAAAGTTGTACGAGATCGGAGCGGGAACAAGTGAGATTCGACGAATGGTCATCGGTCGAGCGTTCAATAAGGAATATGCTTAGGATTAGAGGCGCATATAAGAAGACTTATCCAGATGTGTGCATATTAAGTAAGATCATTTGATCCAGATGTCTCCAATAAACTCTCTTCGAGTCAAGATGCATTGAAATGTTCCTTCAATCGTACTATTCATCATAAGTCGTGAGTGAAGATGTTTCACAGATATAAGACAACCAGCAAATCCACATCCCATACACACTACTTTCTCTGTCTGGCAGAACGGCGTACAGGACCAGACGAACCCGCATCGTCCTCGCTCTTATCCAAAGCAACCCGCTTCGACCGACTTCTCGTCGAATTATCGCTCGGTTTGTTCTTCGTTTCCTTCACGGGGGTCGGGTTCTGAGCCTCAGCCTTGCGCTTGCGACCCCGTTTCACAGGAATCTCCACCGAAATCCGCGGAGCCTCCTTGGGCGACTGGCCAGGCTCAGGGGTGGTATTCGAAGCCTCCCCAGCATCCACACTCCCATTCGGAACGGATGACTCAACATCAGACATGGGATCCTCCTCCTCCTCCTCCTCCTCCTCCTCCTCTTCGCCCTCTTCACTACCCCCATCCTCCTCATCAGCATCGTGTAGAATCTCCTCATCATAATCGCCGTGATCGTCCTCCTCAACACCAGATGAAACATCCTCCGCCTGGGGCTCCGGTCGGCGTCTCTTTCTCAAACGCGACTTATCCAGCGCAGGCTGGGCAGATTTGAAGATCTCCCTCCAGTCCTGCAGGAAGGCGACCTTGTCCAACTGGCCCGGCTCATAGATCTGCACAGAGACATCAGTGTCTCTCTCCAGGCTATCGGTTTTCCACACGACACCCTGGAAAGAACCGAGGTCGAGTTTCAAGGGAAGGGGTGCGCGGGCGGCGTGGGTGTGGGCGCGACCCTTCTTTGTCTTCTTCGTCGCGGGCTCGGTTTTGGCACGGGCCTTGCTTTGCGCTACGGTCGGGTCGTCGTCATGGTAGTCATCTGAGTAGTAGTCCCAGTCACTGAAGTAGTCCTCTACTTCAATGCCCGGGTCTTCGTACAGAGCCGCTTCGTACCAGGAGGATGCGGCGAGTTCATCCTAAGGAGAGAGCGGGATTGTTAGAGAGTCTGTTTGCTCCAAATGTCCACGGTGTGCAAGTCCAGAGTAATGCAGTGCTATCCAATGCTTGCATGATTTATGGACGCAGTGACAGGATCAAAGGGGGCGTGATTCCAGAAACTTACGACTAGATCCGGGACAGCGTCCTCGTAGACGTAGTCTTCTTCAAAGTCATAATAATCCTCATCGTCGGACATGGTTGCGGGTAGCGGTCAAGATGTGGCGATGATCCAGAGAAAGCGAGAGAGGTTACAGAAACAAATTCGAATAGCGAGGGACCTCGGAAACAGGCCGTGCAAAATTGATGTATATATAGCGCATAGGCAATGCAACAGTCGAAACGAAGGTGCAGCTGAGAATGTGAAGATCGGGGCTGATCTTTTGCAGGAAAGAGGAGCCTGGCTAATGTAAGCCTTGGCATTTTTTCTGCGTTCACATTTTTTTCATCTTTTCTATATTGGAGTCCATGGACCCCATCAACTTATGGCCCCGATTTGTTTCAGCTGGTCTGGACCCCGATAAGATGACGCTTAATGAGAAGGCTAGTAGCAGTATTTATATCATTTGGAATAAACTTGATTTATAGTTTCTATTTATATTGGATCAAGTACTCTATCGATTCCATGCTATGTTTTTGTGCATTGGGGATTAGTTATCGCTCTGTATAAGGGGTTTGCGGCATCTGATTGGTTTGTCGAACTATACAATCCAGATGTCCAGATGTCCTCAACTTCTCAGCCAAGTACAGGACATCTGGATGAATTTACTGTTGTTCAAACTCTAGGACTGAAAATGTGGCCTACTTTAATTTCCATCATCCCAGACTTGAATCACATATATACCTCAGTTGGTAGCCCTGGAGTATTCCCAAATTCATCTTTAGTGGTGACTTGAACGTTTTGTCTCCAGAAGCATTCCCGCATCCCTGCATGTGTTCAATACCAACAAAGTATCGGACTTCTGGCCATTAATCAAGTCCAAGTAATGATCATAGGCTGCTTTTTTTGAGTTAAATCCATGGTTTGTCTTGCATGGCTTGCAAATGAAGCATTTGAGGAAGCAAGGGTCAAATATTGAACTCCCATTCTAAGATTTAATTCTAGAGAGGGGGAAGCAGACCGGAACTTTGGAGAGCCTTGAGAAAAGAGACCACAGGAGAAAATGGCCCTGAATCAGTGATAGTCAGATCCATCTCTCTTGTGAAAAGACACCACCTGACCCTTGAACACGTGAAAGTTCCCTGTGAGATTTGATTTGCTTGTATGTACCTCTTGCATATGATATACCACACACACGCGTATATTCATGCACTCCATTCTTGGACACGTAAGGGAAAATAGATGCACTCCAGATATGTAATACAGAACGTAAAAAGAGGTTGGCCAAAAAAAAAAGCAAACAAGGTGATAGTTCAAATGCAGGTTCAGACCAACGGAGACTTCTGAAGACGGAGAAGATAATTTTTAACTTACTACTAGTAGGTAGGTGTATACAGTGGTAATCTGATCTTTCATGGTTAAAAAAAAACAACATTGAATCTGAAATTCACCCCTGTGTTGACTATATGGCTATGTCAAAGTATTGGAGAAATGCCCACAGTGTTGAGTTTGGATTTGCATGTTTTTCTTTGTCTATCTGATGAATGCAAATCAATTTACACAAGATACCCAGATGTTGTGCAACTTGGGCTCACATATTTGACTCGTAAACTTTGAGCTTCGTAGATTTATATTAAATTCTCCAGAGCGAAGCTTATTCGCTTCGAGACATAACTGGTTCTATCCTACTAGTAGAGTCTCAAGTTACACATAATGAGAGGGTATTTCCAAGGGTTGCGCTAACATCGAGCGCTCCCATGTTCGGAACTATTGAGCTCACGATACACCGAAATGCAAAAGACATCACATAGTATCTGCAAAAGCTGAATCTCAAGCACTCGATCTCTAAGCCCTTTACCTGCCCAAGCTTGAGCTGTAGTCTTCAATGTTCCAAGATAGGCTTATGCTTAGTAGTATGTATTGAGAGCATTGGCCGACCACCTACAACCTACTATCTTGCCCTTGACCAATGATGCCGTTATATGAGCGTATATGAGCAAATGGTAGACATCCAACTAGCAAATTATAACCTCAGAAGCTACCCACCTGCGCAGGTTTACCACCTCAACCAGACGCCAATCTTGCAAATTCATGGTTATCTTCGCCTCGGAAGTTTCTGAGGTTCCGAAAAATAGTCTAATGCTTGAACATTATTGATTATTTTTACTGTAGCACGAGGTCACTGACGTACATCCAGAGCATTCGAACAGATCAGATATGTAAAAAATAGATACTACCTACCAGCAGGTACCAGTAGGTACTATTGATACACGTTCAATGTTCCAAGGGCGTACCTCATTAGATCCTGCAGCTCCACCCTAGGTCACACTGAATACTAGCGTTGACTGAATATGACCTTGAGATTGATGCATCTAGTATAGCTGATCTCAAGCACAGTCTGTGCATTCGTCGACTCCATGGTCGCAGCAAATCACTGTGATTCGTAAATGATCAGCCATCTATGCACGAGTGTGGACCGTGGTTCATGGTACAACATACCTGCACTTGTGCATATGCTGTTGCGGGATAATCTTTGAATGTGTGCTACATAGTAGCCTCCCATCGTCTAGATCCAGGCCAAAGTGGTACCGGTCCCGGGTCGACGATGCACGATGTTCCTCCCTCCGAATGCTTCCATCTTGGTCCCTACTAGTATCACTTACCAAGTGCAGAAAAAGCAAAGATAGTGGGAAGGAAGAAAAACATGTATAAATACTAAGAGGTGCTCTCTCGGTGAAAAAGAGAGCAAGCAACTTTTAGAGCGATCAATTGATCCCTCGCCAGCTTGTACACATCGTCTGGTTCTTTATTCATCAAAATGCCTTACAACGCCAGAGTCAAAGAGCTTCCCGAGATAGCCTTCAGAGGTGGTCTTGTGGACCCTCGGGCTGATCACCAGCATTCCTTCAACAAGCGAATTTCCTGCCGTGACGTTACCGACTTCATCTCCAATACTGCCGAGGTCTCACCTTTGGAGTTGCGTGACAAGAAGGCTGCTGCCAAGCACACCAGCGACTCTCGAGCCCGTCTTTACAAGATTCTCGCCCGTACCAACGAGCTCAGTCGTCCTTTGGCAGTCAAGTGTTCTGACCAGCCCATTTCCGACCTCCTCCCGGGCCTCATCGTCAGCGGTGGCTTGAGTCGCTCGCCCGCTTTTGATTGTCTGCCTGTCGTCTCTCATTGGGGTGAACGTACCGGTGACTACTCAGCCGAAGATCCTTCTGCTACTGTCCGTCTGACTTCGACCTGGAACACCATCCATGTCCGCGGAGAAGGTCTCACCCGAGAATCTCCACACGGAGCCCCATGCTGGACCCTGAAGAGCCACGGTCTCGGTCCAGTCGAGCCCGAATCGGGCAAGTTCTCCCAGCAGTATGACTCTGAAACCGACACGCTGACGACCACGGTCAACTTGCCGCGTCGTGCTGATACCGTCCACACAAAGGGCGTGCTTGGTGCTGCCTCAAGCATTTCATGGATTCGCAATGCCCGTGTGGCAGATGCGGTCGACTGTGCTATTGGCCTGTTGGCGGACGCTTCCGTTCTCCTAAAAGCCCGTGACAAAGTCATTCTGTCTGGAAAGACTGAGAGCCTTGAATTTGCAGAAGTGCGCAAGGCCGAGATCCCTACTTGGTGTAATGCTCGCAAGCCTTTGGCTCCCAAGCTGAGTGGTGTGGCCGACTCGCCAGATGAGTTTACGGATGCGCTCTTTGCAGCGGAAGCGTGCGAAGGCCCTCTGATAAACACCAGTATCTTTTCCATGTCAGTTGGTTACAACCGCGGTGTCTATGGTGGCTCCATCTCTGGTCTGTGGGCTGTCATGGACTCAGCCTTTGTATTGGATTACTCCATCGGCACGGATAGCTCTGCAATGGCAGACAGACTTTCTTTTGCTTTCGCCGAAGTGACTGCCTCTGCTGAAGCATCTTCCTCTGCCGGTCCCCACATCGACGATATCCGCATCGTCAAGGGCTGCAACTACGGATGCTTGCGCCAGAAGACTATCCTTGAGGACAATGATCCTGTCGAGTCCAGCCCCTGTCTGGTTGTCTGGAGCGATCTCGATCGCCTTGCTCGTTACAAGCTCGCTGACGCGGTCTTCTGCCACGTCTACTACGACTCTGGTGGTGGTGAGCAAATGGCTGCTATTGCCGGTCTTGGATGCGTTGCACACGATTGGATTGACCTCGGAGCTGATGTGTCCTGTGGTGAGGTTTCAAATATCATCCCCTCTCTGACCCGAGGCTCTCTGGAAGAGGAGCCATTGGCCGAGGTTTACTCGCGCTTGATCGGTGCCATGATCTGGTACCGCAACAACGACCCTTACAACCCGGCCGCCCTCTGCCTCCTCTTCACTCACTGGTGGCAGCTCTCCAACTGTCGTCACCGCCCCGTCACTCTCCTCGGCCGTACTGACCACGGCCCCGAGGCAGCAATTGCCCCCACCATGCCAGATGGACGTCCAGAGCTGGAGCACTTCCGCGCCAACGGCACTCGAGTCGAGCGCGGCCAGGGCCCTCTCTCCAGTGCCGAGGCACGTCTTGAGGCCCTCGTCTCTGGTAACATTCTACCGGAGACTCGTGCTGTTATTGACCACTTGGTAAACCCTGTTCTCGCTTACGTGAAGGGTGGTGATACTCTGCCCTCTGAGAGCGAGTATGTTGGAACCGTCCTCGCTGCTGAGACAGCTTATCCCCACGGACAGAAGATTATGGAGCTGTGGGATCTTGCTATCGTTATGTGGGAGTGTGGAGCAATGTGGTCCGCTGGTGTGGCTGGCCTTTGCTACACTCACACCGGAAAGGCCAACTGTGACCGTGCCCGTCACGATTTGGCTGATCATACCTGGACTTAAGTGTGCCGCCATTGACCGGTCAAAACAAGTTCCAATGGATGAATTGCTCGAACTTGGTGGAATGCGATACAGGCAGCTCCAGCAAAGACATTCGATTTCAGCCATTTTCCAACCATTATTCCAAAGCCAATATAGGCGGGGGGTCTTTTAAGTAGCTTTAGGTCCTTGCTTACATCGAGGATTCACACTACCAGTACCTACCACTGTCATTATTTGATAATAAAACCACAAACACAATACCAAATCTCACAGATTTCAGAAAAGTTGCTTTGAAGTAAAGGTATTGATATTATGGAGGGAATTGACCCTTCGAACTCCAAGAGTCATCACATCAATTCTTCAACTGAAGTTGAAACATTTGTACTATACTGAGGGTCTCTCTATACGTTCTATTTATCGCAGAACGACATCACAATGCTGAAATAAAACAATCCTCTAAATAGGCACCTGCTCATTCTGCCCGCTTAAGTTGAGATAATCAGTCGTGTTTCCTGCAGCATTACCCTCAGTGGGAATACTAGCAGCCTTGCACACATCATATTGCTGTTGGGGAATAGACACCCGCTCCTGAATCTGCAGAGGCGCTTCAATAAACGCCATAGCCAATCCCTGCATCAAATGCCAGTCAATATGACAATGGAAAAACCAGACACCGGGGTTATCCGCAACAAAGCGGACAACAAAGTAGCCCTGTGGTGGAGCAACAAAAGTATCTCTGCGAGCAGGGATCTTAGGGAAAGCAGTATGATTTGAAGGATCATAGGTAACGCGGTAGTCGGTATCCGCATAATCGAAGAAGTCTTTGCCGTAGGATGGATAACGATCAATGAGCTGGAAGTTGTGACCGTGCAAGTGGAAGGGGTGTGCGCCCGTGTCATTGTTGTTGACGACCACCTCAACAATCTGGTTGTGACCTAGAACGGTTGGGTGGGTGTACGTTCCATAGACTTCGGGGTTCGTTGCAAGATCGCCGGAAGACAGGACTGAGAACAGGGTTGGAACCTTAGGCTTGGTGTACGAGATGTTATTGAAGTACGCGTAGCCGTCGCCGTTACTAGCTTCCTGCATGACAACATTGACTGTGATGCTGATGTCAGGCTCGGGAAGAAGCTCCATTTGGTCGTATGCATAGAGCTTCATGTCATCGAATGGATAAAGGTCCGCAGAGGAGCTGACATTCAGCACAGCTTGAAGGTGGGCAGCTTCTGCGTCGTATTGTAGCCAGTTTGTCTGGTTCAGCTTGAGAGTATCGGGAATAGAGTCAAGTAATAGAGAGTCGGCGACCATAACAATCGGATAGTTCTTGTTTGCGGTGCTCTTGGTAGTAACCAGAATGGAATACCGCTGGGCAACGCCGATATACAGCAAATCTGCCTCCGTAGGCTCCGTATACACGCCATCAATCTCCACAATGCGGAAAGAGTGGTCTTCAATATAAAAATATTGGCTGACAAAAGCACCAATGTTGATCAGACGAATCAAGTAGGTCTTATTAGGCTCAACTGGGAGAATTGAGTTCAACGTATCATTGAACAAGAACGCGTTTGGAACAGGCTCATCACCATCCGGATTTGTAGGGGATAGGAATGAATAGCGAAGATCTTCCGTCATGTTGTGATACCAGTCACTCATGGTCACGACCATTTCGCCATCAACCTCATCATTGAAATATGCATCTTTATCATGGACAATAAGCGCCTGGCGCTCTCCATCGGGATAACACCAATCGGTGTGGCAATGATACCAGTAAGTGCCGACCTGGTCCACCGTAAAGTTATATGTAAAAGAGGAACCAGGCATGACAGGGCATTGAGTGACCATCGAAGGACCGTCCATGTTGTTGGTGCCGTTTTGGTACATGCCATGGAAGTGAATACTCGATCTCTTGTCCCCAAGACCATTGTGCATATTGACCACAAGCTGGTCCCCCTTTTCAACCTCAATGACAGGTAGCGGCCATTGACCATTCACGCCAAGCACTTTGCGATCATGGAGGCCATCCGGATTCGCCGTTACCCAAGTAAGATTGAAATCATACGTGACGATTTTGGCCTGGCAGAGCTGGAAACAGAGCGCCACGGCAATGCTGCCCAGCAGTCTCATGGTTAAAGCCATGAGAACGGGTCACAAAGAACACTAGGTGTGAGTAAAAAAGGATTTTGTATGTACAAAACCTCGGAGGGGTTGGGACGCCAGGGGCATTTTTACATTGAATTTCACCCGAGATGAATCCCGATGAAACTCCACATTGTGCCTGACTTGCTTTTGCCTTTGGTTATCTGATCGAAGATCTTCCTCTGGCTTACCAGACGGGAAACTCTAGTCCCACATGGTTGTTGTGTTCGGTCAATCGTGTGCTCAGGTACCAGGGGAAAGGTGGAACTATCGTCATCTGATTCCATTGCGGCAATCGGTATGTCGATCAACGGGATGGCGTGCCGTTGCAAAGGCTTGAAACAAGTTTGAAGCTTCCAGTGCCGACACTATGTGGGTGCGCACAGAGCTTGGCTATCCTCAAATGTTTGTACTTCAAATGTACTCCGTACTGAGTTATTTACAGGCCCTTGGACAGCAACCTATCCAGATGCCTTGGGGCGGGTAGTTGGTCGTACCGCAAAGCTTAACTCTAAACTAGAAGTGCCTCACAGATCTGATATCAATATCAATTTTATTCTGGAATGTCTTTATCCATAAAAAGCTGCTTATTGGTTTTTTTCTTGCTAGGGAATAGAATGTGGCCACCTTCCTACTAGAGTATACACTGAAAATCGAATTATGGAACTCGATCTGCATACACTCGAATATGTATGTAATGTAAAAGCCCCAGTGGGGTTCGGTACCTGACTTGATTTAGTGGTGCCACACGGAGTATTTGCAATAGAGATTAATTATGCTATCTGTACTAAGGATCTACCTTTTATATGACTCACCTTTCAATCCTACACAGTTATTATTCTTTTTACCCCATCATCGAAGATATCGAAGGCGGTAATGTTTTAAAAGTCGCTCACGGTCCTATAACGTCTTTCTGCCGTGATACCAAATGTGGTGAGAAATAAAAGAGTCGGGCGCGCACTGTTACATTCATGAGACCATTATTTAAACTCACATCTCCATAATTTTATCCAACTGCATTGTCTTTTTTCATCTTCAGTGTAACTGCTAGCGAACTGGCTAGTCTTGGCATGGGAGTTCCCTTGTATTATGTCAGCCTCGGCTTTCCCCGCATCTCGCTTTGCGTCGGCTCAAGCAGGCTTGAAGTAATCCCCAAAGCCAAAAAGACCGCCCTTCTTGGTGCTTTCACTTTTCCTTTCCTTTGAATTCGATTATGAATATGTGCTGAGCCCCATCACAAACGAGTGGATGACTCTATCTAGCAGCGACATCAACCGTTGCACCAAATCTCCAACATGACCCTTTCATCCCTTCTCCGCATTACTCCCCGCCTCGCTCCGACCGCAGCCCGGAGGACAGTCCGAGCTGTGTCCTCGTTATCTGGCACGAATGCCACCCCACAGAAGTCATTGGACTCAATATTAATTGCTAACCGAGGAGAGATTGCACTGTACGTATAAGCCATTATAGAACTATAAGTTACTACCGAAGCGATCCACAAGACCAAAGCTCATTATCATCTAGGCGCGTTGGCCGGACTGCTGCGGAGCATGGAATTCGCGTGACGACCCTCTACACAGACCCAGATAGTCGATCCCAACACGCCTTAAGCTCGCCATTTGCATTCAACTTGGGCTCCGTGTCAGCTTATTTGGATGGAGATCGAATTATTGAGATTGCGAAAAAAGAAGGATGCCGGGGTATACACCCTGGATATGGATTTGTGAGTGAAGACGATAAGGCTGAACTGAGTTTCCCAGTGAATCAGTGGGTGCTGATGCTCTCCAGTTGAGTGAAAATTCCGCCTTTGCCAAAAAATGCACCGAAGCTGGGCTCGTATTTATTGGGCCCCCATGGAAAGCAATCGAGGAGATGGGCGATAAGAGGTATGTGGTCACTCACTTCTTCGGCTTTTTGCATATTCTTACCAGATGATTGCCCTTAGTCGCTCTAAGGAAATCATGCTTGCCGCGGGAGTGCCTTGTGTCCCTGGGTATCACGGCCAAAATCAAGACCCCCAATTCCTCGAAGCCGAGGCCGATAAGATTAAATATCCGGTTCTCATCAAAGCCATTAAAGGTGGCGGTGGAAAGGGAATGCGTATCGCCACTTCCAAAGCAGAGTTCCAGGCACAACTTGAGTCTGCAAAGTCAGAATCCATGAACTCATTTGGAGACGACAATGTATTGGTGGAGAAATACATTACCACACCGCGGCATATTGAGGTTCAGGTATTCGCAGATAAGCATGGGAATAGCGTCGCACTGGGCGAACGAGATTGCAGTATTCAGCGAAGACATCAGAAGATCCTAGAGGAGTCTCCTGCACCACATCTGCCAGATGCAACTCGCAAGGACATCTGGGCGAAGGCTCGATCTGCCGCATTAGCGGTAGGATACGAAGGCGCGGGTACTGTGGAATTTATTTTTGACAACGATTCGGGTGAATTCTATTTCATGGAGATGAACACGCGGCTCCAAGTTGAGCATCCTGTGACAGAAATGGTTACAGGACAGGACCTGGTGCACTGGCAGATCATGGTGGCGGAAGGATCCCCCCTACCGCTTACGCAGGAGCAAGTGGAAGAGCAGATCGCTCGTAGCGGCCATGCAATCGAAGCCCGGATTTACGCCGAGAATCCAAACCAGGGATTCATTCCCGACTCTGGGCGCTTAATTCATGTACGAACACCCACCACCACAGATGATGTTCGCATTGATGCTGGATTTGTCGAGGGCGATGATGTCTCTGCACACTACGATCCCATGATCTCCAAGTTGATTGTTCGTGGCGAAACTCGCGAGGAAGCTATTCGCAAACTGGGCGCTGCGCTAGAGCAGTACGAGGTCGCGGGCCCCGTGACGAACATCGAGTTCCTCAAGACCATCTGTCGCAGTCCAGATTTCATATCCGGAGACGTTGAAACTGGGTATATCGAGAAGCACCGAGAGGAGCTGTTCGCCCCAAAGCCGATTGAAGATGAGACCCTGGCTCAAGTTGCTTTAGCATGCCTACACCGTGATATTCACTCATCTGCCAGGCCTTCCAACGGGCTTGCTGGATCTGCAGTTGGATTTGCTCCAAGCTTTATGCAGCGACAATTGTCGTTCATTGAATCAACAGGATCCACGGGTGAAGGAACTACCTTCCACATTAGTGTTCAGCAAACTGCCGATCACACATTCAACATTACAGCCGGGGGTAGAGTCTTTGAGCAAGTCGAGAGCCGCATGGATCCGGAAACACACGTGGTGACATCTTTCTTCCCACATACTCGGCTCGATACCACAGTGGTCCAAGAGGAAGACACGATCATCGCATTCCAGCGAGGTGTGCAATATCGCTTGGCCGTACCGCGTGCGAAGTGGATGGAGAAGGCTCTGGGGATGAAGGACATTGCGAACAGCGTACTGGCTCCAATGCCTTGCAAGGTGCTTCGAGTGGAAGTCCAGGCTGGCGATGTGGTTGAAAAGGACCAGCCACTGGTGGTTATTGAGAGTATGAAGATGGAAACAGTGATTCGCAGCCCCCACCAGGGAACAATTGCGCGTGTCGTGCATAAGCAAGGGGTAAGTCACTTTTCTTGGGGATCCGGACCGAAAGCTCATACCCATAATTCCACTGGGTGTATTCATCACCTCGACTAAACAATGCTAACTGTACCCTATAGGATCAATGCAAGAGCGGCACGCCCTTGGTCGAGTTTGCCGAAGAGCAAGAATAAATCCGAAAGAGATGCGAGATTAACGATAAGTGCCTTACTCTATAGAGTAATTTCTAGGTTCCAAGATTATCACAGTGTTCAAAGCTTGGGAAGTATTTTTGCACAATATTTAGGCCTCTTCATCAATAGGCGCTGCTTCGATTGTAGAGCCCTGTAGCGGAAAGAGTCGAGCTATGTAGTATTTCATTAAGATTCTAGTTTCATCCGATCACATTTTCAGAGTTAATGAGCTGTCACTCGTGTCTTCAATGTCCTCGTCACGAGGACCGCCAACAGTAATCGCGATTCGCAAGGTACTTTTGGTTCAACAAGACCAAACCCCGCTAAGTAGTGGGCCAGTGGCTCCGCAGGTCCACTGCGGGGAGTTTACAGTCCCGGGTGTTTTACTCAGGTTCATGGAACAATTCCATGGCAATCTATAATTGGCCTTCTGAGAGAGAATCCGAGATCCATCTTTCTCATAATTTCGACGTGTCGCGCATCCCATGGCTCATTGGCTCCATTTGGAGAAGCTCTCAGCCACTTGATTTCCGATGGAGAAAACAAGATCTGATCAGCTGGATTTTTTTCATGTAGCACCCCCTCACCATATTTTTCTGTTTCTTTCATTCAATTACCCACCCCTTTCTTCGATTGCTCACCCCAAGAGAATTATTTCACTTGGATCTCCTGTCTCGAACTTCACTTGCGCAAGCTTTTACGATGTTCAACCGCCTGGCCACTTGTCCCATCAGGGCCATCAACAACTATTCTCCGTTTGCTAGGCTTTCAAATACGCCGAGACCAGCTACTACATGCTTCGTCAAATCACTGTCCTCCACCGCGACGCATCTTCAAAACAAGAATGACAATGCCAAAGACCTCAATACCGCAGCAACCACCCAGGCTCCTCGTGGAGCTTCGGGGGGCCAAGAAGGTCAATTTGCCCGCACAGATGACAGCATGCAGATTGAATACCCACCGGACAGCGAAATGCCCGCACAGCCGATTGTTCAGGGCCGTGGTGGAATGCACTACAAGCGCACACTAGCATCATTCTCTCTTGAGAAGAAGGTCAGCTTGGTAACCGGCGGTGCGCGTGGATTGGGACTTGTCATGGGACAAGGCTTGATAAATTCTGGCTCGGATTTGGCCATTGTTGACTTGAACAGTATGCATTAAGTCCCGGGCACGCAAAATGGTATATACTAACTCTCAAGGTAGAGGCAGAAGCAGAAGAGCAAACAGAGAAGTTGATTGAGCAGTTCCGCAAAGAAAACCCTGGCATTGAACAGTAAGTGAGCTTTGTTCTGATTACATCTCCAATATTCTCCGCCTAGAACCCTCGACTCGAATGTGGAGATGCAGTGCTGAATCAGACAACGTACCAGAATGCCCAATATCACCGCACATTACGCCGACGTCGCTGACCCCGACTCCGTGAGCGAAGCCCTGGCTGAAGTTTTAGCCAAACACCAACGGATTGACAACCTCGTCACCTCTGCAGGCTTTACCGAGAATTTCGATGCCATCAACTACCCTTTTGACCGCATGAAGAAGCTCTGGGGCGTCAATGTGGATGGAACATATCTTTTTGCGATCGGAGTCGCCAAGCATTTGATGGAGCGCAAGGCACCAGGCAGTATCGTCATGATCGGCTCCATGTCGGGTGCCATTGTAAATGTACCCCAGCCCCAGGCTCCTTACAATGCTGCCAAAGCAGCTGTGCGCCATTTGGCTGCTTCGTTAGCAGTTGAATGGGCTGGTCATGGTATCCGGGTGAATTGCATTAGCCCTGGCTATATGCTAACTGCGCTGTAAGTCGGATGTATAAAGGGATCCAGTACTTGGTGCTGATAGTGTTTTTTGTTTCCTTTAGTACTCGCAAGATCCTCGACGAGAACCCGCAACTTCGCGACCAGTGGACTTCTCTCATTCCCGTCGGGAAGATGGGGGTGCCGGAAGACTTGATGGGCGCTGTGACTTTCTTGCTTAGTGATGCATCGAAGTATGTCACCGGCGCCGAGCTTCGTGTGGATGGTGGATACACAGTTACTTAAGGGCATTTTGGATATTTAGGTTACTTGTTTTTGACAAGTACGTGGTCTTGAAGAAAGGTCCGGTTGAATCCATTCTGAGTAAAACTTGTAAATGACTAGCATCTTAATTGAATTTCCCCTGGTCTTTCCTGTCTATTCAGTTGACGAGTCTTATGATCTTCTGAGCTTAGTACCTATACGGGTTAAATAAGTAGGTGAGAGCCTAGAGGACCACCTTGTGCCAGCATGCAACGGTAGGACATACTAGTTCCTAGTCCACTCTCTGTGCACCAACCATACTGCTCGCCAAGTGCCAGGGTTCATCAGACGTGTCGTATCTTGTTTAACCAAGCCAGTGGCGCATATGTACATGTACAATGGGCATCACGCCACCTAAATGAAAAAGATCTGCGTAGGTAGTCTGTAGGTAGTCCGACGTCGGAGCTTCTTGCCCGTTTCTATACCCTGTTGGCGATGATCCTCCCGCCCCGTTGCCGATCCATCTTTTATCTCCGACGACCGTTCCTTCAGGAATAATCTCAATATGACCGCACCAGGGCAAAAAGATTACACGGCGGTTGATCCCCACATCCATGAAGACCTTTTTAAGAAGTATTTTCCCTCATCCCCATAGAATGCGGATGTCCATACCCCAAATTGACCTAACCTGACATCACTTCTCCAACCACCATGCGCTCCCCCTTCCTATCGGTGCTGGCAGCCACATCAGCCCTTGCAGTACAATCAAGCACATTGTTCAATTTCACCAGTGGAATCGACATCGAAAATAGTGAGCTGCGTCCCAATGGTCACATCCTTCTCACCACTTTTGAGAAAGGCGGCCTCTACACCTTAAATCCATATGCAAAAGAGCCGGAAGGAGAATTGGTCGCTTCGCTCCCTGGTGCCACAGCTCTCTGTGGTATTACAACAATCGCACATGACAAATTCGCCATCATAGGCGGTGTCCGTGGCAGCTACCACTATGACAACGAAACTATATACACAGTCGACTTCAGCCAGAATTCCTCGAACCCCATCATTGAGAAAAACGCTCATCTCCCCGATGCCGTCATGCTCAACGGCATGGCTGCACTCCCCAAACAGCCTCACGTCGTTCTCATTGGCGATGCAGTCCTCGGCGTCCTTTTCCGTTTGAACACAGCAACTGGAGCGTACAAGGTCGCATTCAACAACACCGCACTTGCCTCTCCGTCTAATTCCCCAATGCCCATTGGCGTCAACGGATTGAAGGTTGTTGGGAATAGTGTGTATTTTACAAACAGTGCCACTGGGGTCTTCGCTAAGGTGCCCATCAGCGAGGATGGGGAGATATTCGGCGATGTGGAGGTTGTTGCTACTATGGATATCAGCATTGGAGATTGGGATGACTTTATCGTCGACTCTAATGGTGTTGCTTACATTGCTCAACCTACCCTTGGGATCGCGCGGGTTTTCCCGAATGGTACACATGGTATTTATGCGAAGGGCATAGCTTCGGCCACTTCTGTTCAGATTGCGGAGGGTGGATATGCATACGCGACGCAGAGTGATGGCTTGGTGAACAAATTTCAGCTTCCGTTGAACACGAGATTGGCGGAGGGCGAGTATTGAGTGTGACGTGTTTATGACAAGGCTTCTCATGTGACAAGATACATTGTACATGCACAATAACGAATTGAAGTCCGCAACTGCCTGAGTCTCGAAAGTTGAGATTGTTTTCAGGTGTTAGTCAGCCAACTTCGTAAGTGGCGCTTCAGTGAACCAGGTCCACCATACACTGGCATACAGTATACTCAATTTGAAGAGTCAAGTGGGTCCAGTTAGCCAATGCGGGGATATCAAGGGGGAAACATCTTCCCCTTTCCCGCAAACAAAGAGCTTACGTCGACATTCCACCAATGCACTGCCTCATTGCTTCCAAGTCAACTTCCAAGCTTTTTTCTTTTCACTATCGGCAAGATGCATTAGTCTTGGACATGAAAGGGAGGATGAAACATCCTAATGTACCTCCGTAAACCGTAGGATGTACTTTACTAATTTCAAACTCCAGTTGGGCATTTTGGTAATTTTTCCCCTCAGTAGCCTCCGCTGGTCCATACAGAGTTAAAAGGAGTAGATTTTTCTCCAGCAGTTGCGACGAGTTTTGTGGGGTTTTTGACTTAACTCCAGGTCTTTGAAACCCGATACATAAGCTGTGGGGCCCCAGGTTGCAAGGTTGCAAGGGGCAAAAAGTCGTGGAATGCGGATGTGGGGAGCGGAGTTCAGCGGAGGTCTCAGGCATGCAATCGTTCTCAGATTTTGCCTGAATTTGTCACAGCTTGAGAGATGAGACTGTCGTAAGTTACCTTGAAAGAGGGTTTTATCGCTCAGTTCATGGCCTTTAAAACACTAGTCCCGGCCCGTCCCGAATGTCCCTCGTTTTTTGTTTCTTCAGATCGGAGTGAGATATCGAGATATCTTCACAAAAGCTTCTATGATAGGCGGAGTTGTCTTAGCATCTTGAGTCAGACTTGACCCATGGGTTGATTGCCGATCTTACCTTGGAGGTACGTTGATCTGGATACCTTCTCCGGACATAAATGTCGGAGCTCTTCACCCTTCAAATAATCCCTGTCCATATCTGAGAGGTCCAGACTCCTGCAAATCTGTCAACGTGTGGAAATCCTTCTCTGCTATCGGAGTCTGAGATTCAAGCACCTATATACACAGCACAGGGCTTGATTCTTCCCGTATCCCCCTTTGACCTGCATCTCATGCATGATCCTTGATGTTTGATGGTATTTACCCCGCGAATAAAGCCTCTTTGTCTACGTTTGCATGATTCTGCCCCGCGACCAGGATCAACCTATCCCCAAACTGATACCTCCAAAATCCCCGTCAACTCACATTTTCCATCCTACGGTTCCGCGTCTCTCTAGGAATTTCCAATATATTCCAACTTCCAGCCCCTTTCTAACGATGTGTTAGCCCCCTTCGGCATTTTCCAACTCGACCCTACAACTAAGGGCGAGTGGAACACAAGCCTCGCTTTGAGCAATCCTCGGATGTTGTAAGCTTCAAGTTGGAACACACTTGACAAATTCAAAATGTCGCAAAAGATTGCAAACAGTCTGGTGACGATTTCTCCGATAAATCACCCGAGTGAAGTCGATGGAGCAGAAAAGCTAGACCGATCCCTCGTCAAGAGCTTTTGGCAAGGTACCAGAACTCTCAAATTTGCTGTGTTACGATCTTTTTCTAATCATAATATGGCAGCCTTTTTCACATCAAGACAAGCTAGTGATCGAGAGAAGGATCGCAGATTAGAGTATCTTTTTTGGCGAATCTGGAGCAGTGACCATCTCCTGGGCCGCATCGATATCAAATATCTAGATGGGCTAGTTTCTCGCATCATGGCGTCTGAGCCCATCTCCTCGCCGCGCCACAGCCAGGTGAGTACCCCCCAGCCTGCTACACTTCTTTACGGCTACTTTTTTTTTTCTTTTGTGCTTGTACCTTTTTCTCCATTTTCTTTGCGCTCCCATCAGCACACCCGAATCCACAAGCTTACCACAAGAGTCATCTTTAGAATACTTTTCTGTCCCCAGAATCTAGCCAGGCAACTCCAACCCAAGCTCTCTATCGGCCTGAATCCAAATCCATGCTAGTGGAAGGGGTCTCCGAGCCGGAATCTCTGCATCCGATTCTCAAACCCCCTCAGGCTTCTCATAGTGAGCCACCGAAAACGACTCGCATACTCATCACCCAACCCGATGGCGAAGAAATTACCCAAAATCCTTCCAACTCGCCTACTCCAAGTATAGTGGAACCAAAAGGTAGCATCCCTGACCGATTGACACCAAGGAGATCATCCCTTGTCATACCGGGTCATTCTAAACGAGGTGGGAAACGTCGACCAGTGATGACTGCTCGCCGCAAGTCGTCGCAAGGAGTGGTCCCCAAGGCCCAAGGAACCCCCAAAAAACACAATGGAAAGAGCAAAAACACCGGTCCAACGGAGGAGATATTCGATGACGATGATGACATGACCTCAGAACGGACGAAACCCAAGAGCATCCATCGACGCAGTACCCGCGACGCGACCTGGGCCGATCTAGATCACGATCAACCATACCTCGATTTCCCCGTTACAGGTCTCACCCCAGCAGCCACCAGCCTCTTGAAAGACGGCAAATCTGGCCACCCCGCAATCACCATAACTCCCGCCGACCTCCCGTTCACCGATCTCCGCTTCCCCGAGCCACACGATCCCATCCTGTCCCAATCCCAAGGCGTACAAACGGTTAGTGACAAACCCGACCAGAGAAGCCAAGCCACCCAAACTGAAATCCAGGACAACAGCTTATCTAATAACATCCCGGGCCCTTATGATTTTCGACCTTATAAACCTGTGAAGAGAACCCCCGTCCCGGGATACCACGACGCTACCCGTACCCCCATGCCTAGAGCAATGACAGAAGCACTCGTCGACACAATTCTTGACAACACGCCGCTGAAAGGATTCATTCCAGCGCCGGATCGCCCATTGCATTATTTCAACCACCCATGGCACGAGCTCCCGCGTCCCAATTTCCTCTTCGACTTCATGATCAAGGCCCCCTCTCCTTCTAATCACCAGCCGTCGCGGAGGTCACTGGTCCCTAAAAATTTCCGGCAGGAGTGGACCGATTTCATTGCAGAGGAGAATCTGCTTCTGGCGGAGTCAATTGCCGAGAACGAGGCCGCGAAAGAATCGCTGTCTTTCATTCAGGAGGGTCGCAGGCTGTGTCAGGGGACCAGTACGCAATTTGATTCAGACTCGGAAATTTCTCGGGGGCTGTCATCTCGGGAGATGCCGTCTCAGGAGCTACAGGCGCATCAGACTACTAGGCAGCAGCAGTCTGATACTCCTTCCGAGATTGATATCGATCAAATTCTCCGGGAGCTGCAGGCTGAGTATTCGTCCTGTTGATGGTAAATTTGTGGTGTGATTGAAATACTATCAATCTCGAGGCTATCTAAGACTCTGATCGTACAATGCAGCTAGTACTAAGCATGCATCCGATACAAAAAAAAAACATTGGAAAATTACTGTCTTCAATTCCGCCTTATGCTTTGACTGCAAATTAAAAAGATAAGCCCCTTACGTCTCCGCCCCACTGGAGCTTGCGCTTGCCTCCACAGTCCTAGTCCTCTTCCTCTTCCATCCACCATTCGTAACCTCATCAAACGTCTTTATCAACTCACCCAAATGATCATTCATCAACGCCACATCCTTAAACTCCACCCCCATTTGCAAGGGAGTTATATCTCAATGTTACCACCAAGCTGGATGTGGATGTGGATGTAGATTCAGATGCAGGTGTATGAGTCGGTGTAGTTGTCTTTGTTTTAAATGGGCCTGGAGAGGCATTGCGGTGTATTTTCATAGCCACATTTTTAAGGAGACAGGGCTCTTATATGTACAGCCTGACTCCTGAGGCACAGAGTTGGCAAAATCCTCCGGTGCTGCTTTATTCTCAAGTGCTGGGTAGGGGTGCGTGTGCAGCTATAGATACAATGGTCATCAATTGATGATGAGTCAACATATTATGCTACATAGAGACTGATGCGACTCAAGTACAAAGATCCACTCCATTGGTTTGATCCTAGAGATGGGGCATATGGGATTGGAAGGGATATCCTAATTCCAACGTTAACTTAAAAACAGTCGGGACCCTCCAGCGCTTTTACTAGTAGTATGGAGTAAACATCAGCACCCAACCACATATCAAGAACTAAAAAAACCCCCCATTTATAAAATGCTAATAACCTTTTTCAACAGTGAGGAAGACTCTCTAATAACCCTGTTACATGCTTACTATATTAGAAACTTTTTCTCTCGGAGAAATAAGTGTATGGACGGACGGGTGGATCCACCGAAGTACCTGAACCAGTGGAAATAAGCAGGGGCAACTTCTGTTCTTACTTCCCCACATGTTTCGTTTCACACACTGGTGGAAAAGTTCGCGCCCCCTCACCAATAAGCCTTGCCCAGAACCTGCCAGATCATGAACAATTAACGCCCAGTAGGGCTTGTTTTGTGCCTTCTCCGAAGCTAAACCTGATTAACCTCTGGTAAATTATTCCTAGTGGTGCTGGCCGCGTCGACATGGCTCAAACAACCTACGGGGCTACGGAGCTACGGGGCTTTTGCTGCAGAACGTTAAAACGAGATGGCGGCGTGTACTAGCTTTGCTCGTCCCCATAGGTGGATTAAGCCTTGTGGTCCTGTGGGCACCGGAGCTACTGTCCGGATGAGGCCCGCCTTCCAAGTCGCGATCTGCTCGACTTCGGACGTCTTCTGTTCCGTTGGATTAAAGGGGAGAGAGACATCAGACTACCTACATGGGATGGGATATAAAAGAACTGGGACAGCATCAGCAGTTTACACTATTTCCAACCTATGTTCTTTTCCATTCTTTTCCTAGATCATCAGCATTAATTTTCCTCGTATTTTTTTTCTCCCCTTCACTTACTGTTGATCGGTAACCATGAAGTTCTGCATCGTCGCCTGTTTCGCGGCCTCTGTGCTCGCCGCCAGTCGGACTTCCCCTCCCTCTGGCTCCATTGTCGTGGCCAAGTCCGGTGGTGATTATACCACCATCAGCGAGGCCATTGCCGCCTTGAGCACCACCTCTGATGATACCCAGACCATCTTCATCGAAGAAGGCACCTACGAGGAACAGGTCTATATCCCCGAGCTAACCGGAAAGCTCATCATCTACGGCCAGACCGAGGAGTATGTATCTTCCGCCGATAGCCCCCAATGCATACGAAACCTCTCCCCCTTCAACCAATATTCATATACATGTTTATCTAACCCATCCCAGTGACACCACCTACTCCTCAAACACCGTCACCATCACCTCGGGGCTGGGCCTCGTCGATGTAAGCGACGACGACGAGACCGCCACCCTGCGCAACTGGGCCGCAAAGACAGCCATCTACAACATCAATGTCGCAAACACCTACGGCGAGGGCTCCCAGGCCCTTGCACTGAGCGCCTACAACACCGAACAGGGCTACTACGGTTGCAAGTTCACCGGATTCCAGGACACCGTGCTCGCCGAGACCGGCTACCAGGTCTACGGCACCTGCTACATCGAGGGTGCCATTGACTTCATCTTCGGACAGACGGGCAATGCCTGGTTCGATAGCTGCACGATCGGCGTCTTGACCTACGGAGATGGTACCATTACCGCGCAGGGCCGTGACTCCAGCTCCGAGAACGGATACTTCGTTATCAACGAGAGTACCGTTGAAGCTGCGGCTGGTGAGGATGTGGTGGAGGGTACCTATTTCCTTGGTCGTCCTTGGTATCCGTATGCGCGCGTTGTCTTCCAGAAGACTGTTCTCAGTGATGTTATTAACTCGGCTGGATGGGAGGAGTGGTCTACCAGCGAGCCTAACACTGCGGATATTCTCTTCGGAGAGTACGATAACTCTGGTGATGGATCGGAGGGTACTCGTGCTAGCTTCGCTGAGAAGTTGTCTGCTGCTGTTACTATCACGAGTATCTTGGGTAGTAGCTACGAGGACTGGGTTGACACCAGCTACCTTGCTTAAGCGGGTGTATATGGAGGGGTTTGATACCTTACTGGTCCTTTTGTCCCCTCCGCCTTTTTTGCCAACATAGTGTATATACTAGTAGGGAAGTGTAAACGTTGAACTAGCTTATATACGAGAGCTATTTTCTACACCTTTTCCTGAAACATTAAAGTCTTTGGTTTAGAAATCCTGTAAGATAATGGATAAAGGTAGAATCCTTTGAATCAAATAATATTGAAAAGAACGCCATGGCGATTAAACTCGATAAACGCCGTGCACTATCCATGGATGAAGAGAGCACCTTCCCAGGAAACAACCATGTGAACAGCCTTGAAGCGATTACTTGTTCCCATTACTCCTCGTATCAAATAGAAAATACATGCAAACATCGAAGTGCTCCACAGAAGCTCTCTATCTACCTCTTAGATCTGATTGGCCTTCTCAGCATCAAGAGCAGCAGCAGCAGCCATAGCAGCCCGCCGACTCTTAAGCCAACGAACCAACACCCAAGAAGCAGTAAACACCCACATCAACAAGTTCACCAGATCAATCCACACAGCATGGCGCATACGAGTAATCTTCGCCGCATCCCAGGCTGCAGTAGAGCTGGTACTCCTCTTACTGCTGCTTGTGGTGGTAGTGGATGTCGATGACGATGTACTGGCATAGACCCCAATATACATCTCGCCAAAGATACCAAAAACCACCAACCAGATAATGCAAAGAGCAGCCTCCCACACAAACTGCGGCAGGTACAACTTCGGATTAGGAGTCCGGGACATATTCACCCGCTTCATCAGGAACGGCAGAACCATATGGAATCCCGCAGTACTGGTTGCCAGGAACCCGACGACTAGGGCAAATACCCATTTGGGATGGTACGTGTCGTCTTCCTTGTGGTCGTGGTGCACATCTCGGCCGTAGAGGCCGATTACCGTGAGACCGAAGACGAACTGCAGGAAGCGCAGGATGGAGATTATCATCGAGAGGAGCTTTGCGCCTTTGCTGATGGGCTCGGCGGGGGGCTCGGGCGAGATGTATTGAGTGTTTGTGCCTGGGGCTACGCCTGGTGGGTACTCAGACATTGGGTAGGGGTTTGGGTAGGTGTAGTTTGGGTGGGGTTGTTGGAATTGAGCTTGTTGCTTGTTGGCTTTGTGCTTCTTGGCTTGGTTGTAGCCGATTTTGAGGAGTTTTGTTGCGACGAACATCTTGGCTTCGTATTGCAGAGAGGGGATGTATTGAGGACTTGAGGGTTTGGGCTTGGTGGTGGTATTAGAGAGTGACTGGACCAGCAGTAGTAGGTTGATGCGTGCTACAGCTCGAGAGATGTAGTGACTGATGTCGAGTGTAGGTGAGAGTTCTGGGTTTTCGAAAAGAGACACTCGCGGGAATATATGTTCTCAAGACGGTATATGGATATCACAGTATGTATGTGTTGGACTTGGATGAAAGGCAACCTGTTGCCAATAACGAAAGAAGGTCTCAATAGAGTCGGGTCATCAACCAGGATGATGCGACAGGCAAAAGGAAAGAACGAGGAGCGTAATGGTTTCAAGGAGAGGCGAAAAAAAAAAAAAAAAATTGGACTGAAAGAAATGGAGTTGAAGGAAAGGGACAAATGAAAGTCGTTGGTGTTACTGATTTTATAGATGTCACCAGGGATGATAGAGGCTTTATAGTAGATTCCAAGATTCTATAGAAACAGGCCGAGTCTACCACACCGTCTCAGTTTGGATCCCTTTCTGTACGAACAAAGACTCAAGAGTCACAAACTGCTATTGTTTCTTTTTTTGGCTTGTCTAGTCTGGTATGAAACCATTCCCGCCTTGATGAATGCCGAGCGGCTCCAGCTAAGAAGCTCCACCTGGTCGGTTGTTTGTCTTGCACCCTCTACCATTGACACCGAAGCCCAGCGATATGATGAAACAAAGCTCACAGTTCTTCAGGACGTAAATAGACTTGCCCTGCAGGATTAGTAGCGGGGAGGTAGATAAAACATGGCTGTTGGCCCAAAGAGGAGCAGGATCTGTACGGCGCTTTAGTTTTCGCGCGCGCCAACCAGGAAGGTCGTTTCAGCGTAGAATGCAATCATCAGCTATGAGCCAATCAATAGGGAAAACCTGAACATTGGCCAAGTGCAAATTATATACTAGTAAACATTTGAAAGCTGAAAATTATTTGTCTCAGCTGTATTCCAATCGTAGGGCTCTAATAATAGCGGGGTCTCCAAACAAAGAATGAACCTAACACTGTCACTAGCAACTACTCCGTACTCTCCTACAAAGAACCCTGGAGCATTCAAATGCTGAAAACAACCAATATCCAACCCGAATAATTATGCACATTGCCCTACATGGCTTTCTTATATTACAATTACAGACTCCGTCCAATGATAAAATAGCCTGCTCCATCCCGATGCGATCATGAAAATGCTTGAGTGGGGAATTCCAATGCAAGAGAGAAAAAAAAATTCGTAACGGGTCATTCCAGACAAACGCCGACAAGAGCCATCCGCATAGCCACCGAGGTCCACAGAAACTGCTTGGCACCTAACAGCTACATGGCACAGCTATGTGTCAGGGTGGTCGCATGGTGCCAGCGTCTGCAGTACCCTTGACAGTCCCCCCACTTGCTGATAACTTTGGGTGATTATCGGGCGGTAGAGGGGGTTTCAAGTCGGTAGGTGATTCAGGATTGGGAGTCGGTAGTTCTGGTTCTTCATCATACTCGTGGCCCACATAATCATCATCATGAGGCCCCGACCCAGTTGCAGAGGAGTGATCGACTGAAGCTCGGTCATAGCTGTGGTGGCCTGAGGCATTCTTTGACGCATTCTTTGACGTCTTCTTTGTCTTTCGACCTTTCATCTTGGCCTTTTCCAAAAGACGCTTCTTTTCAGCAAGTCGCTTTCGTTCCTTCCGGTCCTTGATCTCATATTGGCGGATCAGTGCCTCGGGAGGACGGCCGAAGATGCTTTCATATTCGCAAAATTCGCAGATCCAAATATCTTCCAAGCTAGGAGGATGATGTATGTTGGTGTATTGTTGCTGGATTTTTCGCTGGCGGGAAGCCGAAGCGAAAACAGCGCTAGGAGATCGCTTCTTTTGGCGAGTGACAGGGGATTGATCTGACACGGGCGCATGCGATCCCGGTGGGATTTGGTCGTTTAAATTGGGGCTTGTCTGTGTACCCTGGGTGGAAAATCCTCGGGAGTTGCCGGTGGTTACAGCAAGAGGAGAAGTGGGCGAACGATGGGGAACCGAGTATGACTGCATTGCCATACCCTTGGATGAATCGGACTCGCAAGTGAAAGTGAACTGTGTCTTGGTCGGTGTGGTGTTTTCCTGCTCCAGCAAGCTAACGTTGCTGGGGCCCCGGGTAGGTGAGGAAAGGCTAGCGGCATTTGCGATGGCCGTGGAAATAATTCCTTGGTCGGACGAATCGCCTGAGAAAGCCAAGTTAGCGACCGTGCTTATCCTATCAATTATTCAGGCACGGGCTGAGAAACCTACCAGATGGTCCAGGGGATGACATCAGTCCATCCCGCCGACTCGGGGTCCGAGTGTTCATCCATGCGTTCTGAGCATTCGCCGACAACGGGTTCCGTCCCTGGCCGATGCGGGGACATACACGTCCGCTAAGACGCCCTCGGCCCGAGCCAGAAATTCCACTGCCCAACGGAGAAGCTGGGTTTCCATTCCCATAGTATGTGCCGGTACCCGTTCCATCACCGGCCGGTGGGGGAGCGGAGTTTGAGTTAGCCAAGCCCATGTTGGCAAACTCCGGCGATAAAGCAGAATGGTGACCAGGCATGTTGCCCGGAGTGGGGATTTTTCGTTTCTTTTTATTGTTGGTATTTTCAAATGCGTCGTAACCGTCAGGTCCAGTCGAAGATTTCGAAACTCCGTCTTTCCCTGATCCTGGATGTGTGCTGGAAACCGGCGACAGAGAACCTCTAAATCCTGCACTGCGACGTACCACTACTGGCGCATCTTCATCTCCACTTTCAAGCTCGGCTGCCGTCTCAAAGGCGTGGTGAGATTCGGCCTCGGGGGTTAGCTCTTGTCGATCCGATTCGATGGTCTGCTGCACATAGACCTTGGAGTCATTCACCGCCTCTTCAGAATCTCCAGACACTCCGTAAAAGATCTGTGATGCTGGGGGAGTTGGTGGATAGTGGATGGTGTCGGCGGCGTCGATAGACAGGCGGGAACGCAAGGTCCGTTTGGGGAGAGGACGAATCAGACGATCGGGATAGACGACGGAAGGTGTGTCAGGGGCCGAGTTGAACGTCCCGTCTACACGAGTGCAACACGACGTCAGTAACTGAGTAACCGGCAGATAGTTTGACTCGAGAAGGTTAGGGCCCTGCCGATCCACCTTTACAAGGTGGCCAGACCGGGATGTCCCCTTACAAGCAAGACATACTCAAAGTCGCAGTCATCGTGCAAGATCCTCAACACTGGGCCTCACCCACAATCGTTTCATACGTGTGGAATGGAGGTATGCCAGCCCTTTATCCCCTCTTTTCCTTTTGTTTCCCCCTCCACCGAGTTTGTTGTTGGTAAGTCAGCTAGACCAAAGTCGGGGTTCGTTGTTATTTCGGGGGGTAATGTTTTGGTTCAGGAGACACCCTATTGATCCCATATATTAGTCACATCCGAAGGAGACACGGTGGTGGTAATATAGAAAGCCAGGGACACTATCAGATATAGACAGGATATATCTAGAGGGACTCCGGTGGCTTCGGTGTTCCACAGCCACGTAATGGGAACATTGAATATCATGAACATACCCTCAAAGTGTGCTCTAAATCCACAGAGTCCAAACTCTGCTCAGGTAATACAGGAATTGGGCCCGTCGGAAAATCGGGTATGTTGACTCTCACACGCAGGAAAGCCCTGTTCGAGCTACAGGTAGGATCTCGGAGAATAGGACGGAGGGGTTAGAGATGTGAAGCGAAATGGACAGCGAGTCACGGGAATTCGGAACGCTGGGCGCTAACCGTATGTGGTAATCCTGGGCACCCAACCGGGTCCTCTGGGGTAGAATGAATTACGCATCTTGTGTACTTCTGTATAGTACCTTGACCACTATCATCCCTATGGTCCCTCTCTTTCTTCCCAGAATGTTACGGAGTTCTCACGGGAAACTAACCCCATTCTGCTTACTGAGCTGGAAATTACCCATCGATTCTCTTCCCCCACAAAGATGCCGATAAGCATTCTCGTTCTGCGTGGCTGCGATCTCCGCAATGAACCAACTGATCAACAGCAAAACTGAAGTGAATGGGAAGGCTGTTTTTGTGATGAACACCATCGGCAGCCTATTATACTGAGATTAAATGACAATGGTATTTGAAAAAGCTCATTGTACCTGCATGGTCGGTCGGCAGCGCAAAAAAAAAAAAAGAAAAGAAAAAAGAAAAAGAAAACTACCCCTCGAGTGCCTTGCGTGTGGCTCGGACACCCCGCCAGAAGCTCGAGATCGAGACCGAGATTGAACAACCTTGCACTAGCTAACCACTCAATCCATTGTAGCAATTCGTTCTCAAGCATGAAAAAAAAATCACTGGCAACTTTGCCTCTTCACATCGCTACGCTCATGGCCTGGATGACAGCCACCGGCTACATGGCCCTTGACGATATCTCACACAATTGCAGAAAGGTAACAAGTATCCACCGTACACCGCATAGCATTGCAAAGAATTCGCATCGATACACGCTGCATCCATAAACATGCAGCTTCTCTCAACTCGGTTCCTGCTTATTGACCCAGGCCCGTTGCCTTTGGCTTCACATTCAACCCTTCCCTACCGGAAAGATAAACCCAGTCTACCACAACCAGACATTTGGACAGGCCAGTATGAATTTCGGATCCCAGATAGACAATTGCCTTTAGCGGCACTGGAAGGGGGAGCGAAGGAAAGGGTTTGCAAAGTTGAAGCGGGTGGGAGGGGGCGGATTTCTGCCGAGCGCGTCACTGATCAATTTTCAGAAGCCCAGTTCGCACGGGGCTAGAAAGGAATAAAAACGAGTTCTAAGAAACATATCTGATGTAAGATGTATAAGTCAGTCCAGAAAGTCCGGGAAAAAATAGACAATAGAAGAAGGATTAGAAGAAAAGCAGTTAAAGAGGTCGCGCGTCGAAGAGGCGTCGAGAGCGGGGAAGGACGGGCGAGAGTGGTTTTGGAGTCCCGTTCCGGCGCTTTTCCTCCTTCTCTTTCTCTCTCGCTCTTTGCAACCCCCGCCAATCCTGCACCTCACCAGACTATGTAGTCATCGGGCTCTTTCATGAGCCTTGTGACGCCGTGCTTCAGATCCATATACAATTCTCAATTGTCTCCCCCTCCTTTCCTTCAGAAGAAGCTCAAAATTCGCGCGCAAGAGCTCCCTCGCAATTCGGTGCTGTTAGAAGCAGTAGTCAACACTCCTCGACACCGTTGCGAGACCTTGTTCCATCTTTTATATTCACCTTGATCTTATTTATACTTCCAAACCCCCATTCCCTCTGGGTCCTTATACCATCATGACACCTCGTCGCTCCTCTCGGGCTCGCACCACACAGCCCTCTCCAGCCCTCCAAAACACAAACTCCTCCAACTCCTCAGTCTCCACCACTCGCGAGAGGAGCACTCGATCAAACCATAAAAATAACTCCCCCCAGGGCTCATCGGCCCATCGATCCCAATCCATCGACGATGGCGAAAATGGCTCGAGGACCGACCTCCCACAAACGCGCCAGCGTCAGCGCGCCCACGATGATGATGACGACCCTCCCCGCGAGGAGGATGAAGACGATTTAGATGATGAGGAAGAGGAGGAAATTACAAGATGTTTGTGTGGACAACAAGAATATCCAGGCCTGCCCCCCTCTCGTCGCGAAGCTCTCGGTCGCAGTATCGTTAAGCCAGAGTCGGACCATCCACCCACTGATTCGTCCGATATACTGCCGGATGATATTGGGAGTATGTTCATTCAGTGCGACACCTGCAAAGTTTGGCAGCACGGTGGTTGTGTGGGGATCATGGACGAGGAAATGAGCCCCGATGAATATTTCTGCGAGGAGTGCCGAAAGGACTTTCACAGAATTCGGGGTGAAGCCAATGGGTAAGTTTACGAAACAACCTTTTTCTATACCGATTTTTGGTTTCTTTTGCATACCTTCTGGTGGTTGGATTTCGAATGTGCTTGTGGCCTCGAACGCTTGTCCAAATTTGTGGGCGGTTGGAGAGACAACTTTGCCCACTAAGAGACGACGCAACCAGAAATCCAGCGTTGAGATCATCTTATTCCCTCGTTTCCCGATGAGATCTTTGACAATCGGCACTCGATTTTGTTTTGTTTTTGTTTTGTTTTTTTCCAACGTTCACCATGCTAATGACCAACGACTTCGCAGCACCCGCTCCTCCACCTATCTTCCCGTCGTACCGGCGTCGTCGCCTGCACCGTCCTCTCGACCGGTCTCTCGGGCATCTTCTCGAGAGACCACTACCCGACGCTCCAGAGATCCCAAGTCGCGGAATAGCGATGGTGACATGAATCCGAAGCGACGGTCCACAATGAACAGCCGCGATGCTGCCTATGATGAAGAAGAACTGATTCGGCGAGCCATTGAAGAAAGCAAGGAAGACACAAAAAGTCTCCCTGATGACACATCTATTAGACGGGGCAAACGAAGTCGAAGTGGCAGTGAAGTGTGCGTGCTTTTTCGGCCTCAATTGACATTTTTCGGTTCGAACACATAGCTGACAGCATATTTCTAGAAACAGACATGGTGCAAAGCGCCAACGAACCACTTCGCCGTCTCCAACCGCCGTTTCGAGTCACTTGGCATCTCAGCCTCCATCCGATGACGAGTCCAAAGCCCCAGCCCCAGCCCCAGCCCAGAATGGCACCCGGAGACAGAGAGCTGCTTCTCGCGGTCAGCGTGAAAAAGAGCCAACTAAGGAAACCGAAGAGGCTGAACCGGAACTCTTCGAGACTCTGGCCCGGCGAAAAGAGAGAACAAATCGCCGCAAGGGTGAAGGTACTTGCAAAAAGTCCTCTTGAGACCGAGTCTTGATTGTTTGCTGACAATAGAATCATAGAATCCGAGCATGAGCCCGCATCTCCAATCAAGGCCTCTCCAACAAAGGCCTCCCCAACAAAAGCAGCTCCGCCACCACCAGCACCAGCGCCCGATCCTGAGCCGGTCCAAGCAAGCCCTAACACACCTACTCCTCAAGAGCCGACACCTGCTCGACCATCCACCCGGAAATCAGGGCGCCCACCAGCTCGCCGAGGTCGAGTTGGACGTAATCAATATACCAAGGACCGTGACACGAATGGTACTGGTACCCGAGTCTCCTCGTCGAGGCCACTCTCATGAAATTGGAGGAGAATCACCCAGAATTGGAGGATATGGAGCAAACGGCGTGCATATCAATGGAGGAGACACAGGGCGACCCAGTAAACCACGCCATATGCATCCACAACGCACAACCATGAACGAGATGAAAAGACGTGTAGCGGCCATTCTTGAGTTCATTTCACGAATGCAGGTGGAGATGGCCGTCGCTGGCGAAAACTCTTCCACGCCCATTGGGAATGGTGATCAGGCTCAGGGCCTCCTTCTGAAGAGCATGGTCGATCAGATCGACAACATCATGCCCTCGACGATCAGTGATGGCGGCGAATCCGCGCCCACGGACGGCGGGGACATGGAAAAGACCTTCAAGGACCTGAGCAGCGTGGAGATGATGGATGTTCTCACGCGTCACCTTCTCAAATGGCAACAAGAGTATGGCAAGTTCGGCGAGCGGTAACCCTGCCGTGTCACCCTGCACTTGTGTGTCTCTGTCTGCTCGCTGTACGTTGGTGCTTCTCAATACGATACCCCCCTCTGTTTCCGCGGTTCATGCCGGTGGATGTAAATTAGAACGTCTGCTGGCGTTTTGTTTTTGTTTTTGACTTTGGCTTTTTGATTTTTTTTTTTGGTTTCATCGTCTTTTTTTGTTCACTACTCATATTGGACCGGCGTCATTCATATTATTGGAGATTTGAGGCTGGTCATGGCTAATTATTTGCAACCTCCAAGCCGTTCGTGTTTGTGGACTTCTTTTACCATCTCAATTCATGGTTTACTTTTGTCCGTGTTCCCATATTCAACCTTTTTGGCTTATTTTTGTTTGGTTTTTTGGGACTGGTGTTCTGGAAAGTTCACGTCATATATGGGGTTTTGTCTCTCTATTCAACCTCGGAAATCACTGCTCTGCATTCTACCGTGTTAATTCGTGGATGTACTACCTACTATTCTTGACTGTGGCCGCTCCACCTTCAAAATGTTTCGCAATCAGGATCTTCCTCATCTTGTTATTTTGGTTGTTATTATATTTTTCTTTCCAGAGCCTCAAGTGCTTGGAAGGCCACTTTCAAGGCTCTAAAATTTGAAGAATTGCTCAATAACATTGAATTCTCATCGAATCCATGGATCAAGCTTTCAAATGCTTACCTTTTCATTCCTTGATGTAGCTCGTACCTGCTTGATAGGTATCAATAACATTCAAAGTAAGTGACACCATTGCCACATGCATGTGTGCATGAGGTTGATACCTGCACACGCGGCTCGCCAGCTTGGAATCAAATATTTGAACGTTCAAATGTTATACACTTACTACTACCAGATATATGTAGTATGTACATGATTTAGGTACCTCGAATCCAGAGCAATGCAAACATTTCAAATGTTGAATGCCACCCAGATCCACCTGGAATCCAGCCAACCCCAGAATCCATTTAATACTCCAATACTCTCTAAAGGTTCCAAGGTTGAGATGGGGCTCGATGTATTATGGTGGATCCCATCCATTGCGGAGCGTTCCAAGGTTCATATTGCACCTTATCTGGGGAACCGAAGTATACCTTTCAAGGTCCACAGGTTGCATACTTCAGAAATACGGGGCTGGAAGAAATTGATATTTCAATATTAAGGCGTTTTCAAGACGGAGGCATCAATTGGGTTGACAGTGCTGATCGACTTCAAGGTTCCTACCCCGCACACCGTGCGGATATCTACCACATGTGACATGTTACGTGCCTCTGTAGTCAACGGGTGTGCAGGTATCACATGTGCGTCAAAACAGGTTCGATGCTCCAAATGTATTCAAACATTGAAGTTTCATAAATACAATGTTTTGGCCCCGAGTACATTCAATGTTTTACCTGGGCTCTGAGCAGTTCTATTTATAGTGTATGCATCAATTGGTTAATCCTGGAGTATATCATATGCAGGCCGAGCAATTGACTTTGTACCCGGGCCCGAGCTCGGGCATACATATGTAAATATACATCCATGCATCCACCAGTAGCTAGCCTGGAATTGGATATAAATCTTTGAACATTGAATTGATCGCGTTGGAACGAGTATTGAATCCGATAACGAGAAAATAGCTTTTAGAACGAATTTCTCCTGACGGATTTTGGCTGCCCTTTCCGGATTAGTGCTCACTGAGTCGCCACTTGTGCTCACTGAGTAGAACTAAGCAGGGCTCCGGCTCACTGAGCCTGCTCCTAGTTCCTTGTGAGAAAATCCGGCTGCAGCGAATGCTGTCCATAATCAAAGGTTGACTCAGGGTCCAGTAAGGGTTCGGGTGGAGCTAGCTTGGAACAGTTTAGCGGCCCACTTCGGTTGATGTCTGGGACTCTGGGTTGATTGTTAGTGAGGCTTTTTCATTTGGTTGAGCTCATTTCAAATTCTTGGCTCGCTTGCTTGAGCTTGCTTGATCTCAAAAGCAACGAAGCAAGTGCAAGGCTGAGGCTGATTTGGCCCTTCAATATTCATACCTTCACCTACCTCTATTACATGTCATATTTCGGCCTTATCTGGCAGACTGGGAACTATGCTGTTGCTCTTGATCAGTTGGTGCGTATTCTCTCTTACACATGCAAGACTAGAACTGTGAGCTTTACGGAAATTCTAAACCATCAATTAGCCTCGTCTTGGTTTCTGTCTTTGCCTCTTTCGTTCCTCATATACGTTACGCATGGCTAGACAACGGCACCGATGACATTTCTTTGCTTTACCTCCTTTTTAATCTCATTTGTTCCACCGAGCATCTTCTACTAGTATTCTTTTACACTATCAATCTACCTGTCGAGACAGGCTACTGGACTCATCACCCACGTGACGCACTCGACTGGGTCAACTTTGTTCAAGTGTTTGGCGTATGGGCACTGTGGAATATCCTGTAAGTCCAAAAATTCCACTTCTTCATGATCAACAAACTACCGGAAACTGACAAATGTTCAGATTGGGGCTCAACCTCTTCTACAGACATGCTAGTCGCCCTCGCAAAGCTTTGACACTGGTAGTTTATTTTGTCTTCCTCATGGTTTCTTTAGTTCCCATGGTAGCAGATGCGGTATCAGATATCTTCTGTCCTCCACATCATCCGAACTGTCCTGAAATGGACCGAGACCCTATCGCTCTCTTTCAGGGTCTTCATTCTGTGATTCTTCTGCCATTTCTTACCACACTACCACTTGTTATAGCCCTTGTCAAGCAAGCTTGCATGCCGATTCAACCCCAAAGTCTGACTGGACTTAAACTTCAGGCGGTTTTTTTCATGCTTTCGGCCATTTCATGGGTCCCCAGGGTCTCTGTCCCATGGGATCTCTACCTAGATGGGGGACACCCGATCATCATGGTAATCAATGCGTGGTACCATATGGTTGGCTTTGTTGCTGTCGATGATGCAATTTTTGCTTTGGGACAAGCAATATTACTGTGGCTGTCTTTGAGACAGGTTAGACGTGCAGACGACGGAGAAAGACAGCCGCTTCTGGAGTCATCCGAATAGTATTGCCTTAGGTTTTAGATCACACAGACTCCTTTGGTATGCATTTTGTACTTTTAGAATACAGATCAAAAGAACCACATGTTTCAAGTGTCTCATTGAAAGGCCCATTGAAAGGTTCCAAAACGGACGAGATCTTGTTTACAGCGAAAATCACCTATGAGGGTGTAACGAACGAGAATCATGAGGCTGTTTGTGATAACGCAAAGCCCATAATCATACACAAGTACGGCTTTTCTCACGACCACTTCCGCCTACAACGCCGCCGTCCCGACTTCAATCGTTCCAAGGATTCGGACACGGATCCTACACAGTGGAAGACTTATGTCGATGACGAACAGAATCCGGGCTACATGATTGTCGATGAGCCTGACGTAGAGGTCAACGTTACGAACGCTTCACTTTTCCGTTGCCTGAAACCAGGAGAACATTTTGTCAGCCACAATCTCCTGCCCCGTTCCGACTTGCATCCTGATACAGTGGTCGGAGATACGTATCGATACCAGTACTGGGGTGGTCGTGTTGACTGGTGGGTTTGGGGTGATCACGAAGAGCATGCGAGCAAAGTGGTGAAGCTACCATGCTGGCTTAGTGGCAAGGTTGTTGATCCTGCTGATAATGATGGGAAGCCTGCTATCTTGGTCCCGTCATCTAATTTTGCAGAGTTTACTATAGTGGATTGATTTAAATGGGATTCCTTTACTTTTGCTTTGTTTTTAAATCTAAACATTTTCATGTCTCAGTTTGAGGTCATTCTCTGACCTTGTACCGAAGACCCCTTTCAATATTCGTCTTTGTTTTTGTGTCCCGGTATAAATGCTCCAACTCTTGCTCCCGTGAACAAGAATAATTGAAGAGTCAGCAAAATTGTTACTTTCAGTGAACTCGGAATGAATCGGGTATGATCAGTCTGCCACAGGGAAAATGCAGTATGTACAGTATACCTAGGTACTATACGTGGCTGGGTGCATGTGGGACTTGGTATACTTGGGAGTCAAGGTATACATGCAGGACGCACATGGGTGGGGGCCGAGAAGCGAGCTTGAATTGAGACGGTTTGATCCTGCTTTGATGTTGGTTTTCACAGAATTTTCAGGACCGAGATTTTGAGACTATAATTGCATTTCCTGTACGGAGTACTCGAGTAAGGGTATTGGGAACCTCGGCATTTCAATCGAGGCCGGCGCCGTGGACCCTGATCCGCATCGTTTCCTCAACAACCAGCCATCACATCCCATCACATCCACTGCCAAGGCGCCAATGAGATAAATAAACAAACAACAGGGGCAAAAAAGGGAAATCGGGGAAGATTGGGCCGATCGGGGAGAAATACGGTGGCTGAATTGTATTTTACGGGGCCAAATCTGTACGGAAATTCTTTTTTGTTTTGTTTTGGGAGCCGTGGAAGGAGATGATTAGAGAGCCCTGATTCAATTGCATTAAGAATCGCTTTAGATACAAGGACAACTAGCAGTTCAGCCAGCACAGAGATACAAAGTGAAACCCATCACATTTTCAGCAAGGCATAAAAGTAGTAACCGTCATAGAAACAGATCATGAGGACAAAGGAAAGTAGATAACAAAGAAATAAAATCACATAAAGAAATGGATCACATCACAAGAGACTCCGCTTTAAAGCTTTATCAAACTCCCAGGATTAATATCTTCAGAAAAAAATCTTAAGAGAGTTATAGAGTTTACAGGCGGGAGCCGTGGATGACCTTGTAGTCGACAACGAGCTCACGACCACCGTCGTTGATGACAAGGGCACGGACGGAGCCACGGCCGTTGGCGAAGGCCTCGCTGATGCGCTTGAACAGACCACCCTGGGTGATAACGGGGAGGGCCTGCTTGATGTCACCGGACTCGGTCATGGCAGTGAGGGAACCGTCACCGTTGACGTCGAGGATGCGGTAGGTCTTGAAGACGGGGCCGAGCATGGTCTGGACAACGACGGAAGGCGAAGGGTTGGAGACGAAGCTCGACTCCTCCTGCAACTGGCGGGTGAAGAGGTCGACACCGAGGTAACGGTGCTGGCCGGTCTGGGAGGAGACGGAGATGCGGATCACCTGGCAAGGACGGCCCTGGAGGATCAGGATGTCGCCAATGCGGACGAAGTGGCAGGGGATAGCGACGGTCTCGCCGGGAGTACCGCGGTTACGGGGCTCGATGACACGGACGGTCTCGCGGGGACCCTCGTAGCTGGGGGTGGGCTCGAGAACCTCATCACGGCCTTCAAAGGGGTGAGCAAGGTGGTGGGCGGCACGCTGCACGCCGCGGCGGAAGGAGTGGTACTGACCCTCGTCGTCGTAGTAACCCATCTTGCGAGATTGCTTGGAAGCGGGAACGGAAGTGGAAATGGAAGAAGTGGAACGGGGAGCGGGAGCTTGGGTAGAAGTAGTAAAAGATGGGGCAGAAGCAAAAGCTGGGGCGGCTTGAGCAAAAGTTGGGGCTTGAGAGCGGGCAGGGATGTCTCGGACGGTAGTCTCGGAGAACTTAACGTCGACGGGAGCGTTGCTGTAACGGGGTCTTTCAACCTCGAGTTCGCGACGGGTATAGTCTTCGCCTTGGTAAACGCCGGTGGGGTGACCCTGGTTGGCGCGGTCGTACGAGTAATCGGCGGTAGAGGCCGACTGCTGGTACTGGAAGGGTTGGTCTACGGGGTAACGACTCTGGTAAGAGGCGTTGACGTCGTAGTTGGGAGAGGTACGTTGACGGTAGTCTCTCTCAGTGATGTCGAGCTGGTTCTCAACAACGGGTTGATCGTAGATCTGGGGACGTTCCTCGAAACGAACAGAAGATTGTTGGCTGGGGTAGCTGAAGGGAAGAAATGAAAAAGGAAATTAGCTGGGGGAAACTTTCCAGTAAGAAAAAACAAAAAAGCAATGAAATATATAAACAAATAACACGAGCCGTGGTCACCGCTCATTGGGAGACTCCACTTTGGGAAGAAGTGGAGTCGTATTTGTGACACGTAATTTTAGTCTGGGGCTAAACAAATCCCGTAGAAATCCATTCTAGACCGGGATAGGAGATCCGACAACAAATAGTCGGGATCCACTTGGTGTATCGCCCATAGAATTGGGGATTGGGGGAGGAGAGGGAGGGGGGAAAAGTGGGCAACAAGTGATGTAGGTGGACTTTGCGGTTGCAATTGGGCCATAATCACCGTTTTCTTTTGCCCCCTCCAAAAAAAAAAAAAAGAAAACAAATAAAAAAAAGAGACAAGCGCAAAACAACAAAACAACAGAATAAACACAATTGTAGAAGCTCTGAAGAAACGTACCGTTCGCGAGTTAACTCAACGTCTTGGTAACGACGAGGGGCAGGACGTTCTTCCTGAACACGAAAGTCGACTTCTTCCTTTCCGTAGACACGCTGGTCGGGGAGAGGGGCCGCCTGTCGAGTATCTTCCCGTTCGACGTGCGAAGAGTGATCGAATTGAACTTCTCCCTCTACTCTCGTCTGAGTAGTTTCAGAGACAGCGTCACTCCGGTACGACGACGGGAAGACACTGAAGGGGATGGGGACGCGGGCGTCAAAGTCCAGATTGACGGACTTGAGTCGTCTTTTCTCGAATGCCTTTCGAACTGAAAGAACGAAAGACTAATCAAGAAAAGACTTTAGGGGAGAAGTCTTTCTCGAAGGGATTAAGGTAAAAAAGAAAAGAAGTCTGGGGAATCAGATTTCAAGAATGTTTGGATCTTTTTGAAGATTGTAAGAATGTGGGAATTGTGAGGGATGGAGAAGGAAGAAGTTTAGAGGGAGGTGCCTTGCAGTTGTGGTTTATTTATGAAGCGCGCAGTTTGGTTTGTTTACGACGCTTGACCCGATTGGTGATTGGATCGGCTCCCGAGGTTCAGAGACAATAAACACGGGTTTTTCAGGCCAAAAGTCAGCTTGGATTTATTTTACGTTTAATTTGATTTCAATTTTATTATTGAAAATGAACATTGAAGGAGAAAAAAAAAATGACATGAAAAAAAGGTCAATCAAGGAGCTTAGGAATGTGGCACCCACATGGAGTAGATCTATATACTAATAAGTGTAAACTTGAATACTTATATGGATACTTCGTATATCTTTCTGTTTCTCTCTGTATATTGTTTTGTTACTTTGTTACTTTGGTACTTTTGTTAAACACTCGGATACAGTACAATCACATGGAGGCTGGCCAGCCCCCTTGGTCTCCATAGCAACCGAACCACGGATCCAATCGGGTTTGCCGATCACTTGCGATCGATTCAAGCCAGATAACAAACTTGTCTTCAAGTTCAAGTTCAATGCCATAAATCCATAAATCTGGGAGTTTCCAAGGTTCCTTGTTATCTACTCTGGTCTCTGTAAAGCTCCTGTATAGCTTCTGTATCCCCACACAATCCTACGTCAGAGCTGATCCTTGTCTCACCAATTGCGGATCTCTCTATCTCTCTCGCTTCTGCATGTTACAGACCACGCAATGCATATCCAATTATATCGGAAATATGATATGTCCAAGTATCCCTGGCGTGTTCCACTTGCTGTCGCCCAACCACAACCCAATAACCCAATGAAATTTATGGAGGTGGTTGGGGGTGGTTGGGTGTCTAGCTCCAACTCATCCTGCATGTGTCTAGACTCTCCAAAGGCTGGGCGCGTACTCCCTACACATTCATTGTTGTTTTAACTTACCAGGACCCCCCCCGTAATACTGGTAATGGAGCTGTAATTACCGAGGCTGGGGGAGTCAGACCAAGCTGAAGTGGCTGGGGGAAGAAGCTAGGATCCACTTAGTCACAGATGGCCCCTCTTTCTCTCTCCGCCATCCGATGCGTGTGGTTCCAAGCTGATGAGCCATTCGCGCTTGTGATGAGCAACAAATTCAGTATACGCAATTCACCCTACGAGTCCAATTCATCATGGTCCACTCCCAATTATGATCTTATCATTCAAATGTTTCCAAAAGTACATCTATCAACACAAATTGTCTAAATAAGGGAGAAAAAGATAAAAAAAAATAGGGGGGGGAAAGAAACACGACGCGGCATCCATGCATGGGCCCGCTCGGCTCCAATCAAGAACAACACACAAGAGCACTTGAGTCGTATACAGAGGTGTGGGAAGAAACGAGGGTATCAAAGTGTATATAGTACGATAAACCCCACACCAGAAGAAAATGAAAGGGGAAAGATGTCAGAGACAACGCCAATTGGGGGTATCCCGTAGGTGCCCCAACCACAAGAAAGAGTGAATAATCGAACAAGGGTACAAAGACACAAAGTGGATATCACACATTAAAGATTAGATCCACTCGGAAAAGATCACAACAATCTCCAAGAGGATCAGAAGGCCACCATGACAGAAGAATACTGACCTTGCAGAAAATGAGAAAAAAAAAATATTCAAAATCACAGAGAAAGAAAAAGTCGGTCATTAAACGTGTAGAGCAGAAAGATGTCAATCTTTGTGCAGGTGAAAGGGAAAAAAAAGAGATAGTAAAAACAAGATCGAAATGTAGTCACTGGCATCAAGCTCGTAGGCCAAAGGCCTTGCGGAGCATGGGGAATCGCTTTTTCCGTCCAGAACCAGCAATCACCACGTCTCGTGCCATGGGTCCAGGGTCATCAGTAGTGCTGGTGATGTCCGAGGCGGCATCGTCATTCACACTGGGACCAGCACGAGGGGCTGGGGTGACTCGGGAATCTTGTCGGTTACTGCCTCCCCTCCCCCGTTCGTATTAGCGATGCCATTGCGCTCCTTCTCATCGAGTGCTGGCTTTTGTGTTCGCAATGGAGACGAAGGAGCACTGGTACTCTGCTCAGGGATTGGCTCATGTTTGGCGTCAGAGCGATATGACCAAGGCTCTCCACCCGTTGTATAGCGTTTGGAGTCCTTCTTCACAAGTTTTTGTGGGGGAGGTGACTGTGGTTGGTTGGCCGTGACAGTAGTCACTATGGCAGGGGGTCCATTTACGCTGGCACCACGGATTTGCTCACGTTGCAATTGGGATCGTTCTAGATGAGTATCTTTCCGAGAAGGACTTTCCGCATCCAGTTTGCGAATTCGGTTATCAGCATACTTTGGCTTCTTGAGACCAATTCGGGTGAGGAACCCTTGCTTCTGGGGTCGCATAACAAACTCCTCCAATTCCTGCTGCGTCATGCCACGCTGCCGGGCCACGGCGGCCATGCCAGACATGTTGGGAGCATTCTTATCGCGAGAAGCAGGCGGAGTGGGATGAACACGGGCGGCGGTAGGCGCAGCCACAAGACGAGACTGTTGGCGACGTTCGCCTTCAGAACTATCTTCTAGATCGGTGGAATCTCCATCATGGGCACCTTGGCGACGAGGAATACCGCGGACAGGCCGCATAGAGGCCTGGCCCTGCTCTTCGTCGCTAGAATCCGCGAAGCGGCTGTGGAATACTTGTTGCTGGCGATCGCCTTCGTCATCCGAGTCTCCGAAGCGAGACCCTGTCATTGATTTAGGCGGTGGCTTCGTGGATCGAGCACGAGGTGCGGGTGCAGCTTTCTTGTTTGTCGAGAAGAATGAATAACCTCGTTCGTTTCCACCGCCTGGTGGCCCTCGTAAAGTTTTACGCAAAGTTCCTGGCCCCTGTGAGGAGCCTGAGGACATTGGTCGCCGGTCGGTGGGAGAATCGGTTCGGTCAGAGGGAGGTCCCCGAATGTTTGCACCGGCTCTCATGGTTCGGCGCATGCCGTGAGACCCATCGCTCCGAGGTGAATGGCTGGCTCGCTTGAAGCTACTGGAGGAGTCACTGCCACTGGACCTAGCTCGACGAAGAGAGCTAGGGAATCCTGCCTCTCCTGATCTTCCTGTTCGCTGGAAGGCGGGACCGAGAGACAAAGGCCGCGTTTTACCATTGCCAGCATCTGTAGAGGGGGCAGCGCTGGAGTGGCGTGGATCGTTCAAGTTGGAGGTGCCATACATGTCAACAGACATAGGTCTCTTCTGCTGACGTGGACCTGGATGTGTAGTCCCATTTGTTGCTCCTCGGGGGTTCGAATTGAGAGGTAGAGATGGACTCGAGGGCTCGTCTTCTTGTAGAGCAGGCATTGTGGTAGTGAAACCTTCAACCTCACGATCAACTGAATCTTGGGTGGGTGTTACACGACCTTCATCGGCAGCCTGGTCGGTGATGTCTTGCGACGCATCCTCAATAATTACAGCTCGATCCAGCGGCTTGGGGGTAGGGTCACGGCTTTCGCTGGCTGTTTCCACAGGGGCTGACCTGGGAATTGACTTGCTGTCAACGATGGCATTGATAGATCCAAAGCCATCTCCATCAAAGCCCTCTTCAGCATCACTGTAGACACTGTCACCAGATTCTCCCTCCGTATCCACGTCATCCACGTGCTTTGGGACGGCATTGGCCACAGGCTGGTTCTTTGTCATTTGAGATTCCGCAGTAGATTTTAGGCTGCGGTCCGAGGCCGAGGGCGGGAAGCCACCCGGAATCTGGTATTGCTCAAGACTTGATCGCTTCGCGCGCTGCAGCTCACGACTGGGTCGGTCGCTGTCAACCGGAGGTGTAGCGGGCTCCACTGCAATAGAAGGCGGAGGCAGATTTGAACCCACGGGAGCATTGAAGGGTGGTTGCTCCGTGATGCCTCCAATAGCCATGCCATCTAACCTTTTATCCATTACGGCCTTCGGCTGAGATGGCGTGTGCTCTCCATTGACAGAGAATCGCTCCACGGTGTTCATATTCGTGGTGTCCTGTGAGCGAACATTGGGTAAAATACCTCCGATAGCATGGTCATGAGAGAATGAAATTGGGGCGACTACCGCCTCATCGTCTGATGAATCGCTAGAATCATTATCACTGTACTCAGGGATGACAGGTTCCTGGGAACCACCATCTCGGTTCCCTCGTACGCTACCAAAGGAAGGAAGTACCGATCGCGGCTTTAATACTGCACCAAAATCGTCATCTCCAGAGGCATAGTCAGATGAAGCCTGCTTCTTTTTACCAACACCGAGCCAGCTCATGCGAGACTTAGATTTGGGAGGTGAGCCGGCTGTGTAGTCCTCGGGGGATGTAGGAGGGCTAGCGGCAACACCGACAATTTCAGCTTCATCATCGAAACTCACTTTGGGAGCTCTCTTTTTGACGCCAAGGCGATGTCCCTCATCGGACCCCACTGATGTTCCATCGGATATCTCACTAGGCGGGTGAATAGGCTGTCCGGTGAGCGACACCTTTCTTTCCGGAGATAGAGAGCTTCCACGAGGATGCTTCAGGGCAGACTTGACTGGAGACACGGATCGCGCGGGGGGCTGATGAATCTGATCTCCAGAACTGCTGACCGAAAGCCATTTGGAGAATCGGGCTGACCGGCCAGGGCTATTTGACTGGTGGGGGTTAACTTCTTGCTCCTTTAGTCCCTTTGCAGCGGAAGGAGAAGACTGGGGTGTCACTATTGTGTCAACACGGTCCGATGTTGGAGATGCTGCGGATAGTCGATTTCCAGCTTCATTTCGAGAAGCCTCGGTTTTCGCATTGACCTCTGGCTCGATCTCCCGAACAGCAACGGGCCGTCTTTCAGGGCCGGTTCGAGAAGAAGGATGTTCATTGTCAGGACTGCTGATTGATGAAGGGTCGTGCTCTAGCTGGTCAACCCTTGCATGAGAGGGGTCCGCACGAGAGCTACTTTTTTCGCCAACTGCCTGAGCAGCTGCAGCCGCAGCAGCGCCTACGGAGGGACCCGCGGACTTGCTCGCCTGGCTTCCTTCTACCACCTGATCCTTGGGCCTCGTATTTGTCGATTTCTCAGGCGTACTTTGCTGTGTTCCACTTCCCTGTGCTCCACCACCGGTCACAACCGCTCCCAAGCTGATAGGCTGATCCTCGGGAATCGATGGTGTCAAGGGTGGCGAGTTCGGTCGAGCACCTCTGGGGTATGAAAAATTGACCGATTCTCGGCTTCCTGGTCGGTCGAACTCGGGTACCGTACTCAAGCTGCTGATCCGGTTGTGCAAAGGTGAGCTTGCTCCCCCTCGATCGGAGCTGACTCCTCGCGTGGATACTCGTGGCGGGGATGCTGGAGGCGATCGCATCGTAGGTTCGAGACTTGCAGCGCGACGGGAAGCTTGTCTTTGTGGCGTATACTGCGCGGGTAAGTTTGGTAGCGGAGGGGCCCCGGCGGTTCGTTGGACATTAACGGGGCCAGAACTTGTCGACGGGCGATGAGGCGATGGCTCCCGAAAGGTCCTGGCCGACATTGAACTTGAGCTATTGGCTCGACGCAAAGGTCCGCTGACGCTGGCTGAGCGACGATTGGACATTGAATTATGCGGTGAATGGGTCGAGGCCGCCCGTTGGACCATACGCTTAGTTTGGACATTTTCCACGGATGTTGGGGTTGGCGTGCGATTCCGAAGAGCAGCAGCCGCGGCGGCCGACGAAAGACTACTCGTGGAGGGTTGGGATTTCAAGAAAGCATGGCTGGCGGCAGACTGCGCTGATTGGGATGCAGGTGTGGGAAGTGGCTAAAAAAGTGATCAATATCAGCATCACGACGTAAGCGATGGCAAGCTTCTTTTTATCGCAAATAGATAAAGCTAGGTTGCTGCGGACTCGGGCGGAGCATACCTGGTGATGAGAAGAGCTTCTGCTTCTCTTCCGGCGGCCAAACATGATTGCTCGTACTCGTGGAGCTCAGCGCGATGGCTCGGAGGTAGCCGACCGGACACTGCACAGAGCAGCGCCGGGGTTGATCTGAAATATTGAAACGGAAGACTCGGATGTTGTGTGTAACAATTTGAATTAGACAAGGAAAACCCAAAAAGCAGATGCGATTTTAGAGAACGTGACGAGGGAACCGTGCGAGACAAAGACGCGCGCAATGGGGAAATTGATGAATCAAAGAACGAAGTGAGGTGAGAATTGGAGAAATAGGTGCAAAATGGGATTAGAAGCCCTCGAATTTTTGTAGAGAGTCAAGGAGAGAGAGAGATGTTACATAAAGTGGGAAATCGAGAAGTCTAAAGGGAGACTTGCGTCATGACTTCCAAGGAACGGGTCAGGCACCTAACGAACCTTATGAAACAGGCTCAGCATATTATTCAGACTATTCACATTATTCCGCCCCCCGCTTCCCAATATTGGTATAAAATACCCATTTAAAGTAATTCTTTCTTGTCATTCCAGAGGATAAAGAAAGGAGTGATTCCTTATGATCAAATTCATTCCCAAATTCCATCTGCAATAATGACCCTAGATGATCATGTACCTCCCTCGTTGCCCCTCCCCAGGGGTGTCTCCAGCCGCTACATCTCAACTCCCGAACTCACCTTTCACACCCTCGAAGCTGGTGCCACTCCTACTCAGGATCGCCCCTTAGTTGTCTTACTACACGGGTTCCCTGAGATCGCCTACTCCTGGCGACGAGTTCTACCCCAGCTAGCAGATGCAGGCTTTTATGCTATCGCTCCGGATCAGCGTGGCTTCGGCTGTACCACCGGGTGGGACAACAGGCCCTTCGAAGAGGTCGATCTAACCAGCTTCTCGTTAACTAACTTAGTCCGCGACGTGGTCATCCTGGTACATGCATTAGGATACCGGTCGGTACATTGTGTCGTGGGTCATGACTGCGGCGCCATGACCGCGTCTATGTGTGCGCTCATGCGGCCAGACTTTTTTCGCAGCGTGGTGCTAATAAGTCATCCCTTCAACGGGAGTCCGACCCTTCCTTTCAACACCGCAAACGAAGGCGCAGAAGAGCAAGCCACGGCAGCTGCTCGTGGTGGTAGCGGTGGAGCCGAAGGTTCTGCTGCTGCGTCAGGTATTCACAAAGCTCTTGCCCAAGCTGGTCGCAAGCATTACAAGTGGTACTATTCCACGGCACCAGCAAATGGGGATATGTCTATGGCTCCACATGATCTACACCGCTTCCTGCGTGGCTATTTTCATCTCAAGAGTGGATCATGGCCGGGCAACCAGCCACATCGGCTCAACGGGTGGACGGCCGAGGAAGTTATGCAGATGCCGTATTACTACATCATGCCGTTGGACGCGACAATGCCCCAAGCAGTGGATAAGCATATGATTGAAGACCCATCAGGAGGACAGGCTTCGCATTCATGGCTCCCGGATGACGAGCTTGCGGTCTATGTAGCCGAATACACTCGCACCGGATTTCAAGGCGGTTTGAATTGGTACCGTGTTCGCACAGCTGCTGGGGGCAAATACACGAAGGACTACGACCTTTTTGCTGGGAAGAAAATTGAGCCGCCATGTTCTTATATCTCGGGAGAAAAAGATTGGGGCACATACCAGGAACCTGGTGCTTTGGAAAAAATGACCAGTGGCGCCGTTTGCTCTGATTTCAGGTCTCTCAAGGTTCTCAAGGGGGTTGGACATTGGATACCCCAGGAAGCTCCGGATGAGGTGGTGCAAACCATCATCGAATTGACCAAAGAGCTGGAAGGATAAGTAAGAAGTATTCCTGCCTCCATAACTTGCCCATACAGGAACGCCTCGATGCTCAAGTTGAGTCTCTTCATATATGAGCAGGAACAAATCTACTAGCAGGAATATGCATCGAATAATGTACATAGGAATGGCGATTGATACATTGAACATTGAATGATATATGAACTTAAAAATTGCCACAGACTTCATATCTACCAATTGGGTATGGGTATCTACACATGCATGTTTACGTGAACTTCCCACTGGTATTATTGTACTCAAGTGCTATTGATGTAGTCTACGCGTCCACCAGTTGACGGGTAGCCACTTATATGCACAGCATTGCATGCGTGGATGCCCATTTCGTCTATACTATGCAGTACCTTTCTAACTAAACACCTTTATACGGAGTGTCAAATGTCTAAGAAGTCAGCCCCAGCCCCAGATAGAAATAGAAAGTAGCCATCGACTTATACGAAACATACCTCAGCCAATCTCGGCTCTATAAAAAGAGCACTCGCCTCCACCAACAATTTCGCCCCATGCGAGTCCTCATCAACAGACAGAGTCTCAATCCTCGCTTTCACCCAGGCCTTCCGCCCCTCAACCTTCGTAGTCTGCGCCCACAAAACAACATACGAGTCCGCCATAGCCGGCGCTCTGTAATCAATATTCAGATTCGCCGTAACGCCCACTTTATTAGGTAACAAGGGGAAACAGCACCGCGCAAGACCCTCGTCCATTAGCGTTGCCAGAACTCCACCGTGGACGATACCCGGGTGTCCGCAGATGCCGCTACCCAGGTACATAAACATGACGAAGATATTATCGGAATGGTTTCTGAATGCAAAGGGTGCCATGAGTAATTTTTGGGGGCCGGCGAGAGCACCTGTGATTAGGTTGCTGCTGCGCAGGCTTTCGGGGATGCTGGCGCTGTCTAGTGGTGTTTCTTGGAAGTCGGGGTTCTTGGAGAGAGTGAGTGTTGTTTGGTGGTTGCGGATGAAATTCACCATATGTGTAGATTGGTGATCATCCTGCAGATCGTGGATATCGACTGCAATGGAACCCATTTTTTTGTTGTTCGGGGTTCGTAATTACCCAGATTCTTGGGTTTTGAAGGGGGAATCAATGGTCAACTTTGGTTGAAGGGGTGGATGATGAATTGGAAGTGATTGTAAAAGTGCAATGCAAGTTCGTCATGAATTGATTACAGCCGATAAGTCATCTGAAATCAGCCCCACTGGCCCCTCCAGGGCCGCGACCCCAAGTCTGAATGATAAGTGTGTATCCGCAGAATGGGGGTCTAACTTCCGGCAAAATTCGGCAAACCTATGCATGGTTTCCGCTTACCCGAACACGGCCCGGAAAGAATGTTGGTAGAATTCAATAGGTCCATCTACACAAGTGATGGGATGCATATCAGCCATAAAGGTTGTTCATTGATACTGATACTGATTGGTGGGTATATATTCAACACCAAAAATAAGGAGACCCAAAACGCCGTCAAACACCACAGACCAGTGAGAGAAGGTAGACATCCAGCCTGGCCCTGCAAAACACAGGGCAAGCATGGGATGGTCATCGAGGTCAACATTTTTAGACATGGCGCATATTATAAGAGAAGGGTATGGTTGTCATAAACATAGACGCGCGCAAATGCAGTTTAACAAGCAAAAGAAGAAAGAAAGAAAAAAAAAGCACATCTACACCAAGCTGAAGATGCCTGCCAACAGGAGCGGTGCAAGGGCAAGCAAGGTTTGAGGCTTCAGACTTGGCGCCGCATTGATTCCACCTGTTGTGTACATATATTGGAATGAAATGTCGGAGGAGTTGAAGCAGTTGTCACGAGTGACTTCTTCAATCTCGGCATCGTGGACATCGGCGAAGGTAATATCCACACACTGGGAAAAGATTAGAACAGAATAAATCGATGGAGATATGGAGAACATACGTTGAATAGCGCAGCACCATGCTTTGCGACCTCAACAACCTGGATAGTGGCATTATCACCAGCCTTGACACTAATGTTCGCAGGTAAGGGGACCTGTGGCAGACAGAAGGTACCCGGGTAAGGGTTGTTGGTTGGGCCGGTAATCTGGAAAGGAGAAACGACAGGGTGGCTCATGTTCTCAGGGATGGTGCCAAATCCAAGGTTGACATAGATCAAGGCAGTCTCGTGGCCAGGGAACCAGCCAGGTTGAACGGCAACTGCACCTCCCAGTACGGGCCACTTGGTACGGTTGGTTGATCGGGGCATACCACCACCTAGTAGAGAATTGTCAGTTTACCTTGATCGCATGTTGATTGTTGACAGTGACTCCTTACAAGGATAGATCCACTCCATGCCATAGGGGTAGATGTATGAGCCGTTTTCGTACGCAACACCCAACCCGTCGGCCTCAGCAATAGTACCATTGGTGTGAAGGTTGTTTCCTCGGTATCCGGGGTATGTGATGACAGTGTGAGCATTTGCCAGGCCCACGCACAGCAGGGCCAGAGCTGAAGCCCATCGCGATGTGGAAAGTTGAACCATGATGATAATTATGTGTGGGATGAGCGGTAAGATAGCTCAAGATGAAACAAAAGTCTAAAAAGCGACAGCACGAGTGGGAAGCGAAAGCAATGGAACCGGTCCAGTTGTTCGCGGTATAGAACCTCAAGCAGATCGAAGAAATGCAAAGATGAACGTCAATCCAGCAGACAAAAATCTCACAAAGCCAAGGAGGATTTTCGAGGGCTGATCGGTCTCTTTTTGAGGGGTACCGCTCCCGGTGCAGACTTGGCTGGCGCCGACGAGTGAGGATGCAGGATTCGGATGTGACTGCGATTGCAGCTTGCACAACCTGTGAATGGTTCTGACTGGTCGAGTGGAGCAGGGCTGCTGGGGATCATCACGGCTCTGCTGCAAGTGCCATCACTTTGAATGGCAACGGGAGGCTCTGATTGGTGGAGAGGCCACAGCTCGAAGCGCCGAGGGGAGAGTCCGGGAGACGCTAACGGGCATTCTGAGGGGGTGGCCTGTGGGTGCTCAGCGCTTACAGGGCACATATGTGATGGTCATGCTGGTGGGATAATTATCACAGACAAGCACTTTAAGCACTTTTGTTTCTTGCGGATGCAGCTCGGTTGGAACTTGGGTGACTTGGGCTCATGGGATCCGCAATGATCAATGTTGACCAACCCCAAGTTTGTCAAAAGTGGATTGCGGGCCGACTTAATGCGACCGATGCATATTGAACGTGCGTTCTCCAGGGGGCGATTTTTTGGGAGATTTTAGGCCAGTCACAATCACAATATCGCATAAGTTCAAAGCGGAGGAGAGCAGGACACTGCAGATGGGCAATTATCTTATCCCTATTCTGTAGTAGTGGCCAATCAGATAATGGGAATTTAACAGGCATCATTCGTGCCTTGGAGACGTTCGGGTTATCACAGCATACAGGCTACAATCCAAGTTTTGAGGTGGTGCTGGTTGTCACACCATTGACTGAATTAATGGAATATTCCAATTTACATAGAAGGGTGTTTGATTGTAGTTGATAGAAACTTGTGAACTTGAACAGTTGACTGGACAAATTGGCCTGGTTTCCCAGGCATCCAACGAAGCCGTTGTGAATTACTAGTAGTAGCTGTCGGATCCACAATGTAGATCTGGGAGACGAATGATGAGGAGGAGGAGGAGGAGGAGGAGGAGGAAGGAGCAATTGTGTGATATTCTTTCTCAACTAAGCCAGATGGGGGAAAGGAAGGAAGGAGAGAGAAGCTCTCACTTCCCAGACTAACTACCAACACCGAAATCAACACGAAAACAACACCAACACGCGCTGCACTCAGACGTTAGTCCAGGAGCAGACCATGTGACCAGAATGAGTAACATGGCTCACTTCTCCTGATAATAGCTAATAGTAGTACTGACTTAAAATGTAGACAGACTCATTGCAAACATAATGTAGAAGAGCAAACATCCAATAAAGCAGCTTGAAGAATCGTCTCTTCTTCAAAAGATCCCAAGCTCTCGCTGGATTCGACACCCTCTCTGGTCTCAAGATTCTCACGCTGATATTCCCTTCCAAAATAAGCCCGTTTCATCATCAACATGTAATCAGGTTGGGTATTCTTCATCATTCTTTCAAACTGCAGCTCAATATCGTTCTTTTCCGCATCGCTGAGCATGTAACCTCGATCCAACTCACAACACCCACAGTTTGCTGAGCAGTGTCCAACGCCTAGTATCTTTCTTTTGGTACGGGATTGACGCTTTTCGCAGCACCCACATTCCCGGCCACAGCACCCGCCTTGTCTGGCACAGTTCTTGTCTGGCACAGTCTTCAGACAACTCTTGCCTAAGATACCATCTGGGATCGTTCGTCACAGAATGAAACATGTTTCTCAGATCCTCAGGTGCCGCCCATTCCGCTTCATAGAGCCTTCGCCGATCACGAGCAACTAATCGTTGTGCCATTTTGAGATCCTCCATTAGAATTGTGCATAGAGAGGTAGATACGGTATCACTTGAAGTCTTCTGCGAGCTCAAATTTTGAAGACGGTTTTTGATTGATTCTTCATGCTGAATACTTGATCGAAAGGCGATTTGGGCTCGAATGATGCGGATATAGAGCTTTCTATCGTGGCTATGTGTAATGGGATCTTGACCACTCTGGGTCGCAAAGTACCAAATATCCCTCGAGCCCATAACCAAAGACTCAACACACTGAAATATCTCAATCATTTTGTACCTGGTACTTTCGTTTGACATTCATGCATGGGTGGTGCTGGTTAGACACAAGTTTAAGATTGGATGAGGTGACCCTGATAGATGTTGGATCAAGCGGCGCCAAGATAGGGACTAATAAAAGTCTATTCGTACCTACATAGTCGCTGTCAGGTATTACAAACATTTAGGTTTGTATATCACAACAGACATTACTGAAGTTGGCAATACCGGGAACCTTGCAAGGTTGGAACCGCGGACACTCAAAGACGAAGATCAAAGGAAACTCCTGGTTGACATTCCCTAAGTGATCTTTCAAGAAATTGGAAAATTTCACCTGGTCAACAAACATAAACATGCTGTTCAAAGTGTTTCAATATGCCGGCCAGGCATAGGCTCAGCGAGTGCCGCCCGCCACCCCGGTGCACCGAACTTATCAGTGAAATACTGTGTCTCGTGCACCACAAGCTCACCATCAAACTGCATGATGGAGACCGAGTATGTTGGTATACCATCATAGGTGATGATACACTCACTCACCCACAGATGGCCATCGCCTGAGATCCGCAGCACCGTAAACTGCCGGGCAGCCGGGTGACCACCACGCTGCGCAGAAATTGCAGCACGGCCTTTAAAGCACTCTCCTGATTGCGGATAGTCTAGAATCGCGTCTGCAGAATAGATGGCGTGTTCGGTTTCGATGTCATTGTCATTCGATGCCTGCCAATGCTCCTCGATTGATTTCCTGGTCGGATCCATCGCACTATGGTTTGTGATAGCAACGACGAACGGCGATGGATTGAGCTGCCAGTTAAAACGTGGCTACCATTCCAACTTGTCCTAGCAGAAGTAAGATATAGACTCACATGCTAGAGCTAAATCTATTTTCAGTTGTTGTCGATGCACATGTACGAGTGTGGTGACTAATGCAACAATGACATGACTTGACATCACGACTTCCAGAAGGACCGTATCCGTATCCCGACCAATGATCCAGGGCCATCACATCATTGACTTGGTTGATTTATCTCTATATAATAAAGCTCCAGTGAGAGCTGTATAGCACTTGAGTGCCAGTATTGTTCGAAGTCCCGCTTAAAACCAACTGATTCATATTGACTCGTTCCAACCCGACGGACTCTTGAGGCCATATTTTGAACCACTCAATATTTGATGTTCCGTCGCTCTATTGTATTCAGCTCACCCTGGAAATATTTCAAAATGGCATCAATCCTACAATACGATGCCATAGTTATTGGCTCCGGCCAATCCGGCACACCTCTGGCCACTACCTTTGCCAAAGCAGGACATAAAACAGCGCTGATCGAACGCGAACATATCGGCGGAACTTGTATCAACGAAGGCTGCACACCTACAAAGACCATGATAGCATCGGGTCGTATTGCCCATCTAGTTCACAGGGGACTAGACTACGGCATACACACCGATAGGCACGGTACCAATGTGAACGCAGCCGCAGTCGACATGCTCAAGGTCCGCCAACGCAAACGCAACATCGTCGCCTCATTCCGCGGCAGCAGCGAGACTAAATTAAAAGATGCCGGCGTAGATGTCCTAATAGGCGAGGCAAGTTTTCTAGACAAGAAAACACTCGAATACAAAGATGCTGGCGGCAGTATGAGAACCGTCCAAGGCCAGAAAATATTCATCAATGTCGGAACACGACCCGCACCGCCACTGCTTGAAGGCATCGGCTCGCTTGACGCAAAAAGAGTCTTGAATTCAACCTCGATCCAAGAGCTGGACGAGGTCCCCCATCACCTCGTTGTGATTGGTGGGGGGTATGTGGGAGTGGAATATGCACAACTGTTCCGCAGACTGGGTGCACACGTCACCATAATTCAGCACGGAGCACAACTCGTTCCGCGCGAGGACGAGGACCTCGCTCATATGCTAGGCGAGATTTTTCAACAAGACGGGCTGACGATTCACTTGAATTCTGAGCCAGTCAGGATTGTACCCTCGTCTAGCGGGTTCATTCTTTATCTCCAAACTAAGAATGGCGATCAAACCGTGGAAGGAACGCACGTTCTCTTCGCTGCTGGCCGCGTGCCGAATACAGACCGACTGAACACACAAGCGGCTGGTATCAAGACGGACAAGAAAGGGTATATTGTGACGAATGAGTATCTCGAGACTTCGTCTCCATCCATTTTTGCAATGGGCGACGTGAAAGGACCCCCGGCGTTCACGCACATCTCATACGACGACTTTCGCATCCTTCGGTCTAATCTGCTCTTATCACCGTCATCAAGAATCTCCATCAAAGACCGCATTGTCCCGTACGTGGTGTTCACCGATCCTCAACTAGGGCACGTCGGCCTGCACGAGAATGAGGCTCGTGCGAAGTTTCCCAACAAGAAGATCCAGACGGCAAAAATGCCAATGGTATACGTTGCTCGCGCACTAGAAACAGACGAGGCGAGAGGAATGATGAAGGCTGTTGTTGATCAGGATACGGGGTTGATCTTGGGATTTTCCTGTTTGGGCATCGAGGGTGGCGAAATTATGAGCAGCGTTCAAGTTGCGATGATTGGGAATGTTCCATACCAAAAACTGCGAGATGCAGTCTTGGCTCATCCAACTCTAGCCGAGAGTTTGAACAATATTTGGGGATTTTTGGAGTGATTGCGTTTCGTGTGTATACCTAGGTCACTCTACGTAACATATTTCCGCTCCCGGGTGGGGCTTTCATATCTTAGCTGCCGCCGCTTTTATGAGGGCGCTCAGAGTTACTATGCGTAGCTAGGTATAATGCCGTATTAATGTACTCGGGCGTCGCCCTCGAGGTTCAGAAGACTTTTTGTTCGTTGCGATAGTTCGACTTCGGGTGGTAAATCGTAGTATTCGATCGTATAGCAGATCAGCAGTATCAATGTCTTTATGTAATCCCTCACGGGGATAGTATGAAACTTTACGGGAGAACGATTCTTTCTTGGCAAAAACCATTCTTGAATACTTAGCTAATCCGAGATCCTACGGCGTCAGGAGTTAGTTCATATGTACATATATGTATATATCGATCAAACCATAATACATATAAATTGCTAATACCGTGATGCAGAAATTAACCCCTGGATTTCCAGCTGGAATAATCCATGTGATTGCCTACACCCCATTAGGTCTGTGGTGGTGGTTTGTCATACTGTGATGCGTCACGGGCGGGCGGCGTTGGCACCCCATCAAAAAAACTCACCAACTTTGAACCCCTGGAACCACCTTTTCTAGTGCTGGGGATGCCTTGTAATTCATTTTGAGCATGAAACGGAGGGTGGTTAAAAGTATATAAAAGTCTAAGCCTCCCCCGAGTCTAGAATATAAAGGTATGGGACTCTGAAAGATTTTAACTCCATTAGTTTCCCGCCTACTTTTCTGCCCATACTAAAGAAGTACACACCCTTACGGTATGGGTTACCCATAGAGTTACCCTTATTGGACCAATACACTGATCAGGTGCTTACTGTACCTTACCGCCTAATTCTAGGGGTGACCTAGCTTGCCGTGTTTCACTTAATCAAGGTAGGGCCAGTTTTGATTATGCCCCTCTCCCCTCCCATCCCACAGAAGAAGCGCGATGGCTAGAACCACATACGTGGTCACAACTCCACAGGTGCAATGGATTACGAAATGGTATCAGGACCATGCAAACCAACCTGCGATTTTGATGACATTCGGGCTGAATGGCTCAACCGACCCTGAATCGATGTTACCTCTTCCAGAAATCGCCATCCAGGTTTACAGCACCGTCCCCCTGGACTTGAATTCTAAGCATGAATATACCGCTCTCGGTCAATATCTTGGTTCTCAGATGCTTGACAGCCCCAGATTGTCATTTGAGATCTATGGTCCTCAGCCTGATGTATTCACCTGCGTGGAGCATCAGAAACGCGAGATTCTTCACCGAAAGAATAATTTCCCGGGGGAAGGCTTCTTCCCTGGTATTGCTAAAGTGGCGCTCAACGATCAGAATCGATTGTTGCAAGGGTTTCTATTAGTGATTACTTCCTATAGCTTCCGTACTACCGACTCACCGGAGTACGAAGCCGAATCAGGCCCGTTGTGGGTAACTTTCAATCGGAGTTTCCCGCTTAAAGCACAAGTTGATCTCCACTCCCGGATTGAGGGCGTCTCCCTATTTAAATTTGACCCTTTAAAATTCTATGGTGAATATGAAGTCTATTCAGAAAGAGAAGAGCTTATGGTGCGAAAATGCCGGAATCTTTTTCATATCTTACGGGAATTATCGTCACTACTTAAGTTAAGTCAATGCGGGGATATGGATTATCAGTTCGATTATGGTCTAGATGAGGATGAGGGAGACCCTTCTTTCACCGATCAACCTCCAGAGATCATTACGTCGCTACAGAGAAAAGCTGATTCATTACAATATAAGGATTTCAATATACAATCACCTTCCCAAGGGGCTATTGTTATTACATCGATCCCTTTAATAACCGCACCAGAACCCGACCTTCGGTATATTATCCATATCGCCTTTCCTTATAAACAACTCAGTTTAGACCTTATGCCGATCACAAAGGCCTTTACAGCTTTGATTATTGAGAATCTTCCTCACGGAAAGACTGTTAGCTTTGAGTTCCTTTCTGCGCCTCAATCCCTAGGTGCTATCCTAACATCGCACCGGAATCTCCTAAACTCTCGACCGGAGATAGCAGTAGGAGCGGCTCACCAAAGCAGTCGAATTTTCCCGCAAGACCGAAGTGCGAATTACATTCCGGGGGATAGGGAGCCATACCGTACCTTTTTTGTCATTGTCGACCGGCCAGATTTCCTAACCGGCCCTGGTGTACTTTTCTTTTTAACGGATGGAAACGACATCACAGATGAGGCGTTACAGAACATTTCCAGCATTTCTGGAGTAAAGGAAGAACGCGGTAACTACACATTGTACCAGGTCTGGCGGAGTGTTGGAATGGCCCAAGTAGCACGGAGGTTAGCAATGATCCCTCCACATGTACCTAGCTAGTTAATCATTTTCTAGTCGCGATGTCTTTATCCTCCTTGATGTGTAACTGTACGGTCCTTGAGGTTTTAAATGGTAATCATTTGACATGATAAATATAAGGACTTCTTTGATATTTCTCTTGGCTTATATAGGTCGTGTTTAATTGGGAGAGTTCTGGCTCAATCACACCCCCAAGGGCCCTAGAGCGTTATTTCCCCACATACCGTACCTGCTGGATGTTGTGATAGAACTCCCCACAGTGCCCGGAAGAGGGGTAGAGGCAAAGTTGGCGGCTCGAGGGAAGCGCATTTGACTGGTGCTCGCTAGCCCAGCGCTGCCCATATATGTGCTAATGAATTTCGATGCCAGCTGATTAGACCCCGTCGTGAGGGCCTGTAATTTAGCCTTCCCTACAGTTAACCAAGGGCCAACATTACTCTCGACCTTCGCAAGATGATTATCAATTGATCGATCCAGTAGCACCAAGCAGTCCGCATTCCCCAGCTGGTCACCCCGCTTGGCCTGGAAGGGCCATTCATCGCTATACCGGGGCTAAAACAAAGGAAACCCACGGATTGAGTTTTTTTGCAGGCTGCAGCAGACTTGTAGTGTAGTGCGGCAGTAGGGTACGCAAGTGCTATAGAGGTCTGGACTCTGAAGTGGACAAACTCAAGACTCAAGAGTCAACATTGAATGAATCAACACCCCGCTTAGTCACCCATACCATCAGATTCCCGACCCATCAAGTCCCCACCCTCGAAATTCAATAAGATCGAACCAAAAAAAGAAAAATTTACAGACATGACACACGACTAAACCTCGAACCATAAACACCTATATCCATACACACACATATCTTCAATCTCCACAATGCCACACTCAACCCGCAGCAAGCGGCCCAGCGCACTCAAGCAAAAACGCCTCACAGTCACCGACGACGACGGCTGGTCGCACGTCACAACGGGAAGCAACGCCCGCCGCACAGTGCGCGGCACAAAAGCGACAGCGACAGCAAACGCGCACACAGACGCAGTACATACCTCGCCTATCCTTAGCCCCGCCGAGGCGCCGGCCCGCCTCACATTGGACGAATTGCAGGCGCAATATGCAGCGCATCGAGAGCAATGGACTGCATCGGAGACTTGGAGGAAATTGGAGAAAGTGCTGGATGAGCGTGTGCAGGGCATGCGCGGCACCGAGACTTCAGCTGGAGCTGGAGCCGGAGTCGAGGCCGAGAAATGCGCCGACGTGGATCGCATCGTGTGCATTGGACTCGGCAGTTTGAGTGGGTTCTCGCGCGATGGGTGGGTGGATCGGCGGAGTGTGTCGATGTACCAGCTTGCGGCGCTGGAGAGGATTAAGGAGCGGGTAGCTTGTGAGTGGTTGGAATCGCTTTCCCTTCCCTTCTTCCCTTTCTTTACTTACCTTCGCATCCTTTCCCTTTGGCTTTCATTCTTTCATTCTTCCTTTTCATTTGGAATCTGTACCCAAGCTCACCGCAACGAACACAGCCCTAAACACCGGCCCCGCCTCGAGCACACCAACCGCGATCCCCGTCTACGCACAAGACCCCATTTTCAACAGCCTGGATCGCGCGCTTCTAGAAAGCATGGGCGTAACAGTCGTCGAGCACCCGGTGGCATTTGAGAACGTCACGCGGAACACGCTGCTCTTCTGCCCGGGTGCAGAGAGGCAGCATCTCGAACTGATTCTGCCGTCGAACCCGGGCTTCGTGTTTGGCGGGCCACTGGAGAATACGCAGTCGGATGTGATCCAGGGCTTTGTGGAGAGAGTGGGGTCGCGGGTATTGGAGCCTTTTACGGTCAACGAGCATGCGTTTTGGAGCATGAGATTGTATTTCCGGGAAGAGAAGGCGGTTTGATGGGATTTGGGGATGTTTCATATTTGATTGGACTTCCTAGTACATACTACCTACCTGCATTGATGGGCTTTGGATGAGGTTTGCATTTTTGGAGTTTGTGGGGGATTTGCACAATTTTGGGTTTGCATTGTTGGTATAAAAGTGCATTCGTTGTGCATGAAGATGATTGATGACTCTTTCTTTTAATACATGTCAATTCAAACATTTGAATGCTTGGCTTTTGGTTCGAATCATCCAGGGCACAGAGTATGGATCTAACACTTGAAAGTTAATATGTTGGGATTCGAAATCACATCAATCCTTTGAATTCGAAAGACAAGCATCAAGATTAGTAGCAATACTATGTACATGGACCCTGCCAGGCATAAAAAATGAATGAACGAAACCCAGACGCAAAATAGCTAATAGTGCAGGTGATATTTCATGAAATTCCCCATAAAAAAAAGACAAAACTCATACGATAACATGGAATGCGGTAGAGAACGCCGGGCATCAAAATGTCAAATGGTGCAACGACAGCGAAAATGCGGCGAGTAGAATTACTTCCCTCGGAATAGTGGGAATAAATATGAGGGGAACGAAATGATAAGCAGGACAAGACCACGCCAGGAAGTGTGGATGGATGTCAACAGAAGCTTTTTGACAGCTAGCGCAAATGATAAGGGAAAGGGCGTATATGCATGCAAGTGTTTCATGATAATCAGAGGGAGGGGGCAGGAATGCGCATGTCTACCGCGTTATGAGGCCGTCTTGCCACCACAATCGGGGATCTTAAGACCAGACTTGATGTTGCGCGCCGAGTCCATGAGACCCCATTTGTCTTCCCAGTCTTTACCGGGGGTATTGTACTGAATCTTCCACGGCTCATCAAATGCCTCGAACCAGAAGTAATCGGTGCCGTTTTCTAGAGCCTGGCAGACCCAGTCCGACATGAATGTGTTCATGTTATCAATGCTTGCAACAGAGCCGGGGGTATCGGAGTCGCAGGTCGGGCTAGAGCCACAGTCTTTGCCTCCATCGCTGGGCCATCCGACCTCCGAAATGACTTGTTTCTTTGTTGTGCCCGAGGTGAGTACGACATCGTGGGTTTGCCAGAAATCCCAGGTCCAAGCAGCGGCAACGTCGACGTTGACTCCCGCAAAGAATGGATGCACGTTGGACATGACAACGTCGACGGCCTCGACGAGCTTGGCATTCCAGTTATCTCCTAGATCGGAAGTGGCGATCAGCATGTCGGTGCTGCGTTTCTTGACTTCGTCTCTGACATCCGTGATATAGGTGATGAGGTTCGTTTCAGCAGTGGCTATGTCTGGACCCGCGCGATACAGCGCCTCGTTGCCGACAATCACGCCGTTGAATATGGAGGTGTTTTTGTTGGCGTCTAGGATATCGTAAAGTTGATTAATCTGTCGGTTCGTCGTCGTAGTGTTCGAGTCGATCCAAACCCCAAGCCAGACTTTCATATCGGTTAGTCCAAGCTTGTCGATTGCGGTCAGGGTCATCTCCGTCTGATTGCAGTCGGTGCCGTACAAGCGAACATTGTTAGTCAATTGTGACAGGACAGCCAAGTCACGAGTGACATTGTTCTGAGAAGGCGGATATTTCAAACAAAGTGGATACTGCACACCCCAAGGCGTATAGTCCATGCCAGGGAAAACCTTGTGCAGATTCTTATTCCCCATAAGTGCTTTGATCTCGGCCGAATTCTTATCAAGGACGCCATTCGACGCTTCGTCATCCGACGCCGAGGATGAAGAGTTACTTCCGTCATGTCGACTCCCCAGCGTGCCACCGACAGCACCACCGATGATAGCAGCGAGAATAATCAATCCAAGCACTGCGCCAACAATCAATCCTCGCTTCTTCCTCCCCTGCATGCCGAATGCCTTCTTGCCCTTACCTCCCTGTCCGGCCTCCAACCCACCCCCGGGAACAGAATCGTAAGAAACACCAGCATTCTTCTCGGTCCCAAAGAACCCTCCAAAGAATCCAGTATGTGCTCCAGCCGCAGCTCCGGCCCCGGCCCCAGCACCAGTGGCAACAGCCCTAGCCCCATGTCCAAATTCATCGTCTCCATCATCTGCAATCTCATCGGGATTGATATCAACGGGTAAACTCATTCTCCCAGTACTGTACTGCGACTGCCTCTGATAAGGGCCGTCATTCACGAGACCTCCGTTTCCATTCCCTCCATATGGCCCCGGCGCCGCCGCGCCCGCACCCGCACCCGCACCAGAGACAGAACCCTCATAGAAGCTGCGCCGGGCCTCACTCAAATGTACGCTCGACTGCTGCGGTGTCTGTATAGCCGGCGGCGTTGCCGCATCCCCCAGCGTCAATCCCGACGCAAAGGGATTCTGCGGTTCAGCGCGAAAGGACTCGGCACTCCCATATGCTACTCCAGCTCCCGTATCCGGCGAAACAGGTACGTAGGGATTATCTGAGCCGGTGGCGTTGAAGCCACGTTCGGCGGGGCCGGTGTATCCATCCAAGTCATTGTCTTGGTAGTTCATAGCGTGGATGCCGCTCTGGCGGCTGTGGGTATTTGCGACGCCGATTGCTATGCCGCTGATGCCGCCGCCTATGGATGAGGGGCCGAGGTTGTCGACGCCCGGTGTGACGGAGGAGTCTTGTCGGTAGATATGAGTGTTTGAGTATCTGCGGGGTGGTTCAGGGATATCTGAGTTGGGGGGATTCATTTTGAGTTTTGAGCCCTTTGTGGAGTCGGTTTGTGACAGGTGATATTTTGGGAGTATGTAAGGTGGGCTGCAAGGGATTTGAGGATGAGGCTGAGATTGTGGATGTGACGTGGGTGTCAAGTAAATGGCGGCGGTGTATGATTTTGTAGGATTTCAAGATTGTTTGTTAGAGAAGGCCGTGTTGGATTATGCAGAAGTTGAAGTTGGTATGTGGTTGAGGAAAGAAAGAGCAAGCCGATTAGACAGGCATTTCCTGGTGAAGGCTGCTAAAGGCAGAAATCACGGTCCTCTGAATGAGGGCAGTGCAATGGGCCGAACTAGAAAGCTGAGGTGCCGTGACAGGTCGAGTTTTGGACGCGACTGCAATAAATCAAGAGCAAGAAAAAGAAAAGAAAAACAAGTCAAGAGGAATTCACTGGCAAGATTCCCCAAAGGTTTAGGAAATAAAGTTGTCAACAAGCGCGGTGGTGACCCGGACAACGGAAACGCCCCGCTACTTGTAAAGATGAAGTGAGAATTGAAGTGAGTAGTACTAGTAAAGCACGGGAATTAAAAGAAATCAGGATTAGAATAGGAATTAGAATGAGAAGAGAAAGATAAAAATAAAATAAAAATAAAAACACCTACATTCTAAAGGAATTCCATCCCGAACCGTTCCCTGCATTCGTTTAAGGGTCCTGTCAATGTGGACCTCGGTGGGTCCGACCCTGAACTATTTTTGTCAAGTTTGGACCCTGCACATGTATAAGGAACGCCTTAATATTTGGGAATTATTGAATGATCATTAGATCAATCCACTAAAAAGAAACAAAAAAGAAACATGACATGAAAATTTGCCGTGATCTCGTTAATCCATTACCTAATCCCTGCGCCGTGCGAATCCATTCCAGTCCCAACCCTTGTTTTCCTGTTTTGCGCTACCCTTCATAACCAGGACAACATCAAGTCATAGTTTAGAAAAAGAAGGGGACCAAATAATGCCCCCAGAGAGAATACGAAAAGAAAGAAGATGAAAAGCAAAAGGGCCCTCTAGCCCTCCACCTCCTCAGCGCTCCGTTGTGCAGCAGAGGGCGCATCACTTTCCAGATGTCGAGCCCGTTCCAAGAACCGGCGTTTTCCTCGTCGGGTATCGAAATGCTTAGGAATCTCCGATGCTTCTTGACCCGCAGCAAGCATACTAGTGCGCATTTTATTACGATAGGCATCCACTAAAATGAACCGAAAAAAATAAACCGTTAGCGTTTGAAACAAAAAAAAACCCCCCGAGGTCACTCGAGTTCGTTAACGTTGTTTCCGGGGTTCAAAGTGAGACAATGTTTGAGCCACCGGCACGTGGACACACGCCAAAGAATGTGTATTCGATGAAACGGGCAAGAGCACAGAAAAGAGGCACAAGAACGAAAAAAAAAGCAGAAAATAGAAAATCGAAAGTAAAATAAGAAACATAATTCAACTTACGCGATCGCTGCAAAAATAGCATCCGTCCCGCAAAAACACGGCTCTGACTCCAACTCAACCGGTACGCCAGGTCATTCAGCATAACCTCTTTCCGGTGTCGACGGCGCGAAAGTTTAGGCACGTCGATATCTCGCTCGCCATCCAGTGAGGGTGCAGGAACCGCCGTGCGGCCAACAGTCGAGTCTTCGGGGTCCCCAATGTGCTCAACGTCCTCGGCGAAGAACCGTTTGCTGGGGTCAACAAGGACTTGCGCATCTTTCATTTGAGTGGGGAAGTAGGTGCGCGGGTACACGGCGTTGATCTTGCGGTAGGAATCCGGGATCTCGTCCATCTTGACTTTGTCTAGGCCGACCTTGACGCGAACCCGTGAGCCGCGCTGGGGATCCTCGACCAAGATGAAGGTGCGGCGCTTGCCGTCTGGTAGCTGGCCGAAGAGGTCGTCGTTGGTGGGACTTTGTTCGTCAAGGTCGACGATGCTGGCCATGTGGCTGGAGGTTGCGATGGTCGGGTGACGCCCTAGAGAGCCGAGGCCACTGTCGCGGAGGAGGGGCGCCATGGAGGGGCTGGTGCTGGTCGCTGATGGGATGGTGTGAGCATCATGGAAGATTTGAGCGGGACGGATATCGGTGGCCCCCAATGGTGCGGGGAGACGGCTTGTATCAATGGAACGCTGGGGGTTGATGTAGTCCGTGGTGCCTATAGAATGGGGAAAGCGCACAAGTGGAGAAATTAGCCTACGCGGTACTGCATGTAGCGAAGGGGTTCTCAAGTCCCAAAGAAAGAAGACAAAGCAAGCGGCGCGGCGGCATTGAATGATAAACAAGAAGACGCACAGGGTATGAAATAACAAGGAGAGAAAGAGAAGAAAAAAAAATGGAAAGAAGAAAAGAAGAAAAGACGAATCGAAGCCAACCCAGATCCAAACCAAGCAGAGAGATACATACACCCCAGAACATCTCATGCAACACCCAGTATACAAACGTGACACCCCCATATACACATACAATCCGATCACAAGAATAGATGAGATCTGTCAAGATCCAAGAAGTGAAGTAAAAAAGGACCAAAGAAAAAAAGGGAAGAAAAAATACAGAAATCATCCAAGACCCCGCCGCGCGTGTTGCAAAAGAAACATCGACAACGGAACAAATCGCATCATTGCTGGTGAAACATACCGCTGACTTCCTCCATCTTAGGGCTTCCATCAGGTTGAGCATGATGATGAGTCATGCCCATCAAAGGTCCAATACTACCACGCTGGCCGGATCCACCAGACATTCCATGGCCAACGGGCCCAACGGGAGTCATGTGAGGTGTAGCAGGCTGTACCGACTGGCGACGATTCATCTTGTGTTGACGACGCACCCGTCTGCTACGCAACCGAGGGTCCTGGTTGCTGTTGCGCCAACTATCCACAGCCCGCTGGATAAGGCCTCGTTTCCCTCTCAACGCCGGGTTCAATTCAGCCAATGCCCATCCCACGGCATTGCATTCCGTCTCGTAGACCAGCCGATTTCCACGATACTGGTCTTTGTTGCAACATGCACGTGGGTAGACGCAGTTCTCAGTTTTGAAGTCTTGGCTGAGAGAATCTACATTGACGGATTCCACATCACACCGGATCGTGTATTCCATCTTGACTCGGTCTCGAGAATACTCAAAGGCTATCCACTGAACCCCGTTGTTGTCCTGTCGTACGACGAGTGGGGTGGTGGCGGGAATGGGGCCGGGGGCTGCGCTCGAGCTCGTTCCGAGGGGTGAAGTCTGCTGGGTGACGGCTGGAATACTTGTGCTGACAGCTGCTGGAAGGGCCGGGTTGAGCATCGATCGTTGGGTAGATGATGTCTGTGGCGTCGAATCCATCTTCATGACTGGGCTGCTGGATAATGCTGTGCTTGGTGTGTGGGATGGTTGATGAGGTGACATCTGTGCAGTGCTGGTCTGAGGGGGCATCATCATGGACTGTGAGGTGATTGTGTGTGACTGAGGTGATTGATGAGGCGCATATGGCGGTTGAACAGAGTATGGTGGATATCCATACATTTGAGGTGGCATCTGTGACGACTGCGCGTAGATGTTGCGACCATGCTGATCATGCGGCTGGGATGCTACAGAGGATGGAGAGTTGGATTGGGGGGTGTGATACATTGGAGGGTAAGGAGGTCTCTGCATTTGAGCGGTGGTTGCCATGAGGTCAGATGGCCCTATATCTTGCAGATCAGCCGGGAGTCCGTAGTAATTCAGACGGCAGCTAGCCCCAGGTAGGACATCCCCGGCACGCGCGAGATAGGAATCATGCACTCGAATAAAATAACCTAGGTAGAAAAGAAATCCCGTGGCTTACCACTAGAAGAATACTGCGCTGGAGCAGTTGCGGTTGTATATATAGATGGGTGGGTGGTATAATAGGGTGATTCTTGAGTTGGCGACCCGTATGAGCCGTGAGAGTGCAGGATGCCGTTTCCCAGAGAGTGAAGTGGAGGATAGGAGCTTGTATGAAGTGAAGCAGTTGATTGCGCAGGCGAGGCCGGAGTTTGTTTTGGTGATAACGGCGCTATATCTGGTCTAGATGCTTGCAGCGGATGATGTTGAGATAGATGCGCCTGACTGCTATGTCGGTACTGTGGCGAACAATATCAGTGACTGGGAAGACTTGAGAATCCCAAAGAAGCTGCGAGAGGTGTTCGAGCACGCGGGGTGGTACAACAACCTAAGAACGTGGAAGAAAAAGAAGCAAGACTTGAGAATACAGCCAGATCGTCCGGACAAAAAGAAAGTAACGACATAAGAGCGGGGATTTGAACAACTCCAAAAGGGTCAGAGGCTCCTGAGCCATAGAAAGGAAAAGAGTTAGGGGAAAAGTTGCCACGGATGAACGATGCCTTGAGCAGGGATGGGCTTAGATGCGTAACAAATGGCCAGGATTTGAACCAGGATGAGCCCGTCCAGGGCCAAAGAAAACCACGGTTCTGTGTAGCGCTGGGGCTGGCTTGAAACTGCGAGTGGCTCTTTTCTTCCGAGGGGGGCCAATACACTCCAGCCTCGCTGTTTGTCCATGTAAATGGCGCCTTGCCGCTACACGGACTCGGGGATGTGGCTTTCATTGTGCTGAGAGTAGGCGTTTCGATTTTTCCTTTGAGGTTCCACCAATACCCCCCTCTCCTCGCATTTCTTTTCACAACTTAGCCTCGCAAAAAGACATGATCTTATGGGTTGCCCCATACAGATACCAAAAGAATGGTCAGATCTGGTAGGCATTTCTCGCAAGGCTAAGTTCAGCCGCATTGGTCATGATAATGTCATCGGGTCAGATTTGACAACCCCGAGCCTGATCATCGCATTTTCTTTGACGGCTACCAAGCCCATCCACTCAAGGCATCTAGGTCCGGACAAGTTGTTGAATATGTGACTCCATCATAGTTCCAGAGATCCTTCGCCTGATTTGTTCCTCCCGGTGTGTTGTTTTGCGTATGGTGGCAATATCAAAATGAAAGATAAGAGGAAGAGAGAAAGAGAGAGAGAGAGAGAGAGAGAGAAAGGAAACAAGGTGCCGGAAAAGTTGAAAGTGATATTGAAGTAGAAGAAAGCCAAAGAAATGAAATTGTAGGTCCAATGCAATCTACAACCGGGGTTGCGACAAGAAACGAAATCTCAACAGTTCATGTACTTACGGGATCATCAACCGGCTCTTCCTTGTATTTTGACACCGGGGGGCCACGGTCAGTCTGTACCATGCCGGTCACGACAAGACCTCTCTCACGGTCTGGAGTAGAAAGCCAATGCAGTGAGGCAATAATTGGAAAGGGTGGTAGGGTGGACTTGTCAGACAAGGGGAAGAAGAAAAGAGCTAGGATGTGAGGGTTTGGCGCGCGAGGGAAGAAACGCGCGTGGAGATGTCAAATGAGAAAAGGCGGGATATGGTCGATCCCGAGGGCCTGAGGCTAAAACGGTCTGCGCGACACACGGCTAGTAGCCTCCTCTTGACTGGGGTGGGGTTCAGGGCACGATGTTGAACGATGCTGGGTTGAGACGTGGTAACGAGGGTCCAGGGTCGTTTATTTAGCTGTACCCATAAGGCCCCATCCTAAGGATCAGGTAGCGTCTTCTAAATTAAACCCACGATTCTGGAGAAGAACGAAAAAGAAAAGAGAAAAAAGGTCGAGATAAAACCGAAAGAGGTAAATAAACGGAAATAATACTGTAAAACCAGTGAATAATAAAAAAAAAAGGAAAAATCAAAAGGAAAAAAAAAAGAAATCAGAAAAATCAGAAAAATCAGATCTTGTGGAGATAGAGCAGTAACCAGAGGTACTTCAGCATGGGCTTGTCACTAGCGGGAACGTGGTGTAATAACGACTAGGGTGGTTGCAGGAGGGAGATTAAGAGACTCGACAGAGACTCCGGTAAACATCCGAGCCTCAGTTTAAATTGAATATCATTAGACTAGCCGAGATGAGAAGCAGATTTAAACGCCAGAAATGGAAAAAAAAAGAAAAAAAAAGAAAGCACATAAGAAAAAGAAAAAGAAATAAAAGTAAAGGATTGAGGAGGAATGATGTGCAGCATGCAGTATACCGGAGAGGGCAGACAGTGCGTGGAGACAGAAGTTTTGTTTTTTTATGATTTAATTCATTTTTAAATTGATTTTTCTTTTTGAAATATTCATTTTAATTGATCTTCATTTTAATTGATCTTCTTGGGGGCTACTGGGGAAAAGGTAGAATTGTCCAATTATCTTATGTTGAACAAGGCCCTAATGTCACCTAGTGCGTGTGGACTTGGTGGATTGCCAGTGGGGACAAGAAGCAGAATGACTGCATATCTCTTTCATGATGGATCCACGACATCTCTTTGATCTATATCCTTGATTCTCAACGGTCAAGATATTTGCCCCTCTTGCAGTTTTCAGCCATAGATATGCTTTATTTGTCAAGGAACGGTTCCTCGGAAGAGAAGGAAACTTCATGATACGTCCATCAAAGGAAACAAAGAACCGTATATTGATTGTCACACCATCCTGATTGGTGGTGGGGAGGGGCTAATATGCTGAAAGCAACGCTGAACAAAAGCCGAGTGACGTTATTCGATTTTCTATTCACTTATTTTTTTTGGGATTATTCATAGCAGGAAAGATTGCGAACTGGATTTTCCGGCACAAGATTCTCCTAGTCTCTAGTCGCATAGTAGCTTACCCCCGTCTCCGTTAGTATTTACGTCCGGTATTCAGTTTCAGTGCCGGAGAAGGGGAAACGAAACAAATAACGGAAAAATACATAAAATAAATCAAAGTTTACCTGGGCCTTACATACAGGAGAAAAACCAAGGATCTTCTCCAGCGTAATTGACCAAGTGGAGGCAAATAATTTACAACATTGTACGTAGTAGGGTGGAGATATCATAGGGCAAATGTTTGTGGGCATGACGTTTAGGGCAGATCGAACGGCCAAACGGGCTCGAAAAGCGGGGGGGGGGGGAAATAGAATAAATGCAAAAACAAAGTGAAAAAGAAAAGGAAAAAAAAGTGAATTTCAAACCAGAAGATGAAGATTAGGTGGAGACCTTGACGTTTGCCTGGATCGTGCAGAGGCCAGTTTCAGGTACTGTGAGCGATTTCCTCGGGGGGCTCGGAGTATATCGAAGGGAGATCGACGGGGAGAATTGCTAAATTCATAACACTGGTTACACACACGATCTGACTGGAGAAGCGCCATTTTCTTTTCTTTTTTCTTTTTTCTTTTTTCTTTTTCTCTTTTTTTCTTTCTGATTTTTTGATTTTTTGATTTTTTTTTCCTGATTTTCTCTGTTTTCTCTCTTGTTTCCACGGCCCAATCTCTCCCTTTTCCCCACTTGCCCTTCAAGATCCAGATTCCCGACTCCATCCCTCGGCCCCGTCTAAATAAACTCGAAACAGCCTAACGGCCGCCCATCACCCTTTGCGTTCGTGGTAGTGTAACGAGGTCTTTTCTTTGTTGATGATTGTCATAAATTTCTCCCCCTTCTTACCCCCCTTCATCCCAAATCAGCAAGAGCCGCTGATCATCCCGATGAACCAACCAACATCTAGTTCATCACGGGCTGTTGCATCCTGGCCCCCATTGACTAACGCGCGCAGTCTAACTTTTAGCCTAAGCGAATTTCCCACTCACTGCAGGGGCAGAAGTCAGAGGGGTAAAAGAGATGAGACTTGGAAAAAGAAAAGCAATTTTTGAAAAAAAAAAAAAAGAAAAAAGGTAGAAAAGAAAAAGAAAAGAAAGGCCAACAAGGCTAAGTCGACGCTGCGCTGCGGCCAATGAAGCCCTAAGGCCCTCCAGGCTTCCCCCGATGCGGGCCTCCACCCGTGCTCGCCCCTAATCCTATCCTGCACTAGTCTTCCCTCGTAGTCATTCTTGGCATTTGGACAGGTAGCTCAAGAAGGTCGAAAACACCAAGTCGAAAAAGAAAAAGAAAAGAAAAAAGAAAAAGAAACTAAGAGGCAAGTCGCAGGCTCCTTTCACCGGCCCTAGCCGACTATAATCGGCACGTCAAGCTTGGAACGCACGACACCTGAAATATTCTTTCCCGTACCCTGACATCTGGACCATGCGACAATCCGGGAGAACTAAGACCTAAGACCTAACCAAACCATATACAGAGAAAATGAAAAGCTTCTCTGGCGGCCGGGAGGGGTGGAGCCCATCGCAGCTTACCATCTTATGTAGTTCGTCATTTCATACTTGTGATTTACTGATTATTATTATTTTCAGGGATTACTGAGATCTCTGGTCTTTTCTCCATCTTAACCATTATCAAATGTAGATCTTCAAATACACCTATGCGTATACCGTTTGCAGAAGCCATTCAGCATGGACGTTGTATCATTCCGATGGGAAACCAGCAAAAAAGAAAAGATTTAATCTTACTAGTCCCGGTCTATTCTCTAGTGGCTAGTAGCCAATGCACATCGTGGCCAGACCTCTCTCGCAGAGCGGATAATCGGCTCCTGAGGCTCAAGGTGGACCGAACAGGAAAGCCAGCATGCCGATGATCTCTCTAGGTCGCGCTGGCGTCTTTGCGCAGTGACTGTGCATTCGTGCATTTGGGAAAACAAAAAAGTGGCGGAGGGACGGAGCCCATCGGCCCCGGGAGAAATGGTGGAGGTGGAGGAGGGGCTGGTTAGGTTAGGTTAGGTTCTGGGCTTGATTTGATTCGACTTGGTAGCTAAGGGCTTCCAGAACCAGGTTAGCTTTCGGGTGCGTCGTAATCGTAGCCATTCAGATGGAGTGGTCGGTTTGCTGAGGGGGTGTATACTTTCCCTCCAATGATGATCACTCGATCTCGGCCCAGTGACTTGACTCGAACTGTTTACTTAGAGGACTTGTGGCCAGGAACTCAAGGGCTGAAGGTTGGGGCTAAACTAACCCGGGTGCATGACCAGCCCCCCTTTTTCTAGCTTTTTATTATTATTATTATTTTTATTAATTACTTTTTTTTTGCCTATCATCTTCTAATGCGTAATAGTTTGACAGGTTTTTGTTTCAGTTGGTTATTTTTTTTTATTTTTTTTTTACCGCATCTTCGCATTAGTGAAGGTCGCGGGGTTCGGAGACAAACGGTGTCATCTGAAGTTGGTTATATTTCGCCTGTGATCGATGCAGGGTGCTGGAGTCTTGCGCGGTAAGTCGTACCCGCTTTTTTCGGTCCCACTTCTCAGCTGTACATATACATACACCACAGCTCTACTGGAATTGTCTAGGCTTGAAAATGAGATCATTCCGGGACTTGTCTTCTTTGGCGAATCTCCCTTTGAGACGATCTTGTTTTGCTAGTGGAATGATCATCCCAGTCTCGGGTGGAAGGAAATTGTGATAGCAAACTGCCCCACCCCTTCAACGGTTTACTCGATTACTCGATGAAGTATACGGTGTAAACCGAAAAAGGAGATAGTCACTTGAGTAGCCATTAGTAAGAAACATGCCGAGAGGAACCTTGGAAAAGGATTTTGAATATATTAAATAAAAACAAAATGAACTAAAGGCTGAATATGTCTAAAATCAACGCCAACGCAAGGGAAAAAGTACCCGTGTCCGCGAGTCGCTTTTAGTCTGAGCACATGCCCACAAAGCTG